CGTGTTTTGGAAATCGTAGAAAGTGCACCTTTTGAAGAAAAAGATGACACATATTGCAAAAAATGAAAAGAGTACGGTAGATTTGAAAAAAAAGTGGCTGCTTAAGTACTTTTAATCTTTAGATCATCTTCAGTCATAAACCTATTTTCGTGAATACTGTGAAAGTAATTTATACGTTTCAATCAGATATTTTCAATTTTTTCCAAGGAAACGGATGATTTTGGATAAATTCTTTTTGAAATATAAGTTGTCTTCCTGATAAGAATTTCGCATTTACAATATTTAAAAAGTTTGAGAATTTTGGCAATAGAAAACCATCTAGCGATTTTTCTCATGTAGTCTATAACTTGACATAAAAATAGGCTCTCATAAAATTTTTACAACATGTTCTCATTTCTTTCATGGATGGCGCAAAAATTTAATATGGTTTTGGTCTTTAAACTAGAATTTCGGGAATTTTGGAATGCACCAGAGTAGTTATGATTTTCGAAATTGTCCGAAATTCGGTTTTTGCGTAGTTTGTTCAGTCTGCAGAAGTATTCCTAATTTTTTGATCCAGAACTTTTTTTTTTTCAAAATTCAAGGTTTGCAATCTGGTTTTATTTTTTGGACCTGACATTTTTCTCACAATTGATTGAAAATTTGTCTAGAGATTTGACTAATTTTTTACCATAGCAATTTCAAAATCTCCTTAATTGTTTCAACTATTTGATTCAAAACTGTGCACAAAGACACATTCACATATGTTGACATTCTCACATTTTCTATCAATATAATCGAATTACGACCCCGTTGTGAAGCAATCAATCTCATCATTCGGAACGTCTTTTTTGATTCGATCGACAAAAAATTTACATATATATTCTCTAACTGTCTCTTCTCATCTCTATCTATTCATTTTCCCTCTTTTTTTGTCGGTTCACACCTGGTTGGCATCGCGCCAAAGTACACCGCCTCTCATTTTTTCGCGTTAGAATTGTGTCAGAATTCATTTTTTGTTCAGCGAAAAAAGTGTACATTTTTGATGAATATTTGAATTGACATATAATGGTGTAGTTGCAGCAACTCACACCTATAATTAAGTCGATGATGGTAGGATAGAAGATGATGAAAAAAGAGAAGAGAGAAGTGTGCGAAAATGTCAAAATTATATGCGCATTTAGCCTTGAGATTCGAGATTTTATCTCGGCATATAGTTTTCCATGAATATTTTGGATTGAGGTTTTACCTTTTGTATTTAATTCAATTTTCTGGTCATATTGTTTTTCTCTGTTCGAAATTGTTTTAATTCTTCTGCTTGTGTTGCCTGAACATTTTCCAAAGTCTATGCCAACTTTAGAATCAGGCTTCAGAAATCATTTTCTGATGGGACCACTTTAAAAAGTGATCCGATTTACATTTTTCAACGTTACGGACACTTTTATCCGAATGACAATTGCATTATATTAGACAATGGGTGTGTGGGTGTGATCACATCGATAGCCCGAATTTTTTTTTAATTTTTGAAAAAAAATTGAACCTGTCGTAGAAGATTTCGATTTTTCGTAGAAATGTCGCTCATTTCAAAAGCAAGGATGTACATAGTTGGGTATAATCTTGATCTTTTCAAAAATTCAGTTATACGATTCTTTACAGCAATTTGAAAACTTCGCAATTTTTTTCGATTTAAATTTTTCGAGTCTTTTTACAGTAATCCTCGATACGGTATACTTCCCCTTTCGAACCAATTTATAAACCTTCCGGAAATAAACCATGGTTTTCCTTTTCCCTTTTTGCATTTTTCTTTCTTATTACATGATTGTCAACCTGTTGTCTTCCTATTCTTTTTGGGCGACAATTACCACCAAATTGGTGTCACTTATAATGATCCTTTCGTCCACCCCGAATACCAAAATTACCAACCAGGCGGCCGCCAACCATCTTAGGAAACAAGGTCAAATACCAGATGAATATTCAGGTAGCAGCAGCAGCAGCAGCATTTTTAGAATTTGGATTTGGAATTTTTGAGTTTTACAAATGTGCCGAAACACCTTGATCTCGTTCACTACAATATTTTTTGTCACTCACCCTTCAATCAACATTGATTCCAATTTTTTTTGATAAAAAAGTTGTAAAAAAAACGAGCTGATTTACATAAAAGTTCCAAAAAACTCATTTTTCAAACCGAAAAAATTCAAAAGTCCATTCCCGAATCCATCTTTTTTATTCTCGATCTCATTTCCCCAGTGGGTTCTTTTTTTCGGTTGGCTTTTTCCAAACTGCTTACTAATGAATGCAAATTGTCACCTGGCCGAACCTTCTGTCCTTATTCTTCCCCCATATTTTGCTCGCTCCAAAAATAATATTGTTTTTCATGGTCATTTCCGATATGTTACTCATACGGAGCCACCACCGGGTGGTCTTTTATTATTATTTTTATATCCGATTTGAGATAGAGGAATTTTTTCTTGTTTAAAAAAAGAGAAAAGGGTTACTGTAATAAAAATTGTAACCAATTAATATTATAAATAATAGAAGTCAATATTCTTTTTTTTTGTTTTCTTCCTATTTTTCATATGTTACGCAACAATTTTGCGATTGTCTCCATCTAAACCTGACACATTACTCATTCTCATTCTCGTTCCATCTAAAATATTATGTAATTATTATATTTATGCTTCACTGATCCTTTATTTTCTGATGCGAATATTTTTTGTTTTCAAAAAAAAAATAAGAAATCAACAAAATGTTCCCACGGCACACAATAAAGAAAAAATTTCGATTTTTCTATATTTTGTGTTGGTTCAGTTATCTTATCAATAATATATTTATTTATTTTTCACTTTTTTTTGTTGAGTTGAATTTTTTGAGTCGTTTTTTTTCGGTTGAATGAGTTTTCTCGCTTTGCTCTTTTTTCACCATTTGATTTTTGAAATTTTTTTGGAATAGAAATTATTGTTTTTTAAGTGTTTCTCGGCTTTTTTATTGATGACCACACATTTTTTCGATTCGTTGGAAAAACAAATATTGAAAATCGTTGAACACATCACATATAAATTCCGAAATTGCTATTTTTCGCAATGACTCATCAAAATATTTTCCTGTGAAAAATGGTTTCGACATTTTTTCTGTGCCTCATAAATTTCATCAAACTCTTGCTTTAAATTTAATTATTTAAAGGTAAACTTGTAGAAGTATATTATTTTTTATTAATAGAAATTGATTAATTTCGAGAGATTCGATGAATTACAGATTTTAGCATTTTTAAAAAAATATAACACAAAGAATTTTTGGCTGATCGCACATTTGTGAACATCTTTGCGATTCAAACCTTAAAGACATATGGGTCTGAAAATCATTAATATTTTTAGGACTATTTTTTTGCATTAACATTATCTAATTGTCTGACTTGTTTCCAAAATACATATTATCTTTCTAGTTTTGGTATCCTCGAAAGCTAAGTTTTACCAACTCAAATCTCTTAGTTTGTAAAAAATTCCAAAAAAAAGCTCGTGACCAATGAAGTATCAGTGGACGTTTTGAAGGGTATTAGTGATACCTAGCACTACTACAATATTTATGTAAGTGTAGTTTTATTTGCCAAGTACTTACTAGTGCCAAATCTATAATATTTGCTAAACTGTTGACACACTTCCATCATCATCCCTCAGCTTCTTCTTCTACTTCTTTTGTTTCTCTTTTTTCTCTCCCTCGCAAAAGTGCAAACACAACACAGACAAAAAAATTATTTCAAAAATTTGTTTCAATTTTATTTTATTTTTGTGTATTTATTCTATTTTTTATTATAAAAATCTAGGCATTCCATTCGACTTCTCTTTACTAAACCGTTTATCAAATATTTACCTATCACTATCCCAAAACTCTTTTTTTTCGCTGCTTCATTCATGTTCTTTTTTTTCCATCCTTATAGCAAATACTTATGAATTTTAATAAAACTTTCACGTCTCTTGGGCCCTTTCAAAACATGTTGTCTTTTCTTTTCTAATCCTAATTTATTCAAACACTCGAATGAGAAAAATTGAAAATTTTCGTGAATTCTTTTTTCTCTTGTTGAATCTGGAGATTTTGGGTTTGTCTAAGTGACAGGTTTTTTTGATTTTCAGAATTTGGAGTGGTAGTTATTTCAAAAATGGTTGATTAGAAAATTTTCAAAAAGTTGTTCGAAATAATTTTTGGTGAGTTCATAGTGCCCATTGTTTCCGATGTTGAAAGAAAAAAAAATCACAAATTTCGAAAACAATTTTTCTTTAGACATTTCGTTAGTTTTTTTCCGGTTCTTCATTTTTGGTTTTCTCGTGACAAATTTTTAATTTATTATTTTCTCAAAAAATCAAATAAATTTTTCTAGAACATTTTTAAAATTTGGAACTTTTTTGTTTTATTTTTTTCAAAAAAAAATCCCTTTTCATCATTTGTCTTCCTAAAAATATTCGTGGTTTTATTCCACTTATCATCCACTTATAAACTAAAAGAAGGTGCTACTATGTGTATAAAGATGTACTACACTACTTTTCATAATTAAAAACTGACATAGTCAGAAGAGTTTTGAAAAGAGGAAAGAATTCATTCATTTTAAAATCTCAACTAAACTTTTGAAAAAATATATTATAAAAATGAAGAAGTGATTCATTTTGATTTGAACAGGAAAAGGAATCATTTTCAATTGATTTTTTATTGAAAAAGTACATATTTTCCTTTCTTGATCTATTTTTCAAATGTTTTTCTCGTTTTCTCTGAGATTTTAGTTGTTTTCTAAACAAAAATTCGTAATGAATAGCCTTTTAAAAAGTCGAAGACCGGATGTAATTCTAAATAATTCATCGAATGGAATTCGACTCCTTTCCATCATCTAAAATAATCCTTCTTCTTCTTCTTCTTCTCTGCTTTATTTTTTACCCTTTTGGTCCTTTTTTCTATATTTTTTCTCGAAATGATTTATTAACTTGTTTCAACAACATGATTTTTTTCTTCATTTTTCGTTTTCTTTCAGCATTTTCTCGATGCGGCGGCGAATTGTGCCGCCTTTGGCTGTATTGCTCATATTATTGAGTATATCTTCTATAGAATCTGGAAATATCCAACCAAGATGGTCATGTTATCATCATTATCTTGCTGGAATTCGAAAATCTGCAGTTCTACCGATTTCAGCTTCTGGCTCTGGATCTGTTTCTAATGTTAAATGTATTTTTGAGAAAAATGGCAATGTTATTACTGAAATACATTCAGCTTTAGAAAATAGTTATCAACCGATGTCGAAGAAATCTGTCAATTATCAGTGAGTGAATTAGAAAATCTAGATTTGTTTTTTTTTTGTTAGAGAGAAAAGCTTTAAAGATTCATTCATTTTGACCCTCTTCATAACTATTGTTTCAGAGTGGCTGATTTGTATCATCTTCGTGAACTCATCGATAAATCGGATTGTTCTCAAAATCTCTCGATTTTTTGGTCAAATCAAACTGAATTTGGACGTGGCTCGATTTCTGTTGTTTCGCTGCTCAATGTAACTACACAACTTGATTTTAATGGTCAACTTCTACAAGAGTATTTGCTCGATGGAAAAATGGCTGGAGTTCGACATATGATTCCGAATCAAGATAATTATGAATTCAATCCTTTTTTGGCTACAACTCGTTTAATTTGCAAACCAAAATCTAAGTGTATTTTCAATGGAGAAATAGAAGGTGATTTGAGTAGTTTGAGTTATTCATTTGCTTTTCGAACTGATCAAACAAATCAAACACTATTCAATTTGAATTCGGAAGATTTGATGACAAATTCAGTGAAATTAGAAAATGATTATTTTATACGAATTGGAAATAATGCACCAGTACCAATTTATCAATTATCTGATTCAAAATGGCATACTGTAGCAGTTCGAATTGGAGATAATGAACAATTTTATTTGAGAATTGACAATTCGGATGAAATTGAGATGAAGATTGAAGGTTCTACAAAGTAAGTTTTTAGTTCTATTTTTTCAAAGACTTAATTTCCAAATTTTCAGAAAAATGAGTCTTTTGATAACTGTAACTGGTGAAATTCAGTTAATTGATCCAGTTGATGCAGAAAGATGTAACAATTCTGAAGATACAACATTCAAATCTGAGTGAGTTTTATTGCAAATAAGATTTTTAATGATAACTGTATATTCAGAACTGTTCGTAGTTCAAATTTGTGTGAAGGTTGTGGATGTGGAATACTTTCTGAAAGATTTGATGGATTAAGTAGATGTTTTGATGATTCAGATGGTTCATTTACAATTCGAAGAGATATTGAACGTCTTTCTTTTCTTCATGTTGATAATGCATTTGATATTAATTTAAGTGGAGCAGCAATTCCAAGTTTATCTGCAACTTTTAAATCAGATTCTGATGCTGGATTAGTTTTATTTGGATATTGGCAAAATTCAAAAATGAAAGGAAGACTTCAAGTTTATTATCATTTTGATTTGATATCAGCTGTTTATTGTGAACATAACAGCGATGAAGAAGAATGTTATGGTTGTTCGATTCGAGATTCAAGTGGTTTTGGAAGAGATCAATGGATACAAACAATATTATGGGGTGGTGGAGAATTGATGTATTTGGGAGTTGATACTAAAATATGCCAATTACAAGCAACATCAAATGTAAGTCTTTCGGATGTTTATTCTGTTCCAAGTTTGACACATGGATCTGGATTATTTATTGGCGGAACTTGGCATGAAAAAAAGAGAAGAGGATTGTATCGAGCAGATGCTGAACAAAAATATTTTGAGAATACACGAGAAAAAGCACCTGTTTTAAGAGTGAGTTCAAATATTTGGGTGAGAAATGAAACAATAATTTATTTGTGGTTTTTTTTAGGGATGTGTCAAAGATGTTTTCGTTCGAGGTACAAAAGTCGATTTGAATTCGATATTTTCAAGTCAAAGAGATTATATGCTAATAGAAACTGCTGATTCGAGTGCATTTGCAGTTAAAGTAAGTTTTTAATGAAAAAAAAACTAATCAGAAAATTTTGGATTGTTACTGAGATTTTTCAAATATTTCTTATTTTCTATTTTCAGCCTGGTTGTTCTGAATGTGAACCAAATTGCGATTCAAATGTTCGTTGTCGATCACGAACTCCTCTTGCAAGTTCGCCATTGATTTGTGATTGTTCCGATGTTTTACAATTCAATAATTCATATGGATTTTGCCAGAAAAAATTGGATGTAAAGCCAGTTGTATTATCTACCAAATTTTTATCACAAAAACAAATAATTGTGGATGTTCAAAATACAAAAGCCGTTTTGAGCAAAGTTTGGTTGAAATTTTCGCTACCAAAAATTATAAATGAGCCACAGATTATTGCTGAATTCAATTCGCATAGAGAAACATTGTAAGTTATTTTTTTGAAGTTTTGATTTTCTAATATAATTCGGAAAATTTAGATTTAATATCAAAGTTGATAATGAAGGAACTGTTCAAGTTCAATTACACGGACAAGAAGATGATCCAAATGCAGCGAGAAAATTATCTTTATTAGATGATCGTGTTCATTTATTGAAATTGGAAAGAAGAACTCCAATTGGAACTAGACATAATGCCAAAAAATACGATTTATATGTGAGTTTTTCTTTATTTTCCTAATTTTTCAAAAAATAGTTTTTTTTAGATTGATGGTTGGCATTCAATTGTATCAGATATTGGAAAATTGAATCTGAATAATATAAGTGTTTTAGCAATAGATGATCAAGATGAATTGAATTCAGTAATTATTCATGATTTCGGATTGGGATATGAATATGATGAACATTTTGCGATTCTTCATTCTTCTAATAATATTCATCAAATTGATATTCATTCAAAAATTTTCTCATATCAATTCCTTCAACCTGATTTATCGAAAACTGGAGTTTTTGATGATTCTCTTTGGGAAACACCAATCGAAGAAAATCAATCAAATCCTTTGGAATCTTCACCTTATGGACAGGTTGTTGATTTCACTGCTGATATTATTGAACCTGAACAATTATGTGAGTTTTTCTGTGTTTTTTTGAAAAATGTTTATAATTTTGTTTCAGTATCTGCTCGGTGGATTTTATACTCACTTTTCTTGACAATTTTATTATGTCTACTCATTTTGATTTGCATTGTTTGTTATGTTTGTCTCATTCGAAAAAGATCGCTTAGTGATGCTGGTTAGTTTTTGAGGGAATTTTTAGAATCAGGGAAGGTTCTATGAGAAATTAAACTGTAAACTTCAAAATGGTAAAATCGATTCATCAACTCAAATGGCGAAAAAATGATATGATTTTGTAAATCGAAACTATTTTTGGAATTATACGAGAATATTTTTCAGGAAATTCCAAATTTCACGTGGCCTTGAATTACTGTAGTTGAAATATTTGATAAAAGTATAAGAAGTCAGAATAAGGGGCATTGAACAGGGAGAAATTATAACAATTTAATTTTGCAGGATCTCAACGTACAATAATGCGAGATAGTCCAGATTATGGTCCAGTCAAACTAAGAACTGGAAGCATTGGTGGTTTATCTCTTGATGATGATACTTCAATTGGAACCGATGATACAGATCTTCAAGCATATCGTGATATTCCTTCACATCGTGTCAAAATCTATCGCGAATCAATGGTTTCAATTCTAGTTCCATCAATCGATCAACCAGCTGAAGCTGCAATTGTTAAAAGGCCATCTTCAAGTGTTTCGGCAGATGCAAAACTATCTGATACTCATGCTCCTTTAGTCAAAGTTAATGACGATTAATTTGATCTTTCAATTTTTTTTTTCATTTTTTGGATTTATTCTTGCACCGGTTTCCATTTTTTCTTCTGTTTTTGAGCTCTGTGCCACTCATTTTATTGTTTTATGCATCTTAAAATACGGGTTTATCTTTGGAAATTGTTATATATAATTTCTTTCTTTACATTCTACATTTTCTCTACATAATAAATTTCAAATTTCAATGTTGAATTACAAGAATACGCAGACAGGTGGAATCTAATTTGATAATTAATTGTTCATCGAATTTTGAAAAAGCAGAAGGTCACAAAATGGAATAAAATGAATTGTTGAATATCGGGGAATCATAAAAATGACTTTTGAAAAATATCAATCTAGAATTTTTACAAGTTCGAAAACATCTGAATTTTTGTTTCATATTTAATTTTTGGGGATCAAGTTGATTTTGCAGTTTTTTTTGAAAAAAAAAGCAGAAAACATTCTCAATTGTGTTTTTTAATTATGTTCTCGAAATTGGCTCTTAAAATGTGGATTACTGTAGGTGAAATAAAAAAAGTTATACGAAATTAGAAATCTTTATTTATAGACAGAAAAGAAAAATATATTTGTTCGTTTTTGAAGTTTAAAATAAAATCGACTTTATTTTCCCCATCCTCCTCCGAACATTCCGCCGCTGAAATAAATCTTTTCATTTTAGAATTTATAATCGAAACAAACCATGGATTATCGCATGGTCGAATATGTGGTCGACAACATCCACCATATCCTCCTCCAAATCCTCCACCAAATCCACCAAAACATCCCGAAACATCAGTGATGAAAAAAGTTGCGCAAATTGCAAGAAGGCACAAAATATAGAATTGCATTGTTGGTTGAATTCGATGAAAGTGTTCAAATTTTTAACATTTTTATACCAAGTTTTTGAATAATGAAAGTTATTCAATTACTTTTAAATTGTAACTATTAAACCAAAAGGCAGATTGAACAGGTTTAAGTGGAAAATGTTAAGCAAACATCAAAATGTTCAATAATTTTATCCAGAAAATAGATGATTTGAATAAATGAAAAATAATACAAACAAAAAATAGTACAAAAAAGTTAGTTCACATAAACTTGAGAGATCTTGCCGCTTTACTAGCTTTTGGCGAAAATGGACGAGGTGCAAGTTGTTTTTGTTGGTGTTGATTTGAAGACGAATTCATCATTGCTGCTTTTTGAGCAATTTCAATTTGTTTCGCTTGTTGTTCTGTTGCTGATTTTGCCGATGATAATTGTTCGCGAACTATTTCAGCAATTGCATCATAATTATTGTCAGTTATTCGAAGATATCTTTTATTCATTACTGTTGCTTCTGACATATAAGCAGGTGCAATTGAACAAAGAAGTTCGAGATGAGTTATAACATCAACTAAAATAAGAAATAGATTGTTTTTTTATTGAATTTTGAAATTGTGAAAACTTACGTCTTGAAGTTGGAATTGTTGAACTGAAAACAAGTTTATCAGCAACAATATCAAGTTCCATTGATTGAGCTTTTTTGGCTGCATAAAGACTGCAAAGTGTTCGCAAATAACGAGAATCCAAAAGAGATAATCGAGATTTTCTGATTTTCAAATTCTCATCGATACAATTTTCAGCCGCCTTTTTACACGCTTCTCTTGCTCGTATTCTTTCCAACAAAGACATTGCTCCTTTACTTTTTTGTTCTGCTTGCATTTCGGCGAATTTTTTGGGTGAAAGTGGAACTGAACCAGATGTTACTTTTTTGACAGGAGATTTTAGATCATCGAGAGCTTTTTGTACAATTGATGGCAATTCGACTTCTTTTGGTTCAAGATTTGCATCCATATATTCACGCATTCCAATATGTTTATTATTTTTAACAATTGGAGGTTCTGGTAATGGTTTTTGTTCGAGAGGAGGACAATGCTTGTCAGCTTGGAAAAGTGGATGAAAACGAATTATATCATCAGATGGTTCAACTGAAAAAAACAAAGTATATATTATTTTACACGCTATATGAAAACATTCACTTACTTCCTTGAGATTTCAAAAATTGACAATGATGATTTCTGACAACTTCAGTTAATTTATGTCGGAAAATATGTGATCGATCTCTCATTCTTGCAGCATCTAATCGAATTCTTCCATCAATTTCAGCTTTTCTCAATGCTGGTTGAGCCATATTTTTTCTTGGGCTTTTAATAGGAGATGCCATTAATTTTCCGGGTTTTACAAGTGGAATTTCTTCATCATTTGTTGTCGAATGTATTTCTTGTTTAATAAAACCTTTTAGATCATCGACAAGATTTGGGCGAACTTCGAGTTCATATTTTCCAGCTTGAACACCGCCAAAAGCTTTCCATTGTTCTCTCATTTCAACTTGATAAGATTGTGGATAAACATGAAGAATTTGTGATAAATGGCGAGAACAAAAATCCCTTTGAAGTGTGTTTTTGATATTTTTGAATAATTCAGGTGCAACACAACTTCTATGTTGACTGTTGATGATTGAAACTATCTGAATAAAAACACACATGACAAGAATTTAAAAAAAAACATTTGCTTACTCTATCAACATGTTGAAATGCGTTTGCCAAAAACTCATAACTTTTTGGAAGTTCGATATTCGATTTCACACTTTCCTTTACTTTCTCAATAAGCTTCGAAGTTTTCAAAAACTCTTCGGTTCTCTTTTTTGCTTCTGCTTCGAATTTACTGTCAGCTTCTTCTAATAATTTCTCTGGAGATTTGAAAGAATTCGCATTTGGTAAAACATAATCTGGAACAGCGGTGTCTTTCAACAGACTTCTAACAGCTTTTGATTTGGGAATCGGTCCATCCGAAATCACTTTTTTCACTGGCGACTTCAATACTTCAGCATGTTCTTCGACCTTTAATTTAAAAAAATATTGAAACTAGTTTCTTTATCCGAATAATTACCTTTTTTCCTTTATTCTTCAAATTTTGCTCATGAATTGCTTTTGAAGCTCCTTTTTCAGCAAGTCTTGCTTGCAAATCAGCAACAGTTCGAATAGTTTTCTTCTTTTTCTGAGCAGCCGCCGCATTCATCAAACTATCCAAGGCTGAAACTGTTCCATTATCCAAAACTATTGATTTTTCTTTTTCCTCGAGTACTGGAGCAGGTTCCTTAATTGAACAATTTGCATACTTTAAACCAAAGTATCAAAAAAAAACTAACCTCTCTTGCTCTTTTAGGTGGAGTTCCAGACAAATCTTGTGGAAGAGCTTGTCGAGTTGGAGTACGATTTCTAGTTCTTGACTGTGTTTCTTCATTTTTGACAATTTTTGGAGTTTCATCGATCAAATTTTTTCTCACCCCTGGTTCTTGGTTTTCGTGTTGTCTGAAAAATAACTCAAACTTTATGGAAAAGAAAAATTGATAAATACCTTAAAATAGTCCTTGACGAGTTTTTGAGCTTCTTCGCCACTTTTAGCAGCCCTCGATCTTGTTGCTCTTGTCGACATTTTGATTATTTACAGAAATATATAATTTGAACGCAAAACAAAAAATCAAACAGCCGCGTCCGTTTTCTCGTTTCCCGCATTTTTTAATTGTTCACAATAGAGCGCGTTTGATCGATCTGACTGTTTTTGGTCTCATTTTTTGTGTGTTCTCTCTCTTCAAATTTTCAATTTTTTTCATTCGATAATAATAGATCAAAATTAGAAAATGAATATCCTATTTTTCATCAGAAATAAACACGTCAGATATTTTGACACGTGAGATTCAGTTTTTCCACATTTTCATTTGAAAATAATTACCTTTTTTCGTCACAAACGAGAAGTTTAAAATTTTCTGTTTTTTGAACATAGAACTAAATTCAATAAATATGTCATTTATAATTTGTAAATATATAAAATTATTTATTGAAAAATATGAAAGAGATCGAAATAAAACACATTATTTTTGGATTTTAACTTTTGGTGGTTTGAAAGCAGCTCCTCTCAATGTCTTTCCTTTTTCTTCTTTCTTTGCTTTCTTAGCTTGAAAATTTCTCCAACTTCCACTTCTTTCATCTCTCGATTCTTCGTAATTTTTCGCAAATTCTTCGGCCAATTTTCTTTTTTCTGCAGCCTGTGTCAACAATTCAGTAGCCCTTCGTCTGAAAAAATAACATTTTTTCGAAAATTTATTTACAATTAGAAAAAAATGTAAATCCTTACTTTTTCTTCATCAGCTCGATCTGCAAGCATCTTTCTCTTTTTCTCTCGATCAGCAAAAACTTTACAAACTGTAACCCACAAAGCTTTTCTGAATCCAGCTGGATCATCTTCTTCAATTATATCTTCTTTTCCCTCTTTTCGAAGTTTACGTTTTTTCTCAGCCATCTTTAATAATTTTAAAATTAGAAAATACATGATAAATTGTTAAACTTACAACAATATTCAACCTTGCTCTTGCTTCTGTATAACAATCTTTGCATCTGTTAACTTCGACAGGATCTTCAATTTGTTTCAATGCTTTTTTGATAACTGAAAATTTAATGTATATATTAAAACCCCAAGGTCAAAAAACTAACTATCAAATGCTTTATCAGCTCTTTCCCGATCATCCGGATTTTTATCTGGATGCACCAAAAGTGATAATTTTTTATACTTCTTTTTGGCAACTTCGATATCTGTTTCAGGATCAATTTGTAGAACTTCGAATGGATTGAGATTCAAATAAGTTGATCCTGGTTTCAATAATCGTTCAATTTGTTGTTCTGATGTGAGAACTGCGTCTGCATTTTCAGTGTTTTTCAAATCTTGATAAAATGAATCGAAAACCGACATAACTGAAAAATAAAACTCTGTTCATGATTTATAATCAAAAATTTTAAGAAAAATATCTAAATATTACAGTGTAGAAACGACACTGGAATTGATAAAAGTCAAAAATTTCGGAACAATAATTATATACATATTTATTAGTAATATTCGAATTTCAATTTATCTAAATGACTTTCTAATTCTTCCAATGGCGGATTTAATTTGAACTTTAAAGCAGAACATAAAGGCAACTCGTATGATAAAATGTCACTTCTTGATTCTCTTAATTGATTTTCAGCATTTTCAATATATTCTAATATTGTTGTTTTACTATAATCATTTAATTTCATGGCAACTAAAAGACTTGCTCCAGCAACACATTTTCGATTATCTTTTGAAATAAGTCCTTGTGTTATTATTTTCTCAAAATAAACATATGCAATTGCAAGAGTATGATAATCAACAAAATGCAATTTTGCTAATTGAAGCATTTCTCGTTTGATACTTTTCAGTTTACTCAAAGTCAGATGGATATATGGATATTTTGAAGCGAAATCCTCATTTATCGCTGTTTTTGTTCGTTCACTTGGTGTCAAATGAATAGTACTTGCCTGAAAAAATTAGGAAAATCAATAAACTGGAAAAATACTTACAATAAAGAAATTAAGCCGAATAACAGTTCGTTTTCCTTTTGCCAAATCATCAAATGCTTTTGGATCATAATATTCATCTTCATCATTTTCTTCAATTCGATTCATTATATCTTCATATTTTTCTTCCAAAGATGCGCCTTTTTCACTACACGAATCTCGATTGAAAATTGATTGTGGAATATCAATACTACCCGGATAAATATCTTCCGATAATTCACCTCGAAAACTTTCTTTTCTATCCCGAGCTGATCTTGGTTTATCATAAAGAGTGAAAAATGGAGAAGGATTTCGCTTTTTTCGATTTATTATCAAACTGATATAATCTTCAGCTTCACGAAAAATATATGGACGAAGTTCTTCAAATGACTGATGATGACGAATTCGATCAGCACTAAAATTTGAATTTTAATAGACTATTAATCGAGTTTTGTGTGTTATTAACCTTCCGAAAATCGATTTTGAACGTTTAAATTTACCACGAAACATATTATTACCAAAAGACGACGACAAAGGATCACCATATTCACTACCAAATGGTATATAAGAAAATATTGCCATAGGCAAATCTGTTTGTTCACTGCACACATACCATCTAAATGTGAATCAGATTAATTAGGGAATCACGACAAAAAGTAATTAATAAAGAAATTCCATGAAACTAACCTATCAACATGAGTGATTGTACTTTTGAGCCGTTTCAAAAAACTGAATTGATTTGATTGTAAAGTAGGAGAATCTGGTGGTACTTCAATTAATTCAAAAATTTCTTCTCGTGATACTTTTTCTTCTAAAATTGGTGCTCGATTTGAAGACGATGTCATTGTATGAATAACATCATCTGAACTGACAATCTTTGCAAGTCGTCGGAAAATTGATTGTCTGAAATTTTTTGTTTTGGAATATGAAATTGAAAACTCAGAACTATACTTTTTTTGAGGCGTATCTCTGTGTATCTTGTGATCGTCATTAACTTCTTGATGAATGCTCTAAAATAGAAAATATCAATTTATTTAATATACAATATAATAATACTCACTGTACTAGTTGTTCCAATTGAAAGTACAGATTCATTATTTTTCAATGTTGGACTACTTACATCGCGCAATATTTTCTTTTCCTAAAATAGAATTGGACAGTGGGCGATGAACAGAAAAAATCTTACCTTTGTAAGTCCTTTTGTCAAAAAAATATGCAAGTTTGTATCGTTGTGACTTCCATCAATGCTTATATTCGATAGGAAGTTTTGAGCAACAAGAAGATGGTAATCGTTTTTCTTTTTCACCATTTGAAATCGAGATTTCCTTTTTTATAGAATCAACACGACGGAAACATGTCAAAAGCTATGAAAGCCGAAAAAACTCAGCATCTCCTGGCGTATACTTTTTGCACGACAACGTACGCTTTTCCTACACTCTTTCTACGCTTTTTGTACACTTGCCACTTTTCGCGAGAGTAGCTACATTGTAGAACCGCGTTGCAAGCTTGTTGCGTTGCGGCTATTATTTTATTTTTGTTTTCTATTTTCTTTTTGGCCTAAAATTCTTTTGAAACGTATAAATCAGGTATCATGATAGTCAAATTGTATCTGCGTGGATTCTAGAAGTTGAGTATGATTATTGAAGCTATCAAACAACTTTTTCGTCAAAAGAAATATCGTATTTTCAAGAAAAATCTTGAAATAATAATTTTGAAAAATTCGAAATTTTCTCCAATGAGACTTTGCGAATCAGAGTTTACCGATAATTATCATTCTTCTTATTCTCGTTATTAATGTTATCACACCTGAATTTGATTTCAATTTGATGAATTTCAGATCAGCATTCCATCAACTCCTAGAACTTGCATCAGCTGCAGCAAAAAGGAAAGAGAAGCTTCACGGGAGGCATCTTCGAGGAAATGATTTGAAAGGTGAGTATAACTTAAGTACTAGAAAGACTAGGAATTCGGAACCCTCTGGCTGATCGCCTATCAAAAAGTAGGTGATCTGAAGTTATCAGATCATTTCGTGGAGATACATCTTATAATTATGAAAGTTATGGGACTTGGGATATTTATTAATATCTAGAAAATTAAACACCATCCTATTTTTCAGCGTGACTCTTGATGCGCCACCTACTCTACGTCGAATTCGAATGCTAACATCGGGACCTACCGAAGAACTCACAGAATAGCAGTCAAGCCCTATCAAAATCGAGGTAAAGATGCTCCATCACCCGACTTCTCGCCCTCAACCTCGGCTTCTACCACAACACACCCTCAACAACCAACACATTCTCAACAAACCTTCGAAAAAATTAATTTTCTAAATTTTTATTATGTTTTGAAGATTTTTGATATATTATTGATTTCATGTTATGAAAGTATATTGATCCATAAATGATTTGTTATATTTTCTAGTTTTAGTCTCTCCTAAATCGCAGCGCAAAAAGAAAAAAATCGATTCGAAATTCGGTGTACGGTATTCGTTCAAAAAAAGGAAAAGTGTAGGATCTTTGTAGACGTTTTTGCAGCTTGTGTGTACGATGTGTGTAGCATGCGTCATATAACAATGTAGCTACACTTTTCGTTCGCAATAGTGTACGCCAGGGGATGCTGAGTAAAAGAAAATATACTGGATTACGGTGGCGTTCGTTTCGTGCACAAATAAGAAATGTTCGATGCAAACTACGCAAACACGGCGACGCACAATTGCACAATAGCCGTTTCGAAAATTTCCATTTTTCTTTCTCTGTGTTCTTTTGTTTTGTGTTTCCTTTAAAGGAACAATTGTTTCCAGGCAAATCCACTAGCTAAAATTAAAATAAAAACATTCAAAATAAAGTTGTTTTCAGAATGAGCAAAACCCACCCACCAGAGTTGAAGAAATATATGGATAAAGAGATGGAATTGAAATTGAATGGAAATCGGCGTGTTTCGGGAGTTCTTCGCGGGTTTGATCCATTCATGAACATGGTGATTGATGTGAGTTAAAAATAAAATATCTGTTCGATTCCTGAATTTCTAACATTTTCGGTCCGAAAGGGCAGGCTCATACGTGTCATAACAAAACAGTTTTATTTCAGGAAGCCGTCGAACACCCGAAAAATGGCGATCCAATCAACCTTGGAATGACAGTTATTCGTGGTAACTCCGTTGTTATTATGGAACCCAAAGAAAGGATTTGACATCCTCTGTAATTTATCAATTTTGTTACATTTTTCATTTATCCTGAATAAATTTGGATCTCTTGTGCTATTTTTTGAACTACCTGGTCGGTAAAAACTCCACTTTTATTTACATTGTTCGCGTTGATCGTGTTTTTCAGACTGACAGAAATGCATCATCGGAATTTGTTTTGATCTACGTTTCACGCATTTTTGATTTTAACGCGAAATATTTTTGATATTTTCAATTCCGCCAAAAAAAAACAATTGACGTTGATTTTTTTCCTGCATTCAGTCCACTATTCTCATTATTTTCATCGTACGTAATTCAGATACGAATTTTTACCCGTAACTAATTGAGATTTTCTTCAGCCCCATACGAATAATAATGATGATGATAGAAGTTGTAATTATCAGCTCGTAGTCGATTTCTCTCTCTCTTTCTATCATGATTTTTCAATATGAACGCTAGGCTTTTCACTCAAATAATCGATTCATGTGAATAGCATGTGAGGTTAGAACAACAAAATAATTTCTGTTTTTGTTCAGCCGATTGATAATCAATTCAATTCATTTTGGTTGGCCATTTAATGTTTTTTTTAAAGTAAACACAACTTCGAAATTTTTTCGATTAGATTGTTCTCGAAAAAATGTAGTCAGTAAAATTAGATTTATTCTCTCGGGTGAACACATTTTCCATCCAATTTTAATAAAACCCTTCGCCTTTTTCACTTCATCATTTTACTTCCTCTTGCTTCGTTTTTTCAGCTTTTCTATTCGAATTCTAGCTGTTTACCCCTTGTGCATTTTCTTTCTTTTTCTTTCCTCTCTATCTCATACATACGCACATATATAACAAAAATAAAAAACATGAAAGTGATGGAAAGAGAGAAAGAGTCTTGTTTGTGGAAAAAACGAAGAGTGTGCGTTTGTATTTTTCTTATTTTCTTCTCGTTATCTTTTTCGTTCTATCTGTTTTTTTTTGTCTTCAAACTTCTTTTCATCTACAAGCTTTGTTGCGATTATCTCGAATATATACTATGACAGAACAACATTTAGTTTTGTTAAATACTCATTTGAATAGTGTTTTTGGCGCCAAAAATAAGGACGCCGCGCGCATTGTTTTGTCGATTTTCCCTCTTCTTTCTCTCCGGCTGGTTCTTTTTTATGTTTCTTCCAAACGACAGGCATCACAAAGTACTTTTCATACGTTTTTTTCAATCGCTCAGAAGTTTTCGGAAAGTTATCAATCTTTATCTATTATTGTTCCAAATAGAACTTTGTACTAATTTCTCAAAACATCTCACGCTGTCAAGAGATAATTTTTTGAACGTCGTATCAGAATTATAAACGACATGATAAATATGTAAATTTGAGTTTTATAGTTATTTTCAGCCAGTTCAATCAAGGTATTTTTTTAAACATGAGAGTAATCACGATTAATCAAGATTCCTACATAAATTCAAATTCTGAAAGTTTTGATTTATTGACCTTCAAAAATATGTTCAAGATTAATTTTCTAGATAAATTTTTTTCCGCCACAAAAAACGAATGAATTTTTGAGCGGCCGCACTAACTTGCGTTTTTTCTTTATGTGTAATACTTGACGAATCATTTGCACAATTTATCACCCACCGAACTTTTCCCTGTTTACAACTTTGCGTCGGAAAGATTCTTTGATCCATTTTTAGTCATTCATTTTCAAACGTGGGAAAAAGAGATACGCATTTCGTTTTTTCAACACTTTCGAAGTGTTTTCAAAAAGTTTCGCAATACAATTTAGTTATATTACGTTTCTTTACTTTTTGTTTATATTTTTCAGTGGAAGAAATTTCAGTTGTTTTTTCCTCGAAACTTGATACTTTACACAAGTCTCAATGATTCTTTAGAAATAAGGTTGTCTTTGTACTTTTTCAAAATATATTAAAATATTGACGAACGACCAGTTTTAAAGTGCAAATGCGATTATTTTCAAATTTGTATCGATTGAATTTCGTGACGAATCTCATAAAATCATATTTCTCCGTTTTTTCGTTCCTCTTATAAATATTGATAAATAGTCATAAATCGTTAAAAAATGATTCATTTCATTGTTGTCCATTTCTTCTCGTCTGTTATTCTTCATGCAAATCAATAAAGTATATTGAATTTTTTTCAGAATGCCAGTCCCACCTCAAGTTCAAAAAGCTTTGGATGACTTTGACAAGCAATTGCAACAACCAGGTCCATTGACCAATGTTTTGGCTACCGTCGAACAAAAAACTGGAGTCAAAAGATTGCATTTGGTTCTCGGAGTTTTGGGTCTTCAAGCTCTTTATTTGATCTTCGGACACTCAGCTCAATTACTTTGTAACTTCATGGGATTTGTCTATCCAGCTTATATGAGGTTTGTCAATTTTTGTCTATAAAACCTAATTTGTCCTATATTTTGCAGTATCCGAGCCATCGAATCATCAAATAAAGACGATGACACTCAATGGTTAACTTATTGGGTTGTTTTTGCGATTTTCTCAGTTTTGGAATTCTTCTCGGTTCAAATTGTCGCAGTTTTCCCAATTTATTGGCTTTTTAAGTCACTTTTCCTTCTCTTCCTTTATTTGCCAGCATTCCGTGGAGCCACCAAGCTTTATCACAGGTAAATTATTCGAAATTTGAGAACATTTAAATATAAGTACATTTTTAGATTCATCCAACCATTTGCTGCCAAACACGGACAATCAATTGATGCTCGCTTGGGAAATGTTGCCGATAAAGTCAACAATGGTAAGCTATTTGGAAATGTTATAAAAATATAAATTATTATATGTATGTATTTTCAGCCGCCAACAAACTTGTCAATGAAGTTCGCGATCATCTCGAATAAATTTCTCGGTGTCCTTTTTTCATAATTTGCATCACACTTTTTCCACATTTTTTCGGTATTGTTTACCTCTTTTAGATTTTTCTTTTCTTTTCGGAACCCTTTTATTTATGCCATTTTGACCAAATAGACATAATAAAAAATTTCAAAAAAAAAATTTTGGAAAATGGCAGAATCGTGTTTGTTTCTCGTAGTTTATTTGAAAAATATAAATTTGAAATATATATTTATGGAAGAAAAACAAGAAGGAGGATGGATGAATACAAAGAATTGATTGGAGTTTTGCCATTGAGCACAATTGATTATGCATTTGCATACGGATCAGGTTGGTTTTGAAAAAATTTAAAAATTAAGAATTTGTTGTTTTTTCAAAATTTTATTGTCAAAAATTATTTGGAAACTTCTGAAAATTTGATAGTTGCAGATTAAATTTTTTCTGAGGAATTGGGCGGTTCACTCCGCATTTATTATCATAGTGTAATTCTCAAACCAATCGAATTCTGGAATTTAATTTAATGAATCCACGTATCTTTTGATAATGTATTCCAAAAAATATAATGAACGTTTTCAACAGAAAATAAATTAGGAAATAAACAAAGATTCCAAAGTTCTAATGAAAAAGTGGTTTCTGTTTTGTTTTTTAAAATTTCCTGATTGGAATTTTATATTATAATATAAAACTCGACTCATAATCTTCAAAATGTTTCAGGAGCAATTCAACAAAAAAATGAGAATAAATCCGAAAAAATGGTCGATTTTATTGTTGTCACCAATGATGCCAAACAATTCCACGCTGAAAATTCGCAGAAAAATCCATCGCATTATAGTTTATTGAGGTTTGATAATTTTTTCAGCTCTACTGAATTATCCCAATTTCTCAATTTATATTTTACAGATTGATTGGTCCAAGTTTGCTGGAAAAAATACAATGTAATTGGGCTGCTCGGGTTTATTATAATACTCATGTGAATGTTGGAAAACGAAAAATCAAATACGGTGTTATTTCATATGAAAATGCAAAACAAGATCTTCTTGATTGGCGATGGATTTATATTGCTGGAAGATTGCATAAACCAGTGTTAGATGTGAGTTTCAGTTTTTTTTCTGAAAATTAAATTATTTCAAAGTTTCTTATCAGAAAACGTTCAGGTAATTGGACCCGACGAGAAAATGAGTGATTTAGTTCTCGAAAATCGTCGATCTGCTCTTCATGCTTCACTTTTGTTATTACCAGATTCTTTCAATATGAAACAATTATTTTCTCAAATTGTTGGATTATCTTATACTGGAGATTTTCGAATGGTTGTTGGTGAAGACAGAAATAAGGTTGGTTTATTTTATTTTTGGAATTTTGAAGGAAATTTTTACGATTTTTTCAGATTTCAAAAATTGTTGAAGGAAATTATGAAGAATTATTGCGAGTTTACGAACCTTTAATGGCTGAAGATGCTCGATTATCTGTTATCAATCATTCTAAGGTAAATTTATTTTTTTTTAAATTTGGCTGAAAATATCTAGTCAAAAATGCGGGAAGCTACAGTAATTTGCATAAAGGTTTAGTTAGCTACATATTTTCATAACTTTTCCGAATCTTGAGATTAGAAATTCATTTTTTTTTCCTAAAATTTTTGATTTTTAGAGCTCTATATTTTTTTTGTGAAAAGTTTTCATCAGGAATTAAATATCCGTATTGCGCAAACTCCCCAATTTCAATTTATTTTCACCGATCAAAATTAATTGTTTTGCAGATAATTCAAGATGGTGGAACTGCTGCAATATATCATCGTCTGAATTTATTGCCATCTGAAGTTCTTCAACAAGTTCAGCGAAAAATGAATCGACAACAAAAAAGGCAACGAGATACGGAAGAGGTTTGATTGACATTTTTATACTAAATATTGCATAATAATTAGGAATTTCAATTCCTAAGGGGAAAGAATTTGACATATCACAGACATAGGATAAGACATAGGATAAAAAGGCGGCTTTTGGAAATTTTGAATTTCCTAATAAGAATTTTCCCGGAAAACTAGAGTAAATTGCTATAAAAATCTCCGGATTACTGTAGCATTTTGTAGGTGATATTTGCATTGGCCCATCGACATGACGTGGCTGATACAGTTTCATCTGCAATTGGCTCAATTATACGACCAGTTTCAATATCTCAAACAGCAAAAAATGCACTTTCAGCCGGTGTTACACGATCAATTGTGTATAGCATGGCTAAAATGAGCAAATTTTTGAAATCAAAATAGTTTTATTGTTGGTAATTTCACTTTTACATATTTTTAGTTTCAAATTTTTATTATTATCATTTTCATAAAATTTATTAGATACACAACCTGAAAAAATACCTCGTATTGACTAAAGTTTGGGGGTGAAAAACATGAAATATTACATGGCAAGTTATGGAGGAAAAAGGAGGAGAAATACACCAGTTTGAAATACCGGAAAGAACAATAAAAAAGGAAATTCTATACAATAATTGATCATAATCGAGTTATTGGTGGTCCTTTTGGAACTAAATATGGATCATGAGCAACTAATGTTGGAATACATGGACTTGGAACATGAGTTGGGCGTGGAAGGGTTAAACGTGGTGGGGGTGGATGAGATGGTGGAGGATGACGTGGCATTAAAGCAGAAGTTGGAGATTCGTAAGCAGAATCACGTGAATCTTCAGATGACATTGTATATGGAGAATGACAATCAAATGAATATTCTTTGTGAGATGAAAGAGCAGCAATTAATTGATCATTATAAAATGCTCGATTCTTGTTGGGTTTTATCGATGGTTTTTTGCACGCGAGAGCCAAAATAATTAAAGCGAGAAGAAGGATAAAAAGAGCAAGAAGGAATGGAATAAGAAGACCACCAAAAAGTGTGCATTGAGAAAGATCCGAAAGAGGAGCACCTGCAAAAAAAACAATGAATATTTAAATGGAAAAAACATCGAAAAGACAAATAAAACACAAACCAATTAGATTTTCCGGTCCAACACATTTTGCACCATCTGTCGAACGCAATTCAACTGATCTTAAATCACATCCACAATTCCATTGATTATTTTTCAAAAGTAGTTTTTTGATCAAATGCCATTGAACAAGATCTTTTGAAACAGTTCGAAGATCATTGTTTGAAAGATCAAAATAAGATAAGGGAGGAGATGGATTGAAAGCTGATGGATGAAAATAATTTAGAGCAGAAAAAGAAATTGAAAGCCAATGGAGTGATGATAATTGAACAAATGATGCCATCTGTAATTAAATTTACATTTTATTTTTTCTGTTTTTCAGAGAAAAATCCTTTTTCTTACCTGAATTGATTTGAGATTTCGAGACATTGAAATATTCAAATATTCCAATTTTGGAAGTCCATCAAATGAAGCAGTTTCAAGTGAAACAAAAAGATTTGAAGACAAATCAAGAATTTTCAAAGATGGAAGATTCCACGTGTTTCCTGGTAATCTAACTAATTGATTTGCAGTCAAATTAAGTTTCTCTAATTTCTCAAGTCCATACAATGCTCCTTCTTCAATATCTCCAATTAAATTCTCGCTGAGATCTAAAGATTTCAGATGTGTTTGAGCCAAAAACATTCCAGTGTCTAGCTGAAAAATATATTTGATTTATTTATTGCAATAAGAATATTTTTGGAGAACTTACATTTGAAATCAAATTTTGATGTAATTTCAATGAATGAAGTCCGGGAAGACTTGAAAGAATTGAAGCAGGCATTATTAGAAGTTTGTTTGCCGAAAGATCGAGATTTCGAAGATTTTTCAATGGCCGCAAAACAGATGGTGGAAGAAAACTCAAACGGTTGTCAGCAATTACAAGTGTTTCAAGATTTTCCAAACCAGAAAAACATTCGGGATTTAATTGAACATCATTTGAAGTCATAATCAGTGTCTGAAAAATTGAAAATTGTTTATTTGTTGTTTTTTTGAAAATTGTTTTTCATCCACCCATTTCTCGCCTGAATAGTAATAATAATAACAAACAAGCATAGATAATTAATAATTAGCTAGCTAGTGCGTTACAAATTGGATTAAATTAGCCTAACTAAATAAGATTTTGGTTGTTATTCTTCCTTTCCGAACCCTAGAATTATCCCATTGATTCGATTCTTTCCTTTTTTGCATTTTTTCGACTTGTCAATCAAAATGTGTGAGAAAGAAAGAAAGAAACAATGAACATCTGCAATAGAAAATAAAAAGGCAGATGTCAGAATATCTATCACCTTCTTATTAACATGTGTGTCAGTATTTATGTTAAATAGGTAATCTATAAATGTGCAGTGTTTTGAAAGGTTTTCTGATCTTTCATTATTCACACAGAAGGCCGGCGGTTCGAGCCCGCCCGAGATCAGAGTAATTTTTGTTTTTTTTTCAAACAAACCTTCAAGTTTTTTAATTTCTCGAAAACATTATTCGGTAATGAAAGAAGATTGTTTGATGAAATATCCAATAGACGTAATGAGTTCAATGAGCTGAAAACATCCGGTGAGAGATGTGCAATCGAGTTGTTGCGCAAAATCAATTGTTCCAAATCTGCAATACGATACTTTTTTTTCAAAAAAAACCTAGCTAGGTGTATAATTATTGTATTAAATCATGAACGCAGGTGTTTTTTCATTCCATTTTATGGAAGAGGGCTAAGCCATAAATTACAGTCAGGATTACGGACGGTATAATTATTATTTTTTATGTATTCGGATGCTCGAGATTGCGCAATTCGAAATTTGAACTGTGATCTATAGAAAGTGTGTCTTTTCTGACCACTAATATATTTCTGTTCAAAAATAATAAAATAAAATCAAGTACTTATAGAAACATTGCGAATTATCTAACCATCCATTAACCGCAAAAAGGTCAGAAAACAAAAGAGTTACAATTTTCTAACAGGTGCAAAGAGTATTAAAACGTTGCGCAACAGCGGCGTTTTTTCTCTTTATTCCGCTCATAAGTAACACCTTTTTTATTTCCTAAATCCGTAATTTTTATTCGAACGCCCTTGACCACACAAAATCCGTAGTCAAGTGTTGATTAAGAAAATGACAATACAAATTAGAATAATAATGAAACAGAATAAAAAGATGAATGCGAGGATTGACACAACTTTTTTGTTTATTGTAGTTACTCTTTTAACCACTTAAAATCGACATATGGAGAAAAAAGAGAATAGATTGACGACATCTCATACATTTCTAATTTATTTCCTGTGGTCACATTATGCTTATTCAATTAGAAGAATCTTTAAAAAATTTAAAATGTTATCTGGAGGTATGGGGAATCGAACCCCAGACTTCTCGCATGCAAAGCGAGCGCTCTACCCCTGAGCTATACCCCCACACGTGAATTCATGTATTTTCATATTATTTATTATTTATATGTCAATTTTCCAATTAGTCGTTATCTACCTAACACAATCTTGACACGTGTTAGATAAAATCTAATAATTCATTCAGTTGCTCGAACAACTACTTTTTTCTAAACGAATATTCATATTTACATGAATACACAAACCAATTCGAACCAACCCTGTTTATCTATTCAAGTGCACACATATACAAATTCTCAATTCCAAGTGGATAATGGAATTTTGAAGAGAAAAAGAAGAATTGAAATGAATGTTCGAAACTAATTCAATTCCCATGCTCAAGTACGCGGTGCAAAATGTCCTCATGGGACGAACCGATATTTTAACAAGATAAATTCATTTTATTTTGTTCTAATAAGTCGGATTCTCTTTGATCGTCTTTTTATTGTTTTATTATTATTAATAGATTGAGCACAACAACAACAACAAGTGAATTATGAATTATTCCCTTGAGAAAATTAAAGAAAAGAAAACTTACTTGGATAAAGACTCAATTCATCGGTTGATAAACGAGATATTCGATTGTCTGATAAATCCAAAATTGTGGTTCTTGGATCAAGAAGAATTGGAATTGATCGATGAGATGCTCCTAAAAACATAAGTTTCTCACAGGATTTTTCGTTTTTTTTTGCTCTCGACAAAGTCAGTATGCTAATTTTGAAGAGGGATTAGTTGTGGATTACCACAAAATTAGTTTTTTGTGGTTTGAAAAAAACGAATGTTCTCACGAAAAATTGGGTGACTGTTTTATTCCTTTTTCCGCTTTTCGAAAAAAGTTTGGGATGGGAATTCAAACAAAAAAGTGAATATTCCAAGCAACATTATACATAGCAGATTCTTTTTAAAATTCAAGAGGTCCCACAAAAAGATCTCAACAACCCATAAATCTTAATCTCACAAAGAAGCGGGCGGTATCGTAAAAAACAAGCTCTCGTGTTGTTTTGTAACAACTCATTGTAAATATACACTTCCTCTCCCCCCGTTTTTTCCCTTGTCACATTTAATGTGAGAAAATGCCTTACCTCTGCAAATAGCCGACATAGTTTTTGAATTACATTCACAACCATTTTGGCACGCTCGACATATTTGAAACAGTAGAAAAAGGCGCCAGATTGCGCCGAGAAACATTGTTCTGCAAAAAAGGAAAATTTGAATGTGATGGGGTGAAGTGCAACTATTTGTGGAAAGAAAAACGAAAAAAAGATCCGGAAGAATTTCTCTAGGGAAACAGAAAAATGGAAGAATCTTGATAAAGAGTGTTCGAAACTTTTGGGGTTAAATTATAGGGTGCGAAACTCGTATTTTGTATTTGCCATATATGAAATGGGTTCGAGTGTTGAGAAAAAAGTTCTCAAATTCAAGAGGATGCTTGATTTCTCAGTGATTACAAAATGGTAATCCGATAATTTCCAAACATTAAAGTAAGTCTACAAAACAACAGTAATTCTGAAACATTTTTTCCAAAATATATTGGAAGAATAAAAAAAAACTTATTCGAGAATTTGGAAGAAATCTAAAACAAGAGACATTTTTTTGGTTAAATCTTGGTTTCGTGATATAAAATGGTCCAAAAGAGATATAAAAAAGCATAAAAATAATCTATTTTTCGTAGTAAAAACCCGAAAAACAATAATAAAAAGAATAACCAATGAATCCTCGAAGAAAAATATTATCGTAAAATAATCAACAAAACAATAAAATTTTCACGATTTTTTCCGATCTCATAAAAAGTACATTTTTATTACAACTGAATAATTATTAAAAATAGATAGACAGTCCTCGCCCGAAAAACATGCATAAACCAAAAAAAAGAAGGGGGCCCATAAGAACGAGGAAGACGACAAGATGTAACGGGAAGATAAATGGGGAGGAGTCTGGACTCCGCCTATTTTTTCAGGAATAGTAGATGTGTTGCTGCGTTTCGCATTGGTGTGAATTGGGTGTTTTTCAAAAAAGAAAAGAGACAGATGATTGAGTAATTAATTAATATTTATTTCGAACTGTCACACAGATTTTTTGGGTTCAACTAACTAATTAAGATTTTTAGCTCCCTAAGGAATTCATAAGAAATGTATATATAGAACGATTCTGATTTTTGCGGTAACATTGTCTTTTGGGAGAAGCAATTTATCTTTTTCCGCATTTTTGTCTCAAGAATAGAATATGTCAAAACTTTTGAACAGAACAGCGAAATGAATTTCTTTGTTGTTTACTAAAAATGTTGAAAACCCACATAAAGTTTCATGTTTCTTGGAAGAGTAAACTTCTGGCAAACAAGATTTCAAAAACATCTTGAAAATGTAAATATAAAGAAAGAAGAAACAATGAATAGAGTGACATTTTGTTATTTTTCAACTACCGGAAAAAAGCCGAAATCGAGCCGAGCTGTCAAAAAAAAACGAAATTGCGGCAAATACAGTAGAAGAGCAAAACAATGCACATGTTTGCTCATCTTGCGAAAAACTACTTGAAAATTCAAAAAAATGTCAATTTTTATTTTATTTCAATTCGATATATCTACCTCCCTATTTTCTCACATTGAAAACAAAATTCGGAAACAAGGGGTCATTTTATTCTTGTTCAAAAGAACCTTGGTTTGATTGATAGTTTAGTTAAATACAAGAAAATACATGGATTACTGTATTTATAATTGGAAAAAGGACATGTTGCCAATTGAGAATTGAACAATGAAAAAAAAACAAGAAGAAGAAGAAGAACGGCTGGTGGATAAATAATAATTGGGTCACAAAAAATGAGGATAATAATGAGGATAGTAGTAACAATAATTGTTATTGGTACTTCTATTATTATTTATCGGAAAGATGCTCTTTTTTGAAATTTATGAGTTGTTATAAAATTATTTTCATCTTTAAAAAAAACTGAGAAGAGTTTTAGTGAAATGGGGTAGAACTCATAGTAAGGGAGTCATTGAGCTGAAGTTGGGAAGGGGGTCATATTTCAAAATTAAGGTTTTGGACAAAACTTGGTTTTTGGGAAAAACATTTGTTAATTTTATAATATATTTACAATTGCTCGGAGGTACTTGGTTTTGAGTTGGACCTGAAGATTATCTGTTTGTTGAATCTAATTCGGCTTGCCCCGACAAATCAGGATGGTTGGAACAAAACAAAGGCATTTCATTTTCCACAAACTTATTCAAAAACAATTCCCGTTTTCTAACATACACATTTATGACAAAATGTCCTCCTTTTGTTATCAAAAAATGTCAAAAAAATAAACAGTAGGAACGAGGGCCGAAGTATTAGTCAAAAATGATTAGTAATCATTCGAACTTTTCTCGCGCCGCCATCTTATTTTTTGTTTCAACATGTTTTTTGTATACAAAAATGAAATAGAAGGGAACGGACAAATGAATCAGAAAAAAAGGAAAAAGAAAGTCTTGAGATAATTGTGTCGGTGTGAAAAATACAACAAAGAGGTGCTAATTTGTGTTGTGTTTACTGTAAATACGATCATGTCAATTGGGTCATCAAAATAGTTCGGATAATTAGTTATTTGATGTATTTAGCGGTTGGAAAATATTGTTGTTATGAATACAATTGTATGGATTCTTGTATAGAAGATGGATCAAATACAAAATATTGGATTCTAAATAAAAGATTCCAAAAAGGAAGATTAAAAACAAATGTTTTTGATGGAAAGAAAAAAGAGTCGAAAAACATCTGTACCGGTATAATCCTCTGTAATTATCCTTTTTGGCACATCTCAATTTTCAGAGCCGCCGTTCTATTTTTGAATATGTATAGAGCAAAAAAGAAGGGTAATTATGAGCAACCACAAAAAATATGACACTTTTCAAAGAAGAGTCGGCTTTTTGAGCACCTGTTGAAAAGAATTGCGTGGATACATTGGAAATTTGGAAATACGAGCGAGCTAAAAGTAAAACATGGCAACAAACAAAGGGGTGTTTTTTTTAGAGAGGCTGAATTGAAATCAGAATCGATAATGAAAATGTCATTTGTCAAAATCATATCAATCTTCTTCTTCTTCAACGACTTCGTTTTTATCATCAACCGGTTCTCCTTTTTCGCGCAAGAATGAAAGAAAAAAGAAATGAGTAAGAAAGGAAGGAAATATGAAAAACGAAGAAGAAGAAAGTAAAGAGAGAAATATAATTAGGTATAAATCAAAAGAAAAAAGTAGTATAATAATAAGCAAAAACGAAAACACATAAAAAGACAAATAAAAAAATGTATTAGGGTCTATAAATATTTGTATTTATGAATATCTAACAGAAAAGAGATTAAGCTTCCAGAAGTTCCGGTGTTACTTTGAAAAAAATGTTTTTTTACTAGAAAACCGAATATGATTCACAAAATAGAAATAATTTTTGTAACATCATTTTTGTATTTTCGAAAATTTGGGTTTTTTTCCGCGAAAATTCCATGTTTCAAAATTTGGTGCCAAAAATAAACACTTTTAAAATATAGGTTTTTTTTATTTCCAAAGTTTCAATTTGTTTGCACAAATTTAAAAATTAGTAAGTTTTTCAAAAAATTGAAGATCTTAAAACGAAAAGGTTTCTTATTATTAATTTTCCCAGGAGGATTTTGTGTCCATAAATTTATACGGTATAAAAATTTGGAGGTTAATCACCGCGCTGGTCATAAAATATTTATTTTATTTTCAATCCTCACTACAAAAATCATCATAATGATAATAAATAAATAAAAACGACAAGAAAATGTACCAATGTTACGTAATTTGTTTCGGGAGAGAAAAAAAAAGATGAAAAATATATGACTGGCAGAAAAATAATAAGATAAGGATTATCATAATTAAAAATAAATTTTCAGGAATAAGAATTATAAAAATATCCTTAAAGAATAGGAAGACAAATTTTGAGATATGTTTAGAATATTTTAATATGTTTATGAAATCTGAGAAATATACAAATGGCCTGCTTAGGTTAGAAACTCAGAAATGTGTCAAATTTGAAGACTAATGACTTTCTGTCACACCAAAAAAATTATGAGATATTTCACAAAGTTTCTGAACACTTCGAAACTGTTCTGAAAAATGTTATTCAAAAAAAAATTATTATTATTATTGTGTGAATAGGAAAAACAAAATAAGTGGAAAAAGAAAATAAGAAACAAATTGTCGATAATTGGAGCTAATTAATAATTAGAAACCAAAATGAACTTGTTTTGCATTTTATTTCACTTTACTTTTGTTTCTATGAAAATACAGTTTCCCTCTAAAAGAATGAGCAACAAGAGGCAGAAGTGAAAGTGAAGTAGCAGCTGTATTATATATCAAGCCAAGGACATATAAAATAATAATAATGCATCAAAATATACTTAAGACAAAAATAAAGGAAATAAAGAACAATAAAAATGAGAACTTGTAAATGTCAACTAATCCATCATAATATGTATTCCAAGCTGTCGATCCAAAATATTTTAGAGCGACACCTGCAAAAAAGTAAACACACTTAAAACAATTTGAGCAAATACAAATACGGAAATATATATGGCAGCCTCCACAAAAAATGAAATTGAGATCAAGAAAAATGGCTGCAGGGGATAATTATGAATACTTTTTTCGGGTGGAAGAATATTTTTCTGATCCAGAAAAAGTTTTTTGTTGGAAGAGAAGATACTAATCTCAAGGGCATCTTATAGTTATTTATGTATTATAATCATATGGTTGTTCATGTCATTTTATGGAAATGACACCTGCGAGATAGAAGGAGGTGAAAAAGGAACGGGTTGAGTTATGTAATAGGAACTTGTTATCGAAGATATGGTTAGGTAATATGTATATTTTTATGGAAAACAAAACAAATGTACTGTAGCACATGTGTGAGAGCTGTTTCTCGGCTGGGAGTTTATGGGAGAAATATCAAATTGGTCCGAATCTTTTCTGGTGGTCTTATTCAAAGATCTTAAGAATTGTGCGCCAATAAGTTTGTTCATCAAACTAATGAAAATTCGGAGTAATTCGAGCCTAACTCATTTTTATTCAAATTTACCTAATCCTCGAGAAAAACAGCTGCTAACTAAAAAAGACAATAAAATGATTTGCCGCCATCCGCTCGCCCGCATCGACCCAAATCCAATCCGTCTTAAATATATCTATGCAATATCCTTGAAACAATGACTAATTGAGAGCCTTCCATCCTATATTTGTTCTTGTTTTGTTTTTCCCTTTAATTACCCGCCCGTGTGCGCAAAAAACCAACTGTCACTGTTTGGTTTTTGAAGAGGGTCCCTCCCGATGGACATATGTACCATACTTGACAGAGAAAAGAAAATAAAAGAAAAGAGTAATGACAAGAAGAAAAGAAAAATAATGAATGGAATATTTGGAAGAGTAGGACAAAAATATCAAGATGGCCAAAGCCTATAAAAATGTAAAATTGTCTCGCTCGTAAAAATGTTATCTGATTTTAATCTGAAGTGCTTCAAAGAATAGTCCCGAGAAACTTGTGAACAAATTCGAATTACAAGAAAATTATAATTTCTTCCTTCTATCAAAAACATTTTAAAATACAAAATGATAAAACAAAGTTTGCACAATTACAAATATTCTCAAGTATTCCTTTTACGGTCTCTTTCTTTTTGTATTTGTTTTAACATCAATCAACAAACAAATATTATTAATAATATTAAACCTCAAAAGAAGTACTAATCCTGGGAAACCGTAAACTCTTCGAATATCAAAAACAGGAATATATAGTAAAAGAAGTGGAAAATCATATTAGATTGGAATGTACAAAGAAAACAAAATCAGCAAAAAAGAAAAGAAGAAGAAGAAGAAGTAGTACTCGAGTAAAACGGAAATCTTCTCTTTTTTCGCGAAATTCGAAAATAGTATGAAGAGGTAGAAGAAGAAGAGAATATTTGAAATTGAATTGAATTCAAAAACTTGGATTGAGTTAAAGATAGAAAAAAGAAACAAATGAAATGATAAGAAGATGTTATAGAATGACCCCATTAAAATGTTTGATGTAACCGCGCATGTCAAATATTTTTATGAGTTACCGTGTCATATGGAGTCATTTGGAATTAATTACAGCAAGATTTATAGAGTCACTTTAGAAGGGAATTCGGTAATATAGAGAAAAATACGAATTTTTCTGAGGTAGTATTTTCTGACAGTTTTACAATTCATCGAAAATTTATGAGATCAGAAATTGAGTCACTACGTGTTTTTATCAAACGAAAATGTTTACAATGGAGCTCTTTTGCAATTACTTAAGAATTAAAGTATTATTTTACATAAAGTAAATTTGAGTCTGAAAGCACTAATTTTATAACGTCTCAAGAAAAGGTTCACATAAATTCTGAATTACAGTAATCCCCGTAAAATAAACTGACCTCAAAGCATGTTTTTTCCTGTCAGTTTCCAAGTATTAAAATTTGCAAAAATGGAAATTGGGAAATTCTAACTCATTGTCAGGTCACGTTTCAAAAAATATTTCTCAATTCTGATTTTTTTTTTGATAGAAACCATATTTTTCTTGAAATGAAAATCTAAATTCACGTCAGGTGGTAACGTTTTTTAGTCTTGTTGTTTCTAATGAAAGGACAATAAATTTATTCATCAATTACAGAATTTACAATGTAATTATTGTTCCAATTGTCTTTTGAGTTTAGCAAGTTCGATTAATTTTGATTCGCGATCAGCTTGGAATTTTCGAATATCAGAAGTTGGCATTTTTGCGTCGAGAGCTTTTTCCAATTTATCAATAACATCGGATTCGTTGAATTCGGGTGTTGGACCAAAATCGTCCACAACCTATAAAAATTGATATAAAAAATTCAAAACAATATATTTTGTTGTTAACCTTTTTAATTCCTTCTCGATATCTTCTCAAATAATCTCGAACTCCAAAAGCATTCAAATGAATAGTTTCTAATGGACCATGGAATGCATATCTCATTCCTAATCCACTTGTCATAACTAAATCGATATCATCAACACTAATTACATCATCTGCAACCAATCTATAAACTTCGGTTAACAAAGCAAATTGAACCCGATTCACTACGAAACCAATTGCTTCTTTTTTCAATTTAACAGGTTGTTGTCCAACTGATTTCATGATTTCAGCAGCTCGATCAATAATTTCTTGTTTAGTCCATGGAGCCGGAACAAGTTCAGTCAATGGACAAAATAGTGGAGGATTCACAGGATGAACTATCAAACAATTCTCTCTGAAAAAATTGGATAATTTTGCAGTGAGAGAAAAAAGTAGTAAACCTATTTTTTAAATTTTCTGTGAATTTTGAAGCAGGAATTGTCGAAGTACTACTTGCCAAAATTGCATTTGGTTCAACAAATTTATCCAGTTCTTTATAAAATTCCAATCGAAATTCTAAACTCTCTAAAGCCGATTCTTGAACATAAATAGCTCCTTTCAAAGCTTCTTCGAGATTTATAGTTGTTGTGATATTGGAAATAGCTTCAGAAGCTGGAAGACCAACACCTCGACGCAAATTATTATTCTAAAAACAAACTTTGGAGATAGAAGATGACACAAGTTGTTATTTCTTACATCTAACAATTCTAAATTGAGTTTCACATTTTTCAGTGCAATTTCTAACTGTTCTTCTTTTATATCATATAATTGTACAGGATATCCAGCACTTGCAAATATTGTTGCCCAACTTGAACCAATTAATCCACTATCAATTTTATTTAATTATTGTTAAGCTAAAAACAAATGAAGCAAACCTTCCAACAATAGCGATTTTTCCTCGATTATCAGCCATTTGTTGATTAGCAATGAATATCGAATAATAAGAATAAGAATAATATTTTTCTTATCATCTGTTGCGATATTAATAATTCTGGAGAAGAACGAAGAGACGCAGATTATCATGTGGTCACAAATTTCACGTTTGTTTTTCAAGACAACACACATCATTGATTATCTTGTTTCAATGATGGCTTTGATCTAAACAATATTGTACTTTGACAACATTTTTCCTGTATTACTGATAGTTTTTGATCAATCAGATCAAATTTGGAACTTTGTTGATGTACTGAAGATGCTTGCGAGTGAATTAGGACCAATATATGTAGATGATTTCGGAAATATTTTTATGGGGATATTTTGTGGATTCTTTTAATCCCATTTTTCCATGATTATCAATCCTTTCTTTGTAAAAAATGTATAGTATACACATAATTTTTAATTTGTAGTTTTCACTTTTCAAAACGATCTTACACACAAATATAAAATTATTCAGTCCGATCAACATCACTGATGGTCCCACTCTAGCCTAACGCGTTTGCTAAAAATTCAAAATTTAATTCCTGTATCACAGAAAACCCTTTTCATTTCGAATTTTTGGAGGTTTCAGAAACCCGTGTCAGAAACATATGAACATAACATTGCTATCAAACCACATTGTTTTTAAAAATAGTTTTATGTTCTTTGTCACACAATAAAATAAATACAGATAAGGTGAACTCAAAAATATAAAGATCAAACATTTAAACAATTGGATCAGCCCAAACACAATCCTCTTCAATTTTCAAATTGAATTTACTTCCCGCATTTTTGTATTGCGAAGTAACAATTCTGAACCACCCATTTTCTCCCCAAGGAGTTCCCCATGAATTTCTTCCAATCCAATATTCAACTCCAGTTTCATGATCAACTCCCCATCCATGAACTGAAATAATATGATCGATATCTTCATCGGTTACTTCTTTGTATACTCCTCCAGCATAGGTCTCGAATGCTTTTGTGGCTGCAATTCCACAAGCAATTGGTCCTTTGTGATAAATTTCAGCCTTCATTTTTTCGTATCCACTGACAGTTCCTGAAGATACATATTTTTGCATTGGTGAATTTACTACAGGTTTATCTTGAAAAAAACAACAGTAACCTAGAACTTACCATATTCTGAGACTTTGTAAAGAGTGTAGTTTTTGATTGAGAAGCATTCTCCTGGCCAGCATGAACCACATCGATTGTATGGATCACATTCTGAAAAAAATATCGGGAATTTATTTCGAGTTCCAAAAACATTCAAAACATGTTCTGATTGTGAAACGAGCTTCGGAAAAATATCGGATTCAGAGTTTTTTCTCCAAAAGTCAGAAAATTTGTGATCTACCCGAACAAGAAACTAATCAGATTTCCATTTAGGATGATTTCACTCACTTCCATCTCTTGCTTGATAATTATTACAAGTTTCATGTGGAATTCCGTGTTCATGCGCATATTTATAAACACCTCCTGGTTCTCCTCCCATTACACATGTTCCAGCTCCCGAACAATCAATAACTTCTTGAACTGACAAATATGCTTGTGGCCACGCATTCTTTCTTTTAATGTTAATACGATCAGCCAAAGCAGTTGTTGCTCCAAAAGCCCAGCAAGATCCACAGTCTGCATACAATTTTGGAATATATTTTTCGAAAATATGTTAGAAAACTTGGAACTTACATTGTGGAATATGTTGATTTCTGTCTGGAGAAGCATAGTTCACACCATTTGCATTTCTCCAATCCCATGATTTTGGCAATTCATCGGCATCAAAATCTTCATATTCATAAAGACGATCAGAAATTCTTCAAAAATAAAAAAAATTGAAAAAAAATGTAAAGTTCTAACCAACCTGTGTTCGTATAATTTTCCAGTTTGTTTATAACATCCTTTCAAATTATAGCGATTCTTTTGTGCCCATTTTTTATGATGATTTGCAGATTGTGAAAGAGCAACAAAAACTGCTAAAAAAGCAGCAATAAGGAGCACAAATCGGGCCATTTTCAGACTCTTATCTCATGTGACCTGCGCTTATTTATATTCATTTGTTCAGGTGGTCAAGTTGATAAGATAACAAGTACTAGTTTGTGTCAATCATATTTTCTTTTTGGTTGATGGAAGTGAAAGAAATGCTTAGATTTTTGTGTACTTTGATTTATTAAAATATTCAACAAAATCAAACATTCCATCAATGATTATTATTTCATCAGAAAATACATACATGATTTTTTTTTCTTCAAAAAATACAGTGACACAGACATACGGAGCATAGTTAATCCTTTTGTTATTTAATAATCTTTTGCTCGTCTTTTTCTTCTTCTGTGCCTTTGTTTTTTTTGCTTCGGAAATTTTTTGTTTCTGAAGCATCGAAAGAATGGCGGAAACACTTTAGGAAAACAACAATAATTGAAACAAAACATTGTGTATTTTGCCGATGAACAGATTGAATTACGCCATTTTTTATTGAAAAGAAATGCTGCTCGAAAAAGATGATTTGTGAACCGGAACATTTGACAACTTTTGTTGATTTATATTTTTATGAAAGTCTGCGTAGGTGAATTGGGAATGTGGAAAATAAATTGATATATTGTGAAGAAGAATATCGAAGATACAGTACACATAATGATTAACTGTGAAAATTACAGTATCACAAAACTTTAATATTCTTTCACACAATTCAACATCTCAGAGAAGAATCAGCGACTATGTTGTAACCTTCCTACAGTTTGCATGGGTACCGTATGTTTCTTACTTTCGGACGGGTACTACTTTTTTTTACTGAAAAAATTGATGTATTTTGGAACTTTTGAACTGCTCCCGGACAACTTCTGCTATGGCATTTTCAGCTCGGGTACTGTCATGTCGCGAAAATTTGTACAAAACTGGTACGGTATCTTTGAAAATTTTTAATTCGAATTGTTACCGGAAAAAATTATCTGATTGAAATTCCATAAAAAGCTTTGCTCTAAGACAATTTAGCCTGTTTTATAACTGACTGAAATTGGTATCGAGAAGAATTTAAATGTCAAATTTTTCCGCTTCAAACATTCTTCAATAATTTCCTTTTACAAATATATTAATTTGAATATACATACGTCTCCTTTCTCTCACTGATTTTCTCTTCATTTTCCACACTCACTCTACTCTACAGGATGTAACTACTCAAATCGCTAGACCTCAAATTTTTCATTAATTTTTGGGTAGATCAAAAATAATTTTTCTCTAAATCTCTCATAAAAATCATTTTTCTCTAAAATCATCTAGTAAATTACACTTTGTGTACTCTTCCTCATTACTCTAACATTGCGCTCCCCTCTACTCTTTATTTTTTCATAAATAGCTTAATTTATCTTAAAACTTGTTAACATTTCTTCTTTGCTTTTTCTTTTCCGCGTATGTTCAGATGTTATACATTTTTTATTCAATTCCGTTTTCTTTTTTTTCTTGTTTGAACAATTTTGCAAAACATCTGATTCGAAAGAAAATTATTTGTTGGAGCCAAACACAACTACAATATTTTCAAGACTTTCCGGTGATAAATCATCAGATTCACTCGTGAGTTTTCACATCGAAAAAATGTCAACCTTCGTTTTGAAACAAAACATTGGAGTGGTCTTTAGTCTCGACACTACAGTATTCCATGTTTCATGAGTCACGTTCATTATTGTCAACCAGATGTTTCGAAATAAACATCCGTTTATTTTCTTGGAAAAACAAGACCACTCGAATCACAATTTTCACGTAATTCATTTTTCTCTCTCTCTCTCTCTCTCTTGATTTTTCAATTTCCATGTTCGAAAAGTTAGACACATTGTGGTGAAACATATAATGACTGTGTAAACACTTGGCTTATGCTTCTTGTTATTCAATCATTGAAACAATTCTTTGTTTTTTTCTTGTTCACATATCCACTTATCACAATTATTCCAAAAAAGGATAACATAAGTTGGCAAGAATATATCTTCTTCATATCATCAATTTCATCACCATCATCTTCTTTTTCTTTTTTTTTCGTATTCTTTCTTGCTCATATCTATCTATTGACATGTTTTGTTTTGTTTGGCTCCGCGCTGCTTGCTCGCTGACTGTCTTTTTTCCGTCCGGTCGGTCGGTGGGAGTTGAATGGGCGGAGAAACTCCGGAAAAAATACGGGAGCAAGTGGAAGCAGAAAAAAGAAGCAGAAGAATAAGAAAATAACGAATAAGAAGAATTAGAAGAAGCAATTTGTTCGAAATACAAAAGAAGAAGTGATTTAGGATGAAGTTGTGTATTTTTATTCTATTATTAGTTGGTGTAGAAGGTTGGTTCATTTTTTTGGGAAGCTTTGATGTTTTTTTTTTTAGTTAATTGAAATTTCTAGGAAATTTTTGAATATTTTTTGCCCTGAACTTAAGAATATGGATATTATCTTGTTTATATATTTTTTTAATTTCTGTAATTCTTCAAAGAGTCTTGAGAACTGAAGATTGAGCTATAATTATTGACTCGAAATTTCCAAATGTTCAAATGTTGTAATCCGTAAACGTTTCAGGAATTCATTCTAAAATCTTCATTTTTTTTAGTAGTTTTAGTAGAAAAATTTGTTCAAGCTTCTCACATTTTTTGATGTTTGAAGATAGATAAATATCTTGAATTTTTGGAAAGTAGAAAATTTAGAAATTCAATTTTCTTTTAATTCATTTTAAATCCAAAAACAAATATTTCACACAACAGTGCATATTATCTTTTGGTCATGAATTCTAATATTCTCATTCGGAAAATTTTAGTTGTTCAATTTTTTCGAATTCTTTTTTTTCTACGTAGTTTGAGAATTGTTCCGAGTTTTACGTTCTTCAAATTCAAGTTTTTATATTGCTATAGGAGATCTTCTGATTCCGAATTTCTATTCTCACCTCAAATGTATTTATCCCGATCCTTGTTATCATGATTTCATACAAATATCGAATGTCAAGAAAAAGTGTCAAATGGCTGCTTTTCGGGGCAGGCAAACAAGACAATGCAAGAAAATACTTTTATTCGTCCCTAATAATAGAAGAAGAAAAAGAATTGGCCAGATTTGTGCAAACAATTCAATTTCAAGTGCCGATAGTCTTTCACACGATTTAAACTGATATAGATTTCAATAAACTGTAATCAAAAACAATTATTTATTATTTTTTTCAGGTAATATTTATGGCAATGTTCCACAACAACAAGATTATACACAAATTTATGGTAAGTTCTACAGTGATTGAAACACTTCCAGATTCCTCACATTTTGATTTTAAAAATGCCATTTACCATTTTTCTCTATCTATTTGTTAAAATAAATCCAAAACCGAAAAGTTTACATTTCGAAAATACAAAAATCATAATAAGATGTCAAATGGCTATTTGAAGTGTATTTGTGTGTGCATTTATTTGTTGACTCGGTTGTTGTTTGAAACCCAAATAAAACACGAGACAGTCAGAAGAAAAACGAATAAGAAAATAATTCGAAATTGTGTGTGTGTGTGTTCGAAAATAAAAAGGGTTTGAAAAACAAGCAAATTATTCCTTTTTAATTAATTTCAACTAATTTTGTGTAGATTAAAATTTAAATGGAGCAAGTACAGTAAGAAATTAGTTATTTGTGTTGTTGTTATTGGGCTAGATGGCATTTCAGGATATTTCCTAAGTTTTAAGCTTCAGGCTTCGGGATTGGTTTTTTTTAACCCAGACGTTCACAGGAACCCAAGCCAGTCTTGGCTAAGCTTGAAGTCTCAGGCCTGAATCGCAAAAAATCTCTCGACTACACTATTACACTCTATGAAAAAATATTATTGCGTACAGACTCATTATAGTTTGATTGATCAAATATTTAATATTAAGCACTTGGCGGCAAAAATTAGAAATCATAGATTAATAATTTTATCGTATAAAATTTTATCAGAAAATGTTTATATCCGATGATAATAAATAATTATGTATTCGGGAAAAATTGAGTTAAAATTTTTTACGAATGTTAAGGCTTTGTTTTTCAGCTCAACAACCACAGCAGCAAACCCAACAACAATATACATTTCAACCATCTCCAACTTATAGTTATAGTCAAGAAAATTATGCTCAACCTCAACCTCAACAACAAGTTCAACAACAAACTCAACAATCTCAACCGCTCCAATTTCATTCTTACAATTCTCAACCTGGTCTTCAATATGGATCTGTTGATCAACAACAACAACAACAGCAAGCATCATTTTTCCCAAATCAAGCTGCAATAAATGCGGCAGCAATTTCCTACGCAACAAATATCGCATCACAATATGCCACTCAGGCACCAGTTGCACCACAAATTGATCAAGCAAATTTGGCAAAATACTCACAATATTTGGATATTTTGCAAAAAGCTTATGGAATTCAATTACCTGGTGAATTGGGAGGAACTTTAGGACAACAGCAACAAACACAATTAACATATGAGCAACAGCAAGCGGCTCAACAAGCAGCTGCTGCTCAAGCTGCACAAGCTGCACAATTGGCTGCGCAACAAAAAGCTGCTCAAGAAGCTGCTGCACAACAAGCCGCACAATTGGCTGCACAACAACAAGTTGCTGCTCAACTTGCTGCTCAACAAGCCGCTCAACAAGCTGCTCAGCAGCAACAATTGCAGCAGCAGCAACAGCAACAGCAATATAATCTTCAACCAAATCCATATGTAACTTCAACTTCTCAACAACAATCTCAATATGTTCCACCAACACAATATGTTTCTCAACCTCCACCACAACAACCAGTTCAGCCTCAACCACAGCCACAGGTTCAGCCACAACCACAACCACAACCACAATCACAATCCTCTCAATATGTTTCTTCTCCACAATCAATTTCGAATTATCAAACAGCTGCCATTTACAACAGTCAAAATCAAGCGAAACCACAAGTTTTTACATATTCAGCGACTTCGGCACCAATTCAAGTACCGGCTCCAGCTCCAAGAATTCAAAAACCAACACATTCGACATCTTATGTTGATAATCATAGCCAAATTAATAGTGTGATTGAAGAAGAAACACGTGGAAATGTTGTATCAATGCCAATGCAACCAAATCCGGTAAGAAATAAAAAATAGAGAAAAAGAAAATCTTGGGTTACTGTAGCTCTCCTACTGTTGCTGAAGAGAAGTTTTTAGTGAGATCTCAAAATTGAGAAAAATTGATCTACATTTTTGAGTTTCCAAGAAGTTTCGAAACTTCTTCGTAGACCTCGGGGGTAGAATCTTCATATTGATTTCATTAGTCTAACCTCATCCCAATTCTCGAAATGTTTCCAGCAAGTAAAAATGATGCCTCAACCATTACCACAACCACAAAAACCACTTCCTCTTCCAACAATTTCTCAACCTCGTCCAACTCTTCCACCAATTCAATCATCAGTTGTTGTTCCTCCTCGTCCAATTTCAACGCGTCCTCCTCCTCCTCCACAAATTCCAACAACACAACCAACAACTCGACCAGCTCCAATCGCAACCACAACAAAATCTCAATCAACTCGACCAGCTCCAACTACACAAGCCGCTGTTCAATCATTGACACAACAAATTCGAAAATTACCAGCTGTTTTGTATATTGATTCTCGACACGAAAACACGAAGAAAACAGAAACTTTATTAAGAGATACTTATGGTTTACCATTGGTTACATTTTATGTTGATAAGATTGAGAAACCAGCAGCTGTTGAAAGACAATTACAACAATTAACTGCTCATAAAGGATTACCGTATTTATTCATTTGTGGAACATTTATTGGAAGTAAGTTATTTTCAAAATTTACAAAAAAAACGTTATAGCACGAAAACAAAAAATGATTACTGTAATAATTTTAAGGTGATCAACATATCGAAAATTATCATGCAAATGGACAAATTCCTCAATTAATTGAATATGTTTGTGGAGATGACAAAAAGAAGAAACAGAAAAATAGCAAAAAAACAAATTAATATTGTAATTCTTCTTCGACGAAAACAGTATTATTATCAAAATGTTTTAATTCTATTCTAACTAGCCCACAAATTGCCTACTAACAAAATACTATCAAAAACTTCTATCATTTATTTATTCATTTATATTTATTTTGAAATAAATGCTTATACGAATGTTGATTGATCAAAAGCTAATCCAGTTAAAGACGCCAATTTATAGAACTCGATATTTTTTCCACACCAAATAATTGAACTTCCTCGTTTACTTGTTTTACTTTTGGTTTTTTTCGCAATTATACCATATTCATTTGGTTTTGTGATTGAATTCATAAGAAAATCAAGTTTATGCTGATTTGTTGCACACATCAGGAAATCATCGAAATATCTTCCAACAAAAACTTCATCTTCTCTAATAATTTCTGTCCAATATTTTCTTTCAAAATCAGCCAGATACATCTGAAATTACGTTGTTTTTTTTTGGTAATTTTCTCACTAGATTTTAATTTTACAATTAGTAATGAAATTAAGCTTTAAAAAATTTTCCACACGTGACCTTATTTTTAAAATTATTGTTTTGTTCGAAAAAATGATCATTTCTGAATTTTAAGATTTTCAAAGAAGCGCTTCTTAATATTTTCTATCAACTCACATTTGCCAAATTTGGAGATAAGGTATGTCCTTGAGGAACTCCTTTTGTAATTTGATAATTTCCATTTGCAATTCGAACACCAAATCCATTCAAAATAGTTCGAAAAGTATTTATGATTTCATTTCTCGAAAATGCTTTGAATTCTTTGATTTCACAAATTTTCGCTTCTCTTTTCTCTGCTTTCCATAATAATAATTGTTTCGCTTCCAATTCTGTAGAACCCGCTGCACAAATTCTGATCTTTGTTTTGAATTTTCGATTAACAATTGCTGACTTTGTAATTTCAGCCCATCCGATTTGAACAAAAATCAATCTGTAAATTTTCTGATTCAAATCTTTCTAGGTAATTCAATATTCCGAACCCATTCGGTGTCCATTTTTCTATAATTTCCATCATTTTTCTATGATCAATTCTAGAATAACATTTCGAAATATCAGCCGATTGTAGTTTCATTTTTCTGAGATCCACAAATTGTTTCATTTTTCGAACAAGAAATTGACGGAGTCCAGTAAAAGTTGCGCGAATTGCTGAAAATTCTGAATTTTATCAAAAAACAATTTCGGAAATTTTCTTACGTTCAAATTGAACTCCTTGTTTTTCACAAATATGGTTGAGAACAGCATTAACTTCTTGATGAAAATGTGAAATATTCCAATTATTTCGTTTTGGAGCATAATAAATTGGGCGAAGTGATACTTTGCTGATTTTCATTTTAATTCTTGGTATTTTTGAGACTTTTGCTTCGGCTGGAATTAGTTTCAATCCATACATTCTTTTGAAATTTTGTTTTTCTTTTGTCAAAAATTTTTGTATTCCGATTTTCCAGCAGTTTGTCATCTCTTTTTCATGTTGAATATAACGGAAGGTTTTTCTGAAATTTTGAAATTAAGTTTGAAACTCGAATTTTTTTGCGATTCCAGAAGTTCAACTTCATTTAACATAAGATCAACCTGTTTATTCCCGCTATCCCTCTTTAAAAATAAACTAACGTTAGTTTGTAAATCACAACAAATCCAGCCACCGACATTAGATTTTTCACTGTAAATATTTGAAGAGCTCGTTTATCTCCTTGATGGGAAATTTGAGAACAAACTTGTTTTGATTTGAAACATCGAGCTATTGGCGCTGGAATGTCTCATTCTCGATTCCGAAATAATAGTTTTAAATAAACTAACCTGTTTTGAAATCAATATCTGGAAAAGTCCCAACTTTCACACCGAAAAAAATATCCGTGACCCATTTTACCAAAACTTCTCGATTATTCTCACCAACCAAATCATCGAACTTGAGTGAATTCAAAAATCTTCGAATATACCTTTCACAATCTTTTCGTTTCACAATAGTATCACGAATATTTTTTATGTTTTTGTTAGGATAATCCAAGGTTTTTCGAGTATACATTTTGTTAGAAGATAGCAAATTGTTTGCAAAATTTTCGAGTTTTTCTTGAATTGGTGTTGGTTGAAGAATTGGATTTGTTAATTTATAAAGTAGTTTTGGTAGGCTTTTGTTCTTTTTCTGAAATTCATGATTTTTGAATTGATTTTTCTCCAAAAAATAAAATTCTCACCCAATTAATTAAATCTCTGATAAATTCTAATTCTTCATGAGTTCGAACCATTTCTCTCATTTCGAATATATTCAAATTTTTCAATTTTTGAAATAATTTGATAATTGTTGTTTCTCCAATATCAAGTGGAATTCGTCTTTTCTGTAAATACATCAGATATTATTTCACACCGGAAAAATAACACATGTTTCTACTTTCACAACTCAAATCCTTAGTTAATCCTTCTAATAACTACCTCGCGCAATTTTGGCTTATGAATATATTGCGCAAGTTCTAAAAGTATTGTCGACAGGCGACATAAGCCAAATTAGATTAACACGAGTGAAAAAGTCAGCAGGTGGTTAAAGGATACTGTAGTTGTAGATGAGATAGGAAACAGGTGAGAAAAAATAAGGTGATCTGGTAGAATAATTGTATTGAAGTATACTAAACGATTAGTTAAAAGGTGTCATATTTATTGAGCAGATACCAATTTTTAGGAAATAAAGTGGTTTTTTAATTGTTCAAGTTTTATCAGATAAAATCGGACAGATGTATTTTCGTAAACGAACAAATAAAGTTAGAATAACAAGTGTTACAGTAACTATATAAAAGTATTTTATCACAACATTTCCTGAAATTATTCTATCTTACAAAGTATACAATCAAACCGGATTATTGTAATTTTTCATTAGTTTTATGTGTTCTACAGTAATCACATTCTCAGTTGGAAACCATTGAAAGGCGGTATGTCGTTAACATTTAAAGTCGTTAACAAATTCTAATTTGTGACACCCCATTTTGGCAATTCAAACAATTCTACAGTAATCTTTTATCCTTTTTCTTCAATGTTTTCGCTCACAAAAACTTATCCAATTATTCATTTATTCATTAAATTATAAAAACACATTATTAATAATAACATAAAAATGATTTAGTGTATTCAGATTGAATATAGACAGACAGATGCAAATTTATACAAAAGAAAAGAGAAGAAAAAGAAAATAGTGGTCCCGCAGTGTGTTTATTTTTTATGAAGAATTGGATGAAGATGGAGAAGGAGATGAGGATGTGATACATGAAACAGAAAAACAAACATTTTGTTGACATTTTGAGCATTTTGAAGAAGTTTTTGGTGGTTCATCGATTTTGAGTTTCATCAAAGAAGTTAGCTGAAAAAATGTTGAATTCGAAACATTTTGAAGGAAGACGAATTTCGGATAGTTTTGGCAGAAGATATTTATGGATATTCTATATAATTTCAATAGGGTAAGTGTTTTGCAAATTCGATCAGGGAAATTTTTTCAAAACTCTGATTATTAGAGTAATTTTTCTCCTGTTCCCAAAAAAATATTTAGAAAATGGATTTCAAATTTTATATAGGCTAGCTGGTTCGCAGAATTTAAATAACTAGAACTAAATATTTTGACGGGTATAATTTCGATAGCACAGTGTGTAAATTACTACTTCAAATCTCTAAGCCTCAAATTTTTCAACAACAAATTCGATAGATGGAAAATGTGCTAACGGATCCAAACTTTAAATTTACAAAAAAAACAACATTATTTCACCTACTTGAGCTCTAGCTGCGGTCAATTCAGCCTGCAACAAATGATTCGCATTTTGAAGTTGTTTAATCCTGTAATTCAAAATTATTTTTGCATTTTCTCTATACCGTAATTTCAACTCACCAATTTGAAGCTAATAATAATGTATTAGCTTTGCTCATTCTTCTCGAATTTGCATCGTTTGAATACGGTAAACATTCTCGTAATGTTTCGAATTCCTCATTCAATTCGTGCATTCGACGACGTTCTCGACTATTTATTGAGTTTCGTAAAAGATTTTGTTCCTGTTATCATGAATATTCAGAAAAACTGTAAATAGGAAATTGTATTTGGAAAACTAACCTGTTCATTCAATCCTTGCATTTTCTTTCGATTAGCTCCTTCTGCTCTTTTTCTTCTTACATATGGTTCGAATTCTTCTTCAGTCATCATATTTGAAGAAGTTGAACAAATTGGAGATTTGAACAGCTCCATTTTGAGAAAAAAGACAAAAAAGAACAAACAAACAAAAAATAGAAAGAAAAATGAATATTGAAGAAAATGGGCGGAGCCAATAAGGATATTAAGGGGCGTGGTTTTGTTACAGGCAGATATGTAAATTGGAAAAAAGAAAGGGAGAAGAAGTGAGACACAATATTTGGAGAATGAAAAAAAAACAAAAAAAAAAGTTAAGAAAGCTCCAAGTTCTGTATCGTCAATACTGTTAAAGTAATTTTTGTCATTTATTTTTACAGAGGAAATTTTTTTTGAAGATTTCGAGTTTGCACAGAAATTCTTACTCGATTTTTTTTTTGGAAAATCCCTTTTTCGAACTTTTTCTCGCACAGTAGATTTTGCTCCACAAAAAGTTGTAAGGGTTTGGGGTTCTTCAGGGTTACTGTAGCTTCGAACATTTTTCAAAAACAATGGGCCTAATTTTTGTGAAGAGTACTGTAGATAAATCATCAAAACTTCAAAAAGAAATTCTAATGGGCCTATGCAGCATAATATTTTGTAATAAAAAAACATTTAAAAACATTTTTTTTCCTATGCAGAAAAACGTCGAAAAAACAAAATATACAGTTTACTATTTTGAGTAGAGACAACGTAAAGTTGAGAGAGTGCAGAAAAAAAACCCATTTTATGTCTGCGCTTTCTCAATTTCACGTTGTCTTTATATTGTTTTTTCGACGTTTTTCTGCATAGGAAAAAAATGTTTTTTTATTACAAAATATTATTCTGCATAGGCCCATAAAATTTAGTGTTTAATTTTTTTCGAAAATCAACAAATTTCCATTTTCTAGTAAAAATTATTCTCAAATTTCAAAGTTGAACTTGATGATAGTCAATATCTGTACTTCTCGCATCCGAGCTTTTTTTTTGACAGTAATCATTCATTTTGAAAACCTTTTGGATGCTAAAGATTTTCTTATGACCTTTTTGAATAAGTATTTGAAAAACATACCATATTGCTAATTTGAGCATTTTTCCAATCCATAATTGCGCAACCATAAACGGTATATCTAATAAGAATAAAAGGATAACTGGGATAACAATTGAAAAAGGAGACCTGAATGAATAAAAAAGACAAACAGTTGGTTTAATCGCCACTTGTACAGTCAAGTAACCTCAACTAATTACTAGTCTTGGAAACATAAAATAAATAAATGGTTTGAAAAAACACCGAATTTATGCATTATGATAACGCTTAAATTAATTATAAAAAAGAACAAAAACATCAGAGGGCAGTGTTTGATGGTGTATTATTTGAAAACGATAAAAACACGAAGAATTGTAAAAACAAATAGTTTGAGATTAGGATTGGAGAGGAGTTGATAGTGAAAGAAAGTACATTTTTTGTGGAATTCTAGATACTATCTGGATAGAATATATCGTGGATGTGGTTTAAAACGTATTTAACATGAGATTTTGGTGAAAACAATTAAAATAAAATTAGAGGAAAAAAATTATGAAGAATTCCATTAAAAACGAGTTACATAATTGAACAACGATCTGAAGGATCGGATGGGTCTGATGATTCGGTCAATTCCACTGTAATTGACGATACTGCATCTCCTTCGGCATCTTCGAGACGAGCTGATGGATTCTCACCAATTGGCCACTGAAAAATAACAGTTTTTAAATTGAAAATAAACATGAAACTAAAACTAAAACACTCTTGAAAGCTTTCTCTAAATCTTTAAAAAAAAACACTAACACTTTGTTTCTTCATGACGTATGTCTCTGGTGGATGATGTACTGCTCCTGAATCAGCAGAATGAACTGTGGCTGTTGCCAATGGTCCGAGCTTCATTCTTGATGAGAATTGGAACGATGCTTCTTTATTTCCAGCTTTAACCACCAATTTGTAACCTCCAATTGAGACCTCTTCATCGAGACTGTTGGCAATTCGGACCCATTGTCCATTCTCGTCAACTTCATCAATTCCAACTGGTCCGGTTGTTTCTTTGTTGAGCTGAAATATTATAATATTAAAACTATGAATAAATAAATAAAAAACTCACTTTTGATCTTCTGTTGGAGAATTCAAAGTCATCGGCTCCTGAATCAAGAACACGTCGGCGTTTAACTCCTCTTTGAGCACTAGCTGATCCTGATGAGAATGAAACATGATGAGATTGGCTCGAGTTTCTACCATCTTGAGTCAAATTCAAACGTTCTTCTTCTCCCTGAAAATATCAATATTAAATAAGTAGGCTAGGCAGAATTCGAAAAATAAACATACTTCAAGAAGTGCTTGATATGTTCTCAATTCAGCATCCAATTGAACTTTGACATCCAAAAGAGCGGCGAAATCATTCATCAACTTCTCAATTTCCTTATTCAATTCTATAATTCTTGAATCCTTGTCATCTAATTTGATTTGATACATATTTCTCAACGAATCCAAATCCGCTCTCAACTTTTCAATCAAAGCGGCACTTCCAGAGCTTGAAGTTTCGAGTTCTCTGACTTGAGCGCGAAGTCTCAAAGCCTCATCTAATGCGGCTTCTTGACGTTCACGAGCATCATTCAATTTGTTCTTGTAGGCATCTTCAAAAGCTGATTTGTTGCTAGCAAGATTGGCTTGGAATTGAGCGCGCATCTCAGCCAATTGATCTTGCAATTTTGATTGATATTCGTCGTTGATTTGTTTGGCATATGTTGTCATGTCAACTTGACGTTTGTGACGAACTTCTTCAAGTTCTCCTTTGTGTTGAGCCAAAGCGAATGCCAAATCTTCTTCCAATGACTTGATCTTGTTGTTGCCAGTTGTTCTAAGAAGAGTCTCATCTTCAACAGCACGTTTTAACTTGTCGATTTGATCGCGAAGTTGAGCATTAGTTTTTTTCAAGTCCTAAAAATAATCAAACTTCAAAAATTCATAGATTTATTATAACTTACATCATTCTCTACGACCAATCTGTCATTTCTTGCTTGCAAGTTCTTTTGCTTCGCAAGAGCTTCATCAGCATTGTTTTGAGCACGAAGAGCAAGTTCTTCAGCTCCAGCGAGTTCACGTTCGAGCTTATCAACTTGTGGTTTAAGTCTTTTTACTTCAATCCGTGCAGCATCATACTCAATTTTATGCTTAGCCAATTCATCAGTTGCCAAATCCAAAGCACGTCTGAGACGAGCCTGAAAAAGTTCCCTTCTTTTCATTCATGCGTGAATTTGCATATCGTTTTATTGTTTACTTTCTCTCAATACTTATGAGAATTAAACAAATAAACAACATTATACCTTTTCAGCTTCAAATCTTTCGGCCAAGTTGTTTTTCTCTTTTTTCTCAACTACTTCCAAATCACGAATTTGTACTTGCAAACGGCCGTTTTCATTCTCCAATTGGCGAACTTTCTGGAAATAACGAAATTGAAAATTATTTCGAAAGAATGAATGATATTGACACTTACATCAATATAAGTTGCAAGCCGGCTGTTCAAAGAAGTCAAATGATCTTTCTCTTGAATACGTGAAGTTTCTAATGTCGATGATCCACTGAAATCGGATGAATAGATTGAGTCATTCTCTGGAACAAAACTTACAATGATTCATCTCCTCCACCATTACTAATCGATGAATTAGTCGATCTCTCGACTGTAATTCTTGAACCACGAACTGATTTTCGGGCCGACATTTGAATTCTGGAATAATGAATCTTTAAGAAATCATATACTTCAATGGCCAGAAATCTAGTAAGAATTGAAAAATCAATGCCAAAAAAGAAATTGTCAAAAAAGAACATGCTGGTTTGATAAAGTTGTGACTCATAGGAACTGTCATAATAAATGCAAAAAAACTTATAAGATTGAAGTCTATCGGAGAGAGAGATTCTCGTGAAAGAAAAAGAACAATATATAATTTTTGGATGAAATTTACTATGGAAACGAAATGTTGTTTAACATATGTAGAAAAAAAACAAAATATTTCGAAAATCACAAAACAGCGCGCCAAAAAACGAGTGATGAAGAGGGGAAAGAAGCAAAGTGAGAGAGAAATAAATAAATGGCAACACAGCGCAGGCATACATACACTTTTTGCCCGACGCCCTTTGACGACGACCCACACTTTTCTCTTCTTCTCTCGGCCGCCAGCACTAAAATTGTTTGTCATTCATGTAGAAAACTGTGTTGGTATTTAGGTTTGTACTAGCGAATACTATATATGAAGTTTGACCATGACTAAATTATTTGTTCCACGGGAATAGAGGGAAATAATGTTGTATGGGCAGATATAAACAGAAAAAAAATGAGAAAAGACTGGCGAGTTCGAGAAACTTTCATTATAGCATCAACAAACAGGAACACGTTTCAGTGTCATCAAAAAACTGAAATGAATGTCAATAATTTCGGAAGAGCGGCCTAAAATGAAAAAAAAGCGGCTCGCTTCGAGACATTTCAAACATTTTGAACAATGTTCCTTTAAAAATATTGAAAGAAATACGGTATGTGTGTGGAAAATTCAAACGTGTTCTTGCGCCGCCTAAAATCACGTAATTTTCAGTTTTTCTTTTCATAATTTTCTATACAACATCGACGTTTCTCGAAAATATATAACATTTTGTTGCCTGAATAATTTCTTATTGTCTTTGAAAACAAAATGGAAACATTTCTTGGAAAGAAATAATAATAAAACTAATAATATTTCTTGCGCTTCGTTTTTCCAATAAATAAAAGAAGACATTGCAACAAAAATCGGTTTCTTTTTACATGCCACTCAAGGAAAATGTTCGTTTTGATTGATAGCGATCAAGAATGTTGCGAAACTAACAAATGTGTGTTTAAAAATAAAAAAAGTAAATTCAGTAGACGAAAAAAGTGTAAACGACAAGTGATGTGAAAGGTTGCAGAGGATGATAGAGCACGTAAATATAAAAAAGAGCATTCAAAAAACAGATGCTCTTTATACTAGAGGCCGAGCTTTTGGTTTTTTTACCATATGGATAGATGGACGAGTTGGAGTTGTGAGAAATAATGCAACACCAGATAGAGAAAAGTCATTAGTTCATAACGACACTTTGTTCACGATCACTACTACTTCTCTTTTCACCATCTTCTGATTTATTAACAACAAAAACAGTGAGACGAGGCGCAGAGCGCCTTCAAATCGATTTGGCGCCTCGAGAGAGCCCGCGCATTCATGTGCACAAATGAAAAAAACGAGGTGGAATACATATAATTTTGAATACTGCTGTCGGATATAATATTTACAAATGAATTTTTGTTCGAGAGTTTTTTTTTTGAATATTCTGAAGTAGAAAGGAGACAGATGTTTATTGAAAAGAAACACATTGGATGAAAAGAAAGACCTTGAAAATTGTGCGACGAATAAAATAAATTCGCACGAAACTATGGAAAGGGTTAAATTACAGAGAAAGAATCAAAGATCTGAAAAGTAAAAGAAGGTCATTTTGAAATCGCGAAATTGTTGAGTAAACGAGGAATTAAAGTGCAAACTGATTGTGTAAACAAAATTGTTAACAGTTAGAAAATACCTAAACATTTTGGAAATTGTATTATTTATTGCATTAGAAAAAATATATTAGCTGAAATAATAATAGTTTTTGTGAAAATTCTCCAGAGAAGAATTTGGCAAAATTGAAGAACGCGCGCTTTGTTTTCACGCTCAATAACAGAAAACAAAAAAGTGGCCGAGGGACGAGTTTTTGTCGGTTTCTAGGACATCCTAAATTTCTGAAAAAAGAAAGTTTCATCATTTTCTTGAAGTTTAAACTTTAAGTGTACGTGTTTTTGTTAAACAATGAGTATAATTTCAGAAAATGGATCAACTTTTGGATGTCGAAACCTTGAAAAAATTGTCACCTGAACAACAAGAACAAGTTATTGCCGGCGTAAAACAACAAGCTGCTTTGGCAAACGCCCAAAACTTGGTGACTGTGAGTTTCAATTTCGTTTATCTTTTTGTATAATATAAAAATTATTTAATTGAAGGATATTTCTGAAAAATGCACAAACAAATGCATAACAAGCCCAGGAAATGCTCTTTCTTCGAATGAGAAACAATGCCTCCAAAGATGTATGGATCGATTCATGGAATCGTGGAATTTGGTTTCCCAAACACTTCAAAAACGGTTAGTTACTGAGCTTTTTATTTTTATTTTTTGAATTTTTACATGCATTGATAGATTATTTTAAGACCTATAATAAGCAATAGTTTACAAAATTTACTTCAAATGCTTTTGAAACTTTTTCGGAAGTCGTTGCGCTTGAATTTTAAAAGCCACATATTTAGTAAGCTGAAAATATTATCTAAATATCTGTTAAATACAATTTGAAACAACACAATCTTCCAGTCTTCAAGAGGAGATGAACACAGCTGGAATGAGCCAATTCGGCGGAAGTGGACCATCATTTTCCTAAACTCCAAATATAAGTTGTTTTTGAATATCTGTTTTTTTTTCATTTAGATTAGACGTTACAATGAAGACATTTATAAAACAATGTTAATTATGCAAAGAAAGAAAACTATACTCGTAACAATTTTTGGTTCCGTTCTTGACGGTGAAAATACAATTTGATTGTGATAAAAGCTCAAAAAAATGCGAAGAGAAAAATGATCTAATATAATTATACGCTCTCCGGAGTGTTGTTAGATTCCTTTTCAACCATTGTTTGAGTATCTTCTTCATTCCGAGCACTATTTGATTGCTGAAAAAACATTATTAATTATCGTAAGTTATCAGAACTATTTATTACCAATGTTTCGAATGGAACTCCATTCCAAACATTCGAAAATTCTTTGCGAATCAAAGCCAAAACACAGATTGGTATAAGAGTGAAAGGAACGAGATAAATCAATGCTGGTTGTGCCATTTTCATAAGTGTTAATGCAATAAAAGTAGCAATAAGACCGAAACCATAACCTGCAAAAAATGAAAAGTTATTTAATTGTAGAAATGATGCATCAAATTACCAATAATACAAATGATTCCATAAAGTAGTCTTGTTTTTTCATCGAATCCGTTCATTGTAAATGAATGAGCAACCAAATAACCAGGAATAATAATATCTCCCAAACCAAGAATTGTCATTTGATATCCTCGTTCAACTTCAGTATCAATACAAGATAGCATTGGATCAAAATGCATTACTTGCATCAACATTGGGAACTTTTCGGGTGAACTTGCAGATTCGATTGGTGGAAGAGGATATCCGCTGTGATTTGATTTACCAGATGAACAATCGATTCCAGTCGCAACTTCGAGCATAACAGAACATCCATTTCTAGTCCACATTGGAGTTGCAAAAACCATTATCGCGTCATAGACAAACATACAAATCATTAAAATTGAAATCCACTGAAATTAGATTTGTGTTAACAAATTTTTATTAAAAATTATGAATATGGACATTTTTTAAAACTAATTTAGAGCTTTTTTTAATTGACTTATTTTTCTGGAATTCAAAACATTTCTTTGACCGAAAAAGTTTTGCCACAAATCCGATAGAATGAAAAAGATTATGATCGACATAAAAATACATTGAAATTTGATTGATGTTCAAAAGAAGAAAAAACAATCTGTTCAGAGTATTCCCAGTTCAAAACATAAATCTCTTTAACTTACTTTCAAACTTGGCAATCGAAGTGATTTCAAAATATGAAGACAAAGAGTTACATTGATAAAATCAAGCATAATGAAAGCATACGATTGAAGACGAACAAAATACCAAATAATACAGAAAATAGCAGATATCAATACACTAAATGCACCAGTGTATGAAAATGCTTCTTTTTGTCCGCATAAAAAGAGGAAGAAATTCAATTTTTGCTCGATACCAGCCATATTTTGAGAATGAAAAGTTGGAAAGAAGAGCTCGCAAACATCCATGAACACTTGAAGTTCCGAATATAACTAGCATTATATTGAAGAAAAATACTAAACATAAAAAATTATCGCTAGTATATTTAGAATGTAAAAAAATTAACTCACCTAAAATCGATCTGAAATAATATCCCAACATAATCACTGTGATCAATAAAACCATAACAATTCCAATTGCCAAATAATTACCATATCGATTGCAGCAACTGTCATCTTTTTCTGATGTTTCAACCGTTGCTTCAGCAAGTTGAGTATCTTTTCCAAGTCTGAAATTATTTTTCTAATGTTTCGAGAAAATCAATTAATTTATACCCATGTCTATGAAATGCCCAAAATCCTCCAGCTGAAACACAAAACACTGCAATAAACCAAATAACAACCATTGAAAGATCAATTTTCGGATTTTTCGGTCGATGAATTCTCAATTCAATATCATCTTCGATTTCGGCAATTTTCTGAAAAAAAGAGAAACAATTACAGTAACAACAAAAATATTTCAAAACTTACAAGAACATCTTCAAAAACACTTTCATACATATAAAAAGTTGGAATTGATCCATTTTTGATATATGGATCATAAAATTCGGAAAATAGATAATCCTTCCATCCTTGAACAAATTGTCTTCCTTTTTGAAGTAAGAATAATGTGGCAGCTCCATTGTGATCTTCAATTGTTTGAACTTGAAATTGACTAGCATTTCGAAAAGATGTCGAAGTTGCAACAAATGGTCGTGTACAAGAACTTCCATCGTCATCAATTCGATATTTGAGAGGGATTATTGAATTTGTATATTTTTTGGTATCTTTTGGAACTGGGCAAATCTTTGTATTTTCTGGTATATCTCTCCAACGTCGAAGTGAAAATGGTTTCTGAAATTTAAACATGTTTTCAGATATTCCAGTTAACGTGACTTGATTTCTCAGTAAATGAATAAAAGTTCTCAGAACCGAAATAAGTGGCTCAATTTGTTTTTCTATTATCCACAAGAGGAGAGAATTTGGATATTTTCAAAGCTAATGTGAGATGAAATATATTTATAAAATAATTTTGATTCAATAGGTTTTCTACAGTCATTGATGAAATTTCTTAAAAATCGGTCATGAAGGGAAAATTGTTATATCTGACTCCACCTTTAGAACTTTCGAAAACAAGTTTACGTCAAAACTAGATTTTGGATTCCTCCAACTCACCGCCTCATCATAAGTTTCAGCTAAAAATCGATTATATTCCCTATATTGTTGATAATTTCCACAAACTTGAGTTGTTTCTCCAGTTTTCTTGTTAGTAGCCGAAACAAACACGTAACTAGTTGAATAATCGTGAAATTCTCGACTTGAAACTAATTGAATACAACAAATCGATAATGTTAGTATCAGAAAAGGCCGCATTTCCCCTGGAAAAATAATGATGAACTTAGAAAATAAAATAAAAATAAAGATAAAAAAGAGTGACAAATAAACAGAGAATCAAAGCTGAATATGCTGATTTTTCAAGATTATTTACGTCAGAATCCGATGAAACCTTATAAAATCATTTGATCTTTTAATTCAACAACGATGACATAATCAGACATTTATTTTTATTATTATTTCATATGAAAATCGATTGTTTTACACATAAAAGGGGAAGACAGGAAATTTCATTAAAATTTCTTCTTTGAATGAACTTGAACTACTTTTTTCGTCCATTTCAGTAGCAAAAAAAGAGAACCAGCTATACTAACTCATAATGGGTAAATAGCTATGAGGAAAAAACAGAAAAAAAGAAGGCCAAGGTGAAAATGAAATAAAGTAAGAAAAAATAAAACTTATATACAAAACGATGGAATTATGGACAATGAGTAATTTATTAATATTTATGTTTAGAACTAACGTTTTTTTACAATAAAAGTCATACAATTTCGAGAGTGGCGAAACAAATAAAACATTATTTATGAACCATTTTTTCATGAGGTACAAAAGGTCTCGATGATTTATTTGTTCAGACTATAACATTCTGATATCCAATGAAAAAACATTCGACAAGGATATCAAGAATAGAGATTTAAAAATAGAATAGAATGAGAGAGTAAAACACATGGATAATTTGAGACTACGGTTTACTGTAACTTATCAAATTATAGCTATGATCTATATAGAGATGATCGAAAAACTAAATATTTGATTTAAAAATATCTCAACCGAGATTTTCGATTTCTTATTTTTCTCATGTTTGAAACATTTTGAAAATACTTGACCAGCAAATATTTCTTATCAAGATTTACAAAAAAGTTCAGGCGCGTGGGAAAGAAAAGATGATCAGTTTGTTTCAACTAAAACAACTGGAAATGAAAAGGTATCAAAAGAAAAAAACCAAAAGTTCTTTAAAAACTGTTTTTTTCAATAAATAAATAATTCAATTTGAGATAACAAAACATGACTAACATTGAAAAATTCTAGAAATGTGTTCAATGAAAAAAATCGACAAAAAGGAGTGGCTCACCAAAACATAGAGAGTATTGAAAAATGAGAGACCCCGGCGAGTGAGAAATGTCGTCACTCAAAATGTATTGTGTGTTTGTTGACGTGATGGTGTTTGCGACAGTGTTTTTGTGTGTGTTTTTTTAGCTCGAGCCGTTGGTTTGTCTCGTTGTCTGCAATATGCTATTTTGTTTTGTTTTTCTTTATTCAATCATCACTAGAGGGTTCTAGCAAAAATCAGCAATGTTTCCATGGCATTTTTCATTTTGAGTACTTCCAATTGGATCTAATTTACATTTACAAGTGTTGAATATTGATTATGTTTCATTTTCAAGAAAATACATCAAATACATTTGTTTTGTTAATCGAATCAACGTTCCTCTTTCTATTTATTCTTTATATTTTTCAACGATATATTTTTGTTCGCAGGGTAGAAGCCACAATGACAACAAACCCAAAAGATGTGTTACTCGAAATATCAGACAGTGCACATCTTTGCAGGATTTGTTATGAAGAATTTAATGATCGATCAAAAGTGTCAAGAATTCTTTCATGTGGCCATTCATTTTGTACAGAATGCCTTCTTGCCGTAGTTCGTGCTTCAAATTCATCTTTTCCTATTTGCCCGGAATGCCGAAAACTTACCAAACAAACAGTTCTCTCACTTCCAGTTAACTTTCATTTCATGCGTAAGTATTTCGTAATCTTTTATATTATAAAGGCATCCAAAAAAGACTCATCCAGATGAAATGAATGTCATTTTGCTGTTTTTATGACCCCAGATTAAAAAGGAAAAAAGAAAAATGAGTTCGAATTTTTTTAGAAATGGTTCGAAAAATGGGTCTTTCTGTTGATTCACCCGAAGAAGAAGTTTCTTCAACAGCTGCAACAACTGGAAGAGAAGATCAACCATTGGGAGAACTTGAAATGCACAATCGACTAGACGAATTGAGTATGCCAGAACTAATTGGTAAGTAAGAGGTTTTCAAATGCAAAAAAAAATAAGTTTAAAATTTAAGGTCAATTTCGCACAATTTTGGCGTGCATGAAAGACAAAACGTCACAAGGAATGTATCAACACTATTCATATGGAGAAAATAATTTTCGTAAGTTGAATATTAAAATAATTGGCTTCGTCAATATTTGAAAACATTTGAAGCTTTATCTATATGCATGGACAAAATACGCGAAATTGACGAGGCAGTTGATGTCATCGAAAACTCTCTAACAATGTTTAGCGATGACGAAGATGATAATTTCCAATTTGAAGAAGAAGAAGAAGATGATGATGAAGAAGAGGATCCTTACGACACGGTACATTTTTGTTATTGTAATCTTAGAGTTGCATACATCATAACATATCACTATGATTTTAACTATCTCTACTATTATAACTCACCTCCACCTCTTCGTCCTGTTATTACTTATCCAACCCAACCCACTTATTTATTCCAGGATGGAACATCGAGTCAACATTACGGACATTTGTGAGTTTATAAATAATCAGAAAATGAAAAAAGGTAAATGGTTTTCAATTTTCAGAATGTCTGCATTTGGAAATATGAATGTTGGTCAACGTGATATTGTTTATCCTGAAAATATATCCGATTGGGCAGAATCACTTGATGATGAAAGCAGATATACAGCTGATGTATTTACAACGGTTTGTTATTTTGATTCATTGCAAAATTAATTTGAATTTAATTTTTTGAAGGATACAAATCCAAATGGTCAAGCCGTTCTTCGTTGTTCAGTTTGTGAATGCCAAGTTCCATTGGGATCCGAAGGTTCACATCTTGGTGGTAGACGACATGCACATAATTCGGACAGGTCAGAATTAACTCCCTCGGTTTTTCAAATTAATAATAAAATATTTTCAGACGTCTTCAAAATCTGCCGCCAGTTTCAATTGACCAATGGAATGCAAGATTCCGTCGCCGGCAGGATAGAAATAATCACAATTTCCAATATCCGATTCCTCCTCCACCACCGCCACACTTTTTCAATCAAGGTCCATCAAATAATTGGAGTCTATGAATGATATCATTTTCATATCTAATAACATTGCTATGCTGGTAAAACCTTCCTTTTTTCTTCTCATTTTTTGTTCACAATAGTAACCCATTCTATTTATTTTCTGCTGTTTCGAAAACCTTTCACGAACTTTTCCAAATGGTTGTATTGCACTTCTAATTCTGTAAATAATTATCACTTTTTTTGAAATAAAAACGGTCTAAATATTCATGTAATACGCAATCACACACCATCATAATGAAATATTCTAAATAATATAAATGTATAGAACTAGACCTCAAATAAAGCCGGTACCCGAGCCGGAAAAAAAGGAAAAAATGAAAGGCAAAAAAGAAGACACGAAAGAAAAAAAGAAAAATTGAAAGAGGATTGATTAGTGACAAAAAAAATGAATAAATAAATTGGGGGGTGGATTTTAGTAAAACATATTTTGTTGAAGCGCGAGAAGAAAATAGATGGCAATATTTGTTCAAACTAGAAATGACACATCACATAATTAATTATAATTACTACTATTACCATTTGTATTTGTAAATGATACATTTTGAGATTGTTGTTGCTGTTGCTGCTGTTGATAATAAGCATAATTTGGATCATACAATTGTTGTACAACCATCGGACCGCCACCGTATCTTTGATGTTCTGATAATAAATTAATACATTGTTTTTATGCAATTTTAATTTTAAAATGGGGTCACGTCTTTTTTTTAGCGGTGTTAATCATTTTCCATTTCTATGAAAATCGTTAAAAATTTTTTTCTAGCACTTTCATAGTAGATCGAAACTGTTAAAAATTATCTTTCTAACTCAAATTTCACTGCTCATTTTTCTCAAAAAATTCTTTCATCACAGCCTTTGTTTGATTTTGTAAAAAAAATTAATTGCCGTAGGCTTGAGACACAACGCCAAATTGTACGTTTTTTAAATTAGATTTAAAAAACCACCCTATAATTTCAGGTCCTAACAAATCTCGTTTTTTTGAAATTACGTTTCGTAAAATAATGAAAAACCTACGCATAAATATACTTTGATGATGTGCAAAATGAGCACCGTCATTCATTGGATTTTGATAATTTCCATATGGCAATTGATTTTGAAGAGGTTGAGGATGGTAATGTGTTGTATTTGCAGTTGTACCATTTCTACTACCTTGTGTAGTTTTGTCTTCAAGATATTCTGCAAAAAAAAACAACAATCAGATTGCCTTCAAATTTTCAACCAACTTTTTCTATCAAGAATCGGCATATCTTCGCAGAAAAGATATGAATGTGGTCCACTGCATGTGCTACAAGTTGTATGAAAAACTTGGAATTGATTTTCTGGAACTGATCCATATTTCATCGGAGGAAATGTGACCGAATAATTCGAAGAAGCATTCAGCGGAGTTGTTAATCGTGGAAATGATGGAATTGATGAAGGAGGACGCCAACGAGAAAGTGAAACACTGTCCGATTCACTGTCGTTCTGTAACTAATATTCATCGTTGTTGTGAACAATATCACCCATATATTTAACAAACCTCATTCGTTTTATTTCGAGTTGAATTGAATTCTTCACAAATTGCTCGAGATAACATCATTCTTGCTGGCATATCTGACAACTCATTGATGTATTGAACGATTTCAGCAACTGATCCTTCTGGATTCAATCGGGGAAGTATCCGTCGACCATTTGATGTAATCACTTGAAAAAATTATTTCGATTTTTTGAAAACAAATCAAGAAAATACTTACAATCGGAATTTGAAATTGTTTTCTCTTCTTCTGAACTCATTGATGCAGTCATTTGCTGATTATCCAATCTTTGTTGATTTCCAAATTCATCCAATAGTCGATGTTGCAAAATTTTCAATTGTTCGCGTGTTCGAGAAGTATACGTTTTATCGCCGTCACTCCAATGAATCTGAAAATTTCAGGAGTAATTCTAAAAATCTGGAAACTCATCAATTTCAAATAATGTCAGCCTTTCAGTTCATAATTCAACTGATTTTTCTGATAATAATTTTTTATTCAAAATTTCACAAACCTCAATATGAAACTGATCATTTGATGCCAAATATTTGCCAACAAATTGTTGAATATAAACAAAAGTTCCTGGTGATGATTTAGTTGTTGATGTCAAATTTGAAGTAGATCCCAATTTATGAACATGTGATGTTCCCAAATCAGCTCCTTCATCTTCTTCCTCTTCTTTCTCACCAACACCTCGTTCAGACGTAAATTTGCAGTTTTTATCAGCATATCCTGGACAATTTGCTTCACGTTCAGCTCTTGCAGCCAATTCGTCGTATTCGGCGCGAATTTGATCACGAGCTTGAGCATATTTCAATTTGTCGGTTACCGAAAATGCCGGATGATAAAGACATGCAGAGACTAAATAATACAAATATAAGAATACTAATTATTGAGTAATTAGTGAATTACTTACCAACTTTACCCATTGTTTCTAAAACTTCAAGTTTATCATTGATATCACAAACTTTTGACAAATGATGTTCTCTCCAAGTAATACAATATGTTTCAATATATAATGATATTTTGAATGCAGATTTCCGATTTGTTGGTTCCAATAATGAAACAAGTATATAAAGAGATTCAGCTAAATAACTTGGTTTCACAAATTCAACTGGTGGGTTTTTAATTTCGGCTGGTGTTAACTTCTTGTTTTCTTTTGGTTTTTCAGGCACTTTATTTGCGTCTGTTTTCTTTTCATTTGAATCTTTTGATGAAACAGAAGCTGCTGATTCAGAAGGCGAAGGAGGTCTAGATTTAACAACATAATGACCATCCTGATAATATTCATGATACATTTCATCAGGTGCTGGGAAACAAAACATTGGGTCCATCGAATTTGCTCGTTTTTCCATCGGCCTCAAAGTTGCAGAATATGTTTTTTGACTTGATTCAATTAAAGTATAAACTAGTCGAAGATCAAATGGATCAAGAATATTAATCAATTCGCAAATCAACTCAACACGATCCCATTTACCAAACTGAAATTAAAATAAGCATTATATTGAGAAAATATAGAAAAAATTACAACTTACTTCAATATAAGATAATACAGTATCCCTAAATTTTGTTGTTGGCGAAAAGAAAGAATGCGGCATTCCTGATTCGGTAGAAACTGGCTCTTTTTCAACAGCTTCTGTGTTCTCCTTTTCTGGCTCATGCGGTTTGTTAAGATCCCAAGCATTCTTTTTCCCATTATCTGATTTTAAAGGTTCTTCACTTTTTTTCGTCTCCACATTTTTTTCCTGTTGTTGTTGATTCACAACTCCAGTCACAGAATTAGCCAAACTTGAATTTGATGAGTAATAATTTGAATTACCACCTTTTCGACTGTGTGAAGAATTGTCCCGATGATTTTTATTTTTGCCATTAGTTGATAGATAATTCGAATTATTTCGTTCTTTGTTATAATCACGAGAACCTCGATTATCATTTTGTTTTCGATAATTACTTCCCTGATTACTTGAAGACTGAAATAAACATTTTTAAGAACTGATCTTAATTTTGAAAACTAACCGATTTTTCGCGATCCCGTTTTTGTTGTAATTGCTGCTGTGTTTGTGGTCGTGTTTGAATATTCACGACTGTCGTATTATTGCGATTTGTGGTGGTTGTAGTTGAATATGCTGAGTTTGCTGTGTTGCTTCCTCCACCTGAAAAATTTTATTATTCCCCTGCAATAATCTTGAAAAAAAAAATAAATACCTGTATTGGTTGAACCCGTATTTGCTGTAGTTGTCACCGTTGTTGTAGTCATTGTATTATTCGAAGTTGATGTTTTTTCAACATCTCCTTTCTTTTGATTCTTCTGTTTAACCATATCTTGAGACAATTACTTGAAACAAAAAACCAGTTCCTAAAGACTTCTGCCTTTCTAAAGTTCTGGAAAAAAATAAAATTAGAACTTTGAAGAAAAATAATGAGATAATAGTAATAATCGGTTAGAAATACCAAATACAATTGAAAATATATCAAAAGCTACAAAATCCGTAATTTTTTATACATGTAATTTTCGAGAAATGATAAATATTTAGTTAGACTTTCCATCTGCAAAATTCGAATCGAACACCATTTTCTTCAACGACATTCGAAGTATTTTCATCATCTTGAAGTTTCAGTCTTTCATACTTTGAAAAATCGATAGTGGAGAGACTAACATCAGTGTCATATCTGTAATTAATTCGGTTAACAAAGGTGAATATGAAAATTAAAAAAGTAACCAACTTTTTATATATGTGTGTAACATACATCTCGTTGACCAATTCTTTATCCAAAGCCATCTGATAAATTTCAGCACCGCCAATATTCCAAATTGTTTCAATTTGTGATTTATATGGTTCGGAAGATAACAAATTCATCATTTTATCGAAGTCATTTCTGAATATTTGTCTTTTTTAGAAGTAACAATGAGGTGCAAGGAACTCACACAAAGATCAAATTATCTTCAATCTTTTCAGGCTGTGAACGAGAGAGAACCACATTTAATCTACCAGGAAGTGGTTTTCGTTTCTCTGGGATACTTTCCCAACATTTTCTACCCATAACAATGGCATTTCTCTGAAAATTGAAAGTTAAACCTTCTATGAAAAAAAACTAGATATTACTTTTGTGCTATCCATAACATGTTTCGTTGTATCAGCAAAGAATTTCATATCTTTTTTCAGTGCCCAAGGAAGATTCCCATTTTTTCCAATACCTGCATCGACATCCATTGCCACGATAATCTTCATTTTTCGTACAGGATTCATAATACTGAAAAATGACTTATTATTGTTAAATTATGAAAACAGCTTGACAAAGCAAACATAAAATATAGCGGGTGAGTGGGTGAAAGAAAAAAAAGTGAGAAATTAGTTCGTACGAAAAAAGAAGACATTTTCAATGGAGCGCATTTGGCCTGGCAATTTTGAAGCGTCGAATTTATTTTCGAAAACGAAAAATGCAGCCCAATGCGTGTTTCGCATTAAACGTATGTCTAAAACATTTTCAAAACGTTCACTGTTTTTTGAAATGGTCGTGGTTCGTTTTTGGAAACTCATGTCGGTTTTTTTGCGAGTGAAAAACGAGACTGGAATGTTCAGAAAACTAGAAACTCGCGGGGTGTACTGTAGTTGTCTCGCAACGAACGTTGTAGGATTGTTTATTTATTTGTTGTGTGCCTTTACTTTTTGTACAATTTCGTTTTATTTTTTGTTTATGCTCTCAAGATTGGGATTCGAAATAAGCACATTTAACTCATTTTTCCAGAATCTCATAATGGGAGAAGACGATCATTTTGCGATTCCACGCCCTCCGCGCACTTTCGGATCTCTCGCAAATGCTGATAGCGTTCGAGCGATTATGGTTTGTTTGAAAATAAATTAATAGTTACTTGAAAATTTAATCTAAATCCATTACAGACTGAACAACCGAAAAATGTTTCATCAACACCACTCGAAAGACTTCCAGCAAATCCAATCGAAAGCAGACATGATTCTGAAATGTTGGCAGAATTTGAAAGGAGAAAACGAGCGAGAACTTTGACGTTACCCACCGATGATGTTCAAGTCAAGCTGAAACTTCGTGCATTGAATCAACCAATTTGTCTTTTCGGAGAAGATGTTTTGGACAGACGAGAACGGTTGAGAGCCCTACTTTCAACAATGACAGAAGATGAAATCGCCGCCATTTTGCATACAGATGAAGTAAATGCTGATAAAACGGATGAAGAAACAGTTACATGGTATCATCGTGGGCCACAAGAACTTCGAAATGCGCGGGTTTTGATTGCAGATTTTTCATTAAGAAAAGCAAAAGAAAGAATACAACGAGCAAGAGATGAAGCAGCTAGACCAGCACATGAAAAAGCATTAGCAAGACAAGAAGCACATAAATGGGTTCAACAAATAAATCTACATTCTTCACAAGTTGCCGATACTCGTCCTGTTGCTTTTTGTGAATTTTCCCCTGATTCAGATCATATTGTAACTGCTGGTTGGTCTGGTTCTGTAGCAGTTTGGAATCGAGAAACTTGTGCACAAGAAGTTCGATTTTCTGGTCATATTTCACAAGCTGGATGTGCTAGATTTCATCCAGGAGCATATTCTTCAATGGATAAAGAATCAGTTAATTTGGTATCTGGAAGTCATGATGGAACTGTTCTTTTATGGTCTCTCAGCAAAGAAACTCCGATTGCAGAATTAGAAAAACATCCACAAAGAGTCTCGAAAGTCGCATTTCATCCAAATGGACAACATATTGCAACAGCTTGGTTAGTTTATATTTTCATAGAAATTGAGCTTAGTCATTGCTAAATTTTAGTTTTGATTCGACGTGGAGAATGTATGATTTGGCAACGAAAAAAGAATTATTATTCCAAGAAGGACATGCGAAATCAGTTGCAGATGTTGGTTTTCATCCGGATGGTTCAGTTGCACTTACAGGTGGACATGATTGTTATGGAAGAGTTTGGGACTTACGAACTGGTAGATGTATTATGTTTTTGGATGGACATACAAGAGAAATACATACTGTTGAATGGATGCCAAATGGGTTAGTGTTTTTCATAATAAATAAGCTAGAAATGAAAAAGAACACTTCAAACAATTTTCAAAACGTGACTTTGAAGAAACAAAAATCTACTATATACTAATTGGAAACTGAATAGTTTGTCCAGGCCCCGTTTATACCTTCAACGATCACGAAAATTGATGATCAAAAAATGAAAAGTTTGCAAATTTTGGCACCTTGGTGGGCTAGCTAATCTTTTTAATTTGACTCTCTCAGGGGTGCGCGGAGCGGTAAAAGTTTGAAAAACTCAATGTATTTTTTGAAAATAAAACCTGTCCATCGCGATAACTCAATTTCCAGAAGGCCATTTTTGATGGGACCTTCACCATTCTATCCCAAATTCTTTCCCATCGATGCGCTAATATTGATTTGTTCAAAAAGTGCGCGAGTTTTCACGTTAAAATTCAAAACTTTTTTCATGAAAAAAAGAATGATCACGTTTTTATTCGAAAAAATTATTAGGACACGTTTCTTATCTGATCTTTCTATTCTCTGAAAAAGTCAACAATTTTTGGGCATTTCTCAATGTTTCCCTTTGCCTAACTAGGGAATAAAATATTCATCAAAAAGTAAGTCAAACTACTGTAGAGGGTGAAATGATAAATTTATCAAATTTCCAGATGTGGAATAATTTATTTGACTAGAAGAAGGGATTACTGTTTATATTGATGATTGTGAGTTATGATTTGTTGTTAGGTTCTCTTTTCAAGCTCGGAAATTGAGGCTCTGAACAGGAGGATTAGGAATGGAAAGGCTTTCGGAAAAAGAAATGAATTCTTGGAAGAAAGATAAGTTATGAAAAAAGTGTGGTTTTCAAAAGTTAAGAGGTTTTGATTTTTGAAGCTTGAGTTTGAGACCTTCTTTCTTCCGAAAACTCTGTTTTTTTTTCAAACACTTTTTTCTCTGAACCCATCTTTTCAGAATCGAAATTAATGAGCAATTCTATATTTCAAATGCTCCAGCAATTTATCTGAATTCAAACGTCTCTCAATAATTCGGATATTTGAGTTAGTTTCTTAACGTTGATAATACGAAGCAAATCTGTTCAGGAAAGCTGATGGGACAATTCGCGAAGAAAAAAAACGTCAAAAAACATGTTTCGAAGCATAAAATACAATGCACAAAATGTCGCGAAACTCAGTTTCTCGACATTTTCAATGTATTTTGCGTTTGTTTCGCAACACATTTTTTGCCGTTTTTTTTATTTTTATTTTTTTATAGTCCTATGAGAAAATAGGAAAACGGTTGAGAAAATGTATGTGATCTGCGTTTTTCTTCTGTTTTCTAAGCGTGTTTAGAAAATTCCAACACTTCGGCCAAAAAAAGGTATGAAAAACCTGAATAACCCCATAACCTAAATTTAGTTAATTCTTGAAATGTTGAACAAAGACAGCTCCGAACAAGAAAAGAACGTTTCTTTGAACAGGCGAGAAATGTGTTTTTGAAGAAAAAAAGAGTTTTGAAAATAAGAGGATTGCGGTTTTGAGGTTTTCAATACGAATTTTTTAGAGCCATGGAAGAAAAACCAACATAACAATAGACTTTGCCGTCCTTTTTTCATTTTCATTGAAAGGGGAAATTTGTATTTCTAGGCAAAAAAAGCTTGAAATTTAATTCAAAAGCTACTTTTATAAATAGCTAAGTTTCAGAATTTTTGAGCCAGAAATTTCAAGCACAACTCGGCCAAGCCGTGGCTACCCAGAGTACAATTTTTTGAAATATCTGAATTTGAGTTTTTAGAAGTCAAAAATTGAAAAATCTCAATTTTTAGAGGACAGAAACTGAAAAATTTAAAATTTTTGTACTGTAAAAAGTTAGCGTACAAGCTAGATGTTTTGATAGTCATCCTAGACTCTATGAACAGTTATCTAAAACATGAAAACAAAACATCCTCGCATTTTTTGAGCTCTAATTTAATTTTTCGAAAAAAAAAGGATAAGATAAAAACTGTTTCATAATTCAGAAATGACATTCTTTGGAGCGGCATAATTTTAAGAGAAAAATGGAGGCTTCAGAAAAATTGGTCGTTATGGGACTATTCAACGTCTTTTCTCAACGCTGAAATGTTTGAGAAAACTTATGTAGGCTGAAAAAATACGAAAACTGTTGAGAAAATGCTTTTCTCAGCATTTTTCCCGTTTTCTCAGCGTGTTGAGAAAATCGTTGAACAGCCCCATTACGGAATTAGGAAAAACGGGCGGTAAAGGAAAAAACACGACTGTTGAGTCTCATCTGCATGCCCACCAACAGTTTCCACCCTTTTTCATTGTGTATGGTTTTTAAGAATCAAACCGTATCAAAAACACCACCTAATTACCACTACGCGCGAAGCCGGGACAACCCAGAAGGAGGAGCCGGCGTTAGCCGGCGGAGCCCTTCTGGTTATCGCTATTTTTCAGATATGAAATGGTAACTGGAAGTTCGGATAACAGTTTAAAAATTTGGGATTTGAGAATGCGTAGAAATACGTATACAATGCCCGCACATACAAGTGTTATAACTCGAGTTCGAGCAGATATAAATGGACAATATTTAGTATCTGCAAGTTTTGATTGCTCTCTTAAAATGTGGTCATCAACTGGTTGGCAACCTCTTCGTCAATTACAAGGACATGATACTAGGGTTAGTTTTAACTATAACATTTTTTTGATCCTAAAATAAACTCAACTCCTAAAAATTATTTTTTCCAGATTTTGTGTGTTGATATCAGTCCAAATGGACAATGGATGTGCTCATCAGCATTTGATCGAACTTTCAAACTCTGGACACAATCTGATTATTAAAGATAAAAACAAGTTATTTTTAGTTGTTGAATATATTTATTATCATTTAATTTTTTATTAATTAATTTTGTTCAAGAAAAAAACAAACTGTACAGAGATTTGAATTCATGGAATTTGAATAGAGGTTAGGTTGTGCTTTGTCGAAGTCCTTTTACATTAATTATCTTCTTTCCACACATTGCACATATTCCTTTTTGATATGCGCATGTTGAACAATAATGACTACCCGCTTGATGCATAAGCATTTTACAAATTTTACATTTGGCACCGACTATTGTGGCTCTGAAATATTCGCTATTTTAGGAAGAAATTTTTAAAAATTTTAGTACTGCACTAAATTTGAACAGAAACATTGTATTAATAAATAAAAAATGAACTTACTTTTTATCGGCTCCAATTAATCGATTTTTGGTGGTCGAAACTTTTGCAATTTTTCCATCGGCTCCTCGATTGCTCTTTTTATTTCTATATGGATCGACTCCGACGATTTTTGTCAATTTCTTCTCACAATCTCCACATACCATTTCTCGCCAATCTGAACATTTTTGTTGTTTGTAATTCAGAATATTTGGAAATGGCGAAAGTAATCATTTGAGAATTTAACACCTCGCGAGTTTAAAAATGTGGAACAAAAAAAAAACAAAAATTGATTTATTTTCAAAATGGATAAAAAAGTTCGAGAACATCAATAAATAAATACCCGAGATTTATTGGCCTGCGCCATGATTTTGAAGTTCAACTTGAAGTTGTACTTGGAGTTCCTCTAATTTCTTTTTCAACACTGCGATTCCAGTTGTCACTATATTTTGAGCTGGAAGAGCTCCACTTGCTTCGACTGAAAAATAAATGAATCCGATTAAGTTTAAAAATAAAAACAATCTTACTTGAGAAGAAAAATCTCTCCGGTTTTCCATTAGAATCATAAGGTGCTTCTTTTTCGTCTTCATCTTTCAATTTTGTATATTCACTTCTTGGCCATTCGCTTGCATTTGGATATATAGTATGTCGGAGTGCATTATCTGGGTCATATTCGAATGCAACTCCACATGTTGGATTCCATTTTGCGTGTTCTTTACCAAATCCTTTTTTCGCATAACATTTCAAATTAATTTCTTGACCTTTTCTCAGTTTTACAATCAAAATATCTTCTCTTTGCATATAATCGTCTCGAAAACCACCACGATCACGAAGTGCTTGACCACATGCAGGTTTAACTTGCAACTAAAATTGTATATTTTCGATAAGTTCTAGTTTTCTAAAGTTTAACTTACAATATGAGGAGATTTGCATTCCAAGTCTGCAGTTGTAACAGCAACAGTGTGATCGTCTCTACACTTCTTACGAAGCCAAAATTCGATCGAGCAATCCTCACAAAATTCGGCGCATTCACAGTCTCGAGTATATTGCATTTTATCAACTACAGATTCGGAAATGAATGGAATCAAACCCATTCTATGAGCAATGAATTCGTCATGAAGAACACTTGTGTTATTTTCAATTTGAACCCAATCAATAGCAATTGTTGGAACCTTAAAAATCGAAATTAAATCCCCAAGATTTAAAGAGTAAATAACTTACCTCTGCAATGAAAACTCGTCTCAATGAGTTCGCAACACTCAAATCAGTATCATAAAGAACAAATTTGATCTGATCGCTAGTCAATTCAGTGATATCAATCTGCGGCTGATTAGCATACGGCATATCTCTAAGCCTGAATTTTCAAATTTAACATTTAATGAAATTATCCCTCTCTTATTCAAAGTGAAAAACTTCGCGAATTCGAAAATATCCGAAATTCAATCGTTTTTTCGTCAACCACGTATTTTTTTGGCCCTCGGTTCGCGGTTGGTATACTGTACTGACTTGTGCAAACACGGTGACGCATAAATGCACAAAAATGTCTCGCGTCTCTCCATTTTGCGCGCTATTTTTCGAAATTGGTCTCGCCACGAACCCCGAAACGCTAAAACGGCACCCGTTCGCTCCACCAAAGCTTATTTCCATGCAGTTTTTCACGGCGATAAAGATGGTGTACTCAGATTTTCATTTGATGCAGCCGTTCTTAAGATTTTGGTGGAAAATTAAAGCATGTCCCTTTAAACAGCGAACCGAGATTATTTGTTCAGCAACAAAATACGTGCAACGAAAAAATAATAATTTGAAGTACTAAACAACGGGCAAGCATGTAAAATCGGAGTGTTGTTCATAGGAGCATAGGGTACTGTAACACATCTTTGAGCTGTGTTGTTTTGTCATTTGAATTTTCTTTTTTCTCACTCTTTCCTCGCTGTTTTAGTGATTTGAGTTTCAACATTTTGCACATTTTTTTTGCGGGTTAATAGGACATATTTACAGAATGAACAGATACGATCGTGCTATCACCATTTTCTCTCCAGATGGACACTTGTTCCAAGTCGAATATGCCCAAGAAGCTGTCAAAAAGGGATCAACAGCCGTAAGCATTTTTATATCAAAACATTGACATTCATCATTTGATTAGAACTTTTGATAGACAAGTAAATTAGTTGAGTATTCGTACTGATTTATGAATCTCAAATTTAATCGGGTGAAAAAGGAATATGCTTGTAATAGCTGATATTTATTGTATTTCATTTAGGTTGGTGTCCGAGGAAAAGATTGCATTGTGATTGGTGTTGAAAAGAAATCAATTCCAACACTTCAAGATGACAGAACCATTCGTAAAATCCACATGATTGATGATCATGTTATGCTTGCCTTTGCCGGTTTGTCTGCAGATGCTCGTGTTTTAGTCGATCGCGCTCGAATTGAATGTCAATCTTACAAGTTGACTCTCGAGGATCCAGTTACAGTTGCCTATATCTCTCGCTACATCGCCAACACTAAGCAGGTAATGCATCGTCCAAAGTGAAAAAAAAATGCGAAAAATCAAAAAAAAAACGTCCAAACTGACGCATTTTTTTTCGCAGAAATCGCATTTTTTCGAGCACTTTTTTCGCGTTTTCTGGTGTTTTTCGAGCCAAAATGGACAGAAATTGAAAGAATTTGTTTGAAATGGTGTTTTTATTGATACTGGAGGAAAAATCAGCGGTGAAACATAAAAAATGAGTTTGTCGAAAAAATTTCGAAAAAGTTGAAAAAATTTGAAATTTTCAAAATCGTTTTTTTTTCATGTTTCACCATTGATTTTTCCTCCAGTATCAATAAAAACACCATTTCAGACAAATTCGTTCAATTTCTGTCCATTTTGGCTCGAAAAACACCAGAAAACGCGAAAAAGTGCTCGAAAAAATGCGATTTCTGCGAAAAAATGCGTCAGTTTGGACGTTTTTTTTTTGATTTTTCGCATTTTTTTTTCACTTTGGACGATGCATAAATTAATCGTTTGAACTTTTTTCGCCAAATATACGTTGTTCAGAGATTCACTCAATCACCGGGACGTCGACCATTCGGAATATCAATGTTGATTGGAGGATTTGATTTCGATGGTACTCCACGACTTTTCAAGACAGAACCATCCGGAGCTTATTATGAATATTTGGCAAACTCAACTGGCCGTGGTGAGAAACCAGTTCGTGAATATTTAGAGGAACACTATGGAGATGAGACAATTGCTGATGAACAATCAACACTCAAATTGGTTGTTAAATCATTAGCTCAGGTATTTATTTTTGAATTAAAATTTTTGCATTAAATGGTCCGGTAACCCAGAAATAAACATGGCCCAAAATGAAAGATATTCATTTCAAGATTGTTCGAATTTATATAAAACGTTGCGAAAAAACTTTCTAGATTTTATAAAATCCGAGGAAAAAACTAGAGAAATGGAGGGGCTAGGAAATTTCTAGTCCCTAATTGTAAGATATTTTTCAAAGTCCCTCCATTTCTCTAGTTTTTTCCTCGGATTTTATAAAATCTAGAAAGTTTTTTCGCAACGTTTTATATAGATTCGGACAATATAGAGTTGAATATATTTCATTTTAGACTATATTTATTTCTGGGTTGCCCGACCATTTAACTTAATTATTGTTTTTCAGGTCGTCCAATCTGGCTCTCAAAATATTGAAATCGCAGTCATGAAAAGAGTTAATGTAAGTTCATAAAATTGTAGGGTATATATCTTTCTCCTTCAATAAATCTTCAAAAAAGAAAGAATAACCTCACAAATAAAAACTATTACTTTTCAGAATGAAATTCAACAACGCGTTCTTTCTGTTGAAGAAGTAGACGAACTTCTCAAAGTTGTTGAAGCCGAAAGAATTGCAGCAGAAGCCGAAGAAGCTGCATCTAAAAAGAAATAAATTTTCTATTTTTCTATTTATCTGCCCGGTTATTATTTATTTTTTGAACCCCACTTTTTCCTATACAGTAAATTATTTCATATTTTCTTCATAGAAATTTTGAGGACAAATCGCAAGAAATGTATGCAAATTGGCCGCATTTGGTCTATAGTTTTCCTGCTCCGCCCGTTTATTTGAATATGAAGTGAAGTGAAGGTTTGATTTGAGAAGAAAAATGGGCGGAGTCAACAAGTCCCTGTGTTTTTTCGTATCATTGGACGAGCACAATAATATTGTGTTCTTTTTCAAATTGTGCCTAAACTTTTTGTTTTTGTGATTCAATCAAATTCGCCTAACAAAACAGAAATTTGATTAGTTTTATTTTTGCGCTCCTCTTTTTTCGAGCTGGTTCAATTTTCTGAAGTTTCACAAATTGCTCTTTTTAAAAATAACAGGATTTGAGGAAAAGGTACAACTGATTCAATTTTCGCATTTTTTTTGAAACTTTCTTTTTTTGGCAAATATTTACATTTTCTATTCAAAAGTGTCTTTTTTGCAGATAATAAATATTATTGAAAAATAATAAAAAAAATGGTTTGAATATGATTCGATTTCTGATTTTATTTTCGATTTTTGGATATTCAACATCTCTTTTTTCATTTTTTCAACAAAATCAGCAACACGGTTAGTTTTTTTGTACTTAAAAGTTAGATGGAAATTATGAAAATAAAAACTTTCGGAAACAAAATTTATTTTCGATCCAACAAATATCTGGGATATTTTAAACCTATCAATCTTTTTTCCCCGACATAAGTACAGTAGTTATAATATAATTAGTTCAAATTATTAACCAGTATATTATGTTTATGTCACCTGTGCATTTGCTTTTGTTTCCGGTGTTTCGACAGCTTGTCGGAAACGGCATAAATTTAGAGAAAAGAAGAAGAAGGAAAAAGAAGCGGCAATTATTCACACTTGATGAAAATTGAGCAAAAATATTAGATAGAAATTGAATTAGAATAAGGTATATGTAATATTTTTGAAGTTATCACCTTTTATTTCTAGCTCCATGAAAATGATAAAATAATAAATGTTCCCAAAACTAAATTTCGAATGGATCACGTTTTGAATCAAATATTCTTCTCACTTGTCAATAAATTATTCTCAATTTGACCGATGTAATCGCGATTTTCAAGATTTTCATCTAGTGGATCGATTTTTCTAGACACCATTTGTGATATTGAACAAATCTACGAAGAACATTACTGTAGGTTTGTAAATTATTGCAAATTCCAAAAATTAAACAATTTGAAAAAAAAATGATTAAAATTCAAAGGTGTTGCTCACAACTCTTTAGGAAGTCATTTTTGCGTGACATTTTTCACGTCAACTCGATTTTGATTTTTGTAAACCATTTCTTGGAGTATAATTTTTCGAAACAGTCAGCCGAAAATCACGAAAATTAATCTTGAGTGAGTTGAAATACTTTGTTTTTTGATTTCGGGAAATCAATCGATTCATCTAGAAGAAGTTTGGCAGTAAATATTAAAACCGAAACTTTTTTAAAAACTTAATTTTGCAATAAAAAATTCATTGAAGTCCAGTCTCGTCTAGTGGAGTTTAAACAAAAACAATAAAAAAAACTCACAGGCGAAAAAATCAAACATTTTTCTTAATTGCAGACTAACCAGATTTAAATTTGATCTACCTAAAAATCAGTGCGCGAAAAAATCATTTTGTTGTTTTTTCTTTTCATTTTCACTTTTTTGTCGATTCTCAAATGAGAGATAATATGAATCGAGAAGTGATCAAAGCTGACTCTGGAGAACGGTGCGCTTTGCTTTACATCGCCTGAACAGATGAACCGTCGAGAAATTTTTAGGAGAAGAGAGAAAGCGCGCTCTATCACACACAATTTTCTAATTGCGCCATTATTTTTCACTTCTCAGAGAAGTTGGACGATTAATCGCCTAGTAACTTGAATTAGCTGCTGGCTAACCGATTAATCGCCTGTGTTAATTTAGTTCAGGCGATTAATCGTAAGTTCACTTTACTCGGCGATTAATCGTCCAACTTGTCTGAGTTGTTTCCTCTTTGTCTCTGACATTTTTCTACTTAAGTTCTTTTTCCATTTTTTCTCAGCGGGTGCTCGCGTAACGGAAAGCGCGCCCGCCGTGGGGTACGTAGGGTACATGACATGCTCCTTTTCCCCTGAAAGTCCACAATGAAAAATGTCCTTTTTTGTCTGGTTTTTTCGCCTGTGAAACTGAGATTATTGAAAAAGCCAAAATTTAATTATTCAAATTTTTGTTTTTTCAGAAAATCATGTTCCGAATGCACCTCAAAATGTTCGAGTCAAAACACAATCAACATCAGCAACTCTTTGGTGGGATGCTCCTCCTGATCCAACTATTTTAATTAGAGGATATACTGTAGAATATGGAGAAGGAAGTATATCACAAAGAATTGTTATTGAAGGTTCTGATAGTTCTTCATTCACTATCAATCGATTAAGTAAGACTGAAAGAATGATAAAAAAATACATTCTAACGAAATAAATTATTTGCAGATCCTGACACTAATTACGTTTTTGCTGTTTCGGCTTATAATGAAGCAGATGGTGAAGACGGAACAAAAGTTATGCTAGCAGCCAAAACTTTAGTTGCCGAAGGAAGTTCAGCTGAAAAATTGTGGCCACCGACAACTGTTCGAGCAAAAATTGAAGAAAATGGTGCAGCTTATGTTTCATGGGAAGATCCGAATCCAAATGCTGTTTCACATCGACAATATGTTGTCAAGTATGATTTTTATTCTGAATGTTATCTTATTTCAAATATATTTTACATTTTTTAGTTACGGTATTCACGAGAGTGAAATTCAACAAAAAGTGCGATCAAATGCGAAATATGTTCGATTAAATGGTCTTTCTCCAGGAAAAGAATATGAAGTTTCTGTAAAAGTTGTATCCGAAGATGGAAATGAAAGTCCGTGGAGTATTCGTGATTTATTTTTGGTACCTGAAGGTCAGTTTTCAAATTTTTATGATGATTCGTTCGAATATCATTTTTACGATAACTAAGGTCATTTTCAAAAAATGACAGTAATGTGTTTTTTTCTGACAAAGAATGATGTTTTTAGTGAAAAATTCGGATATTCGTTCGAAATTCGATTGGATTTGTCGAATAAATGACACTGAAATGTGCTCGATTGAAACATCGGATCATTGGAAATTATGCGCAGAAAAACATGATTTTTATACCCAAAGACAATCAGGCGCTTGTCCTCGAGCACAGTATCCTTCATCACCTGCACATCTTACAACTCCAATTATTCATTTTCCGGATGCTCAATCACTATGTTTTCATATGAGATATGCTTTGTTGAATTTTCATCCAGCACAAATGAAAGTTGAATTGTTCGAAAAAGCTGATTTCAAAAAACGACACATCTTATGGAAAACAAGAATGGAAAATGTGAAACAACATGTTATTCAGAATGTTTATATTCCATTTTCAAAACAAATTTCAGAATTCAAGGTAAAACTAAAATATTTATAAGAATTGAATGAGAATTGTATTGTTCGGATTTCAGGTATCAGTTTCATTAAAATGGGAATCTCAACATATGCCACGTATTATTATGCATCAAATGGATATTTATAGTGGCGGTTGTCCTGAAAAATCAACTGGTTAGTTCGTTTTTTTTTGAAAGGGAAGGGGGTTTGAAAATATCATGATGGAGCCGGAATTACAGTCTTTATTATTCGGATCAGAATGATCATTGTTATTTTTGAAAAGCTGAATTGAAACAGTTTTTTTTGGAATTTTCAAACTTTTGTGTTCCGTACCATTGGAAATCAAATTCAAAAAGGCCAAATATTTTAGCACCCATTTAGAATTTCCTTCACAAATAAAACATGGTCAGATTCAGAAATTTTTAAAATTAGGGCGAATCGCTCCATCTCTATCGCCCGGTTTCGAAATTCCCAAATATTCCTCTATTTTCTTGTTTCCCTCTATATTTATTTTGTTTTTGTCATCAAACGTTTTAAAGCTGAATAGTAGTACTTCATTCATCAATCCAAAATAATTATAATTTGTAAGATGAAAATAGTGGTGGCGGACCACGAAAAATGCATCAATCTTAGCCTGTGGTACTTGAACGAAAAAAATCGCGATGCAAACATTGTCTTTCCCTTCTTCTTCTTCTTCTTTCTCGCCTTCTTCCTTTCTTTTTTTCTTCGCTCCGCCCATTTTTTGTTTCTGCTTTTCCGCAATTGAAATTTTTTGGCAGAGGTTTTGGTGTCAGTAATCCCTAGGTTTAAAAAAGGGAGCCGCCCTACTACTATTTTCACATGATATTTCTAACAAACTTTTTCATATATTCATGTTGACCTTTTTATTCATATTTCTTCTATTTTTTGGGATTTTGTTGAATCAAAATCATGCACAACCACCAGCTTTTTTCACTTTCAACACACTTCCAGGAGGTTGGTTTGGAAATAGAATTTTGGAAAAAAATATTTGAGGAAAAGTCGGAACTTTATTTTCATACAGGCTTATTGTGAGTAAGGTCGATTTCTGAAATTTTGAAACGGCGAAATTAGTTTTCGGAATGATTTTGTAAATTCGATACAGTTGAGGTCACGTTTTTAAATTTGATTATTTTTTTAATTTTTAAAAATCCCAAAAGTCAAAATTTCACAAATTAGAATACTTGAATTTGTCATTTTTAGCCTGAAACTAAGAGTTTTCGAAATTCACAAGTCAGTTAAAAGAAGTTTGAAAACCATTTCTGGAATTATAAATTTTAATCACATTTGGTCAAAATATTTCGAGATTTATAAACAGTTCTAAAATTGGTACGGTTGTGCATCGATTATTTTTATATGGTGTTGACCATTATTTTTTGGTATAAAAACTGTATTGGTGCGAATCTCGAGCAAATTTGAAAAGCTTCAAATATTTTCGGACTTTCCAAACATGAATTAAGCAAAATCGAATAGAAGCATACTTTTGGCATTAATTAATCACGAAAATTTGAACCAAAAACTTGTAATTCAACACACCACCTGCTTGTCTTTCTTCTTCTTCTTCTTCACAATTCTTTCTTTGGTCTCGAAATAACAAAAGTGTCGAATTCTTTCATGCATACAATTTTCTCTTTTTTCTCTAAATCTCTTCTCAGAAAATGAGCATTGCTACAGTATCATTGTGTCACTTTCAATAAAATTAATAACAAAAACGTGGAGGATTATACAAAACATAAATTATGTAATAGAGGTCGATGCTTCACTTTTTCATTTATTCTGTCAATTGTATTTGATGGCCTTGGCCGAATTTCTGGTTGATCATTTTTATGAGCAGCTGGAACTGAAAGAAAAAGAACACTGATTCAAACCATTGATACAAATTCCCATGAGGGAAAACAATTGGTTTTTTCCCGGTGAGAAAGTAAAGTTCATAAAAGACAGAAAAATAAAAACTAAAATTATTTAAAAAGTTTTAGATTTTTTTGAATAAATTATAGTGTTCGGATGGACAAACATTCGGACGGACAAAGATTTTCTCAAAGAAGAAACGAGAACAAAAAATGTCTGAATATAGATTGTACCCTCGAGACATATTATCTCAAAATAACACTACTACTAGCCTTTTTTCCTCTCTCTCTATTTTTTGGTGTTTGTGTGTATGATTTGACAACTTATCCCAAGGGATCATCATATTTTTCAAACAAAGAAACATTTATGTTGCGGTTTTTGAAAAATTGCACAGAACAATAGAAGGTTGCTGACCACGAATTTTTAGAACATGTATATAATTTTTTGATAAAAACCGAATGGGATTCGTAAAGTTTTAACAAGGGAAGATCGTAGAGTCGACAAACAAAAACTTTTTCTGAAACTTTGGCAGTTAAAACATCTTTCGGTTGGTTTCTAAAAGTGAAATCTGAAAGTTTGAACAAAGAAAACAGAAGCAATAATAGAAATAGAAATAAATAAATCAAAATTTATGAGATTTTCAATGAAATTGTTTTTTATAGATACTGAAACGGAAGTGGATCTACTTGCACCGGTTGAAGCATCTTTGAAAGCAGATTCGCGAGTTTTTCGAGCAAAAGGAATGGATTCATTACCAGCAATTGGAGTACAGCGAGGGGTTGAAATTGCAGTTCCATATCGATTATATTTACCTAGAAACTTTTTCAAACAATTTTCATTATTAGCCACAATTAAACCAATGGATAAAAGAGGTGGATATTTATTTGCAGCAATGAATGAATTTGATTCGGCTGTTGATATTGGATTGTTGATTGAACCTGCAGGTATTTGTCATTTTTTCTTGAGAATTTTGGATGATTAAGAATTTTAGGAACTGCACAATCAAATATATCTCTAATTGTTCGATCAAATTCGATTGCCTCTTTTCTTGTTGATGATTTTTCGCAACAGTGGACTCAACTTGCGTTAGAAGTTTCACAGCAGACTGTCACTTTTTATTTTCGATGTAGAAGATTTGGAGCAAAACAGGTAGGTACATTTTGAGTAGGGATATATTAGTTGGGGGAAGTTTATTCAAATTGGACTTGGCTGAAGAGATGATGCGAATCAGCTTTCAGAAACTCTGAAAATCTATTTTTGGGATTTGGTGGAGGGTGGCTGAAAATTACTTTCAAATTTCAATCACTGAAATTACATTGGAAAGAAAAACCAGAAATTCAAAATTTAGAAAAGTTCACTCCTGCCAGTACTTTTGTGTGATTCAGAATTTTTCAAAAGTTTTAATTTGGACTAATTTTTTGATGTTGTCCTAATCAGAAATTTGGAAAATCAGTCCTGAAGGATCAGACTATTCTAGATTCCCCAAGTTCGTTTCGAAGTCACCCATGAATTTTTAAAAAATATTTTTCGAAAACTCCCAAATTGTTTTTTTACAGATATCCTCAAGTCTACCTGAATTTTCTTTCGATGAAGCTGAAAAATTGTATATTGCCAGTGCTGGTCCGATACTTGACAATGGTTTTGAAGTTAGTTCTTTTGTTTTCAAATTCTTTTTCGCCTTCAGTTTCCATTCATTCATTCAAACAAAAAAGTTGGCATTTCTCCAAGTAGTAATGAGTCATACGGTTTTTTCTCATACATTATTGCTCATTCATCGGACGCGCGTTGTCTTTTTTTCGCAAAAAAAAAGCGTTCGTTCGATGTTGTTTTTTTAAAGCGGCATTTTCTTTTTAATCATTTTGATAAGATTTCGTGGGCGCCTTCGTTTTCTAGAAAACATTTTTCATCATTATTTATTGTTATTATATATTGCAATTTTTTTTTCATTTTCGAAAATTAAAAAAAGGCTGACCGAGACAATTGTCGCTCTTAAATGAAAAATGAGATGTTCATATTTTGGATGATGATTCGATTGGCACATTTTCATTTTTTGCACTTTTTGAAAGATTTGTTTAGATTTTAAATCTTGCACTTTTTCTTTTATTTTTCGAATTTCATATAAACTCTCATTTATTTTCCTCAAATTGCAGAGAATCTCAAAAACTATGCGAATAATATTTCTGTTTTTATTTCTGATTCAATTCTCTTTGATTTTTTGTTCGGAAGAAGAATTGAAATCAGCTGAAATTGAAATTGTCGAAGATGAAATATTGACTAATAACACAGTTTATGAAATCATCAATAAACAGCGTTTTGAAAGATCTTCTCAAGAAAATGAAGAAATTGATGAGGAAAAACCAGAAATGTTTGTTTTCGAAAATATTGAATTAGATTTGAATGGAACATCGGCGGATGAAGAATTGAAAGAGGTTAATTTTATGGGATAATGGGTTTTTATAGGGAGCTATTCAAGAGCTGAAATTGATTGATGATTCAACACAAGGAGCACGGCAATGTGATGAACAATGGGTAATGTTTGATTAATGTTGTTTTGAGAAGACAAAAAATTGAGATGTGCCAAGAGAAATGGCCTCCCATTTCTCATAAAAATGGGTTTTTACAATTAAGTTTTCTGAAATTTTCAATGATTTTGAAATTATCTCTTCATCCAAATTTACTAAAAATTATGTAAATATTAGTGGCGACGTCGTAAATTGGAAAAGGGACGAGAGATGAGCAGAAAGGTAGGTTTATATAGGCTTTGTATATTTCACCGTGAAGCTATCTTATAAGTTTATGTTATTGTTTGTGAAACCTATAGGTCATCTATCTCTGACCAACTAAAAAACAACAAATATTTCCGAAATAATCTCGAATTTTCAGCCGGAAGGAAGCGGGTTACCAACTGAAGAAGTTGTGAAAATACCAATAAATGAGATTCGGAATTTCCCAACAACTCCATTTCCACCTCCACCAACTCCTCCACCATTTCCAACGCCACAAAAAGCACCAGAAGGTTAGTCGAAAATTGATTTTCACTTATGAACAACAAAAAAATAAGCATTTAGAAATTTTGGAACTTCAAAAAAAAAAACATTTCAGATTTCTTCTTGTCGGATGACTCATTGGTTGTTCCATTCAGATCTTTAGGTTTTCCCCCGGTTTTCTTCCTTTTTAGATGGTTTTTGAGATTAGCATGACTTTTGGCTTATATTGGGATGCGGGGTGTGATAGATTTTTGGAAAATGATGACTCTTTTGAAATGTTATTTCATTCAGAACGTCAAACATCTCCTCTTGTCTCATCTTCTCAAACTTGCACTCAAATTTGTCAAGGTGCACCTGGACCACAAGGACCTCCTGGAAATGATGGGATTCCTGGTTCACACGGGAATCCAGGTCATCCAGGACACGCAGGAGCTGATGGCCAAAATGGACAACATGGAGAACAAGGGCCACCAGGTCCGCCAGGAGTTCCTGGTCTTCCTGGGCCACCAGGTGTTCCTGGTACAACATCAAGTGGGGATGGGCACAGTATTCCAGTAGCTGGACCACCTGGATCACCAGGATTGCCTGGAGTACCTGGAAGAGATGGTTTGGTTGGAGAAAGGGGACCTGTTGGACCAGTTGGACCAAAAGGAGAAGATGGTACAAGTATTGAAAGTTTGAGTGATGATGATATTGAAAGAATTGCTAGAAAAGTTTATCAACTTCAAAAGGTAATTAAAATAATCTAAGAATTTTATTTCATTATTGTTTATTACAGCCAGAACTTGATCGTAGAAATCAAGGAATTGAATCGAGAGGAGAACGTGGACCACAAGGGCCTCCTGGTCCACCAGGACAACCGGGTCAACCAGCATATTCTGCTACTTCTCATGGTTAGTTTTTTGTTTGTTTATGCTTCTTTATATTTTCGCGAAAATGTTTATAAGTTACAAATGTTTTCCTACAAGAATAGTCTTCTAATATTTTTGTTCTTTTTTATTAGTTCCGGAAATTCAATTTTATTTTTTCCAATTCCAAATAGTTTATTGAAAGGTGTTAAAAGATCAATCTATAATATCAACAAAAAATATTTTCAGCTGTATTCTCTGGAACTCCGGTCAATGTTCATGCAACAACTGTCGAATTATTTGCAACTTCTCGAAATACTCGAGTTGGCCAATTGGCATTTGCAACTTCTTCTCAACAACTTTTCATTCGAGTTAACAATGGCTGGAAAGAAGTTCAACTAACTAGTTTTCATCCATTTGTAGAACAACGACAATCCACGGTTAGTTTTTGTTTTTTATTTTTATTTGAAGTTTGAGAAGGATTTCGAAAAAAAAACATGTCAACAAATAAGGTAAATATTTTTAGCCAATCGAGCTTGATTCTCGATACAGTCCGAATAGTTTAGAATATTGGGTAAGTATTGTTGTATATTGTGATTGATGTTGTTATTAAATGACAGACTCATCATTCGTCTCATAAATGTTCACATCGACAAACAAGATCAAACGTAATTCATTGATTTTCTTCCCAAATTTTTCAGTTCACTTTTTCCATTGTGGTTGAGAGTTTCTGTCAAATATTTGTCGAGTTCAAAACACATTTTTTTTCATTTCCAGCAACATTCGAGACAAAATGATATTTATCATGTGACATCATCTGTTCCACAAACACCTGATTGGATGCCAAAAACAACTACAGAAAGACCACAACGTGATTCAAATCATAATAAAGAACGAGTTGTGAGTATGAATAGTTTGTTAGATTTCTGATTTAAGAGTTTCGCCCTTTAGATTCACATGATTGCATTATCACATCCTTTCTCTGGAAATTTACACGGTCTTCGAGGTGCTGATTTGCAATGTTATCGTGAAGCTCGAGCTGCTGGATATACAACAACATTCCGTGCAATGCTTTCATCGGATGTTCAAGATATGGTTAAGATTGTTCATTCAGCTGATGCCGATACACCGGTTGTTAATATTTATGGACATCAGTTATTTGATAGTTGGAGAGCATTTGTTAACGGTGTTTCAATTTCGAATCAAGCCCAACTTTTCTCATTTGATAGACATGAAGTTCTCAACGATTCGAAATGGTGGGTATAGATTCTGATCTTTTAGAGTGAAACTTTATGAAACTTTACGGTAGCGGTACCTTTTTCTATTAATACTTTTCTGAATTTCTTTGTAGATCTCTACGTGCGTAGGTGTTCAGAACTAATTTGGAAATTTTAAGGCCTGATAAACGAGTTTGGCATGGATCTCAATTTGGTGGAATTCGTGGACAACAATATTGTGATGGCTGGAGAAGATCTGACAGTGAGTTCAACAAAAAATATTAGATTCTCTCAAATATTATCCGTTTAGATTCTCTTAAATCATTTGCCGGACAAATTTTCTCGAACACTTCAATTTTTTCATCAACAACACAAATCGATTGTGACAACAAACTGATTGTTTTGTGTGTTGAGAACATGTCGAAATATCATGGTGACAAAATCTTGAGACTTCGTCGACTCCAAAGTGAATACTTTTAATAATTTGCTATTTCCACAGTAGTTTTTTCTCCAAAGTATTTTCTTTTTTCATGATTTCAAATCATTTTATCATGACGGCTTTAATTCAGCATGTTTTTTTTTATTATTTGACACATTCTTTCATCAAAAACTGCCATTATCTATGAATTTTTTATTTTAACTGATATTTTTCTAACTCACGCTATTTTTTTTGCAAATCGAGGGAGACGCAGAGAAAAAAGAAACCGTACTTTTTAAGTCGCTCAGGTGAATCGCTGCGAGACCAAGCGCCAAAACCGTACTTCTCCCCGCCGGTCGGGTGCATCGCCGCGAGACCACACAAAATGTCTTCGTCTCTCAGGAATTGCATTTTTCTATTAGAAAAAAACACAGTTAACTTATAATTTATTTCCTATTGGAATTAGTAAACTAGGGAATCTGTAATTATATATTTAAAGTGAGCGCAATCATAAGATACGAATAATTATAAGTTTCTTTTTCTTCTTGAGTTTGCCGATTCGGAGCATTTTGTAAAATGATCTTCTGTATCTGATGTTGCTGAAGATCATAACAAGAGTTGTAAAACAAGAATGCGATGATATCAAAAATATAAAAGTATTTGTTAGTTCTTGAAGTTCGACTAAACCATAAATGATAACAATTGAAGAAGTTATCAGTGGAATAATCAGAAAAGTAGATGGTAATATACATTGCATTATTAGAGTAAACAAAAGCCTTTTATGAGTTTTGAATGTTTCAGTCGAAATTTGAACGCGTAGTTTTTTCAAATAATATGCTGCATGAAATGCTAAACCAAATGAATATGTGGAAAATATTAAAACAAAAGAAATCACTGTTATGCAAAATATTATGATTGTACTGTTATAATTAATGTCATAAACAGCGAACCTTTTATTTAAAGAATAGTGAACACATTCGGGATAGTTCTGAGACATTGATTAAATACTGTAACTCGTTTTTTTTTGTTTACCTTCATCAAATAATCAAATTTTTGCTCAAATGATAAACTTGAGAAAAATAACAATAGAGCTATCAAAAATGGGAAAATATGACATGATATAATCACAAAATAGTTCAAAAATTGAAACGGGCTTTTCATCTGTGAAATGTTATCTAATAACTGTCATTTTTGTATTTTTTTATCACCTTATTTACTGTTATGACACTTGTATGTCTATAAATGAAACACAAAACAAGTGAAGGTAACTCAAATCCAAAAATCCAATTCCAAATAACAGCTGTGATATGACCCGTCCAACATTCTCCAAGATAAGATAAATTAACACCTGCAATCATTGGGAAAAAGTAATATCCAGGTGCCAGAAAAGAAGACCAATTTTCGGCGAGAAATGCTGTGATCTAAAATCTATTTGATTTTTAGATATGTTTTGAAGAAGAAAAACCTGGTAATACAATACACAGTATTTGTAATTTCCCATTGAATTATACCAAAAAATACAGGCACCGACAATATTGACAGGAAATGAGATGAATGTAATAACACTCAAAACATAAGTATAATAGACTGGAATTTTTTCGGGACAAATTTTAGTTGAATTCATTTGAATATTTTTCTGATGTTTGTAACTACTATTCTTAAATATACTAAAATAATGATAAGTTTGAAACAAAAAATATAGGTGTTCAATTAGTTATGACGAAACATATTGTCTTTTTTTTCGCTATGCAATTTAACAGACAGTAATCCATACATTTATAATCCAATCATAAACCACAAATGACCGATTATCAACAAAATGTAAACATTGCGAATATTTCTGTATCAAAAGTTATGTCATTTAATTTTTCGAGAGATTGGGTTTCCCAATCAAAAACAGGTGATATGAAATGTTCTTATGATAATTACATTTGATAGTTTACGAAAATTAAGCTTATGAGTTAATATTAACAGTAGTCCTTGCTACACTAACTGATACCAGATTTGTTCTTTCTTGACCTGCAGCATTTTGTAGGCATAGAAAATACCTGAGTGTGATAAATTTTTATAATGATCAAAACGAAATCAACAAATTTACCTCATTTTATTTTTCAATGTTGATATATATCTCGAATTTGTTGTTATCATAACAATTGTTGAAATACAAGAATGAGAACAAATACCAAACATGGCACAGCTTGAATATTCTGAAAAGTGAAATTATCACTAATGATTGTTGTATAGATATTCCTACCACGTAAATCAGTTATTTGATAAGCAATTATTATAAGAAGTGTATAAATTGGGACAATTAAAAAGAGTGATGGAATAACACATTGCATTGATAAACTGATTAATGCACTTTTATGCATTTTAAAAGTTTCAGCTGACATATGAACACGTAATTTATGTAAAATATGCATTGTATGAATAACCAGACAAAAGCCATATAAAACTACAATTAGTACTATAGCTAATGATCCAATTCCACAAACTGCAATCCATACATTTATATTCCAATCATAAATATCAAACGAACGATTATCAACAAAATGTAAACATTGCGGATATTTCTGAATTTTCTTTTTGTATTACAAATTATCTTCGAAATTTTAGTTACCGTTTTCAACAATGTATACATTTCATTGTATGACAATGCAGATAAACGAAATGTAACTCCAGTAAAAACTGGTAATACATGAGCAACAAATAATGCAAAGTAGTTCACATATAGTAATGAGTTTTTGGATTTGTTGATTCCAATTGCAGCATCATGTCGATACATAAAACAAATAAATAATGAAGGAAGTTCGAAACAAAGTAATACAATCCATATAAGAATTGATATTTTTCCAGTTATTAATTCACCCATGAAAGAAATATTGTAACCAGCGATCATTGGAAAGAAAAAGTAACCAGGAGAAAGATAAGAAGCCCAATTTTCAGTCGTGAATGTTACGATCTAAAGTTTATGAATCCGTTTTTCAAGATTCATTCTTATTTATTCAACTTTACCTGTAAATACATCAAACAATATTTGAATTTTCCCATTTGTGGAGAATGAAACCAAACAAGCCAAACACCAGTTGAATTAATTGGAAATGATATAATTGTCATTAGAGTTAGAGTTACTGTATAATATTTTGGAACTACATCTGGACAAATATCTGAGCTGTTCATTGTTTGAAAATAAAAGTGAAAATAAATGATTTCGTCGTAATTTTTCTAAATGTCAAAACATTATCAAACTACAGGTGATTTGAAGTATAAAAGGCTCCGGTTTTTTAAGTGAAAACATTTATAGAATCAAATTACTTTTTAGCAGACACAAATGATAATAATTTTGAAAAATCAAAAGTATTTGTTTTATTGAATTTACCGAAAAAATACGAGTATCACTATTCTTTTTTAAATTACATGCTATGTACCTTTAATTATAAGGTTATAGAGATAAGAGAACACATAAGTATGATAATCGTGATTTATGAAATAAGGAAGTGTTTAATGATATTTATGAGTCATTTGCTCAAAGAATGATTAGTAATTTAAAACGTTGTGAAAGAGTTATCATTTATCTTCAAACTCTTCCCGATGTAAGACACTTTTATTGTTTGTATTTTATTAATATCTGTTGGTAAGCGAATCATTATCAAATTTTATGAAAAACATTTACATTTGGTTCATACATCTTTAAAATTATTACTAGTTTCTAACAATACTCATTGATCTTGGTATGCTAACTGATATCGATCTGCGATGAATCGGAGCTTTTTGAAAAATGAGCACTGGTTTTAACTTATTCTTTAGTGTTGATAAATATCTCGAATTTGTTGTTATCATAACAATTGTTGATATACAAGAATGGGAACAGATTCCAAAAAATGCAAAATTTATGTGTTCTGAAAAATACCATTTTAAATGAAAGATAAAAGTTTTTGCATACCATGTAAGCCATTTATCTGGTAAATAACAATTACAAGAATTGTGTATATTGGAACAATCAAAAAAATTGATGGAATAACACATTGCATTGATAAACTAATTAATGCACTTTTATGCATTTTAAAAGTTTCAGCTGACATATGAACACGTAATTTATGTAATATATGCATTGTGTGAATTCCCAAACCAAATCCATACGAAACCACGATTAATGCTAGAGCTAATGATCCAATTCCACAAGTTATAATCCATGAATTTATATTCCAATCATAAACCTCAAATGAGCGATTATCAGCAAAATGTAAACATTGTGGATATTTCTGAATTGAAAAGTTATGTAAGATATTCAAAACATTAGTATACCGTCTTCAGCAGATTGTATTTCTGATCGTATGTTAATAATGACAATTGAAATGTAGTTGCAAAAAATGGTGGCAATAAATGAGCAACAAATGAGGAAAAATAATTCAAATATTTCAAAGAATTTTTTGAATTATTAATTCCAATTGCAGCATCATGTCGATACATAAAACAAATAAATAATGAAGGAAGTTCGAAACAAAGTAAAGTACCCCAAATAGTCATTACAATATGACCAGTCAGAAATTCACCAAGAAATGAAAGATTGTAACCTGCGATCATCGGGAAAAAATAATATCCGGGGGAAAATGAAAACCAGTTTTCAGTCATGAATGTTGCAATCTTATAAAAGAAACTAGGTATTTTCTTACAAATTTTCTAGAAATAAGTTACCTGTAAATACATCAAACAATATTTGAATTTTCCCATTTGTGGAGAATGAAACCAAACAAGCCAAACACCAGTTGAATTAATTGGAAATGAAATACAAGCCATTAGTGTTAAAGTCACTGTATAATATTTTGGAACTACATCTGGACAAATACTTGTAGAATTCATTTTTAAAAAATTTCAGTTCTAACGAGAAATGAGATTTTCTGAAATATTTGATCTCATGTAAAAATATCCACTACCCTGTGTTTCACCTGTTCGAATTCTTCGCATTTAGTGACATTTAAACTATGTCATTGGTTAAAAAAGAAATAACCCGGGGAAATAAAAGAAGCCCGAATTTCAGTCATAAACGTTATTATCTGAAAAGTACAAAACAATGTTTTTCTTAATTTGTTTAATAACCAGGTTCATATAAAAAGATGTTATCTTTAAATAATATATTTGAATTTTCCCATTTGTGGAGAATGAAACCAAAGTTGAATTAATTGGAAATGATATAATTGTCATTAGAGTTAGAGTTACTGTATAATATTTTGGAACTACATCTGGACATATATCTGAGCTGTTCATTTTTTATGTAAGTAATTTTTGTTGGTGTGAAAAGTTAATACATAGAATGAGTTGACTTTTGAGCAGATCCAGTATTGATAAATCAAATACGTTCTCTGAAGCTACTCAAAAAATTATCCGAATCTAACCTTTTGTCCGAAAATTACACACTAAATGTATATATTATGTTACAAAGAGATATATATGTTCAAAATCATTCTGATTTGTGAAATGAGGAACTTTATTCTCAAGTGATTAATATTGTCAATCAATAAACACTCGGATGCTGGTTCGATTTTTAAAACATTTCAATATAACTTCTTTTGTTCCATTTTTATTCAACAAATTATAAGATAATCTTATTGAAAAACCTAAGTAAACGAATTGAATTTAAACCTTTCAAGCTTGCACAATACTCATTGTTCTTGGCATACTGACTGATATCGAATTTGATCTTTTTTGAATTGGAACTTTTTGGAAAATTGTTCCTGGTTTTAGCTTGTTTCTTAGTGTTGTTAAATATTTTGAATTTGTTGTTATCATGACAATTGTTGAAATACAAGAATGGGAACAGATTCCAAAAAATGCACAATTTGAATACTCTGAAATTTCATTTTCATAATGAAGGAGTTGAGAAGTCACACCATACCATGTAAATCGTTGATCTGGTAAGCAACTATTACAAGGAGAGTATACATTGGAACAATAAGAAAAAGTGATGGAATAACACATTGCATTGATAAACTGATTAATGCACTTTTATGCATTTTAAAAGTTTCAGCTGACATATGAACGCGTAATTTATGTAGAATATGCATTGTGTGAATAACCAGACCAAAACCGTATGAAACTACAATCAATACTAGGCTAAATGATCCAATGCCACAAATTGCAATCCATGAATTTATGTTCCAATCGTAAATTTCAAACAAACGATTATCAGCAAAATGTAAACATTGCGGATATTTCTGAATTGACAATTTCCCACTTTTTTATTTTAATTCTCGGGAAATCGCAAGCGTGCTACACCTAAATGCGGCGTAGTACGCTTGCGATTTCATGAGTAATAGCATACCGTTTTCAATAGATTGTATTTCTGATCGTATGTTAATAATGACAATTGTAATGTAGTTGCAGTAAATGGTGGCAATAAATGAGCAACAAATAAAGTAAAGTAGTTCAAATATTTCAAGGTATTTTTTGAATTATTAATTCCAATTGCAGCATCATGTCGATACATAAAACAAATAAATAATGAAGGAAGTTCGAAACAAAAAATGAAAACCCAAATAACCATTGTGGTGTGACCGGTCATCAATTCACCCAGGTATGAAAGATTAAAACCTGCGAGCATTGGGAAAAAATAATATCCGGGAGAAATGTAAGAGGACCAATTTTCCGTCATAAAAGTAATAACCTTACAACGAAACATTATTATTTTAAGTTGGATGGGATTTTTAGACAAAGTTGATTTTTCAATGTTACCTGTAAATACATCAAACAATATTTGAATTTTCCCATTTGTGGAGAATGGAACCAAACAAGCCAAACACCAGTTGAATTAATTGGAAATGATATAATTGTCATTAGAGTTAGAGTTACTGTATAATATTTTGGAACTACATCTGGACATATATTTGTCGAATTCATTTGGCAGATCGATATTTTGAGCGTTGCGAACTTATAATCGGAAATTTTTTCGATTTCAGTTAAAAATATTCACCACGCCGTATTTTCACCTGTTCAAATTCCTTGTATGTCATGACCTTTTAATTATATTCAGATTTTATTGTAAAAATGTTCTTAAGATCAGAATTCAAACATCGAAGGAATAACTACTCCAAAAAAATGTTTGAGGTATTCAGTGTTATCAAAAATTAATTCTTTTGATAATAAAATATTTTTAAAATAAAAAACAAAAACAAGTTGCCAATTGTTATCTGTTCATTTTCACTATACTCGTCTCTTATTGTTTAATTTAGTTGTTGTGTTTAATTTAGATTTCAGTCTATCGAATGAAAATATTTCTATATGTGTTTGTTCTACTGAACTTTGGTTTTTCAATTCTTTGTGTTTATCCGCCATTTCGACCAAGATGTCGATATGATAAAGAATGTGCTGAATGGTGTGGAGAAAAAAGACATTTGGTAAGCTTTGTTGATAAAAATAGTTATGATCTCTGTTTTTTGTAGCCAGATCGAATTCCTGATTGTTACGTTCATCGTTGTTATTGCATTGAGAAACATAAAAATATTGGAAAATTTGAAAAAGAAGAAAAACCCTGTAAACATAAGAATGATGATTGTTTTGATAATTTATTTCAAAATCGATAAATTTTGTTTTATATTTCAACAAAAGAGAACATCAGGAACGGCTTGATCTTTCGAGTTTTTTGGCAATGTTTTTTCATGATTTTCAGTGTTCCCATCTTATTTATTTTTTTCATTAGAGCAACCTGTTCCCGACAATTTTCTTCCTCCCTTCCACACCATAATAATGATACACCACATTTGTCTGCGTCTCTTCATCTCTGAATAGTCTCTAATCCTTGTATGGTGTGACAGCTGGTTTGTGACCGTATAACCGATTTCGAACATCTGTCTTTTAGAAGAGGATTTAAGTGAAAGAAGTGGGTTTGGGATAAAGAATGGCTGTGGTGTAATAAATAATGACTACCGTAGGAAACACGAGTAAAATGACCTCATTTAATCTATGAAATCCCAATCCCTTTATATTAGTTATCGTATATTTATTATTTTCGTTTAATCTTCTTCCATCAAAAGGCTTCTTCATCGATTTTTGACGGGTTTCCTTTTGGGATTTGAGAAACGCGAAAATGCCACAATTTTTGATGAGTTATGGTGTATATATCTCTCTTGACAAACAACATTTTATGGTTGAATTTGAATGAGAATTCGGAAAATGTGCAGTTTGGGAAATTGTGTTTGGTTTGCGACTGAAAATAGAAATATTTTCTGAAAGTTTCACCTGGAAAAGGTTACAAAAAATGAAAGATTAAAAGACGAGTTGAACAAAAATTCAGATTAAAACCGAAGAGAACGAAAATTTCGGAATCGAACTTTAAGAATCAGGCCGATTTTTATTTAAAGTATGGTTATCCGTTGTCGATTTCAGATACATATACTCAAAATCTGAATCTATAATATCGAAATTTTCATACCCAAATTTTGCAGAAACTATTTGAAGCTCACAATGAGATAATTCAGTTTTTGTTCTTCTCATATCGGGATTCTTTATCCTCTTTTAGAATACAATAGTAATTTGCACTCATGTTGTTCGTTTGCCGAAAAAAACTGAAGAATACTTGAGAAGTGTTTGATTATATAATCCATACAGCTTTTCTTTTCTTTTCTCATCATCGAAAAAACAACCAAATTTCAACTCGGCAAAACCTTCCATCGACGAAAAAATCAATTTCCTTTCGATTTTTGTCGTTTTCCTGAAAATAGGGCGGAGTCAAATGCGCAGAATTAATGAAGACGAGGGAAAGAAGCAGAAGAAAAACGAAGGATTGTAAGGGGTGCGCAGATGGCTAGAAGCCGTTTGTGTGTGTGTTGTGCATGTGCTCTTCTTAGCTCTCACTCACTCACACACTCACTCACACATACATATATATTCTATACTTGGATTGGTCCATCTTCTAGTCATTTCTTCTCAGAGTTCTAAATAATTATTTATTTATTTTTTGTGTGTGTATTATAATTTAATAATAATGGTCCATGAAATGATACGTGCGAGTAGCACATCATCAACTGATTCAAACGGGTTTCCGGTAAAAGATGCGGATGCAATGAAATTATTTGTTGGCCAGGTTTGTTTTTTTTGGGTTTCATTTGGTATGGCAGTTTGAACTTGTTTTTCAATTCGAATTTACCGAAAGGAAGAAATCAAATTTAATTAAATTGCGAAGATATTTTTGAAATATAAGATTGTTGACATCAAGATTTGTAAAATCGAAAATTTGTATTTGCTATATAAATCCGTAGAATCCAAAATCCAAATATTCATAGAGGTTCTCCTAAATCTTCACAAAAATCCAATCCAAATCCTTATGAATCTCCCCTCGCTTTCTGAGATTGGAATCAGTTTTAAAATCGTATCAAGATTAGTTGAGCGAAGGAAAACGGCAGAGATAATCCACCAAGAGATTTAGTAGTTTTGTCAAAAGATTAGGAAAATATATTGTTTTCATGAAAAATACTTATTTTCGAGCTGAATGAAGAAGCAAATTGAAAAATAAGAGATTGAAATGATAGAATCAATTAAAAAAATGTCTAGTTTTTCGAAAACAATTTTTCTTCCAGTTTTAAAAAGAAGTCTATTTTTGAATTCACCTGGATACCAGCTATAAAACTTTATGAGTTTTCCGAGAATATTCCCCCAATGTTTTTTCCGAAAAACTTTTCCAAGGTTGAATTATAAATGAAAATTTATCCTTCAATTTCTGCCAACTTGAATCCAACAAAACCAAAAAGGAAAAAGAAGAAGTAATATATGCGTTGAGAGAGTATTTGCATGTCCACATAATATATATCCATCCACTTCTTCTCCGCTTTCAAAAAAGAAAAGACGAAAAAAAGGGGAAAAGCCAAAAATGTTCGGGAAAATGGCAAAAATCGATGTGAGTGTGGCCAGTTTTTCTCTCGACAAACTTGAAATTTGGAAAAAATTGAATCTTGACTTTTTTGGGAAGATGAGCTTTTTCGGGGAGATCCACTCAAAAATACTCCAATAAAAATAGGATTATAGGAATTGGCTTTTCTCGAAATATGTGGGAAAATTTTTAATTGAAAAAAGTTCAGATTGTGACGTTATTCTGCCCTTTCAAAGATCGAGTGATTTTTAAATTAAATTTTAGTCTTGCAAGAATTGTTTTGGAGAAAAACAAAAGCGGTTTGAAAATAGATTACGTTAGAAAAAATATAACAAAAACCTTGAAAACGGAAGCTTGAAAATTTTAACGAAAATGAACGGGAATTTGTTAAAAATGAAAAAAGTAGACGGTTAGAACACGTTCACGAGTTACATTTCACGAAATTCAACGTAAACGTGAGAGATTTAGAAAAATATTTTTGAACTACCAGAAATTTTTTGAAAAGTTTGAGGTCTAGCGATTTGTGATGATTTAGGGCACACTGTGAAAAAATACTTCCTAAAATTGGAATAAATATTTGAAAACGATTTTTTGAAATACAAGAATTATGTTTTATAAAACTTCTTCAGTGTTTTGGAAAACAAAATTTTGAAAAAAAATAAATGGAGAAAATTTTTTTGGGGTAAAAATTATCCAAACTTATCTAATTCACAGTAAATATAAATTGTGAATAATTTTTTAAAAATTAATAATATTTTTCACAATTTGAAAAAAAATATATATTGAGATAGAAGTCCCTCGAAATATTTTTCTTCTGCAAATACTCTCATTTTCTGTAAATGACACATGAATAATTTTTCATGAATTAGTTTCCCTTGGAAACTGAGAAAATATATAACAAATGATCTTTTTCTTTCTAGAGTTCACTTGAATGATCACAAAAAAGTATTCTCAAATTTTTCTTTTTTGAATAATAATAATAACGAAAATATCATTTTTGCAGATTCCACGAAATTTGGAAGAAAAAGATTTGAGACACTTATTCGAACAATTTGGAAAAATCTACGAGTTTACAATTTTGAAGGATAAATATACTGGTAGGCGGAAGTTCACCTCAATAGTTTTTACTCTTTTTTGTTGGTATAGGTATGCATAAAGGTTGCGCATTTCTCACATATTGCCATCGAGATAGTGCTATTCGTTGTCAAACGACATTACACGATCAGAAGACATTACCTGGGGTTTGTTTTTTTTTTCATTTTTTTTTTTGATAATTAAACAGCGAGCCAACCTCATATGTGTATTCATTAGAGCAGAAGAAAATTATAATATCTAACATAAGACACAAAAAATTGAGTAGAATAGCAGATGTTGAATATGCGGCTTTTTTTCATCAAAAGAAAATGATAATTGGTGTCTTCTTTTAGATGTAATTAGGATTTTCCTGAATATTTTAGATTCTTCTCTTATACATAAATATATATTAATCCTTACGGGGGTTACACAAAGAAAATGTACACAATTTTTCTTTGAGGAAAATTTGAAAATGTGCAAATTTTGTGATTGAATTGTTGTTGGCCGATTCACCGCCAATTTGATTAGGACCTTCCCCTCCTGCCTCAGTCCGTTTTCTTCTTTTTACTTATTTTGCCTTTTTTTCCATTCTGTAGTAACTATTTTTATTTTTCATTTATTCTCAAAAAGTTATAAATAAGTTGGTAGGTGGAAGAATTCGAGAGATTTTCAAAAAAATTCAAAATATGAAAATAAATGAATTTTTTCAGATGAATCGAGCGATGCAAGTTAAACCAGCTGATACAGATAGTCGCCCCGCTTCGCCAAAAGATAAACTTGATGATAAAAAACTATTTATCGGAATGTTGTCAAAACAACAATCAGAAGATGATGTTCGATCAATGTTTCTACCATTTGGAGCACTTGACGAGGTTTGTATTTAGGTTCCCTTTGGGACACATAAATATATCCAGATGGATGCAGAATCCCTTGAGATTTGTCTATTTTGAACAATAACAACAAACATGTTTTAGGTGACGGTTTTGAGAGGAGCTGATGGATTGTCGAAGGGTTGTGCATTTGTTAAATATAAAAATGGACTTGATGCACAAATGGCAATATCTGCATTACATGGAAGTCAAACAATGTCTGGAGCAAGTTCAAGTCTTGTTGTTAAATATGCTGATACCGAAAAAGAAAGACAAGTTCGAAGAATGCAACAAATGGCTGCACAAATGGGAATGTTAAATCCAATGTTAGTAAATCAAGTTGGAATGCAATATAACACACTACAGTACCAACAAATTTTACAACAACAAGCGATTGCTCAAACATCTGCTGCAGCCGCTGCAAATGCTGCATATCTCCCACTTTTACAACCACAAGCTGCAACAGCTCAACAAATGCTACAACTTCAAGCAACACCACAAGTTCTAGCAGCAGCTGCTGCACAATCTCAACCACTTGCTGCACAAATTGCTGCGGCTGCTGCAGCTCAATCAAATCAACAATATGCATTGGCTGCATTGGCTGCGCAACAACCAGTTAGTCAGTCAAACACTGCTATCAGTAATTCAACTGTTGATCCAAATTTCGGTCTCGCAGCCGCTGCAGCAGCTCAACCATATAATATTTTGAGTTTCGAAACACAGCATAGTATGTTAAAATTTTAATGGAATTTTATAAATACTTTTTGTTTTTAGATGCAGCCGCTGCTCTTCAATTGGCACAAATTCAACAACAAACAGCTGCAGCAATGCCAATGGTTACTCCAAAAGAAGGTGAGTTTTATCAGTTTACAGAAACTCAAAAAAATCCAAATTTTGAAATTCAAATTTCTTTCAAAAAAAAAATGAAAAATGAAAATTCTTTTCTATCTTATTTGTTTGATAGTAGTCCATTTGTGGTTTATTTATTATTTTTTTCGAGTGAGGAGTTGTGAAAGTCCTGTACTCGAGATGATATATGATAATATATTGTAATGTGTTTCGGGATGATTTTGTCCTTATATTTTATAGTGCTTGGTCCGGATGGTTGCAATCTTTTCATCTATCATCTACCACAAGAATTTGGCGATGCTGAACTTATTCAAATGTTTGCACCATTTGGTCATGTTGTTTCGGCAAAAGTATTCGTCGATCGTGCAACTAATCAAAGCAAATGCTTCGGTTTGTGTCCTCTCTTTTATTTATTTTCCATTTTCTTTTTTGGAAATTAATATTTTCACCCAACATTTTATCATTAGAAGCCACGCCCCTTTTCTCTATGATTGGTCAATTAGTCTGTTACGTACGTGCTTGTCGCTTTTTTCTTGATTATTATTCATATCATTATTATTATAATCATTGTGGGGTACTGTAACGCGGCACAAGCACGGTTATTTTTTCGTTTTTGATGGAATCTGAAAGTTGAGAGGGTTAATTTAGGATTAATTTTGTTGTTAGAAAATGGGTCCCTGTTATATTTTTTTAGATTAGCACGTATTTATTAACAATCAGGTACAATTTCAATTTGAAAAATATGTTCGAAAAATTTGATCTGGAAATATTTATCAGAATGTTTCTTACAACATTTGACCATTTAGACCGATTTTAGAGTTTCTGAATTGATCCATCAAAAAAGGATCTTTATTATTTTTTCGACAAAAATTTTGAAGCCTCTTTGTTCGGTTTTCAAATTTTCATATGTTCGAGTCGGGCCGCTTCAAAAAAATATTTCAGTCTTTAAAGTCGATTCTCAATTTCTCGAAGAAAATTTAAATTGGTCCTATTAACCCAATTCAGAAAAACATGTTAATATTCATCCTATTCAAGCATTATCAAAATTATAGCTTACCCGATTTAGAGCTCATAAAAACACACGAGAAACCATTTTAGATTTGACATCTTTCATTTAAGAATTTATTGACCTTATTGATTTATTGCCTTAGAATCATGTTGGTTTTCCAAAGGCTTCTTGTTAACTTAACCTAATTGATAATAGATTCTCAACAGCAACCCACTAGTTTTTGTCAATATTTCCCTAATTTTTTTGTCTCATTTCCACTTGCAGGTTTCGTCTCATACGACAATATGCATTCAACACAAACTGCAATAAATGCAATGAATGGTTTTCAAATTGGAATGAAACGATTGAAAGTTCAATTAAAAAGACCACGAGCAGATCGACCTTATTAGTAGAGTGTTTCTATTCTATAGTTTATATATATATTAATTTTCTCACCAAAATTGCATGAGCACTTCTATTGTATTTTCAACACTACATTTTCTTGATATTCTTATTATTGTTCATTCGTTTATATGTATGTCCTTCTCCTCCTCCTCCAATTTTCCCATTATTCGTTTCTTGTCTTTTTTCCCCCAAAATGATCTCCAATTCATTTCTAGTCATTCACACACTAATCAAATAATCAAATATTTAAAGTTGAAAAAGTTCGAAACCCAAATTGCAGCAGCCTACTATCATCAATCTCTACCTCCTCCTCCTTCTCATCGTCATTCTCATTCTTCACTTCCACATCATCATCATCATCAACATCTTCTTCAACATCCACCACAATTTTTAGTGAGATCTCGATATAATTAAGAATTGAAAACAAAAAACAAGAAATGGTGAGTAAAATGTGATTAAGTAGGGTGTTCAAAATTTGTGATTCGAGCTTTTTCATTTTCCATATCCGGTTTTATTATTCTTTTATATTTTCTAGTCTTTTGGTAGAAAGACAATTCTACCGTATACTTGGCTTTCCAATGATCTCATTTGATGTACATAGTGACCAAAATATTCCACATTTATTATTGTTAGTCCTGTTTTTATTTATATAGTAAAAATATTTCTTCTCGGTTGTTGTTGAAATTTTAATTTAAAACGACTAGGGCCGGTGCCCCTGAGCGAAACAATTAGAAAATCCTCAAAAATTCTAAATTTTGAAGAAAACCCTATTTTTCGCAAAAGATTTCTTTTAAAAAAGTTACGCATGGGAATACAAATTGTGAAGTTTAATGAGACATAGATTATAAAAGAAAAAAAAATTCAAAACAAAATGGAAATCGCGTGCATAAAACTATTAAAAAATTAATCTACCTATGAAATATTTCATAGTTTGTTTTTCAATAAAATCTTGAAGCTGACCATCAAGTATAATTCAAAGCTTCATCAATAATAACTTTATCCAATATTTTTCAATGAAGCCCAAATCTCACCTGTTAGTTTTGTTCCCCTCCCCCCAAACCTCAAAATAAACTAACTTGCGTGGCCCGTTCCGTGAAAAGTTGTTGATTTCTTTGAATGTTTTGTCCGAACGAAATATCTTCTTGACCGGAAGCCTGAAACTTCTACATTCGTTTTCTCAAAATTTTCGCCTATTCTTAAACTTACATCAGACAATGACAATTTCGCATTTTATGGGACCGCTGCATTCTGTGACTGTTGTCTCTAAAAAAATAAGAAAATTAAAAAATGTACCAAATCACCCCATTAATAACTTTTTCTACGCTGAAAAAACCAGAAAAATGATTCAGTTCGAAAAAAAACGTTCAATCAATAATTACTTTTCAAATAAAAAACATTTATCTCTCTCTCTCTCTCTCTCTCTCTAACTCTCTCTCTCCATTTCCCACACTCTCTCATCTACCCTGCAAAAAAACAACAAAATAAACTAAACAACGCGCACGCGGAGTATCGTTGTTTTTCTTTTATTTTTTTTTGCACGACATTTTTATTTTTTATTTTTTTTTCTTGTTTTTGAGTGGTTTTTTTCAGCGCAGAAAAAGTTATTAATGGGGTGGTTTGGTACATTTGTTTAATTTTCTAATTTTTTAGAGACAACAGTCACTCACAAATCCACAATTGTCATTTTCTGATGTAAGTTTAAGAATAGGCGAAAATTTTGAGAAAAAGAATGTAGAGGTTTCAGGCTTCCGAACAAGAAGTTGGACAGGACATTCGAAGATATAAACAACTTTTCACGGAACGGGCCACTCAAGTTAGTTTATTTTGAGGTTGGGGGGGGGGAGGAACAAAACTAACAGGTGAGATTTGAGCTTTTTTATTCATAAATAAGAAAGTTTTTTATTCATAATTACTATTGATGTTAGAGGAAAGTTGTTTATAAATTACTTTGTTTGAATCATTAGATGAAGCTTTGAATTACACTTGACGCGTGGTGTAGTGGGGAAGAGCTCTGTCTTCTATTCAACCCGCCTAATTTTGTCGGTTCGAGTCCCACTGCTCGCTGTTTTGTCCCTATATCCGGTAACGCTTATTTTCGGAAAAAATATCCGCCGTTGTCACAAAAATTCGGAAAAAATATTTCTACGAATTGTACACTGGGCGATTTTATTGAATGGTAGAAACTTTAACCATAAAAAAGGACACGTGAAAAAATTACTTTTTTTTTGGATCGAAACGTTTTCATTGTTTCAAATCAATAATTTTCCACCTTAAATTTTTGAGTGTTAAATAATTGTGAAATGAACATGAGGCCCATAAATATCTACTTTGAAATGTTCACAAAAACAGTTTTCAAAAAATTCAATCAATAAATGAAAACTGAGTTCCAAAAAAAAATCCACGAAGAAAACCTTTATTTTCAGAAAATTTAATCAGGTTACTCTCCTTTAGTTGTTCTATATTTGGAAGTTCAACATTTTTTGATTCCATGCTTCCGTGAAGATCTGACAACGGGTGTATCAGCTCTTTGTCCATCAATTCCTGGATGTTTCGGAATTTCACTAGATTTTGAATCTCTCTCATTTGACTTCGATTTTGATGCTGTTGGATCCGATATTGGATCACTCGATTTTTTCCTCATTCGATTTGATCCAAAAATTCCTCGTTCCGAACCTTTTTTTATCGATCCACGTCGTTTACTGGTCGCTCTTTTCTAAAAAAAACAGTATTACAAATAGTTGTTTTCAAAAATTATCAAATTAATTAGATACCATTTTCTTGTGATTTTCCATAATTTTTGCCAAATCTTGTGCAAGAAATCGAAACTTTGGGCGATTGTTCGGTTTTTGTCTTGTGCAATTTTCCATAATTTTTACAATCTCTTTTGGTGGAAGTTTTTTAGTAGGATCGAATTTATGTGGTTTATCAACATTTTTAATTTCAATACAAGCATCTTTCACATTTTTTGGATATAATGGCTGATTTGAACAATATGTGAATATTTCCCAGATTACAACTCCAAAAGACCAAACATCAGTTTTTTCATTAAATAATCCTTGTTTCAATGTTTCTGGTGACAACCATCTCATTGGTGCTTGTTTCAAAGTTTTCACTTTAATTTCTTCACATCGAATAGATAAACCAAAATCTGATATTTTCACAATCATGTTTTCACCAATCAAACAATTTCTGGCTGCTAAATCTCGATGAATTACACGTTTTGATATCAAATGTTCCATTCCTCTCGCAATATCATTTACAAAACTTATCATATCATCAATTTGTGCATTTCGATTTCCTCGTAAATAACTCTAGAATCATCACAGAAGAATGAATTATTCAATTATTATTATTTCCTACCCGAACTGTTCCTCCACTTGCTAATTCCATAATTGCCATTAATGGTGATATCAATGTACAATGCCCATAAAATTTAACAACACATTCGTGATCAAATAGTGTCAAAATCATTGATTCGTGAAAGAATGCACTGATTTGTTCTCTTTTGATTTGTCCCTTGATCTTTTTGATTGCACATTGTTTTATTGAATTATTGATTGATATTGTTCCTTTCCATACTTCTCCAAATGCACCTTCTCCTAATTTTTTAACAAATTTGACATCTTCGTGGAGAATAACAAATTTCCGTGGAACTGGCTGTAAATTATCTTATTTATGTTGTTGAACTTTTGAAGTAAAAAACTTACAATGCAACCAGAATGTTTGAGACTCCAATAATCAATAACTGAATGAATATGTGGAAATTTTGTATTTTTATCAGCATCTGGAATTGGAAGTTTTGAACAAGTCCAAAATCCTTTCTCATATTGAAATGCATAATTCCAAATTGTATTATTTAGTCGAACTGATAAACAGAAGAAATCATTACCATCATCTTCTCCACTTCGACGAACAACAAATGATGATTCCCACTGAAAACAATATTCAAATGATGTCTAAAAAATAAATAAAAGAAAATTAGAAAACAATACCTTGAGAATATCTTTAACATGAATACTTTGAATAAGTCCATGATACCATGGAAAATGAATCAAAATACTTCGAATATATTGTAAATTGAAATCAGTTTTATTTTTTTCTTTGATTTTTTCATCTTTTCCTTCAATAATATCTTTCAAAGATACTTCAACAATTTCATCTGGACTTCCATCAACTTCCAAATCAATACGATCTAAACGATGTGTTCCATCGGACGAATCTCCATCTGTTATAATTTTTTTCAAATCTTCTGAGCTTTTTCTTTCATTCATTTATTCTGTTGAAATTTTTATCTGAAAATCAGAAGATATCTATCTAATTTTTGGTCGAAAGAAAACTCACATTTTTCTATAAAACATTCATAAAAAATGACAGATTGAGAAAAAAAATCATTTTTTATATTACCTACAGTAACCCAAAATGTGGTTCACGTGAATTTTCATTTTTTTTTAAGTAAACAACGATTTTTGAATGCCAAGTAGCAAATATTTATTTGAGTTCATAATCATGGAAAAAATAATTGATTATATGGAATCTTTGAGAAATAGAAAAAAATGTGAGAACTTTCAGAATGGCAGCGCATTTTCCGAGAAATTGTTTTTTGAAGTTGTTGGATAGATTACATATTGAAGGTCTTCTTCTGAAAAAAAAACAAAAAGTAGTTATCAAAATATTAACGAGTGCTTACTGTTCAATGCCTTTTTCGTATTGAGTTCAGAAATATCATAATCAATAGCTGTATTCAATTCTTTTTCAGTTTGTTCAGCAACAGACAATCGAAGTGATGTTTTGCTTCCACTTTCTGAAAAATATCATTATCAAACTTTTTAAATTGAAAAGTTACAATGGAACTAACTAGCTGAATCTTTACTTCCAATAACATGATTTGAAACAACATCATGAGATGTTTTAAGTGTTTGATCGTGTGTTTCTTTGTCATCGATGATTTTCTTTTTCTCAACATCCGCATCTTTTTCACATTCAACTGCAATTTTCTTTTTTTCCTTCTCTAATTTTTCCCTTTCTAATTTTTCATCTTTTTCAATTTCATCATCTTCCCATTCATAAGGATCCAAAAAATTAATTTTCAATCTTTTGATTGCTGTTGTCAGAAGTTCATAAATTTTGAGATAACTTGGTCGATCATTATAAGTTAATGGTTTGAGATATTCAAATATCAATCGGAATTCTTCAGGTAATTCTTCAAATAAATCTGAATCTTTTGTTGATTTTTTCATTGACATAACTTCATTTTCATCTTTCAAATGATGCCAAGGAACTCCTAATGTTACTTCAACTAACATATAAATCATTGCAATCAAATCATCACATCTTCCTTGTTCAAGTCTTTCATGTACATTTAGAGAACAATATCGAATTGTTCCTCTCAATGGAATCTTTTTTCTCATAACTCTCAGTTGTTTTTTACCATCTTTTTCAGTTGTCACAAATGACCGAGCCATCCCAAAATCAATTAATAATAAACATCTCGAATCTCTGCCATTTTTTGCAGCTGTAATTATATTTCCTGGTTTTACATCTCTATGAATGTATCCAGCTTCATGTGTTTGTTTTAAACCGTATAATGTGAAAACAGCAATCCGAAGTGCGGAACTATCATTGAAACCTCGTTTTATTTTACAGCGAAGTGCCATCAAATCTTTTCCACACAGAATTGTTACCATATATCTGCAAAATTATATTATTTTTGTTTCAGTTGAGAAGAAAAAGAAAAAATCTTTGTTCGGGGTTTGACAACAGTAGTATTCCTAAGCTACTATTTTAAAATATGTTTACTTTCTTACTGCACTCATCTAAAAATCTAAAAATTCAAACTAACGTAAAGGTTTTTCGTCGTCCAAAATCAACCAATTGTAACATATCTTTTTTATTTTTCAATTTGTTCAAAACTCCAATTTCTAATCTCAAAGTTTGATCATAATCTGGTGAAATAAATTCGATTTTCATTGCAGCCGACCATCCTTTTTTAGCTTTATCTTCAACTTTATAAACAACTCCACAAGCACCTTGTCCTAATAATGATTTTATTCGCCATTTTCCATCAATTATTTGACCAGGATGAAATGTTTTCGGTTGATTTTGTTGTTGTGAATCTATTACTTCTTTATCTGACTCTCCTGGCATTTTCCTATAAATAATAGGATAAGAAATAACTCAAAACCGCCCAGAAAAAGTAGAACAAAACGTGGGAAAAATAATTCATTTATCTTGATGGTCAAGCTTTTTGGCTTCGAGGAATTAACATTGAAATATTCGGTCTTTTTGGTTTCAAATCTCGACGAGAAAGTGCATGACTTGCTTCGAGCAAAACTTCTCGAATACTCATTGTTGGTTGCCACATATTTTTTTCCAAAAACTTGAATTTCACCTGGAAATAAAATTAAGATTTTTGAAAAAAATGCGAAAACTTACTTTCTGTTTTGTCTTATCATCCTTCAGTTCAATTTTCGGTGGAGCAAATGGATAATTACTTGGAATTTTGACAGTTGCCACGTAACTTACAGATGGTGTTGAATACTGGAAAAAAGTGTTTTTTAGAAGCATCTCTGACTTGTGATTCAGAATTATGCACAGTAACCCTGGTGGAGCGCGTGGTACCGATTGAAAAAAATCTCAAAACTTTCTGGTAGATCAAAAATATGTGAAGAACTACAGTAACCTACAGTTTTGAAAGTAACATCGAAACATGTTTTTGTTGGAATTGGTTCATTATGAATTTGATAGAATTGTCCATTTCCATCAACGACTGTTTTCTGAACATTTTGTTAGATTAATTTTTGAATCAAAAATATTAATCTTACCACTAAATCTTCGTGTCGACGTTCAATTGCACCGGACATTTTATTGTATTTTAGTGAAATAAAAATGATTGTTTTTTTGCTTGATTTTCACGTACGTTACATCGAAAATTTTAAGAGGCATTTTAAAATTTCCAAAATGATGAAAATGCTCTATATTTTTCTTCTTCTTTTATTTTTCTTTGAAATTGGTGAAAGTGTTAACGTTCGAAAATGGGTCAAATTTTTGGACAAAGAAGCGCCAACTTCAATCACAAAAATGCCAAATTATAATGATCAAAGTTTGGGATATGAAAGAACTAGAAAATTCAATCCATGTGAACAAAATCCGAATATTTGCTCGAATAATGGAAAATGTTTTTCACAAGACGGAAAGTTGGTTTTCTTTTTATATTTATATTTATATTTATTATTACTATTCCATGCTTCTCTGAATGTATCTATGCTTTTCAGCTTTTATTGCATTTGCCCCAAGACACATTATGGAAAAACATGTGAAAATATTGCCGATCAAACTCATTGCCAAAACAATCAATGTACAAATAATTCAACTTGCCAAAGGTAAATTTTTGCAACAAGCAAAAATGTGGTGAGATGGCCGAGCGGTCTAAGGCGCTGGTTTAAGGCACCAGTCCCTTCGGGGGCGTGGGTTCGAATCCCACTCTCATCAGCTTTTTTTTTATTTTTTACAACTTTTAAAAAACATGTTCAGTATTCCGGTCCCGCACAAAACAATAAACACTGCTCTTTTGGAGCGTATTGCATCAGAAAGGAAATTTGGAATGAATGATGATGACTTGGCTGCAACAGAAATTGAGATAAGCTATCAATGTATGTGTATTCCTGGATATTTTGGGGTTTTTTGCGAGAAAACCGAAGCTGTCAGAAAGTGTGAGGAAGAATATTGTCTTGGAAGAGGAAGAGCAAAAGTTGTGGAAGGAAAATGTAAATGTATTTGTGATAAACAATTTTTAGGGCATAGAGTGAGTTTTTTTCAGAATTAATTGGTAGAAATAATGCAAATTGTTTCAGTGTGAGCAAATTTCGCCTTGTTTTGAAATGCAGTGTTTGAATGGTGGAAAATGCGTGGATAAAGTTGACATGAAGGTAAAAACTGAAAAATCTTATGTAATGGCGATATTCAAGTTTTTTCTCAATACCTTGAGAAAACGGGAAAAAATGCTGAGAAATGCGGAGAAAATACATTTTCTCAACCGTTTTCCTATTTTCTTAGCCTTCCTGAATAAATTTTCTCAACCGTTTTCAGCGTTAAGAAAATGACTTGAATAGTCCCATAAGAAATCAGATCATTTCAAATTACAGAAAGAAACAATAACATCATATTGTAAATGTCCAAAAAAAGTTGCGAATCTTGGAGTTAAAATAAGTGGTGAAAGATGTGAAATAATAACTATCCCGGAGAGAACACCTGACGAGGCTATTCCTTGTAAAATTGGAAAAGCTTATGATTTTTTGGTAAACCTCATAAATGCAGCGTGAGTTGTAGATATTATAAAGAATATAATTGTGCCGAGTACTGTAAGTGTTTTCAGAAGCATGGGAAATAAAAAAGAAATCAAGAGTGAATTGGAAAAAATCGAACAAGATTATGATAATGGAAAGAGTTATGAGAAATTTGTTGTAAATGGTTGGTGTGAAGGAGATGCAAAATGTGTTCCTGAAGTATATCAAATTGTTGACGAATATTATTATTTATTTCGATGTGAATGCTCGGATTTGGCAGAGGGAAGATATTGTGAGGTTAGTTTATAAATTTTGAAAAAATAGTTTTTTAAAATCAATATTTATATTATCCTAGTTTGAACGAGAAACTTTGTGTTCTCCAACACGTGAAGAATTGGCAAGAGGAATGCGATATGATGAAAAATGCACAAGTAGTGAAAATGGACAATGTATTATTTTATATGATAAACCACATTGTGTGTAAGTTTAGCGGTATATATTTCTTTTTTGAAAAATTTAAGAATGGTTTTTTTCTAAAGATGTAATCCCGATTATGTTGGTGATAGTTGTTCACAATTTGATCCTTGTGCAAGACATCCTTGCAAACATGGAACTTGTGTTCCGGTTAGTTTAGCTACATTTTCCAAACGTTTACCAAAATTTTTCAATTAATAGATAGTTGATTCAACGAGCGCTGTCAGTTATCAATGTATCTGTCCACTTTCTTCTACTTTGGTGGACGGGAAAAATTGTATTGAAGATAAACCTGAAGGAATTTGTAAACCAGGAATGTGTGGAAAAGGGAAATGCATGACTTGTGGAATTCATAATGAAAATGATATAATGCCGTTATGTAATGATGCTGAAGAGAAAAGAGGTTTCAGGTACAATTGTTTTTCAGAAACTTGTTTTGAAATATTTTTTTGAAGATGTGTTTGTGAAGCTGGATATGTTCAACCTTTTTGCAAAGTTCATTCAAATCCATGTTATCAAAATATGTGTAAAAATGGAGGAATTTGTGTTATAAAAGAAGGGAAAACTTACGAGTAAGTTCTACTTTTCAAACAAAAAAAAGTTCAAATATTTAGTTGCGATTGTTTGCCTGGTACATCTGGGACATTATGTGAATATGTAGAAGATATTTGTAGTGCATATGGTAAGTTTTATTCATTTTCCTATAGCGATAGCGATTTTTTATATCAGGTCATCAAATTTGTGTGAATGGGGATTGTGTAAATGATGAATATTATCGTCGTGGATTTGCATGTTCATGTTATGATGGATATATCGGAATAAATTGTGAAGGAAAAATCGATATACTTTCAGAAACTTGGATTAGAATATCGGTCAGTTATTTTTATAAAACATTTTTGCTATCAAATAAAACTTTAATTTTCAGAAATACTATCAGATTTCGTTTCCTCTTATTGCATGTTTCCTTACTCTCGTCATTATTTCTATTCTACTCAGAAAGTGTCCTGACAGCCGTCGGCGAGAAAATCTCGCCAGCTAGCACGCGAGCCGGCAGACGGCCGTCCATTTCTCGCATTTTTCTGGCGAGACCTCGCCAGTTCTCGCTGCTAGCTAGCGCTTGTGTGTTGTTTTTGCAGTTCATAGAGCTTGTTTTGAAAGAATTTATTAAAAACAAAAAACACTTTCTATTTATCGGAATCCTGTGGATGTCGAAGTGTGGAGGGTGATGTATTGTTTTCCAGGCTGCGAAGAGTTGGTTGATGATTGTAGAATCTGAAATGTTCAATCATGTTTAAAACTTCGTTTGAAAAATATAGGGTATTGGGAAATGAGAAATAATGTAGTCATTTTTGAAGTTTTTCAAGTTTCATATTCAGGTATATCCCATTATCTGCAAAATGAAAAAACACTGCAGAGGGAGCGTTCATTGTTTAGAAAACACAACGAGCCAAAATTACAAGGTTTTCGTAGAAAGTGAGTCAGTGCTGACAAGCGATTTAGGAGCTTGACTTGACAATGACATGGCAATTACTTGGCAACTACTTATTCCTATCACTATCAATTTTCTAAAAGTAATGATGTTCTAATTTATCAAGCACTGATGGAAAAATACAATCAAATACATTTCTAGATGAATATGAGTAACAAACATGAATATAGAATTTTCCATTCGAAGTTCATATAGAATGAGTTCTTTTCTCATGAAATCGATTTGTTCCTACACTAGAGCATGATTTTAAAACTACTGGGACTTAGGAACCAAAGCTTTCATTCAAACCACCTTACCTTACAAATTTTATCAAAAATATTGTTGTGCTGCTCGTCCATCCCGCCATTTCAGTCGAAAACATCGCTTCAAACATCGAGAGCCCTGTAAAATAGGTTTACACTAATTTACTGAATTAAAAATCATCTGCACTCACCAAAAACACATTTTCATGTCACGAAGGTGCCTGGCGATGTGCACCGTCTCCATTCCAACACTTTGCGACGTTGTTTGCATGTTTTCTGTGAAAATTTTCGATGAAAAAGGCATAAAAAGATTTTAGGCCAAAAAATTCGAAAAAAAAATGAAAAAGGAAATAGACGAGCAAATCTGCTCCAGTCGCAATTTTTTCTGTCCGCTAGCTGGCGGCGAGAAGATGCGCTCGATCCTCCCCTTTATGAGAATGCGAGCTGGCGGACAGCCTCTGCTAGCTTTCGACAGCTCGCAACCTCGCGGACGGCTGTCAGGACACTTTCTGAGTAGTTTGTACATCGATGAGAAAAAAAGTTGCTAAGAAGAAAAATGAAACAACTGACGAGAAAAATGCGATTCAAAAGAAATAATTTATAACAATTAAGAGAAGAGCAATAAAATTTAATTACAATTTTGATTAATCACTAATTTATCACAAATTTTCTGGGATTAATAATATTATTATTTTTAGAAACCCGTATTTTTATTGAGAAGGTTTTACCTTTTTCTTTCTTTGGATACACATTTCTACACGTCAAAATGAGCCATTTGATGATGTGATCGAATATGACGAGTTGGTGCTCGGCGAGCAGTAAAACATGGTATAAGCCAGAATATTTTAGGACCAGTTCCACAAACTTGTCGCAACATCGCTACTTTACTAGATCGTGGACGACGAGAAGATGATAAATAATTTCTACCTCTTCTTTGAACAGATTCGATTGCGGTTTCGTCAGTGAATATTGCGCCAAGCTAAGAGATTTATATTTATATGTTTAATGGGTTTTGGTAATTAAAAACTACCTGATCACACGAAACAGCCAAGACGAACAAACCAAAAAGTGCACATTCCATAGCAAATATTATCGAATGAATTCTGAAATTTTAATCAATGAAATTCAAAACTTTTGTGTAAACTTACACTTTTGAGTGATGTACATTGTCTCCGAATGGACCTCTTTGATATAAAGTTTGTGCGTCATCGTAAACCCAGCATATCGTGAGTAAACTGAAAAACTCAAATAGTAATAAAAATATTATCGGATTCAATTTAATTGACTCACAATAATCCGTATGTACAAGACATTCCTGTATAAAGAATAAATTGTAGAAAATGTTTTTGATTATATTCACCGACACAATTATTAACCCATGGACCTAAAATCAATCAATTTTTGACAACTCTAACAAAAAACTTACAATGATGATCCATTTTCCGAACACATCGTTTACAAACTCGACAGTGATGGGCTCTTGGAGGTCTAAGCGATTCACAACGTGTACACAATGTCCATTCAGATGAATTTCCACCGAATTGCATTATTGCCTCTTCGTCGGATTCTGATTCGTCGGATGAATATTCTTTGGGTTTCGCTTCCCTGGAACTATTATTTATTTGTTAGCTGCATTATTATTTTCAAAAATAGTATCTCTGACAATTTTGAAAAAGTAAACTCACTTTCGTGTTTTTGATATTGGAACAACTCCTGGATCAGTGAGCATCGCTTTAGCATGAGCAATAAGAGAAAATACAAGTAAAACATTGAAAACAGCACCGTGTATAAGAGTCCAATAAGAATTTTTGAATGTTGGAAGTAAAAGCCATATTAAAACCACATAATCAGCATATGTTATAAACAGATATATCATAGAAATACATACAAGACCGCATGGATCACGACGAAAAATCATATTTTACAAACGGCTCATTTGATCACCGGTTTTTCTGGAAAGAAAAAAAATAGAAAATGAAAAATGGGCGGAGCTAAATAAAGGCACACATATTTATGAACAGGGAGGCTCTCGCAGCGAAGAGATGTTGCTATGAGTGGGCGTCTTGCCAACCGCTAACATTTAATTTTGAAAATTGTTTATTTTTTGCAAGTGAATTTTTTAAATCGAAAAATTAAATGCCCACGTTTTTAATATTTGTTAAATTTCATTCATTCTGTGATTTTCGATTTTTGTGAATATTGTCATTAAATATCGAGAAGAATTGCATTTTTAAATGGCCCGGCAACGGAGATTATGAGTACATTTAAAAATGTTCAAATGTTGATGAATGAAACTCAAAATGCATTTACTTCACAAAAAATTGAAGTTGAACGTAAATTTCAGAAAAATAAAAAAACTGAAAAAAATAAAAGATATATGTGGCCGAACTATTTTGGTGGCCGAGAAGTGTCGGGAATTCGGCCAAAGCAACAAACTCGCTCTAATGTTGCATTGTTGGAGCGCGTTTGTTGCTTTGGCCGAATTCCCGACACTTCTCGGCCACCAAAATAGTTCGGCCACATATATCTTTTATTTTTTTCAGTTTTTTTTATTTTTCTGAAATTTACGTTCAACTTCAATTTTTTGTGAAGTAAATGCATTTTGAGTTTCATTCATCAACATTTGAACATTTTTAAATGTACTCATAATCTCCGTTGCCGGGCCATTTAATCAACATTTCAGTTAATAACAAGATGTATTTGGAAAATGATGAAGGAATTGGACCATCTCCTATATCAATATCATATTGTCGAGATTATCCGTCTTTTGCAGCCGAAGACGAAACTAAACAGACAATCATCATTTTTCCACAAAAACTTGATTTGAGTGGTCTGAATGAACCAGAATATTCAGGTGAGAAACATTTGCCGACTCTTATTTTCAAATATTTAATTTAGAAATTGTAAAGTCAAAAAAGAAGAGCAAGAAGCCGAGCCCAATCAAGCCATACCACGATTCAGCAATCTATCCAACAGGAAACAATTATCGCAGCGCGAAAAGAGTACGTTTTTTTCTCAATTGTGAATCTTTGTTGAATAATATGAAAAATTCAGATTATTGAACCAATAAAAAGTAAGTCTACGGATTTGTCAAAATATCGCAAAGAAATTGATATGATTTGTGGAAATATCAATCAAAAACTAACGGTTAGTTTTAAAAAAAATTTAAATTATTTTCAATGTTTACTAACAAAAAAAAGAAAAGTCTATTTTCAGAAAGCGGAAAAATAAAAGCTTATTTTCAGAGTAACAATTCAATTTCATCAAACACAAGTGATCGTGGTTCGTCGGTTTCTTCAACTTCGAGCGATCAAAGATCACTTTCAGTTGAGGTAACTAGAATTTCTTAAATTTTAAAAGTAAATTATCAAATTTCAGATAAATCGCGCCAAGAAAATAATTTCAAAATTCGGTCAACATAATTATACAAAAGCTTTCGAAGATTCAAATTTCGATTGTAATTCTTCAAATCGTTATACAACATACTTATCATCTAATGATTCAACAAGACCGTATGTGTTTTCTTTATAACAATAATTTATAATATAATTGAAAATGAGAATTTGAAAACGCGATAAATTGCAGACCATCAAGCGAAGGCTCATTATGGAATGAAAAAGAAGTTAGAGAGGAAGCAAGAGGCGAAAAAGAAAAAAGAACAAAAACGGAAACTTATAACAGAAGAGATTTGATTTCGCATTTGACAAATGTTGGCCTAAGAGAAGCCGAAAATGCGAGAAGACAAATTGAAAAAGAGAGAAAAAATGTGGCAACGAATACAAGTAGTAAGTAACAAAAAGATGAAGAAAATATCTCATGGGAATTACATTTGATAATATAAATATCTCAACCAATGATGTGTTTTTTTTTGATCATTCAAGCGATTACTACTAACTGATCTTATTTGAAAATCTTTCCAAAAGATTTGTGAGAAAAATATCAAACTGAGGTGAAGATATTGATATTCAATCAGTGTATAATAGACAAATATAGGATTATTTGATAAGATAAATGTTGATTTTTCCAGAAATTCTAAACTCTCAACAACTTTATCATCTCAACTCGCACAAATCGTCATCAGATGAAAGAACTCTGGTCGAATTGAGCCCTCGAAAACAAATTGAAAAAGCATTTGAACAATTTGGTATCAATGATGTTTTACCTCCAACTTGTGAGTTTTGGGAAAATATTTTGAAAGAGAATTGGCCCAAAATTGATCAATGAGAAAATTATGAAATTTTTTCGAAAGTCTGCAAAATTGGATAAATTTTTCCGAGCCGTAATTCTTAATTTTTAGTGCTCTATAATCCGGCTTAGAGGTCCATTATTTTGGTAATAAAAATAATTTGGAATATAATAAATTTACCTTTGCTGCTGTGAAAGATTCATAATTTCAGCCGATTTTTGAGAAAATCCCTGTTTTTTTTTCCAATTTTCATATTGATTTATGTTTATGTTCAGATCGAACAGAAGAAACACCAATATTATGCAGTACATCGACAATTGAATCGTCTCGAGGTAATTAGTATTTATTTGCTTGGATTAGACTAATAAAATAAACCTAATAATTATAGGATCATTGGAAGTGGCACGAGATTCTCATTCTACAAATATTCAACATTTTCCATTGCACCATTCACATTCAACTATGATGATTCCAAAAGAAAAGACATTGTGTCACAATCACAATAATTTGTCACTCCCAAATTTACAGAGGTTTGTTTTTTAACATCTTTCTATTTTTATTCCATTCTTATATAGATGTTTCCAGATTTATTGTACGACCTTCAACTAGAGATATATTCAATGCACCAATTGATATTGATCAAATTTGTGGAAAAGGATTGAAAAAAGATTTGAAAAGCAGAGAAAAACATTTTGGTGGAAGTGAAGTTTTGAATTTGGTACAAGGAAAAACAAATTCAGCGCCAACAACTTCGAGAATTCGGGAAATGTCTAAAAGATCTCAAAGTTCGACGATTGCAACAAAAGCCAAACAGAGAAGTGTTTCAAGAACAAGAGATAATAAACAACCGCCATATTGTAGTACAACTAAACATGTTAGTTTTTTTTTTTGAAAATTGGTCCTAGAGTTTTTGGGAGATCATTTAGTGATGTAGCATTCATATTTTTGAAAGCTAAATGTGTAATATGATTTCGTGGAAGATATTTTAACCTAATGTTTGTAAAAAAAATGGTTTGCATTTTGTCTTCCAAAAAATGTCACGCTTATCACTTCTTTGAAAATGTTAAACTTTTTTTTTGAAAAAAACGTGTCATTTTAAAACAGTTTTAATGACAATTTTTTGAATAATACAATACAAAATAATTTTTCAGAATCTTGATGGTGTTTCTTATTCAGTCGGAGCTGTCAGTCAAGAATTGTTAGGAACAATCAAAACACTTTATCCAGAATGGATTCCTTTGGCACACAAAATAATGAATGAATCGATGAATGTGAATATTGTTGAAATGTTTCGACTGGAATTAGATCGACAATTAACAACAAAACAATTGAAATATCAAAAAAATCGACGAACTGATGATTTTGATGACGAATTTGATAATATGACTACGAAATTGGAAGTTATCAATAGAATATGTCAAAAGGTAATTATTTATATAATTTTTTTCAAAAATCCTCATTTTTCCAGCTTTCAAATAGCCCAAATAATTGTCCACGTGTTCAACAGCTCAAATTAATTCAATCAGTTTTATTAAGTGCTTGAATTTGTTTTTCTTCTCTCTCTCTCTTATAATTTTGTCTGTATTTATGTAATAGCTGCTTTATTCCGTGGTTTAACCACATTTTCATCCATCCACTTACCGTATTTCTTTCCTTTTTTTCAAATAAAGATTTCCCATTGTCGATGCAAAAAGAAAAAAGATATTGAATTTCAACAACTGCTTGTTTTTTCGTGGTAAACGAACAAAAAATAACTTTTGTCGAGTCGAGTAAAAAAAAACGAAAGATCATTCAACAACTGTTACTCAAACTTTAAACATTTGAATTTTTTGACAAAATTTTTATCCCGACTAAGTTTGATTCCAAAATTCAATTTTCGAGTACAAAGTTCAATTATTCCCCAGAAATTTTATTCGAAGCTATCTTGAATTTGCAGTTTTCCAATAAATATTTGATTTTTCCGACCTTTTCGGACCTCATTGTTTTTTATTCAAAACATCTGTCTTCTTTTTTTCTGCTTCCACCTGTTTTTTTTGTTGTTTGTAACTCAAATAAATATATAATTATGTTTAATACTACATTTTTTATTGATTCGATTTTTTCCCAAATTTCCAATTCAAAACCGGAAATTCGAAATTTGAAATTGAATTTTATTTCTTTTTTTTGACAATAGGGTGTCTGTCAATTATTGTTTCGATGACAATATTTTATCAAAAGACTTGGAAATTTTTAAACCGGACCTTTTTTTTAGGATTTGAAAGTTCAAATAAAGTTTTTTAAAATTTTTAATTTTGATCTGGAATAAAAACTATTTTTATTTTTTTTCGAAAAAGTTTTCTATCAAAAAAAAACATTCAGCTCATTTACAGTAATTTTTGTTTTTCAAAAGAAACGTTCCAAACTCGTTTTCCATTTTTTGCGCTGAATTCAGGAATATGGAAAACTCTGGAAAAAAAGTGGCAAATGTTCTGTCAGACCCATTTTTGCAGTAAATTTTTGGAGTAGCCAAAATTTCATCGCAGAAAAAAATTTACTTTACATTTTTTATTTTTTGGTCACAATTTTCTCTGTAGATCCGATCCTTGACTCCGATTCCAAAACTCTCAAATTTTTGAACATAAAAATAACACTCAACTTTTATTTTCTTCCGTCTTTTTCAAAAATACATGTGACTTTCCATGTTTTTTTTTCTTCTCCGCCCAAAAAAATCTAGTAGGTCCGTCATCTCTAGACATGATTTTGTGCCTTCTCATATTTTGTTTTCTCTAAACTCTCTCATTTCTCACTTTCTCTGCGTCTCTTTCTCTCTCTGTGTCACTTATTTCTATTCAAGGACTGGTTAGTTTTTAGCGGCCTGGTGTTGGGAGTGCTCTCTGTCTCTCAATCTTTTGTGCCTTCTTCCAAAAATGTTTATTTTTGTGGTTATTATTATTGTTGCGTCTTTTTTGGGTTTCTTTCTTTCTCTCATCCTTTTTCTTCGGTTTGTTTTTCATCTTTTGTCGGTTTTTTACGAGAAGAAAAAGAAGAAGCAGAAAAAATGAAAATGGAAATATCTCAGAATGAATTATGCAAAGGTGTTTTTTCTTTATTACAACAAAGAAATGTGAGAATTTTTGAATTTACTTATCGAAAACGGAAAATACTATAGTAAGATTGAGATGAATTATTTACACAGCTGACAACAAACTGTGAATTGGATAATGTTTCACATGTTCAAATTTCACTTTTTCTCCAGATTTATTCTCTCCTCTTCTAGATCGAAAAATTCTTGATTCCTCTTTTTCTACAGTACTTTTTTACCACCAAATAACTTTGTCTTCAAATATTTGCCTTGTAATTTTGTCTATTTATTTACAATTAAATTCGTTTTCCTTTTTCTTTCCTCTTTTTTTTCACAAAAATCGATCGATAATTGAATAATAAATAGAAAATCAAATAAAATGTGACCCAAAAAAAGATGAGAAAATAAATAATAATTATTATAATATTGCGCAGAAGGAAGGACATTCTGAATTTGGGTTGATTGTGGATTATATTCCATTTCGTATTGTCTTTATTGAATTGTGATAAAATGTTTGGTTTATTTGCTTTTTGAAATGTGTAAAAAGATTGTTATATAGTTTTGATCAAAAGTGTCAAAAAAACGTCTCTTTGGAAGATTATAACACTTTATGTCATTTTTATCTGATAAAAAATGAAAACTTTTTTATTTTGAAGAGAACTTTTTTGAATTTCATTTTTTCAAAATTTATTTCATTTAAGTCCAGCAAAAATTTGTGAAAAATTTCACAATTGACGAATTTAATTTAAAAGTTTTAGAATCTTGATTCACATTTTGATTGCTCATCCTTTTCCCCTTCTGTAAAGTTTTCACTGAAGTCATTTCGTATTCAGAAACTTTTTCTGCATTTCCCTTTCTTTTTTTCATTTCTTTCAAATTTCAGCCAATTTTCAACTTGCTCAACCTTCGCATTTAAACTTGGTTAATGTGGATCAAAAACTATGAAAATTGAAGGTTTGTATTCTTTGGGGAGAAATATTCGTGTTTCTTTCTTTAAAAGTGCACATATGTTTTCGGGGTGTAATCCGATTGGCAGCCGAAAACAATTTGAAAAATGTCTCCTTTGGGAATTTGACACGGTGTTCGAATAGAAGTCTGAGCTATACGAATAAAAGAAATCTCTTGTTTTTTTGGAAGAGTGACGAATTGAGAGAAAAACATAAAATATTCTGAAAATTCTTTTTACTCAAAGAGCTTAGCCATGGGAAAAAGGGAAATTCTGCTTCAAAAAATAAATTTGTGTTTCAGTTATTTCTGCGGTTCCTCATTCAACATGTCATCAAGCTGTTTTATCACGTAGAAATCAATCAATAATATGTGCGGGACCATATGAAGTTCTTCCACTAGAAACATGTTTTGAGCCTGTAAGTGTTTTCATTTTGGATAATTTTTGGTGGATAACTTTCCGTCAAAACTAGTAAAGTATAAATATTCAATTTCCTCTTCTTTTCTTTTCCTTTTTTCTGTTTCGCCCTCATTTTCCTCATGAATAATTGGTTTCTTTTTGTTGTGTGGAACCCTCCCAATTTTGGTTGGCAACAACTAACAAAAAAGATATTACGAACAAGTTTAATGGCCATTTTCAACAATGAAAGAAAGTGTTCCCCGATTTCTTCATGGTTCGTTGAATAACCGGAAATTTTTATTCAAAAAAAAAGTGGGAAAGGAAGGGAAAAAGATTTGGGAGAATTTGTTTTTCAACACTTTGCAGAAGCAGAAGCTGTCAAAAATCCCAATCAGATAATTCTAATCGTGATTCTTCATCTTTTTGTTAGGGTTTTGAGATTCGTATAGATTTGACCCAATAGGACACTTTTTAAAAAGATGAACAAATTTCAAAAAAAAATTCGAAATAAAAATTAAAAAATAAAATTTACGTAAAACAACGTCGAGACTTTTTAAATAAATCATTTCCTGAAATAATCAGCTTTTGAATTCACATTTTCCCATCTACAGTAATCCTTATATATTGTTCTTATTCTGTAAGTTTTCCTGTTGTGGCCATAGCGAATAAAAATACTCCCAATAATTCTCTGAAAGCTACAGTAATCCTGTGTTCTCCAAATTCCAAATAGTTTAAATTTGGAGAATAATTTTCGATGAAAATAAAACACATTGTTTTCGTGATTCTTAAGTAAAATTGTAATTTTTTCAGTTGCCGAGTACATCTTCACTTTCGGATTGTGCAATTGAATGTCTTGAATTGGCAAACGATGAAAGATCAATCGGAGTTGCCACAAATTCATTGCTTAAAATCGTCGATATTCAATCGGGAAGAGAAATTAGAAATTTAACGGGACATACATTACCAATCACCTCATTAGCATCTAGTAAATTTTCAGTTTATAGTTGGGTAAGAATTTATTTCGAATTGTGTTTTTATTATTAATATTTAATTTACAGTATACTGGTTGTTCGGATACATCTTGGGCTCAATGGGATACTCGAATGCATCCTTCAAAAGTTCTGGGATCACGAACAAATGGTGTAATTCGAAGTATTGCTTTATCACCGGGTGATCGATTTATTGCAATTGGAACTGATAGTTCTATACAATTATATGATGCAAGACAACGGGAATATGTTAAACAATTTAATTGTTCGGTAAGAATTTGAAAATTCGAAAAAAAAGTTATTTATGCTCAATATTCAGGGTCATCGATTGGAATTTAATCCTACTGAAGTACTTTTATCATCAATTGGACATGATCGAATTGCTAGATTTTTCTGTTTAGAAAGTCTTGAAATGATATCTCAATCGGATCCATTTTTAGATGATATTCAAGCATCCGCTTTTGATAGTTAGTTATCCCAGAAACCCTACTCTAATAAATCAATAAATTCAGCTCATTTGATGATAACTGCCACAAATGATACAATAAATTTAATGACTTGGGAACCTTGTGATATTTTAACGACAGTTCCATTGAAAAACGTTGAAAAGGTAAAATTAATCAAAGATTCCCGATAAAATCTATATATTCAAATTAAATTCAGGTTGTGAATGTTAGTGTAAATAATGGTGTCGAACTTGATTTTATCTGTATTGGCGAAACAACAGAAAGACTTGAAATGCGATCTTATTCTATCGAGGTTCGATTTTTGAATTGAATTATTTATTTTACATTTGTTTTTTTAGGAACTTTTGTCTTATTCGCCTAGTCACGAGTTATCTGGCAGTATTTATGAAGAAGATGAAGATATTTCAACTGATGTTTCCCCAACAGATGAGGTCAGTTTATTAAAAAGGTAGAAATAGACACTGAAAAATAAATCATTTCAAAAAAACAATACTACCGTAGTTTTTCTCTTGTTTTTTTGTGTGTGTGGGGGTCTCGACGCGAAGAGATGCATTACAGTAGAAATTTTTGTGGCGTCTTTTGTGACAAGCAAAACAAAAAAATTTCAAAAAAACAACTTTTGATCTTCGCGCGAGTTTTTGGCTTCATTCAGTTCAAAATATTTCAGGTTAAAAGCATCGGTTCGCCCCTCGACGGTTCATTATTGAACAAGAAAATGTCTGCTGAATCACCGGAAATGTCAACTACAACTTCGTCAGATTCTGTAAGTTATATTTATCCAACTTCAAAAACTATCGAAAGAATGCATTTGTTCAGAATTCGTTGGATGGTTCGTCATCATCCAGTCCATCAAGTCCTTTGAGAGCAGCTCCAGTGAAAACTAGATCAATGTCGCAAAAATCGACATCGGCAACATCGACGAAATCCTTGAAAGTATCAACAACAAAAAAGGAAGGAAGTCAAACAAGATCAATAACACCGGTCAATTTGAAACCACCAAATGCAACACAAAAAGCTGGAACTCATCCAAGATGTTCATCAACAAGTTCAAGAGGACCTTTGAGATCAAAACAATCACCATCCATGACCGATCTTCGAACAAAAACATCATCATTATGTGGATCTTCGCAATCTTTGGCCAGTGAAAGAGATCCGAAAAAGCGATCGGCATCAACTCAGTAAGTTAAAAAGTTATTAGGATTCAAAATGGAGTGGTCAAATGAAAAGATATTTATTTATTTGATACCATGACAACCTGACATGTTAAGAAGAAGGAGAGAAAAAAGAAAATGACCAAATCCTTTTTCTCTTCGTCTTCTTCCTTGAATAAATTATCATAATATTTTCATTCGTATTTCTATATTTATTCTTGGTAACTAAATACTTTTAGCAACAAGTACAAATCATTATTTTTTCTTTTTTTTACGAACGAAGAAAAGAAAATTGCTCTCAGCTCAAAGGGTTTCCTTTCTCTTTTTATTTCTTGCCTAAATATTTCACTTTTATTCCATAGTCTTTTTTTTTCATTTTTTTTGCTATGATGACTATGAGTAGTTATGAATTGAGTGAATTGGCCGATAATCGAACATTTCGATTAGTTCGAAGATCGAATTCTACGAAAGCACCTAAAATAAGAAATACAAGTGAAAATTCAAAAAGAAGGTTTAATTATTGCTTTTTTAAATTTCAACTCGGTTTAATTTTTCAAATTTTCAGAAGAAACACTGATGCATTCACCATACATTATATGGGTCGACCAAGAACTCCAAGCGATTCGGATGTTTTTGCGGTTGGTCCAATTCAACCTTCGAAACCAAAAAACTCGAATGGATTGTCTACAAAGGTTGGGCCAAATCGTCGAAATCCATCGCCATCAACTGGAAAAACGGAAACATTGAAAGCATCGCCATTGAAAAAGAAAAATAGCAAAAAGTCGGCATGGCACAAAGATGACGACACAATCAATGATTTCGAAAAAAGTATTGCAAGATCTGTGAATGGTGAGAATAATAATTTTTCAACATAAAAATTTAAAATGTCATTTTAGTGACCAAATCTGTCAACAAAGTTGGTTCACGAGATGGAATTGAAGGAATGTTGAAAAACAGCCGATATGATGACGAAAAATTGACTGTTTGTGTTCGATTTTTGAATCGAAGTTCAGAATGGACACTCAATTCTTGCCACATGTATTTGCCAATTTTGATTGGTTAGTTTTTTTTTTTTTTGAAAAACCATTTAGCTTCAAATCAATTTTTTTCCAGATAGGATACTGGCAGCAGACGCCGAGATTCGATCAACTGCTCTCTCAGGACTCGAATGTATTTCAACATCAATGATTGATAGACTGGTGAAATTCTCACAATCGAACCAACGAATCGGAGTCGATGTTGCGGCAGAAGAAAGAGCCGATAAGGCGAAGTTTTGCATTGATGTAAGTATTTATTCGGCAATATTCAAAACAATTTACCAAATCTTTTTTTCCAGAAAATTCGCGAATTTGTTCAAAAACGAGACTGGTATTATAAACAGCTCGATGAAGACACAATAGAACGTTTGGACACAATTCTCGAACATTTCAAAACTGTTTGAAAATAATTTATATTCCATTTTTGACCCATTTTCTCACTTTTTCAATGGGTTTCCTTGTGATTATTTATTACTAACAAATTTGTAAATATATATTATAGTAGAGATCTGTGAATAAATTTTTTTGGTTTTTGTCCCGAATTGACTCTCTGACCATCGATGTCCGCCAGCGCTGGAGCTTTAAACTTCGAATTCGAAAATTAATTTGAGAATTCGCGAAATAAAAGGATTTTCTTCTTCTTCGACATCATTTTCCGACTTTAATTTTTTTTTCTCACTTCTTTTTCAGTCAGTTTCTTGCTGCCCAGTTCAGCAGAATAGACAATCAAGTCACCACCATAATTTATTTTAAATCTTTTTATATAAAAATATTATACCGGTTTCACGATCACAATTACATTTTCACGTGCCCTTATTTTTTATAAATACATTCCCATTTTTCAAATTCAATTCATTTTCAATTCAAACAACCCCAATTGGATGAGTAACACAGTGCTGTTTTCAATTTCTTCCTCTCCCGCCATGTGGCCTTGGAAGAGAAAACCAAACACGCCATAGTGGCAATTTGAAAAATGGTGTCATGTGGCGTACACATTAATCGATCGATTTTATCGTCTTTTTCTTTTTTGTGCAACATATTGTTTCGACTTTTCTTATTGAATTACTTTCAGATGTCGCGAAGAAACAGTATAATCGATGCCTATGGCACAGTCGAAAGAAAAATTCGCTCAACAATGGATGAATTATCAAAATTATGGGATGATATTGATATGGCAGATGCGATGAGAGTTAATCGAGTTGACAAAGCATTCACTCATATTGTTTCGTTGTGTGATGATATGTTAGCCGGTGAACAAGAAATGGTCATGAATTTGAAAAATACTATCAGAGAAAACACCAGAACAGTTCAAAAGTACAGAAGTGAACTCGAAATGCCGCCATTCACAACTCCACCAGGAATCAAAGAGAATTCAGTTGCTCTTGTAAGTTTTTGAAGTGTTTTTTTTTAATTTTAATTGATTTTCAGATGAGACATATGAAAACAGAAATTGAAAGATTGGAGAGTGAATTTAATGCGCGGCATGAGAAACAACGTGAACTTGTTGAGAAAATTGAGAAGTTGAAAGTGAGACTCGACTCAAATTTTGAATTTAACCATCCAATTGATTCACTATTCCCACGTAAAGAAAACGACAAATATGAGGATGAATGCGAGAAAATGGGAGAATTGCTAAGCGAACGATTCACAGTCATTGAACATTTACAATCTGAAATGAAAGGATGGTCACGTATTTGTAATGCGATTTCAGAATCTGCCAGAGATAATCAGGTTTTGCAAGATCTATTGACATCGAATATCGATTCTGAATCGTTTGTCTTCTCAAAATCAAACGTTGATTTGTATGGAGCATTCCACGCGGAGGTGAGCCTTTTTTGAAAAGTACATTTTAATTTTTTTTAAATTCAGATGAAGCCAATATATGAAAGTTGGTTGGAAGAAATGGAATTCAGATGGCTTGAAAAATACGGTGAAATTGCTGATCTCTGGGATAAATGTATGATTCCGGAACATGAACGTATTTTCGCAGCCAGATTTGAACCTGGTCGTCACAACGAACAACATATTATTGAAATGGAGAAAGAATGTAATAGATTGCGATTGAAATACGAAGCATGTAAAGCAATTCTCGATATTGTTGAACATTGGAAATCATATTGGAATGAAAAATTGGATATTGAGAATCGAAGAAAGCAAGCAAACTATTATAAAAATACAAATGTTTTGCCAGATAACAAAAGAGAACGAGAATTGACTCATTTGATGACATTGGCTGAAAAAAAAAATTATGAAGTCTTGCGAAGAATATGATGAAAATCATCAAAATGAACCACTTTTGTAAGTTTTTTTTTATGAAATAGAATTTGGGCAATTTGTAATTTTAGGATCAATGGAATGACACCGAATGAATATGTCGAATCAATCAAAGAAGAACACAAACGTGAATTGAAATTTGAACTTCAATTGAAAAAAGAAGAACGGACTCGAATTCAATCTCCACAGCCAAGCGAAAAAAGCTTAAAACGTCCGATTCCACGTTTCCGAACTCCAAAATCAGCCAAAACTGAACCATCTGCTAAAAGAATTCATTTCGAACCAGTACTTCCAACGTGTTTTTCGCCAGTCACATCAGAACAAGTCAGTTTCATAACACCAGTTCGAAGACCACAAGTTGGACCAAAAACATCTTCACCGAAAAGTTCGTACACACCTTCAAGAACAGCAACTCCGTTACACGAAAGAGTTATGACACCATCTTCGATGACGTCGAGTGCATCAAAAAGACCATTATCAAGAAGAAATCTTTAATATATTGTTTTTGAATTTTCTGCTTGTAAATAGTCGTACCTCATAATTGTCAAATAATCTTCTCTTTTTCTTTTAGTTTTGAACATAAATGTTCGTTTTTCAGTCATTTGCGTTTTTTAAATATTCATAAATAGATTCGGATTTTATTAAAAAAGCAGAAAAATTTCAAAGCTGAAATTTCCAGATTTTTTTATTGGAAAATGAACGCTAACAATAAAACTCTAGAAATGTCGGAACATTTGAAGTTTTTCCGAGTTCTGCTCAAATTATAAACATTAATTTAGACCAGCCATCTGGGTGCTAAATGTTTTTTGTTAACTTGATGTAGATGTTTGGAATAATTTCCAATGAAACCTTTTTCAGCAATTCATCACTGATTGGTCTTTGAATGATTATGAAAATTGGAAATGGACGAACTCGAAATATATTGATTGATTTATATGCTGGATGGAGGTTTTAAAACAAGAAAAAAACAAACATGAAAAATTGAAACAAAAAAACAAAACATTAACATTAAATATTATACTCTTGCATCCATTTGTTATATTTTTCCATAAACTCTTCACTTGGAAATTCGTCTACATCTTCTTCTTCCAATTCCTCAAATTTAACATTTGGAAGTTTCTTGAGTTTCTCGAATTGCTTCGAAACTTTTGCAGAGAATGATCCAAAATTTTCTTCAAATTTCAAAACTTCCAATTTTGCGGTGAGGATTTCAATAGAATTTGGATTCTTTTCCGACAACTTTTTGATGTTCGAGATGATTTCTTTGAAATTTATCTGTGAATATCTTCGATATTTTTCAAGCACTTCATCCAAATTATTGCATTTCTTCTTTGATTGAGATTTTCCACTATTTTCTGATGATAACTTTTGAATTTTCTCATCTCTGAGTTTCGATTGCTTTTTCAAATTGTCGATTTCTTCTTGATATTTCTTCGCAGTTTTATCAGGATTCTCAACATTTTTCAAAGCATCTTGCAAAACATCAATAGTTTTCCGCATTTCATCAACCTTTTTCGACTTATCTTCCAATTTTTTGCCACTTTTCGATTTTACTTTTTCATATTCTTCGATTGCTTGAAGAAGTTTTTGTTGAACTGGGTCAACTTCAAGAACATTCTTCTTTTTGAAATAATATGCGTAGTTCTCATATTTGAAATCGAAGAATTTTTCGAGAGGTTTGAGCATTTCTCGTGTTTTGAAAATCTGAAAAATCAGCATTTTGTAATTGACAACTTGTCAGCAAAATTGTTACCTTCGGAATACAACTCCATGAATCATCATCAAAACTGCTACGAAAATGCTTTTTGAGAACATTTTCGAATTCCGACATTGGTTTGAAGGAGTTGTTTGAAAAATGCGAAAGTGTAAGGCTAAAAAAATTAGATTAGAAAAAATTATTTTTTTTCAATTACTCACTGAAGAATTTCGAGAAGTTGAGCATTTGCTCTATCAATATCTTCTTTTCTTCCAACGAAGTTACTATTTTTCTCCGCCAATTCCGTCAAGTTCTTCTGAATTTTCTTCATATTCATACTTCGTTTTTCGACTTCCATACGAATTCGCGAATAATATACTTGATAAATTCGCCGATAATCGATGTTTGAGAAAGTTCCAATTAATTCCAAAATCTTCTTGTCAATTTCCGGATCTTCGTTCATTTTTGGAGCACCAAGTTTTTCAACTTCTTCGAAGAGTTCTTTTCTTGAATATGTTGATTTTTGTGGAACTTCGTAAGTTCGTTTTTGAATGGTTGCAAAATGTTTTCTGGCTTGATCCATTACCTCATCGATTTTCCATGTTTCAATACAATTACTCAGTTTTTGAGTTTTGAAAGGATTATTTCCGGCGACAAGGTCATGAACGGTTTTGGGATAATCTTTCAATTTTTTGAAAATTTCCAATCCATCTATGAATTCAACAATTTTTGGAATGTTTGTTACTTTCAAAACAACAGTTATGAAGTGAATAATATCAGCGAAAGAATCCTTGATTGGTTTGATTGGAGTTCCAAAAGTGGAATAAACTGGGAGATTGTTGTCGTATAAACTTTTGCGGAACTCGATTCGAATCACCTATAAATCATTTAGTTGATAATTTGAGGGAATACTTATAACCAGGGCTGCCGCTGATACCTGGGTATACCCGGCCACCACCCGGGTAAATCGAAAAATACCCGGGTATTGAGGCCCATCGACCTGGGTGTCAAATACCCGGGTTGGGTGTGGGCACCCTTAGGGCACCCTTGGGTATGATGCAATTTTTTGGTTTTTTTGTTTTGTTTAGCTATTATCCATGTTATTGGACGAGTTCAGCTAAAACATGGGTGACTTTTGATTCAAAAACTAATATGCAACAAAAACGATCGATAAAATTATATTTTACCGATTTTGTTGACTTCTAAAATAACTTAAAATGCATTATATTGTAGAAAAAGATAGAATATGTTTTACTTCGACCACAAACTACATAAAAATGAAAGAGTTTGTGATAAAATCAACCTTTGAGAGAATATGTGCTCATACTCAACTTATAGAAAGTCTTTTGTGTGTTTACAACACAAAAAATAGTAAAATTTTTTAGAAAAAGCTGATTTTTTGAAATTTCTCTACATATTAGACCAATTTTTCATGTAACTGACCACTTTGCATGAAAAAAAAACAATTTCCAAAAAAATTTCGAAAATAAATTAGTACGAAAAATCAAATACGAATACCCATTATGGGTATCTGGGTGGGCCCGGGTATACCCACCCGTTCTGTCATTTTTCAATGAAAATACCCACCCGGGTGTACCCGCCGAACTGTGGGTATTAGGGTGCCCTGTGGGTGCCCAAACGGCACCCCTGCTTATAACTCACATTAAAATGTTGGAATCCAATTTTAATGAATGTCAAAAGAGTGTTGAATTGATCAAATGTCATTGTATTTACGATACCAAGTTTTCTCTCGTCTTTTGTTTCCTCCGGAATAAGCATCGACAAATCAACTTGTGGGATTTCCATTTTTCGCAAAATAACATACAAGGCTTTTTTAACTTCATGTGGAATCACGAAAATTTCATCTTCACTCAAGAAAAGTCGAATCAATGGGACTTCGCTGTTCTGAAAAGTATTCTTTATTGATTTATGATTCACTGAAAACTAACGATGTCATCTCTGAAAACCATAAAAGTTTCTTCAATTTGTTTCGAAAGCATCGTAGATGCCATTGCAATTCGATAACTTCTATGGTAAAATTCTTGATTTTCCTTGATTGGTTTGACGTTTATCATTGATTTGAACTTCTCAAAGACTTCATCGAAAAGATGTTTGGTGTTTTCATAAAAGTTATCTCGAATTTTCAAGAAATCTTCTTCTTTGACGATTTTTGGAAGTTTCATATCAAAGGAGACCTGAGAAAACATAAATTATACTTGACAAAAAGAAATGGGAAGACAGAAAACAAACCTGTCTAGGTGATCTCAAATATTTTACATAAGCCAACCAAGGTTCATGAGAAGTGAAATCGTAAGAATCTTCGTGTTTTTTGAGCAGATAATTGGCTTGTGAAATAAGAAACGATTCGATAAACATACGGCTAACATTTGTCATGTCCTCTATATTCGTGATGAAAATACGAGAAGACAATGCGTATAACTCTGGCACAAGTTCAAATTTGGGAATGTATCGATTGCTTTTTTCATCGCCAAATGGAACAACAATTGTAGCATCCAGGAATTCTTTGGTAAAGAATGTGTTTTTGTTTTTGTACCAATAATATCTGGTAGCAAATCGCATATCAGCCAACGAATCCAACATTTCTTTCGGTGTTCCGAACTTTTGAAGCTGATTTCCAGATTTTTTATGAACGAATTTGAAGAAGTCGAGAGCCTCTCCATTTGTCAACACTCCATTCTCTCGGAATCGCTCTAATTGATTCTCCGAGAGAGAAGGAACGTTCTGAAATTAATGTATCATAAAAAACTTCACTTTCAAACAAAAATCACCTCTTTCGAAACGATTCGCTCCAAACCAGCCAATAACTTGTTCACAGACCATTGTTGAATCTTATCTTCTTCCATTTCTTCTTGGAAGCTTGAAATCTGGGTGTTTAATCCAAAATTTAGGCAAAACTTTTTCGTAATTTTTCGCGAAAAACAAAAACAGCTGTCACCGTATTTCTTTAAAGGCGCACAACATTTTGGAAAATGGTCTCAACACGACACAATGTTTCTTTTCAAAAAGTTGTTTTTCGAGAATTTTTTTCAAATTTTGTTGGAAAAACATGTATCTTTTGGTCAAAAATCAAAGAATGTACGATCATTTTTGTTCAGCAACACAATCGAAAGTATTGCACATTTAAGGTAACTTATCAGCAATGAACTTTCGAATTATTTTCAAAAAACCTGATTTCTTTCCGAATTTCTGGTATTTCTTCTGAAATTTATCTTGAAAACAATCAATCACAGGATGTAACTTCCTACCCGCAAAAATTCGCGCGTTTTTTGAGACCTGCCACTATCTTAGGGGGTGGGACTGAAAATCGACGAAATCAACGCAAAAATGAGAGATTTAGAGAAAAATTATTTTTGATCTACCATAAAAACTATTGCAAAATTTGAGGTCTAGCCATTTGAGGTAGTAAATTACAAACTGTGTCAATTGATTTATTGGCTGAGAGTATTTATTACAAAAGAAAAACAAAACAAGACATGACAAATTTTGAAACAAAACAATTAAATTTTATACTCTTTCATCCATTTATTATATTTTTCCATGAATTCTTCACTTGGAAAATCATCGATGTCTTCCAATTCCTCAAATTTAACATTTGGAAGTTTCTTGATTTTCTCAAATTGCTTCTCAAATTTCTCAAAATAAGTATCAATATTTTCTTCAAATTTCAAAACTTCCAATTTAGTGAATGGGATGGAAAAATGGGCGTTAGGGCCGCCCGATCGCCCCATTTCTGGACGACCCATTTGCCCGGAGGCCCGATCGCCCAGACGCCCGATCGCCCGTTCGTCTCCGAAAAATTTTTGTTATGAAAAAACATTCGTCGACACGTGAAAAAATGAGCCATTTCTATTTTTAGGCGGCGAACGGGCGATCGGGCGATATGGCAAAAAAAGCGATGCCAAAAAAAGTAGGTCACGTTTTCACGTAAGCGGGGCCCGCTTTTCCATCCCTAGCGGTGAGCATTTCAATAGAATTTGGATTCTTTTCTGATAATTTTTTGACGTTTGAAATAACTTCTTTGAAATTAATTGTTGAGCGTCTTCGGAATTTTTCAATTAATTCATCCACATTTTTGCATTTTTTCTCTGATTTTCCACTATTTTGTGATAAATTTTCGATTGTTTCATCCTTTCTTTTCAATTCTTTTTTCAAATTGTCGATTTGTTCTTGATAACTTTTTGCAGTTTTATTGGGTTCTTCTAAATTTTTCAAAGCTTCTTGCATAATATCGATAGTTTTACGCATTTCTTCAGCTTTTTTCGTTTTATCTTCCAATTTCTTCGAACTTTTCGATCTGGCTCTTTCATGTTCTTCGACTGTTTCAATAAGTTTTTGTTGAATTGGTTCAACTTCGAAAACTGTCTTCTTTTTGAATTGGATCTCATTGTTTTCAATTTTGAAATCAAAAAGGTTTTCGATAGGTTTCAACAAATCTCGTTTCTTGATGATCTGAAAATATTTCATTTTTTCAAATTAAATTATGCTAAAATGACTGCATACCTTCGCCAAACAAGCCCATGAATCATCATCAAAAATGGCACCAAAATTCTTTTTGAGCACACTTTCGAATTCCGACATTGGTTTGAATGATTTGTTTGAGAAATGAGCAAGAGAAAGGCTGAAAAACATGTTGTTTCTCATTAGGTATATTTGCTTCAAAATCTTACTGAATAATTTCGAGAAGCTTTGTAGTTGTTTTGTCCAAATTAGGAATTACTTCTTCTTCAACCATTTTCGGAGTGTTTGGTTTCTTTCCAGTTTTCTTCATAACAATACTTTGCTTTTTGACTTCAATACACACTCTCGAATAAAACACCTGATAAACTCGCCGATAATCGATTTTTGAGAAAGTTCCAATCATTTTCAAAATTTCCTTGTCAATTTCCGGATCTTCGTTCATTTTTGGAGCACCAAGTTTCACAATCTCTTCGAGAACTTCATTTTTCGAATAAGTTGATTTATATGGAACTTCGTAAGTTCGTTTTTCAACTTTTGCAAAATATTTTCTAGCTTCGTCCATTATCTCATCAATTTTCCATGTTTCAATGCAATAACCTTCTTTTTTATAATTGAAAACATTGAATTTTTCCATAAACTCGGTTATTTTTGGAATATCTGCAACTTTCAAAACAACAGTTATGAAATGAATAACATCAGCAAAAGCATCTTTGACTGGTTTCATTGGATTTCCATTAGTGGAATAAACCGGAAGTTTGCTACCAATCAAACTTTTGCGCAACTCGATTCGAACCACCTATAAACAGAATAATTTGACGAACTCTTTTATTTACGAGGGAAGTGTGTTTTGAGTCCCCGGAGATTTTCAATGCGACCTGTGTTTTTTTGGTCAGTTTTCACGCTGAGAAAGATCCTGTTCTCAGTTTTTGCTAAACGACTCTCTAAAGAGCCCAAAAATGAACCAAAAGTTGAGAATTTCCTGAAAATCGCGTTTTTGAGAGCCCATAACTCATGTTAGAAATTATTTTTATGGAAAATTGAATGCATCGCGTTGTTCAGAAGGGTCGGTTCACCAAAGTCACAAGTTTTGACAGAATTTTACAAAAATTTAAAAATGTGCAATCCAAAACCTGAGCCAAAAATTTTTTTCTGAAAAAGTATGGATTTACTGATTGAAAACTTGTGACTTTGGTAAATCGACCCTCCTGAACAACATCATTCAATCATTTCTTACATGAAATTCTCAACTTTTTGGCTCTTCAGAGTCGTTCAGAAAAAAACTGAAAACGGGATCTTTCTCAGCGTGAAAAACTGACCAAAAGAACACAGGTCGCATTGAAAATCTCCGGGGACTGGTCACACACTTCCCTCACTAGATAACACGACTCACATTGAAATTTTGATATCCAATTTTGATTAACATTACGATTTGACGGAATCTTTCAAATGCCATTGTATTTATAATACCAAGTTTTCTCTCTTCTGTCGTTTCCGTTGGAATAAAATCCGACATATCGCACGGTGTCTTTTTCATCATACGAAACAAGACGAGAATAGCTTTTTTGATTTCTTGCGGAAGCAAAAATCCGTCATCGTCGGTGATGAAAAGTCGAACAACAGGGAAGTCAATTTCCTAAAAGAATAATGAATATTGATTTATCATTAATCATTAAACTAATCACTTTATCATCTCTAAAAAGCTTGAGAGTTTCTTCAAGTTGTTTTAAGAGTACTCCATTTGTCATTGCCTCTCGGTAATTTGTAATATAAAACTTTTGATTCTCCTTGATCGGCTTGATATTCGTGATTTTTTTGAATTTCTCAAAGGCTTCATCGAAGAGATGTTCGTTATTTTCATAAAAATTTTCTCGAAGCTTCAAGAAGTCTTCAACGCTGACTCTTTTTGGTGGTGGTTCTGTGAGGGAAACCTGTAAAAACACATCATGTAGAACAACCAATGGGAAAAATGAAAAAAAACTAACCGATCTTGGTGTTCTCAAAAATTTATCATACGTTTCCCAACCTTCGTAAGCAAGCAGATCATATGAATTTTCAAGTTTTTTGAGTAGAAAATTGGCTTGTGAAAGCAGAAAAGCTTCAGTAAATACACGGCTAACATTGTTAACTACGTGTGCATTCAAAACAAAAACCTGATAAGACAATGAATATAATTCTGGTACGAGTTCAAATTTAGGAATGAATCGAACACCGTTTTCATCACTGTATGGAACATGAATCGAAGCATTTAAATATTCTTCGGTGAAAAAAGTATTTTTGTTTTTGAACCAATAATATCTGATGGCAGATCGCATATCAATCAATGATTCCAACATTTCCTTTGGTGTTCCGAACTTTTCAAGTTGTGTTCCAGCTTTTTTATGGACAAATTCCAAAAATTTGAGAGCTTCTCGATTGTTGCGACAGTCTCTCAAACGGAACTGGTCGAGTTCGTCTTTAGTGAAAGAAGGAACATTCTGAAATTGTTTGTCATTGAAAAACTGTTTTTATTCAAAAACAACTTGCCTCTTTCGAAACAATTCGCTCCAATCCAGCCAATAACTTGTTTACAGACCATTGATGCGCCTCATCGTCCTCCATTTTGTTAAGAAAGCTTGAAATTTGAGTTTTTTTTCAAGTTTAGGTAAAACGGTTTCAAAACGAAAAAACTTATCACCGTAGTTTTTTGAAGGTACACACAATTTTGAAAAATGGTCTCGCCACGACACACATGTTCAAAAAATTAATTTAATTTTTTCATTTTTTTTTTATTTTTCACAACTGCAAAAATTGGACAGAAAAATGTGCAGCGTCTTAAACGAGTATCTTTGTTTGAATTATTTTTGTTGCTACTCAGAGATTCGCTGGCCAGCTCGCCACCAGATCGCTGCGGCCACCTGGAAACCGCATGGCCGCCAGGTCGCCTCGAGTTTTCCGGCGACGTGGCCTGTGTGTTTGAAAATCTGAAAGGCTGGCAAGACGGTGGTTTGTACTCAAAACACTGCATTTTCTACTGATTTTTTCACTTCTTAAGGTTTCAAGTACTGCGAAAAAACAGAAATTGAGCCAAATTTTTCGAAAATGCCTCAATTCACAAGTTTTTCAGACATTTTCATGAAAATTCATTTTGACGCGGCGAAGTGGCCACCACATGGTAGCCATGTGGCCGTGACCTAGCCAGAGCCTGGCCACCTTGCCAGCGAAAAAAAACCGGGCGACATGGTTTCCATGTGGTTCCCAGGTCAGCCAGCCTCCCCACCTGGTGGCGAGCTGGCCAGCGAATCTCTGAGTAAGTTTAAATCTCTCGGTCTTAAAAAACTATGGTTATTTTGTGTTCTAACAATTTTTAAGGGAAGATGAGCGATTTATTGATTCAATATAAAATATAATGGGAGGCACTACAAACAACCATGAAGCTAAAACAAAGTATATTTACAAGGTTTGAATTCTCTTCTCTTGTGCATCCATTTCCTCGCGAACAGCTTGTGGCAAATCGCTTCCGACTTGAGATTCCAAGAATTTACGGATTTCTCCGGCATCTTGTTTCCAATATTCGGCTGGAACCGACATCAATTCATCCCAGTTAACATCTCCCAAACCATCCAAGTTGATTGATCCCTAGAAAATGTATTTTGTGAATTAAAATTGAAAAATAATAGAATTTATTTTTACCTTAGCTGGAACAGTTCCGATTGGAGTTTCAACTCCAATATTTTCTTCACCATCCAAACGACGGATAATCCAATCAATAACACGAATATTGTCTCCGTATCCTGGCCACAAGAATTTGTTGTTAGCATCACGACGGAACCAATTGACATGGTAGATCTTTGGAACTTTTCTCTCTGGGGTTTTAAGATCCAACCAATGTTGAAGATATTTTCCGAAGTTGTAACCCATGAATGGTCTCATAGCCATTGGATCATGCATAACAGTCTTTCCAGTGAATTCAGCAGCAGCAGTAGCTTCTGATTTCAAACAAGCTCCAGTGAAAACACCATGTTCCCATGAGTTGGTTTCGAAAATCAATGGAACACCTTGTGGACGTCTTCCTCCAAAAATGATGGCTTCAATTGGAACTCCTTGTGGTGATTCCCAATCTGGATGAATAATTGGACATTGACTGGCTGGAGCAGCAAAACGTGAATTAGCATGAGCAGCAACTCCTGCATCTCCAATATGCCATTTTTCTCCAAGCCAAGTTGTAATTTCAACATTTTTGTCAGCAACTTCATCCTCTAATCCTTCCCAATAATATTCACCATTTGCTGTTTCAGCAACATTTGTGAAGATTGAATTCTTTTGGAATGTTGCAACAGCCATTGGATTTGTTTTCTTCGATGTTCCTGGAGCAACACCAAAGAATCCAGCTTCTGGATTAATTGCATAAAGTCTTCCGTCAGCTCCGAATTTCATCCATGCAATATCATCTCCAACACATCGAACTTTCCAACCTGGGAGAGTTGGTTCAAGCATTGCCAAATTGGTTTTACCGCAAGCTGATGGGAATGCAGCAGCAATGAAATGTTCACGACCGCATGGTCGAGTTACACCCATAATAAGCATATGTTCAGCCATCCATCCTTCATCTTTAGCAATATTTGAAGCAATACGAAGAGCAAAACATTTCTTTCCGAGAAGTGAATTTCCACCGTATCCAGATCCAAATGACCAAATTTCACGCTCTGGTGGACGATGTGCAATCAATACACGTTCTGGATTACATGGCCAGTGATTGATAACTCGTTCTGAAAAATATATTTTTTGATTTTCAATTTTTTTTCGAAAAAAAAGGTGTAATTTACGTTTGACTGGACGTGGCAAACCAACGGAGTGAATACATCTGACGAAATCTTGATTTCCAAGAGCATCCCAAACTTCAACTCCAACTCTTGTCATAATTCTCATCGACAAAACAACATAGTTCGAATCAGTAAGTTGAATTCCAATTTTTGACAATGGTCCACCAACTGGTCCCATTGAAAATGGAATAACATACATAATACGACCAGCCATACAACCTGGGAAACGAGTATCGAGTTCAGTTGCCAAATCTTCTGGTGCCATCCAATGTCCCATAATTGGTTCAACACCTTCAGCTGTATGAGCAACAGTATCATGTTTGTTTTTAGTAACCATCCAAGTTTTTGATTCGACACGAGCAACATCCTAAATTTTTTGATCAATTGTCATTTTGTTATTTTTTTTTCAAAATACCTTTGGATCGGTTCTACAAATGTAATTGTTTTCATAAGCAGCCAATTTTGAGAGCATTCCTCTCTCAATCAATTTATCGATCAATTCATCGGCTTCATGTTGACTTCCATCACAAATGAAGATTCCACGTGGTCTCATCAATTCAGCCTTTTCGGCAATGAATCGTTGAACCTTCGCGGGAAGCAAATGGAAATCTCCCTGCAAAAAATATGTCTCATCTTCTTTTATATTACAATGTCTCAACTTCAGTGTATCTAACAACTGTCACTTTTTTGTCTTTGGGGGCTCAATTTTGTTGTTGACCGCTAACTTTTTTTCTTTATTTTGCACGCACACGTGATCGAACATTATAAATAGTTTCAAAACATAAATAGTTTCAAAACATTAAAAAGATTCAATTTTTGATTGTGGCACGTCATAAGATTTTATCGTTCTTTGTGATGTTTTTCGAACACGTGACATTTTGCCAAAAAAACTACAGAAAAAAGCACAAGATACAAATCTACTGCTACTTATCTCTTTTTCACAAGGCCGATAAAACTTCATGACAATAACAATAGTCGAAAAACTATATTTTTCTCATGTATCAACCTTTTTTCTCAAGCTCCAAACAACAAAAAGTACATATTTTTGCACCTTTCAACAAACAATATTCGAAAAATAATCCCATGCATTTTATTTATGACAAAAAAATGTGCCGGGTGTATTGTTTTTGATTTTTTGTAATATTTACAAAAACGATTTTTTCTCTCGTTTCTTTTTTCTGGCGCCCGTTTTGTCTACAAACAACCAATAAACAAAAACGGCATCTATTCAACAAATATAAACATTGAAGTGTGATCTTTTTTGATAAAAATGAAATGTTCCCCCTTTCTCGTCGTTTCTCATTGAAATGGCTAGAATAACATGCAAAAATGAGAAGGTCAGATCAAATTCAAACCTGTTTTTTATTGTTTTTTTCTAGATTGTCAGGCGATATTTTGAGAGAGGAGAAAGGTACTAAATTCTGACAAAAAAGTGAATAGTTTTTGGTTTGTTGGTTTGATTTTTTGGTATCCACAAATGAATATTAGATTGAATTCTCAGAAAATTTACAACTCTCTAATTCTTATTTTTCATCATTTGATCAGACGTTGAAAAAATCATTGTACTTTCTCCTCTTATCAATTATATTGCAACAAACAAATAATAACATGTTGTTATCAAACAAAAAATGATACTCCTATCACTAAAAATTAACCACTCAAAGAGTTTTCAAGAAAAAAAGTTCACCTTGAGAATTGGAACATGTCCAAGACGCTTCATCACAACTTCGTTGACAACGTAGAACGCATCTTCCGAAATTTGACGCAATGAAGCATTGGCAGCGCCAGTGTTCTGAAAAATATTTTGATTTATAAGAGCAACTTTGAAATAATAAACAAACCTTATATGGAGTAAGAAGATTTGGATCAACCGACATTATCTATCAGTAGGAACCGAATAGGTGAACTGAAGTGATGGGTTGGATTGATGGACCTTTATGAGAGACATTGAGACGCAGACATTCGCTCAATTTTGGCCCCGCCCATTCTATTTTATTTTGTTTGTCATCGACCGGGCAGAGATAGAGAGTAGATCGAATAAAAAATAATAAGAGAAGAGAAGAAGTTTGAATTTTGATCGAACTTTGCGGGTCTCGCCACTTAGTTAATTCGATTGGTTATAATCTGGTGAACGGCTAGAATGACCTTTTAACGCGACCAAATAAACACTTTTGTTTTCAAACTTCTACAATTACATACTAGAATATAATTCTCAACACATTTTGCAAAAACAAAAAAAACTCTGGTCGACTACAGTTTAGTCTTGAAACTACAAAAAAAATATAGATGGCCGAGTCGGTTTTTTTGTGAAAAATAGAAAAATTCTAGGCCACCGTCAAAAGTTTTGTTTTTTCACACCCGCTCAAGCAACACAAAAATTTATTTATTTATTTATTTATTTACGATGAGAGGAAAAGTACATCGTGAGAAAAAAGTGATAAAATGAATAGCAATATCACGGGTGCGGTGATCACAATTTAACCAGTAGGGTTTGATTTTTAAGAATTATTTACATTATGATGGCGGTGAGAAAGAAGAAAAAAGGAAAAAATAATAATAGGGGGGGGGGATGGGAATAGGAAAAAAAAAAGAAAGTTAGAAAGAAAAACAAAAAGAGAAACCGTATAAAAAGAAAGGGAATGACACATTGGTTTGACTGTTTTGGAGTGGTACTAGATCTTGGAATTTGCACAAAAATTTTTATAATGAATTAATGGCTTTAATTTGAGTATTGATTGTGAGACACAAAGGTTTTTCCTCTTGTTTTTAGAAGGATTAAAATTAAAATTAAAATTAAAATTTAGAATTTAATTTTATCAAGATTCGGATCAGTGGTTAGAAGCTCTAGTAATAGTATCCAGAAACTCATCTGAATATTGTCTGATGCCTTTAATAAACTCCGGGATTACTCTCATGGAAAAAAAGTTTTTTCGGATTTTCTTTTTTGGGGACTTTGAATAAAAGATTTAGGCGAGATCTAGATGAGGTTTTCTGAATTTGAAAGAGGGGTTTATAATTTACTTTAGATTTACCCGAAAGAATGTCTTCAAAAAAAAAAAATCAGCAAAACGCTGTAAAAACGGTGCACCCTGTAGCTCAAAACCTAGATAAGCTTCATGAAAAACTAAATATAGCATGATAATCAGCGCATCGAGTTCTACCTGACTTGCTACTTTTCTTATTTTTTGAGGTCCTGCGAAGAAAGTTAGCAATCGCGACAAGACCCAACGCATGAAATGTATCATGTTCCTTTAATACTGTAGTGCGAAAGATAACGGCGAACAGAGAGAATTAGACAAAAGTGTTTGCACAGTTTTTTTCAATCGCAGATTTTTCGTTTTACAGTAGAAAACACTCATTGCGTGGCTTGAACGGGTGTGTTTTTCGAATTTTCATTTTTTTCTCAAAAGTTATTAACTAGTTAGATACGTTTTTGAAAAAGAAAACACTTGGGAATAAGAAGATGATTTATTATTCTTAATTTTCATTTCGATGTGTCTCATCTTTTCTCTTTTTTATCAATATCGGACCACCTCCCCACATATCTGGAACCAATTCAGGATTTTCAAACAAGGCTTTTAATAATATCTTCTTTGCTACAGGGGAACAAATAAAACTTCGTAGATCATTATCAATGACGTCATCAATTTGATCACAACAGTTAATCAGATATTTCAAACCTCGAGACATTGCTAATTCAACAAGATTTGCAATTTCTTCACTTGGTTTATCTCCACTGTTTGATTCGCGAAAAAATGAGAAAAGAAGTTTGTTCGATTTAAAGTCTAAAACTGCATCCAAAACTTGATTCTTCTTCATAATTGTTAGAACACCGACAGCTAATTTGTGATGTTCATCCGGCTGAAAAAACAAAATCAAATCGGAAAGTTACAGTATCAGTGAAAAATTCGTCTTCGTGACCAGTCAAAACTATTTTTCTGATAAATAATTTATATTTTCGCTTGCGCATCTAATATAGTTTAACTGATCTCATTTGACGAACCTTTTTACTGATACTTTGATTAATTGTTCTTTTCGCTGTTTTCACATTTTCTTCTTCACTTTTTTCAGATTCATTCGTTTTTGTACTTGATTTGCATTTTGAACATACCACTTCTTTTAATTCGTGATTTCCTTCTTCTGGCTTACGATTTTTCAGAACAGTTTGAACATCTTTCAATTTCTTCTTTAAATCTTCATTTTCCTTTTCCAATTTCTCAATTTTCACTAAAAGATCGCCTGTTTTCGAATCATTCTTTTTCTAAGAAATCACAAATTGTTAAACAAAGTTCATATTTAAAAAAAACCACAAACCTTATTTTTAATTTCAGTTTGATCAGATTCATCTTTTTTCTTTCTCATTGTTTCCTGTTCTTTTTCATCATCTCCTTTCCATTTCATTTTTCCAGGTCGCAATAGATTTTTTGAGAAAACTGGGTTCGACTGAAAAAATAATGGGGATTTTTCGAATTAGAATCAAAAATCGAGGCGGGTTTAATGGACCAAATATATACTCAAATTGAGTCCAGTTGCCAGGAAAGTCGTAGTAATATTGAAATTCTGATTAAAAATGAAATAAAATCTGAGATTTTTGGTGGCTCGATTCTAATTCTAAAAACACCAAAAATTTGAAAATAAACTAACATCAGCAACATTTTCGAAAATTTCTTTTTCCTCATCTTCGATTGCTCCAATTTTACATGGCTGCTTATTATGTCTTTTAGTCAAATCTTTTTTATCACTTCCATCCTAAAAAAATATATTTTTTTCAAATAACTATCCTACAGTATTCCTCAACTCACCATTCGACTCTTTTTTCCTCTTTTCGAACCTTTTTTTGATCCTAAATTCTTTCCTTGTTGTTGTTGTTTTTTTCTTAATGTCATATCCATTAAATCTTTCAACAATCCTCCCGAATTCGCTGATCCAACTTTTCCCAATTTTTCTTCTTTGTTATTATTTTGTGCCATTTTTGTACTAATTGATATTTATTCAAAGTTTACTCTTTTTTTGCCGTCTTCAATCGGAGCATAGATGAATATGAAATGATTGAATTCTGAGGAAAAAATTGACGTGACGTTAAAAAAATAATGATATTTAGGTCATAAAAAAACAGTGTCCTAAATAAAATTGCGGATAAAAGGACGAATTATTTCCAGATTGATCATTATTCAGATAATTCGTAATATTGTAAATCTAAGGTTTGTTTAAGGGAAAACTAAGAATATTTGGGGGAGAAGGAATTAGGCTCAATTTTGAAGATGTCGAAATACAAATCGATATATGTTTGATCCTTGAATTTCAATACGATTCAACATTTTTGGCAGAACATTCGATCTTTTTCGAATATCTGAAAATTAGGCTCCAACTTTTCTTATGAGCTTCTTGAAATATTAAGGTACCAAGTCTAAATTACTGTAGTTTTCGAATTAATATTTTACAGGCAGATAAATTGGAAGACAATGTTGATATTATACTCGATTTTCATATCATTCTTTATTATTCCAATAATAAACTGTGGCGGAAAAAAAGGTAAAAAAGATGGTAAAAAGAAAGGAGGTCCAAATAAAGCAGGAAGTAAACAATCAGCTTCTGCTTCGCCAGCAATTACACCAAAAGCAGCTGATAAAAAAGAGGAAGAAGTCAAGCCAGAAGCAGCTGAGCCAGTCGCGGCGCCACCAGCTCCACCAAAACCAGATGCGACTAAATTGGCTGGAATTTGTCCGGAATCTGAAAAAGATGAAGGTTTGAAAGGTGGAATATTGTGTCCAGAACCACCAGCGACAAAAAATGAGGCAGAAGTTCAAGAGGAAAAAAAGAAAAAAGAAGAGGAAAGGAAAAAGAAAGAGGAGGAAAAGAAAAAACAAGAGGAGGAAAAAGAAGCTGAAAAAAATGAAGAAAAAACTGGAGGAGATGAAGTTAAGGATAAAAAGGAAATCGTGTGAGAAAATGAATGATTTCGAAATATTTCTATAGAAATATTTATACTATTATATAAATAAAACAAAAATTTATGGGTCAAACAAAATTTTAATACTACGAAAAAATCAACTATTTTTAAAAATATTTAAACAAAAATTATTAAAAACAACAAAAATACCAGTAGAAAATATCAAACTTTTCAATCATCCCACGCTAATTTATTTTCCTTATCTTCATTCTCTTCCTTTTCCTCATTTTCATCCTTTTTATCATTGTCATCCCAAGATGCTTTTGGCTGTTGTCTTTCGTTTTTCTTTCGTTCTTCTGCTTGACGACGACGAGTTTCTCTGATAATTATTAAGAATACGTAGGATTTTTGGAAAATAAAAAAGCTTCTAAAAAAGATAAATTCTTGGAAAACGAGTTTGAGTTTCCAAAAACAAATGGACAGAAATTTGATTATTAAAAAGTCAGATTTTTCAACAAAAAAAAAACAAAACTATTACCTTTCTTCGCGTTCTTTTACTTCTTTCAAAAGTTGTTGAGATTCGCCATCGAGAATTCGTTTTTTGGCGCAGTTCTTCTCATTTCTATTCAGAGCATTAAGCATTTCCTTCTGTAAAATAAATATTTCCATAAATCTTCAATTTTCAAACAACTTACGAAATGTGATTCATGTGCTTCAGCAATATAAAACAAATCTTGTTCAACAGTTAGCCATTTTCTTCCTGTATCGACGTGTGGAATTGTTTTGTTTGTTTCGACGAATGACAAAGCTCTAATATCAAGTTGAGGAACATAAACACCGCTGTAAATATTGATTTCATATTATGAAAAATTGATGGAAGTCTTACTTCTGTTTGAACGCTTTTCCGATTTCAGATCGACACTTTGTACATTTCAAATTACACAATGGTTGTGTATTATCATCAATGTATTTATTATTAGCTCTTTTTCGTGTTTCTAATTCGAGCTTGTCCCAAACATCCGGATCCATCATCATATAATTTGAATATTTCTTTTTAATTTTATCACTTTTACAGAATTCCAAACTACATTTTGTACATGTCACTGTGTATAATTTCGACTGCAATGATTTTTCTCTGATCATTTTCTCTTTTACTTCTTGCTCGCGTTCTCGTTTCAATTTTATACTTTCTTCTTCAACCTGAAAATAATAGTTAAAGTTTTAAATTTCCATTTTTATTTCTCCACAAACCTTTTTCTCCAGATTTTTCTGACCATCCTTCTGAATTCTTGCAACACATTGTCTCATATACTTTTCAGAAATCAATGCATTATTTTCGTTTTCATTCACTTTTCCAGTAACAACAAGAAGAACAGATCTTGAATTCTTTGCACGTGCTCGACCTCTTTGTTGTGTTAATTGAATTGCAGATCCAGATGAGCAATTATATTTGATAATCAAATTACACGTTGCAACATCCAAACCTTCTTCAACAACTGATGTGGCAACCATTACTTTCAATTTTCCATCATTGAATCGTTTAATAACAGACTCTTGTTTTGTTTGACTTTGTTTAACAGCTCCTTGATTATTTGATCCGAGAACATAATCGAAATCATGTTCTCCTCCCAAAACTCGACATTCATTCAAAAAATTAGAAACACGTTCGGCTGTGCTACGCTGAACAACAAAAATAATTGCACGAGAATTTGGTGATTCTTCAAATTGATTTTTGAGCGTATTTTTGAGCTGGGCAACAATTTCTGGATCTGCATTATCTTCGGAATTGTTTTTCATGAGATTCAAAGTTTCGCGATTGTCTGAAAATTATTGTGAATATTATCATAAAATTAATAGACATCTGCATTTTGGTTCCTTGCTGCATTAAAATTCTGCGCCGAAACTTTTCCAATTTTTCTAGAAAAATATCAAAATAAAAAATAAGACTAAATTTTTTCAGTACTTGCGCTTTGAGAAAAAGAGTGATTCATGTGAAAATAACTAAAACCAAAAAAGATATAAATTCAACATTTTTCATTAAAATAAACCTACTATCGAAAAGCTGCGAGAATTGTGGAAAATTGTGTTTTCTTCTCATCTCACTAAATCTCATATCCAAATAATCAAATGCAACATAAGCCGGCATTACTTCAACAATTCCTCTTGCTTCAACAACACTTTTCAAATATTCAACATTCATTTGTGGCACCATTTTTTCGTGTGAATTGACTTTGTCCAAATTCAACGAAACTTGTTGCAACCAAGATTCGTAATATACAACATCATCCAAATTCAAGTTTTTCGCATTTCTCATGAAATTCTTTTGGAAAACATTTCCAGCACGAATTGCGATGATTTTTTCAATATCAACTAATAACTTGTCGTGAAGTTCTCTGAAAAGTCGTTGAATAAACTGTCGAATACGAGAACGATCTTTGAGTGGAGGTTGACATGGCACAACGGCTGGAATTATTAAGAATTTCATTTTTGAAATATGATCTTAATATAAATCAAACTTACAATCATCTGGTCTTGATACATGTTTATTCAATTCAGCAATACTATCAGGATTCTGTATTGTGCTCAAAACTGTGGCATTCAACATTGCTAACAATTTATAAATCTCGCCTAGCATTCTTGACATATCATTACTCGCAGTTGCTTTCACATTCAAAGAAGCTGTTAAACCTATTACTTGTGGTTTCTCTGTTCCTTTATATATTTGGATCATTCGAGCAATTTCGCCATATGGATGATTTCCAGTTGTTTTATGAACTTCATCGAAAATCACCATTGAAAAATCACAAACATATAATCGCTCACTTTCACGAACTGACTGCCACATATTCCTGAAAAATTATTAATTATGCGGAGAAAAGATTTCTAGAAACTAACAGTAGAATTTGTGGTGTCATAACAACAATATGTGATCGAAGAACATCATCTTTTCTACCTTTTCCATTACTAATATGTTCTGAACCATAGCATTGTTCCACATAATATTTTCCACGACAATATTTCAAAAATCGATCAGCTTGTTGAGAAACCAATGGAATCTTCGGAACTAACATCACAACTCTTGATGCTTTCTTTTTCTCTGCCCGTTTTCTGATATGTTCCAAAGCAGCGAAAATGGCAACTTCTGTTTTTCCTGAACCAGTTGGTGCGACAATTACAGTATTCTTTCCAATTAATGCAGGTCTAACTAATTCTTCTTGATAAATACGAAGATTTAATTCGGCATTATTTTCATCATCATCAGAAACGTATGCCAAATCATCGGGTTGTGGTCGAAGTGTATCGACTTCATCTTGATCGTCGATTGCAGTTTCCCCCTTTGATCTTTCTGAACCATCAAAAAGAAGAAGTCTTTCACGTTGTCTTTCAATCTCTTTTTCTTCTGCAAAAATTCAAAATATTTCCTAACATAAAACAATTGAAATGAACTCACTCAACGCCTCTTTATAGTTTCTATGAAGGAACCAAAGTGCAGCTCTTCCGTGTGGATCTTTACTCAATGCTTCCAACAAATTATAATACCAATCGTCTTTTTTTGATTCAGGAAGTATTCCAACATCGATTAAAGCAAATGTTGCAAAAAGAAGATTTGTTCTGTAATAAAATTTTGTTGAATAACATTTTGAATTTTTAGAAAATCTCACTTATGAATATTCCAAATCAATGGATTTGGTCTAGTGATTTCTTCACCCTCTGCATTTCTTTCAATATAATTGGATGGTCCTTCATCAAGAACATCTCGAACAAATTCAGTTCGAATATTCAGATTATCGTCATTCAAAAACAATTCAGTAACTCGTTGTTCGCGTTCATAAAATGGATTGTTGGCAAAAAACGAATAAATAAGATTACCGCGAGCAGCGCAAGATACACTATCCAAAAGTTGGTGATCACATCGGTTAACTGGTGTTTTTGATTCACCAGCAGAATGATAGAAACGAGCAAAGTATGCATCGCGAGCTGGCCAATCAGTTGGACAATTATTCCAATGCGTTTGATCGTATACACTTCTATTCTCTGAAACAGCAGATTTAGTTTGAAATGCAAAAACATACCACATGGAATATAAAACTAACCTTCAAACAAAAGTTTATCAACGATTTGAATTCCTTGCTCACAGTAAAACACTTGGTCGAAGAAATGTTCGATGTATCTTCTCTGAAAACATAAATTTAGACTAAAACTAGGTAATGACGTCATTAAAGAAAAACTAACTCGAACAAGTCTGATCTCCATTTCTCGAAGTTCTGCGATATAAAACAGACGTTTCTTCACTTTTTCATTATAAACCTTTCTTTGGTCATCATTCATATTCGGAATCTTTTCAATCTCTGGAACATTCATATCTTTTTTGTCTCTATCGACACATTCTTCGGTGTCTCGAATCATTGACACAATATGCAACAATTCTTCACGGCCGAAGATTGGTTCGAACATATTGAATGCGGAATTTGATGTTCTTTCGATACAAATATCCAAGACTTTCCATCTACAAAATAGAAATCGTTTCTGAAAATCTTAACAGAAAAAAAACTTACTTGAAAAGTCGGAGATACGCAGGAAAATGAGGATCCCGGTATGGAAGCCCATGGCTTTTTGGACTTTCATAATCATCCATTCTGAAAATAAATTCAAGGAAATGGACGAACAAATAGAGAAAAAAGACGCAGACACAAAATACCCCAAAAATTTTTTAAAAAATGAGAATTCATGGACCATCTATTCAGGACCCAACAGTTGGCTTTTGCGGTACTTTCAGTTTCGCGATTTTTTCTTTCGCACTCTATACGCTCTCTGTCTCTATTTATTCGCCCTTAAACGAAGTGACTAAAATAAAAAAGACAAGAATTTCATTGCTCATACTAATATGTTAGGCCACGTAAAAATTTTTAGGCCAGCTAAAAAATTAAACTCTTCCACGAGCAACTTTCCAGTTGCGAAATGAAAAATTGTAGTTTTCATATTCGTTTTTCCATTTACCATTACTGATATCGTTAAATTTTGAGAAATGAGTACAGAACGTGTATAATGAAAACCCTAATTAACTGACTTTAGGCCTTGGCAAAAGAAAAAAGAAAAATGAAAACGAATGTGTCGTCAGGTTGTGAGTTTTGTCTACAGTAAATATGCGGTGTTTGCAGAAATTGCAGACTTTGAAACCTACAGTACTTCTCAGCAGCCGCTGGCGTAGTCTAAAGCGTACAAACGAGCGTTTGTAGCGTCATACACCGCCTTAGCTACGCTGGCTTGTACGCTTTAGTCTACGCTGAGGTGTAAATCTTAGCTACGCTCGTTTTTATTTTCAATTCAATTTTTTTTTTCATTTGCTTGCTTGATTTTGTCTGAATTCTAGGTTTACTGTCAATATTGTATGTTGAATGCGTCGATTTCGGAATTTTTGAAGGAACTGTATAAACATGATTTATTGTATGTAACAACAACAACAAAAAACAGTAAAATAATTAAAAATAACATCGAAAAATCGATTTTCGGCGCTTCTTGACAATTTTACAGGGTTGTTGAGACAAACTGAGCTGATTGGAAGATTTTTAATGGTGTTGAATGACGGTGTTGAATGACGGTGTTGAGTTCCACGTGAGAGTTTCCAATCCTTGTAGAATATCGAGAATACCAGTGTTCGAGTCTGAAAGAATAGTTGACTTATTAGAAGTTTTCTGAAGTGGATATTTTGATTAGGATTGGCCAAAATCAAGACTTTATGACTAGGAAATGGGGGGGGGGGGTTTCAGATAAGATGGGCGGTTAATCGGTTAGTAAAGTGAGCTGCACGATTATTCGCCTGAACTAAGATAATTCGGGCGATTGATCGCTCAGCTAGCAGATAATTCAAGTTACTACGCGACTTTTTCTGAGTATACGGACTCATATTTTGGGATGTTTCGAATAGGAAACGATTTTTCTCACCTTTTGCCTAATCCAGCTTGCTTCATATCCCAATTTCGATATTTGTGTCAAATTCGCAAATCACTGACCAGCTTGATTTTCAAAATCCACTATCCGGGATTGGTTCGAAGTTTGTAGTGAAGAGTGCCAAATTGATTGGGATAAACTCCAAATTTCGAAGTTTGCGTAGTTGAATCAAAACCGCCAACAGTCGACTGACAACCAAATTATAGTTTCGAGTTGAACTTGCATTTGAACTTTCAAGCGTGCTTTGAGGCAGTCTTCGACTTTTACTTCTCATAGCTAGCTTGGATCCAGGTTTAGCTCTGAAATGATATAGTCTATTCTCAATATTGATAGAATTAAGTGACTTACATAATCTGCAGAACATGCAGTGTAGGCTCGCATTACCCAAAACCACGATTCAAGACTGAAACATAGAAACATTGAATAGAGAACGATTACAACCTAACAATAATAAGCATGTTAAATTCGTAGATAAAGTCTTAGATTTTCTACTTTTGATCTGTTGAAATAATTTCTCATTGAAAATCTTCAAATGAGAGCTAGTTTTCTAGTGAAAACCTCGTTTGATGAGTTTTTTGAAGTATAAAAGTCGTTATAATCAGGTAAAACACAACTGAAAAGTATAACTCCATGCTTTAAACATTTTAACACGCTCAAAGAGACAAATTTTAGGCCAATGAAAAAAACAAAAAGAAAAAGTGAAAAGCTTGTACGCAACGCACAGGAATTGCAACGCGGTTCAGTGTAGCTACGCTCAGTCTACACCCGCGAGATTACAACGAGCGTAGCTAAACCGTAGCTAAATTTCATCTAAATAACCCTTTATTGTACGCTTAGACTACGCCAGCGGATGCTGAGTTAATTTTTTCTTTTTCCTGCTAAAATTTGTTCGTTTCCAAATTCTGTAACTTCGCAAATCAATGAACGAGATGAATGCGAAATAATTTGAGAAATTAGTTCGGTTACCGTTAATCTAAAAACGATCACTGAAGTCAGCAGTTAGCGTGAAACGATATAATTTATTTTATGTTTTAGCTTACACGAAAAATATTAGAAATGATTTGTCAGAAATTTCAAAGAGACGCTATAATTTTTACGTGACATTTTTGTATTTCGTCAGTTTGCATCTACTAAGTATTCACATTTCTAGATTCTCTTAGAGCACAAGTGTAATTCGGTAAGTTCTGTTTGATAATGGAGAAAAGTTATATACCTCTTATCCTCTTATTTTAAAATCGATTCCGAAAATCATACATAGTTTGCAATCATCATCATTGTTTTCTTTATTTACAAATTCACTTCTTCTTTTTAGTCAAATCTGTGATAAGTACATATTGAAAATATTTACCCGTTGAAATAATATTAATATATTTTCAAATAAACCACTTTGTAATATTCTCGAAGAGTTCAGTTGCCCGAATCACACACAAAACACTAGACTTGACGCACACATTTCTTTATTATTTCAACGTGTTTCTTTTATTTTCAACAACAATCTAATTCAATTTCAGGAAATATGAACGCTGCTCAAGGTAATCCAAATCCTCAGGTATTTTAATCACCGATTTGTTTGTTAAATTTTGGAAATTTTTATTCAGGAAGCACAAGAACAAGCACGAAAACAAGCAGAAAATCAAGAAAATGCTAAAAATAGTATGCTTTCTCAGGTAATTTTCTAGTTGTTACTTAAATTAAAACAATCAAATAGAAATATTAAGATTCTGGATCAACAAGCACTTCATCGACTAAGCAATTTGGCTGCTGCAAAACCCGAAAAAGCTCAAATGGTTGAAGCAGCTCTTATCAATATGGCCAGGTATTTTGTTTCATTGAATTTTTTCTAGAAATAATGTTATTATTTTTGTAGAAGAGGTCAATTAGCAGGAAAAATGTCGGATGAAGGATTGAAACAACTTATGGAAAGAGTATCTCAGCAAACTCAAAAAACAACGACTGTCAAGGTAAATTTATTTGAAAAGGGAGTTTTTTGAAAAATAGATATTGATAATAAATTTACATTAGGGAAATACGGGTCAGAATTAGAATGTTATTTTATAATGGAATTTATGAAGTAAGTTTGGTGAACCTTGAAGTTTCAGTGGATTTTACAATATGAATACTTTTATAATTTTTATTTTTACTTGATTGTGAAACAATATATTTTTTTCATATTTTTATTTTTCATATTTTTTACTTTGCAACAAAATGTTCTGCATGAATCCACATGCAGATGCATTTTCTTAAATACAATACACAACTCTAATTTTCATCCCGTGTTTTCCTATTTTATAATTTTACATTGATTCCAAAATGAGGTTCCTTTATGAGAGAAAAACTCAAATTCTGTTACAATTTTTGTTTTTAGTTTGATCGCCGGCGTAACAATCTCGATTCGGACGATGAAGATGATTTATAAAACAATGTGTTTGAAAATTATATTGCTCTATAAAATGTGCTCTCAAATTTGAGTTCGTGTTTCGCATAAGAATGATAATCAATTATTTATTGAATGAGAAATATGAATAAGTCGAAGAAACTGATAGAAAAGGTTATTCGGAAATGAATAACAATCATGGATTATTGAAAATTTGTATTAGGAAATTAATGTGAGTGTTTAAAATATTCTGTGGTCTCTAAAAGTATAAAGTATATATTTAGTTTAAAAACATTCCCGGAAATCAACAAAAATATTTTGATAGTTTAAGATTTTCTAGAAAGAACACTACGAAAAACTTGTTTTGTCCCACCCCTTAAATTTTTTAACATTACGTTTTTTTTTTTGCTACGAATTTACATTTTGGTCATTTTTTGCTGTTTGGTATTCTTGAAATGTTTTTCCTTTTTTCTTGCGAATAATTCTATTTATTTGCTAACTTGTTCAAAGTCCGAAAAATATTTGAATGTGAGACAAACAAACTTTTTTTCAATCTAAAATGATGACGAATTCAAGTTATTTTTGGAGTAAAAAAACAACGTCTGATTGAAAACGAAAACGTGACCCGGAAAACAAGGAAGGCGTGAAATTTCTCAAGCTTATTTTTTTGCAGAATTGAATAAGTATTTTATTCAATTTTGTCTACACATGGGGTCGTATAAAAAATTCATTTGATTCAAACGAAAAAATACTTCCTTTCTACTGACTGACTGAAAAAATAATATCAATTCTCCTGAAATCCAATAAAATCCATTATTTTTATTTGTTTTTTTTTGAGAAATGGAATGAAATGAGATTTGAATAATATTAGTTATTCATATAACCACTTTTCTCGTTCCCCGCTTTTTTTCAGATGTAGACATTTTCTGGAAAACTAATTGTCCAAACTTCCGGAATCGCAAAAGTTCATTCTAATTTTTTTGTCAAAAAAAGTTCAAAAGTTTCCGGATTTCTATAACTTTTCAATTACTTTTAATTTTTCCAAAAAAATATATTCGCGGAAAATCTCGTCATTTTGTTTCTCTTGTCATTTTCCATATTTATTTGTTCTTACTCCCCGCAATCCTCCCACATTTATTTTTCCAAGATAATTTCCGATTGAATTTATCTATTTATTTTTTATCGCCTACTACTAAAAGCATAATCAAAACTCAAATATTTGAGGGCAAAGAACAAAGATTTTTCAAAATCTAAAATTTTGAGATGAAGAAATATTTCGACAGGGTCTTAGAAAATTGTATACTTCTCGAAATAATTTATCGTTTTCCCTGGATTGAGAATTAAATTATAACTTGTGTGTTCTTCTGTTCTTTCGTCTGAATCTAAAAAAAATGAAAAAAGTATTTTTAATCCAATTCCGTTAAGTACACTTTCGAAAATGCACTTGAAATTTTTTTGACAAATAAAAATATAAATACATTTTACGTCATATTTTAAAATTCAAAAATGATTTCTGAACATTTCATCGTAACAACTTTTAATGTTATAATCGAATTTCCTTCCGGTTTTATGTGCAAATTCAAGCTGTCATTTTCAGGGTTTTTAAGATACATTATTGTCTAGTAAAGTTTCAGCTTCTGGGAAGAACACATTAATTTTTTGTTGTTTCATTTAGGAAGAAAATAGGTTGTATGATTCAGAATTGTTCCTTTTTTCCCAAGTTTTCATCTAAAATTCTGTTTTCTCAGGAAATATTCTCTATTTCGCGGTAATTTTTCAACATTTTTTGTTCTATGATATTTGGGATGTTCAATTTTGGAAAAATATTTTTGGGAATATGAAAAAGGACGACCTGAAATTGTCCTTATTTCAAATGTTCGCATAAAAAGCGTCTTCTAAATTCAGAGGTCACTTACTTATTTTCGTTGAATCCACCCTCAATCTTTGATCATCCAGAAGAAGAAGTAAAAAAAGAGGTAATACAAGGCATCATAAGTGCTCATTTTTTACTGCATTTTGAGCTCAAAAACAATAAACGATATTAAAACTTTGTCAAGTGGAAACAAAAACGAGTGTTATTCTTGTTGACGTAGATCGAACAACACTTTTTTGTTTCGAAAATGCGTGGTCAAAATGCAATTCCAATTCCCCACAGAAATAATCACGTTAGACAAACAAATTCGCATATAAAGTCAAGCTTTTTTGTTATTTTGAAATTGTTCCTTCCTTATTCGATATTCAATCAACTTTTGTTTTTCATGACATCATTTGTTTCGCGAGATCTTTCTTAATTTGTTTAAAAAACCACATTTCCAATCGGAAGTGATTAATCATTTCGATTTTCTTCATTTTCACACAGAATAACCGGTTTTTCTCATTTTCCAATGACTACAAATTACTAATTGTGCAAATACAAACTTTCTGAATTCAGAAATCACGTCGGAATTTATTATATATGTTCTCTTATTTTTTTCCTCATACTCCACCTACAGTAACCTTTTACTTCGTCAACAATTTTCAGCTGTTTTTCTTTTTTTTTTTTTCTTCGGTAATCGAACAGCTGAAAAATACATAGTGTTCGTCTAATAGTTTATATCAAATATACAAGTTTCTATTGATTATTTTGAAATAGGCCTGATTTTTGAATAACGGAATTAAAGAATCAAAAAACTGCGCGGCCTTGGTTTAGGCTTCTTATCGAAACTTTTGAAAAATTCAATTTTTTGAAGTTCAGATCAATATTGCTACAATCCTAACGTTTCTGGACCCAAATAATGAATTCTCATCAATTTTGAAAATAAACAAGTTACGAAAAACTTTTTTGAACAATATTATGACGTGGAAATTATGTGATTATTATTCAGGGTTTTTAGAACGACAGATTTTCTGGATATACAACATCGAATACTTAAATTTGAAAATATTTGATAATTCTCTAATTGTGAACAGACATGAAAAATCTCGTGGGTGGTCCTGTTCAAACATCCTTCAAATTTGACCTGCCCGCTTCCTCGGACCTGATGCAAAACCTCCAAGTTGTTATTACGAAAAAAACGGAAAATTAATGTTTTTCTTTCTGCGAGAAAACGTTGTGAGTCATAAAGGTCAATAAGGCGGGGTTTCAACCTGATACACTCGTATATAAAAAAGTTTATGAAACAAAAATAGAAAATTGGAAATAGGAAAAACACCCACATTTTCCAATTACTCATATTCTATTCATTGTTCAATGAACTTTTTTTTAGCTCTTTCTCTCTCTTAATATTATAAATGGAAAAAAATTGAAAAGCGTTTTCGGTTTTCGTTTTCCAAAATTAAAATTAAATTCTAATTCCTTTTTTGTTGGGTCACATGGATCTCTTTTTTATTCCCAAAAATCTCTGAATAGTGCAAAATACTCTGTTTCTATTTGAATAAAAGCTTAAATAGATTTTAGTTATTCTCATCTCGAAAAATCTCTTTATTTTTTTTTCAATTTTTTTTCATTTGAAAATCCTTTGGGAGCTGTTTTAATTAGCTTGTTTTTTTCACATCAGATAACTTCTAATCGGTAGTTTTTTGAATAATTTTGGATTGAGGCGAGATGAAAAATCAGTCTGAAATTATTGCAGAGTGCATTGGAGCGCTGTGATCTTATATTTGAAAAATGCAATTTATCACCGTGAAAAAAGAGAGCAAAAAATATTTCAACTCAAAAAAAGTTAAGCCCCCAATGTTTTTCGCCGTTTCTTTTTTTTTTGTCCAAAAATTTCGATTAACTTTTTTAGTCACACACTCGCGAATATCTATGTGCCCGCCTTTTTTCTTCGAAGCTCCTCCCATTTTTCTTGAAATTCGCCTGCTTGTCCTTTATTTCTCTCTGAAATTTTCTTTATAGGGTTTCAATATACGAAATTTATTTTTTTGCTCGTTCGAAAAACAAGAACACAATTTGTGTTTCAATTTTGGCCAAAAATAAATATTTGTTAGTCTAGTAAGAAATTTATGTGTTTTTCACTGACAACATATGTTATGAAAAAAGACCACCTTTTGATCTGAAAAAATAATGCTTGATCATGAGATCATGCTGTTATATACTTAAATTCTAGTATACATCAAAACAAATTTAATGAATTCTTTAGAAAGTTCAAATTCAATTTTTCGTATTTTTATCCCTCGTTCAGTTTTTCTTTTCCGGGTACCTTGATTAATGTGCATTTTTTCAGGTAACAAAAATAAGCAAAAATGAGTCAGATGTGTCTTCTCGTGTTTTTGCAGGTTTGTGTAACATGTGTATTTAAAATGATTGCTCATAGTATATGTTTTTGCAGTGTTTGGTCGCCATTTGTGGTGCATATCCTTATTTGGTAGTTTCATCCACAAGGTGAGTAAAATGATGTTATTCGATATATTTTTGAGTGGGTGGCAAATGTCATTCATGAATGATTTTTTTTCGGATTCTATGTGGATAGAAATAGACGTCATTAACAAGTATAATTCTGAAAATGAATTTGGAAAACAAGTTTTTTAAAATACAATATTGCGTGCTCAGAAAAACCCAATTAAATTTTACGATATCTTGTCTAGACAAAAAAAACAAACACTCGGAATTCACACTCTGTATTTAATGGACTTTTTCTAGAAGCCGAAAAGTGGTGAAGCGGAAATTTTTCTGAAAAAAAAGTATTTCATCGATTTTTTCTTGAGAATATCAAAAAATGTGACAAAAAGGACAACAGCTGAAAATTAAGAATTAAAACTAAAAGTAGTATTAAAAATAAAGTTTCCAATTTCGTCATCAATGTTTACTTTTTTGTCGAAAGCCACCCTTCTTGTTAATTAAATAGATGATCACATCCAAATACGTCAACCTAAAATACTTTTTATTCATTTCCAAGTTATTTTAGGTGAACGTTTGATGTTTGAAAGAAAAGAAAAACGAGAAATTCAAACTATTTTTGCAGTGAACCACCAACTCGTCATTTAGTCAAACGTGCATTTGACCGATTTGATAATGAAGGAATCTTTTCATTTGGAGCAAAAAGATATGATCGAATGGAAGATTATCAACAATATGGAAACAATGATATGAATCGATATCTCTTCAAAAGAAGTTTTGACAATGATTTGGATTTTGGATTGAGAAGAAAACGATCATTTGATCGAATTGCTGGCGGAGAATTCGGTTTTGACTATAGAAAGAAAAGATCTTTTGATCGAATAGGTGGAAGTGAATTTGGATTGGTCAAGAGAAGTTTATCAAACGATGATGAAAGAGGTAAAAATATTATTCCTGTAAAAATTTATAATCTTCACAATATTCATTTTCAGAAACTCTGATTGATAATCTTGCCGAATCAATTGTTGCTCTTCGAAATGCTCGAGCAATCGAAAATCAACCAATTGTTATCGCCTATGATCGAAAGAAGTAAATTAATTCATCCATCTTTATGTCCAACACTTTTTGTCTCTGATAGATCTCTAATTGCCCACTCTGATCTCTATTTTTCTACATACAACCCCTATTTAGGATTCTAAAGGTGTTCCAAATCGCCTTTGATTTTTTGTGTAATCAACAAGTTTTTGTCTGTCTGTGTTCTTGTGTTTTTGAAACAATAAATTTCAACATTGGTTTTTACATGCTGTTTCCCTCGAGTGTCTGGAATTCGATGAATTCAAGACACTTTCAGTTACTACTGTTATTTTTCAATATTCCAAAAAAAGTCGAGTTTCAAATTTCAAAACACATTGCATAGAATATGAGTTTCAAATTACGGAAAAAAAACAGTAAGAAACATTCGAAAAATTTTGAATGACTTCTATTTTTGTTCGATGTTTTTTTGTGAAAAAATAGTTAAATGTGAAAGGAAAACAACGAAAATGTGAATACGAGTTAAAGTAATTATGTGTTTTAATATTTGCATAGTGGCCCCAAGTCACACGGTGCGTAGACACAATTTCGCGTACAGTAGAATTTGAACACTCAGACTATCTTTAAACATCATAACAAACGAATGCGTTTCGAAAACTCCTAAAAATTTTCCCTAAAAAATATATAGCAATATGAAAAATACAATTTTGCATTCATTTTTTAAATTTAAAAATTGATTCATATGTCTCATTAAATGAACATACAAATTGCAGTTATTTATTCGTTTTTTGTTTTCCTACTATTCCACTTTGGTAGCAGAAAATCAGCTGTCTGAAAAACCGAAATGAATCATAATAAAAAATACAAGCGAAAAAGACAATACCTCAAAAATTGTGAAATTTGAATTGATCAAATGAAGTAGAGTAATTCCATCATTTTTCAAAGTAGATCGGATAAATCGAGAGATTTCAGTTTTCTCAGCATTCACATTACCACCGTTGTTCTGAATTTGACTCATTTATCCGAAACCCAGATACTCTAGAAGAAAACTTACCAATATATTATAAACAAAATTGATTTGATGGTATGCGGTGAATCTATAAATAATTCTAGCAATATCGAACATTGATAAAATAGCAAGAATGAGGTACAACCACCAAAGCGCCACGAATAATTTCTCATTGAACATATTCACCTGAATATTGTTTTGATCTCCTAAATCATTAAAAAAAAACTAACCATAAGAACACATTGAAGAGTCCAATTATTGATATACCCAATTTCTCGAACTTCAAAATCACAGAATGTAACTCGTGGAAAACTTCCACTTTCTTTCCATTCACGGCCAGCCAAAAGATCACGAGTCACCTATTTTTTCAAATTTTGGAATGTTAATTTCTACTTGAAACTTACTGTATATCCATACATTGGTCCTAAACCCATAAATGATTCCAAAAATATTATTGATGCAAAAACAATAATTGCCGCTGTTACTTTTCTTATAATCAAACAAAGTGTAAGATGAAATCCCCAAGTTTCTCCAGATCCTCCACGACGTTTTGCAGTTATTTTAATATCATTTCTTAATTCTTCCAATGTTTTACTGTCATTTGATGATAATCCATTGATTGATCGATTTCTCATATAAATAGTTATCAATGACAAATCAATACCCATTATTAATTGAGATATTTGATAAACAAATTTTGGAATATAAAGAGCAAAAGCCATACCAAATAATATAAAAGGAACCCATTGATAATATTTCATTTCCCGATTTTCTCGTGTATCAATTTCGGGCAAATTTGATTGATTCATTGGAACAAAATACGTGTTTTCAACTAAACAATACGTTTCTGCATATGCTTCCCAACTATCCTGAAAACTTTGTTCTCGTTTTCAAACTTATCATTAACAAAAGTAAGCTGACCTTGAAATGTGTTGGCACCCAACATTGAACTGATTGCCCAACATATTGTTTTGTCATTATAAAAAATCCACAGGCAACAAGAAAAATTGGAGTGCCAAAAAATCTCAATTTATCAACTGCATCTGGATTAAAATCTAGCGTGATATCTTCGCCAATTATTGGAAACTTAGTTGGCATTCTGCAAAAAACCAAATAAAAAATCAGATCATTTAAAACTTGAAACACAAAAATATAATCATATGGTTATCCATTCATAAAATCAAAACTAAATTCAGAAAAACTTTTATTATCATTCGTTCGCATAAAGAAAAAGAACAATTCATAAACTCGATTCGTCTTCAGTAAAATACAATATACTACCTGGAAAAATTGATTTTTATTTTTTTAAAGGGTTGGTGCTCCGCCAGGGAATCTTGTTTGGTTTAGATAGGAATAAGGTGCTCCTGGAAGGTTCCAGTTTTAGAAAAATTCTAGTATCAATTCAGCCCGTGTTTTTCCTCAAAAACACAAGCGAGTTAAAACCTACGAAACAAAGCATGTAAATGCGCTCTACCGCACAACTTGTTTTTGAATTTTCGTGTGTCTGTTTGCACACAACTTTGAAAACAACACTGTGACGCCTTTTTGCAGACGATTTTTTCACCAGGAAAGCACCAACCCTTTAATCAAAAAAATTTGAAGAGGAGGAACTTTTCTTACTTGGATGGTAATCTTCTTCAAAACTTGAGATGTCTTCAAATGAATCAATCAACGAATCTTCAAAAAATAATATATTCCACTTTGGAAAAAACAAAAAGAAGATACGCATAAGCAGAAAAATTTCCTCCCCCGGATTACTGTAATTTTAAGAGAAAGTCAACTCACTATTGAGTTTGTGAAGATGGTGTTGAAGTTGTAGAATCTGGAAGAGGAAATTTTTCGAAATCCATAAAAGAACTATAAAATAAAAATCACCTCCAATCGAAAGTTTCCAAATTTTTTCCATCAACATTTCTGAATGAAGTCGACCGCTGTTTGCATCAAGAAGTCGAAGAGTTAAAACTCCATCATGTTTCAGAACATTTTTGATCAACGATTTTTCTTGTTCTGGAGTACTTTCAATATTTCCATGATACTGTAACAACAAATTGTTTTTCATTTAACAACAAATTTCAAAAAATTACCAATAAATCAGAAACAAATTGAAGTTGACTTCCAGAAACAAATCTTCTCCATGTCCACATAATGAAATTACCCGATGTAACAATCAACAAAAATGCGAACCAGAACCATAGGAAAATGAAGATCTTTTCATTGAACATATTTACCATCAAAACACATTGAACTGTCCAATGATTGATATTTCCCAGTTCACGAACATTTATATCACAGAAAGATACCTTGAAAAAAAGTATTAAAAGAAAAAAAAGGTTAGGAAAACTTACTCTTGGAAAATGTCCACTTTCTTGCCAATGTCTTCCATGAATCATGTCCCAGAATATTCCCCAACCCCAAAGTGTATAAGAAGTATTTAAAAAACGATTGAGGAAGAAGAATTGAAGAGTCACATTCAATAAAATTAATGCTTTCATCGCAATATAGTAATTGAAAATGTGAGAACCTGAAGTTCTTGTTTGTGGTTCGTCAGTCCGAATGTTCACTTGTTTCGCATAAATATCTGAAAATATTTAATCGAATTTCAATTTGGTCAAAACAGCTATGGCTGTTCACCGAGGCCACCCACGAATCCTTTGACTTAAATTGATCTAATCAAAATATAGAGATACAATGTTAAAAGAAAATGAAAGATCAAATCCTACTGTACACAAAAACGTGAAAAACACGAAATTACTGTAGCTGCCTTTAGAAAACACAAATGCATTATTCACATACCAATAGCATCTTGTGCTTCTTCCAATTTCTTTCCAGATGTTCTTGCTGCTTTAATAATATCAGCAATAGTCAATCCACTATAAGATGGGAAAATAATCCAAAAAGCACGAGGAATACAAAAACATAAAGCCATAATAATAAGAATGAAGGGAACCCATTGATAATATATCATTTCTCGATCTTCTCGCGTATTTGCAGCCGGAAGATTTGTTTCATTCATCGGAACGAAATATGTGTTTTCAATGAAACAGTATTGTTCCGTAAAAGATTCCCAACCATTTTTAAATTGTGTTGGAACCCAACATTGCATTGGTTCTCCAACATAACTTTTTGCAAATAATAATGTTGCCAATGCAATTATTATTGATGTTGTTGTCACATAATTTAATCTGAAGAAAAATAAAAATCAGTTTAGATAAATATATTTATATAAACTAACCTGTCAATTGAATCATCATCGTGTTTTGATAATGATTTTATAGTTGATGCATATCCTTCTATATTCTTTAACATTCCTACAATCAATGAATATTATTATTACTAACAAAAGATCGACAACTATCACAAAAATGTTTTGTGGAAAGGTGAAAAACTGATAATTGTGCCAAACATTTGCTGCCTGCTATCAGTATAGTTGGCTTGTTGTGGGCGTATTTGAATTGATTATTGACTACTTTTGTTAGTAGACACTCATCGCTCGATTTTTGATATTATTTTGTTGCTCTCTTTTTCTTCTTCTGGTTCTCATGGATCAGATAATAGGACTTGTTTCAAATTATGCAAAACCGAGATATGAGGATGATTTTGTGGATCGATTGAATTTTCAGTACACTTCTTATATATTTGGATTCTCTGCATTAGTCATTGGTTATAATGTGAGTTGTATAGAAATTTCTGAAAAAAATTCAATGAATTAGGACAAGGCCGGAAAGAACGCGGTTCTGAATTGATTCTTCATTTATAGGCTTTTTGCAGACATATTTTGGAACTTCGATTAGATGTTGGACACCGGCTGAATTCCGTGATGGATGGAGTGAATATGCAAGAGATTATTGTTTGATTGAGAATACTTATTATCTTCCACTTGAAGATCCAAATCTTCCGCCAGCTGAACAACGTGAACAAAAAGAATTGACATATTATCAATGGGTTCAATTCATTCTCGTTTTTCTCGCTTTCCTTTTTTATCTTCCATATCTTTTCTGGAAAACTGTCAATTGGTGGAGTGGATTACAAGTTCGATCTGTTGTAAAAGCATCTGTCGAGTTGGATAAAACAAATATGAAAGAAAGACAACCACAAATGGAGAAAATAGCCAATCATTTGTATCAATTTGTTGATCACGGAGGACATCGAAAAAGTCCAATTCCTTTAGTTCCAAATATTATTGGCAGAAATTGGGTGGCTGTAACTTATATCATAACCAAAGTCTTATTTGTTATCAATCTTGTAGCACAACTTATCCTTATTCATATTTTCCTCGGATTCCGTTGGGGTGACTTTTTCAGTTTCCGAATTGGTTTTGGAAGTAATTGGATAAATAATGGGATATTTCCAAGACAAACAATGTGTGATTTTGATATCAGAAATAAAGGAAGTATTCAACAATACAGTATTCAATGTGTTCTTCCAATGAATATGTTGAATGAAAAAATCTTTCTGATTCTGTTTTATTGGCTCATCGTTCTTCTTTTCGTACGTTTTTTTAAATGATTACTTGAAACAGTTACATCTTTGTAGATCACAATCTATAATCTTTCTCGATCAATCAGCTCATTCTTCCTTTTCACAAGTCGACAAGAATTTGCCCATCGAATGTTGCATGCTGGTTATTATGATCATTCAGATTCTCCAAATGAGACAACATCTTCAGAAAAAGTGCCACTCATTGACAGACCAGTTAGCTTGAATGTAAGAATATTTTCTCTATGAAAAAAACGAAAATTTATATTTTTACAGAGCGATCAACATCGATTCTCCTCATTGAGCCCAGATCTTGTTGTTATTCTTAGTTTGATTGCAAAAAATGCCGGAGACAATGTATGTAGTGATGTTCTTTCATTGCTCTTCAAGAAAATATCTGAAAAATCTCAATAATTATGAACTTGTTCAAATCAAATCTGATTTTTTAAAAAATAAATATGTTTTATTTTATTCCTGAAGTATTCCTGAAGAAAAATGACCTCTGTTTATTCAGCTGGTTTTCATTCATTGGTCAATTTTCAAATTCTCTCATTTTGTATAGTAGTCCGAAAATGTTTGCTGTTTTTATATTTTTCAATTCATTTTTTGTGATAGTTTCTAGTGAAATTGGTATGTTCTACTTGTATTTTAAGGTTTCCATTCAAAAAATTATAACAGAAATTGCAGAATATCGAATTTGTTGTGATTCTGGAAAGAAAACTGAAAAATGTACAAAATTTCAAAATCTCACAGAAATGCTAGGTTTTTCGTGTTGTGCAAATCAAATTTATACAACTCGAGAAAATATTTGTTGCGAAGGAAAAGTTTATGAAAGAGATCGTGGCGGTGGAGTTATGGCACATTCTTGTTGTTCTTCACAACCACTTCGATTAGATCAAACATGTTGTTCGGGTAAAATTCATAACATAATATCGGGTGATTGTTGTGGTGAACAAGTTTATTTTCGACGTGATCCTTCATTGATTTGCTGCAATTCAACACTTTCAAATAAAACAACACCAAATGATATTTGTTGTGGAATCACATCTTATAATCCATTATCCAATTCCAATCATTGTTGTGGTGATAAAGTATCAAAACTTGACTCTTGTTGTATTACAAATTCGGGCGAATTCAAAGATTATGATTCAAATACTCATGTTTGTTGTGATGGGCCAATGTTGAAACAATCAACTAAATTAGCGTGTTGTTATCTCAAAAAAGATGAAAAATTTATTAATACGGTCAGTTTTATGTTGCTTTTTGTTATCAGTTTTGTTGCTTTATTTGAGGAGAAAAGAAGAGAGTTCGGTTTTATTATCTTTGATAAATTAAAAACGATGTGTGTATTTATAATTTAGATAGGAGCAAAAGACTGGCAACAATAAATAATACTTTATTGTACCATGGGAAACAATTCCCTGTGATAAGTCGAATAGAGGGAACAGAAGACGGGATTTCCAAAACAGGGCAGGTTCGATAAGTCGGACTAATTCAAAATTTTTCACCAAAAATTTTTTCGGATTCCTTTCCAATTCAGCCTTCCTGAACATCTCCCACAAAAAATGTTTTTATTTCAGCAATACGACAAATCCAAACAATGCTGTAAATATCCATACGACAAGTTATATCTAATTTCCAAAAATGGAACTTGTTAATTAGAAAATGTTTTCTTGTCACCTTGAATTTTACAATGAATTTTACACATAAAATCAGAATGAAACTATAAACTTCTGAATTTTTTCATATTTCCAGTTGTAAACGGCAACGATTTCATATTAAACCTCGAAAAAAACTAAATAAAAATCTTAAGATAAAACTTCTTTTTTTCGTTGAAAACAATTGATACTTCGAAAATGAAACATGAAATTTGATTCGTTGATCAAAGAATGCATTAATTTTTTGCATCGAATTATTGTCACATTTGAATAATGTTTCTTTTTTCTAATTTATCCAACAATTTTGCTTCCAAATGATTCATCTTTTTTCAAGAAACTGGTCTACGTTTTTGGAAAATTTGAATAAATACATGAGAAAAAAGTTTCGATAGATACATGAATAGTTAAATGAGAGAGACAAATTATCTGGGAATCTTGGAAAAAACTGACAAGATTATCAAGTTTTAAAACAAAAAAACAAGCTGAATAAGGTAAGTAACTTGAAATTAACTGAAATAGAACTTATTTTACAAATTTATGAAATTGAGAGAGAAAACACTTTGCATATTTAACTTATTTGGAGGTACTTTCTCATTTGAAACTGGTTTTATTATTCAAAATACACTTGCTTTGATGAATGAAATTAAATTTGCAAAAAATCTGAAAATTGACTTTTAATTTAAAGGAACTTATGTAAATACGGATAATTTTTTTCAAGTGGACTTTTTTCTATTTATGTTTATTTTTAGAAATTTCAACAGACACTTTCAAACTTAAATCTTTCACTGAAAGTTCCCATGTAATCCGACCTTGGGACCACTCTTCAAAAACTAATGACTATTTTATCTATTATACATGTCACCGCTCGCTTATTCAAGTTCAAACTAGTTTCTCTTTGATTGTGTCATGATGATCCAAAGAATAGGAAGATTGAAAAAAAAGAAATCCGCCAATTTGCATAACGGTATTCGAATTGTTGACAATGGGCGGTGCTTAACACAACAGGTGGTCTCAGCTTTTCCTATAAAAGTCCAACAAGCAAAAGTTAATACATCAAAAATGAAATTCCTCACAATTTCTTCAATCATCTTTGCTTTTATTTCTTGCTCGATGGCTTGTTTTGGAGGATCAAGTCAATGTTGTGCTCCAACTCAACCATCATGTGGAAATCCATGGTAAGTTTATTTTTTAACTAGGTTGATTTCTCAACATCAAAATATAATTTCAGTGGTGGTGGTGCTGCAATTGGTCCAGCTGCGTATCCAGCTTCATCTTATGCTCTTCCACCTCCACCACCTCCTCCTCCAGCTCCCCAATATGCTGCACCAGTTGCAGCATATCCAAATGCTTATCCAGCTGCTGGAAAATAATTTGAAATTTCAAGCAATTTTTTATGCACCAATTGTTTTTGTATATTTTGAATCACTGCTCAATAAACATTATTCCATGAAAATCCTTGAAATATTATACCAGAAAATCATTAGAAACTTGGAAAAACTGACCGTCTGGATTCCGTTTTTTCCTTTGTTTCCCGACCGCAACGCACAGCCGCACACGACTGACGAAATAATGACTTTGTCATTCATTCAGATCTGCACAGGGTTTTATTTTTTACGGCTGCCACATTTTTCAATTTCGACAATATATTCTTTTTTGCGACATTTTTCTGCATAGAAAATATGTTTTTTTTAAAAAACTAGAAAAAAAAACAAACATCTTAATTTGATTATCAAAAAATGATGATAACCAATAGAATAATCTTTGTCCGATATAAGTTAAAGAGCTAGAAAACAAACAAACAAATATAAAAATAATAGAAAAAATGAAAAAAAAATTTTTTTTAAGGGATTTTCCTCTTTTTCCACAAGTCCTGGCTTGTGAGCAACTGAGAGTGCATATCTCATCTCAAATTATACATTATATAACTATTCCCCAAACTTACCTGATATAATTTAAAATTTTTTTTTATTTTTTTTTTTAAAAATTGAACTCTATAAAGGTAGGCATGCCTACGCCTTCCATTAAAGTGAGCAGCCCTCACAAAATAAAACCACAATACTTCACCAGGTTATGTCGCCTGGATGATTTGAAACTGACATAAAAACATCACTTCAAATTCAACCACCAACTCTCTCCCTCTCCAAAATCAACATAAATACCTTGTCAATCTACACGATAACACCGATATAAATTATTATAAACAAACCAAATTTCATATCAAAAAACTATCAAAAAATAACAAAAACATATGCCAACAATACACATACAACAAAGGAATTAAATGCTCCAAAAAAACATGCAAATATTGTGATATCATCGACAAAAAGCACTATATTTATAGTGCTAGTACAGGATATCGTATAAATACACTAAAAACGGATAACTGTCACTGTAAAAGCAAAAATGTAATATATTGTATTACATGTTCCGACTGTGGCTTACAATATATAGGAGAAACAAAAAATGAAATATGCAGTAGAATATATCAACATCTGTATTCCATCAAAAATAACACTATTTCTACGTTTTTTTGCCAACACTTCGATAATGTAAACCATGATAGAAAACATCCTAACATTTCAGTCACCATACTAGACAATTTCCAAAACGAAATTAACAATATAAGAAAAACCAAAGAACTACATTGGATCAAAATTCTTAATACTGCATTCCCACTCGGATTCAACGATCAAATTCAAAATTTTTCCAACATATCGAACCTCAAAAACGTTCCACAAAAACTAGAAAAACAACCATATTACAGTATGAAAATACACATTAAACATACTAGAAGAAAAATTAATCAAAAATCACTAATACATAAAAATACATCTACCAATAAACAACAAGAAAAAAGTAGATATCCCTCTTCTAAATGAATCTTTTGGTCACGACTTACATAAAATTAATTTCAATATAAGAAAAGAACGAAAAATCAAATTATATATAGATGAAATTAACTCAAACAAGAATTCAAGATTATACAATGGTAGCACATTCTATAAACTTGCTTGTCTGACTTTTAAATCAATACAAGACCACAGATTGAAAAAATTAAAAATTGAACAAGAAAAACCCAAATTTAAAATATTCACAGTTAAACTTCCTTATAACAAACATATACAAAACAGTGGATTTTCTAGGCAGTTAAACAAAGCTATGCAAGAAAATATGCTTTTTTCTACTCAAAACTTCGAACTCAAACCAAAAATAGAAATAAAATTCAAATACGAACTACCGGACTTCCATCTGTTATGTAATTACAACAAATTTCTCAAAAATCTAAAAGATTCCGACCTCAATCAAATAATATCAAAACCATGTATATGTGAAAACCATGAATACAAACCTTTCTTAGATAAAAACCACGACCATATTATTACCGGAGATACAAAGCATATCAAAAATCCAAACCTTCAAAAACGCTTCCAAAATGGTAGTAAATTTCGAACTCAACCAAATTTTGATTTTAATCAAATAAATATAAGTATGAAAAATCAAATTGAAGAGATTTCAAACAAAACAGCCAAAGTATATGGAAAAGAATTATCAATCAATTTGATGAATAAAAACAGACTAGAAGAAATTTGGGCGAAATTTAGAACAAAATATAACCAAATATCAAAAATAAATTACAATAAAACTTTAGAAAAGGAAGAACTCAAATTTCTTCAAAATAATTTTATTATAACTGTGACTGACAAAGCCAGTTGCAATTTTTCATTCACATGTAAAAAACTATATTGTTTAAAACTATCTAACGAAATGAATTCCAACTCTACATATCAATTATCCAACATTAAAATACCACAAATCCTCGAAGAACATTCAAATTTGACTCAAAAAATACTCAAAAACGTCAAAATATACAATATCTCTATCTCAAAAGACACCGAAATACCTAAAATTTATGGAATACCTAAACTACACAAAAATCCAATCGCCATGCGATACATTTCTGGAGCTTCCAATAGTTCTCTTAAAACATTATCTATTCTAACAAAAATTATTCTTCAACATTTCAAAAATCATTTTCAAAATATCTGTAAAGTCATAGAGAGTAGAAATAATAGTAATATTTACTGGTCAATCAAAAACACCAACGAAATTTTGAATTCAATTAAAACATGCCATATTCCAGTAAAACATAGACAAATTTTCAGCGGAGACTTTTCTTCTCTTTTTACCAATTTACCACATGAAATAGTATTAGAAAGTATACAATCACTAATTAAAACATGTTTCAATAACGCACAGAAAAATCACATTGTTATTAACAATTCCAGTCGAATTTTCTATACCGATAAAAATAAGTCTGATAATAAAAGCATTTTTCTCTCCGAAAATGAAGTAGTCGAACTCATAAAAACAATACTCAAAGAAACATACGTTAAATTCGGCGATAAGACATTCCAGCAAATTAAAGGTATTCCACAAGGCGGAAATGCTTCTCCACTGATAGCAGATTTAACATTGACTTGGATGGAATACATATATGTTAAAAATAATCAACAAATATTCAACAAACACAAAATTATCTGCTTCCGATATATGGATGATTTACTACAAATTTATGACAACCGATACTTCGATAGCAACCGAAATAAACTAATATATCATTCATCATTGGAACTAAATAATACAGTTAAAAACAAAAACAAGGTACAATTTCTGGATCTTGAAATTATAAACTCGGAAAAAACAATTCACACACGATTGTATAATAAAACTGATGATTACGATTTCGAAATTGTCAGATACCCAAAAGCTAATAGCTACATACCAGATAGAATTGCCATAAATACTATTTACACTGAACTTCTACGAATTTTTCAAACTTGTACATATTTCAAAGACGCAAGCAACAGAATTCTTGATCTTGTCAAACAATTCACCAAAAATGGATTCAGTGAACTATTTATTACACAAAAGGTTCAGATCTTCTACAATAGGTTAAATTCCAACAATAAATACCAACATAAACACATTGAACACTTTCTTAACACCAAACTACAAAACAAATAACATTTCTATCAAAATAAAATATATCTTTACTCTCATCCAATAAAATACAAAAACTCTTCTTCTCTCTTTTTTCCTCTCTTTCTCTAACCCACTTCCTTACATTATTATTATTTCTCGGTCCGTTCTTATATTTACAGGCGTCACTTTATTATTTTCCTATAAATATTCTCTCTCATCTCCCTCTCTTTGTTCTTTTTCTTTTATCTTTATGCGCATTAGTTTAAGTTAGCAAAAATCGCGTCAATTTCATTACTAAGCACAGAGGTTAATACTGACGAGACCTGCCTCTGATACCGTCTATTAAAAAGGTCGAAACGGTAGCGCGCTAGTAATCTTCTCTTTCCAACTCATCTTCCCTTTTCCCTTTATTTTCCCCTTTTTAATTTAACATATTCCTAATATTTTTTTATTATTTTAACACAAATCACCGTGTTCTTTCACCCAAAACCAAACCCAAAACCCATTAAACTGACCTGACATGAGTTTCAGTTGTGAATCCTCAAATTCATTTTGTTTTCATTATTGAAATTAGAGTGGCAAACCAACATCGGCTCACTCATTTCCGAATTCTCAAGCAATCTGGAATTTATCTTGGTCATAGAAAGAAATATAAACTCCCTCTTACGTTTAATTGAGAGCTTTCATTGAAAACAGGCCGAATACAAAATATAATATTTCAAGAAATGAGCGTCCAACCTGAAAAAAAGAGATCTAGCGTGATTTTTCGAATATTTATTCTTAAAATAATAACGTGAACACTTTTTCCGACAAAATAAAAAAAATTCATTTCAAAAATGTTTTTTTTTGAAATGTTCGTGCGGGCTGCCAATCGATATAAAACGAAAAATTGTTAAAATCCCGCGTGATCTACACTATTCACATTTGCGGGTCTAGGATATATGAATTTGAAAATCAGGTTTCAGCTTGATTTTTGAGAAGTTTGGAAATTTCATTGTGGAAAAAATAAAACTCATTCCTAATTAGCTAAAAATCAAAGAAAACGTTTCAATTCTGAACAAAAATGACACAGGTAAGAGTTTTTCTTTTTGAAGAGCGCGGAGAAACCAAGAAAGAAAGTGCGCTCTATCGAACTGTTCGCGCCAGTTTTTTTTTCATTTTCAAAATTCATTTTTTTTCGATTAAAAAAATACACGAATACTTCCCCTCAAAGGCGCACACAATTTGCATGGGTCCATAAAAAAACAATGAAAAAAGTTTATTATCGAGAAAAAACAAATAAAACAAATAAGCATGAATTTGTGGCCCTAAAGAGGGCCGTTGGGTTCGGTATTTTGGTTTGTCGATCAAAATTCGGTGAATAATAAATTATCCTCCGAATCCGTAGAGAGTGCGGCCTTGTCTCTTAAGAGCATAGACAACATCCATGGCGGTGACAGTCTTTCTTTTGGCATGTTCACAGTAGGTGACAGCATCACGGATAACATTCTCAAGGAAAACCTTGAGAACTCCACGAGTTTCTTCGTAGATTAATCCAGAGATACGTTTGACTCCTCCTCTGCGAGCCAATCGTCGGATAGCTGGCTTTGTGATTCCTTGGATGTTATCACGAAGCACTTTACGATGGCGTTTGGCTCCTCCTTTGCCGAGTCCTTTTCCTCCTTTTCCACGTCCAGACATGATTTGATACGAGTTTTGTGTTGCAAAAATGCAGTGAACAATGAGAGAAGCATCGACTATTTATAGTGCAGTGGGCGGGGCTTATCTTAACCACTGTGCGGGGACACATTATTTCTTGGCTTCCTTCCAACTCTTTTTTTTATCTTTGATGATGCCTAAAAACCAGTAAGTGGTAGAAATAATTTTCCCTACCCCTTCCGGGAAAATTATATAGTTTCTGGACATTATTTCCAATTTATGTCAGCACAGCAGATGTTTCCTTAAGTTTCGCTTTAATGCACAGTACGCTTGCTAAATAGCTAAATTGAAGTTTTTAGAATTGATTTTTTTTCGAAAATGTAAGCATGAATATGTCACTCAAACGTGAATTACATTCGGAAGAAGTTTGATTTCAGATAAATTCAGAAGATAAACATTTTCAGATTATAAAAAACACTTTCAGGAAACATTGAAAAATTATTTTCAGTAATTTCGAGAGTAACCGTGTATTCCAAATACATTTCCAGATTTCTGCAACTTTCATCAGAAAATTCTATATGAAGTTCTAACATTTCGACAATTTTCAAAGAACAATGAAGATTTATACAAACTTTATTAAATTATTTGAAGAACAAAAAAGTATAAAAATGTGGCCCTAAAGAGGGCCGTTGGGTTCGGTTTGAAAATCTCAAATTGGTTGGAATAAGGATAATTTATTCCTTGTCTCCGGCAGTTTTCTTTGGCAACAAAACAGCTTGGATGTTTGGCAAGACTCCTCCTTGAGCAATGGTGACACCAGACAAAAGTTTGTTCAATTCTTCGTCATTTCTGACGGCCAATTGCAAATGTCTTGGGTTGATACGGCTTTTCTTGTTATCTCTGGCGGCGTTTCCAGCCAATTCCAAAACTTCAGCTGCCAAATATTCGAGAACAGCGGCCAAGTAGACTGGGGCTCCGGCTCCAACTCGTCTAGCGTAGTTTCCTTTACGGAGAATACGGTGAAGACGACCAACTGGGAATTGAAGTCCGGCTCTCGATGAACGAGATTTTGCCTTTCCTCCGGTCTTGGCTTTTCCTCCTTTTCCACGTCCTGACATGATTGTTGATGAGAGTTTTTGACTGTTTTAAAACAGAATGAAGTTACAAGAAACAAATGTGTGTTTATATAGAAAAATGTGGAATGGGCGGAGTTACCACTACGCTGGGACACCAACGCCTCGTTATGTTCTTTGTTTGTTCGGAATAGGCGTGGTCACTGACTCCGCCCATTCCGCAGATGAAATAAAAGGAAAAACATTCATTCATTTCTTCATACTTGTTTCAAGTCAAAAAATCAACATGCCACCAAAGCCATCAGCTAAAGGAGCCAAGAAAGCCGCCAAGACCCAAAAGCCAAAGGGTGAGAAGAAAAGACACGCCAAGAGAAAGGAATCTTACTCTGTCTACATCTACCGTGTTCTTAAACAAGTTCACCCAGACACTGGAGTTTCATCAAAGGCTATGTCAATCATGAACTCATTTGTCAATGATGTTTTCGAAAGAATCGCCGCCGAAGCTTCCAAATTGGCTCATTACAACAAGAGATCAACCATCTCATCCCGCGAAATTCAAACTGCCGTTCGATTGATCCTCCCAGGAGAATTGGCCAAACACGCAGTTTCTGAAGGAACCAAGGCTGTCACCAAATATACTTCATCCAAGTAAATTTGGTAAATTGTGACATTTTCCAACCGAACCCAACGGCCCTCTTTAGGGCCACATTTCTATTAATATGTACAGTATATCTTTGTCAATAAAAATGTGTTATTTCATTTTTTTTCTTTACAGGAAAAGATTTTAGTAAAAGCAAATCTTGGTGTCACTTCTAAATAAAAATTTGAATGGTGCCTGTAACTTGACTCCAAGGTTCATGACAAAAAGGAAAAATTAAGGCTGCTCTTCTGATTACGAAATTTTATTAATGAATTAGTATTTTCCATCTGAAAAGTGAAGCTTGTGAGATTCTCAGGGTTCCCGGGGTTATAGTTTGTTAGGGAATATCAAGGTTCTCGCCAGGGGTGGGGAACCTGGCCTCAAGCCGGGACAATTTCCCCACGTCTGATTCTCGCTTAAAATCCCGGGGTTCCCATTACATTTTTAGTGGAAGGTATTTACTGTGGGGTTCGCGCGTAGTGTTTGTTGTTTGGTGCATGAAGATTTTTTCAGCGTGTTTGCGGAGTTTTTCAAGGCGTTTTTTGAATATTCAAAAACGCCTTGAATGAAGGGATTTTTAAATCGTCGAATTCTTCATTTCTTCGAAGTTACAAAAACGTTTTCTTGGTTTACAAAATTTTAATTACTTAAATTTTTTCGTGGATTTTTCGAATGTAAAAAATGAATTTGATTTTTTTCTCTTTGAAAACAACAGAAATGGTTTTTGAAAATTTGTAGTAATTGTGTTATTTTCATCGCATAGGAAAATTAGAAAAACACAACATTTTCTGTAAAATCATAAAATTTTCATTTTCATGTTTCTCAACTTTTTTATCTTTTTGTTTTTTCCATTCATAATTATCAAACAAGCGTCTTATTTTTCTTCGCGCCCTTTTCCCTTTTTTCGCATACAAACACACAAATTCTGTGCGGAATGGGCGGAGTCAAGACCACGCCCATTCCACACAGCCTTCCCTCCTCCTATATAAACGGCTATTTCGTTCATTTGGTTATCGACAAGTTCGTCAACTACCATGGCTCGTACCAAGCAAACTGCCCGTAAATCGACCGGAGGAAAGGCTCCAAGAAAGCAATTGGCCACCAAGGCTGCCCGTAAATCGGCTCCAGCTACCGGAGGAGTCAAGAAGCCACACAGATACCGTCCAGGAACTGTTGCTCTTCGTGAAATTCGTCGTTACCAAAAATCGACTGAATTGTTGCTCCGCAAATTGCCTTTCCAAAGATTGGTTCGTGAAATCGCTCAAGACTTCAAAACTGACTTGAGATTCCAATCATCAGCTGTCATGGCTCTCCAAGAGGCTGCTGAAGCTTATTTGGTTGGACTCTTCGAAGACACCAACTTGTGCGCCATTCACGCCAAAAGAGTTACCATCATGCCAAAGGACATCCAACTTGCTCGCCGTATCCGAGGAGAACGCGCATAAATCTTATGATTTGTGTTCACGTTTGACCAAAAACCGAACCCAACGGCCCTCTTTAGGGCCACATTTGGAATTATTTACAATCAATAAATTAGTTTTTTTTTCTCATTTCATTATTATTTTTTAGCAATTATCGCCTTTTTTCTTGCAAGTTTAAACATTTTCAGACTCACAATCTTGTAGTGCTATTCAGAGATTTGTTACCGTTTTCGAAAATTTATATAATCTTCCCTAGGCCCTATTTTTCTGTCAGCTTTTTTTCGCAAAAAATTGAAGAATGAACAGTAGGTTTTAAAGGCGCATATTATTATTCATGATGTGTGTCACGCCACGCTGCAATGTGCCTTGAATTTTAATTTCTTTTGTTTTCGCAAATTTGGAGTCCTAAAATATTGTAATGTCGGAACCGCCGTTGATTATTGAGTCACTGGATGGATGCGAGGATTATATTGCGAAATATATGGAAGGAAGTTAGTTGAAATAATTTGTTAATTGACATAAAACATTGAAATCGGGCCTGTACCGGAAAGATGAAACCCGGAAAATATGCTCTTGATTTCCCGGAAAATGTGAGTGAACCGATTTTCACACACGAATCAAAAGTGATCCAAAATGGTATAATAATGCATCCATTAACTTCAAAAAAAATGGGAGTCATTATGTACCTCAAAACCATAACAAAAATTTTCAAAAAGCATACATTTTTCTAAAAAATAAGTATGCAAAATGAATCATTTTTGCGTAGTTTTTTTGTTTGAATTGGTGGAAAGCTGCGGTTCATTCATTTATTTTCAAAAAGCAAAAATGAGTTCAATGAAGTTTCAGAGTGGGGTCCAATTAGATTGTTGAGGTAGAATTTTTGAGCAAGGAGACTTTGAAAAACCAACTTATGGATTGGGAGTTTCCGGAAAACCATCCAATCGCAAGAAATCGCTGTTTCCTTGATTCCAAAAGCGCATTGCCTGGCTCGTTTTGGACTTGTCCTCTTTTTTGATCCCTCTAAATAAAAAATGATACACTACAGGTTTCAATTTTTTATTTCAAATGTTCAATTTCTCACAGGGGGATTACTACACGTCGTGCCACCACACAAATTCGAGGAGACGCAGACATTCATTTTCGGTTAGAAAGTCGCTGCGAGACCTCAACACATCAAAGGGCGATGCCGATGAGGTATATAAACGCAGCGACATACGAAAAACCGGCGCGGCCAAGCGCTATGTTTTGTGTGTGTCTGCTTGTCTGCTGTCTCTGCGAACAGTGCAATATATCGCCCGAGGGGGAAGGAAAGGCGAGAGATGTCTCTGCCTGTGTTAAAAGTCTGCGTCTCCCAGAAATTTGATTTTTGTATCGGCTGGCATAGCGTGACTACGAGTTTTTTTGCATGCAAATCTGTAGGTTTCAAAATTTTTGGACTGAAAAAACTTCACTGTAATTTAGAAGATTTTTAATTTAAAATGTTTTTAAGGTTTCAAACTTCTGCATCTATTCATTTGCGAAAAAAACCGAAAAAAAGTGTATTTTTTTACAATATTTTTCTATTCACCAAAATCACAAATTGTCGCGAAATACATGCAATCGTGACGAGACCCACACTCATTTCAAGGCAACGAGTGTGAAAAATGCATGCTTTCGAAAATTTCATTTCTTGTTTTTTTTTCTCGCATGTTTTTCTCCTTGAAATGTGTGTGGGTCTCGCCGCGATAGACATTTATTTCGTGCATTTTGGTGAATAGAAAAATATTGTAAAAAAATACATTTTTTTCGGTTTTTTCGCAAATGAATAGATGCATTCATGAAGGTGATTAGATGAATAGCTTTCTAAAATGCGCAACTTGAGAATTTTTATAATTTTCATGAATCCTTAATGAAGATCTTAAAATTGTGCAATTTCAGAATAATCTTGATTACTTTACAAAATATTCTTTACTTCACCTGGCGCAATTTTCAGACATTTTCTCAGTCAAGTTTGAACATTTTTCAATAATCATTTCAATAATTCCCACTGTGATTAGCAATTGGAATTATTTCCTAAACAGACGTTTAAAATTTCATAAACTTTCAGCGAATATATAATTTTCACATGATATCTGCTGCTTTTTGAATTGATTCAGTGTCATCAAGGATAAAACAAAGAGTTGGAAGGAAGCCAAGAATAAATGTGTCCCCGCACAGTGGTTAAGATAAGCCCCGCCCACTGCACTATAAATAGTCGATGATTCTCTCATTGTTCACTGCATTTTTGCAACACAAAACTCGTATCAAATCATGTCTGGACGTGGAAAAGGAGGAAAAGGACTCGGCAAAGGAGGAGCCAAACGCCATCGTAAAGTGCTTCGTGATAACATCCAAGGAATCACAAAGCCAGCTATCCGACGATTGGCTCGCAGAGGAGGAGTCAAACGTATCTCTGGATTAATCTACGAAGAAACTCGTGGAGTTCTCAAGGTTTTCCTTGAGAATGTTATCCGTGATGCTGTCACCTACTGTGAACATGCCAAAAGAAAGACTGTCACCGCCATGGATGTTGTCTATGCTCTTAAGAGACAAGGCCGCACTCTCTACGGATTCGGAGGATAATTTATTATTCACCGAATTTTGATCGACAAACCAAAATACCGAACCCAACGGCCCTCTTTAGGGCCACAAATTCATGCTTATTTGTTTTATTTGTTTTTTCTCGATAATAAACTTTTTTCGTTTTTTTAAATCTCTCCCTAACACTGCTTCGTTTTTTTTTTCAAAAAAATCAACGCGCGTTGCGACACACGAGAGAAAAATTGTGTGCGCCTTTGAGGGGAAGTATTCGTGTATTTTTTTAATCGAAAAAAATGAATTTTGAAAATGAAAGAAAAAACTGGCACGAACTTTCTTTCTTAGTTTCTCCGCGCTCTCCAAAAGGATATTATTGAATTAAAAACACGTGAGAAATAAAAAACTAGGTCAAGTGACGTGGATTTAAAAACAGTATAGGTAGCCATGTCGTCAGTCGCGATGCGTGTGGGCGACACGTTTTTAGAAATGAAAATTTGGAAAATCCAATGGAAAATATCGAGGTCAACACGCAACGCAGAACCGCATCGCAATTGACGACATGGCTACCTACTCAGGTAGCAGCTTGCCCATGGACTGCCCCTTACTCTGCCCTTAGAGCAGGTTCTAAGGGCTGCATTGGAGCATCCAAGGGGCAATCTTTGGGCATTTCAATTAAACAAGGACATCACGTTTAAAATTCAGCTTAATTCGAGCCACGTAAAAAAAGCATTTTCACTAATTTTTCTTGTTTCCAGCTTGGAAAAATGAAGCCTCTGCCCAAAATGGGGCAGTTTGGAGGGGCAGCCTTCATCTAAAGGGAGCAGTCTTCAATTAAATACAAGAAAACATTATTATAAGTGTTTTTTGAGTGAAAGTTTTATTAAACGAAATAACATAGGATAGATAGATGCACTTCAGCTTGATCGTACTCTGCTTCTCATTGTAAAATCAAATGTTCACATAAGTTGATAATTTCTTTTTCGAGCATTCGTGCATTTTCTAGGTTATTTGACCGAAATTTTTCAATTCAAAGCTGCAATGGTTGAAGCAATTGATCCCAAACAACTTTTTTGAGAATTTTATACATGGTTTGGAACATCTAATTCATAAAAATCCATTTAACAATCACAGTGATAATCCCAGAATCCGCTCCACTATATTTGAATTGATAACTTGCTTGTGCATAAAGTTACTGTTTTTCTAATAGATATTTGAGGGTCATCGAAATAGTTTGATTTATTCGCTGTTTTCTTGGCTAACAGAATATCAAAAATGAGAAGAAATTCCGGTTTCGAAACAGGACACGTATCAAAATTAGGTCACGTTATGAAAAATAGCTATAAATTTATTTTTACCATTAAAAAATTTGCCCTTAGGGCTTGCCCAAGGTGCAATTATGGGGCAACCGCTTTCCTAAGGGCAGTCCATGGGCAAGCTGCTACCTGAGATATACTGTTTTTAAATCCACATCACTTGACCTAGTTTTTTATTTCTCACGTGTTTTTAATTCAATAATAATTAATTATTCACCGAATTTTGATCGACAAACCAAAATACCGAACCCAACGGCCCTCTTTAGGGCCACAAATTCATGCTTTTCGATAATAAACTTTTTTCCTGGATGATTTTTAGAAAAACTTAATATTTTTAACAAAAAAGAATACAATTATGTTGTATAAAAATTAACAAAAAAAAACAGAAAGATTCACAACAAACAATTTCATCCTAAAGTTGATGGTTTTTGAAATGTGCTCCAAGTGTTACATCCCATACAACTCAAATTGTCACAAAATACAGTAGTCATGAGTGGACGTGGCGGGGATTTGATTGGTTCAATCTAAATATGGGTTTCGCTTTCAAAATGTTTCATATAAAAAACTTACAATAGCTGTTCGAATATCGGATTTATATTGAATACTTGGCACATATCGTCTTTCCATTTTATCAAATCCAACAATATTCATCACTCCATTTTTGCGAATTTTATCGATTTCTTGCGCAATTTTGAATTGTGACTGAAAATACGGAACTTTTATGGGAGAAAAAAATGAATAAAAATTACCATGTCCATATCAGAGAATCTACATTCAATGATATTATTCGGAAATGTGCATTGATGGCCTGGTAACGACATAACATTATTGGGCCCGGCATTTTCAAGTCTTCGAAACTGGAAAATATATTTTTTTTTCTATTCTTTTCTTACAAAACTCATTACCAACCTCTCCGGTATCCATTTCAATGAACCAATCTTCTTTTTCACTTTCTAAATGGAACATATGTCGAGCTCTTCTGAACTGTGTTTGATCTTCTTCAAATTGCTCCAAAAACAAAATTACACTTTTTCTTTGCCATTTTTCTCGACTATCATTCGGTCTTTCTGTCCAATATTTTACTTTTTTCGACCAATAATTGCTGAATCGCCTAACATCATCTAATTTTGACGGGAGAACTGCATAAAAATAATTGTCGAATGTTGTGAATAAAATTGATTGAATGGGTTGGAAACCGGGCCGAAGTTTCTGAAAATAAATAAAATTTCATTTTGAAAAAAACATGGTTTTTTCAAATCAAACTTACTTGTAAATCAATATTTTCAATTAATCCTGACAACGCTAAAATCACACATCGTTCGAACTGCGGTTCTAGAAGCCTTCCCAAATTTGTTGGTCTATCCAAATTTTTATCGAAATTTCGAATCGCGAACTTCTGAAAAATCGTTTTTGTTGATAAATTCTCAAGAAAAGCAAAAAACATACCTGTTTATGCCACGCTGCAAAACCCATTTCAAATCGGTCATTTTTAGCAGGAACTTCGGGACTTGTGAACTTTAAATTTGGAGGTGTTGAATTACTTCTGGCAGTTTTTCGAGGTTCCAATCGATTACTAGCAATTCTCAACCATTCTTTGTCAATATTTGATTGTCTGGTTGCAAGAGTTTGAAGATGTTCAGTGAAATCCGTCCGATTCAATTGTGTCTGAAAAACTTGGAATTTATTTGATTATAAAAAATATAATTAAAGGGTTGGTCAAACAACACCGTGACGCCTTTTTGCAGACGATTTTTTTCACCGGGAGAGCACCAACTCTTTAAAAACGGTTCACTCACATTTTCCGGGAAATCAAGAGCATATAAAGGGCCTCGATAATCATGTCCCAATCGACTTCCATTTCCATAGAAAAAATGTGTATTGTTGACATAATGATTGTTGCATTTCGAAGATTTAAAAATATAATCTGTGCTTACTCGATGTCGTAATTCTTTTTTTTTGTCAACTTCGGGAGTTTTCAATACTTTTTCCAATCGTTTTCTATGTTGTTCCGTTTGTCGAACTTGCCGTTTGTCGGTGAATCGTAAATCTCCTAAAAATCGTTGATTTCAATCAAGCCTGTGCCGGAAATTTTCCGGGGTTTTCAGAGAAGATTCAATTTTCCGGAAAACCCGGAGTGATTAATGGTAATATCTTCAAGATCGCCCAATTTTTGGTGAAGTTTTTCAGAGTCTGACAAAAAATCTAAAGTTTCAAAAAAAAATTTCATTTTAGGAACTGATAACGTCTCAAACTGTTACAAATCATCTGTAAATGGACAAATTCCAGGAAAAAATAAGTTTCACAACCAATTTGGTGCTGAAATTAAAAATTTGAAGACTTCAAACATTTTCCGGGTTTCATCTTTCCGGTACAGGCCCGATTTCAATGTTTTATGTCAATTAACAAATTATTTCAACTAACTTCCTTCCATATATTTCGCAATATAATCCTCGCATCCATCCAGTGACTCAATAATCAACGGCGGTTCCGACATTACAATATTTTAGGACTCCAAATTTGCGAAAACAAAAGAAATTAAAATTCAAGGCACATTGCAGCGTGGCGTGACACACATCATGAATAATAATATGCGCCTTTAAAACCTACTGTTCATTCTTCAATTTTTTGCGAAAAAAAGCTGACAGAAAAATAGGGCCTAGGGAAGATTATATAAATTTTCGAAAACGGTAACAAATCTCTGAATAGCACTACAAGATTGTGAGTCTGAAAATGTTTAAACTTGCAAGAAAAAAGGCGATAATTGCTAAAAAATAATAATGAAATGAGAAAAAAAACTAATTTATTGATTGTAAATAATTCCAAATGTGGCCCTAAAGAGGGCCGTTGGGTTCGGTTTTTGGTCAAACGTGAACACAAATCATAAGATTTATGCGCGTTCTCCTCGGATACGGCGAGCAAGTTGGATGTCCTTTGGCATGATGGTAACTCTTTTGGCGTGAATGGCGCACAAGTTGGTGTCTTCGAAGAGTCCAACCAAATAAGCTTCAGCAGCCTCTTGGAGAGCCATGACAGCTGATGATTGGAATCTCAAGTCAGTTTTGAAGTCTTGAGCGATTTCACGAACCAATCTTTGGAAAGGCAATTTGCGGAGCAACAATTCAGTCGATTTTTGGTAACGACGAATTTCACGAAGAGCAACAGTTCCTGGACGGTATCTGTGTGGCTTCTTGACTCCTCCGGTAGCTGGAGCCGATTTACGGGCAGCCTTGGTGGCCAATTGCTTTCTTGGAGCCTTTCCTCCGGTCGATTTACGGGCAGTTTGCTTGGTACGAGCCATGGTAGTTGACGAACTTGTCGATAACCAAATGAACGAAATAGCCGTTTATATAGGAGGAGGGAAGGCTGTGTGGAATGGGCGTGGTCTTGACTCCGCCCATTCCGCACAGAATTTGTGTGTTTGTATGCGAAAAAAAGGGAAAAGGGCGCGAAGAAAAATAAGACGCTTGTTTGATAATTATGAATGGAAAAAACAAAAAGATAAAAAAGTTGAGAAACATGAAAATGAAAATTTTATGATTTTACAGAAAATGTTGTGTTTTTCTAATTTTCCTATGCGATGAAAATAACACAATTACTACAAATTTTCAAAAACCATTTCTGTTGTTTTCAAAGAGAAAAAAATCAAATTCATTTTTTACATTCGAAAAATCCACGAAAAAATTTAAGTAATTAAAATTTTGTAAACCAAGAAAACGTTTTTTTGTAACTTCGAAGAAATGAAGAATTCGACGATTTAAAAATCCCTTCATTCAAGGCGTTTTTGAATATTCAAAAAACGCCTTGAAAAACTCCGCAAACACGCTGAAAAAATCTTCATGCACCAAACAACAAACACTACGCGCGAACCCCACAGTAAATACCTTCCACTAAAAATGTAATGGGAACCCCGGGATTTTAAGCGAGAATCAGACGTGGGGAAATTGTCCCGGCTTGAGGCCAGGTTCCCCACCCCTGGCGAGAACCTTGATATTCCCTAACAAACTATAACCCCGGGAACCCTGAGAATCTCACAAGCTTCACTTTTCAGATGGAAAATACTAATTCATTAATAAAATTTCGTAATCAGAAGAGCAGCCTTAATTTTTCCTTTTTGTCATGAACCTTGGAGTCAAGTTACAGGCACCATTCAAATTTTTATTTAGAAGTGACACCAAGATTTGCTTTTACTAAAATCTTTTCCTGTAAAGAAAAAAAAAATGAAATAACACATTTTTATTGACAAAGATATACTGTACATATTAATAGAAATGTGGCCCTAAAGAGGGCCGTTGGGTTCGGTTGGAAAATGTCACAATTTACCAAATTTACTTGGATGAAGTATATTTGGTGACAGCCTTGGTTCCTTCAGAAACTGCGTGTTTGGCCAATTCTCCTGGGAGGATCAATCGAACGGCAGTTTGAATTTCGCGGGATGAGATGGTTGATCTCTTGTTGTAATGAGCCAATTTGGAAGCTTCGGCGGCGATTCTTTCGAAAACATCATTGACAAATGAGTTCATGATTGACATAGCCTTTGATGAAACTCCAGTGTCTGGGTGAACTTGTTTAAGAACACGGTAGATGTAGACAGAGTAAGATTCCTTTCTCTTGGCGTGTCTTTTCTTCTCACCCTTTGGCTTTTGGGTCTTGGCGGCTTTCTTGGCTCCTTTAGCTGATGGCTTTGGTGGCATGTTGATTTTTTGACTTGAAACAAGTATGAAGAAATGAATGAATGTTTTTCCTTTTATTTCATCTGCGGAATGGGCGGAGTCAGTGACCACGCTTATTCCGAACAAACAAAGAACATAACGAGGCGTTGGTGTCCCAGCGTAGTGGTAACTCCGCCCATTCCACATTTTTCTATATAAACACACATTTGTTTCTTGTAACTTCATTCTGTTTTAAAACAGTCAAAAACTCTCATCAACAATCATGTCAGGACGTGGAAAAGGAGGAAAAGCCAAGACCGGAGGAAAGGCAAAATCTCGTTCATCGAGAGCCGGACTTCAATTCCCAGTTGGTCGTCTTCACCGTATTCTCCGTAAAGGAAACTACGCTAGACGAGTTGGAGCCGGAGCCCCAGTCTACTTGGCCGCTGTTCTCGAATATTTGGCAGCTGAAGTTTTGGAATTGGCTGGAAACGCCGCCAGAGATAACAAGAAAAGCCGTATCAACCCAAGACATTTGCAATTGGCCGTCAGAAATGACGAAGAATTGAACAAACTTTTGTCTGGTGTCACCATTGCTCAAGGAGGAGTCTTGCCAAACATCCAAGCTGTTTTGTTGCCAAAGAAAACTGCCGGAGACAAGGAATAAATTATCCTTATTCCAACCAATTTGAGATTTTCAAACCGAACCCAACGGCCCTCTTTAGGGCCACATTTTTATACTTTTTTGTTCTTCAAATAATTTAATAAAGTTTGTATAAATTTAATTTTTTGTAAGTCGTTTTTTAAAATTCAGTCAGGTTACTGGTAGATAAAAAACAGTTAAAATCAATTTTCGGGTTTTTTTTTAAAATTCTCTGTCGTTTTTATGGAATAAAATTATTGATTCTGAAAATAATTGCTATATTGAAGATTCAGTCAATTTTATTTTATCTATTAAAATCACGAATAAATAAATATAATATCACATTTGTAACTATCGAACAATGTTTGTTTCCTCAATCATCCAAATCTTTTCTTATCAATTGAACAATATATCCTTTTGATGTCATAATTGAACGTTTTCGAACCCAAACAGAATATCTCGAAAGCCATGTTGTTTTGAACAAAGGATTGCATACTGGAGAAGAAGCTCCGGTACCGCCAATCTCACAAAATACTTTGAAAATATTATTTCCTGGAAAAGGTGATGGATCATTGTGTACCAAGAGTTGAATATCATTGTCTTTTGCAAGTGTTTGCAATTCTTGTGGAACCTGAAATCAAAAATTACTACTTGAATAAATAAAGCAATATCTTACTTGGCAGCAACCATCTAATCTGACATGATTTATCAATGGTTTTGTATCAAAGTTATCCAGAATTTCTTTGAGTTGATTAGCACTAAGATCAGAAACTCCAATCGAAGAAATTCCTGATGTTTCAACAAAATTACACAAATGTTCGTAGATTGGTTTGACCTGTTTGAACCATCTTTGTAATTCTTCTTCTTCGGATTCTCCATCGATCAATTCTAATTCAGGAAATGATACTATCAATACTTCGATATCTTGTGTTTTTAATTGTTCCTTCAAACTTGTTACAGCTTCATCAATTTCCCCAATATTCCACGAAGACATAAAAACTTTCATTGTAATTTTGATTTCATCTCTATCATAATTTTCAATATGGTCATTGTCGCATAAAAGTAAGCAACTGTTTTCTTTGCATTCTGCTGGAATTGGAGTGGATGTCAATTGAAGATCGAGACATGCTGAGAGTTCGTCTGCAGAATTCTCAAATCGACGAAGCTGTAAATGTTTTATCAAACAATCAAGCTGTGATGAACGCAATATAAACGTTGAAAACTCTTATTGAGGTATTTCCAGAGAAAATAATTGTTGGTTTTTTATCCTACTCTCTCAACCCTTAACCCATGAAAAAACTAACTTTCAATTGAGTATATCCATTCACGTTTCCGGTATGAAGACGAAATCTCTTCAATTCAGTCAATTTCTCCAGAAAAAAGTTGTGTCGACATGGAGTTTCTAAAAGAAAATAAAGATTTTTTTGGAAAAAGAAATATTGAAAAACAACTGTACGTTTGAGAAATAATAAAACGAGTCAATAAAAAAGCTCGTCTCGACGAGAAACGGTTGGTTATTAAATGCATGAGGAAAGAAATGTTTTGTCATCATTTTTCAAAGATTAACAAAATCATGTGATTTGTCAGCATTTTCACGTCATTTCTCATTGCCATAGTTTCCATTACATCCTAATAACTTGAATTTATGCCTATTTACTTTGGAAAAAGAGAGCTAAAAGGCGTGATATTTATTCAAACTTGTTTTAGCGCAGCACGTCATTTGAAAAATCCCATAAACTTGGAAGATTAACTACACTATAATAAAACTGATTAAAACATGAAACGAAGGTCACATAAAACGAGATAACTCTCTTCAGATTGATTGTTTTGCAAAATAGGGAGAAAGAAAACAAACAGAATAAAAAAATATATTTGAACTGAGCGGGCAGTTAGATACGCAGGTCCTCCCTCCTACCGTAAACCGCGTTGTTCGTCAAATCGATTTTCGCATTTTCGCCTCTTTTTCGTCTCACAAAACCCAGTTTATAGTGTTTTTACGTTAGTTTGAGATGTTTTTTGCTCTATTTAGAATAAGTGTATTGAATTTCTATTACTCATAATCATTTTAGATCCGTAAAATTGATTATTTCAATTGTCAAAAAATTACATATTTTTCCAACGTGAACTCGTTTTTCGTATTTTTGAAAAGAACATCGAGGCAAGCTATTTTTAGATTCTCTCAGATACGATTAAGCTATTTGGTTTACTCACAGTTATTAATGTCCTTTTCTATCGTGTATAGTTTATTGTTCATGGATTGTTGCTAATGATTTCACTTTCAGATCAGATATGGCTTGCGGTTTAGCTTTGAAAAGACCACATGGACACGAATATGAATCGTACCTCGCTGATGATGGATATGGTGGAGAAGCTAAACGAGCTCGTACTGCTACCCATTGTTCGCCGTTCAGACCACAGATGGGAACGATAGCTGCTAATTTGCCATCGACCAGCAATTTCGCCAAAGTTGTTAAGGTACATTTCAATTGATTTCAGGAGGTGTGATATTGTATTTCTTGAAAATTGGTCTTAGAATTCTGATTCCAGTTTGATCCTAATTAATCAATTCGCAACAGAAATTAGTTTAAATTACACGGTTTATCTTGTAGGCTGAGGAAAACTCTCCATTTGCATATATCGCCGATCGTTTCCGCTTGTCACCCTCACAGCTCGATTCATATATCCGCTCCGAAGTGAAAAGCCTCAAACGTCGGAAACTCATTCCAAACAAAACTTCGGGAGATGGAGATGGATCTACGGCTTCAAGTTCAAATGATGTTTCATGCCGAAAAATCTACAGAGCACCAAAGTCTCCAGCACAGGTGAGATTTGAAATTAATCAAATTTGGTTTTATTTCTGAACTTTGGTGATGTGTGCCATTAATTCATCGTGAAACGGAAAATTTCATTGATCTCTATCTGGCACCATATTAACGGCAGTGTGCAACTAGCTAAAACGTTTTTTAAAAGTTCTAGCTATACTAATTTTCTGACTACATTTTACAAATTTTCATTGCAGTCTGGGTCCGACTCCGACGAAGACGTTCCTGCAAGTTCGAGCAAGGCTAGTGATGCTTTGAAAGAAGCAAAATTCACCATTGCTCAAGTTTCATTGATATGCGATCGTCTCATGAAAGAACAAGAAACGCGAATGAGATATGAATTTGAGGCGGAATTGAGAAAAAAGCTTGATGGTATGTTTTCATTTAGTTTGTGATTTTTCATTAGATTTTTGAGTTAATAGAAGTTCCTATAAAAATTTAGTCTATTCTGTTAGATCGCATTTCGGATTTTTTCTATTGGTGAATGATTTCAGTTATGAAATAATCTTGTGCCTCTAATTCCTTGACAAGTTCATCATGTCTTGTTAAGCTCAGTTTGGCACTATAGTAATGGCAGATTGCAACTAGTTAGTACGATCAATAGTCCAAGCTATACTAATTTTCTGACTACAAGATTAAAAATTTTAATTTACAGAACAACACGAGCAATATGTTCAATTTTGCGCGGAGCAACTTTCACAAAATCGTGCGGACACCACAGAAAATGACTACTCATATTCTTACCTCTCGTGATTCTGGAAATGTTTGGATACTACCAAATTTAACAAATAAATTCAAATATATTTTCTTAGCTTTTTTCGCGTTTCACAGTTTTTTGAAACAGGTATTTCTCCTTTCTCAACCCACATCTTTGAATCCATCCTCGGTTCATGTCATTTTTTGTGTAATACCTCGTATAGGTCGCCTCCTTGTGAATTATATACATACATACATGAATCAACTCTATTTAGCTTTCGCCCTTTTCATTCATAATGTGATAGAGATTTATTCTCTGAAATTCAATTTTTCTGAAAACCTAAATTGAATAAAATATTTTTTATTTTACAATATTTTCTAATATCATGTTTCTGAAAACATTTTTATACCATTTTGGATTTCACATGTTGATGATTGTAACGCTATACAGCTGAAAAATGGAAGTTGTTGGGCTTATTTCTGGAGGAAAGGACAGTTGCTACAATTTGATGTGTGCTGTGAAAGATGGTCATAAAATAGTTGCTCTTGCCAATCTCCATCCTCCAAAAAATGCAGAATCTGAGGAATTAGATTCATATATGTATCAAAGTGTAGGTGCAGACGGTGTCGAATTATATGGAAAAGCAATGGATATTCCACTTTATCGCAAAGAAATAAGTGGAAAACCAAAAAATCAAAATTATGATTATGAGGTAATTTAAAACTGATATTTTAATTATCAAATAAAAAAATGTTCGTTCATCAAAATTAAAAAAAAATCTTTACAAGCTTTTCCTACAAAAACCAGAAGATGTCAAATTATTTTCTCGAATCAAATTTCTGGTGTCCCAAATTAAGGTTTCCGAAAAAATCAACGTTTTACAATTTTGTATATTTGAGTATAAATTTTAAACAAATATTTGAAAAGCTGTTGTAATTTTTTCCCGGAAGTTTGAAGATAATAATAATTGTCTTACATTAGAAAACTGACGGTGATGAAGTTGAAGATCTTTATGAATTATTGGTTGAAGTCAAAAAACAACACCCGAATTTGAAAGGAGTTTCTGCTGGAGCAATTTTATCGAGTTATCAAAAAATTCGAGTGGAAGATATTTGTCGAAGACTCGATTTGACACCAATTTGTTATTTATGGGAAAGAGAACAAAATGTATGTTGATTTATCAAAGTTTGTTTTCCAAAACTAATCATTTTTAAGGAATTATTAGCTGAAATGGTTGATAGTGGTCTTGATGCAATTTTGATAAAAGTTGCAGCTATTGGCTTGAATGAAAAACATCTTGGAAAAACATTGGGAGAGGTTTGTGTTAAAGTTTGGAGAAAAATTAGAATTTGGAATTTTCAGATGGCTCCTATAATGAAAAATCTTCAAGATAAATTTGGTGTTCATCCCTGTGGAGAAGGTGGAGAATTTGAATCATTTGTTAGAGATTGTCCTTTGTTCAAAAAAAGCATTGTCATTGATGAAACAGAGGTTGGATATAACTGCGAAAATCAATATAAAACAATTTTTCAGATTGTGACTCATCAAGATGATCCGATTGCTCCAGTATTTTATTTGCGGCTCAAGAAAATGCACTTGGAAGATAAATAAGATATTGTTCCGTTTTCAATTGTTACAATGTTGTTTACATGTTCGTTTGTTAATTACTTGAATATAAATCACACCTGACGAGAGAGTGTCCCAAATTTTTTGTGCAGTGTGAAAATTTTTTTCAAAAAAAAATGTGCAGCGTGAAATTTTTAAATTTTTGGAAAAAAAACTCCGCGGGCAGGAGGATTCGAACCCTGGTCTCATGCTCGACAGTCTAAAATGCTAACCTCTCGGCCACATCTCTCTTTTCTCCCGAGGGGAACATATGTTGGTGGAAAGGAAACTGTTTTTAAACGAATGCGTTGCAACGTTGCTCAAATTTTGAAGTAGGATAACTAAGCTTAGGCTTAACGGATAAGGTTGATTTTTTTCCGATAGATTGGTAAGGTCATAGGCAGTGTGGAACACCATGAGTGCAGTGTGGAAATGCCCTATTTCGCTGTTATTTTGGAGTGTCCATTTCAATGGTAAATATGGACATTACAAAGAATCGGGCGGCATTTTTTTCCGAGCACATATCAAGGGTTGGTATATTCAGAAAGTTGGTGTATTTTTAAGCGTAGTTTTCGAATTTACCCATGTGCAGTGTGGAATTTGAAGTTTTTTCATAGAAAGTCAATTTTTCTGAAATTTCAGTGACACTATGGTTTGCTAAGCAGTCACGTAAATTCCACACTGCACATTATGTTACTATACTAAAACAAAGTCTGCTGAGTTGATTTTCACCGAGAAACTTCGAAAAATTCGCAAGCTGAAGTTGTTTTTGAAGTTGAGCAAAAATAAAAAAAAGTTTAGTTCGAATGAAGATTCGAACCTGGGCCTACTGAACACTAGCAAAATGGCCTACCACTGAACTAAATGCGCATTTATTTCTTCAGGTTAAATGTTGGTGAAAAGGAAACAAAGTTATTTTTCGAAAAAAAATGCAGTGTGACTTTTGAAAAAAATGTACAGTGTCCATTTTGGACACGTCTCGTCAGGTGTGATATAAATATATAAAACTGTTATATTAGGATTCAGAAGAGATACGAAAACGCGAGAGAAAAGAAAAATAAGTTAAAACAAGGAAAAATAATGGATAAATATTTTTAAAATAACAAGAAGATTTACGGGATATCTTCCGGTGCATCTAAATCGCGATAGGATACTTGAGGTCTGTTATCTCGACGTGGTTGTTGATTATTGTCATCAAAATATCTTCCACCTCCAGAATTTCTTGGACCTCCATATCCACCTCCCATATTATTTCTTGGTGGACCACGATTGCGATCATAATTATTACCGCCAAATGAGTTTCCTGGAAATGATTAATTTCATATACAGTTGAAAGTTAAAAAAATAACTTACGATAACCTCCACCTCCACGATCACCATTCCCTTCTTCTCTATTATTATATCCACCTCCTCTTTCTTCTCTAAATGTTCCACCAAAATGTCCATTATCTCTTGTTTGTCCATTTGATGGAACTATATTATTTGGGCGTTCTAAATCAACTGGACGAGAAGCATCAGCAACATAATTATTGAAATATATAACATCGGCTCGAACTTCATTCAATTTGTCTTCGTGTTTTGATTGCAAATGTTTTTTGATGAATTCTGGACCTTTGAACTTCTTTCCTGACAATGGACACAACCATTTATCTTTGGCCAATTCAACAGTATTTTTTGCCACGAAATCATCAATCTCTTTTTCTTCATCTTTTTTCCCCAACTTTATTTGTTCTTCTTCGTTAACATATTGTTTTTCAATCAGTGCTTTCTCAATTCGACTGTTGAATCCAGATGTGAAATCCTGTAAAAGTTCAAGATTTTTTCAAATAAAAATACATCAAAACTTACTTGAACAAACTTTTGAGGAACTACAAGATTTCCATCTTCGTTGGTTGAGATATGTGCTCCAGATGGTGGTTGTCCACGAACATGGAACATTCCACATCTAAAAATAAAAATAATTGAGTATTTTTTTGAATAATCTCGAATTCACCTATTTGGCATCTGATCTTCGAGGGCATAAACTCCATGATTATAGAAATCAACAGAATGGACAATTCTCAAATAAATAATCAATAAATCCAATGCTTTTATAATAGTTGGATCGCGTTCAAAAACGATTTTATCGTCAGATTTGGCACTCGAATCACCATTTGAATTTCCCAAAAGTTCAGCTTCTTCTTCGCTGATTTCTTCGAGAATACTTTTTGGTACAATGTTTTTGATATCTTTGATTATTGGATTGGTTGAAGCTGAAATTAGATCAACACCCATTCGAATATCCTTTTCACGTTCTTCTTCTGGTTCTCCACTTGCATTAAAAAGTCCAGCACGTTTATCGCAAAGAACAACAAGCTAAACATTATTAAATTATGGTTTGAATTGATTATCTGTTAAAAAATAAACAAACCTTCAATGCAAGTTTCAAATCATTGGTTGCAACTGTTTTGTGAGCTGAAATTCCGTTAGTTGACCGGATTTTTCTTGTCATATCTCGATTGATAATACAATTCAAATCAGTATCTCGAACTCGGAAATTATTCAAATTCCAACAAATTTCTTTTATATTGACATCTCTTCGGAAAGTAGCCCAACCTCTTCTAAAGAATTTTCTTTCGGCAATTCCATCAGTGAGAGCGAGCCTCAAAAAGCCTGGACTACGTTTACAAAGAGATTCGAGTTCTTCATATGTTAAAGTTGGATGAATATTTCGAATGAAAATTGAAGATGGTTTATGAATGCTGACTTTTGCTGATGGTTTTTCATCATCAATTGCTCCTTCTTCAGATTCCTCAGTTTTAGTTTCTTCTTTCACTTCTTCTGATCCAGTTGAAGTTATATTCAATTCCGTCAATGATTCATCTTCGATTTTTTGTGTTTGAACTGCTTTCAGATCTTCTTCACTTCCATCTTCTAACTTCACAACAACAGTATCCAACAATCTAATAATCTTTTCCGCATTTTCATAATCAAGCGAAAATCCTTCGAGTTGTCCACTGTTTTTCAAATCATTAAATACTTCGATCCTTTTTTCCAAATATTTTGCATGTGCTTCAGTGATTTTTTGAGCATCTTGCGGATTGTATTTCTGTTTGAACCTAAATAAAATGATTGAAAATGAATAATAAAAATTAAGAAAAAAGTAGTTTCAAAAGTATTGAAAAAGAAATCGATTGACATCCTTGTCAATAAAATGAAAAATTCAGTTGTGATCCAATGACCGCGGCATAGTGCGCCTCTGGTCTCGTTATTACCATTCTTCATCCTTGTGAGCTTTGAAAAAACGTTCCAATTGATGTTTCTTGTATTCAATTTTGTAGTCGTTATACTTTTTCACCGCAACTTCATCAGAAATGTCGTCATCTTGAGTAGCCAAAAATCGCTTGAAAGTTAGCATTGGACCAGAAAACATGATATCACCACTTGGAGTCTCTTCTGTTGATTTAACAGTTGGCTCATATGTATCGGAAGGATCACTGAAAATCAGCAATATTTTCAACAGTCTAAAATATCATTCAAAAAACATACTCATTGCGTGATCTTTTCACTTGATAATCATCTCTTCTTGGTGGTGGACGCTTTTGACCGCCATCATATCGAGAATAGCCACCACCGCCGCCTCCTCTTCTGAAACAAATTAATTTATATTTGAAATCAATCAACAAAACTCTAACCTATCATCGTCTCTTCTTTCACGAGCAAACTTATCTCTTCTTCTCTCAGAATCCTCATCCGAATCAAACATTTCGAGCTGAAAAACCAATATGTTTTAGTAATGATTTGGACAAGTTAAGAAAAGTTAGAGCAGAAGAGAAAAGGTGAGAAATGGAAAGTAATTATTCGAGATATTCGCGAAAATAAGAAAAATCGAATAAACGCTTTGAATTTTGCAACACCATCGCACACTTTTTTAGGCGTGGCCTCATGCGTGCGCACGCCAAAAAATAAAAGTCGTCGGGTTAAATGTTTGCGGGATTCCAGTGTTTGCACAGATTTCGAATTAATAATTTTTTTTTCGGTTTCGGATTCGGCTCGGGAAATTGACTAATTCTGGGTTGATTCGAAACTATTTAGTATATTTTTGCTATAATATTGTTGAAGAATGAGTGATGTATCATTGGACTACTCAGAAGATTCAACACCTTCAGAATCGGTATGTGTTTTATTTTGTTGGTGGTTGAAAAAATGTTTTTAAGTATTAGAAATCTAATTTCTCTGAAGGCCTGATAATTAAAACCAAATTGAAATTTAAAAATGTTTATTTTCTCACTTACAATCATAGTTACGACAGTAATTTAGGATAGTAAAGTAGGATAATATTTCGGAGACAGATTTCTTCATTTCTTCTGCTTTTCCAAATCTCTTGATTCTGGGCGAAAGATGAAAAAGCCCAACACCAAATCTTCGGAAACGTTGAGCATTGCCGCTGAATTGTCTTGTTGTCCGCAATAATTTGGCGCCGAGAAAATTGTGACCAATCGTCTTTCATCAAAGAATTCGTAACCATCATCGACAACTTGATGGCCACGAATAATCAGTTGAAGTCCCAAACGACTTTGGAAAGTTCTCAAGGCTTTTGAGCCGAAAACATAAGAGGCTCCACGTGGACTTGGCTCGTATTCAGCGACAACTGGATCCGGATCAGCCCATGTTAAATCCGCCAAAACTCCGACATCTGGGATTTCAAGTGGACGTTTGAAAGCAGAGAATTGGTCGAAATGTTCCAAAAGACTGCTTATTCCACCATGCATACACATAATTGTGTCATTTACAATGGCAGTGAATGGAAAGCAGTTGAACATGTTCTGCAAAACAATTTGATATTTAATTATCGTAATTTTTGGCTAAATTATGATTAACTCACTTGAAAATATTCATACAGTTCGACCGAATATCTCTGTTTCAATTCACGATAAAAACCATAATGTGAGTTGACAGCTCTTGATTCGTGGTTTCCTCGCAACAAATAAATTCTGTCCGGGAATTTGATCTTTAATGCAATGAGAAGAATTACAACTTCCATCGAATACGGGCCACGATCAACATAATCTCCCAAAAAAAGATAATTTCGTGGAGGTTTTTGTGGCTTCATACTTTTCGATTTGCTCTTTTTCGATTGATTTTTCTTTTGAGCATCTTTCATTTCCTTGATTTCTATATCAGTGATCGGCCATCCATTTGAATCCAACATTGCTAGCAAATCTTCAAATTGTCCATGAATATCACCAACAACTGTGATCGGCGCTTTGATTTTCAAACAAATTGGCTCATTCCACATCATTTCGCGAGCTCTCAAACATAGTTCGGCTAATTCATTGGCTGTGAATAATGTCATTGATTTTGCTCGTTGCCAGCGTGTCATCAATTTTAGCAAAATTCGATCGACAAAGTGAATAACCTTTTCCTTTTCAATGACCATTTTTGATAATTCGTATAATAAATAGATAGAAAAATGCGTGGAAACATTTTTTGAGAGTGCTATTTATAGGCATTTTTCTAGGTCACGTTGAAAGATAACGATCTTTCGGATTTTCTACGTGAAAATATATTTTTTTAGAAACATTTCAAATACCGATTCCAACAAAATTACTGTAGGCTGGAAATCGTTAGAATAAATTTAAAAATATTCTACTAATCTCTAATATCCAAAAGTACAGTAACCACATACCTCGGCCAAAATCGTGGTTCCCAAAATAAAAATTATACGCTAACTTTTTACAGTACAAACATTTTGGATTTTTCAGTTTTTGTTCTCTAAAATTTGTGATTTTTCAATTTTTGACCTCTAAAAACTGAAATTCAGTTTTTTCCAAAAATTGTACTCTGGCCAGCCACGGCTTGGCCGAGGTGTGAGTAACCATAAGTTGTTTGTGATCAGATAGTAGAAATTATTTAAATTTCAGAATAGCCGATCCTCGTCTTTGAGCCGGAAAGAAAATGACAAGCCATTATGGAACAAGAGAAACTCATCGGATTCAAGATCTTCATCATCGTCATCTTCGAAATCCTCCAAATCTTCAAGAAATCGCTCGAAATCTCCCAGAAAACGTTCTCCAATTCGAGCTCCAAGTCCTGAAAATCGACGATCAAATAGATCACCAAGAAGAAGAAGGAAAAGATCGTCTACAAGAAGTTCATCTTCTAAACGTTCAAGAAGTAGATCAATTCATCGAAGAAGATCACCAGCTTATAGTAGATCTCCTGTAAGAAGACGAAGAACGCCAATTCGAAATAGATTATCACGACCAAATCAAAGTAGATCACCAGTGAGAAGAAGAAAAAGTAGAACACCTCCACGAAGAAGTCGATCGCCACCAAGAAGAAATAGATCACCACCATCACAACGTCGAAGCAGATCTCCACCACCAAAAAATAATTATCGTCGGCGTAGATCAGAAACTCCAGATGAAAAGCAAAAAGAAGAAACCATGTGGAAAAAGTTGGTTCAAAAAACTTATACCTTATAAAAATTAGTTTCAACACACACCTCGGCCAATCAGTTTTGGGCCAGAGTACAATTTTGAAAAAAATCTAAATTTCGTTTTTCAGAGGTTAAAAATCACGAGTTTGGCCGAGGTGTGTTTCAACAATTCTTTTTTCAGAAGAAGAGAACGTCGAACAAATATTCAATTGAGTGGACAATTAGAAGTTTGGGCTAAATCTCCATCACAACGGGAAATCGAGGAAACTTATCGAATGTGAGTTTTCTTTTTTTAATTGACAAAAACTGTTTTTTTTTAGAAAAGAAGAAGATGAGGAGATTCAAGCAGATCATGTGAAAAAAGGAGAAAAATTGAAAGCTGATAGAGCAAAGGCAAAAAAGAAAGAAGAAAGAAAACGGAATAAATTATCAGAAGATGAAGATGAAAGTAGTAGTGATAGTGAAGTTGAAAAAACAAAAAAGAAGAAAAAGAAAGAGAAAAAACATAAGAAGGAAAAGAAGAGTAAAAAATCGAAAAAGGAGAAAAAAGTGAAAAAAGAGAAGAAAATTGCACCGAAAAATGAAGAATCATCGGATGAATGGGAAGAAAGACCAAATGAAACAAATGGTGTTGAACCAATGGAAGAAGATGGAAGTTATTCACCAGGTCCTGCAATTCCAGAACATATTAAGAATAGAGATGATATAAGGGATAGATTAAATACTACTGTAACTTCATATGGTAAAGATTTATTGAAAGGAGAAGGCGCTGGAATGGCTGCATATGTTGCAAGAGGTGAAAGAATTCCAAGAAGAGGAGAAATTGGTTTATCTTCGGGTGAAATTGAACAATATGAGAAATGGGGATATGTTATGTCAGGTTCGAGACACAAAGCAATGGAAGCAACGCGGTTGAGAAAAGAAAATCAAGTAAGTATAGGGTATTATGATACTGATCTATGTCCGAAATATTCTGACTTTTCAAAAAATTCTCAATCTTTAAAATACTCAAATTTTTGAAACGTTTTTTTTAAATCAGAATTTAGGAAAACAAACACCTGATTTCTTTCTGAATTGTGTGAATTGCCGAAGAGAAAACATAGCATTTTCACTGACAAAAATTACCTTGATCAACAAAATTTACCAACTCAAGTAAGAAAAACTGTCCAAATACACCACGCGGATACACTTTCATTCCAATACATCACTTTTTGTCTTTTAATAAGTATGTTCGGTAGAACTATTTCCAGTCCTAGTACACACATTATCTTTAAAAAATCCTAATCATGAATTTTCAGATCCTGACTGCTGAAGAGAAACGATTATTATCGGGTGTTTCAATGGATGCGAAAAAGAAGAAAGAAGAAGCTGTTATGGATCAATTCCGAAGTCTTATCGAAAATAAAAATAAACGTGCATAGATCCCTTCTTTTTATTTTTATTTTGCTTGTTTGTTTGTTTGTAAAACTTTATTTGAAAATACATTCGTAATTTGCACATAAAACATAAAACCGCACCGGAAATATTTCACATGTTGAAAAGATTAATCACGTGACCTATCCACATTTTTTGTGTTTCAAAAAAAGTCAACAAGGAAAACGGAGTATTTCTGAAAAATGGAAAATTTGTATCAAGACGAACTTTACGAATTATGTAATACCAAATATGTAACGAATATTGAAAAAGAAGGCGAAGAAATTATTGAAACAATTCGATCTGTTGATTCGTTTACACAAAATGAACCACTTTTTATGCCTCCAAATTTGTCAAATGAAATATTGGTTGATGATTTGGTTGAAGAATTTTGGAAAAATTCGAAAATTTTTGATGATGAAGCTACTTTTTTATTGGCATCACTTCAATCGGCAACAAATGAACAATTGAAAAATTGGCAACTTTGGAAAAATTATTATCGTCAAAGTTTGAATTGGAATGAAACAAGTCGATGTAAGGGTTTTTGGAAGGGAATCATATGAAAGCAAAATAATAAAAAGTTACAGTAATCTCCTTCGAGTGGAGATTACTGTAGCCACGAATGTTTGTGTTTAGGCGCAGGCTTTCAGACTGCGCCTATTTGGGCTTGGGATAGTTTTTCGAAATTTTTGTTTGGGTCAACGCTTTTCCAGTTTGATCTACACCCCAAATTTCTAATTGTCTTCAAGCCTTCATTTACCATAGCTGAAATAAGGTCTAGAATTTTCGAAATAATCTCACATGGAATTTTGCACTGATTTTATGATTTTGATTTTAAAAATTTAGCAATTGACATCATATGGGTCAGAATTACTGAAGATTGAGTTCCAAAAAAATCCGGCTTTTCAAAATTTCTATGTCAATTTCCATATTTTTCAGTGACCGAACTTGATTTGGTGAATTATTTAATTCGAACAACAAATCGTCGTCCATCAGTTCTTCATATTAATTGTAAAAGACTTATCGAAACGGATATTTCAAATACAATTCAAAAATGTCTCACATTTCATCCAATGTCTGGCGAAAATTCACTTTTCCGAGTTTCTATCAAAACTGATATGCCACTTCAACAACTTTTGGGTCAACTTGAACAATTAAAGAGAAATACATTTGGATTCAAAGTTCAAAAAGGATTAGTTACTGCAGTTTTGAAACAAGATAATATTTCACACAGATTTTCAACGGAAGATTATGCATCTTATTCAAATTATGAATATTTATTAGCACTTCCTGGAATGTGTGAAATGAGTTGTTCAGTTCGATTTAAATGTATCATTGATAATAATCCAAATGTTGTTGTTAATGTTGTTTTTCATAATGAACCAAGTCGTGGATTGTTAAAAGGAAGAAGAGTTCGAGTTATTGATATTGAACAAATTGTAAGAGCCAAAAAACGAACATATGTTACATTTGCTCCAAAAGATCAACATATTATTCACGAATTCGAAATTCCAGAAGATTCATTATTTATTCCACTTTCAAGATCCAAAAAACAAACTATCGATTTGTTGAAATACATGGAAAATTTGAAAATGACAATTGAAACGACAAAATAATGAATTGAACTTGGCGCCAACCTACTTTTTCTTTTTCTTTCATTTTTTTTTTTGTGGGACAACAATAAAAACGTATTTATTTTATTTTATTTTTATATTACACACCCGTTTTCAAAGAAATAGGCACAACGAATTTGAACATTGCATTTGATGTTTTGTTTTTCTAAAAAATGAGATTTTTATCGATCGGAGTTGAATTGCATGTTGAAATCCAACGATGTTGAATACAATCTTTGCAAATTAAATTACAACACCAAACAAATTCACAATCACATTTTACTCGAACAACTTCGTGACGAATCTGTAAGAAAAATAATTGAAAAAGGTTTTTGATCAATTAAAACAATAGATAGAACTACAGTAACCCATATGAGATTTTGATTGCTTATATCAATTTTTCTTATTAAAAAAATGAAGTTGAGAAATTTGAAATATTTTTCGCTACTTGGAATTCATTTTTTCATATAAATTTCCGATTTCGCATTTTCGAAAAAAAAACATTCTGGAAAACTAGTTCAAAAATCTATGAAGTAATTTAGAAATCGCTTGGTATTGAAATGGCTTCACGTCTCATAAACAATTTGGAATTTCTTTATCGAGAATTTCAGAATTTTAAAAACTGATCGAAACGAAATATTAAGGTATCTTTCAACTTACACTAAATCCATTTCCACAACATAATTTATCACAATTTCCTTGTGTATGTGTCTCATTTCTCCACGCACAAACTCTTCCACCAACTGATTTCTCTTTGCAAATATCAGGCGACGATTCCAAATAAATCAAATCTGTTGTTTTTGCAGAAGAACTCTCTGAATAAACTTTAGCCTTTGTATATTTTTCAACAAGATAATCAGTAATATGTTCGAGTTGTGCAGTTCTTTTCCAACATGTTTTTTGTTGACAACTTCCCGAAACACCGTGACATTTACAAGATGAAATCAGAGTTTTCTTAATCGCCAATCTTCCAGCTTTCAAATTATGTTTCTCAATTCTTCGTAGCAAATTATTTGAAGCCGGGCCAATTTTGGTCAACAATTTTCGGCTTGCAGTAATTCCGTGTTGAACTCCATGTGTACATCTACAAAAAAAAATGAAATAAAATAAAAATAAATGAGATTGTTTGAACTAACCCGCCAAATTCGTATTCATTTTGATTGTTACAAGCGCAATCATCAATCCATCCTTGGGCACAAGCAGTTGCAACTCCCCAAGCGGCGGAAGCAGAAGAAAGTGCCCAAATTAATGCCGATTCGCGGTATCCTTAAAAAAAAACTAATTGATTGATTGATTAATTGACCGGATACTTTTAATTGAATTTATTCACGAAAACTGTGTGAACCAACCATTTTGGATAGAAATAAAACCTATTGTATTCATTCAGTTTCTTTTCAAATTTATGTGAGAATAGATTTTCAAAGAACACCTGCGATTTTCACGAATTCATTCTCGACACCTGTTTTTGTTTTACTCACCGGAACGTAACAATGGAGGATCATGCATTATATTTCCCGCTTCTGAACAATCCCATTGTTGAAAACGAAGACGATTTGTACAATGTTTGAGTCCTTCTTGAATTCCTTCAAAAGCAGAGATAACAGTTGATGAATGATTTTCACATGCTAAATGAATTGATCGAAGAGCACGAGAATGTAAAAGATCAGATGGACAGCCCTAGAAAAAAGAAGAAGATTTGGGCAAAACCACTTTTCCAACATTTATTTTTTCTAGAAAAAGTACTGAAAAAATAGGTCAAGATTTTTAGTAGAATATCATAAAATGAACGACTAATTTCAAGAGAGCTAGATGATTACGAAGTTCCGATCTACAGTAATCTCTGAAATAATAGCAATTTTAAAAAATCTTCTTTTCACAATCTTCGAAGGATCCCAAGCTTGTGCACGTACTATTGAAAATTTAAATTTTTGAAATTCATTATCTACATTAATTTTTTTTTGAGATATGAACCTTGAAAATGAATACGTGCAACAATCCTACATAAGCTTCTTTTTGAATTTCATTGTTTTCTATTCAAGAAAAATCCCAAGTTTCTGGAATTGTTTCCTCAAAAAAGAAAGTTTCGAAAAATTAAAAATATCGAGACAATTATATAAGCTTGAGATAAACTTGAATTTGGAACGTCTAAATTTTCAGATTACAAAAAATCAGAACCAGGGTTTTCCTGTTTCAAAAACCTGCCAAGTAAAGTTTCAGATAAATTCTCTGATTGGCAACTTTGTTTTCTGAAGCCCAAAATAATTATGGAAAAACAATGAGTTCCTACTACTAACCTGACTAAATAAATATGGTTTTGGCGGCCTTGGAGTTGTTGTCGAAGGTGTTCCAGTTTGTCTCAATCGTCGATCAGAAAACGCCAAACAAACTAATAATATCCAAAAAATCACATATTTATTCATTTCGAGTACAATTTATTCGAGGAAAAACAAAAGTGCGTTGTCGAAAATGCGACCGCCTCTTTAATCAATCTACAGTAATCCCTCCAACACAATGAAGGCGGAGTTTTTTCGAATGAGAAGTAGAAGGAAATGGAGAGGCGGGGTCGTAAAATGTCGAAATTTTATATATACACAATTATGCCATAAATGTATTGCGCAGGTTGTTTTTAATTGAACAAGAAGAAGAACAAGAAGAAGAAAATGAAGAATTTTTTGGTGATATTTAGAAAAATGGAGGGGGGGTTTCAACAAAAACCCATTTCTTGTTGTCTCGAATCAAATTAGTTTTAATTTGAAAAAAAACATATTTGATGGAAATTGGTTATAATTTAAAAACCATACGAATTTTATCGACTATTTTCTAAAAATCATTTTCCTTTAAAAAAACCACATTTGATCTCAGATTTCAGGGATTTTTAAACTAAATGCAAAACTCCCGCGAACACACTGAAACCCGTAAGCAAGCGGAGTTTTGTTGTTTCCTTTCTATTTTTTTTTCAAAATTTTCCAACTCGTTTTTTGGAAAAAGTGCTTTCATTTTTGAAAATTGTGCAGTAATAAACTTCATTCAATTAACCTAGTTGTTATTTTTGGCCACCCATTTAATTTTTTCCACCAAAAATTATTGTCCCTCGAGAATTCTTGTTGGCGCGTACGAAAAAAGGTCGAATTTTACGAGTCTACACACCTTCCTTAACAACAATAATCCTCAATTTTTCTCTTATTTGGCCGACGATTGAAAAACGAAACGAAATGACTAATCGAAAGATCGTAAAACGGGTAAAAAGGCTACAGTAATGTGGATGGAAGAAGGCAAAAAAAAAACATCGAATGACCTCTAAATCTGCAATTCAATTTCAATTTATATTTATAAAATATAAATAGATAAATAAATACAAATATGGATGTCAAAACGGTGACTTTTTTCCAATTAGATTTGTAATGTGAGAAATTGATGAAAAACGGAAATGATTCTTGGGAAAAAAGGAATTTGGAAATGTTGCTTTTTAGGGATCAATTTTGAATCGAAAGAAAATTATTACTCATTCTTTTCGAATTCTAGATTAAAAAAAAGGTTCAACGCAGGAAAATATCTGAACATTTAGGTTGTATCTAATATAGTTTATTCTATGTAGGGGTTATTAGAATTTTTCACAATTTGTGGAAATTTTTATGTGAGTGGAAAATGAGCGGAACTAACATTTTTTTGATTTTTTGAAAAATTCTGAATCAAGAGCTGCAGAGATTTTTGGATTTTTATTGTTTTTTTAAAGATTTTACTTTCTGATCTTTAAAAAATCAAGATAATGAAATTCAATTTTTTGTTTTGATTCTTTAAAATTTTTCTGATCAAAGTTGAGAGAAATTTTCAAACAATTTCATGACTTATTGTAAATTCGAAAACACAAGTTTTTCTTTTATTTTTGTATGTTTTTTCCTCAAAACTCATAAAACACAGTGGGAGATCTGTGAAATGTGAGTTACAAAATAAAACGAAAAAAATGATGAAACATTTAGTTTTACAACTTCTGCCTGTAAAAATTTGGACCGTAAGCCGATATTCAGAATTCTGGAGAAATGCAAATGTTACGCAAACAAACAAACATCAATCAGGTTCCAAATGACGCGTTTTTTGGTTGATAATAAATAACAATTTAATAATTGAATAATATCACTTTCATTGGTTATTCAGAAAATTGGTATAAAAATGTTGCAAAAGTTGGTATTTTCATCGGATTCATATTTTCCTTTCTCTTCTAACAAACTATGCAATTCAACATTTTGTGCCTTTTCGCTATTTTCGCAATTGTTTTCATCAACGATGTTTCTGGATGTTTTGGTGGATTCAGTGGTGGAATGGGTGGATATGGTCCATTTTCATCTGGTTGTTGTCAACCAAGCATGTATCATCATTGCCAAAATCCATGGTGAGTTTTCGTCCAAATAATTTTCGCATTTTTATTTTTTCAGTGGCGGTGGATACGGCGGTGGATACGAATCGGGATATGCTACCTCTTATGGAAAGAAATAAATGAAATTTATTCAAATGTTTGTATTCAAAGTAACTAAAATAAAGTGATTATTTTTCAAGCAGTGTCATAAGAAATGAGAGCAGTCAAATTGACATCTTCCAATTTACTTCTTCCATTTAATGGCGATAATTCGATAAGTACAAATGCTTCAGCCACCTGTCCACCAGCTTTTTTCACCAAATCTGCAGCCGCCTTCAATAAAATAGGTGGATTATTTGAATGAAGGTTAAAAAACAACTAACTCTTAATGTTCCACCGGTTGCCAATAAATCATCAATTAGAAATACTCGATCTCCATTTTTAATAACTCCTTCTTGGATTTCAACTCGATCTTCTCCGTATTCTTTGATATAAGACGCATTGATTGTTGAACCTGGGAGTTTTCCTTGTTTTCGAATTGGAATAAAAGGAACACCGAGTTGAATAGCAACTTGAGGACCAAAAAGAAAGCCTGAAAATTTATTATTCTTTATTTACAAAGAACTTTTCAATTCAAAATTTGGGATTAAAAATTATTGACTTTTTTTTTCTGAAAAACCCAATAAAAAATTATTTTTACTTCTTGACTTTTTTCAGAAACGAAAAAATATTTTTTAATCAGTAAACGTCTCTCTGAGCCGTCCTCCAAAATTCGAAAAATCTTCAGACTTGACCCTAAGTCCATAACTCGTCTAACAAATGTTTCCGTGAAAACCTAGTATGAGAAAAGACCGATCTAGTATCAGGAAAAATAAAAATATTAAAGTATTGTGAGTAGGTTTTTGAAAGTTTCAAAAATTGATGTCTGCTCAAAAAATTTTTTAATGTTCATTCATTTTTTTAAAGGTTTTTTTAAAAACAAATTTTAAAGTTTTTAATTACCTCTAGCTTCTAACCCAGCAACAGAATCAATTTGTCCAGTTGTATGTCGAATATGATCAGCAATTACAACACATAATTCATTTACCAATGCTGGATCTCCAAAAAGTGGCATGATATCTCTAAAATACTTCGATACTTATTTTTATTTTGAATATCAAACACTTACCTGAAGTTGATTCCTTTCTTTGGGAAATCTTTGACTTCTCTGATATGTTTTTCAACTTTTGGTCGAATTTGATCAAATCTTGGAAGTGTCATTTTTTGCTTGAATAATAATTATCTATAATTGGTACAAAAAATAAGAAAAAGAATGAAATAATAACGAATAAACCAAAAAAAGGTAGAAAATGATAAGAGTTTGACATAAAGATAATAACACTGGAATGATAATAAAACTATTCATCTAAAAAGAAAAAATAAAAGTACACAAAAATCAAAATCTCAACTTTTAGTCGATTCCATTAAATCTTTTGCCTCATTGATTTTTGCAGCCAAATATGGAGAGCCACCTAGAAACAAAACAACATGAAAGAAGATTTTTTGAAGTTGTCAAATGTCATTTTCAGAATGTCAATTTTATGTAGTCAATAAAAAGTCGACTTTTTTTGTCAAGAGCTCAGCGCTGAAAGCATCGTGAGAATATAAAAAAGAGAAAGAGGAATGCTAAGTGAGTTCATTTAAAAAAAAGAGATGGGGGTATTTGAACGTTTGTTTTTCTTTTTTTTCTCTTCAGGCAAAAAAGGTTTATAGAAAAAAAAAGAAAATGTGTCTCCCAAAGGGATCAGAAAATCAATATTTCTTGTGGAGGAAAATATTGCCGCCGAAAAAAGGGAGAATTCAATTTTGAAAAGCAAATAAATAAAATTTGATTGCAATATAAAATTCTAGTATATAAATAGATAAATAAATATGTGTATAATTCGATGTAAAAAACATAAAATTATTAATTGAGTCACTAATGGATTCAAATTTTTTAGTACTACTTCCTTTTGAAAATTAGCCAAATTTTTCAAAAATAAAAATAAATTACCTCTATCTGGATGGTTAACAATCATTATTTTCTTATGTGCTTCTTTAATTTTTTGCGGTTTTGCAGATGCAGGAACTCCAAGTATAAGAGAAGCTTCTCGTCGTGTCATTTTCGTTTCAAATCCTCCACGGTAAAATTTATCGAACTAAAAAATTCCGGGTTGAAGGACTTTTAATTTTTTTATTGAAAACACTCACTGCTCCTCCTGGAATAGCTTCTAATCCTTTTTTGAGCAATGCTTGATTTTTTAAAACATATCTTGCACCAAACCCGATCGCAGCCATTCCCAATCCAGCCGCAATTAATCCACCGGTCATCTTCAAATTAATTTTTATATTAAAAAAAAACTAATAAATTTAAAGTAGTTGATGCTGTTTGAAAACAGCTGTTATTTGAGAAATGAATTTTAATAATTTAAAAATTATAATTTTATTGAAAAAGTGAAAAATTAGTCAAAAAAAATTAAACAGATATCGGGTGACAACAAAAATATGGAATCCCGTTTCACAAAAAAAATCATAATTTAGAAGGAGGAGAGATCAAGGAAAGATTGATAAAAATAATAACAATAGATTGTTATTCATTTACAAATTGTTTGTCTTGTGTTCCGTCTTGCATATCAACAGTTTCTTCAACAATCCATTCAGGTGGTACTTCTTCCTAAATTATTATTATTTTATGAAGATAAAAAATAGTAAATGAGAAATAATTTGAAAATTACAAACCTTTGCTTCGAGATGCGCAACTTCTTCAGTTTCTTCCATGATTTGTCCCTGAGAAAAGTAAAAATTATTTTGGGGGTTCAATCTCTCTGAAAATATCATAATATTTTCTTCTAATTTTCGAAATCTTAAACATAAAACTAACCATATGTTCATCGTCTTGTTGTACTTGTTCGTGTCGAATAATATTTGTGTCAAATTGTTCGAATCTAGTTTGATGCATAATCATAACATTTTCTCTCAATTTCCGATTTTCAGTTTCCAATTGTCGAATTCTAGCATTTAATGCATCGGTTCTTGCCTCAAATACACTTTTTTCATCTCGTTGTCTTTGACGATAGAAATCATTCAAACTTGTATTTGCACCATTCAATCGATCGATTTCACCGAAAAGCCAACCAAGTAATTGATGATATTCATCTGGTGACATTTCTTGTTCTTGTAATTCTTTAATTTTCTGCATATCAACTTTTGTATCTTCTATAGTTTGTTTGATTCGTTCTTCAATTTCAGCAATATGTTGTTCAGCAATTGCTGGATTATTTCTAATTGAAGTTGCATTTGATACAACGCGAACAACTTTCACATTCTTATTATTTGCTGAATTATTATGCGATTGTTGTGATGGTGGTTGCTGAGATGATTGAGAAGAGGCATTTTGAATCATTTGTGATCGAAATTGTTGTTGTTGAATTTGCCTTTTAATAACCATCCCATTTCCTTCACCAGCCTCTCTTTTTCTTGCACCAATTGGCAAACTAACAATTCTAGCTCCTCCTGGAGAAATACGTGATTGTTGTGCAGGCGGTCCTTGACGCTGTACTCCCATGTACATATTTTTGTTCTGAAGTTTTTGAATAACATCAACTGGTAGATGTTGATTCGTGTATCTTTGACCTGGTCTCCCAGGGCGACGAGGTGGAGCTGGAGCCGAATTATATGATCTTTCTTCATAATGAATCTGTTGTGGTTGTGCCTGTTGTTGTTGTTGCTGTTGTTGAGGCTGTGGTGGTTGTCTCAAATGTTCCATTGTCATTTCCGAGTTTCCGTCATCAACAATCTCTTCATGACTAACATGTTGCTCTTCGCCTAAAAAATAAAATTTTATTCGCCCATTTTTTTTTCAAATTGTGTTTTCTAGCTCTAGCTAACGAACATCTCTATGCGCACACTGCACAAGGTATTACATCATTCTTTGAAACTCATTACTCACACACGGCTTTCTATAAAATAAGAACATTTCGAACATAAAATTCACTCGCTATTCAATTGACGATAGAGAAAAGTTACACTAATACTACATGAATTTTAAAAATATTAGATACCTGCTGCATCTCGTTCCATTACAATTTCTCCTTGTTCAAGAACTTCCATTTCTCTTCCACTAGGTGATCTTGCTCGAAAATATCGTTGACGACGCGAATTCATACAACACGTCTGAAAATAACTATATGAGAGGAAACTTCAAACACAGCGGTTTTGCCGCAGAAAAACGAAAAAAAGAAAATAAAAAGCAAACGACGCTACTCGCGCTAAACAACAGGCAAGCGTAGTGTTGTTTAGAATAGGCATGTCTGCAGCGGGCCTAAAAGAAGGCCTATCATTCCGTTTTTTTTCTGTTTCTTCGGCTTGTGGTTTGTTTGAATTTCCGTCATTTTTTGTAATTCTAGATATCTAGAGAAGTTGGTTACGTTTCATTCCATGATATTTTTTATAAGGTCTACAAATCATTTTTCTATTCTCCTCCCTACAAATTAAGTATTTTCCCTACAAACGAACAACCATATAAAAAATTTTTATCTTAAGATAGAACACTGTCTTTGGGATTCTCATTTATATTCACGTTTTTCAAATTCTTGGCTACTTATTTCGCTCTACATTGTATTTCAACTTTCAAACCAAAATGCATCTGGAAGAAGATTTTCATAATCTATTTTTTGTTGAAATAACCTGAGTGACGAATAGAAAAAAACAAGTGTATGAAAAGACCAAAGTGCATTTATTTCCAACTTTTTCTTTTGAACAAAACGCCTATCATCTTCGTTTTTCTTATCATTTTTCACCCTTCTTTTCAATCATGATTTTATATATTAATTTTTCAAATTCTCGGAATTACAGAAAATGAATTTGGTGGTATACAAACTGATTTTGCTCGCTCTTATGATTATGGGGACAATTCTTGCCGGTTTGTCTCCTATGAAAGTAAGTTTAATTCATTTGATAATTGATAAGACAAATGAATATTCGATTAATTACAGGTTCTGAGTAAACTTCGTCACGAGGCGGCAACTGCACAAAGTTCTAAAAAACATAAACACGTATCTTTGGTTTTATGTTTACTCACGTGTTTTTCGGGAGGTGTTTTTCTCGCCACGTGTTTTCTTCATCTTTTCCCAGAACTTGTTGAAAATGTGAAGAAATTGGAAACAGATCATGGAATTCATTATGATTATCCAGTCGCTGAATTATTATCGTGTATGGGATTTTTTTTACTTTTCTTTTTAGAAGAAGTTATTATAATGGCAATTCCTGCAATGGCTCACGGGCATTCACATGGTTCAAATGAACATCATCACCATAATCATCAAGAACACAACGATGAAAAAGAAGTTGATTTGAAAAAGATCCCAACAAGTTGTTGCATGGTTGATGTTGGAATAAATGAAGTTGTTGAAGAGAAAAGTCCGGATTCTACACAGAAAAAAGATATTGCAACAGTTGTAATCGATGAAACTACGAAATTGACTGGAACAGCAACAAAAGGAGATGATGGACATTGTCAAACACATTGTCCTTTGACAGTACACGAAAGAAGAAGTTCAAACGAATGCAAAGCAAATGCTACACAGTTAGTTTTTTTTTTAAATATTCAATATCTTTATCTAAAAATCGAATTAGAATCAAGAATATTCGATATTCCTACGGTAGTGTAACTAATAGTCGAATCGATGAAAACGAAGAAGATGAAGAAGATTGGTAATATAAATGTCGCTCTTACTCCTTCTGTAAATCCCTTTCTTTGTTCAAAAAAGTCTTTTCATTTCAGCTTCACCTATTCTACATTTTATTGAATTGTCCAATGAAAACTTTCAATTTTTCAGCACATTTGCTCCAGTGGCATTTGCCGAGCCAGAAAGATGTGAAACTAATTGTGATGCTGTTGATGAAGATCCACCAATCCTCATGAAATCTCGCCCACATGCACATTCTCACGGAGTTCGATCTATCACTTTTGTTTTGGCTCTTGGAATTCATTCGATTATTGAAGGACTTGCTTTTGGTGTACAGGTAATTTTAATTATTTTCAAAATTTTCATTTTAAAAATTAATTTTATTTAAGAGTGATGCATCTCAAACATCGGCTCTTTTTATTTCTTTAATGGTTCATAAAGTAATTGTCGCATTTTCTGTTGGTTTGCAACTTTTCCGAACTCACGCACATCAATTGAAATGGGTTGTTGGTTCAATTTTCCTTCTCGCATGTATGACTCCACTTGGTGCATTAGTTGGATTAATTGTTTCATCTGCTGGAGAAGACGCTGCTTGGAAAGATATTACGATTACTATTCTTCAAGGATTAGCTGTTGGAACATTTATTTATGTCACTTTCTTTGAGGTATTTTTAAAAAATATATATTTGATCGTGTTTTTGAAAAACGACCACCCAATCGGGATTTTATTAAAAAGGTAGAAACTAGATTTTTCAATTGAAAAAAACCATCGTAATTTATTAGGGTTTTGTCAAAAAAACATTCACAATCAGAGTCGATATTTTTGTTTCTAAATGTTTTCCGAACTAGACTTTGTTAAATATAACTAATTTTTCATTTCAGGTTTTGCTTCATGAACGAGACAATGAACATCCGAATTTATTGAAGTTATTAGTTATGATTATTGGATTTATGCTTATTGGTGCTTTACGGCTTTTTGATTCTCATGATCACGCACACGGACATTCTCATGATAATCATATTGATTTGGTTAGTTCTTTTCTTTTTATATTTTGTCATATGATTTTAAATGAATCACCCAAAAATCAATATTTCAGACAACGATTATTCCATCAACAATTTCTCAATAAATAAGTTTTCCAATGAAAACGGGACAATTTGCCAAAACAAAAATCAAAACTTTTTAATCTTTTAATATTTTCGGGTCCTTGGTTGTTCGTTTGTTTTTTGCATAATGTTTTAAATCAATTGTACAGTAATTCTACATTCATTTATTTATCAGTTTGCTTTTAATTATAAAATTCGCTTTAATTGTACCATGATTTTTCATTATTGTTGTTCACTTTTTTCTTCTTCATAAAATTATTCTGCCTTTCATGGAATGTTTTGAGTATTGTATTTATTTATGAGTAATCGAAAAGTGAAAGGGATTATGTGTGAAATAAGCAAAAGCCAAGGCTAAAACTATTCATTTTTAACTTTTTCTAAAATGAAAGTTGTGGTTTTTTCTTTATTTTTTATGGTTTTTGAATGTGTTTTGGCTATTAATGAGTTCGAAATTCGTCAACTTTTGGGAGCTTCGGAACAAAGAGCAATAGAAATTGAAAGAATGACAAAAGAAGCAGCAATTCGACATAATCAGGTTTGTGCAAATATTTATTTTTTCGAGAATATGAATAAAATTTTCAAAAAAAAAACATGAATTAGGGAAATTTGTTTCAACTTCGAAAAAAACTGTTTTTATACAATGGTGATTACTGTAGTTTACTGAAATGTTATTTATTTTTCACTAAACTACAGTTATCGCCATTGCTTTTATTATAGTTTTATAAAAACTCATAAAACCCAATTTCACAAAGTTCCCTAGCACGGTGAGAAATATGTAGAAATATTTTTCGAATTGCCACGCAGCTATATTCTCAATTTGGCGTAGTCTAAACGCAACTGTCGCACATAATTCTTGAAACTTTTTCAAATGCAATAATTCTTGACTCAAAATAAGTTGAGTGAAATAATTTTTCAAATTGGAAAATTTGAACTTTCATGAAATTTTCTCTAAATTTCACAAAATGTGGCACCGTTTTAAATTTTTCAGCTAAATAATCCTGCATTATCATCAGTTTCTTCTATTTCTTCTCCAATTCTTCCTCCACCTTCAAAATTTTCGCCCCCAATTCCTCCACCAATTCTTCCACCAACAATCGAAGATGATCGAACATTTTTAGCCAGTTAGTTTAGATACTGTAGAAATAGAACAATAATATATTTACTTAATATTTCCTTTATGATTTTTCAGAAATGGGAGAACAAGAACAACTTTTGAATAATATGAATATTTTAGCAGCTCGTGAAGCGATGGCAAGAAACAATTTTATGAATTTAGGTAGGTATACTGTAGTTTTCAAATATCTGCATTTGAATGAATAAATAAATATGGCAACTATTTTTCAGAATCGTCATTTATGAATGTTGTAAAACCATTGGTTTCTCCATTTTTTGGCGGAGGACAACAACCAATTCCTGGACATTTTGTACCACTTCAACAAATTCCAAGTCAGTTCTTTTCTAAAATAAGTTCATAATTAACAAGTAATTTTTCAGAATTCAATGACGATACACTGAAAAAAGTCTCAGTGGATTCTCGGCCTCAATTGCCACAACGAGAAATTTTGGAAAATATCGAAAAATCTGTGGAAATTGTGAATAATAATGATACTTCAGTTTTAGGCAATTTTTGAAATCCAATAAAATTGTTTTCAATAAAACATTCCCATTCACAAAACCTAAATCCATTTCCGAATTTCGCGCCATTTCATTTACATCTCGAATTGCCTGAATGAGCAAGAAAAGAATCTAATTGTAACAATTTTTCTGGATAAGTTGAAAATATTGATTCCGATCCAAAAAGACGCGGCAAAGTTCCAATTACTGTTAAAAATCAAACTTATTGAGTACTGTTTCGAAAACGGATTTGAGATTCGAATCTATAGGTGTACCAAAAAGTCTTATAACTTGACTTCATGCACTTCCCTTGTCAAATTCGTACTATGTTCAGTACATCCTTTTCAGTATTGGTCTTCATTCAAAACTTGAGAATTTCGAAATTCTAAATCTCACCAGTTGACACATTTGCTATCCGGATTTTCAATTCTCGAACCATTTCATTTCAACCATCTTCTTTTTTTTTCGATCGCATCATGTAAACTTTCTCTCTTTCTCTTCATTCATCTATTCATTCATATAATATACATTCTTTTTCATCTGATTTGTCTTCATTTTCTTTCTTTTTTTCTTTCCAATTGATCCGCTTCTCATCGCTGACTTTTCCTATTCAATCCTTTTTTTTTCTTGTTGTTTCTGTTTTCCGCGCGCGACCTCCTCCGCTTCCCCCTTTTTTCGATCATCATTTTTTATCGATGATTGTGAGTAGCGAATCCATTAATTTTGTTATTGTTTTTTGTTTGCAATATCATTTTTGCGTTCGAAAAAAAGTTATCTAGAAGGCGCGAAAACTGAAATTGATTTGGATTCCAGTTTTGAGAAAAACTGGAATTTCTATATATTCTGGCTTTTTTTATGAATTATTTTTCGTTTGCAAAAGTCTCGATGAACAACAACTTCCAAGATATATTTTGTTTACTAGGTTACTGTAATGGAAGAAATCTTTAAAATATCAGAATAGGACTCTTAAAAAGTATAAACATTTCACACTGTGAATGAAATTGGAATAGTTTTCTTTGCGATTCCAAAAAAAGTTCCCTGAAATGGTTCCACTACAAAAAAACAATAGGTCCTATTTTTCAAAAATCTCAATGTCCTTTGTCATAAATTCATAATTACCAAAGATAAATCTGAAACCTTTTTCTTATTCTGTCACAATTACAATTCGTATTCTTTTCTAATTGTAATTTTGTCCTCATTTCTTTCATTCTAATCTCTTTTTTGTCTGAATGGTGTGACCTGTTTTCTCGACGATTTTCTACATTTTTGCAACTATTGGAATCGTTCCTTTTTAAACAAAAAGCGCGTTTTTGTTGTAATTTCTCACAACCCAGAAATCATCATAAATCACCAATTGATATTATTAAATACATATCACTCGATTCAATTTTTACATTGTCGTTCACAATCTTTCAAAGCTTTTGGCTGCATTTTTTTCGTTTTTTTTCGGGATAAATACATTCTTCGATTTTCCATAATTGTTCATTTTATTCTTTTTTCTGTTCCATCCGATTCATTTATGTATTTCTCATAAATTCCCGGAATACGAAAAAAAAACCATTTGATTTCGTCATCAATGAATATTTTAATGAGACGTACAAAATGGGAGGTCACGATTTGTTTTCACATTTTTCTAGCTTGTTAGTTTCTTCCTTTTTTGGATCATAAAACTTCCGGTTTTTTGTGTTGTATTGAGGGTTTGATAAGAAAAAAGAGACCGCCCGAATTTGAGAGGATCAATTTTATGCGTTTTGATGACAGATTTCTCTTTTCAAATTAAATGCCATTCTTTCTTTCATCTCTCAATTTTAATAACTGGATTTGATCATTTCAATAAATTCTCTCGACAATTTTCCAAGGTTTTTTCTTTGAAAAATTCAAGTACTCATATTTCATCTCCTGTTTCCTTTTTTTACGACGAAGTGGATTTGATCTGCGCACTGTTACATTTACTAATCGAATCTGCGAAGATGCAAAAGCGTGTTATGTTGTCAAAATTAATGAAAAAACGCAAAAAAAAAAACCGCTAACGAAACACGTTTATATTAATTTATATTATTCTGCGCGTCATCGAACTAATTGGATTTGCATTTACTTCGAATCAAAAAAAGGCAAAAATTTTGACCCAGGCAGGGATCGAACCTGCAATCTTCTGATTAGAAGTCAGACGCCTTATCCATTAGGCCACAAGGCCACGCAGAACAACGTATCAAATGTCAGACACAAAAACGCATGCAGAAAAGTAGTTGTGTGTGTCGTTGTTGTGTCGTTCAACTGGTTACTGTAGTTTTTTGTTTAGAAATTAACATTTCGGATGTATATAAAGGATTTTCATTAGATTAAAATCTCAACACATTTTCGATGAATTTCAACGATAATTTTAATTTCTCGTATACAAATCCAGTTTTTTCTTCATTCATTCAATTCAAACATTTATTAGTTCAGTTTTCCACAATAAACTTCACTTTGAAACAGAAGTCATAGAATTCTAACACCTTTAGAACACAATAAATTTCCGCTTTTTTTTTCTAGATAACAACCGTAAGAATTTTGTTACAACCCAAATAAATGTATCTTTTCATTTTTTTATTAAATAAGTATATTTATTTCGTTCCATTTTTGCTTATCTTAAATTTCATCAATTTTTTTTTCATTTGAGTTTTTCAACTGTCAACCGGATTTTCCTTTTTTTCTTTCTGTCTTTATTTATTTGAATTGCTGTAATTATAAATTATAATAATATGATTAATTGCATTAAACAAAGTTTTGAATTAAATATAAAAGAGAATATGCCGAATTGAAAACATTTCAGAAAAACAATGGTGATGATACATGATGGTGGATTGGAAAAGAAATCAAATAATCAACAAAATCCGCCAAGATTTGTTTTTGGCAAATTGCACATTAATGTGAGTTTTCAGGAAAATTGGGTTACTGTAGATTCTAAATGTTTCAAACAAACTTCAGGAGATTTTTTAGAAATAAATTACTAGATGTAAAAGTTGAATTAAGAAATGTTCTGCTTTTTTTCAGATCTGACATAAAATAGTCAGAAACTTATCAGAACAAACATGTTTGATATACCGAAAAACATTTTTTGAGTTCTAAATTTTCACTGTGTAACTTTTTTTTACAAATTGACAAAAAATTTCAGAGCACAATGAAAGCGATTGTTTCCTTCGGAATAATTGTTATCTTGATGTTAGTTGCTCTTTTATATTTCAAATTCCGAAAAGCAATGTTCATTCTTCTTGTTCCAACAACTGTTTCGGTTTTAACAGTTATCGCAATTGTTTCGAAAAAACATCGTTTTGTTTGGCCAGTCGTTGCGATTTCAATGTTTCATGTTATTCTATCAATCTATGCACTTCTTGTTTTCAGTTTCTATTTCTTTTTCAAACCATTCTACATTTTGATGGTTTCAAACTGGGCATTTGATAGTGAGTTATTTTGAACTAGAGGAAAAATTCAAATTCTTAATTTTTTAGCAATGCATAACGATAAGAATGCTGCTTTCTATTTACAATCAGCAGGAATTTATTCCTTCCTTATTGTTTTTATGCTTTTCAATGCCTGGCAAGCAAATGTCGCTATTCATTATATTGTAAGTTTTAATGAAAGTCTCACGGTATTTAGAAAATCAAAATAAAATACTATTCAGGAACATATAAATCTCGAAACTTCTTCTTCTTCATCCCGTCGCCAATCTCATCAACCAACTGTTGTTGTTGTCAATAAACCAATGTATTAAATATAGTAAACAATTATATAATTCATACTAACTATAAGCTTTATCAAAGGTTCTACAAAGACCCGAAGGCTTTACTCTATTCACATAAAGTACTAACTTATTTTCGTTTTATTTTGTCTGTAAATTAATTCTTTTCCGTAAGGATCTCGAATAAAGTTGAAAACTTGAAATTCATCATAACAAAAAAAAAACAATAACAACAACAAAACAAAATACCCGTGAAAAAATGTTTAAAAAATGTTCAGTCCTGAGTTGGAACAGGCCCAAGAATACCACGAATAAACATTGGAATAACACGTTTTACACGTGGTTTTTTACCTCTCCAAGCTGGACGAGTTCGCATTCCATCAGCAAAAAGTGTGAAAATTCGATCGGAAAGGAGAAATCGGAAGACAGTACCTTTTTTTGGAATAACTACAAATCGATCTTCTGTTGTTACAAGTTGGAAAGTGTGACGGGTTTCGAGAATAACAATTCCACTTATACCAATCTGAAATTTCTTGTTTTTCACAGTAACTAATTTAGAAGTAGAAGTTGTTACTCTATTTAAAAAAGCCAACGTTAAAAAACTTTTGTAAAAAAATTTAAAAAGTAGTTTTAATTTTAAAGCTGAAAAGTACTTATTTTGGAAAAAGGGAAAATTTGGGATTACCGTAAAAATTTCGGAAAAATTCGTTTAAATTGATATTTGGATCATTCGATTTTTCAAAATTGAAATTTTTCTGTTTTTTTCAATTACAACGATTGAATTCATATTTAAGAAATTGAAACATGAATTGAATTTAAACATGAAAATCAAAAGTTTAAATCAAATGTCACCTCAAAACATTTTTTTGAAAGTTTTCCAAAAAGTTAACTTTGAAAAAATTATCGCGCATATTCTTAAAATTTACCTGAGTAGGATTTTCAGCCATCCAAACAGTCAACATTGCTCCATGATAATCCGCTTTCAAAATCGATTTGTCAATTTTTTTACTCGTATAATTCGGCCCCAATTTTTGTTGAAAATATGTCTGCCATGCTGTATTCATTTCAATCACATCTTTGAATCTGAAAATGTTCAATTCATAGAATAATCGATTCAAAAATATGGAAAAAAATAAACCCTCACTTGAATTCCGATTTTTCTTTTTCTGTCAATTTTCCACGAACTGCATTTGTTTTCGGTGTTTTTCTTGGATTTCGTTTCGATTTTGTATTTTTCTCCAAATGAATTACACCAAGTCGATCATGTCCAGAATTGCTATCAAAACCGCCTTCTCCAATTTGCACATTTTCTCCTCGATATTCTTTTTTGCCCATCGGAAAATCTAAATTTTCGATTTTTTGTAAATCCAAAAAGTCAGATATTTTTCAGGTAAAAATTACAAATATTCCAAACTGAAGATAATTAGCAATTTATATTTTTTTATTATCATTTATCACCCCAAAAACACGAGAATTATTTTTTTGAAAAAATATATGAAAAAGAAACAACCGTAATGAAATAAATAAATAAATAGAACAGAAAGGACATTCACTAAAAATATACATTAAAAAAGACATAAATACTGCGTTAGTTAGACAATTTTAAAACTAGACTTCTTTTGGAGGCACGGAGGTTTGCAATTTGGTTTCGATTTGATTAAGGCGGGCGAGTAACTCACTACGTTCTGAAAAAAATGCCATGTTTATACATTGTCAATAATTATTCGATTTTTAGAACCTACTTTTTTGCTTTCGTTTTTCTTTTTCCGATTTTTCTTCCGTATCATTTTCATATGTTGGTGGTGCTGGAGGTGGTGGAACTGGTTCTTCAGAAACATCTTCTGGTGGCAATGGAACTTCTTCAATTGTTGCACGTTTTTTAGGGGGCGGAGGTGGTGAAAGCGATATTTCCCTTAGATTTGTTGCAAGTGGAGAATCGCGATATTTTGCTGGAGTTTTATCACTTTCATCACCAGAACTTGAAGAAGATGATGAACTTGAACTCGAAGATGAAGAACTTGAGGAAGATCGTTTTCTCTTCCTCGATTTCTTATTGTCTTCTTCATTATCACTATCTGATATTTGCTCGAGATCTTTCTTTTTCGGTACAGCTTTCTTCTTATTTTTCAAAAACATTGGAACAGTATCTCCTTTATTGAATGATTTTCTTTTTTCACCAGATCTGTTTCTTTTTGGAATTCGATATGAAGAAATATCAGCATTTGGAGAGATACTTCTTTTTCTTGATGGTCTCATTCCAGGTGGATATGGAGGCGGAGAACGGGTTCGAGATCTTGTTCGAGATCGACTTCTTCTTGTTGGCGGACTATTTCCAGTTTTTCTTTTCATATGTCGAACTTTTTTCGTATTTTTATTATTTTCGCGTGAAGAAAACGATGAAAAACGACTTGGAGAAGGTGTTCTTCCTTCAGAAGATGATGAACGATTTCGTCGACGTCCTTTTCGATCTGGAGAAGATCCAGAGACTCTTCTTTTAATATTATTTTCACTATTATTATTTCTTCTTCTATCTTTGATAACTTCTTTTTCCCGACTTTTTCTATTCATTCTTTTTCTCTTTTCCTCCTCTTCATCTTCATCACTTGTCGAAACCCTTCTCAATCCACGTTTTTCCGAAGCGAAGGTTGATTTTGAGCTAGAACTTGAGCTACTAGAGCTACTCGAACTGCTGGAAGATCTTTTCTTCGCATATTTTGTTGGCCGTTTCATTGCTTCTTCATCAGTATCACTACTTATAGGACTAGCATCTTTTCCCGGTGAAAAACTAATTGGCGACCTATTGATTGGACTTCGTGTTCGTCTTTTCAAAAACAATGGTCGCGAGCCGGAATCTCTGTTATCATCAGAAGAATCAGCTCGTCTTCTACCATATTCTCTTTCTCCAACTGGTGCTGCCAACATTTTCTTTTTCTCATAATCCGGATCCTCTTTTCGTATCGCAGATGCTTTTTCAATGAGCCTATGTGATCCACGAGCCAATGCTGCTTCCCAAGAACTATCCACATTTGCTGAAAACAACTATTTAATGTAAATTGATTATTTTATAAAATAAAAAGGTGACTTACAAGAACCAGGCGCGGTAATTCTTTGCCGAATTGTTCCATTTGTTGGTGGCGGAATCCCACGAATCACAGGTCGACTTATACGTTCCTGAATAATAGTTTCAAATGAATTTCAAGATAATTATGAAAGCCAAAACCATGCAAAATCAATCACAACACTCACTTCATTCGAACAAACCTCGATTGGCTTCCTTCTAAATTCTTCTAATTTTTTGTTCATTTCAGAATCTTCATCAACAATTTCTCCATCGCTTTTTTCACCTAAAACGTATATATTAGTCCGAATAAAATATTATTCGATGTATTATTGAATTAAAAATACGTGAGAAATAAAAAACTAGGTCAAGTGACGTGGATTTAAAAACAGTATAGGTAGCCATGTCGTCAGTTGCGATGCGTGTGGGCGACACGTTTTTAGAAATGAAAATTTGGAAAATTCAATGGAAAATATCGAGGTCAACACGCAACGCAGAACCGCATCGCGACTGACGACATGGCTACCTATACTGTTTTTAAATCCACATCACTTGACCTAGTTTTTTATTTCTCACGTGTTTTTAATTCAATAATATACCTTCGTCACTATCTTCGATTTCACCATCTTCTAGTTCACCTTCTTCTTTTTCTTCACCATCCTCTTCATTTTGGTCTTCACTTATTTCTTTCTTTTCAATTTCCTCTCCATTTTCCTCTTCTTCTTCTTCGTCAAGTTCTTGTGGATCTTCAGTATAATCGAGATCTTCTTCATTCTCTAAACAAATCACACGATTAATTTTTTCACAGAAAAATTATTTATTTCACTCACCACAATCAATACTTTTCATTTCAATGTTCAACTCTTCTTCTGGATCAATTTCTTCGGGTTTTTCCAGCAGAGAGTCATCGTCTTCCATGTTCTCTGAAAAACTCAAAATAATGTGAATACTCAAAATAAAAGAGACAAGAATGATTAGACAATTCGTGTTTATTTTTAAATATATTTACAACAACTCAACCTTTTGATATTCTTTCGAAGAAGAACAGGGAAGAAGAAGAAAATGCATGTTATTTTCTTGTTTGAAATAAATAAATAATCGGGATATAAGATTTAAAGAATAAATGAAGAAGGTTTAGTTAAAAGGAAACCTTCGCATTTACAAACAATGGAACAACAACAACACATTTGTTTGTTGGATAATCGATTTTTTGTACATGTGGGTGTGCATACACTACATTTTACGAAACATTGCAGAAAAAATATTGGAATTTTTTTTGAAAGAAAGAGATGCATTTTCATGACTGAATGTTTCGAACAGCAATTAAACATGAGAAATTTGGCTATAAAAATATTTCAAAATATTCAATAAATAATCTGAAAAAAATTAAATGTGGAAAAACTTGCCCTACGATTTGATAAAACGTGTCAAATAATTGAACTAAAAAATGGAACACGAAATGTTAAAAAATGGACAATGAAAGGATGATGATCCAGTTCACGTCAAAATTTGCACGTATTTACTCCAAATTTTTCAAAATAAAAATGTATATTTTCTTGTGAAAAAATAAAAATTGGAAATGATTTTCTAAATAGAGAGATTGTTTGTTTTGTCTGACATACATATTATGTAAAACTGCAAATTTTATTTATTTTTTTTTATCAAAGCTAAAGATAAATCAGAGTATTTTTCCCTTTGAAATCACATTTTAGAGTCATGACATGAAATATGAAGAAAAATGAAAAAGTGTGGCCGTTTCGTGAATAAGAACTTTTGAAAAATGTATTTGTTTTCCATTATGAATCACCCCATTCAAAAATTATAGATTTTTCACTCAACTCAAACAACTCCTTTCGCTGAAAAAGCATTGAAATTCGAAATAACTTTTCCGTTTTGAATACAATAGGAATAAATAAATAGAACTTTAACAACATTGTTCAGCACTCAGAGTATTAAAATTTTTCCCTTTAAAAAACGCAAAAAATAAATTCTCTCCTAAAACCGCAAACACCTCCACACTAACACCTTGACGCAACCGTGCACACTGGCGACTTGCGAAGTGCAGCAAATTCGCTCTGTTGTACACTCATTTCAATTTTCTTTTTTTTTCATTGGGAACACGGAAATCGGGATTTTGGGGACCCGGATTGAGTTTTTCTAATGGGGCTATTCAGATTAATTTCTCAACCAAAAAACAGGAGGAGAAATGAGGAGAAACTCTATTCAGATTGCGGGAAAAAAGGAGGAGAAACTGAGTTTCTCAACCTACTTAAAATTAACTTTTTAAGAACATAAAATGATAAATTCATATATGAAACTGTTGGGAATTGTGCAATTCATTCGAATTTCAAGTTTTTACTGATTTTAAACCAAGTTTTGGTCGTTTTGACAACTGAAAACCGATATGCTCAATCGAAAACCAAAAAATACACGGAAAAATACACAATTGAAGCGATTTGAAGCACAAATCACCTCAAAATCACTAATTTATCAATAAAACCTAATAGTTATTCTTTTAATTTCATGTTTTATTCTGAAAAATCAAAGTTTAGGTAGGTTGTGAAATTGAGTTTCTCCTCTTTTTTTGTGTTTTCTGAATAGAGTTTCTCCTCCTTTCTCCTCCTGTTTTTTGGTTGAGAAACTAATCTGAATAGCCCCATAACCTAAACAGTTATTACTTGGCTAAGGATTTTCAAATTCATATATCCTAGACCCGCAAATGTGAATAGTGTAGATCACGCGGGATTTTAACAATTTTGCGTTTTATATCGATTCGCACACGAACATTTCAAAAAAAAAAACATTTTTGAAATGCATTTTTTTATTTTGTCGAAAAAAAAAAGTGTGCACGTTATTATTTTAAGAATAAATATTCGAAAAATCACGCTAGATCTCTTTTTTTTTCAGGTTGGACGCTCATTTCTTGAAATATTTTATTTTGTATTCGGCCTGTTTTCAATGAAAGCTCTCAATTAAACGTAAGAGGGAGTTTATATTTCTTTCTATGACCAAGATAAATTCCAGATTGCTTGAGAATTCGGAATTGAGTGAGCCGATGTTGGTTTCCAATTTCAATAATGAAAACAAAATGAATTTGAGGATTTACAACTGAAACTCATGTCAGGTCAGTTTAATGGGTTTTGAGTTTGGTTTTGGGTGAAAGAACACGGTGATTTGTGTTAAATTATATCAGGTAAGTTTGGGGAATAGTTATATAATGTATAATTTGAGACGAGATATGCACTCTCAGTTGCTCACAAGCCAGGACTTGTGGAAAAAAGAGGAAAATCCCTTAAAATTTTATTTATTTTTTCATTTTTTTCTATTATTTTTATATTTTTTTTTGTTTTCTAGCTCTTCAACTTATATCGGACAAAGATTATTCTATTGGTTATCATCATTTTTTGATAATCAAATTAAAAAGTTTGTATTTTTTCTATTATTCAAATATACTTCAAAATTTTGCGAAGCCTACTGTGGTCTTGGTTTTCTAGGGCATTTCGGTACTCTTCCAAAGTTCCTGTTTTTCGGATTGACAATATCTGATCAGAAAAAGAATTGAAAATTTGGAAATCAGAAAAGGATATCGGAAAAAATATTAGAAATGAGAAATCTTCCCTATTCATAGGGCCCTATAAAAAAACTAAAAATAAATTCTCTTCTAAAACCGCAAACACCTCCACAGTAACACCATGACGCAACCGTGCACACTGGCGACTTGCCAAGTGCACAAACTCACTCATTTTATCTGATTTTCTTTTTTTCCTTGGGAACCCGGAAATTGGGATTTTGGGGACCCGAATTAAGTTTTTCTAACCTAGTAAATTAAGTAAGACTAAGTAAATTAATCAGATTCCAAGGGACACACTTAATAACACTTTCTGCGCAGAGCTCCCTAGGTAGTTTAGCCAAGTTTAATAACTTTCGTGAGGGAAAATTGAAAAAAAAAACACAAAGAACTTCCTTTGAAGTACACAACACTGTCACAGTAAGTATTCGTATAATAATTGTTGTGTGGCTTCAAAAAACCGTATTTTTTTTAACTATCAAAAGCTACAGTACTCCTGATTTTTGAATGTTGAATTATTGCTAAATCAGAACCAGAATTATAGAAAAGTTTGAAAATTCAAATTTCCTCCATCCTGGATACAATATTTGGTAACCATGGCAACACACGCGTAAAAATATTTTATTTGTACCCTTTGAAAGTTTTAATTCTCTAAAAAATGAACGAAAGTATGAAAGCAAAATGGACAGCTCCTGTTATGATAAACAATTGCGAGATTCATTGTCCAATAACTTGTGTAACTTTGGGAGATATCAGCCTGGATAATGATGTGAAATTGATTGTTGCAACTGGAGGACATCGAGGTCTTAATATGAAATTGAAAGTCTTCAAAGGAGTTTCGCCACATTCAGAAAGTTCATTGGCTGATGTTCCAACTGCTATTGTTCATTTTGTTAATGACTTTGTGAGTTTGAAAAAAATAATGAGCTCAGAATAATTAATTTTCAGTCTTCAATGCCTTCAATTGCAGTTGCTTCGGGACCTGCGTTGTTAATTTATAAAAACTTGAAACCATATTATAAGGTTCGAAAGAAATGAATTATTTTCAAATTTCCCAATTAATGGATTTTTTTCAGTTCACAGTTCCAACGTCTCCAATAAATCCAGTTGAAGCGCAAGCTTGGACAGCTGCTCAGAGCGATAAGATCAGTATTGAAGAATTATATACGGTTCTCAATAATTTGTCAAGTCAAATTTCAATCTCAAATTTGTCACCATTATCTCAAACACTTTTATTGACACCAGAAAAAGATAGAAATGCAGTTGTTGAAAGATATTTACACAAACAAATGTCAAATTCGGTGAGAAAGTAGGGATTACTGTAGACTCTAATTTTCTCCGAATTTTAGGCAACCATAACTTGTGTTTCGAAAATGGTCAGATCATCAGCTGATAAAATCGATGTATTTCTAATTGGAACTGAACATTCAATGGTTTATCTTGTTGATAGTCAAGCATATCAAATAATTGGATGTTGTTCAGTTCCATCTCCACCTGTCACAATTTGTCCATATGGTAATTATGATGTGGATTTTCGACTTATTGTTTTGACACGTGATTCATGTGTTTATTCAATTAAAAGAGATCAAACTGAAGCAACAAAACCAATAATAAATTCGGCGAGTATGATAACTTCAATAATTCGAATCAATAAAATGGTTGTATATACAACAGCGGATAATACAATCAGTTTTAATACCTTAAAAGGTAAAAAAATCAATACAATTAAATGCGAACAAAAAGTGAAGATGTTGGAAGTTTTTGAATACACACAAAAACAATATACTGCAGTTTTAGCAATGTTCGAAAAAGAGGTATGTCTCAAAAAATCAAAATAAATCAGAAGAGAATTTCAATTTTCAGGTTCATATGTATAATGAGAGTTATCTTCTTGATGTTTTGAAATTTGATCGACAATTAGCTTGGATAAAATATGGTGGATATGGAAGAGAAGAAGGTGCACTTATAATATGTTTCAAAGATGGATCTGTAAATGTTCGAATGTGGAGAAGATTAGCAACTTTTGATGAAAAAATGGATTTCAATCCTCGACCACCTGCACATTCAATTAAATTGGCAATTCCAAAGAAAACTAAAATATTCATTGATTCAACAGTTCGAGAAAAAGACAATGCTGCTAAAATTCATTCAGCTTATTATAAAGATCTTCTACTTCTTCGATGTCGAATTGCTGAAGTGTTTTCTGAATTGACACAAAGTGCATCTACAGTAGTATCAACTGATTCATCACTTCCAATGGAATTATCAGCTGATGTGGATTTTCGACTTATTGTTTTGACACGTGATTCATGTGTTTATTCAATTAAAAGAGATCAAACTGAAGCAACAAAACCAATAATAAATTCGGCGAGTATGATCCAACTCTCAATGAATTCGAATCAATAAACTTATTCCAGTTGTATATATTGCACCTGGACACAAATACAATCAGTTTTAATACCTTTATTAAAAGGTAAAAATCAATACAATTAAATGCGAACAAAAAGTGAAGATGTTGGAAGTTTTTGAATACACACAAAAACAATATACTGCAACAACAGCAATGTTCGAAAAAGAGGTATGTCTCAATGAGTCAGAATTCCCAATTGATTAATTTGAATTTTTGGCTTTAAGACATATGTATAATTTCTGTGAGAGTTATCTTCTTGATGTTTTGAAATTTGATCGACAATTAGCTTGGATAAAATATGGTGGATATGGAAGAGAAGAAGGTGCACTTATAATATGTTTCAACAGACTAGGATCTGTAAATGTTCGAATGTGGAGAAGTCTTCTCATTTAGCACTTTTTTCTGAAAAAATGGATTTCAATCCTCGACCACCTGCACATTCAATTCACAATTGGCAATTCCAAAGAAAACTAAAATATTCATTGATTCAACAGTTCGAGAAATCAGACAATGCTGCTAAAATTGCCATGGATGACGTCAGCTTATTATAAAGATCTTCTACTTCTTCGATGTCGAATTGCTGAAGTGTTTTCTGAATTGACACAAAGTGCATCTACAGTAGTATCAACTGATTCATCACTTCCAATGGAATTATCAGCTGATGTTCATGGATTTGGTCCAACATTTCGAATTACAATTAATATTGTTTCATCAGCAAAATCAAATGTTTTCAATCTTTATATTTCTTCGATTTGTGATCCAACTCTTTATGAATTCGAAAATCCACTTATTCGGGCAGTTTCATTTATTGCACCTGGACACAAATACACTTTCACAACTTTATTAACATGTAAAGATCCAGAAAAAGCAACAAAAGAGGAAATTCGAATTTTATTAGGGCAAGAAAATGGTAAAATAATTGCAACAACAGCAATTAATATGCCAATGAGTGAATTCCCAATTGATTAATTTGAATTTTTGGCTTTAAGACATATTAAAATTTCTGTGATAAATAAATTATTTTTTTGTACATTTTGATTCCAAATCTGTAACTTTTGTTGTTGGCAAAATCGTGGCACAACTCATAAAAATCAGAGAACGGTTTATTTCAGATTTTCACAATTCAACAGACTAGGGGCTGTTAGCCCAGGCGTAACAGTCTTCTCATTTATTTCCGTTTCACTTTTTTCTGTGATTATTGTCCACAGAACATTGACTCACAATCAAATTTATAGAAAATTTCAAATTTTTTTGTCAAAAAATGATTCGTGGCAAAATCAGGAAGGCTTCCTAATTTTGCCATGGATGACGTCATCGATAAATTTTTCGAAAAAAAACTTCTTCAATCTTTTTTTCGTTCTGTAACTTTTTTTTTGAAAAATCTCGGGCCGATTTTTCTTGAAAAAACTCGGGCCGATTTTTTTTTACATTTTTGGATTATTCCAAATCTGTAATTTTTTTTTTTAGAAAAAACTCTGGCCGATTTTTTTTGAAAAAACTTGGGCCGATTTTTTTTTTGAAAAAACTCGGGCCGATTTTTTTTTTACATTTTTGGATTATTCCAAATCTGTAACTTTTTTTTGAAAAACTCGGGCCGATTTTTTTGAAAAAACTTGGGCCGATTTTTTTTTGAAAAAACTCGGGCCGATTTTTTTTTTACATTTTTGGATTATTCCAAATCTGTAACTTTTTTTTTTGAGAAAAAACTTGGGCCGATTTTTTTGAAAAAACTTGGGCCGATTTTTTTACATTTTTGGATTATTCCAAATCTGTAACTTTTTTTTTTGAGAAAAAACTCGGGCCGATTTTTTTTGAAAAAACTCGGGCCGATTTTTTTTGAAAAAACTTGGGCCGATTTTTTTTACATTTTTGGATTATTCCAAATCTGTAACTTTTTTTTTGAGAAAAAACTTGGGCCGATTTTTTTTGAAAAAACTTGTGCCGATTTTTTTTTACATTTTTGGATTATTCCAAATCTGTAACTTTTTTTTTGAGAAAAAACTCGGGCCGATTTTTTTTTGAAAAACTCGGGCCGATTTTTTGAAAAAACTCGGGCCGATTTTTTTTGAAAAAACTTGGGCCGATTTTTTTTACATTTTTGGATTATTCCAAATCTGTAACTTTTTTTTTTGAAAAAACTCGGGCCGATTTTTTTACATTTTTGGATTATTCCAAATCTGTAACATTTTTTTTGAAAATGACTCGTGGCCGATTTTTTTTTTACATTTTTGGATTATTCCAAATCTGTAACTTTTTTTTGAAAAAACTTGTGCCGATTTTTTTTACATTTTTGGATTATTCCAAATCTGTAACTTTTTTTTGAGAAAAAACTTGGGCCGATTTTTTTGAAAAACTTGTGCCGATTTTTTTTTACATTTTTGGATTATTCCAAATCTGTAACTTTTTTTGAGAAAAAACTCGGGCCGATTTTTTTTTGAAAAAACTTGTGCCGATTTTTTTTTACATTTTTGGATTATTCCAAATCTGTAACTTTTTTTTTTGAGAAAAAACTTGGGCCGATTTTTTTTGAAAAAACTTGTGCCGATTTTTTTTTACATTTTTGGATTATTCCAAATCTGTAACTTTTTTTTTTGAGAAAAAACTCGGGCCGATTTTTTTTGAAAAAACTCGGGCCGATTTTTTTTGAAAAAACTTGGGCCGATTTTTTTTACATTTTTGGATTATTCCAAATCTGTAACTTTTTTTTGAAAAAACTCGGGCCGATTTTTTTTTTACATTTTTGGATTATTCCAAATCTGTAACATTTTTTTTGAAAAAACTCGGGCCGATTTTTTTTTTTACATTTTTGGATTATTCCAAATCTGTAACTTTTTTTTTTGAAAAATCTCGGGCCGATTTTTTTGAAAAAACTCGGGCCGATTTTTTTTGAAAAATCATTTTAGCATTTTTTGTGAAAAAACAAAAAATGTTTTTGGGGTCGCACAAATACACAAACATACGCTGTCTGGCGTTCTCTGTTACGCGTTTCTACCTCTCATTTTCTCTGATTCTCTCTCGTCGTCTCCTCTCGACCCAACACTCTCTCGTTCATTTTTTCAATTCGTTTTTTTTTCGTGAAATCAGGAAATTTCACTATTTTCACTGAGAACATTATATTTAAAAAGATAGAGAAAGACAAGGCAAAGGAAGAAAAATGAAATAGGGATTGGTAACATTAGAAGTTATTTCATGAGTTTTTCCCAAAACGAGAAAAATGTTGTACTATTTTTGTCAGTCTAGAGTGACCGTAATAAAACTTCATCTTAAAATCTCATAACATCACTATTCTTCTCATTTTCTGTTTGTTTTTCAGTTTCATCTTTTTTTGTCTCTATTTCCTTTTCTTCTTCTTCAGAACTTCCAAATTCAGCATCATAATCACTATCATCTTCATAAAATAATTTAACTCCATTAATTGTTTGCATATCCATTTCACATTTTATACAATCTCGAGTAAATGAAAAACAATCAATACAATAAAATGATCCGCAATGAATACATATTCTCACATTTCTGCAAATAAACTTTGGTGATGTGATAAAAAGTGGAATTCTAATAACTCACTCTTGATCAGTGATTCTGATATCATATTTTTCACATTTTACACAATCCGAACATAAATGTCCTCGGCTTTGAACTGATTGTCGAACAACAGCTTCTTCTCCTCCCAATCCACCAGATTTTAAAATTCCCATCATTTCCGCTAATAAACTTTTTCGATTTTGTAGAATTTTATTATAAAGGCTGAGAGCTCGAATTCGAACACGATTTGGGTAGAAATAATCAGCCAAGGCAAGAGTTTGGCGACCAAGATATGCCTTGAAAAATAATTGAATGGATTACTGTATTGGAATATGTAACTGTCATTTGATTTTCTTACAAAAGAAGAAAGTTCTGATGTGCAAACTCTCGATTTTTGAGAAAAAATCGGAATAGAATCCTGAAAATCGCATCAGTTTTTGAACACATCCATATTTTAGTGTATCAGAAATAAACTACGGAATATTTTCTGTTAGGTTTTCGGTTGTTAGAAACTAACCTTTAATCGACATAAAAACATTGTCAAACAAAACATGAGAAACATAACAAAAGTTTCAAAATAATTTGGTGGATCCGGATGTTTAAAACATTGTTTCCATCGATTTTCTCTATCTTGAATTCTTCCAGTAAAAGGAGAAAACACATCAATCATTTCATTCAACATTTCAGCCATATATCCATTTCCAGATACTTTCAATTCATAATGTGCTGGATTATCAACAGTTGTCATATTCATTAAAAGATGTACAGCTGATAAAATCTGCAATTTTTGAAATAATTTTATGAGAAAAGAATTGTGGAACTGAAAAAAAACAAGCAAACCTTATAGATTCCGAAATCGATTATACATAGAAATAATGGTGCAAAACAAGTTATAATTGTTATGAAAATATCTAATCGATAAATTGGTTTCTCTTTTTCAGTCATTTTCCAAGATTTTCTATGAATATAAATGTTTGCTTCATCAGTTGTTAAAGGCAAACATCTTCGAACATTTCGAAAAACACAATCTCGATCGATTTTCATAAATTCAGCAGTCAAGAATGTGTTTCTAAATGTATCTGTGTAATTAAAACCATAGATGAAATAAAGAGCCTGAAATATTTTAGGATGTTTTTTTTTCAAAATTGATAACGTTGACTCACATAAATGAATGGATAAATCAATAGCATTGGCATAACTGCATATCTCAAAAGATACGAAATAATATTTATAATTTGAACATAAAAGTTGACAATTTTCATAAGATTTCTCTGAATACTTTTTCGAATATTAGCAGTTGAATCTTGTGATGTATCAGTTTTTCTTCGATTTTTATTCGCATATGATATTTTCATATTTCTTGCTTTTTTCATTTCAATCAATACTGGTTTTATTTCCTGATATGCTAATTTTCCCATTCCAATATAGAAAAACAACAGTTTTTCCAAAAATATTTCGTATGATTTGAAGTACAATTTTGTGAAGAATATTGCAGCAGTTTTAGTTCCTTTTGCAGCAAATCGAGGAATTGAACATATTTGATCTGCATAATCTAATGCTGGTTGACAAAGATTCGAAGCAGATATAATTATATCACAATGCGCTGTATTAAAACCAAACCATCGAATTGCTTTTTTACATGAATAATATGAATTATCAAATTGATTGATACACATTGTATACGGTGTTTCAATCCAAGTTTTACATTGTGTTGACATTTCGACAACTGCTGCGAATGTTTGACGCATAAAATCTGTATATTTTGCTGTTTTTTGATCGAGCTGCAAATATTTTAAATCAACAAATAAATTTCCGAGTGAAAAGAAATATCAAAATCTTACAGTATACAACATTTTCTTTGCTGAATTCATTGGTTGAGCAATATTAACCATTAGAACTCTTAATTTCTCAACAAAAGCTTGTCCTTTATTCATAAGATTTCCTTCCAAATCATTTTTTGATCCCATAACATCAATTTGTACACAAGCAACACCAGATGCAACATGATGCATATTATGAATTATATTCATTGCTGGGCCTTCAAATGCCATTGCAACAATTAAAATCAATAAAATATTCTTGATTTTTGTAGCTAACATTATATGAACAGAAATCATAAAATATGACATAAGTTTTGGGAAAAATAATGTGAACATTAGAAAAACGTGGATAATTATAGATATTGTTGTGCCAATTCTGAAATAATATGAAATTAAGAGTTCAAATTTTGACCCCACAGAAAAATCATTTCTCATTTTTTATTCCACCATCGTCTGTGGTGCCTTATATTCGTAGGGTGCTTATAAAATAAATATAAAGTCTGAATTTTTTTGTCAAGAATCTTACACTTCTGGATACATAGAATATTTGAATGACATCAATAAATACATGACAAATCCAAATATTTCAATCATCAAAATATTTCGAATCAACACTCCAACATTATGTTCAGTTGTTCCATCTTCAAACATTCGATCATAAATTCCATTTTCTTTTTCTGATTTCCAAGGTGGATAGAGTTTTGAGAGTTTCAATTTCAATTTCTCATCAAATTTCAAAATTCGATTTTGACCTCCTCGATCTCTTAAAAAAATAAATAAATGAAAAGAGTAAATAAACAAGAATACCTTCTGATATTATTGACAATAAATTCGAAATTGCTGACTGATTTTTCTGCTTTTCGCTTTACTTTCCATAATTGATAAACACCCATTTTTTAAAAATGAATAATTTATTTCTAAATTTGACGTTTGATTTTTGGGACACGTTTCATTATTTTTCAATTTTGAATTTTTTAAAGTTTGATAGATAAATTAAATTATTTATTGGAGAAAAAAAAATAAGAAAGAGAATGAGGATTATTCTTGATGACTCCAATGAATTGTTAATCGGCGATTTATCCCGCAAGAGATAACACCGATGATTTCTATCAAAATGCGTCTTGTAATTTCAATGCATTTCAACTTATAATATCAATATTTTTGTAATCAACACATTGTATTATTATCACTCTCAAAAAAGGCCAAGCATAGATTCGATCTGGTCATGGCACAATTAATAGCACACAGATAGTTGAACACTCCTTGATAAATTTCTTGAAACCGTTTAGTCATATGTAAATATTTATATTTCACAAAAAATAAACGAAACATTTTTTTTCTCATTTTTTCCGCGTGTCAAAAAAAACTGTACAACTCTCTGATTTATGTCAGTTTGTTAGTACTTGTACATATTTACAGGAGCACAGAAAAAAAAGAAGAAAATAGAAGAAGCGTGCCCGGAAGTATTATTGGAAGGTGAACGGACATAAACAAATATAACAAAAAGTAAAAGAGAAAAGATAATGTGGACATAAACGAATCTCGCCTTTTTTGTTTCATTTTTCAAAACAAAAATGTCAACGAATAATAAAGTGAGTTCTATGTGATACTTTTTTATTTATTTTTTATACATTTATTTTTTAGAAAATGTGGCGAACCGCTGTTCCGATTTTGGAACTTGATACGAAAACCGATGGAAAACCGAAAATGTAGGTTTTTTCAAATATTTTTGGGGGATCTCTAATTTTTGGAAACGTAAAAAAAACAAGGCACCGAGGAAACGTTTACTGAAACTTTGCCAGTTAAATTAACTACTGATAGAAAATTATTCGAAAAATAGCAGTTCGTCATATAGTTATGACGTGGCAAAGTTTACCACTGATAATTTTTATTGTTGAAATTTCAGGGGTTGGACATCACAATCTCCATCCATCATGAAAGATCAGAGATCAAAATTGTTTCCAAAAATTTATAAAATTCTCAGAGATTCGCTGGCCAGCTGGTCACTAGGTGGGGTCGACTGCCCATCTGAAATTGACACGGACAACCACATCGCCCGTATTTTTTGCCAGACGACCTGGTCGCGAGGTGGTTCAGTTCATGCAGACCACCTCGCCCAGGTTGTCCAGCTCGACCCGATCTCGCGTCCAGATCGTCTCGCTTAAGAGAAAAAGGTCTAAAAAACTTGTGAATCCGAGCATTCTAGAAGAAATTGGCTCATTTTCTGTTTTTTCGGAGTACTAGAAACCTTAGGAAGTGAAAAAAACAGTAAAAAATGCACTATTTTGAGTACAAACCACCGTCTTGCTAGCTTTCCAGGATTTCAAACACACAGACCACGTGGCCGGAAAACTCAAGGCGACCTGGTGGCCGAATCAAATTCAGCTCGTTTTGAACTTTCCGGCCACCTGGTCCTGATTTAGTGGCGAGCTGGCCAGCGAATCTCTGAGTTTGCAAATTCAGTGAAATTTGAATTCAAAAATATTGCTTCAGAAATTTATCAGTGTCCAGAAAATCACATTGTTAAAAACATTTTTTCTTGAAAAATTTGAAAAAATTTCAACCCAGAGTCATCTTCGAAACTTTTGAATAGATTATAATTCTAAATACTGAAAATAAAATTTTTGATCTAACGTGAAAATATTTTAATCCGCTCGCAATTGTCTATTTTTTATCTCCATAGTAACTTCTTTTCAATATTTATTCCTCTTTTTTTGCAGTTCTGACATTCATTATTCGACAACAACAAAAAAATCGAATTCAAAAATGTATCTCGAGATTATTCGCCAAAAATTGAGGTGAGTAGATTATTTTTGGGGGACCATAAAATAACATAAAATAAAAGAACGCTGGTTGCTATTGGAGTCTCGAATTTCATCACTCAACTTTTCACTTGTTATTTTATTTTTGGAAACAAAGTGACACTTTGTTGATATTTTGCATATTTGTTCAGATTATGAATATGAATGAAGAAATGAGTAAACACTTGACCATGACATGATTTTTGAAAAAAAATAAATACAACAAACAGGTGTGGTTTTTAACTAAAGTCATCCAAAATTTACTCAAAACTTTTTTTCTCATTTTTTTGGGAGAAATGATTTATTCGATTTCCAAAACCAGTTTTTTGTGTTTCTCACTTTCTGCGTCTCTTCAACAAATCTTGTTTTTTTCTTCAAATCTACCAATTTCGGACATTTTTTCATTTATTTCGAAATCCTATTTATTTTTCAATATTTTGTAGTTTTAAAGTAGTATTTTTTGAAAGCTCATAAATAAACAAGTGTTTACCAAAGTCATTAACACATTTTGTTATTAGTTGAAATTCGAAAAAAAAACAATAAAAACTGGAAATTATTTGCCTCTTGCTTGCAAAGAACACATTTGTATTCGTATTCGCTCATAATATTTTATAGATTTTTTATATATTCCTTTTTCCTTTTTTCGTATACAAAATAAATAAATACAAATGTTAATTTTTATTGATTCACACATTTTCTTCCTACCAGAATGAGTATAATTTTTCTAACTTGAGAAAACAACCAACTTTTTTCAGCAATTTGATGAAGAAAAATGTGGACGAAAAACCGTTCAGTGATATTTCGATTGATGAAAGTTGTTCGATAGAAGGTGTTAATCCGGGATTTGTTGATTCAACTCCTTCGAGCAGTCGAGAAACATTGAATGAAATTAAAAGTAAGTTGGAAAAAAATGTATTGAAACGTGAATTAAATGTTGATGGAGGCTGTCATTTTCTAAAAAAAAAACGTTTTGAACTCAAATGAGTTTTGATCAAGGTCCTAAAAAATGTTGCCAAATTTCTGATATATTTTTCCCAATGTTTTATTTTCGAGAAAAACCATGGTAAAATTATTTCATTATGTTTAACATCATTTGAAAATGATCCGAGGAAATTTGACCATGTTTAAAACCACATTGCTCCAAATCACCCTAAAAATCCAAAATTTTGGAACAATTCTTTTTTCCTCCAAAACTTCATTCATTTCATATTTTCTTATTTTCAGAACCTTCTCCTCCTCTATCTTCCAATCCACGTGTTCCTTCAAATAATAAACCTTTACCGATCGATTTTCATCCTCATCCACCATTTTCTTGTCTTCCAGTTTATATTTTCATAATAATTTGTCTTTGTTGTATTTTAATCGCTGCTGTCATTCATACCGTAATCGCTGTGAAACCCGAATTTCTATATTCTGATGGAAATCAAACATCATCCGAACAAAATTACACTACAGTAACCCTGGCGCCCCAATAACTTTCACGTTATATTTTGTTCCTTTTTTATTTGATTAGAAAATGACATTTACTTTTTTTTGTGCCATACTTTACCGGTGATAAATGGGATAGAATAAAAAAATTATTTATACATATATGAAATTAGAAAAAAGAACCCGTAAAAATACAACTGGATAATTAAAGAAAAATACAAAAACTATTGAGAAAATAAAAGAAATAAAATTAAAAATTAAAAACTTTCTGCAATTGTGTTGAGATGTTGCTCAATTTGATCATAATACATATAAATTGAAAATGCAATCAGAATTATGACAATTGTTATGATAAGAAGAGTGATGATCAGAACTCTGGAAAAATATATTTGATTAGGTTATAAATGTAAAAATGTGCAATTTTTGAACGTTGAGAGTTCACAGAGGAGTGGCTCGAGCATAGTATTGTCCAGAGAGCTTATTATGCTTCTTCAACTATGATGTGAAATCAGAACTTAACCCCCTCCCCCGGTCTGCAAAAATCTTTCAGTTATCTTGAAAATGTTGCCACCTTTGTGGACATTGTTCTAAGTTGCAAAAAAAAACATTTTAATTGATTTTATCCCGGAAAAATGAAATGGGTCAAGATTTACATGAATCGGTCACTCGATAATTATTCATTTCATTTCCAAACAAAAAACTTGTTCTTCTTATGTTTTCTATAAATTAACAAATACGTCATTGCGTAATTAACGCAATCAATTTGAATCCTTGTTTGATTTGTACGTGATCTTTTAGGTTTAATAAAATATCCGAAATTTATGAGATATTTCTAATATCCCAATGATCACCGAACAATATTTTCACTAGATGATATCATTTTTGTTAGCCAGAAAAATCGTAATATCCAAGTATTACGCAATAAAACTTTTTAATAGTGTGAAATATGATGAATTAGTTATTTTAAAGAAAAATTGAAGTGTACAACTTCTTGAAAATATTTTTCTTACCTTATTGAACATGAAGGAATACAAAAATAATAACAAGGAATATTTAGAGAACTTTCAGAATTTCTTATTTTATGATTATTATTATTATTATCGTTCTGAAATTCGGGATCAAAAACCGACCTATGAGATTGTTCTCTTTCGATTCTTTGCATTTCTTTATGCGGTAATGAAAGTGGCCGCATATCGTAACAAGAAAAATTGGAGGAAAATGAAGACGAATTAGGAGGAACCAGAGAAGAAATAGGCGGAGATTTTGAATTGATTTGATTATTAGAAATAATATTACTATTGTTGTTGTTGTTGTTTTTGCTTATATTGTTATTTGAAATAATATATCGGCGAGATGAAGCTGATGAAGAAACACTTGATGAACATGACGATGTTAGGGATGACGATGTTGATAGTTTTTCTTTTCCAGCCATTGTTTTCAATTTTGTTGAAAGCATTGCTTTCTGTTGGTTTTTCTCGGATACATTTGAAGAATTTGATGAAGTTGAAGATGTTCTGAAAAAAATATATCATGACCGAAGAACAAAAAAGTAGTTCGCTAATTGGATGAGACTAGATTCTACAAATTGTTTCATTGTGATTATTTTAGAATTTGTTAGAAAAATAATGGAAGCAGATAAAAAAGAAATTTGAATTTTGAAAAATGTTCTAAAATCCAGTTAGAAATTTTTGGAGTTTGTTTTTTTTACTTGGAAAATTTTACACGAGCAGAAAATTGTATTGTAAATTTTTTAAAGCTCCTCAAAAAGTTATCAATGAACCAAAAAACGAAATTTCAAGGCACGAATAACAAGGTCATGTCTGATTGATTACCCCAAATTTCCCATAGCTCGAAATAGGATAAGGATGGCGTTTTTGACTGAATAAGTTTTCTCATTTAACTATTCTTCGAAAGCTCAAAGATAGTCGAAATCCCATTTTGTGCTCAAATTCAGATAACTCAAAAATTCAAACATTACTATCTTTTCTATTTACAAAAAATTGTTAGTTACTTTTTTCATAAAAAATATATTTTTGGATTTGCTTCGGTTTAAATCACTTATCAGTACAACAAAGAAAGTGATTAATGAAATCAAGAAAATAAGTGTGACTGTTATTGTTTCTGAATGATCAACGCTTCAAAAAATTTCATCTCCCACTTTTGATTTTTTTCACTTTTCTTTGAAAAAACCCGGATAACCAATATAGTTTGTGTTTTGTATATCCTAGTATCATTCATTTCTTCATTCATAAATATTTTCAAGTGTTCGTTCATTAAAAGATATCTACTTGACTTATAGTAAATACTAGAATAACCGGTTTTCGAGATCATCGGAAATGAAAAAAACATTGAAAACTGAAACTTAAAGATCGTACCGATTAGTAGCAAAAAATTGAGAGCAATCAACTTCATCATAATTTGGAGGCGGTGGTGGAGGCAAAGATTTCAGAAATTCTGAAACTGATGGTCGTTTTAACTGCACCAATTCATCGATATTTTCGTAAAACTGTAAACAAAATATAATTTGGAAATTTAAAAAAAAAGTAGGATTTAATTACCGGATCAGATGGCGTTGGTGATGTTAAATCCGGCATTACTGAAAAAATTAATTAATTAGTTGATTGATGAATTATTAATCAAAAAGAGAACGAGAACAGTAAAGAAAATATCTACAAGTTAGTGAAAATATAAAATAAAATAAATAAATAAATATTTTTCCCGTTCAGAATGGTTACATAAATATTTGTATATTATTATTATTCTTATTATTATTATTATTATTATTATTGTGTGCTTGTCCGAAAAGTGTCCATCTTTTTCTTCTTCCACTTTCTTATTTGCCTTTTCTTTGCTGATAAAACTCTCCCAGTTTCCCATACTATTTTTCCTGTGTATTTTTAAATTTCTGTGTTTTTTGCGGCCAGTCGGCCATCGTGTCAAAGGCCTTTTATCCGTCGTTTTTCTTCAGGAGTGGCACAAAAGACAGGAAGAAGAGAAATAAGTTTTGGGAGAAAAAACAACAAGACATGCAAAACGCTGTGAACAAGCAGATTAAATCCTAAAAGGGAAGGTCTCAGTGAATGAGAATTTGCAGTAGGAGAATGAGACCATATTTTGAAATTCTTATTTCACAGTATTGTTTAGCAGTGATTATTATTAACTTCAAAAACTTTCTATTACGACTCCTGAACTTGAACAAGGGTGTAATGATCAAAATCTCACATTTCAAAAAATTCCAATTCTAACATTTCGAACAATGATTGCTGTGAAATCAGAATTCAAAAATATTGTTTCTTGAACTACAGTACTCGAAACGCCCGATTTTTAAAATTATGGCAAGTTTACTACTAAATTAGTTACAGAAAATGTTTAATCGGTGAATCTATTATGATTCCAATAACAAATTATAAATTTATAATTAATTTTTGAGAGTATTTTTTAGAAAACGGGAAAGTAAAGTTTTAAAAAGTCTTCAAGGTTTTTATTTGTCAACAAAAACTATTTTATTTTCTAACAAAAAAAACAACAAAAATTTTAGCTAATTTTGAATCGAGGTTATTTCGCCCTAATAAATGGTAAAATTTATGACTTTGATGATAAGTAAAAAGGGCAAATGATAAAGAAAAACATCCATAATTTTAACTTTAAAAAAAGCGAATGTGTTTTTGCTGGTAATTATTAGAATGAAATGAAATGAACTGGATTGGACAGGACGAGAGAAAAGACAACTACAATTAAATATAACAACACCGATTACTGTGAAGGAAAAAAAAGAGGAGAAAATGAAAATAGAGAAGAGATGGACCTATTCATGCGGATATATGTAGACCATGAAATATGATCTGAATTTGAAATAAAATCATATGAAAATTGGAAAATGACCGGAAACATATTTTTACCGGAATTTCTAAGAAAAGATGTCATGAACCTATAATTTTTTTTCAAATTCAGTCATTTGGAAAATAAGACCAGGCTTGGGAGCACACATTTTATTGTACAAAAAAAATTTTAAAAAAACTTTGATTTTTTACGCAAATTTTTGAAGTGAATTCAATCCGAAATAAATGGTTACTGTAGCCATAAATGAAATCTCGGATCAAAAAAATCTGAACGATTTCAATCAAAATCCAAGAAATGAATAATAAATCGGAAAATGAAAACGGAATGAATGAATGAATGTAAATGACAGAATTGATTCAATTCAATGTAATTTGTTTTTGATTCGGAAGTTGAACATTTACAAAATGAAAACGCTTGTTTTTTCATAAAAAATGAACAATTATGTATCCTCAACAAAGCGGTATTATATAATACCATTTTCACTTTTTACTACAGGAAAAAGCCGCCTATTATACTTCTAAACACTCCAATAATTTAGTTAATCGAATGGGAAAATATTATAATTTTGAAAAAAAAACCCACAAATGTCATGAAACAAGAAAAGTAAACATTTGTGACCTAAAAATTTTTTCAAACTAAAAAAAGGTTATAAGTAGTCATTTAAAATTCGATAGATACTTTTTTGCTGGGTAGATAGAATTGGTGCTCTTGAAAACGTGTGAATTGATCAAATAATAATAAATTTGAAGGAAAAATGAAAAGAGCGGCGAAAACGAGAAGAGAGATGATACTTGAGAATTCTCGCGCATTTCCGGACACAAAACTAACCATCGAAAACGAAAAAAATTACCGACAATTGGATAGGTTGAAAGACAGAAAATAAGAAAAAGAACTGAGAGAAGAGTAAGTAAATGTTTCGAGTTTGATTAACATCTAATTTTTAACAGGGGTTCACAGAAAGCATGAATTTATGACCAAATTGTCCTTCCAAAATTTAGGTTACTACCTTACAGTACTCTTTCAAAGCTATATTTTCAAATTCTCAGTTCACAAAAGTTGTTCAGAAATATCTAGTTGAAATCTTTTATTAAAATTTTTTAAAAGATATTTTTAACCCCTCCCCCAAAAAAATCTTCAGGAAATTTTTTAACTCCTGCCCGTATCCAATTCACCGGGCGCGCGAACCCTACGCCGGCGAACTTTATTGGATACGGGCACTGATTTAAAACATACAGTAGTCAAAACCAAGATCACAAAAAGTCGAAATAGCTTTCTCCGATATGTGAACTGTTTTGAAATATTACATCATTTGAATTTCATTTCTTCAAAAAAAAAATGTTCATCAGTTTTGAATCATATTTCACCTTGATGAATAATTTTCATAAAAAGTTTATAATTTACATAAAACAATTTCCTTCATTTTTCAGAAGCTTTTCATTTTCTAAAATTCCTAATACTTTAATTATTTCAGCTTCTGTAACAAAGGAAATGTATGATTTAAACTGGACTTAATGAAATGATTTCTATTACTTTCTAGCTTGTTGTTTCGTCTGTTTTTCTCAAACCTATTAATATAATTTCATGTGAATCCATCCGATTTCTTCCAATTATATTTCTCCAAACCGCAAACATAAACATGATTTTTATTCACTTGTAGATTTTATAGACTTCTATTTCGACGACTTTTTGTTATTTTTTTGTCCAGACCTCAAAAATCACCCCCAAAAATAACCAGTTGTAAAGAAAAAAAAGAATAGAAAAGTTTTCACGCTTCAATTTAAGAATTATGAAATACTTTAATGTTTTTAATTATTTGTCTTGTTGCATAATATTTTTCCATGATTTTTCTTGTTTTTTTTTGTCACAATCACGCTCATCTTTTTTCAAACAAAATATAACTTGTTCAAATTGTTCACATTCCATTAAACTTTTTGGTTTCTTTTTTTGGAAAAGAATTGGATACTCAATGATGTGACAAATTCGAACAAGTTTTAGATTCTAGATGACTTAGTGGTTTGATGAGATACTGTACTAGTATGTTTTCTGAATCACTGTCTCGAAGTTTTTCCATTTTAAAACCTTTTACAAATGAAAAATTGTATTGAAATGCTCAACGCCTTTTATCAGTGTAATAATTTTCTATTTTCCCACAGGCCTCCTTAGCTCAGTTGGTAGAGCGTGAGACTTTTAATCTTAAGGTCAGGGGTTCGAGTCCCCTAGGTGGCTTGACTTTTTGCCACTTTTTCCATTCATTGTCTGTCATGTGTCAAATGTTCTTCAAAAGAAGTGCAAACAAGGTGAAAGTTAGAAGATTTGCATTTTGATGAGTTAGTCATGTTGAACACTTTCTTTTCAAACGGATATCGGTTTAGAGTATTATTTGGAACCGATCCAAAATCAAATCATGAATCCGGTTTCTTTCTTCCCGTGTTAAAAATATTATTTGTTTACCATATTTGTACTACTACAGTAGCCTTCGGTTCAATGATTTTATGACTTTTGTTGTCCGCCCATTTTCCTCATATCCGTAATGTTTCTTTTTTTCGAAAAACCAAATTCTCGTCAATATTTCAGAAATGTTCAAAATAATAATATTAGGTTTCTTATTGACCGATTCTATATTCGGATGTTTACCGGGTGGAATTCTTGGATCAAGCTCAGGTTCTTGTGGTTGCTCAACTTGCCCTTGTCAATCAAATCAGCCAGCTGTATCGTATTCTTATAGTCAACCACAACAGGTTAAAAATATGACTAGAAGAAATATTATAACTAAAAAATTTAAGATATATTCTCAACCTGCTGTCGTTGCTGCAGCACCATCTTCATATCAAGGACAATATCCAATAAATCCTGCTTATGTCGGAAAAGCACCGCTAGGATTTTCAGTAAGAAATTAATAAAACCTAAACCAGCATATCAATTATATTTCTAGACCGACGAAAACATTCCAATAAATCCATACAAATACATTGAACATGTATCTGTATCACATTCCGATCCTCAAACTCCACTTCCAACTGAATCCGCAAATTTAGCTCAAATCGAAGTTTCCCCAAGTATTCCAGCTTCGGAAGATCAATATTTGGCGGAAACAGAAAAACGAAAATTAACAACATATTACAATCAGTTTTGTGTTGGAGAAGAAATAGCGACCGGAGAAAAAGAAACATTTGCATCGGCTGATGCTAAATGTCTACTCTTAGATTGTGTTGCAGCAAATGCAATTTCAGATGGTGAAGGAACTTATAAAGTAAGTTATTGAAAAATAAATCCTAGACCTATTTTTTCTCCACAACGTATTCCATTCTCTTTTTCAGGTTACATATCTCAGAACAGCCTCGAGTCGGACGAATAAAAAAGGAAATTACTGTTTATCCTCAAAAAAACTGCCAATTAAAAGTAAACGAGTAATTCGAAAATTTGATGATATGGTGAGTTTTTCAAATTTTGCAGAAAATTAAAACTCAAAAATATGTTATCAGATTGCTGCTGAAGAATCCAAAAGAGTTCGAAGTGTTCTCTTCAAACGAAGATTTGTTTAATTAAAAAATTTTCAATATGTATCGATATTTTTAAAATCATATTCATGCTCAATTAATAAAAGGTTTCAAAAAAACATGTAAAATATAAAATTCAAACTTAAAGTTTGAATGATAAAACAATATTTTGGAAAAAAACAGGAAGTTTGAAATGATAGTATTTTTTAAAACTCGAGTTGAATCTTGTACTTACAGAATATTTGATCAGCCAAACCGTCACTGTTTTCGATATTTGGAATAACAACCGTGTAATATTGTTCAAATGTTTTGATTGCTGCCTTTTTGCATTTTTCACTGATTGTCAATCTATGAACAACAAGACTAACAATCTTCAATCGTTCGGTTTCTTCCATTATTTCTTCATATTTGATGTAAACATTCTTCATGCATCGGAATACTGACTGAATTTGATTTTCCAACTCTTTCTGAAATTTCATTTTTGAATACAAACAAATATATATTAAAGAATAACAAACTTGTGGTTGTGGTTCATCGTCAGAGTACAACTCTTTTTTCCATTGTTCTTTTTGCTGTTCTGAGATTGGAACTCCAACAATTGGATTATATGTTGAAATATATTGAACTTCTGAAAAAACAATCACTTGATAAATTAGAATAATAAGTCAAGGAAAAAACCTCTTTCATTCTTCTTCAAATTTGCTGGTTTTTCGGTCTTCTTTTCCGAAATCGTCTTATTTTTTTCGATCGATTTTAGCTCAAACATATTGATAACTGTATCACCAGAATAATCTTTCTCACTTCCATTAACATTGTCGTATTCTTCTTTTTCCTCTTTCTCTTCATTTTCCGGAACATCATCTGGCTTTAGGTGGATTTTCCATTTTTTATTATTAACATACAAAATCCGAAAATTTTCATCTGTTGCTGCTTTTGTGATTATTGATTTTCCAATATCCCAGCTTTCATTATCTGATGTTTCGAGTTTTTCCGAATCGATTACTTCTACTTCTACTTTCTCTTTCTCTTCTTCCTCACAATATAATTCCGATGGATCTAATTCCGTGTCCAATGACAAATAATTCAAGATTCGATTCTGCAAATAAACTTATTTGCAAAAAAATTATGTTCAAAATAATTTCTATTCAGAAATTCTTGAATTAAAAAAAAATTAAAATAAGGTTTTGGATGTTATTGCAATATTGCAACATCCGATTAGAATTTTTAGATTTTTCTCAAACCTCTCGAAATTAAAATAGCTAAAACTAACAATGTTGAGTTCAGAAGACTTCGTGGCTTTACTGTTTTTCGAATTGACAATCTTCATCAAACGTTTAGCGAGTTGTTCTGCCATCTTTTTGTCATCTTTTGTCAATTCGTTGATTTTAACTGGTTCTGGCTCCTTTTCTGGTGTCTTGGCTTCCGCTTTTTTAGCCTCGTGGACTATTACCATAAATTCATCATCTAGGTTTTTAATTGGTTCCGGTAATGATTCAACATATTGTCTAACATTCTCCATAACTTCTTGTTCATACAAAATCTGTTTGACAATATGTTTTCCTTCATAGGCTGCTATGTTATCGTGGAATGTGTCCGGAGAACAAATACCGCAAAGTGTATTGCTGAAAAATTCAATATTTAAATAAAAAATATTTTTTGTAAAATTACTTGATGGTATTGTCATGATAACATAAACGACAATAATAGTGGTGGCAGGGTAAGAAAACCGGCACAAATCGCATATTACCTGAAATAATAATTATTTGAATTCTTCTGATCAAATTTCATCCAGTTTCTATTCTCAATTAGAGTGCAACTGAAATATTTGATTTTTCAGAAGTCACAAATTTTCATGTGTCAAAAATTATTTGCCTTGAATTCTGACAATCAAAAATTCAAACGTTCGAAACCTATGTGTGTTTTCAAATCCAAATTCATCCCCGTTTTAAAACTCACATATCCTTTTGCAAACCATACATTTTCCTCTTTGTATATCTCTGTTATACTGGTTCATCTAAAAAATGGGGCGGACTAATTTGAATAGAAAATACATAAATAACCGAATGAGGCTTACATAGACTCGTTGAATATCATTTTTTTTTAATTTCAAAATATTTTTTATCAATTAATAACAAAAAGTAATCTTCTAGAAAAAATCGTCCATAAGTTCTCTCAAGTCTTTTTGGTGATTCGAAATTGTATTCATTTCTTCTGGATCAGCATTATCTTCAAATTCAATAAGTTCTATGTCTTCGTTGAATTCGATTTCTTCAGAACTATCATCATCTTCGATTTCTTCAGTTATCTCTTCTTTTTCTTCACCACCATTCAAATCTTCTTCTCCTTCATCGAAATCTTCGCCCTCTTTTTCTTCTTCATCAGGAAATTCGATCTCGATATGTTCGGTAACATCGATTTTCTCTTCCGTCAGTGAATAATCATTAATAGGGTTTCTAACACTTTCCTTTATAAATTGGTCCAATAGATCTGCAATTATTTATTTTGTTCAATCTTTTTCTACATAACTTACGAGATTTCCGTTTTTCCAATCGCAAAGATAATTCGATTTGTACAGTTTTTTTCACAGGTGCATCAACATCAACAACATTATTATATCGCACAAGGTTTCTGAAATATGAAAACTCTATTTTTAACCAAAAATGCTTTTAATTTACAAGCGAACTGCCTTTTTTATAGAAAAATGTTCATTTTGAAATTCCAATTTCTGGTTTTCGAAAAGGATGTAATTTTTAAAATTTAACTCACTCGAAAGGTTGGTCCCAAAATTCGAAAAGAGTCGTGGTTTCGATGTCACGTTTGGCTTCAACAATTTCAGTTGGCAAAGCCGTTTTCAAATTTTGAAAACGTCCACTGATTTGATTGGAAGATCTAGAAACAAACGAAAATTGCTTGATTAAAAATTACAAATTTACTTTATTGCCACCAATCGCTCGATAAATGGATTAATTGGGAGCACAGCTCTTATTAAATTCTTATTTTTGATAATTTCGTACTGTCGATTACTCTGAAAAATGATAATTTGTTTCAATAAACGTATTCGTCACACCTCGGCCCATCCGATGAGGGACAGAGTACAATTTTGAAAAATAAATAGATTCGAGTATTTTAAAGGTAAAAGAACTGAAAATTTACAGTTTTTACACTGAAAAAGGTTAGGGTACAATTTTGATTTTCGGGAACTACAATTTTGGGCGACGTGTGGGATTAGTTGTTTAAGTACCATGTATTCTTGTAATAACTCTTCATTTGATTTTTCGTCTTCTTTTTCACTTTCAAATTCAGGTTCGTCGAAATTTTCTATACGCAAAGTATCAGAATCGTCGGCATAGGCGAATCTATTTGAGTTGAACAAATCGGCTTCTTGTTCCTTCATTTCTTCGAAATTCGCAAAACCTTCTTCTTCTACTCTTATTTTTCTCTCAGTTGGTGATGTCAAATCCACTTTTGGTTTTTTCTCAGTAGTTTTTTCAATAGACCTCTTTCGAAAACTCAAACGTTTTTTGCGTTTTACATTTTTATATTCGTCATCGGAATCTTCATATTCACTGCTGCTGCTGCTTGAGAGCACTTCGTTTTCTTCGATTTGCAAGTCCTTCATCTGTAAGTAATAATGAAATGTATTTATTTATTCACCTATACTCAGACAAGTTGGGCGATTAATCACTAAGCAACTTGAATTAGCTGCTGGCTGGGCGATTAATTGCCTGTATTAATTTTGTTCAGACGATTAATCGGTCAGCTCACTTTGCTCAGCGAATAATCGCCCAACTTGTCTGGGTAGGTAAAAACACTATTTAGACCTGCAGGAATGAATGCTCACAAAAAAAAAGAAAAAACTGTTGGCGTCTCACAACGCACCGGCGAACGACTCCGTAGTACTGTAACTATTTTTTGACGTGTGTCTTTCGTGTCTTTTCGCCGTTTTTCGCTCGCTGTCACACTGTACATTTTTTCACGAAAAAAGTGTAGTTTTCATTGATGTTCAGCCGATTTTGATGAAAATTTTCAAAATTTCACGCTGCACAAGAATTTTGGGACAGTCTCTCGCCAGATGTGGTCGCCTTAGTCGGTCCGTTTGTCTGAGTACAATTTTTCAAGATATTTTGAGAGTTAAAGTTGATTTTTTAGCAAAAACCAAAGTTTTCTAGCAAATTTCTTTGAGACTGATATTTTGAATGTTGTTCGTTTCTGTTCGCCATTCTCTGTATAACTATAAATGTTCCATTCAGAAAAACAAAATGGACTTTGCTTATAACGATGTTGACAGCTCTGAAGAACATGTCGGGGTTAGTTTCACACTGAAAACTTTGAATCGTAAATTGAAATTTCAGCCATTATTCGACTCCGAAAACTTTTTGGACATCGAAGAAAATCCTGATCTTTCCCTTCAGTTGCTCATAAATTGTGTATATGTTTGCACTTGTACAATTCTGCATGACCGAAAATTGATTCCAGAGAAAAGTTTCCGTTCTTTCAAAGTATATGGTATGTTGATAGATATAGAGAGAAAATAAACATGTGAAAAAATAATTAGATGATGTCAATGGATATTTGGTCGACGAATCGGATCGAAATGGACTGTTCGTTTCTCAAAAGTATGCTTTGGCAAGTCAAGAAATTTTCAAAAAGAAACTATCTGTAAGTTATTAAATATCATAGTGATTATATGTATATCATCTCCAACGATTTATTGTTTTTAGAAATTCGCGTTAGTCGTACAAACGGACGAATATTCTTCCCCAATTGAGGCATTTGTTTGGAGTTTTGATTATAACAATCCAGAAAGAACAACTGTTCGACTTGGTTTGAACGGGTCAGACAAAAATTATGTCGTTTTTTATCATAATGTTGTTTTAATTTTCAGATTAGAATCTACCAAGTTTTCTATAAATTACAAAAATATGCGAGATTCGTGTCGACAATTCTGTAAAATGTTTTGTAATCTTCGCGAAATCTTGGATGATTTAGCTCCACTTCCAGAACGTACTTTCCCATCATTCCGATTGGCACACTTCGGAGGTATTCAAACAAATTATTCAGTTTATTCCACATCTCGGCTAAAATCGTGTTTTCCAAAATAGAAAATTGTACGCTAACTTTTTACAGTATGAAAATGGTGAAAATTTCAGTTTTTGACCCCTAACAATTCTGAATTCGTCAGTTTTTGACCTCTAAAAACTGAAATTCAGATTTTTTTCAAAACTGTACTCTGGCCAGCCACGGATTGGGCGAGGTGTGGTTTATTCCTGCAAATCTATTGTTTTATTTTCAGATATAAGACATCTTGATGGATATGATAGTATCAATGAATTTGTGCATTTGGATCAGTTTCTAGTTGGAATGACAAGACTTCCAAGAGAACAGTGAGTAAATTTGGTTTTTCAAAAGGAATATAATTGTTCTTTGCAGTATGACAATGACATATGGTTCAACTTTTGCGAATGAACAACATATAGAGAAATCAACGATGACTATGGGAAATACAGAATTTTCCGAAATTCAATCAACATTTGAACAAACTAGACAGGAATCATTCGCAAACGAACAACGTTCAAATATTTCTGAAAAATCAACTGAAGACAGTTTGTTATCAGTTCCTCCAGAGAATATGTTTGATATTCAAAGATCTACTGTTGAATTGAGTAAGTTAACAAATATTTTTAGATTTTCAGCTTACATTCAAAAATAATTTTTCCAGTTCCAACTGAATGTGTGGACGATTGTTCAAATACTGATAATACGAGTCCTATTTCTGATGGATTTTCGACGTATTGTGAACCAGCTACGGAATATATTCAGGAATCTGTTGAAAGAACTGAAAAATCAGAAAATAAAAAAATGATTGTTGAAAAATCTCCAATAGAAGATGTCTATGAAATGCCAACACATGAAGATGATGTTTTCAAAAAGCCGAAAAGGGTGAGTTGAATTGTTTTTTTATGTTAGGCACAAGTTTACATGGCAAAAAGTTTCAGGCATCTCGACGTTTGACAGTTCCAAAAGAAGTTACTTTTGCCGAAAACGTTGTTTCGCCAATTAAAAAACAAACTCATGCAGTTACACACTATGGAAGAGTTCGAAGCCTGCTCAATATTGAAAAAGTTGAGAAACCTAGAATGTTTGGAAGAGTAAGATCATTGAAAGAACTTGATCAACCTAAAGAAAAATCGAAAAAACGACACGCGGCTACCGCCCCAATCTTGTAAATCTCAAAAATCCATTCTACTGAAGAGTCTATGTATCATGCACAATCTTGTAATAATTCCACAGTTTATTCTTTAAAAAAATTTAAAGCTTATCAACCGAATATATGAATTTTTATTATCATTTTTTGATGAATGGAGCCAAACCCGTTTTGGCCATTTTAATTTGATGTTCTTTCATATCCATTGCGCGCTTTACTTGTTCAGTCAAACAGCTTGTTGATGAGTTTGTTGTAGCTTGGAACAATTCGACAAGTTTCTGAAATAATTGCTATATGTTTATTCCAACGACTTTATTCACCATAGGATCAACATTTTGCTTGGCATTCGGACCCCAATCATATCTGAAAATTTCTTCGTCGTTTTCATTTCTCGATTTAGAGAATGATATCCATCCTGGAAAATATTAAGAATCAATATTATTTTGGGAATTCAATAAAATACCATTTTTGACAAAATGAGCTTTGTTGTTTGGTGCAATCAATTTTTTCAAATATCCCGATTCAACTTCGGTAATTTTGTCACCTGACGAACATACAATTTCCTGAAAAAAAATTCTCGGATTCTGAAAATGAAACGTGAGATACAAACCAAAAATTGCATCAAATCATCGGCTAAAACATCAGGATCTTTTGCATTTGGAGTTTTAGCAACAAAAAGATACATCAATGCAGCTTTGAGAATTCCGTTCAAACGATGATTCTAAAATGAACAATATTAAGTCTATTCAAATAATTCTTATAATAAATACCTCATTTGATATTTTTTGTTCATTTGGAGGCGGTTTCAACATGTTTACAAAACAGATTTTATCTTCATTGACCGAAAGTTTCCATTTCAAAAAATACCAGAATCGAACTTCAACATCCTTGATAATTTCTTTCAATGGACGAAAATATAATGAACCATCCTTTGATTTTTCAGTTGCATAAATCTTTCTCAAATCCGCCATTTTTACGAATCCTCTTTTTCCCAACTCTTGCAACAAGTATAAATATATTTCGGCGGTGAATCTCGAATCTTCTCTTGAACCTTGTGCTGGTTCATCGTCTCGATCACTCATCTTGTCCTGAAAATACGTAAAATCCCAACGATGTAACCCAGACACAGAAAAATCTACTACTGCAACAAAAAAAAACAAAAAAAGAGGCGGAGCTTAAATTTTCAAATTTCTCTGCAGTGTTTGCGTACAATACACACAATATTGCATAATGTTGCAGAATCTGGACAGCGCTGTCATTTTTTTTTCTTTCTTTTTTGGGGCTACTTTGGGTATTTTAGTGCAGATCAGATCTTTGAGGAAAGCGCAATTACCGTAACCATTTTCTTCTTAAATTCTTCTAGGTTATTGACAACCTCTCAAATCCATTATGAACGATAGAAAACTCCCACTAAATTTATTAAATAGGACATTTATTTTGGTACATTCTACTTGCAGGAAATTCATTTAGAAGATCAGTTTTTCATATTTTTCAAAATTATTTTGGATTTCCTCTCTGCAAAACATTATAAACTACTAAACATTTTCTTGAATCACAAGAAACTTGTTTGCGCAACAAGGAACTGATTGTTCATTTCCGATTAATGTGAAAGTTGTAAACTATTCTGTTTGGTTTGTTGATAGAACATCCTATTTTGGAAAATCTGCACAAATAAATTTAATATACTCCGCCCTCCCCACACAATTCATAAATGTTTTTGCGGTGGCGGACGGTCAATCCGTATATTTGTTCAAACAATCGATTTCGTGACAGCTAAAGACTTTTACATTTGTGTTTTTGTTCTGTTTTGTTTCAGGACACTCTTAAAAGATATTTGATGTTTTGTTTGATATAAAATCATAAGAACAAAACTTGCAATTTGCTTGTTAATGTATTATCACTCATAGATAGTTATAATTTGTGAGAACAAAATCTTTCTCTTTTTCAATTTTCGCAACATTTTTTTTTTACATTTTATCAAAATGAAAAAGCATTAACATAGTAAAAAATAGTCAGCTGAGAGAGTAGCTATAAAGAGAGAAAAAGGGCGTATTATTACCAGAAACAAAAATGATGCAATGCGTGTTCAACTTTTCGTCAGTTCTTTTTTCTGTATTTCATTTCAAAATTTATGACGAGTGTTTTTCGGTTCGTGGGAATTTATTTCATTTTTGATTTTGTCACGTATTCAATAAATTGATAAGAAAGATCTTTTTTTTCTTGACTTTTATGATTTTGTTGCGAATATAATTATCGATTTTTAATGTTAATTATTTTTGAGTATTTCAATCCAAAAAAAGTACACAGATATTACATCAGACACTTATTTATTGTTATGTTTTCAAAAGAACGTTCATTGCGAAATGTTTTTCTTCTCTTGTTTCCTCGTTTCATCCCATTCAGGCTTTGTCAGTTTTTTCTTTATCATTTAGTGATAATAATATCCAAATCATGATTATCTTATTGATCGAACTTTACAAAAATGAATTAAAACTTGAGAAATTGTCACGTGTATTGAAGAAATTGAAATTTTCCTCTTATCATCTCGCTTTTTTTTGTTTAATTGAAAAATTTCTATACTATCTTTTTTTCTGCATCCGTTTTTTGTCTGAGGTAATCTCTTCTCATCTTTGAATCATCAGAAAAACAGTTGCTCTTTTCAATTTTTTCATGATTCCAGTCATTTTTCGCACAAATTCATTTTTGCTGCTGAAGTTTGCAAGATCGCTGGTTCGAGGAAACGAAATATCCTTCGAAGTTTCAAGGAAATTCAATTCGAGAACAATGACTACAAGTTTGGAACCAGTTGCTGTTAAAAGAATTCAAAAAGCATGGGATGTTCCAGTAAACAGTCAACCTGCTCCACAATTATCTATTTATAACAGTTTGACTCGTCAAAAAGAACCATTTGTACCAAATGAAGGAAAACGTGTAAGATGGTATATTTGCGGTCCAACAGTTTATGATTCTTCGCATATGGGACATGCAAGATCTTATTTATCACTTGATATTCTTCGAAGAGTTTTCACTGATTATTTCGGTTATGATGTCGAATTCATTATGAATATTACTGATGTCGATGACAAAATTATCAAAAGAGCAAGACAGCGACATTTGTTGAAATCGTATTTTGATGAATCCGAAGCTCCACCAGTCAAAAAAGTCATTGAAGATGTTTTGGCTGCGTTGGAACATTTTCAAAAGAAATACAACGAAGAAGTTGATCCAGATAAGAAAAAAATGTTCGAAGTTATGGTAAGTCATAAGAGAGTTTATGAAAAACATGTAATATTCATTTGTTGCTTTAGATTCGAAAAGTTCAAGATTCTTCTTCTGCTCTTGAACAAGCAATGATTGCAAAAGATGCAACTGCAATCGAATCATCAAAAGGTAGACTTTTAAATGAAGCAAGAGATGTATTATCAGAATGGTTGGATGGGAAATTTGGAAAAGATGTTAGAGATCACAGTGTTTTTGATCAATTAGCAAAAACGTAAGACTTCTAGAGTTTTTTAAAATTGTTATAAATTCTTCTTTTTATAGATATGAAAATGAATTTTTTGCGGACATGGCTCGATTGCATGTTTTGCCAGTTGATGTATTAACTCGAGTTAGTGAATATGTTCCAGAAGTTATCAAATATGTTGAAAGAATCATATCAAATGGTTATGCATATTCAGCAGATGACGGAAGTGTTTATTTTGATACAAAAGCATTTGAAGCAAATCCAAAACATTATTATGCAAAACTTGTTCCGGAAGCATATGGAGGAGATAATGATGCATTGATGAAAAATATGAGAGAAGGTGAAGGAGAATTGAGTATGTCTGATGAAAGATTGAAAGCTAAAAGAAGTCCAAATGATTTTGCATTATGGAAATCTTCAAAAGATGGAGAACCATTCTGGGATAGTCCATGGGGAAAAGGAAGACCTGGATGGCATATTGAATGCTCTGTTATGTCATCGGCCATTTGTGGTTCAAAATTAGATATTCATGCTGGTGGTTTTGATCTCAAGTTTCCTCATCATGATAATGAAATTGCACAGGTCAGTTATCAATTAAATTCAACGATTTTTCGAGTTTCTGAAAGATTTTGAAATTATTTATTTCTTGTTGTTCAAGAACGAAAAATTATATTTATTTTTTTAGGTTGAAGCGCATTATGACGAACCACATTGGGTCAACTATTTCCTTCATTGTGGAACATTGAGAATTCAAGGAATGAAAATGTCAAAATCGTTGAAAAACTTCATTACAATTCGTGAAGCTTTGAAACAATACACTCCAAGACAATTGAGATTATTGTTTTTGATGCATAATTGGGCTGATGTTTTAGATTATAGTTCATCTACAATGGAAAGAGCTTTACAATTTGAGAAAATAACCAATGAATTCTTCCTTCTTGTCAAAGATTATTTGAGAAGAAATTATAAACCGGAAAGTTCACAAGGATATCAAAAATATCAATTGAGAGAATTGCGTTTGTTAGATGATTTCGGAAAATTGAAAGCAGAGGTGATTCGATTTTATTGAATTTTTCTTCAATTTTTTTTTCTTTACAGGTTCACGTTGCTCTTTGTGATTCGGTTGATACTAGAACTGTTGTTGAAAAGATTCGTGAATTGATTGGTCTCGGAAATTCTTATATTATGGAAAAAGAAAAAGAAGGATCAATTCCAAATTCGTTGTTGATCAGAAATATCGCGGCTTATATTACTTCTCTTTTGAAAATGTTTGGAGCTATTCCAGAATTCTCTGACATTGGATTTGTCAATGAGGATGAGTGAGTTAAAAAAAAACACCAATTGTGCTGTAATAAAAAATTTCAGAAATGCAGCTTCTGGAACTACTGGATCTTTTAACAAAGAAGCTGTTGTTATGCCATATTTGACAGCATTGGCGGAGTTCCGCGAAAAAGTTCGAAATATCGCTAAAGAACACAAAATTATCGGAATTTTGGAAGAGTGTGATGCTTTGAGAGATAAAATATTGCCAGAATTGGGTGTAAGATTGGAAGATCGAACTGCACAAACAACAATCAAATTGGTTGATAGAGCAACATTATTGAGAGAACAAGAACAGAAACAAGCGGTATGATTATTTTCTAACCCACCCATCTTTTCTTTTAAAATCATGTTTTTTTCAGGAAAAAGAACGTAAAGAGAAAGAAAAAGCTGAAAAAGACCGCAAAGCTAAGGAAAAAGCAGAAAAGGATGCAGCCGCAAAACGTGTTAACCCAGAAGAAATGTTCAAAATCGGAGAGTTTGAAGGAAAGTTCTCAGCTTTCGATGAAAAGGGAATTCCTACTCATACATCTGACGGAGAAGAGGTATTTTAATTTTAATTCATTATCAAACATTCTTTATTTATTGTTTTTCAGGTTTCGAAAAAACAACGAAAGAAGTTAGAAAAATTGTGGGAAACTCAAAACAACAAATTTCAGAAATCAGCGAATTGAATAATTTTAGCAGAAATTTGATCTTTTCCGCATTCCAAAACGGTACAATCTTCCATATATTTTTTTGTTTTTTTTTCCCTCAATTTTGTTCTTTCGTTCTACCTAATAATTTGCTTTATAATTCAACTTTTATTGCCTTTTTTCAATCATTTTTGTTTTGATGGGTATATTATGACACGCTTGTTATGACGGTGGTTTCTTTTCTTTTAAACTAAATAGAATGTTTGTTGAAAATATTTATTATTTATTTCAATATGAACTTTTTCAAATATATTTTTTGTGATTTATTTATTAAAGGATCGTGCTAAGACCCTTGATGTTCACTGATTTTTCAAATTTAATATCAAAATCGATAAATCAAATAGAAGAAATTAGAAAAGGTTCCATTTTTAAAGGAGCATAACTTGTTTCTTTTTTATCGCTGTGGCTTCTTCATCTTCACAATAAATTTTATTCGGCGATTTTCGAAAACGAAAACTTACAAATATGCCTTCTCGAATCAATTCAACGAAGAAAAAGCAAAAAGTTACAAAAAATGAGAACGATGACTCGAAGAATTATGAAAAATATTTGGTAAGTTCCTTTTCTAAATAACTTCTTCGAATTTTCTTTTTTTCAGGAAAAAATCAAAAAAGATAGAAATGATTCAAAAAAATGCAATGACAAATTACTTAAGAATAAATTCGTTGGAAATCGAATGATTAAAGATCTTTTTAATAACTTCACCGTTAGTTCATTCAATTTTAATAAAATTTATGGAAATAATTTTTTAGAAATACAAAGATGCGATCAACAATAATTCAACAATTATTTTGCCTCGAACTGACATGTTGTGCAATTCAAAGAACGATACATACGGATATGTTTCGACTTCGGACTGAAAATAATAATGCTGGAAGTTTTCATAGTTTTATTTGCTTATGAAGTATTTTATTAATGAATTTTTTTTTCAAATTTCTTTTTTACTTGAGTATGACTTTTTTTCAATCTTTCATTCTTGTTTAAAAACGAAAATTTTCGTCATATTTCCCATCAAATTCCCAAAAACTTTTACATTCCGAGAGAGATACACAAATAATTATATTTGAACCGCCGCCGTTTTTTGTGTGGGTCTTGCAACGATGTGTGTATTTGGCACGTTGCCAGTGTAGCTTTGTTTTTTTTTTTCGAAGAGTAAAAAAGTTTGTCCTATTTTGGGGGTTTATGCGTGTTAGGAGCCGATTTACCTCATTTTCTTGTTTTCTTTAGTTAAGTATGATGAGTAAAGAATTTTATCAACCTTCGATTTGGTAGAAATTTCCTTCTGGGTGAATTTATTGACCTTTTTTAATGTTTTGAATTCTATGAGTTAATTTAATTATTCATGGATATCTCTTTTTTATCACTTTGATCATTTTCAATGCAATTCATGCTTTAAGAATTCCAAATATTTGTTTCATTTTCCATGACCTGAAGTTAGAATTGTAACACGATTTAATCGATAATTGCACTTTGTTTACTTTCGTTTTCTTTTCTCTGCGAATTAATTTCTAAACCGTTTTTTAAGGTAACATGCTGGTCCTTTTCGAGGTCGCAGCTGGATACGCTGTCTTCAAGCTCAACAGCGAGAAGAAATTGAAGAATGTAGACAACATTTGGGAAGAATTCAACAGTGCTGAAAAAGCACAGGAAAACCTTCAATTGGTTTCTTTCAAGAAGTTCAAAACTACAGCTGGAGCAGTTGAGGCCGCCTCGGAAATCACTGAAGGAAAACTCAGCAAGACTCTCAAGAAGTTGTTGAAATCTAGCGTTGATGAGACCGAAAAGTTAGCCGTCGGTGATGCCAAACTTGGAAATTTGATCAAGGAAAAGCTTTCTTTGAACTGCGTTCATGATAGCTCGATCAATGAATTGATGCGTGGAGTTCGTGCTCATATTGAAGATTTACTCGCTGAACACAAAGAAGAAATGAATGCCATGAATTTGGCTGTTGCTCACTCATTGGCTCGTTACAAGGTCAAATTCAATCCAGAGAAAATCGACACTATGATTGTTCAGGTAAATAAAAAAAATAACTTGCGACTGAATTCCAATAATGCATTTTCCAGGCTGTTTCTGCTCTTGATGATCTCGATAAAGAGTTGAACAACTATGTTATGAGATCCAGAGAATGGTACGGATGGCATTTCCCAGAACTCGGAAAGATCGTTCAAGATCATCAAGCATATGCCAAGGTTGTTAAAACCATCGGAATGCGTCAGAATGCGGTCAACTCCGATTTATCCTCAATTCTCCCAGAAGAACTCGAAGAGAAAGTCAAGGAAGATGCCGAAATTTCAATGGGAACTGATATTTCCGACATTGATCTTTTCCACATCAAAGGACTCTGCGATCAAGTTATCGAGCTTTCTTCATACCGGTAAGATTTGTGTTTTTTCTTTCAAAAAATATATGTTTTCTTTTTAGTACCCAATTGTTCGACTACCTCAAAAACCGTATGTCTGTTCTCGCTCCAAATCTCACTGTTTTACTCGGTGAACTTGTCGGAGCCCGTTTGATCTCACACGCTGGATCTCTAGTTTCTTTGGCAAAAGCCCCAGCCTCAACTATTCAAATTTTGGGAGCCGAAAAAGCTCTCTTCCGTGCTTTGAAAACCAAAAAAGACACACCAAAATATGGATTGATTTACCACGCTCAACTCATCACACAAGCTCCACCAAAAGTCAAGGGAAAGGTAAGAGTTTCTTCAGCATAAATTCGAGAAAAATATTTCCGATTATAGATGGCTCGTAAATTGGCTGCTAAATGCTCATTGGCTTCTCGTATTGATGCATTGACCGATGAAACCGCTGGAAACGAAGTTGGAATTGAATGTAGAGCTGCATTAGAAAATGTTTTGAGATCAGAATCTGAAAGAGGACCATCGAAAAAACAAACTGGTGGATATGGTGGAAACACACATAGACATGATAAATATGAATTCAAGAGGTAAGTTCGGTCAAAAGTTACACAAATAAGCTAACCAATAATATTTCAGTGATACATATCAATACGATGCTTCAGCGGATGCGGTTAAAGGCGGAAAGAAGCACAAGAGATTCGATGATGATGAGGAAAATGCTACTGCTGTAAAGAAAATGAAGGTATGTGGTATTGAAGAAATACATTTGATTCAGAATCAATTAATTTTCAAAATTTTATAGATCGAAGAGGTTGACGAAGCTGAAGAAGTTTCAGAGAAGAAAAAGAAGAAGAAGGATAAGAAAGTGAAAAAAGAAGAGCCAGAGGATAGCGATTAAATTGTTGATTCCCCCTTTCCACATCACAAATCTCAAAAGTTGTCTGTAGTTTTTGTAGAAGAGTTTCTTGTTATAGATTCCTTTTGTATCCATTTAGAATTCTCAATGACTACTGAAACTTGCGAGATTTTCTCGTTAAATATTATTTTTTGTTGATTTGTTTGACTTGTTATGTTGTTTTTTAGCATCAAATTTCCAATTTTCTCTTCCATCGTTTTACCGTAAATTTCGTTTCTTGTTACCCCAACCCTTTACTCTGTTTCTTTTTGTTATTTTGATTCATGAAAAATTTGAAATAATATGGTATTGAACTTATTTGAACCATAGGAAAATCCCATTCACTCACCATATATTTGTTATTGGCATGGGAATTATTTCAGAAGTTCCAATCACAGACAACGAAAAAATACAGTAGATAAGCGAATTTAAAAAACGAGAAATAACTCAAAAATTATTTTGACGTTCTGATAAGATTTAAAAAACGTGAAATTTTTGACAATAATTTTCAAAAAAACCTATATTTTCAAAATTAAAAAGTTTATTTTTCACGAAAAAAAACCCGTATTTATTTTCGATAAGTGATTATTATGATTGTTTCGACTATTGAAAACTGCTGATCCACTCAAAATCAAGCACCGCCAACGAAAGAAGAGAAATTTCAAAAGCAGCGCGAGATTCATTGAAAAAAGATGTTGATCAATGGAAATGCCAAATGATTCAACGAGCGGTTGAGAAAAGGAAAGTATCAAAAAGATCTATCGTAGAATGGAAGATCGAAAAGAATTATTTGGAAAGTTGAAGCTGGCGGATGGAACTACAACAGCAAATCGGTCAAAAATCAAGCTCGAAATCAAAAACCACTTCATTCAGCAGTTCAAAAATCATGGTCAAAGAACCAAAAAGATCAATGAAAAACCAAGAAATCCATTTCCAATTTTAATTGATGAAGTGAGTTCAGCAACAAAAACATTGAAATCTGAGTCGGCTATGGGATTGGATCGAGTCGGTAGTGATATGCTGAAACACGGTGGTGAAAAACTGCAGCAGAATCTTGCGAGATGCTTCAACAAATTGATTGAAGATGGAAAATATCCACCTGAATGGAACGAGATTCGCATAAAATTGTTGGAGAAAAAGACAAATCCGGAAACCTTGAAAGATGTCCGCCCAATCTCCATACTATCAATCCCTGGAAAAGTATTCACAAAAATAATGACAAAACGAATGGCAAGAAAAGCTGAGAGCTATCTGGATGAGACCCAAAATGGATTTAGATGTGGAAGATCTTGCTCTGAAAATCTACAATCCATCACTTGCCTATGGGAAAAATGCCACGAATATGACAAGCCGTTGATTCTCACTTTTATCGATTATCGTGCAGCGTTTGATTCAATTTACTGGAGTGCGGTACAAGAAGGTGTGTTGGAATCTGGGTTTGATCCACAATATATAGAAGCCATAAAAAGCTGCAACGAATTGGGCACCGGAGAGATCGAGATCTTTGGAGAGAAATTGAAAATACCTGTGGAAAGAGGAGTAAGACAAGGAGATTCTTCGTCACCTGCGCTCTTCGCAATTGCCTTACACAAACTCCTGAACGAAGCTGACCCACTACCTGAAGATGATGAAGAGGAGAATTTTGGAATTCGAGTCGATGGTAGATATATTTCAAGATTATTATTTGCGGATGATCTCGTTCTAATCGACAAAAACCCGAAAGACGCCTCGAATCGTGCCTCAAAAATTGCCAAAATCTGCGAAAAAGCTGGTTTGATCTTCAACACTGCCAAATCAAAAGTATTGAGAAATCAATGCGCCAACAATGCAAGTGTTCGAGTAAATGGCCAGCCACTTGAAGATGTTGATCAAATAAAATACCTGGGAAGAATCTTCAGGAAAGATGGCGCTTTGGACTCAGAAATAAATAACCGAGTAAGAGCTGGCTGGGCTGCATATCACAGCATTGCAACTGCAATCAGCGAAATTTCAAAAAAAGAGAAAAACCACTTCTTGAAATCCAGTGTTTTGAGTGCTATGACTTATGCTTCAGAAACTTGGAACACGAAAGTTGAAGATATCAAACGAATCCAAAGAACAATCAACTATATATGGATTCAAGCAAACGCGGGAACTCCACCAAATTTGGAAAAGTTTATAATGAAGATAAAAATGCGCTGGGCTGGACACATTGTGCGCTTGCCAACTCAAAGAATATGCAGAATTATAACTTTATGGGAACCTCCGAATGGCGTGAAAAGAAGAAAAGGAAGACCGAAAAAGAGATGGGTCGATGACGTGCAGAATGAAGTCAAAGTGCATCAACACAACATCAACTTGCAAGGCCTCGGGGGAGGCGGAAGAAGAAGGATCGGGCTAATATCCAGTAAAATGCCCTGGTCACGATTGGCTAGAAGCCGAAGTTCCTGGAAACATCTGGTCCACAGCTACTCGCTCGAATAATGGACTATCAAAGTATCAAAGTAAGTAAGTAAGTTTCTTGTTATAGATTCCTTTTGTATCCATTTAGAATTCTCAATGACTACTGAAACTTGCGAGATTTTCTCGTTAAATATTATTTTTTGTTGATTTGTTTGACTTGTTATGTTGTTTTTTAGCATCAAATTTCCAATTTTCTCTTCCATCGTTTTACCGTAAATTTCGTTTCTTGTTACCCCAACCCTTTACTCTGTTTCTTTTTGTTATTTTGATTCATGAAAAATTTGAAATAATATGGTATTGAACTTATTTGAACCATAGGAAAATCCCATTCACTCACCATATATTTGTTATTGGCATGGGAATTATTTCAGAAGTTCCAATCACAGACAACGAAAAAATACAGTAGATAAGCGAATTTAAAAAACGAGAAATAACTCAAAAATTATTTTGACGTTCTGATAAGATTTAAAAAACGTGAAATTTTTGACAATAATTTTCAAAAAAAAACCTATATTTTCAAAATTAAACAGTTTATTTTTCACGAAAAAAAACCCGTATTTATTTTCGATAAGTGATTATTATGATTGTTTTGACTATTGAAGAAGCAATTTGAACAAATTCAATTTTTGAGCAACTTCCATAAAATTATTGGCCACATTTAATTCATCGACGATTTTATCGGATGGCGGTTGAGAACCTGGTGGACCGGCTGAATTTCCAGCAAATGATGATGGTGGAGATATTCCTGGTGGACCATTTATAAATGAAGATGAAGAGGTTGATGAAGAAGAGGAAGAAGGAGAAGATGGGGGTGGAATAGGTGAAGATGAAATTAGTGCTGAAAAAACAAAATTTGAAATTTTTTAATATAAAATTTGATCCGAAGAGTCCCAAAATAGCTAACTTTCAAGTTTCCGAAAAAAAAATTTTTTTTACTATTTTGTCCAAAAAAAAGTTTTCTCAAAATTTTGAGTCGTTTTTGTTCCAAAAACAATTTACAAAACAAAATTGGGAAAACTTCAAATAACTCAATGTGAAAATTTTGAACTTGAGATACCAAAATCACTTGAGAAAAGAGAGAAAATAATTTTCATAAAATTTGAATATTTTCTCACCGGCAATAATATTTTCTTCAATTTCACGGAGTTTCAAATTTTCATTTTGTTCATCTTCATTTTTTCCCGATTCATTATTCAATATATTTGATACTGTAGTTCCTTCAACAATCAATGTTTTTGTTGTTGGCAAAGAAATTGTTGAATTAAAATCAATTGTTGAAATATTTGGAATAATTGAAGTTATGCTAGTTGTTGTTGTTGGAATTGTTGTTGATTCAATTCTTCTTTTTAAAGCAAAAGCTGGGAATAATGTTGGAGGTACTGTAATTAGATTCTGGGAAGATGAAGAAGGTAATGGTACTGTAGTAGTTGTTGATAAAATAGGAGTGGTGGTGGATTGAGTTATTGGAATAGATACTGTAGTTATTGGTGGTTGAAGAACTGCTTTTAATACCGCAGCTTCGATTGAATCAAGAGGAATTGGAGGAAGTGGAGGAGGTGCAAATGGAACACGCGAACGAGAAAATGAAGTTTTTAGTCGATGAGTTCTTGCTCGAAGTGTTGAGGATTGAATTTGAACTGGTGGAATTATTGTAGTCGTTGAAGAATCTGAAATAAAAATTATAAAATTATCAGAAAAATATTTTTGACTCTACATATAAATAATATTTTTTACAAAATTAAAAAAATCCCGCATCATATGCCTGAACAGTATGGGGTATTGTATAATGTGCAACGTGGAAACTGATTTTGAAACAAATGTCCAATGTAGCTCTTTTTGTACACTGGGAAACTTATTAATTCTTACCAATAACTGCTCTCAAAATGTCCGCTTCAATATCATTGACTTGTTTTGCAGAATTTGAAATTGTTGTTGGAATTGTTGTGCTGCTTGCTATCAGAGTTGTTGTTTGGGCTACTGTAATGATTTTCCGAATCATAATTTAAAATAGTTTTAATATTTGGAACTAACATGTTGATGTTGGTGGAAGTGTTGATTGATTTTGAGATGGTTTTGTGCTTAACAACCTGCAAAATATATTAAAATATATCACTCGCGCGGTTTCGGAGTTCAAAAATATCCCTCAGTTTTAGCCAATGAGTAGAAAAGTTCAAAATATTAGGAAAAAAGTTTTCAAAAATATTAGTCCCCAATAAAAATAAAATGGTTACCTATTCTTTCTAATTTTTGAATTACGTAGATTATTAGTTCGAATTGCATGAATTGGTTGATGTCTTATTCTTTGTTGAGATTGTCTCATTATTGTTTCAACAGGTTTTGTCAAAGTTATCAATGGTTTTCTTCGAACTTGAATTGGTTGTCGAATAATTGCTTGATTTCGAGATATTGCTTGATTCGGTGGAAATTGTTGTGAAGTTGTTGTTGATGGCAGAAGTTGTCTTTGTCTGGAAATGTTGTTGGGAAAAACAAATCGAATACCATTTCGAAAGCGTGATATACGTCGATGATTGTGATAAATTCGATGAGTTAGTTCAGCTGCTGGTGTGTTATTTGTTGTTGTTCGAAGAAGAAATTGATTAGCATGAAGTTGTTGGTTAAATATTTGATTCTTATTGTTATTTATATTATTTACATTTTTGATCATTCGATTATTAATATTATTATTATTACTGTTTTGCATATTATTATGATTGTTAGGTCTTGAAATCAACCTGAATCGTTGTTGTTGTCGATGAAAATGTCGAACTGGAGAAGGTGGTTGAGGTGGTGGAGGTCTAAAAATTGAAACTGTTGTTGGAATAAATACAGGTGTCTGGATCACTTTGAGAACAATTAAAGTGAGCGCTGAAAATCCACGTGGGAAATTTTGAAGATTCGAACGCATGTTGTCAAAAATTGAAATATTCAAAATAAATTAATATATTTATCATGTATGTGTGTTTTACATTATGCATTGTTCCAATTGAATTTAGACTTAAGTAATCCAGAACGAAACCGAATATTTTACATTCATAATTTTATTTAAAATCCCTCAGGTTCTCAGATACGCATCCAAAAAATCTTATTTGATCAAACTATCTACTATATTAAAGCCTCGATGATAATTCTTATCAATTATAATTTATTATAACATATGTCATGTCACTGTAATTCTTATCAAATTAGTCATAGACAAAAATCGAGAAACAAAATATATTCCATTTTTTGATAAAATCAAAAACCGTGAACTTTTCTTTTCAGTAAAATTTGAATCTCATTTCTTGTTTTTTTTTGTATAGAAAATGATTTGAAAAAATTAAAAGCAGTTCATGTTTGGAACAAAAATTTACAATATTTTCTGATAGTTATTTTTTCGAAAATATTTACCTCAAGTTCAATCTTTGATTATGTGAAATTGGAACACGAAATGCAGGTATTCCTCTTGATTGTTGCTGTTGTAGTTGTTGAGCCTAATAAAGCGAATTAAATTCAATATTTTTGAGAATTTGGGACTTACAGTAACCCATTTGATGAATAAAATAATAAATAATAGATTTCTGCTCCATTTTTTCATCTGAAAACTGTCTATTCAATGAATAAAAATAGAGAAACACGGAACAAAACGGAAAATTGAAAACCGGTTGATTCTCGAGTGATTAAAAATAAAGAAAGAAGTAAATTTATCAGAAAATTAAAAAAAAAGAACAACAGAACAACTAATTTTTTTCATCAAACTGTTTTCCAGAAAACTTTCAAAACTCTCGACGAAAAAATCGAAGTTTAATGAAACAAAAAAAGCAAAAAACAATGAAATAATAAGAGATCTGGAGAAAAACCTTGTAAAACAATTGGTTAACTTTTACACAAACATAAACCATATCACCTGACGGGAGTGTGACCGCAAAAAAGTCGATCTATAGATATAATAGGGAATATAAGCTGAAATTTTTACACACACTTTTTTCTTTTTCTCCAAACAACATCACCTTTTTTTGGCTTCTTATTCAAGCGGTTAATTGGATTTGTTTGGATTGGAATGTTTAGATGAAAATATTGATATATTATAATGTAATAATGATAAATAAATATAAAATACTGTGGGAGGTAACTTTTCAAACTTCCAATTGGTTCATAGAGGGTGTTAGATATCTCTAAATTTATGAAAACTTTGGAAATTTAAACCAAACAGAACATTGCTCTCCAAAATATCAGCATGTTTGTAAAGAGAAGCTGAAAAATTTTCGACATTTTTTGCAAATGTTTTGAAGATATCCCCACCAATCCATTGAGAACCAGAATAGGATTTAAAAAAAAACGAATGTTTTATTTTCAGAGCAGCAGTGGCTTTCTAAGCACCTTCTGAAGAACTAGACTCTCTAGGCTCTTTTACTTGACAACTAAAATTTGTAGACACTGTTCATTTTGGTATAATAGCTCTCGAGGCACCGTTTTGAACATTTTTATACCTAAAAAATTATAGTATAAGTTTTACTTTTGGAAACCACGACCTTAGTCGAGATGTGTTCAGAGGCCAGATTTCTAAATTCCAAACCTTATAATTTAACAAAAAAACATTTCAATGTTCTAAATAGAATAACAAAATCTAGTGAAAAAACAATGTTTTTAATAAGAACAAAACACATAAAACAAAATAACCTTCTACTTACATCAGAAAAGTACATAGAACGAGCTTTTCTTCATTCAATCTTTTTTCTTCATGAAAAACTGTACGAGTAAAGATTGTTTTAAAGAGATAAGATGACAAAAAAAGTGAAAATGGAACTTTTTTTACAATTGCCTGTCTAAAATAAACTTATATGTGTGGAAACTTAATTGGGATACAAAAAAAGAAGATCTGCAAAATTTGGAATTCAACACCTGACGAAATGAATAATAGCAACAATACGGTTTAAATCGAAATAGAAAGTTTTTATTATTATGATTAATGGAAATTTAATTGTGGATCTTCAATTCGATTCAATTCAATTCAAGATTCGAATCGCAATGAGAATTAGAATAAAAGTATTTATTTTTCATGAAAAAATGAAATTATTCAAAAGAAACTACACAATGAACCACTGATGTTTATTTATTTTTCGCATTTACAATCAGAAGCCATAAAAAAAGTGAAATCACTACAAAATGCAACAAACACCCATTTTTGAAAAAAAAAGAATACTTCAAAAAATATATGATTTGATTTAAAATTACCAGGTCAAAAAAAACCTGTGCGAACAAAAGCACTACTATTCAAAAAGGTGTTGTGTCCACCCACTTGTCATTTTCGTTTTACAATTTATTTTCAGTCAAAAAAGGTTTTCACACATTTCGGAAACACACTTTCTTTGTAAGCAGAAGAAAAGCAGATTTTATCAGAAATGAGAAAAACGGAAAGTTGAGAAGGGCTACTTTCAAACAAAGAAATTCTGAAAAAAATAAATAAAAAAAGAAACTGTCAAGTTTGATTTTTGGAAAAGAAAAAAAGGTTGGGAAATATTTAATTGACAATCAGAACAATTAGCGGAAAGAAAAAACTTTTTAAGATGCTTCAACGTTTTTCAAAGTCACACATTTTATCAATGAAACAATTTTCGAATTAAGTGGACGATTTGTACTAAACTAGACTATTTTTTGAAAATTCGAATTTCACAAAAAATGTTGGAAGATCAAACGTTTCTAAAAAGAATAATGATTAAATACGTATTTCCATACTTTAAGATTCAACAAATCTTTCACAAGAGAACTTTATGTAAAACTAATTAAAATAATTCTGAAAATCCAGATTCTAGAGTTAATTCTAAATTTCATCCACAGGATTAGCTTGTGTGCGAAAATTTTAAACTTCAGTGTAAACTTATATTTTTTCATAAGTTATGATTGTTAAATCATGTTAATATTTAGAGAAAATTCACAAATGGTCCCGGAAAGTCCTATTACAGTAAGTTTAAACATTCGAACAACATCGAAAATATATATGATTTTTAAAACTTTTATATACTTTTTCTGCAAACTACAGTAACCTCGCAAAGGTAGTTCAATAATCAAAGCGATAAATTATTATGATTATTAAGCGTTTTTTTTTCTGCCACACCCAAAGAAGATCTAAAATTGTCTCGTCGGAAATCATCATCGTTATCGTCATTATTTTTATTTAAAATTGAAAGTTCTCGTGGGATATTATTTTTTGTTGTTCAGTTGGAATTGGAATTATTTTTATCCAAAAATAGAAAAAATAAATAAAATCTGACAAAGTTCATTCAAAGGAAAATGAAGTTTGATGTCTTATTTCAAAAACACCCTTGAAAAGCTTTCGAAAAACAACCAAACAAAAAACTTTAAATACAGTACTCGTGGCAATGAAACATAGTAATTAAATAAGTGGGGCAGTATACTTTTTTATTAATGAAAAAGCCTGTTTCAGGGATAGGGATTACTCCTAATTAAATTTGTTATAATTATAAGTTATGATTCATGAAAAAATAAAATATCTGCGTTCGGGGGGAATCGAACCCCCGTCGAATGCTTGGAAGGCATCCATGCTGACCATTACACCACGAACGCGACATTTTCCGTGATTATAATTTATCTTATCTGTTTTTTATCAATTGTCTTGTTTCAAAAATCCAAATCCCCAATATTTTCTCATCCAATCCATACTTGTTTGTAAATATCTCTCCCGTCTCCACATCTTTTTACACTCTCTCACATCTCAATATCTCATGTGCCCTCCTCTATCTTCATACTCTATAACTGGTTTCTTCTTCCTGCCAGACTTTTTCAAAATGACCCCAAACGGCGGATATACACATGTATATCTTTTTTTGTTTTTTTTCAACTTTTCAAACATTCTGACAAGTTAAAGCTGACGAAGAAAAATTTGGCATCATTTGAACTGCCAAATACTTGGAAAAATAAATAAGTTTTGGTTTTGTCTTTCCGGTTCACTTTGTTGGATCAAAACAATTTATCATCAAAAGTGATACATTTCTTTCATCTTCTTCTTTTTTCTGATTCGTCTTCTTCTTCTTCTAAAAAATAATAATACTATTATGTGTTTCTAATCGATTTGTTCATCTTTTTTCTTTCCAAGACCCACTTTACACTATTTTTTGTGCGTATGTGAGTGAGCCATACAAACTCTTTTTTGCCTCTAAATTGTGCTCTTTTTTTTTGCTTTTTTTCTTTGAATGAGAGAGAAACTAAGTGTCTTCTTTTTCCCTTTTTATGCTAGAAACACGTTTTATTGTGTTCACCAAAAAAGCTTTACACAATATACTTTTTATGAGAATTTAATATTTGAAAGTCTCTCCTCGAATTTATGAGAACTTGGGAATTTTCAAGTTTAAAAATGTTTAAGTTTATATATTTCTCCAGATAAACAATTAAAACATCTAGCTTGGTAAATACGTATTAGTTTTAATTGTAAGATCTAAAAACTACAGTACTTTTTTTTCGGAAAAGTTTTGAACTTTAAGTATATCGAAATAAGTCCTGTCCACTTTTCTTTTAAACGTTTCTTCATTCACCAATATTCTTGAAAACCCTCTTGATTTTCTTCGGAATGTAATTCGTAACTTTTACTATTCCACGAGTTAATCACTTCAAACTAAAATCAATCAACTTTTTAGTCATTCATCTCCTTCCATCAACACGCTTTAAATGGCGACGTCATCGATGTCATCTTTGACGTCTTCACATTATCCGCCATCAGCAGCAACTTCAGCAGCAGCAGTTGCATCTTCTGCATTTGCTGCCAATTCAGTCATTCCACCTTTTGATGCTCGAAATTTGGAAATCAAAACCAAATCAATCGAACAAACATTAATACCTTTAGTAACCCAGGTTTGTCATCATTCAATTGTTTTTGTTATGTTTTTTATTTGAATGACGTGAGAGAGGAAACAATTATGTATATGCTCAATTTAACTCGAAGATACCCAAAATAACATGTTCCCTTTTTTAAGATAACAACTTTGGTCAATTATAAAGAATCTTATTTACAAAATGGAAAGCCAAAATCTGAACGAGCAATGAGAGCCGCTTTGAAAGTAAGTGAAATTTGTTATTCAAAGACAATGTTATTTTTTTTTTCAAAATAGATCGGAAGTTCTGTAGAAGCTGCAATTGAGAGATTTGTTTGTGTTGGAGAAACGATAGCAGATGAAAATGCAGACATTCAACCAGAAATGTATGATGCTTGCACTGAAGCAAGATTAGCTGGTGAGATTTATTCATTTTTTGTTTGGTCGATCTGTGCTCAAACTACGACTACCCTACGCACTCAAATATCATATTTCAACTCTCTTTCTCGAACATGTTGTTCTCATTTTCCAGGCGCATCTATGGCCAACCTTTCTTGTGCTTGTAATGATGATCCGAATTCAATGGTTGATAAAGCTGTTCTAGTTCGTGCATCTCGACAATTATTAAGTAGTGTTACTCGAGTTCTTCTATTAGCTGATCGGGTTTTAGTGAAACAAGTTCTACGAGCCGAAGACAAAATCGCATTTTCACTTTCACGACTTGAATCAACAAGAAGTTTCAATGATTTTGTCAAAGTTTTTGCTGTTTTTGGAGGAGAAATGGTAGAATTAGCACACCGATCTGGTGATAGACAACATGATTTGAAAAGTGAAAAGAGGCGTGCACAAATGTCTGTTGCTCGAACTTCACTCGAAAGACTGACCATGTTACTTTTGACTTCTTCAAAAACTTATCTCAGGCATCCTGATTGTGATTCAGCACTACAATGTAGAGATGGAGTATTTTTACAGGTTTGTGAAAAATAAATAAATAAATAATCATTTCAAAAAATAAGAATACTTTTAGATGAAACTATCATTAGAACTAATTGCGATATGTGTATGCGATGGGATTTTGACAACAGAAAAGAATCGATATATTCAAGATGAGCCAGATATGCCCATTGATATTGCACTTCAATTGACAGCAAATGCAGCTATCAAACAATTAACTGAAATGCTTGAAATGATAAGAATGACTGCGCGAGTTGGAGCTGGAGTTAGGGAGAGGATTGTAGCGGCATTAGATGCATTGTGTCAATTAACACAGGATTTCACTGATTCTGCGTATACTCCACATCATCAACGAGAACAAGTAAGATAGTTTCGAATTAAGTTACAGTATACCAATACGTAAATTTACAGGTATTGGATTTTCTGGAAGAATGCCGATTTGAAATGACAAATCTGATTCAACCAGATGAAAATGAGCAACTAGCCGCCAGTGGACTTGAAGTTACTGTAGAACGATTGAATCGCCGACTAAAAGATTTGAGCAAACAACTTCAAATTGTTGCAATGGAACAAATATCGGAAGTATTGAGAGCAAACGAAGACCAAGTTTTACTGTCATCAATGAAAGCTTGTGCAGTTTCGGGAGATATCGATGGAGTTGAGAAATATATGCATAAATTCAGAGAACATGCAGATCATATGCAAGAAGTTTGTCGTTTACTTCATCATATTTCACTAAATGATGCTTTACATGTTCATACAGGACATGTTGAAAGGAATATGAGGGCACTTGCACCATTGGTAAGAAACACTTCACGAGATAATCAATTCGAACTTGTTTATTTCAGACTATTCTAGCAGGAAGAACACTTTGTGTTCATCCATCATCAAGAATTGCGCGAGAAAATCTCGAAGTATTTTGTGATACTTGGGGACAAACTGTGAATGATTTATCAAGAGTTGCAAAAGAATCAGATGTTGCAGCAAATGGGCGAATTGCTGCCGAAAAACAAGCATATATGTCACTTCCAAGACCAGGGGTAAGTTATTCATCCGAAGATTCAATTGATGCAAAACTTCTACCGAATGGTGGTCGTCGACCAAAAATGATCGATAAAAATTCAACTAGAGTTGTTAATCAAACTGGTGATGAAATGAGTTCGGATGATTCTGAGAATGAAAGAAGAGATGGTTGTGATGTGAATGCATTCGAATATCGCATGAGTCTTATTATTGATGATTTACAGCTTGAAAATTTGAGAAATTTAAGTTTGATTGAAGAAAATAAAAAGAGAAATGCATGATTTGCTGTGATTGTTGTTGTTGTTTTTTGCATGTGAATACTTATTTTCTTTCCGTGTTGTGATATCTCAGATTTTATAAATTATTGGATTTTTACGTTGTTGGAATTTTCAAAGTACGTTTCTTTTTTTTAGAAACATGGAACAACGCAGAAGCCATCGAAACCAATAACTTTAGATGTAGAAGATCAACAAAAAATGGCAAAAGTCGGACTAGAAATGAAGTTATTAACTTCTGAAGTAGATGCAGAAGCTGAGAAATGGGACGAATATGCTGAAAATGATATTGTGAAACGGGCAAAAGCAATGTCATCAATGGCATATAATATGTATTTATTCACAAGAGGAGATGGTCCTTTGAAAACCACTCATGATTTATTCACACAAGCTGAATTTTTCGCTGAACAAGCTAATCAAATGTATCGTACAGTTCGAGAATTTTCATACGAAGTTCCTGGTTCAGCTGAAAAATCGGATTTATCAGCTATTTTAGAGCGGATTCCTTTGCATTGTCAACAACTTCAAGTTATGGTTAAAAGTCCAACAGTTGGGAAAACAGCAACATTCGGGAAAGTGGATTCTGTTATTCAAGAAACTAAAAACTTGATGAACGAAATAGCAAAATTGGTGACAGCATCATTTGTTTGTGCAACAAAGGTGAGAATAACAAATAAATCAGAGAGAATAAATGAATTACATCGGAGAAAAAACCAAAATCTTGAGAAAAAAATAAACATATTCAGATGTTCCAACTCGAAAAAGCCAAAGGGTAAGATAGATCCCGATATATAAAGACCGCAAACCTTTTTTGGTAGAGGCTTAGTAATGTAGTTGTCGATTTTTAGTTGATTTTTATTTAGTGTCACATATAGATAACCCTTCGAAATTGTGGTGAATTTTTTGCAGTATGAAATCGAGTTTCGCGGAGGTTCGGTCAATGGGCGGACCAATGCTGACGGTGAAAGGACCAGTCGCGAATCGACTGTTTGGCGCAGGACACCAAGTATCCGAAGAGCAGCGCCGCCACCCTCTTCGCTCCTTTCAACCACAAACAACTCATCAAGCATACACCTTTAGGTATGCTCTTTAAATAACAAATAAAATTGAAAATCTCATACTTTTGACATGAAAACCCCATTTAGAACCGTTCAGCTTTCACTATATAAAAAATTCCCATAAAGAATAAACGTACCTGAATCAAATATACATTTTTCAGCAGTACAATTGCCGGCTAACATGCTCAAAAAACGATCTCTTCTCTCCTAATAAGTCGAATTTGCTTCGAGCTTTAACCATCCATTATTCCTAGTAATTATTATATTTATCTCCAAATTTTTTGATATTATTTATTCAATTTCATATGCTGGTTTCTCAGAGATATTCAAAAAAAAACTATTTAGTTGTTTTGAAATTAATAAAATGATTTTTTAAAGAGCTTAAATACGTAAATTCTAAAAAAAATCCCCCCTTTTTATTGAAAAATTAATTCTGGGCTCATATAAAAAACAGTATAAAAACGCGTAAGATTCTCTAGTTTTTATTTATCCCGAAAACTCACAGAAAATTAGAAATAGACCTCGCGAGGCCTCGCAGCAGGCAATGTGCACCTGGATGTTTCAAACAGACTTTTTTGTGTGTGGCCGTGGAAGAGAAAACCAACGCGCGAAATAATTTTTTTGAATTCTTGTTTTCTTTTTTTTTTCGCTCGTTGTCCAATTTTCATTGAAAAAAACCAACTCAAAAAACGTTTTCATGTATTTAACAATTTTCATTGCAGGATGTCAGTTCCAGATTTTCAATCAAAATGGGTTTTTGTTATTTCTGTTCAAGAATTGGACGATTCGAAACGCGAAGAGCTCAAGTAACAAATAATTAGCTTTTAAAACTGATTATATCGAAAATTATAATTTCAGAGAATTTTCTACTTGGTTCATGCAAACATTCAAAAAAGAAGGAGCATTGAGTGGTCATATCTTTAACTATGATGTGAGTGTTTCAGAGAATAATTAAAAATAAATAAAGTTACAAATAATGTTTTAGGACTCCCCAATCGCCACATTTGAAACCGAAGTCAACAATTTTGATTCGTGCACTGATGTTTACCAAAAAATTCAAAACGTTTGTTAAAATGTTCTTCCAGACATCATAAAGTTCATAATGTTTTCAGAACCATCCTCAAGTTGTTTTGGTTGTTCATATTTTACCACAAGTTCAATCCAGCGAATACGAATGGATGAAAATTCTTGCTCAAAGATATGGATTGATGCGACAGGGAATTTTGTATGAAAACGCTGTGAAACGTTTCGAAGGTCTTGATTTGAGTGCTTCGAATATCTTTAGAAAAATGTGTCAATGGAATTATCGAAGTAGTTTAGCAATGTTGCGTGGAGAAGGAAATGCGTGCGGTTTATTGATTGGAAAATCAAACACTCCAACTCTAGAAAAAGTTCTTTATAATACTGATGATATTCGTATTGCTGTTAACAAAGTTTTGCACAAAGAAGAAGAACCAAAAGGTATTCATTTTATTTTGATTTTAATTTCTTTGGTTGTTATCTATGAAAATGAGGGACTGGGGACTAGGAAACCAAATAGTTTATTCTATTTTATAGGAAACGAGTCGGAAAATTATATTCGAGTATGTGGTTATCCGGAGATGTTGAATTCATTCGGAATTGCTCAAATTTTAGCACCATTTAGAGTTTTGGATATTTCACAAATCAAAGCAAATGAGGCGATTGTTTTGGTGGAAAACAAATTCCAAGCCTATCAGGTATTTTATATATGTTTTATTGATGTTAAAGTCGTTGTTTTTCAGGCGTGCCGAGATTTGAATGGCAAAGTTTTGAGCCGAAACAATACTCTCAAAGTATCTCCACTTGGAACAAATGTCACAACAAAACTGACAAATCTTTAAATTATTCTCATGTTACCATTCCATTTTTTCTCCTTTGTTCACAACTGATCTTTTTTGGCATACGGTTTTATTTTGATAAAATTTCCACTTTTTAAAAATTGTATTCAAGTGGTAAAGTGTTTGAAAACGCTACGAGATATCTGAAAACATTTGAAGTCATGAAAGTATCATTTTTCTTTGATTTCAGATGGGCAGCGATGAAAAGAAACAAGAAAATCAAGGTATGGTAGAATGTTTTAAGTGAGGTCTTACCTGTAATCATCATGATATCGATTTAGAAAATTATTATTACATAGTTTTCAGCCGTTCCTGATTCGAAAAAATTAATGCTTCCCGTTCGAATGGCTCCTGGAAATATGAAAATTGTTCGAGTCCCAATTTTGCGACCAAAAATGAAAGGTTTTTTCAATTTGAATTATAACAAAGCAATTTTCTTATTTATTTTAGTTGTTGCAAAGAAAAAACCAAGTCCACTAATTGCGGAACTCGACAAAGAGAAAACTGAGGAGAAAAAGTGAGCAAGCTGAATTTTATAAATAATTTATTCGATAATGTTTCTATTTCAGGCCATATTTCACGGAAATTGAAGAATTGAGAAAAGAGTTTGGAATTCCGGATAGTTTCGACTCTAAAAAACCAACAACTATGTGCGAATTAGGTATTACATTTTATTTTTTCTAATTAGAAATAATTAAATATTTTCTAGCTTTGATTGAAAAACTACGAGCGATTCAACGATTACGAGGTGAAAACAATTTCTTGGCGGATAATATTAGCAAAAATAAAAGACTGTGAGTTTATACATCTCGGGGCTATTTTTATCTTTTTTTAAAGAATAAGTATCCGGGAAACTGGAATTGAAGATTTCAAACGATCAAGAATCAATATTCAATCACAATGCCAAATTCTTGAGTCTTCAATCCAATCTCTTGAAAGTGAGGGCAAATTTCACAATAATTGTTAAATAGAAATTGTATCGGAACGGGTTTCAAAAACATTTTGTATAATAATAATAAGAATAAAATATTTATTTTTTCAAAAAAGATTAAATACAACCCGTAGAATGTGTAAAAGGAAAGGGGAATAGAATTTGTTCGGGAACTAGATTAATTGACTAACATATATTCAAGGGACATACTAATTTATCAGTTTCCAATGCCACCGAAAAACAGCAAAATACACAATATGAAACGATCATCAAAATTCCGAAAATCTGAAAAAATTTTAATAATAAAAAAATTATCCAAATAAATCCTGACCTTGTTCATTTTCCATCCGGATAAGAAAATTGCAAAAACCAAGACAATTAACATTACGAAGAGCATTCCAACTGAACAAATAAGTCCTTTACTACTAACACTAATTGGACTCAATGGTTGTGATGGATTTGCAATAAATTCCATAAGGAAATATAATAACCATGGAATTGGAAGACCTACACAAACATCAAAAATATTTGAACCAACAGAGCTTGAAACTGCCATATCTCCAAGACCTTTTCTAGCAACGATAACACTGAAATTATGATGATTGTTTTGTTAGAATTTCATGATAAATTAGAATACCTCGTGATCAAATCGGGAATACTTGTACCGGCTGCCAAAATAGTTAAACCAATGATTTCAGTAGGAATTTCAAATGTTTCTCCGATTGTATTTGCCCACCAAACCATCAAATACGAGAAAAATGCGATCCAAAGAATTGAAATAATAAAAGTCAACGGATAAAGGCTTCGATTATGAGTTCGACGAACATCTGGGATTGTAACCCACATTGGAATGAGAACTGGAGCCAATAAAACATATGTTAGACGTTTTGTCCAAGAATCTGGCCAAGTCATATCCAATGGTTTTTCTTCCTCTTCTTCCAGAAGTGATTTCTGAGAACAAAACAAAAATATTTGTTAGGATCAGATAATTTGTATTTTCAACTTACAATCTCTTCAATTTGAGATGATCTTCTTTCTGGAACATTTTGTGTATTCAAATGATTCATATCATGTGATTCAACATTAATATGACTGCGGCTACGAGAACTCTCATCTTCTTCGCTATCTACAAAAAATGAATGGATTTTTATTAGAACAATCTTAACTTTCAAAATCGTGAATTGTAAGCCTAACACTTCATTTCTCCTCTCATCCTATTTTATTCTACAAACCTTCTGGTAATTGTTCCAAAGTATGATTCATCAATTGCATTATTCCATTTCTAAACATAGTTCCAGAATGAAGAATCGGAACAGATTGTCTTCTTGCCGAAGATCTTCTTCTTAATTCACTTCCTCCATTTTCCAAATGATTTACATCTCCATTTGTGTTATTATTGTTATTATTATGAGCAATCTCATTTGTTGCCAATTTTTGAGTTTCTTGAACTGATGCTTCTTCTAATTCCGGACTTCCACATTTGAAAAATTGTTCCAATTGAACATTATATTTCATAATTGTGCAATAAACAATATAAACAATGAACATTGCCAATGCTTCAGGAAAAGTTATCTGAAATGTATTTATTCTTTAGAAAGATTTAATCAAATTTTGAACATTTACCATTTCATCCATGAAAAATACAACCAACATTGCTAAAGCAATCATATAAATAGTAACATCGCGGAAAAGTGGCCACCATGTTAAATCGAGTACTGTTTTTGAGAATAATGTGCAAAATGCAAGAACACAGAGAATATTGAAGGTTGCCGATCCTATTAAATTTGTTTACAATTAAATACTACATAAGAGAGAAAAATATTGGAACTTACCAACGATAGTTCCGATTCCGACATTATTCTGAGCAATAAAAACACCAATAACACTTGTAAAAAATTCGGGAGCCGATCCACCGGCAGCCATAAATGTTGCACCTGCCACGTCATCACTCAATGATAATTTTTCGGTAAGAACATCGAGAGATGGAACAAAGAATTCATCACAAACAATTGCTAATGAGACAAACATGTAGATCAAACCGCATAAATGGAAGAATACTGTAAAAATGAAGATTAGGGGTTTTTATTTGAAATTTAGCATGAAAAATCAGTTAGTCGAGCTTAGGATTCTTACTTGTCAAGTAATCACGCTTAGACAAATTCAAATGTCAAATATGAGCGCTTATAGATTCTTGCTTCTAAGTAGTTCCGTCTAAAAACCGAAAAACTATAAGTTGTTCTTTTCTCGAAATTGTTTCCTTTTTAAGCTTTTAGAAAATTAACACTTGGAAAAGTACTTTAAAAATTTCTAGATTGTCACGTCAGTTCACATTTTTTCAATCCAAAAAACAGCCAAAATATCAAACCTGCTCCTTTTTTCCTTTGTTCATGTGTAAATGGATCCGGTGGAAATTGTCCATCATCATTTCCACTTGGATTTCCTCCATCTTTTTCTTCATTATTATTTGGTTTTGTTTTATTCATACAAGTCGGCAGAATTGCTTTCAAAAATCCATTGAATTGTTTTCCATTTTCGTTGTGCAATTTCTGTTGTTCTTCTATTATTTCTCTTCTATTTCTTGTCAATTCAGCCGTTCCAAAAACAACCAAAATAGCAATTGGAATCAGAAAAAAACGACGAGCAACCCGACTTTTTTCCGATGAATGTCGACTTCGAATTGTTGGACCACCGTGTATTATTCGCATTTTGGATGAAAACTAAAAAATTGAAGAGAATAAAATAAAAAAGGATTATGAGGTGTAGAAGATAATTCACAACGAAACACAAAAAATTGGATTAAAGGCCCATTTTTGGGAAAAAATAAATTGAATTTTATGAGATGTGCGAAAATGACGAATTTCACAAAAAAAATGCACTTTCTCTGAAAATCCCGGCTTACTAAGAATGAGAAAAACATAAATCCAAAGTCGCAGAAAATTCTATGAATTTTGAAAAAAGAAAAAACCAACATTTTTTTCACAAAAAAAAACCATGAAAAATTCAGTATTTATCTCTCGGCTGAATATCGCACGCAAACTTTTTTCAAAAAAAAATGTGCTGAAAATTTTTTCGTGATTGAATTGATGAATATGATGATTTGGCTTATATCTGGATATTTTTATTTGTATGAATGCATTGAAAAATCCGGAAATTTATGAGGATTTATTTCCAGATGTTTTTTGGTTATATAAAATATTTAGAAGAAAGTTTAACAAATATCTAGAATTATTTTTAGCTGAGAAGTTTTGAAAAATTTGAAAGTTTTTGAAAAAAATCATAAAATATTCCTGAAAACCTAGGGCAACCAAAAAACTGTGAAAATTAAAGAAGACTGAATTTTTGAACATAATTTTTCGTGAGTTTTTAATCAGAAAAATCTTCAATTCCGATTCAAAAAATCTCCAAAATGTTCTATTTCAATTTTCAAATCCGAAAACCTAAAAATAAAACACAAGTCATGATACAGTAATCCAAAAAATATGTTTTTTCCTTTTCCAAATTTTTTCTCTCTCTTATCGAAGAAAAAAGAGGGCAATACTCTTTTGGTATCCAGTAAAATGATACTTGAGACCGGAAGAGCTTGCGATTATGAAATGAGAAAAATCGTGGTGGAGAAAGAAGAAACAGCACAAAAAAAGAAACAAATTTAAGAAAAAAAATGAGAGGAGAAGAAAGTGGCAGAAAATGGATTAAATATGCATTCGATTATTTATGGGTTTCCCTTTCATTTTTCAGAGACTCGACAATTTGCCAAAAAAAACAAGAACGTCAACAAACTTTTGATCGACTCTCGCGGTGGCATTTTCAAGAAAACTTTTCAAAAAGTTGATTTGACAAGAAAGAAAAACACTTTCACTCGAGAAATATTTGTGTATCTCAAAAAATTCAAAATTTCGAAACCTGCAACTTTGTTTTTGCTGGAATATTTTATAGTTAAAATAAACAATATTTTTTAGACATATACTAAATTTCCCATGTCATAACTTATGTTACCCTGAATCAGTGGGTTTAGAAGAACTAGAAATCATAAATTCTGCCAAAAAAGCAGAGTGCAAACAAGGTATAGAAGGTCAAACATCAATGTGTTTTCAAAATTCTGACATCAAAATAGAAATGACAATTCAAAAATCCATAATTTTTTTTCAATAACAAACTGTGAAATCAAAAAGAAAAAAAATAGAAATCCCTGCCATTCAAAAATATTTTCTAATCTCTTCTGACGAATCTTTAATCTTTCTCATATTTATCTAAAACTTCAGAACACCCCCAAAAACCAATCTTTCTTTTTTCTCTCAAAAAATAGAGAATAATCTGATTCCTTTTTTCTGGAAAAAGTGCACTATTTGAAAAGAAAAGAAGAAGATGTCAAAATTCGATCTACCGTATGATTTTTTGAGAGCTTCTCATTTTCTGACAAACAGAAGAAGACAAAAAAAATAACGTTTCGAGAGAAGAAATCTTGGAAAATGGAAAATATGGGAATAAGTTGACACAGTAATCCTTGAATAAAAAAGGTAGAAAAAAGGAAGGAAAAAATAGAAAACGAAAAAGAAGAAGAAAGAGCAGTTGAATGCACATATACATGGATTAGGCTACTTCTGACACACCATCGAACAACAAAAGAGAAAAAAACGAAAGGGTCCGGAAGAAGGCGAAAAAAAGTTTTTGTGCTTTTTTTTGGAAATACACATATTTTTTATAAAACGCTTTTATGTTTGAAGAATGGAAAAAAGAAATGAAATGAGTGAGTGAAGAAGGAATATTTGAAGAGCACAGTTTAAGAATCAAAGAAAGTTTTTGAAGAATTTCAGAATTCTAAAAGTTTTTCTTTTTAATTTTAAAACTTCAGGGTAACTTTCTGGGGGAAAATTATCTACATAAAAACATGAGACTGTATTCATGAGCCGAGTTTTAGGGCAAATTTTTAATCGGAGCAATTCTATTCATCGGATCACCACCAAAAAGGAAACAAACCTATTTCGATAATGTGTGTTCCTTTTCTATTCAAAATTTATTCTCGATGAGAATTTATTTTTTATAAAAAGGTGTTTATCCTGTACCAATTCAGACATTGTAAAATTGAAGCTAATTGAACAAAAACGGTGTTTCAGAGCTCCCAAGTTCAAGTTAGAAGAAATGGAAATGTACTAAGAATCCACGAAGGAGCTCTATAGCTTGGCTCACAAGCTTACTTCAGTGAAGTTCAGTCCTAATAATAGTTGTGATCAATCTTCTCATTCATTACTTGCTTCAAAAATTTCTCCATACATTTTTCAGCTATTTTTTCAGATGTTATTCTGAAAACTTTCAAAAATTTCTTGACTTTTTTTTCAGATATAAATAAATGTATTTCATTCAAGTACATTGACAAATTCGAGAACAAAGAAACAAAAAAATTAGATTTGAAAACAAATGATGTTCTCTTCTCTCGAGATTTTTATTCATCTAATTTCAGCCAATTTTTTTGGTTGGTTCTACGGTAAAATAAGTCTGACAAAAAAAACAGGAAGACAATCAAATTGAAAAAAAACATTGAAGTGGTTTTTGTTTTTTTTGTATTTCGAAGAGATTGAGGAGCACTAAGGAAAAAGAAAAAAGGTAATCGAATTTTTCAGATTTGAATATTTATTTCCAAACTTGACTTGGAACATATAGATAAACAACTAGGATTTTCGAATACGTGGCATTTCGAAGAAATAAAATATAGAAATTTAAAATTCTCTAGTTATAGATATGGGAAAACATAAATTTGCACTAATAAATAATCGTGGGATGTTCTTCAAGAAAATTCGCAGAAACTGAAATATTCTGTAATGACTCAAAAAAAATTCGGAACTATACAGAAAGCAAGGGGTTTACAAAAAAGTTACTGAATTTTTAATTTTGAACTTTAAAGATCATCAGAGGATATCTATGAGAGAGATCATCAGAGGATATCTAGAGAGTATGATTGTCAAGCAGGCCAGCCTAGACATTGCATTTTTTAAAATTTAGGCTTTTGCTCACAACAGATGTAAGATGTGTTTGAGATACCTCATAGTTTTTTGAGATACCTCATAAAATTGACGAAATTTTGGACTTATTTTTTTGGAAAGTCAATCATACGTTATTCAGGTCCTTAAACCTTTTCACTTTTTGAAAAATGAATTTCCTAACACAGCCAAAATTTTTGCTAAGAAAACTGAAATTTGTTTGAGCCCACACACAATCTCGAAAAAAAGAAGAAGTTGTCATCGAAAAAATGATGAGTCGAGTCGGTTTTTTTGCTCCTTTTTCTTCTTCTTTTTTCTTCGTTTTCTTCTTTTTTTATTCAATTCGACAACCGATTTCCGCATTTTGGCATCTGACAAAAAAGTTGTTGAAAATATTTTCGACGAAATATTTTTTCGTTGAATGGATAGATGGATGGATGGAAGGATGGATGGGGGAATACTTGAAAATGCGAGAAAACGTTCATTAATTGTGATCTTAGTTCAGTTTAGAATAGAAAAGTTTTGAAAAAAATCGTGGCTGAAAATTGAAATCATATCGGATTTCAACCACGCGGAAAAGGAAAAGCACCTTGGGAAAATTGAGGAAATTGAAACTTTTTGACGTCGAGCAAAAGAAAAATAAGAAGGAGGATTTATTCGAAACGGAAAATAATATACTAAAAATATCCGGAAGTATCATAATTTCATTGATTCAAAAAATGGTGACAGTTTTTATTTTAAGTTTTTGAAGACTTCAACAAAATTATTCAAAGTTCTTAAAGCTTTCACATTTGAATATTATAGAGAATTTTTTTTGGAAATGCTAAAGTTTTGGGTGTCGTCACAAATTTGTTCAGAACTTTTCAAACCAAAAATGTAGAAGGTCCTATACCTTTTTGATGATCTGATTCATTTTTAAAATGTGATCAATCTGGGTCGATTGAATTATCCTGAAAGTCTGAAATGACCCGTAATCTTTAAAAAAAACTGAAAGATTTCCAAAAGTTTCCGAAAAAAAACTTGCACTTTTTCAACAACAAAAGAGCAACTGTCAACAGAATGAAACAAAAATGATAAATTTCATGTTGGCCAATATTTTTCCCCTAAACTTTGTGTAATTTTTTTTGGATATTTATGAGAACAAAACACAACAAACGCAAAACAAAAAGGAAGAAAATTTCAAGCCAAACTAATTTTCAAACCCGGGAAAAAAACAAAATAATCGTTTTTCAGTGGAAAAACAAAACAAAACAAAACATTTTTTGTTCCAAAACGAGCTTCTTCTTTTTCGTTTTTTTGCTGTTTTTTCGTCGACCAAAAATGCCCTCCGGGGATTCATTCTTGCTCTATTTTTCACTATTCGATATCAACGAACACCCCATTTTTATTTGAAAAATCATCGCTTGAAATAATAAGTAAGGGACTTATGACAAATAAATTGCTACTTATTTTTCAATTGACTTCAACAACCTACCTATTCAAAACTGCAGTTTATAACATTCTTATAACCAAAATTGGTGAATAAATAGAAATATGAACACAACAATTTTGGTTGTTTTTTTTTGACTAGTAAACATACATGTCTGCGAGCAGATTTTTTGAGGAAACTGCAAAGAAAAATTGGCTGGCTGAGATGGAAAGAGCGAGTTGAAGAGAAAATAAATCAAAATGTTGATCTGTAATTGAAAAAAAGTCATGTATCTTGTTAGATATTTTTGTAGCAGGAAAAAAAATTGTGGTGAAATAAATTTATTGTGAGCTGAGCTCATCTGAATGTGAAGAGGTAGGGTCTGAAATAAATAAATAACAAAGAGCAATAAATTATGTCTGATTTTTTGAACGTGAAATGGAATCGTGTTGATTTTTTTGTGCAAATGAATTCATTTCAAAAACCATAAATTTTCTTTCAAGGGAGGTGGATATTTCTTTGCAGAAATCCAATTCTAATATGAGTGGCAAAATTTGAAATTTTCAAAAACCGGAACCTTAAAATAAATACTAGAATGTAGCTTCCTATTTTCATCATTATCTGATAGCTTCAGTATGAATATACAAACTTTGCCACGTCATGACTCATATTATTGTTGAGTTCTGCAATTTCAGATGTCGGAATGGTGATCAACGGGTCGAAAACTACTAGAAAACATACAGTTTATTTCGAAATATTTCAAGTGGAAGTGGAGACAGTTCCCTTATAAACTTTTTATAATTATGTTCTTTATTTTTTTAATTATAATTAAGTATACCCAGATTGCTATTGTTCCATGAACACATCTAAAAAAATAACAAAGAGCAATAAATTTTGTCTGATTTCTCGTTCTTTTTCTCAAATTTTTCATTTCTAAACCTATAAATTTTCTTTTCTCATTTGAGATCCAACAAAAATGAATAAATCTGAAAAAAGTGCCAAAATAAGACTATGAAAACAAATACATCATTATTCTCAGTGGTGATTTCACAAGAGACAAATCAAAAAATACAAAACAAAAGATGAAATGTGAAAAGATGACAAGACAAAAAACACGAAACATGGATAATCTCATAAAAATCAAGAAAATGGCACATTTCTTCTTCTTTCGTTTTTTTTGGTTGTTTTTCATTGCTCAAACCAAACCAAAAAAGGGGTCAGTTTTTGAGGGAAAAAAAGAAGGGAAACACGAAAAGGAAAAGCCCGCATTTTCGAACAATTTATAGCAGAAGCAGCCTGTTTATTTTTTCTTTCTGGTTCATTGGTTGGCGCAAAAAGGCGGACGATTGAGAGAGAAAAAAGCAAAATAAAAGATATAAAATTGTTTTTTATTCCAGTTTTCATCATTGATTGATGACTAAAATGAAGTGCTAATTTTCTTCGGAAATTGAAAAACTTGAGGAACTTGTAACAACAAGGTTTCTTCAACTGTCAAATTGAAGCCATTTTAAAATAACAAACAAAATTGGAACCAAGAAAAATAAAGTATTTGGAACTCATTGATGCATTTCTCTCTTCTTTTCCAGAAAAAGAATGAATGACAGACTGAAAAAAAATTGGTTGGCCCAAAAAATGAAGCTAATTTCTATGCACTTTTTGTGTATGTGTGTTTCTTAATTATTTGACTGAACAACAAATTGAACAAGAAAAGACTGAAAAATTACTAACAAAAAATACGGAAGGATTAGATGTTTGAAAACGTATAAATATTTTGTTTTATTACTATCCCAACAACTAAAATAGAAATGTTCCAAATATTCGAAAAAATGCAAATTTCTGCCATTTTTAAATTTTTCGCGTGACCCAATTCACAGACTGAAACAGTATAAAATTAGAAAGATCCGTCGAATCTTCCGTTTCCTATAGAAATTCCTACCATTCCTACTACTGTTATTTTGTCAACAAAAAAATTTATGAACCTGACACGAATTTGGCAAGCTTTAAGTTTATCAGAGGTTTTTCTGCCTCTCCAGATTGAAAATAAATATTTCTATCTATAGATATATCTTTTTTCATTTTTTGTTCTGTTCTCAACGTTCATCCATTTGGTTATGAAGTAAATCGAAACAATGAAAAAGAAGGCAAAAATTTCAATTGAAAAAAAGAACAACAACACTCCGTGGTCTCGTCGCGCTCACCGTATACTCCCGCGTTTTCATCATTTTTGAATGTGTTTTCTGTGTTTTCATTTTTTTTCGAAAACAACGCCTGCATGCCTAATATGAATTTTTCTCTAGTCTCAAGCTTGTGCATGTTCGCCTGAAAAAGTGCATCGCGAATTAGGTTTTTATTTCGTAGGACATCTCAGGGTTCCCATCAATAATGACTGGGGTGAAGGTTTTCCCCAATGCAAAGAACGACATCTAGCAGACGCACAACAACGCTTGAATTTAGCTTTTTTAACGTAGAAATAGGGTGTTTTGGACACAAAAATCGCGCCTATTTTCGCGTCGTCTTGTGATTAGACTCAGCATAAATGTACTAGTATACTATTGTTTTTTGCGTGTAGAAATTGATGTTTCTGAAGTTTTTGTGTCGGTTTTTCCATGAGAGTGGAAATGGTTTCATTTTTTACAGTTATTATTTTCAGATGGCGTCGCGACAAGTAACTTTAAATATTCTTGATCCTCGAACAATAAGTGATTTTTTATCGAAGAGATTGAAAATTTCGTTGACAGCTGAATGCATTTTACAACCAACAGTAAGAAAACAAATTGTTTCAATGAAAGCATTTCATAATTTCAGGCAGCTGTTGTTCAAGAAGTTTGCACTGGATTTCTTCGTGTTGCATTAGATGTTGAAGACCAACAACTGTCGGTTCTACCTTTATCCGTTAATCTGGATTTGGATATCGATGCACATCGACAAAGTATTCCTGTAACAATTGTTTTTCAGGCTTTGTTAGTAATTTATCTCGTACATGTTTTTCAAATTCAATTTCTTCTGATTCAGGAAAGGAGCATTGACTGATATAACTGGAGATCATTTGGACTTGACAATGTGTGATTTGGTTCGCCCATGGAAAGCACCAGCAAGAATTAAGAAACTATTCTCATTTTTTGTCGATTTTCTGAAATTATTGGAAGTAATGCGACCACAATTTGATACTGTTCTTGAGGAATTCACTCAAAAACGAGTAGAATTGGAAGAATATCAAGAACTCATGGTAGTAGCTGAAGGAAAGAAAAAGGCGTTGATTGATCAAGAAAGTACAAGGAAAAGGCGCGAGCTTGATGTATGTTTTTAATGAATTGCACAAGTAAATACTAGCTTTTGCAGCTTTTCAATACGTTAAAAACGGTGCAAAGCGAATTCAATCAAGTTGTGGACAACTACAAAAAGTTGAATCGTTTGATTGCCGAACTGGATAAAAAGACAAACGACAACCTTGAGGAAATGGTAAGATTTTTGAAGTTAAATTGCCAAAAAATATGATTTATTTCTAGAAAAGACTCGATTTGGATAGTGAAAATGCTCGGAAAACAATCGATCACTTGTCTGTTGTAAGTTGTCATTCCTGATAAATTTTTGAGTCGATCCACAATTTTATAGGAGTTATTGAGTTCTCCAAATCGAGTACGCAATGAGACTGAAAAACAACGACAAGAATTGAAAGAAATTGAAGAATTCTCGACTGAAACAAAGAAAAATTTACAAGAAAGAGAGAAGGCTTTAGAGATTTGTGCAAGAGCTGAAAAACAAATTGGATGGATCATGGAACGAGCAAAAGTTTTGAAAACCGATAAATTACGAGTTCAAGAATATTCGGATCGTGTTTCCGAGAAGAAAACGAATTTGGCTGAATTGGATCAGCAATTTGGTTTCATTGTGAATAAATTGAACATGGAAACCGGTCTTGTTGCAACTTCATTGGAAAACCATAATCAAATGAAATCCAGAAATGAAAAAAGACTCGAAGAACTTCAACAACGATTGAACACAGGAATAATGTAATATTTTGTCTGAAAATTATAAATTAAAATTAAAATACGGGAAAACATCTTCAGGCAAATCGAAAACTTGAAGAAAGATTGTGCGCCTTCAACGAATGAAGCAAAATCAAAAATGGCAACAATTTTGTCGATCAAAAATTCAATCAGTGAATATAACCGAAAAACTGATGAATACATCAAGGAAATGGTCGAAGAATTGAAGAAAATGAAGAGCACCGTGAGTTTTTTTCAGATGTGGATTTTGATATTAAAAAAACGCCAAGAAGATTTATGTTTTAATTCAAAGATCTCGAAATTTGGTCCGTCCACATTTCCAAGAAATTGAATTTTTCAGTTCGATGCAAATCAAATGGCTGCATTGGAAAATAGCAGATTTGTTGAAAGAGCAAGTGATCGATTAAAAACTTGCCTCGATTTTTAACCAAGCTCAATGGATTGTTTAACTGTTTTTTGTATTTTCTTGTATAATACTTTTACAATTCACAAGCAAAAAATTCGACCTCATTTTTTATAACTCGTCGATTTTCAGCGTGTGCTATTTTTTCTGATCCTTTTTGTGAATACGTATTTTTAATTCTGAATAAAAATATCATTTTTTTAAAATTTATTATTTGGTTTGTACGTTACTTATACCGTACGCAAGTATTCATTATTTTATTTTCTTCATTTTTTCCATATTTCAGAAAATGTCTAGCTCAGATATACATTGTTCAACTTCCGATTCTTCTGATCCATCATTTGGAAGTTCGTCAGAAGAAGGTATTTATCTTTTATATATTTTGACACAGCGTGTGTCACACAGGCGAAAAAACTCAAAATGTGTACACTTTTTACGTGTAATTACGTGATTGGATGGGATCGGCCGATTTCTTGAAAATGATGACGTCATCGAAACGTTTCATTGTCGTGGCAAATGTCCGCCATTGCACATTTTTTTTCTGTTTTTTCGCCTGTGTTCACCTGTGATCAAGGATTCCTGTAAAAAAATAATGAAATTTCAGGTGAACCGAATATGTTGTCAGAAGGGAGTGATTTTGTTGTGATACCTTCAAGTGAAAGTGATAGTGGAAATATTGTAGGGCCACCTCCGATTGATTTTTCTGATGATGAAGAATATCATATAAATCGTATGTTTTTTTTTTGAATTTTTTTCCACGCATTTGAGCATATTGAAAATAATCAAATCCAACCCCTCATCTACCTGGAATTTTTCTGAGAAATTTTAACGAAACAAAAAATTCAATAAACGTTTTGATGAAGTTCAAATAACGTTTTTGAAAAATATAGAACATTTTTTCTAGTTTTTGTATTTTTTCTGAAATAAAGATGAGCAAGGAATATTATGTTGCATGTTCGCTCCACCGAGAAAATGTCTCCCCCAAACATTTTTTCACCGTAATAATTATTTTGTGGTGTGTTTTGTGTAACAGTCCTTTTCGCAATATAAATTGGCTCAGTTTCTCTATGAAAACCATTTTTTTTCCTTTTCCTGAATCGATATTAATATTCCTATTTTTAGATATGAATTCTGACTCGGATAACGACGAATACGATCCAAATTTTGATGCAGCAGCATATTATGAAGCTGTACCTGATAATATTTATTCGGGAAATGTTGTAAATGAAGAAGATCAATTGAATTTGAATGATTATACCGATCAAAATATCAAGGTTAGTTTTTATCAGAAATATAGTTGCTCTTTATGAACACTGTCAAACTATAGAAAAAACTTCAGTCTCTGCTTTCTTCGATTTTGTTGTCGGATGGAAGTAAAGCAAAAATTGGATATACCGCTGAAGAAGTTTCGTTCATGGCTGAGTAAGTTTAGTTTATTTAGATATTCAAATTAATAAAAGTAATCCAATCAATTTTTCTATTTAAAGAAAAATGCTCCAATTGAATTTATCACAAATCACTCAAATATTGATGGGATCAAATTGTTTGGAAAGTCTTGCAACAAAATCGAAAGTTGATATGGCACATGATCTGGTTCAGAATAATTGGTTGATATTCAATGATGGAAAATTTTTGTAAGAATTTCGTTTTTTTTTAAATTTCAGCGAAATATTTTTTTCAGCCCGAAAATAGACCATAGTCAAACTGAAATTGTGAAACAAATTATAAGAGGAGCTGAAGCTGAGTTAGTATTTTGAAAAACATTTCAAAGTTACAAAAATTCGAAATCAAAACATCTTTTTGTTTCCAGACAACGTCGAGTGGAGCAAAACAAAAAAGTTACCGCTGAATTCGAATCCGCAGAAATTGAAATTCGTGCTATGAAGGTTTGAGATTTATCGAATGTATCGAATGCTTAATTACTTTTTACAGACTTATAACTATTTGATTGCCCTCATTTCACGTGTTTGCAATGATCGTGGCAGAGGCTTGGTGAGATTTTGAAAAAAAAGGATGTTTTTAAGCTTATCAAAATTCATTTTTACAGGTTTCATATCAAATGTTGATTGATGCACATAATGAGATATTAGAAGGCACAAATTACAATGATATTTCTCAAAAATTTGTAGAGAAACTTAATTTGAAAGATCATGGTGCTTGGAGTGCAGATTGGTTCAAACATTTCACAAGTCGAAGCTCTCTCAAAAAATTCGTCAAAATGTCACAATTTTCTGGAATTAAAACGGATTTGATTGAAAATAAGCCAATGTTTGGTCTCCGAGACACAGCAAAACTTTTTGGAAATGAGGATTTTGCGAACGTTCGACAAAAATGGACGATTCCGGATGATCGAAAAAATCGAAATTATTCGAGAGATCAAAGACAACCTCGGAGAAAAACAGAAGAAGAACCAGATGAGAATTATGAGCCAAGAAATTTCAAATTTGATGACAGTGATGATGATTATGAAGAAGATCGAAACCGGAATCGAAATCAATCAAATCAACCCCCTGCACGTTTTATTGGTTCTGCTTTCGGTGGACCACCAATTCAGCCAGCTGAAAAAAATCCAGTCAAAGATGAACCGTCAAAGAAACTAACAAATTGTGTTGAAAATACTTCTTCGACTCGTCAAGTTTCATCTAATGATGTTGATCTTGATTTACAAGAATATTTGACAAGCAGTGATGATACTGGTGGATTTTTTTCTGATGACAGTGATGCAACAAAGCAACAAAAAACTCAAGTTTGTTAAAATTTTAAAATTCAGATTTTATATTATTGATTTTTCTATTTTTTTCAGCAATATGAAAGAAAGAAGGATGAAAAAGAAAGAAAGAAACTTTTACGGAAAGAGAAGGGAGAAGAGAAAAAACAAGCGGCTCCGCCAGTTCGAGGTAATTTTAAACGAAAAACTGTTGCTGAAATTTCTATCTTCTGATTTTCAATTTTTCAGCTTTCCTGTCTGCATGGGGTAGTTCCGATAATGAAGAAACAATCGAAAATAATTCTTCAAACAACACTAAAAAGTCATATGCATCAACATCTGCTTTGCCTGTAACTTCAGTTAATTCTGATGTACGAGATTATATCCTAAACTTTTATCTCGAAAACAATTCATTTTTTCAGTCAAATCTTCTTGGAAAATCGACAAGACCTCAAGTTCCACACGAACCATCTGGAGTTCAGTTACAAAAGAATCGCGAAGAAGAAGGCGAAATTTCGAGAAGAAGAATGAATCAAAAAAGAGAAGAAGAAAATGAGGATGTTGATGAAAAAACGAAGGAATATGGAAGAAGACAGAAAAAACAAAGGGAAGAGGATAAGAAAAAAATTCTTGAAGAAGAACGAATTGTACGAGAGAATGAAGAAAGAAAACGAAAAGAAATTGAAGAAAAAAAACGACAAGAAAAGGAAGATGAAGAATTTGCCAGAAAAGTTCAAGATGAAGAAAAGGGATTGAGAACATGGGATGGAAATGATTATGATAGACAGTAAGATTAGTTATCATGTTATTTAATAACTCTTCATTTTCAGTCATTTCGAACCACCTCAAACTGGAAAATTTGGCTCAAGCAGGTATTCATATTTGTTAGTTTCATAAAATATTTTTTGAATTTCATTTTTTGCAGACAAGATTATGATCCATCTCCTCCATTGATTTCTGAAAGAGGGTTAGTTGTTTATTTTCCAGTTTTTCAATAAAAATTGGAAATGTTTACAGATCTACTTCAAGACATCATTCATCAAGATATGAAGATACACAGTCCGTTTTTTTTCAATTTATCAAGAGATGGTGCGAATGTGATTTCCCATTGGGGGATACTTAGATCAATTTTTCCTAACAAGCAGATATTTAGTTTCCATAAGTTTCATCCATATTTCTCTATAATTTCTCCAAATTTTTTATTGGAAAAGGATTCAAAATTTGGGACGTTTTGATAATTTTAGTAAAATACGGCTTTGGACAGAAACAATTCTTAGTGTAATCACAATAAGTAGTTTTTTCCCTAATTTTACCTATTCAATATATTTCCAGAAATCATGGTTCATCTCGTCAACATCCAACTGAAATGAGGTAGGGTTCTGGAAATATAATTTCCATTTTCACTCAAAATTCTCAAAACCTTATAGAGATCAACATCGTCGCGATAATTATACTCCATCAAATCGGTGAGTTAAATTGTTTTTTTTCCTTCTTGACCAAAATCGGTTTGTTTTCAGCAGTCGCCGTGTTTCTCCGGATTTTGAACCAAAAGCGTTTCATTCTTATGTTCCTCAAAATCATCAAGTGCATCGTCCACAACCGACACATGGAAATGATAGGGTTTGTTTTTTTCATGGAACACTAAATAATTGAAACTCTGTTTTAGTATTTCGCGGATTATTCATCGTCTTCATATCCTGCTCAATATAATCCACAAAATTATTCTCAACCACCAATTCGTCAATCTGTAACGAATAATCGATGCGGTAAGAGATTCAATGTTCATCTTCCCGCTAATTATATTTAAATATTTAGGTTCGACTTCTTCAAATCAAGGTTTTGGAAGTTTCGCTGCAGAAAGAGATCGGTTTGTTTGTTGATTTTCTTCATTTTAATAATAAAACGTACTTCAGAGTTCACGCGAATATGAGTCGGAATTCAAATTTTCACGATGGTTTGGAAGCCCTTCGAGATAGGATTCATTCATTCATCATTTATCATTATAAACATAATGAAGTTGTAACCGAAAATTATTTTTATCAAACATATCCATATAGACTCCCAGAAGGATTCAATTTTCATGATTTTGTTTTATCAAATATGAAAGATCTAATTATTATCAGAGGCAACGGATCCTTGAAAGTTTACGATCCATTATTCTAAATCGATTCCTTTTTATTTTTTTCGAATGTATTATTTTTCATGAATTTTTTGAAATTAATTCACTGCATGTAGAATAATTTATATCACAAAAAAAATATTGGAAATATTATGCATCATAAATCAAGAAATTCTAATAAGAAAATAATTGTTTACATTTCATCAACGATAATGTTTGCTTCAATACTCTCATCAGGCCATAACAATTCTTTTCGCGATTGAATAAGTCGCAACTCACACATTCGTTGTGAATTTGAGTCGACTTCGGATTGTGCAAATTCACTGGTTCTTCTTATTAAAAGCTGCATTGAAGAAAGAACTCGTCGGACTGCATCAGCAATATTTCCATTTAATGCATCGAGCCAAACGACAAGAAGAGATGCAAATACATCACCTAAAATAAATATTTTTGAAAAGTTCCAAATCAGGTTTGGGTAAGGAAAACTGAAAAATTTTTTTGAACAAAAATTTAAAAATATGTTTTCCACTTTTTTGCAAATACTCGCGGAGGTACGTACATTCAACCTTTTCAATGGAAAATAGAATATTTTGATTGCGGAAATTTTAAAAAACTTTAGAAGATTTTTCATTGAAAAATACTGCAGGGTTTTTCTGTGGAAAAATCCTGAAATCATCAGATAATAAAATATAGAACGGGATTTCAAATAATTGAAAAATGAGCAACATTAAAATGAAGCTCTAAACTTTGCGACCCAGTTTAAGAACTCAACTAACCTGTTCCAACAAATTGTCCTTGTAATCTTGGAAACGTGAATCGATAACAAATTCCATCTCGAATACTCGCATAACATCGAAGGAATTCCGAAGTTTGTGCTCCAGTCACTCCACTTGTCACAACTATTGTTGAAACACCCTTTTGATGCAAAATCCCGATTGCTTTCAAACAATCTTGTTCAGTTTCAATTTTGATTCCAGTCAATTCGCCTAATTCAAATGCATTTGGTGTTAAAACATCAGCTAGCGGCACAATTATATCACGATAAATTGGCATCAATTCTTGAGGTGTATACTGAAAAAAGTAATATTTTGAAAATAAACTATTTTTTTTGTTCTAAATCCTTACATATCTTCCATTATCTCCCATCACAGGATCACAGAAAAACCGAGTATTTGGGTTATTATTTTTCAAGTCTTTCACGACATCGGCAATTTTTTGCAAAAATGTTACATTTCCACAGTAACCTGTAAGATTTTGGATAATTTCATATTTTCATATTCGAAAAATAAGTTACCTGTTAGTACATGAGAATATTTGTTGATATTGTTGAGTTTCAAACCTTCATATAATTCATCAAGTTCTTTGTCAGTCAATCTTTGACCTTTCACGTGTTGATATCCTGTGAAAATTTGGAATTTTTTGAATTATAAAACAAGAATTCAAATTATCCGTGCAAAAACTCAAATTCTCATGCTAAAAATCTAACTTTTTTTTTGATTTATTCCTGTTTTTGTGCCAAAATTTCCAGTTCAAAAATTCCTAAAAATAATACTCTCTCACACACTCTCTAATTAAAATTTCAATATTTTTTCCAACAAAAATTACTTGTCGGAAGCGTCAAATATTCTATGTTACCAGCGTGATTCGAGAATTGAACACTGTTTATTGCATCGACTTCGAAACCATGTAGCTGAAAATAAAACTAGTTATATCAATGGCAATCAAACTTTTTTTGCGGTTGACAAAGAACACTCGCGAAGGTTCTGATTCAAAATGGTTGAAAATTGAACAAATCAAAAAGGTAAGAATGAAATATAAAAATCACACTGTACTGTACACACTTTTTTTCAAATTAGCCCCCAAGTGGCACAGATGCACAGATGCACAGTGTGTGCAAACACTGCGAACCACTTTTGTGTACAGTACAAGTAAGATTTGAACTTTTGATAGACATTGAAATTTTTTGTGGTCTTACCCCCTCTTTCAACTGAAGATTTTTGAAGACCTCACAGAATTTCCCTTTGAAAAATGTATATTTCTTTTTCTTTTAAGAAAACTCTTTTCAATTTCTATAATAAAAATTTCCCTTATTTCTTACCTGCAATGGAAAAACGGAACATTTATTGCCAGCATAACCATGAACCACGTGGCTTTGTATTGAAAGAACACGACGATTTGGTGTTTTTTCGAGTTCCTTTATTATTGAAGCCGAATTACTCATCAATCTTTTTATTGGCTGAAAAATACAATTATTAGTATTAGTATTTAGATATGAAAATGTAACAAAAATGTTTGCAATATTTAAAGAAACAATAATAAAAAGTGATAATAAAAAAGATAAGAGAGGACAGGAAAAAACGAACTATCACTCCATAACAATTATAAAGTTCAAGAGAATAAAATTTTCACGAAAAAAAATTCCTGATAGAATTTCAGAGAAAAACCTACATTCCATTGCGATTTTACCAATGAAAAACTGAAAAACGGCCAAAACGACATATTGTAAAAATGAAAATGAAGCTTTTCACGTTAAAGAAAATTTTATTAAAAAATAATAAATATTTTTTGTTTTTGCAGAAGAAAAATATGAAAGGAAAAATGCACTTGAAGTGGAATGTAAATTCCATACTTTTTAATCCTCATGAATATTTCCGTTTTATTTTTCGAAAAAGATGACAAATTTGCATTTCAAAATAAATTTTCTTAAGCTTCGATGATCAGATTTTTGATTTCGAAAATTTAAATTATATAGAAAGAATTCTTCTTCAAACCTAGGCTATAACTTGAAAATTATTATTGAAAAAAAAAACAATGAAAAGTATGAAAAAAATAAATATCCGTGAACACTGAAGAGAAAAAAAGAAAAAACGGAGAAAGAGAGCTTGAAAAGTGAGACGCAGAGATTGGAAGATGACCATCAAAACAATGAAATTTTGTGTACTTGTGAGAATCGAAATGAAAATCGGGAAAATATCAACAAAACGAGAAGATATTGAGAAAATTTGAACAAGATTAGGGCAAAAACCACAAGATTATGAAATATTCGTCTCAGAAATAGAACAACATTTTGAATGGCGAAAAAGACGTGCAGACATGTCCGAGTGGTTAAGGAGTTTGACTCGAAATCAAATGGGCTCTGCCCGCGTAGGTTCGAATCCTGCTGTCTGCGAATTTTTTTTGAAATTTTAATTTCAAAAATACTATTGATTTAATTATGCAGATTGGGGAAAAATTGTCAATATAAAATTTTGAGGATGCAAAAACCACTTCTATAAATTCCGAACACAAAAATTTAAAGATTTATTCGGTTCAATAAATTCAAAAAGTTTTATGTTCGTTTGACGAACTACGCGTGTTATTTACAGTCAAGGCATTAACATAAACGGAATGATTAATATTAACAAAATGTCGAGCACAAACAAAAACTGGAAAAGTATCCTCTGGATTGCATTGCATTTTCAGAATTAGAACCCATTTTGATTTTCTTGGAACTGATGTCATTAAATCTTTTTCACAAATTTCTCCGCAAATATGACATGGTTGAGTCAAAACTTCTTTTTTGACTCCTGAAATCAATTTGTCTCCGGTGAATTTTTCAACTTCGTTGACTTCTTCCATTGTAACTTCATCCTCAAAAACATGGGTTTTGGAATATTAATTATTCCGACAACTAAGTTAGATAGTTGAACTAACCTGATCATCCAAATCATCTTCCATTTTTTTCGGCAAATCATATCTTCCTCTTCTTTCATTGTCAAAATGACTCTTACAAATAGTGTTGGTCGCAAATGCCTTCACATTCTCAAAAAACGATCTTCCTAAAATTTTGGACCATCTAAAAACAGTATATCTGTTGAATGGAACATTTGTCAATTCTGCTCTCGTTTTCGAAGCTCCACAATATCTACAGTAGCTTCTCATAAGTGGTTTCTGAACAATTATAAATATTTTAGAATAAATTATTTAAAATAATTCTTACTTTTTTTACAATTGGAGGTGTTGGTGGCATTTCAATCTGAAACAGAGATTTCATTTATAGTATCATTTTGAGTGAAAAAATAATTTCGCGATAGGAAACGCTATTGGAAATCAAAACCATTGAAAACTAAAAGAAAACATTTATATTGCAAATAAGAAAATAAACAAATTAACAAAAAAAGAACATGAAAAATTATATTGTGAGTAACAAAAAATACTATTCCAGCTTTGCATTTTTAACTTTAACAACTTGATTGGTCTGAAAAATTAAATATTTATAGATGTGGAGGCATCTAAAACAGGACTGATATGAATCGGAATCAACAGATTTCTCGGGGTGTGACAAACGTCGGACCACCTCCTGAATTGTTGAAAACACTGAATGTGCTCTGGCTAGTTTTGTCAAAAGATCGAAATGAATATAACATTAATGAAAATATAGAAATTGATGGAATACTGATTAATTGTAACTAACAATTTCAGAAAAATCACAAGCTTTGTTTCTAGTTTCAAATGTCTCATTTTCAACTATTTTCTGAAAAATTGAAAAATTAAAAAAACCCTTCCGGAAACTTTAAATTCCGAAAAAAAAAATCTGATTGAAAATTAGGAACAGAGAACTCGGAAGATCAGTTATATTTCCGAATCTTCAAGGATGTAACGATCAAGCCTGATTCAAACTCATATATTCTGAATAAAACTCACGACATCATCAAATGCAAATCCAAAAAAGTTCAAATTGTCCAAATAAATATCATTCAATTCCAGTTTGATTTGAGGTTGACGTCGTTTTTGTTTTTCAACCTGAAATAAACAAGTGTATAAATGAAAATTCTGAATAAAAAACCTTATTTGTAACTGGAAAATCTCCCTTTCTTCTCGTTTTTTGACCAATTGGAATATCAAAATGGCTCAAACAAATCATACTCATCGGTTTATTCTTCGCATTTTTCTCAAATTTTTTACCAAGAATTTTACACCATTTCTCGAAAACTTCTTTCGTTGTTGGTGTTTTCGTCATCAATTGTTGTATTTTTTCTTTCTCCACAATATTGACATTCTCGACTTCTTTTATATGCGTTTTTCAAACCATTCAATTCCTTTTTTGGATTTTTCAACGATATTGTATTTTTTGATTCTTCTATATTTTCATTCAAATCAAGTTGTTCATCTTTAACGAAATCAAATCTTTCTAATTCTGGCATATTCAAATCATCATTTTCATCATCATAACTATCATCATAATCGTGTTCAATTGATTCAGAATCAGAAATTTTGAGTGAATCAGGTATCTGAAATTTAAAAAATTGAGAAAATATATTATTTTTTCTCATCAGAAACATACCTGATTATTATTTTTCATCGGAATCGGAAAATTATTATGACTTCGATTTTTGACTCCGCCAGGAATTTCGAAATGACTCAAACAAATATAGTTTCTACGTGTATCATGAAGATTTTTCTCGAATTCCGGACCCAAAATTTCGATCCATTTTTCCAAAATGTCTTCTTTTCTTGGAACTGATGTCATTTGTTTTGGATCGCATTTCAGACCACAATATCGACAAGGAAGTGGATATGAATACTTCTCTTCGTGCTCCTCTTTCACTTTTGTATTTTTATCAGTTCTTGATGATTTCGACAAAACAACCAGCTCTTTTTTTCTGAAATCAAGTTATTTTCAAAGAAAATATTATGAAAAAGGATACCTCATTCTTCACCTTCAATGGAATCGGTAAGTTATTCGGTTTTCGAACATGGACTCCTTTAGGAAATACAAAATGTGAAAGACAAATGAAATTTTTCCTTTTCTGTTTGACCTTTTCTTTAAATGCTGGTCCTAAAATCTCGAACCATTTTTCCAAAATTTTGATGTTTCTTGGGATTGGAGTGGCTTGTTTTGGATGACATCGCGAATCACAATATCGACAAATTATGTAATGTGGAATACGTTCCCAGATTTTATTTCTTACTTCAGTTTGAGGATTCTGTAATTGCAGAAACTTAAAATTAGGGAAAATATTTTTTGAAAAATTTCGAATAAAAACTGACCCGTTTCCTTTTTGAATTTCCATTTTTTGGCAAATGATCAATACAAATCAAATGTGTTTTAAAATGCTTCATTCGTTCCTCAAACTCTTTCACAGAAATATTCATGGATTTTACGAAACACTTATAATTTTTGGGAATATTCACCATATCTTCTTTGTTGCCAGTTTTCCGACAACATAAACATTTCGGCATTCTGAAAAAATTTGTAGAAATAGTTATTCCCATAGCAATTTTTTTTGAAAATACTAATTATCGTATGAACGACGATTTTGAAACAATAAGCAAAAATCCTGTTAAAAAAGCAGATAGATTTATACAAAAACAAAAAGAAATAACAAGGGGAAGTGATCAATATTTACAGAAAATTGTTATTAAAATTTGGAACTTTTAAAGTTTGTTGGTTAACTTGTTCAGAATTATCTGGAATATTATCATTGTTCAATTGAAAATGATCTAATTGTGACAATTGTGAATTGAGAAAAATTGGATCAAATTGATCAGCTGAATTGATTGGAGTGATATTCGAACTTGGTGAACTCAAATTGTCCGTCTTTTTTTGTTCAACGCAGTGATTGCATTTTCCGGGAGGAATCTGGAAATTAATATTTTCTGTATATTCACAAACAAGTTTTATCAATCAACTTACATGACTGATTTTCACGTTAATAACACTATCCGGATAGTTATACTTCTGAAAATATTGAGAACGAATTTTTAGTTATCAAATTTAAACAAGAACATACCAACGAATCGAATGGTAAAGGAATTGGAAGAGTAAATGGCATTATTTGGCCGGTGCCTTTTTGAAGATAGAAATGTGAAACACAAATAACATTTAATTGATTTGAAACATCAATTTCATTTCCTAATTCATGATTCCATTCTGAAATTGCATTCGAACAATATGGAAGTCGGACCATTTCATCAATTGGACGATGTTTTCCACAAACCGAATAACAACAAATCAAATCAGGCATTTGATTTATCTTCGATTGATCCAAATATTTTGAATGCCGTATTGATTGTTTCGCGAATTCCTAATCAAAAAATTTTTTTTGAAAAATACTTAGTCTTTCTTACCTTTTCTGAACTCAAGTATCTATAAATTTCTACAATTGCTGCATCGATAATTATTTTCGGATCATAAAAGTCAATTGAAGAAACACTCTGAAATATAAGTATGTTCTGTGTTCTGATCTAAATTTTTGAATACCTCATTGATTGGAGTATTGTTAGGTCCAAGATATTCCGAATTCTCAAAATAATATTGATCACTCAAAATATTCAAGCCAGCTTCTGCATTGAAAAATGGAAATGGTTTTGGGACTTCATTTAAGTAATCAAAATGAGCCAAGCAGATATAACAGTGTTCTCTTGATAATCTTATAAAATTTCGAAAAACACTTCCAAGTTTATTTTCCCATTCCTGACAATTATATGGCACAATCTTCATTTCTAATAAATTCCTTGGTAAACCACAATATGAACACATTTTTTTCACAATATTTTTTGGTGTTGGTGTATCAGGATTCGGAGACAATTGTCGATATTTTACACGTGATCTCAATTGAATCGATAATTGTGAAAATTGTGGTTTTTCATCTAAATGAAAAGTGCAAACTCTTGAATTTCCAGTTTCGAAAGAGTTCACCAGAAATTCACTGCCAAAAACATGTGCCCATCTTCTTCGACATAAATCAGTTCGTGGAATTTGAGTGCTTTCTGATTTTTCAACATCTTCGCCACAAAAGCAGCAAATAAAGCTGGAAGTTTTCTAAAAAAAATAATTTGAGAATTTTTGGAAATTGGTAATACATATTTGTAACATACAAACTCATTCGAACTATTTGAAACATCAGAGTCACTTCTAGGCTTTTTCTCTGGAATAACTGAATCATCAGGAATATCTTCGAATTCTACAGGTAATCCATCTTTTTCGCTACAAAATGGCAACGGAATTGGAAGTGATGATTTCTTTCGTTTTCCATTTGGTAAATACTTGAAATGTGACAAGCAAATGTGTGGCTGTGCAAGTATTTCAATGTTTTCTTTGAATTCTTCTCCCAAAATATCAATCCATTTTTGTCGTTTATCATTTCCAATCGAAGGAACTATTGTCATTGATTCACGTGGTCGGCGAGTTGAACAATAACAACAAGCAACTAAAAATGATCGCGAACGAGCTCTTTGCATTTTCTACTGAAAACTGTGACCTGATCTGAAATATATCTGATTTGATTCGAATATGAAATATAAACATTCGTTTCAAACGATTTAGAAAGAAAATATAAACACGTGATAACTAAAACTATAAAATTGATTTATTTATTAAAATTATGAGATAACAATAAATTCGAATTTCTGTCAACTTCTTCTTCTTCCTCATTTTCATATTCTTCTTCATCTTCAAAATCAAAGTCATCATCGTCCATTAATAAATCATCATCTTCAAGGTTCTGAAAATATTTATAGACAAACGAAAAGTCAAATCGAAAATAAATTGACTACCTCAAAATCTTCTTCTTTAATTTCTTCGACTTGTTCTTGTTCTTCATTTGTGTTTTTCATTCCATTTTCAGAATAATTTGTATCTTCCTCGTTTTCAGTATTTCCTCGATTTCTAAAAGGCAACGGAAGAGGAATCTGCCCCCATTCAACTCTTCCATATTTCACATTTTCGAAATGCTGGAGACAAACATGCGGTTGTCTCAACTCCAATATAGTTTCACCAAATTTATTTCCCAATGATTTTTTCCATTTTTCGATTATTTTCATATTCTCAATTGGCACAGGAGTCATGAATTTTGTTGGTGTTTCTTCAAGACAATATGCACAAAATCTAGGAAATTCGGGGTTTTTACAAGAGTGACACTGAAAAACCGTCAATTCGAAACGTTTCTCTAATTGAAAAATGAACCCACTTCAACAGTAACAATGTTGTCATCAGGAATCGGCAATCCAAATCTATCCCTTCTTCCATTTTCGTTCAGTTCAAAATGTGTTAAACAAAGATCACCATGATTGAATTGTTTGACATTTTGAAGAAATTGGAGTCCAAGAATATGTGTCCAATCCTGAAGTCGTTTCGGATTTCGTGGTGCTTTCGTCATATTTTTTTGATGTTTCTTTTCTCCACAATAACAACAAGTAACAAACGATTGCTGAAATAATTTGCATCTATGAACTTCCTTTTTTTTGATAAGCATAACACTTACACGAGGTGTTACATTTTTATAATTGGATTTCTTCTCATTCTTATCGTCATTTGATTTATTAGGATACTTTTCTCGATGTTCTTTTTCTCCATCAAAAGGCAATAGTTTCGGCGACGCTTGTCTTGGTCGATGTCCATCTTCTCCCAGATCAAAATGCATTCGACAAACATGAGGAGAAGCATATTTTTCACAAAATTCCATAAATTTCGGTCCAAGAATCAAGCTCCAATTGTGTCGAGTTCGAGAATTATGTGGAACCAGTGTCATTCTATCACGAATTTTTCGCACTCCACAATAACCACACGTTACATCAAAGCTTCTTTTTTGCGACATTTTCTGAAAAATAAAACCAAATTCATACTCGGGGAAAAAGTATCTAGCAAGTTTTGCTACAAAAATCGACTTTTAGCCAGCTTGCAACCATTTTTAGCAAGCTTGCTAAAAATGGTCGCAAGCTGGCTAAAAGTCATTTTTTCTTGCAACCACTTGCTATTTATTTCTCGAGGTACGATTAATCGCCGGCCTTATCGTTGGCGCGAAGACTCAGAGATTCACTGGCCAGCTTGCCACCAGGTGAGGTGGCTGGCTGACTTGGAAACCGCATATAAACCATGTCGCCCAGTTTTTTTCGATTTCAAAAATTTCCTTTCAGATTTCAAAAACCTAGGCCAAGGAGACCTGGTGGCCATGCGGTTTCCAGGCGGCCACAGAGATCTGGTGGGGAGCTGGCCAGCGAATCTGAGGAATTGGGATTTTTAAAATTGTCAGAGAACTGGCGTCAATTCAAGGATGCGGTGTTTGCGGAGAATGCACACATCCAAATCTACAGTACTCCACAATTCATTTATAATTTTTCATAAACTCTGAAAAACACTGCTGGAATTTTCGGTTAACCGAAACCGGTTTAGTGGTAATTTTTTGAAGAAGCGCCAGCTTGTTATTAAAAAAACATGTTTGCAACTTTTTTGGATTACTGTAGCTGTTGCTTTTGCTGTGTTTTTCGCTATGAGTTCATAAAAGTGTTTTTATGTTGTGTAGCAACATTTTTACTCAGAGATTCGCTGGCCAGCTCGCCACCAGATCGCTGCGGCCACCTGGAAACCGCATGGCCGCCAGGTCGCCTTGAGTTTTCCGGCGACGTGGCCTGTGTGTTTGAAATCCTGGAAAGCTGGCAAGGCGGTGGTTTGAAATCAAAACACTGCATTTTCTATAGTTTTTTCACTTCCTAAGGTTTCTAGTGCTGCGAAAAAACAGAAAATGAGCCAATTTCTTCGAAAATGCCTCAATTCACAAGTTTTTCAGACATTTTCATGAAAATTCATTTTGATGTGGCGAAGTGGCCACCACATGGTAGCCATATGGGCTTGACCTAGCCAGGGCTTGGCCATCTTGCCAGCGAAAAAAAAACCGGGCGACATGGTTTCCATGTGGTTTCCAGGTCGGCCAGTCTCCCCACCTGGTGGCGAGCTGGCCAGCGAATCTCTGAGTAACGCTATTTTTGGCTGTACAAATCGAGAGAGTGGCGCAGAGAAAAAGACGCTCGTTTCTCGACACGAACAAAAGTATTTTGGTAATACTACTGTATCTATTGCTTCGCGTGTGTCTTTTTCACGCGTTTCTCGAAACGAACAAACAAAAAACTATAGAACTACTGTACTTAAAGGGAGTTTTCGCGTCTCTGTCATCTTTCTCGATTTGGATGCTCTTCTTCTTTTTTAAAATAGCGTGTTTTTTCGATAATGAAACAATAAATGAAAAAATAAAACCTTTTATCATTCGAATAAAGGTATTTTAAAAATAGAACATGAAATTTTAGAAACTATTTACAAAACATTTAATAATGATTAGCTATGATCTTTTTAGTAGTCGATTTAAAAACGATCGAGGTTGTTCATTTTTCTTGTTGGTCCCAGGAGTTGCATTAAGTGTTCCATAAATCGGATCATCTTTATTTCGTGTCATTTTCCGACCTCTTTCAACTTTTGAATATCTTCCAATTTCATTTTTCTCTGATGGAATTATTGACTTTACATTACAATAAAAATCATCATGTGGAGCAAATATAACACGGTAATTAGCAAGAAGAACTGCCGAAACAAATATTCCTTGTTGTTTTTTGAATCCACCACATATTCCAATCCATAATCCACAAACAGTCGCTTCCCAATTATTGCTAAATCCATTTGAAATATCAGCCAATTCGAGTACTTCATTTGTTGAAATTGATCTCATAAACATAATAAATTTATGCAATTTTCTCCGTCTTGCTGTTGGAATTGTAAGTATAACTAATTGAATTGCACTGATTAACCAAGATTCTCGAATTTTATATGTGCTTTCATCTGGAAATAGGTGAAATGAAGATATCTGATACTTAGTATCACACGTATGAAATCGAAAAATAAGTTCACGTCTCAATATTCTCACATCATGATTTTAACCAAAAAGGTGGAGAAAACACAAAATGAAAAATTACCTTGGATGGATGAAGAAGATGAAGATAATGAACCAGAATGTAGTTCAGCTGGTGATATTGTTTTTCTTCGATGCATAGATGCACGCACTCCACAAACTGGCAATTCCTTTGAAAATCCATCATATTCTTCTCCATGCATATTTCGAATTGGTTGTTGTGCATTCCACTGTCTTGTTCTATTCATTTCCAGAAGTTCTAGAAATATTATTTTCGGAAAATGAATTGTTAAAAATTTGAAAATTTACCTGCAAAATGTTCATGTTTTGTCAAAATATCAACCAGATATGCAGCTTCATACGGATATAATGGAGCATTCAAATCACCAAGTCTATTGACCAATGTTGCAAAAATTTTACAAACATTTTGTTCACTGACAATTTCATTTTTCTTCGAAAACGGATATCTTCCAAGAAATTCCATAAATTGTACAACAATTGTTGGATATTCTAAAGTCATTCCAGTTGTTCTTGATTTCACAACTCCATCAATATCATAATTGTTTGGATTTGAATTATATTCTACTTCATTTCCATCAATATTATGTGTCAATTCAGTTGGCGGTGGTTTCGACATCAAACCGGTTAAACTTTTAATCAATTCACTTCTCCATATAATTCGAGTATCTCTTGAAGAACAGTACAAAGATGAAGATGGAACTGATTGTTGTGTTGGAGTTTGTTGTCTTCGAGCAATTGATTCATATAATTTACTTCTTGAAATATTTTTCGATAATTTTGGAACTTCTCCGGTTGGATGAAGAACAACAACACAATCATCTGATGCTTTCGGAATAGGTGATAATGCTTTACTTGGAGATCCCAACAAATTCACATGATTTCTATCAAGAGAAACTGATCTTTTCGGAACCTTCTGTTCTTGTTTCGTTTGAAAACGTTTCGATTTGAAAAACGGCAACCAATCATAATTTTTGTCTTTTTTCTCATAAAGCGGCTCTTTTTTATTGAAATCTATATCTCGAATATTCAAGGGATCGGATAAATTCTCATCAAAACCTTTGTTTTCGTGACCAATCGATGATTCCAATTTCGCCAAATTTCCATTCGATCTTGACAGTCTTCTTATTTTCCGAATTTCTTGAGGTGCGACAGGCGATTTTTTGGTGTTGTCTTGGGTTGTTTGAATGCTGAAAAGAAAACATTTATCATAATTTGAAAAAAAAAAACTATTTCAAAACCTCTTTCGAACACCGTTGAATGAAGCAGATCTTCTTGATCGCTTCGTTGGTTGTCGAAGTTCTTCTAATGTTTTTCCAAATATATAAATTCGATTCTCACGGAATCCTTTACATGATTCAATAACTTCTTGACTTTTCATTGACATAGGTTCAATTATAATTTTCGAATCATACATCATTTCAACCAACTTTTTGATATTTGAGCGGTTTGTTGGTTTATCGGGAACGATTTTTGGCATCTCTTCAGTCAAAAAATCCACTGCGTCTTTTCCAGAAAAACTGTTCTTCACACTTGTTACGATATATTTTTGATTTGTTTTCAACGGCATATTTGATCGGAAATGCCAAACTATTTTATCGAACTGGAATTATTTTTATTTCAAGTTCTATTTTACGGAATCTTTGAAAATACTTACCATTTGTGTTGCCGGAAATTTATCATAATACTCATCATTTTCCATCGTTGCTGTTTTGTTGTGAAATAAGTACCGCAAGCTTTTTTAAAAAAAATTTTAAACCAAAAAAGGAAAATGAAAAATTGGCGCCACCGCGCAAACTGTTTCGTTGCGAGACACAAGTTTCAAACACACTTTTTTCGTTATTTTGAAAAGATGACAAACACACGCCCGTACATATACAACGAAATTTGATCACTTAATTTTTTCACGCATTTTAGTTATTTTAATGTGTGATTTTTTCATTTATTTATTTTTCCAATTTTTGTGAAAATCATTTTTTCGTCTTAGACATCATGTAAGATTTTTACACAATTGAATTGAAGTTTAGTTCACCATTGAAGTTTAGTTCACCATTGAACTTCAGGTCCCCATTGAAGTTTAGTTCACCATAGAACTTTAGCTCCCCATTGAAGTTTAGCTCCCCATTGAAGTTTAGTTCACCATTGAAGTTTAGCTCCCCATTGAAGTTTAGCTCCCCATTGAAGTTTAGCTCCCCATTGAAGTTTAGCTCCCCATTGAAGTTTAGTTCACCATTGAACTTTAGCTCCCCATTGAAGTTTAGCTCCCCATTGAAGTTTAGTTCACCATTGAACTTTAGCTCCCCATTGAAGTTTAGCTCCCCATTGAAGTTAAGCTCCCCATTGAAGTTTAGCTCCCCATTGAAGTTTAGCTCCCCATTGAAGTTTAGCTCCCCATTGAAGTTTAGCTCCCCATTGAAGTTTAGTTCACCATTGAACTTCAGCTCCCCATTGAAGTTTAGCTCCCCATTGAAGTTTAGCTCCCCATTGAAGTTTAGCTCCCCATTGAATTTCAGTTCACCATTGAACTTCAGGTCCCCATTGAAGTTTAGCTCCCCATTGAATTTCAGTTCACCATTGAACTTCAGGTCCCCATTGAAGTTTAGCTCCCCATTGAATTTCAGTTCACCATTGAACTTCAGGTCCCCATTGAATTTTAGTTCACTGATGAAAAATTTTCTTGGCAAGGAAAGATATTTTCTAACCAGGACAGACATTTTGTGCGGTCAGATAGTCGATCGGCGCCACACAAACACGTAAGCGATTTGACTAGTCCGCAATGAAACGTACGGGTTTTGCGCTTGGTTTCGGAATGAAAAATTATCGCCCAAATTGCACAAAGAAATCGTGCGGGGTAACGACCATTTTCTAGAGTGAATGTAGAAAACGAATAAAATACTTTTATTTATAAAAAATGAAAAAATCTTTATTAGTTCCCTCAAGCAGTCACAAAACATCCAATAGTGACAGTTCTGGCTCCGATTTGTAACATCAATCGAGAGATTCACAAATAATTGATTCCATCGAGTCCAGAAGATGACAATAGAAAACAGCCAGCCGTATTGGTTTCTTCACGAAAATCGAATTTCTTGCTAAATATTCACCGAAACCATGATACTGCAGTAGAAATTTGAATTCCTAGATGAAGCCGTCCCATTTTGTGAGGATGTTGGCTACTGTAGACGAAAACCTGAAATATACGGTGTTTTTAAATAAAAATAATTTGGAACTCACCATTTACGAGACCGCAAATAAGCCAGAATGACTGAACCAACACTAGAATACCAACAATTGAGGCCGCCACGTATTTCCACGTATTCCCACACAATTTCACGTATTCTCTCTTTTTTTCCAAAAAAAAATTGAAAAATAAAAATAAAAAAATGTAAAAAAAAATTTTTTCGCGTGATTTAAATGATCAAAAATCGTTGTATATATACTGTAAAATATGACAAACATTTCCAATCACTTTTCGATTTTTGAGTTTTATTAGCTATCCCATCTTTATCTGGTATCAAATTATTGATTTTCAAAAGGGAACTAGGATAAATCAACTCCTAAAAACTATTATTTTGTCTTCGCCTACAAATTGGTGCAACATTTCGCAAACTTTAAGGTTGCTTGCTTTTTGGAAAAAATTGAATTTGATGCATGCGCACTGCATAGATGTACTGTACATTTGAATGTCTGCAATTGCAATTTCTGCAAACACCACACAACTAACTTTACGATGCAATTTCTGCGCGGGCCCGTTTTCAAGGCATGGTTTCTCGTTTTGTAGGTGGAAGAATGTAGGAAAAATAGTATAATGTTTGAATTTCACATCTTCTAGTTCACTTTGCCGTGTAAATTGATTTTGCAAATGAAAAGAATTCTTCTAGTAACAGACAATTTGCAATTCGATCGAGGTCACGTTAAATTTTAAAATAAAATGTTATTTTTAAAAATGTTCCTTTAAAGATCATTTTAAAAGTTTAGATCGGAGAATTCTTAAGCTTCTCGAGAAGACTGAAAGATCTGTTTTCTCTGTTTCTCTCGTTTTTAAATTTATGAAATCAGTCAATCTGATTGAAGTTGTTTATTTCGTTATACTTATTCAGTTTTGTTGATAATTTTCTCGAATTAATTTTCAGATATTTCAGTTGGAGAAGAAGTAAAAGTGGTTTTTTCGAAAATGAATTCGTTTCAACGAGAAACTCCGTTCACTACATCGACGTTTCTCAGAACTGTTACAAACTATGTTTTGCGAACTGTGAGTTTATTATCATTTTTTTCGATTTACTCTTCAAAATTTTTCAGAAAATCTCACAAAAGTTCAAGAATGCGGCAGAAAAAAATGGAAGGAAGTAAAATGTTGAGTTTGAAAGATCGAGATGAACTTGTTCGATTGTTATTCACATCTTCCCCAGAAATGGTCGAATTATATGAATCTCCACAAAAACTGATCCAAGATTTGTATTCCATTCAAAAATTGGCAAATAATTCTCAATTTGTTGGTTTGGAAGATGAATTGAATTATTTAAGCGAAGTTATTGTTTTCAAAGACCGAACTAATACAAGCTTTCTGTCAATTTTTCAATTATACATCAGATTTTGCCGTGAAACTTTTGCAAAACACGATGAATTGATTCTTCAATTAATGGGTGAATCGATGGGAAACAAAATGTATCGAGAATTGAAAGGAAAGTCTTTTGAATTACTGTCAGAACAATCTTATTTGGAGCATGTCAACACTTATTGTAATTCATCGAAGCGTGAATATGTCAGTTTTTTTGCTAGTTAAAAAAAGTTTTTCTTCATAATTTCAGCCGAAAAAGTTACCAGCAGTGTTCAAGAAAACGTCTCTCAATTTCGAAGATATCTACACTCTTCTCTCCCAATTTTTTGATAAGCAGTTTGATGGAAAATTGTTGGAGAAGCTCAAAATTGAACTAAAATCAAAAAATCAAGTCAGTTTTCAGTTTAGTGTTTGGTTATTTATTATGTTTTTTCAGGTACTTCCAATTTCTAAAAATCGAATGTTTTATCAAGAACTCTATCTGCTTCATTACTCGTGGCAAAAGATTATTGAAATTGCGTTGAATCATGACAAATTGTTGAAAACAGAAAGTCTCAATCCATTTGTTCGTTTTTTCAAAGAAGGGCCAAATATGAGATTCTGTTTTGCGATCGAATTAGAAAATGCATTGAAAATTGCATGTAATGCACCCCTGCCGAAAGGAATATTGAATATTGAAACAACAGAAGATCGAAAAAATGGAATATTGAAAACTGTAAAATGGGAGAAATTCAAAAATATTTTGGAAACTCTCGAACTGACACTCGATGATATCCACGTAATCAATCAAAAATTCCAAACAACCAATCGAGGAACTTGTGTTCCAATTGATTCGCCATATGGAACTTATTGTAAATTGGCAAAACACTCATTTTTCGATGTTTTTGATCAAATCTCATCAGGAATGCATTTATTCAGAAATGATAACGACAAAATTCTCGCAATTGTATCGAAATGGTTCAAAAAACTGGAGAAAAATGTTTTCATTTCGTCAGAAGTGAGTTGCTCGCGTAGTTTTTTTTAAATAACATTAAATTCAGAGTGAAGTTTACTTCATTGAAACTTGGAAAATTGAGCAGCTCATTAATCAAGCCTACGTAGATCTTGAAAAATATGGAAAAGAGCCCATCTATCAAATTCAACGCCAAAAAACTTACACAAAAAATGAAGTTCTTAAAGAACTCTTCAAATTATCTCCAACACTCAGAATTCAAGCTGCTTCCAATGATTTATCTGGTAATAATAACAAATTCAATTCGAGAGACATTATGAGACTTTTCGAAAAAGGCGTTCTTGAATATTTTATTCAATCAAACAAAAAGGTAAGAAAACTTCATTTTAAAACTCACAATCAGCATGAATTATTTTCAGTATTCATCATTTTTGAACAATCAAGAAGGAAAAAACGATTATATTTCCAATTTATTCGCAACAGACAAGGAATTGATTGAAATAATCAACGCAAAATGCGGAAATTCAAAAATTTACGAAGTTTTGAAAAAACGTTTGGAGTAAGTTTCAAAAATATCTTAGTGGAGTCTGAGATAAAAATCAATTTATTTGAATCAATTTCAAATCAAAAGTTTGTCTCCTGGTTGAAAAAAAAACCATTAACAATTTCTCATAAAAATCGTAATTGGCAGAAAAACACAAAAACACTCTAAACTACTGGACATGTGGACTTTCAAACCATTTTACACGGTGTTTCACTGTTTTTTCGAACTCTTAAATTTTTAAACTAATGTTTAAGAACCTTCCAGAAAAAATCTTTCGAAGATTCTACTAATTAGAACATGCTCTTACAAATAAGCATTACTTTTTTTGCTCAGACTCCACCTTTAATGACTTCAATAAATGTTTTTCAGTGGCGCAGGCGATTTCGAAAAAACAAAATTGTTGGATTATATGGAAAAATTGAAATTGGATTTGGAAAATTAAAAGCGAAACACTGTAAATTTTTTTTAATTTGTAACATTTTTATCTTCAAATCTTTTATTGTATACCTTTTTTTTAATGTCAAACATGAATGTTTTGTAATCTGTAATTTTTGATATATTCTTTGGCTCGAAGATCCAACATTTATTCTGTAGTTTTTGAATTTTTTTTTAATTTCACAAATCAAATGTGTCACGTGATCTGTTTTCATTTTGGAATTTGGTCATTTCTTGATTACTATTTATTGAAAATCGACGATTAGCTTTATTTCATGAATCTGAATTTTCAGACGATTTGAACCCAAAAGAAGTATGATAGCTGCTGAGGAAAAATATCGAATACGAATGCTGATGTAATTGTGAGTTTGGGGTTTTGGTTTTGAAGTTCGTTTCTTTTTTCTGTTAGTATTCTGTAAGTCGCTTTATTCTTTACTGTAAATAGTTTTGTTTCTACCAACAAGACGTACATATTATTCAATAATTTATTTATTATGAATTTAATGAAAAAAGTTACACGTGTAATCAATACCACGCGGGGTGATGGAAAATAATAATAAAAATAGAAATTTGGAGAAAATCTCACTAACACAACAAAACTAATAAAGGCACAACACACATGATTTTTGGTTTTGAATTGAAAAATTAATAATAGAAAAAACTTAAAAATATACATATTTTTGAGAAAATGTTTTACACATCTGAAACTTCATCATCTTCTTGATATAACGGATTGTCAACTCGTAGACTTTCTTTTTTGCTCGGTCGAGCTGGAATTGGTGGTGGAGCAGGTCGAGAAATATCCGATTTTGGTGCAATTATTTTGTCGGATAAATCTATTTCTTCTTCAGTTTGTTCGAAAGTTGGTGGAACAAATGAATTTGATGAAGATGAAGATTGTCCAGCTGTTGAAGTTGATGGTTGATCTTCGGATGGTAAACGAGGAGATGGAGTTGACATATCAACATCTTCAAGTTCATAAACTGGATTTGTGAAAGTTGTTGAAGCATCTTGAAGTGATGTCATTTGTTGCATACTGTATTCGTTTCCGGGAGCGTCCTGTAGATAAGCATTTAGTTTTCTAATTAGTTAAAATAATATTCTACTTACTGATTTTGATTCCAAAACTGGATTACTGAATGAAATGACATTTCCATGGAAAGAAACACTTCCATCAGCAGCTTCATTCTTTTTCGACATCAATTGTCGTTTTTTGTGAATATTCAATCCAACGAAACCAATTAATCCGACAGCTACGAAGATTGCCAAAAGTAAAAGAAGTGTAGACAAAATATTTTCGGATAATCTTCCAATCAATTTCCGACTAACACTGCTCTCCTTTTCACAATTATCTCCTTCGAAATCACTTGAACATTCGCAAGTTCCTTCCAATCGACATTTTCCGCCATTTGTACATTGACATTGTTTTGGCATAACAAGGGCTTCGACACGTTGTGTTGCACAAGATCCGTCTAATTGAGGAGTGACGCCTTCAGGGCAGAGACATGAGAAACCTCCAGATGGTAGTGTAACACATAAATGAGAACATTGAGCACGTTCACATCCACTTGTAGCTCTTTGAGTATCTTTTGCATATTTTTGGCTGACTCGAACAACATGACCATCTTCAAGATCTGATGCGAGAATTGAAACTCTTCCACGTCCGAATTTATCCTAAAACAATTTTACTATGAATAAGCTCGAGTTAATTTTGAGTTGTTTTTTAAAATGGAATCTGCGCTTACCTGAACGTATAAAGTTTTCGATTCTCTACTTAACCAGTAAATGTGATTTTCGAAAACATCAACAGCGTATGGAATATGTTTATCATGAACTACAGTAGTTCTGTCAGTTCCGTCAATGTTGACTGCATCAACTCGTCGATATTTTGGATCAACCCAATAAATTCGATTACCCTTTCCTTCATCAATAGCCATTGATGTTGGAGAAAAGACTAGATCTTTAACGATAATTTGTCTATGTGTTCCATCCATATCAGCACATTCAATCTTGGCATGCAAGCCAGCATCTGAATAGCAAATTCTACCAGCAGCTGGAGCTGTCACAATTGCTGTTGGTTGTTGTAAATGTCCGCCGATAATTTTACGAAGGTATCGACCATCTGGCAAGCAAACATAGATAAATCCAGTGTTTTGGTTATCAATTGGTTCAGACATTCGCTTTCGACGAGCATTTGGAGAAGCAAATTCAATATCTTCGGAAATTGCAGTTATGAAAAGATTTCTGAAAAATATAAATTTTACTAGAACTCTAATTTTTACACTTACCCAGTTGTATAATCAACAGCAATTGCAGTTGGTACGACACCAATCGAAGCGAAATCGATATCCAATTTTTGACCTTCGTGACTTTGGTTACCTTTGGCTATGGCTGATCGATATATAGTTTTTTCATCTCCATCAATCCAATACATCATATCTTTTCTAGGATCAAAAGCCATTCCAATAATATCATTATCTTCGTCATTTGCTTTGGCAGCTGCATGTCGATTTGTTCCAGAACCATGTAAAGATAATTGAACAAGTGAAGAATCGGCACCAATCATAACATTAGCTGCTTCTCCCTTTGCACGACAATCTTTTCCAGTCATTGATCCAACAACAACGTTGTTTTCATAATCCTCGTGACATCTGCACAAATATGATCCTTTGGTGTTGAGACAGAGTTGTGTACAGGTATTATTTCCGGCACATTCATCAATATCGATACAATCTTTTGGATCTTCTGGATTTGGACGGAAACCATCTCGGCAGTGACAATAGAAACCATCACGAACATCTGTGCAAATATGTTTGCAACCTCCATTGTTTCCAACTTGTTCGCATGAACTTTTTCCGATTTTCGAACATCCGATTTCATCTGAAGCATCTCCACAATCATCTTTTCTATCGCAAGCAAGAGTTCCGTTGACGCATTTACCATTTGCACACTAAAAATTTAAAATTGTTTTTTTTTTGAAAAAATGACTACTTTTTACCTTGAATTGATCAGACGAACAATCACCGTATTCTGAGAAACTTGAACACATTGACAAATGTTCATCGGAAGAGTCATTTGGTCCACAATCATTGAATCCGTTGCAAAGTTGAAGAATATTCAAACATAATCTGGAATGAGCACATCTGAATCGAAGTGGTGGATCACATTGAGCATTTCGACATTCGGAATTAGTTTCGTCGGAATTGTCTCCACAATCATTATCTCCATCACACATAAATTTCCGAGGAATACAAACTGAGTTACCGCATTCAAATTCGAATGGTGAACATGTTCGACGACTCTGTAAATAATATTGAATCTAAATCTCAACACTAAAAATTCAGTTTCTTACCACATCTTCACAGTGTAATTCATCGGATGCATTTGGACAATCTTTCTTTCTGTCACACCATTTGTGTTCAGCAATACAAGTTCCATCGTCACATTGACGATGTCCAGCCATACATTTTCGTAGAGTACATTGTGATTCATCCAAACCATCGCTACATTGAATTGTTCCGTCACAAACTTTACTACCAGGAATACATTTTCCATCGTTACATCTGAATTCACTTTCAGAACATGGTCGAGTTGTTCCTCCACAAGATGGATCCAGTTCATCGGAGTTGTCGCCACAATCATTTTCTGAATCGCACATCCATCTTTTTGGTATACATTTTCCTGAAGTAGCACATTTGAATTCTCCAACATCATCACAAGTTGGACAACGTTGTTTGTCTTCATCAGAATTGTCTCGACAATCATCTTGACCATTACAGAATGCCCAATTTGGAATACATCTGTAACTTGAAGAACATCTTGTCCATCCTCTTTTGCATTCCATTTGAGCACATTCAGGTGTTTCATCTGATCCGTCTCCACAATCATCATCATTATCACATCTCCAGGCTTTTGCAATACATTTGTTATTGTTACAACGGAATTCTTCAGCTGTACAATTTCTTGCTGTGCTCAAACATACTGAATCAGCTTCATCTGATCTATCACCACAATCGTCATCTCCGTCACATGTAAATCTTCTTGGAATACATCTCCCAGTTGAAGCACATTTGAACATCCAAGGATCACATGGTTTATCACAGTTAGCTTCATCAGATCTATCTCCGCAATCATCGTTTCCGTCACAAATTTGGAATGGTCTTGTACAATTATGATTAGCACATTGGAATTCTCCGACTGGACAAATTCTAACTCCACAGATGCTTTCTCCTGGTTCATCAGATCCGTCTCGACAATCTGGTTCTCCATCACAATACCAAAGTTTTGGAATACATTTAGCATCATCTCCTCCACATGCAAACTGTCTATCTGTACAGTTTGGTTCGCAAGTCTTCTGATCTGATAGCAAAATGAATTGATCTGGGCATGAACAAGTGTATCCATTTCCACCAGCTCCAATCAAACAGAGATGTGAACATCCTCCGTTGTTGTCACCGCATGGATTTGGATAATCTGGTTGACGCAATGGATGGATAACTCTCAAATCATTTGGAAGTTGAACAGTTTTCTTCAACACGGTTTCATTTCTTCCAGTCCATTTATCGCATCTCACGACCTCTCTCAAATTCCAATCTGACCAGTATAAATAATCATCGAAAACTACCATTGATGATACGTGACTTGTTCTTTGAGCTGGAATATGTCTTCTTCCAGTTCCATCGAAGTTCATGAATCCGATTTCATTCAAATGAGCATCTCCCCAGAATAATTTATCAGAATAATAATCGATTGCTAATGCATTAGGCCATCCGAGATCATTTTCAGCCAATTTAATAATTGGGTCTTGTAATTCTGGTGATCCATCAAGAGCTACTCTTCCGATGTATGGTTGAAGTGACCATTCAGTGAAGAACATGTAACCTTTTCCTGGATGAACAACAATTGCTTTCGGTTGTTGAATTCTGTCGCGAATCAATGTTCTACAGAATCTTCCATCCAATTCGCAAACTCTGATTGATCTTTCTTGTCTGTTCAACATGTAAAGTTTCTTCGCAATCCAATCAACAGCAATTCCTTCAGTTCCATAAACATTATGTCGAAGAACAGTTTCATATGAAGATAATGGGGAATCCATTTCATCCAAATTAACTCGAAGTAATCGAAGTTTACCTTGATCAATCAAATAAACTTTACGATCACTAATATCAACATCCAATGAAACTGCATTGTCAAATCCTTGAGCAGCTAATTCATAATTCTGTCCATCCAATGAAATTTTTCTTACATAATGTTTGTTAGCCAATAAGAAGTATGGTTCTGGTTCTTTATCTGATCGTTTACAACTTCTGTCATCAGTTCCAAGTTGATATCCTTTAACACATCCACATTTGAATGATCCAATTTTATCGTCACATGTTTGACTACATCCAGAAATTCCTTCATAACATTCGTTGATATTGTGGCAACTCTTGTTATCTGAAATATCGATTGCAAATCCTTCAAAGCAGTCACATTTATAGCCAATCTTTTTATCGACGCATTTTTGTTCACAAAGTGGTTTTTCAGCCAACGAACATTCATCGATGAAACACAATGAACTTTCATCAGATCTGTCGGAACAATCGAAGTTTCTGTCGCAAACTTTCGAATCATCGATACATTCTCCATTTGTGCATTGATATTGATCTGCCGTACATTTTGAGGCTTTTTGTCCAGCTGGTGTATTTTTCGGACATTCTTTTTCGTCAGATCCATCTTCACAATCATCGTTCCCATCACATCTCCAAGAATTTGGAACACATTTATGATTTGCACATTGCCAGAAATCTGGTTGACAAGAAGAATATGTGCAATTGGTATGTTCATCGGATCCATCTAGACAATCATTGTCTCCGTCACATTCCCAAGAAGAATGAATACAATGTTGATTGGCACATCTGAATTCCCCCTTGTTGCATTCTTTCTTTTCAGTTTTACACAAATCAGCTGATTCGTCTTCTCCTCCAGCACATGTCACATCTCCATCACATAACCAAGCTCTTGGAATACATTCATATTTTGGTTGAGCAAGTTTAGCATTTGAAGCACAGTGGAATTCTTGATCTGTACAAGTTCTGTTTCCACATCCGTGTCGACTATGTTCGTCAGAACCATCGCCACAATCATCTTCGCCGTCACAAATAAAGGCACGAGATATACATTTCAAATTGTCACACTGGAATAAATAATCTCCAACACAAACTTTCTTTCCTGCGGCATCTGTGCAATTTGTGTGTGTTTCATCCCAGCCATCTGAACAATCAGCATCTCCGTCACATTGCCAGGTTTCTGGAATACATCTTCCAGATGGGCAACGAACATAATGTTGAGCACATTGTTGATTTAAACAGAACAATTGATTTTCGTCAGCTTTATCTCCACAATCATCGTAACCATCACACAAATCAGCTGGTTGAATACAGATATTTGTATTTGGACAACGGATTTTGACACCTCGGCAATCGATTGGAAGACCTGGACACGTTGCAAGTGATTCATCTGATACTTGTTCGTCGTGGCAATCATTGTGACCGTCACAAACTTTTGTTTGATTGATACAATGTCCATTTGCACACGCAAATGTTCCTTCTGCACATGAAACGGCAGCTGGACAATCGAGTTCGTCAGATCCATCTCCGCAATCATCGATGTGATTACACTTTTTAGCTGAATCAATACATCTTCTGTTTGTGCAAAGATGATATCCATCAGGGCAAGAACGAGTATCTGAAAATTGAATAATTTAATCGGTAACTTCGTTTTTTCAATAAAATAACTTACTGCAATAATTTTGATTTTCATCTGAAGCATCTGGGCAATCTGGTTTTGAATCACATGTTGCTCCTAATAAAATACACGATCCGTCTCCACATTGGAAATTGTATGGAGGAAGACATTCCTTTGCTGGTTCAGATGATGTTTGACTTCGAAGTACACATTGAGTTGGAATATCTTTTCCAGGTTGTTGAACAAGTTCATAAGTATCATTACAAGAACATTGAACTTTGCTAGCAGCCAATCCAATATCATCAGCAATAACAGTACATAGTTGATCACATCCTCCGTTATCATTTTTACAAAGTTGACTTGTCAATGAGTTACACAATTGATTTCTTGTACGAACATCGGTTTCACTTGCGAATACTCGAAGTGCTCCAGGAATTCGTCGATCTGACACAACATTTTCCAATCCACTTCCACTTTCTTTATCAAGTCGGAAGACTCCATTACTCAATGGATCACTCATATACAACCATCTATCCCAAAGATCAAGTGATTTTGCGCGATATCCACTTGCTATTATTTTTCTGTTTTCTCCGTTATAATCAGCGACTTCTATATTTAATCGATTAACATCGGCCCAATATATCATTTGGTTTCTAAAATCAACGGTAATTGCAGCTGGAAGAGAAATAGATTCAGAAACAATAACTTTTCTGCTTCCACCGGCAAGATTTGATCTTTCAATTCTTGGTTCATATAATCCACCACTTGTTTTATATCCACTATCAGACCAGAATAATAATCCACTACATGGATCAATTGCCAAAGCATAAGTCCAATCACCAGAAGCAATTGTTGATAAATGTTCTCCAGCAGTATCAATTGCCATAACTTTTCCACCTCTTCCAGTTGTGAAATATATTTTTTGTGTCAACCAATCTAATCTCATATCAGAGATGTGTCGAATTTCAGATGCATGTTTTTGTTTGGTCGCACCAAATACTAATCTTGGATTATCTGCATTATTCATTGAAAACCATGAAATATTTACACCACTTGGTGATTCAGTTACATAATAAATTCGACGCAAATTGACATCAACATCGAAAGTTTGTAAGTTTTCAAGTTCTGGGAATGGTTCTTTCAATGGTTTCGAAGCTTTCACATCTGGTTCAATCGCAGCATCAATAATCTTATCTCCATCTGAGAACATCAAATAAGTGTCTGGTTCTTCGCAACTTCTTCCTTTCAATATTCCTCGAGCACAAGCACATGTTGGACTTTGTGTTCCTGGAGTTGCAAAACAAAGTTGAGTACATGGACTTTTTCGAAGATTGTCTGTGATTTGACAAGGGGAAGATGATTTTGGTTGATTGACTGATGAGTAAACAGCTACATCTCCAATGTCTTTGAGGGAAGCAGCAACTGTTGTTGGTGAAAGCAACAAAGATGTTTGATTTGGTTTTGATGTTGCTTTGAATAATTTCTCCAATCTGTTATCAGTCCAATACATATTTTGTCCGTGAAGTGCTACTCCAGCAGCTGATGCAATATCTGCACGAACAAGTTCTGGAGTTCCGCCAGTGCTTCGAACACGATAAATTCCATCCATTTTCGCATCTGACCAATATAACATTCGACTTGCAACATCAACAACAATATCAGTAGGTTCTCCAATTCCAGTAGAAACAATAACTTCGCGTCTTGAACCATCCAAGAATGATCTTTGAATTGTTGGTTTCTGTCCTTGATCAGCCCAATACAAATATCTTCCAACTGGATCAACAGTGATCGATGTTGGTGTTTCGGTTTTGGTTGTAAGAAGGATCTTTCTATTTGTTCCATCCAATTTGCAAACTTCGATGTTTGTTCTTTCGGCATCTTGATTTATGAAATACAAATTATAATTGATCCAATCAATAGTAAGACTTTTGATAACCAACGAACTGATTGTATCTCGAATAACAGCTCTTGGTGAAGATTCTCCGATTGTGTATGCAGTAATTCCTTTGTTTATTCCTGAAGTTTCGGCAACATAAATAGTTTTTGATTCGAAATCATAATCGACACTTGAAATAGATAATCCACCAATTGGTTCCATTGCAACACCTTTTGATTGAATTTCATCAATCGGATAACCAACAATCTTGGTTTTTGTAGCAACAATGACAAAACTTTCATCATATAATCTACATCCAGTTTGACCATCTTTGGTATATCCATTTGCACAAGTACAAGTATGTTGAGCAAACATTTGTGGAATACAAATATGTTGACAATTTCCATTTGAAATTTGGCAAGGATGGTTAGAAGATGAACTTCTTGGCTGAAGAACTTTGATATTTGCAAGATGTTCAACATCTTTTTTGAAATGCGACCATTGTGGAGGTTGAGAATCTCCACTGATTGTTGCAACTTCGATTGAATCGAATGCTGAATCAGAATAGAATAAACGATCTCCATAGAATGCTAATCCATTTGGTTGTCTTCCACCATCATTCAAAACATAATGACGATCTTGTCCATCATAAGTAACAGATGTGATTCTTCCAGCTTTAGCTTCCGAGAAATAAACACGTTGATTTGATGTATCAATTGCAATATGATCGAGTTCAGCCAAATCATTACTAGCAATAACTAATGGATTGCTTCCATCTAATCCAGCTCTTGCAACTTTTGAATCAGCAGAACCACCTCCTCGATCCAACCAGAAAACGTATCCTTTTTCTGAATCAACAGCAATTGCAACTGGATTGACAACAGCAGTTGGTGATTGATCGTTCGATAAAATAACTGATCGATATTGTGTTCCTTGAGTTCTTACAATTTCAATTGTCTGTGTAACTTTGTTACCAACAACCAAGTTTCTTCCGTTCCAATCATATCCCAAGCAATAAGCATCATCTGGCACAGCTGAAGAATACATTTTTGTTTTGTTTCCTCCATTTACAGTGCTTCGATAAATTGCAGCATCAGTTGTGATTTGAGCCAATGTTTTTGCAACATTTGTGTGTTCGAGAATAAACATTTCTTGACTCAAAGCATCGTAAGCAGCATCAAATGCATTTCCAAGTCCAGCCAATGGAACCATTCCAGACAGAACTGGAGTATCATTTGCTTTCAAGTTTGAAATTTCAACTCCGAAAACATTGTTCTTTTGAATTAAAACAAGGAATGGTTTTGGATCATCGGTACATTTCTTCCCAGAAGAATCAAGTCGTTTTCCCATTGGACACATACATGTGAATGTCTGTAAATTAACATTTATTTTTGTTGAAAGAATCTAATAAGAACTTACGTTTTTGTTGTTCATGAGACATAAATGACTACATTGATTTGAAGCGCACGGATTATTTTTGACAATTGGTTGAAGAACTGGATGAACGGCAACAACTCCAAGAGCTTTGCTGAATGTATGACTTGGATATTCAGTTGTTGTTCCATTTGGATATTTTGGATAAACTTGAAGTTTTTGTAATCTTCTGTCTGAATAATACATCATATCTTCGAAAATTGCCAAAGCATGAGGATGTTGCACAAATTTGGATGAAGCAAGAACTTGAGTTCTTCCACTTCCATCATAGTTAACAAAATCAATGAAATCCAATTTCGAATCAGCGAAATAAACACGATCAGTTGTATAATCCAAAGCGATAGTATTTGGCCAATAGATTTTTGTGTTCACAATAATTTGTCGATCAGTTCCATCCATAGATGCTCTTTCAATGCATGGATTTTGTCCCCAATCAGTCCAAAACATTACTCCTCTTCTTGGATCAACTGCGATTCCTCTCGGTTGACTTATATTTTTATGAACCAAAAGAGTTCGGTGATTTGGGTTTTCGAGATTTGCAACTTCAATTGTATTCAATGATGAATCAACCCAATATAAGTTTCTACCAACCCAATCAAGAGCAATTCCTTCAGTAATATCGAGACCATCAGAAATGAATGTTGTCACATTTGTTCCATTTCGATTTGATGACAGAATTTTCTTTTCTCGAATATCTGACCAATAAATACGATCAGTGAGAGAATCCCAAGCAAGTGCAATTGCATTTTCGACTGATGCTCCAAATGTTCTCCAATTATCTAATTTGTGATCACTCCAATAAATACGATTACGGTTGGAAACATAGACTCGCATATTTTGAACATTGTCTTCGACTTTGCAAGTGTGTTTGTCACTGTCAAGAATATATCCATCTTCACATGAACAAGTGAAACCGTGTTTCTCATCTGTACATTTTTGTGAGCAACTTCTTGAATCCAAACATTCATTTTCTGGTTCACATTTGGTTTTGTTGACAAGCTACAAATTCACTATTTTTATTCGAGAAATAAGAAAACAAGACTCACCGATTCTCCGAATGGACAAGAACATAATGGGCCATTTGGACTGTTTTGGCATTTGAAAGAGCAACCGGCACGATCTGCTGAGCACAAGTCTCTTGCACATCTTCCACCTTCATCTGTTCCTCCTGGACAATGCCTTTTACCATCACACAATTGATGGAGTGGAATACAAGTTTCTGGATCACTTTCGCAAGGAACATGTTCGAATGGACATTTTCGAGAATTGAAAACTGCATTTTTGCAGCCTGTTTCATCTGAATTATCACCACAATCGTTTTCACCGTCGCATTTCCAATTCTGAAATTTTTTAAAAAGTTTTAAAAAAATTGAGTTAGAAACTCACATTGAGAATACATCTTCCATTTCCACATTTGAATTGATCATCTTTACATTGTCGACTACTTGAACATCCGAATTTAGGTTCATCAGATCCATCGTCGCAATCTTTCTGCCCGTCACATTTCCACGAAGAAGGTATGCATAATCCAGATGATACACATTTGAATTGATCAGAAGAACAAGATTCCGTTTGAATAGCACACGAATCTTCATCTGAACCGTCGTCACAATCATTTTGACCGTCACAATGATTTCTCAAAGAAATACATTGTCTTCCACTTGCACATCTGAATTGAAGTGCAGTACATTGAACCGGTGGACATCTTTCTTTATCTTCATCTGTTCCGTCGTAACAATCATTATCACCATCACATAACCAATAAATTGGAATACATCTACCGTTTGCGCAAGAGAATTGATTTGAAGCACATGTTGCATTTCCGCACATTTCCAATTTTTCATCAGATCCATCTCCACAATCATTATCACTATCACATTTCCATTGTTCCGGAATACATCTATGATTATCGCATTGGAATTTTTTAGCAGAACAAACTGGTTTCTGTCCATCTTTACAATATTTAACATCTTCATCTGAATAATCTCCACAATCATTATCTCCGTCACATCCATATTGAGCAGGAATACATTTTTTGGTATTTTTACACTTGATTGTATTTTCGGCGCATTCGGTTTCGTGGAAACATTTATTTCCATTTTCATCAATTTCGTCTGATTCGTCCAAACAATCATTTTCGCCATCACATTTCCATTCTTTTGGAATACATCTTCCATTTTTACACAAAAATTGTGTGGAATTTGATGTGCACAATGGTTCAATTTGTTCCGATGTATCCTTCTGACACGAATGTTGATTATCATTATTGATTTTGAATCCTTGTCTACACGCACATTTTGCTTCTAATTGTTCCGAATTTGATTCTGATGGAGTTGCAAAACAGAGTTGTGTGCATTCAGATGCTCGACATGGATGTTCTCTCGAATCATCAGGAATTGGTTGATTTTGAAGCGAGCAAGCTTTAAGCGAGAAGATTGATCTTTCTTCTGCTCCGAATTCACGAATAACTTTACTTCCACCTCCATTCTTTTTATGAACTCTTCGAATTGAATATGGTCTTTGATGAACATAATAAATATAATCATTCATAATTGAAAGTGCAACTGGAATTGGATTTTCAACATCAATCTTGACAACATTTTTTCCATCGAAATCCATGCATGAAATAGTTTTGAGAAGAGTATCTCCCCAACAGAGTCGATTTTCAGCGAAATCAATTACCATCTCTGAAGGTCTTCCTAATGTAGTATTACGAATTACTGTACAATGAGTTCCATCGATATAACATCTATAAAAAAAAGGGATGTAACCTATGTTATCTGATTATTCAGTAAATACCTGTAAATAGCAGCTGGTCTCATAGCTTCTGCATAGAACAATAATCCTTTCCATGGATGAACAACAACAGAAACTGGATCACGTAAATCAGTAATAAGTTGACGACGAACCAATTCATCTGGATGAACAAGTCCAGTTTCACTAATTTTGACAACTTCCAAACTATTTCTGATATTATCAACATAATACAATTGTTTACTAATCCAATCAAAAGACATTGAAAATAATCCATCATTGTGTGTAACGAGAACTGGAGCTGCTCCTTCGCCATCTGGTTTAATTCTGAAAGCCAATTCTTAAAACCAATTCTAAAAAAGAAAAATTCAAACCTGTAGATAGTGTTATCCATAATATCAGCATAAAAGAATGAATTTCCGTGAACATCACATTCAACTTCGAAATACATCCCAATTCTTCTTTGAGAAACTGGTGAAATTGGAAGAACAGCTTCAGAGAGAGCTTGATCTTGCATTTCTGGGAAAATACCACGAACAATTTTGTTACTCGAAAACAATAAATAATCAATTGAATCGATACATCTTTTTCCGTTCACAAGTTTTTGTCCAATTGGACAGGCGCATTTATATCCGAGTCCAATTCCTCCGGCATCTTTTGATAAAATACAAAGACCTTCACAGTCTGAGTTTGTACATGGATTCTCGATTTTCATTGCCAAACATTCACTATGTCCTGGACCTGGTTGTTTCATTGGATGATAAGCCGAAATACCCATTGGGAATACATTATTTTCAGTGTTTGACCACAAAAGTTTTGTTGGTGATCCGAATTTCTCAATTTGAACAACTCCAAGACGAGTCCAATCAGTCCAATAAAGATTTTGATCAAAAAGAGTCAAACCAAATGGATGTGGAACAACATTCATACCTTGAGCAACAATTCGACGATCATTTCCCATATAATCAATACTTTCTAATCTATCAACTTTTGGATCAACCCAATAAACTCTTTTAGCTGTGATATCAACAACAATTCCAGATAATTGATGAGTATGAGTATTGACTAAAGTACGACGATTTGATCCATCCATAGCTGCAGCTTCTAATTTCAATTGATTTGTGAAGAACATTTCTCTGAAAATTTAAAAATATGAAACTATTCACGATGATTTTCTACACTTACCCTCTCAATGGATCAAGTGCTAAATCTAAAGGAAGAGTCAATCCATCAGCTAACAAAACTGTTCTTCTTTCTCCATCATATGAAGAAACATCAATACGTCTTGATCCACTTTCAATAATATACAAAGTATTAGTAATCCAATCAACAGCCAAACATCTTGGATAAACCAATGATTTCAAACTGAGTTTTTTGATTTGTGAAATTTCTCCTTCATCGTCAACATCAGCACTGAAAGCAGAATGTGACAATCGATCAGTCCAGAAAATCTTTCTATCTCCAAAATCATAATCAATTCCATAGATAAATTCTCCGGAAGCTAATTTTTTTGGTTCTTCGTTTTGATTGTATGGATTCAATCGATAAAGTCCTTCACGTCTTGCAACAAAAAGTCTCATTTTATCGGCATTATTCGAAATACAGTAACCACGCATAGTGAGATTATCTTTTCCTGGACCATGTTCCATTGAAAGACTGAAACAATCTCCGAGACAAGAACATGCGAAACCAGGACGATGATTGGCACAAAGTTGATCACAATATCCGAATTCAGAACATTCATTGATATCTGCAAAAATTTTTGAGATTAGGATAAATCTAGCTTCCAAATTCTGAATTTACCTGAACATGTTCTATGGAATCGTTCATCTAATTTATATCCACTTGGACAGGTACATTCTCCTCCATGCGGTGATGGATGACAACCTGCTTGACATCCCAAAGATGGGCATAGATTCTGACTACATTGTTGTTCATCAGCTCCATCGCTACAATCTTTTGAACCATCGCATAATTTCAATTTATCGATACAATGTCCAGTTCCCGGACAACTCCATTTTCCTGGTGGGCATCGATATTCTCCACATTCTTCTTCGTCCGAATTATCACCACAATCATCATAATAATCACATCGGAATTTTCTTGGCTGACATCTTTTGTTTTTACATTGGAACTCGTTGGCTGTACATTTTTTGAATTCACAAGTTTCGGGTTCATCAGAACCATCAGCACAATCTTTTGAACCATCACAAACCCATGATTTTTGAATACATTGTGTTTGATCAGCACATCTGAATTGATATTGGAAACAAGCTGTGTGGTTTCTTGAACATGAATCTTTTTCATCACTCAAATCTCTACAATCATATTTTCCATCGCATTTTTTCGAAATATCAAAACATTGTCGAGCATCTGCACATGAGAAAGAATTTGGAGATCCACAATCAACGGGTGAAGCAGCTATAAAAAATATATGAGCTTATGGGGAAAATGCGAGGATTAAACATACGACAATCTTTTTCATCAGAACCATCAGCACAATCCGTTATGTTATCACATCTTTGATATTCAGCAATACAGGAAACACTGTGCCATTGATAAGTGTCACATTGCCATTGATCGGATTTACATCCAGGATGAGCTAATAATTTAAAATACATTTTATATTTGAATAAAGTAGGGGTGAGATCAGATGTTAAATTTATCTGTTATTTTTTCAATGAACCCTTAGAATACCGAAACCCGATTTTTCTCGGAAAGTTTAAACTTACGACAATCTTTTTCGTCTTCTCCTTCTGAACAATCTCCAGATCCATCACATTTCCATTCATTTCTGATACATTTTCCATCGTTACATCGGAAATCATTTTCATTACAAACCGACGAAGCTGTATTAACTGATGCCGAAATTATTCGAGATCGAACTGATGGAGGGGAATCAACTAAAAAAAATACGAGTTATTTCCAACTTTTTGTTTTATTTTTTAATTGTGTACATAAAAAACAATCATTTTAAAGTGTGCTATTTGAGACATTTAAATGTTTGTTTTTGTTGAACGATTAAGTACTTCTTTCTGTGGCTGCACGAACCTGGATTTCTATTTTTTTGTTGTTTTCCAAAAAAACAATTAATCTCGAAACAATAAACATACCTTGAATTGAATGAAATGATGTTGAAGCAGCAGCTGAAGATGCTGATGATATTCCAATTCCTCCTCCTCCAAGTCGTGTACTCGAATTCACAGTATGTAAACATATAGCTGAGAATAGTACAAATATACGAAATGGTATCATTTTATAGTATTGTATTTATTGATTATTATTCATTTGAGCAAAAATTGGTTAAATGTGAAAAAAGTGAAGTTTGTTGAGCAATTAGTTTATTGTTGTTTTTTTGTGTTGAATAGAGGCCACGCCTGAAAAAGAAATATTTGGATTTGAGAAAAAGAAATTTGAGTAATCTGATAATCGAAGGCAATTTAGATCTATGAACAAATAAACAAATAAAACCAGAAAAATATATTTAACCGAGATTATGTAACCGTAATCGTATTCTAGTACGTCATTTTGATGTTGAACTAGATATATAAATGTTGTAACAATGGTCAGCTGATAGATACTATAATAATTTATATCTTTTCAAAAAATGGTATTCTTTCCAGAAAGAATATCTTTCTATCTTTTTTCAGAGGGCGAATTTCTATTTTTTCGTTTGGAACAAGTATTCTCCTTCAGAAAAAAGGAATATATAATAGATTTAAACTTTTGGCGAAAAATCAGGTTTTTATATAAACGCCAAAAAACCTGTGTGTGGGCCGATGTAGTGTTTTTTTTTGAAACAGTAAATTTGTGCCTACAAATATTTCTTTTTCTAATAATAATAGAAATACAACAAATGGTCAAAAAGCAAATATATGCCAACCACTCCACTTAGAAACGCACCTTGAGGCGATGAAAAAACACAGACACAAAAATTCGAGGAAAAAAAAGAGAAAGAGGTTGTGGTCACTTAATCTGTTATGACAACAAATATCGAAAAACAAGATGAAGGCTAGAAAAATATATCTTATCTCGAAGTTCTAAAAGTTTCCAAATAATTCGATTCCATTGTCATTTCTCAAAAAAAAAACAACAAAAAATGGGCATCCAAAAAAGATTTTCGGCTGATCAAGGTCAGAAGATTTGCGGAAAAACGAGAAAAAATAATCAATAATATTTATCTCAATCAAAGTTTTGAAATATCAACAAGAGAAGAATACCATAACAAAAATTACACATTATTTGTTTTTGCATTGAATTTTTGGTGTTACATTGGTCAAAACTTTTTTAAACTACAAAAGTTTGTGTTTAAATGTGTATATGTGTGGACAAAATAATGATGAATCCATCCTTCGTTTAGGGACGAACTAAAGGGGGGATTGGCGGGCGCGATGAAGAACAAAAAACAGGTTTTTGAAACGAATGGAATAACAAAAATGATAACATAAGAAACGACATGACCGACCGACCGAAGAAATGGGGATGAATTAGAAGAAGGAGAAGAAATAAAATAGATAGATGAAATAAAATGAAGGAGATGAAAAAAAAAGAACAATACGACACAAAATAATGAAGATGAACTTTTTTGAGATTTGGATGGAATATGTAGGTGATTAGATCAATTTATGACTGTGAAAAAGACGCTGAACCGTTTTGACAAGTTACGACTTTTCGAAGATTCTCGAGAAAAATATGTCATTGATTAATTGGAATTTGGAAAATGAATTCTGATAGAATGTTTCTCCAAAACTGAAAGTTTATTTTCAAAAATCTGGAAACCATTTCCTAAGTTCTTGCGCCTTGAAAGTACTTCCTATATTTCCAGATTTTCGGAAAACCTCTAAGAATCTGAAGCTGAATGGTTAATTTTTGGTTTCACGAGAATTTCAGACTGAGGTTTCACAATTTAGGGGACTTGGTCCCTTTTAATAAGAAATTTTCTTTCTGAAAGTTTCCGAACAACTTCAATCTTCTAGGGAAACCCCGTTGCTCGTAAAAATCATAAAACTTTAATTTACGAAAAAAAATCACTGGAAATCTGGAAGACTACATTTTTCCAAAAAATCTAAACGTATTTTATTAGTGTTACTGAATTTTTTTAACCCATAGAAGCCAATAAATAAAAAAAAATAGTTTTCAGAATTTTTTTGATAATCTACGAGTCTTGCACACATACACAATAGTCTAAGAATAAGCAAAGACAACAAATAAACGTGAGGTGCTTTTGGTTTGCTCGACTCAATTCATTGCATATTGGGAGAAAAAGAAGGGGGGGGGGGTTTGTTTTTGAGTGAGTGAGTGGTGATCGCGAAAAAAGGAACGGTTTTTGGAGTCGGAGACGACAGATAGAAAAAGATAATCAAAAAATGAGAAGAAAAGATGGAAAATGAAATGATTAGCAAAATCTTTTTTTTTGTTTCTTGAGAAATATCAAACACGTGTAACTTTTTGCAACTACAATAAGGAAAAACGATATTCGTGTGGAATATCGAATTAAATATATAAATATAAATCGCACAATATAACTTCCCAAAATCAAAAACACATAAATAGAAAACCAGTTCGATAATTGTCCTTCATTCTTGCCAGAATGACCTAATGTATGTACTATTTATGACCGTCCTTTTTCAGATTGCATATCATGATTGGCCACCACAAAAGGAAAGGGTCATTGATCTTTATCTATCACAAAATTTTTATCGATCGGTGCTCAAAAAAGAGCTATCATAAAATTGTTCTTGTTGATCTTTTTGTCTGAACATTTCTTTCGGAGTCTAATGTTTCCGCTAAATATAAATTATCTTATTATTATTACACAATTGTTTGTTTTGATGTCATAACACGATATGATAATAATATTCATCTATGAATTGTATAATTTATTGAGTGTTGGAAAATCGAATGAGTGTGACTGATTGTTTGGTCTATCAACTTTCAATTCTTCTTCTCTCTTTCTCAAGATCAAACTTTCGAAAAAATCTTGATTACAAGTAGTGGCTGCCAAAATTGCTAAATAATTTATTCAAAAACTGGGATTGAGATTTTTTATAGAATAACACGGTAAAATGATAGCTTAGCAATTCTGAAAGGGATCTAAAGATTACTGTAGTATTTGTAAATTCTGATTTCTCAAGCTCAGAAATTTGAATTATGTTGTCACGGGAAAAAGTTAATCTTTTTGATTACGAAAAACTAGAAATGAACACGCAAATGCCAGGCGTCACGTGTGCATATTTTTTAAATTGATACTTATTTTCACTCATTTTTTCTTCAAAAAGTGTTTGAAAATGTTTGATATAAGATCTGAATGTCTGAAAGTTGACTCGGAATTATGAATTTTTCATGACTTAAAACACAGCTCGAGTTGAAAATTCACCAAACTTTTTTCTATTTATCATAAATACCGTAATCATTTATTTCTTGACCCATAAAATATATTAAAACAACCAAGCAATACATGAAAAAATATCAAGAATAAGTAGTATAATTCAATTGCAATTCAATAAATCTTCTCTCAAATTCTAATTCCAATTGTTTCGTTGCTGAATCAATTTGTGAAGAAGGTGCAGTATTATCGAAATCGTATGCTAATTGAAGACTTCGAGACATTACAAGTAAAAATGCACAAAGTAAAACAATTGCACAAAATAGTTTTGTGAAATTTGTAAGTGTGGAATTATTATAAAAATCATCAAGAGGTTTATGTTCTTCTGTTTCAGATGTTCCAAATGCAAGTCTGAAAAAAGAAAATATTATTTTGAAATATTAGATATTTATGATGTGATGTTTTTAGTTAAGAAAAAAAAACAAAATATTTATTTAGTAACTCACTTTCTTGTGGAAGATTGATTGTAGGCAGGCATCTGAAAACACTTTCATTTTTTGCAAAACTAAAAAAAGTTTAACTAACATTAACAACACGTGGTGTTACATTTCCTGATTCTATGCTATCATCGCTCGAACTTGTTGATTGACGTCGTTCAAGTTTTTTCGAAACTGCTCCAAATATTTTTGCTGCCATAGTAACCAGCTGAGCGATTCCCTTTGAATGGAATTTTGAGGTCGAAGCCTCGCCCGAATCTCTCGAACAAGGTCGAACTTTAGTCATTGTGATGTTTTGAGATGATTTTTTGGGTAGAGAAGTAATTTTGCTGAAAAATTCGAGACCATAAATATTTTTGTTTACACGAAAAAAGGGCGATTCAAAAATAATTCGAGAAATATTGAAGTACTTTTTTTGAAGTTCGAAAAAAACTATTATTAGTTTGAAAAAGTGATAAATGAGTTTTCAAAATCAATAACAATTTCATGAAGCAAAAATTGTCATACGTGGTAATTCAGAAAATATCGAATGAAAAAAAGAGAAGCGAAAAACGGCAATCAAAACACTGATTCAAATTTCCGGCCGATTCATTGCATCATAGAATTTTTTCTTGATTTTTTAAGACAGCCAGGTCAAAATTCAACTGACTCATGGTTTTATTTTATTTTTTGTGAAATATTATTTGGCTGAGAAGCATTAAAAATCGCATAGAGAAAGCACTTTTTGAAAATACTCAATTATTAAAATTGAGTGGTGGATGGAAGTGACTATTTTGTTTTGGCTTTTTTTCTATTTTTCATTTTCAAGAGAAAAAAAAACAAGAATATCCCGAGAGAAAACAAAAAGAATGAATGTTTTTCGAAGAATTGAAAGGAAGAAGAGAAAAGTCCAAATTAGATTTTAGTACCCTTTTTTCGAAAAGAAAAACGAACACAAATGTGTTTTGTTTTGTTTTTCAAAGTTCAGCAGAAATTTGAAGAAAAAAAATAGAAATTGAGGAGAAAGAAATGGAGAACCTGAAAAATTGAAAATTCTGCACACGCACGCAAAGACAAAGTTTTAGCGCCGCCGCCGAGTGAAGAAAATTCTTGGCCACGCCCCGATTTCTACTCGGTGAGCAGATTTTTTTTCGAAAAATACACGCATTTTTCTGGAAGAAGAAGAATCTTGTTGGGAAAAAACAGAAAAAAAAGAAAGAAAAAAATAGATTATCTATATAAATTAAAATAAATTAAGTAAAAAAGAATTGATTCGACTCGAAAAAAAATGACATCTTCAAAAAAAAAAAAAGAAAAAGAAAAAATGCTTTGAATATCAAATGAATTTATGTGGGTGACCAACGATCAAAGATTTCAAACACTTAAAAATTCATAGAATTTCAGTTTACTCAAAATGATTTTGCTTTTTACTACTTACAATTAGAGTTCTCGAGAAAATCAATAAGTCATTTTTCTTCTAAATTTGGAGGAAACGTGAACTATGACGTGGCTATTGAGCAATGAATTATGAGAAAAAAGTTGTATGAAAATGAAGTCACGTGGTTTTTTTATTTATTTGAAAATCAAGAAAAAAAATCAGAATCTGACATAATTTCAGTGGACCAAAAATCAATAATTTTCAGATTTTATGGGAGAAGAATTTTTCGAATCAAACCAAAAAAACAGGCCAGGTCCGATTTTTGAGAAAATTCTGAACCAAAGCCAATCAATTTTTGGAAAAATTTTATAACTGTGTTGCCGAACTCAAAAAATTTTCAAGAAGTGCTCCTATTTTTTTTTGCTATTCTGCATTCAAATATCACCTTGTAAGTAATAAAAGCAATCTGTCACTCATCACTTCCTTCCTTCATTATTTTCTTCCTTCTTTGTCTATTTCAGTTATCTTTTCAAACCTATCTAACTCTTCAATGTCAAAGCTTTAAAAAATGTGACATGTTTCAAGTTTATTTAACACTTTTTTCTTTTCGTCAATCCAGTTATCTCATTCAAAAATCTAAACGATTCTTCTGTTTACCGCCTCATAAAAATTGTGTATAAAAGTATAAAGCTTCTTCTTCTTCTCGTATACATAATTGCTATACAAAAACCAAAATGTCGAGGTTGTTTATTGGGGCAACTTCTGCTGTCTCAGGCACTGTTATTTTTGCCTGTTTAATCTATTGTGGTATTCTTTTCAATGATATCAATAATTTGTATTCAGATGTTCTCGACGATATGCATGAGTTCAAAGTAAGTTATTCCAAAAAAATCGGGACTATTTCCACAAAAAAATAATTTTTTAGTTGATTGCAAATGATGCTTGGCAAAAAATGATTGATATAAACGATCCTCGTTCAATCGATCAAATTCTTTTTCCACGTTCAAAGAGATCAACTTGTAATTGTGGACCACAACCAACAAATTGTCCTCCTGGTCCAGCTGGACCACCAGGAGAACCAGGAATTGCTGGAGATGACGGAACACCCGGACAAGCTGGAAATAACGGAAATGACGGAATTCCATCCCCGATTGATGCTTATGCTCAACATGAATGCATTAAATGTCCAGCTGGAGCAGTTGGGCCAAAAGGACCTGATGGGCCAGCTGGGCCAAAAGGATCGGACGGACAAAATGGATTGCCGGGACAAAATGGGCAACCAGGAAAGAATGGAGAAATTGGGCCAATTGGAGACCAAGGACAATCTGGAACACCAGGAACACCTGGAGAAATTGGTGCACCAGGAAAGAATGGGCAAAAAGGACATGGTGAACAAGGACCACAAGGACCTGCTGGGCCACAAGGAGAAGTTGGAAAACCAGGAGCTGATGGAAAACCTGGAGCTGATGGACAACAAGGACCACAAGGAGAAGCTGGACTTGATGGTAAACCAGGAAATGATGGACCAGTTGGAGGTCCAGGAGAAACTGGATCGGAAGGAGCACCAGGAGCCGATGCGGCTTATTGCCCATGTCCACCAAGAACTGTTGGATATGGAGAAGAAGCTGTTAAAGCAACTGAAGCACCAGCTGGTTATGGAAGACGTAGAAAGGTTGCGAGAAGACATGCTTAATTTTTTCCACTATTGTTTGTATATCTGTAACATTTTATCAGGATCAACAATAAATCTACACTACTATTTGAAATAAAAAAATCAGAGTACAAAAAACAAAAAAAAAAGAAATGTGGTGCGATTATTGAGAGAAAAACACGAAAACAAAACGTTTTTTAAAGAATGAGTTTTCAGAAAAATGGGTAATTATTGGTGAACATTTCACAAGTCATGAGTTTTTCTCAATAATCGCCAAGCGAAAAAAAACTAGACGGTTTTAATTATTGTTAAAAATCTCACTCAATCGTTGTCTCGAATCAGTGCTTGATAAAGTCCAGGCAGTTGCAATTCCAAGTCCAACTAATGCTCCAATTCCACTAGCTTTCAACCCGTATGGACTACGATAAATTGCTCCAGTTAAAGCACCAGCTCCAAATGAATTTAATTCGTCTTCAGCTCGCACATTTCTTAATCCAATTTCAAGTGCAGAATACATGAAAACAATAGCTCCAGCTGGTTGAGCAAATCCTGATCCATGTTTCATTGTTGCATTTACCATTCTTGTCATCCATGGTTTTCCAACCAATTTCCGGGTTGCTGGATTGAGAAGTTCTCCAAATGCACCCCGAGCACAACCAACACCAAATGCTCCACCAACTGCCCATCCAATATGTCCGAGAGCAAATTCAAAGTTTCCTTTTCCAGAAACTCCTCCTTCTGGCATAATATATTGTGGTTGTTGTGAAACAAACATCGAAGGATCCATCTGAAACAATTTCATAATTTTTCGATATATTAAAAATTCATAAAAATATTTACCAACCTGAACATAAGGTGTCATTTGTCTCGAAACATTTACTCCAGCATGTTTCAATTGATCAAGAGCTAAAACTGGAGCAGCTGGAAATGGAGAATGATCTGGTACTGATGGTTGTGAATTAGCCTGTAAAAAGTTCATGACTTTTCTATGTTCCAAATTCAATTGAAATTTATAAAAACTAACTGGTGCATCAAATCCGGGAACAGAAAAGTTCATTCCAGCATTCAAATCAAGAGTAGTTGATGGTGTTTCAACAGATGATGACGGAGTGTCGCTGCTTCCTCCAAACCCGAACCAACCCATTTCCTAAAAAATTTCAAAATTGCATCATTTCAGAATTTTTCTTGATTAAACAACGAATGAGGGAGGATCAAATAAATTAATTTGGAGCGATATAAATAACTTATTTAACAGTTTTTCAATCATTTTGAAAACTCAAATTAACAGAATTATACGATTTGGATGAAAAATAGGTTTGAGGAAAAAATTCAAAAATAAAAATAAAACAACGACACTCCGATCCACTCCGGGCACACTCTGCTAAACAACAGGCTTGTGCGAAGTCTCGTTGTTTTTTTTTCATTTCTTTCTTTCCTCCTAACTTTTTCTCTTTGTTTACCCAGTTGCCAATAAAAGTATATGTGTCGTCTATATTTTTTGAAACTTAAAAATCAGACCTTGAACTTTGTCACATGATATAGTTATGAAATCATCGGAACATAAATAAATTTCATTTTCAATCTCGAAATACTTTGATAAAAATTTTCCGTTATTTGTTCAACCCTCTTATCATTTTTTGTCACTCCGGTTCATTCTTACTTTTTTCCAGTTGCAAACAGCAAATATTTAGTGATGAGAATTTGGACGAGTGAACACGTTTTCAAGTGAGTTTCTAGGTTTTTTTTAAATTTTATACAGCTGAATATGTATATTTCATCATTTTCAGCCATGAATGGGAAACTGTTGCAACTGCAGCATTCAGAAAATATCCTAACCCATTAAATCGAGCAGTTACTGGTATTGACGTATTACGGCAGAGCTTAGAAGCTGGAAAAATTATGACCGAGCGAATTATTCAATCACATTTCTCAATTCCAAGCTGGGCAACTAAGGTGAGATTTTGGTATTTTTGTTTTTATTTAAAAATATTCAATGAATTTATCCTCGATTTTTGTTCAAATTTCCCGATAGACATTTTTTATTCGTCAGAAAACAGCTGTCAGGAGTTTTTCAATAGAAGAAAACGAGAAAAGATGATCATTCTTTGATCGATCTTTAATTTGTTTTATTTTTGGTCATGCGATCACACTTAGATTGATAAGACATCACAATATCATTAATTAATCTTTCAAATATTTAAGCTCACTGGATTTTCTGGAACACAATATTCTCACGAGTATACTGTAGTCGATCCGCTGAATAAAGAATTTTCATTAATAACTAGAAATGTAAGTTTTTTCTAAATTTTGAAAAATTAAGATCTCAATTATTTTCAGTTAAATGGTGCCTCATTTCTTCGAGTTGATGAAAAATTAACATATACACCGCTTGAAGAAGATCCAACAAAGTTAGTTTTTTTTTAATTGAATTTTGATTTCGAAATTTTCAGAACCGTGCTGAAACAGGATGTGAGTGTCACAATTACATTACCCGCATTTGCTGACTATTGTGAAAAGACATTCTTAAGTATATATTCACAAAATGCTAATAAAGTGAGTTTAGAAAACAAATTTGAATTGAAAAATAAATATTTTTTGCAGGGTCGACAAGGCGTTGAATGGGTGATTGATAATTTGAAAAAAGAATATGAAGAAATATCGAAAAAGGTTAGTGCATGGGCTTCGGATATCAAAGGGGCGAAAAACGATTAGGATGTGAGTTTGAAAAATGACAAAAATTTTAAGTAAAATCAAAAAGTTTTTGGATTGGTTGACCTCTCAAGAATAAATAAATATAGAACATTGAAAAAACACAAACCTATTGATTTTTTACAGGTATCAAGTGAAGTTCAAGAAATGTCGGAAAAAGTTCGATCAGTCATCGCCTCGAATCCAAAATCATCAAGATGAATTGTAAATTATTAAAGAAATAGGTGTTTCAATTCTTTTAGATACTGACTGACTGGTTATAGGAATTCTATTATTATTGTTTTTTTTAATTGTTAGAATCTTTCCTTTTTTCCCCCTCCATATTTTTTGCCTCCTTCCTCACTCTTCGATTTGCGGGTAAAATTTCCACAACACGCACCTTGAAATAATAAAATAAAACATATTTTGAAATTCATTGAATTTCTTATTCGCTTATTTATTTATTTATACAAGTCTTTTAGTCGCATGCGGTCTAGTAATATATTTATTTTACTTTTATAATCTATAATTGGATTTTTCTCGGATCTTGCTTTAGCCTCACTGAATTTTCTGAATGCAATTTTACATTTCAAACTTTTACTAGGTCTACTACCTAAAGCCGTTTCTGAATCATATATTTTTCCGCATAATCGAATTTATGTGACCGGTTTGATTATTGCCGAAAGAAAGTGTCCTTTTCTCAAGTATCCTTTTCGATTTTGGCGGCAAAAGTGTTTTGTCCTCGCTTCGTCTCACAAAAAAGCTCTTTTCTTCTTTCTTTTTTTTTTCTGAACGCTAAATATAAGTTATACCAAGTTCTTTGTTTATTTTTAAAGTTTTTTGTCTTGTTGACCACAAAATGTGTTCCTTTTTTGGTCGCTCGAAAAAAATAGGAGCAAAGTTTTTGAGAAAAATTAGTTTTTGTTTTTTTTTGTTGAGCGAAGCTTGATGCTAAAAATATCATTTTTGTTTTGAAAAAACAAGGATCTTGTGAAATTTCTGTAGGATACAAAATTCGTCATTGTTTACTGTTTACTCAAGATTTCAAGTTATGTAAGTTCATTTGAAACTTATTTCAAATTTCGAAAGTAACCTGCGAAATTTAAAATCTTGAAAACTTTAATTTTTTGTATGAAGCAAAAGTTCTTAATTTTTTCTCAAGATTTTGAGTTTTTCGAAATTTGAAAAAGTCGTCTCGTGGTTTTCTAAGAGTTATCTTAAATTTTCAAAAGTTTGTCTAAAAATTTAATTAAAAGTATGATTCAAAAAGCTATTAAAAAGTTAGGAATGTGCCGATACTTCAAAAACTAACCTTTTTTTCAAAATCTCATTACATAAAAAATTCACCAAATTTTGGTAGAAAAAATAAACTTCTCAAATAAACTTCTGTGATTTGAGAAATTTGATGAAAAGTAGAAGCTGCTTAATTTCTTCAATAAAATCTAGATTTGATGTTCCCCATTAATTCACATTAACCATATTTACGTCAAATTGAAAATCCTTTTCCCAAATCCAATCCGATAATCCGTTTTTTTTGTGGTAAACCCTATTTTCGTCATCCCAAAAAAAATTCAATTTCATATTCGAATAGTTTTGAAACGGATGTCGAATGATTGATTTACAAAATCATATAACTTTTTCCATATATTTCTTCCCATATGTTAATTAGTCATTTCTTTTTCTTTTTTCTTTCTCCGATTTCTTGTTTTTCGACTGGTTTCAAACTACAATTATTTTATTTAGCTTAGTCTATGTTCCCTGCTTGCTAGCAGTTTTTTCTTACTACAATAGTCGTATAATCTTTTCCTGTCTTTTTTTCTCAAATTGGATCTTGCCAAATTTTTTCTGTTGCTTTGTTCAAAAATGTGGTCAACAAAAACAACAAAAAAATGAAATCGCATGGGAGTTTCACATTCTATTTTTCTTCTTTTCGCGTTTAACGGTTTTTACGAAAAGAAAAGTTGAATTGTACGAAAATGTGATTTTTGAAAACTTGTTTATCGGATTTTCACACTTAAAACACTCTCGATTTTTGAGAGGAGAAATTGGAATTTTGAATTGTTTCTAGTTTGATCGAAGAATTTCAAACCCAAAGAATCGAGTAATCAGATTCTCACATTATTTGAATTTTTCTGCCCTGCACTTTTGGAGCATTCTATTTCTAATTTTATCAAAAAGGGTATTGACAAATTTGTACTCGGTTATTATTTTTAAAAGTTTTCAAAAATTATTTTCCACTTTTTTTTTGAAAATTTTCCCAAATTCAAAGCTTGAACTATCTGCTCTTATTTCAACACCCAAAATCTGTCATCCTGAAATATATTGGACTTCCAAAAAGATATAATTTTAAAATGTTCAGAACTGAACTCTGAAGAAATTAGAATTGTCAAAAACTGGCTATTTTTCATTCGCAACAATTTTCAACACTCAAACTTCCAAATAAAATTTTGTGAGATCAATTTCATGTTTGGTTTTTCCCGAAAATATATTCATATCAAGTTCCGTAAATTGTGTACTTCTTCCATATATTTTTTTCTCACCCTCGTTTCGTTCATCCAATAAAACATAATAAAATTCCATTTTCTTTCGCCATTTTACGCTCTCGCGCAAAAAATCTTTTCTTTTTTTCCTCCTTCTGCAATATTTCATATTAAATCGAAATTTTATGCAAATTTCTCAAATTTTGCTGATTTATTCGTTTTTTCTCTTGTGTTTCCAAATATACTTTCTTCAAATAAGTTATATGGTTTTGTTTTGAGAGAAGAAGAAGAACTACACATATTTCTGCCATCTTCTTCATTTTTCCTCAATTATTCCGGTTTTCCGGCGAACAAAATTATTTGGCGGCGGGCAGATGTTGTTTGGTTCCATCTAAATTAATTTTTTTCTTACTTCTTTTTCTGTGGGAAACCGATGCAAAAAAATTATTATTTTTTTTTGTTATTTGGGTTGTTGTCAAAAATGTTTCCGGAATTGGATGATTTTTGATTTTTGACTTTTTTCATTTTTGTTGATACCTGAAAATAACTTTTGAAATAGAGAAAAGCGAAAATTCCCAAAAATTAAAAATGTTCATTTTTCACGATTTCCACGTGTTGAACTTTAAAACTACAGTAATCTAAACAAAGTAGTCGGACTAAACCAGAAAATGTTTTTTTATTTTAAAATAAATAAATAAAATTGATCTTTATAAAAAAAATGCTTTTTATAACCTGACAAAACATGGTAATATTTTCAAGAGCCAATTTTCAGAGTAAAATTTTTCTGTTATATGTTTTGGAATATGCTATAACTGTATTTAAAAATTATTTTTTTTTAAACTCAAATCACATAAAAAAATTAAGCAAAAATATTCTTTAGGACTACTGTAGTTGGCGATGCGCTTAAAACAGACCCACTCAATTCTAGTTTCAACTGAATTGTCTTTATTAATTCGGAATAATTTTTGGGAGCTTGAAAAATCTTCGATATAAAAATATCACCAAATAATATACTCTTGGTTTTTTTCTGGAGAAACCCTATTCTCTTCTTCAAATATTCCCAATCAAATTATGAACTTTTTTTCGATAAGAACTTTTTATCTCTTATTTTTTTCGCCTTCGACATAATATCAATTATTAGATAAATAAGTAGTCCAATTTGATTCGTCTTCTCATTTTTTTTGAGCATTCATTCATTTTTTGTGCCAATTTTCTCTCAATTTTTTACTCTCTTTTTCTTTGTCAATCTCTTCTATTCTACCACCTGTCGTATAGTCCATTCTCTCTAAATCTCTTCAATTTTCACACTATTTTCTCGATTTTTCTCGCCATTCGATTTATGTTTTTTGTGTGCTTGTGAGGATGCTACTATTATATTTAAGTAGACTGAATATTTTCAACTCATATTTCATGTTCTTTTTTTCAGTCGAATTGAGCGAATTTCCCTCTATTTGAGCGTAGATTTTTCGAGAAAAAGTTTAATGGCAAAAAAATGTTTACGAATTTTTTTGAACTTTTGTTCTTCTTCTTCTTTTTTATTATTTCCTCTTCATTAATCTTTTTTTTTCATTTGAAAATTACAGCAAAAAATGTTTAGTTCAAACCTTTAGACATTCTCGAACACTTACTAAATAATTCTCTTTTTTTTCAAAAAAAAAAAGTCAAAAATCTCTCAACTTTCTTCCTTTGCCAAACCAACAAACTATACTAATTTTATGTCAATTCTCCCGTTTTTTTCTCTAATTCTCTCCTAATTTCATATACTATTTAGACCTCCCATTTTTTGGCCAACGGCTTCCTCGCCATTTTTTTACTCACGAAATCTATCTTTTTTTTATTTTCTGAAATTATTTGGCTGCAATTTTGAACGTCTTTTCTGATTTATTGGAGAAGTTTCGAATTTCAACAACCATTTTTAGCAAAAAAAAAAGAGAAAAAACTGAAAAAAAAAATCGGTGTGTCTCATTTTATGACTCATCTTTCGGCCATTTCAAATTTTATTTTTCCTCGGGGAGTTTGACGAAATTGCATCGGGTTCGCGATGAACTTTTTTCGTTGTTGAGAAATACGTGCCATGTTCTTTTTTGTTGCTTTTTGTGCAAATCAGACGCTCGAAAATGCAATTTTTGAAAAAAAAATTGAGGTTCTTTTCGACTTTTTCTTTGAGAATTTGAGATTTTTATAATTTTCGAAAAAAATTGAAAGTAAAAATCGCGTGGAAATTTTCTAGTTTTTATTGTTGATATAGTCGAATCTCGAAACAATGAGACACTCTAGAATTGTTTAATTTCAATAAATGGTCTGATTCAAATAAAAATATATTGGACATCTCACAAGGAAAGGTTTTCAATGTTCCCCCAAGGAAAAAATCGAGAGTATATGGAATGTTGAGGGTTCCCGTGGGTAAGAAAAACCCTAACGGGAATAAGGAGAAAAATGCCTTGTTTTAGAAAATTTTGGTGTTATTGATTTTTGCGATGAAATTTTTTAGAAAAATCGAAACTTTTTTCAAAATTAATGAAAAATGTCAGTCTAAAAACCAATTTGTAGCGCAAACGGCGTACTTTAGTATTACTCCGACTAAAATTAGGAATAAAATAATTTTGGTCCCAAAAGTCCACTAAATCAAAAATCCAGTTTGAAAAATTCATAGAAAATCAACGTTTTCGTTGTGAAGGAGAAGTTTGTGTGAATCGAGATGATGATTTTTGGATTCTACGGACCAAATTACGTCTGTTGACCGTCATAAATTTTTCAAGTTCCGTTCATTTGAAAATGGAAAAAATTATTTTTTGTGTTTTTTGATGACCATTTGATCAGAAAAACCCCGACTAAAAAAACCAAATTTCAAAAAATGTCTAATTTTTTGATAAAAAGTTTCACAAACACGTAATCGACCATTCTGAACAACTTCCACGACTCAAAAGTTCATGAAATAGATTCAAAATCGAGTTACAGATGCTCTAAAAATCAAAAAATGGTGTAAAAATCGACCTAAAATACATTTTTTCTCGAGAATAAGGCATTTTTCTCCTTATTCCCGTTAGGGTTTTTCTTACCCACGGGAACCCTCAACATTCCATATACTCTCGATTTTTTCCTTGGGGGAACATTGAAAACCATTCCTTGTCAGTTTTATCTAATCTGGCCACCATACTCTGAATATTTTTCTATCTAATCAATATTTGTTGCTCTTTACAGTAGTAGTCGTAAAAAATCAAATTAAATCCAGAATATTCTTGCATTTTCGTAATTATTTACGAGCTCAAGTGCTAACTATTACAAAATGTTGGAACATATGGTGAAGTGGTTTCTTTTTGTTTTTGCTCTATTCTATCTATTTAATAATAACAATGCATTTTCGGTTTTGTTATTCTTCATTGTGTTTTTGACACATTTGTGAATATTCATCTAGTTTTTTCTATTTTTTTTTGAATTCTCGAGTTGGTTTCTCATCATTACTAGTCGATCTCCCGCAGTGATATCTTTTTATATAATCTCAAATGTGTCACCCTTTGTCTTGTCTTGTCTTTCCTTGTCTCACCACAATAATTACACCTTTTCAATCATTTTCTCGAGTCGAGTCACAGGCATAAATTTCTGACTTTTTTTCCTGTCGTCTCCGCCCCCTGCCACGATTACACGTTTCACGTTTTTAAAATAATTTTTTCGTTTTCATCTTTTTTTCTTCACTAAATTTCGAAATTTAAAAAATCAGAAATAATTATTCATTGAAAAAAAACGTGCCGCACCTTGCCAAATAAATCCCGCCTCCCGAATCACGCGAGAATTTGTTTTTTCTGCGACAGGCATTTCTGAATTAAAAAAGTCAAGAATTTATGCCTGTGCGAGTCGAATATTGAGAACAAAACAGAACAAAAAAAAATAAAAATGTATATAGATTTCGCTTTTTCGCAAAATTAATTATTTATTTGCCCTTTTTCGAGCTGAGATTTTTTGATTTGATTTTGCATTTGAAATGAACAAGAAAAATGAAAAAAATGGCAGAAAACCAGAAAAAAAAGAGAAGAGAATATTTGAAGTGTGTTGAATTTCAAATTTTGAAAAGTGCGCTTTTTTATTTTTAGTTCAAATTTCCGAGAAGATGAAGTTGTTTTTAAATACTTTTCAGCTATTAGAAAAACGTTTTTTCTCAATTTTTGTCGCAAGCTGATTTTCTCAAAATTTGTATTTGAAGTAATAAAAAATATCCCAATTTTTCTCGAATTTCATTCTCAAAAATACAATATTGGAGAAAATGTATTTTTTTAACTTTGGTCCAATGGTCTCACAGTTGTTTTACAGAGTTTCGGAATTTACCGTACTCTGGAAAAAATAGCATTTTTCAGTTATCAATTTTATTGAATCTTTTTGATGAAATTCAATTTTTGGCGCCAAAAACTACTGTAATCTCTTCTTGTAAATATGTATTATTGATTTTTCAAAGCGTGGTCAAGTTTTGACGCTGAAAATTCTTGAATTTTTCTAGGTGCCACGTGGATTTTTGGATTATTTGGTCTAAAAAATCAGAAAATTTCCAGTTTTTGATGTTTTAGACTTTGGTTCTCTATAATTTTCAACCAATCCTGGCATCTAAACGCCGTCAAGTTAGTTTTGATCATCATCTAAAAAATATTCGCTTGTAAAAGCGGGCTCTGTTTCTTTGACTCTTCAATCGACGGAAGAAGCAACAATAAAAATAATCATAAAAGTGTCAAATTTCGTATCAAAATCTCACCCCACATTTATTATTATTTTTATTTATTCTTTTTCGTTTGTTCCTTTTCTCTTTTTATTCATTCATTCCACTCATCTTCTTCTTCTTTTTTTTTCTCCCAGCTTCATCCATTATTCTTCTTTTTCTTCTTCATTTTCTCTTAAATTCAATTAATGCTCACTCCGTTTTCTCTTTTACAATACATACACTCAATTAATTTAATGAACATGGCTGAAAAGAACTCTCATTCATTTTTTGCTCGAAAAAATGTTTGTGTGCTGTGCGGTAATTTTCTTTTTTTATATTTTTTGAAAAGGAAGTTTGATGGATGACAAAAAGAATGTGAACACTCGATTCTTTTTGCCTTCTTTTTCTATTCTTTTTTGAGTTTGAAACTATTGAGTCGCAGTCAGAGATTAGTTGGTTTGGGACCAGACAAAAAATGCATCGTACGCGCAAATAATTACGATGTTTGTTAAAAGATTTAAGCGCACAAAAGTTGATTTTTATGATTACTTTCTTCAGAAATAGTTTTCATTTTTTGCTTATTATTTTTTCACGAGAAAAAATGAACATGTGGATATCGTGTTACTTTTTTCATTTCTTCTTGAAAAAGACTAACTGCTGGAACATTTTTTGGAGACTACAGGAGAATTTTGGAGGATTTTTAAAATGATCCAAAATTTTGGCAGTTTCAGAATCGACTTTTTTTGAAAAAAATTTCGGAAATTCGAGTACGGTATTAATTTTTTGATAATCAATGTTTGTATCCGAAAATATTTCTGAAAACAAGGTTTACAGTACTTATAATGTTTCTTTAACGGAAAATTAAATTGAACTCCCAACGCAACTTTTCGAATTTTTATAACTTCGTTCTGAAATGTTTCCCATATTTTTGTCAATATTTTGAAGTTCGGAGTCATAGTTTTATTTTTATACTTTAATTTTTCTGAATCCTCTTAAAACCGCTTCTCCAATATTCCTATTATGAACAATATAAAAGACAGTTCCATCTGGTGTGACCCAGGTGCCAAAAAATCCACATTTTCCTTTTCTTATCCATATTTTTTTCAACACACGTGTTTTTTAGCTGTCAGGTGCCATAATTTCGTTCGTCATCTTTTTTCTTTTTTTCTGTTAAAACTCCACCCCTCTTCATATTATATTTTTATTTGAACAGTTATGTGATCTATTCATTCATTGATTCTGTCCTCCTCTTCTTTTTCTTCTTCAATCTGTCATGTTTTCAGGTCATTTTTATTTGTTCTTCTCCTTCCTAATATAATATATCTCATATACAACTCTTTTTGTTTTCTTTTCCTTTTTTGGGAGCTTTTCTATTTCTCATTATCTCCTCTCGCTGAAAAAGTAATATAAATGCGAAATTTCTTCTCTAGAGATATTTAATTATAAGGTATTTCTAATATCGGTGGCCAAAACTTCTTTTTTTTTCGAAGTTTTTTTCTCAAAGTTGCCCAAATTTCTATCTATTTGAAAATAAGAATACTTTGTGATGTCGTGACGGAAATGCGTCGCCGCTCTTCGTTTTCGTCTTCTTTTTTCTCCATCTTGTCAAAACTTAATCTCATTTTTTCTAGATATATCTAGTTTTTTTGCAGAGTCACATTTATAAATTGAATCATGCTATAAGCTCAGTTTTTCACCTCCCAATATGGATACTATTATCAACAGGTTTGTCAATTTTTGGAGGATAAAAAGGGGACTTTTTTGAAAATTGAATGGAACTTTCAAGAATCACCATTCTGATGGAAAGATTTTTTCAAAACAGAAATTGAGTTTTCAAAAATGAAAAAGATTCCAATTTTTCTTAAGTTTGGGTGTTTGTTTATCTGAAAATTATTTTTTTTCAAAAAATAAAATTAAAAAAAAGATTTGAAAATTTTTATGATATTTTGGATAGTTTTTGAACAAGAGCATTTTCGAATCTTTGAGCTTAGAAAATCCTAAATTTCAAAATAAAATTCAAATTTAAAAAACAACTGATGTTTCAAATTATAAATTTTCAAAAGTTCTTTAAAAACTCGGGATTTTCTGTGATTCCCAACAACTTTTTGAGCCTAAATTTCAGAATTCTTCCTTTTTTCTTAAATTTTTCAAAAGTTTTCTTCATACTCATAGGTTTACCCCTATTTATTTATGAAAGAAAAAACCCGAATCACTTGAAAGGATTATCAGATTTGTATATATTATTTACCTTTTTTCTTTATGACAAGTGGTCCTCTAAAGGTCATGAATCTTATAAATACAGTACTCTCTTTCATTTTATCCTCCATCAAATTCTAAATTTTGCAGATGCTCATCGCTGGTTATGCAGAAAATCACATTAGCCTTATTTTTGTTATTATTTTGTGTATTAATATTACCTGATTCATGTAATGCTGGAATTGAATTCGAAACAACAACAATTTCAAGTTTGGCATCTCCATTACGTCGAACTTATACAAATGAATGGGCTGTTCAAATATCAGGCGGAAAAGAAGCAGCAGATCGATTAGCTGAAAAACACGGGTATATTAATCTTGGTTCAATTATTTCGGGTGGCGATTATTATTTATTTCGTGATGGAAGAAGGCATTCGAGATCAAATCGAAAAACGAGAAGTTTGGCGGCAAATCAATTACAACATGAAACAGAAGTTGAATGGATGGAACAACAAATTGCAAAAAGAAGAGTGAAAAGAGGATTTCGAAGACTTCGACATACTGAAGATAATCAGATTATTGAAGAAGATGAAGATGCACAAATTAGTAAATCAAGAACTAATCGAAAACAACCTGATCCAAATGATCCACTTTGGACTGATATGTGGTATTTGGTAAGTGAAAATATACTCTGAGAACTCGTAAGAGTGAGGCTTCCAGATTCAAATTTAGGAACCCCGTGATATTTTTTGCAAAAAATAATTTTGAAAAATTTCATGTTATTCGAATTTCCGATTTAATTTTCAAAGAGAATCCAATTTTGCAAAAAAAAAATTGTCGAGCTCTTCAAAAACAATTTTTGTTTTTTTACCAGAAAATTTTTAGAATTTTCACTTTGCAAAAGACTCCTAGGCTTTCAAAAATTAATTTTGAAAAGTAAATGAGAAAAGTTGTTGGATTACTGTAGATGATTAACCTTCAATCAAAAATTACAAATTCCTAATTTCAGAATCGTGGAGAATATTCGGATACAAATGCTCGAATGGATCATAATGTAAAAGAAGCATGGGATCTTGGTTATACTGGAAAAGGTGTTGTTGTAACAATTCTTGATGATGGTTTAGAAAGAACACATCCAGATATATCACCAAATTATGATGAAAGAGCATCTTATGATGTAAATGATCGAGATTCCGATCCAATGCCAAGATATGAATATTCGGATGAAAATCGACATGGAACAAGATGTGCCGGAGAAGTTGCTGCAATTTTTAATAATTCACTTTGTATTGTTGGAATTGCATATAATGCTAAAATTGGAGGAATTCGAATGTTAGATGGAGATGTAACAGATGCTGTTGAAGCTGCTTCAGTTGGACATAATCATGATTATATTGATATTTATAGTGCTAGTTGGGGACCAGATGATGACGGAAGAACTGTTGATGGACCAGCAAAATTAACAAGAAATGCATTTGAAAAAGGTATAAATGATGGAAGAAAAGGAAAAGGTAGTATATTTGTATGGGCATCTGGAAATGGTGGAAAAGATTCGGATTCATGTAATTGTGATGGTTATACTAATTCAATTTATACACTTTCGATTTCATCGGCAACTGAAAATGGAAATATTCCATGGTATTCGGAAGCTTGTAGTAGCACATTAGCAACAACATATTCAAGTGGAGCGACTGGCGAAAAAATGATTGTTACAACTGATTTACATCATTCTTGTACAAATATGCATACTGGAACATCTGCAAGTGCACCATTGGCTGCTGGAATTGTTGCATTGGCATTAGAAGCTAATCCTGAATTAACTTGGAGAGATTTACAGGTGAGAATGACTAATCAAAGTAGTTTAAGATATTTTTTCGACATTTTTGGAAATCTGAAAATTAGATTATGCAAATAGATTGAGATGATTTGCTTTTAAAAAATTCTTTAAATAATTTCTGGAATTTTCCGATTTTCTGATACATTTTTTCAAGTTTCAGTTTTTCAGAGAAACCTTTCCCCGATTATTTTTCTAAATTAAAAAAAACCGTTTTGAAAATAAAATTTAAGAGAGCTCCAGATCTTGGAATACATTTTCCCGAAGTTTAAATATCTTCCGATCTTCCGGTTCAGAACAAGTTACAAAAAATATCCCAATTTTTTGTAGCACATTGTAATCCGAACAGCAAAACCAATTCATCTTCGAGCAAGTGATTGGACAACAAATGGAGTTGGACGAAATGTTTCTCATTCATTTGGTTATGGATTAATGGATGCTGGTGCAATGGTGAAATTGGCAAAACAATGGAAAAGAGTCGATGAACAACATAAATGTCGACAATTCTATCCAGCCAGGTATAAGTGAGTTAGATTATAGTTTTTTTTTTAAATTTTGAATAATAGCTTTCTTCTGGGGCTGAATTCATAAAACTGGAGTACCAAACATTTTTGGATGAACTGAATTCCTACATTTTGTCAATTATTGTTCCAAAATAATAAAGTGAATTTAGTTCCTGATTCCCTTTTTTCTCCTCTTCTCAATTCAAAAAATTTAGTTTCAAAATTCAAATTCATTTTTTCATTTCAGAGTGATTCCAAATGGAAATCGATTACAACTTCAATTATATAGTGATGGCTGTTATTCTTCGAGCGATGAATCAAAAGTATTTTATGTTGAACATGTTCAAGCAATTATTACACTAAAAGCACCAAAAAGAGGCGATCTTCAGATCTATTTAACTTCACCTTCAGGTTTGTTCGAGGGATTTTAATTTAAAAAAAAAAACTTGCATGTGGCAACTTCGATTTCTAAGAATTTCAAATTTTGAACTTTTTTCTCGAAATTTCTTTTTTAAAAATTAATTTTACAGGAACAAAGTCAACACTTTTAACAAAACGAGCTCGTGATTCAAGTCGAAGCGGATTCAATGATTGGGCATTTATGACAACTCACAATTGGGGAGAACAAGCATCTGGAGTTTGGACATTGGAAATTGATAATGATGGATGGGATGGTAAGAATTTTCTTCTAGATTTTAAATATCAAATCGAGGGTTTTTTTCAGATGCTGAAATGGTAAAATGGGAATTGGTTTTATATGGAACAGATCGAGAAACTGGTGATTTCGGAGGTCAACATACATCTCCACTTGCAGTTCGATCAGTTCCATCATCTGAACATTCAACATCTTTATCATTTTCATATTCCAATTTTGTCTTTTTATTATTTTTACCGATCTCAATTACTTACATGTTAGGTCAACTTTAAAACCAAACAAAAAAATTACGGTAATTCTCTGTCTGTACATTCCTTTTTTCTAAATTATTTCTTTCTTGTGATTTCTCTCACTTTTTTTCTTATTTACAATTAATAGGTGCTAGTCTAACAAATAAACAATTTCGTGCCGATAATTTATGAGATTTTCAGAATAAATATTAAAAAATAAATGGTGGGAAGGAAAATAGAATGCTCGCAATGATAAATACCGGAATTTGTGAGAAGGCAAATAAATTCAATGGGCAATTGCAAAAAAAATTATGTTGTATTAGTTTCTGAACGATTCGAGATCTTCATCAGTGTTTCCGAGTTGAGATCCAGTTCCAGAAGTGAGACGAGAAGAAGGACGACCATCAGCTGGAGACATTTCGTTTGTCAATGCTCCTCCTCCATTACGAAACTCATCTGAAAAAACTTGAAAATTGAAAACCAGAAATAAAGTTCTATAAAGGGCAGACAAGACTTCTCGAGAAAAAATACGGTCTAAAAAAGATCCCCGAATTTCCGAGCCCAAGCCCTTCAGCGACAAATCTTACCTCTAGCAATACTGGAATTACTTCCAAATCTTCTCGATTCTCTATGAAACATTGGTGTTCTTCTCGAAGCCGTATCTCTTTGTTTCAAAATCGAAACATCTCTTGTCAATGTTTCATTTGCATCAGTCAAATCATCAGCTCTTCTTCTTTCTTCCTTGATCTTATTGTTCAAACGATCTCTTTCTGCTTCAACATCATCCAATTGATTTCGAAGTTGACGAATTCGACTATTCAATCTTTCGGTCTATAATTATCAAACCAATTGAATATATATTTTTTTGTTGATAAAATAAACTTACAGCTTGTCGATGTTGCTCATTTTGTCTCTTTTCTTCTTCAAGTAATTGGCTCGATTCGGTCAATTTCGATTCCATTCTTCTCAAAGTTCTTGTTTGTCTCAATCTATCTTGTTCTTCCAAAGTAATTTGTTGCTCCAAATTCAAAATTTTGGCTTCGGCAACAGATAATTGAGTACGAACACGAGATTGAGCATGAGCTGAAAACAAACACATTTGTTGAATTATAACTCGTTTAGAAATTGGAACTCACTTTCAGCATCTTGCAATTGTTGCTTCAATTCTCTGTTTGCTCTTTCCAAAGTGAGTTTTTCCGATTCAGTTCTTTCACACAAACTTCTTTCCATAGCCAAATCTGTTGTCATTTGTTCAACTTGTTGTTGTGCTTTTTTGATTTTCTCTTGAGCCAAATCATTCGACGATGTTTCTTCTTCCAAAAGTTCTTCCAAATCAGCAATTCTCGCTTCAAATCTTCTTCTTTCTTCATTTCCAACACCAACTTGTCTCAAATTAGCCACTTCATCCAACAACTCATCTCTTTCTGTTTCAGCTTTTCTTCTTGAGGATGAAATTGCAGCAACTTCAGAATTCAATCGTTTGATTTCATCTTCAGCATTTCTTGCTCGTTTATCAGCATCTCTTTGTGCAGCCAAAGCATCATCCATTGCCAATCTCGCTTCCGATGCTTCCATTTGCATTTCTTTGTTAAATACTTGGATTTTTCGGAGTTGTCTTGTCAAATCTTCGATTTGTCTTTGTGATGCATCAAATTGATCTTTCAATTCACTAACTTGTTGTTCCAACTTCTTTTTGGCAGCAACCGCACTTTGTTTTGCTCTTTGTTCTGAATCCAATTCTTCAGTCAAAGTTCGATTTTGTGCAATCAGCGCTTTCTTTCTATCCTCTTCCTCATCTTCTCTCGCAGCGAATTGTCTTTCGAAATCATTTCGAGCGGCTTGAAGATTGACTTCAAGTCTCGATCTTGCATCATCTGACATTTGAACTGCATCTTCCAAATCAATGATTTGTTGTTCTGCTTTGTTCAATTCCTCCTCAAGTCTTCTCTTTGCTTTTTCCAGTTCAAATACATTCTTTCCAGCATCATCTTGGTTTGAAGCCTAGATTATAACATATTTATATAAATTAGTTCTTCAAATTAAAAACTTACCAAATTATCAACTTCCAATTTAAGAACTCTTTTCTCTTTTTCCAATTGTTCAATCATAGCTTTGAGATCGCCAAGTTCATTGGAAACCAACAAATTCTTTGTTTCGGCTTCTCTCAATAATTGTTGTGAATTGTCTCGTTCTTGTTGAGCAACTGATGTTTTATTTCTTTCATCAGCCAACAATTGATCAAACTTTCTTTGTTTTCTTTCCATTTCTCTCATTGATGCAACCAAATCAGTTATCTCTTTTTGAACATCTTCCGCTTCTTGAAGTGCCTTCTTCTTTGCTCTTTCAGCCTTTTCACGTCCTTGTTCAGCAGCATCAGCTCTGAAAATAACCAATTTATCGTTTATCAAAAAATCATATAAACAAACCGTTCTTTTTCAGCAATAAGTTCTCTCTCTTTTTTCTTTCTCAATTCTTCAACCTTCTCATTATTTTCTTCATCCAACTTCTTTCTTGCTTCAGCCAGTTGAACTTTCAATTCTTTCACCTCCTTTTCAACTTTTTCAAATGCTCCAATAGCCTCATCTCTCGCTTCATTTGCAACTGTCAAATCATCTTCCAATTGTCGAATTTTAGTTGTAAGTGCAGTTCGAGTCTTTCTATCTTCTTCAGATGCTTCTGTCAACTCAGACAATTGCATATCCAAATTCGCAATTTTCTTGAGCAAGTTTGAATTACGAGTTGCTTCAGAATCTTTCGATTTTTGCATTGATTCCAACTCTCCATTCAACTGGAAAAAAACAAGTTTTTATTATTGTTCAAAAAATACCAATAAAATGTTACCTTATTCAATTTGGCAGTCAATTCTTCGACTTCAACTTGAACTTCCCGCATTTTGTGTTCTTTTTCCAACAATTGCGATTCGGCTGTTTTTCGTCGTTTTTCAGCTTCGGTTCGAGCCGAACAAACATTCGCAAGTTCAGCACGAATGTTTTCGTGATCAGTTTCGATGTTGTTTTTAGCTTTTTCCGCCTGAAAGCATACTTTTTCAGTAAACAATTTAAATTTTAAATAGGGATGACTATGACAGAAAAATCTGTCAAAGTAAACAAACAAACAATCTCAAAAGTATGTGAGAATTGATAAAAAATCAAACCTAGGACTATGCATTTTTTCTTCAAAAAATAATCATTTTTCTAGAAAGAAAAGGTAAATATGAAAAGAATCGAAAAAAAGGGGCGAATGAGGCGGTTGCTGCGCGGAGGGACAGTTAAAACGGCTGATAAGCAAAAAAGCAAATATAATATCAAGGCTGCTGCGCAAATCATACCGCGAGTTTTTGACGTTTCAACTGATCAATGGATTCAATCAATTCTTCCAATTTTCGTTGATTTTGTTGTTTCAATTCTTCCATTGATTCTTCTCCAATCTTTTTCTGATCATCGAGAAGTTTCTGAAAAAACGAAAATGAATATTGTTTCAGAAATTGATGAGATTATCAAACCTGCAAATGTGCATATTCTTGATCTCGTTTTGCACGCATTTGTGATTGAAGAACTGTTTTATCATTGGATTCCTCGAGTTCTTGCTTATATCCTTCCAATTCCTCTGCCATATCTCTTCTAGCCTTTTCAGCTGTTTGACGAGCATTCTTTTCTTTGTTACAATCTTCAAGAGCATCATCCAATTGACTTCGCAATTCTCGAAGTTCTCGTTCAAGTTGTTGACGATTTGCCAATTCCTCATCATTCCTGAAAATATAAATAATTGAAAAATACATAAAATACAACATGTCTTACTTGATATTGAATTTTGCCATTTCTTGTTCTTTTCTAGTCAATTGAACCAACAATTCTTCAGCTTTTCGAGTTTTCTCTAAAGACAATTCTTGCTCTTCGCGCAATTGTGTTTCAGCAGCTCTTTTGGCATTTTCAGCAGCTTGTCTCTGTTGTTTTTCTTTTTCCAACTCATCCTTCAATTCGGCAACATTTGCTTCCAATCTTGCCTTCAATTTGGTTAATTGTTTTGCTCTTTCAGTTTCATCAATCAAATTCGAAGACAAATCTTCACATCTTTCTTCCAATGCTTTTTTCTCTTTTGCCAACTTATTTCCAGAATCTTCCAATTCCATTCCTTGCGCTTCAATTTCCTTCAACTTATTTTCAATTGTGGTCTTTTCGAGCAACAATTTCTGTCTGGATCTTTCTTCATCTTCCAAATTTGCTTCCAAATGTCTGACTGTTTCCATCAATCTCTTTTTCTCCTCATCTGAACTTTTTGCTTTCTTCTCTTCACTTTCCAATCTTTTTGCAAGTGTTTCAACATTTTGCTCAAGTTCATTTTTTCTTGAAAGAAGACGACTTCTTTCTTCGAAGATTTCAGCTCGTTCAACAGATTCAGCATCAAGTTTCTCCTTGAGAATAGCTCGTTCTGCATCCATTTTCTCCATTTGTTGTCTATAATCCGAAATGAAAACTTCTGATCTTCTCAATTTCTCCGATGTGACTTTCAATTCCATTTCTCTTTCAGCAATCAATTCATCTTTGTTCGTAACTTCAAGAAGTGGCTTCACTTTAGTCAAAAGTCTCCACCATTGCCATTCTCTCAATCTCATCCAAGCAAGTCCATTTCTTTGCAAAATACGAATTGCATTCTCTTGTTCACGTTTACGAACCATAACACGTCGACCCAACCAACCACGACATTGAGCCTAAAAATAAAAATAAAATAGAAAAATACTCATCAAAAATCTATTCACCTGGAAGCTTTCAATCAATTCCGACAACTTTTGTTCTCTCAATTCTTCCAATTCAGCGACAACTCCAGCACGGAAGAATATTTTCGATTGACCAATTCTATACAAATTTTCATCAATTTCAAGAGAAGTAACAATTCTTCTGACAGCTTCTTTTCCATCCATAAAACCAGCCGGGTTAACATCAGATGCCAATAATTTTTCATATCTTTGACGGAATTCTTGGAATGGTAATCTGGTAGGGAATCCCTGTCTGCAGATTCTGATTCCTTCCAAAACACCGTTGCATCGTAATTGATCAAGAACCAAATGTGCATTCAATACTCCGTGTTTCTTCTCGTGGTTCGGAATAATACATCTGACGAAGTGAGGATTTGTATTGCTCAAAGTGCTCATCAATCTTGTCAATTGTTCTTTGTATAATTGTGATACAGTTCTGAACATTCCCTTCTTTGGCAATCTTGATCCAAATAATCCATTATCAGATGCACTATCAGTTGCTGACAAAGAACAAACATCAGAAACATCTTTCCACATTTCCACAAGTAATGTTTCTTTTGATGATTTCAAAACCTCAATAACATTCTCATTAAGTGGATCCATATTTTTGACTCGCCATCCTTGTGCTTCATAATCAACTCTTCCAGCATAATGAACAACAGCAAAATCACTTTTGGCTCGAATTTCCGGAACAACATATTTTGGATGTTGAGCATGAGTATCAGTGAGTCTTTGAACAAATGATTGATCACTTCCTTGTGGGAAAAGACAAACATCATCCAAAGTTGATAAAATTCCCATTGGTTTCTCGATCAAATCAATTGTTGGTTGCAAATTCAATCCGAAATCCATAAATTTCCATTCGAGACCTTCATCGAGATATTCTTGTTGTTCTCTGACAAACATTGTATTATTGAACAATTGCTGCAATTTTTCATTGGTATAATTGATGCAAATTTGTTCGAATGAATTTGTGTCGAAAATTTCGAAACCAGCAATATCGAGAATTCCAATAAAACTGACAGATAATTGTCGAGTACGATCAAGTGATTTGTTGAGACGATGTACAAGCCATCTGGAAATTGATTAATATAAAATTGAAGTTTTTCTAAATAGTAATTACCTGAAAAGTCTCTCATAACAAGCTTTTGCAATTGCACCAACTGAGAATTTGGCTTGATCAACATTTTGAGAACGATGAACCAAATCTCTTTGAACCTTGATTTTTGGTTTCAAAAAAGCGCGGATGAGTTCTGTGACATTGACTCCAAGTAATTGAGCGATTTTTTGAGCAACTGCATCATTCACCAACACAGCTTGATCATTATTCTTGTTTTCTTGAGAGAATTCCAAATTTCCAAAAAGCAAAACAGCGGATACAGTTCGAAGAATTCCATTGATTTCTTCATCATTCAATCCCATAATTGACATTGCTTGAAGTGTTTCGCGGAATTCGGCTGAATCATCGACGCCAGCAAGTTTGCTTTCTCCGTTTGTCAAGAATTTATAAGATGAAGCTTGATCTTCGAGCAAAAGGGATTCGCGTTGAGATTTTGATAAGCCTTTCAACATTTGATAAAATACATGGAATGTTCTTTCTTGATTTGCTTGCTTCAAAACTCTGGATTTTTCGAGCAGATAAAATTCAATATTTGCACCAGAAATGCCACCAGCTGCATCAAAATGAATGCGGATAAATTTTCCGAATCGACTCGAATTGTCATTTTTGACTGTTTTACTGTTACCAAAAGCTTCCAAAATGGGATTTGCTTGCAACAATTGTTCCTCCAATTGTCCCATGATTCTGTTTTGAGAAGAATCCAAATCGACAGATGTTTTTCGTGATTTGGAAATTGAACGATTTCCGGCGACATATGCCAAATATTGGATAACTTTCTTGGTATTTTCTGTCTTTCCAGCTCCAGATTCTCCAGTGCACAAAATCGATTGATCTTCTCTTTCTTGAAGCATGCTTCTATAAGCCTCATCGGCAACTGCAAATATGTGTGGTGGCATTTCCTTTCGCTTTTTGCACTTGAATTGTTCAGCAATTGTGTCAGTGTAAATTGGAATTCGTTTGTATGGATTGATAACCACACAGAACAAACCAGAATATGTCTGAAAACCACGAAAATTGAATTCAACATAATAAGAAATGTGAAACTTACATAATACAAATTGGAGAAATAGCGCTGCTTCAAGTTGTTGAGAACAGATGCCTCATTCAAACAAGTTAGCATTGCCATATCTTCGCATTTGTCATATTTCGGAGGATTCGGTTTTTGGCAATCATCAGTTGAAACTCTTTGACGTTCTCCTGTCTCCATCAACTCAACATCAATCGATCCATCCGAACCCGCTTCTCCATTCACTGATGCCAGTGCAAAACCATCTTTTTCACTTGGGACCCACACCAACTTTTTTCTCGACCATTCAGCGGACAATGACGGATTCATAAAATCGGCCTTGGCCTAAAGAAAATTGAATTGATCGAGACAAAAATGAAAAAAAAACAGGTGCATACCCTCAATTGGTCGATTTCATCATTGTTCGTGCGAGATGACATCATTACCTATTCGAGCAATGTTATAAGCTGGAAAAATAAGAAAATGCGAGGAAGTTATAAGAAAATAAGAAATAGAGAGTAGTTATTTACCAATATAAAATACCAGAAGGGCTCCGCCGGCTAACGCCGGCTCCTCCTTCTGGGTTGTCCCGGCTTCGCGCGTAGTGGTAATTAGGTGGTGTTTTTGATACGGTTTGATTCTTAAAAACCATACACAATGAAAAAGGGTGGAAACTGTTGGTGGGCATGCAGATGAGACTCAACAGTCGTGTTTTTTCCTTTACCGCCCGTTTTTCCTAATTCCGTAATGGGGCTGTTCAACGATTTTCTCAACACGCTGAGAAAACGGGAAAAATGCTGAGAAAAGCATTTTCTCAACAGTTTTCGTATTTTTTCAGCCTACATAAGTTTTCTCAAACATTTCAGCGTTGAGAAAAGACGTTGAATAGTCCCATAACGACCAATTTTTCTGAAGCCTCCATTTTTCTCTTAAAATTATGCCGCTCCAAAGAATGTCATTTCTGAATTATGAAACAGTTTTTATCTTATCCTTTTTTTCGAAAAATTAAATTAGAGCTCAAAAAATGCGAGGATGTTTTGTTTTCATGTTTTAGATAACTGTTCATAGAGTCTAGGATGACTATCAAAACATCTAGCTTGTACGCTAACTTTTTACAGTACAAAAATTTTAAATTTTTCAGTTTCTGTCCTCTAAAAATTGAGATTTTTCAATTTTTGACTTCTAAAAACTCAAATTCAGATATTTCAAAAAATTGTACTCTGGGTAGCCACGGCTTGGCCGAGTTGTGCTTGAAATTTCTGGCTCAAAAATTCTGAAACTTAGCTATTTATAAAAGTAGCTTTTGAATTAAATTTCAAGCTTTTTTTGCCTAGAAATACAAATTTCCCCTTTCAATGAAAATGAAAAAAGGACGGCAAAGTCTATTGTTATGTTGGTTTTTCTTCCATGGCTCTAAAAAATTCGTATTGAAAACCTCAAAACCGCAATCCTCTTATTTTCAAAACTCTTTTTTCTTCAAAAACACATTTCTCGCCTGTTCAAAGAAACGTTCTTTTCTTGTTCGGAGCTGTCTTTGTTCAACATTTCAAGAATTAACTAAATTTAGGTTATGGGGTTATTCAGGTTTTTCATACCTTTTTTTGGCCGAAGTGTTGGAATTTTCTAAACACGCTTAGAAAACAGAAGAAAAACGCAGATCACATACATTTTCTCAACCGTTTTCCTATTTTCTCATAGGACTATAAAAAAATAAAAATAAAAAAAACGGCAAAAAATGTGTTGCGAAACAAACGCAAAATACATTGAAAATGTCGAGAAACTGAGTTTCGCGACATTTTGTGCATTGTATTTTATGCTTCGAAACATGTTTTTTGACGTTTTTTTTCTTCGCGAATTGTCCCATCAGCTTTCCTGAACAGATTTGCTTCGTATTATCAACGTTAAGAAACTAACTCAAATATCCGAATTATTGAGAGACGTTTGAATTCAGATAAATTGCTGGAGCATTTGAAATATAGAATTGCTCATTAATTTCGATTCTGAAAAGATGGGTTCAGAGAAAAAAGTGTTTGAAAAAAAAACAGAGTTTTCGGAAGAAAGAAGGTCTCAAACTCAAGCTTCAAAAATCAAAACCTCTTAACTTTTGAAAACCACACTTTTTTCATAACTTATCTTTCTTCCAAGAATTCATTTCTTTTTCCGAAAGCCTTTCCATTCCTAATCCTCCTGTTCAGAGCCTCAATTTCCGAGCTTGAAAAGAGAACCTAACAACAAATCATAACTCACAATCATCAATATAAACAGTAATCCCTTCTTCTAGTCAAATAAATTATTCCACATCTGGAAATTTGATAAATTTATCATTTCACCCTCTACAGTAGTTTGACTTACTTTTTGATGAATATTTTATTCCCTAGTTAGGCAAAGGGAAACATTGAGAAATGCCCAAAAATTGTTGACTTTTTCAGAGAATAGAAAGATCAGATAAGAAACGTGTCCTAATAATTTTTTCGAATAAAAACGTGATCATTCTTTTTTTCATGAAAAAAGTTTTGAATTTTAACGTGAAAACTCGCGCACTTTTTGAACAAATCAATATTAGCGCATCGATGGGAAAGAATTTGGGATAGAATGGTGAAGGTCCCATCAAAAATGGCCTTCTGGAAATTGAGTTATCGCGATGGACAGGTTTTATTTTCAAAAAATACATTGAGTTTTTCAAACTTTTACCGCTCCGCGCACCCCTGAGAGAGTCAAATTAAAAAGATTAGCTAGCCCACCAAGGTGCCAAAATTTGCAAACTTTTCATTTTTTGATCATCAATTTTCGTGATCGTTGAAGGTATAAACGGGGCCTGGACAAACTATTCAGTTTCCAATTAGTATATAGTAGATTAAAAAGATGACCAGTAGCTCTAATAAATATTGCGAAAAATGAGTGAGAATTCTGGACAAAACGCCACGTGAGAAAACGTGTTCCACATTTTTATGGAACACGTAGTTTTAGACATTCATTTTTCGGATGATTTGTTCATGTAAAGCTGTTTGACTCTAGAATTGAAAATCAGAACAGATATTTCGGTATTTTTCGATTAATAAAGAAATGTAAGTGAAAATTTCTAGATTCACTAAAAAATAATACTTCTACGAACCAGCTTTAAAGACAGTTTAAACGATTTACAAGAAAAAAGTTAGTTTAGATCGTTTTTCTTTTCAAATCTTTGCCGGAATCCGTGTCTAAAAGTATCGGTTCTATAGAGATAAAGTTTATCTTATCTGTCAAGAATTTGAGCTCAAATGATCTATTTTTATTAATCCGGTATGAAATGATAAAAATTGTTTTTGAGCGCTCATATATTCGATCAAAAAATGTGACTCATCAGGTCAAAAGTTTTATTTTATATTTGTAAACAAGCGGATTCAAAACATCGATATAGAATGGAAAGGTTTGGAAATGGAATGAAAAGGTTTCAAAAATACAACCGTGCAAACACTTCAAATTTCACAATGGACTGTGAACATCTGGTTCTTTCATCTCATTCCCAAAAACCCACATTTCAAAAGTAAAAATCCCGCCACCTGTTGTGTAAACACCGCGACGAACAAATGCACACATTGCTAGCAACGCGCGACCGCGCGAATTTCAAAGCGTTAACCGTCATTCGCTCCGTTCAAATGTCGCATTCTGTGTTTTTTGCAGTAATTCGCGTATGCGGCAGTGAAAGTACGGTTTCAGCATTCGGCCTGGTACCTAATTTTTCTACGTCCCGCCGAAAATACGTTCAAATAATTTTATCCTTTTTTACGCTTCCTTCGCTCATTCTCACTTTTAACTGATTTCCAGCGACTCAATTTTATTATTTAGATGGCCACAGCAAGCCTAAAAGGCCCTCGAACCGATCCGGCTAAATGGTCCCCCCTCCGAGGGGGAAATTTTAGTTTGAAAGATTTTGAAATTGGAAGACCGCTCGGAAAAGGAAAGTTTGGAAGTGTATATTTGGCAAGAACTCGTAAAGGAGAATCACACTTTTTCGTCGCTATCAAAGTACTTTTCAAATCACAATTGATAAGTGGAGGTGTTGAACATCAATTAGAAAGAGAAATCGAAATTCAATCTCATCTTCAGTATGTTTTTTATCAAATTCAGTTAGATAAATATTGTTTTTTTATTTCAGACATCCAAATATTTTGCGACTTTTCACATATTTTTGGGACGAGAAGAAGATTTATTTGGTTTTAGAATATGCTCCAGGAGGTGAAATGTACAAGCAATTGACTACAATGAAACGGTTCCCAGAAGCAATGACGGCAAAATATATGTACGAAATATCCGATGCTCTTACTCATTGTCACATGCGAAATGTAATTCACAGAGATATCAAACCTGAAAATCTTCTCATTGGTGTAAATGGCGAATTGAAAATTGGTGATTTTGGATGGAGTGTTCATGCACCTTCCAACAAGTAAGTTTATAATAGTTTTTTATAAATAATTTTCTGATTTTCAGACGTCAAACAATGTGCGGAACAATGGACTATTTGCCACCTGAAATGGTATGTGGTGATTCTCACACAGCCTCTGTCGATTTATGGGCAATTGGAGTTCTTTGCTACGAAATGCTGGTTGGAAAGCCTCCTTTTGAGCACGATAAACAAAGCGAAACTTACGCTGCAATCAAAGAAGCGAAATATCGATTCCCGGATTATGTTTCGAAAGGCGCAAGAGATTTGATTTCAAAATTACTCGTCGTCGATCCATCGAAGCGTTTGACGCTGACTGGGGTAAACATTTCATGTAACTTACAATTCGAAAAATATTATTCAAATTTATTTTCAGGTTATGAGACACCCATGGGTTGAATCAATGCTCGAAGTAAACAGACGAGCAAAAAAAGAAGAATCTGAAAGAAGAGCCGAGAATCTCAGAAATTATTGATCTCAAAAATGTCTTTCTTGTGAATATTTTATTTTCTTTTTATAAATTAACTTTCTTTAAAATCATGTTTATTTTTGGTTTTCAAAACTTGTTGAATTGCGGAGAACAGTTATAAATATTTATAAATATCAAATTCTTTGCAAAATGAATTTAGAAAATCAGAAATGTCTGACATAATAACATTATCCGATGATGAGGAAGAAGGAAGGAGAATCGAAGGAATTCCAACAACTTTTGGAGATGATAATTTATCAAGATTTTCATTCGATGTTGGTTGCTCACAACATGTTTCAAATAATATTGAACCGGATTATTTTGAAAATGATTTTTACGACAATGATATTTATGTTCCTTATGAACCAGAACAAACCTCACCAATACTCACTAATATTTTACCAAAAACACCAAAATCAATATCAAGGAGGCGATCAGTTTCAACAAGTTGTTTGAAATCCGAAATTCCGAACGTTAAAAGTCCGCCGAAATTCGAAGTTTGTTCTTCTTCAATTAATATTTCAAGCGACGAAGAAGATGAAACTGATGAACTTGGACTTCGAGCGCTTTTGAGTCCGAAAAAACGGAAAACTAGAGAAAAAATTGGAAAAGTTAACAATGAATTTTTTGGTGTTTACTGTTTAATTAGTCGAAGTGATCGACCATGTTATAAAGTGAGTTTCTCTGAATTAAAAACATTTATAATACGTTAAAATCGTCGTATTTAGAATCGATGTTATATTGGATATACAGTTGATCCAAATCGTAGAATTACACAACATAATGGAGGAAGATTGAAAGGAGGTGCTAAGAAAACAGATAGTCGTGGACCATGGTAATTTACTATTTGTTTTAAATCACCTTTAGATGAATATATATTTTCTATTTAAAGGGACATGGTTTGTGTAATTCACGGTTTTCCGAATCACGTGGCAGCACTGCGTTTTGAATGGGCTTGGCAAAATCCGAATGTTTCGAAAGTTATAAAAGAAAAACAACTGAAAAAGGAGAAAAAAGAGACACCTTTCGCTTATCAGTCAGATTTTCTTTTCCTTGATTTTTTAAAAAGTTTTTCAATATATTTTTCCAGATTGCGAATAGCATGTAATCTTATGTCATCTGTGCCATTCAATCGATACGCTCTTACATTTCGATGGTTGATAACAAACGAAGAAATACCGTTTCCGGTAACTTGTTTACCACCTGAACATATCAAGAAAAAATATGGGAAAGTTAACAAAGAAATAAGTATCGTCTCAGATAAAAAAGATGATTATGAAAAACTTGGAGAATGTCATATTTGTGGAAAAGATATTCTAAAGGTAATTACAGTACTATAAGATTTTTTCTCCAAAATTTTTACGTTTCTCAGATTTGGCATTTCAGTCGTTGCTTATCTACAACCTGTCGAGGAAATTTTCACACTTCTTGTTTATCCGAACATGCTTTAAAATCTTCAAAAACAGATAATCTCAAAACTCAATTATTCCCTGTTTCTGGAAATTGTCCTATTTGTTCTCACACATTTGTGTGGGGTGATATAATTCGAGAACAGCGGCGATTGTTGAAAATTTCAGCAAAATGTGAAAACGATGAATTAAAATTGCTTGTCATTCGAAAGACCGTGATTTGATGTGATTTTATTTATGAAGAAAAAGAAACAATTTTCCAAATAAATAAACCCATAAATATTGCAAATAAAAACCATAAATAATTTTTTTGGAAAAAGTTTACATTTTCAGTGGATCAACCTTTGCCACTTTCTTGGCGTTTGCAGCAGCTGCAGCCGCATCTTCGGCTTTTTTAGCTGCAGCCTTTTCTTGTTTGATTCTCATAATATCAGCATCTCGATTCATTCTTCCGTCCATTGAGAGACCCTGAAAATCAACAAAATAATTGAATATCATAGAAAAAATAAAACATACAGCATTTCCAGTTTGTCCAGCGGCTCCTAACTTTTTCTTGGCTTCTTGTTGTTTCTTTTGATTCTTCTCACGAGCCAAATCTCTTTGATTTCCACCTAAAGAAAACATCAATGAATTAGACTAACGTATTAAAACTTACGAGTCATTTTCAAGTTTTGAAGTTGAAGTTTTTCCGGAAAAGTGACCAAACTCGGAATCACCGACTAGGTCTGGACAAGAAGGCGTGCCTATCAAAGGCGAATGTAGACTGAAATGAAAAAATAGAGGCTCGTATTTATAAAATTTTGAAAAAAATGTCACGTTTGAAAAATCAATAACAAATAAAAAATAAAGGAGTGAAGGAAAATTGTCTTCAGAGACGAAAAAGATGCATGGAAAGTGAAAAGAATGGATATAAGTGTAGACGTGGAATGTCCAATATTGGAAGAGAAAAAAACATTCATCACAGTTTTTGATAACCCGAATTGTGTTGTTTGTTCAATTCAAGAATCAAACATAAGAAACAATTATTGAAAAAATGATTAGCAGAATTAAAACATCCGATAAGAAAAATACGTCGAAAATAGATATGTTACAGAGTGTTTTTCAACTCGTTATTTTCGAAGTGAAATATTATTGGAAAATAGGAACAGTTTATGAGATTCGCGGATAAAACAAAAAACAAAATTATTCAACAAATGGGAAAATATAAAGTGAAACAATGGTTTTACTTTTCCAATGGATGATAATTCAACAATTTTTCGATCAAGTCAACGTGAGCCAACAACATTCTACGGCAACAATATCTTCGAAGACCAAGAGCATCGAGTGCATCTCCTGAAATCAACCGACTATACAAAAAATGTAAACATTTAATTTTTACCTTCACTGTATTCTGATTGTAAGAATCCCAAATATGTCTCCCATTTATCTCCAATAACTTTTCCACATGTGAAACATCTGACTGGAATAATCATTTCTGCTGAAAAATAATTCGATTTGAAGAGAGCTATAGTCTAAAACGAATTTCGAATGGGTTCAAAGAAAACTGCAAAAAAAGCTCGAAAAAGAAAAAACTTGCTCGTCGAATAAAATGTTTCTTGTACGCAATGGAAAGAGACTGTGTATTTTGATGAGACGCAGACATGTCGCTTTGAGACCTATCCTCTTTTAGCTCCAGGAGGTTTTTACGAGGTTTCTTTGATTTTCCGGAAAAATATTTTTCCAACCGACGAAAGGCACGATTCAACGTTTTGTAACATGTATAGCACTGTGCAGAAGCTGAAGAACTTTGCCGAAATCACTTATATGAACACCAAATATTCAGAAGATCAGGCAGCTGAAGTAATACGAAAAGAAGCAGAAAAATTAATAAATGTAAGAGTTTTCTTCGAATTTCAAGTATTTTTAAATGTATTTTAGTTGGAATTTCGAACCGTAAGAGGTGCATCTCCAACTCTACGAACTGAAATATTTTTATATAGTGGAAAGATGTTCAATTGCTCAGAGAAATTTGAACCGGAGGCGAAACAGTTTCTAAGCTTCGCAGTAGCTGAAAATCCAACATTATTTGATGGCTGGTTAGAACTTGGATTATGCGTTGCCAAACAAAACGATATTACTTTTGCTGTGGAATGTTTTGAACGATCAATAAAAATTGCGAGATCTCCAAAAGGACTGGCAAATTTAGCTGTGGCATTACGGTTAAAAGCTTCTCTGTCTAAGGATGATTTTGTACAGCAAAGTTTACGAGAAAAAGCTTTTTCTCTGTTGAATGAAGCAATTCAGTCAGACAAAAGTCTCGGCTTAGCACATTTGACTCTCGGCACACATTATTTTTCTGAATTTTTCACAAGTTATCAGTCAAAGAAAAATCTCCTCGATGAAGCATGTTCGAGTTATGAACAAGCCTTAAAATGTGATGATCAAAAAAGAAATCCAGAACTTCATATGAATTATGCAACAACACTACGATATTGTGAACAATTTTTCAAATCAATAGTCCATTTGAAAGAAGCATGTCGTCTTGATCCAAGAAATATGCTAAATTCCAAGGAAAAACTCGATAATTTATTATTGTATTTGGAAAAATTGAATGATATGATTCATCGACAAGGAAGACTGAAAACAAAACGAATTGAATCATTTGCCGAAGCATTAAAAAATGAATTATGTCCAACAAATGCATCAATTATGAAAGTTATTGGAACTGTAACACACGAAGAAATTGTTCCATTGTAAGTTCTGTTATTTTTTTCACTAGAAGATTTTCAAACTATGACGAGAAAGTTCAGAAATGAAATTTGAGACTTTGCTATGCTAAACGCATTATCTTCTAAATTTTTTGAATACATCAATTTTAAAATATTTCCCTTGTCTAACTAAAATTATTTCCAATATTTTTTTTGCAGAACTATTGGATGTGTTCTTCCAACTGGTAAATGTTGTATTGTTACTGTATATAATTGCTCTACTGATTTCGGTTTTATTATTGGCGATACTTTGACAATTTCACTCCCAGAATGGAAAATGTATGAAAATATAAAAATGTGTCGTGTCAATTCACCTAGTCAACTTCTTCGAAATGGCCAATCTGTTGCTGCAAATGCAATAGCTCATGCTACTTTAAAAATTGAACAATCTTAAATGTCGATTTCATTCAAATAATTGTTTCCCAATTCATGTGCTTTAATTATTCAATGCGATCTCTTCGAATAAAATTTCTCAAATTTTTCGGAAAAGAAAATGAGACACCTGGCGGAGACACACCAATTGAAAACCATTGGAGTGAACTATGTTGGTGACTTCGTGTATTCTACCTTCCCGGTATGATGAATGATTTATTCAGAAAACATTCATTTTTATTAACCGACAGGATTCGAACTGGGATGTTGTGATCGCTGGACAAATTGTTTACCAACTCGACTATGTGTGCAACAATTGCTTGTGTCGAAAATGTCATTGAGAAGAAGAAATGCGTTTGTGTGACTGGAGTGTTTTTTCCCTGATATCGAGTGTTTTCTAAAAAGTAAGTTAGTTTTTGAGACATTTTATATGTTTGAAATATTTGAAGCTCGCAATTTTCTGGGCAAAACCCATTTCAATGAAACAAGCAAAAAAGCAGTGATGCGCACAAAAAATCGCATTTCAGTTTCACTCAACACATGTTTTTATTTTACACTTTTTGTTTCAAAATCCCATTTATTTTATGATCAACATCAAAAATATGAAACTTATTCATTTCTAAAACATGAATGATTGATTTATCACATTCAAAAAGAATACTTTTTCCGTCTGCTTCCGTGGCGCAATAGGCAGCGCGTTCGGCTGTTAACCGAAAGGTTGGTGGTTCGAGCCCACCCGGGAGCGAAACTTTTTTGTCGATCTTTGGAATTGGTCCATTTTTAAATGTTTTTTTTGTCTTGGAGCACTTTCTTTATTCTCTTTTTGACACTATTTACCCAGCTTTTCATCAATTATTCACGTAAAGTGGCGCTTCTTTTCTTTTTCTTTTTTTTCTTTCAAAAACTCTGAAATTTGATCTCAAAATTGAAATATCACTTACATATGTTTCATTTTGTGATTTTTTTTCTTTTTGAGTTTTCCGTTTCATTCTTCTTACTTCCAATTTTGTGTTCGACCAAAGCATTCGAATTTAAAATTCAAAGCTCGTCGCAAAAAACTCGAAAACAAAAAATAAATGACAATAGAAAATAGTAGAAATATTCATAGGATCCGAATTTATAGGTTTGGGTTGGAAAAATAGAGAATATTTTTGGAGAAAGACCAATTTTTGACTCGATAATAAATAATTTCAAAATTGTGCAATTTTTCCACATTTTTGAACAATTAAATACATAGAAAGGTGTGTAAGTTCCGAAAGCAATAAAATTTTTTTTTTCATTTTTAAAAAAAGTTTTCATATTTCATTCATATTTTCTTTTTTTTTTTCTTCAAACAAGAAAACATAACAAACTAGATGAAATATTATTTTTTTCATTTCCTCCAGCTTATTTTGTACAGTGTTCAGATTCGAATAATTCATTCTTTTGATTTCAGATTTTCGTTTTCACTAATTGAAAACAAGTTAGTTGGAAAAATAAAAAAGGAGGAATAAATAAAAAGTGCATGCTCAATTAGTAGCATATCCCATGAGATTTGAATATAAAATCGGATCGAAAAAATAATGAGAGTTTAGTTTTTTTGGTTTCTTGAGTACTCTTATTTCAAACATGCACTTTATAATATTAATTATCACTTTCTAATTACTTATAAATAATATCGCAAAGTTCTAATGAATTCTTTTGAATTTTATTTTTTGTTGTTGTTGTTTTTCTTTTAAAAAAAATTACTGATCAAAAAACGATGTCCCAAAAGAGTCAGTAATTTTTGAAAAACATTTTTCTATCCTAAGAAATATTTTTTGAGGATAAGTAAATATTAAAGAGACAATGTGCGCAATAAGAATGATTGTTGTGTCCGAAAAGCCATTTTTCATTGTTCAGCATTTTTTCCTCTTTTTTTGCCACGTAAAGTATGTACTTTTGTGCCTAATTAAGTTAAAGGATTTCGTATTTTTTGTTTGTTTTTTGTTTCGAAAAATGTGTCTGTGGGTTTTTTATTACTGTATGTTTCGAATTTCGAAAAAATAGATTTCTATTTGCAGAACACCCCAAAAAAACTCACATAAAATCTGACTAACTTTTTTGAGAACATCATTTTTCGTCTCCTTTTTCATTAAAAAAATCAGACCTCCAATTTTTTATTCTTTTTTTGGAATATAAGTTTTTCATTTCCTTTTCGTAGATATTTTCATAGAAAAACAAAATAAATTGAAATCTGGCATTTCAAAGAATTTATAACTCGGTTTTTTCATTATTTTCTTTTTTAAAAAAGTTGTTCTTGAGATTTAAAGTTCCCTAAAAGTTCTTGTTCATGAACAAAAAATAAAGATAAGTGTTCGTTTTTGGCCCCTAGTGATCAATTTTTCAAATTCAACTTCTCACGGTTTTTTTTTGCTAACTCGCATTTATGTTTTTTTGAAAAATGATTTCGTAGAAAAAAAAAACTAAATACCACAATTGAAAAATTTTGAATGAATGTATGAAGAAAAAACATTTATTTCGTGTGAAAATCCAATTTTCTCATTTTTTCTGAATAAATCTGGAAGAAAAAACATTTTACTTCCTGATTACTACTAACCGTTAAATATTTAAATTATACGTAGTTTAAACTTCAGAATGAAATATTTTTGAATGAGATACAAGAAAACTAAAGTATGGAAATATGGGTCTGAAAATTATTATTTATAATTTGTGGTTTCTAGAAGAATTTGAGAGGTCATGAAATTAGAAATATCTTTACAGGTTTTAAGTGAACTTAATTGAGATTGAGTTTAAAATATTTATATAGGAATCAATTTACGTGAAAATTTGGTGTTTGGAACAATTTTTGAAATTTTCTGTTATAATTTTTTCAGTTTTTCCCTTGCAAACTTATTTATATTTTTTCGATTTCTAGAATGATTCCTTCCCAAAAAATCACGAATCAAAAACCTATATAATTTCCGTTCAATTGATATTCAACCCGTTTTTGATTCAACTTTATTCCTTTTTTGCTCATTTCCGTTCTATTATTTTTTATTGTTTATGCAAATTTATATGATGTCAACTTTTTTTTAGACTTTGTTCTTCTCTTTTTTTCTTTTTCATTGAGAATTTTTGAATGCTCAAAACACATTGCAAATGAATGATTCATATAAGAAATTATCACTAGATAAGTTCGCATGACAAGATCCTGTTGAACTTGGCTAAAAAATATGAGTATTCAGTCCATCTGAATTTTGAGTGAATTTGAAAAACAAGATAATCAAAGAAAAAATTTTCGTCACTGTGTACTCATTAATTTTCGAAAAATCTTATTTTGAAATGAGTTTTTGGTGATTGGTGACAGACAAAAAGTGCATCAAAAATTTGACTCTTTTGAGAGCTTCAAGAATCATATATTGATGAAAGATTTGAGCTGAGAATCAGCTCAAATATCGAGTATTTTCAGACATTTTGTTTTTTCACATTAGTATTCCAGACAGGGAAATGAGGACAAAAACTGCTAAAAGATGCCTGATTGTTTGAAAAACATTTCAAAACTTACTATGACCAGTGCAATCAAAAATGAAATTACACGTTTTCAAAAAATTAATTTTCGAATTTGACGTGGTTTTCAGATTCTCATTTCCAATAGTTCTTCGATAAATCTGTGATTATGAGAATATTTTTTGGATAGTACTGTAGAATATGTAAGAGGAAACAAAAACAGTATCGAAATATTTTTATGAAAAATTAATTTCAAATATGATTCTTTATAAGTTTTAGTTTCAAAATTTTCTCACATGGGTTTTTTCAGAAGTTTCAAGATTTCTGATATGATCCAGAATTGCTAATATTTTCTGAAAATCGGACCATTTCTCGTTTGTGAAAAATTCTGAACCATATTTTCAAGAATAATTGGATCTTTAAAACAATATGCTGAAAATTGTTTGTAAAAAGTCGAAGATGGCCCGAAATGTGATTCAGACAATTCCAAATACTCCAAAAGTTCCCCGTTTAACATTTTTCATCATCACATCATAAATTAATTAATTGAAAAATTGTTAGTGATGTGAAACGTCTGTTTCTGACAGTTATTTTCTTGCTTGAATTATGGTTCGAAATGTATGTATACATAGCGATATATTCATTCTCTTTTTCCTCAAATATTCATTAATATTTCAAGTTTTCACACATTTTTCAAAAACAAAAACTAAACGAATTCAAAGATCGTGTAACTACATATGATGTGAGAGTATTTCAGTCATTTTTCCAGCCCACACAAAAATCTTAACCCTTTCTTCAAAATCTCTTCAAAAAGTCATTATAGCTTTCCATTCCATTACCAACACTCTTTTTTTCGACACTCATCAACAGAAGAAATCAGCAGAAAAAAGTGAAAAAAAAGTGGGGCGGAGTCGAACCGATTTTGGCTCCTCCCACCCACAAACGGCTTCTTCTTCTTCTTCTAACACTTTTTTGTGCTTTCTCTCATTGCTGCTTCGAAACCCGAGTCTTCTTTTTTTCCTCGTTTTTCTTGTGTTTTTTCAAAGTTTTGTTTATTTTTTGTAGAGAAGAAGAAGCATTGTTTTTCTATGGATCATCAAAAATTAGCATATAAAATTGCATGTTTTCTAATATTTTTTGCTCACCACAAGAAATTGGAACAGGAAGGAACATGCATTTTTTCGAAAAACACTTGAAATTTTTATTTTTCTTGGGTTTTTTGAAAAGAGAAAATTTTAACTACCCAACTCTGATATATATTTTGTAATCTGATCTGATGTTCTCACTTTTTTTTCAAAGAAAAAAGATTTGAAAAATCATCAAAAACCCGACACTTTTCGTTTATGCTTAGATATTCTTTCTAATTATTTCAAGAAAAACAAAAATAATAACAAACCAGAAAATAGTAGATACGCTGAAATAAAATAAAATCTTTGACTTATTTCAGAAAATTCAATTCATTCTTTCAAATGATACAAAAAACTTGAAGTTCCTTCAAATTTGATTACTCTTCCAAAAAGAAAACAAAAGGATAGATACATACTTTTTTCTCGATTTTTTTTTTGAAAAATAATCTAAATCACCCTGCGCCTGGAAATTTGATTTTAGAATTCTACTCCTAGAAGCGCTGCCTTCATTCGAGGCCTAAGCCTACAGTTCTAATCTTACATTAATGGCTCAAAATAAATGGTCTAATTGTAAGCCTGACTAGATTCATAGGTCTCCTGAAGGAGCGCCAAGCGCTCACAGTTCAGAACCCGGTTTCTAAAAATATTAATCCCATTTCATTTTATTATCTAACACTGATATATAATTAATTCTGAATTTTTTTCTTTAGAAAACAACTTGAAAAATTCGAGATAATTGCTCTTACTTGTGTTCTCTGATTGTGAGTTACTTTCTTATTCAAAGCAATTTCCAATTTCATTCTTTGGAAATGACGTACTATTTATTTTTACCAAAACTTATAGACCATGAAATATTTATTGATTTTTCTTATCATAACTTTTTTGTTTCAGATTTAATTAGTGATAATGTCAGTCATCTATAACTAAAAATGAAATATTTAAAACCAGTATCATCTTCCATTTTTCCAGAACTTTCTATTTTTCCCCATAAATATTTATTTTTCAGCCAGTCATGACTTCTTGTGATGGATTTGTAGATCTAACAAGACATCAAGCAAAAGATTATTATCGAACAGTGAGTTTTTTTTCGTACAAAATAAAAAAGAAAAACCTAATTATTATCAGCAGCAAAAAATAGGAAACGTGAGAAAAACGAATAGATTAATTATGGTCTGACTCATGTGAAAAAAAAACAAGAAAAATATATAACCGAAAAAAAAAACAATGTTAGATGGAATGCAAAAAGTATATGACTTTTCGGAACTTTTTCCAGATTCTAGAAGTTTTGTTGGAAAATCGGTATGAGTTCAAAACCATTTTCATTTACTGTTACTTCGTGGACTCATTTTGGAAATTAGCGCAAACTTTTTGTGGTATCGACCCCATTTCGTATTTGCCGGAACTTTTTTCCCAGATTCCAGAAGTTTTGTTTTCTGTTAGCAAAAATATAGTATTCAAAAATAGAAAAAATGCACCAAAAATCTCGGGGCACGCGGAAGTATCCAATTTCTAACCATTTTTATTTTTCTTTCAGCTGTGATCATCAGCAAAAAGTACATTTTTAGCGAGAGAAAACTATTAATCCTTGCTGTCAGCCGGAAGAAAACATCTATGTTTTGATTGTCTAAAACAACATCTGTTGACACATTTTTTAAATATCCAAGAAATGATTGATTGTCGAACATTTCTTTTTCGCGTTTCTAAGTGAACAGAATCGATCAAACTTCGTGTTCATCTTCATTTTTCCTGCGCTTTTTCGAAAAAAAAAATCATTCTGAAAATGCAGAAAAGAAGGGGGAAGATTTGGGAGGAAATTGAATTGGTGCACGGGCCCGCGACAATATTCAAATATAATTTTGAGCATAAAAAGAGCACAAACTTTTTTATGAATAGAATGGGTGAAAGAGGAGATGCATACCTTTTTTTGTTAAAAGTTCAAAAAGTTCTCAATGCAGAAAAATTGAAGGGAGATCGAAGAATAATATATTTTCTGAAAAAGAACACCTCAAGAAATAATTATTCAAAAATTCCTAGTATTCACAACTCTCGCGCAAAAAATGTTTATGACGTATAAAAGTTGCCTGACTTTTCTAGGAATCGAAATTCGAATTTTATGAAATGTGATCTTATCTAAACTAAGTTCAAACTGTGCAATACTTGAAGAAGATTATTGTTTGAACTCTCACAAATTGAGAGAAAAAAAGATTTGTGAAATCTTGAACAAATAATTATGACGGGAAATAGTGACACATGGGTCAACAATTTCTGTTTAGAAAATTTTGAGCAGCAAGAAAAATACATATACTGTTCGGGTAAAACCCAAAACTGTTGCTTAAAAACCTGTAATTTTTCAAAAAAAAAACCTGAAAGAGCAATTTGTTATCGCCCTCTAAAAGTTTCAAAAGTCTAAACCTTCTCTCAATTTCTTTTTTTTTTACAAAATTTCAATCCATTATGACGTTTTGCTTTTTTCTCCTCACTATTTTTCTCTATTTCATTCCATTCGACAAAAACAAATAATCCCAAAGCTCGGAGGTCGAAAAAAATAATTTCGCAGCAAAAAACGAGAAGAAGAAAAAGAACAATCCATTTTCATCACTGCAATTCCCAAATGTATTCAAATGTCTGAAAAACTTTGGGGTTTTACAGTAAACACTCGAAAAAATCGGCAAAAATGAGCACTTTTTGCAATACGATACATATAGTAGTGCTCCGTCCAATTAGTGCAGTTGTTTCGATTTTCAAAAAATAAAAGCTGGAAAAAAGTAGGCGAGCGGATGTTTTTTGAAATATAATAACGACATTTGAAAAAAAAATGTTGAAGTGACTGAGTAAACAACTAAATGTTAGTTTTCGAAATATGTAAATTTTCGTCAAATAAGTATGTACTTTATGCTTTTCTGAAACTTAAAAGTATAGTAATACGTATGTAAATCTCGAAATGTTCAGAAATCTGTCAGAAAATCATTGTTTTTTAATATCACTACTTGCACTTTTAAAACTTCTGATCTCAAGAAAAATTTAGTGACTAATGGGGCGAATTTTAGGGGAAAAATATTAGATTTTTATCAGAGGAAAAATTTTAAAAATCAAATATATTTTTTGCAGCTTCTACTTCCATTCACATCAGTATTTTCACAAATTCACGGTTATCTTTATGTATTTCTATGTGTAATTGGAGTTTTTGCAAATATCTCAATTGTTGTTGTTCTTCTTCGACCAGCCATGCGAAAATCACCATTCAATCTTTTTTTGGTTATCATCGCACTTTGTGATGCTTCTTTGATGGGAACCTATTTAATGTATAAACATGTTAGTTTTCCTGATTTTTCTTATCCCAAATCGATTTGTTTTTTTCAGGTGGAACTTTGTCATCCTTGGTATTTTTCTTATCCTTGGGCAGTTTATACAAAATATTATGCAATTATTTCCGTTTTATTGCATACTTGTAGTCTGTGGTTGACTGTTAATATGGCAATTTTGAGGTTAGTTCGGGAAAATATTATAGAAAGTTTGAATTTGATTTTTTGAAATTAAAAACGAGGAGGAAAAATAATTAATTTAAAAAAACTGTTCCAATTTTTAAGAACCGGAAAATTCCCGAAACTGAACTTTTTGGGAACCACAAATGCTTTAGAAACTTCAAAAAAAAATCTGAAATATATTTGCAGATATCTTGTTCTGTATCGTGGAAGTTGTTCCGATTCTCGACTTCCTCCATGTAATGGTTTCCCAGCTGCAATAATTGCAATTTTCATCGCAATAATTGTATCAGTTATTGGATGTTTGCCAGTTTTTGTTAGATATACGGTAACTTCATTTCTTTTAAACGTTTTTCTTCATTTTTAGCAAAAATATATATTTTAGTTAGTTCCTCGAAATAGTTCAACAGTTCCATCAGAATGTCTCGAAGGAAAATATGGAAAATATTGGGAACCAACAGATATTATCGAATTTTATGCAATCGATCAACCAGAATGGTGGAATTGTAGTGCTGAAAAGATCAATTATTGGACAGTTGCATTAGTTCATAAATTAATTCCATGTGTTCTTCTCACAATATTTATGACACTTTTGGTTCGAATGTTAATCGAGGCAAGAGAAAGAAGATCAAGATTATGTGGAGGTGTTACATCTGGAAATTCGCAAGCTGAAAGAACAACTGCAATGTTAACTGGAATTGTTGCTGTATTTCTTATAACTGAATTGCCTCAAGGTGTTCTTACATTGGCTTCTGGTGTTCATCATGAATTCACTTATTTAACAATGCACTTGAATAATGTTTTCGATTTATTATCATTGATTAATAGTTCAGTCAATTTCGTTTTATGTGCTTTGATGTCACATGTTTTTCGAAGGTTCGTTTTGTTTTCCAGCAGAAAAAAAAAATATTTTCGTGCAAAGAATATTTTTCACTCACTTCAAAATTGACAATCCATCAAAAATCTATGTACTTTTTTGGTTGGCAATAATAAGAATTATAGTATTTACTTCTTAGAAAATAGTATAAAAATGATGTCACAATTTTTCGAGTTTTGAACGGACCGAAGTTCCAAAAAAGTATGAAATTCATCCCACGACGATTTTCAAATTATTCAATTTTTGAAATAATTTTAAGTTTTCCGATCCTATTTCTTATTTCTAAAATATATTCATAAAATTACAATAGGTGATATCATTTTTAACTTTAAAATTGTTCAGCCATCCAAAAAGTATATCGAAAAAAATCTTGCGATACGAAATTCTCATGATTATATATGATCTTTCATCATCAAAAATAAAGTTGTTGTAAGCTTTCCATAAAATAATAATTATTATTATTAGAATGAGAATATACATAATTATATACTAATCCATAGTATAATCCAAGGAAAACTTGAGGGATTTAGAAATCAAAAAAGTTCAAACTTTGATTTTCTATTTTTTTCAGAGAGTTTCTTCACACATTCGGCGTTTGCTGTCCTCAATCGAGCGAAAGTCACAGTGGAGCACCAATTCAGCAAAAACCCAACAGAAACGTAAGATTTTTAAGATATTCACAAAAAATGTGAAGTGCGGTGGGCGCCAGATTATCTATGGGAAAATGAAGATTTGGAAACATTTTTTTCTGTTTCAGCTTTTCTCGCACTTTGGTTTTGGGACCAGTTCGAATAATAACACAACAACTACGACAAATTTCAATGGAAAAGCGAAAAAGAATGGATTTATGCCAGTTCCAACCAATTGTCCAGATGAAAATTGAATTTGATTTTATTTGAAAATACCCGGTTAAAAATATTTTCAACGGGTTTGAACATTTTGATCTTGAATATGTATGTATGTGAACTTGTTTGACAATAAATTTTTATTTATGAAATGTGTTTGAAAAGTAAATAGGATGAATTCGCGGAGAACTTTTCACATGAGAATTTTTCGGAATAACTTATGAAATTCATTAAATTTTCAACGAGAGAATATGAATCTGAAAATTGAAATTCTAAAAAGTATAAACTGATAGCCGTTTGGGTTTCAGAAAAACTAGGTTTTTAAAAAATTATATGATCACAGATGTTGGATATATTCATCTTTTATAAAACCTAAGCTTCAAAATTCAGAATAAACTAATTTTCTCAAGTGATTCCGAAAACAGTTCCCTTGTTCGTTTTCTCCTCAATTTCTTGCTCAATTAAAAGTGGCATATTTTTCCTGTCTCTTTGAATATTTTCTCATCAATCTCACAATTATAATTATCAAACAAGTGACAAAACAACCAACAGTTCCAACAACAAATATTTGGAGGCGAACATTTTCCGATGGATGAGAAAGACGATTCTGAACTTCATGGCTTTTTTCTAATTTTTGTGAATTTGAAACAAAGTTGAACATACCTCAGAGTAAACTCCATCAATTAGAATCAATACAAAAAGAATCACAAAATTTGAAAGCATTTTTTTCAGCTTTTCAGAAAACTTTGATAAAAAAGAGTGTCTGAATTACAGGTGTAATTTTAGTTAGTAACCTTGACAACTTCGAAACTTCATCAACAAATATTTAGAATAAAAATAAAACAAGTTAGAATAAAATTCTGAATGAGTAAAATCTACAAATAACTACTGGCAAACGAAGTACCCAAAAATGATTGACTAACAGATTGTGATGGTGATCGAATTCTTCTTCCAGTTGCATTTCCACCACCACGTGCACTTCTTGAAGGAGTTGAAGATGTGTCACGAAGTGTTTCAATATCTTCATCATTTTCTTCTTCCGTTGACATCATTTGACGTTGAACAAGTTGTTTGTAGAGTCCTTCTTGAGACATTAATTCTTTATGATTCCCAAGTTGTTCAACGCGACCCTGCAAAAAAAATATTTTGAGATTTTTTTTTGGAACAAGAACATTCTGTGGAGGTTTTTTTTATCTCAAGAAGATTATCTCAATTTTCTCAGCATACTTATGGGTCCCGGTGTTCAACCTAACATAAGAATTTATGACGTGGAAAAATGGAAATCTGGGGGAAATTAAAACTTTTCGAAAATTGTCAATTTTCAAACATCAAATTTTTAAATGAATTTATTTCTGATTATTTGCCCTGAAATTAATTTTTTGAATTTTCAAAAATAGAATGAAATATTGGGACTTTTTAAACTCATATGACATTTTCGCAAGAAAATCCACGTGAGATGAATCTTATTTGTGACGCCAAATATTTTAATTGAAAACTCTTATGAAATTTTTGAAGCATTGTATGAGTATTTCTCTAAAATCCTTTGTTTTAGAGAATTTGATGAAATCTCAAAAACCCGGGTTTTAAAATTAAAAAATTGCCACGTCATAACTTTTTTGAATGAAATGCAAATTTTCCCGAAGTCCCCAGTCCTAATAGTAAAATAAAAATAAATACATATAAAACTACAGTAACCTTTCCCAGAATAGACTACTACAGTAACCCTGCATATTTTCAATCCAAAGTTCTTTTCTTTCGAGAAAAACTAACCTTATTAATAACAACAATTTTATCAGCATTTTCAACAGTCGACAATCGATGTGCAATTAAAATAACAGTTTTACCTTTCAAATTTTTCGAAATAGCTTCTTGAACTGTATGTTCAGATTCAGCATCTAATGCAGAAGTTGCTTCATCTAATAATAAAACAACTGGTTGTCGAACTAATGCTCGAGCAATTGCAATTCTTTGTTTTTGTCCACCCGACATTTGACTTCCTTTTTCTCCAACATCAGTATTATATCCATCAGATGTATCCATAATAAAAGTATGAGCATTCGCTAATTTCGCTGATTTTTGTACCATATCATCATCAAATTTATCCATTCCATATCCAATATTTTCAGTAACAGATCTTGCGTATAAAACAGGTTCTTGTCCAACAAGTGCAACTTTTGTATGAAGGAATTTATGATCATAATCTCGAACAGGAACACCATCAATCAATACTTCTCCATTTGTTGGTTCATAAAAATGTTCTAACATTGCAATACATGATGATTTTCCACCTCCAGATGGTCCGACTAATGCAACAACTTCTCCTGGTTCAACTGTGAATGTTAAATCTTGCATAATTGGAAGATCTGGTCTAATTGGATAACTGAAAGCAACATTTTTGAATTCAATTTTTCCAATCATAACATCTGGTTTGTAAGTTCCAGTATTCTGAACTTTTGGTTCACGATCGATAAATTCAAAAACTTTGCGAGAAGCACCAACTGCTTGCATCAAACCATTCCAAACTTCACCAAGTTCCTGAAAATTCATTGTTAATATAGGAATAATTTTCAAAATAATTATCTTAAATATCCCAACTTACTCTCAAATTTTCTCCAAGTTGGAATTGATACAATAAAAATGATACGAGCAGACCACTTTCGACTTTGTTCTCAATTACCAAATGTCCTCCATACCATAAAACAATTGTGAGAATTCCCATTTGAAGCAATTCATTTGACCAAATCAAACCAATTACAACAAATACTTTACGAGTTGCAATTTTGAGTGTTACATTAAGAAATTGCATAAATCTATTTGATTCAAAATTTTCACATGCAAAACTTTTGACGGTTCTGATTGATGATAGAACTTCTTCAGCAACATCATTCGCTTTTGCAACAGAGTTTTGAGTTTCTTCAGAAAGTGTCTGAGAAAATTTCAAAACTGATATTTTTAGAATTTTTTTTGAGCAAGCTGCACTATAATTTAAAAAAAAACTCACATCATACCAGACTCCGAAAATTTTGTTAACAAGGAAAATAATAGGAATATTGATCAATGTGATCATCGAAAGTTTCCAAGAAAGTGTAAACATAAAAATAAGTGATCCGAAAAGCATTGTAAGATTTCGAGTGAGAACATTCATGTACAATGAAAGAGTATTTGACATAGTTTGACAATCGGCTGATAATCGAGAACAAATTTCTCCTGCAAAACAAAGTACAGTAATCCAATGTTCAAAAATGATTCAACAAAAATCGTTTTTTCTTTTATTAACTGACCTGTTTTATTCATATCAAAAAATCCAATTTCTTGTCCAACAACGGCTTTGAATAAATCACTTCTAATTTGTCGGTCAATTGTTGCATGTGCATATGTAAATGAACCTCCTCGAAGTCCTCCAAAAACTGTTCTAAAATACAACAGATGTTTTTATTTGATCCCTTCAAATCTCAATGTTTTGTTTACTTACGAAGCCAATGAAAGGAGACCCATAATAAGTACAGTTCTATGCAATTTTTCATAACTTGCACTTTCTCCAAAAACTGCAGTCACAACTTCTCCGGTATAATATGGAATAAATACTCGACCTGAAAATAAAAATTGCACTGTGTTTCAATGCACACATTTCCCCCTCCTTCTATCTTTTTTTCCTTCTATCTCTCACTTTTCTTCTCTTGCATGTGTGGGCAATGGCGAACACTTTCGACCTGTTTAACTTTAGCGCAGTCGGTTAGATGTGCGCCCGCGAAAATTTAGTCTCGAGTTCGGTTCCCGCCATATGATTATTGATTATTTGCTACTCTTGAGATCAACATGATGAATGATAACTATGATGGCTTTTTTGTTTTTGATAATTTTTTACTTACTTAATGAATAACAGAATAAGAAAAAGAAAGCCATTCCATAATATTTCCATTGTCTTCCCATATAACCAAGAAGTCTATAAAGAAGTTGGAATGTTTCTCGTTGTTCAGCAGCTTTTTGTTCTTCTTCTCGACGAAGTTGTTCCTCATGTTCAGCATCACCGAACAAAAGAGTATCCGATGTTCCAGCAGCGACTTCAGTAACATGAGTTAAAACAGAAGTCCAGATTCCTTGAAGAATAAGACTCGCAAAAATACACCAAATCATAAGAATCCAATCTCCAACAGCCAATTTGATGTTGTCATCTTCGTAAAAAGCCAAAAGTTTTGATGGAGCAAATGCAACAATGAGCAACATAATTGCAAATACAACATTTCTACAAAAATTATTTGAAGTGGAGGATTTGGGAAATTGAGAAGATCGAAATCTCACTTGACACTTTCAGCAACTTGCGAAAATCCACTTGGAGATGCCCAAGCTGCAACAGCTCCTCCTAAAAGAATCGCATCTCGAATAAATGCAACAGCCTAGAAAAATAATGAATTAATGAATGTGGGATTTTCAAATGAAATTAAAAAAGTTACCAAGAAATCTACAGGATTTTTTGAGGAAGCTATAATTTTTCAGATCAAACCAATGTGCAATATTGTCGACTGTGAAAAACTGAAAATGCATTTTTGAATTTAAATTTTGAGATATTTTAATAGTTGCTTCCAGACCAAAAAAGGAAAAAACACAGGCATAAATTTTTGACTTTTTTAATTCAGAAATGCCTGTCGCAGAAAAAACAAATTCTCGCGTGAATCGAGAGGCGGGATTTATTTTGCAAGGTGCGGCACGTTTTTTTTTCAGTGAATAATTATTTCTGATTTTTTGCATTTCGAAATTTAGTGAAGAAAAAAAGATGAAAACGAAAAAATTATTTAAAGGGGTTGTCCTGCTACAGGGAAACTTAGGCTCAATCGATAGAGCTAAGGTGCTCCTGAAACATTCCATATTTTATTTTGATTTTAGAGCGAGTTTTCACCATTTTATTTATGTTTTTGTTAAGTTTTAAGGTTTTAGTGCATATAAAAAACATGTGTGCTCTTCACACTCATAATTCATTTGTGTGTATTTCTCGCGAAATGCATTTCCTGACATTTTTAAACAATGGAAGGTGATTTTAATCAACCTTAGGCTTGCTAATAGTTAGTCCAAAAATGTGACGCACAATTGCGGACTTGATTTTTCATGTAGAAGGACACCCCCTTTAAAAAACGTGAAACGTGTAATCGTGGCAGGGGGCGGAGCCGACAGGAAAAAAAGTCAGAAATTTATGCCTGTGAAAAATAAAAGTAAAAAAACGACACTCGGCTTGCCTGTTGTTTAATTTTCACACACTGTCTGAGCGGAGTGTCGTTATTTTATTTTTACAAGATTGCGCGTAGGATTTGGTGTTTGCGGGCAGATGGTGTTGACACACACTCTCATTTTTCATGCTTTCTTAGGTTTTTGGATTTTTGGATTGTCAGACCACGTTGAAATTTTCACGTGGCAAAAGAGAAATGACAGAAATTTGGATTTTCAGATTTCATTTCTAACATTTTCGCGCGAAGAAAAAATGTTCGAATGACATTTCGAAAAATTTTCCAGAATTTTTTAAATTTTTTGAATTTGCGATGTTACCTTTCCATTCCAGGCAATTCCGAACATATTAACAGCAATATCGAGGAAAATGAACAATAAACAAATGCCAAGAGCTTGGCCACCCGTGTAAAGAGACGAACCCATCTCTGAAAACAAAATATCTAAGTTACAGTAACCCAAATACTCAGATTCTTTAGATCTTTTAGAAGTCAAATAAATTCTCTCAAAATACAGAGACCGAACAAAATCGAAAAAAAATTGAGAGAAAAAACGGCGGCCATTTTTTTTCTCTGATAACGAACCTTTGCTCAAATTTGAAGATAACGAATTTATTTAACATATACACACTGATTAGTTGATTCTCCTCTTCTTTGTCTTTTCGTTTCGATGTAAAAAAATGGTTGGGATTATTTGATATTTGCACTTTGACACTTTTTTGGAAAACATTTTGAAATCTGGAAAACGACCGAGAAAGGAAATGAAAAAGTGGAACGAAAACATCAAATATCATAATTGTCTGAATATTTCCAAACTTTGTTGAATAAATTTATCGATTGTAATTGGACAAAAAAATTTGACTGGTAAATAATTAAAAAGTAATGTTTTTGAAATTTTTTTCAGCAAGATTCGTGCATTGTAAGTTTTTTTTTCGTCGTGTTTCTAATTGTGGACAGTTTACAATTTTTTTTACAATTTTCAAATTATTTTTTTCAGAACGAAATTCATTATGTGGCCTTCGATCAAAATTGGATTTTTTTTAGATTACTGTATCTTTTTGGAAAAACAAGATTTCCTCATTATAGTTTGTAATCAGTTACTTTAAACCCCTTTTTTTTGAATATTTGAATCACTGAAATTTTTATTCAATTAGGTGTTGTAGTTGTTTTTGGCTCGGGGAACCCCAGGAGATATACAAATAATATACGATTAATTGTTATTGCATAAAGTTTTATTTTTTTTTATATGTGAACCCAAAAAAATGTGAAGAGTTTTCACTTTGGTGTGATTGATTGGTGACAACCGATTGGATAAATTCACAAGATAAAATCTTTCTAATTGATAGATTTGTGGTTAAATGGAACAAAAAAGAATGAGAATCTTGAGTTGACAAAGTATCTTCATTACAATTTTTCATCAAATCTTGCCAAATTTTGAGTTCCTTCGATTAATTAATTTCTCTCATAACAATAATATCCTTCCTTCCTTTTTTTCCTTTTCATTTATCCACTAAAAGAGCGAAGAATATATCGATCTTTCTCTATGTCTCCACACTCTTCTTTATGTTATAACAACAAGGCCGAATGACCACATCTCTATTTTTCTATTTGGCATTGTGCCAGCTGCTTGCGTTTCCCTCTATTTTTGCTCTTATTTACCTAGAAACCAACGTACTTTTGGTACTTGTTTACGCGTCTTTTATCGATTTTTGTTGGTTTGAAAATTTGTTTTTTTGAAAAAAAAACAACAAAAAAAAAGTTTTTGAACACCCGCGTGATAAATGGAGCGCACTTGACCGTTTGAGAATTGTTGTTTTTTTTCTGAAAAAAATTCCAAAAAAAAATTTTTATTGAGAGAACCCACGTGTTTCTCACACTTTAAACCTATTGATTTAAAAAAAGCCAAATAACTTGTATTTTGTTAAATACTAGAGCAAATTTTTGACCTCTTTTTGACCCAAACACCTTAATTATTCGTTTGCCAAATAGAAAAAGGTGAATAAGTCAATAACTGTCCATGTTCTTTATTCAATCTTCCTCTATGTCTGCCTCTTTCATTCTCTTCATTTTTTGCTTTGCTGTTGTTGTTATGTGACCGGCACCAGTCAGCCCTTCTTCTCGACGACTGGACACAATATGTGTATGTGCCTATGTGTTCAATTCAAATTCCAAATTTTTTCGCCGTTCATCCATTTTTTCCAATATTAGCACTTGTTCCCACGATCCATATTGCTCCGGAGATTTTTTTAAAACATGTTTCATGCTTGCTTCGTTTTCCCTTTCTAAATACGTTTTTCCGCAATGACAGCTGGCTTCATTTTGGCTGCACATTTACATATTTCAAATTTGACAAACTCCATTAATTATTTTTGTAAAATTCTACTTTTCAGGGGCTTGTGAATGTGCTAATGGACGGAAAAACGTTTGAAGATTTCACTTTTGAAGTGATAAGTCGAATAAGTCCGAAACGTGTTCAACGAGATTCAATACCTTTTGATTCTGTTCGTGAAATTATATTAAGTGAATTGAAGTTTGGAACATTTAAGCAACAATTAACAGGAACTGAAAATGGAAGTTCGAAGAAAAGAGGTTAGTTTTAACTAAAAATCTTAGACATATATTTATTTGTTATATATCTCCCTAAATATTTGTCTCTTTCTTGAAATCTAATATATTTTGAGTAAATATAACTAGAGTGCCAACTGTATTATTTGTTATGTAAAAAGACAGTGAAAACATAATATATAGATAGAATATATAATTTTCAATAAAACCTTTTTCACTCGCTCTCTCACTCAGTTACTTACACACTCACAAAAAATAATCAATCTCTCTCATTTCCCCTTTCGTCGTTTTTTTTCAAAAAAAACAGCATAACCTTTTTTATCGATTGATTTGTTCGATCAAGTACAAAAGTAAATATGACTTTTTTATTTCAAAAAATTATTTTTTTGTTTCAGTTTCGGAAGATATGGATGATATAACTTCAACGAGTTCGTCCTCACATTTAGCATATACAGACACAGAAGAATCGACAAGTCGAGAATCTTCTTCGAGATTTGTTTCAACAATGTCGAATACTGATTTTGATTGTGATTCTGGACTGGGGTCAAAACGAACATTTTCAACAAAGGTTTTAGGTGAGTTTTCGTCCCATTTTCTGCAAACACCGCGACGCGCAAGATCAAGTTGTAAAGTTTATACTCACTTGACTGCTATAAAATTTTTGATAAAAATTTATAGAAATATTTTTATGAAAAAAGAAAACAATTTCTCGTCAAAAAATCAATAAAAACGTGAACTATTTTTTCTTTCCTTATTATTATTTAAAAATTTCATTTCCTGTTAATTTCTCTCTAAAAGTGACGTGTTCGAAATGTGATTTTATTTTTCCATGTTTTCTGAAACTGATATTTTCAAAATTTATCAGGCGGTTCAACTTCATCTATAATTCATCACGCACTATCAGCCCCCTCTTTATCATCACTCGAAAATAATTTCGAGCGCAAAAAACCGCAAAATTATCGAGAAAGACGGTTGGCGGAAATGCGAGCGGCTAGAATAAAAAACTATCGAGGAGAATCAGACATTTTTGAGTTTGGTGAGTATTTAAGAAAATTCAGGCCAAAAAAAATTAATGAACATTTTTTTGTAGAATGTGATGAAACACAATTGGAAGAACAATTTGGAGAAATTTATTGGAAATTGATAAATGATGTAAATGTTAGTATTTCTGGAGCATATTTTCGAATGTTGGAATCATTGGATAATTATTTTCGATCAAGAACTTGGGATAGTCATTGTGTTGTGAGTTTTATCAAAATTTGAATTTTTTACAATGAGCTATGACGTGGCCAGTTATATAATTTCAACATATTTCAACAGCCTATCAAGTCAGTTAAAAATTACAAATCGGTTTTTTTTTCAAAATTGTACTCTGGCAAGATGTGATTGAAAAGCTTCAAAATATTTTCTTGATAAAATTTCCAATTTTTTCAGAAATCTTGCTGTGAATTTCTATCAGCTTCAATCGTCAAACCATGTCAAAATTTGAACGAAGCACACGATGAAAAAGATGTCAGCGATGAAATGCGAGTTCGAGAACTTATGCTACAGGTATGCCTTTTTTGGCAACGTGCCATTTCTCTTTTTCCTTTCTCTTTCTTCATCTTTTATTATTACTGATAAGAATTCGAACACATTCTCATTTTCCCATCCAATTTTCTTTTTATTTATTTTCTTTTCAGGTTCTTCTTGGTCTTCATATTTTTACTTTTGAAAATGACAAAAAAGATTTATTGGATGATGTGAGTTTTTTTCTAAATTATGCGTATAAAAATTCAAATTTAAATTTTTCAGACAATAAATAAACTTCGGATGATTTATATTGCTGCGGATCCTCAGAAAATGCGCACTTTTTTAGAAGAACCGATTACGGATATGTGAGTTTTAAATTTAATTTTAAATATAACATTTTTTAAAGATTTGTTGCTCAAATTCCTGAATCAATAGCTGTTATCTATGAAGAATTATGTATTGCATTACCCGCTGATTTGTCACATTTTGAGACGAGATTTCGAGCGGAAATTGAGGAAATTGTACCAACAACAAATAAAAGAAGAAATGCAAATGCAAATCGACTCGAACAAATGTTGGCTGAAAATAGTGGAAATTATGAAGAAATTAAGGAGAGAAATAATGGAAAATTGAAAAGACGAAGTGCTTCTGAAAAAGGTGAGGAATGGGAAAAGAATTCAATAGAGTTCGGGATTTTCAATACTTTTTTATTTGAAAATTTCAACCAGTTTCTTTTATTTTTTCTGATAATTTATTTTAATTTTGAAGAAATTCTCGCCAAAATTTCACCGGACCCGGAAAAACTACATATAAGCATTGTCTAGAAATCTAAAAATACATTAAAATTCACAATTTGAGGTCTCGAAACGATATTTGTTCGAGAAGCCGCATACCGTATACAGCTGGAATTGAATTTGAATTTTCAACTTTTCTCTGTTTTTCCCTCAAAATCCCAAATTTCCATGAAATTTTGAATTTCTTCAAATGAATGAAAAATTATCTGTTATGAAACCTATCACTTTTTTACACATGTCAGCAAATAAAAAAAAACGAAAAAGAAAATGTTGCTTTTTTTCACCGACCACAAGATAATCTTTTTTCTCTGCTCGTCTCTGCTCTCTAAATCTCTCAATCATTTTTTGTCTCATACATATTTTCTCAAGTTTTGTTCGCATAAAAGAAGATGATGATAAATCGGAAAAATCATTATGATTAATATTATTCACGGTCATTCAAACATACTTCTCTTTTTCCTTCTTTCGTTTCTTTATTTCTCTCTTTCTCCTAAATAAATAATTGGCGAGTTGGTTCTTTTTTCTCTGGCTCCTTTTTATTTTTGCGTAGTATTCTATTATTATTATTATTGAACACAACAGGATAGACACAAAATGTTGCGGTTTCTCATTTTGTCGAAACAATTTTTGTACTTCAAACACACTTTTTTTTGTTATCTCTGCTTCTGTCTTTTTATCAGTATTATTTCAAATTTCAAAACTTCTTATTTCTTCCAAGTTTCAATTTTTAAATAATTTCAGATCTACGTTCGCCTTCTCGCCGCCAACAAAATGAACGCAAACGTTTTTATGTAGAAGATACACCGGATGACAAATATTTGAAACAAGAAATTGATTCAGATCAAGAAGATATTGTTCAACAAACACCAATGGCTAAATTAAGAAATGCTGCCAATAAAAGTGGACGAAGATGTTCGAAAAGATTATCAGATTTGGTGAAATTATCAGAAGAAAGATCAGAAATTCCGAAAAAAGCCAAAGAAAATTTGGATAAAATGTTGGAAAAAGCGAAACAAGCAACACCAATTCGATCATCGAAAAGAACTACAAGAGGAATTTTATTCTCAAATCATTCGCCATCTCCACTTTCTGTTACTAGATGTAAGTTTTCGGGTTTTATCGAAAAAAGATTATCCCAAATTGGTTTTTGAGACAGATTTTCTGAGAATTTTTTTTCTTCAGTCATGTGTTTTGAGAATGAAAATTGGAATGATAAAAATTAGCCTTGAAAAAAAAATTGAAAATTTTTGGAGCTAATTTATAAAAGCTTAAATTGGACCGTCTTTGAGAATTCATCGAAAAAACAAGATAACTTTTTTGATATAATCAAATTTTCCTATTTTTCAGCATCTCGAACTTCACTTCAAACAAGACTTCAGTCATGTTCTTCGAAACCTTCGACTTCTGAAAGAAAATGTCGAGATTCTCCAAGAAAATTATCCGATTCGAGTATTATTGAAAATCGAACACCAGTCAGAAAAGAAACATTTCGATTGAAAGTTAGTTTTTTTTCCAATAATTTTCATTTCAATTTTAACTTTTCATTTTAAGATAAAACGTGAAATAGTTGATGAAGAATATGAGAAACCAGCGAAAAAAGAGGAGAGTTCATTAAATGGTGAATATTGGTCTGATCGGAAGATTCGTAGTCAACTTGGTCTCACGCGTGATGACCTCAATAGGTACGCGTAAAAAACTATTTGTGTACGTTTTATGTGTTTTCTTTCTCAATTTATCTAAAAAATCTCTCATCCGCGAAGTTTCAGATTTTTAATCGATGAATTTGAAATTTCATTTCATTTTCATCGCTTTAGTTTTGAAAAAAACACATTTCATAGTTCAGATGACCGTTTTTGAAAATTTTAAAATGTTGTTTTCTTCCTGATATTTTTTCACAATAATTCCATCTTCTACAAATTATCCCTTTCCCCCTGTTGTGTTTCTGTGATTGTGGCTGATTTGTTCTGCTTATCAAAATTTCACACTCTTCATCATGTTCACCTTTTTTACAGATATACTGAAAGAATGTTAGCAGCTGGAACGAAAAAAATTGAAAATGGAAAAGTAAAAATGGAATCGGGTGATGAAACAAATGAACAGCGACAATTTCAAATAAATCGAGCTGGTCGAGTAAAAGATGGTTCTGTTTTTGGTGTTCGGCGAGGTCGAAGAGCCACTTCACGTCGTTCTTTTATGTGTCATGTTTTGTTGAATGAATCGAATCCTGGAATGAATTTTGATTGGTCTAAAGTTAGCTTCGAAACACTTGATGATGTGAGTTTATTTTGGGATTTTAATTGAGAAAAAAATGACGATGAACACAAAATTTGGTTCAATTTCGAAATTAGCTAGGCCGACCCCAAAAATAATACAATTGTTACCAATATTTTCTAAAAAAAAAAGTTAGCCTAGTTTTAATTCTGTACAGGTTTCAATCCCGAATGTATCAATAGTTTTATCAATTTCCTAACAGCGGACCCTACAAAAATTGATAAAATTTGGACAATGAATCCGAGTTTCTTCACCTGAAGTTGTTTTTGTGAAAAATGACATTTAAATGATCAAAATTCTTTTGTTTTTTTTTAATTGAAAATTGAAAAGAAACAATTCTAAAAAAATGAAGAAACGATTATTTTTGTGAATTACTTTTGAGAGCTCAGAAAATAATCACACAACTCTGAATAGTCATAAATTCAAATCTTCAGAAACCGCACACTCGAGGAAATCAATCATTTTTGGCGAAACCAGAAAAAGTGTTAGAATCACTAAAAAGAAAATATATTGAAACAAAATCCAATCCATCTCCTTCCACTTCTTCTTTTTCTTCATCTGCGAAAAGAACAAAAGTTGGAGACGATTCACCGTGCAAAAAGGTGAGAATATTTTCAACAAAAATAGTTTTGATACTTTTATCAATCAACAATTGATATATTTTCAGCCTTCAATATCAAATCCTCGAAAATGTGCTCGAAATTCGCCTTCTTCTTCTACCTCAAGATCTGTCAGAAGTTCACCAATAAAAAGAGAATATAAGCCAGTTTATGAAGAAATTGAATATGATGAATTTGGTTTTGAACGTGAAGCTGATTATTAATAATTTCTTATTCATCTCTTCCAAAAATAGGTACTTTTTCAATTTTTCTTGTATTTTCTTGTTTTGTTCGAATATCATTTTTTATCATTATCATGTTAAATGTTTCTTTCTGTATTTATATGATATTTCTAGTCGTTTACCTCTCTCTTTTCTTTTATTTGCTCCGTATTTTCCCTTGCCAACATCACCTTTCTCTCTTTCGTTTTAAAAACTTGATAATATATCTATCCTCTGGAACTCTGGATTTTTTTATAATTATATTTTCATCAGATCTTTTAATACTATTGTGCGGGATATAATTTATTTTTGATTTTTTGATGATTTATATTTAAGTTGAATAATAATTATATTAAAGTTTTCGAATTATATTTGCGCATTTCTGGTTATACGGACCATTTTTATATTTTTAATTCAATTTTTGTTGGCCTATTTTACCAGTGTTTTTCAGAATGCCATCGGCTCCTTCAACTTCAGGAGATGGGCAAAGAAGATCGGCAAGACAGAGAATTGATTTGAGTCACGCTGAAGAAGGGTTCGTTTTTCTGTTTTGAAAATTAATTGTGAAAAATTATTCGGAATAGAGAAGAAAAATAAACTTCAAAACTTTGGCTCAGAGATTCGAGTTTCAAAAACTTCAGTAAATCAGAAGAAATACAAGTGGTGAAATTGGTATTTTGCGGTAAAAAAATCAAAATAAAACATAGAACGGGATTTATTAGAAACAGGTGGATTTTAAAAGGAAAATCTCAAATCCGATCATTCCATTCATTGTTTAATGGATCTTTTTATTTATGGGATCAAATTTTGAATTATTTTTTTGGGGTTTAAAAAACTTGTGTAGTTCTAATTGAACACATTTTTTAAAGTTTTGTATTTTCAGCTTTGATCGACATGAACTTGAATTGGCTCTACGCGCAAGTTTCAATGAGGCTAACAAACACGGACTTTTCGAAGAAATTCCCGCAACTTCTTCATTTTCCTCGAAACCACAAAAATCTGCAAAATCTAAAAAAGGATCAATACCTCCAGTTGAAAAAAAGAAAATTGGAAAGAAAGAAGCAAAACGGATATCTGCAAAAAAGACAGCGATTACACCAAAAAAAGAAGTTGCTGCAAAAAAGAAAAAAGAAACAGTAGTTGCGAAAGTGGAACCGAAAAAAGCTGAAACTAAGAAAGCTGCAAAAGTTGTTGAGGAGAAAAAAGTGGAGAAAAAGAAGGAGGAAACTAAGAAAAAAGTTGGGCCGGTTAAAAAAAAGACCGAATCAAAATATGAAAGAAGGTGAGCTTTTTGTATTAGGTCAATACGCTTTTCATTCAAGTTCTTTGCAGGCAACAAACATCTGATTTTATAACTCTTCTTGCTTGCGCTAAAAAAGTGCTCGGAGACCATTAAATATGTTTTTATTCAAATTATATTTACTTACCCTATTATTATTACACTACAGTACTTTTTTTTACTTATAGTACTCCTCAATAAAATGTATCTCTTTTGTATCTATGTTAGCCTAAATCAAATTGTGCCTAAAATTTTAACCTCATTTTTTGCATTTACCCTTTTGTTTTTGAAAAAATGATATGTATAAAGAGTTTTATCGAATTGTTTGTTATTGAGAAGAGAAAAAACTGTTGATAGTTCTGGAAATGTATTGTGCGTTTGAAATTTTACAGGAAAATGAAAGGAATTTTCAGATTGAAAAGATAGATTTATGCTCAAATATTTTATTGTTTCGGTTCATATTATTCTTGCTCTTTTTATTTTTCAACATGGATTTTTGCTGAAAAGACAGGTTGGTTTTGTTTCAGAATTCAGTCGATTGAAGCTTTAAGTAAAATAAAATTGGAAAGTTTTCTTTTCAAAAAATACATTAAAATTTCAAAAATTTTCAACTGTTGAAAGAATTGAAAAATGAATTCAAAACTTAACATGACGTGCGTTCTAGAGATTTCATTTCAGAATTTGAAAAATCAATTTTTATCAATTTTACGATTTCCAAATGGAAAAATCTGAGTTTTCTGGAAATCTGAAGATCCAGTCTAAAATAAACTTATTTTTCAAAATAGAATTTTGGAAATTTGATTTTTTTCAATGAGGAACTTTGGATCAGAAATAATGCATTTTCAAAGTTTCAAGCGCACAAAATTTCAGCTGTTGAAAATTGAAATGACATATTCTGACGTCACTATTTAATTTGAAAAATTATAATTTATTCACGTTATCTCGTGGCCTAAAAAACATTTCTTAAATAAATAGAAATTTATTCCCAACATTTTGTATTCCAGGAAATAGTTCAAAAAAGTAGTTGCTCTGATGCGAAAGGAGATGATGATTCGTGTTGGATGAAACCGCAATATAAAAGGGTATCTATTTTCATTTTACAAGTTACCCTAACTTCTGTTTCTTCTTAGGTTGTTCTTGTTCTTGTTGATGCACTTCGATATGATTTTCTATTTCCATCCGATCATTGTGGAGAAAAAGAAGAGACCAAATATTGTTGTGGAAAAATGAAATATGTTAGTGAATTGTTCAATAATCGATCACTTTCAATTGGAATTCTTATTGCTGATCCACCAACTACAACAATTCAAAGATTAAAAGCTGTTACAACTGGAACACTTCCAACTTTTATTGATGCCGGAGATAATTTTTCGTCGGATTTTAATGTGAAAGAGGATAATTTTTTGTATCAGGCGAAAGAATCGGGAAGAAATATGACATTATTGGGAGATGACACGTGGTTCGTTTTTTTGAGAAGTGTATGGGAGAATTCAAAAAATAATTTTACCATCTTGCCCGGTTTTGAGAGCTTCGGAATTGGCTCAGGATATCAGGCTATCTTTGAATTGGAGAAAAAAACAAGACAATTTTTAATCGAGAACTTTTTAGACTAATTTTTTAAACAGAAAAAGTGTCTAATTTTTGTTTTGTATATTTACAATTTCAATTTTTTTGATTTCAGGATATCTTTGTATCCAAATGTATTTTCAAGAACTGCTGCTTATGATTCTTTTGATATCAATGATTTGAATACTGTAGATGATAAAGTTATCCGTAAGTTTGATTTTCTTCACATTTTCCTTTTTTCACATAAAAAATATTTTCTAGCATTGCTACAAGATGAGATTGATAATTCAAATAGTTCTCTAATTATTGCACATTTTCTTGGTGTCGATCATTGTGGGCATAAATTTGGATCGAATCATCCGGTTATGACTGATACTCTCAGAAAAGTTTGTTTGAATTAAAAAAAAATATATTTTTAACAAAAAAACAATTTAAATATTTTCAGATGGATAAAATGTTGGAAAATACAATAAAATCTTTGAGAGATGATGATTTGTTATTGGTTTTCGGTGATCATGGAATGACATTAACTGGAGATCATGGCGGAGATTCGACTCAAGAAGTTTATGCTGGATTTTTCGCATATTCGAAGAATGGATTGATTGAACTTCCGAAAAAAGCAATTTATCAAATTGATCTTGTTCCAACAATATCTCTACTTTTAGGAATTCCAATTCCATTTTCAAATCTTGGCACAGTAATCACTTCGATGTTTCCAGAAAATTTAAGAGAATCAGCTGTCGCAATGAATTATGAACAAGTTAAACGATTTGCTGAAGTTTATTCGAGGCAGAATAACTTTGCAGAATTACATAATTATATTTCGAGAGAAGCGAATACAATGGATGAACAATTGAAGTAGGTTTCGACAAATTATATTTTCTAGAAACAAAAATGGTCATCCGAAAAAACAACATTGAACTCCAAAATTTCTTTGAAAATAAATTCCGAAATTTCCAGTTCAATTTCCCAAATTCAAACATCTTTACGCGTTGCTTGGACACAATTCGATAATTCATATATAAATGTTGGAATTCTTCTTCTAATTGAAGCATATTTTTTCATTTTATCCGAACAAGAATTAACAGTTTCAATTGGAGTATTTCGATCTGGTTGTATTCTTCTTCAATGTGCTTTATTATGGGATAATTCAAAATCTTCTGCTCCCGCAATTACTCTTCTTATGATGGCTCTTTCTGTTTCATGTTTATCTTCAATGTTCAAATGCTTGGCTAATTCATGTAATCATGTTGTTGGACAAAATAAGATAACTCCAAATTATATTGGTGAGTTTTTTTGGAAAGATTTCAACATCAAAGTCTAAATTTCAGCAAATTGGGGGATGGTTATTCATTCAATTTCAATGCTTTCAAATAGTTTCATAATTTATGAAGCAAAAATAACTCGTTTTTTCATTCAAAGTGTTTTGGTTTGGTCATTTTTCAGTTGTTTTGAAAGAACAAAACGGAATATTAAAATATGGCCGATGTTAAAATCGATATTAGAAGATCGAAAATTCTATCTATTAATATTATCATTATGTTTTCTTCGATTTGAATCATATTTTCATCGATGTCGAGAAGAAGAAATTGGATGTATTCAATATGATGCTCCATTAGTTTCTGCTTTATTACCAAAAGATACAAAACTTCATCGAATTGTTTTCTCAATTTTTTGTATGATTGCATTCAATTATTTGATTTTTGGTAAAGTTTTTCGTAATGAGAAACCAATATTCGAAAAACTTGCGTATCCATTGATTTTGGTTGTTTCGTGTCATATGTTTTATATGACATCGGGAAATAATTCTGATCGTGCTAATTGGTTGGTTATTATCAATTTGGTCAATAGTCTTATTATATCTTTGTTTGCTGGAGAATCGAAACTTTATTTCTTGTTATTTCCGATTTATATTTTATTAGGAGATGGATTGATTCCAGCTATTATGTGCTTGGTTTTCATACTCTACTCGTGTTTTCAAATTGTACCTTATGGTGAGTCATTGTTTTTTTTTTAATTTCGGAACATCGCGGGGTTCTAAACCCCCAACAGAATTGAATTCCAAAATTCAAGAATTTACAGTTTTTTTTCTAAAAAACGACATGACAAAGCTTTGAGTACTGTATTCATTCACAGTAATCAGAGCTTTGCCATGTCGTAATTATTTTCTAGAATAAAATTGAAAACCCGAAATTCAAAAATTAAAAAATAATTTTTTAGTAAAGTACAATTTTGCAGATACTCTTCCTCCTGTGATTTCCTTATTCATAACATACGGTTTTTATTTGACTGGTCATTCACCAACTCTTCCAACAATTCCATGGAATGCTGGTTTTATTGGAATCTCTGGTCAACTTGCTCTACGTGTACTTCCAGCAATTCTAATTTTATCTCATCTCAATATTTCTTCGATTATTTCTGCTGTTGTTGTTTTTATTCATGAGGTTATGGATCAATTCATTTGAAGAAAAAATGAATTTCGCGACATTTTTTGTCGCGAAATTGCAATTCGTGAAACGACACGAAATAAACACAAAAATAAAGGAGAAATATTAAAGGGACACGTAATCGCTGCGAGACCCAACACACGAAAAAAGAATTTTCTCTTTAATTTTATTAATTTCGTGTCGTTTCGCGAATTGCAATTTCGCGACAAAAAATGTCGCGAAATTCATTTTTTCGTCAGATGAATTGATCCATTAGAAAAATTCGGGATTTTTAAAATAGGATGTTTCCTCATTTTTTAAATATTATTTGTAAGAATTTTGAAATAATGTATCACAATATTTCTTAACAGTAAACAAATAAACCAATTTCCCTTTTTCAGCCGAAAATCTCAAATGCACGATGTGTCAGTTTCCAATTAATGAGAAGTATTATGACATGTGTTGCTGCTTCAATTCATCGAAGACATTTAATGGTTTGGAAAATTTTCGCCCCAAAATTCATTTTCGAAAATGTTTCTTTTATTGTTTTTCTGGTTGTTTCCAATATTTTGAAAGGGTTTCAGAAACTGCGAACATGAAAAATAACTAGTTTTATTATTAATTTTTCCTTTTCAAATAAAAATTTAGTGATTTTTTTCTTTTTGTAAAAATTTGGTTTTCGTGTTTTTTATTTTCCGGTTATGTTTTGGGAAATCTGTCCTTTTGCCTCTGCAATGCAGTTTGCAAAAAAAAAGAAACATTTTTTTTAAAAATCAGACTTGAAATCATGCATCGTAAATCGAAAAACATCGCTTCGTCGCAGGACCCAACACAATTTCATGATGCGTCTTAAAAATGTACTGTAGCATCAGTTCGATATGTTTTTCTTTCTTTTCACTCTCTAAATGTTCTATCTTTCGTTGCTAATTTGTTGTCGGTCTGATAATAATAGGAAAAAAGAAAGAAATATTGATTTTGACTGTTTCTTTCTTGAAATGTTGAAAATTGCGAAATGTTCCAAAATCCAAAAATAAAAAAATGAAATTTTCACACCTGTCCAATTTTGATGAACATGTGATCTATTTGTAGCTAACTGAATTCTAGTCATTATAATTCAACTCCGAACAACAATGTTTTAGCTTGAACAGAAATTGGACAGGTGTGAAGTTTTCATTTTTTGATTTTTGGACGCCCCATTATATATAAACTATAGTTTATAGATAGAGCGTCATATTGATGAACAAGTTTAAAATAAAAGTAATATTTCGCAATTTGTATGGTCCTCTATCTTTCATAAAGCAAATAAAATATTAATGAAAAAATAAAATAATCAATATACTTTTTTTTTAGAAAAAAAGAACTTTCTATCTTTTTCTCTTTGTCTTGTGTGTTTCTCTTTTCAAAATAACCTGTTCATTTCATTTCTGGGCCCGTTTTCAATATTTTGCTTCTGTCATATGACGTTAAAATACGCTCCAATGACAACAAATCTAAGGCCGGATTGGCCATTTGTTTTTCTTGTGCTTTTTTTGTTTGAAAAAGGGGGAAAGGGTTAGGCGTATTTATCGATTGATTCATAAATATTTGAAATATTTCAGAATGAGTGGAGATGAGCTCAATATGACTGATACGGATAGTGATGCTGAAGAAGAATCAGGAGAGGAGGTTAGTTTTCATGAAAAATAAATATTAAACACGTAACACGTAAATTAACATGTTACGTGTCAACATTTCTCGTTCATTTTTTCGAAAATCTGTTCATTCTTATTTATTTCGCAAGTTAAAAATTGTAGCAGCTCTAAAATGACGACTACATCGGTTGGTTCAAAAAAATATTTTATACTTTTCTTCTGAAAATTAAAAAAATGTTATTTCAGTGTATGAGCGATGACGATGGAATCGCTTTGGAAACAAATGATCAAAACAATTCGGATTGTAAGGAATCTGACAATGATTGCATTGTGATGACGCCAGATTTGCTGGAAAAGGAAATGAAAGCGACGATTGCAGATGTAGCTAATGTTTTGCAAGTTCCATCTGGAATGTGCAGGATATTATTGCATAAATACAAATGGAACAAGGAAAGCTTGCTTGAAAGGTACTTTATTCTTCAGATCAAATTTACAGAACTCGTTTTTAGCCGGCCCAAAAAAATGAGCTCATTTTAAATGTTTTAACAAGTCATATTTCATATAGCTAGCAATTACCTATTTTCCAGATTCTATGAGCACCCGGATACAAATGCATTTTTGCTTGATGCACAAGTTATTCCAAATGTCACCGAATCTTCATCTTCTGCTCAACCAAATCCAGCAGAATGTGATATTTGTTGTGTTGTTTGCGAACTTTCTGGATTAGCTTGTAATCATCGATCTTGTGCCAGATGTTGGAAAGCGTATTTACAAACTAAAATTATGAATGATTGTTCTAGCGAAATTGAATGCATGTGTTCTGGATGTAAATTATTGATCGAAGATGAAAAGGTTTGTCCTGTTTTTATTAATTTGTACAAAAAACCATTTAACAAATGTTTTGCAGGTCATGAATTATATAACCGATGAAGTAACTCGTGCTGCATATCGTCGCTTAGTTATTTCTAGTTATATCGAAACAAATCGTCTTCTTCGTTGGTGTCCAGGTGTCGATTGTGGAAAAGCGGTTAAAGTACCTCATTGTGAACCTCGTCTCGTTATTTGCTCATGTTCCAAACAATTTTGTTTTGCTTGTGGAAACGATTGGCATGAGCCGGTCAATTGTCGACTTCTCAAATTGTGGCTCAAAAAATGTTCGGATGATAGTGAAACAAGTAATTGGATCAATGCCAACACCAAAGAATGCCCAAAATGTCAAATTACAATCGAAAAAGATGGCGGTTGTAATCATATGACTTGCAAAAGTTCGACTTGTAAATTTGAATTCTGTTGGATGTGTTTGGGACCTTGGGAACCGCATGGAAGCAGTTGGTATAGTTGTAATAGATTTGATGATTCGGCTGCAAAACAAGCAAGAGATGCGCAAGAATTGTCGAGAGCCAATTTACAAAGATATTTGTTCTATTATAATCGTTATATGGGACATCAACAAAGTTTGAAATTGGAAGGAAAGGTATGTTAATTTACTTTTGTGGATTGATTTAAAATGTGCAATAATCAGATGATTATTATTATTATTATTTAACAAACCTTCAAAAATTTTTTGAAATTTTGAGATGTGAAACCTGAATCCAGTGAAATCACAAAAAATTCCATTATTTTAAAAGTCAAATGTTTATTTTCAGTTGTATGCAACTGTCAAATCAAAAATGGAACAAATGCAACAACGTTCAATGTCTTGGATCGAAGTTCAATTTTTGCGCAAAGCAGTCGATGTTCTTTCGGAGTGTCGTCGTACTCTCATGTTCACATATGCATTTGCCTATTATCTCCAAAAAGATAACAATTCTCAAATTTTTGAAGACAATCAAAAAGATTTGGAAATGGAGACTGAAAAATTGTCTGAAATATTGGAAAGAGAATTGGAGAATGAGAATTTGGTTATGTTGAAACAAAAGGTTTGTATTTTGTTTTTGAAAATTTGAAAATTTTGAAAATTGGCATCTTGAATTTCTAACCCCTAAAATCCTTAAGTTTTTCATAATTTTTTTCTGCATATTTGATTCTTGTTTTTGAAAATAATGTTGGGCTGAAGATCAAAAGTTGTCACGCGATTGAAATTTTGTCTGAAAACCAACATAAAATTTATGATGCAGAGGTTTTTTGAATTCACAAAATCCATGAACCATAGAAAATATTGAAAAATATATATCCACATGTTTTTGCAGGTTCAAGACAAATATCGTTATGTCGAACATCGTCGTAAAATCTTATTAAGTCATTGTCAAGAAGGAACTGAACGGGATCAATGGAAATATATCGAGTAACCCAAAAAATTGTCGTTGACCAGCTATAATTTTATTTCATTTTCTTCTTCTTTTTTTGAATACGGGAAAATATGATTTTCTACAATTTTGTTCTTCTAATCCTCATTTGTCTCTTTTATTGTTTTTAAATTCATTATCTTATAGAACTCGATCTTGTTTTTTTTTTCAATTCATTCTCGGATTCTTTTTGTTGTCTTCTTGTCAACATTTTCTGCCTTTGTAAATACCCCAAATAAGTTGTTCCCTCCTCTTTTTCTATGGTTTCTTTCAAGTATGAATTTGTTCTTTTATAATTGTTATTTTTATTGGAAAAAGGGTTTCTGAAACCTTATCATTATTTTCGAGAATATTCGAGCAGTTTTTATCGTTTGTTTGGTTTTTTAAAAACAATTTTCATCCATTCTAATTTTCGGTTTAATTTTTATCATTGTACGAATTTGCTGCTTTTCAGTTTCTGAATGAACTTCGCTGTTCTGAAATTTATAATTAGGGGTTTGAGATTTTCCAGTTTTCTCGAACATTCTAATTATCGAAACCTTCAGAGTTAGCCTTCTCTCGCCTTCTCAATAATTCAGTTAGGAATTATTTTTTGGGTAGTTTCAGATTTCAGTATCTGATCTTTTCATTTTTTTTATTCACAATCAGAGTTGTTAGAAGGTTGTTTATTAGTCCATATCTTGTTGAACTTATCTGAAGTTTTTTTTGAACCATGTCTGATATTAAGATTAAAATTTAAAAAATAATAATTATTTTCAATTTTTCGAAAGTTTTCATTATTCTCGAAAAAAATTATTCTAGAATGTTCGAGACTTTTTCTATTTTTCACCACACCTTTTTTCTCACTATACGAATTGTGGATGTTGATTTTTCTTTTGAATTTAAAACATTCAAAATTATTTATCCCAATACATCTCAGATTTTCGAGTTTTCTATGACATTTAAATCACATGTTTTCTAATCCCCATAATCCTTAACCTTTCTATAATTCTGGAAATCATCTTTTTCTTCTTTTTCAAAATCCCATTTCCATCCCTTTTCTCCTAACCTTCTGTAGATTTTCGCCTGGAGATGTTCATTTTTTTTAGAACACATACATGATCTTTATTCTCCTCTCACTTACTCTTTTTTTTTCAGAAACTTGAATCAAATCATGTGCTCAAGTTTTTATTCTTCTTCAATAAACAAGCTGATTTTCTTTTCTTCGAGGGTCACAAGGAACAATTTTTAAAAAACGAAACGAGAGAAGCTGAGAATTCGTCTGTCGGTCATATGTTTCTCTGCGTCTCTTCACACTGCAATCAATATCTAAAAGTGAAAGATTGTGGGAACATTGGAGTTTCTAGAGAAATAGAGACGCAGAGGAACGACGACGACGTTTTAGTTCTGCTTTTTTTCGATAATGGTTGAGATTTCAATATAAAACGAATAGTTTCCTCGTTCTCTTTTCAGACTGTCTTCTTTTTCTTTATTCAATCATTTCTCCCGAATTCTAAATCTTCTATTTTGTTTTAGAACAGCTTTCCTTTTTCCATCTTGGGTGTGATCTTTGAAACTTTGCTAATCAATGATTCATAAATTTAGGCTAGGTCCAATAATTTTTCAAGAAACATATTATTTGTTCTACCCACTCACAGTATAGAAAAATGAGACTGCTATGAATGTTATTCATCTGCGTTTATTTTTTCCACTGTTTTTTGCTGACGTGTCATTTTGGGACATTTTCAGTCTTATCATAAAGAGCCAATTCTCTTCTTTCTTTTTTTCTTTCAACGACACAATTATTTTATAATGGTGTGTTGGGTGATAAGAGAACAAACACATTTATTATCGAAAGTTTTCGAAATGCTTTTTTTGAGAAACTATCAAAGTTCGTTTCAGATTTTTGTTGAAATGATACAGTATTTGGGTAGAAACGAGTTTTTGTGTTGCATTAATTGCACTTTTTTGTTATCAGATTATTTTATTTTACCGTACTTTGGTTTATTTTTTTATCTTAATAACAGGAAGTAGATAGTTTAAAGAACTATGTTTTTGCTCTGTAGAAACAGGAAGCCCGACAATTTTCCTTCGCCGTAGATTATGACTCATCATGCCAATATCATTTTGTATTACATCATACATAGTCATGATCTAAATGCGATTCGGAAATTGAAAAAAGGGAATGAATTTTGTAGTCGAGACGAAAACCAATGAACAATCTAATTACCAAGAAAACCGAATAAATACAATTTTCGAATAACTTCGATCTGCTTCTCTATATTTTCTCTACCTCTTCTTATTTTCATTTCCCTCGTGACAAAAAGGCGGAGCTTCTTTCTTCTCCATTTATTGTCAAACATGTGTTCATTTGGAAATATTTCGAAATTCTCTTTTTACCTCATTTGATAACACATGTCATATTTTTAATGAATTCAATATTTTTCCAGCTTACACCCGTCCTTTAACTAAAAACACGCAACAATGTCGAATTTGATGTTTATGAGTAATAATCAATTAAGTAAAAACGGTAACAACATGACCGTCTCAATCAACTCGTCGTCCGCCGAGCCTGGAGAAGCCGGATGGTGTTTTTGACGCCCCTCCAGTCACCAAATTTGTAAATGAGGTAAGAAATCATATTTTTGTAGTCGGAAAAAGAATCGGAAGAGGTCCAATTTATTTGCACAAATTTTACGATGTCTGAATCACCCCGAAAAATCGAACTCCTTTTTGAAAGAGTTGTTTCCTGAATCGAACAATTTTCAAAAAATGGTCCGATTCAAAATTATTCTAAAAAATCGTGGACCTGGCCCGTTTCGAAAACCCCCAAAATTGTCGCATTCCAGAAACCGAAACAGTAGAAAAAATCTTTAAAAAATATGCTTATTTGTTTCAGACTTCTTCAAAGCTCTCTGCAGTTTCTCCAAATTGGCGTTGTGGTATGATCGATAACGAAACATTGGCAATTTTCATTCCTGTAAACCAAAAAGTGCTCGGTTTGTCAAAAGAAAAGTTTGTGGACTTGTTGGAATTCGCTGAAGATAAACTCGAAGTTCTTCGTGTTTTGGCTGTTTTCGAAAAGCCAGATTTGTCATTGACTGAAGGATTTCCAAGAACTCTTCGCTATGTCGGATTCCGTTCAATCGCTCCAGAAAACCATCCAGTTCAACTTCCAGCTGACAAATGCTTCATCATGTGCTATAAGGTTTAAGTGTGTTTTTGATTTGCGCCAACGTTTCGTTTTTCTATTTTAACATGACACTTTTCTTTTCTTATTCTCTCGTTTTATAACTATTCTTCTAAATACTTTTTCTGTCCTTTTCTATTGTAAACTTTATTTTTTGTAGTAAATGCCAATTTGGAGAACTGCTATATAAATAAATGTTAAAATCAGCTATTTTTCTTCTGAATAATTTCAAATCCAGGAATTTCTGGATAATGGTGATCTAGGATTATCTGGATTAGAGAATTGCATCAAATCGAATAATCACAGAAAATCAGAAGATTTGTTGATTTATAGAAAAACGTGGTTAGGGTTTTGAAGATGTGAAAACAGAAACTGGAACAATTATTTCGGACACAGTTGAATAAATAAAGAGAATTACAAGAGCTTTTTTAGTGAAAAATTTCGGGGAAAAACACAATTCAAATGAGGTAATTGAAGTTGAACAAATTTATTGCAGAAATTTGAAATATGCTGGGTTTTCAGATTTCGAAGATTTATTTTATTTTATTTTATTGTTTAATTACTGTAGGTAGCTCTTGAGGATTTCGCGATAATCAAAAATATAGATTTTCGAATAACATTTTTTGAAAAAAAAATGTCAAAATCAAAAAATATGGAAATTTTCATGAATGATTTGAATAACAATAGGGAGATTTTTTGTTGTTGATAAAAACGAATCAAGAAAGTTTCTAATTTTCCGAAAATATTTTAAAGTAACTATCATCTGAAAACATTTCGGAATAAAACTATCACAGTGAGATTTTCTGTAGTTCAGAAATTCGGAAACCTGAAGATGAACTTAAAAAGGTTAACTTCAAGTTCCAATTGGATTTTGCAAAAGTCAAAGTTTTCATTAATTTTCCAGAATTTTTTTACCATAATTTCAGAAATACCGATGAAAAACATCGTTATTTTATAAATATCAAAAGCGCCAGAAAAAATGTTATCATTACTCCACTACAGTAATCATGTGGTTAACCTTCGAAACCATCTGATGTTTTTAAAAAAGAATAGTTTCAAACCTGAATGATTGATGAAAATATATTGAAACCTATTAGGTGATCTAATTATTGTTAAGTATTATCTATCACATGTTCTTCAATTTTCGTTTCGTTTTTTGTCATTTCATTTGATTTCATCTAATTTCTATAAACTATACAATTCATTATTTCATTCATTCATTCAGTGTTGTTGCGTTGCGAACAGAAGAAAGTGAGAAGAAGAAATAGAAGAAGAAGAAGAAGAAAAAGTAGGCGGGTTGGTTGGTTATCAAAGACCTGCGATCGGGATCCGTCGCCCCGACCTTCATACTTTTCTCTCATCGTCTTTTTTCTCCATTTCTGTCTGATTTCGTATTTTTGTGTGTCCAGCTAAATATTACCTCATTTAATTCTAATCATATCATTTTTTGAATTAATTGCTATTTTGTCTGAAAATGATTGAATGATCGAGAAGAAACAATGATTTTACTTTTATTTTTTATCTCATTTTTATTATCTGAGAACACAATAAATGGGGCTGCAATAATGGGTTTGGGAGGATCAGAGAAACAAGTTGAAAATTCGAATTTGAATATTTCTTCTTCTTCTTCACAACAACAACAATATCATCGATTTGATCGACTTATTCTTTCCGTTGGTTAGTTTTTTTTTTCATATTTTTTGTGGGAAAATTGTAATATTTCTTTATCTTTCCACACATTCCTTTTTACACTGTATACCACATGTTTTTGTACCTATCTATGATTATCAATCTTTCCACTTTGGATTTTTTTTTGTTGAAAAAATGGAACTTTGCCAAAATTTATTGATTACAAGATTTCAATTCAAAACTTATTTAAAAACTACTTTTTTAATGAAAAGTTTTTTCTTAAATGTTTCAGATATTGATGAACATTTTCCAATAGGGAATTATAGATCTCAAAAACACGATTCTGAACTTTTTTTGAAATACAAGCTCAAAATTTTAGATCAATTTTTCATGAATAAAATTATTTCATTTTTAATTGCCACGAAACTAGAATTCACAGAAGCCTTTACAAAAATATTTTTAGAATCGTAATTTTCAGATGCATATTTACCCAGTCTGAAAGTTTTGGTTAGTTACAATATAAAGGCAGATTTCGGCTTTTCGCGAAAGCTTACAATTTCTTCACCAAAATAAAAAAATCAATAAATAAAAGTTTTGCAAAAAATATTCTCATTGATGATTATCTTTGTTTTTCTCAATTCATTTTTAGAACAAGATTTTTTTCAAAAAATTAAAACTTCTAAGAACTACAATCAATAACAAAACTAATTGAGGTCAATTAAATAGCAGTTTAACCCAAACCTAAAACACAAATCAATTCAATGAAAACAAGTTCAGAACCAAACAAGAATAACCTTGACAAAAAATAAATGGACCTGAACAACAAAAAATATAAATCACACATGATTCACACCAATATTGAATTTATGATTTTCAGTTCGTAAATCTGGTCATCCTGATATAATTCATCCAACAATTTGTCCGCCATCTTGTGAACATTTACACAAAGCAATTGATCATTTTCAAAACGGCGACAATATTTCATTAACAGGAAGAATCAAAGATGAGGTTGGTTTTTTATTTGAGAAGATTTTTTTGCACAAAAATTTAGAGCTGACAAAAAAGTAAATTATTTCAGTGTTCTTGTGTTTGTCCAGTTTCTCGACCAGTTTATTTGAGTTCGGCTGGAAGTTGTGTTAGTAAATTATGTAAGTTTTTCGAAAAAAAATTGGAAGTTTGTCTGAAAAATTTATGTTTTTTATAGAACTCAAGTCCTACAAAATAGCGTAGCCCCAAACTATTTTTTTAAATTTTCTGACAGTTTTCAACTGGGTTACTGTAGGATAAGGTTTCCAACGTTGCTCAAATTCAGAGATTTTGAGATCATTTTGAAGAGATTACTGTACTCTACATTTTCAAACGATCATTGTAGATTTTTTCAAGAATCGATAAAGGTTTTTTTTACTCATTTAGATCCTTTTTCTGAACTGGAACTTTAATTTTTAGGAATATCTAGAAATGTTCTTGTTTATCTCAAATTATTTCCAAAGCTATTTCTATACCAGGTTTAGAGTTCAAAAAAAATTGGAATATTTTTAACGTTCAAAAAGCAAGTTTGAAATGAAAATGGACCGGGCATGGTCTTGTTGAATTGAAATGTATTTTTCATAGAAATTTTGAGGATTAAAATTGTATGTAAAGTTTACACTAGAAATGATATGAGATCAGGTTTTTTCAACTTTATTTTTGTCCTAAAAATTAATTACTTTTGATGAAAACATCTTAACTTTTCGCATCAACTTCTGATAATCCAATTTATTTACAGTACCAACCGAATGCGAAAGAACAATTAGCTGGAAAACTTTGCAACCAACCGAAACTACAGTACCCGTTGTTCACCTCCTTCCACATTCTGTTGTTTTACCAAATAGTCCATTGAATTTTGAAAAAGAAGGAATTCATGTATCACAAAATGGTCAAGTCAATTGTACAATTGGACAAGTTTTCTACGAAAATGTTCATCATCGATGGAAAACTCCATTGAGAAAAACAGTGCTATTTGAATTGACCGATTTTGAACAGAAACCTATTATTTATGTGAGTTTTTATAGTTTTCAAAAATTAGTTAATTATGTATATATTTTTTTTAGTTCCGCGGAACTGATACCGATTCATCATTTCTTGCCGGTGCTGTCGTACAAATAAAACTGAGATGTGATCGAGATAATCAGATAAACAAAAATAGTCAACATTTTTGTATATCATTACGTATTGCTGGTGTTTCAGGTAAGAAAAAGATATCTTCTTTTATATATTGAATTAATTATTTGTATCGCGGAAAAACAAGAAAAGAACACATTTAATATTATTATTATTATAATTAAAAGAGACTGTCGAAAACAAATGATATCAGAAGAAACAAAAACGGGCAAAAAGAGAGGAACACTTTCAATTTAATAATTGACAAGACAACAAACTGGATTTTTGATTTTAAATTTGCATTTTAATCTTCCGATTTTTCATACAGTTATTGACAGCAAAGAACGATTCTTTTTGATTATTTTATAAATCACAAATTCTTTATTTTTTAATTTCCAAAAACAAATTTTGACAACAAAGAACAGCATACATTTTATATTTTTGAACCAGATGCATTTGTTATCCTCTCAAAAATGTACCAACTTAAAATTTATGAAAATCATGAACCGATTATTGTGGTTTTTGATATTGGTGAGTTTTTTCTAAAAATAGCACAAAACTTTAAATGAAAGTCTGTAAATTACTGTACTTTTCAAGTGATTCCAGAAATAAGGTCCTCCTAATAACTTGTGAATTGTTCCTGTGAGAGAATTTCCTGAAAGCGTTAAAAAAAGAAATGGAAATAGTTCTTTTCAAAAAAACGTATGTGGAAAATTTCAAACGTAACCAAATTTTTAATCGAAAGTTCTAAAGTTCATTTCCAAATAAAAACGATTTCTCCAGGTTCAATAGGTGGAAATGGAAATCATGGCTCAAACTCGCTGGAAAACAGTTCCGAATGGCAAACTGAATCAATTCTTCTCATGATCTTTGTCTGTTTCATTGTTACAATGTTGTTGACCACATTTTTTGTTTGGAACATTTGTTGGAAGATCAAAAAACGGTTTGTCATCATTTACAGAAAAAAAAGATATTTATTAATCTGAAAAAAATTTGTTTTAGAAAAATGATAAGCGATTTTCAAATGCAATTCATTCAACAATATCGTCAACAACAAAATCCAGAAGTTATAAAAGTTCCTCGAAATCAATTATCGATTGAAGATATTGAAATTGAAGAAGGTGGAAATGGAGAAAATAATGGAGGAAGTGGAAGAAGAAGATTGTATTTTAGTGCGGAATATTTTGATAGAGATTTACTCGAAAATCCACCACCAATGGCTGAACAATTTTTGATGGATTTGAGAAGAATGGTTGATGTGGCAAAAGATCGAATAAGGCAAAGAAGATATTATCCAACATTGGTCAGAATTGATGAAGAAATTGAACAGGAAAATGAAGATGGAAATGAAAAAGAGCGAAAAATAAAACAACCAATTATGGAACAAAAACAATTATCTGAATTGAAACAAGTAAAAGAAGAGGAGGAAGAAGAAGAGGAGGATTTTATGATTCAGTCAACATCATCTTCAAATAAAGAAGAAAGTGATAGTGGAAGAGAATCAAAAGAGGATTCATCTGAAGAAGAAGATAAAGATAAAGACAAACCAAAAAATGTATCAGAAATTCGGAAAAATTTCGAAAGACCATCTCAACTTCCAATTCTTCATAATTCTTCGATGAAAAGACGAAAAAGTGCGCCAAGTGGAACAGTTGCACAAAAACAAAAAGAATATGAAAGTAAATTGAGGCCGCCTACGTCTTATAGTGGAAGAAGTTTGAAAGAAAGAAAAGGTTATGCTGTTTATCCAAATGATTGTGTATTTAATAAATCACTTCCAAGGAGGCCGAAGAAATTAGCACCAACAACGCAGCAAACTGATAATATGTGATTTGATTCGAAATATTCTTGTTAAAATTATTGATCTCAATTGTTTTTTTTCTTTTTGAAATTTTTCGTTTTGTACAAAAAATAAAAAAATAATTATAATAAATTAATTTTTTTTTAATGTAAACAGTAATTCTGAAAAACTTTGTTGTAAAAATACAAAAACATTTCCAAACGAGAACCATCAACTTCTCAAAAAACTAGATTCAAATTTTGGCCCCAAAAACCAGAGTTGAAGTTTTTCTGTAGTATTTCAGTATTTCAGCTGTGTTCTCATCATTTTCTAATTTTTCGAAAACAAGTTCAAAGTTAAAAAAAAATCAAATTTATTTCCAGAGATCAATATACAGTAACATACAAAAATTTATACATTTGTCGAAAAAATTGGTCGATTCTTTCTGGCCGCATTTCTTATTGTTCGATCAGTCCAAGAAGCTGGTTTAGCTGTTGCAAATATACAGAAAAATATGTTGGAAAGAATAAGAAGAGCAGCATGAGCAAAGAAAACAACACGCCATTCAGAAACTGAAGAAGTTGGTAGCAAAAATGAAACCTGAAAAATACACCAGTAGAAGAAATGCAATAATGTGGAAAATAGGATTATATAAATGAATAACTTACCAAAATTGGGCAGATTAACATTGATAAACACCAAATAAATTGAATATTTGCCATAACAAAATGACTGTATTGTCTTGAAACTAAAGTTGCGCATTTATTGAAACCTCCTCCATTGAAACCAAACATTGCAGTTGCTAATGAAATTAGGATAAGTCCTAGAAGTCCTTGTCCTTGTTGAACATATCCACAACAAGCTAGAAATACAGCTGATAATCCCAATGCAATTGAATTGAAAATTCGAATTTTTGTAGTTTCTGATACTCCTCGAATTCGATCTGATGAATGTCCAGCTGATATTTTGACACAGAATTGAACAAGAACAGGAACTGCAGCAGCAAAACCAGTTTTTTGTACAGAATATCCAAGAATATCTCTGATATATAATGGTGAAAACATATGAATTAATTGAACAGCCACCAAATCACCCAATGCACCAATCCAAACAGCCCAAATACTTGGAGTTGAAATAATTTCGAGATATGGAGTTGAAGAATGATCAGCTGAAAGACTAGCTGAGGACTTATTTGCATTGATAACTGATAATTCGCGAGTGCTAACACGGGCATTTGAAGATGGTGAATCAGTGAAAAATATATACCAAATAATAAATGTGATAAATGAAAATGCAGCATGAAAATAGAAAACAGATTGCCAACCAAGAGATGATGTACAAAGTTGGCCAGAAAGAGGCATTGAAAATACAGAGGAAAGTTGTCCAAAAGTTGTGAGGACTGCAATGAAAAAACCATTTTGTTTGAGAGAAGCCCAAGATGAAGTAACACTTCCGACTGTTGGCATACAAGCAGCAAATGATATTCCCTGGAAAAATATTATGATTTCTAACAATTATATATAAGAAGAAGAGCTTGGAAGATAAAGGAAAAAAAGGATAAACTGATATTCGAACGTTAGAAGAGCCGAAAATGATTAGATCCCAAAGAAGTTTCAAATTATTGGAACAAAAAGTTGTTTGTTTTAGACAGTAATAAATTCCTTCAATTTTACCTGAAGAACTCTCATCATTAAAAATGTTTGTAATGAATAAGAAGCAGCTGCAGGAACCAAAACAGTCGAAAGTCCTGATAAAATTCCAGACAAAAAGAAAACTTGTCGACATCCCAATCTTGCAATTCCATGTGAAACTGGAACAACAGCTAAAAGTGCACCAATTGCAACTGCACTGAAAAGCCAAGTTCTTTCTTGATGATTATATGGTTCGAATTTGTTTGTTGAATTGATTGAATTAATTCGATGAGAAGCTGGCATACAAAGAACTGTGAAATTGAAACAAACAATATTTGCCATAATTGAAGTGAGACATAGAATTGTGAAAATTAGAATAATATATCGAGTTGATGAACCTGCAAAAATTATATCCCATTTTTTGTTTTTCGTTTATTTTTTCAACTAATCTTTACACCTTTTACAAAACAATATTTATTACTCACAAAACAACACAAAATATAAACACTTTTTATGTTATGATAAAAATTTATGGCTTTTTCAATTTTTTTTTTTGGAATTTAAAGGAAAAATGAAAATGTTGTTCTTACTTTGAACTTTATAAAACAAGTTTTGAAACTGACAGTACTTTGAAAGTGAATCCAAAACTTGAAATAATAATTTTTCAATTGAAAAAATCTTACCTTCATTATTGGTTCCATTTTCCATCTTCGAATTTTTATCAATAGTATCCAATGAATTTGAAGAATCCAAGCAAAACTGAATCGGACGATCGTTTCTTTTTTCTTTAGTATTCGAACTTTTTTCTGTAACTGATTCAATCAAATTGACATAATATTTTTTACTAATTTGATAAGATTTTCTCTTCCAATCAAATAGATTTTTGTTTCGAGGTGGATCAAAAAATTTGGGAGAAAAATCATACCTTTTTGAAATACCGTACCACTTTTGTCCGTTGTCGTTGAAGACAATGTTACTTCAGGAAGTATTACCGGTGTCTTTGATTTCGACATCTAAAAAAAATAAACTTGAATAAATAAAAAAAAGTGACATAAACTGGAAGGATTATACTTATGTCAGATTTAGAAAAAACTAAATAAAAAAATTGTATAGAAAGGTGACCCCGCCCAGATATTACAAAAAGGAAAAAAAGGGGGAGGAGCTATGATTTATGGTGGGAATTGGGGGATGACCTGATATATTTATAGATAGATTTTTGGCAGATATATCGGATTATTTATGGTATTGCACCCAACGGATAAAAAAAATATTCATAGAAGGAGAAATTCTAGGAAAAACACAGCAGTGAGGAGATCTTTTTGAAGTTTGTAAAAAAATAAACATTTTTTCAAAATACGTTTTTGAAACGTGAACTTTCCTAATTTTATTTAAACCTCATCGTAAGTTTTATCATTTCAATATTTTTTAACCTTTCAAAATAACTGTCTCGTGAAAGTTAGAAATACACTTATTTTGAACAAGGCTGATCGCAATGAACTTTTGAAAAAAAGAGAAGTAAGTTATCTTATAAAGTCATTGTTGATTGAAGGGGAAGGAGGTTCTTCCTTAAAATATCCTAGGTCTTTAAATATTCAGAGATTCGCTGACTTTTGAATTCAACAATCTTGTGGTCTTCCCCTTTTAACAATGAAATTAGCGGAACTTCTCTAATAAAACTATCTGGGAAAATACACAACTCGCTGAATTTAAACAAAAAAAAACTGTTTGAAGAAAATCATTTTTTTTTCACAAATGACGTCGAATGACCATTGTTTTAGTGAACTTTACATGACTAAACATTTTCAAAATAAGAATAATTTTTTATAGAATACAAATATTGTATCTTCTTCTTCTCCTTTTTTCTAATTATGCATTATAATACGTGATAAATAAATAAATTATTTGCATCTCGAATATTCGAGAAAGAATCCAAAGATCAAAGTGTGTTGAGATTAGCGGTAGATAAAAGAATTATTCTGCCCCTTTACGTATTGATCAAATCTTTCCCAAGTACTGAATATATTTAGCATAAATAATTAATATTCGAGTATTACTGTAGACATCGAATAAAATTATGAATATTTTGAAAAGCGCGCCGCGTATTGACAAATATTGTGTGCGGTGGTCGGCTGTTGTGGGCGGAGCTTGTGTTTTCTCATCATTTTTGAATTTTTGTCAGCGTTTTTGTGTTGAGAAAATATGTTGAAACACACTTGTATTTTTGCAGGGTAACCATGTCTTCTAGAGGAGTTAGAGCAGCTGGAACTGATGGTAATGATTTCCAGCATAGACAAAGAGTAGCGCAACATTATCAGGAGAGGTAAATTTGTTTTTTTGTTATTCTGAAATAAAACAGGATAATCATAGTTTTTTCAGTGCTTCATACAAATATATTCTGAAATGGTTTTTCGTTCCACATTTCATGATTTTGGTCTTCATGTGGCTCAAGGTTGGTAAATATTTTAGTTTTTATATTAAATAGGTTGTTAATCTGGATAGACATTTGAAACAAATATTTTATTTAATGGATATTGCGCAAAATGTTCAAGATTTGGGTGTTGACATCGATAAGTTTTGCAGCTCTGCGAAGTCTCCTAATAAGAAGACTATCACTATAATCGACATCTCTTGGCAAAGTAGTTGTATCAGGATAATCTGTAGCCTTTGGGTCTGATGTTGGAGATTGTGGATCCACAGTTTGTGGTCCGTCTGTTGGATAATCAGCAAAATCTGTAGTTGGGCCTTGTTCAACAGTGAAATTGGGTTCAAAGGTTGAGATTTCGGCATCAGTGTAATCTGGAGTGGGTTGTTCAGTAGTGATTGGTACACCTTGAGTAACATCCGGAATATAAGGTGTCGAGTCGGTTACTTCTTGTGGTTGTGGATATTCTGTGCTGCCTTCTGGATTTTGGGTGCTCTCTTCCTCTGGATATGTAGTTTCTTCTGGGTTAAAAGTTACTTCTTCTGGAAATGTAGTTCCTTCTGGATTTGGAGTTCCTTCTTCCGGATATCTTGTGCTCTCTTCTGGATATGTAGTTCCTTCTGGATATGTGGTTCCTTCTTCTGGATACGTTGTGCTCTCTTCTGGATAGGTAGTTCCTTCATCCGGATAAGTAGGTGTGCTCTCTTCTGGGTTCTCAGTAGATCCATCAATTTCTGATAGGATTGGCACTCCGAATTTAATTTGATCGATATTCTTACGGATAAAATCCAATGTTTTTGAAATATCAGAGAACAAAACAGGTGCAAAGGCGACTAAATTTCTTTCCACTTTTTCCGTGAATATAGATTGACTTGGAAGATAATCTACTAGAGAAAACAGTTTTTTTTTTTTGGCTTGAAAGCTGTTATTGAAACTTACCAACTGGTTGTGTCATAGAAAGAACCCTCTTCAAATGTCGAGCTGAGTCGATGACTTTAGAATATAATTCTCTCTCTTTTCGAAGTTCATACCCAGAAGTAATAGAAACCAAAGAGAGAAACACTAGAAGTTTCATATTCATTTCGATGAATGTTGAGAATTATAGCTGAATGTTTCTTAAATAGAGTGATTTAGTTTTGATATACGGAATGACTAATTTAGGCGCATGTTGTATAATAATTTATAAACATAACAATATTGTTCAACAGAAGGAAAAAAGAGAATTGTGTGTTTTATGATGACAATGGAATGAGAAACATTTTAATTTTTTGTATATTTTTTCCAGGTTGGAAGTGAATTTGCTCGCAAAGATCTTGGATGGAAATTGCCATTTTTCAAACGCCTTGATATGCCATCTGCTTATCCATGGGAATATGTTTGGTGTCTTTCGTTCATTCCAATCATCTTCTCACTTTTATCATTCCCAAAAAACAAACTCAAATATCTCAACTATGCTTATTATTCACAATTTCTTTTCGGAATCTTGCCATGTATGATTGGATTGGGAGGACAATTACCGGAGTTATTAGAATATGTTAATGATATGGAAGGAAGTAATACACCAACATTCAAAGGAATATTTCCAATGGTTATTATTTGGTATATTTTCTTTGCAGTTGCTCTTCAAATTCATGGTTTCTCTATGTATTTTTCACACAATCTTGCTGCCGCCTGGGCTCCAGTTAAACGGGATTAAATAATTTGGACAATGAAATATGGTTTCAGGTTAAGTTTAGAAGTATTCTCGATTTTGTTTAATTTAGAAAAGTGATATTTTCTCTTGTTAATAATGTTTATTGTTATTTAAATGTATGAACTTTATATTATTATTATTGATTTTTTTATTGAAACTCTTTTCATAAGGTTTTTCTACCTCTGAAGCTATCTTGTTTTATTTTAATTGATATTGTTAGTTATTTATTTCCTAATCTCATTGTTTTTAGAATGTGGGGCGAGACATTTGACGATTTTGAAAGTGAAGAACGCGAGTTGGCTGTTGCCAAACAAAACTTCATGCATGAACCAGCTAACATGAATTTCACATTTCCAAGTTTGCCACTCGGAATTCAACCAGTCGAATTCATGAATTCTCATTTCGGAGCAACAGCCGCGAAAAACATGAAATTCCGAAAAGGAACAACAACTTTGGCATTCGTTTATGAGCCAGCAACACCAGCAGATAAAGGAGGAATTATTGTTGCTGTCGATTCAAGAGCCTCATCTGGAGAATATATTTGTGAGTTTTGAAGTTCCTTACGAATATTTTCAAAATAAAATATTTTCAGCGTCTAAATCTGTTATGAAAATCCTCGACATCGGAGATCGTATGGTCGCAACAATGGCTGGAGGAGCTGCTGATTGTCAATATTGGACAAGAATTGTTGCCAAATACTGCACGTTAGTTTATTTCATGGGTATTGTCGAATTTGAAAAATGTGGCAGCCGTAAAACATGAAAAACAGTGCAGAGCTGAATGAATGACAAAGTCATTACTTCGTCAGTCGCGTGCGGCTGTGCGTCGCGGCCGAAAAACAAAGGAAAAAATAAATAATTGATTGTTTTTCGACCGCGACGCACAGCCGCACGCGACTGACGAAATAATGACTTTGTCATTCATTAAGATCTGCACTGTTTTTCATTTTTTACGGCTGCCACATTTTTCAACTTTGACAATAGTTGGGATATATCGCTACGAATAAGTTCTCCCTGAACTTTTCTGATTTCCGAAAAGTTCACCTTGAAAATGGTTTACGAAACGTTTTCAGCCCGTGGGATCGGGTCCCGAATATTCTACGCACAAACACACATTTTGATTTGTGAAAAAGCACAACCACTCCTTTTATTGAGATTCAAAAATTTGGTGTTTTTTCAGATTGTATGAATTGCGCGAAAAGACACCAATCACTGTTAGTGCCGCCAGTAAATATTTCGCAAATGCTTTGTTCGGATACCGTGGAAAGGGTTTGTCGGTTGGTTCAATGGTTGCTGGATATGATAAGAAAGGACCACAAATCTTCAAAGTTGACAGCGATGGAGATCGTTGTTCATTGAAAGTTTGCTCTGTTGGTTCGGGATCATTGAATGCATACGGTTAGTTTTCTTTTTTCAAAATCGCGTTTTTTATAAACAATTTTGAAGGTATTCTTGACAATCATTACAAACCAAAAATGACTGATGAAGAAGCTCGTAAACTTGGTCTCCGTGCTATCATGCATGCTACTTTCCGTGATTCTGGTTCTGGAGGTGTTTGTAATTGTAAGTTTTCTTATCAGCTTAATTTTCTTTTTATTATCTATCTATTGTTTCATTGAAACTTTTTCTCTTCAATACAATTATTTCTTTTTTTAGTGTGCCACATTACACCAACCGAAAAGATTCGTCTTCCACCAATGGATGTTTCCAAATTGTGGTACGAATTTGCGGATGAACTCGGAAGAGATATTGTTTATGATCCACGCGAATAACTTATTCATCTCAATTTCCCCTTTATTGTATTTTACCCGGTTTTTAATTTATTTTATTTAAAACATTTTTTGACCTTTACTTTATTCATGATTTCATAAAAATGTTCTTGATTGATTTTTATATTTGCTCTGATTGAAATTCTATTTAGGTCAACTAACCAATTTTCAAATATCTCAAATAACATTTTTCTTAATTTCAATATTCAGCACTAAATATTTGTAGATGATCGTTTCGAGACTAACCAGTAAAATATTTGAACATAATAATGCAATTTGGATGAATCAAGAAAACGAAGGAAATGATTTAGGAGCTGAACCAAAAGATGCACTGAGAGCTGTATTATTACTTGTCTTATTTCTATTAACTTTTGGATCCGCAATGGTGAGTTTTTTAACAAAATAATTGAGCTATGACGTGGCAAAAATTGAAAACTTCTAAAATTGTTTCACTTTGCGCAAATTTTCAAAATGACGAGATAGTTGAAAAGTTATTTCAAATTTTTTCGGAAAATCTCCGATTTTGAAATAACTATGAACTCATTTCTAAGTTCTAACAATTTATATATTTCAAATAACAAGTAAGAAATGTTTATAGTTTGAATCCAAAACAGCATATAAAATAAGAGTTTTTGACAAAAAATTTCGCTTATGAAAAATCCGAAAATAGTTATTTTTCTAGATCTCAACTCTTCTGAAAGGCGAATGGGCTCGTAGTCATTTATTATCATTTGTTTCTTGTGTTGGTGGAGGTGTTTTTCTTGGAGCCTGCTTGTTGGATCTTTTACCAGGTAACGTTGTTTTTTTTTTCGAAAAAATCTTCTTCAACGTTTTTTGTTAGATTCAATCGAAAGTTTCGAAAAAACCAAATTACAAGTGGATTTTCCGATTCCTTTGGCTTTTGTTGCTTTTGGATTGCTTCTTGTTTTAACAATTGATCAGATTGCGAGATTAGCAAAAGAACGAAATGTATTTGGAGCACAAGGATATCATGTGCACAGTCATGATTATGAAATGCCAACGTGAGTTTTTGATTTTTAATTTTAAAATTGAATAAAAAAATTTTATACATTTGTTTTCAGCGAAGATGAGGAAAATTCGGAAGAATCATCGCGAATTGGAGCAATTCTTCTTGTTTGTGCTCTTTCAGTTCATGCATTATTTGAGGGTTTATCTCTTGCTGTAACTTCCGATGCTTCACAATTGTTACAAGTTTGTTTCTTCTTTTTTCTTCGCTTTATTCTCGAATCACGCGTGTTTTTTTCAGATTTTTGGTGCATTGGTTCTTCACAAATGTATAATGGGTTTCTGTTTGGGTGTTCGATTGGTGCAGGCGAAAATGACAACACCGTGGTTGGCATTGGCCGCTTTTGTATTTAGTGTTCAAGTTTTGATTGGTGGATTGGCGGGAATTGGAATAATGCGGTTTATTAGTGGAGGAGAACAATCGGTTGCCGCGGTTGTTTCGTCGATTTTGCAAGGTAGGTTTCGGAATTTATTCATTTGGGATTGAACCACTGAAATTGAATTTCGCAGAAAATTTTGCATCATTTTCGGAATTGTTAAACTTCAGTCTTAAAAAGCATTTTAAAGTTTTCATCTAGAAATTTTTTGAAATGAAGTTGAAACAGAAATTTGAAATTCGGTACAGAATTTACAGAAAACCTTTTGATGGAAAATATCAGATGTAATCAAGACTTTTTATATCAAAACAGGGATTTTTTCTATCCGGGATGTTCAATTGACCTTTTATTCCATGTCCACACTTTTTCTTTTATTTTTCCCACGATATCTCTAATTTTGATCAAAATAAGTATTTCTCATTTCCTATTTTGCAGCAATCGCTTGTGGAACATTTCTTTATATCACCACTTTCGAAGTGATTCCTCACGAACTTCACAATGGAAAACATCGTCTCGCCAAATTATTCTTCATTTATGTTGGCTTTTTTGTTGTTGTCGGGTTCATTCTTGCTTTTCCAGATGCTTCATAGCCGTTTTCATCTCAATTTTCTTTCAATTTCTAAATATATGTACATATTCGCATTTTTCTTCACTTGCCCATTTATTTTCACAGGTTTCATTCAAATTGTCTTGCTAGTCGTTATTTTAACAATAAAACATCTAATTAATTTTCCCTAATCTTTTCCTTTTCAATCCGTTCATTCGGTTTTTTATATTTTCAAAAAAATGTTACATCAGAAATTAGGAAAAAATACGATTTTCAGAGCAAAGAGAATTTCAGAAGGAATGGGGACATGATTTTGATTATCGCTATTATCACAATTATTTTATTTCTAATAAGGTAAATTGATTTTTCATAAGGGTTATTTAAAAGTTAAATAGAAATCTGAAACTGGGTTTTTTTATTTATGAAATTGAGAGTTCTAACGGAGCAATTAGACATTTTATTTATTTAAAAAAATGATAAAAATTATATAATTTTTAAACGTGACCTTTTTTTTAAATGAAACGTGAGTTATAAGTTTAATTTTTTTGATAAATTTATGGTGGAAAATGGTAGGTTTTTCAAGGTTTTAAAACTGGGGATAATCAAACTGATAAATTTTATATCTTTCAGTGAACATTCAAAAAAAATGAATTTTAAAAAGTCCAAATTTTTGTAGCTATGCCGGCTGTATATTCTCTTGGTTGTTTTCGCTCCTGACAAAATCCGAATTTCGAGTCGGAACAGTCGGTTTTTTCGAATTTCGAGATGTCAGTGTTCGATTGGCTCAAAGTTTATCAATTCATATTGATTGTATTTCTTTGAGAAGGGACAAAACACATCCAACGTAAGTTCTAATTAATAATTTCTTTTTTGAAAAATGTTTAATTTCAGACGATTTTGTGTTTTGCAAATTGGCGATGTTCGAATTGAAGGTGATCCAAAAAAGTTATCACCGACAAGAGAATTCGCGCCAACTGGAAATGAAGAAAATAGTATTGAAAAAACGAAAATAATGATTCAAAAATTAGCAAGATTGGCACAATATTGTGGACTTATTGTAAATCGAGTTCATCTTGTGATTCTGAATGTTATACCTGAATCTATGCTTCATGTTACAATTGATGATTTATCGATTGAAATGTTTCGAAGTCGAGATGGTTGGCAATTGGAAACTAATTGTAGTTTAATTCAAGCAAAAGTTTTGAGAAGAAATTCGCCGACTGGAAGTCTTTTAGCTGAATTATCACTTCCATTGCAATTATCATTAGATGTTGGAAAAACAAGAATTAACAAAATAGTTGTTCGAATTACAAGTCCATCATTTGCTTTTACTCAAGATATTTTCGATATAATTGGATTGTTATCTTCATCTCAACAAAATAATGAAACACTTGAACAAGAAGCTGAAAATACTTCATTGATTAATATTGATTGGCAACTTCATTTAAATGTTGATATTGAATCGGCATCTTTTAAATATACTGCTAAAATCAATGAGGAATTGAGATATATCACTTTGAATATTCGAAATTTTGTTGTTGGAAAATGTGACAAAGTATTTAAAATGGAAATTGTTGGATTTTTTATTAGCTGATCAATTACAAAAATCTGCAATTAAAACTGGATCTTTGGTTTTGAATGTTTCGGTTAGTTAATTTGAACAAAATTAAAAAGGAAAATCGAGGACTCGCCGGATAATCGTTTTGGTAATTCCGAGATCCCAAGACATAACTATTCCAAAAATCCCAGGGTGCACAAGTCGCCTGAAATATAGCTATGACGTGAAAAACTAACCAAAAGAACTGGACCCTTCGAGTACTGTAATTAGTTTTAGATAAAATAATTTTGAATTTTGAGCTAGTTGTGCAGTTTTTGGAATAGTTATCTCTTGGATGAAATTACAAAAAAACAATTTTATTCGGTGAGTCCACGACCTTCTTTTGTTAATAATGTCTTGTTGAAAAAAAAATGTTTCTCAGGAATCTGAAAATATTTCAACAATTGAAGTTCGAGCAATTTCTGAAGAATCGCATACAAGTTTATCATTTGATGATACTCTTTGGTGGAAGAAACATTTTGAAAATTCAAATATCAAATTGCCACCAAATCGTCAGAAAAATTCATCAACGAATACAAAAAATCTTGATGTTTTCCTAGAATTGTCAAGTATTTCTTGTGATATTGTTGATTTTGAAAAGAAAAAATCTCGAATGCAAATTGGATTTATAAGTTTCCAAAAACTTCAAGATGAATTCGAAATTGGCGTGGAAATGTTGAGTTTTGGTCGAGTTTTAATTGAAAATGAGAATAATTGTTTGGATAAACACACTTGGGGCGAATCTTTATTTGTTGGAGCAATACTTATTCAATGGAGAAAAAATGAAGGAATAATTGGATGTGATGATGTTAAAATAGAATGGTCTGATAGATTTGCAAAACAAATTAATGATATCATGAGAATTATAAAATCAAGTGGAAAAACAGAAAATGACGAGAAATCAAATAGAAAATTGAGAACATTTGGATTTTGTGGAACAATTAATCGAATTTCAGTTATTACCACAATTTATGATAAATCATATGCTGCAATTTGTTGTTCAAAAATTGATATTGTATCACCGGATATTCAAACTGACATAATAATTGAAATGGGATATACAAGAGGAGCTGAAGGAATTCGAAAAAATGATGAGATTTCAATTGATATTGATACTATTTTCAAAGCAAAAACAACGAAAACTATGCAAAATAATGATATAAATTGTTCGCCAAGTCGAAGATGGAATCAAAAATTGAGAGAAACAAATGATGAACAAATGAGAAAATCAGTTGAAGATGGTATTAATCCTAAAATGGTAAGTACTAATTTGAATTTTTGGAGATTATCATTATAACTTTTTTGTTTCAGTTTCTATCATTTGATAGTCTTCAAATATTAATTGATCGAAGATTTAATGTAATTGACAATATATCTTTGAAATCAGCCACCGCATTTTATTTTTCTTGGTCTCCTCATTTACATTTGATTATTTTCCATTCAATGAAATCGATCAAACAAGCTTTTTATGTGGAACAGAATAATTCGACAAAAAGACGAGTTCCGAGAAAACGGAATTTCTTTATTGAAGCACAAAATGTTGTAGAAATTCAATTGGAATTGGCAAGAGATCATAGGTTAGTTAACAAAAAATATGAAGATGTTAGTATAGTTCTTTTTGAAACACTCAAATGCATTTTAAAATGAAAAAATCGGATATAAAGTCGGGACGTTCGAATTTCTTTTGAACATTTTTAAAGAAAAGTCAGAATTCCGAACTTCCAAAAATGAATCGAAATTTCAACCTGAAAATTCTTAAATTCTAGGAAGTAATTTGTAACAGTCATATACAACATAAGATTTTTCAGAATATTATGGAAGGCTGATACCTTGAGTTTTGAAAAAACAGAAGGAGAAATGACTGTGAGATCGAATGAATTAGATATTCTTATGAATTCGAATCAGATTGTAAATGTTATGGTTGGTTTTTTCTTCATTTTTAACACTTTTTAATCTCCTAACACTTGTTTTCAGGAACCATTAATTGCAATTCGACGATTTGATGATTTGATGTCATCTTCTCGACAAGCATTTGGAACTCTATTTTCACTTCAAAATAAAACGTGGACTTGGGCAGCTGATCGATTCTTATTCCATCTTCCGTTTGATTTCAACTTTGCGCAAGTTTTCAATGAATTTATTAATATCATAAAATGGATCAAAATTGTTCATGGAATTGAGAAGAAACCATTCACATCTGAATCTCCGCTGCCAAGTGATGTTAGAATTGAATTCAAAGAAGTTGTTTTAGAATTGGAAGACGATGATTTTGAAAATCGGTTGAAATTTAGTCATGAATTGAAAGAAGATGAAGTATATGAAAGTGAAAGAAGAAGTCAAATATTGGAAGAACGATTGATGCAATTGAAAAAGAATATTCCATTGATTCCAAGTTGGTTTTTGTTTACAAAAGTAAACTCAGTTATATTTTGAAAATTATAATTTTTCAGATGAAATTCTTGAACAATTAATCGAAAGTTTGAATGAAAAAAATAGCGAAATTTATATTGAAAGATGGAAAAGAAGTGATTTCAACAAAAAGCCATTATTTTGTTCGATTTGGAAAGGATGGAATATGAGAGCTTTTGCTGATATTACTTTACATGGAACTGAAAAATGTTTGGAATTGATGAAATTATTCGATCCATTGAGTAGTCTACCAAATGATCAGATTTATTCAACACTTTGGGCACGAGCAGTTGAATTTGATGTTGATGAATGGAGTGTTACTTTTAAAGATTATCCAATGAAATATTTGGATATTAAAGATCTTCATTTTTTCGGAACTCTTGTTGGTGCTGAAAGTTATAATGAAGGTCGATCAATTCGTGAAGCAACAATTCCAGTTCCAATTCCTTGGCCAACTTATTCAGTTAAAAGAAATATGTCACCTTTAAAGTTTTATTATGATATGCAATGTGCATCAAGCGAATATCGATGTACTTATGGACCATGTTGGGAACCATGTTTATCGATGATATCTTTGACTTGGAATAATATATCAGCACCATCTCGAGATCCATCTCCTCCACTTCCATTTTGGGATAAAATGCGATTTTTGTTACATGGTAAATTATTGTGGTCAAGTGAAATAATGGTGACAACAATGCTTGCTTCAAATGATCCATATAATGAAACAGAAACAATGGAAATGTTTTGGGATGATTTTGGATTGGATTGGGCACTTGGAGAGATTCGAATTAAATCTGGACTTCGAATATTTGTTCGAACTGCTTCTCGATATGATGATTCACAAGTTTTAACACTTCCAGATGTTAGATTGAAAATATTATTAGGATGGGATTGTGCTGGAGATTCACATGATCATCATTCAATTGTACTTTGTTCGCCGGATAAATTACCGCATTATTCATCCCGAGATGAACATGATTCATATCGACAATTTCGATCTTCTTGTGTTAATGTTACTTTGAATTTTGATGTTTCGCCTGGAAGTTGTACGACTCTTGATAAATTGCCCAATGTTTTGTTATATTCGAACACATTTCGATGTATTGAACAGTTTTTGGTGGGTTTTTTGAAAATGTTTGGTCTTGGGAAAATTATTTTCCACTTTTTGTTCAAATTCGGAGAAAAAATAAAATTGGTATTTTTATTCTCAAATTAATAACTAAAGCCGATTCTGTTATATCACAATTCAATTTTTTTTTGAATTTTTTGGAATATTTTTTGGAAATCTTGAGAAAAAAATGGCCATAAAAGTTGTCTCCAAATTTCGGTCCTCCCAGAGCATTTCCATAATTTTCCAGAAATCGTTGACTACAAAAAATCGAAATGTTCGACGTGGAAGTGTATTTGGTAATCGAGTTCTTCTCAAACCACAACTTTCAAAACATTTTGGAAAATTGCAAGTATCTGTTTCACTTCCAAAAGTTGTCCTAACTTATTGGATGTCACATTCTTCACCATTTGGTTTTCGTGTTTTTTCGGATGGACTTCAATTAACAGCAAGTTTTCGACAAACAGTTCAACATTCTTCAGTAAATCGAGACATGAATGTTCAACGTCGAAAAGTTTATAGTTGGTCAACACATCATATGACTTGTACTTGGTGGGCAACACAAGTACATGTTTATGGAAAAGAAAGTCGACCACAAGAATCAGGAATTCCTTCGGATGATACTTTTCTACTTGGATTTGGAAGAGTTCAATATGCAAGAGAAGCTTATCCAGGAAAAGATATTCCACTTCATAAAGTGACTGCATATGATTTGAAAATGTCTTGGACAGCTGATAATCGAAATGCTTGTTTGACAATTGCTGATGGAGTACATCGAGCACATATGTTGAGAAGAATTCTATCAAATGATGCTGTTAAAACTATTAATGTAGGTTCGAATATTTCATTAATTTCTGATTGGGACAAACAATCAGACATATTTCATTCTGATTTGATCAAGATATTCTGCGAATTTGACCTGATTCATAATATCAATATTTGAACTATGCATAGACAAATTCCCATGATTAAAAAATGTTTTAGTCCTAATTCTCTTCATAATTTCAGATTCATCTTGAAGAGGAAGAAAAAACTAAAAATCAACCGACATCTTCAAAAATTAAAGACGATTGCAAAAAACATAGACGTGGATACAGTATGACTGAAGCAAATCCATGGATGTTGACACAATTAATCGATGAAGTTGGTACAAAATTAGTTGCACATTGTGAACAAGCATCCGATGTTCCGATCGATTCTTTGGTTGGTGTTCAATTAGCAACTGCTGATGATGTTAAAATATTGAATTGGCAAGGTTAGTTGCAAAATGAAAATAGCTCCAATCGAAAATTGTTTGTTTTTCAGTGGATTTATTCAATAGTCAATTAGTATTGAAAGGATGTGAGAGAGATGGATTTTTGCTTGTCTGTGCTGCAAAAGCTCAATTATTACAGAATGTGAGTTTTAAATTTGAAATAGGAAATTTTTAGGATCCAACTAGAATTGATTTTTTGAAGTTCCACAATTAATATATTTTTAACTAAGATTCATCGAAGTGTTTGGAAAGACGGACTTTTATTATCCAAAAAATCCTGGGGTGCCCTTTTATCCGGAATGCAATATTTTGCTCCAATTTCTGCCACAGGATGGAATAAAGAGAAATTCCAATGGTTACCAAGAGAAGTTATTGAAGAAAAAACACAGGATACTGCTGGATTTGCTGATGATTTTGTGCAGAAATATTCGGCGACTGGAGAAGCTGTTGGAGGTGTTGTTCAACAAGGTAGGTTGTTTTTTCAATCTGAATTTCTTCAATCAAAATTTTTTTAGAAACTGACGCGGGTGAAAAGGTTCAATTACAAAGAATAGTTTCTCGATGCAGTTGTCAAATATATTTTGTATACTTTTCTGACGAATTGAAAACGGAAGAAGATATTACAATTCCTCAACCACAAATCGATGAAAAACATCAAGCTTTAGTTGGAAGTGAAGAATTTGGAATTGATGTTTTGACTTTGAAACATAATATGTTGGAATCAACAAGCAATTCAGAACAATATGAAATGGTTGTTGATATTGTGAATAATCTCGCATTATTCGTTGATCCCAATAAAAAAGCATTGGGAGAAAAAAGAAGAAGATTGAGATTTGAATCACAAATGATAACAATGCAAGAACTTCGAGGAAAAATTATGAAATATCAATCAGAACTCAGAGAAATTGTATCACTTGGAAGATATTTGGAAAGACAATTATTTTATTCGAATCAAGGAGAATTAATAACAGATGTTGATAAATTAGAACAAGAAACTGAAGAGACAAAATTGCGAATTATGAATGTTTCCGAAAAATTGGATACATTTATCAGTTGTTATAAACAAAGACAAATTGCAAAATCGAAAGATATCGAAAGTAATTTCCAAAAAGAAGAAGTTGAAGTTATTCGAAGATTTGAAGTTTGTTTTGAGGATTGTATTTGGAAATTAACTGAAAGTGATGGACAAATTGCTTTAGCACAAACTCAAATTCGAAATTTCTTATATACGAGAACTGTTCGAAATGGAAATTGTGGAGATCATTTATTTGAAGTTGGAAGTGTTCGAGTTACGAATTTATTGCCAGATACCATTTATAAACATGCATTGCACAGGTATGTGGGGAGTTTTTGGAGATATTTTAATGTGAGAAAAATGTTATATTTTTGCCAAGATCACAGCATTCAAAAAATGATCATTGAATTTGGGATGTAAAATTAAGCCCACAATTTCTAATTTTTTGCCCTTTCAATTTGTATCAATATACAGAATTGCAGTTTTCCCACGTTTTCCATTTTTTTTCTCAGAGATGAATCTCGACAAACGCGTCAACCAGCAATTCGATTATTTGTTCGTGATATGCCACCAGTTGGAGGAATTTGTGTAAAAGAACATTTTGAACTGAATATTTCACCAATGGTTGCCGAAATAACACATCGATTATTCGATAAAATGATGAGATTCTTCTTTCCGGGAAGAAATATTCATACAAATGAGAATTTGGAAACTGAACCTGAAATCTCAACATTTTCATTTACTCGAAAAATTGCAAGTAGTTTATCAATGAAAAATGATAAATTGCAATCAAGTAAAAGTGGAACATTGAATAGTATTTCGAGTGCAACAAATAATGGACAAAATATTATGAGCAATGGAAATAATCATAATTTGATATCAACAAATAATGCATTGATTTCATCAGCTGAACAAGATGATATTGATAGAATGAGAGAAAGAGCTGATCAAGTTAATCATTTTATGTATATTAAAATACCTGAAGTATCATTTGTTGTATCATATAAAGGAAATAAGGATAAGAATCTGATTGATGTTCATCAATTCAATTTCAATTTCCCACTTTGTGAATTTCATGAACAAAATTGGACTTGGCTGGATTTGGCATTAGCTGTTAAACAAAGATGTAAACGGGTATTATTGCAACAGGTTAATAGTTTTTGGGCTCTGAATTGGGAAGAGGTTAAATTATTTCTTGAAAAATATTATTTTTAGATCATTTTTCATAATTCAGACTAAAAATTTCAAAATCTTTCACCAAAAGTCTGAAATACCACGTGTAAAAATTAGAGTAAAAAATTTCACGATGTTTTAATGCCATGTGGCACTCTTGACCAAACTTGATTTCCTTTAACTTTTCAAATTACTGTAGTATACACTATCGTAGTCTCAAAAATCGGAAAATTCTTTTTCTGAAGTAGATCGGCTCTATCTTTTGAGGGTCCTCGAAGAAGTCAAGAGTTCGATTTTCCAATGAAATTTTTCACGAACTTTTTTTCAACAATTTTTCAAATTTCTACTTATTATAGTTAGACTACTCTAATTTCTGAAGAAATAAGTTTAAGAAGGCCGAATTATTTTTTATCGATTTCAAACATTTTTATCGAGCCCTTTATTAATTTATCATTTTTTTTCAGTTTATGCGCCAAAAATTGCTTCGTAATCGAATTTCTAATTTTTCAATTGATCCACCTCAACAAGGAGTTAGTGAAGAAGAAAAGAAACGAATTGCTATTGGAATGGTTTGTTTTTTTTTGTTTTTCTATTGTCTTGTTCTAAATAGTGTTTTATTTTACGAGAGTGACCTAAACAATAAAACCGACACATTTTTATTGCTCTTGCCCGTTATTTTTTTTGTTTTCTAAATATTTGATTGGTCATTGATCAAAACAGCATAGGTCAATTGATTGATACAACCTACTGCCTTCTGTTCGGAGCTTTTTTTACACTAGGCTCGGATTTTATGAGGGGGGAAATGTCAAAAAGAAAAATATTGGAACAGAAATTTTTGATTTAAAATATGAATTGTTATTTTTTATGTGTATTGGTTGTTTTGAAAAGGTTTAGAAAGAATAGTTTTTTTTAATTTCTGAAAATTCCAAAAAAAAAATTCTTTGCAATCATAATTTAAAATTTTCCAGACAAGCGCCGACCAAAAACAACACAAGACGAAGTAAACTTGAACATCTAAACTCATCTCGATCGACATAATTTTTTTTTGCAATTACTGTCTTTCCTTTTTTTTTTCTTCAATGTTGAGAAGAAGTAGGTCAGGGACAAGAGATGAACGAATATAAAAACGATTCGGACATTCATATTTACTCTTCGCATTAAAAAGTAGAGTTGGTTGATATTCTTTCGAATGCAGTACATAATTTAGTTCCGTTTTGGTTTGGACCGGTCAGAAAAAATGTTATTTTTCCCGAATTCAAAATTTGAAAAACAGCAAGTGCGCTCTAGCGAACAAGCCGTTTTTTGTTTTGTTTTGTCAACGTGGCCATTTTTTTCTGTGGGTCATTGCTCCTCCTACTTTCTTCTTCTCACAATCTTTTTTGTTTTTGAGCTCTCAATGTTGTTCATTTTGGTTGCTTTTTTCTCAATCTACGGGTTTATTCTAACATAAATAAATGCATTTATCTAGTTTTGTAAATATCATTGAAGTTTAAATTTATTTGGTTTCACTTCCGAAACTTATCTGTTTTTGCAAAAAAGTTGAAATTATAATAATTTATATTTATAGATGAAGTGTCTTTTGGGAGTTATCGCTTTGGTGGCTGTTGCCATGGCTGCTGAAGAAGGGCCAAAGGTTACCGATAAGGTCTATTTCGATATTGAAATTGGAGGAAAACCAATTGGACGTATTGTTATTGGAGTTTTCGGAAAGACTGTCCCAAAGACCGCCACTAACTTCGTCGAACTTGCCAAGAAACCAAAGGTAATTTCAAGACCAAATAGGCGAAGCCTGAACACTCAACTGAAAATAAAGTTATATTTTTCAGGGAGAAGGATATGTTGGAAGCAAATTCCACCGTGTCATCGAAGACTTCATGATTCAAGGAGGAGATTTCACCCGCGGAGATGGAACCGGAGGTCGTTCAATCTATGGAGAGAAATTCGCCGATGAGAACTTCACCTTGAAGCACTACGGAGCTGGATGGTTGTCAATGGCTAATGCTGGACCAGACACCAATGGATCACAATTCTTCATCACAACTGTCAAAACCACCTGGTTGGATGGACGCCACGTTGTTTTCGGAAAAGTTTTGGAAGGAATGGATGTTGTCAAGAAGATTGAAAAAGACCGAAAAACGACCAGGAGACAGACCATCTCAAGATGTTGTTATTGCTGCCGCTGGAACTCTTCCAGTTGATGCTCCATTCGTCGTCTCGAAAGAAGGAGTCAACTAAAAAACTTTAATTGAGAATATGTGTATTTATTTATTTTTTGAAAAGCCTTATTGAATTATTTATGATCTGTGACCCAATTTTTTGGAACAATAAAATTTCTAAATGATCAAGAGTATTTTTTTAAACAGAAATCCTGATAAAATTCTCGAATTTCGTTTCGTTTCCATGCAAACACTAAAATTTCGAAATGAAATGAAATATCCTCCCTTTTCTTGTGTTTTCAGAAATGTCCCTCTATTTTCTCTATGTCTCTTCTTCTTTTCTTTTTCTATCGATTCTGCGCAGAAGAAGACGAGCAGAAAAAAGGGAGAAGAAGCTCATTTCATACATATTTCTATATTCGGTCATGGCCAAATATTTTCAGCTGATTCTGTTTTGTTTTGCGATAAACTTGATTTTTGCGCAGGTAAATATTTTGTTGATATTTTTTGAAAATAAGTTTATCAATTAAAATAGGAATTATATTTTCAGTATCAACCACAATCAAATATTGAACAATTTGGAAGACAACCACTTCGACAATGTTCAAGTCAGTATTTTTCTGGAAAAAATTGAGACTCCAAACAGGCCAAAATTAAATTTAAAGAAATGAAAAATGAAAAAAATTGGGTTCAGGAAGTTCTATTGTACAGCAAAAACAGAAAATGTTCAACGTTTCCAAAAATTAGAAAAATCGAAAAATACAAGAAAATAAATATATATATATTGTATTTACAAAAAGATTTTTCCTGAAATATTATTTTTTTCGAAAAATGAAATGTTTTTCCAAAATATAGGAGTTTTCTCATTTTCATTTTTTCAGAAAAAAAAATTATTTTTGAGTTGAGGAAAAACTGCTAATTTTTTGGATCCTAAATATTTTCAGTCATTTTTTTTGAAAAAAAAAAATTCCTGTAATATGCAGCGATTCTTAAAATGCATTTTTGCAGGACAATGGGAAAGAGCGTGTCAAAATGGCGAATGTATTGCTGGTTATGATTGGTGTGATTCAATTCCACAATGCAGTGATGGATCGGACGAATGGAATTGTGATAATGTCAATCGGTTCGGTTTTCGGGGGGTTTTTGAAGTGGAATAGGTATCAAGAATGTCTGGAGTAGTATCATTTTTTTAAATTTTGTTTTGAACCGAAATGAAAATCATAAAAGTTGTTCGATTCAGATCTTTTCTAAATTAGTAGAAGACTCAAAATTTAAATAGTATTTTCAGTATTGAGATCTTTATATTTAAATAAATCTCTTTCAAAAAATATTCTCATTTTCCCAAACGCCTACAAAATTATTTGTATTTATTTCCTTTTTATTTCGTTTTTTATCGATTTTTATATTTCTTATCAGCTGCTCATTTCGAACCTAACAATTTTTCTAACTATCATCAATTCCAAATCAAATTCTAAACTAAACTTCAACTAGGTTCAAACAAAAATGGTAGATCAAGATGAAACTAATTTTCTGTCGAAAATTGTGCAACAAGAAATGACTGATTTTCCAGATTTATTTGACATCAAGTAAAACCCAAACTTTAAAAATATAATTTCCATCAAAAAATCTTACAGAAATGTGGCAGCGAATGAGGGAAATGCAAGAGAACCACCAATTTCACCAACAACTGCAAAATCGATTGTTTCGACTACAGTATCCAACTCTCTCAAAGGTTTGATCTTAAAATTTGAAGAGCTAACTTTAATGCAAACACTTTTCCAGGTACTGTAACAATTGAATATTCTCATTTAATTTTTGCAATCGGCGCATTTATTGTTTTGTCAATAATGATTATAACTCTAATAAAACGTCGTTCGCGAAAGAAGCCATCTGGTTTTCGAAATCGAAGAGGAAATATTCTTCAACAAGATTCAGATGAAGATGACATTTTGATAAGCTCAATGTATTCATGATTTCTGCCGATCCCTACTGTTTTTTCAGCACGGGTTCGTTCGAATGGTTATATTAATTATCTCACAAATGAATGATTTTTATGCAAATTTTTTTGGGAGTTCAAATTTGGAAAAATTATTAGTAGAACATTTAAATAGGTTAAATTGCTGTCTCTGGAAACCTTTTTTTTTAGGTTTGTGAACACAATTTAATCACCTATGGTCTTTCTATTAAAACTACTTAATTTCTTGATTCACGATGAAATAAAATGTTTTGAGAACTTTTTCACCCAAAATAAAATTTATTTCGAAAGTGACATTTCAAAGTACATAAATGCGTTCTCTACTTATATAAATAACTTCGTCATATTTTTTTGCAAAAATCGCATCTGTTAAACAGCTCCAGCTTCGGCCAACAATTTTGCGAGTTTTCCATTTTTATGTGCAGCTACAGTATCATCACATCCACCAATAAATTGACCGCCAATGAAAACACGCGGAACTGATCTGGCACCAGTTAATTTCTGTAAATATAAACCATTTTTGAATAATTAGGTAAGAAAAGAGAAAAATAAAATAAACTAACTCCCAAATAATCTTGAATTTCATTACAATCTTTTCTTTCATCAATTTCAATCCATTCCAAACTTCCAGCTTTCAATGATGAATTGTCGAAAATTGATTTAGCCTGAAATTTTTGGAATATTTGTTTCTTGGAAAATCCCTAACTACAAATATACCTTATGGCAATATGGACAATAGGTTTTGCTGAAAACGACGACTTTGTGCGATTGAAGAAGTCCATCAACAAAGGCTTTGGCCGACATCTGAAAATAAAAATATTTTAGTCATAAAATTTTATCAGGATAAGTAAGGAAACAAGAAAAGAAACGAAAAACGAATAAATTATATGGGCACATAGAGATCCGAAAAAATATCAAAGAAAAAAATAAATGCATCATGATTTTGAAGTCGATTCTCCTCCGCTTCCTCCGGTCGCAAAATTCTTTATTTTGCTCATAATTCGTTTGAAAATCCCCTTTTCTCCAACATCTTCTTCTTTTGCTTCAAATGGCACAATTCCAACAGTGAATTTCTCCAAATCTGGCAAACTTTGGCGAATTAAAGAACCATCAGCTGCACGGCGAGAAACAACTGGTGTACCAATATGTAGAGAAATTGAATCGCCCTGCAAAAAAAAAACAAACATTTATTTATTTATAAACTGGGAAAAAATAATCAATACACACTTATCAGTGTCAAATTATCACAAAAAATATGGGGTTCATTTTTAGGAAAACTAATTGTGAGATGAACATTTAAAAAGGGACTAGGAAAACACTAGAGGAAATGAAATATTGTATTTTTTGGAGATTCAAAAATTCCACGAGGTAATTATTATTCAAATCCTATCATGCAAAATGCGCCCCAAAAACTAGTTATAACGTTTCAAAGTTTTCTAAATGCAAAAAACTGATTTTTTCAAAAAAAATATAAACCTGTATTCATGTAATTTTTCAGGAGATTTCAGGGATATGCCTATAATAATTGTGGGAGCGAATTTTTTGATATTCTAAATTTGTCTAAATTTAAACTATTTGAAACATCAGATTCACGTAAAAACTTCAGGAAAAAACTAAAATTTTCGAAGAATCATTTTGTGAAAAAACAGAGTTTTGTATTCAAGAAAATATACTTACCAATAGAGAATCATCAATAATCGAACTATCAATTGTTTCATCATTTTCATCTTCTTTTTTATGTTCACTATCTTCAGAATCTCCATTTCTGTCAATTATCATAACATCTTCAATTTCTTTTTCATTTTTCAATTCATTATTTTGATCTCCCTTTGATTTGTTTCTTTTTGCTATTTCAACTTCTTGAACTCGAATAATTTCATCTCTTTTATGTTTATCATCGACTTCCTATAAAATAATAGTATGCTTTTTTTTCAAAAATTTCTCCAAAAAATAAACAAACCTCTTGAAGAAATTCGCAAAACTTCTCAAATGGTGGAACATTGAATCGTTCCAAATCTTTCAATGCTCGATAACTATTATTAAATCCCATGTAATATATTACTTTGGTCGAATCAACAATTGGAGATGGTCTAAATTCTGAAGCATCTCTTTGAACTTGAACAATATTTGTGGAAGTTGTATGAAATCTCAAAAGATCTCCAGAATTGTCAATCTAAAAATTTTGTATATTTTTTACAAAAACTCAAAATAATTTACCTTGATAGCTTTTTTCAAATATCCAGGTGGATATCCTTTATAAAATCCCATTCTTCTCATTCGATAAATCCATTCTGGAATATCATCTGGTCCTATATTCAATGCTTCTCTTAATTTCGAGCTCAATCTTCCCGCTTTGAATTTCGAGTCATTTGATTGTTTCGAATCATCAACATATCTTTTATTTGTATTATTTTGTTGTTGTAATCGTTTTTCCAATTGTGCTTTTCGAATTCGATTAAAATCACGTGGTTCTGGACAAGCATTGATTAAATGATCTCCACCACAATTAAAACAAGTATTTCGATTTCGTCGAGGTTTTTGTTCTTCGACTGCTTTTTCACCCAATAATTGTTTTTCCATCATATCTTTCCAATTACTTTTTGAATCATTCATCTCATTTTCATTGTCATTTTCTTCTTCTGGATCAGCTTCTCGAATTCCTCCAGAATCAATTACAAAATCTTCATATTCTTTTGTTCTTTTTGCTTTTGGTTCATCTTCATCCGACAATTCGCCATCTTCAACTTCACGCTTTGACATCTTAAAAATGATATTAGATATTAAATACATTTTTTTTAATTATGAAGTAATTTTTAAAGAGATTCTAATGAACTCATAACACAAGAACAATAAAAAAAGCACAAAAAAAATAAAAATATTTATTCACAGATTTTACCAGTTATTTTTACCAGCCTAAAAACTCGCTCAATTCCATATAATCCTTTTCACTTGATTTCATTTTTTTGCACAATTCCTGATTTTCGCTTAAAATCTCTCCAAATTCTTTCAACAATTCGATATTCGTGTTTTTCACAAACTTCAAAATGTTGAAAATTCGCGATCGAAGAAATATTATATTACCATTGCAACTACATTTTGCATATCCACTAATCATATTTTTCAAAATCGAATTCTCAATTTTATCTTTTTCAGTCTTCAATGATTTTTCGAAAACAGTTGCCAATTTGCAAAAAGCATTAGATCCTTGTTTATCTCCATTTGATTGAATTTCGACTGATGAATTCTTGAACATAATCGATATAATATGAGCAACGCGTTTCTAAAAGATACGTTTTTCTTTCAAAACTTTTTTCAAAAATTAAAAACCTTTCTTTTTTCGCCTTCATTTGAATCTATCAACAATCCAAAAACTTTTCCAAATGTTTCACCTTTCGGCCATTTCTCATCAAACCTCTTCCAACTCAAAATATCTGATTGTTTTTGAATTATAATTTCAGCAAATAAAATGAGAGGATCATCGTTTTCAGCAGATTTTTCAGTTAGAAACTCATAAATTGCTTTGAATATCCTTCGAATTTTATCTTCTGAAAACCCCATTTTGAGTTTCCCTCTATATGAGTTTAAAAAATTACCGTATTCGTCATAATGAATGCAATAAGCAAGAATAGCCAGTGGTAGAAGCGAAGCCATCCAATTTTTCGGCAAATACTTTTTGTCCTCAATTTCCAAAATAGTTTGAATGAAACTAATAAGCAATATTGGTGGTGGCAAGTTTTTCGAATCATCGGAATAGTCATTTTTCAAAACTGATACAATTTCATTGAATCTTTTCCGGATATTTAGTGTTTCGCTGATAATATTCAATTGATTTTTGATAAATTGACAATTGGTTTTGTTTTCTGCATTTTTCATAACATATTCCCATATTTTATCCGATTTACAATAAAATGTGAAATTTGCAATCTTTCGTATCAAAATGTTCCAATTCGGTTCCGAAATACTGTTCAGATCTGTTATTCTAATTTTACAAAAATCTTCAAATTCTTTGCTGTCAAAAATATCAATGTATTTTATAATATAGAATTCAGAACTTTGTGATGATGCCAACAATACTGAAAAAATAAACGTGACGTGAAAACTTGAAACGTTCAATACAAACTTACTTTTCTGTTTGAATCTTTTGTTTTCGCATAAAGCTTGAACATTTTCTTTGCTTTTTCCAATAATAATTATCAAATCCACGACAAACAACATGATATCTTTTTGATTTTTAGTTCCTTTTTCAAAGTTTTCTTCAATAAAATTAAGAATAAGGGAAAACGACGATAAATCTAAAAAAAAATTCACACTAAAAATATCATTTTTCTCAACCAACCTTCTTGATGAACAGCCAAACTTATTGAATAAAGCAACTGTATACCAAACTTTTCTGCTGACAAAATAAGACGTTTTGCGACAACATCATCGAGAATGGAAGAATCTATTTCGAATGCTGAAAAAAACAAACATACATAAAATGGGTCCCCAGAATCGGGGTGAGGGGCTTAACTTTTTCCAAAAATTTGAAGGGAAGGGTGCCTAACTTGGCCAATTTTCTGCTAATAATTTACCGAAATTCCCAGATTTGTCCAAAATTCGCTCAAAAATGTGAGGAAGGTGTTTAACTTTGGAAAATTTTGAAGGAGGGACCCTAACTTTGAAAACTGACTCGGGGGGCCTATTTTATGTATGAAAACAAATAAATGTCAATAAATCAATGAATCACTTACTTTTCTGAATTGTCATCAAAAGCTCTAATGGTCCCATAGCTTTCATCGAATATTTTTCATTGTTCAATATTTCATTTCCAATTTTCTCCAAATTCTCTTCATTCACAACACAATTTCCATAATAATCATTTTTCTCGATAAACTCGAAAACTTTGTTGAAAAGTTGTTTGATGGGTTTTTTCATGTTTTTGGGTAGCACTTTTTGACGTTGATTCAAAGAATTTATGAAATTCGATAATGACTTGGAAGATGCTTCGAAATCTGTTTCTTTAATTGAATCAAAAAGAATTATCAAATGTGTTATTCGAAGATTCCATAACTCATCTCCATTTTTCTCTGAAAACTCGAACAAATTGATATATCTTTTCAATTTAAAAATAAACCAACCTAATACTCCACAATTAATCAATTCTCTATAGAACTCTGTGCATAAGTCGAAACAATTTGAAGGACTTAATTGTTCTAAATCGAAAAGGTATGCATATTTTGAGATCTTTCCTTTTCCTTTGATCAAATCATCAATCAATTTACAAAATCTTGTTCGATTTTCAGATTGATACAACTGAACAAGAAATCTCTGTATGCATCCACATGAAAATAATTCGAATTTTCTCTTGTAAACCGTCAAAACCAATATCATAGAAATAATTCCAGTATCATTTTTCGAGAAAATTTTGGCAATCGAGAAGTTTTCATAAATCGAAAGAGTTTCGAGAACTAAATGAAAGTCGATATGTCCTTTTTTGAACTTGCTGAGAATTTTCAAAACAAATTTTTGAAATTGTACTTGGAATTCTTCATTGTTGACTAAATCCGATTTGGCAAGATGTTTCAAAACATTTCGTAGACAATCTGTGTTATTTCTATCATCTAACAATTCAAACATCTTGTTGAAGAAAATGATATAATCGATATCGTCATAGATCTAGAGAAAATCAAGTTTTAAAGAAAAAATAAGAAAAAAGGATATCCTTACGTTTTCAATATCGATTTCACATTCGACATTTTCTTGGCTTGTTGATGGAACATCTTGATACAGTTCCAAAACCGGTAAGCATTGCAGCATTTTGAAATTGAATCCCAAGTTGATTTATTGACGAATGAGTTGAACACAAGCGAACGAACAACAGAAATAAATTAACCGCGTCTTGTTTTGAACAACAACAAACTATTTTCAAAAGCGCGCCTGCTAAACAACATGCAAACAGTGGAGTGTCGTTAAATACATATTCATTTTCCTGTTTTCTCGTGAGAAAAATCAATAAAAATGTCGACAACCGACGTGACTGTAACAAGCGAAGATTCACAGTAAGTTTAAACTCCAAATCCCCGAAAAGCTCAATTGTTTATCTAGGAAAAAAACAGCAAATCCAACTGAAAATCGTCCGTTTGTTCTGAAAAAATGGAATGCTTTGGCTATTTGGGCTTGGGATGTTGAATGTGATACTTGTGCTATTTGTCGAGTTCATTTGATGGGTTTGTTATTTGATGTTGATTTATAGATAGAAAACGAACTAATCTTGATTTTCAGAAGAGTGCTTGAGATGTCAATCCGAGCCAAATGCTGATTGTTTTGTTGTTTGGGGCGATTGTAATCATTCATTCCATCATTGTTGTATGAGTCAATGGATTCGGCAGAATAATCGATGCCCCTTATGTCAACAGGTATTATTTCTTGATTTTCCAATATTTTTGAAAACATTGATTAAATCAGAGATAACTTCGTTATCACCTAAAATATTATTTTGCAGGATTGGGTAGTTCAACGTACTGGTAAATAAATCAACAATATCATTTTCGGATTCTCGATGTTAACTTCTCACGCAAATAAAACTAAACATTGAAATGTATTTGTAAATATAGTCTTTCACTGATTTCGAAATTTCTCTTATGTCCCATAAACCATTTCCTTTCTGCTCACTCGTTGAGATTTGCGAACCTAAATGTGCAGTTTCCTCAATTTCGAGATAATTTTAAATAAATAAAATAACTCTCACGATTTGAATTTTTCCCATATGATATCTAGTATCTTTCCATACAAACAAACTGAAAAATTGAATATTTATGTATTCAAATGTAAATAGAGTCTTTTCACCCTTCACAATACTTATTCCCTCGAAATATTTTTTTCGAAAATAAAACAGACAAAGTCAAAAAAGCCACGCATTCCCACGCTTATTTATCACATTGTTTTGTGTTTTTCTCGCGTCGCGCTTTTTTTGTTTTTCCCGCCATTTTCGAAAAATAATAAATGAATAATGAATCGATCTTCAAGTCTGGCAACTTTTCAAGAAAATCAACAGAGAAATCATGCAAAAACAATCGCATTGAATGGTTTATCAATAAGAAGAACAACCAGTCTAAAAACTGATCAGATTATTCAATCAAGAAAGAGGATTGTTGCGAAACCGGCTCAAAAACCAATTCACAATGGTGATACAAATCGAAAAGTTCTGTTGAATCGAGTAAGAAGTCTTTTGATTCGAAATGAAAATGTGAATGGAAATATAAATGGAAATGGTATAAAACGTGGATTGGCAAGAAGTTTCAGCTTGAAAAGTTTTCGAAGAAAGTCTATTTCAAGGTGAGTTATTTAATCTAGATATGTGTTCTAATAGTTTTTGACCCGCGCCTTATGATTCTGTCGTCCTGAACTGCAAAGCTTACCTTCTAATATGAGCTATGACGTGGCGATTTATGAAAATATTGAAACATCGGTCACTGAACAAACGTTTAAACAGAGTACAAATCATCCTGTTTTGGAGACAGAACTGACAGGAACCAGTAGAATTTCTCTAAAACCCGAAGGTTTCCTGTATCTTTTAAAATTATTTTGAAATGCGACAAAAATCAAAACATTTTCAAATTATCATTGATATTCCAAAGAATTGGTGTTTTCCAGTAAACTACAGTAACCTTTATGTTTTTGCCCTTTTTCAATGAAACGAATGTCTGATTTATGAATGAAATCATACGACCCAGCAAAAATAATCAAACTATACCAATGACTTCACATTTTTGTGTCTTATCATTAACTATGCTTGTAATAATTATACCTCGACAAAAATCATGAAATGATAGAAGAGATCATGATTTGATTAAAGGAACACATAAAACACCATATCGACAAATATTTGTAGTTTACAAGCAAATTTTTTCTCGTTCTTTATTTATTTATTTGAATAAGAAAATATTTTGAAATTTATGCTTTAAAAAGAGTTGACGCATAATATTTTTGATTTTTAATTTTTCTAAAAAATATATCGGCGATGAAAAATTAATTTTCTATGAAAACATTTTTGTTTTATTATAGTTATTTTCATGCCGAAACTTTCAAAATCTTCATTGTTTCGAAAAAAAAGGTTTAATGAAATTTGATTTTTTATAAAAAGCACTCATCTTTGTTATCTACCAGTCAAACAAAATTGATCATATCGAAAAAAAATTGTTTGCCTTTTTGGCTGATAATAATAAACTTATTATTACTTTTCTCATTCATTCATTCCATTTTATTCCTTGTTTTTTTCTAAAAATGGCTGAACGTCCTGAATTATTAGCAGATTGTGGAAAACAAATATCATCTGAAGAAGTTAATGAAATTACTATGACTTGTCCAAGTATTGAGTAAGCATTTAAAGAAAAAAAACTATTGTATTAAAATGTTTATTGAATTTTATTTCAGCTCGAATTCCAATGTCGATTTTGGCTCACAAATTTCGGATGATAGATTATCGAAGAAGGAACGATATTTTGCTTTGAAACAGGACAAAAATATTTTCATGGTAGTCAAAATTTAAATTTTTTGTTGAAAAAAAAATGAATAAGCAAATCTATTTTCAGAAAATAATCCATCCGAGTTATCAAAAACGAAGTCAATGGTTTCGAAAACTTTTTATTGAAAAAGGTTTGATGGATGAAAGTACTTATCTTGCGTGTAAGTTGTTTTAATCTAAATATCTAATTAAAAGTTTCAATTACTTCACACTCCAACAAAACATATCTATAATATTTAGCCTATTCATGTGCTTATCAAAGAGAAATACTTGCCCAAGGTAGAATGTTTATATCGCAATCTCATGTTTGTTTTTATGCGAATATTTTTGGATGGGAAACGAATTTGGTGATTCCGATGAGTGAAATAAAAGAGATCACAAAACAAAAAGCTGCGTTTATTTTTCCAAATTCAATACAGGTTTGTTGATTTGAAATGTTGTTTTTCTTCCTGAAATCAGACCAGAAATCCAAAAATATTCAAATTCTCGGAAATTGTTGGATGGAGAAAAATAATTTGAAAATAATATAATTCTGAGGGAGGAGGGGACTACTGTAGAGTTAATTTTAGAACTGATTTTGAAAATTATTAATTTTTTGTAGTTCAAAAATGTGTACAATATTTTCTTTAAAAAAATGCAGATTTTGAAAATTTTTACCAGCTTCAGAAGTTGTCTCAAAATTTTAAAAATGGCCCCATTATCACCTCCCCCTCCCCCCATAAAACTTTCAATTTTTCAGCTGGAAAGAAAAAGTGGCGAAAAACTATTTTTTGCATCATTTGTAAATCGTGATAAAACTTATCAACTTCTCACAACAGCTTTGGATCGAGAAAGTGATGGAAAACCAATGACACCAGAAGAAGTTTGGGAATTTTTGAATAATTCTGAAGACAAGGTTCGTTTTTTCTGAAGGAAAAGCTAGATAAGGGAATTATTTTGGGAGTTCTTGAAAATTGTTTTATAATGTTTCATGAATTTCTTGATTGTTCAAAAAACTTCCATGTGAAAGATTTTAAAACAAACTTTTCACTTGTCAAAAAATCAACAATTTTCCGATTGTAGTCTGACTCCAAACCGTTTTCATCTTTGTATTTTTTGTCATCTTTTTTCTTTTTTTGCGACTTTTCTCAATTCTCGTTCCTTGTTGTTATAGGTTGTATTTTTGTGTAAATATTGCCACTTGTTTTTTTTAGGAGACAGGAAAATTAAAAATAGTTTCAATTCTAGAATATTCGTGGATTAGAAAAAGAATTCGACGGTTTTTGTTGTTTTGGGAAATGATTTATGAATGAGAAAAATAAATAGAGCCCAATTATTTTCATATGTAAAAGTTGGAATTTGATACATAAAGACAGAGGCATGCACTTTTTGTCTAGGAAAGTAATTTGCAACAATATATAATGTATTCCCAAGAAATTTTTTCCAAATTTCGAATTTTTAGGGACTCGGAAAAAATTTAGGTACTATTTTCTAGATAAAAATGCTGTGCTGAAAATTTTGAAAATCTGAAGTTTCCTGAATGTTTTTTTTCTTTAAAAAAGAGTTGAAATAAGTGGTTCATCTCTTTTTTCCTCTTCTTCATCTTTTTTTCCTTTTTCTCGTCGCTCTTGAATGCATAATCCAATTTCGAAGCACTTTTTGCTGCTTTTTCTCTCTATTTCTATCTATTTTAGTCTGCTTTTCCTTGTTCTTCATAGTTTGTATCCAGTCACTTTTTTCTTCACAAATCATACACAAAAACCGTGCTCTTACGTGGTTTGGGTCGACTTTTTTGCGCTGTATAAATAGTGTCGCGTTTATAAATATTTGTTGTATTTTAAACAACACTAGCAACCAACACAAATTCTCATTTCTTAGATTTTTATTTTATGATATATTTGTTATTTATAATGAAAGTATTCGTTAAATTCACTAAAAAATTCTATCTAAATTATTTGAAAAAAGAGAAGAAGATTGTTAGCGATAAAGTTGTAAGTTGAAAAACTCGAAGATTTTTTTTTTGGAAATTAACTCCACGCAAAATAACGTGTTCTTGATGATTCAAACCCACGTGTTTCATTTCTTTTTTTCTCAAATCAATACGGCTCAAAAAATCCGGAAATTCCGTTGTTCCAATATTTGCTCTACACACTCATTTTCACATAAAATTTTTATTTTTTTCTCTCATTTCTTTTTTAGTATTATGCGTGTGTGTTTGATAAGCGATGATAAGCAAAATAAAGCTTGAAAAAATAATAAATATATTTGCAGTCTCCTTCATCAACACCATCAATTGGTTCGCCACCATCAATGACGGTTTGTTTGACTTTTGTCATCTTTGATTTTTGATTTGAACTTTGAATTTTTGCAGGTTCATCATACACATAATGGAGCAACTTCAAAGATTAATTCAGCAAAAATTGACAAAGATAATTGCTCACAAAGTTCTTCATTAGCATCAGATGTAAGTTTTTTGAATAATTTTTTGGAGAAACGTTAGCTTAACTCTGAACATAAGTTATGACTTGGCAAAACTAGATTATTTCAGTTGTTGAAAAATTCAAATTTTTACCGAACAAAAATTTTCCAAATTTTATTTTCCATTCAAAAAATTGCAGACGAATAGTCCATGCTTTGTAGATTATTAAAACCAAAAATAATTTTTTTTGTAGTTTGCTGAAGAAGAAATTTTGGATGAAGCTGGAATGTCAACAATTGAAACAACTGAAGAATGTTCGGTGTCAATGAATTCAGAAACAGATCCAAATTGTCCATGTGCAGAACATACAGGTCGATTATTAATGGATACTGTATTCCCAATCACTGTTCAACAATTCTACAAATATATTTTTACTGAAAACGAGTGGTTCAAGAAATTTATGAGCGAATTAAAAACATCGGATTATGCGTCAACAGTTTGGGTTCGTGATCGAAATGGTCTTGAAACTAGAAATTGTACATATTCGATGGCATTGAATCATGCAATGGCGCCAAAAAATGTGATTGTGAATGAAAAACAAGTGTTGACTCATTTCCCGAAACCCGAAGATGGTATTATTATTTTTAAAGAGACACAAAATTCCGGTGTTCCATATTCGGATAATTTTGATGTTAAAGTAAGATTGATTATTCGTATCTTACAAAAAAAACATTGTTTTTTTAGTGTACATATTGTATTTCTCGAGTTGGTCAAACAAGTTGTCGAGTTCGAGTTCATGGAGGAATTCATTATAAAAAAGGAACTTGGAGTATTATAAAAGGTTATATTGAAAAAGGAACTCATCAAGGACTTGATGATCATTTTCGGCTTTTGGAGAAAATGTTAAACGAAGAATGTGAAACATTATCGCGAAATTTGTCAGAAAAAGAGCCAACTTCTCAATTGAGACATCGAAAATCGAAAGATTCGACGGCAAAACAAAACAGACAATCAAAAATTGAGCCACTTTCTGTTGAATCAGCGTCTTCTACATCTTCTTCTACAGTAGAAACAACATTAATAACTTCGAAACCTGTCGAAGCTCAAAATATTCAACAAGTGGTTGATTATAGTAAACAATTATGGATTATTATTGCTGTATTTACTGTGTTTTTGATTTCTAATTTCTTGGTTCTATCAAGGATTCAAACAAAGTTAGTTATTTACATACTTATTACTAATATTTCTCATGAGAATTTATTTTTTTTTCAGTTCATCTTCAACCGAATCACCAAAACTTGAACCACTTATTCAATCGCTCATGTCAGAAATCGAAAAACTACAAGAACAAATAAGTAATTTAAAATCGAAAACGGATTTATAATTTATTTTTTTTCGACATGAAATCATAATGATAATAATAATATTAATTGTATTTACTTATGTGATAGAAAACCCGGTGAAATGAACTGTTTGAATGAATGAATATTTTATAAAGTATCGTCAAAATTGAGTGTTCTAGCAATTGGCGGATTGAGTGATGGAATATTTGGGAGAAGTGACACTACGTATTCCTACACAAATTATGAATGAGCATTTTTCTAAAAATAAAAAATAACTTACCTCGATTGAAATATCCTTGAATATTCTTTTTATAGTCATTCGAGCTTTTGGTTGTTTTTCACTGTTTTTTGTGGATCCTTCAACAGTCCAAACTTCGAAAGTTGAACTTGTGGGAACAATTCGAATTTCATCAGAAACCTAGAACACTTTATCCGTTTTTTTGTAAAGAGCACAGGACAATTACTTACAGAAGCTTCCTGCAATTTTGGATTCGATTCTCTGATTGCATATCGTTCAATATGTGCAGTTCCCAATTCATGAACATTTCTCAAATATTCCACGTCATCAGCATCAGCATATGCAAATACCTCAAATGGTTGAACTGAATTATTTTTTGAAGATGTTCCAACTTTCATAATATTATTGTCGTCGAATTTCATTGATTTTTTTGTTGGATCTGCTGCAATTGAAGGTATTCTAACAATTGGAACTGTATGTTTTTCATCGAGAACTGCTAAATTTGTGAAAGCTTGTCTTTGCTCTTCAAATTCTTCGTCGCTTTCTTCATCCGAACTTTTTTCATTCAATAATCTTCGCATTTCTCGCATTTCTAATTGATCTTCAGCATCGTTTATCGCTTCAATTGGAACTGCGCAATTTGTTTTCGCCAAAATCAATACTCTTCTCGCTTCAACTGGTGCACCAGCTAATTCAACATGTTGGGACCATCTAACATATAATGCAGCTGATCTGAAAGTACCTCATTATTTTTGAAACCAAAACAAAGGGAAAACTTACGTCAACAATGATTTGCGGCTAATTGCAAATTGATAAATATCATGGGCATGTCCTGCGCTATTATCCGCCATTTTCTCCCAAATCTTCAACATTTTGCCGCTGTTTCCAAATTTATCCAAAAATCCATCGCGAATTATAATTTTCCAAAGAAATTCATAATATAATTTATGACTTCCAATTGGTAAACTTGTCTCAAACCATTGACAAAATGTCAGAATTTTATCAATATGTTGTTCATCTTCAACACTTTCCAAGTCTTTCAACAATTCATCCAATTTTTCACGAGCTTCTACTTCTGTCACTGTTTCAGTCGCTTTCTTTTTCAATACATCAATTTTTCTTCCTCTTCTCGTTGGTCGAATATTTTCTGAATATCTATCCCAATCATCTTCTTCATTATCCACATTATCTCGTTGTGGTAAAGTGAAAACATACTCCGCTGACATTGTGCAACTTTTGAAAAAACTTGAAAAAAAACTATGAATTTTCAAACAAGGCGGGCTGATAGTACGCAACGTGTTTGCACACACACAACACCATATTCTACGACAATTTTTCTTCTCCCCTCCAAAACTACAGTAATCCGTCGACCTCAATAGAAAAGGAAAGAATGAATGACCATGGCGCAAGAATAAATAGGTCAACTGTCGATATATCGTCATTTTCTCAAGAAAAGTTTAGTAGTCAGTGAAGTGATGGGAGGAGGAAAAACCGCCGGTTTACCACCAAATTTTGTTTTTTCACCACACGATAAACATTATTATGCTCCAGCTACATGTCATTCACTTCATTATACAACAGCTTCATATGTAGCTGCTGCTGTTGAATTTTTGATTTTGGGAACCGGATTCTTCTGCTTCTACCGTAAGTTTTATTTGGAAGATTTGTTTCGAAAAATGTTTTTTTTTCTAGAAATGTCACATGTAACTGGATCAATCGAAGGTTGGCTCTCAGTTCTTTTAGCATTGATCACAGCATGTTCTGCTTTGACAACAGTTCTAATGGCAATTGGAATTCGAACTGAAAGACCTGGACTTTTGGCACCAAAACTAACATTTATCTCGGTAAGAGAAATAAGAAAGTTATTTTACTAAAATGTTTCAAAATGTTCAGCTTGAAATCGCATTTTTGTTATTCTGGGCAACTCTTTCAATTATTTCAATGTCAGTTGGAATCGAATTCACTCGTCAAATGTTTGGAGTATTTGCTCATGTTTGGATGATTGAAAGAGATTATGGACCGATTTGGCCATTCAATGCAGCCGTTGTTTCATTTTTCACCGCCGCTGCTGCCATTTGGTAATTTTTTGAAATCATTTTAAATTGAAAATCATCTCCAATTTCACTACATGGTGATTTTCACCGTGAAAAATGTTCTAACTTTTTTGTCAAACGAAAATTCGAATTTTCGGAAACTTGATCCTTGAATTTTTGTTAATGAGTTCAAACTACACATAATAATTAATTAATTTTTGAACAACTTCCTCTTTATTTTAATGACTTTTTTGCAGGACTCGAATAATTGTTCAAGGCGCATGTGATTTCATTTTGGACAAAATCTATTTCTCCGAAAGACCAAATGTAGAAATGAAAAGCAAGAAAATCGATGAATAATGTAATTTTTACGATGCCATTTTTTTGTTTGAAAAAAAACAAGGAAAGAAAATATAAACTTTGCATTTTTATTTGTCTGCAAGAAATTGAATTTTTGAACTTTCAAAAATAGGATATAGATTCTAGGAAAAACGCAACGCAACAATTTCCCGCGCTTTTTTGATATTTTGCTCTGTGGAAGGACATCTTCTTAAATCAGGAAGTTTCTGCTAAAATATTTTCCAAACTACTCAAAAAATTAAAAACTACAGCGAAAATTAAATTTCAGCAGTCGAATTGAATCATTTTTTTCGAACTAAGAGCTGCTGACACACTTTCCTTGTATGGAATTTTTCCAAACTCTTAAGAGTTTAAATTTTAATATCTACCTCATGCTCAGCTACAGTAATCCCGCATTTCTCCCACCGGAACTTTGAATGGGAACAGCTGAGTCGATGACCAGAAATCTCGGAAAATGATAGAGAAAACTCGAAAGAAGATAGAGGGGGATGTTTAACCCCCCTGGAAAAAGAGAGCCACAAAATGTGTGGGCGGATTTTTCGAGGGGGTCGAAAAGTTTTCTGAAATTCTCTTTTCTCGTTTATTTATCCGTTCCAAAATTTGTTTACATTGTACAACCATTTCATATTGATTTTTAATTTCATTTTTTTCATTTTCATGTTGTTTTTTGTTGTTGGAAAATATTATTATTTTTATTTTCTTGAAATTAATTAGTGCAATTTTATCTTGACCGATGTTCGAGCTTGGAGCTACAGTAATTCAAGTATTAGTCATCTGAAGATATTTTAAAGTAAAACCAAAAAGATCGAAAGTATTGGTCACATGTGTTGATGACACATGCTTCATTTTCATTGAGAAAAAAAAAACTAAAAAGTTCAAATCAATTATTTGTCCCTTTTAATTTAACTTTTAAAAAAACCCAAAAATTGAACCCGAAAAATTGTTTTTTTCAGCCAAAAATCTAGTTTTTATGACATCACATTCTCTTTCTCCCTCGTTTTTTTCTATTTCCTTTTTTTCATATTCTCTTCTATGTTTTTCTCTGCGCCTCTTCCACTTCAATACTCTCTCATCTCAAGTCCATCAAAGGAGCACGTCGTCTGAAGCCGGAGCCCACAAAAAACACCTTGTGTGTGTATGTGCTCTTTTTTTGTGTGTGTGCGGAGATGAGAGGGTGCCCAGCCCAGCCCATTTTTATGAGGTAGCACGTTTTTTTCGAAGAAAATGGAGAGAAGCGGAAAAGTTTTTGGAGTTATGTTGCAGTAAATTCTCATGTCTTTTTTGCGGTGTTTTGATGATTTTTCTGAGAATTGATGACATCTATAATTAGATAATGACTTCCGCGAATGATTTTATTTTTCAGAAAAAAAAATATATTTTTCGAGATTTTCAGAACTCCACGTGAAAAAGTTTTTGAATTAACTATTAAAAGATGGTTTTTGAACTTTCAAAAAAAAAAGAAAAGAATATTCTGAAATAATTTTCAGAACTATGGTATCCCAGTCTCGTTTTCTAAAGAATGTTTCAAAATTCAGTTTCGCCAAGAATGATTTAGTATTAACTTTCAGGGATTCATAGTGAACTATTTTTTCACATGAAGTTTCGAGGCCAAAAGTTTGAAATTTGCGATTTTTTTTAATTCTGTGAGAAAAATTTTTGAAAAATTGTAGATCTGGAAAATTTACCGTACAAGCTTATCCTAGAAGCGTTTTCCTGGCCAGAAGTCAGAATTTGGTATGAGAATTTAGAGTATCTCAAGAATATTATTCAAAGATGATTGCCTTTTCATATTTTCTACAGAACTTCTTTCCAGACTCGTGTTTTGTTAGAAATCGTTTTCTTTTTCCAAACAAAAATTGGTCTTTCATGTTTATACTCTTCTTTTTTTTCCCATTACTGAATATTCTCATTATTTGGTTCCGCTCAATTCAATCTTCTCTTTTTCCCCATCGCATTATGAAATCATCCCATTTTTCAGGAAAAAGATCAAATGCTTTTTTTGCTCTGATTCCATTTTCAATTAACATTCTTCCTTCCTTATCTGCAAATTTTTTTGGATTATTTTTGTGTACTTACACAAAACTTCCTTATCTTTTTTTCTGGATAATTTTGTTTGATGACGTTGTTTGAATTTAGCTCAACTCAACCGACTATCAAATTTCTTTCCGCTTCTTTTTATTTTTCGATGTTTATTTCTTCTTCCACCCTTTTTTTACCGTAGTTTTTTCACTCTTTGTTAGTTATTTTCTGATCTGATTGGTCGACAAACAACTGCCACATCATTTCATAAACAACAAGAAAGTAGACGTCAAAAACACGTGATGACAATTACTTCTCTACTCAACTTTAGATACCGTAAACTTTTTTCTCATCATGAATTGTGATGAGAATTGCAAAAGTCTAGTTTCTGACTTTTTGCTTTTCTGCAAAAAAGAGTTTATTCACACATATCTGACACAAGCCAAGCTGAACCGGAAACTAAGATTTTCCCATGACAGAATTTGAAGTGAGCCAGCATTTTGGGAAAGAAAAACATGACTTTAGGTGTTTTTTGTGTCGCGTGGTCAGAAGCTCAAATAAACAACCACGTGTTTCTTAAAGTTCTAAAAGCCCACAACTTTCTTTGAAAAAATTTATGAGGGCAGTTAGGCTAACTTTTTTTGGAAACCGACACTTTTTAAATTTTCAAATTCCCTGTAGAGCTTGTGTGTCAAATAGCTGAGCCTAGTTTTCAAGAAAGTAGCTGAGTCTAAAGAAACTAAATGTCTAGAACCCGCGTCTATAGATCGATTCTCACAAGGAGCCGCGCCTTGAGATCTTTTATACCAACCAAGTCTAGAAATCCTAGTTGTCAAGTAGCCACGCCTAGAAAATACAATTTCCAAGAATCAGTGCCAAGAGAATCGAGTTGTGAAGTAGTCAGACCTAGAAAGCCACACGGAACAATACCTACTACACCAAAAAATCAGTGTTTCAATTCAATTTTTCGTTCGAAACTTGACACTTTCTTATGATTTGTGATCCAACTTGTACTTTTTCCACCTTTTTAGTTGATGCTCCTCAATCGCCTGCGCCTTTTTATTTACTTTGTGTTTTTCGTGAGTATGTGTGTGTGGTCTATTCCCCTCTCTCTCTCTCTCTCTTCATTTTTTTTGCTTCTAAATAATAAAGAGAGAAAGGTAGAGAGAATCTATTTTTGTACTGTACCAACTATTTTTGAAGTGAAGTGAGAATCGAAGTTCGTCGGTCATATGACGACACATTTTTCTTGTTCTTATTCTTTCTTCCCCTTTTTTTCGTTCATTGTTGTTTTATTTGAATTTTTCCCATAACTGAAAAAAATGGCCATTTTTATTCGATTATAAATTCGTCGATTCTCTATTTTCCTTATTTATATTTTTAAATCAAAAACGCTCCAAGGATTTCGGATTGTTTGCGTTTTTTGATTCGGAACCAAGAAGAAATCCGAAACAGGTATGATTTCAAAAATTCTAAATCGTGCTTGCAATGTTTCCAGAGATCAGGTTAAATAATTTTAATCTGTCACAAGTAAGAAAAAATACGATGTCTAGCGATTGTGGATAGTTAAAACACTAACCCACCTGGAATTGTTTTTAAAATCAGACCAGGTTTCGATATTTGACTATTTCAAAAAAAAAGTCTGATTTATAAACTGTCACGAAAAATCAAAGCTAATCTTAACCGGGTCATCCTTGATTTTTTCCAAAAGTTCTAAATCAAATTAGATTTTCGCCAGATTCATACTAAAAAAAGGTTCAATTTCTTTTCTTTGGAACAATTCTGGCGCCTTCAATTCTCGTTCCAATTCAAAAAAATTTCCATAGGTTTTCGATCTACAGTTATTGTTCAAAAATCACAATCCAATTCTCAGCTGGATATGTTTCAATGAAAAAATGCCCATAAAATTTTAATATTGTCTGTCTGTGGGTTTTCGAACAATTACATCTATTTTTATTCAGAAATTTTTTTCCGTCTTTGATTCTCATGAAAATTATTGAATTCGAACATTTTAAGAGCATTCCAATAGTTTTGTAATGTTATGTCATGAAAGGACCTCTTTTTAAAATCTCATTTAAAATACAGTAACCTATTTAATTTCGTATCCCAAAATAATGGATTCCATCACATAACATTACAAAATTATTGGGGTGCTCCTCAAATTTGCGAATACAATATTTTATGGATATTTTATGAGAAATGAAAGGCGGAAGAAAAAAATGATGGAAAAACCACAGACAAACAATATTGAAATTTTATGTAGATTTATATTGATTGAAGGTTTCCAGCTGAGTATTGAATTGTGATTTTTGAACAATATCTGTAGATCGAAAATCTATGAAGACTTTTGAATTGGACAAAAATTTGAAGCAGAGAATCGGCACAGAAAAAATCGAACCAGTTTTTAAAATAATCAATTTTCCGATTCTGAATTGGAGTTCAAAAATATTTGAAATCTTGATTTGAAAAATAACGTTTCAGAATATTGGATCATCAGTGAAAGTGAGTACATGCCTTCAAATTTCAAATAAACCCTAACTTTCATATTTTTTTCAATATATTTTATCTGTTGATTTTTCGGAAATCAACTACCGTATTCTTTGTTCCCCAAAAAACCCGCCCATTTTTGCCTATCATGGCACCTCTTTATTTTCGGCTATTTAGTTTATATCCATAAACCACGCCTTTTTCAATCCTTCTATTCTTTCTTTGTCATTTCATTTCATTTCATAGCTCTCAATTCCAAAAGCGGCTCTTTTCCCAATTAATTAAAACCATCTTCCTTCTTTGTTCTAATTATTATTTTTTGCTGATTCATTAATTTTCAGTGATGAACCGAAAACCACCGCAAATTCCGGCAGTCGAAATATCATCTGATGATAAACCGACGACTTCAACTACAGAAAATCAAAATGCACCTAATGAGAATAGTTTATTATCGCCAACAGCTGCAAATAAGCCACAGGTTGGTTAGTCAGAGAAAAGTAGAAAACAAAATGAAAATCTAGTTTGGTTTCTAGGGAGAAAGTAGGTAATTTCAAATTATCACGCATTTCCGTCAGAACAAAAAAAAATATTTTTTTTATTATATTGTCGATCCAAAATTATTAGAGCAGTGGTAGAGAAAACCAAGATACAGTATACTTTGTGGGTTGCTTTGATCTTGAGAAAATATTTGGTGTTCTAGTCCATGTTCTTCCAGAAAATTTCAGATTGAAAATAGATAAGTCATTTTCAAGTTAACCCAAAACTAAATAAAATGACGAATTTAGTCAGGGTAAATATTTACAAAACAATTTACAATGAATAAGTCCACAGATCAATTTTTCTTCATTTCACACAATTAAAAGTGCATCACTTTTATTAAACAACTCTTTTTTTAGTTGTTGAATAGACTCTAGTGTTGTTTTGCTCTTTTGACCAGCAAACTGAACTGTCCTTTTTGAGAAACAAAAAGGAAAATGCCTTGCCTATGGCCGTTTTCTTTTTTTTTACTATCAACGGAGTCTATCACATGACACCCTCTTCTCGTTTTTTTTCCAAGAAACTTTACCGATAAGCGCGCCCACTCACTTTCAATATTCCAAAATGATTGGGTTTTTGCAAAGTTTTAGTGTTTTTTTTTTTGCAGAATCATCGCGCATCTGAATTTATTGGACAATTACAACATCCACCATTGGGTCGTCGGCCTGTTTCAGCAATGGCTTCTTTACCTTGGTAAGTTTGTTGAAGAGGGTTCAGAGAAGCATTAGAAATAGTTTCTCGAGATTCTCAGTACAAAATTCATCATTTTTGGGTTAACAATTAGTAAAATTGATGAATTTTGACCCAAAACAACTAATTTTCAACGAATTCTAACATAAAAACTTAAAAATAATTATGAAAAAAGATATGATAGTTCATAGAGTCACAAACATCCAATACTTCTTTTCCAAGTTAGTTGAGATATTTACATCTTGAATGAGGTTTTTTCTGGCTATCCATTATTCATCACTGCCTAGGTTTCTTTTTTGAGGACGAAACTTTTTTGCTCTTTTTTTCTTCCAGAAAAAAGAGGGAGTTTTTGAATAGGAGGGAGGATTTTAGAAATCGAAACCGAAGATCAGACTAGATGTTTTCTGTCATATGAAATAGAACTATTTTTGATTGTGAGAAAAACTCTGAAATTGGCAAGAAAAATCAGATCACATTTTTTCTATTGATAAGGGAAGGTTGCGAACTCTCTCTAAATATTTCCTATGAAACGAGAGAACATTTTAGATTTAGTTCAAAATTCGAAAAGGATCCCAAAAATCTTAACCACAGTCCGAAATTCTCAAAAATCAAACTTGGTTTCATTTTGAAGTTTTGAATATTCCAAATTTCGTGAAACTCAAAATATTCCCATTTTTAGGTTAACATATCAAAGTCCTCGCGATGATCCAACAATCGATGACGATGAAGATTGTGCAGTTGAATCAACATTATTCCTATCAACAAGTCCATCATTTCCCAGTCCAATGCCAGGATCTGTTAGTTCATTAGCTCTCAGTCCACCTGGTCTTTCTCCTCTCAATTTCAATGATGGTTCTCCATTTTCTCTTTCATCAACTCCTTCTTCAACATCTTCTTTGGCTCCAAGAAATCGTTTTACATTTGATCATATTCCATTTATTGGATCATCTTCAACTAATTCAACACCAGCTGGTATTTCACCAAATGCTTCAACGATTTCACCAATTCAAAAATCAGCTTTTGAAATTGTATCTTCTCATCAAAATGCAGAAGAAATACTTCAAAGAGTTCGACTTGGAACATCAGGTTCATCATCAACAACAACTACAACTACAACTAGAACAAGTCAAAGTCTTTCAACAAGTGATACTGGATCAACAGAAAATAGACAGTTAGTTGAATAATTTGTGAAAGTTTTAATAACTTTAACAATTTCAGATATTATTGTAATATGTGTAAAAAAGATTTCAAAAGACCAGATATTCTTTCACGTCATTTGAGAAGACATACTGGTGAAAAACCATTTGGATGTGATGCTTGCGGTCGATTCTTTTCACGTTCTGATCATTTACGAACTCATCGAAGAACTCATACTGATGAGAAACCATATCCTTGTACAATTTGTAATTATTCAGCTGTGAGTGAAAAGAAGCTAATTATCAGATAGGAAGAACACAGACTATGAGTTACACACCTCGGCCAGCCACGGCTGGCCAGACTCTGGGCGGTCGGGTGATCGGGCGTCCGGGCGAGTAAAGCGTTCAGAAATCAGGCGATAGGGCGGCCCTATCGCCCGTTTTTCCATCTCTAGGCCAGAGTACAGTTTTTGGAAAAATCTGAATTTCAGTTTTTAGAGGTCAAAAATTGAAAAATCACAATTTTTAGAGGACAAAAACTGAAAATTCACAATTTTTGTACTGTAAAAAGTTAGCGTACAATTTTTTATTGTGGAAGCCACGATTTTGGCCGAGGTGTGATGAGTTAGCATAATTTCCATTTTAATTTTTCGTATCTCATAATAATTAAGGGTGATAATCTTTTCTAACAGATGTCTGATCCTATTTCCTTTAGAAGTACATAGTTTCAAGTCCCAAAAATACAGAAAAATATTGTGATAACGACGAAATTTCTTTGAAATAATATATAAAGAAAGATTTCTGAAAACTTTAGCAAGTTTTAGGCTAGAAATATCTTTTCTTCCCAACCTTCCTAAATTGATCTGAATTGTCAAATATTTCAGCGAAGACGTGATGTTTTAACACGTCACATGGCAACTCGACATCATACAAATGCTCCCCCAACAACAACAGGAACACATCGAAATGTTCGACGATGTCTTTCAGATGGAGATTATCATAGAATGACAATTCATGAATTACGACAAAGACATCAAACAAATCGAGAAGATATTGTTGATATTCCAAAAATGGAAGATATTGAAGATGATGTTATTGTAGATGATGATTAGATTTTTTGTATTTGCATTTCGATTATTTTTGCGGGTTTAGTTCATTCTATCAATCAAAATCAATCTATCTTAGAAAATTTCTGCTTTTTCAGGAAATGTATTATATTATATCTATGCTTGATTATTTAATAAATTATTATTTGTATTTTTTATTAAAGACACTTGAAATGTGTTATGAATGAATAACAAACTTATTTTCTGCTCATTTCTATGTGCTCTTGTGTATTTAAAAAGAAACATGTGGAAATTGGAATGTTTTTGGAAGATTATTCGAAAACATCTAACTAACTAATCTACTAACAAAATACAAACATAACAAAATAAAAAATTTCAACAAGGAGGAACAAAAAAACTCACAGTTCAATACAAAGATGGGAATGATTCGGGATCTGGTAATGATTTTCGGCAAACTGGGCAAATCGAGTTAGTTTTGAGCCAATCAGATAAACACTGAAAATTAAGAATATCTTGAAAAAATAAAAAAAAATTGTTCACTTACATGATTATGATATTTTCTATGACAATTCGAGCATTTTGTGAGTCTTTCATCATTTTCATCCATATCACAAGCACAAATTAAACATTCGAGATCCTGAATAAAATATTTAATTTTCAAATCAATATTTAAAAATCACTATTAACCTCTAACTCTTTTTCTTCATTTTCTTCCACGATTTGATTTATCCAACCGACTGGCTTGTTTTTCTCAACTTTCTCAAAATTCCTTTGTTTTTTCAGCAAACTTTCATATGTTTGAAGAAAACGATTAGAAAGTTGAGGCATTCTTGGAATATTTTTCAAATCTTCAAGTTTCAGATTAATATCATTCTGGATTCGATTATATTCTTGTCTATACAAATTCAAAATTGCTTGATATTGTTTCTTGAACTTTGAAAATTCGTGATTTGCTAATCCAGTACTTTTAGATCTTCCAGAAACATTTGCAAATCTATAATAGTCGTTTTGTTTTTGAATATGATAAAAATAAAATAAAACCCAACCTTCTAATTGAAATATCAACACAATCAATCCATTTATCACAATTCGATTCAATAATTTCCTGATATTGTTTCATTTTATTCTCGACTAATTGACATCTTTCTGGAATTGAAACACTTGGCGAATTTGGAATCGGAAATATTGATTGAATTGGAATTAATGATGAATTGAAATAATCGATTCCAGCTCGATACCAAGTTTCTAACATATTTAGACGCATTTCTAATTCTTTGATTCGAATATCTTTCTGGTCCTGATTTTGTGAAAGAAGAACAGCAGAACTTCTGTAAGACAATACATGTTTTCAAATCACACTACAAAACATTTTTCTTACTCGGTTATTTCATCAATTCGAAGCTTCAATTGTTCATTTTCATTCATAAATTCACTTAATTTTCTCGCATGTTCAATACTTTGATTATCAGAACTTTCTTCAAATTCAAGAATTCTCTCTGATTTTCTGGAAAAAAGAAATGAGTCCCTCTATTTAATATCTTCAATCAAATACCTCGCAAGTTGAACTTCCAAATCTTCTTTTTCATACTTAATCGATTCAATTTCTTCTTTTCGCAAAGTTTCAGATCGATGTAGTTTATTTTCAAGTTTTGCCACTTGTCTGAAAATAAACGTTTTGTTTTGAAATTTAGCGAAACTTTCATACATTTTCGCTTCTTTCCAATTAGTTTCCATCAATTTTTTTTCTTTCAATTCATTTTTCATATCCAATTGCAAATCCTTCAATTCCTTTTTCAAATTTGTCACATTTTTATTTGCTCTGAAAACTATCATTTTCAAAAACAAAGTTTTATCTTCTAGCTTACTCTTCGAGTTTTTCTGAACAATTATTTGCTCTATTTCGCTCTGTTTTTGCATTTTCTCTAGCCCTGAAAAAAGTGGTTTTTACTGTAATGAGAAACTGAGATTGACAAAAAAACCAACTTTTTCAAATCCAATTGAAGTTCATTAATTCGAGTTCCACGAATTATATAACTTTCTTTTAGTTTTTCATTATCTTTAATTGCTCCTTCAATTTGTTTTGCATAAATTTCCATTTGATTATTAGTTTCTCGTCGAATATTTTCTACGTGCAATTTTCTATCTTGAAGTTCTTCTTTGATTCGATCATATTTTGCAGTCGATATTTTATTATTTTCCGAGATTTCTCTGAAAAAAATTATATTATTTAGAAATCAACTTTTCAATGAATAATGATAATAACACATACGTTTTCAAACTTTCAATAAGTTTTTGTTGTTTTTCGAATAATTTCTCTCTAGTTTCTTTCATTTCGTTTTCAGTTTTTTCAATTTCAAAATCTTCTGAATCCTTGTTTTTGATAAGCAATAAATTATCATCTTCTTTCTGTATTTTTCCAGTTTTCGCAGTTTCAATTTTGACTTTTTCTTGTTTCGCATCTTCTGTTTGAATCTTATCCATTTTCAGTCGTTGATTTCTTAACTTTGATAACTTTAACATTCTTTCAGAAGCAAATTTCATAATTTCTTGATTTTTTTCACGATTAGAAATATCAAGTGCGCGTTCTAATTCTCTTCGCATGTTTTCAAAATCGTCCATATTGTTGATTTCGAATGCTGTTATATTCATTGTCCAAGCAGAAAGAGCAGCAGTTTGAATCTGAAATAACTTTTTTTAATAAATTTTAATTTATGATTTATTTACTTACTCCAGGTTCCTTATACATGAAAAAACAAAACAACCGATACATGCAGACATATCGAACTTTCCAAACTTCAATTTTTTGAATTGTAAAATACGGTTTATCGATGCCCAAGAAATTAATAATTCGCTGACCAACAATTCCAGCATCCATTGGATCTTTTTCCAAATTATTGACAAAAATTGAAAATTCAGAACTGGTAATAAAATCATCGAATTTTCTCGAACGACACATTGAAAGAGCAGTTGAATTGCACTGAAAATGAACAATCAAAAAAATTAAATTTTTTCAACTTTCGTAGACATTCCATGAATATAACTTACGTGCTTCTTATAAAAAGGATCTTGCTTGAACTTTTCAATAAAATCGTCAATTTTTTTGGCAGGAACAAATTCCCCTTCGAGTTGTTTCATTTCGTTTATCAATCTTTGCTTGTAGCTGAGTAATTCTTGGTTTTGTCTATTTGGAATCATGAGCATATTTTCCATTCCAGAAACATCTCCAGCTAATTTTTGAGTTATCAAATAAATTGCTTGAGATAGTGGATAGATTTTTTCACGAGTTCTTGAATACAACCAAACACATTCATAATCCATTTGAAGTGGAAATTCGAACCAATCTTTAGTTATTTGAACATCAGGAACAAATATGAATCTACTCGACTCCATTTTTGGAGATTCTGACGGAAGCGTGAATTCCTCAATACCAATTGTTGTATAATTATTTTTTGATATCCAGTTACTCCAATCTGAAAAAAATAAAACCGAAATCAATCTATTTGAGTATAAATAAATAAATAAATAAATGATACCATCTCCCCATTTGTTTTCATTTTTCAATGAAACTTGAACAGCTTCCGTAAATTCATTTTGAAATAAACGCCAAGCTCTAAGATCTTTGATTTTCCAACTGGAAACAATTCTCAAAATACATCTACGATTCGGAAATTTTTGAGAGAAAGTATGCAGATTTTGAAGAGCAGATAATGCTTCTGTATAAATAACAAATGCTTTTTGACCCATAATTAGTAGTGTGTTTTCGGAATCAATCGCTTTTTCACGAGTTAGTTTTTTGAGAACATCTATTGTAGCAGATTCACTGAAAATTCGATTTGCAAAATGGTTCTCCATTTTTTCCCATAATTCAGTTTTGTGAATCGTATCAAACAGAAATCGACTTGTATCGCAAACAAAATTTGCGTAGACCAACTCTGAAATTAATTTTTGAATTTGAAAATATTTCAAGTTGGCTGCCTTACTATGAATTGAATTTGCCATCGAATTCCAAAATGTGTCGAGTTCTTCTTTACACAAATAGAAAAATGTTCGATCATTTTTCTCCGCATATTTTGCATTCGCTTTGTTGAAAACTTCAATAATAATATCCTTGTCTTGTTCATCGACACCATCAATTGCCAAATCAAGAATTAGGTGAAAAACTGTGTCATTGTCAATATATTTTGATCCATCTTTGGTGACAACTGCATATCGAGTTATATTCTTATATTTTATATGAATATCTTCGACTCGCTCTGCTGCTTTTAGTGTTGAAACTTCTGATATCATTTTCAGATACAAATATCTGGAAAAACTATTGTCAAAGGTTTTCTAACTTCCATTCAAGTATTTCGGAAACTCTTCCTCTTTGCAAAGCTTTGCCAAAAGAAACGGGGACTAACAAAATGCTGGCCTAGAAAATGCTTCGGCCAATTCTTTTATTTTTTTTACTAAAGGTTTTATTGAAAAATAATAACTAATATACTTACTTTTTTCATAGCTTTTCTCAATCTTTAAGTTATTCTGAAACAATGCTTCTTTTCCTTCCCTTTTAGTAACTTGTAAAACAAGGTAGGCGTTCTGGTATTTCTAAATTTAAAAATGAATGTGTTATTGAATTAAAAACACGTGAGATAAATAGAAAAAAACTAGGTTAAGTGACGTGTCTTTGAAAACAGTATATAATATTTTGAAATTTGATGTGATGTGTGAACGTGTATCTCATTCTTACAATTGCCAATCATTTCTAAAAAATAGTTTAGTTATATCTTTGTTCATAATTAATACGAGGTTCGAAAATAGTTTTGAGTATTATTTATTGAACTTTGCTTTTTATTGATTTTCTTTGTTTATCATTAGAAAATTGAAGCTCATTATGTTAGTTTTTTTGTTGAAAATTAATCGCATAATTTTTGAGAACATACTATCTCGTAATGATCCCAGTGCGAGACAAGATATTTAGATACCCTATAGAGAATAAACTTACCTATTTGTTAATGACAAATGAAAAAATATCCAAACAGTAGCTCCGTGATTACGCGTGAAAACGAGCAAAAACGTGAAAAAATAAAAAGAAATGAAATGAACACACCTGAAAAAAGTGTTACAGTACGCAATCGTTCTGAGACACACGCGCGGCAAAACATGTTCATTTCAAAAATAATTGTTTTCATTTTTCAGACAAACTATTTTTAATGGCTGCAAATCGACAAATTTTCAAAATAAAAGGAGATGAATTGTAAGTTTAATTTATATTTTCAAGGAAATGATAAATACAAGTTTGTTTTCCAGTAATTTGGATTTCATTGAATTACTTCACAAAAGCGGAGAAATTCGAGAAAACGATGTCATTCAAATTGCCGATAAATCGGGGGCCCCATTTCAACCGTTCACTTTGAGTAAGTAAATTTACAATGACACAAGAATTTCAATAATCTTTTGGCAAAAAAGAAAACAACAACTTTATATTTGAAGAGATCTCTCGAGATATATTTTGAAAAAAATATATTTTCAAAAATTCCAGAATTTCTTGAAAAACGTTATGGCATTGAACATCCATTTCGCCGTGGTTTTCAAACTGGTCAAATCCATAACTTCAGTGATTCACAAGGTACTTAAAATTCGAGTAAATATTATTCTTGGTTTCAATTTTTGCAGACAACGATGATTCGGAAGAAGAAAATAACAAAAATGTAATTTATGTTGTCAATTCTACACCTTCGGCTTCAAGAAAACAATCTAGTAATACTTTGGGAAAAATAGATCTCATAAAAAAGGATCTTGGCATAAAGATAAAGAACAGTGAGTATGAAGTATGTATATTAATTCAATGAATCAAAATATGACTTCAGGACTTCTGAAATATCGAAGATTTCCGTTGATTTTCGATCCGAAAGATAAATCTGTGGACAAAAGTAAACTGATGCGTTTTATTCACGGTTCGGCTTTGAAAAAAGTATTCAAACAAATCGATCAAAATACCATCAAACACCTCGATGGATTTTTTGCGCCTTTGATTGAGAAAATTGGTTATCCGGTAAAGTTTTCATTCTAAATATTCATTTTATATTGAAAAAAAACTTTACAGAATAGTTGTACGCTTTGTGGAATTGTTCAAGAACCTGTAATGTATTCAATTATCTCTCATATTGTATCTGATCAACATTATTCAAATTTGAAGAAATACGGGTTTTTTGAAGTTGATTATCAATTTCTTGTTGAATCATTAGAATTTTTGAAAACAAAAATGAAAGCAAAACCATCAACAAATAAAAGTGAGTTTTTTTTTGCGAAAAATTTTTCAAAATTATTTCACATTTCTAAATACCTAAAAATTTAGAGAACAATGCGAAAAAAGAAAAACCGTTGGTTAAAAGAAAGGTTTTATCACAAAATAGTCCGAACATTTTGACGAATTCCAATAAAATTGTGGAGAAACCATTATTGATTGATAAATTTGTGAATATTTCGACCGAATCGATTTCTATATTTCCATTGATATACGATTCAAATATAAAAACAAATAAAAATCTTTTGCCATTTCGGCATAGTGAGAAACTGAAAGTGTTATTTGACAATTTCGATGAAGTCACTGTGAATCGTAATAATGGATTTTTTGATGTATTATTTGATGTTATAGGATATCCGGTAAGTTAAAAAAATATTTTTTCAATCTAGAATAAATGTATTCAGAAAAAATGTGATGTATGCAACCAGAAATTGTTCAATGATCCATATTCGATAATAACCCACATATCAACTGAGAAACATGTTGAAAATCTCGTAAAATTCGGGGCGTTGAATGAAGATTATAGATTTTGGAGTCAATTGGCGTATGATATGAGAGATTTTTATATGAAACCAAAAGCAAGCAGCAGAAATTGCTGTGAAATTCCATTATTATACAACCCTCAACAAAAATATATGGGAGAAAAAACGACATTCAAGAATGGCGACGCTTTTCGGAAAACTATGAAAAAATTGAATGCTGACTTCATCGATTTGGTGTTGAAAAAATTCTTTAAAAATGTCGGATATCCGGTGAGTAATAATTATATGATTTATTCTTTAAGCAATATAAAATATATTCATTAATTATTGTAGGCAAGTTGTAAATTATGTACAGAACCTCTTGAACAAAAACCATCAAATGTATTATATCATTTGATTTCTCCTCAACATTATATGAGCTTGAGAAATAATGGATTTTATGTTCGAGATTATTCGTTTTGGATCAATATATTGCAAGCTATCAGTTCGAATTATTGTCAAGTAAAAGGTTAGTCAAAAATTGGAAGGTTTTCAATTTTGGTACCATTTCAAAGTTTTAAAATCGCTATCCTGTTCCAATTCAAATTTACCAAATGTTTGTGAGGAATACCAATTTTTATTTTTGTTTCAGAAACAAATGTTTCTAAATTTGTTAACGAATCGAAAGATGCTCAAATCAAAAAAAGTGTAACTCGACGGCGAGCAAGAAGACGGGCAAGTTTTCACAACATTTATTTTTTTCTTATTCAAATTCAATTTTTTTAGAAGCAACAACTAGCCAATTAGAGAATCTCTATTGCATGATTGAAATCAATTGTTTATATTTACATAAAACGTATCTGTGATTCTTGAGATATACATTTATTCAAACAAACAAAAGATACAATCAATTACCATGCATAACATTCTCCTGGACAAGATTGAAGAATAGTTTCAAATCTGCTTGTTTGAACAGACATGAGAACTGTATAAGTTGTTAATTTGTTCAAATTAGTTCTTGACGACAAAACATTAAAGATTCCAGCGAAATCGACATTTTTCTGTCCCAATTTTTCCATACAACGAACTCCTGGAGTTCTGCGATCATCAAGGAAAAGTGGCTCTTGATTTTGATCATAATTTGTTTCGAGCAAATACCAATCATCTTTTCCCATTTCGGTTAAAAGTGCAGTTCCATTCAAACTACGAGCAATGATTGAAGCCTGAGAAATAATCATGAGGTTTGAAATAGATCTAAAAAATTTTAAAGTACCTCATAAGCTTGATGTCCTCCCAAAATAAAGTAAACTGGTGAAAGCATTGGTGTATTCATCAAATGTTCTTTAGCTTCTTGATAAGTTGTGGCTGTTTCCAATGTTTCACGTGCCAACCAAGACATCCATTTACCTTCTGGTTCAAGTCCGAATAACCATTTGAATATTCCATAATATCCACCTTCAAGTTGGAAACGATCATCAGCTGTGATTGAGAATGCATTTGGTTTCAATCCATTATAAATTCCAACATATCCCGCAAAATTGTTTGATTTGAAAACCAATTTACCGCCACGTGTCCAATTAACATTAATAATCATTTTTCTTAATCTTTGGGAAATTGGCCAATCATGAATTTCAGCATCCCATCCCATAAAAAGACCGAAATCAAGATTTCTAGCGTGAACAAGATTTCCTTGATGATCTTGAGCGACGATTGAAGTGCAAACTGTGAAAATTTCGTAGAAAATGTTATACATTGTGATTTGTCCGAGTGGAATTCCAGTGACGTCAGAGATTGCTTTGATTTCATCTCGATATGGTTGTGGAAGTTTTGTTGCTAAATCACCGAAAACATCGTCGACAAATGTGAGAGCATCCGGGAAAACTGGTAAAACAAGATCAATCAAAACACCAATCAAATCAGTAATTTGTTGTTTATAAGCTGTTCCAACTTGTTTCCATCTTTCTGATGGAGGCAAATCAAGGTTTACTTCGAACCTGCAAAATATTTACATTTGATAACGAAAATTGATGGGCAGAGCAAAAAATGTTGGTGATAAAAATAAATGGGAAAGTGATAATTTATGAGGTTTTTGGTCTAAATCGTTGATGATGATCAATCTACAAATAGATTTTTGAAGCGGAATCGGGCGATATTTCAGATGGGAGTTCTAAGAATCGAAGCTGGGAGATTTGGAATTTTTTTTTAAAAGTTGATCATGAAAATATTGCGAATTTTTTTACTCGAAAATTCAAGCAAGCGTGGAATTTGGATACTTAAAATCGCAGGCCCAATAAAGATCAGAACTTTTTCTGGATCAAACATTCTGGGTATTTGTTTTTATTCAAAAATCACAGCATTAAAATTATCAAAACATCGGCGTAGACCGAAACGACTGTCATTAAAAAGACCTAATTTTTGACAAGTATAAAATTTTTAATTTTAAGAGAAGACTTCTGAGTTGGAACGAAATAATACAATTTTTGGATTTGTCTCGAAAGTCTGATTACTTTTCGGTCCAATTTAAATTGAGATCAAAAACATTTAGAGAATTCGCAACTTCAAGAGACTAAACAACCTAATTTATCCAAATTTGAAAAACAGATATTTGGAACTGGAATTATTCAAATCGATCAATTGATCAAACTCGAACTCACCATGGAATATCAAATTGTTTAGTTGGATCATACAAATTCTTTTTATCATCCAAAATACAATGATCCTTATATGGTTCAGGCAATTCGATGTGTTTTGCACCAACAAAGCCAATAATCAACAAAACAAATACAGTACTCCTCATTTTCAAGCTTTTTTGCCCCAACAATTTTCCTTTTATCATAATCTGCTTTATATACATTTTCAATTAAACACGTGCTTTTCTCTTATCACCATTCCAATTTATTTCATCGAAAAATGATTTATTCAATTGTGCTCTAGTTTGAATGTTTGCCGAAAGACACAATTGTGGTTTTGTTGTTGAATGAGATGGTTGAAGAATGCATATCGGCTACAATGTAATCAATGATCAACGAATTGTCAGCATCGTGTTCATTTAGATCAAAGAGTACGGTTGGGTACATTTCTGTTGACATCTTAATTTTCGATATTTATGTCTTGAACTCTTTTATCAAGAATTTTTGGCTCGAGGTATCTTGATATAAGAATTCGGAAAAATATAGGAGTTCTTTAAAACATTAAAAGATTTATAGATCACACATGGTGGTCCAGAAAAATTGAGCGGGAAATCGGAAAACTTCAAGAAAATCTAAAAATTCTTGTAATTCAAAATTTTTGTTGGAAAATTCAATTTTTCAATGTTTTCGAAAAATTTCATTTTAATTTTATTTTTTTTTGTTAGTTAAACATTTTTCGAATTTGACGAAAATCTGGGTTCTTGATACTTTGACTTTTTGAAGGATTCCACTCACGAAAATATGAGGTCCAATTTTTGAAAGACTCCTCTATTTTTCTGGAACCCTTATACCAAGATGAGCCAAATCCTTCATTCATACCTTATCCTTTCCTAATTGCTCATATTTATTCCAACCCCATCCATAAACATCGTTTCCTTCAGATAATGCAATACAATGCCATCCGCCACAAACAACTTTTTTGATTGGAATTCCAGATAATTCTTCAATATGAACTGGTTCGTCAACTCTTCGAATTAATCCAACTCCAAGTTCACCGCGTCTAAAAATTCTTAATGTTTGTTTTTCTCCAACAAAGTTCTAAATAGCTCACGTTCCAGTTCCCATTGAAAATAGATTTCCAACATGATCTCGAAATACAACAAAATCATTTCCAGTTGAGATTTCTTGAATTTTTGTTGGCCAAGGAAATGATATCGGATTTTTTGAAATCTGCAGTCCATTTGGATCACTCAAAATTCTGAAGAAAAATTTTGAAGAAAAAAATTGTTAGAAATAGATGATTACTTGAAGATTTTAAATTGAGGAGTGAGTAAAAATGCTTCTTTCGAAGTTGTAAAAACAGTCCAATCAGTCGGAATACCAGAATCATTCGATGTTGAAGGAATCTCATTATCATCTTCATTTTCAGAAATTAAACCGACTTCAAAATTGGCAGGTTCAGATTCCAAAGTTATTATGTTCAATTTGGTGATAGTTCCCTGAAAACAATAAAAATTATGAACATATCTCAATTGGAGGAAACTATTTTTAAAATAGAAAAAACCGAAAAAATTCTAGATAAACTTATGAGGTGACAAAGTTACTGAATTGGCCAAAAATATAAAATTCTGAGTACTGTAGAGTGAAAGTCTGATAATCATAATCTAATATTTCAAAAATATGTAAATTTGTGAAAAAATCAATACGCCAAAAAAGGTTTAACTATTCGAAAAACCCCGGGTTTCAGAATTACTGTGTCATTTTGTCACCTCATAATTTTTTCCCAGAGTTCTGAGATTTCTCAAAGCAGTGACCTTCTCTTGTGTTCCAAAATTTTCTGTAAAATTTACCAATAAATCAATTCTTCCAACAAATGCAACATTAATTTGATCGATCGCCAAAAACCACAAATGTGTAAATACAACATTCCTTATTTTTGCTCCTTCAAACTTGATTTTATTCCAAACTTTGTCATCTTTCAAAAACAAACAATCATTCGAATATTTATATTCGCCAAACCATTCTTTCGATCTCTGCAAAACTGTTTTTTTTTGTAAAAAAGGAAGCTGTTAGTAGATAGATCTAGATGGAAACGGCGACAGATTATACACGAACAAAAATGATTGATTATCTTTGACATTTTTTTCCGCGTGGAAACAGAAAAAAAAAAATAGAAAAGAGACTGGTTCAAAGCAAAGAGAAAGAATGAAGCAATTACTTGAGGATACTGTAGTTAAGGTTACTCTAATCTTGAAGATACTGTAGCAAAAAACAATTTTATATAGGCCCTAAGAAAGTGGACCAGTTATTTCGAACACATAAATATCAGACACACACAAAAGATTCGTGCGATTTAAAAAATCAAAAACCCGGTTACTTTTCGGTAGTCCAATTCAGAACTTCTCAAAATTCCATCCAAAGTTCATAAAATCTATCGTCATTCCTTCTTATCAGATCGTGGTTCCACGTGGATTCCAAAAACCTACAGTAACCCTATCATATTTGTACTAATTCAAATTGGAATTCAAACTTCAAGTTTACCATCTTTTTTCTTCAGATTCCTCAAAACGTCCCTTAATCCTAAAAAATCCCAAATTATCTTGTTTTTGTTAAGTTCACACCGTTTTTTGCTCGGCTGACGTCGTTGGTCTTTAAATCATTTTATAATATTTGTCATGTAAAATAAACATTGCACAAATACAAAAATAATAATGATGTGTACTTCTTCTTTTTCTTCAAAAAACATAAAACATCGCCAAAAATTCAAGGAATGTTATATATTAGTTTACAGTACACTTTTTGTCCAGAAAAGTGGAACAGCTGAAAAGAAAAAATTGAGAAGAAAAACATGTATTTGGAAGGAGTATAAATATATAAAATCGCTAGAAAAGCACATTTATTGATTTTTTAGAACATTTTATAATTTTTTCTAAATTTCCATAGTTTGTGAAAATAGCCGATCCAGAAACTTCAGATTCCAAAAAAAGTTATTCCTAAAAAATTTGATGTCATAGTTTTTATTCAAGTTGAACATTAATGGATTTCTGATGTTTCGATTGAAGTTGAGGCTTCTGAACTGAAGTTTTTAAAAGGTCGTTTTATCGGTCTCTAAATAATATTTCTCTATCCCCATTTAATCATGGCTCAAATTTTCGCCCACTTCATAAATATATCCTGAATCACCATATGATAGTTCTAGATCATACCAAATTTGATAATTCTACGTAATTTTCGAAAAGTATTTTCTCACATGTGATTTGAAAAAGTCACGTGTCTATGGGAAAAACTTGACAATCGAGTCAGAAAACGATTACTGTAAGAGATATCAACTGATGCAATTTTGAAATGTTTCGAAATGGTCACGTAACATGACGAACAAAAAAACCTTCAAAATTTCGGAGTTTTTTCAAGTGCAAAAAAATGGTTCGATTGTGTTACCAAAAAATCAGGAAAAATTCCGGCCAATTCAATACAAAATAGTTCCCAATAATTTCATTTGTTATAATCTCAATGTCTTAAGTACAAAAACTATCAATCTTCTCGCACTTTTTAATCACTTTTTTGATAGAAGATCTGAGATTGACCGGTGAATGAAAAGTTATATTGAAATAAAGGAAAATATGTGTTTATTATCATTATTGTAACACTTTCATATTCTTGTTTTTGGCATGGCGGAAACTGTGTTTTTTAAATGAAATTAAATTATGACTTGTGATAATTTAAACAAATGCATTCTCAAAAATAACGTGTTGTAGTTCTCGCGAAGAAATGTCAAAAATATGGCCTTTTTAGCGAATGTGATTGGACAGGATTGATAAGATGTTCGGAGAAAATGAAAAATTCATGTTGCAAAATTTTTATGAGTTCAGAAAGTATCAGAATCATGAAAATATTCAAATTGAATATAGAGGACAAATCGACACTCTAGGTTCCACTTCTTGTCAGAGTGAATCTCTAGATGTGGGTCCGAGACAATTAGATTCATTAGGGGCGGCTACTTGACATCTAGCCTCCATAGGCTCTGACTGAGTTTTCTAGGAATGGTCACTCGAAAACTAGGATTAATAAGCAAGCTAGAGACGAAAAACAACAACAATATTTCAAATTTCGAAATATGTTCAACTACAACCCACGATTCTGAACTTATATTTCAATTTCATTGTGTTCATCATATTTTCCTAAAATCAAATCGAATAAAATTAAATCAATTAATTGAACCACTCCCAAACGAACTGAATCATCTCAATACATAACATTAAGCTTTTTCTCTATTTACTTGATCAAAATGATTAGCTCAATACGAAAAATCAAGCTTTTTCTGTCTCTTGACCACATTACGTCATATTGTTGTTGAATTGTAGCTTTTGTTTGACAATTTGTTCTATTCTCTTTCTATGTATTTATTTCTTTTTCCTTTTCTTGTTCTTTTCATTTCATTTCTATCACTGTTCATGTTTGGTGATGTCAAGAAATGTCTAACTTATGGTATCTTCAGAATATGTAGATCAAAAGCTGAAAACGTCATTCATCTTCCCACCTTTTCAGTATTTAATCACCGTGTTTTATTTGACTTTGATGTCATTTATCAGTGTTTCTTCTCTGATTCATCAAATTAATATAAAAAGTGTCTCTGTTTGTCACTAAACAACATTCCTTATTAGCGTTTCTTGTTTACAACAATTTGACTTATTCTTTGAAAAATATTTTTTAGGAAACATCATTTTGGTTTTTGATGTTTACTTGTAAAAATACTATATAAGGGTTTCCGGTATTATTTCATTCGACCCATAATTTTCTTTTGTTTTCTTTCTGTGTTTTTTCCAAATAATAAATACCTTTAAGATGTCCATCATAGTCCGATCAGGGCGGGGTTTATCGTTTCTCTATTCTTCTTCATTCCTTCCGCCCTATCTCTTATTTTCTTCATTTGTGGTTTCTTTAGTTGATCTATTATCTGTGTTCTTTTAAATCATCCCAAATATTCTTAATCCTATTTTTTAAAACATTCAAAAAATTATATCCATTTTTCAACATTTTTTTCTAGACCGGATATGTTCTTGTTAATCAATCATCACATGTGACCTATTGTTTTTCATTTTAAAAATATAATTCCTATTCTTTCTTTTTTTTCAAAAGTTTTTGTCGCATCACTTGTTGTCCTTCATTCACTAATTTTTTCCTTACAGTACTCCAATTATTGGCCAACCCTCCCTCAAAAAACTAAATTTCTATCTATAAAAATGAAAAACTTGATTCGAAAACTATCATTCCGTAATAAATCGCCTGGCGTTCTCAAAAAGAGCTCATCCGCTTTGATGAAACTAATGAAAAGTTCGGAAAAACTCGACGATATTCAACAACAACAAAATATTATGAATAGTTTGCCATTGGATATGTTGAAAATCATCGTGGATCGAATGAATTTTTTCGAACAAATGAAAATGACAAGAATTTGTAAGGAAATGAACTCGTATTTGATGGAAAAATGGAGAATGGTCAGTTTTTTGTCAATGAAAATATATGGGTTTGGTTTTATCAAAAGATCAAACCGGTTAAGTTATGACGTGAAACTGTCCATGACAGAAAAATAAAGATCCCTTTTTGCAAGGCCGTAACATCCGTTTTTTATTCGGGGAAAATAAATTGTACAAAAACTAGAAAATGAGAAGTTTTAGATATTCACGTGAAATTTGACGTAAAACTAATTTTTAGGTTAATATCCTTTTTATTTCATTTTCAAATTTTAGAAAAATTTTGATATTTCGGAGTATCTCTGTAGGGTGACTTAAGATTTTTATACCAATTTTTGTGTGATAAAAAATTCTCTAAAGTTAGAGTTTTGCAAAAAAAAATCTTGTAGGTTTAGATTTAAATGTTCTAAATGTTTTTTTCTAAAATTACGGTAGGCTAACATTTTCAAAGTTTGTTTTCACTTTCAAAAATCATCCTACAGTAACCCAACCATGTCAAAGGGTGATAACAAAATATTCGACGAATGTGTGACTTTTTCTACAATACAAATCATAATAAACACAACACACAATTGATAATAACCACTAGATACATCCTTTCGAATAAAAAACGGAAGAATGTGTGTGATCAATCAAATGGTTCATATTACAGATCAAAAAACTCGATATTCGTAAAAAAGATATAAATGAGGCGACATCTTCATCCAATTGGCACAGACATTCAAAATCCTATGTTGCAATTCAAATAATCGACGATACCGCTTTTATGGTAATCGATGAACAATGGACAAGTGGAGATTTGTATGTGCTTCTTTCAATGATGCATTTGTTTCATGATTGGGTTGAAGTTGTTGAAATGGATGCACCAATTGCAGAATTGGTGAGTTAGAAATAAACATTCGGTGAAGAAATCGAACCAGGATCAGTTTTTGAGCACTCGAAAATGAATTAGATTTTCTAGTCACAGCTAGTTGAGAACTAGGCGCTGATCCTTGACAATTAAACTATCTATGCTCGGCTACATAGCATAGATCTATTCTATAGAAGAACAAACAGATTCATTCCGAAATGAAAAATATTCGTTTCAGACAGTTGTTTCATTATCTGACATCACTCTCGAAAAATGGTACACCTTCCAATGTTTAATGAAAGCATTCAACAATTTCGACACCGATTTCCATCTCGAAAGCGATTTCATTTCGGATCGTCAAATCTATTGGCCATGTGTTCGAGAATTAACAATTCGAACAAAAGCTGCACAAGCAAATCATTTGGCGCGAGTTTTGGATTACGGTGTAAAAAGTGCATATGTTGTTGACAGAAAATTGTTGGATAAATTACGAATTGTATTCGATGATATGGAAGGAATGACAAACAAAATTGTCAACAAACATATTTATCACTTCAGATGTTGGGCTGGAAGTGTTGGATGGGATCATCGATATGAAACCCAATTTCTTGGAAAAGTCTAATTTCATTTATGTTTACCTTTCCTTATTTTCAGCTTTATCAACAAAAACAGTTCCCTGGGTCATAAACTAACCTTTAAAAACATTGGCATTGTGTATATTTTGACTGAAATAATTATAATGAATTATTTGATTTTATTGATTGAAATAAATATATTCAGAATAAGATTAACTGCATATTTTCATTTTCCAAAGTAAAATTTTCAGAGATTGTTAAAAAATTTATTGCACAAAATATATCCAAAAATAAAAATGAAATTATGAGTTATAGTCGTAGAAGCCAATTGTCATAGCCTTTCCTTGATTCTTCAATAACTACTCCATCCGGAATTCGATCATATTTTCCTTTATAAATTATATTGAGTCCTTTATCCTTTTTCTGCAAAAATTCAAACATCGAAAAACAGACTACAGTAGGATTGCATAAAACTAGAAAAACTTGTATTAAACAACAAAACTTTTCTATTTTTAAAAATTGATTTTTTTTGAAACAAAAATTTTGAACACTTGAACAGGTTTTTCTAAAACGGGATCTTCGAGAAATGATGTGTAGAAAATACACAGAAAAATACATTTGGAAATATAAATTTCAATAGAAATTTGTTCATTTCTTTTCTTACTGGTTCTGAGCTTAAAATTCAAATGTTGACCCTTTTTCCAAAAAATCTAAAAACGTACCAGTTTTTCAGCTAATACCACCGAAGATTGATGAACTTTGAGATCTTCAAAAAATTTCAAAGAGCTGGAAAAAGAAAATAATATTTATGATTTCAGGATGAAAATGTTGCAAATAAAAACTCACAGATAAATAGATGCGACAAACATAGTTTGAAATAAAATAAGTAGAATTCCAGTAAACATTACTCCAAACGCCTGAAAAATTAAATAATTTGATTGTCTGGTAGAAAAATAAATGTTTTTTTTTTAAATGAAATATGAGTAGAAAAACTCACAGCAAGCAAATTGTTATGATGATCTCCCTTTGGAATCCATTGCCAATACCAATAACTAATCTCGAACATACCAAGAAAACAGAAAAACGATAAAGCAAATTGTAATAGTATTGTGTTCGCTTTATCGATTCCATTAAATATACAATAAGTCATGATATTATATGAAATGAATAAAGCCAATATCAAGGCTGCAAAAATAGAAACACGTTTTTTGGATCGAAAAAAGTCCACCAACCAAGACTTTTGATAGCTTCTTTTTTAAAATCGAACTTCGATTCAACGTGATCCCATAAATATTCCACGAATACGAACGATATAAACCAAGCAATGATCGAGAACAATTTCGTATATTTATGAATATGATGGTTGAAATAGAGATATTCTGGATCATTTATATCAAAAGTATTCAAATAAACATTTTCTGGCGAATTTCCATTATCAGCATCTTCTCCTGAAAAATTTGATGTTTTTGATTTTAAAAAAAAATAAGAAGCAAACCTGTTTGTTCCAATGGTGTATATCGAACAGTTTCTCCTCCAGAAAATCTCCGAACTTTTAGATATTTTCTAAGGAACATCTCCATTGTTTTCTAGTTTAAAAAAATATTATTTAATTTCCTGTAATTTTGTCTAAAATATATAAAACTGTCAATTTTGAACAATTAAATGAATATTAAAAAATAAGTTCTAAATTTTATGAATAAAGCCTATGTTAAATATCACAGAACACATTGATTATGTTTATAGCTTTTTTGTTTTCTCTAAATTCTAATTATTCAAAATTTGTTGCATTGATTGTTTGGCGGCCTTCAATGCTTTTCTTTCGAGTGTCAAACCAATCAAACCTTGCCAAACATAGAAAACTGCCAACACAGTTAGGATGAATCTGAAGAGATAGTAATTTTGGGATTTATAAAAACAAAATGGGGGAGGGGGAAGAGAGCCAACATTTTTGAGGATCAATTTTCCGAACAAAAATTCTCAAACAAAGTTTTCATCTCAAATTTGACATTTCTCTCAATTTTGAATTTTTAAGACCAAATTTTTGAATTTTGGTTTTTTCTCTCTAATTTCTATTTTTCACAAATTTTGGATTTTTCAGTATTAAATTTAAGAAAATTATTTGAGAAAGCGAAAAAAAGAAGAGAAAACTAACCGTACTACAGCTAAAAATAGCGGGAAGAATTCCAAAAACAAAGATCCAAGTATGAGAATCAAACAAATGGCAGCCAATGCAAAAAAGAACATTCGATCATATCTTGCTCTTCTTTCACCACCTGATACAATTCCAATTGCTTCAATCAATAATGGTCGATTTGGTTCCCAATTAACACTTTCTTGTCTTTTTGTATTTGAATCAATTGTAAATCTCGCATAAAGACCAACATGATCAGAATAACAAATTGTATCATTTGGTATTTGATTCAATGTTATTTCACATTCTTCCAATTTCACATTACATCTTCCACTTTTAAATAATACATAATCAATTCTTTTACTTTCATCAACATCTTTCAATGCTTTTTTTGTATAACTATTATCTGGTCGATCACAAGTTCCACCTCTTCCAATTCCTCTACATTTATTCAATCCTTCTAATTCATCTCCATCTCCAACTCCAACTTCATGACTCATTCTCCAAGCATCAAACAATTTTGCTTGTGTAAGAATCAATCGAAAACCCAAATCACATGGTTCCATATTCAAATCACCAGTTACAATAACAACATCAGCTCCTCGTGCAGTATGTCTCACAAATTGACTCAATTCAAAAGATTGCGATGTTCGATGTGGAAGATACAAATCATTTTCTCGATCGTATTCCGCGTGTAAATGTGTCGAATAAAAATTTACACGAATATCTCCGACTTCAAGTTCAACTAATCCAACAACTTTTCCGCCAAACCAATCACCGCGATGAATATGATGAGCAAATCCATTCAAAGAATATCTGCAATTTTTTGGAGTGAAAAAACAATTCGAATTTATATTTCACCTCTTCAGCTTTTCAAAAGAAATTTTTTTTTTTAAAGAAGAAAAACCAACCTATGAGTCAATGTTGATGTGATCGAATGTTTCGAAAAAACACAAACACCACTTCCAGTGAAACCAGAATGAAAATAATGGAAAAATGGATATGCTCCGGATACTTGTTCGGAAAGGCGAACAAAATCATAATAACTCCAAAGTTCCTGGAAAAAAATAATATTGGAGATTGAAAAACACCGAAAATAATACTTGAGAGAACTTCCAAAATTTTTGAAAATAAAATAAAATGGGAAAATTAGGATCTTCACGTACAACATCATTTTTTTCAATTTTTATTTTTCGAAAAAATAGGACCAGCTACAGTAATCCTGAGAAAATCCCGGAGAGAAATACAAATTCGAAGATTAAAAAAATTAGCTTTGGAAATGACATTGCAAAATTTTTTCAGGAAAAAAATCCACAAGTTTTGAAAGCTTGAATTCTAGCAAAAAGTTGTCTTCAGAATTTAAATAAAAAATTCCGGAAATTTTTCATTTTTTTAGCAAGGTTGTTATTTCTATAAAATTTTCATTTTTTTTAAGTTCTAGGTTTTTACTTTTTCCCAATAAATTCAGAGAAACTTCTGAATTTTTTTTCAAATTCTAACTCACTTGCAATCCAACAATATCAAAACTTTCTTCAATCATATAATCGGCAATTTTTTCCAATCTTTTCAATCGATCTGCACTTCCAATTGGCCATGGTTGAGGCAAACACCAAGCATTCAATGTCACAATTCGCAGCTCAATTGGCTCTTTCAATTCTCGTTGAAACATTGAAAATGACTCTCTTCGAGCTACTGATTCCCCCGACATTTTCTCAAAGCTGAAAAAACACGTTTTGATTTCGAAAAACAAATCAAAAGATAAAGCACAAAAATATTCAACATGGTTGTCAAAAACCATTTGAAAAATGATTTAAAAAGCATAATAATGGCAAAAATATATATTAACTATTCTGAAATTAAAATTAAATCTGATCTAAATCTAATTGGATGCTTGTTGGAAGTCTGGAAATTTCGAAAGGACGGGATTTGCTTCTGTATTTTGAATAAATGTCACAAATTGTTCCAAACTCAATGTTCCATGTGGAATGACTTCATCGCTTTTTGGTTGTGTTGAGAAAACTTCGATAAGAGGTTGCTGAAAAATCAATAAATTTTGAGGATTTATTTTTTTCTTATTATAAAAAGCAGTTTGCGGAAACTTCACAGCAGGTGATACTTTTTCCACCGAAAATTTGTTCCGGGCTCAAGATTTCAAAACCTTACCCCAGAAACCATAGATCTTTCGGTCGAATTTGCAAGAACAATAATAAATGGAATACCAAGTCGATTTGCGTCACGAATTCTTTTTCCAACTGATATTTCACTTCGATCATCCAACATTACACCACCTTTCAAATATCGGGTTGCCGTCGAAGTTGTAACTTCAACGAGAACATTTGTCATCAGCGACTGAATGATAATTAATTATAATTATTCTTCAAATACTTATTTGCTCTTACTTTTTTAACAATAACAACAGCTTCAATTGGTGCAATTGCTCTTGGTAATCGAATTGCTTCTTTTGAAATAGTTAATGCATCAATAACAGCTGGAAGAAGACGAGATACACCAATTCCAAAACAACACATATCTAATGGTCCGCTATTTGGAAATTTCGCCCCGATTTCTTTTGAATATTTTGTTCCAAGATGAAAAGTATGTCCAACTTCTACTGTATTTATCCGCTCGAATTCAGATTTTTTCGAATTTGGGATTTCACATTGACAAGAAGATGATTTAGTAAAAGTATCACATGTTTTACAAACATCTACAAAATCTTCTTCAAGATTACTTCGAAGATGATATTCATGTGATATTTGTCCACCATGAACTCCAGAATCTGCTTCAACTTTGATAACATCTAATTCCAGAATATTTTTGAATATTCGATCATAAACTCGACAAATATTTGAATATGTTTTTTGTGCTGAATTCGAATCCATATCGAAAGTATACATATCTTTCATTAAAAACTGGCGACTTCTCATCAAACCGAATCTAGAAAATATTATTGAGATAAATTGGAAAAATAGGAAAATAGTTTACCTCGGATTCATTTCATCTCTAAATTTTTCATTGATCTGATAAAGCATCAAAGGAAACATGCTTTTTTTCAACGATGATAAATTAGCAACCAAATCTGTGCACATTTCCTCAGCGGTTGGCTAAAAAATAACTAAATTTGAATAAAAATCAAATATCTTCAAAGTAACGATACCTGTAGACAAAGTGCATTTTTTGATCGATCTTCAAATGTCATCATTTCTGCGCCCATCGCATCCCATCTTTTTGTTCGATCCCATAATTGTTTTGTTCCAATTATTGGCATCGAAACCTTTTGTGCACCAATTTTTTGAAATTCCACATCTAATATACGGCATAGTTTATCGATAACCCGTTGACCCAATGGAAGTAAACTGAAACATTTTTTGAGAGATATGGAGAAGATACTATTTTTGTGATTGTTTGTAGATCAAAACAAATTTGATCTACAATACAATTCGAACAATTTGTGTGCCTGACTTCGATTTTTATATTGTTAATTCGTAGGAAGTTAGGATTTTGTTTTGTTTTTCCAACCATTTTTCATCTAACTGACCTATATAATCCTTTACTTGATGGAGTAATAAACCCATTTTCAATAAGAAGTGTATGAGCTAAAGATTTTGATGTACTCGCTGTCGAACCTGTTAGAATTAGCTTTCTTGCTTTGAGCACAACACTCATCACTGCAAAAAATTTGATTTTTTCGAAAATTTGAATTTTTATAAAAATATTAAACTATGTTTCAGAAAACATATGTAATCACAAAAATTCCAAAAAAAAAAGAAAGAAAAAAAAACAACTTTATTATTTTTGAACAACATGAAAAATGGAAAACAAAAATCATTTACCGCGTATTGAAATTGTGTAAAGGTAAGGTGATCAGGAAAAAACAAATAATCTCATTTTATTCATCATCTTCTTCTTCTTCGTCATCTTCGTCTTCTGTTTCAACTTTTGGTACAACTTCGTCTTCTTCCTCATATTTTTCAACAGCATTTTCGTAAACTTTTGCATCATCAATTTCAACTTCTTCTTCTCCTAATGCATCGTATTCAAGTTGAACTCTGAAATATTGCAATTTCAATTAATAATAAAGCCAGAGATTTAGAGAAACACATTTTTGATCTACTCAGAAAAACTTTTCAAAAGTTTGAGGCCTAGAGACTTGGAGTAGTAAATCACATTGTATTTCGACATTGTACTTGGCTCACTCAAAATCCGAATCAATTATTAAATTAAAATCTAATTGTTAGTTTACTCACTCAATTCTCTCTTTTTCCTTCAAATTTTCAGTCGATGGATTTTCGACGCATCTTTTTATCAATTCTTCATATTGTTTCCAAGTCACACAATCAGGATCCATTGGTCGACCACGCTATAAACGTTAAAAAATATACAGATTTAAATAAAAAATTACACTAACCGGAGGCGCTTGAAGTTCTCTTGATCGAATATTGAAAGGCATTTCTCGAACTTCGTTTCTTTAAAAAAAACAGAAATTAAAAATTCGTTCCAAAAATATTTCACTTACAATGCTTCAGCAATTGTAGTTCTAAACTTTCCAACGAGAGTAGTACGGTAGTTTTTGAGACAATAGAATTCTTCCTTCCGTTGCTCGAATGAATCGCCGAGGCTCAGAATGAATCTGAATTTTTTGTAATTTTTATAGACGTTTTCTACAAAAAATGAACTTACGGATGATTGTCGCCTAAATCTGAATATTCTAATTCTAATTCTTTCAAATATAAACCAGTTAACGCAATCATGAAATCAATGAGTTTCTTGGCAATTTCTGTTGGAAAATCTTGAATAGTTTTCTTGTGAGAACTTCCACTCAGTCGAAGTCCATAATGCCAAATTGCACATTTTGGATGTGTTGCACGAACCAAATAACTTTTAACAACTTTCTTTGCTTTTTTCTGGATATCAGCACCTTTTCGGAATGTTATGATTTGAAATATTTCAGCGAGATCAATGTGTTGGAATAGCCCTTCAGGACGAATTATGAAATCAAGATTTGCCAGATGTTTTGAATGCATATCAATTTTATTTATGCTTTGGTTGTCGTTCATTGAACAAACTTTGAAGTTGAAATTATCGAATTTATCACGAACAGATGTCATTCCACTTTTTATAACATTCCATAGAAATGCATTTCCAACAACAACATATCTGCTATCAATTGTTCCTTTGTTCAAAGATGTTGCTAAATTCAAAATATCAATATTTCCCATATGACTCAAGTTCTTTGCAGCAGATTTTGCCAATTCATCTAATTCTCCTTCAGCAATAACATTATTCAATATTCCATCAGCTATCAATTTTCCAACGTTTTGAACGTTTATATCTGCTTCTGATAATTCCAATTGAATCAATGAAATGTAATCTTCTCGTCTATGAATTCTTGCCGATCCATTCATTGTTGAAGTTCCTTGAACACTCTCATTTCTTCGTACAACTTTATAAACTTTCCGTGGAATTGGACATTGCATTTTACCTAAAATCGATTAATTCGTGAGATAAAGCAATTTTTCAACTCACTTGAATTCGTTCCAACATCCAGTTTTACTTGTTTCGCCGTCATTTCGGAACGAAACTAGGCGAAAAAAGAATTAACGAAAGTTTGTTCGCGAGAAGTACAAACAAATATCCGCGAGAACTACACGGCGGTTTGTTCGATGGGGCGAACTTTCGCCGCTTCTTTTTTCATTTTTGCAGCGTTTGCACGGATCGCTTTGTTTTTTTCCGTTAAACGTTAATTTAAGCATATTTTGCTTTCAGAATGACAGAGGGTAGAACAGAAGTGGAAGATCTCAAGCGGAATTTCGTCTTGGCACTTCGCAAAAACACAAAACGACCAAGTTCTTCGACTATTTCGATGAATGTTATCAACTTTTTGAGAAAAATTATTTTGGTGGAAAAAGTCAAGACGATAGCGTGAGTTTTTAATTATACATTTTTGATAGTTCAATATTTTGCAATTTTCAGTGAATTATTAGCATCTTTACACAATCATGCGAAGTTTCTATCAGCGGTTGAACCAACCGAATTGATAATTATCAATATTGTTTTAATGACATCCAAATTAGCCCGAGATGAATTGAACAAGAAAAATGGAAATGGAAACATTCGCGCTTATGATTCATTATTCACACTTTGCAAACCATCCGAACCAACAGATATGAAAGACACGGATATGAAGAAAATCAAGAAAGATTTGATTGAAAGTATCAGAGAATTGACAATTGAAATCGATTCATGTCGTGAAAGTATTTCTGCTCAATCATCAGATCTGATTTTTAATCAAGATGTTGTTATGGTTTATCAATTAGAAACATCCAAAACATTATATTCATTTTTGGCAAAAACAAGAGAAGCCAATAGAAAATATAGAGTATTTAATGTGATTCCCGAATCGAAAAACGAAGAATTGAACGATTTCACATCTTCAATACGTCTTCATGATGTCGCATCAAAGATTTGCGAAACAACCAAAGTATTTCTAACTTGTATTGCCGTTTTTCCCGATGGTTCTTGTCTTGTTCCAGCTGGCGGACAAAGTATTGCATTAATGGCAAAAAGGCATTCAGTTCCTGTTTATGTTTTGGCTCCGTTCTATAAAATTACTCCATTTTTCATACCGGATCCAAATGCTTTGAATATTTCTCAAAGAACTAATATGCCTTTTGAATTTTCGGCCAAATCGGCGGGTAAGCTTTTTTGAAATAAAAAAGTCACGTATAAATTCATTTTAATTTTTATTACGTTATCATGTTTTTTCCTCAGGAAACGTCGAAATACTTCAACCGGCTTTCGATCTTCTCGATTCACAATACATTTTCCAATTCGTTTCCAATTCTTCCTGTATTATCCCAGCACACATCAATCGTCTCAAAGAAGATTATTATCATCCAGAAGATATTGCATTATATTGAAAACGGTTTGGCTTGATCTAGGGAAACTTCTTGTTTATTTTTTCTTTGTTTCGTTTTTTGTTTTCAATAATACTTTTTCCTTTTTTTTTTTAGAAATATTTATTTATTATGCAAGGCATCTTTGGAAAACTCGTATTGCGGATAGTTGTTAGTATTTACTTATATTATTACAATAACTTATGCATTTATAATTCGTCGTGTTTTTCGAGACCAAGTTGTTGAGTAACAAAATCGATGAATGGATCTTTGAGTTGTGTATGGATTTGAGTTCCATAAACATCTTGTCGACTCCATCCACTTTTTCCTTTATATAATCTGATTGTTGGATATGCGCGGATCTAAATGAAAAAAAAACAATAAAATCTGAAAAGAAACCAGAAATTTACCTGTGCAGATTGACAAACTCCTGGCCATTGATCACAATCAACTTTGGCAAAATTAACTTTTCCTTCGAGTTCTTTCGCAATTTGATCATAAATTGGAGCGAATTGAATACAATGACCACACCAAGGAGCAAAGAAATCAACAATCCATGGCTCAGATGAATCGAGTACTGTAGTTGTGAAATCATTTCCCAAAGAGACAACTTCAGTTGGAAGGAAATTATAAGCCCATCTTTGAATTGAATCCGAGTTTCGCCACATATGATTTGGATAATCGCTGAAAAATGAATGAATGAATGAAAATTTGGGTATTTTTGAATGCGACAATTAGGGATCGAGCCGATTTTGAGAATGTCCCATTTTTTGAAACTGATGTACAAAACTTCAAAAAAATACCCAATAATTTTACCCAAATTTTCAAACTCACTAAAATGCGGATCTTCTTGGCTGTTTAGTTTTTTTGGCTGGGAACATTCGAATTGTTGGATATGATCCAATTCCAGTTTGTTTACAAAATTGCGCATATTTTTGACAATCGACAGATGCTGTTTTTGCATTTTCATCAACTTCCAAAAGAGCTCTCGCAACCTTTTGAAGTTCTGGAGCAAGTTGTTGACAAGGTCCACACCATGGAGCAAAGAAATCAACAATCCATGTTTCAATTTCAGGTCGATTTATAACTAGATTCTCATAATCTTCAGGTGTTATTTCAATAACTGATGGATTGAGAGCATTCTGAAAATCGGGTTTCTAGTTTGTTTTTTTAAAGAAAACACTTACATCAATAAATTCCATAACTGATTCAATTGAATGATATCCAATCATTTTATGCTGTTTTCCATCTGGTGTATAGATTATACTTGTTGGATAACTGAAAATATTAATATAAATACAAAAATAAAAAAAAAGATCAAACCTTTGAACACCTGCAGAAACACAAAGATCTCGATATTTAACACAATCGAGTGTTCCAATCGCAGCTGAATGTAGAATTGATCCTTCATCTGCTGTTACGTGGAATCTACGATATTCAGCCAATAATTTCATGCAAGGTGGACACCATGGCGCAAAATAATCCACGATATAAAATTCTCCTCCTGAAATCGCGTATTCATAAGAATCGCTATTCAAAACATGAAGATGTGATTTTGAAGCGTCTCGAATAAATTGAGCAGCACTTCGGAAATCTTTCGATCCAGCATAATCGATTTCATATCCGCCAGTTGGTTTGAAAACCAAGAATTGAGGAAGTTTTGTCATATCAACAATATCTCCACATTTATCTGATTTTGAACAATCGAATTGGAGAATTTTTGCGGATGAAATGAGAGCAGGAAGTCTTCGGAAATCTTTTCGATCTTCTGATTGTTGATTATTTGAAAGAATCCAAATTGCAATTGGCTCATCTGGATCATTTCCTTCTAGAAGATGTTGAAAATCTTCATCGTCAATTTCAGGTAATTCATCGAGGTTATTTATTACATTTTGAGCAATCTCTTGAGCATCCATCGATTCGATATTCTAACATATTTTTATAATGCTATGAAAATTAAAAAAAAACACTTACAATCTGTTTTTCTGGTGTGATTGATCTTTCTGGGAAATATACAACACCTGAGCTTTGTTTGAATTTCGAGCAAAGTTTTTCCTCGTTGTTGCAATCAATTGTACCAACATTACACAAACCATCCAACATTGCGGATAATTTTCTTCTGAAAAAAAATTTATTTAAAAATCTGGATTTTTTTTCAAATTTAAAACCTTACCTTGTTGTAGACGACAAACATTCATAATTATCTCCTCCACAAAAATCAATAATCCATGGTAAATCTTTATAAGGTTCCCATTCTTCGCTCAATGCTTTCAAATTATCTGATGTCAAATGTAAAACTTCGGATTTGAGGCGTTGAATAACAAAATCAGTAAGCAATTCAACATCTCTTTGTCCGTTGTAGAATTCAAAAGTTGGATAAAAAACAAGAGAAGGATATGCATTTACACGTTGAGATTGGCAAAGTTGTGGATCTTCGGCACAATTTACAGCTCCAACTCGAATTGTTCCCTCAATTTCACGAGCAAATTTGCGCCACTGAATAAATAATGTTAGAATTTTTAAAAAAGTAAAAATAAAACTTACAGTTGGTGCTAATTGATGACAATGTCCACAATATGTTGAATAAAAGTTGATAAACCAAATATCTGTTGATTCGCTGACAAGTCTTTGGAAATCTGCTCGATTCAAAGTGACGATTTCAACATCATCATCATAAATTCCAAAATTATCGTTATAAAATTGCCAACTTTGATAATTATTTCCGCCTTGGAAACCATCTTCTAGCCCTTTTTCACCATATTGATCATATTTCTTTCGTAATGTTTCATCTTTCAAAACTTCATATGCTTTATTAATCTTTACAAATTCATCATGAGCATTTGGATCATCTGGATTTCTATCTGGATGTTTTTTAATCGCCAATTTTTTGAAAGCTTTTCGAATTGTTCGATCGTCTGCATCTTTTTCGACACCTAATAACTCATAATAATCTTCGGCTAGAACCAAACTAATCAACAAAATGATGGATAAAATTGCCCGCATTTTCTGAAAATTGAAAATGAATGAATGATAAGAATTTAGGAACACGAAATGAGAAATAAATTACACGTCAGCATAAGTATTTAGAAAAGGATTGACCAAATAAAAAACAACGAAATAAAAAAAGAAGAAAAAGAGGAAGGAGAAGGAGTGCGCAGTTGAACTGTGTAAATAAGTATGTCTAGGTCTCTTTGATATTACTTATACTTTTTATTAATATTTACTTTAAACTGTGCTGTTATATTTGACCAGTTACTCGGTTTGACTCTCCGAAAATCCATTTTTGCGCTGTCAAAGGAAGAAATGAGGGAAACAAAAAAGTTATTTTCATATTGATGCTGAACAGAAACAGGTTAATCTCACAAGTGGAATATAGATTTCACTTTTACACATTCCGTCCTTACAAAATTCTAACGAGTAGGCAAAATACGGTTCAAGAATCTGATTCTCTCTATGAAAAGTACGTTTTTTAAATTAAATATATATAAATAAACCCTCAAACTTCATTTGAATATAAAAATTGATAGACCGCGCTAGAGCCCTGACGGAAAAAGCAAAAAGGAAATGAAGTTTTTTTTTGCAAAAATTATTTTTCTTCTATGGTATACGGTATACTACAGGTTGAAGTGTGCAAATTTGCGTGACCGTGTCATACACAATTTTGAATTTTTCTTTTTTTTTTTCACTTTTCGCTCATTTCTCGATTTGTACGCGTTTCCATCCTATTCAGCTTCACAAAAGGAAACCCATCAAAAATAAGTTTGAATATAATGAAAATACTCCATGGAAATTTTAACGGAACTCATGATAACGAAAGCTTCCGATATTTTTTAAATGAAAAAATAATATTTTCGAAATCTCTCATTTCAAACAATTTTCGCAATAGAGCACACATGGCTGTTTCTGTTATGAGACCGCCTGTTTTCAAAAAAACATGTTGTCACGCCCTAATTTATTGATTTTTTTTAGTTTAAGTTTTTTATTGTCTCAAACTTGTTTTTTCTGAAACGATTTTGAGTTAGCCTAACTTTGAAAAATAAGTGATGAACCGTCTGATGGCCGAGAATCCGACAAAATGTCAAATGTGTGCTCTATTGTATAGCGCATATTGTTCCCTCCGAAAAATAATTTTGTGTTTTGCTGCTCATTTCTCTCATCCAATTTTTCAAACTATGTTTATAATAACCAGTATGCATAATATCTTGATCTATAACATAATGTATTAATTTGTTTGAATCTCAAACCAACATGTTCTTTTCTTCTCTGAATCGCACTCTTGGCCTATTATTGATTGGTCTGCATTTTCCTCCCATTTTATTGATTTTTTGTGGGTGGAGACATGTTTTCATTCTTTTATGTTTTGCGAAACATGTGATTATTTTATGAATATTGTCGATGATTGTTATTTCATCGATTTCAGATGCTTTCTGCACTCCGCACTGCGGGTGCATTTACGACTAGAAGATTTGCCGGAACCCAAGCAATTGCCGGTAGCAGTGAAGCACCAAAGGGAATTGCCACAACTGGAACACCATTTTTGAATCCATCATCAAAAGCTGAATATGCTTTAGCACGTTTGGATGATGTTATGAATTTGGCACAACGAGGATCAATTTGGCCACTTACTTTCGGTTTGGCTTGTTGTGCCGTTGAAATGATGCACTTTGCTGCTCCAAGATATGATATGGATCGATATGGAGTCGTTTTCCGTGCATCTCCAAGACAGGTAAGACTTTGAACAAATGAACTTTCCAGCAAAACATTATTCCAGGCTGATTTGATTTTTGTTGCCGGAACCGTTACAAATAAAATGGCTCCAGCTCTTCGAAGAATTTACGACCAAATGCCAGAAGCAAAATGGGTTATTTCAATGGGATCATGTGCAAATGGTGGTGGTTATTATCACTATGCTTATTCAGTTCTTCGTGGAGCTGATCGTGTTATTCCAGTTGATATTTATGTGCCTGGATGTCCACCAACAGCTGAGGTTAGTTTATTTTTGTTTCAATTTCATTATTGTTTTTCTCATATATTTTCTTTCTTCGATTATTTCAAACCTTTCAATTGTAGGCGCTTCTTTATGGTGTTCTTCAATTGCAAAAGAAAATCAAGCGTAAGCGCGAAGCTCAACTCTGGTACAGACGTTAATATGAAAAAACGAAAACAGTAGAAATAACGTGTATTTTTAGTTCTTCTTATTGTTTTTGTTTTCATTATGCACAAATAGATTCAGAAAAGTTGTATTTCGAAAAAAAAGAAAATTATGGAATGGTGAAACTTTTCACCTGATTGTTTTGATTTTTGTTTGTTAAATCATTCGGTTTATAATATTCCGATCAAATATCTTTTCTTCTTGTTTTATGTGAAATTGAAAACATATGTGTTATTGAAAAATTATCAATGGTGTCTAGATTGAAGTGAAATAGCGCGTTTTGAAAAATTTCGAGCTTCTCCATTTTCCAAATTTTGTTCACTTCAATCTTTCATAATTTAAATTATATTTAATGAAACAATTCCGAGTGGGTTGGATCTGTTGAGCCAAAGTGCAAATTCAAAAAAAAAATCTTGAGCCCGAAAAAACATTCCGAAGACCACCCCCGAAAATTATATTTCACAAATTACTAACAACCATTTTTTTTTAATTTTCTGTTAGAATTCGCATTACAGTCATAGGAGTAAAATTAAGTAGATATTGAGAAACTTCAAAAAACCCATGAAAACAGCATAGAAGCTCACAAGGCGCGATTCATTTTTTCACCTGCCAGAGTGAAAATTTAGACGCACACAGATAGGTATGCTCTGGGCTCGGCTATTTTACAAACAAGCTCCAAAGCCATAGGTCCGAAATTCTTTGATGATATTAAAGATTGGAAAATTAAAGATCATATTTTGTTTTTAAAACAGCGCCATCAGCAGAGATTTGAACAAAACTATTTAGGAAATGCATATTTTGTTTTTTACGTGAAGTTTGTGGAAACAGAAAAAATATTTATAAATATTAATTTCATTTTCTATAGCACGTGAACTTTGATATTTTTATTTTTAAAATCTTCATTTCAAATATATATATAAAATATATTATCTTGTGCTCACAATACTTTTCTAATTATAGGGTATGTTTTATTCTTTTTTAGAAACTTTAATTGTAGGTTTATTTTATTCAACAATTTGATTTCTTTGAGTTTTACTATTGTGGAGTTGTTTTTCATGTTTTTGGCTCCCCAGATAAAAACCTACAAAAATTGAATAATAACACCTCGGCCAAAATAAAAAAGTGTACGCTGACTTTTTACAGTATCAAAACTGTGAATTTTCAATTTTTGACCTCTACAAGCTGAAATTCAATTTTTTAAAAATTTTACTGGCCGTGGTGTGTGTAGAATACAATTCAAAACCAGCTTTTAATGGAATACGCTGTTCCGCCTTCTTTCATAAGAAAAAAATCGAAAATTTAATGGGTTAGCTCTAGTTTTATGACCTTTGTTGTTTTTTTCACCAATAGGAACCTATTTTTTGTGCGAAGCTGGAAAATGTACTATTAAAAATATAAAATTCTAAAATTGTTTTCGAAATATCCAAAAACCACGAGATCAGAATGTTTCATGCCCGCAAAATTTTGGAAGCGTTGACCCTGATAAAATTTGAAACATAGATATTTATGTTTTTTGTCCGTTCACTCATTCATTCCTTATCTGGAATCTGAAAATTTCTGGAAAAATCTTGATTTTTTCGGCTAGTTTCAATTTTCTGGATAAGGTTTGTATTCATTTCAATCTATTCATTTTCGACAAAAAAAGAATAGTTTTAGATTGTTTGTGTGTATTTTCTTACTGCTTATAACAGGTTAAAAATTTGGTATACAAATTTATCGGAACGTTGTTGCGTTTTTGGAATTTCGTTGAACTGCGGATCTCATTAGATGTCGTTTGATCACAATACTCCGGCTTTAACACCATCACAATTGCGAGAGACTGAAAAATTTGTTAACAATCTCAAGGTTGGAGAACTTCAGGTAAGCGTTTTTTTAAATTTTTGATAGGTTCGATTTCAAAAAACCGACAAGAGAACTATTCTGTGACTCTTTAAAATAAAGTTGAAATTAGGAGTCACTTCAGAATCTCATGGCATTTCAAAATGGAGACGTTTTTGCCTTTAAATCACAGCTCACAAGTTCATTTTTTCTGACAAGAGTTAGGTTAGAATTTCAAGTTTTTAATAAAATGCGAAATTGTAAAACATAGAATTCCCAGGACCATTTGCTCTTACTGTAGTTTTTTGAATTCCTTTTGAAAAAAAGTTTGCTTGTTAATAAGCTTCATAATTTAGCCAATTAAAAGTTGTCCTTTTATACATTTTTTATAATTTTTATACAAAGAAACAAAACAGTTGCACTATTATATAATATGTGCGCATTGGCGTAGTTGTGTTTACACACCAAAATGTGTTTATTACAAGTTTTATTGCATATGTTTCTCTTTCTCTATAAACCGCTTCGTTTGTTTTTCAGAAACTTCTAGACAAATTACATCAATCAAGAAGAGGATTGAAAACGGAATTATTGGAAAGAGTTCAATCTTTGCTTAGAAGTCCATCAACACAACGAGGTGTTTATCAATATGTAAGTTGTGCAATAATATCAAATTTTGTATTGTATTACACTATGCTCAAAAAAAATCAATTTTTGTTTTACAGTGTCAAAACGAAATGTCGAAACATTATAGCAGTGTACAACATCGAAGCTTTTCGTAAGTTATATTTTTTCGGGCTAAAATTTTGAAATTTATATTCAAAATCCAACTTTTAGCGGCGTCAGTTTTCCACAAAACAATTATCGAACTGGATTATCAAGTGGTCTTGGAGGATCGACAATGTTTTCCGCACAACAATGCACAATGCAACCGGTATGTTTGTTTTTTTTTAATTTTCAGTATTTCATGTAATTATTCAACTTTTCTAAAACTAGAATTGGTTTTACGTCGAAAAGCCGTGCCAAGTCTCCAATATATTTCAAAATTTCCAGACAAATCGAGCTGCTCCAGCAGAATTGAGAATAGTTGCTCTTCCATTTTATGATGTTACACGAACTCTTTTAAATCCAATGGAATTGGCTGCAGCACAATCATCAACACAAAGATATACAACAAGAGCTGGTTTTTCATTCAATCTTGATATGGATAATGTTGCACAAATCAAATATGATTCAAATAATCAAAAATTACCACGTTATGAAGTTCAGTTGAGATTTTTCAATACATCGGATTTAAAAGACCCGCAAAAAGATGATTTTCCATTGAATGTAAATGTCAAATTAAATGGAATGATGGTTAATTTGCCAAGTGTTATTCCAACAAATAAACCAAATACCGAAGCAAAACGACCATCAAAACCAGTTGATATGACACAACAATGCCAAAAAAGAGCTGGAGTTCAACAATTATCAATTGAATGGACTTGTGATAAAAGAAGTTGGGCTGTTGGTGTTTATTTGGTGAAACGAATCAATACGGAGATATTATATAATCGATTAGTTGAGGATATCAGTAAACATCGGCAAATTGAAGTAACTCGACAAGAAATTACGAGAAGATTGAATGGATCAGATGATGATGGAATTGCTATGGATCAATTGAAAATTGGTTTATTATGCCCGGTTTGTTTTTTTTTGTTTAATTCACAATTAGATAATTTAATAATTTGTACTTACAGCTTGTGAAAATAAGAATGAGTTGTCCTGCAAGATGCAGTGATTGTACTCATCTTCAATGTTTCGATCTCACCTCATATTTGATGATGAATGAAAAACGAGCAGTTTGGAATTGTCCAGTTTGTTCGAATTATGCGCCATATGAAAAACTTATTATTGATGAGTAAGTTTTAAAAAATATTTGTCACCCAAAATTTAAGAACAATAATAGTTTCTTCACCTGAGAAGGCGTTTTTTCATGTAAATCCCTATTTTTCAAATTTTATTTTGTGAACCCATTTTAATCGTAAGTTCTATAAACGGAAAATTGATTGTTATCAGTTTCTAAATTTGTGCGAAAAATCCAAAAATAGACTGATATGGTCATTATTTTTATCATCGGTTCATTTTCAACTCAATACGTCAATTGAGCATTTATTGATGCTGCCAACACCCAAACACGAATAAAAAATCACGATAAGGATTACTGTAATTGTGTGGATTTTTAGATTGTTGATCTTTTAATATAAATTGACTTCTTGTTTCAGATATTTCAAAGATGTTATCAATAAGGTTGATTCGAATACAACAGAAGTTGAATTGAAAGCAGATGGAAGATTCGAAATGTTGAAAAATGAAGAATCATATGATGTTTCGAGTGATGATGATGATGGAATTCAAGTAAAAAGAGAAACAAAACATGTTGATGCATCATCTAATAGTAATTCAAATCCACCATCAAGACCTTTTTCGACTGATGATGTTATTGGTAAGATTTGAGTATTGAATATAAAATTTGAAATCGAGGTTTGAAAAAATTAAATTCTCAACGTTGTTTTTCAAGTTAATAGTTGAGAGAGGTCGTTAAAATGAAACTAAGTCACAATCAGTTTTATCTCATTCTCCTTCTTTTAGGAATAATTTCGATAAAATTGATTATTTTTCAGTTTTATCGGATAGCGAGGATGAGAATGATGATATGGCTGCTGCAATCAGTAATTCACTTCGAACTCCGCCGCCAGAACTTGAAACATTTGGAAGTAATGGAAATGGAAATGGAAATTGTGGTATGAAACGAAAAATCGATGTGATTACACTTGATGATACTCCACCAAGACTGAATGAAGCAAAACGGAGAATTGATGATGTTAGTAGCACAACAAATAATGGATTTCTTCCAAGAACTGATTTGAGTCGAATTAATCTTCCACCATCAACCAGTCAACAACCATCAACATTAGTTGAAGCACTTGATAATATTAATGGTGATCAGGTTAGTTGTTTTTTTTTGTCGAGTTATTCTTATACAAACCAAAGTTCTAGAACAAATTTGTTAATCATACTGAATTAACATTATTCGATAGCTTTTTTGATTTGAATTTAAAACAACAAAAGCACTGTTTGTCTTGTCTTAATTGTGTTTTTATTTCCAATCCTAACCTAGACAAAATGTGCACAGTAACACGTGTTGTTACAGCTTACATATCATCAAGACATTGTGTCCCCTAATAATATGCATCAAAATCCAATGGAATTTCCATATTCGGTGAGATTTTGTGTTGTGGTGTTTATGTGTTTTGTGTCTTTTTCGTGGCGTTTTTACTAATTCTTTCGATTAGAGAAATTTGGCAAAACAAAGTTTGGCTTCGGCTTTTTTTTGGCAAAAAATCCCTCATGAATTCTTAAAAAAATCTCGTATAATCTTCTTTTATTTTAAAGAAGTCAGAGTTAAAAAATTTCTAGACGCGTTCTCTTGACACTTAGGTTTTCTAGGTGCTGCTACTTGACAACTAGAATTTATAGGCTTGGCTATTTGGTATAGGAGTAGATTTATAGACGCGGGTCCTAGACATTTAGTTTCTTTAGACTCAGCTACTTGCTTAAAAACTAGGCTACTATATTTGGCATACAAGCTCTGAAGCCCTCATTGGGTTTCAAAAAATCCTTTGATAAACTTTAAAATTTACTCTTTTGAAATCATCATTCTAAAATATGTTGATTTTTCATAAAATAACAATTCGACGATTTCCAACTTTATAGTAAAAAAAAATTCTATTCGAAAATTTCGCAAAATATCTGGGTTTCGAAAGATCATTTTCACCAGCTCTGATTCAGATTTTTGCTTTTTTTCTTATATCGTTTTGTTTCAATCTAGTTGTTCTCTTCTAGAAATCTATCAATTAGATATTGATTTTTCTTTCTCTCATTCATTTTTTGCTTCATTCCGTATTTTTCTGCAGAATGCTGGTGTTTCATATGCGAATAGTTGGCGTCAAACAATGTCGACATCAAGTTCTGCTTCAATTCCATCAATGAATACATATAATGTTCCTCCGCCAACACCAATTACACCTGTCAATTTAATTGGTCGACAAATGAATGATGTTATGGGAAATCCGATGGGAGGAAATCAGATGGCTGGACCGGCTGCATTTAATTTTAATCAACCAATTCCGCAACATCAACAACAGCCACAACAAGTTCAAAATGGAATGATGGCAAATAATATGCCAAATTATAGTGGTTAGTTTTTCTTGATTATCGTAAACAATTTCACCTGCTGTTCTTTTTTTTTATTGCATCCACTTTCTACTCATTTTTTTGTTTTGTATGCATGCTCTGCCTCCTTTTCAGTTCCTCCGCCACCACCACAACTTCCACCAGATATTTCACAATCGGCTTCTTCTCAAAATTTGATGAATTCATTGCAAATTCAAAAAATGTCATCTCAACAACCACCACATCGTCTTCTTCCACATAATTTTCCTTACCAACCACCAATTTCAACACAATCAAATAGTCAATCACGTTTAATACCACCACCTCTTCCTAGTGGTCGAAGGGTTTTAATTCAAAGACCGCCTTCAATGCCACCAACAAATAGTAATAATAATAATAATACATCGTGGTCGACGTGGAATCATCATCAACCAAATTAAGCGAGTTTTTGATTGGCTGATTAGTTTGCATGTTGCTGTTTTTGTGTGTCAAATTTGTCGTGTTTTATTTGTTTTGTGGAGGATTCTCGATGTTTTTAAATTTTTTTTTAGATTGAGTGATTCAGCTAGAAAGTTACTTCCCAGGGAAAATCACCAAATTTACTTTTTCTGTTACTTCGGTAGTTAAAAGAACACCCAAAGAGAAATGTTTCCAGAGTTCCTAGAGTGAACAACTCTCCCAAAATAGTTATGACGTAGCAAAATTGTCAGTTTTGATCAAAGGGATTGCTTCTCAAACGGAACACCGCTGTAAAATCAAAATTGAAATATACTGTGCCAAAGATGAGTTATAGAACCGAAATGTCCAAAATGGCAAGTTTTCCACGTCATAACGAGATTTTGGTTGAGTTGTGCACCCTATGGTTTTCAGAATAATTATTCCGTAGGATATTTTTTTAACTCCCGAAGTTACAGAAAAAGTTTATATGCTGAGTCCACGAATTTCTCTTGTTGCATTTTTCCATTATCCTTTTTTCTTAATCACACCAAGAAGAGAATCAGGAATCAGTTTTTAGGCTTCTCAATCAAAATTAATAAAGTATCGGAATCCTCTTTTTTTAATCTTCTGAAATTTTCAATAGTGCATCTTATTGAATATCCTTCTTTTTTCTTACTTTTAGTTATCCTTTTCAACCCCCGTATTTTATTGTTTCTTTTTTTTTCATTTTTTTGTGTCCGCATAAACTCTAAATTGTTTATTTATTTAAAGTTTCGAATTTCATGCATGATAGATTGATCAAATGAAATCAAAGTGTAATTCAACTCAATAATTATGTTTTTTTCCAGATTGGGGTAATTATTTGAATTCGTTACCATTTATGTCTCAAACTCAATCATATCAACAGCCACCACCACATCATCCAAATAATTCATATCGTAAATGAGGTTTCTTTTTTTTGCTCTCTTAATTTCCAAATTTTTACTCGGTCTCATCTCTTTTTCACCATTCATCGATTGATATTTCTGAATTGAATTTCCATTTCATTTCAGATTAACCTATGGGTATTTTTGTTCCCTTTATTTGTTTTTTGACCCCTCCCCTCCTCCCACTGATTTTATGGTAGAGCCAGCTAACGAAAAATATCACTACTCATCATTTTTCCTGTGAATGAATATTTATTTTCATTTTGAATATCAAAATTTTATTCACAAAACACTCACAATTAAATCAAAGGGGTTGGCAAAAAACCGGGATAAAATCGAATCGGGAAAAAAATGAATGAATGAATGGACTATAATCACAAGACTAATGAAAAAAGAGAAGAAGAAGACAAAATAAATATCTGGATAAGAAAAATATCGAATCGGGAAGGGAAAAAATAAATATGGAATCAATCACAATCAAATATCATCAGAGAATGTTGAAGAAGAAAAAGTATAAGACAAAAATAAAAATAATACAAGAAATGGGCGAAATACTGAATGGGACCATAAAAAAGAAGGTGGATTTTATCGGTCATAATTTGTATTCACCCATTTTTTTCGGAAAAATCTTTTAAACATGGCCTATGTTAATTGTTGTGGTCTCCAATCAGTTGTTGGAATTCTTGCGCGTTTTTCGGGTGGAGAATGCGGCTCCACTTTGACATATGCATTCGGATCCACTTTCAAATAACCCGGATTTTGTCCGCCGCCACCACCGCAAGCACTCAAATCAATTAAAGCAGATGAATTATTTGAAGCTAGTCCGAGATTATGTCCATTTATTGAATTTGTTGATGGAGAGATTAGAGAATTGAGACCGTTTGTGAGACCTGCAAAATATAAGATTGATTAATTTGGAGAGACTCTTGAAATACATTTTTTTAAAATCTTTGTTAGTAGTCTCAAAATGTTGATCTAGACCTTTTACCACATTTTTTTAATAAAAAAATGTGATAAACTTCAATAATCTTCAGAAAATAATTTCTTTGAAACAATTTCACAAAAAGTACACAAATTCTCTCCAAAACGACTACAGTAACCACCTCACTATTTATTTACATAATGATAACGAATTATTCTACCAATGAACACTAGAGTCTCCTCCTTTAAAAATGTTTCCCATCACAAACCTGTAGATTGAGTTGCTGGCTGTGATAAAGGTCTTTGTTGTAATGCAGCCGCCCATATATTCTGATCAGCCGTTTGTCTCGCAGCTCCCAATTCACAATCAGCATCCGCAGCTGCAATTGGATGTAAAGAATCATATGCAGCAAAAGAAGTTGTTGCGAATTCCAAATGTTTCACATCATTTCTCTGTTGTTGTTGCTGTTGAATTGGTCGATATGATTGAAAAAGATTTTGATAAAGTGGATGTAATTGTTGTGGTCGATTTTCAACAGCAATTGCTGCAGCCGCTGCCGCTGCCGCTGCAACTGCTGAAGCTGAAGATGCTGATGATGATAAATTTCCATTCAAACTACTATTATTGTTATCATTTCGACCATTTTGTGTTAATTGAATAATTGGAGATGTTGATGGACCTGGTGATTCATCATCTGAATCTCCTCCTCCATGTTTTCCCTCTTTTCTATTCAATGCTTCCATAATATCATTATTTGTGCGAGATTCATGTGGTTCATTATATTCCGTGTATTTCAGAAGTACTTTATCCATATCAGTTGAAGCATATCTGACAAAAAGCAAATCAATATTGTATTCAGTTGAATAGATATTTTCACGAGAAAATACAAATTTTGTAGTTACTTGTTTACGGTGTGAAAATTTTTAGAGAAGAAATTCATAGAAATTTGGAAATTTAAAAATGACTTACTGAAAGAGTTTGTTGGTTGAATTGAAGACAATTAGAGCAATTTCACAATCACATAATACTGATAATTCGTAGGCTTTCTTCATTAATCCAAACTTTCTTTTGGTGAATGTTACCTGCAAAAAAAGTCTTGTTGGAGAAGTGGGGAAATTTTTTGGATTTCTGTATTTAGAAAGCCTTTTTTTCTAAAAGTCCAATATTGCCTAATCAATTTTTCTATTTGATAAGGAATTCTTCTCCTTAGAGCCTTCTAAACTTTTTTTGTTGAATTTTTCCAAAGTTTGCTCCCCTTTTTAAAAAATATCCTAGTTTTGAAATATCTATGTAAACATCCATATTCAATTTTTCATTCTTTTCAAGAGTTTCCTTTTTTCTGCCAATAACATAAAATTATGTTTCTTTCGTTTCGCAGATATTTTCAGCCTCCTACGCTATTTTCGTCACTTCTTAATGCTAAAAATATCGGCATGTGCACTATTTTTTCTCTTGCTCTCCCTCTTCTTTCTTCTTCTTCTTTTTTTTTCACTCCAAATATGCTCGCAAGGAGCTCGATGACGTTTCGAAGAGACGCAGAGAAAAAGTGCGCGCTGCTGGCTGCCTTTTTTATTCAGCGCCTGAATGTTTCGAGTTTCTTTTTTTCAGAGAGAAAAAGAAAAAGAGAGAAAAGAAGAAGAAGAAAAACGGAAGACGTCATCGAAAGAGGAAAAAAAGAGATTATTCTTATTATTGAGATTTTCAAGAAAAAAAAAACATATTTGAAAGATTTGTGACTATGAGCAAGAAATATTATGAGAATGTTTTTGACTGGAAAAAAGTTTGGGAAGTCTTAATTTTTGCAGTCGAACCACCAAAAAATTTGAAGTTTCAAAAATATACCTGATTTCCAAGACCATTTTAAATTTTCATGAAAAAAAATTTGAACTGGTTCAATTTTTTTGAAATTCTTAAATTTTTGGTCCAAAAAACATGGTACGTGGAACTAATCCGAAATTCGACCGAAAAAATCAGACCTTTTTTTAAATGGTCCTGTTTTGATTTAGGTGATCTGGTTAGTCTTAAAGCAACACCCTCGTATAATAAAGCCCTTGCGAAATGATTTCAAACACCAAAATATATAAAATTAACCTATCCAGCTATGCTCACAAGCAATATGAAAAAGAAATACTCAAAAACGATCAAGTTTGACCACTTTTGAGAAAAAAATTTATTTTTTTTTGAAAATCGCCTGCAGATTGTGCAGATCCGCAATTTCATGAAATTGTGCAAACACTGTGACGACAATTGTGTGCTACAGTACCCCTTTCAACTTTTTTTCCACAAAAAGTGAATTGTTTCACTGAAAACATTGAAATAAATTATAACAATGATTTCTGAACATCCTTAACTATCTCTACTTTCATTTTTGACAATGATATTACAGTATTATATTGCATATTCCGGTCAAAAACTGAAAAAAACACAATTTCCATTGAAAAAATTAGTTTTCGTCTGAAATATTGAATCTTAGTGTTTATACTTCTTCAATTTATTTTTTTCATACCCAGAAAGCAGTTGTTTCCATGCGAATTGTCATTTTCCGAAAAAAAAACGGAAAAATTTTGCGAAAAAATAAAAAGAAAACAACGAGACTCCGCGTTGACGCTAACCCGCGTTGTTTGAATTTGAGTTTTTTCAGTTTTTCAATGGGTTTTCATATTTCGGCTAATACTTATTGAAACGTTTTGAATTTTTTCTCCGAACTAGAAAACAGTAAAACTAAGCTAATTCTAAGATTTGAGAACATTTGGGCTTTTTTCAAGAAAGTGCCTATTATACGAGGGTGTTGCTTTAAAAAATTTTAAAATGTTTATCAATTCTGGAATACGTTTTCGCACGATAATTATTTACTTTGTTAAACAAAAATGGTTTCTGGAAAATACCGTACTCTATCTCTTTCTTTCATAAATACAAAAATGTTTGTTTCGCCTGGAAAATCACATGATTGTTTTCTGAAAGAAAAATAGCCAAAAAAGAAGAAGATAAATTAGTCAACTTTCTCACCTAACCTCTAATTTAACCAAAAACATGTTTCCAGGAAGACGAAGAAAGTTTTTCGAGAGAGAGAGAGAAAAGGAAAACAGTAAAAATTTTATTTATTTATTTTTGTACACTTTTTTCGCTTTACCAATATTTGTCTAGCTTCTGGAAATGAAACTGGAATTTTCCCTTTTTTTTGAGAATAACCAAGAGCCTACTAAAACGTAAAAAAAGGAAATGCTTCGAAAAAATATTTCTACCGTAGTTCATTTTCTTCGAATTCGCGAAACACAAAGGGTCTCATAGCAAAGTGAAAAGAACTACGGTAGATATATTTTTCCAATTAATTTTTCATTACTTATATGTTTGAAAAGAGCCTAACTATAAAAAAATATGATAAATTCACCTGTCGATTTCTTTCATCTTGTATCCGTGTGATTTGAATTTTCTTGCGACCCATCGCTGTTGTCACGTATCGATTATTTCCTCGAATTTTGAGAAAAAAGTTTGAAATTGGCTGAAATTTCAAATATCAAATAAAAATATACATATAAAAAAATAGAAATGTGTGGTCGGTGGCAAAAAAAAGCGACAAACAACAAAAAAAACATAGATGAGAAGTGAGAGGAAAAAGAGAAACAAAGAAGAGAGTTTAGAACTTTCAATTTTTTTCGATCAAATTTCCGGGGGTTCAAAAAAGAAATGTTTATATTTTCTATATTTTTCGATGATTAAAAATTTGCCGGAAACCGTGGCAAAAATGTTTTCATTTTTTTTTCTATTTTCTCGCGATTCGTTTTTCTATGTCACGAAAAAGACACATGATAAAAAATAAAAAGAAAAAAGAAGAGACAGGCCGAAAAAAACAGAAGGAATCGATTTGTGAAAAAATATTCAGAGGGGAACTTTGACCTTTTCATTTTTCATAAAAGAGACGAGTCGTTCTCAAAATAGACACATCAAAATTATAAATAGAATTTTTCTTATCGGAATATTTTATGAGGCGGGGCCAGGCTTTTTATCAAAAATTTGGAAAATTGAATGACCAGGTGTGGTTTGGTTGGCACAATTAATAAATTTTTAATAAAAAAGGTGGGAGGGGCTTATGAGAAAAAAAGGAGATTATGTGATATGATATGGATTTGGAAAAATAATAGAGGAAAAAGGAAACTACAGTAATTTTTTAATATAAAATTTGTCTCGAAAAATGTAGTTTAGCCTATAATAAATCGTGAGAATATGAAAACAATTTTTTTTTTTGATTTTTTGAAAACTTTCGATTTCTTCTTTCTTCTTTTAAAATTATCAAAATCATAAAAATTGAAAAACAAACTGAGAAATTTTGGAATTTTTTCACAAAAAAGGTCAGATGACCAAAAATGGAGAATTTGTCCTTCTCCTATTTTTTTCGATTATTATCTTCAATTTGAGGGGGGTGTTATCATCAATAAATAGATGATATTATTGATTGATTTGAAATCATTTTTTTTTCTTCCACCCGTCACACGAAAAAAAAACTAGATCTTAAAATAAAAAAGTCGCTCTTTTTTTTTTGAAAAAAAACGGGGGGAAACGAGAAGAAATAAAATAGCAGAAGAAAAAGCAAAAAAAGAAGAAGCAGAAGCAGAAAAGGTACCGCCCATTGCGATGAATAGTGTTGAAGTTGGAGAGACGCAGAGAAATGAAATGCGGCAGTGAAAAAAGAGCTGCTGGAGGAACGAGGGAGGGAAAAAAGAAGAAGAGGCGAAAATATGTTTCAGATATTTTTGAGAGCAAAAAATTCTGAGAGATAATTTAGGGGTTTCAGAGATTTCAAGAAGAGAAGTTGGTGGATTAAAGTAGAGTGTAGTTCGCAAAAATGTTTAGAGTTTCTGAGTTTTCTTAAGTGTTTCCAGACAAACTTTTTTAGAACAAAGCGAATTCCAAATTTTATTTTTTTAGAAATGAATCGATAGAAATCATTGAATTTACAAAAGAAAGCTCTTGACAATTATGCCACTTTGTTCCAGACAAACTTTGTTCTCAAATATATGTTTGGTCTCTAAAACTTGAAATGTTGAGTTTTTCAAATTTCCTAAATTATAATCAGAAAAAAAATCAAAATGCCGATTCTACAGATTTATCGAAACTTTTTGAAATCAATGATGGGATTATGAAAATTTGAGGGAATGGGAAACTTCGACACAGGTTTAAAAATTACGATCAACTATTTTCCAGAATAATCCGTGAGACACAACAAATTGGAACTTGCAAAAAACTCTTATAACATTTGAAAAAAAAAATAAAATCCCAGTTCTGTTCGAAAATCTAAACGTCACTTTGTTTCAGACAAACTTTTTTTGTTTTCTTAAATATATTTTTTCGTCTCTTTTTTTTCCATTGGCTCCGCCCATTTTTTAATGAGAAAATGACGAGGTGAAAAACAGTTTTAATGGATTTTCTCATATGAAAAATAAAACGCGAGCCATTTTTGAACTTTTGGCCCGAAAAAGGGGGTTTTCTAAGCTACCGTAGTTTTTTGTTGTGAAAAATATTATTTTGGATTTCGTGACAATCTGAAATTAAATGGTTCCATTTGTTATTGTCTAAAATGACATCAGTTTTTCGTTTTCCTTTTTTCTCGGTGCGAAACACAAAATTATGAAAAATTCATAAAAATCTATTTAAAATCCATAATTAATTATTCATTCCGACATGATGAGAAAGTTTGAAGACTAAAAAAATGTTCGCAACATTTTTGCAGCGGAAAATTTTATTTTTAAACATGGAGAAACTAAATAAAACTTTTATTTCTATTTCGGGAAACTCCACAATATTTCTGAAATAACAACAGAAGTTCTAATAATTTGCACCTGTTTCTGTGTTGTTTTTTTCTCGCGACGCATGAAAATAAAATAAAATAAGACTAAAAATTGAAAACTGAAAACTGAATGAGATTATTTCTTTCCCTCGATGAATTGGCCACAATGAGCTCTAATTCGGATAAAATAAGATTAGAGCGAGCGAAAAAGTGCGAAGAAATCATGTGATAAAAAAAATAAATTAGAAAGAAGAGCTATGAAGTTGAAGTTTGTGCTTGAAATGAAATGAAATGAGAAAAAAGTGTCAGAAACAGCGATAGAAAAAAAACGAGCAAAAATTGAACTCGATTTTGAATTGAAAAAAGAAAAAATAATGAGGAGAGGCGAAGAAGATGAATCAAAAACTGGAAAATAAAACAAATTGTGAAAGATAGATGGATGAAAACTGATTTTTGAGCATTTATAGAAATTAAACATAAGAAGCGATTTAAAAAAATAACTTGATGAACTAATTCGATATAAGATGGTTCTGAAAAATTCCACTTTTGAAAAAATTTAAAGGAAAATCAAGTTTGCTCTATCGTACACATGATAATGGGCCTCTGTTCCTTGTTATGGTCTGATTTAGAAAGAATACTGTAGGAATAAAACAACTTCCTCAATATAATCAACCAATATCATATAATATTTTTTTCGTTTTTCCTACAGTAGACATACTATTTTTGTTCTATTTTAATGCTCTTTTTTTCTATTTTTGTGTAGATATTCTAATGGGAATTGATTGTTTTGAGTTAGAAGAAAAGGGAGTACAACGGAAATATTGTGGTCGTAAATAACAAGAACAATTTATTAGCAGACAGACAGAAATCGTTTGAGGATTCGTAGGATAAGATAAGCACAAAAAATGAAACAAACTTCATTTAGCTAAAAATAAAATAAAATATTCAATAAGTATAAAATAAAAAGAAAGAAGTGCGTATATGTGTTTGATATCAAATTTCATATTGGTTTACCTAATTGGCAGATAAACCTATTATTATCACGACTTTGTGCTTTGAACTATCAAATTTGCAAATTCAAAACTGATTTTCAATTGAGAATTCAACGAAAATAATTTTCTGAGTTAACGGCTGGAGATTTTTAGATATGTTATGATTTTTAATTGATCTTTTAGGATCAATAAGTGTAATTCAGTACCCCAAAAGTTTTCTCGCGTTTTTGAGACCTCGCACAATTCTAGGAGTGAGATTAAAATTCATGAAATTGAACGCAGAAGTGAGAAATTAAAAATTAATTTTTTTTTTTGATACCAGACAATGTTTTTAAGAGGTTTTGTTCTAGATAGTAATTTTCACACTGTGATAAACTTTTAAAAATTTAGACCCGAATTTCAATAATCGATATTATCATCACTTGAAAAGGTTCTCTTTTCATTTTGAAATCGTTAAGCAGCAAAAAACAAAAAAAAAACTCGAAACTTGAAACTTCAAAAAAATGTGGAAAAAAAGAAAAAAAGAGGAATCCTGGGACTCGTGAGTAAAACTAAAAGTACAATATGAACCGGTTTTCTCTTCATTTCTTCCATTTTTTTCGTCCGCGCGCTCGCCAAAAAAACGTGCACGACGAAAAAATTCGATGTTGTATTGGTTGCGCGCGCGGAAAAGGTGCGCATACAATCAGTCGAAAAACAAACATAAACAATTTTTCCTCCTCCTCTTCTTCTTTTTTTTTCTTTTAAAATGGGGCGGGTTGAAAATTTTCAGATTTGCGAAGAAGAAAATCAGGTGAAAAGACGATTTGATACTACAGACAAGTTTCAGAAAATTCGAAAAATTCTGGAAAAGCAGCAGAGACGTAGAAAAGTAGAGAAAATAGTCGTGCGCGTGCGTGTGTCAATACACAAATAATAAAATGATTGTTTGTATTGGCTGCGTATCCGTAAAATGACTACGTAGACCCGATTCTAACACTGTATTTATTTGAATTATGAGGCATCACGCAACGGCCGCCACACAAAAACTATGTGTGCGCGGTGCGGCGCGGAAAAAATACTGGCGAAAAATGAAAGAAATATATGTTGGTACTATTTGTGGAAAGGGAAATGTTATAAATATTCCAGCTAAAAGACGGAAAATATAAATGATGTAAAAAGATTTTGACAGATTATAGAATTTTTGAAAAATGTAATTTTTCTGAACGTTCAAACAATTTTGAGAGTTTTACAGTAATTTTTTGAAATTTTCAGGTTACTATGCTCCGTAGTAAAATACTGTTTATATAGTTTTTAAGACTGATTGTCAGTTTTTGACCTTGTAAACTCCTCATTTTTTTAATGAGTCGAAAGTAAAAATTCAACAATGATTGACAAACTGAAACCGGTGGAACAAATCAGATAAGAATAACAATTTTAATGATCATGTTCGAGACATGGCATCTCAATCAACAACACAGATAGATGGGAACAAGTTAATTACAAATTTGTAACAAGCTTATTCCCATATTTTGTAACAATCGAAAAAGGTTTGCAATACTGACTTGTTACAAAAGTTTAACAAATTAGTTACAAAAATAATTTTAATAACTAATTTGTTTTGCACAAATCTACTCACTTTTGAATTCCGTTCACTTTGTATTATAACTAACACCTTTCCATTCACATTATTTATTAAAAATCAAAAATAGAAACATTTGAATTAGATATCTTTAGGGGTTAGGGGTTAACATAACAAAAATACTGTGGCTAATAAAATACAGGGGAAAATAATTAATTGCTCTTGGAGCAGCATCCCTGTTGACCAGCACGAACAACGGTGAAGGCGACATGAGATGGATTCCTTGAACTGACGAGGCGACTTTGAGCTGCCTTTCATAGAAAATTCTTAGTGTTCCTGTGTTGGTGACTTCCTCGAATCCATAAACATTGATAACCCAAGATAGTCTTCATCATTTCATATTGAGAGGAGACGGTGTCAGTTGGAGTTTGGATCTCGGGGTGTTCACGATTCCAGTCGACTTTTCGAGGATGACAGTTCCTCCGTTGATTTGGATAGCGACCAAATGAGCCTTCTTTTGACGGCAGTTTGGGACTTTCATTTTGAGCGACGATTCCTCCATTTAATTTGATTTCGACAAAAATGGCTTCTTCGGTGAGCGGTTGTGGACTTTCATCTGAAAACAAAGAACCATTAAAATTGATTTTCATATTCAAATTAACACACCTGAGTGAGAGTGATAACTGTCGATGAGCAGTACTTCTTGAGCTTTTTGGAGTCGGGTTCGATGAGTTTCTTTCCATTTTCATCTTTCCATTTGTTGCAAACTTGTTCTTGGGTGTGGCCCTGTAAATTCATATTACGATTCCAGAACAGTGAATTATAACGTGCGCGAAATTCGAAAATTAAGAGAATACGATATAAGGCGTTAAAAATTCCAACTCAAATAGGAAACTTTGGAGTGAAACTCATCAAAATGTTGCTGGAATTTAGGGAAACTGCGAAACAACTTTGTTCTACTATGCAAAATTGAAGATTCAATGAAAATCAAACATTAAAAGTTTTTGGCCTAAATTCGTGTGTAACATGTGAATTTCAAAGTTCTGTTGAAATTTGCAACTTGATCCTACTCGAGAATCATGTTTCTTGTCTTTTTCACAGTTTCAAAACCCTATTTTCTTCATGAAAAGGGGAAAACACGAGAAAAACGAAAAAAAAAAGAAGAAAAATGAGGGACGCGCAATTCCTCCGAGAAACGTCCACGCACCTTCTCGCTACAGGACCAATCCGGATAAATAGCTGCGCCTTTAATTCATAAATTAGTAACTAATTAGTTGTTCAATTGTAACACGTTTGTTGTGTTTTTTTCTCGTTTCCGTAATTTCTCGTTTGTAATTAGCTTGTTATGTTGAGACATTAACACTACAAGCTAATTATTATTGCAAAACTTATTAGTTACTATTTTATTTTTAGTAATTAACTTGTTCCCATCCACCTGTGAAATTGCAATCTTTCATTCCAAACAAGTGCTAAAAATTTAAATTTCATCACATGAACAGATGAAACTGCCTCTTGACAATTTTCTCTGATTTTGAATCTTTGAAAACAAACTTATTGTTAGGAAGAATTTCGTGAATTGTGGAAAAAAAAACATTTTTTCTAACTATACGATTCGCTCATAATCTAAAGCCGTAAATATACGGTATATATCAATGTTTGTTTGGGTTTCTGGTGAAGGTCCCATCAAAAAAGGCATTGGCAATAATACATAGGAAAAATACCGAGAGATTCCAGGTAGTAAATTACACACTTTGGAAAAAAAGTGAAAATCAACGTGATTTTCGGCAAATAACTTTTTTCAAACGAACAAAGTTTTTGTCGTAGGAACGTAGACAAAAATAATAAATTCAAACTCCCTCCTTGTTCGCTAGAGCGAACTTACATGATTATTTCATCTTTGCAAAATTGTGCCATCGCCAACTTATTATACGCCAGCCTTTTGCAATTGACGCATTTTGGGCTACGATTTTTTTCACTTGCACTTTCGTTGTTTTTTCTTTTAGTTTTTTTTGTTTCGTTGTGATGGACGTTTGAGAATAATTGTAGTGAAAACAAGTACAACTAACGTAAGTAAATAATGATATTATTCAATTCATTATAAATATCTTTTCAGATGTCTTCTGATTCTGAAACTGCAATCGAAGCAAGGTCTTTGGCAACATCGCCTCTTCGATCCAATGTTAATCCATTTTCACAAGTGCAGAAAGATAAACTATTAGTGATTCAATGGGAACATCTCAACCTTTATAAATTTTATCCAATGGCATTATGCAGTTCTTGGACAATTCGATGTGCTTTATATCCAATGTCAGTTGTGAAAAGTCGATTGCAATTGCAAAGACAAAATAATGTCTATAATGGCATGCGAGATGCTTTTGTGAAAATAATCCGACAAGAAGGAATTGGAGCTCTCTATAAAGTAAGTATTTTTTGCTGTATTCCATTTTCAGATGAAATGTAGAAATGCAACCAAAACAACCTAAATTTATGTTTTTCAGGGATTTTGGATGACATTGCCTCAATTGACTGCTTCGTTTTTATATTCTTCTGCATACGAACGCGCTAGAGATCTTCTCCAAACTCATTTACATATCACAAATCATTCATTAGTATCAGCATTAGCCGGAGGAATAGCTTCTCCTTGTGCTCAACTCATTTTTGTGCCAACCGATATTGTTGCTCAGCATATGATGGTTCATAATAACCCAGAAGCTTTTGGTGGAGGAAAAAAGAATATTGCTGTAGCGGATGCAATTAGAAAAGATGGATTAGAAGGAAAAAGAACACTTGGATTACGTGTTATAAAAGCTGTTTACAATGTTGATGGTTTATCGGGTTTTTATAGGTATTTTTGCTCAAAATATAAACATCAAATATTCAAATTTTGTTACAGAGGTTTTTTATCAGCAATAATGTTATATATCCCATCAACTATGGTTTTCTGGTCAACGTATTATAACTCTCTTGGAATGTTCAGAAAAATTCGGGAGAAAGTAACTGAACTGGAATATGGTGTAAAACCAACTTCGCCATCAGAAGTTGATGATAGAAATTTATTCTTGGATCAGGCTGTTAGTGGATCAATTGGAGGAGTTGCGAGTGCGATGGTTACAAATCCATTAGAAATGTTGAGAATAAGGCTGCAAGTTCATCGAACCACTTATAGAGAAACCATTTATCGATTATGGAAATATGAAAAAGCTCAAATATTCACCAAGGTAAGAGATTTTTACTCAGACGAATTCATATAAAACTTTTACCTCATTTTGCCTGGAATATAAATTATGGTTTTTCAACCTGATTGAATTTAAATTTTGCTTAAAGTTCAGAAATATTGAAAATAATGGGGGAAAAATGATATAACACGTGAGAAAAATTGAATTGAGATAAAAGATCGATTTACTAAATGTGTCAAATACTCCAAAACATTCTATTTTACAGGGTCTCGCTCCTCGAATGGTTAACAATGCACTTTATTCCAGTCTTGTCATGCTGGCATACGAAAGTGTGAAACGTTTTTCCGTTCTTCCAGAATACCAAAGTAAAGTTGTATGGTGATAGTCCAAATTGTTCTTCCCTTTCTCAGACTGGTAAATCTCTCGTTTTGTCCAACCAATTCTGTATTTTTTGTGCATGTTCTTATTCTTCATTGTATATTATTCTTACCTCCTCGATTCTGTTTCCTTTTTTTGTAATTTTCTTTTTTTTTTCAATGGAACTAGCGAGTAAATTTTCTTAAAGATCGATTGGTTTTAAATGTTTTAGAGAGTTTCAATAACTCTTATATATTTCATGTTTATTTTGTTTCTAAAAATATAATTTTAAGGCAATTCAGATGTCAGCGAAAAGAGTAGTTTCAAGATTTGATCGGGTAAATCAATGGATTCAATTTTCAAGACAATGGCATGTTATCGATGCGAATCAACAGGTAAATAATTATCGAAGTATCAATATTAATTAAACCTGATAATTTTTAGGATGCTGATCTACTGGGAGATAAGGTTGCACAACATTTGGCTGGCAAACATAAACCAATTTGGCATCCTGAAACTGATTGTGGCGATCATGTTGTTGTTACAAATTGTAAAAATATTGCAATGCATGCTTTTGATTGGAAACACACTATTTATAAATTCAATAAGGTGAGTATTTTTACTTTAAATAGCTCGATAGAAAAATAATGGTCCCAAAATTATAAATAGAAAAATCGATAATGCATAAAAATTAACGGGAACCGGATTATACTCAAAAGTTGTTTTTTCTATTCAATATTCTGTGGCACAGGGGAAATATCGAAGATGGCAGTTCCGTTTCGAAAATAACTCTACTTCTAACTTATTTTTATCACAAAACTCCGTTAGGACCTAAAACAATTTTTACACAATTCTTTTTGTAGTCAATTGTATTTTTCCAGGAATATCCAAAAAGTAAAGCAGATATCCCAGCTTGGCAAATTCATGAATATGATCCATGTCGAATTGCATTTTTGTCTATTTATAGAGTGAGTGAATTGATTTTTATTCCCTTTTCAAAATGTAGCAATGTGAATACTAAAAACAATTTTTGTCACAGGCATTGGGAAATAATTTATTACGTCGTCGACATATTCAAAGATTACACTTGTTCGCAGATGAAGAAATGCCAGAGTTTGTGAGGAAAAATATTGGAAGTCAGGTACATCTTTTTCTTACTGAAATGTTCCCTCATTTCTCTTTTGCTTTTCGGAGAGATAGAGAGAAAAAAAGGAGAAATGATTTTATTCAATTCGAAAAAGAATTTGTCTCCATCTCTAATTCTCTTCTCATTTTCTCAATCTCTCATTCGCCATTTTACACAGTTTACCTCATTTCTTTTCAAGATTCGTCAAGTTCAAGAAGTTGTGAAGAAAAGTGATGAATATACTGCAGAAGAACGCGCAAACTTCCCGAAAATTGTCAAATTCGCCCAAAATCATGTTGTTGATTGGGAAAAAAGTGTTGAAAATCCAGGAAGACATACTAAACCTGTACCAGGACAAAAGGATAAGTAAATTATTTTTTATTCATTTTAGGATAGATTACTATTTTTATTGTTACTTTATTGTTATAAATAAGATGTTTTGCCATTTCAAATTATTTTTAAATATTTCTATTCATTTCTGGTTTTCCAACCGAATTATCTTATCTTTTCTATTTTTCAAGTTCAAAAGTTTTCAAAACTTTACAATTCCAGATTTTTCAAGCATAGCTTATATGAAGATCACGGCAAAAGATCAAGTTCGGTTGATCGATAATGAACCAAAAAGAAAGAGTTTCAGGAGTGGTTAGTTTGTTTTTGTACATTTTTTATTGGTAGATTTATTTCTGACCTTCCTTCATTCAAATAATATTGAAAACCGTTTTCTAGAAAAACATTTTATTTTCAATATTTTATAATTTTTTAGAACTACGTGAAATTGCGCAGATGAGCACCGAACAAAATGCAATTCGAATGACGAAAAAACGAAGAAAAGGTGTTTTTAAACTTCGATTTGATACAAAAACGATGAAAGATGATGTTGAAAATGAGCCAGATAAGAAAAAACGAAAGGAAGCAAAACTTGACGATAAAATTATGCCTATTTTGGAGAAAAATCTCGAATTGGAGGATAGAAAAATTGAAAAAGTGGATGAAGAAGAAAGAAATGATGAAACAGAAGATGTTGGTGACAAAGCAGGTGTGTTGAATTTTAAGATAATAAGGAAAATTTTTGAATTTATATTGTTTTTCAACCACACATTTTACAAGAATTTTGCGATCTAGAATTCCTATGGCATAAAAGCAGTATCAAAAATCAGTTCACAAGAATTTTTATTTTCAACATTTTTTTTGTGTACAATTTTTATAAATTGAGATCATATTATTTCAGAATCTGTTCGAACTGATGATCTTGATGACACTATTGATTCTAGTTCAAATATACCAGATGAGGATCCTTTAGATGCGGAACAATCAGAAACAAGTAAGCTCTTCTTACAATAAAACTCTCCATTAATCTTATTTTTCAGATTCGACATCATCTCGATATTTCTCTCCTGTTGGTTCCTCAATGAGATCTGAATCAAAACCACATAAAAATAAAAAACCGGAATATTCGTTTATTTTGGGTAAGAATTTAATTTCAAAGATTTATCGCAAAACTTTTTTATTTCAGAAAAGTTTCCAACTTATGGACGAACTCGAGAGCAGAATAATGAGGTGAATAGGCTAAGAATGCAATTTTTGAGAGCCAGGAGAAAATGTGAGTTTTATTTTCGCCGGAAACAGTTTTACAAGAAAAACGTATTTTTAGTCATTGCAATGTTAGAAGAAAATGGAGAACCTGCGGAGAATATTGATAACTATTCTGAACAAGGTAAAGAATATAATTTATTCGAAGAAATTTATCAATTTTTTGAAAAATTATAGATATATTGAACTTTGCAAAACCAATAAATCGAGGAAGTCCGACAAAAGAAAAACAAAAAGAATCGAAACCAGTTAACCATCGAAAAATAGAAAAACCGTCATCTTCAATTTCAAATTCAAGCTCAAATTCCAATTCGATTTCAAATCCACAACAAGTTATTGAAAATGAGTCACAAGATATGACAAATGAATGGATGTATGCCACGCCTTCTCAACAACAAATACCGCAATATCAAAATGATTATACACAGATTGTTCAAATTTCAAATGGTTAGTTTTTAATTCAAAATTTGAGAAAAAAAAAAGAAAAAATAGAGCACATGAAAAAATTTCTGTCAATGTTAATTTCAAATCGATTTCGAAAGCTAAGCTTTTGACAAATTGTGTTCTTCCAGATTTTGTATTTTGAGAATTGAATCTGATGGAACTTATTTTCTCGAAATATCCAAATATTCAAAAAATTCTGGATCATAAAATTATAATTAATTATTTTGCAGGTATTCTTCCTGGTCTCGAATCAAATCGTTACAATTCCTCAAATGAAACAACATCATCTTCATCTTCTTCAGCCGCAAATTATTGGGAATATTCTTTGTCTTCATCTGTTCCAACAAATTCTGAAATAAATTTAATTGAATCAATACGAAAACGTAACCTTATGTATAATAATTTTGAAAATTTATAAATTTTTGATTTTGTTCTAAATTTTTGTTTCATTCTTTGGTTTTGGTTTAGCAACCATAAAAGTGCATGATATTTTCAGAGAAAGTTATAGATTTATCCAATTAATTTTCAGATTGGGCAAGATGAGTAGATTAATAAAACCGAGATGGAAAACGAAAGAAGAATATAATCAATTGAAAATTAGGCTGAAATTAGAAAATGAACAGAATGGTTTGTTTTTATAAAAATATGAACTTTCTGAAAAAAAATCTTGGATTCAGGAAATATAAAAAACAGTTTTAAACAATTTTTCTATGAGAAAATTATTGTGAGAAATATAGTTTTTGAAAATTTCCTGGTTGTCCACAATCGAATTTTTGTTTATTTTATTTCAGCAAATTTTTTATATTTTCGAAACACTTTTTAAAAATCGATTTTTTTACAGTTTCACAGATAGATGGGAACAAGTTAATTACAAATTTGTAACAAGCTTATTCCCATATTTTGTAACAATCGAAAAAGGTTTGCAATACTGACTTGTTACAAAAGTTTAACAAATTAGTTACAAAAATAATTTTAATAACTAATTTGTTTTGCACAAATCTACTCACTTTTGAATTCCGTTCACTTTGTATTATAACTAACACCTTTCCATTCACATTATTTATTAAAAATCAAAAATAGAAACATTTGAATTAGATATCTTTAGGGGTTAGGGGTTAACATAACAAAAATACTGTGGCTAATAAAATACAGGGGAAAATAATTAATTGCTCTTGGAGCAGCATCCCTGTTGACCAGCACGAACAACGGTGAAGGCGACATGAGATGGATTCCTTGAACTGACGAGGCGACTTTGAGCTGCCTTTCATAGAAAATTCTTAGTGTTCCTGTGTTGGTGACTTCCTCGAATCCATAAACATTGATAACCCAAGATAGTCTTCATCATTTCATATTGAGAGGAGACGGTGTCAGTTGGAGTTTGGATCTCGGGGTGTTCACGATTCCAGTCGACTTTTCGAGGATGACAGTTCCTCCGTTGATTTGGATAGCGACCAAATGAGCCTTCTTTTGACGGCAGTTTGGGACTTTCATTTTGAGCGACGATTCCTCCATTTAATTTGATTTCGACAAAAATGGCTTCTTCGGTGAGCGGTTGTGGACTTTCATCTGAAAACAAAGAACCATTAAAATTGATTTTCATATTCAAATTAACACACCTGAGTGAGAGTGATAACTGTCGATGAGCAGTACTTCTTGAGCTTTTTGGAGTCGGGTTCGATGAGTTTCTTTCCATTTTCATCTTTCCATTTGTTGCAAACTTGTTCTTGGGTGTGGCCCTGTAAATTCATATTACGATTCCAGAACAGTGAATTATAACGTGCGCGAAATTCGAAAATTAAGAGAATACGATATAAGGCGTTAAAAATTCCAACTCAAATAGGAAACTTTGGAGTGAAACTCATCAAAATGTTGCTGGAATTTAGGGAAACTGCGAAACAACTTTGTTCTACTATGCAAAATTGAAGATTCAATGAAAATCAAACATTAAAAGTTTTTGGCCTAAATTCGTGTGTAACATGTGAATTTCAAAGTTCTGTTGAAATTTGCAACTTGATCCTACTCGAGAATCATGTTTCTTGTCTTTTTCACAGTTTCAAAACCCTATTTTCTTCATGAAAAGGGGAAAACACGAGAAAAACGAAAAAAAAAGAAGAAAAAATGAGGGACGCGCAATTCCTCCGAGAAACGTCCACGCACCTTCTCGCTACAGGACCAATCCGGATAAATAGCTGCGCCTTTAATTCATAAATTAGTAACTAATTAGTTGTTCAATTGTAACACGTTTGTTGTGTTTTTTTCTCGTTTCCGTAATTTCTCGTTTGTAATTAGCTTGTTATGTTGAGACATTAACACTACAAGCTAATTATTATTGCAAAACTTATTAGTTACTATTTTATTTTTAGTAATTAACTTGTTCCCATCCACCTGTGTTCTCAATATCTTTCGAATTGTGGAAAAATTGAATTGGCTAATGAAACTGAAGAAAATGATATTTATGGTATTTTCTAGTATTTTCTATACATTTTCACTTATTCTTATTATTTTCAGACTTTCCCCTATATTGAAAAACAAGATGGTAAGGTATTCATTTTCTGGTTTAAAGGTTTTTCAAAAATCGAAATTCAGCTATGAAAATTCTGTCGAATAGATTGAGAGTGCCTGGAAAAGGGAACACACGATTTGAAAGTAAGATACTTAATTTTAAAAACATATTTTAAAAAATCTTGGAATTTCAGCTGGATTCGAAATGACAGACGACGAAATGTTGAATGTTGTCAGAAAGTTTTTGGATTATCTGGAAACTACGGGAAAAACATTCAAATATGTCAATAGTTTTTCGATATCTTGTAAGTTGTATTTGTTGTTCACACGAAATTATATTAATTCTGAAAATAAGAGACAACATTCATTCTTCTATCGCATCCTATCCTTCTTGTCCCTTAATCTATCTTTTTTTAGTTATGCAAAAAATATTGGAAAAACTCAAAACTGATCCAACTTCAGCCGTCGAAATATTTGAACCAGAAATGCGAGAAGATTTGAAAGATTTTTATGTGGAATTGAAACGAGAAGTTCAAATAACTAAAATTGATATTTATGATGTTGTTGATCAATGTAAGTTTTTCAATTTTTAAAAATTATAGTTAATATTTAAAATAAATCCGTACTTTAATTTTAGTCATCCGGTATGCAAAATATATCAAATTATCAGCAAATTGGCCGAATACAGTAACCATAGGACGTTAGTTTCATTTTTTAAATGAATAGTTTTCCATGAAAAGGTTACTGGATTTTTCCAGAAATGAGACGAGTTCTAGTGAAAGTTCCGAATCACATTAAATATGGAATAAATACGGAAGACAATTATTCAATTCCTATGGAATTTGGTGAACAAACGACGAAAGAATGTGTTCCAAAAATAAGCTTGACTGAAAAAAGACGAAGAAATGCCAAAAAATGTGAGTTTTATTGTTAGTTAAATTCATTTTGAAAACAAAATAATTTAAGCGAAAGATGAGATTGCGGATATAAATAGAAAAAGATCGTTAATTTGGAGACAACATTTTCAATCGCCGGCGATTTATCAACCAAGAACAGAGGATTTTCGAAATTACAGAAAAATGGAAAATTCTAGAATGTATTATAATCTTCCAGTTCTTGATTATTATCCGACATCTTTGAAAAAACAAGAAATCAATAACAATAATAATTATGTGAAAAATTATAAACCAATCCAGAAACGAATTGAGATAATTGAGAAACGTAAGTTTAAAAAATATTGTAATTTCCAAAATTTTTTCAATTGAATGTTGTGAAAAATTTATCCAAAATACCTTAATTTTTTAAAAATATATAGTTTTTTTTCGTAATTTTCGAGTCATAATGATGATTTTTGTCTTTTACTGATAAATTAAGTAGCACAGTAAATTTTCACATTTCATATATTTTTTATCCTTCTACTGTGAAGGGGAATCGGTGAACATTTCAAAAACTAGATTTTTTAAAGACAAATTAGTTCATTTTGAGAATATACAATTTTCCCCCAAGAAGACATTCATCGGATTTGCAGCCATCTTTTTGCAAATCCATTTTTCCAGAATTTCCAAGACATATTCCAATCATAATGCCGAAATTCAAAACGTGTACTAATTTTCAAATGCAGAGTAAGATTTTTTTGAATTTCATTTTCGAAAAATATACAGTGCGTTTCATAATGATAGGTTCACCCCCAAAATTTCTGAAATCAGCCGAGGTGTGAGTTGTAATAACAATCCGAGTTAAAAATAAAAAAGAGCACACAAAATTAGCTAAGAAAACTCAATTTTATCTGAAACTACCAAATAATAAAAAAATAAATGACCGGAGTTCAAAAATTTCAAAAATTTAGCGTTTCAAAACGATAGGTTCACCCGCAGTAGTACTGTAGTTATGTTTCGTGGTAGGAGTTTTATCGAATATTCTGGAAAATACGAGTGATATTTGATTATTTTAACGTGTTTCTGTTTTTGTTCTCGTTTTTTCACGTCATTCATCAATGTCGCGGGGAAGTCATCTTACAAAAGAGGAACAAGCTCAAATTAGAGCATTCAAAATCGCCGGATGGTCCAATAGAATGATTTCGTCAAAATTGAAACGATCTCTCAACTGTATTAATCAATTTGTCAACAATCCGGATCACTATGAGCGAATGAAAAACACTGGAGCTCCCAAAAAACTCACGGAGAGAGATAAACGAGGGATTGTTAGGTTGGCTTCGAACACAATGAAATCGTGTAATGACATCAAAAACGAGCTGGGTTTGAATATCAGTAAGACTACAGTTTGGAGAGCCATAGACCAATCCCCAGAAATCGTTCGAGCCAAATTGGTGCCAGCTCCGCGTCTCACACTTCGCCACAAAGACAACCGTCTTACTTTCGCAAAAGCCAACATGGCCACAGATTGGGATAAGGTAAGTAATTTTTCTAAAAACATCAAATATTGATGTTTTCTTGTTCAGATAATTTTTTCTGACGAAAAAAAGTTTAATCTTGATGGTCCGGATGGTTACAACTCATACTGGCATGATATCAGAAAGAATCAACTTCGCTTCCCAAAGAGAAATTTTGGAGGAGGACGGGTTATGTGTTGGGGCGCATTTTCTGCAGCTGGAACGTTAAAAATAGCTTTTGTTTCATTCAAGATGGATTCGTTAGATTACCAAAAAACCCTCCATGACTATCTTTTGCCATATTTGAGGCGGTTCCGGACCAGAAAGTTCACTTTTCAACAGGATAATGCTGCCATCCACGTCAGCCAATCATCAAAAGATTGGTTCAAAAGCCACAAAATCAAAGTTTTGGATTGGCCAGCGTGTTCTCCTGATCTTAATCCGATGGAAAACGTATGGGGGGAGCTCGTTCGCCGAGTTTATGCTCAAGGAAAAAATATGATACTGTGGACCAACTCAAAGATGCCATCGAGACGGAATGGAATAAAATCGATAAGAACTACCTCAAGAGACTTGTTGACTCGATGCCAAATCGTCTCTATGATGTCATTTCTAAACATGGAGGTCCAACTAAGTATTGATTTTCGATTATATGTCTCCAATGGGAATTCTGGATTAGGTGAACCTATCGTTTTGAAACGCTAAATTTTTGAAATTTTTGAACTCCGGTCATTTATTTTTTTATTATTTGGTAGTTTCAGATAAAATTGAGTTTTCTTAGCTAATTTTGTGTGCTCTTTTTTATTTTTAACTCGGATTGTTATTACAACTCACACCTCGGCTGATTTCAGAAATTTTGGGGGTGAACCTATCATTATGAAACGCACTGTATATCTATGTCGATATTTTTCAGATGCTCGATTTCCTGTTTTTGTTCCAAAAACCGCTGTCAAACAGTTCATAAATGTTGGAAAAGAAAATATGGAAACTATCAAGAATCGACAAATGTGTAAGGAATTTTTTTTGAGTTCTAAATAATTTTCAAATTTAAAACAATTGTTTTCAGTTAGTCTACATCTTCAAAGATGCCAATTCCCAATCACAGATATCTCATTGTATTCTCAAGATGGTAAGTCCAATAATTTCAAGCAATAAAAATGGCATTTTTCTAGATATTCTTCGAAACTTGCATAATATGCCACAAGAATATCGTCTGAATTTGGAGAAAAAAATTGATGAAATCCAAAACCGTTAGATTTAAATTCAAATTTAAATGCATTTCTTTTTTGTTATGATTATTTTTTTGTTGTTTTGTTTTTGTAGAAAATATATTTGTTTTTCATTGAAAAAAATGTGATTTTTAAATGACCGCGCAGAAAAATATAGGTCAGTGAAAACGAGATTGAAGAGACGCAGACATTTATTCAGGATATTGATTTTCGCAATCTTCCTGTATTTTTTTTTTGAATTTTTACACTCGAAAAATTCATAAAATGAGACGACCTGCAGCATGTTTTGAGATTTTCGAAATTCCAAATGCTGCTTTGGTTACTGTTTCTCTACAGGTAAGTTATTTCTTTTTTTTTTGAAAAAAATTTATGATAAAGATTCTAGATTTTGACAATGTTAGCTGAAATTGGCATTTATTTTATGCTCGAAAATTATGGATTTTTCACAAATCCCTCATTTTTTCGACTAGTTATTATTCCAATTGCAATAGTTTATATTGGCGGAGGAATTTTGGCGATTTTTGGGGTCTTGACACGAAAAAGATTGTTGATTACGGTACATTCAACGATTACTTCGACTCTGATGGTTTTAACGGATATTTTAGCGGTTTCTATTATTTTTCTAATGGCTATTGGTTAGTTTTGATGAAAAAATTAAATGTGGGAAATTTTTGAAATTGTGGACTTGTTTTGAAAATACAATGGTCCCCGTAAATGATAATTTTTATTTAAAATAATGGACCATTAAAGTTTCAATTAATTTGAACTTTGATGTTAACTTGTTTTGAGCCAAGAACAATGAAGACGGTTGAAATATATAAAATTAACTTATTCCTCAAAGTTTCCAAATGTTTTATTGAAAATTGAGCCACACTCAAAAATATTTTATTTAAAATTCTAACAAACTTGGAGAGTCAAATGAGAACTTGAAATATTTTACAGAAAAATATTATTTGATTTAGCTGCAAAAAAATCCAAAAGCTACAGTAATCCTGGACGTTTCTATGGATAAACTTCGAGTGGGAGTCAGTTTTACATTTTATACAATCTTCCATTATTTTGCAGGAAAACGTAGTGATTATCTTCATAATCTTCATCGAGGTTTTGTCAATGAAAAGAAATTTTATGAGTAAGTTTTTAAAAATATTTTTCTATTGATAATTACAATTTTTCAGAATTCTCGGTCCATTTTGGATGTATCTTGGCGCAATTTTTCTCCATGCCACAGTTGCTGTAAATATGGCATTTTTACAACCACTCAATGATTTTTCAAAATTTGTTGAGGTAATTTTCAATTTTTTTTTTGAATTGTTGAATTGAATAACAAACAAACTATAATATTTATATACCACATTTTGAATCATCTCAAAATTCGACCTCTAAACTTTTTCACTTTCTTGTGTGTTTTTTCATAAGCTTTTGTTGTCTGTCCTTGGTGTCTTTTATAATCCATACGAACATCCTAATTATAGCAAGAAAAAAAACTATATTTCATTTTATTGGAGGTTTTTATAACCTTGAAATTCACACTTTTAAGAATATAAAATGGATTTCGAGAATAAAATATATTCTTGCAGAAAGAATCTGAAATTGCCAAAACCGCCCTTCAATCTTCATATTCTTCAACTTCTTCTTCGCCATATTCAAAATAAAAATCTTTATTTTTCCAATAACAATAAATATATGAATTTTTTGCAAAAAACTTTTTAGAGACAATTTCAGTCGAGGTAGAAATACAAAAAATATTGAAATTATAAATTGAGATGTGTGGCACAAGTTTGACGGAAAAGTGTGCAACACATTGTTGTGACGTGTTGAACTTGTGAAAGAAGTGTACAAGCCTGAAAAATGCTCAGCTTATTAAGGGAGTTATTGGGGAATCTCAAAAGTTATGATTTTTTTTCTTGAAAAGCTTAGAAAATATTCGATTAGGTACTTTGAAATTAATCCATAAACTTTCCGATGACAAGTTTTTTTCTGAAAGTTTTAGGCTTTTTGGAAAGATGTTAAAAATGTTATTCTCTGACTCTGCCCCTCAAAATGTTTTATATTTTTTCAAAACTTACTTTCCACATATGCGATGCAACTTTCATATTATGTCTTTCTGACCAAGATGTTACTTTCCCAAGATATTCGCTGAAATATGATTCACAAACTTTGAGATCTTCATGATCGGCTCCACATCCAGAAGAAGAAGAAGTTTGAGGAATATTTGCTTCTTTGGTTGTTGTTGAAGAATCAATGATTGGAAGAACTGAAAAAACTACAGTACTCAAGGCAATCTATTTATTCTCATAAAGTTAATGACAATCTGTTTGCAAAAATTGGTTCAAGAAAATTTTTGTGCTACCATTTTCATACATAAATCTAATTTTTTCAATTATAAAAATGGTATCTTGCTTAATCCCAACTTATCCCATCAACTGTTTTTGTATAAATTTCAAAAATATCAAACCTTTTGGTGTTAATGTAGTTGTAGATGTTTCCTGTTGTTGTTGTTGTGGTGCATCATTATTATTATCTTCTGTCAATGGTTTTTCTTCTAATTGTGATCCAATATTTTCAATATTTTTCTGAGTTGTCGAAGTTGCCAATAATTCCCCGCTTGATTCATTGTCTTCAATTGGTTTGATTGGTGTTGTTGGTTCATTTCCAGATGCTTCAACTTCTTCAAGAATTGGTGTTTTCGTTGTTTTTACTTCGCTTTCTTTTGGTGCATCTTCTAAATCTTCAACGATTTTTGGTGTTGATGGAATTTCAATTGAAGCTGGTGTTGTCGTGGAAATTGCAATTGGAATTTCTTTTGTTGTCGTATTCTCTTCATCATTTGTTTTAACCGTCTCTTCTTTTTTCACCCCACAACCTTCCAAATTACAAACTGAAAATGATTGAGGAGTTGATTGATGTTTTCTAATTTCGAATTTTGGTGTATATTGTCCGGCAACAACTGCAATTTGCAATGGAATACATCCATTTTCATCAGTTCTCGAAGTCAAAAATTCTTTGTTGATCAAAATATCATAACTCAATTTTCCATTTACATTTTTCACATTTTCTTCACTCAATTCAATATTATTTTGTTCATATGATTGTGGTAATTGATATCCTTCAGTTCTATATAATCCTTGTTTTTTCCAATTTCCATTTTCAGCAAAAATAACAATCATATTCAAATCTTCCATACTTTTTCCAACTCCAATTGCTGTATACCATCTTCCTTTTTTTGTGTTCTGATTCACAGTAAATCTCACATTTTCTCCTTCGATTTTCCATTCAACTCGATTTTTTTCTGATTCTCCGCCACTTTCACAAACTTCTTCTTCAGCACGTTTCACAACTTCTGAAAAAAATTTTGAGGATTTTAATTTGATGATTAAAATTAATACCGGTATGTGATTTGACAGCACAATTCAATGAAATATCACAAACTCTCAAAGTTTTCGAGGTAAATGGGAATGAAAGTGAGGATCCGGATATAATTTCGGCATTTTCAGCAGGGAAATAGAAGGTCTGAAAAAAAGAAAATATTGTGGGAAGGTTGGAAAATTAGGAATTACGGCACAATCCGTGAGATCAGCATCCGAACTATCGATTGATTCAAGTGGTCGAGCAACTGCAAAAAATAAATTTCAAATAACTTCAGAAACGCAAAGATTTCTCAACTCATAGATCAAAGAAAAATTAAAATTGGAGTACTGTAATTTTAAGGTTAGTATTTTTCTACTGTTTCCAACTTTCCTCAAAATTAAAATTAACATTAAAGGGTTGGTGCTCCGCCAGGGAATCTTGATTGGTTTAGATAGAAATAAGGTGCTTCTGGAAGGTTCCAGTTTTAGAAAAAATTCTAGTATCAATTCAGCCCATGTTTTTCCTCAAAAACACAAGCGAGTTAAAACCTACGAAATAAAGCATGTAAATGCGCTCTAGCGCACAACTTGTTTTTGAATTTTTGTGTGTGTGTTTGCACACAACTTTGAAAACAACACTGTGACGCCTTTTTGCAGACGATTTTTCCACCAGGAAAGCACCAACCCTTTAAATTAATATTTAATTTTCACACATTTCCAAAGAAGTTATTTCTACAGTAACCCATATTTTGGCTCAAAATAATGAATCTTACTTTGAACCCTTTTTTCTAAAACCCTTTTCTAGAATTTTATGAAAAATTTAAAAGAACCCATTTAGTGTTTTTTTTGCGTAAAAATTCCAGTCTCAAAGTATTTCTACAGCAACTCACATTGCGCAGTCAAAGTATTATTTTGATAATCAAATTGTAATGCTTGAACATTAGTTCTTTCATCCGATTCAATTTCTTCATCTACATTTTTTCCATCAATTAATCCGATTTGTCCAGATCTTACATAAACTGCAATCACATCTGTCTGCAAATATTATGGAGTTAGTCTTTTTTCCAAAAAATTCAAATTATTTTCAAAAATTCACCGCTTGACTTCCTGAATTCCCAAATCCAATCGAAGTGTAAAAATTGGAGAAATTTGATTTGGCGACAAGTTTGAAAACAACATCATTGCTCAATTCATCGAAACTCCAGTTTATGGAATAATTTGGCAAGGAATATGAGCATTTCTGGAAAAAATTTGGATTAAAAACTTTTTTGAAAATGACTTATGAAATTTATGATGGTTTGAAAAGAAAGGAAAAGTAGGTCTGAGAATTACAGTAAAACTAAAATTTTCAGAATTTTGATATTCGACTATTTTAAAATTTTCATGAAATTCCTAACATAAGTGATTCGAAAACATTTAAAAAGTAAAGTTTCCCTGATGGAACAAAACAAAAAAGATAGAATTTGTTGTTTTTCTTTTTTGCTGTGAATGAATGACCGTGTATATGTTGTGTAAACAATGTGAAAAGCACTTGAAACTTTGTTTTTTGGCAGGATATAGATATGTCCGATTTTTGAAGAGAGCTCACCTCAGCTCAAAATAACCTGATTTCGTGTCAAACTTTTTTCTGCTTTTTTTTCAAAAATGAGTTTAATATTTTTGAAAAATCGGATTTGTCTGGTTTTGGTTTTGGTTATTAAACTATGAAAAATGGATTATCGATAGAAATGAAAACGAAATTGGAACTTAAATTTTTGCAAAAAAAAAGTGTGTTCAGCAACACAAAATGTTCCCTGTTGAAAATTTTTCAGGATTTTATGAATTGCAATTCAATATCTTCTTCCTTGTTTTTGAAGTTTAAAAACTTACATCAGTTGAATAATGTGTTGATATTCCTCTAGAATTCACAAAGGAAAACAATAATAAAAAACTAGTGAAAATGAAAAATGTTACAAATCGTATCATTTTTTGGTAGAAAATCTTTTTCTCTTTCAACACTAATAATAATAATAACAATATGAAAATAGCTGGTGTTGCTGGCTGCGCAGTTTCCTCCTACAGTCGTTGAAACTCCGCCCAAATTTCGAAAACTCCTCCTCTTCGTTTTTTCTCGTGTTTCTATTCCATCGAAAGAAAGGTCAAGAGGTGGATAATTTGTTGGAACGAGAAAGAAAAAACAACACATTTTGGAATTATTAAAATAACTCGAGACTTGTTGAAGGATATTTTTTAGAATTGAATATTTGAAACAATGATTGTTTTTCTGATAAATACTTTTAAAAATGAAAAAAGAGCAACAATTTCATGACAAAAAATGAAATAAAATATTTTTGTTTTGTTAAAATTCACACCCGTTCAAGCCACGCAATGAATGTTTTCTACTGTAAAACGAAAAATCTGCAAATGAAAAAAACTGTGCAAACACTTTTGTCTAATTCTCTCTGTTCGCCGTTATATTTCGCACTACAGTATTAAAGGAGCATGATAAATTTAATGCGTTGGGTCTTGTCGCGATTGCTAACTTTCTTCGTAGGACCTCAAAAAATAAGAGAAGTAGCAAGTCAGGTAGAACTCGAGGGGCTGATTTTCATGCTATATTTAGTTTTTCATGAACCTTATCTAGATTTTGAGCTACTGGGTGCACCGTTTTTACAGCGTTTTGCTGATTTTTGTGTTGCTTGAGCGGGTGTGAATTTTACTGTTTTTGCTGATTATCATTAGAGCGAACATGCAACATTTATTGTTTTCAAAAAAATTTCCGAGTTTTTCCCACACCCGTTCAAACAATGAAAAAATTAGAAATTTCGTTTATTCACACTGCGCCACAATTTTCAAAGGAATTTGATAACCAAATAGAAAAAGTAAATATACCATTAGAATCAGCGCATCGAGATCTGTGTGAGACTACGCATTTCGAAATTTCTAGGGTCCTGCGAAGAAAGTTAGCAATCGCGACAAGACCCAACGCATAAAATTTATCTTGCTCCTTTAATACTGTAGTGCGAAATATAACGGCGAACAGAGAGAATTAGACAAAAGTGTTTGCACAGTTTTTTGTTTCGTTTTACAGTAGAAAACACTCATTGCGTGGCTTGAACGGGTGTGTTCCGAGTTCAAGTTTTTCAACTTCCGACTAGGCTCACAAACGTTTCAGAACAATGGCAAGTCAGATTTTAACTTTCAAAATCACGGATTTTTTGGATATCTCTCTGATGGGAAAATTTATCGGAGAAAAAGGATGCAATATCACGAAAATTGAGAAGGAAAATGATGTTTGTTTGGATATTTTGGGAGAAATGCTGAAAATAACCGGACAATATTGGAATATTAAAGCGAGTTCAATTAAATTCTCCCTAAATCTAGTAAAGTATTAAGAATTTTCAGCAAGCTTTATTGGATGTTCGAAGTCTTCTAACTGCAATTCGAAATGAAAACAATCGATTTTCAACGAAAATTCCATCGAAATATGTGGGTTTCATTATTGGTAAGCAAGCATTAATTATTACTTTTTTTGTTACTTCACATAATACTATTGTATCTGGAAACCGCAAAAACCAGTTATAACATAATATATTTTCACTTTTTCCATTCTTCTTTTTCTTTATTTTCAGGTAAGAATGGTGCCAAAATTAATGAAATTAAAACGACAGCCAATGTGAATATCGAAATTGACAAAGAAAATGAAACTGACTACATTCCAATTGTTATTGTTGGTGGGTTCAGTTTTGTTTTTGAAAAAAAAACCCGAAAAATATTTTTCAGGAAATTACAATCAAATTTTGACAGCAGTTCGTTTGATTCGTGACCATCTTTCATCGTTCGGGAAGCACAAACGGGGAAAACAACAGATATTAGAAGAAGTCGAAGAAATTTGGTAAAACAAAATATGATTTATTTCTCTAATTCTCTTCATCTCCCACACTGTTTCGTTGCCGTTTGTTATGCGTCAATCTCATGAGACTGGCGTCTTTTTTGTTTTGTTGGCGTGGAAAAAGTGCGCGATTTTTCTTTTTGTTTCTTGTACTTTGACTATGAATTTAATAATTTAAATGAATGTTTGTTGGAAAATCATGTGTGCTAAATAAGAAATATGTTCTCAAACTACTCTTTTGTTCAAATACTTTTTGAAATGTATGATTTCATTAATTGTAGATTTTCAGAAAATGTTGGGTAGTGTATTCCGCCGTGCGGTTTCTCGCCAAGTTTCTCGACCGATTTCCACAACAGTTCAAGCTGCTCAAGAACAAAAAGAGACACCCAAAAAACGTAAGTTTTTAAAAATAAATTTTCAAAAAAAAAATAAATTTTAGCAACAATTTGGAAAATCGATGAGCAAAAACGTGATCGTCTCGCAAATTTCGGACGTTATGCCGCTGAATGTTTGCCAAAATTCGTGCAACGAGTTCAATTTGCTGCTGGAGATGAGCTCGAACTTCTTATTCATCCATCAGGGGTTGTTCCAGTTCTCTCATTCTTGAAAGGAAATCACTCGGCCCAATTCACCAATTTGACATTCATCACTGGAATGGATGTTCCAACACGTAAAAATCGACTTGAAGTTATCTATTCTTTGTATTCGGTTCGATTCAATGCTCGAGTTCGTGTTCGAACATATACCGATGAAATTGCTCCAATCGATTCAGTTACACCAGTTTTCAAAGGAGCCGATTGGTTAGTTTTTCAATGTTTTATCTGAATTTACTACAACACAATATTTTGCAGGTTTGAACGTGAAGTTTATGATATGTATGGAGTTTGGTTCAATAATCATCCAGATTTGCGAAGAATTCTCACTGATTATGGTTTCGAAGGACATCCATTCCGTAAAGATTATCCACTTTCCGGATACAGTGAAGTATATTTTTTCTCTACTAAATGTTTTTTCAATCGAGTCATATTTTAAAAATTTGGTTTTAGGTACGATATGATCCTGAATTGAAACGTGTTGTTTACGAACCATCCGAACTTGCTCAAGAATTCCGAAAATTCGATTTGGACACACCATGGGAAACTTTCCCAGCTTTCCGTAATTCTTCAATCACAAGTGGTTATGAAACAATTCACGAACCAGCAGCACCAGCTCCAGAGAAGAAGTAAATAGAATTATTATTGAGTGTGTTATTTTAGTGGTTTCAGTAAATACATTTAAATTTGATAATTTATGATCAAGTAAGTGAAAAACGTTTTTACAATTCAAAGCTCAGAAAAATACACTTATGGCGTTTCATCTTCTTCATCAAGAAGTGGTGGTGGATCTCGGTAAATATCTGAATGCATTGGTTTTCCAGCCATTTCCAAAACAGCTCGTGCTTCCGGATCTTTGTCAATTATCGATTTTTCTTTCTTTTCGGGAATTATATCACCATTCTCATCTCGATTTACTGGTTTTTCACCAACTCGCCAAACTTCCATTGTTTCAATTTGAAATTCTTTTTCACCTGCTACAAAACATTTTTCAAAAGCCACCGAGTCTTTTTGACAAATTCCAGACCCATATTCTTCATGGATAAAAACAGGCCAAACATCCTCTTTTCCTCCAATTCCCTATAAAAATGAACAATATACAAGAAATTTCTGATGTTTTCGTGAAAACTAACCAATCCATTTGGCAAACTTTGTTGTTGATAATTCAAATATGCATAATTATTTTCTCTTCCCGTCGATGAATACAAATTAATATTATCTTTTCCGATTTCAAATAAAAAACATTGTTCATTTCCATGATAAAGTGGACCTGATTGAAAACCGGCGGATGCGAAAAATCCGAATGTTTTCTGATTCTCAGATCGAATTAAAACAATACACGATCCTTCGCGATTTATTCGTTTCACCATTTGAGAAAATGAATCACCCATTGATGCACTGAAAAAAAACAAAACAAACTATAACGAAAGAAAAAACTAGATATTTTTGGAGATTATGTTTACATGCATAATTGTTATATTTTAATCGGGTTTTCATAGAGGTTTAACACGTGGATAATTTAAAAGTACAATTTTTAAAAAGGGATAAAAGTTGGAAGGGATAAATTCGAAAATTTGGAATTTTTATCTCATTAAATAGTGAATCAAAAATAATAAATGGGTGAATCGCAGAATAGTCCCCCACCTCAAAGTAAGCCCCCACCAACAAGTAAAAGTCCCCACCGAGTCCCCACTCAATGGAAGTGGGGACCGAAAATGACTATGTGGGGACTTATTTTTGGATGAGGACCTATATTGGGGTGGGACATATATTTGTATGTGGGGGCCTATTTTCACATAATTTTAATAGAGTTGGGGACTTTTATTTCGATCATAGGGTATTTCGGAAAAAAGGTCCCCACCACCCTCATTTTGAGCCCCCACGTGTCAACTTACTTTTAGGTCCCCACCAACAAGATTTTTGACCATAATAAGGTGGACCTATAATATGTCTGACCAGTGGGGACTTAAAATGACATAGGTGGGGGACTGTTCTACGATTCACCCTAATAAATTCAGTTCAGATCACACCTCGGCCAAAATCGTGGTTTCCATAATAAAAAATTGTACGCTAACTTTTTACAGTACAAAAATTGTGAATTTTCAATGTTTGACCTCTAAAAACTGAAATTCAGATTTTTCAAAAAATTGTACTCTGGCCAGCCACGGCTTGGCCGAGGTTTGGTTCAGATTCAAATTAAGGTTAGATTTTCCGGTCTTAAAATCATCGTAAAATGTCAATCTCAAATAACCTAATTCAAAATTACCTTGAAAACAATAATGTCCATTTCTTTTGCTGATCCATTGGTAAATGTGAATTCAGAACAAGTAAATCTGAACTATCTAAAAGTGAAGATTTCACATTTTGAAGATTTGGTTGAATTGGCTTCGAAACTTTCGAAAGAATTGAAGAAAACACGAATTGGCTCATCTAAAAAAAGTTGCTTTTCAATATTTCGAATAAATTTTAAAATAAAAAAACAAACCTTGACGAATAGTGGATTTTCGAGTAGAAACATATCAAATTTTTCATTTCCAAATCGATTTGTTTCATTAAAATATCTTATTAATTTTTCATGATTTGAAATCGCATTTGCTTTTGAATATATTGTCACAATATTTGATATAATATCGTTTGCAAATAAATTTTTCAGAATTTCAGATTGTTCAGAATATGTGCCAAATGCCGAATTGCACATTTGTAAAACACTTGGAATTGTCACTTTATTATCTTTTGCGTCTTTCAAATAATCGAAGATTTTGGTGGAAAATTGATTGAGTATTGGAAAGGCGGCCTAGAAAATACGAGAATTGTGTACAAAATTTTCGATTAGATAAAACCTTACCTTAAACTGTGATAAATCAATTCTCCCATTTTTCGCCTGATATTTTTCAAAAAGTTCTCTCATTTTTCCAACATCTCGATCATCCAAATTCTCAAATTTCACCTTTCCAGTCTCCAATTTTCCATTTTGAGCTCCCATTCGGCGTCCGACACAAATCTTTAAAAATGTCATATTCACAAAGATAAGAAAATTAAAAATAGAGGTAATTTATCAAGGTAAAAATCCTACTCAATTAAAAAAAAAAAGAAACACAAATAGAGTATATTTACATTTTTATGCTTTTTTCAAAAAAAAAGAATCAAATAAAGGTTAGATAAACAATAACAAAGCAGGTCATTTTTGTGAGGATTTTAAAGAGTTGATGGTTGATCGATTTGATTTTGTTGCATCAAATCATTAATATTTTTCTCTAAATCATCGATTCTTTTTGTCATATCATCGATTCGTCGAATAATTTGATCTGACATATGTTGGAAACGATCCTGAGTTTGTTGCAAAACTCCTTGAATCTGAAAATATAGTTATTTTTTGTGAGGAAAAAGGATGAAAAATATTTATATTTCGAGGTTTAGTCTTTTGTTCAATAAAATTTGCATAATAAAAATCACATTTCCAGTTTTGTATTTGAAAAAATGTATTTCAGTTAATGCGTATAAAAATAATAGAATTCCAAGTTTGAAACAACATATTTTCCAGAAAAATTGATTAAAATGACTCATTTTTCGGAAAATTCTGTTTTCTTCGATTTTTATTTTATTTCAACATATTTTTTTGAAATAACTCATGAATTTTCGGAAAATTAAAAAGTTGTATAATATAGAGCTTCAAAAAACAGTCCGTTAGAAACATGTTCAGAAAAACTGGTCAATTTCGATTTTTTCGTATTTTCCTCATTTCCACAATATCTCTATCACTTCACAAAAACCCCGTAAAAACTAACCAACGATGCCAATTCTCCTAAATTTCCATCTTCCTTAACTGGAGCATCAGCACTTTTGAGATCAATATCAGACATGTTTCTGAAATGCAAAAAATATTACAATTTTCGGTCAAAAAATCCATAAAATGTTTTAAAGGACAGCAGAAATAGACAGCTGGTAGAACAATTAGAGAGTATTAGAAAAATAGGAGAGGGAAAAGAAATAGAGAAATGACAAAGAATGGAAAAGCAATAATAAATAAACAACTTTTTGGACTGAATAACTAGTTTTGTTGTTGTTTTTCATAAAAAAAATAAAATTGAACAATGAATAAATAGAATAAAATCGATGACTTCGAAACATCTTAAAATTTTTGACATAAAAACAATGAATAAAAAGAGCAAAAATTTATTGGACAAGTCTATTACAATACAAAATAAAGCCAATTCACCCTCAGAATATTTACGAAATAAATGTATGATTTAAGGCGGCGGCTGGGGGTTAGAGAAATGGCCTTTATCATCAAATACGGTAATATTAGTTGAACAAAAATACAAGTGGTTATAAAAAAGAAAATAGAAGAAAAATTAAAAAAAGGAATGAGAGTTGACAATTCTCAATCTATTTATGATAATAACCTAATTTCGCTCATTTGACGAAATTGTTTCAGAGCTACGCATTGAAGATTGCGAATATCCCGATGTCTGAAATATTTTTTGTTTCTCGATGTTTCGAAATATCTACAAAAAACTCACTCTTGACGCTAAGAAATCGATCGAATTTCTTGATTTTTGCTCAATTCCTTGTACAATTGAATGAACCTTTCCGCTGTTTCGATTTCTCAACATTGCAACTGACAAACGGGTTTCGAGACTTTTATGACTTGGCAAATTCTAAATTTCAAAATTTACGCAAATGGTATTTGTATCTCAATATAAGGACCAGAATAATATATCTAAAGATCCATTTTTTACAAAGTAATTTTCTATTTTTTAAATTGTTTAGTAATTGAATTTTCTATCAAGACTATAGATTTAATTGCATCTTTAAAACACCTTTGAGAACTCACAATATCTTCAGAAGCCGTGCGAATAATATCATTGAACTTTCCGAATCCAAAATCATTATCAGATGAATCAAAAACTGATGAACTATCTAAAAAAAAACTACCAGTTTATCATACATTTTTAAATATATTTCTTACCCCCGACAGCTGGAGTTGATACATGTCTCATCAAATCTCGATCATTATCAACAATATTTGAATCATCTGTGCTTTTTGTTTGTCTTTTATCACCTCCACAATTTCCTTTATCATGCGATTTCATTGGTGGCAAAATTGGACATTTGAAGTGTTTTTCATTGATTGATTTCGATGGAGGCGAAAGAATAATTGAATCATCTTCTTGTAATGGCGAAAAATTAAAAACAGGTGGTCTGCAAATCGGAGTCGCCAATGAAGATGTAGATCTTAGAACTGGTCGAGACGATGTTGATAATCCAGGCATTGGTGTCAATGATGATTTTTGATTCGAATAAACAAGATTGGATTGTTGACGAGAAGGACTTTGAAGACGACGTGATCTTGGTGGTGTTGCTAGTGCGCCATCTGAAATATTTTGAAATAAAAAAGTTTGCAATAATAATTATATAACTCACATTCATCGGAAAGCATTTCTCTGCATAAATGTGATTTTGATCTAACAATTAAAGGTGAATAAGTTTTCGCCATCGACAATCTTTGTTGAGAATCCATTGCTTTTTTCAAAACAGGAGATGGTTTTACAAACTTTGGCGATGGACTTCTTTTATTTGTTTCAAATGTTGGTGCAGCAGAAAGAGCTCTTTGTACAACCATTTCTGATCCTCTTCTTGGTGGTTGTGGTGATTCGGAAATTGTTTGTTTTACACCAACCCATGCTTGTCCATTTTTCATTCCAAAACTATCTAATCTTTTCAAATCCAAAACAGTAGATAAAGGTCGAGATGTTCGTTTTGGTGTTTCCGGCGAATCGAACTCATTCTTTTCAATTTTTGCAGAACTTGTATTAATCGAAGAAGACGAAGCAGCTTGCAAATAAGTATCCATATTTGGTTGTGGTTGATTTCGAGATTTTCTTGGGCTAACAATCAAAGAAGAATTTGTATTCGGTTTCCAACCATTCAAAATATTCCGCTCATCAATCAATTCTTTTCTTCTATTTTTCAATATTTCTTCCTCATTTTCTTTACTTTCTCTCCATTTTACAGAATCTCTTTTTGGAGTTATTGATGATTCAAAAACAGCCATTGATCCATTTAAAACAACCATACTTTCCGAATTATTTTTATTCATCATCTTCCGAGTTTGTCGATTTCCAACTCTTCGAACACGCGCTTGATAATCCATCTGAATAATAAATTCGCTATAATAATTTCAAAAAACTAATCTCACTCTTTCAAGAATCGAGGTTGTTGCATCCAGTTTGGTTTCTTCCATTATTTCGGTGTTTTCCCCACTGAAATCAAGTTTTCCAGCCAAATTTCGTGATACATTCTCTTTTTCTTCTTCTGCTATTGGATTTACATCCCAACATGTTGCTCTTCTTTGCTTTTCTATTCCAACTTTGTTTCCACCCGATTTTGTGCTGAAAAATTATTACAATTTTACTAATTTAACTTCTAGAAAGGAAACTCGAATATTTCTTACACCAATCCATCAGTAGTATTTCTTCTCGAAATTCCTCGTGTTTTCGCATCAACTCGTTTCTTTTTTCTTGTTGATGGTGAAGATGATTCAGTATTCATTTGTCGAATTGTTACGGATGAAGCAGCTGAATGCGTATCCTCTTGCGATTCTCGTCTTTTCAAATGTCTCAATTGCTCCAAACTGTTTTGCTCCGAATTCGAAACTCTTCTCAGCGAACGATTTGTGATTGTTGAAGTTGTTGTCGACGAAGAAGCGGATATTGATTTCTTTTCAACTTTTGGAGTTGGTGACAAATGGATCGAAGTTGTACTATCTGGAAATAAAGATTTTAAAAATAAAAGAAAAAGATGGTTTTGCATACCATTAGAAAAAGCTGATCGAGCAATTGCAGAATTTGTAGTTCCTCGACGAGCTTGAATGCATCGACTTTGTCTAACAGAAGAAGTCGATCCAATTGAACCACATCGAGACTGAAAACGAATTATGAATAGAATATTCGTGTAATATTTTTTGAAATCAAACTTACCTCGCTTGTTGATGGTCCATTTCTTGTTCTTACTCTTCCAACTGCATTCGAAGTCGGAGATTTTGATAGATCAACATCATCAGCAAATACATCTGGACCAAAAACACTCGTACTTTTTGGTGTTGATGGTGGCAATGCCGAGGTTGATCTTTCGGTGCTTGGACTTTTTGTTCGTTTCAAAAATTGGCTGGACATTCGTTCACGAAAACCTCGCAAAGTTGAAGGAATTGGAAGAAATGATGCTGAACGTTTATGTCTTTTCATTGAATCTTTGTCTTTGTTGATATGTGTCACATCTGAATCTCGACGAACTAAATTACTCCGACTTTGCAAAATTGCCGCTTTTGCAACACTAAACATATTTGTAGATGAAGAAGATGTTTGAACTCCATGAACTATTTCCGATGATGCACTTCCACATCTAATATGAGGCATTGCACTAGTACTTCGAGCATGATTGAAATGTGTATTTTTACTCGAAACATAATGACTTTTCGGTAGAGCAATCCATTTTGCCTGAAATTTCGAATAGATTAAACATATTTTTTCTGGGAAATTATTCTCGCATCTTACATTTACAATGAGAATTTTTACAGCGGCAACTTGAATTTCCATGTCAACCTTAGTTGCATGAAGTGCGGCTGCTGATAATCGTTTGGTTCCTTTTTTTCGTGTTTCTGCTGATGCTCCAGATGTCATATGATCACCAAAAACTGACGCAACAAGTACAACGGCCAAGTTATCAGCTGTCATTTTGTGATCATCAGAGTGTTGAGATATCTAGAAAAAAGTCTATAAAGGACACTGTGATCAACGTTTTAAAAACCTGAAAAAGGAATCGCATGATATAAGCCAAAGTTCCGATATGAGCCGGTGATAACTGATTTTCAGTTCCATACAATAGTTCCCACATCACCTCATGCTCGACCTTAAATGAAATATTGTTGTTTAAAAACAATATCAATCCAATTACCGTATAATCATCTGTCTCAATTGCTTTTATTGCGAACCCCAATAAATTTTGACGAATTTCCGCGGAATCGAGAAGCGTTGGCTGAAAATATGAAATATGACATATTCAATGTACTTGTCCTAACTTACAGATAAATCTCTCAAAAATCTTTTGATCATAGTACAAACATCGTGAATAGAGAAATCGGGAGGAATTGGTTTCACACCACGATAAACATCTTGAATCTGAAACAAGCTTATTATGAGTAAATACATTGATTCGAAACTAACATCTTGGCGATTCAATCTGACCGAATTTCCTTCTTTTCTGAATATACCATCTAAAGTCAATCCACTTTCAATAATCATATCAAATGCGCTAACCAAGAATCTTGGAATTTCTCTCAATGTAATTCTTGTACACCCCATTGGAACATTAATATCTAATTCGATATTCCATGAAAGAACTTCGCCAAGTGTGAATCGATATCGAGTTATTCCACCAATCGTATCAAAATTCGAAAAATTCTTTTTACTACCAGCTGGGCATTTTGAGAAAATGCGAAAGTCCGAGAAATCTGCAGACGCCTGGAAACAAATATTTCAAAGGGTTTTCAATGCTCAAATCGGTTAAACTCACCATTTACACTTGCAAACTTCTAATTATCAATATTTTCGTCGATGAACACAAGAAAAATATGAAAATTTTCAACTTGAAAGTTTAGGCGGTTTGTGTGTAACGCGGCAAAATAAGCGCGGTGTTTGCACACATTTCAAAAATTCTACAGTAATACAGTAATTTATGGCAATTTAACCCATTAAAGGACAAATAAAAAAGATTTCCAAATAATCTGGCAAACATACAATGACCCGGGAAAACAAGAGCTCCACATAAAGGATTTGTGACTATTGAAGATAGACAATTACAGAAATCAGTGTCACAAGCAGTTTGAGGAACTGAACAAGAACTATAACATTGATCGTGTAGCATACAACATTGATTCACTGAAAATTATAGGATATGTTATTATTTTTTGGTCTACAAACTCTGTATCTGATCACATAATAACGATGAAGTATATGAAATTGTTGTTGAAAATGCGCCAGAACCACATCGAAAATCTTGAAATGGCATCAATTGACAGAAATATGATTGAATCAGGAAAAAGGAAAATAATACATATTTTTCGAACATTTCGAGAGTGTCAAACAACTAGTTCAATAAATATGTTAGTTGGCAAAAAAACAAATAAATAATCCTATTCAAAAAAAAAACGAGACACACTAAAAAAAACTATGAGAAATCGGAATTGGAATGAGCTTTCTAGAGTGTAACTTTTTGGAGAATCTAATAAATGAAAGAATATCTTTTGCCACAAGTGCATTCAAAAAGTTTTGCACCATGGAAAATGCAGCATTTTCAAGCTCACCTTTTATTGGACAGTTTTAACATTTTTCTCTTTGCTTTTCACAATGTTTCTCATCTAGAAAAATATGAGAAATGTTTAAAAGGAACCGAAAAAATTCAATAAACATGTGTCACGCGGAACATCCAATAAGAAGCGTCTCTTTGTTTTTTTCTCAAAATTTAAATAGTTTTCTGAATACCTTTCAGCTACAGTAATCCCTCTGACGTCAGAAGAAAAAACTTGTCTGCTTTTCAACTTCATCTTCTTTGCTCTTTACACCATCAGACAGAAAAAAAGTGTCAAAAAATTGCTGAACAAATTCAGAAGTCGTTTTGTTGTTCAAGTGGTTCTCTCCAGAATTCCGGTATTTTCTTTTTATTTCCAAGTGCTGCTCGCCTCGTTTTTCACGCCTTTATTCATTCTCTCATTTGCTCTTCTTCCACCATCGGTGAGTTTCATTTTTTTTTAAATTCACAGATTTTTTTCCACATGTTTTCCCAAAAAAAAATGATGAGTGAGAAAACTCAATGACCCATGTTTGCCAAGTCATGATTTTATGCATTTTTCTTGTTGTAAACTGGTACCACACCTAACATCAAATCACTTCAAACTTTCTTATTTATAGAAACATTTTTCAAGAATAGAAAAAATAGCTATGAAATTATTATTGGTGCTCGCTCTTTTGATAGCATTTGTTTATTGTTCGGAAAATGAAATACATCGAAGAGAAAAACGAAATTATTATGGAGGATATGATATGTATGGGTAAGTTTTAGAAAAAAAGAATTTCAAACTATAGAAAATCAAATAAATAGTTGTTGTAGTGGCGATGATTTTTGGTATGTCGGTCGAATTATTGGAATGATCATCGGAATAATTGTTCTATTATTTTGTTGTTGTTTGCCGTGTATTTGTATTGTTGGAATTTGGTTCGCTGGTTGGTTTGGACTTCGACAAAGGAATGCGGCTAAAAAAACGACTGGTCAAGGTATAGATTTTATTTTGGATAGAAAAGTTAACACGATCAATTTGAAACATATAATGTAAACAAAAATGTGAATCGTTTCGAGCCTAAGGATATCAGTACTCTTTGACATGAGGAGTTTTCTGACAATGAGTTTTTTATTGATAAACAAATTTCGGAATTGCTTTCAAATCAAGCATGACAATCACGCTGTTTGAATCGGAACCACCTGCAAATTTTTCAACAAAAATTGTGATACTTTTTTTTGAAACAGTCAAACATTTTTTAGCCCTATTCAAAATTTCCCACATTGTCAAAAATGTTTCAAAGTAATGTGTTTCAGTTTAGCAAATACACCTTCACAAATAGTATCATCTTCTTCAATTCCACCTGTTCCAATTCCATTTTCTTCTCAACCACAACAATCTACGCAAATTCCTTATGATACTCCAGGAAATGCAAATTATATAGTTCCTCCAACTCGTTCTTCTCGTTATCCAATTATTGTCGATTCTTCTCCATCTGATGTTACACGTGTTGCAATGCCTGATGGACAAGTTGTTTATTCGGCTGAAGATCGATATTATACATCATCAACTGCTGCTCCAGCTCCAGTTCATCGTTCTTCTGAACCTGCTTATACCAGCAGATATTAGTTGCTTTTTTGCATTTTGTCTTTCTTTCTTTCTTTCTTTCTGTGTATTTCTGTCGTGATAAAATTTATGTTATTTTGTTTTTTGAAAATTGTAAAGATTCTGAAAAATATTCTGAAAGGGATATTTTTGAACAATTTAAAAAAACTCACACATTTTAAACAAATCTATTTTTACATTCTAAAACTTTCTAAACCTTCCCAGAACTTTTCCGCTAAAAATAGATCCTAAATTTATTGACACTCAGAACAAACACATATAGAACTTATAATTCCATTAGTTCGAGTTCCAACACAATTTCCAGCAGCGCAATTCTGAAAAACAGATTCAAAATGTTTGAGATTTCAATCAACGTACCTCTTCTATACAATAACTTTCACAAAATATCGTGCTCAATTTTCCCGAAAAACAAATTTTCTCATTGATTTCGCGATTCTCAACAACACCGTAGAAAATAATGAAAATAATAAAAATAATTAGTTGAAAAAATTTCATATTGGTCTCGATCATTGAAGCTCGAGGCATCTTTTATTAATTTGATTTTTAAATTATTGGTTTAGCTGCTTGAGTTGAGTTTGTCTCTATTTTAATGTTTTATCTAGAAAATACCAATACAGTTGGTTGGAAATCTTTTGTTTGGTTTCGAGTTGGGAAATAGTTGAACTTTGATGCAAAAAATAAGTCTTGGTTTCATAAAAGGAACAAGAATTTTGCGATACACCCATATTGAAATAAAGTTGAACTGTAAGATTTGGGGTAAAAATTTCCAAAAAATTCCAAATTTGGAGTATTCAAAAATTAGCTGTGGTGAGAAATAATCAGCATTCTGAATCCCCGAACCTTCCGATCTCAATTCCTTTTTTGCCAAATCTTTTTTCCTTCTCCCACCTAAATTATAAAAAATTCATATTTTAATGGAAACATTGTTGTTTTTCGCAGGTGTCGGTTTCCCTTTTCCATCTTTTCCCCCATATTTTCTCTTGTCTTTTTTTTCAAATCCAACAAGATTTACTTGCTTTTAGTGTCTTCTCCCCTTTTCAATTTCTATTGTTTTTGTTGGACCCACGATGAAATTGACTTATGTTGTTTGGTATAAAAGAAAGAAAGAAAGAAGAGCCGGAAATTAGGGGGAAGATCCTCTCACATTCCAGAAACAGCAAAAAAAATGAAAACGAGATGGAAAATAAATAAACATATGCTACACTGATATTTGATCCCTTTTTTGTATTCTGGGAAGAAATAAGATTTGATTTGACAATTCAAATTTGAATTTTGAAATTACTCAATACACAAAAAACCGGATCTGTTCAAAAACATGAGAATAATAAGAAACCATAGTAGAAATACCCCATAACATTTCCAAAAAATCAAATCAAAAATTGTTTTTATTTTGTTTTTATTTTCGAATAGATCCGAAGTATCGAGATTGAGTTAATTGATGGTGTTTTTTCTTCTTGTGGCTTAACCCATCTGTCATGTTATAACCACTTTAAGGATTACCGTAAACTTGTTATTTTTGGGGTGGAATGACAGATTGTGGGTGCGCGAAAAACGAGTGAGCATTGGAAAACAAAACAAAATGAATGAAGTTTATTGTAAATAGTAATTATATTAATTGGTGCCACGTTGAAACATTTTTGGAAGTTTTCATTCGAGACCAATAGTTCCAGCAAAAACCTCACGGATCGACATTTTCTGTCAACAGAAAAATCATATTTGATTTTAAACTTATGCAAATCTAGAAACGTCAAAATCACATCTGAAAAAAAGTGTTTTGTTTCCCTGTGATCCGAATATTCTTCCAAAATCCTGAAAAAACCCAGATAAACAAAAATATTCCCTTATTTAACTCAATATTTATCCACTCTCTCTCGTATACTAAAACGTGTTCAGAATACCAAACATTTTCCTTTTTTTTTCTTTTTCTTCCCACATTTTTTCATCCATTTTCCTCATCTTTTCCATCGTTTTGATATATAATCGAATTGCATAAATTTGCTCTCTCATCACCTTTTCCCTTTTCCTTTTTTACTCTCTTCAAAAGAATACGGTAGTCACATTTTTCTAGGCAGCTAAAAAAAGAAGATAATCCACGTCAAGAGTAGACGTCGGTTGAACATCAAAAGATATTAAAATTGTATGGTGTGAAGATGGGGTCAATTACGGATTATTTTGTGATATTTTGCAGTATTTTTGAAAAATAAATATGTACAAAATGTTTTTGTACTTTTTGAAAACTTTTAGAAATGCTTGAAACGTTGACGATTTTTCAAGAAAGCAGTGGAATCTAAAGGAAATTTTAAAAAATGATCACATTCTCAAAATCGGGTTTGATTCATCAGATCTTGCCAAATTTCTCGTGCCTGATTCAAAAACTTCTCACTGCTAATTTTCAAACCAGGGAACTATGAAAAATATTTCAAGATAAAATTACAGTTTTTTTTTTTAAATTTTCCACAAACCTAATTATTTTACTACAAAAAAAACGCCAAACAAATAACAAAAAAAATGACAACCGTTTGATGAGAAAGTCAACAAAAATATTGCATAATTGTCACATCTGGCAACTATTGTTTACCTATCTATGTCTACAGTAACCACAACAAAACTATTTTCTTTTTCACCCTTCCTCCCCCCCTCCCAAACCCAAAAAAGTTCCCAGAACACTTGAAACTTTCCGTAATCCTCTTCCTTTTATTTTGTATTTGATATATGTTTCCACGGAGATTTACTGTATTTTTAATTTGAGAGTACTTCAGACATTTCTTTGATGTCGATTTGGGAAAAAACTTTATTCTGAAAAAACTGAAAATCAGAAAATAAGATGAGCAACAGTAGAATTATTGGAAGTTTACTGCAAAATAAAACACATGATGGACATTTTCAAATTGTGAATTGAAAAATCTGAACCTAATTTTTAAACATAAATCTACAAACAAGGGATATTTTTATTTGGTCTAACATTCGAAAAAGGCGGTTTAACTTGAAAATACAAGACAAAATAATCATAATAAAAATATGCACATATTTTTTTCTACCGTAAAAAACCCTCCCCAAAAAGATGAGTAATCAGCGTTGCTCGTGAGAAAAACCAACTATATGATTTTTATGAGTTGGGAACTTTTTTCATCTTTTTTTGCGTAATAATATTATTTTATCAATGATGATAGAAAAAGTACAAATGGAAAGATGGAAAAGACAAAAAATATTTATATTTGAGTGAGTGTCTTCGAATTCATTTTGAATGCAAATCTTATGCTTTATTTCTCTGTGCACTCTCTCAAATTAGCATACTATTCAATGAAATTTTTGTGGGTCTCGGGAAAAGAAATTTTGTCTGCTTTTATGAAGAAAAAATGTTGAAGCATTCTGTCTGAAATTGTTAGATTCCTGTGAAGTTTTTATTTCTAAAGGTGAGTTTTGACCAAATCCATAAAATTGGCGGTTACACATTTTCTGATACGAGAAATTTTTGATAATTTTATTTTTTCCCAAAATTTGAGTGGAACTAAAACCTGAGAGACATTGAAAATTCAAAATTTTAACTTTTCAAAAATCAGTAACTCATTTATTATCAAATTAAATTTATTATCGAATTGAGAATAAGTTGAAATGTTTGATTTCAGGAGTTTTGAGACATTTATCAAACTCACTCATTGTCAGAATAGTTATTTTCAATTTCCAAAAATTGAAAATGTTGAATCATTTTCTCATCAAGGATTTCTTTAAATTTTGTCAGACAAGTCCGGATTTTTAATATCAAAACAATTGGAAATCTTAATTAGCTTAAATTTGATTTACAGAAAATTCTGAGAGCTTCTAATTCGAAATTGTTTTATTAACTAACTCATCTCTATTCCACCCTCCGATCTTCTGAAAACCTTGTTGTCATCATTGCAGCTACAGTATTCTTTCCCTCCCCACATTTTTTGTCGCCTCAAAAATATATGGGCGTGTCTTCGGCAAAAACAATGGGCGTGGTCAACCATTTCAATTCGCCGCTCAACAAAATGAGAGAGTACAGGATAATTGAGAGACATAGAGAAAGGTGCGCGCAATTGAACAGCAGCCATTCTACTGTGACGATCAGCGCTGACGACGTGTTGCTACTACAAATTATTAATATTTTCAATTGATAATTTCTGTGAATTTTAAAAATCAAATAAAATTGAATAACAATGTTGGCAAATAATTCATTGGATGGACCAAATTATGCGCAGGTTTGTGTTTTTTGGGGAAAAATTATGCGGTCGGCGGACAACCGAATTTGAATTTCAATTTTATGCCAATAAGAAGAAGAAGGAGGCAACCAGACTATATTTATTCATTTATGTATTTATTCAACAACTTTTTTTGTGACTGCCTCTTTTAGAACCGTGGAAAAATTTTGGTTCCACAATCCCTTAGGCAGCATTTTTGCGAATCTCACTTCACTTTTAATATTGTTTCTAAAAATCTTTATTTTTTAAAATTTTCATTCTTTAAAGGGGTTGTGGGGAACTTGTGCTAAATCGGTAGGAATAAAGTAATCTCAGCTTTCCAAATAATTCTAAAGAAGGTTTTTCAAAAAGATTTTGAACATAGCACATAGACAATCAAGTAACTCGGAATTCAAGCCCTGACAGTTATTTAGCTCTATCCAATAAGCTCATTTGTAGTTGGTTGAAAATAGTGAAACAGACTTCCTTTAGAATAAATCACTAACTCTTCATGTAATAACAAAAATATCACACGACAGGTTACTGTAGAATGATCTTTTCAATTAGTTAGTCATCATTGTTCTATCGCGTCACACACTACAAAATTATTTAATCGGATTCATTTTTCTCCCGGAGGAAAAAATATATGTTGAAATAAATATACCAAACACATTTCAGGTGATAAAACCGACATGTGAAGCATTTCAAGAATGGACACCTGCTCCGATGTATCATCAACAACATCTTCAATTCGTTTTACCGCCTCATGATTGGACATATCCACACCTTCAACCGACTCTTAATTCAAATCCAAATCCGATTCAAAATCTTGCACAACAACCGAATAATGATCAAAAAGTTGGATGTTCTTCTTTGATTGATTATAGTAGGAAATTAGAAGAGGTTAGTTTATGGAGAAAAATTTTTGTTAGGATAACTGTATTGAAAATCTACGTTTTCTAACATTTTTAGAAATATCAAAATTGATATACGGTAAAATTAATAGATGAAAAATAGAATCTAAAATTCATTCGTTCCAGAAGCCTTCATGAGTTGAGCTAAATTAAAAACTTAGAGAGTTTACTATAATTTTACACTATGAATTCAATTTGATTCTAGGCCTAACTTTTGGCCCAAATCTAACTCATTAGATGTATAGAAAAAAATTAACCCAAAAACAGTGTTTGAAAAACCAACCCAAAAAGTCTGCCTGCACCTACGCTTAGGTCTGAATTCAAAAAATCGATAAAACCAAAAACCCACATTAGGTTAAATTGGCCTCGTGCTAAATCTCTATCTTTTGAAACTACCGTACCCTCCCCCTTCACAAAACCCTTCCACTTTTTAATTTCAAAAATGTTTGCAGTCTGAAATCGAGCGACCTGAAATAATTCAAAGAATCGCTCATCCATGGACATATCCATTTTCATGCGAAGAGAATCAAGCACCAAGTCAGCCATCGCTTTCCGAAATGTCAGATGATGGCGATCAAACATGTGCTGATGATTTAGAAGGTTTCGCAAAACAATTTAAGCAACGGCGAATTAAGTTAGGGTAAGTTAAATACAGAAGAGAACATTGAAACAAATAATGATAATGACCTTGTAGATATACCCAAGCGGATGTTGGTTTGGCTCTCGGCACTCTTTATGGTAATGTATTTTCCCAGACAACAATTTGTAGATTTGAAGCGCTTCAACTCTCGTTCAAGGTTTGTTTGCTTGCTTGTTTTAATTTTCAAATTATATTTATCTATATTTATTTATAAAGTGTAAACTTCAAAAACATTTCACCGCTATTTTTATTTTAGAAAAAACATCATGCTCTTCAAAAATCATATTTATTTCCAGAACATGTGTAAATTGAAGCCTTTACTTTTCAAATGGTTAGAAGAAGCTGATTCGACATCGAGTTCGCCTAATTCGACATTCGAAAAAATGACTGGACAAGGTGGAAGAAAACGGAAGAAGAGAACTAGTATTGAAGTGAATGTGAAATCGAGATTAGAATATCATTTTCAATCGAATCAAAAACCGAATGCTCAAGAAATCACGCAAGTTGCTATGGAATTGCAATTGGAGAAAGAGGTGTGTTTTTTGAAGTCAACCAAAGCGAGTGGAAACCACGTAACTGGAGCATCGTTTCTATTTTTCATAGACTAGGGTTACTGTAGGATTGCAGAGAAATTGTGAAATTTTTCTAGATGAAGAAAGTGTAGCTTGAAAAAGATCTCTAGTCTAGAAATCCACAGTAACCCAAATTAACTTTAGAATGAGACACTATTTCTTATCTTTCAAAACTACAGTGTATTTCCTCTATATGTTTTTACAAAGAGCCATATCCGAGGTTTCTGCATTACAAATTTTCTATAAAATTTTCTCACCAAATTTCGCTTCTCATTCTCCTTTTTGTTTTTCAGGTAGTCCGTGTTTGGTTTTGCAATCGACGCCAAAAAGAAAAAAGAATGACACCACAATTCGACGGCGGTCCACCACAACAACAAATGCAATTGCCAAATGGCGGATACGCGATGCCAGCCGAACTTTTTCCATATCAGGCAGCCGTAGGATTATACAGTACACCTTCTTAAATATCTCTTTCCGTTTTCGTTTCAAATACTTCCATCCTCATCACAAAATTATACCGGTATTTTTTCTCTCCCGCACCAAATTATTATTGATTTTTATTTTTATCTTTTTTTTTGACAATTTGATTGATTTATTTTTGATTGTGAGAATTTCCAGTCGAGACCATATTCGATATGAAAATGGGTAATATTTAATTTATTTATTTGAATTTTTTGATTTTGAGAGTTTTGTATATAGTTAGTGGATGATAAATGATGTGTTTTGATAAAAATTATGTATTGAACAGTACTTAAAATGAAACAAAACATAAAAAACACATGGAAAATGGGCGAAAACTTGGGAGAGAGAAAAACAGTGAAAAATGAATAAATAAATAGTTGAAACACAGATTGGTGGAATCGATTGAGAAGAAGAAGAATCTGAAAAAAATCTAATTCGAAATTTTTTGCAATAGGTAAACATTATGATTGTGAAAAACAGAAGGTTGTGGGAAACGGATTACGAAGTTTTTAAGATCAAAACAGTATCGGGAAATTATCGGAGATTTTTGGGGATAGCAAGAACTGTACTGTAATTTATCAAAGGAAGTTCGCAAGGTCTGTGAACTTTTGATAAAACATACTCAAGAAATCGAAAGCGTGCTACGCCGCGTTTAGGGGCTTTTGGCGTAGCAAGCTTTCCATTTCTTGAGTACTAAAGCAACCACGCTGCTCACAATCCTGAAGTCAGCACTTTTTTGGAGCTCTAAAGTTATCAGTTTCGGTTTTCACCCATTTTTTGCAAAATTTAACACGGGTATTATGATCAGCGTGGTCGATTCAGTATATCACGATAATTTATTAAAAATTCCTTTGTCAGATTACAGTACAATTTTCGCTTCTTCTAAAAATCCCAGATAATTTTAAAATACATTTCAAAATGCACATTTTCCATTTTGGTGTGTGTCATATTTCAAGCTCATCATTTCCACTTTATTTTCTTCTTCTTCTAACTGTCAAACCATCTGCATAACATAACAAATACTGACACATCATCATCCTTCTTTTTTCTTTTCTTTCTTATTTTTCCATATATTTCATGGACCGTGTGAATTTTATCTGGCATCTGTCCGTTATATACTACAGTACACCTGCCTGCCTTTCTTTTCTTTTCTTTTCCATTCCTTCACACATTTTATGTTTGAAGAAATGAAAAAAAAAAAGAAGAAGAGCAAAAAGGGGTCGATTTAGGTGAAAAGGAGACAAAAAAGGTCATGAACTTATTGATCTCATAAAATTTTTTTGATTACAGTATCCTAAAATTATTAGCGTGCATAATTATCGATAATAAAATGATGTTCGCAGAAACTATTTTATTGCTCTATTTATGCACGATTATTTGAAAAACTGAAACTATCGAACAAAATCGGACCATCTTGGGCATCAACTGAACCGGTTAAATTAGAGTTTCATATTTGTTGCGCAAGTGAGTTGAAATTCAGCGTTTTAATTGTATATAGGATAGGCAAGTCTAAGATAATTAGTTTGATTAATTTAAAAAAAGGAATTTACGTTAGCCACTTATGGATGGCGTAAAGCCATATTATCAAAGTAAAAAAATTTGGCAAAAAAGAGAAGCCAGAAATTCAAATCCCAATTTCCCCAAGTACGGTATTTCTCTGCGTCACTAACACCGTTTCGAGACCACACCATTGGGCAGAGAAACAAAGTCAAAGACGCACATATGGGTCTCGCAGCGACTGAAAGAAACACCGTACTTGGGAAGAGTGACATTTGAATTTCTGGGCTCCGTTTTTTTGCCAATTTTGTTTATTTTGATAATACAATATATATATATATATATATCGAACCGTCTTAGACATGCATATCATATGAAAACGATGAAAATCCAATTTCTCAACTACTCGGTTTAGTCGATGTCCAACTATATTTTAAACAATTCATTTCGAGTGAAATTAAGAGAAATAGATTGAATTTTAATCCAAGAATCACGGCGAATACTAAATTGGGAGGAAAATTGCTCAATAAAAAAGGTTGGATATTTTTCAAACACAAAAATCCAAGCTGGCGTAGCGACGAATAATGAATTCAATGAAATTAGTCCGATTCAAAACAGTTCGCAGTATAAGAGATTTGAATACCTGATTCTAAAAGTTTCCACCTCAAAATTACAAAGAAACTAAAACAATTTTTGCGCGAAATCAACGTTGCGTCTCCTTCAAACATTTCATCTTCCTCTTTTTTTTTTTCATTCAATTGTTGCGCAAACTTAATGAGCCTTTTCTCTGCGTTTTCTCTCTTTCAAACAATCACAAATTTGTTGCGATTGGTAAGGGATTCTACAGTACTTCTTCAAACCAATGCAGGCAAAAAATGTTTGATCAGCAGTTGTGTGCCGGCTACCTTTTTTCTTTTTCTAGCACCCCGTATTTCATTAATATTCATAACTTCTCTTCGTTTTTCTTTCCTTTTTTCGTAATGGAAAAATGAGGGAAATGGATGATTTCTATTTATTTTTTCCAAAAAAGAGCATTTTTGAACAACAATATTTTTCTACTCTTCAAAAAATGATGAAAAGAGGTGAAAACCTATAAATTAGCATAAATATATAGATATAACCGAAAAGAATTGCGCAACAAATTGTGATTGGCAAATCGCGGTTGTAAAACATTCGAACAAAACAGTCAAAAAGAAAGAAAGAAAAGAGGAAAACCGTAAGAAAGAAACCGACATCTAAAAGTAAAAAAAAACACGAAGAATAAACGAAAAAAGAGGAAGATGAAGAAGAATGAAGAAGGGACACGCTAAATTATTCCACAAAATCGGTCTTTAAAATTAAAATTTCAAATGAAGGCAAAAAGGAAAGAGTGGAGAGGACGGAAACGGGTTGGAAAAAAAACATTCGAATAGAAAAATAAACAAATTCGTGATGATTTGGAAGTTTTCAAAATATTAGAGAAAATCTAACAATAACGAAATTGTGCTCTTACAAATTGTTGTTATCTATGAAAGACTCCCACCACAAAAATTCTGATGAAATTAAATTTTAGAAATAGAAATTTCAATTCATATCGTTAACCAAGGGAGAACTTATTACCGAAATTGCGATTTTAAAAATAATTTCAGATATCGAAAACAAAGTTTGAAGTTTACATAATTTTATCAAATTTTGTTGAACTACCATTTTCGAATTCAGAAAATATAATCACTACACTACTCAATTTTTTCGGATTAATTGAATACAGGATTGTTCTTTCAACTCCCAAATTACAGAGTAAAATATTATTCTTTTAGTCCACCACTTACATTGTTTGTGTGAGTCTTAGTCTTGTTAACTTCAAAAAACTGATATTTTCCACGTTTTAAAAGTTTGCACTTACCATTTGTTTTTTCTCAATCTCAAATCAATAAGAAACTGGTTGTCCTGTTGTCGATGCGGAATCTCGTATTTCAATTTGCGAAATCTTCCAATGTTGATCTACAAAAACAACACTTTATTATTTTCCCACTTGGACTCAGACTGACTCAATAAATCACTCCCTTTTTGTCAATCATCTGCTGCATGTGTCAAGGGTCAACAATTGTTTTCCTTTTTGAAGACAACAATACAGCAAAGATAATCCAATTGACAAAAAAACAGAAAAAAAAGAACAAAGGGACAAACCTGACAACTTCGAATATGTTTTTTGTAATTCACTTTCCCGTTTTTCCTGTGTTGATACTTCTTGTTGCAATCTTCCAACTCTTTTATTAATCGCTTTTTTCTCGTGTTCAGCCAATCTCCTAAAAACTCATTTTAATTATTTGCTTCTTTCAATATCACTCACAAAAATGTATTTCTTTCAATTTTCGCCATTTCGACATCATTTGCAACTTCTTGATATTTCTTACTCAATTTGTCATGGATCACCTGAAAAAAACAGAAACTCATAAATTAACATAAATTAGTGAAATAATATTGCGTGAGTGTATTTGTATGTGTATGTTGTTTCGACCACAATTTCCATAATCTGTGCTATGAGAAAAATAGGATGTTGTGTTGTGTAGTACATAACAACACTTACTCTTTCTCTTTTATAAAATGACGAATAAAATATTTGAGAAAAAGAAGACGGGAATATTTTTTGAGTTTGAGAGGAAAAAAGGGATCGAGATCAAAACTTGGTCAGCCGCCTCTAGTAAAACAGAATATAATTTTGAAAAAAAAACTACTTTTCTTTTTTTATATCTCAAAAACCGGAAATTGAAATTTCAGTAACCACGTGGATTTTCCCCGATATTGTTGAATGAAAAATCCACGTAAAATAAAATTCTGATTGATGCGTGTTTTGATAAAATTTTTATTTGATTTCAAAAATATTTTCAAGAAAGTACCAATTTTAATTTTTTTTCCGAGCTATGAAATATCGAATTCAGGTTCGCCATAAAAATGTGAAAATCTGATTTAGAACTTTACGACTTTTCCAATTTGAAAGTTCTATTTCCCATATTATGTTTATTTTCTACCCAAACCTTATTCAAACTACCGTAACCCATTCTCTTTCATTTTTCAAAAAGAAAAAACACAATACTAATCAAGAGAAAAAGAGCCTGACACCTCACACCCAAAAAACGTCACACATATATCTTTTAATTTATTCGTTTTGTCCTAATCGAGTCTTCTTCTTCCTATTCTTTTTTTGCTTCTTTAACCAACAAGAGGAAAAAGACATAAATTACGGTAATGGGTACGCCTCTCTCCTTTTTTTTCTCTCACCATTTCAACACACAACGGGGTATCGTTTAGAATGGGGTTTCGGGAAAAAAAGAACAAAATGAATAAAAGAATTGGAAGAAGATGACGGGGGATTGTAAAAATGTATGTTTATGTGATTGGGATATAAAATCGCAACATTTTTGGTGTGGTCAAGAGAAAGATTACTGTAGGAAGGAAAAACACGAAACCTAAATTTATGGAAATCAAATGAACTTTATTGAATCAAGTTCACGTAAATGAAGTTTTTTCAATGTTTTATTTTGAAAAATTTAAAAACATCATAATAATAAATCTTTTGGAAATATTTGATTTTTTCTTGATTTTGCAATAAATCTTTTTTAAAACTTCGATTTAAAAAAAACATTTTGTGGATTAAAACAAGCGTGAAAATGAACCAACCTGATAACCTCCCAATTTGACTCGTAATCGCTTTTCAACTTTTGCTGCTTTTTTCGCTCGACTATTCATCCAATCACGATGCAATTGGAATTGTTGATTCAATGCTTCTAATTGCTCAGTTTTTGGTAGAATCGCAATTCTTGAAAACTTATTCTTGCTGAATATTAGTTCGGATGTACATTGATCAACAACATTCCACATCATATCATTCATTTCTGGTCCTGTTTCAGCTTCTTGTCTGCAAAAAATAAATCAGATTTAACCAAGAAATAATCATAATTTTTTTCAGAAGACACTTTGAATTCAGAATTTAAATAGGAAAAACTCTGAATTTCAAGTTTGATATTTTTTCACATAGTCTCACAATCAAAACTTCAACTTACTTGATGATTTCACTCGCATTATCCAAATCTTCTCGACTAACAATCAATTCAGGTATTTTATTATCAACATCCCAATTAAGTAATCGAGACATTTCTAATTTGATAAGATCATCAGCTTTTGCTAATTCACTAGTTCCATTTGTTGGTCTCAATGCTCCTTCGTTTACTTTACTTGGTTTTGGTAATTTTCTTTGTACAACTTGTGATCTCAATGCAAGATTTTTCAATCGAGTTTCAGCATTTGCTTTTGCTTTCTTTTCAGCTCTTTCAGATGCATCTTCAATCCATTCTTCATTTTCTTCTCCATCATTTTCATCTTCATCTTTTCCTTCATCATCTGGTGCAACAATTTCGAAATCATTTTTCGGTGTTGGCAAATTAGCTAATGCTCTTTTCAAATTCGCTTTCTGTTCAAATGCATTTCCAATTCCAGCTTCATCATTAATTCTCATTTGATCTCTAAATGGTGTTGATCCAATTCCACCGGGTGTTGCAAATCCTGGTGTTTCTCCACCACCTAATTGTGTTTGTGGAGTAGCAGCAATCGCATGAAGAACTGTATTTGGAGTTGCCGAAATTTTTGGAGTTGGCAAAACTCCTTTTCCCAATTCTGATTCATGTAAAGGAGTATTCAAACCACCTTTTAAAACAGATTCAGTGTTTTGTAGAGCCATTATATTTTCGATTTCCTGAAAAAACACAACATATTTGATTTTTGTAACTTGTGATAATCTTGAAATGTTTCAAAATCTGCTCAGAATTATGACTTTCCAACAGAAGTTAGCTGTATTGTTCTGAAAATGTTTCAAAAACCCTACCATTTGAATAGTATCTTTAGGCATTGGTGTTCTCATTGTTCTTGCTGCAACTGCATTTGCTCTCGCCGATTCTGTATAATCTGTTAACAATCCACTTGTTGCATTTCCATCAATAAATTGTCGAACACTATCCGAAGCGTGACCAATTTTTACAATTTGTTCGAGTTCTCTTTCACTGATTTGAGGCTCCGGAAGAACTAATTTACTTCGTTTTTTCTCGCGAATATTGAAAACTGCATCAGCTTCACCTTGCTCTCTGCAAAAAAAATTGGAGTTTTAATTTGTAATTTAATTCGAATGAAAACCATACTTTCTCTTCTTGAGCTTTTCTCGATCTTCTTTTCTTTTTTCATTTTCAATTTCTCGACCTCGTGGTTTTTGATGATCATCGATTGCTTTTTGATGAGAATTTTCAACAACATATCTATCTTCGCTTGGATCATGAAATCCAGCAGGAACGTGTTTTTCAAAAGGAATCTCTTCACTATAATCAATTTGATTATTTTTCGGCTTGAATTTTCTTGCAAATGCTAAACCAGCCGCTCTCATTTCACGACGTTTTTGAAGTGAAGCAAGTCTTCGAGCATCCGATAATTGTCTTTCTCTTGCCTTTCTTTTCGCTTTTTTACCTTGAGTATTGGCCAAACGAGCACGAGCTTCGGATAACATTTCGAGTTCTGAAAAATATTTAAAATTATCAATTTTGCAAAAAATAACTATATTTATTACCATCATCATCCATATCAATTGGATCTGGTCTTGCTGGTTTTGTTTCTGGAGTTGGATCAATTTCTCCTGGTTTCAATTTTCTCGCTTCAGTTGTTTCATCTTCCAATCCTTCAGCTTTTCGTTGTGCTTCATCCAATAAATGTTCATATCGTTCTAAACATTGAGCTGAAGTTCTTCCGACAATTGGAGCAATTGTTCTCCATTGTGTTGGCATAAGTTTCGCCAAATGCAACAATTTTTCGTCTTCTTCACGGGACCATTCGGTTTTCTTGATTCCAGGATCCAACCATTCAAACCAACGAGCCTTACATTGTTTCGCTGATTTTCTGTGCAACAATGAAGCAATTCGACTCCATTGGTTTTTACCATATTTCATGATAGCTGCTTTGAGAATCTCATCCTCTGTGTTTTTCCAAACACCTCCTTTGATAATAACTCGTACCATTTTCGGTTCAGTTCACTGAAAACAGTTTTCATGAAACTCAACATTTCAAAAAGTAAGATTTTTAGAAATGAATAAGGCAAATTTTAAGGAACAAACATAAATTAGGTCACGTTATTTTCACAATTTTTCATTTAAAAAAAAAATACAAAATTGTATTGGAAAGCTTTCGAAAGGGAAAAGGAATACAAGAATTTTCAGGATAGTACAAGTAACAATCTGAACTCAATTCATATATTAAGATCACATTGAAGAGCTAAAAACCATCTCCAAAAACCATGCTCGCAATCAAAAAACTTTTTTTCGAAAAAAATGTATTCTTCGCGTGGCCTAGAACTCCAAACAAAACTCGTCCCCCATTCCTCGGACATATGTACATGTACATGCGAGATAGTACACAGCTTGAGAGGAAGAGACACATGTGTTAACTGTGACTGTGCACAGTCGTTCATTTGTTTATGCAAAACTTTTTTTTGCACAAACATTATTCAAAGAAGATTTTCCACAATTTGCGGTGATTCATTCATTTGGATTTCTGTTCTCATGTCGAAAAAAATCCAGGTAAATCTATGAATTCTGTCAGAAATACAAAAACAAAGGAATTGTCTAGAAACAGCCAGAAGCACCGAAAATGCAAAAAAAAACAGTTTTTTTTTTCGAAATAAATGAAAGGAGCAACAACTAAAATACACTGATTCTCGTCACGAAAAAAAAAGCGAAAACGAGGGAAAAACTACTGTAGAAAAACGTGTTGAATTTATTTATTTCAATTCGTTTTATTTTTTTGTTCGGTTTAGCTATTTTTTGACCTACCATACATTTTGGCGGGATGTTTCACTTTTTAGTTCTTTAACTTTTTTTTGCAGATGGTCAGTTTTCATCATTTTCGAAGTTTGTCTCTTCAAAATGTCAACGACACCAATGAATCGTAAACTTCTATCGATAAAAGAAGTTGAATTTCCATTCGTAAGTTTTATAAACTCATAAGATCTTTTGGCGTCATCCTAGTGCTCTTCTTTTACAGAAGTTTTCACCACTAGCAACATCTTCGCCAATTGCAAAAAAGACGGCAAACAATTCGTTTTTGTCAACAAGTTCTGGATCTGAAGGAAATTTGACTGAAAGAGCTATCAAAGGAGTCGATGAAAGCTTGATTGCGTGAGTGAAATATTCAATGAATTTTAATTGTTTCAAGCAATTGATAGGCATTTTCAGAGACAAATCGGATTGCTCACTTTTGTCGTTTCAAACAGCAATCGAATATGTCGATGGAAACGCATTCATGCCAACAAAATTCCGGCTTCCTCATGATTCCGTCAGAGCGGCTCTTGAAATCTGTGCACAAAAAACATGGCCATCAAATACACCTTCAGCATACAAAGAAATTGTGAGTTTGAAAAGAAATCAATTTGTCTTCAACATGAAATTATTTTTCAGGCTTTGCAAAGATATTTGTGGGATGCAAGATCAATTTGGAGATCATATACAATGGTTCAAGAACCTGGAACAGTCATCCAATTTTTGTGCAAAGATGGATTGACCAAATCATATATCAATAATTTGATTGGATTCACATATTATAAACTAATCGATATATCTGTAAATGATATTTTCGATAAACAAAATATGTTTGATTATTTCATTGAAAGAGGAATTCCATCAACAATTATTGATCGATTATTCGAAGGAGTTGTGACAAAAGGAAGAAAGGAGATATTAAATGTTGCCGAAGCATCACATTTTATATTCGCACTTTATGGAATGGATGAATATCAAAGTATCGAATATTGGTTCAGAATATTTGATGTTGAAGGATTGGGATATCTGGATCAAAAACATTTGGAAATTCATTATAATGAAGTTGTGAAGTTTTTGAGAAAGATTGGAATCGAAGCTTTAAAATTCGATCAAGTTTTCGATATGGTAAGTTTTTATGATTAAGAAAATGATGAAAAACTAGAACATTTTCAGTTCTCGGAAATACTTGGAACACGAAAATGGACATTGAAAATCCTCAAGAAATCTCCGACAATAACAGTTCGAGTTCTTTCGGCATTTACAAATGCATTGAAATTCTATGACTTCGAAACAAATGAAAGTAAGTTTTTTCTGTTTGATTTAAAAGCGAATATAAAAATTAATATTTAGGAATGAATACTGAAAGAGAAGACGATGAAATGTTTGGCGAACATCGAAATTGTTGGCGGCGAGAACTCGACCATGCATATGATTCTTTTTATGATCAAGAAGATATCAGTCAATGAATATCTTTTCGCATATATTTTTTAATTTAATTTTTATGTGAATGCTTTTTTAAATTGTGAATAAATTAATTGTTTAACAATACAAAACTTTACTGTTTCTGATTAAGAAAAATAGGAAATAGAAAAAAACGGTGAAGCAAAAAGAAAATAGAAAAGGAGAGAAAACTTACGAAAATGAATTCGATAAAATAAGTACAAAAATGTTGACTGTCTCTAAATATATAAATTCTCTATACATTTTTTTTCTATAAATTTTTCAGAAAATTCGGGGAATGTGGAATGATAGAATCACAGGTGGATAGTAGCGATTATTTTTTATTTTTGTTAGTTTTTTGTCGGAAAAAATAGAATTTGGTTTTTTACAGGATTGGGATGTAGTTGTCGATTTTAGCACGGTGTCTTTGAGAGATGCATTCAGCGATCCAAATTATGTTGCGCATTTCTTGTTCCTTCAAATATTTTAAAATTAAAATTTTGTCATAAAATGAACTTTTAAAAAATACCTTGAGTTTAATGAATGCATAAAATACACCGAAATGGAATTGATGCAAATACGAATGAACATTCATTTTGACTTCGTGTTCGAAAAATTTGTCTTCCAAAGTTTTCTCGCCTGGTCCATTTCCAGATCCTTCGAAAAGTGGCTTATAATCGGAATAATATTCGCAAACTTGTTTAACTTGTTCATAATCATCAGCTCTTGCCAATCCATTCAATCCATCTGGATACAATTTTCCACAACGTGGATACAATTTTTGTCTATCATCTTTGCTCAATTCGGTATCAAAAGAATTGATTGTGATGATAATTGAACGACGATCAGCTTCAAACTGCAAAAAATAAATTTAATAAATAATTGAAATTTTAAAAATTAATTTTCGAAAACAATAAACTAACAGCCAAAATATCGCACATAACTTCAGCAGTTTTTCCGCCAAGATTACTGCAGAAGTTATAAAAATCCTCAATGTACGCCTTGTACAAAGTGTTTCTGATCAATTCGACGTTCATTTCGTCCAAATCTTGCTCATTGATACAATCAACGAAATAATTGGCTAAAAAGTATAATTAAAAGAAAATGAAAACTTTTTTCTAAATAATTCAAGCATACCGAGTGGTGTATCAACCAAAACAGCATTGTAAAGTTCAGCTGGAGTTGAAGCGATATGAATAGCTTCCATTTGTTCGAAAGATCCCAATGGATGACATTTGTTGATTAATTCACTGATTGGACGTTGATGAAGAGTTCCAGTAATCAACAAAATGATGTTATCAATCATGTATGAATAACTGAAATATTTTTTTTTCAAAACTGGAATTAAAATTTTACAAAAATTGTTCTCAACCATAAAAAACTACATATCCCCGGAAAACTTACGTGATATAATCCAAAAAAGTTGCCAATGGCTCGAGTGCATTATTGCGAAGATGAGTGAACTCGGTTACCAATTTTTCTTTGAGTTTTTCATCAATTACTTGAACTGTAATCGCTCCTGGTTCATTGGCCAAAAAGTTTCCATAATCGGTTGATTGAACATGGAGTTTAAGATCTATGAAGATTAAGAATGAAAACAAAAATGAAAAGAATAAAAATTACCTTCCAAAGTTTCACATTGAACCAAATTGGCATAATCCGGTTGAGTCAAAAGTCCACCTTTCAATCCACGAGTCAAAGCCTCCAAATACCCATGGTCAATGTTGAAGAAGAACTCACCCATGGTTCTCTGAAAATATGTAACAATAAAAATATTTCAGAAAATGTCGAAGAAAACAAAAACAGTGCAAAAACGATAAAAAGGCTCTTTTTTTGGCCGACAAAAGATGCAATGGAGAGATCGATTCGTGGTCTCTCGTCGAAGAAATGTTTGTTCGATAGAGCGCATTTGATGCATTCAAAGAGGAGAGAAATGCTGCGTCCAATGCAAAAAGTCGCGTGAAAAAAACGCGTAAAAACGCGCGACAAATGTGTCCAATTTGTTGAAACGCGTCTCTCTATTTTTGAAAGAAACATACAGTAAGACAACGAGATATCGAGCGAAAAAACACATGTTTCCTTTGAAATTTACTACGGTATATGCAAACACGGCGACGAAATATTGCACATACCGTAGTAAATTTTGAAGGAACATGTGTTTTTCGCTCGATATCTCGTTGTCTTACTGTATGTTTCTTTCAAGAATAGAGAGACGCGTTTCCAACAAATTGGACACATTTGTCGCGCGTTTTTACGCGTTTTTTTCACGCGACTTTTTGCATTGGACGCAGCAAAAAAGGGAAATTGGTTTGTTTGTTGTTTTTTTGAAAATGCCAAAAAACGCAAAAGAAGATTGGAATTTTTGATGGGTTTTGACAAATTTCTAAAGAAAGCCATCTGTTTTTTTGGAGTATTTTCTGTTTTCGTCTCATTATTCAATTTGGTAATTTTTAATTTCATAATGCCACGCTCGTAAGAAAAATTCAAACTTTTCTTTTCTCATAGAAATTTTTCGAAAAATTGTAAAATTATTTTGTATGAGTTCTCCTAACTTAGGCGATGTTGCAGATGAGTTTCTCCTCCGAGGAGAAATGAGGAGAAATGGGGCATAATTCGAAAAATACATTGTTTCGCCTCCACCTGCAACACGTTTCTCCTCTTTCTCCTCAATTAGCTCGGGGGAGAAACTAATCTGCATCATCGCCTTATTTTTCAGTTTTTTCCCTTCAATTTCCGTTGTCTCTTCATTCTTGAAATTCAAATGACGTATTCATTGTAAATTTTGTTTCGAAATTAAATTAGTCATAGTTTTATTTCTTCGTTCTAACTGATTCTTACATATTTAATAAATTGATTCGAATGCTGAAATTGCTTTAATTAATATCATCCTTTTTGAAACCTGTTTCTCTTTCTAAAAACCGATAAAAACAGCGTTCAACTAACGAAATTATCGGTTTGGTTTTCCGAAAACTTTTTTCGAAAAAGTTCAAAGTTCTCAGAAATTCTCACTTTTTTTCGAGAATCTCTTCACTAGCTCAGATTACACCGGAAAAAGCCACTTTACTTTTTTCTTTTTTCCTCGAAAAACAAAAAAAAATTGGCGTGATTTTTCGACGGCCTCTTTTCATACTGAAAACTCAGAACCCTTTCAAATTCTTTTAAAATTTTGTTGGTTTCATTTAGTCTCCGCCCATTTTCTTCAGCTTCTTCATTCAATTTCTTCCTTCGCATCTGTCAGACACAAGAAAAACTTTTTTCTAATTTTTTATCTTTTTTTGATGTTTCTCTGCAAAAAGAGGAAGAAAAATCAAATTCTTTTTGTTTTGTTTTTTCAGTGTTGCATTTGGTGACTTTAACATGTAAAAGAAATTCAATTTATTCATCGGAGAAACAAGAAAAAATGGAAGGATTGGCGCGTGTTTTTCTCGTTGGCGGCAATTCAAAAGCTGTTCGTTTTGATGAGCAAACTACTGTAGAGGTAATCATTTTTGAATTTTATTATTTGAAAAAAAAACATATATATCTGGAATTCCAGTTTGTGTTTATATGTATTTATAACAAATTTATTTTTCATCAACAACAATTGTCGTCAAAAATCAACAGACACTCATTTTGAGAGATAGATTTTATTATTTTTTTCACAGACCTTGATTTTACACTTATAAAAAGTATAACACTGAAAAAATGGACACATTTGAAAAAAATCTTGTCGAAAATAAAAATGAAACAAATGAAACAAAATAAATTTTCGACGTGAACTGTTTTATTGGACAATTCCATTTCTTATATTATTCATCTAAATTCTTCTGCGAGAAATCTTGGAATTTTTGGATGAAAACTATTTATAAACAAGAAAATAAATATTGTCATAAAATTTTATTCACATATAAATGCGATTTTCTTCCCTTTCACGCGTATGCGAAAAGAAAAAAAACTCAAATAAAATTTCCAGCGGGTAATTCAAGTGGTCGCCAGAGGAATTGGTATATCTCAAGTAGCTGTTGCTCATTTCGCACTTCGTCTTGTTACTGGTCCATCTCCACAGACCGCAGGTTCAGGAGATTCATTATGGCTTCATCCATTGCTCAGAATAGTGCAAATGCCTCATATTTATTCAAAACATTTGCCAATTGGAGTATCGGATGAAATAAAGTGAGTTACCAAAAAAAAAGACAAAAATTGTCTGATCTCGGGCGGGCTCGAACCGCCGGCCTTCTGTGTGTTAGACAGATGTGATAACCACTACACCACGAGATCGCATGTTGAACCCAGTCTTCTTCTCATATTTATAATGTGTGTGCGACTCTTTTTCTCTACCTCTGCCTGGAGGCAATGAATGTGTGTGTTTTTGCAGAATGGAACTACGAATGAGGTTTATGCCACAAAGTGTGTATGAATTGCAAGTTACCGATTCGAATGCTTTCATTTATTTACACGAACAGGTTTGTTGAATACTGTATTTAAAAAACTATCTTCCAAATAAATTGTTTCAGGTGGTAGAAGAATTTTTCAATCATGTAGCTTGGAGATTTTCTGTCGATGTTGCACTCGAAGTTTCTGCTCTAAAAGTTTGTCGAGAATTTGCAGAACATAAAAGAGAAGCCGAATTAAGTGATGTGGATTTAGAAGCTTGTATTCAAACACTTATTCCAAATGTTCTCCATAATCCAAGTATTAAACATAGTCAACTCAAAAAACAGTTTGCTGCATTTATAAAAAAGTTTTCTTCAACTTCACAAAATGAATCAATAATAAGAAGTCTTGCTCTTCTTTTGGATGTTGTCAAATTCGATATTGAAGTATTCAAAGCGAGTCTTGGAACAGGATGGTCTAATCCAGTTGAATTAGTTGTTGGACCACATACTGGATTAGCTTATCGACTTAACGAAAGATGTGATGTAAGTATAAAAAAACAACAAAACGAGTAATTGGAAAAATAGTAATATTTATTCAGACTTCTCGTTTAATCGAACTTCGAACAATTTGTGATATTTCATATCGTAAAATGGAAAAAAGTTCTGAAAAAACACTTATTCAACTAAAATTATCAGGAGGTGCTCAACCAGTTATGATAACATTATCAACAGAAGAAATGGCGCATTCTTTGGCTCATCTTTTAGATGGTTATCAAATTTTATATAATCAAAGAGATAGTGTTTTTAGAATTAAAGGAATCGAAAGATGTCAATCTTTAGTTATAAATGGTATTCCATCTTCATTACAAAAAGCCAATAGTGTTCAAGGTATTCATTTATTTTTGATGGAATAAATAAAGAAAAACTATTTTTTCAGTTGATAATGATATACGAATTCGAAGAGAATTAATAACTTTGAAAGATTTGATTGGTGGAGGACAATTTGGAAATGTATATAAGGCAATTTATCAAAATCCAGAAACTGATGAAAAAATGACAGTTGCTGTAAAAGTTTGCAAAACTGATGCCGAACCTGCTGATACACAACTTATTCTCCAAGAATCAAGTTAGTTTTTCAAAAGTACAGTAGTCCTCAAAATCCAAAAAAAACGTTAGTTTTTAAAAAACTACAGTAGACCTGAATATCGAAAAAGACAAAGTTAGTTTCTGAAATACAGTAATTTTTTAATTTCCAACAAAAAAAAATGAATTTCAGGTCTAATGCGTAATTTTCGTCATGCTCATATAATATCATTAATTGGTGTTTGTGTTGATAGTCCAATGTGGCTTGTTATCGAACTTGCTCCATTTGGAGAATTACGAGAATATTTACAACAAGAAAAGGATTGGCTACCAAACAAAACCCTTATATTATTTTGTTCTCAAATCTGTGATAGTCTTGTTTATTTGCATTCAACTCGATTTGTTCATCGCGATATTGCAGCTCGAAATATTTTAGTTTGCTCTCCTCAATGTGTTAAACTAGCTGATTTTGGATTATCTCGTGCACTTGATTATGATGCTGTTTATACAGCTTCTCGAGGAAAATTACCAATAAAATGGTTGGCACCAGAATCCGTAAATTATAGACAATTTAGTATGGCATCAGATGTTTGGATGTACGGAGTTTGTGTTTGGGAAATATTTTCACTCGGTATAAAACCTTGGATTGGTGTATCAAATGCTGATGTTATAATGCATATTGAACAAGGTGCACGTCTTCAATGTCCCGATAAATGTCCGCCATCTTTTTATAATTTTCTAAGAAATCGAATTTGGGCAATCGAACCACATAAAAGGCCAACTATTGATCAAATATTTGGAATTGTTTGTGATGTCAAAAGACAAATTGACAGAAATTTTGAAAATGATCAGATTTTTGTTGGAAAATGTGTCAATGTGAGTGTTGATCTACATTTTTATTTTTTCAATCAAATAATTCATTTGTTTTTCAGCCAGCTGGTGTTATCGTTGCTGAAATGTCAAGTCTTCCATCTTTAACACTTTATAGAACAATGGAAGAACAAAAAAGACAAGCGGAAGAAAATGAAAAATGGTTGGAAAATTCAGAAGGTGAAGAAGAAGAGGAAGATCTTCAAAGTTCTGAAGCATCATCTTCGGTTGAAGGATTATATGATAAAACAAAAGAGCTTCGAAAATCAGTTGATGGTGTTTGTGATGCTGTAACTCGTCTTCAAAATTCTTTCAATAATCTAACACATAATGATGATTTTCTACATTTTGTTAAAGATGTGACAAGTCATCTTCGAGAAATGTTAACTTTTGCATCAAATTTATCACCAAAAACTGCAACACAAAGAACTGAAGTTGATATGACAAAAACATTGATTGCAAATGATATGAAACAAATGAGTCGAGTTATGTCAAAACTTCAAACTGCAAAAGATGAATCATTTAATAGTTTACGTCGAGATGTTGTTCGAATTTGCGGAGAACTTGCTGTAAATTGCACAACACTTCATCTTCAATTAACCGCTAATCCTTCACTTGAAAATCAATTTTCAGCATTACTCACAAATTGTTGAACCTACTGGTTACTGTATAAATCACGGGTTCCACTTAATTGTTTGATTGAAATTTAACAAATAAATGAATAAATCATTTGTTTTATGAATGAAGGACAAATATAATACACATATGAGAAAAGAGCAATGGAACAAAATATTTGATGAGAAAAAACCTGTGATTTTTTGGGGGAGGGGGGAATTGTGTTATTTACACTAATTAGTGGGATACAAGTATTGCAAAGAAAAAATATTATAAATATTGTCATCACCTAAACGTGTCACCTATTTCAACAAATAACAAATAAAAAGGTATTCATGCTAAAGGTAGTGTGTTGTCATATATTGATGGTGCTCGAGCAATGATAACTACAGTACCAAATGCGCACGCAAATGTAAATGTTATTAGAAATATTCTATCCATAACAACTGATATATATTTCCAATCTTCGATTACCTGATTAATTAAATCAATTAACTAATTATGCAAATATAATTTTTTTTTTGAAAATTTACCTGTTTATCATCTTCCTCGTTTTTCAAATGATCTGCAATATAAGCTACACTTTCTACAGCCGTTCGAACAGGAGAATTTTCTCTGCAAAAATGATAACGGTTGGAATTATTTTTCGGAAATTTTGAAACTTCAAATTTTAAATTCCAAGAAAAAAATGTGAACTGAAAAGTCGAAATTCCAAATTTTGAATTATGCCAAAAAGACTTAGGTGACCTCGAGAAAAATATATCAAAACTACATCGAATTGAAATTAAAAAAAAAGATTTGTGATCTTTCCAAAAAATTATTCCATAAATTTTTGAAAATGACCAACCTATGTAACATGAACGATGATTCCTCCTTGTGGTTTCCGTAACCGCCAGGAGATAATAAATCAGACGGTTGAATATGATTTCCGCTTATACTGAATGTCGAAGGACGTTGATCAAACCTTCGATTTGGCTGAAAATCAAAAAAAGAATTATTGGAGGTATGGGGAATCGAACCCCAGACTTCTCGCATGCAAAGCGAGCGCTCTACCCCTGAGCTATACCCCCTCGTGATAAATGATAAGTGAAAATCGAATAAATGTTGTGAAACGTTTTGTGTTGGATATATTTTGTGTTGCCACAGGTTACTGTAGTTTTGGATTTTAACATGAAATAAACTCTATACAGAGCTCTTCAACTAAATAGTTTTTTTGGAATGAATGAATCTGTAGAATAATATTATAACAGAAACAATCTAGAATTGTTCGAAAAAAAAAACTTCTGGAGTTTTTCAGAATTTTTTTTTTTTGAAAAATATAGTATGTCGTGAAGGTTTAATTTCAAAAAAAAGTTTTTGCTTACCTTGCTATGATGTCCTGGAGGCTGTGGCCTTGTCATTAGAAGATATTTTGGTAGAAAATCCACAAATAATCGTTTCATCCATTTAGGCATTGTATGTGTAGTTGGAGATCGATAATGCACATTCTACAATATTATTTATTTTTCGAAAAAAAAATTCCTTGACAAAAAAAGTTGACTTACCAAAGTAACAACAGTCACAACAACAGATAATGTGACCAAAACCATTGTGAATAATAGATATTTACCTATTAATGGAATAACTAAAGATGTTGATGGAATAATTTCGACTAAAAGTAAAAAGAAAACTGTCAGCGAAATCAAAATCGAAATACAAAGTGAGATTTTTTCTCCACCATCCGATGGAAGATAAAATACCAATGCTGTTAGAAAACTGATTCCTACAGATGGAAATATTAGATTTACTGTGTAGAATAATGTTTTTCTTCGAAGATGAATTTCATATGTGATATCGATGAATGGACTTTCACAGCATGGATATCTGTATAAAAACATTTTTGAGAATTATATTTTTTATTCCAAAAGTTAGGTAAAGTTCCTTTCAAATAGTGAAATTCCCAAGAGATTTTTTTATGAGAAACCTGAATCAGGAAAAAATTATCGTCAGAAATCCTCTATGGGTATTCAGGAGAAATCCTTACATTCCGAATCCATAAAAACACTCACCGTTTTTCATGTCTTTTTCCAGGAACTGCTAAGATATCCCATTCAACACTTGGATAATAATCAGATAAATCAATACCTTGATCAACAATCCAAACAGTTTCATTTGTTGGTCCACCAACTCCTTCAACAATTTCATCTTCTTCTTTTTGCATATGTTTATCTCGATGTTGTAGATCAACTTCTAATCCACCATAAGTCCACGATCCAAATTTCATTTCACATTGTTGTCGATCAAATGGAAAGAATTCCACATCAATTTGACACATACTTTTATAAATAGCTGGCGGTGCCCATTCTACAGTACCATTCCATGATAATTTTGCTTTTGTCATTATTGTTACTTGATAATTTCCATCAGCATTATTATATAAAACTACATCAGGTAACCAAATTGTATCTGATGGAACATATAATACTTCTACACCACCATATTCTTTCGGATCCCATTGTAATTTATAATCCGTCCAGCTCTTCAAAAAAATTATTTTGAAGAAAATATCTATATTTAAAAATAAAAAAACTCACATGTTGAAGCCAAACATTAGTTGTCATAATTTGATTTTTCTCATGCTGAAAAATTTTTTTTCAGATTTCTAAAAAAAACAAAAAAACTTACCACATCTAAAAGTTGGCTGAGTTTCAATTTGAAAGTCACAACTAATGTTTCGCCATTTTCTCGAACCGGTCGAACTAATTTATTATAATCTAAAAAAAATGTTGAGTTAGGAGGGGTTTTTTTTTGAAATGTTATTTTATAACAAACCTGCTATAAGATCTTCAAATAATCGATTCGCATCGCGATTCGAACAAAATATGGAGGGAAGAAAAAGAAGTATTACAGTGAGATGAATTGTGAACCTCCTCGTGTGCAATTCATGCACATTTGGTCGCATTAACCTATTTAAAAAAAATTATATATTCCGATTTAAAAATTAATAAAGAAGAATTCAAAAGAGAAGGAAAAAGTTTGGATCAGATCTGGGTGAAGTTTTTGAATCGAATTTTATAATGTTTTAAAACGAAAAATTCAGAAAAATTGAGATCTTACAAATCTGATTGTGAGTTTCAAATTTATTTTAATCTGGAAGTCATTCTTTTTTTGAGACGTTCGCTGTTCGTAATTTCAGAAAAGCATTCTCAGATTTATGATTTGTTCCAGGACCTGTGAGATAATTTTCACAAGAGTTGGGGGATTCTGAAGTTTTTTGTGGTTAAAAACATCCGAAAACCCCCGACACAGCCTTCTATCAGGTATTTCCTCGATGTTACTGTATATATTTAAAGGGCTACAGTTTTCAAACAATATATAGATCTCTGAAAATTAAAAAAAATCACAAGTTTTCATAAGTAGACTTATTACAAGCAGACGATTGATGATTTATTTTATTTTGAAAATTTTTTTTTCCAAAATTCCAGGTAAAATAATTTTTGGTGAATAAACATGGTCACCAATTTCAGGGAATTATTAATCTTTATAAAACATGAAATTTGAGACAAGCCCCGGAAAAAAGAATCCGTGAGCATCAAAACCAAAAATCTGTTTGTAGTTTATAGGTTGGTCAAGTTTTTGAGATTGAACAAATGCTTTTTTTCTTCGAAATTTTTGCAGTTCAAATTTTTTCGTCTTCCAAATTGCAACAAAAAAAGAAAAGAAAAAAGTAGATTCTTTCAAAACTACTATGCAATGAAATGAAGCTAAGCTTGATAAATGAGCACAGATTGAAAGTTCGAAGGACGACTCGCAGAAAAAAACCAAAAAAAGAGCACTTTTTGAATTTTATTGGAATATTCATGATTCAAATTAAGGGTTTTCTAGAAAATTGAAAGAATAATTATCATTTTTTAAATTAAAAACTCAAAATAATATAACAGTACTTTTTTACGGCAACCAAAAAATGTTTTCCAGAGACGAGAGAAATAGAGAAAAAGAAAAAAGAAGTTGAGTGGTACATTTTGAGAAAATAGACGAAGAAAAAGCAGAGCGGAAGGCCCCCATCCGCTTTACGTTTTCTTTCTTTGTTCGTCTGCACTCTCTTTTCATATTGGTCCGTCTTCTTCAAGAAAAAAGATTTAGAGAAACAGAAAAAGAAGAGCAGATTCTTCTCTCCCTCTTCTTTTTTGACGTTTTGTGACACTTTTCACACACACGGAAGACAAAAAATGGGTTTTCGAGGAAGAAAAAAATGGCGCAACCAATAAAAACATTCACTTCAACCGAGATTCATAACTATTCAACACAAATAAAATATACTGGAAAAAAACAACAACAAAACTCAACCTTCCGAATTTATTGTAATTTTTCAGAAATACCTTACCAGACAGTTGAATTATTTTGTTTTGAGATGGAAATTCACCACCTTTCCAGATCTTTAAAATTTTGCAAATCGAATTAAAAAAATCTCGGTCAAAAAATCTTTTAAAAAATTCTACGTGACATTGTTTCGACTTCATTTTTGTCTTTTTCTCATTTTCTGAAAAAAAAACCGTGTTGAATAATCCAGTTTCGTGTTGTTCCAAGCTAAAAAAAATCAATCTAATTCGAATCCGTGCGAAAGTTGGTTGATGAACTTTTTTTCAAATTCTAAAGTTTGTCTCTTTCTTCTCAACTGAGAATTGCATTTAGGACCTAAATCTAATAAACACCCACTCACAGATTTCACACTTTCAGAATTAGTTTGGTTTTTGCAAGAAAAAATCCGCATGACATTAGGAAAATGTAAAAAAGTTTTACTGTTCTTTTTCTATTTTCTTGATGTCTCTTCAAATTTTCATTTTCCCCTCAGGAAATCGCGTTTAGGGGCTTTTGGTGTTTACGCGGCACACAGAACTCGCGAAATAAGCGATATCTGAGATCGATTTCCTGAGCCTGAAATTGTGTGACTGATTACTGTAGCTCAAAAAGTGTGCATAACACGGTTGCACCACACCGAACGCGACGACAGTTTTTTTTTCATTTTGCGCGGCGTATACGCTGTCACCTTTTAACGTTAAACAGGTTATAACCTGTTTTAAAAATTGTATTCACGAACTGCACTTAGTTTATCAATGTCTTAAAATGTAACTCCTAGTCCACTGTTAAAGTTCAGTTTTCAGTAATGGCAAAACGAGGAAGACCGAGAAACGCTCAAAATAGCAAAAAGAAACAAGATGGAAGCAAAAAGAAAAAATATGATGTTGAAATGATCGATACAGAATTGTATGAAGTTGAGAAAATTATGAATTGCAAACTGGAAAATAGACAAGTTATGTATAAGATCAGGTGGAAAGGTTATAAACCAGAAGATGATTCATATGAACCTGAATATCGATTGATGTGTCCAGACAAAATCCGAAAGTTTGCAATCTCAACATTCAAAGAGAAATTTGGAAATGTCCCGATTAGCGATGTTCTCAGATATTGTGAAAACTGCGATGATGATGAATTTCTCGGTTAGATTTTTAATTATAAATATCAAGAAAACCCACACTTTCAGACTCGGGAAACATGCTCGCAATTATTGGTAAACGTTTGTTTGAAAAAGGATCGGTAAACTTCATCGAGCATGATTCAATTTCTGCAAATCGAAGATTTTTGAAGGTAAATGTGTTTTTCATGAGTTTATCTTCTATTTATTCATTATTTAGGCTATGCAACGTTCGGATAATGAATGGTATCTCAATACTTTTATAAATGATGATAAAGAAAAGTTTGGAAGTGATATGAAAAAGTATTGTAAAGAAGTTGAATATCGAATTCAGATTGCAATATGCTATCCACTTGTCAAAGTGAGTTATAACTTTCTTCAAAACATTCACATTTCTATCTTTATTTCAGGTGTATTTTCCACTTGGTTACGATACGGATACTTATCCAACGCCACCTCCTCCAAATTACAAAGTAACAATGAATATCTTATATCCAGGACAACAAGATGTTACGAAATCGACTCAAAAAGGATTTGGTGAAATATATCCATTTGTAAATAAAGATGATGAAAAAGACAACGAAAACTTACCGATCGAACAGCAACCTCGTTGGCGATTCATGCTTGATCCAGTCAAGTTGAAAGTTAAACGTCAAAACAAGTTCCAAAATAATTTGTCATTGAGATTCTCTAAAAGTGCAGGCTGGAAATTGTGTGCAGATAATTTCATCCCAGCTGGAAAACCAATTTTACAAATTCTTGGCGAGGTTTGTTTTGGGATTTCTCTCATTTCTCAAAAAAAGTTTGTTTTCAGATTCGAGATGAATCTGAAGCTCATAGTTCAATGATTGAGGATGGTTTTCCAATTGCCGTTTCTTCGATTTTCAGAATCGCTCGAACCGGAAAAGTTTTGGATCAACGAAACTTTTTCGATTTTTCGAAATTTCTTCAGCACTCGGTAACATATTCATTTTATTTTATCTGCAATTAACATCATTGTTTTTTCAGTGCGAACCAAACTGCGAAGTCAGACTCGAACTTCCGCCAGCTGAATTGAAAATCGATCCGGATAATGTTCCAGAACTTGTAGTGGTTTCAAACGAAGATATAAAGGTAAATTAAAAAAAAAAATGTTGTTATTTTACAAATATCTTATTTTTTCAGACTTTTGGAGAACACTTATCTTTGGATTTTTTCAAATGCTTTGATGATGATGTTGATAAGTTCTTCTCGAATATAAAAGATCCATTGATCAAAGGTATTGCAATAATCCAATAAATATATAACAATTTTTTATTATTTAGAAGAAAATGGTCGTTTGGCATATTTGACCGAGAATCGAATTGATTTCATTCATTGCGATTGTGGCGCCAGCAGTTGTCGTCAAGTCAGTTTATTTTTTTATTTAATTATTATAATTGTTTTCATTTCAGATTCTTTATGTTGACACTGCGATGATTGGACACGACCAAAACGATAGAAGAACTGTGTTAAATAAGGTGAGTTCTTTGGGGATAGATAAGCATACTCAACTGAAAAATATGAATTTTAAAAATAGTTTTTTTCCACGCCACGCTTGAACTTTTCAGAATTAATTTCTGAAAAATTTCAGTTGCGCCCACATGAAAAGTTCAAAGGAACTCGTCTCTGAATCGCCTTTTATCTTTTCAATGTTTTAATTAAATAATAATTTTTCTGTCACATTCTTTTAATAGTTTTTTTTGTCATTTTTTATTCGTAAATTCAATAAGTTGTTTGGAAAAATTACTTCTTGTTTGTTGTAATTCTATTCGTTTGCACTTTCCGAAGCCAAAAGCCTTTATTACAAAAAATGAACAAAAATACTTCTTGAGGGGTAAAAATAAGTATGAACGCAAAAATCACCAGTATTTAGAAATATCTGAAAATTGCTATTTTACAGATTCGTTGATTAAATGATTAGAAAACTTTGAAATTCTACTTTCAAAATGTGCATTTAAAAATAATAAGAGCAACAATGAAAATATTAAAAATGTTTGAAGCAGAATTTCCAGACATAAAAACATCAGAATATTCATCTGTTTGTCGACTTTGTCTAAGTTCTTCATCTTCTTCCATTCTTCGAAGAATTACATCTTCAGCAAGATTTTCGTCAAGTCGGCGACTTTCTGATTGTTGTGCTATTTCATCTTCGGTTAAATCTGAAATTCATATTTTCATTTAAAGTTAACGGATAATTTTTTTTCAAAAAAAAAAAGAAATTAACCACTTGAAATATCATCGATATCTTCTTCTTCTTCATCAGCTAACATTTCTTTCATTCTTTCTTCTTCTTCTTTCATATCTTTTTCTAATTTTCTTCGAGTTTCCTCATAAGTACTCAATTCATTTGAAACCACAACATCTCCCTGAAAATCATTTTCTAGAAATCATTCTTTTTATCAAACACCTACCTTGTTTATAATATTAACCACATTCACTTTTCTATTAATTTTTGTAGTTTTTTCAGGTGCCACTGTTGTTGTTTTTGCAATTCCAATTCTTTTTGGTTTTCTAGTTGTTGTTGTTTTTGGTTTTTTTGTTGTTGGTGATTTTGTTGAAGTTGAAGTTGTTGCTTCAGTTGTCGTAGTTGTCGTAGTTGTTGATGGTGGTTCTTCAGTTGTTGTGAATTTTTTCCACGAACTTGCACTTTTTTCACTTCTCAACCAATCTGATATTTTTTCAATTGCATCTGTGTTTCCTTCAGTGAAAGCTTCATACAAATCTCTGAAAGTTTTGTAGATTTTAGGTTATTTCTAGTTGAAGGATTTTCAAATATCAAACTTTGCCAGAAATTTGATAAAACTAATTTTTCCAATTTTGAAAAAATCTGGTTTTGGAATCAAAAACAAAGGATAAGTAATAGAACTAACCTGCTTGTTTCTGGATCATTACAGTTATCTCTTCCACCACACCAACATCTGATGTTTCCAGATGTTTTTCGAGCACAACCTAAAAAGAGTTGCTCTTTCTCTAATTGAAGATTTTGAATTTAAAAATAATGAAACGAACCAGTCATTGATGCATATTCTTCTGGATAAACACATACTAATTGATTGCGATCATATAATCTCGAAAATTCATACCAATCTGGAAAATTGAAACTTCACAAATTTCAAATCAGAAACGGGTTTTTCTCATGAGTTTTATTTTTTCGAAAATGAATTAGGCTAGACTTTATCAGATGGAAGTTAGATGTTTCTTATTTACCAATATGATCCTTTTTTGCTCGAATTCGACATCCAACAGCATGAGATGGACATTCTTCGGTAACAAGTCCATATCCTGCAATAATATGTATGTTTTTTTTATTGTTAGTGTTTTCCCTTTTTTTCGTAAAAATTCTCCATTTTTCACATAAAAAAGATGAACCATCGGATAAGTTGACTAAACGAGCCAACCAAAAAAAAGACGAGAGGAAACAACCCGCTTTTTGGAATTGACACTTTTTGACATTCCGATTACCACCCAAACAACCAAATACTACTAAATACTAATAGGATTTCGTATAAAATTTGCTAGCGGAAATGAGTTTTTGTGGCTTCTTCTTTTATGTTTTTTTCCCGACTTTTAACATTTGTCATTATTTTAACAAAAAAACAATTTAATCTGCCCTTTGGGAAATTTGAAAAGTGTTTTTTTAATGTTTCGAGGCTAACTAGAAAAAAAGCATAAATAGTACAACTAAATAGATCCCATCTGGTGTCCGAAAATTGGAGAAGAATGCATTTTTGAGGAGAGACAAAAGATATTCACAAAAATAGTTATGCATACAAAATTTGTTAGTTTTGGAATGAAAAAGTTTATGTGAATATTTGGAGTGGATTGAAGTCGAGGAAAGTATATAAATATTTCGAAATTTGGAAATGCCACGCGAAATTTCGATTTTTCATTTCCAACAAAATTAGAAATTTCTCCACTTTTTAAAAATTTGTGGTTCGGAATTTTTTTCGAACACTAAATTCATAAATCTTGAGAGTCTCATTTTAGAATGTTTGAATTTCGTTCCATCAACACCCTTCTGTTGAATTATTTTAATAATTCTTTCTATCCCCCGAGATTTTTTATCTGCCATGCAAAAAATAAGGAAAAAGGAGAAGGGTTCTGTCTCGTCTTTTTGTCAAAATGTGATTTTGTGTGGCAAAAGCCAATTTAGAAAGGGCATAGTGGTCAGCTAACTTCTTCTTCTTCTTTTTCGTCTTTTTTGAAGCAATCTCTAATTCGAGTTGCGAAATGTTACAGTAATCTCGATTCCAAAAATCACATAGATAATTTTGTTGTTTTTTTTTCTTTCACTTGTTAACAGAAAAAAACAAGAAAATCAAATCTAGTTTGATTTGCTCACATCGTCTTTTGCTTGTCTGCACAGATAGAAAAGTACTATTTTTCAAGCGAGAAATTCAATATGGTTTTCCGGTTTGAGACCCACTCAAAAGTCGTTTTTTGCGAGCTGACGAAATGAAAAATTTATGAAAATTAGATGAGCAATCAATCTTTTGGCACAAAGAGTTTTTTCTGACAAAAAAAGAAGAACACTTGAAAAATTTGGCTTTTTCATCAGAAAGAAGAAATGTTTTTTCTTCTTTTTTGACCAAAACATTTTGGTAGTTTAGTTTCGCTATACATTTTTCCCATTTTGAACACAAACATCAATTTTTAATTCTCCTCAAACAAATATAAACAAAATTTTGATATATTTACCTAAAATGTATATGCAAATTTCGTGATACAAGAATATTTATATGATAATCACGGAAAGAACGAACAAAATCAAAGATTCATTTCTCTTTTCTTCTCTTATTGTAATTTGAGAAGATTTTCGGTATTGGAAACACAATGTGTGTGTGCAATGTGCAGCACACCAACAAAAAATGGCCAACAAAAAAGTAGTACACCCAAAAAAGTGTATTTATGAGTGTAAATAAATAAATATGAGAAAGAAAAATATATTCGTGGTATATATTTTTGGAAAAAAGCTATGACGACAGAAAAATGTTAGGTACACATTTTATCGTCCAAAATCTCTAGCCCCAAATATTCAAAAATTTCGGAGCTGATCAAAAATAGTTTGTATCTATGTCTCTTACTTTTCCGTTCATTGAATCCCCAAAATTGTGTTAGCTCAAAGAAATTCAGAGAAAATTTATGGGTAGAAAATTACACTATGTTTACAGTGATCTGAAAATTTTGAGATCAAGTGGATTTATCTGCAAGTTTCGGAATCTCAAATGTTGAAAATTTGAAGTTTCTGAGAAGGATTTATATATTCCAAATTTTCTCTGTGATCTTACTATAATTTTACTTCTGAAATTTTTTAAGATCTAGAAATATATTTAGTTAATCCTACGTTTTCCCATATTCAACATTATGGCCAAGTTTCGAATCGTAAGAAATTTTATTTCTGGCTAAAGTTTGGAGTCTAAAAATTTAATTTTAAATCTCATCGATTCTCAAATTTATTCTGAAAGTTTCTCTATTTTTTGTCATTTCTCTAAAAATATCAAAACCTTCAAAAAGTAAATAAAATACCTGGTCTCATTACCAAACAACTTATATTTTTTCGCCAAACTTTGTCCAAACAATAAAACTAGCGAAAATAAAAGCTGCCGCATGTTTTCTATAATCTGAAAAATATATCAAAACAAACGTCAAAGATGGGCAAAAAAAAGACGAAAAAGGAGGGGAAAAGCCGAAAAAAAGTGGGCGGAGCTTATTTGACCGAAAGGAAATGTAGCGTGTGGCAATTTTGGAGAAGAAAAAAAATAAATTGGTGGCGATAAAAATGAACACTTGTCGAATAACTCAACAGTTCTTTTCTTATTTAGTCTAATTCTTCGAGTCTTCGTTCTGTCAATCAATGCTAAAAAAAGGTGTCAAGTTTCGATACCTTATATGTTTAGTTAGACGAATATTGGAGAAGAAGGAGGAGAAGGAAAGGAAGATTATTTACAAATGAATGCCAGTCACCATATTTGGGTGGTGTAAATATTACGGTTGAATAGATCATCAATGAAGATTAACGCTACTTATTTGGATTTATTTGAAACAAAAAAGAATTGTGTATCAATTTCGAGTTGATAATCATTTTTTTGGCTAAGAATAAGGTTTGAGGTTAAAATTGAACACAGAGACACCTGGGGACTTGAAAGATTTTTCCAAAATCGTCAGTTGAAACCTTGGATTCCTTAATTTTCCCTGAAAATCACAATGATAATAATCAAGTTCGTTTGATTTATTAATTCACAGAAATTGCAATTTCGAGAAATAAAAAAGAGAAAAGACATTTTGTTTGGGGAGGGAAAAGAATATATAGATATAAAACAAAGCGCAATAGGCAAAAAAAAAGAAAAAAAGAAATGCTCGAAATTTAAAGACGATCGAGTGAAATTTCGGCTTCTTCTGGATATTCCAATTCCCAGATTCGTTTCAAATGTTTTCCCTTAACATCACGTGGAGCACCAAATGATGTCATTCTCTTTTGCGAATCTCCCTTATTCCAACCAGCTTGTGATGGAATTATTGTCTCAGATACTTTTTGTGCTTCGTATGGAAGTTCACCACCTTCAGCTTCGAATGTTGTGTTTCTGCATGTTCCGAATCCGATCATTCCCTACAAAACAATTATTGTTTTTTGATCTACATGTTTTTAAGAATAAACTCACAGCTTGTGAAGCGAATCTGTTGGTACCAGATTGGAGTCGAACCATTCCTTGTGATTTTCTGTTTTGCCATGAAATGCTTGGATCCAAAACTTCCCATCTTGGTTGTCCAAATCCAGTCATTCCCTTTTGTGATGCATATTGATTTGATCCCATTTGAGATGGAATTGTTGTTTGATCAATTGATTGTTCATGTGAATAATCAGGATGATTTGTGTCAACCATTTTAGTTGTTTCACGACGAGCAGTACCGAATCCAGTCATTCCCTTTTGTGAAGCGAATTTGTTGGTACCAGATTGCAATGGAATTTCAGATTGATCTGGTTTCTCATGATCATATTCTGGATGTTTCGAGTCAACCATTTTAGTTGTTTCACGACGTCCAGTACCGAAACCAGTCATTCCCTTTTGTGAGTCATATTTGTTTGTACCGGCTTGAAGACGAACAATTCCTTCAGAAAGACGAATCTTTTCTTCTGGTAATTCAGGTAAATCAGATGGGTTTTGAGCGACGCGAACTCCTTCTCTGCACACATCTCTGCCTGATCCGAATCCAACCATTCCTCTTTGTGATGCATATTTGTTGGTACCAGATTGAAGACGAACTTCTCCGTGTGTACGTTGAGCAATATCTTCTGGGATTTCCTGAAATCATTTAATGGTAGATAAATATCATCAAGAAAATGCTACCGGGGTTTTGAAAACTTCTGACTACGGAAAAGAAAAATGAGACTAGAAACTTCCTCCTTATCAATATTTGTTTTATTTCAGAAACTCACTTGCAAGTTTTCGGATTTGACACGAGTGTTGGTGTTTCTTGGCGTACCGAAGTTAGTCATCAATTTTTGTGAGTCTCCCTTATTCCAACCAGCTTGAGATGGAATAATTCCGTCAGTTTGACGAAGTTGTGCCAATGTCCATCTTCCGACACGTTTTGGTTGACCTTGTCCGGTGACTTTGGTTTCCATGGTCGCATTTGGTTGCTCCTCTGAAAAAATGAGTTGATTCATATTGAAAAAGATATATTAATTATATGTGGGTGTTTTGTTTCGAACCTTTCTCATATTGATTTTCATTTTGAATATAAACAGATTGTTGATTAACCTGTTGTTGTATTGGAACAGGAATTCGAATCTCTTCTGGACTACTTGATCTAATAATTGTAATTGGCACTGGTCTTGAAACGGACTCAGTTTTTCCAGTCAATTCCGGATAATCACCAAAAGAACGTGGTGAACGTGGTGCAGCCACAAAACTACGATATTGATCGGATGGAAAACTAGGAACTATGCTATTCTGTGTCGCATTTACTGTAGTGTTGTTTCTAGTTGGTCGATGTCGTTCGATCGCATCATTTTGTCGTGGACTAATTGATCCCGGATAATAATGTGATGGAAAACCACTAGATGGTACATTTCCAGATGAGATATATTTTGATGATGCCAATTGATAATTTGAGCTTGTTGTTGTTGTGGTGAAAGACAACATTTTTTGATAAAATGAAATGAGAAGAAGAAACAAATAGTAAAAAAAGTAAGTGATTTGAATTTGGGAGTTGTTCTTTTTTGTTTGCTTTTAGCTTTTGCTTGTCTGTGTTGGTTGCCCTGAAAAGATTTTCGAGGATTATTATTGTTTGAGGAGAGAATAACAAAAATGTACTAGTTTATGAGGAAAATATGAAAATGAAAATGATATTTGAAATGAAATGAAATGATACTTTTTGATATATGAAATGAAAAGTACACAAAAGTGTCAAGTACCTTCTTGAAACTTTTCGAGCGAACTTTTTCATTTTGAAAAAAAAAATTGAGGGGTAGAATTTTTATAGATTTTTCTGGGGGATTTCAGAATTCCAGAACCATTTCGAGAAATCGTTTTGGGATATACTCAGTTGGAAACTTTAAAAATATACCAAAAAGTGTACTTTTATTGATTCAGAAAATATATGTGGGTATTTCAGGATTATCAAGTTGATTTGGTTCAAATCATCATTTAGAAATTGAAAATGTTGAGTATCAAAAAACATTTTCAAATAAGAAACTCCATGATCTGATGTGTAAAATTTTAAGTAAAGTGAATTTTCTAAGTTTCGAAACAAACTTTACGTGAATCACATGATTTCCTAACACAAAAAAATAAGTGTCAAGTACTTCAACAACAAATCTCAACCACTACCAAAATAAAATGAAAGCATACAGAACGAGACACAAAAAATGGGGAAAATGGCTTAGGGCGACAAAAAATGAGGAGGTGTGCTCATTGAGCAAGCAAACCATTGTGCTTGCTGCTCATCCCTGCCTATTTACTCTGCGCTACTATTTTTGTGAACTAAAAAAACCATCTAATGTTAGCTGTTCGGTTTAGGAAACAGAGAGAAAATGAGGAAAAAAGTGTGTTTGGTATAGAATTACTTTTCGATTTTTTTGTTGGAGCAACAACTTGATTTTTTCTCTGACAATAAGTATTTGTTGATTTGAGTTTATTTGTGGAAAGAACAATGTAGTTGAACAGAAAAGATTGTTAGCACGTGATAATTAGGCAAAAAACCAGAAAGAAACTGTTTGCATGTTCAGATTTTTGAGACTATTAATCAACATAGAGTTCTAGAATTGTTCTTCTTCCGAAAAATATTTAGGATTTGTTTTGAAAATATCTCAGAAAAATTACTGAACTTATAAAACTGCAAAATCGAAACCGACTAAAATACAGTAAGAAGATAATCAAAATAAAAAATTCGTGAACTCAACTCCTCAAACAAATAAAAATCCTCGAAAATCATATTCATTTTCCTTCTTTTTTTCTGACATATTTATTCAAATTCTCCCATTCAAATATTTACCATTGAATATTATGATCTTCTCTTTTTCCGGCGAAATACACGTTTTTTGATACAATGAGGATTACTGTAGTTTGTTTCAGTTAGGGTAACTTGCTGTGTGAATTGATTCAGAATCTGGGGTTGTAAACCGTTTATCCATCAAAAATCAAAAAAATCTCGGAAAAAATGGAATGAAATTTTTTGCTAAATTTTGATTCCGATTTTCAGTATTTTTCTGATGATAAATTTGAAAAAAAACCTCCAGTTGAAAAAAAAATAACAAGAAAAAAGAACGAACTATTCAGCCCAACGAAAACAGTGCCAAACTGTTTTTTTAACATCCACAGCTTTTTTGGTAGACTGTGCACATTTTCATCCCCCAAAGATCTCCGAAACTTTCCCGATTTCCCAAAAAATACTTACCGACTGGAGCAACTTGATCCTCGGTTGGTGGCATTATCTGAAATCATATATTATTTGTTTTTATCGGCGAACGGCAAAACAAAAAATGAGAAAAAAGAAATAATTCGCACGCTTTAAAATACAACAAAGTTTCTCCATTTGTGTGAGTGTGTCAAGAATTTTTGTATATTTTCATGCTGTTTCTTTTTCCGGGGCGAAAAATGGGAAACAAAAAGATGCGAAATACGTTTCAGACAAAAATAAAAAGGGGAAAAACGGAGGAGGGAATGGGGAAAACATTTTCATGGATAAAAAAAATGAAAGTGATAAGGGAAAAATGAAAAAATCAAAATGCAGAAGAATGTTGGAACATCGAGGCGAATTCGACATGAAAAATGTGATTTCTAGAGCTACTTTTCAAAAAAAGCTACAGTATCTCGAAAATTCATTGAGAAGTTGTGGGAATAATATTTTGAATTATGAATTTTCTGTAAATTATGCATGAAACTTGTATTTTAAAATTTACCTAATAAATTATTTTCAGAAATGAGAGCTTATAGGGGGGCTTGACAAATTTTGAAAAGCAAAAAAATGTACTGTAACTCACGGGTGAACACTGTATTCTGAAGTTTATCAACAGATAATTGTTCAATTAATTCAATTTCTTGAATAATTTTCAAATATAGTTTCCTGAACAGAATTTCAAAACTGATCTAAAAATCGCAAATAAGTTTTGAAAATAATCGAAAAAGACAATTGAAAATCTTTGGAAACAAAACAAAAATAAATGACTGAGTGAGTGATTGTCAATAGTAGTGGTCCATCCATTTTTCCAGTTGTTATCTTCTTCCCGCCCATCTTCTTTCTTTTTTCTTTCTTTCATTTTCTTCTTCTTCCCACCAGAGCAACGGGAAAAAAAATGAAAAATATTACACTGATTCGCCCCCACAACACTCGCCAATTTTTCTCAACAACAATAAACTACAGTAGTTCTTCTTCTTCTTCTTCTCGTTTTTTCATGCCTGATGAGCTCGAGATTCGCTTTGCTTTGAAAGAAACAAAAAATGAGTCGAAGAAGAAAAATATTATTGGTTTTTGAGCGTTAACGATGATGATACCAGGTGAAAGAAGCAAAACGAACGAAAAAAAATATGAAGAAAAAAAGGTGTCGAATAGAAATATTTATTACGAACTTGTTTTTATTTTGTTGAAAAAAAATGCTGGAATTATGATATTATGTTTGAGAAGTACAAATGAGAATTAAATTTAAATACTTATTTATTTCGACATCACGATTTCAAAAATTTAAAATTTCGAAGATATAAAAATTGAAATTTTTCTAAGTTCCAAGGTTTCGAGCACAGTTGTTTTGTTTCCCTGTGAAAATTGGATAAAATTTTGAATGAATACAATTATATTCTTTGGAAAATTTTCAATTAAAATTTCTAAGTTTTTTATTCCGATTTTCTGGAAAGATTAACGATTTTGTTTAAAAACACATTTTTTCGGACATTATTTTTATTTTTTAAATTTTGGAATGAAAATGTCATTTTTTTTTCGAATTTTCAATTTTTTTCTGAAAAATTCCCATTTCCCCCCAACACTGAAAAAGTTTTTTTTTCAAAAAATCGGCCACGTTTCGAAAACAATAATCCGTGCGTTTCTCAATATCGTTTTCCAAACTCAGATTTCCAGGTCAAAAAAGTAGTTGTCAAGTACAAACACCTTCAAGCGTGGGTTTCAATCTTTTCAAGCCAATCTCCAGCAAAATATTGAAGAAAATGATGAAACGCCGAGAAATTACACCGAGAAAGAGCCAATTGATATATATATTTATAGCTAAGGGGTGAGATAGCAAAGAAATATCTTGAAACAATTCACACTTGAAAAAAAAGAAGCTAATATTTATGTGAATTGTGAAAAAAATGGAATGCAAAAAAATGTGAATTATTTACAGACAAACATTTTGTGGTGTGAAAATTAGTATTGAATTGATAATAAATCAAATGATCAATTATCGTCTTCTTCTGATTCATTTTCTGAATCACTATTCGTTTCCTCATCCTCTTCTTCCTCTTCTTCCAAAACATCCTTTTTAACCATTTTTAGGGCTTTTTGTGCTCCTTTTGCAATTGATATACTTGTATTTTTTGCACCGATTGTTGTGTTATTTGTTCGATTTGCGCGAGAACCAGGTCGATTTGTCATTGAAGCTAATTGATGCACATATTTCATTGTTGTCTCCATATCTTTTGCTCTGAAACATACCAAAATTGTTTAAAAATAATACATTTTAGAAGTCGACTGAAATTTTGACGACAGTAAGCAACAATTTTCAAATCTCTAATTTTCTGATAATCGAAACGATGTTTTAATTGTTTGTGAACAACAAATATTTTTTGGCTCTGAGGTTGTCAAGCCACAAAATTGTGAACAATTCTTGGTGCCTTTTTTGAAAATAATTATTCTTTCAAAACATTTTTGAATGTTCTTTTGTGAGAGAAAAATAACTTACGTGGTTGCATCAGGTTTTGGAGTTTGATCAACAGAACTATTGATTCTGAAAATAACATAATCTCGATTTTTCCCTCAAATTTTAATCAAACTTACGATCTGGTTGGAGTGTCATCTACGATTGCAGGCACAACTGATTTTCTAGTTCCACCCTTTCTTCGAACAGCTTCTGTATATACAACTGGTGTAGATGCCAAAAATGATTCATCTGCAGAAATATCAGCTGGTTCAATATTTTCAACACTTTCGACACTTTCAGCAAGTACATCCTTATTTTTACTTCCAACCATTTGCTCTCTCAATTTTTTATCTTCTTTTACAGCTGCTGCAACTCCCTTCCTTCGTTTTTCTTCTTCTTCTTCGGCCTCATCAAATTTATTATCATCTTCTGGTTTTTGTTGATTTGATGTATTTTTCCAAATAGATTTATCAATTGCAATTTGTTTTATTCCAGTCCAATCAACTTGAGAATTTCGAGATTGAAGTAATCGATGAACTTCTCTCCAATCTTCTTCACTTTCACTTGGCTTTTTCATATCAACAATTCGCTTCAATTTTTCTAGTTCTCGTTTTAGCCACACAATTCTTTTTGGTTTCGGATCTGATAATGGTGTATTTCTACAACTTCTAACTGGTCTTCGATTCGCAACATTTGGTGATATATCATCATTTTCATTATCCATTTCATCTTCAGATTCGGGAGTTTTTTGTCGTTTTGGAGCTGCTTTTTTCTGAATTTGTTTCGATTTATTATTTCCATATTCAATCGAAAAAAATTGAAATTGTTTGACAGGCCGAGGCCGTAATTTTCGTATCATAAAAAATAAATGAATAATATTTTTTCCGAATTTTAGAAATGAACAAGATTCACGTAAAGATAAGAACAAATAAATAAATGGATACCTTTTCTTTTTTTATTTTCGGCTCCTTGAATTTTCCATTAGATTTCGATCGTCTTCCAGCAACAAGCGATTCGTTCAGAAGTTTCTCATTTTCTTTTTCCCAACAAATTGAATTTTCTTTATCAGTCTCGCTATATGATGAATTTTTTCTTGAGCTACTCGAATGATTTTGTCGACGTGTTCTATCCAATTTTTCACGTATATATCTTTCCTTGTTATCCAAATCTCTATATTCATAATCTGAAGAAACCATTCTTGATTTATTTCCATTTCCACGTCTTGAATATCGATCATCTTCGAAGTTGACTGACTGTAAATAATAAATGAATAAAAACAATTGAGTAAGAAACTTATCAAATATTTGACATACTTTTTGATAAACCGAACTTGCCCTTGTCATATTCATATCTTTTCTTGATCTTCTCATATCATCTTCATAATATCTACTTCTAGATTCAGGAATACCATGATCAGATGAAAGACTTCTACTTTGAAAATGCGGCCTTTTTCTTCCTGATTTTTCTCGATCATTTGTATATCTTGTTGTATTATTTCTTTCACTTGTTATATCATGATAATTTCGACTAGAAATAGTTTGATTTCGGGCAAATCTTGAATCACGCGATTGTCTTTTTTGTCTTAATGCAGCTGGTGTTTTGATATCATCAGCTTCATCAAATAAATGTTCGATATCAGCAGCAATTTCAGTATTTGATTCAACCGGTTCAATATCAGGAATAACGAAACGAGGTTGATCAATATGTGGTGGAGGAGCAAAAGTGTTTTGTTGACGATTGATATTTTGAGGTTGAGGAGTTGAAGATGCGAGTGGAACATGATTAGGTTGAGGTGTTTGTTCGAAAACTCGATTAGGAATTGAAGATGCTTTTGTCTTTTTATCCCCTGAAATAACAATAATGAAAACAATTCGGTGACTATGAACTTTTGAAAAACTTACATCGTATTGGTGTGACTGCATCAAGATAACAATTAGCCGGAGCTCGAAATGTTGAATTTGGATCCACAAATTCCTTTTCAGGTTGTTTTTCTTCAAATTTTTTGGTTTCAAGGATTGTATGATCATCAGCCAATGTAACAAAAGGACCTTTTTGTTGTGGTTGAATTGGTGGAGTATTATCGATACTTTTTTGTTCGCGAATTATTGATGAACATCGACTCAAAAGAACACCCCAATTTTCTGGAAATCCTTCCGAAAATTCATCGATAAGTTCTCTTTTCATTCCACTTTTTTGTTGAAAACCTCGATCAATCGGACCAATCAATTCAAAAAATGAGCCAGATCTATCGAAAAGAAAAGTTGCGGTCATTCGACGAACAAGTGCATCAGATGTTACTTTTCTCATCATACTGTCATCGTCTGACATGACAAAACCTTCCACTCGAATATCTTGACCATTAAACTGAAATTTTCAAATTGTGGAATCAGTTTTTCAACATTTTTCAATCAAACTTACTTTCAATGACCACATTCGAAGCTGATAATTTTGCATATTCAGAACATCCTGAATTCGGACTGGCAAAATTTGACCAGAGTTCATATCTGCAAAAATATTTAGACTGTAACCAATTGAAAACGAACAAAAAACTATTTTCGAGAAGAATAGATAATCTATAACATTACTTTGTGATATGTTAAAATTGTTTGAGCAATAAACATGAAATATTTCCAACATTAACTGGGAAGTTATTCAAAACAAGGTGAATAATAACATTGTTTTCGAGAAGAAAAGAAACAAACAAACTCTTTTTGAAAGTGGCGGCAGCTGTACGCGTGTCTCAATAGAGCGAATATGCTGCACATTAAAATGGAGAAGAAATGAGAAGGGACATCCTTCAATTGAATAAAAATTAGATTTATATAATCTGTAAACCGGAACAGCCTAAAAATAAATATCTATTTTTGTCAAAAAACAACTGTGAATTAGAATCGATACAAGAATGGAGAGTTTTAAATACTCCGTGGAACTGATATCTTGAAACTTAGTCTGAAAAAAGTATTAAAACTTGTGAAACGGGACACACCCGCTCAAGCAACACAAAAATCAGCAAAACGCTGTAAAAACGGTGCACCCTGTAGCTCAAAACCTAGATAAGCTTCATGAAAAACTAAATATAGCATGATAATCAGCGCATCGAGTTCTACCTGACTTGCTACTTTTTTCTAGAACTTCGAAAAAGAAAATCTCAAAAAGCGAGGAAAGAAAATCCGGATACTGTATTTAACTGGTGTTTGCGGATATTGCACACACAAATGCATTCTACAGTAACCCAGATGAAATATCGGCGCTAGCGCCGAAATGCAACTCACGTTTTAAATGTGGAAATGTTTTCACGTCAATTCTCCAAAACATTTTTAGTCATTTCTTGATTTCATATTCTCGTTGTTCGTTCGGAAAATTTCTAGAAATAGAACCCTAAATATCATCTCGTATGTTTCGAATGATCTGACGAAGGAAATATTCAATTTCTCATGTGAGTTTTATCGGGGAACTTTTTTATCACGAATCTTGTGTAGATTTCTAAAGAAAACATTTTTTTCATTCATTCAAAAAACTACAGCAACAAAATAGAAACAGAAAATCGAGTTATAACAAAATAACAACAGCAAAAAAAATCCTATGGATGTAGGAAAACATGATTTTCATTAGCCGAATTTGAAGAAGTTGATGGTTGTTCAATAACAATATGTTCTTCTTCTTCTTCATTTCCAATCATTTGCCCATCTTCTTCTTCTTCTTCTTCATAAATTTCATTTTCTTCTTCCATTTCCAATTCATTTTCTTCATAAATTCCTCCACCATCTTCTTCATCATCTTCTTGTTGATATCTTTCTTCATAATCTGAATCAGTATTGACTTCATTCCAATTCATATACAAATTATGAACACATTTCGATTCATGTACTCTTTGATTATGAGCTGATGAAAATACTCGACCACATCCTCGAATACAAACATATTTCTTTTTGTTCAAATGTTTCTTTTCAACATGAGTTCGAAGAAGAGCACCCGATACAAATCTTTCTTTACATCCTTCAACGAGGCATTCATATCTGAAATATTTTAAATTACACTTTTGAATTGGTTTGAATAAAATCTTACGGTTTCTGATCGAAATGTCTTCTCAAATGCAATCTCATCGGAGTTCTTTGTGCAAATGCCATTCCACAAATTTCGCATTTAAAAGGTTTTTCACCAGTATGAGTTCGCATATGGGCCTGAAAATAATAGATTTTGTAAACAAATAACAAATTAACTAACAAACCTTGATTTTGCTGGGATATTTATCAATTTTTCCGCAATATTCGCATTTATGCATTTGTGGTTTTCTTCTATGATGTGGACTTGCCGAATTAACATCAACACCTTTCGCAACCGCATCAATAATCCAATCGAGATTTTTCGCATCTTTTGTCGGTTTTCTTCGTTTTGTAGTAACTCCCAAAAATCCTTGTTTCAAATGTCGAACTGGCGCAGCCATTTCAAGAGTTGAAGCATCGACAACAACTTCAGTTAAATGACGTGATGATTCAACCCAATCAGCTTGTGATTTTGTTCCGCGTTTTGGTGGATTCGGATCAACAATTACTCGAACTTTTTCTTCGTCATCACCAATCACTTGAACTCTGAAAAATATGACATCTTTCATTTTTCTCATATTTTTTTGAGAAAAAGTTAACTATTTAAAGTGTTATCAGTATTATATTTTCGTGGTAGAAATTTCCCTGAATTTTTCAAAACATTTTTTTCTGAAAAAAACTTACAATTCATCCATAATAATTTGCCCGTACAAATGATTTCTTCCAATTTCACTTTCTTTTCGAATCAATCCTGGTGCATTCTGCAAAACTCCATTTTTCGAGTCAATAATTTCTTCTTCTTCTTCCTCTCCTTCTTCAACTCCTTCTTCTTCTTCCGTATAAATTTCTAATAATCCATCAGATGTTTGAATTTCAACTTCATTCAATGGAATTGCAGATTGTTCCAAATATACAACATGTTCTTGTCCTTCCTCATTTGTTTGTTGATTATTTGATGTACCCGCTTGTTCATATTCAACATTATCTTCAAAATATTCGTACATTTGACCGGTTTCATTATAATTTTCTACTAGAATTGTTTCTCCACATACATATTTGCTAGGAACCTTTACAAAAAAATCAACATTTCCAAGTGTTAAAATGAAATAAATTCAAACCTGCTCTCCTTTAATAACATGCGATGTAATTCCATTAATTTCATGTTCGTGTTGCTCATTTTCTTCAACAATTTGTTGTTGTTGTTCTTCATCTTCCCAAACTTCTTCATATCTTTCATGATCCATTGAAATATGTTCAACAACGATATTTTCTTCATAACTTTGGAATCCACATCCAAGTGGACATTCAAATACTCCAACAATTTCCCCTCCTTCATTTTCTTCTCTCACATTCATTTGCGAATTATCACCGTCTTCTAGAAAATGTTGGAAGAAATATAACTTTGGAGAAAAACAAACTTACTTTCAGCTGGAATAACTTGTAAATATCCTTCATCTGAATTCAGATCATAACCTATTCCCATCATATGAGTCTGCAAAAAATAAATTATAGCCACAGCGCCCTTGTTAATAGAATACTAACCTTTTCATGCATTTTCCGCCTATTCACAGTTGTAAATTCAGTATTACAATATGAGCATTTGTACGGCATTTGATTACCGTGTGAAAGAACATGACTTTTCAAAGTATGTGCTTGACTGAAGCATTGACCACAAAAAGAACATCGATATGGTCGTTCACCTGTTTAGTTTTTAAATGTAATATTTACAACAAGTAACAATTCAAAAATCTAACCTGTATGCTTTCTAATATGTTCTGTGATTTTCGACGGATATCGAATCTCTTTTTGACACAATTCACAGTAATAAACTTGTGCTCGTGTTCTTTTCATCATTCGATACATTCGAGTTGGCTCCGATTTTTTGCCATTTCCCGCAGTTCCTGTCGGATTTTTTGTAGTATTCAAATCGTATTCGAAATTGAATTCTTCTCCTTTATCTATTTCAACGTGAACATTTGAAGAAGACGCACCTTCATCGTTCATTTTACCTAAAAATAACGTTAAATTTTGATTAAAAAACAATTATGGAAGAAGAGAGATAAATTAAAGTTTGGCATGAACAACCAATAGAAACAAATTAGCCTGAACAAAAAAAAATTAGATTGAAACTTTGATTCAAAAAAAATAACAAAAAAAACAACAAGAAAATTAATATTTAACAAAAATTCAACCAGTATTATCAATAATATGTTGTGCAAATGTTTCTTCATCCATTGCTTCATTTATCAACATCATATGTTCCTGAAATAGTTGAAAATGTGAATATTCAATTTTGAAAGAATAAAAGAAAAAAACACAAACTTTGCTATCAAACATAAGAACTTCATCTCCATTTATAACTTCTTCAATAACAGTTTGATTTGCAATATCAGCAGCTTCTTCAGTCGAAACTCGCACATCATCAAATAATTCAGTAAATATTTCAGGATGATATGATTTTCGATGTCTCATTAAACCAGATCTTCGTGAAAATGTATTTGAACATCCTTCAATCAAACATTCATATCTTTTTATTCCCGAATGTACAGTTTTTTCGTGTTCGCGTTTACAAGCTTCTGATACGAAATACATTCCACATTCCCAATCACAACCATATGGACGATAATCTAAAATTACAGTAATTATTTGAATCCGTTAAAAATCACGAAAAAGTGGCAAGAAAGTTATTCAAAAAAAAACCAACTCGTATGTTTTCTCCTGATATGAACCATAAGTGATGACGCTTTCGTCAACGATAATCCACATTCTCCACATTGATATGGTTTTTCTCCCGTATGAGTTCTTACATGTGCAGCAATTTTACTTGGATGTTTCAACATGAGTCCACAAATTGTACATTGTGCAACTGTTACAGATCTACTTGATGTGTATATTCGTTTTGGAACAGTAGTTTCGCTACTCTTCATTTCCAGATGAGATTCTTCATTATTTTCAATTGGAGGAGCAAGGCATTTCGCAAGAACTGTTTCGATAACTTCATCAATTCTGAAAAGAAATAAATAAGAATGTTTTGAAATGTTATTATTCAAATATTACCTTCTCTGAACTTCTTCACTTGGTGGTTGATTAACTGTTGGCTGTTGAGCTGCTTCTTCTTCTTCGTCGAATTGAGAAACATTTTCAGGATTTATTCCAGATGGTTTCGATTCAGATCTTCAATGTTTACGATTTAATTAGACTAAAAAATCTTTAATACACATTACTTTAAATTTGCTTCCACAAAATTGGCGACGGCTGAATTCGATAAATTTTCATTTCTTGATTGATCTGTTACCAATGGCGGACATACAACTCTTCTTGGTGGTTTTAAATGAGGTCGAGGTGGACCAGATCTCGTCTGTTTATTTTGATTCGATTATTAATTAGCATAACTTGTTTACTTACCATTCCCAAATGTCGTAATTCATGTGCATTTTTTCTTGCATTATTCACAAATCGTTTTCCACAACCAAAACTACAGACAAACGGTAAATCTCCCATATGTTCACGAAAATGGTTGATCATTGGAGTTTTTTGAGAGAACCTTTTACCGCAAATATCACAACCAAAAGGTTTTTCTCCGGTGTGAGTGCGCATATGCTCCTATAAATTTAATTTTACCCACATAATATAATAAAAACGTACTTTTATTCTTGAAGGATATTTCAATACAATACCACAAACTTCGCAAGTTTCAATTGTTTTGGGTCGAAAATTTCCTCTTTTTTTAGGCGTGATTGCATCGCTTTCATCGTTCTGAAAACTTACATTTATTTATTTATGAATAAAAACAAAGAGGCTTACATTTTTGATAGACGATTCATTATTCCATTCTTCAAATACAGGTTCAGTTTCTCCATTCAATAAATTATCATAATCGCTAGACGTGCAAGGATCCATTGATTTTTCGATCGAACAAAAATAAAATTTGGGAAAATAAAGAAAACAACAACACTCCACACCGTAAGATCCATCTGCCTGTTGTTTAGCGTAAACACACACATGAAAAAGGTGGCTGTTTGAATTTATTTATTGTGTGCAACAATGCATTCATTTTCGCTCTTTTATTCCCTGCGCAATTTTCCTTCACATGACTTCACTTATTCCATGCACTTCAATTCAATTTATTTCGCGTTTTTCCTCGAAATTTGTTTGCCATTTTGAACCAATGAAACATCTAATTATAATTCTTGAAACTAAAAAATGTTGGCCACAAAGAAATAAAAACAATTTTTAAGTAGGTATCGTCGTTGCAATTTTCTCTCCTTCTATCAAAAATTCTATACAGTAAATAAACCTTGAAATATTCTCATTTGAAAGGCCTTTATTGTTTGCGGGCGCGGGAATTTTTCAATATTCCCACCCCATTGCATTTTTATTGGATTCTACTCATTTTTTCTCACCATTTTTTCGAAATTTTGGTTCATTTAGATTGAATTGAATTGTTTCTTCTCCCAAAAAAAATCAGATTAGTTTTCGCAACTCGTTTTTTCTCTCTCTCAATTATCTCAAATTGATTGATGCTCACTAGTTTCATACATTTTCAATTCTTCATCTTTTCTCTCTCAAAGAAAACCGCAAATGATATTTAGACAAGAGATTTTTGTTCCATGAACCCTCAAAATATCCAATTTCTTCTTTTGTCTTTTGTCTCTTTTTTCCTTGTGTTTTTTTCGAAATTAGGTTTTTTTAGTTTGCAACAAAAAACCTCATTTTTTGTGTCCAATACTTGTCACCTCAATATCTTCATCCATCCAATGTTTATTCTTTTTTCCTGTGCTATATGCCAGCTTTTTCCTCTCTACTCTTTAACAAATAATATTATTCTTCTTTTTGGCCAAAAGTTTATTTCAAAATTGATCAAACAACTTTTTTTTTTGATTTTGCAATTGCAAACTTTTTTAAACCAGTGGTTTTCGCAATTTGTTTTGAAAGTGTTAAAATTTTCTTAAAAGTTAAAATGATATCGATTTCCAGATTATTTGCTAAGTAAACTTTTCGAAAAATCTCGCTTGGTATAATAATTCTGAGAATTTTATTCGACTAAATCCGAAACATTTTGAAATGACACATGAAAGTGTGATGAACAAATATTTGTTCGATCGGATTAAATAATAGATAACAGCACAAAAATGTTGCAGAATATTTTTTGTCTTCGCAAAAAAAAATCAATTTTAATTTATTTTTACCGCAAATTACTCTTTCTCTTTTCTTAGAAGTCGTTTTTGAAAAACACAAGATTTGATTTGATTCTCTAAAAATTCCAATTTCAAGAAAAAATGGCTCTTTGTTTCTGAACACCGAAAAATTCAAAGGTTTTTTGAAATATAAACCTTATTCTTCTTTTTCTTTTATTTTTTATTGGTTAATCCCGAATTTTTTATATGATATAACAAAAGTGCTGCAGAATAATGGGAAAACGAAGGAAAAAGCTGGCTTCTTCTCTTGAAAATTCCAATATGCGATGTAATTCGTCTTTTCAGTCCTCATCTCGTATTTTTTTCTGCTTTCGGGTTCTCGTTTTTTCTTCGTGTTGCTCATTAGCGCATTTTGCACTTTTCCGCAGCTTTTCAATCTTTTTCCTAAGGATTTTATTCAATTCATCGACTTTGTATTAGAATTGTGAGGTTTTTTGAGATTGAAAAAAAGGTAATTTTTTGATAATCCATCAAGGTGATTTTTTGAAAAGATTAATGATTTTTTACAGTAATCTAACATGTCAAAAAATAATGACGACATATTTTATTTATTTTTTCTTTCCATCCATTTTTGAATTCTTAACGAATTCAAAATACAGCAACTCCTAGGAGCCTTGAATTTTAAGAATTTTTACAAATTTAAAAAAATTTAATAAATAGAAAAAATATACCGTATATTTTTAAAGGTGCAACATGTTTGCTTGTGGGGTCTTGTTGGGAAATAAAAAGATGCGCGTTCCGAAATGTTCTTTTCGGTTTTCCTTATTTTTTCATTTTCGTTTTCAGGCATGCTTCTGAATTAATTCGAAGGTGAGTTTTAGACAATGTGTACTTGAACATAGAAAAAACGTTCTAATTCCGGGCTATATTTCCCAGCGGTTATCGAGATGTTTCAATATCTTCCTTTTAAAAAAACGAAATGAAAATAGTTAATTTTTCGGGATATGCCATTTGACGTGATTTTTCGTATTTTGCAATATTGAAAACCTAAAACTAATTTTTCCGAGAAGCTATAGTAGTCCTTGAAGATCTAAAAAATAATGACAGCTCCTCTTTCTTTGGATTTTTGCTTCTATTTTAAAATCGCGAATGACTTCACCTTTTTTTAGTGTTTCTAATCTTTCCTTTCACGCGTCACCAAAAAAGAATATGAATAGAGAAAAGAGCAATTCTTTTCTCACTTTTTTCCTCTTTTCTCACCTCGTTTTTTATGTTTTATATTTCTCATATCCATTTTTTGCAATATGACACCTCATTTATTCGGTTTTTTCTTGCAAATATGATTAGGTATGCGTGTAGTTCTTTTGGATTTCCCATAAACTCTTCTCAAACTAAAACTAATCAATGCAATGCGCATTTCCTGTTGTAATCCCACGATTTTTAAATATTCTATCGCTTCTTTTTTTGCTTCAAAAAACTTTTGCGAGCAAAAAATTATGTTTGTTTGATTTGCGGACCTCAAAATGTGCAAATTTCTATTGCTTTTTTCACTAATCCGGTTCGTTTCCATGTAAATCTTATTATAATCTTCGATAGATATTCATATTAATATTCATTATTGAGAAAAATTTTTCTCTTTTCTTTAGTTGTTTATACTTTATACTCATTCCTTCAAAAACTTTGATCATTTATTTATTTTGGAAATGGAACGTGTGGAAATTTCCCAAAATTATTTTTATCGAACAATTTAAGGTGGCCTATTTTCAGCTGTTTTTATGAACTTTTTGAAAGTTTAAAAGTCCTCACAAAAACAGGTGAAAAATAGAATAATTTTTTGGTATCAGTCTTTGAATTTTTAAGATTTTCATTTCAGAGATCTTTTTTTATCCAGAAAATTTACTATTTTTCTGAAATGAGCAGCAAATAAAAATGTTGTATCATGACACTAAATATTTGTGTCACAGGTGTTCATTTATCTTCTAGAAACAAAAAAGTTGCTCATATTTTGTTTTTCTTGTTTTTTTTTCATCAGAAGAATTATTTCATTTCACAGCTGATTTGTTTCAGCTGTCAATCTGATATATAATCTGATTTTTCTTATAATTCTCCTCTATCTTTTTCCTGTTCTCTCGTTCCTTTTTTCATTTTTTTATTCTTGCGCTCCTTTTTATTCTATTTTATGACTGCTCCGTGAACGTTTTAATATTTCTTTTCTAAAACAATGAGCAATTTATTCCCTTTTGTCCAACATTTTTTCGTTTCTTTTGGCCTTCAAAATCTGCTTTTATTTATGTGTGTTTTCTCATGTTCCGAAAAAAACAACAAAACAACAGAGTTATATATTTTTTCTTTTTTTCGATATCTAGAGACAATTTAAGAAAATCTCATTAGTTTCGGTTTCGTTTTTCGTCCTTTTTTTCAGTGTGTGAGAAAGGTTTTTTGGGAGGGAGAAGGATATTTGATATATTTGTTGAATCAAAAAAGATTTCTTTTTGGATTGCTGTCATTCTGTTTTGCATCCGGAGGGAAAAAGTTAATTTTGACTTCATTTTAATTTTGGAGAGGCTTCAAATCATGACTCAACTTGATTTTGAATTTAAAAAAACACTCATCAAAAATTTTCGGTATTTCACGTGAACGCGTCACCAATTTTCACATAAAAACATTTCTGAATTTTTTATTACCAGAAATGTCGGCAAGCAAATTTTGTGAGAAAAATAACTAGAGAAGTAAGTCAAAAAATAAATGGAAAAATGTACTCTAATTTTTCACTGTCCCAAATTTTCTAAACGTATCCATAGGGACATTGAAAAATATGAACCAAAACTTTTTTTCAAATTGCAATTGTTCAAGACAACAAGAAAAAAACTAGTTGTTGCTACTTGAATAATGCTTGCTAGCCATCAAACATTAACCCACTAATTATTGAGATATGCACTTTTTCTTCTTCGCGCTTCCAAAGCCGTTAAAAATATCCATGACAACAAAAAACATATGTGTTTCGAATTTGTTTATTTTTTGTCTGTTTTCTAAATATTTTCATTTCAAAATTCAAAATTTCCTAGCATAAATAAGTACCGCAATAACATATATCTACTTGAATTGTTTCCAAATAATCCATTGTGACAAGTTTTATCATTGATTTTTGTTGGCAGAGGTCATTCAGAGATTAATTTTTGAAATTTTTGTTTCTCTTTTGTCAAGTATTCCCAACTTTTTTTTCACTTGTAGCTACAGTAATTCTATACATTTTCCTTGCAAATGACATCATTTTTCCTCGTTTTGTGATCAAATGAAATTCCAAAGACTAATTTATTCGAAAGTTTTGCTCAATTGTGAATATCAATTTTTAAATTCGTTATTTTTGTTTTTTTTTCTCTCCATATATAATATATGTGTCGAGACAAGTTCCGGAGTTATTCATAATTTATGCGGAAAATAGTTAGTCATATTTATATTTATTAATTATCATCCTGATCAATTATCAAACTAGATACAAGCTGTTTTGAAAAAAAAAGTATTAAATTTTTCAATATAATAACCACAAACCATGTAAATAAACACAGAAAAAAATAAACAATTTTTGTGTACGACCAACCGGAAAAAGGAATACCCTTCGAAAATTGGAATTTCTTTCCTGTTCAAAATCCACATAAGCCATCCATTCATGTTTTTTTCTTCCATTTCTATACATTTTCAGACCCATTTCATTCAATTTATTCATTTTTTCTCACTTTTATTAGCTTTTTGTCGATGAAACAACTCTGAAATATGATATTTGGAAGCTAGAAATATTGGATATGTTTTTTATTTTTCTAGCATTTTCTTTGAGTGAAAAATTAATTTAGGTGCACTAACTTCTTATTTGAGAAAAACAAGGATATCCCTAATTATGTTCTTCAAGAAAAACATCGTTCTTGATTTATATGAAAATATTGTTTTTTTCAACAAAAAAGTAGAATTCTTCAGTACTTTATCAAAGGCGCACCATGTTTGTTTCTCGGTCTTGTCGCGAATCGAAAAGATGCGCGTTCTTTTTTTTATTTTGGAGCACACTTCTAACAATGAATTTTCGAATTTTAAGATAAGTTTCAGCAATAGATTGCTTGAAAATAAGAAAACGTTCAAATTTCTGTTGTTTTCTTCATTCCATCTTTTTCAATTTCCAAAAAAACACAAAAACAAACATTTTTGGTGTGAGTGAGTAGATATAAATCAAATTTGCAAGAAATTCTTTCAGTCTTGTGCTCATCTCAAAAAGGAACTTGTTTTAATATTGTCCATCTACATAATTTTTTCCATGACCATTGTCTTAATTCTTCTAATCTTTGCTTACTTCTTTTCTCATGAAAAATTAAAATATTTCAGGCTGCATATTGTTCATCAGGATGAGATGAAACATAGTTATGCTGCCGTTCGTATATATAACCAGTTTCACACATATCCTATCAATTTACATTCTCTTTCCATTTGCAAAAAACGGGGCAAATCATTTGAGATATCATCATGGTAACAGAACAACGTGGAAACCTGTAAGTTTTTCAAAAAATTATTGTTTGCCTTGAAATTGAAAATATTTGAAAATTATAGGTTGATATCGAAAATCCAATTCATATGGTTGTTCCATTGCCAATCACTGATGATGAAGGAGGAGGAAGGAATCCATTTCGAATGTCTATTGGAAAAGTTGGTTTTTTTTTTTTGATTTCTCAATAAAAAACGTTTTTTTAGGCTCAACCAATTATTGATTATGCTTTAGAAAAAGTTTACGAATTAGGATTATTGCCAAATAGATCGATTGTAACAACTTATTTGGATACTAATTTATCAGATGCCACTGGTCCTAATATGGTTATTCAACAATTGCTAAAGGTAGTTTTTTTTCAGAAAAAAAGACCCGAACACGTGTGTGGTTTACTACTACAAACCGCTAGATCTCAAAGTTTTCAAAAATATTTTTCTCCAAATCTCGCCCTTTTGTGTTGAGTTTCGTCGTTTTTAGTCCCACCCTAAGATTGTGTCAGGTCTTAAAAAATGCGATAAAATTTTCGGGTGATAAATTACACGCTGTGCGGAAATGATTCCGAAACAAGAGAGCTGAACAGCTCCGTGAAAAATAATGCAATAATTCAAATTGATTAAAAAATACATTTTTTCATGTACTGAAAACGGTACGAGGGTGAAATTTTGAAAACGTGACCTTGTTTCCGTTTTCAACGTGATTTTTATTCCATTTATTTTTAACAAATCTGGTTGTAAAATTTTTCTGGAAATTTCAACATTATTTTCCGAAAATGCTTTTTTTAAAGTTATTTTATTTTTAGTGCTGAAAGTGTTCCATCAAAGTAAGTATGTTTTGTTATTTCATTCAAAAGATGGAAAAAGTTCAAGTGGAAAGTTTGTTCCACTTGAATTTTTCACACGTATTCAGTTCCTGATGAAATGTAAAATACTATAGCTAAAATATGTGTTTTCAAAACTTGGTTGCTCCTAAAAACAATCGAATCTCGCTCCCCTGGTAAAAATAAATAGTTCAAATTTTATCTGTGAAATATTCAGTTTCTTTTAAAAATTGGTTATGATTGACAGTTTGATAAAAATATTATTCCGATTCCTTGTGAAAAAACAATATTGAAAAATAAGAAAAAAAAACTTGACTCTAATGTTTTCAGGATGAACTTGATGTTGTTGTTGGTTTTTCATATAGTTATGCATTGGCTCCAATTGCCCGAATGGCTAATTTATGGAAAGATGGTATTCCAGTAATTACTCCGATTGGATTAACAACAAGTTTGGATGATAAAACGGAATATGAATTGATGACTCGAATTAACACACCATATAAAGTTAGAAAATATTTTATCACAAAGATATTCTACGTGAAAATTAATTCAATTTTTGCAGGTAATATCAAAAGCAATCGATAAATGGTTTGATGAATATAAATGGAATAATCATGTATTCTTTTTCAATCATGTTCGAACTGCACTTGTTCCAAGTACCGAAACATTTTTGCTTATGTCAAGTTTGCTGCATAAATTAAGATCGGTAAGATCCCTAATTTCAGGACGCAGCTGAAAAAAAAAACTAAAACGTCACTTTGCTCTTGAATGTCACATTTTTTGCGGAATTAATTTTCGCGCGCTCATGACCCATCTTCTTTTACTAATTTGTTTTATCTGCAAATGTTTTTTGCGTAAAATATTGTTTTTTTTCGAGGAAAGATAGCATAAGATTAGAACAGTGAAAATAGCACTTTTCATTCAATCAATGTTTTATTTCTCGAAAAATATAAATATATTTTTTTCTGGAATAAACATCTTTCTTGAAAACATTCCGAAAACCAAACAATTTATTTATTTTTATTATTTTTTGAGCCAGATTTTGTTCAGTTTATCTCATATATATATATAAAAAGAAATTTGGAAAATCTGCACAAAAACAGCACATAAAATGATCCAACCAAACACATTCCTCTTCCTTCTTCTTTTTTTCCCTAAATTGAATGTGTTTTTTATCTAGTATTATGGTCCCTTTTTTGAGAACATAATAAAATGAAGAGAAATATTAGAAATTGGTGAAATATTTCACCTGTTCAACTGATTTTCATGTGAAATAACAGAAAAACAATGTCATCTTCAGAAATTTGAAGCAGGAAATCCGGCTGTTTTGAAGAAAAGAAGAAGAAAGAGCATAAAAATGATGTAAATAAATAGGGCAAGAACTTTGAATATATACAAAATTAATAAGAAAATGAAATGACAAGGAAAACCATGATTATGTTTTTTTCAGAGAAAACACGTTGATCACAATTTCTTCACATTCAATGAAGGGACAAATGTTGATATTTTGTATGATCAATTTAAGAATGGATTGATGTCATACAGTTTTTTATCAAATGGTGAGTCCTTTTTCATATTTTTTGTCCTGCGCTTTATATTTTTGTTTGGTTCAATGTTGCATTTGCGGAACATATTTCTCGTGGGAATTAATGCACTTTTTCGTTCGCATTTTTTAGTAGAAAAGGTGGGAAAATCTGACAGAGATTAGGATTTGGAAGGTTTCTAGTTTTTGTTCTCAAATTTCAAATTAGATATCATTTTGATTGAGAACAATTGAAAACATTTATTTAACATACAATGTTTTTTGTTGCAAAATTGCAAAAACATGGTTGATTGATTATAATGCACTTTGAAAACGAAATAAATGGTGGCTACTTATGGGAAAAATATGAATGATGTTTGGAGTTATAAACGCGGAAAAAACTGAAAAAAGTTCGAAGATTTTACATTGAAAACGAAAAATAAGCTTGGGTTCAAAATGCTCGTCGATTTTTCATCATGCTTTATTTATTTCCAACCAACTCTCTTGAGATTTCTTGATTTGCTTTCTTGTTTCTTTGGTTTTCCGAAATTCACAATGTTCCAATCTTGAGTTAATTATTTCCGAAGTATTTTATAATTTTGGTAATCAAAGTACTTTATTTTCAACGAATTTTGAATTATTAACAATTTTGGAGAATAACGGAAAAGAATAGTGCAAAACGAGCAAATTATAACTAACCCAATTTCTTTTTTTTTCTGCCGTCGTTCGTTTCAGAAGCTCGAAAAGGCTTTGCTCCCTAAGGAGGAGACTTTAGTTACCAATTTGCATATATTATTATCGTAATCGGTTTGTCAGGGCGGTCGACTTCAAAAAACGATGAACAAATTCTTTGTTTAGTTTATTTCTGGATGGATTAATTCTTTGTAGTGTCATGACAAAAGCGTGAGAGCATATATTTTTGCACTTTTTTTGTAACATTACATGAGAAAGAAATAATTCTCAATGAAGAAATTAGAAATAAATACACTTGAACAGAACACCCCTTATTTAGAAAAAAGAATAGGAATATATTGGTTGAAACAAACTGAAAATTGGAAAAGAGAAAAGATAATTATCATTCTCATATTAAAAGAAACTCATAATTTTCCTTCGTCACGCCAAAAGAATATCGATTTTACCTACTTCTTTCATTATTTATGTTGAACTTATTATGCATGTAACCCAACACCTTTTTTTTTCGGAAAATCCACAAGCAAAAGTTTTGTTTGCTACTGAAAGATTTCTGTGTTAAACTGATTTTCGGAAGGAAAATAATCCAAAAATAATATGAATAAATAACATATTTTGTTGTTTTTCGACTAAATCAAAGATTAATTTTAAAGGAAGAAAAGAAGAGAAGAAATGGATAAGTTAATCAAGAAATGAACCCATAAAATGTTAAATGGTTGATAACAGAAATCGACGTCCTTTTTTCAGATGAACATTATTATGTTCATTTCCGGTTACAGTCGATCAAAAATCATTTTTTTTTGTCTACCATTCACTTCCCCTTTCAACAATTCCATGTTTTGTATAATCTTTGTTTATACAGTAACAGTTTGTCTGTTTTTTGTTTGATTTGATCGATTTCCGATGTTGAAATTGAAAACAATGTCAATTAACCCGTGGAAAATAAAAACGGTATCATTTGGGTATGATAGGAAACGAATCCAGCAAGAAAGAAAGCAAGCAACACACACACACAAAAAACGGAGGCGGAGCTTATAGTCGAGAGACAAGAAACGAGAGACGCAGAGATATTGTCAGCCATATTGTGTCTCGTTTCCAATGAATATTGCCTGGAGACGCAGCTATTGAAAGGGAAAAACGAGAGAAAAAAGTGTGTTTTCCATTGGCACCCGTCTTCTTCTTCTCCTTCTTCTTCTTCTTCTTCTACTCCTATACCACACACCATTTCATTTATTCACTGTCTATTATATTCTAATATTGGTATTCTTACGGTATTCTTCGAATTGATGCACATATGAGATATGCTCAAATGGACCGTTTTCTACCTTCTTTTATTTCTTGGCCAAATTGGCACCGATTCAAATATATCAGACAGTTCCACTTTGAACTCAATAAAAACAATATCAAATCCTAGTTATGTATTCAATCAATATTATAAGCCAATTAATATATTAGTAATTCTACCAGAAGAAGAATCTGAATATGATACATTAAAACTAACAATGGGAAAAGCTCAACCAGTTCTATTGGCTGCTGCATTAGATGTTTCGACAAAAAGGCTATATTTACCTGAACAATGGGTTAATTTCACATTCTGTGATTCGCAATTCTATAAAAATCATCAGTTAGCTGAAAGATATGCAACAGCTGGAGTATTCAAAGCATTGAAAGAAAAAAGACTTGATGCGATTTTCGGGTTTGCTGATAATTATGCATTGGCAACAATTGCTAAAATAACTGCTGAATTGAGAGATGATGGAGGTGGAATTCCGATTCTAACAACTTCTGGTATTCCATCAACATTGGATTCAAAAACTGAATACACATATTTGACTCGAATGGCTGGAACTGGTAATAAAATGGCAAAAGCTGTATATTCTTTTATTGGTGTACCGAAAAATGAATCAGAGAATGGTGTTAAACAAGAATTACCATTTAATTATACGAATATGTTATTCTTTTATCATGATAAACGTCGAGCTATAAATCGACAACAACAAAAAGACAGTGACAATGTTGGAATGACATCTTCATCTTGTTATTTTTTACTGTATGCTATGAAAGATTATTTTTCTCAAACACATGTCATATACAAACGTAATTGGAATATTTCAACGCCACAATTGCCATTTGATGAAAATCAAAATATTACTGATCAAATGTTTATGAATTGGTTGATTGAAATTTCGATGAAAACTAACGGTTAGTTATTTTTTGGTATCTAAATACTTTGCAAAAAAACTCATACATTTTTAATTTATTGAAATAACTAGTATATATTCTGCACCTCATTTTAATTCTCATCTCCTTCTTCTTCTTCTTTTTTTCACCATTCGTCATCTTTGGTTTTTCATTTCATTTCATTCATTTTTTTCTGAAATAAAATGGAATGAAATGAAATGAGAGGTATCTCGAACGCAAGACTGAAAAAACAGAAGCAAAAGCAGCTGAAAAAATGGAGACAAAAAAGTTGTTTACTGGTTTTGCTTCTTCTTTTTCTCTTCTGACTGGCTCCTTCCTATAACGCAGTCGACCACCATCACAGGAGAAAACATGAAGGTTCTGTATATTTATATATATGCATTGGGAAATATTTTATTTTTGTCACTCACTCCGTCAAATACGACTCACCTATGACTGAAATATTAGTTGGGATTTATTTTTTCTTTCTGGAAATCAACAAATAAAATCGAGAAAAACAACATGTTATTGAGAGAGAGAGAGAGAGGGAAAGAAAATATTTGATAGCTGATTGAGATGTTTGACCTCAATTTATTTTCTGGAATTCAACTGAATTATTCATTAGTGGTTTAATTTTTGATTCTGTTGAAAATGTTTGAGTGATGTCTTTTGCATCTCGCTTAATTTGTCATAGTTAGTCAGTCTGACCTTTTTTTTTGGAATATATAATTGTGATTTTGTTTGTTGCAAAAAAGAATGGAAATGGAATTCTTTTGTTGTTGCTCAGTCTTTCTCTTTTTTGTGTGGCCAATAGATGAACTGAACTCATAGAGAGGGGTTTTTTTTTTGAAAAATGGAAGTGGTTTTTCTCAGGATTAAAAGTGTTTGGGAAATGTTCTTGACATTTGATATAGTTGTTTTGCTGCTGTTTTTCGAGTAATTCTTGAAAACGGAAGAAGCTGGCTGAAATGAATGAGAACATAAATGTGTTAACTCGCGACTAAGTAGTAGTAACTAACTGTGACTAGTGTTTTTCTGTTCCGAACCTTGTTGTTTTTCTCTTCGTTTCCTTTTTCTCTTTTTCTTTCCCTGTTTTTTTTCGCCACTAACTCATTGAGCCAGCCAAATGAGCAAAAAATGAAAGGGAAACAGCAAAAAAGAAATGGATGATTCTTGTGACAAATGGCTTTTTATAAAAGTTTCATCGAGAAAAAAATCTTTTGTGATGTTTTTAAACAGGTGAATTTTTTCAATATTGAAAACGCTCAAAATCTTTTTGACAAACAAATGAAATTTTTTTCATCTTCGTAAACAGAAAAATTATTCTTTTTATACTTTAGAACGGTTTTTTCTAATAAAATCAGTTAGAAACGGGTTTTTGGAAAATGAGATGATAATACTGTAAATAATATATTTGGAATGGAAAACAAGTTGGATGGAAGTAATTTGTTGAAAAACTGTGACCAAACAAAACACTGTTCTTTGTCTGAAAAAATAATTTGAAATTGTGCTCTCTCGAAAACGTTGTTTCAAATAGTTAATTTCGGACGCCTTTCAATTAATTGCCCAAGTTTTGTTAAGAACCAGTATTTCATTCATTTAGTGAAAACACATAAGTCATTTCCTTTTTCTGAATTTAATGAGTGCAATTTTCAATTCTTTCCTTCCTGTGCTTTGTTGTTTATTTCTCTCTCAATTTCAAATAAATATTCAAGTCTTGCACTTTCTTTTTTCCAAAAATTTCTCGCCGATGCGGGAAATTAAAAGTTTTGTTGATTCTTTTCTTCTTCCGAGCAAAATAGAAACTTTTTAGTCGTTGATTAAATTCGTTTTTAGTTTTCTCATGTGGTGTTCAGTTTTTTGTGAGGAATATTTGATATGTATGAAAACGAAGATCGAAGACATACATATAAATAAGAGAAGTTGTTTTGAAAATGAGCAAAAAGGGAAAAAGAGTCAGTCAGTCAGGAACGGAAAACAAGGAAAACTAGGAAAGAATGAAAAAAGAAAGAGTAGTAATAAGGCTAATTGAGCTTATTCATTATTAATATTATGTAGATTATAGTTATTAGGATTAATGATTTTACACAAAATAATGGACATTTCTTTGAAGCCAACAATTTTTGTGTTGACGTGATTTAATTTGAGAATGAATGAATGATAAACATTTCACAGAATGAAAATTTCTTGAGAATTGACAAGAAATTTTTAGAAAATCCAATATATTTTCTGACAATAGAAATTCTCTGGGTTTTCTCTTTTTTTTATTCAGGAGGCGCACATCCGAAAAAAGATGAAAAAGTTAAAATTGTTTTCTTTTTTCGCCACATTTTTGCAGCCAGCCCAACCAATTCAAGGGTTTTTTGTTGTTTACACGCCATTTTGAGGGGTTTTTCATCAAAAAAGAATAAAGTTTTTGGAAGTATTATTATCAGTTATTAAAACAACAATTACTTCTTTTTCTCTTTTCTTTTTATTTGCAAAAAAAAAGAATGATAAGTTCCATTTTTTCTGCAAGAAATTGAGAAGAGAAGATGGAAAATTGAGAGAGAGAAAGAAAGTAATCACTTTAAACATGTGAAATATTATATTTAGAGAGGGGGGGGTGTCAAAAGGTATCATCACAAACAAAAAATGCATGTTATCATTCAATATTATCATTATGATTTTTTAGCGAAATTGAGAAGAGAGAAAATTGATTTTGTTCGATTTGTAGGGGATTTCTGGACAAAAATTTGGCTGAAATAGGATGAAGATTGACATTGGAATTCGAGACAAATAGGATTAAATTTGGACTGGGAATATCTTCGAATTTTCACCTAGACTAGATTTTCAGAAGTTAAAGAAACTCAGATCTGGAAAAAAACCAAATTGTTTTTTGAAATTCAGATTTTCAGTAAATTCTTGGGTGTGAAAATCATAATACCTACAAAAGTTTTTTTTTTGAATTTATTAATTTCATTGGTCCAAGATTTTCATGTTTTCAGAAATTTTGATTCTGAATTCCATGATGAATTAATTATTTCGCGCGAAATTCTAGGTTTTTCAAAAACAAAATCTGAAAATCGAGATGATTTATGAGTGCTCTTAATTTATTTTTAGATCTTTTTGTTAGCCATCAAATATTAAATTCAAACAAAATTTGTCAGAAGACTTAAAAGGTTTTATGGTCGCTTTATGAATTTTTCAGTTTTTCTCCCATTTTTTAGGTGTTCATTTGCAATTTCCAAAAAAAAATAATAGGCAGCTTTTGAATAATTAACTCCATGAACTCTCTTTTTTTGACGTCATTCTTTATTGAATATAATTTTGGCTTCATCTATTTTTCATCAACTTTTCTTTCTGATAGTTTCTCTGATTTCCTTTTTTCCTTCCGTTTTTGATTTTCTCACACATGCATATTGAAATCGGATACCACGGTTTCGTCTGCAATTCTCTTTGTTATTTTTTGTGCTGTTGTTTTTGTCACGAGATTCGAGGGGCCCGGCCCATCCCAAAAATAAACACTATCTATCATTTTTCGGGTCAACCGCAGATGCTTGAAGAGATATGAGAACAGCAAAAAAAGAAATCAACAGGAAAAAAACACTGACTGAAGAAATATATTGGAATGAAGAAGAAGAAAAAGGTGGTATTGAAGAATGTTATCATCTAATATTGATTGGATGTGATGTGTGTTGCTTTTTGCAGAAAAAATATATCTAACAACTTGCGAGATTAAAAAGAAAAACGATGGATTGATTGATTCATGTTTGTTGAGCAAGGGATTTAGACGAAAACACGTGGAAAAAATAAGAGAGAAATTGAAGAATTCGAAAAAAAAATGAAAATAGAACAATCTCAATGGGAAAATTCTCGATGTGATTTTTCAAAATTGAAATTTCTAAATCAATTCGAGCGATTCTGCAATTTATTTCAACAAATATTTAAAAAATTGAGATAAATGTTTTTTCAAAAATTCGGAAATCTTTTGGATTAAAATAAAGCTCGAATATTTCACAGAAATTTTCGCAAAAACTCACAGAATCCAGAATTAATTCCAGGTTTAATTTTCAGAACTTGAAATTGGACGAATTTTTTTAAAGTATTATGAGATGATCTGATATATTTTCTTTTAAAATTTTCTGTACCATTTTTTTTAGTTTTTTGTGACTGATCTATAAGAATGTTAATTTTTTTTAATGAATTAGGCTAACTTCTAATTATTTTTACATTTAATTTCATTCTGGAATTCAAAAGTTTTAGTTGTGCAAAAGTTTATGGTTTTTCCATTTTTTCCAGAAATCTGGTCTCTAAAATCTGGAGTCCAGATGTTCAAAAAAATTTCCAAGATTTTTTTTTGACATGTAAAAAATATTTCTGTATTTTTTTGAAGTCATCTTTTGTCTCTAACTATTGTAGTGGAAATTAGATTTGTTTTTGATTTTCGGATTGAATTTTTTCCGGAATTGAACGTTTTATTTTGCAGAAAACATGTTTTGAAATTATTTTCAGAACGTCGGTTTTATTTTTAAATTTTTTAGTTTGACATTTTACATAGAATCTGAATTCATCAAATTCCATTAAGATTTTGGTCAAATAATGTCTTCAATTTCGGAGAATCAATAATTTTAACCGTATTTTATCTCATTGTTTAGTCGTCTACCAATTTTTGAAAAAAATAATTCAATTTTGCAAAAACTTGATATGAAATGAACCAGTTTTCACTAATACTTCAGATCATTGGAACAGAATTTTTGGAAAATATAATAAAAAAAACATTTCAAAATTAGGTTTATTCGATTCCCGAGTGATTTTACAAAAAAAAACTTCATATTTAATTCTCAAAAATAAGAAGAAAAAGAAGAACATTGGAATTGACGAAATTTTTACAAAAACATTAAGTGATGCGTATAATCGTGTTAAATATCTCTTCACTTTTATTGTATTTTTTCCTTTAAGAAAAAAGTAGGACCCAGCAATAAAAATCCACATAAAACTTGGTTATAAAATGTTTTTTCCTCGTGCTGTTCGTTGCTGCTCCTTTTTGTGCACTTTTTTGGACAAAAAAACATCGTGTCAATCTTTTTGAGAAAGTTGGTTAATATGACTAATCGAGGAGAATAAGGGCATAGAAAATTGGGCAATTTTTGATTGCCTGTTTTTTTTCTCGTTTATTTATAAGTGGAAAAGTAGAGCTATTCTGAGAGAGGAAAAATTGGTATTAGTACGATTTTGGAAGTTGAAAAAATGTTTAAAAGTTCAAACTCGTTAATTTTGTTAGTTTCTCCAAACTAGTCAGGTTTTTGTTTTTTGTTGAAAAAACCAAAAAATCGCTAGTCATCCGTTCTTATTTTGAGAAGAATCGTAAATTATATTTGAACAACCTTCATTTTTTCATAACTCTCATAAATCTAAGTTCGAATGAAAAAATGGAAAAAGGGAATCTCGTCAACTCTCGTTTCTTTTTCTTTCTTTTTTTTCAAGGACCACCTGAGTATTTAGCCAGAGAAAAAGAAAAAAAAACGAAAGATGTTCACCATAGATTATTTTTCGATATATACTTTGCCTAGTACCAAACAAAACAATTAGCCACAATTCACCCTCGACCGCAAAAATGTTTTTGACGCCAAGAAGTGCGAACTCGTCGAGCCTTTTGTGCTTCGAATAAATTATTCAGAATGGAAAGAAAAGAGAGTAGTTCTTTTTCTGACTATTTTAGTTTTTTGGAAAAATAAAAGATTATAAAAGGGATCAGTAGATGAGCGAATATTAAAATTGGAAACCAAAAAAACATTTTTTTTTTGTTTTTTCTCTTCACTGTACAGTTTTCTGCTTGCACTACTGCAAATTTGAATTTGAATAACAATACATTTTCCCATCTATGTGTTTCTTTTTTTCTCGTTCATCATTGGCTTTTTTCCACTTTTTTTTCTTTCAGTCGAAAATTAATTAGTTGGTTGAGTGTTGCGAACTTTGGAAATTGAAGCCTTAAATAGAACAAAAAACAATAGATAAGAAAACCGACGAGTACTTGCCAATCTTCGTTTTTTTCCTTCGTTTTTTCTAAAGGGTCCCTAAAGGGGAAAAAAGCAATGCAATATGTAATAGACAACAGAAATAGAGGAGAAAATAGAGAGGGCGGAGCTAAAAAGAATGGAAAAAAAGCAAACGGAGAAGAAAAAAGAAGAAGAAGAAAAAGAAGGGCGCATTGGCAGTAGAATCAGATGGTTGGTTAGACGATGATTCCGAATTACGATGACAACTCTACGCATGATTCTTATTAGCTATTTATTTGTATTATTACTGTACCCATTTGGGAACAGAGTATTTTGTGATTCGATAATTGATGGGCCTTTTAAAATTGTTGTCGCATTGCCAAAAAATGCTGGAAATCGAGCAAAAAATCATTTTCAATTATCGATGCCGGCTGCAATTCCGGTTATTGATTTGGCAATAAAAGAAGTTTATAAACGAAGAATATTGCCATATGGATCTCTGAATATTTCATATATTGATACAAATTTGTCAGATGTTCTTGGACCTGTAAGAGTAATTGATAAATATGCAAAAGATGAAGTTGATGCAATATTTGGTTTTGCATATGCATATTCATTGGCACCAATTGCTCGTTATAGTGCACATTGGGGAAATGGAAAACCAGTTATAACAACTATTGGATTGGCTGAAGATTTTGGTGATCGAGCTGAATTTCAATTTTTAACAAGAATGATGGGATCATATAGTCCAATTGGTGATATTGGAAAAGCATTCTTTTTAAGAAACAATTATACAAGTTGTTACTTTTTTATTGATGATAAAGTTCAAATCGATGATTCGAAAAATAACCCAAAATCTGAATATTTATTCGGATCATCGGTTTTGAAAGTGGCATTAATGAAAGAATATAAATTCAGTATGGCTCATAAGTTTCTTCAAATGCCTTCTGTAGATGACTCACATGATTATTTCAAAGATATACTTCGTGAAGGATCTTTTTACTCAAATGGTACGTTTTTGTTATATTAGTTGGAATGGCTGCTGCCACTTCCATTCATTCAGTCACTCATTTTTTCTATTTTATTTTATTTCTTTTTTCGTTTCTTTGGCATCTTAAAATTGTTCCGATTTGATGTGTCTCTTGGGAGTCTCTTCCTCTCTTTTTGTCTCAAAAAACTTGAATTCCATCCTTCGAATCTGTTTTTTTTTCTCGAAAGAAACAGAAAAAAACTCATAGGAATAGGCAAAATTGTACTTCGACCCTCGAAAAACCGTCGGTTTTATTTCATATAAACAATCTCTTCTTTCACCAAAAAATAAAACTCGCGACCAGCTTAAAATGTTTTTGTTTGTATATAAATATATAAATAATATAAATATATATTTGATACTGCAAACATCGATACTGGTGTTGATTTGAAAGTGAGTGAGCAAAGCAAAAATAGCAAAAAAAAAACGCTTCGTTTTTTGTCGCTTGTTTTTGTTGTTGTTGTTTTTTTCAGTCTTTCCTGTACACACTTTGATTGACATTTTGAGAACAAAACTAACAGTTGAGGAATGAGTGTTAGTTAGAATCAATAAAACATTAAGAGGATTTTGTCATGCGAATTTGCAATTTGTGACATTTTTGGACAGCTAGTTTTTTTTTTGAAAAAAGAACAAATGGAAAAGAAAAGTGTAACAGAGTTGAAATTTGAGAAGTTACAGTGGTTGAACTTTTGCAAACGTTTCTATTGCTGAGAAATTGATAAATCAAGAGTTATTAGTAGCAAAACTTGTTCTATTCTTGTTTTTTCCGTTCGCTGTCTTTCCGTCTCCAATTTTAGGAACTGAAAGAAAATGATTCTTGTTCCTCTCTTCTTCTTCTTCGTTTTTTCCTAAACCCATTCGTCATCGAACCGAAAGTATTTGCTCTTCCATGTTCAGTCGAACGAATAAAAAGAAAAGGATTGCCCTATCGGCAACTTCTTCTTCTTCTTCTTCTCTTGTCTCAATGACACCTCTCTCCTATTTTTTGTGCTCTTCTGTCCTTTTTCCGGGTTTTTTTCCATTGCGCGCTGCGCTTTCTCCATCTATCTCTCTTTCGTTTTTTGCTTGCTTGCTTGCCATCCACAGAACAAATCGAATTTTCTCCAGAAGGAGCTCAGCGAAAAAAAAAGAAACGCGAAGAAGCAACACGAATTGCCCTCGGGGCATTGATGTACATAACCCAACAAAAAACATAGCAAAAAAAAACGAAAAGACTGATTTGTGACACGCAGCGGGGAATAAAGAATAAAATAGGAAAACATTTTGCAAACAATATCATTATTTTTTTTACAGTTATCATATTATGTGCATCACCGGATACAGTTCGAAGGATCATGTTAGCCGCACACGAACTTGGAATGGCAACAAGTGGACAATATGTGTTCATTAATATTGATGTTTCAACTGGGTATGTTTTTTGTAACTGAAAAATTGAGAGAGGAAATAACTTTTAAGGGATTACCGATATTCGTTCAGAAAACCGTGTTCAAAACTTTCTGAACAATTTATTGAAAAATCCGAAATTATTACTGATCCAAATACTGTAGCAGAAAACATTTTAGTCGTAAATTTTTGTGACTCTGAAAATATTCAAGCTTCTTCAGGCTGTAAGACTATATCATAGCCGTTCTCCTCAATTTTCACCTGATTTTTCTATTTTATAGCTACAGTATCCCTCTTCATCACATTCCTTTTTTGGGTATCTCTAGACAACTTCTCTCCCCCTCTCTTTCCGTTTTTTCAATCTTCTAATGACTATGATTTTTGACCTGACATTAGAAAGCAAAGTTTAATTCACCCAATTCTTTTTTTTGTCCTCTTTCAATATGACAAGTATATAAAATTCATCTGAAAATATTATCAAAAACATCTGTTTTCCAAAAAATTATATATATTTCTCCACCGCTTCTTTTTTTTCGATATAATAAATAAGACGAGGAAACATGGCAAGGCAATTTTAGCCGTTTTCTTCTTTTTCTTCTGAAAATGATGAATGGGTCGGTCACGAAAAAAAACACTTTGACTGAGCCCCAAGAAAATGTGTTTAGTTGAAAACGGATAGATTCAAAAAGGGACTCTCTCGACTCGCAAAATATGTTTTTTTTTTTGGAAAAAAAGAGAGGTCATAATGATATTTGCAGGAAAAGTGTGTATTTAAAAGTACTTTTTTTCTGCAATTATCTTCCTTTTTCGCATTTTTATGTGAAAATAAATAAGCAATGAGAGTTTTAAAACGAAGTTGGATAAATTATTGGGAAGTTAATAAGTATATTTTTCCAGAAATTATGCAACAAAACCATGGCATAGAAATAATGACACTAAAAATGAAGAAGCAAAAATAGCATATCGAGCATTGAAAACAATATCATTGAGGAGATCAAATAAGGCTGAATATGCTGCATTTGAAACAACTGTCAAGAATTTAGCTGAAAGTAAATATAATTATACAATAAAACACAACAAACCATATGAGGTAAGAGTTTTTGTTGATTTCTTGAACTTCTTTCTCTTCTAGTTTTTTTGTGTGTAGAGTTCATTATTTCTAGATATCTTGTTTGTTAGTTCTCATTGTTTTTTTCGCACCAAATCCAATTTGTTATCCGATACCAAATTGTTCGATACATATCAGATTTCTGTGGTTTTTTAGCTTCTTCAATCTTATTTAGACTAACAAAAAATAAATACACACACTGGGAGGGATTTTCGATTTTTTCAGATGAATAATTTTATCAGTGCATTTTATGATGCTGTTATGTTATATGCGATTGCTGTAAATGAAACAATTGAGGCTGGAATGAATCCAAGAGATGGAAAAAATATAACCAAGAAAATGTGGGGAAGAAAATTCAAAGGAATTGTTGGAGATGTTTCGATCGATGAAAATGGTGATAGATATTCGGATTATTCGTTGCTTGACATGGATCCAGAAAAAAGTGAATTTGTTGAAGTTGCATATTATAGTGGATCAACTGAAAGATTGGAAACTGTTGGAGCAATGCATTGGGTGAATGGAAAACCACCAAGTGATTGGCCAATTTGTGGATATGATAAGAGTAAATGTCCGGTAGGTTTTTGGAAAAAAAAAGAGTTTGGGATTAGGCTGAATTGGACCAGTTTATTGAAGTTTCCGAGTTTCACAATGATTGTTGGAAAAAATCAACGTTGAGGAAATCTAGAAACTTTAGTACCCGTAGTTCAATACCCGTAGATAAAATTCCTCCAAAACTTTCGCCCAAAAAACATCACTGAAATTGTTTTCTTTTTTGCAGCAAGGATATCCTCTCCACTACTATCTTTTATTTGGATCATTTTTGCTCATTCTGATTCTCGTTTGCTTGTTTGTTTTCTTTTGGCGAAGATATAAACTGGAACAAGAATTGGCAGCAATGAGTTGGAAAATTAGATGGGAAGAATTAGATGGAGAAGAATCACAGAAAAAAGAAAAAAAGAAATTAAAAAAGAAAAAGGTTTGAAAAATATTATAATTAAATATTCAAATAATCTATTTTTTGTTATTATAGAATCATGATGGTTTTCTACCAGAATCAGATCCTCTTCTTCGATCGACTTCTAGATCATCAGTCAATTCAGATAAAGTGAGTTGATTTTTTTCTTTAAAATCTGAGAATATTAAAATTGTAATGTAATAATTGCAAATCTTTTCCCCCACTAAAATGTCTCTGTCTTTTTTCTTATTTGGGTCTTTTTCGTGCTATATTTTACAGTCCTATATTTTTTAAATACAAAATATGTAAATATGTAAATACACACACACATATCCACAGTTTGTGAGTTTACAGTTCGACGAAGAAAGTTTATTACCGATGAGAATTCGTTTGGTAAGTTTTATCTGTGTAGGCCAAGCGTCTTTTTATTCGAAAATCGAAACCCTTTTGTGTTCCATTCAGTTTTCAGCACACATTTTTTTTGAATCTCAGCTCAGCACTTTCTTTGTTTTGATTCGAAAAAATAAGTTGCAAGAAATGAAATCCACCTGAAACCCAATGTTGCTGTCTTCTATCGCTTTTTATAGCTTGCTTATTATTTTGAACCTATCGCGCCTTTCATACATAATATCTAGGATTACTGTATATTTTTGTTTTGTCTTTGTCTCTCTTTTTCCCTAGCATGAAATCTTTTTTCATCCCAATGAGATTTTTCTTCCCCTGAAAAACCCTTTTATATCAATCCCTAACAGGGCTGGATGGAATTCGATTTTTTGGAATTTCTGGAGGCATTTCTTCAGACATATATTTTTTGACTTCATAATATCCGTGAAAATCTAAATTCCAATCATCCCTGATTCCTAACATGTTTTCCCTTAAATAACCCTACTAATTGCACTTTACAGCCGTCAAAATTACGTGGTGGGACCCCGAATAAGAGAAATGAGTCAAGTTTAAAAGATGTAATACTTTATATTTTTAAATCTGATTTTTAAGTTTTTCGTACAACCTTCCAATTTTTTCTACTTCTTCACTATCTTGATTTTTTAAACCCTTTCAATTATCCATTTTTTGCATGATTTTTAATCACTTGCGATTTCTCAAATTTTTTGAGAGCAAAAAGAAGAAACCATACACAATTTTGAGTTCCATATTCCAAGCTTGCCAAAATCACTTTGCTTAACCCCAGAACTATTTTCAGTTTTTATTTACAAAAGTGTTCTAGAAATAAAATGAGTTGTTTTTTCAGAGATCTTCAAGTTCTGGTGCAACTCGAAAAATTAGTGCAATGATTGATAGGAAATTGAGTATATTTACAAGAAAAAAGAGTAGTCCAATGCAATCAGATGGATCATCACAGAAAAATGGAGGATTGACACCAAATTCATTAAAACAAGTTGAAAATGGAGAATGTTCTCCTTTGAATGAAGTTCAATTCAGATTACCATTAAATGATCGAAGAGTTTCATCGCCCTCTTCGAATTCTGATCCAAAGGTTTGTTTGATTTTGAAAGAACTGTAAACTATTAAATATATTTGCAGAAAAAGAATAGCAATGAAGAAGAATCAGATAACCAAGCCAAAAAATCATTGAGTTTGAAAAATCGAAAATTGTCATTTGGAATGGTTTCATTTAAAAGTGGAAGTGGTGGATCGGTTGAAACAATTGCTCAAAATAATACACAAATTTATACAAAAACTGCTGTTTATAAAGGAGTTGTTGTGGCGATCAAAAAATTGAATATTGATCATAAAAGATATCCAAGACTTGATTTATCACGACAACAATTGATGGAATTGAAAAAAATGAAGGATTTACAACACGATCATATAACAAGGTAAGAAAGTTTATGGGATTTGAATTTTGAAATAAAATCGTGGCTCATTTCAAGTAAATCACATTTTTTTCTAGTCGCGAAAAATTTCTTTTTTTTTATTGGCCCCCGTTTTCAAATATCCAAGCTCTTTTTCCTCATTTTTAATAAATAGTGTTTATTTTTAGATTCACTGGAGCTTGTATTGATTTCCCACATTATTGCATTGTCACTGAATATTGTCCAAAAGGTTCGCTTGAAGATATATTGGAAAATGAGAAGATTGAACTTGATAAAATGATGAAATACTCTTTATTACACGATTTGGTCAAAGGATTATTTTTCCTTCATAACAGCGAAATTCGATCACATGGTCGATTAAAATCATCAAATTGTGTTGTTGATAGTCGATTTGTTTTAAAAGTTACCGATTTTGGACTTCATAAATTGCATTCTTTGGAAGAAACATCAATGGAAGAAATGGGAGAACACGCATTCTATAAAAGTAAGTGCAAGGATTTTTGAAAAACAAACAATTTATGATTTTTTTCAGGAATGCTGTGGACAGCTCCAGAATTATTGAGAATAAGCAGTCCGCCACCAATGGGAACACAAAAAGGAGATATTTATTCATTTGCCATTATTTTGCATGAAATGATGTTTAGAAGAGGAGTTTTTGCATTTGAAAATGAAGAAATGTCACCGATTGGTTAGTTTTATATTATTTAAATAATCAATAAATAAATAAAAATAATTATAGATGTTATTTCGAGAGTTAAGAAACCAGTTGAATCAGACGATGAAGAACCACTTCGACCTTGGGTTCCAGATAATTCAGAAGGAGATGATGCATTAAATGATACATTATTATCATTGATGGTAACTTGTTGGTCAGAAGATCCACATGATCGACCTGAAGTATCACATGTTAGAAAAGCAGTGAGAAGTTTGAATCGAGATAATGAAACATCAAATTTGGTTGATAATTTATTGAAAAGAATGGAACAATATGCGAATAATTTAGAAGGACTTGTTGAAGAAAGAACACAAGAATATTTAGCGGAAAAGAAAAAAGTCGAAGATTTACTACATCAATTATTACCTCCAACTGTTGCTGATCAATTAATTATGGGACAAGCTGTACAAGCTGAATCATATGATTGTGTTACTATTTATTTTTCCGATATTGTTGGTTTTACATCGCTTTCTTCACAATCAACACCAATGCAAGTTGTTACTTTACTCAATGATTTATATTTGGCATTTGATGGAGTTGTTGATAATTTCAAAGTTTATAAAGTTGAAACTATTGGTACGCTCTTTGTTTTTTTATTTTTGAATTCCAATATAAAAAAAAACAAATATTTTGCAGGTGATGCTTACATGGTTGTTTCTGGTTTACCCGAAGAACGAGATGATCACGCATCTCAAATAGCACAAATGTCATTGGCCCTTTTGCATAAAGTGAAAAACTTTGTGATACGACATCGACCACATGAACAATTGAAATTGAGAATTGGAATGCATTCTGGTCAGTTTTGAGGGGCTTTTGAAGGTTTTTAAATTAATTTCTCGTTCAAAATTTGAAAAAAAGTGAAGCTTGAAAATTATTTCAGTTTTTTATATGCGAACATTTAAAACAAATTTCAATGATTAAAAAAATGTTTTTCGTCAAAATGTCTAATAATCTTACCCTTATTTTCATATTCAATCAATATTTTGCAGGTTCTGTTGTTTCTGGTGTTGTTGGATCAAAAATGCCAAGATATTGTTTGTTTGGAGATACTGTAAATACTTCAAGTCGAATGGAAAGTAATGGATTACGTAAGTTCTTTTTTATTAGAAAAATCAATAATCCTTTCATAATTTATTTCCAGCTCTTCGAATTCATGTATCTCAACAAACACATGAAATTCTAACACGAGATGATAATTCATTCCGTCTCGAACTTCGTGGAACTGTTGAAATGAAAGGAAAAGGAATGCAAACAACTTATTGGCTTAAAGGTTATAAAGAAATTGAAATTCCTGATTTTGGAGAACAATATCGATGACCCCGCCTGATTCTCCTTATGTTTTATTTTATTCTTTGTTTTTTCTCATTTTTCTTCCTTCCTTCATATTTAATTTTCTCTTTTTTTTCCTTCAACGGGTCAATTATGTGTATCAGCTTTCAGAAAAAAAGAATATGAAATATATTTATAATTTTTCTGGATTTTAGTGATGGGTACACACAATTCCAGTTAGTGCTAATTTTTTTGTTAGATTTTTATCCTTTTTTGTGTCCTTCAAATTTTCGGAGGAATTAACTGGTCACTTATTTTTTCCCTGATTTTTGGGGTATTTTACCACCGACGGAGATATCATTTTTTTTTCTTTTTTTTGCTTAGTAATCTGAATAGCTTGTTTTTTGTTTCTTTTTTCTTCTTGTGAATAATTTTCACTTTCAATGCGAGATTTTAATAAACATTTGGAAAACTTTATTTTGTTTCTTTATTTCTGAATTTTTATCATGGGATAAGGTATGTAAAAGTGAAAAAAATTGGAAAGATTTTATTTTCTCTGGCAGCTTCTGAACTTTCGTAAGCATTCGGAAATTTTTTTCGATAGCCAACAAAAATTACAGTGATTTTCAAAATAAAAAATCAGAGAATATAATTTCAGAATAATCCTTTTTGAAATTTGTTTATTTTTTTTACTTTCGATTTTGCTCTTTTTGGAAATGCGATATTTTTTGAGGATTTGGATACTTTTTTATAATTAATATGTTCTCATGAAAACTACAGTAATTTTCTAAATGAGAATCCAGGAAATTACACGTGGAAATCTGTTTTTTTTGTTCTCAACATTTTTTAGATCTGATGATTTTTGGAACTTTGGATAACTTTTCCAATTGTGTTACTGTGGTTTATGATTGAAAATATCAGATAATTTTTGAAAATTTCAAATTTTGAAGAACTTTGATTTTCCAAAAGAAAAGTCACGTGGAAATAATTTTTGAAATTTTCCCGATTTTCAATCTTTGCCTTTCCTTTTCCCTTTTTCTTCTGAAGTTATGCATTTTTCTCCTAAAAAACAATCAACCTCGATATCCACTTGACAATACATTTTTCCTATTTTCCGGCTGTTTTTTGATTGAATTTTCAAGTCAGACGAAACAAAAAAACTCGACCGAAAATGTCGTTCCAGGCAATGGTAAGGTTTTTTATCAAATTATATCAAATTGATCAGTTTCAATGTGATCACAAAAAAAGAAAAAGAAGAAGACGAACTTTTGTTAATTTTTTCATACTTTTCAATTTTTTTGAAGGATACATTTGCTGAAATCAGTAATCAAATTCTAATGGCAAGTTCTACGAAACCAATTGATTTTGATCATGTTTTGTCTGAGGTGTGGTTTAAAAAATCAAATTTTTTGAAATATTTATTTGTTTGATCAGGTTGGTGATTATGGTCGATATCAAATTATTTTCTTTTTTATAATTTGTCTTCCTGCTTCACTTCCTTCTGCATTTTCAGGTTTGTACTAAAAAAAATTAGGTTCGGTAAGTTTTTGATCGTAAGAAAATTTGATTTGACTGTATACATTTTTCAATTTTCTCAAATTTTTATTCAAAAAACATTTTGGAATAAAAAATTTAAAAAAAACAAATCATCTCTGAAATCGTATTTTTTTCAGCTTTCAATATCCCATTTGTAATCGGAAACCCTCCACATTTCTGTCATTTGCCACCTGGAAAAGAATATCTTCGACCAATCACAAATGATACAGTAGTTTTTTTGGAGAGCGGTTCTAGATAAAACAATTATTTTCAGAGAATTTTGGAATGTAAACAATATGATGAAAAACAATTGGATATCGATGGAAATGGAATCATATCAAGTTATCCGATTGAAAATTATGCGTGAGTCAAAAAAAAAACAATAAAGTGAAAAAAAACAACTTTTGAGCTGAGAGAATTTGAAATGAGAGTAATGATGTTAAAAAAACCAGATTCGAAGAAAGTTAGCATATTTTTCACAAAAACGTTAATCTAACTTTCCAACTGCTTTTTAATTTCTCAATATTTTTAATTGTTCAGAAGTCATTTGAGATTAATTGATTGTCAAAATGGTTGGGATTATGATAATTCAACATATCTTGATTCTCTCGTAACTGAATTCAATCTTGTTTGTGACAAAGAACATTGGATTGAAATATCAACAACTTCATTTTATGTCGGAAGTTTTATCGGAAATTGTTTATTTGGTTATATTGCTGATAAATTCGGAAGAAGACGTTCATTTTTTGTGATTCTAACAGTTTTGGTTTTTTGTGGAACTGCAAATGCATTTGCAAAAGATATCGAAGCATTTATTGTTCTTCGATTTTTCACCGGTTTGGCATTTCCCGCTCTTTTTCAAATTCCATTTATTATTTGTATGGAATTTATGGGAAATTCTGGAAGAATATTTAGTGGATTAATGATTTCATTGTTTTTTGGAGCTGCAATGGCATTATTAGGAGTTGTTGCAATGTTTATTCGAAGATGGAGACAACTTACATTCTTTTGCAATGCTCCATTTGCATTTTTATTTGTATATTTATTTTTTCTACCAGAATCACCTCGTTGGTCGGTTTCTGTTGGCAAATGGGAAGAAGCTAAGAAACAATTAAAGAAAATTGCAAAAATGAATGGAAAACAAGAAGTTGATGTGGATGAATTAGTCGATACTGTAGGAATTTTTGAATTTAATGCTTATATGTAAATCCATTTTTTTTGTAGATGAAAAACCATCAAAACGCAGCTGAAGAAGAAGAAACAAAAAGAAGTCATAATGTAACTGATCTTTTTCGAACACCAAATCTTCGAAAGAAAACATTGATCGTAACTTATATTTGGGTTATGAATGCGATTATTTATAATGGTCTCACTTTGAATGTTTCCAATTTGCCAGTTGATGATTATTGGAGTTTTATTATAAATGGAGCTGTTGAATTACCTGGATATTTTGTAGTTTGGCCATTATTACAATGTGCTGGAAGAAGGTAAAAGAATATGGGAAAAATTCATGGAATATTTTGAATCAAAACAGTTTTTGATGCTCTTCATTCATAATAATTCTGAAAGGGAATTTAAAAAACGGATCATTTTTTGTATATGTCTATGTAGGATTTTGTTCTGAAAAATGAAATAATACGGTCTGATCAAAAGATACTGTAACTTTAGAGATTGATTTGATTTCACCGCTCCTTAAATAACATTTCCAGATGGACTTTGGCTGCAACAATGATTGTATGTGGAATTGGTTGTGTTTCCGCAATGTTTGTTCCAGATGGTTATCCTTGGCTTGTTGCCAGTGCTTCTTTTATTGGTAAATTTGGAGTTGGATCAGGTTTTGCAGTCATTTATATATTTGCTGGTGAATTATATCCAACAGTTGTTCGTGCAATTGGAATGGGAATGAGTAGTATGGTTGCTGGTTCTGGTCTTTTACTTGCTCCACATATTGTTAAACTTGGACAATATATTAAAATCTTGCCACTTTTAGTTATGGGATCAATGGCTCTTTCTGCTGGAATTTTGACATTTTTCTTGCCTGAAACTTTAGGTGCTCCATTACCAATGACAATTGAAGATGCTGAAAATTTCGGAAAGAAACCTGGAATGTTCACTGAAGCTGCCAAAAAACGCGAATCTCAACCATTAATTGATCATTCTCAACATCCAAGAAATCATGTAAGAAGAGCAAGTCGACTTATGAATATTTAATTTTGTTTTTATTTATAACTATAAGTATTTTACCTTTTCTCTCCTTTTTAAACCAAGTACCAATTTATTAACAGAAATTATTATTATTAGATTTTAAAATGATCTCAAGTTACCCGACAAGTGTTGGATTTGCTTTGTTTTGTATTAATTGATCAACAATCTGAAAAAAAAACATTTCATAAAGAAAAAGTTTCCAAAAAATACCTGTTCTCTTGGAACTCCGTGAACATTTAAATTAGGAATAATATGAGCAAAATTCAAATCGATATCATTTTCTCGTTCGAAGAAATGCGCTTTGAATGGAAATCTTTGATTTGTTGTTGGAATTGGGAAATTCATTCGAGTATGATAAATATCAGTCAATTCTTCGTCGTGTTTTTCAAGTGTTTCTTCTTGAAAATCAAACATCTGCAAAATTTTTGGGATAAATATTGAAGTATGAAATTTTTTCAGAAACACTTGTTTTTTCTATAAATTTATCTACAGTAATACTTAATTAGCATAGTAATTGAAAAAAGTTTTGGCAAGAAGTCATAATTTCACTTCTGACAAATTTTCACAAAAATCCAATAAAATACCTCATTTAATCCAGGTAATGGAATATCCAATGCAATCGCATGACTTGCAAATTTTGAGGAATCAATTTCAGCACCAACGATGAATGAATTCTACAAAAATCCCTCTCATTCTCATTTCATTATTCCAGTTTACAAAAACCCTACTTGAAATGGTTGATGTTGTCCATCAGTAAATAAATGTGGCATATTTGCATATTGTTTATAGTTTTTCTTCAAATTCAAACCAAGAAAATTAACACCTTGAAGTGCATATCCAGCACCCCAAGAATCACCAAAATCATTATTTGTTCCAACTCCGATCATATGTGTAAAAGGATTCAATTGGGCATGACCGGAGAAATGTTTTTCTTGTCCAGGAAGAGAAACATCAGGGACAGGTTGACTCTGAAAATAAGTACATTAATTTTTAGAGGACCACCCACGAAGTTTTTAATTTCTAACTTCACGTAACTGAAAATAGAGAAAGACTCTCTTTTGAGCAAATCAAACGTTCAGAAAATTAAACTAACTTTGTGATATAATTTGTTTCCAGCAATATAAAGATTTGGTAAATATGGTCCAGAACGATGATCAGATACACCTAAAGAAAGACATTTTTTGAGAATCAAAAGTATTTTTCTAGAAAACAGAAAAAAACAAACCAAAAGGTAATCGAATGAGTCCAATTCCACGAGGTCGAATCGAGAAAACAATTTGGAATAAAATGAGGAGAAAACAAGAAACAATATCAAAATTCATTTGTTCGTTGATATCATTCAATAACACCGTAAATGGCTTATCTTCATTTTCTTTTTCTTTCTCACCGGATTTTTCTCTATTTTTTCGTGTTTCTTTTGTGATCGTTCTCATTCGTGTTTTTCTTGTTCCTAATTGGTTTGTTACGTCGGAGTTCATTGAATCAACTTGTGAACTATGACATGGAGATATAAAGGTCAAAAATACAGGGTGACAACAAATTATAGCGACAAATTCCACTAACCCTGGTGACTGTCGTACTTAACCGATCTCTATGAAAATTTTTTTGAGACTTTCCTGACTATCCAGGACTACGCAGAAAAAATATCAAGAGTTCTCGGAAGGTTCACAATATTTTTTCTGGCCCTTGAAAAGTTTTGAAAAATATTTCCGTACTCGCTAACTACTTTGTTCAACAAAAATTTTCCCTGGATGATAAATTTCATATTTTTTGCTCAAAATAGTTTTTCTAGATCATAATACACACTGTTTCACAGTTATAACAATTCCTGATGTTCAAATGAGTAATCCACCGGGGTTCAATTATCATGAATTTTCGGAATTTTGTGAATTTTCAAATCAAGTCAAAATTAAAAAATGTCCCAATAATTTTTTTTCAACGATGTTAATGTTTCAAATTGTTCCAAAAGTGTTTAGTGAATGTTTTTATATCACGAATATTATTTTCAAACATAAATTTTGAAAGAAATGCAACTTTTCCAAAAATCATAATTTCTCGAAATGCATCATTTGACTCTGATTATCCGTTAATTACTCTAATTAATGAAGAGGATTTATGCTCAAAATTTTTTTCGACAATTTTTGATAGTATTCAGACTATTTGTAATCATTCATACTTGTAAATATTGGAATTGTTTCCCCAGATTTCAATTTTATCGAAAAATGAAATTGTGATACTCGCAAGTGGTGGTTCAATATAACCACATCTAAAAAAGTCTGAAAGTTGAGTAGCTGTAATAATATTTGTGCCGAACCTTCCCCAATACTCACTTTACCTAAAATAAAAATTATAGTTATGAAATATTACTTACAGACATGAAACAATTAGCCGATAAAATATCGAAAATTGAAAAAATCGTAAAAAAGAGAAATTTTTGAAACGATCACTTTCCAACTTTGTGAAAATTTTTGTGTTCATAATCAAAAACAAATTAGTATACTGATTAGGTGATATAAAATGATGGTTTTTGAGAAAAGTTGAGCAATGAAATCATAAAAAATCGTTCCGTGATTACTGTCAGATCAGTGTAAACTTTTGTCGCTATAATTTGTTGTCACCCTGTATAGATGCCATTCTAAAAAATAAAGGATGCCTTTTTTGTTAAAGGCAAACTTAGCAAGGGCCAATTGACTAGTTAATTTTTTATTTAATCCTTTGTTTCCCGAACATTTTGATTTGTAGTTTGTTCCAACGTATTAAAAAAAATTGAATCCGTTTTGAAGCTTCGGTTATTCAGTTTTTTCTCTGTGTTTTTTCTGAGAATACTGTAGTTTTATCCTCCCTTCTTCCCGAACTTTCAAAAAATAAAGAGATCAGCAACAAACTACAAAAAAACTAGTTGGAATTTTGATCAAATATTACAAAACAAACGGAACTTTGAATAATACTTCAATATTCAAACTTCAAACAAAAATTGAAATTGGCACGTGAGATTTCGAAGAAGTTCACGTGTCGATTTGGTTTTTTTGTCCAAGAAAAAAAAAACAATCACCGAAACAGAAGATTTAGGAAATGATATCGCAATTGTCACGTAGAAAGGTCACGTTTTTCCCTAATAAATATTTTTCAAAGAATTATTTCCAGATTATTCGACCGGACAAATGTGCATCCACGAATTCAATTATTTTTGTCTTTTGAATAACACTTCTATTTATTTCATATTTAACCCCGCCCAATTTCTCCAATCTGAAAAATAACAAAAATTGAAGAAAATAAAGAAATGAGAAAATAAAAAAGTGGAAGTACATAGATTTATTTATTGTTTTGCACGAATGCAAATCGAATTAATATAATCTTGAGAAAAAACACATTTTTATTTTGTTCAACTCAATAGGACATCCATAATTCTAGAATATTTCAAGGAATAACATTTTTACTCTAAACGGGGAAAGGGAGAAATTGAGAAACTCCGGATGAAACTCTGATCTCGGTTCATAATTTAAATGAGCTTCAGCTTTGGTAAACCGCAAACAAATTCAAAACTTGCAATAAGACTCCAACTATCCACAGAGCAAAATTATTAACTGAAGTTTGGAATTTTAAGTGACTCTAAATTTAACAAGCTTAATTAATTCTCAATTTCTTACTGTTTAAATAACATTTTTACTCCATGATTTTGTGTTCAAAATTCTAAACATAAAATTATTTTGAAACTGATTTTTAAATCGAATAAAAAATGAAAACCCTTCTTTCATTCCAAATGTCTCAACTCATTCTTTCCAACCGAGAGCTTAAAGTTTTGGGCTAAAGTTAAGGTGTCTATGTGTTTTTCATAAATGTTTTTCCCTTTTCCTCATTTCTCTCCGTTTTTTTCCTCCATCCATCCATTCCTTCTTTTTTTTCTCCTCATCGTTGGTTTTTCTTTTTTAGTTTACATGCCCTTTGTGTTTTTCTACTTTCAGACCCGGATAGTCTTTCTCTGCACCCTCCAATTCTATCCACCATTTTTGCTTTTGTGAATGTGATCAACATGTTTTCAACTTTTTGCTTCTTCCTTTACTATTTGTTTTTTATTCCATGAAGGTCCGCGGTTTTTTGTTGCGTGCGAGAAAAAATTTGTTTCTCTGTTTCTTTCGAAATAAATTGTTTGAGGAGAAGAAAAAGAAAAAGAACATGGTGCACTTAAAGTACTATTTTCGATTTTTTTGTGGAGGCCAAAAAATGCGAATCACCACTCACCGGGGGTTTTCTGTTTTGTTTTTCGCAGTTTTTTTTGGTTGGCAGATGTTCGGCACAAATACTGTAGATTCACTATTTTTCTAATATTCCCCCGAATAGTTTTTTTTTACATCCCAGTCCTCAAATTCTTCAGAAAGTCTATTATGTTAACAAGAGTGAAAAAGGTACGCATTTTCCTGTCGGCAACAGCTTGTAGATCAAAACATTTTGCGAGCGTAGAAATTAGAAATTTTCAGAAAATTTCTAAAATTGTCTCTGAAACTCATAAATTTTGAATTTCTAGTAACTTCATAATAAAAAAAATGATTTTTTTTTTGAAAACCATGTTTGTATGAATATTACAAAATGCAAAAACTTTTTGTGAGTTTCAGACTCATAATATTTTTTGATCTACCCATAAAAAGCGCGCGAAACCTTGCCATTTTGGTCCAACTCTCCAACATTGTATTTTTTCTGCAGCAGCGTTTTTTTCATTGGGAAAGGTTCTGTTGTTTCCCTTGTGGCGCATGTTTTGATTTTGATTTTGACTTTGAACCTCTCATTTATGTATTTATTTTGATAATTTTTCGATTCAAACTACAGTATCATCTTTCGTCTTCTTCTTCTTTTTCCTTCATTTTCTTTCTGCCTGTCTCTGTATTTTTTGCCCCCGTGATTCATCTGCTGAAAATCAGCTGATGTTTGTGTTGTTTTTGAATTTTCGATCAACTTTTTTTGCACTTTTTTATGTCTCTTCGTTTTTGCAGAAAAAATGATCAACATGGATTACTGTAGCGTTTTTTTTTTAAATTTTCTGTTTTCTGAATTCCCATTTTCTGATTTGCTCTATAGGAAATTTGGGATTAATTATTTTTAGGGCACTATGATTTAATAAATGTAGAACTCAGAAGGGAATTCGAACTTTTGATTAGATTTAAATTAGAAAGAAGAAAGACTGGGCTATTAGTATTGTAAAAATTAATAGTATCATGAAAATTGTTTATATTTTTAGAACACATATTTTGAGTTGTCACTAACTCTATGATTGTGAAATACGAATATGTTCAGTTTTTTCGAAACAGTGATTTTGAAAAATATGTTTTCTGAGCTTCAAAAATATCTCGAAAACCAAATTTTATGAAAAATCTGTCTGATTCGTGACATTTTTATAATTTGCAGACCTCGAAGTCAGACAATATGTTCTTACGAACTCAGAAAAATAATTGTATGTCTGAAAATTTAGAACTTTTTTGTGAAAAGAACTACGTCGCATAATTGCACCTGTCTGGTTAATATCGAAAACAATTTGAAACATACATATAACCTTTAGATCAATTATATTTTCCAAATCACAACAACATCGCATCCTTCTAAAAAAAGTTCACTTATTTGATATTTATTCAAAGTTTATTACAGTAATCCAAATCTTGTTTTTCATTTTCTTTTCCTTTTTCTTTTTTCTATCTCAAAATGTGATGCCTGATCTTTTGCGTACTTTTGAGTCTTGTTGTTTTTGCATTTTTTTTTGCATTGCTCTCTCGGATACTGCGCACTGCCAGTTCGCTTTGCCATACACACAATTACTAAAGAGCAAAAAAGTGCAAAAATAGAAAACAAAAAACAAGAGTACTTGTTCCTTTTTCTTATTTTGCTTCTTCTTTTTTTTGCTTTTCATGTTCTCAAAAATAACAGATCGCTTTTCCTTTTTCTGGATATTCGCTTTACTACAATGGTTCTTTTTTTCTGTAGATTGCAAAGAAAATAATCTGGGTTACTGTAGGTAAACATATTTTAGGATTTAGAAGGCGAAGTTTGAGTTCAAAGAATATAATTATTATAATCTAAAGAATATTCCAGTATGTTGAGAGAACTTTAGGTATTACAGTAGCTGAAGAAATTCAAAACCGAAGCTTTTAGTTTCTAAATGAAAAAGGGAGTTTTTGAATCAGACCGGAAGAATCGAGCATTTTCTACTTTGAAAAGGTTCCTCGAAATCCACAAACTCGACGATGAACTCTAGCTTCCTACAGTAATCCAAGTGTTCTTTTAAGTTTGAACATTCTTGGGTACTGTAACTCAAATATGCATATTCTTTATAAACACTAGCCTAATCAGAAAAAAACACATTTGAAGTGTTTTCAAAATGACGTAAAACTTCTAGGGTTTTGAAATATGTTTTGAATCTGAAAAAGGTATCCTTCTTTTCTTTCCTTCTGAAATGTCATATTTGCAATTGCCTTTTTCAATTTTTCCCATCTAAAACACAAAAAAAAAGAATGACTTTCGTTATTCTAAGAATACGAACACTTTCTCCAAAATACGTAATAAATGTAATTCATCTGCCCTCTTTTTCTTTTCTATAAAACAACAATTTTGTTCGTGTGATTTCAAACTTGTGTTTTGCTCATTTTGTTGCTCACTGCAAAGCAGAATTATTATTCGCTGAATTAATACATTTTTTCATCTAATCTCAAGTTCATATTTGAATAAATTTGTGTTTTCTTCGTGCTTTTCTCATATTTTTTGTTTTCTGAAAATGCAAAATTGTTATATTTTGTGAGTACATTGATCTACTGTAGGTTTTCAAGCTCCGCCCATTTTATCTTTTTGTGTTTTGTTTTTTCAAACAAAAAACACTGTTAATTTTTTTCTATTCCTCTTGTTCGTATGTTGATCAAAAATAGTGTAGATTTTTTTTAACTTCAATTTTTTAATTGAAAATTACTGTATTTCTGGGAAAAAAATTTAAAAATTATTTGTTTCCCAATAATTACTTTTTAAATCAAGTTTACTGTAATTTTTTCTAATTGGATGATTAGAAAATAGTGGGCGGAGATAACATTGGAGTAAACAAAACAAATTTGAAATATAAAATGAGTGTTAATTTGATTTTCAAAGAACAAGTGGTGCATAAATTTTATCTGATTTTGTTTTAATAAATAACCTAAATAACAGTAATCTTTGAAATTCATCAATGTGCTTGATGTTTTAATATTAATAAAACAAACTTCAAGATTGAAATTGGATTGAATTAAATTGCGCGAATATATGAATGGAGGTAAATGTTAAGTTTAATTAAGTTGTTCAATTTCTGATTTCTGAATTTTCACTTGTATTCTAAAAATTCATCTTGAACTTCTAGAAATCCAGTCTGAAATGTTCAACTCTTCAAAGTTTCAACTGCTTGATAACAACTGCTAAGTTCTAACGCACTATATGTTACATACTGTCAAAATAGTGGAATTTCCAACAAATTTTTAGACGATGCTTCCGTGTAATTGAGGAGAAAATCGAAAATATGTGAAAATCATGTGTTTTGATTTTTCGGTAATTGGAACAAGACTGACAGTTTCATGAAAAAAGTGACATTGTTTTCTTGATTTGAGATTTAGCGCCTCGTAAATTTGAAAATCAGATAAAAAATTAAAATTCGAATTCTTTCATTTCACAACAAAGTTTTATAAAAAAGTTTCCCTAAATTATTTGAAATTCATTTATGAGAGCAAATATCAATCTCACAAAATGAACTAATTAGTTAACCCAACTAGTAGTTTAACTCGCAAATATTTTGACAATAAATAAAATGACCAAGTCTGCATTTTGTCAACAATATTTTTCAAAGTTTTACGTTTGTAATCATTTGATTTTACTGTACCATCAACAATTCTAAATAAAAAACCGTACTTTAGAACTAATTTGTAAATAGACGAAAAAATCAGATAATTTAGCGACTTTCCTCATTTTTTCGCGGCTGATGTTTTTCATATTCATTCGTTTTCGTGTTAGATTTAATTGTTAGATTAATTGTCCAGTTCAACCAATCATTCAAACGTCTAACAGATCATTTTCGATAATAACATTCTCCTCGTGTTCTCCTCATTTTTTGTTGTTATTTTAAGTAGATAACAACCGCGAAATTCCTTTATTTTTTTGTTTTCAGGAATTTGAGGAGAATCCTTTTTTATAGTTTTTTGTTTGTAAATATGTTTTCCTTTGCACTTTCTGGATAGATAATGATCAAAAAGAAGTCAATTGGAACATTGCAACACAGTGTTTTTATAGGTCAGCTTTCATGAAAAATGTTTTGGATGCTTTTATTTTTTAAATTTTTGTGTATAATGTTGGTAATATTTATAGGGGACATTCGGAATGTTTTGAGTTTTGTGACTTGTTCAATCATTGTTTATGCCTTGTAATCTTTTTGCGATGTTATTCCTGAATCTGATACGAAACTCTTACCTGAATATAGAATGAAAATTGAACAAGGCACAAAACCTAAAAATCCCAAATGATCGGATATTTTTAGTTTTTTTCAATTTTTAAATTTTCTGATTATTTGAGAAACCTCAAGCTCAAGCAATCGTAAACTCTTAACCAATTTTTAGAACCTGCTAGACTCGAATTTTCGATTTCTTTCCAGATCGGTCCATGTTCATGAAACGTTTTCATAATTTATTTTGATAATTCATGTAGATTCAAGTACTTTTTGATTTGTTTTTTTAAATAACTTTTTTTTCGAGTGTAAGCTCCGCCCATTTGGGATTTTCTAGGTTTTGTGGCTTGTTCAAGTTGTATTTCATATTTATGCCTTGTTAACCTTTGGATGGTTTTTTGTGATCAGATTTTAAATTCGATTTTTGTTGTTGTCTATTGAACTTGCAGTCTCTATTAATTTTTTCTGGATTTTATTTCAGAATTCTATTTTTTTATGTTGTTACTTTTCTTTCTGAATTTCAATTTCGATTCGTGAAGCTTCTAAGAACAAATCAAATCTCAAAATTATTTTTTCTGAACTAAAATGTTTTTTTTATAAAATTGAACCACGCCCATAAAATCGAAAAGCCAAGATGTTATCCATTTGACCACGAAAATTATTTAAGCATTTCTCAATTGTTCATTTAATTCTCTAGAATTTCTCAAAACATTTCAAATTCATTTTTTTGGGAATTTTTGCGTGACTACTTCAAAAAACATTAATTTTCATTTCAAAATTGTCTAACCTCAAAGAACAATATCGATACTAATTTATTATTTTCCATCCAAAAATGGCAGCAAAGTACAATGATATTCAACTATACTCTTTTCTTTTTTCTTTTTTTCCTTGTCATTTTTCTTTTCTTAGTCTATCTGATTAACTTTTTGATTCCGATAAAACTGTTCAATGATTTTATGACGAACAAATAATTGTCGATCACTGAAACAACTTCAAAAAAAAGATAAAATATAAATGTTTAAAAGAAAGAAAGTTAGTGAAAAATGATACGAAAATATTTGTTTTGAATAAAAATAATTGAAGTGAGAATCTATGAATTTTTGAAAAAAGTTACTCATTGTTTTTTTCTGTCTATCAAAAAATAATACTTTTCTAGAATAAAAATTTAATAAATTTGACCCATTTCATTTGTCTGTCAAATAATAAACAGTTGATTTTTGGAATAACGAATATTCATGAGTTCAAAAGATCAGAAATCAAACAAGTATTAGTCTATCTTTTGATTTCATCTTTTAAAAATCGTTTATTGTTTTCTGGTATTTGTTTCTGGTAATACAATGTTTCAAATACTACAAGATAGAAAGAAAAGTCCAAAATGTACAACAATTATTATTTGCTCACAGAAAGACTCCAACTTGTTCATGTCTTTCTTTTAAATACATTTTCATCTTACACGCGCAAACTTCATCGAACCAAACTCCTCCCATTCTTTCCTTCCTTCTTTCCTCCCGTTTATTTTCTCTAATCTCTCTTCCAATTATTACAGTAAAAACAATGTTCTCAACACTTACGCCAAGTACAATTGACGATATTCTTCGGCAATCTGCTGCCATATTTCCGTCTCCACAAAATCTCACCAATCAAGGTGTTGCTGCTAATTTTGCACACGTATTTGATCCATTTTATCAACATCAACAACAACATCAAATACATCATCTTCACAATCACAATAATTCACATATGTCAAATCATCATACAAATAATAATGGAGCAAATCAAATTCAACAACCAACTACAACCACAGGTATTCCTTTTTTATTAAACAAAAATCTAGATTTTTTTGTAGTGAGGGAACATTTTTGTGTGTTTGTGGTTTATGTCAAATCAAAATTTGAATCGGTTTTTGAAACTTCAAATCTGATCTGTGTTGTGATCTCTAAATAGAAAATATTGGGAAATTTAGAATTATGGTTTTGTTTTTTCTTAAATTATCGATTCGGATCTGACAAATCTAACTATGTGTTTGAAACCCAAAATTTCAGAATTTCTAAAAAAAGGGGCTTTTTTAAAGTCGATTCGGCCAGGCTCGACGTCAGAAAATCAAAATTAATCTTTTTGTTCGAACATTCGAAACTGTCATTTTTTTGAATATATCTGAATTTGAACTCAATTTTAACTGATAAAATATTCTCTTAACGATCTGTAATTTTTTTCGGAAATTACCAAATTAAACATTTTTCAAAACTCCTGTTCCCGAAACAAAAATATCAAATTTCCAGTGACATTTTCTCCCAAAATTCCGCTTACTGACTACAAAAACTACAGTAATAAATATTCGTGGTTCCTCTATTTAAAAAAAAACATAAAATGCGTCTTTATCTTCATAAGTTCATCGAAATCATCAAATACTACAAAAACACAAAAAGATTATCGTAAAATGATGATATTTCAACTACAAAATACACAATATTTCGTGTTTTGAATCAAATTGTTACAGGACATGGAAGAGGTCGACGAAAAACATCAACAATCAATTTGATATGCGTTGTTTGTGGAGATCAAGCATTTGGTAAACATTACGGAGTTAACGCCTGTAATGGTTGTAAAGGATTCTTTCGAAGAAGGTTTGTTGTGATCACAAAAACAAAATATAAACAGAATGGAATAAATAAATAATCGGCAAAAAGAAGAGGAATTGTACAAATCTTTTTCTAGCCTACATTTTTATTAAACACTGTCTCCGACGTATCTTTTTGTTCTCTCTTTTCTCGAAATCATTTTTCGACAAAGTCACGTTCAAGGGATTTCCGGATTCAAAAAACATGGAAACTTTTAAATCAGAAAAAGAAAACCATGTTTGTTTTTGAAAACCCCAACAGGATTCAAAAGACTTCAAAAACTTCCTTCATACCATTGTAAATTTCAGTGTTTGGAATAATCGTCAATATCTTTGCCGTTTTGATGGCAGATGTGCAATTGCAAAAGAACATCGAAATGTATGCCGTGCTTGTCGTCTCAAACAATGTTTCGTTGCTGGAATGAATCCAAGAGCAGTTCAATCAGAACGAGAACAAAGAGGTGGATCCGAGCAAAATGGGCAAGAAATGGAAGATGATGATTATGGACAAATGTCACCGGATACATGTTCAGTTGAAAGTCAAACTGAAGATATGAAAATGGATCAAAATAATATTCCACTTCCAAATATGGATGCTGAATTAGCGAGATGTTCAGAACAACTTGTTGATATGCATCGAGCTGTTTGTTCATACATCGATCCGATTCCGGATATTTTTATGAGTTCAAATGAACCAGCTGAATCTACTAAAGTTTCATTTATGAATGCGTTTTATAATCCATCATTGATGTCGCCAAGAACACAGGTATCATTTTTTTTCCAATTTAAATAATTTTCCGCCTTCTTTCTCAACAAAAAAAAGAACCCCGACTGATATCCAACATCAAATCTTGATTTTTGCAGCTTCGAACAACCGGAGAGCGAATTGCTACAGTAAAAGATGTGATGGAAGAATGGAGAAGAAATTTTGTATTATTCTCTGATTGGCTTCGATCACTTCCAGAATTCGACAGAATGGAAATTCCTGATCAAATTTGTTTGGCAAAAAATCGTTTCGGTCCATTTCATTGGTGGCTTTGTGCAAATTGGAGTGTTTCTGCAAATTGTGACGGTGTTTGTTATACAAATGGATCATATTTTCCTTCAAAATCTGATCAACAATGTCTTCCTGATGTTCGTGGTTCAACAAAAAGAATGATTGATTCATTAAGTATTCCAATTCGAGAATTGGATTTGGATGAAACTGAAATTGTTTTGATGTTGGCTGTAATTGTATTTAGTGATGAACTTGCTGAATTATCACAAAAAGGAAAAGAACATGTTAGAATTGTTGGAAATAATTTTTTGAAAATGTTGCATCATCATATTCGCGCAAAAGATAGTTCTGAACAACAGAAAATCAAATGTGAAGACCCTTCAAATCCAGCCGAATCACAAGCTGCAATTCGAATCGGAAAAATGATGATTCTTCTATCAGCAACTACAGTAAGCCTAATTTATTCTATTTTTAGAATTTTTTTTTACAAATTCAAATGTTTTCAGCATCTTGTTCATTTGACATCTGACAATATTCAACTCAATGACGTGTTCCATCTAATTCCTCTCGAATTTATGTCAAATGAAGTTCAATTAATTCAAGAATCCTATCAGAAAATCTGAGTAAATTGTTGTTTTTTTTAAACAACGGGTGTATTTATTATTGTTCATAAATGTACATAAATTTTTTTTATAATCAAGAATTGGCTCAATTTCATTCGTTGTTTTTCCAGCCTGGGAACATTTTGTTTTGTTTTGAAGAAAAATGGTATTGATTGTTTTTTCGAATTTGTTTTTGAAAAAATTGTATTTCAGGAGTACTGTAAAGAAAAGAAAAAGTACTTCCTAATATATTTTGTTCAGTAAAAATATAAAAACTCCATCTTCCTCAATTTTTCGCTCCAGTAAAAATCAGATGTAGATTTGCCCTTTTCCGGAATAAAAAAACTGACAACTTTTTCTCTCTATTTCTTTTTTTTCAAGTTTTTTCCCATTTTTTTCATATATGAAACTGGCAGCTTTTGGATATTTTTTGTTATAAATTTGTTTGTCATATATATTTCTCCATTTCCTGCTGCTCTTCCTTTTCTTTTCATTTCCAGAATAGAAAAAAAGAAGAATGAAGAATTAATTAAATTTTAATGGGTCCCTAGGAAAAAAGGGTAATTGGAAAGGAAAAACTCTTGAACATGTTTCATTATTTTTTTGTGTTGATTAGTGCAAGAATTACCTACTTTCTAGAAAAGAAGAAACAATTCGACTGGAATGAATAAAATATGTTCAAGAGTTTTTCTACTCGTTTTTGTCGCTATATTTTTTTGAGAAAAACAAGTTTTTTCAAATACGTCATTCAGATTTTGAAGTAATTTTAAAGGATTATGACAGAATTTCGGGTGATCACAAACTTCCAAATTCAAAACTACAGTAATCCGAGTTGGAGCAATACTCAAATATAAAGTGCATTTCATTTGGGAAAATTTGATTGTCTCAATTTATTTTCCTAATTCAATTTTTAGAGATACCAATTCTTATTTTCCGCGGTTTGTTGTTTTCAATTCCTAAAAATCTTCCATTTTTTTGAAAAAGAATTCGTTCAAATCTATTTTAAAAAAAACTTCTGGACTACAGTAACCTTTTTCAAAATGAAATTTTCAAGAGTGAAATTCCAAATACTCTCGAGATGAAATAATAAACATTGAAAAAATTGAACTCTGAAAAACATATTTTCTCAAATTTTTCTGCTTCAACAAAATTTTTCTCAATAAGTTTGTTCTACCTCTCGGAAACTTTTTCTCCCACAATATTCAAGAAAATAGTTTAATATAAAAGTGTAACTCGGTTCTCTCTCTCTCTCTCTTTCATACTTTTTCTCTCTTTATCCATTTTTTTCTTCTAATTTGTGCTTCGTTTTTGTGGTTGTCTGCGTTTCTTCCAATTTCACACTATTCTCGACTATATCCATCAATTTCCGCTGGCCTTTTTTCCGTCGTCGTCTTCTTTCTTTTTCTTCTTCTTCTTCTGCTTCTGCTCTTCTCATTTTTGCTCTCCCCACACCACTTATTTTGCGTTTTTTGTGTTGTTGTCATTCCTTCTTATGAACTCGGCAAAATGTTTTTTTTTTGGAAAATAATATCATTATTTTTACAGTATGACAAACCAACTTCTAGGATTTGTTTTCTTGATTTTTGCACAAATTATCAACAATGTTGATTCGAGAGGTTTGGAGTTTTCCCATAGATTACAAATGAAATGATACATTTTTTAGGGAGTACAAATGTGCTTTTGCATTTTGGAGGAAGTCGTCATTCAAGTTCACACCCACTGAAAGCAGAAAGTGTTCCAGTTTGGTGTGCACCAAATAATCAAGCGGTAAGGTTTTTTGGTCTTTCAGGGTTTCTCAATTGAGCCAGGGAAACCAAATTGTTACTAGAAACCAGCAATTATAAACACAATTAATCTCAGAAAGTTCTAGGTTTTTTTTCGAATAATCGGACCTGGCCCAATTCTAGTTGAAAATATGGATGTGGTCCAATTCAGAAATCCAAAAAAAAGTCCAATTCAAAAACTCCCATTGTTCGCCAAAAAATAAAGCAAACTTTTCTTTAAATTTGTCAAAATATACTCGAGGGATCAATTTTCTTGTTTGACAATTTTTGCAGCAAATTTTCTTTTTTTCTAGATTCTCATCAAAACTGCTATCATAAAGTCAGCCAGAAATGTATCCAAAACCTTCCAACCAAAAATCAGCGAAAATAAAAAGAATGCCACATACACTTTTGAACATCTAACCCCTGAAGGTAATTTAATCTTTTTTGGTTTCAACAATAATCAAATTGTTTTAGATGCTGGCGAATATATTTGTGAATTGACTCTTGAGAAAAATGAACCAATGCAAAGACATTCAATTCATATTCAGAGTATGTTTTTTTTTTAAAGAAAAGATGAAACAAAAATAGTAGGAAATCAGAGACAACTGACATTTGTTTTTTATTGTTGTTTTTGTGGATCAAAAAAATAAGATGAGATGAGATATTCAAAAACAAAATAGTAGTAGTGGAATATGTATATTTTTCGAAAAATAAGAGAATTTTCAGCAAGACCGATTGCAAATTCATCTTTGGATCATTTCACAATTGAAAACGGAGATAGTGCTAACTTAAAAGCTGAAGTTCTAGTTGAGGTGAGCAATTAATTGAAATTTTTCTATGAAATTATTCCCACGTGACTTATTTTTGAAAATAAAAATAAGTTTAAAATTATTAAAAATATTTGTAGTTTTCCTAACAAATAAATTTTTGGAACCACTCAAAAATTGATGAAACATAGACAGGAAAATGGGTCTGAAAATCACGATTCTGAAATGCATTTTTTTTTCAGACCCATCTATTATCAGAGCGAATGAAATACGTGAGAAATAAAAAAAATGAGAGGTCATGTTTTTTTTTTCGAAATGAGAAAGGTCTTGGAATGTAACCCAGCTTCTATTTTTTGAAGTGATTAAAAACTTTCCAAAATGTGTTAACATTTATATCGAAATCATTAAGTTTTTTTTTTCAGCTTGAACAAAATGTTACGTTGAGATGTGATACAATTGCTTATCCTGCAGCAAATGTTGTTTGGACTCTTAGCAATGAAACTGCAGTCAGTACGTGTTTTTTGAAAACAACTTTTAAAAAAGTGCCGATCAAACTTTTTTCTAGAACTAGATAAGAGACATCAAACAGTTGGAAGCTCATTTGACATCATAAATATAACAAAGGAAGATGATGGATTAACATATGTGTGTAAAGTTACAAACACATTTAAAACTCCTGCCAACACTGTACATTCAACTCAATTATATATTACTAGAACATTGAAAATTAGAAGTATGTTTTATTGAATGACTTGAAAATTCGGAAATAATCAGTCCTGAAAAAATATGTTCATCTCTAGATTTTTTTCTATTAGAAGTTTCGAAAAAAAAGTTCCTCGATTTTTATCGGACTCTGGAAAAAACAACTGGGAATATGTCGGAACTTCTAACATTGTTCAAAATTTTCTATAGATTAATATATTTCAAAATTCCTGATTATTTCTTAGTTTTCAAGCCATTTCAATTTTCCTAAAAATGTATTTTTTGCAGATCCTTACAGTTTCGTTTATCCACTCGCTGTAATTATTTTAATTCTAACACTTTTGGCAATTATTATAATATTCTGTGAATGGCGAAAAAAGAAGACAACTCAACAACGTCATAACAAATAAAACAAGCATTGAAAATATTTTTCAGGATATATTGCTCATATTAATCCTATATAGCTTCCCATTTTTCATAATTTTTGATGTTTCTTATACGGAGTATTTTTTTATAAATTTTATCACAAAAATAACACAAAATATTTAAAAAATTAAACGGGGAAATGAAGAAATGGAAAAGAAGAAGAAGAAAGTACGATAATTTTAAGGGGGTTACTGTAGACGGGAAAAATAGGACCTGTTTGGGTAAAACGATAGAGATAAAACTTGGTGGTGGCGAGACCCAGCCTTTCTGAAAACACTACAGTTTTAATTAAAGATTATGAGAAAAATAGGACAGAGAAAAAGGGGAAAAAGGAAAGAAATAATGGACTAATAAAGAAAGAAAATGATGATAAACGGATTAAAAAATGTACATTTTTTGTTGATATGATTTTTATTTTATTCATTTGCTGATGGTGATGAAGCGTCGTGATGATGCTGAAAAAAAAGATGGATTTAGGAAATGGAAATAAAATCCTCTTTTCATTATAGGATTTGAATTCATTTGAAGATTACTGTAATGAATAATGTGGAATAAAGAAAACGTGAGATTCGGAATGTCATTTTTTCAAATGAAGAATTCAGAAATAAAGAATGAAAAGGTGAAAATATATAGAAATCCTAATTTTAATTTCAGAAAAAACATGTTTGAGAATCCTAAATTAGAGCTCAATGATGAAAAAAATCTGGCATTCAGAAAATGAATAAATAATGAGGAGAGACGGCTGACAATATTTACACGTGAGAAAATTTGCGAGAATATTCAAGAATATATCTGCGCTATTTCTATGTCCTTTCTCTGAGAATGAGATAAAATGTCAGTGTTTGAGCTCTAAATTAGTTTCCTTGGAGATGCGCGAAAGGAAATAAAAAATGAAAATAATTTCACTGAATCTATTGAATGATCACATATCTTCAGAATTCCAATTGTTTCTATCTTTATACAATAACCCCCTCATCAAATAGATTAAAATTTTTAAAAAATTTTGAAACTAATATTTACTCAAAATCAAAACACAGTCAATTTTGATTACTTTTCTTTTCGACTGCTATTTTTTTTGAACTTTTATTTGAAAATAAAAGTCTACTTTTTCAATCAATTTCTAACGCAAATCTTACCTGAACATGTGGAGCTGGACTCAATTTACAATGCACACTTGGATTAATGATTGATGCTTTTCTTTGTGGTACTGTATCTGGACGTGGAATTTGCAAATTATCATCTTCAACTCTTTCCGAACTTGGCCGATTTGTTGAAGTTTGAATTGGTGCAGCTTGTGGTGGAATTGGTGTGATTGTTGGATTTATTGGAGATTTTTGTTGTGGTGGTTGATTGTTTTGATCATTGCTTTGAGCGACTATAAAAATATAATATTTGGAATAATCTTCAAAATGTTAACAAACCTCCAGCAAGTGGATGTGGTTTCGAAGCAAGTCCGACACCAGCCTTTGATTTATCCATAGCATAATCTCCAGAATCAAAGAATTTCTGAAATAATATACAAATCATTTAGGTTTTCTCACAAAAAAAAACCCCCACTCTTTGTTGCAATTTTTTTTGTAAAAAGCTGCTTGCTGGTCTCGCTGGCAATTTTCCAGTCGCCGCCAATTTTCCCATCAATTCTTGTTCTTGTTGTTTTTCTGGTGATAGTGCCGCAGCAGCTCCGGTAACAGCCAATTCTCCAGCTTCTCCTCTCATTTTTTGTATTTCTTGCAAGATATGAATATGAATTTGTTAAGTTGAATGAACAAGTTTTTGATCGAAAAAAACCCGAAGATTTGTCTGGTTGTTTCTGAAAATAAAAAAAATAGATAGTTGAAAAAATGATAAAAGGACCGGAAATAATTTGGCGAGCTGAGCAAAAAAAAATATTTATGAGGTTTTTTGGGTTGCAAAAAATAATGAAAAATGAGTCATGACTAGAATATTGAAAAGGTGGCATGAGAGAAAAAAGATCGATTACTTCTGTTTTGTTTACCATTCTTTTTTGCGCAACGACAAAAAAACTAATTAACTCGAGCAGAAAATATAAAGTGACGTGAACTGTTTTCAATTTTTCAAACAAAAAAAGGAAAACTCTGATAATTATGATGTGAGATAATCACTTGAAAAAATAAATGAATATTTTGAACAACAAAACATGTGACTGAAACCCTTTCAGACATACAGACAAAAACGAAATGTCAGAAACATGTGAGTCATTTCTCAACCATAAAAATCTAATCTTCGATGTCTTCAACTTCTCCTAAATGAAACGAGAAAAGACACAAAAACTAGATAGATAGATATGCAAAATATTGCATTGAAAAAAATGTGTGGGGAGATGAGCTTTCTCTTTGCGCGAGAGTGTGCGCGAAAAAAAACGACGAAGCACATTTGGAATTAGAGACGGATTTGCTGGCGGCACCCGCTTTTTTTCACAGCTTTTTACGAGATTTCATTAGCTGAAAAAAATGGAAAATGCTTTATTGATTTGCCACGTTGGGAAAAAATAGAACACGCCGAAATGAAAATCAAGTCATTTTTGTTTGTAATTTGATATTCTGGCTTTATTTCAATCTGGGAAAAAATAAGACGGAATCGGATGACTTGAAAACTGTGTATCAAGAAAAGGAACAGATAAAAACACGAATTCAATATGTAAACATCAAATTTTAAATTCATGCATCTAGAAACGCAATTATAGATAGCTGACTGGAAAACATCTGAGTATGAGAAAAGCAAAAAACATGCTGGGTTCAAAATAAAACGCACATCCTGTCACATATTGACATGACGTTGCTCGGATATATACTCTAAATATAAAAGAATATCCGATTACAAAGACTGAAATTTTTTCTGTTGCTTTCAAATAATATTAATTGGATGAAAAAACGAGTGATGAATAATATAATATTATGAAAAAAAGGCACGTTGTCATAGCACCTAATCCAGCCGAATTCAACAAATATGATACTAAACTGACGAAATTATGAGAATATTAGAGAGAAAGAGAAACTAGGCTCAAAAAATTATTCGGAAAAAAAACGACTCGATGATGCGAATAATTAACATTTTCAATAAAAAATGATGGAATGAGTTTGCACTTTACATTTTTAATTATAATTCAGAAGAATTCTAATGAATAAACTTTTTGATGAGGGAAAGTATTTGAAGTTGTAGAATGAAGAAATATATGCATTTCGAAAAATAAAATAACGTTTTTTCTCGATTAAAAATATGTCTTATGATATATGACATAACGAAATAGCAAAGTCAAAACAGAAAATATGACTAATGTATTTTTAGAAAATCAAATTTGATAAAAACAATGTGATGATAATGAAAAAAGTGAAGAACCCCTACACAAAAATGAAATTTTCAATTTATGATTACAACACAATGAAAACGAATGTTCGACTGGTTTTGTTTCAATCGATATGGGATTTTAGGTTGGAGAGAGAGAGGTAAAAAACAGAAATAAAAAGAGTGAAGATGTAATAAAGGAGCATGAGAAAAATTATTGGGTCTCGAAACAACAAACAATTCAATAGTGTGTACCTTTAATCGGTATACGGTACTTTTTTTTTGTTTGTGCACATGTGAGAATTTTTGCGATTTTTTGGCGCTTCACTTCTATACTAGTATTTCACGTCACGGGTTAATCGGTGAGACTCAAACCAACTTTTCACTAATTTCATGATCTAAACGTGTTTATCCTTCGGTTTCATCAATTTTATTGACTTTAATCTACGAATTTAGGACTAAAATGCATGTAATGTTTTGAATTTTGTATGAGCTATCAAAAAACTCGACTGCTAATTGTGAGAAAAACTTATTTCGTGCATGAAGGAATAATTGATCACATAACTTATTCAATATTCGTAACAAATATGGCTTAGAGTTGACAAAAATGTGAAAAATCGATAATAGAAATATATTTCAAAGGCATAAACAACGCATTTTAGTAACAAAAAATGAGACTTTTCAAGTGGTAGGATAACGAATGACGACACAAGAACAAAACTGTACGAAATAATCAAAAAGAAACACTCACAAAACTCAAGATATTGTGAGTGCGCGCTCAATATTATCCTCACACACTCAATAACAACAAAAAAACTAGAAAAATATCGATTCAATTTCGACTCGAACGGCTATACTCTCTTTCTGTTTCTGTTGTCTAACTGAGTATTATATGCATAACATGAAAAAAGAAGAGACGTAAGGCAGTTAGATTTTTCGGTTGAAATAGTATTAAAAAATAAGAGATGGTCGAATAGCCGGACGATGGCAGCCGAAACACATTTTTCTCTTTTTTTTTCTTTCTTTTTTTTGCTTCGTTTTTTTGTGTGTCTCTGCTTGTCGGTGATCTCTTTATATTTCGTCGCGCCCTTTCCCAACAACGAGCTGCTGCTTGCGCTTCGAATTTTCTTTTTTTGCACTTTGATTAAATACTGATAACCTATCCGAAGTGAGAAGATGAGTTGGATCACAAGTCTCACGAAAGGAATATTGAACTCGAAATTCTTTTAGAACTTCATCAGAATTCTACATCAACAGACATTTCATTTGAATATCACTCACACTTCTTAGTTTCTTAATTCTTTCAAGCGTTGTCATGAGATCGGATAACATGCTGTTTCAGGTTTTTCTCTGACTCATTTGCCCTTTTCATTTCCTTTGATGAAATTGAAAATGATCATTCTTCATATTCATATATTCCTAGTTCCAAATCAAAGTCTACTCACTTACTTTGATTAATTTTTAAGGGTATGTTATACTTTATGTGATTATATTCCTTTCCTCTCATTTTTTTTCAGTTTATAGAAAAATAAAGCTGTAAGTATAATCCGACTTCGATATCTAAATATTTATGTAATCCCTCCCAGATTATAAAATTTGGTTTTAAAGTATCCATCATATATTTTTCTTTTTTTCCTTTTTTGAAATGTATGTATATCTCATAACTTATTATTAGATACCGTAGTTTATTGTCTCAATCGGCTTTTACTACTTTTTGCGCTATATTTGACAGGTGAAAACGAACGCCAAGTTGCACTTTTCCATAGTATGTTTGTTCAAGCAATTTGAGTTTGCATTTTGCGGATTTGTGAATGTTGCATTTTTCAGAAAAAAAACTGAACTTTGACCCGTTTCTTCTTTAAATTAAAACTTCCATGTTGCACAGAAAGTTGCCATTTTGTTCATAACATAGATAACCCAGAAACATTATATTGTTTCTTATCTAACTTTTTCAACATTTCTCACAAATAATCAATTCTTCTCATTTCTCAGTAAATAATATTCAGAAACGCGAAATTCTAGTAATTAATTGAGATGAATAATCCAAATTAGTTTTGTTTTCCGCTTATTTCAATAAGGATCTTCTCGGTGTTTGATGATTGTTTACGTTTTGATGTATTTTTAGACACTATTTTTCTTCCAAATTTTGCAACACAATATGAATTGTAATATAAGAACCATATATAATATATAAAATTTGAAGATAATAACCAATTCATTATTTCTGTTGTTTAGGAAAACTTGAGATTAATGAACATGGGTGTGGTCGGTGTGATGTTTACTGACTTGATGTACTAATTTGTGAGATATTATTTGATTCAATTACAAATATCGTATCTGTGATTTTGTCGAGATTATCAAGGGATTTAGACTATACGGAAGATTATGCTCTATTAGTAATTTTGAACTTAAAGTTTCAACAACACTGAAATTGAAAATTCAGGCTTTCTTTTATACTTTTTCCTCCCCAGAAAATTGTTGTTTCGCAAATATTTTTGTTATCATTATGAAGTTATAGGTGCGAAAAGATAAACACAGATTCAGTAGACTTCGCAAGTCCCTAATTAATTACAATTGAAATTAGGAACTATTTTTTTCTTAGGCTTTATCGTTTCTCTTCCAAAGGTCATACCTTTTTGTTATTGACTATCAAAACTGAAGCAAATTACATTTTTAGCAATTTAATTTGCCAATTTTTCCAACAATTTTTCATTCGCAACAGAACTGTATATGTGTTTTTTTGGCATGTTTCTTCTTTTTTTTCTGACTGTGTGTCCTTGCGCGGGCAAGTGAGCGAATGAGCGTGCGTCGACCTCCCTCTTCGTTCTTAGTTTTTCGTCCGTTTTTTCTTCAAGTTGTCTTTCTGTTTTTTCTTTTACCACCAATACTACCCGCAAACTTTTTTCCATTTCTCAATTTCTCTTCATTTTTCTCTCTATTTTTTCCACATTGAACATACACAAAAAACTCATCGCGCGGGGCTCTCTTTTCATAAGACAACCGACGAGTTATTTACCTTTGTTTTGGCTCCGATTTCTCATGTTTAATAGTTTTTTATTGATAGTTTGCCTACCCATTTTTGGCATTTCTGAACAGAGTTTTTCGTCGTTTATCAACTTTCACGATCTTTTTTCTGCCGTTCTTTAAGTTTTTTTTTGGAATGTGAGACTTCTTTTGGCATCTCAATTTAACTTGATTTAAAATACATTCCAATCTCAATTTTCATATATGTGTCTGATTAATCTTTTTAATAAATCGTATAGAAATGAAAAAATAAATTATTTTTAGATTCGTAATATCTAACTCGTGACTCTCCACACCTTTTTTCTAATACAAATTAATGTATTTTACCGTATTCCATATAAGTACAATTTCATGTTATTTCTTTTTCCTAATTATTAGCTTTAGTCATATATATATATCATATTTTATGTGGGCAGATAACTTTTGATCAACCAAACTTTTTTCTATTCAAAAAGTTTCAATGTTTGCATTTTCTTCTTCGAAAGCAATCAATTGTTGTTAATCCTTTCTCACACACCAAATATATTTCTCCATGTAATTTTCCCAGGTTAATTATGTGGATAAAAAAGAAAGCGAAAAATATATAAATATTTCATTAGACATCTTCTAGTTTTCATTTTACCCAAAACCGCAAAAAAGCTCATTTGTCTGCTTCACATCTACTTCAATATTTATAACAATAGAAAATTTACATGTTCTTTTTTATACTCTACGAGTTCTTACTCTTTTTTATGGCCCTTTCTTCTTGTTTCGAGCAGTTTTTTTTTGGGAAGATTAGAAGAGTTCGAATGTTTTTGTTAGAAAATAGGATATGTTTCACACAATTCCCTCAGAAAATAGGAAAAGAACAGCGGTTTTTTCTCATGATTCTTACCATTGTCATTACAGTACTTTCATTTTTTTCACACATTTCGATTTTCCTATTTTCACCAGCTGCCGTTTTCAACTAAGCGCGAGATCACAGCTTTCCAAAAAAGGTTTTTTTTTCCATCTGTGTTTTTTTTTTTGGATTTTCGTAATTACATAGAATACGTTTCATGTATATTTTTGTATGTATGTATGCACTGTATATATAATAGAGGTATATACAAATAGATGAGTGTCGGCGTCGTTTTTTTTTTATTTAGCTTGGAGAAAGACCACCTTCACCCAATATATTTGTATGTATATTTCGTAAGGCTGTAGCATTTGGCATTTTGCCAATTCAATAGGTATAGGTGACGAATGTTTTTTTTCGAATACAAGTAGATGTGTGTATGGTGAGAACGGCCGACAAATAGAAAAAAAGTCGGTGAAAAAAAAATCACATATTTCAATGTCGCACCTCGTTCGATTTTCGTTGTTTTGGTTTTCTTCTTTTTGTTTTTTTTTCTTTTAAAGACACACAATCCACTAGAAATGAACAGAAAATGAGTTTGTTATTCATTCTCAACACCTTTCAAGTAATCGAAATTCATGAAAATCAAGAAAAAATTTTGAGTCTAGCAAAAGTGAAAAAATAAAATAATTGTTTTTGAAATCGCTCAGCCGACGGAAATTTCGAAAGTGTTCGCACACAGTGTGTCGCTAGAGCGCACATGCTGGTTTTGTCGTTTGAAAATAAATGCGGGAAATCTGTTTTTTCCAGTGTTTCTTGTGTCTTTAAAAGTCTGGAGATTCCTAACACACAAATGTTTTCAGTTTACCTATATGAATAGATTCATAACGTTATGAATCTATTCATATTGGTAATGAACCCAATTAATGGATATTTTTTGAATTTTTTTGTTCTCTTTTCGGAGCCTCCCTTTTGATGTCCAAATTAAATTAGAAGTGTAATTGAGAACAAATTTCTAAAACACAAATTGAGTATAGTTTCATTGTTGTGTTTACTTTCAATCTTTGATGTTCCCTCGTTTCTCTATTTTTTATATTCTCTAACATATCCCATTGCTTTTCCTTCGTTTTTTTCTTGCTTTTTTTCGAGCCAATCTCGTTCTTTTCTCTCGCGGGGTTGTTAGATGTATGTTTTTCAACTAATCAAAATTTTATCACTTCCATCACTATGACGACTATATGCTCTCATATTCAATTAACTTCTACTATTCTTATTTTTGTTCATCTTCATTGTCAACTTCTTCTTTTTCTTCAATTTTTTTTGCGTTTCTTTTCCTCTTTTTCTTCTTATCTGTGGGTCGTCAACTGGTTAGGGATGGTGGTCGTCGATAACTTTGAATGCCCTTGAAGTTTTGTTATATACCGTCATCGTGACCGACTGCTTGTCGTCGTCGTTTTTTTTCCTTTAACCCGATTGATTTCTCGTCTTAATTTTCAAAATCAAATTCAAGACTCGTTCTATTTTCCAGATAATATATGAACCATCGTCTCAACATAATAGAAGTTGGATAGAAAACGATCTGTTCGAAAAGGTGAGGAATATCTCAATTCCTTCTCAAATTTTGATTTTTTAGATGGATGTCGTAGTTATTCTAGCACTTGTTGTGCTAGCTGTGGTTTTTCTCGTTTCTCTTTTGATTCTTGTTACAATGTGTTATCGAAGGCGACTAAATAGTGCTCATGCCAAAACTTCTCCACTCCGATTTTCGAAACTCGTCGAAAATTCAGACAACATCGAAAGTCTTGGTCAATTGAGCCCAATTATTGGTAATTGTTTCATTTAATTAAAACCCGTGCTCATCATTTTTTTCTTTTAATTATAGGTGAATTGTTGGATCGTAACACTTGGATGTATGATGCATCTGGAATAATGCAACATTGTGTTGCTGTTCTACGTCTTTGTCGTACACTAACTGATAAATTGGCAACGATTCAACTTTCTCAGGCACCACAACCAATAAATGAAGCAATTTGTATGGCAACTCGCAACATTTTCCCAAGATTTGATGATCTTTTGGAAGTTGTTGCTAGCAATACAGTTGATATTCGAGTTTTGGAAGCAAGAGCAATGTCATTGGGAACTGTTTGTTGGTCATTGTATTTACCATTTACATTGTTAAATGCTAAAAACAAAGAAATTCTCAACAAACCACTCACTGAAATGAATCTTCATCTTTTGACTATTCGAACTGCTTGTGATTTAGCAATTGCTGCAGATCAATCACAAAATGAGGTATTGTTTATCTTAAGAACATTTTGTGATAGAGAAATCATTTTTTTCCAAATTTAGAACACATTGAATGATGTTAAGAAGAATTTGGAAGATATTCGAAATAATTTACGAGGAGAAACAATTGTTGAAACAAACGAGGAGAATGAAGAGGAAGAGGAAGATGAACATGATGAAGCTGTACCAACGACTTCAGGAGAAACTAATGAAACAACTCCTCTCGTTTCATCCGAAGAAACAAATCAAGATGAAGGTTAGTTAAATATTTCAGATTTTTAATCCAAAAAATGATCAACTTTTATTTTATAGACTGTGGTCCATCAGTTGAAATTGTTACTTTGAAAATTCCTAATAATACACCTCCGAAACATGTAAATGGTTCAGCAATTATCGAATCAAAATCTATATCTGATTCAGATGAAAGGTTGGTTTCTAAAATAATTGCTTAGATAATTATCAATTTTGCAGCCCTCCTAGTTTACACCCAAATGATCCGGAAGGTTGACGCATTTTCTAATCTATTATGAATCGATGACAAACTTCGTTTAAATGTAAATATTATTATTTTTGTTTGTTTTTTCTTATTTTTTGGTTATATTGTTATTCTCATCTTCTTCTCTCCCTTGATTACGCATCTACCTAATTTGACTTGTCTCTTCTAAAGTACGAAAATCTCTTCTAACCTCTAGAAAACACTGAAAACATTACTGGCAAAATATAATCACTGCGGTTCATTCTTTAAAATTGTGACTGACTTTTTTCTTTCGAATCATTGCGAAACGTTTCGAAATAACTATTTTTCTCCTCTCATCTTACAAATTATTAGAACGGGCTATTTTGTAGTATTACTTCTTTTTCACTTTTTCTCCCAAATTTTGGTTTCTTTTTTCTTAATTGAAAATCTTTCGACAGCTTTTACCTCTATTCTATCAATTCGCATATTCAACAACAAAAACTCACCCTATTTTATAACGGTTGTATGTAATGAAACTGATGCCCTCCTTTTCCTTCTTTTTCTCTCCTCCTCTTCTTCCTATTTTATCTCTCTAAAATTTCTCGAAATGTTTCAGGAACTCTTTTTTTTTCTTAGTTTTAGTACCACGTGAAAAACGTGTCACGGTACATTCTTCTCTTTCTCTACGTCTTATTTCTTTTTCTCTTTTCTTTTTCCTATTCTCGGTTACCGTGTAATTCGCGTTTTACACTTCGGGTACTTTTTTTTAAATGAGATCAGACCATACTCTTTTTGCTTATATTGTTCTCGTTGTAAATATTGAAATATACAATTTTGAAAACACATAAAAATTACAATATTTTGTCGTGTGTTTTTTTGTTGGTTTGAAGTTGATGATTCTTCAATTATCGAAAAAATTTCAGAAAAAAAATTCCAGGGAAAAAACTAATGATGGGGTTTTTCAGTTGAGAAAATTATTTTCTTTTATAAAAGATGAAAGCAAGCATTAAAACTTTCGAAGAAAAATTGGAAATTTCATGTTTTGCTGAAATTAATTTCTGTGTTTTATTCTGAAAAATATGAATTTTAATTTTTCAAATATTCAGGTATTTTTCTGGATAAACCCCTCAAAAAATCTCAATTTTTGTGGAATTAATCCATGCATGGAAGAAGTTTTAAAAAATGAAAAGACCGAGAAAAACTTCGGCCACATTTTATTTTTTCGCAGACAAAAATCATGTTGCGGCCCAAAAATGTTTGAACGTTTTTCGGAATGGCCCAATTTAGACACCCAAAGTTTTTAAAAATTCAAAAAAAAGTTTCATTATTCGAATTTCGAACCTGTTCCGATTTCCTATTCGGTTTAAAATTTGGCTCATTTTTTCTGAAACGAAATTTAATCTCCCGTGTCAATTTTTTATAGCTAGTTCTAATCTTCATCTTCATAATATTTCAGCATGGAAAGTCTTGAAACGGCTATTGCGAAAGCTGCTGGCTCAGTAAGTTTTCCATAATTTTTTTCATACAAAACTAATATTTCAGAAAGATCCTGAACGGATTCGAAATGTATGTTTAGTTGCACACGTTGACCACGGAAAAACAAGTTTTGCCGATTCATTGGTTTCAGCAAACGCAGTTATTTCAAGTAAGATTTTGTTTCATATTTTTAATTACAAAAATATCTAATTTAGGTCGAATGGCGGGTAAATTACGTTATATGGATAGTCGAGAAGATGAACAGACAAGAGGAATTACTATGAAATCAAGTGGAATTACATTGCTATGTGAACCATTGTTAATCAATCTAATTGATAGTCCAGGACATGTTGATTTTTCTGGTGAAGTTACTTCGGCTCTTATTTTATCTGATATTGCACTTTTGTTGATTGATGTGGTATGTTTTGATATTTATAATTACTTCTATTATGCATAATAATTGTTTTAGATTGAAGGAATTTGCTCACAAACTGAAGCATTGATTCGACAAGTTATTCGAAATGGACAATCAATGATTTTAGTTATAAATAAAATTGACAGGTATTCTTATTCTGAAAAAGTTTTTAATCTTATTTTAACATTTTCCAGATTACGAGTTGAATTGAAAATGTCAGCAAATGAGGCATTTCTTCATATGACACGATTAATTGAAAGAGTTAATAGTTGTATTAGTCAAGTTATTAGTGGAATTGTAGTCGAAGATGATTCATGGGGAAATATTGAAGAAGTTGAACAAAATATTCATTTTGATCCGGTAAAAGGAAATGTTATATTCTCATCTGCACTTCATTCATATGCTTTTGGTTGTGAAGATTTTGCACAATATGCAGCTAAAAAATTAAACATTGAAAATAATTTATTGGCTCCTGCTATGTTTGGAGATTATTTCCTAGCGGTTGGTGGAGAAATTCGAGATGGTGCTGCGGCCAAAAATAAATCTACAATTTTCGAAAGAGTTGTGCTGGAGCCATTATGGAAATTGCATGATTTGGGACTTGTGGAAAACGATCTCGAAAAATTGAGTGGAGCGGCAGAAAAACTTGGTTTTCCACTGCGATCTCGTCGAGCAAATGAAGCTTTTGATGAATTAATGCGATCGTGGCTTCCATTACCAAAAGCAACATTCCGTGCAATCGCAAGATCTCCAAATTCTCGATCAACTTTTCATACAAATCATCGACTAAATTATCTAACTGGAAATCGCATTGATCATCCACTTAGATCTTATATTTTGAGTTGCTCTCCAAATCGTAAGCACTTTAATCTGTTTCGTTTATTGAATATTTATGATGTTTTTCAGAAATGACTGTTGTATTTGTTGTTAAACTTCTTGCAAGTGAGAATGCTACAACGTCAAGACGAGCTATTTGCCGCGTTTTGAGCGGAAAACTTAAAAAGGGTGACAATCTCTACGTTTTGCAACAAAATGTGCGTTGCACTGTTTTTTTTTAATTTGAAGTTCGAATTCCAATTAATTTTAGACGAATAATGAAGTTAGTTCAACAACAATAAATAATGTATTTGTTCTTCGTGGCCGAGATGTGATTTCAGTCGATGAAGCAACAAGTGGAATGATTTGTGCAATTGATGCTGAATGGCTTCTTCAAAATACAACATTGTGTTCTGAACCGAAATTCCCATCGTTGAAAATTGGTTCGAAAACTGGAGAAGCACTTGTGAGAGTTTCGATTAGCACACAACAATTAGATGATATGGATGAGTTGAGAGAGAAATTGAAGTTGTTGGCATTATTGGATACTAGTTTGAAAGTAGGTAAAATTTAGAAAAAATCTATAAAATATTCAATTTTCTGAACAGGTTATGGAGCTCGAAACTGGTGAACTTGCAATGATTACAGCTGGAGAAGTACATTTACAAAAATGTATTAAAGATTTGAATGATTTGGGATTAGTTGATTTAGATGTTTCTGAACCAATTGTTCCATTTATGGAAACTGTTATTGCTGATCCAATATTATCTACATCACAAATAAATGAACAAGAAACTGAATGCCGAATTCGAGATGCACTTTATATTAAACTTCGTGTTGTTCCTTTGGAAGAAAGTGTAATCGAATTACTTGAAAATAATTCGCATATTTTATCTGCAATTCGAAGAGGAGAATCTGAATTATCAGAACTCGAAGAATTCCGAAAAAAGTTGAAAACTTTGGCTGTTGAAAAATTGGCAGGATTGAAAGGAAGTTGGTGGTATCGAAAAAGTCCAGAAGTAATTGAACAACTTATTGAAAATATTTGGGCATTTGGACCAGATCGAGCACGCTTTAATATTTTATTCAATAATATGCAAAATTATGACAGAGAATCGATTTGGCAAAGTGAGATAGAAAAATTATTATTGATTTAAATAAAAATAATTTTTTTTGTACAGAAAGTGAATTAGGAAACGCGCAAATAGTTCGTCGATTTGATCAAGCACTGATTTCTGGTTTCGATCTATTCTGTAATAGTGGTCCTTTATGTAATGAAACAATGCACGGAACTGCAATAATTGTTGATGAGTGGACAGTTGATGAAAATGATAGTGCAATTGGTGGACAAATGATGTCAGCAATGCGGGCAACTTGTGCTGCAGCTGCACAAAAATTGGCACTTCGATTAGTTACAGCAATGTATAAATGTATTGTAACAACATCAAGTCAAGCACTTGGAAAAGTTCATGCTGTTTTGTCGCAAAGAAAATCGAAAATTATGTCAGAAGATATTAATGAGGCAACTAATTTATTTGAAGTTGTTTCATTGATGCCAGTTGTTGAATCTTTCTCATTTTGTGACCAATTGAGGTGAGGATTTTTTATTTTTGAGAAAAACAGCGTGTACAACTTATTTTCTTTAAATAGTTGAAACAAAAATGACGGTTTCGAGAATATTTGAAAATTTAGAAAAACATTTTTAGCAGATTATCAGCTTTTTTGGCTTTCTGAAAATTTTCTTCAAAAAACTGTTTATGTTTTTAAAACATGAAATTTCATGTTTCAATTCCAATTTCAACTTCACAATTGTTTTTCCAAACTTTTTTTCAAAAAAAAAAAGTTCCCACCCATCCATATTAACTTGTTGGCTGAGAAAAACATTATAAGTCCTTCTTCGTCATAATACAAATAAATATTGTCTACCTTTTAATATTGACCTATTTATATTTCTCAGACAATGATCTTTGTTTCGATAAAAGAAACAATTTGGAATGTATTATTTTTTTTTTAGAAAATTTACATCTGGAATGGCATCAGCACAACTTCAATTTTCTCATTGGCAAGTAATTGACGAAGATCCATATTGGAGACCATCAACTTTGGAAGAAATTGAAGAATTTGGATTAAAAGGTGATAGTCCAAATCATGCACGTGGATATATGGATGCAGTTAGAAGAAGAAAAGGATTGCCAACTGAGGATTTGATTGTTGTTTCGGCTGAAAAACAGAGAAATCTGAAAAAGAATAAGTAATATGACAGTTCACAAACTATTTAGTATTTTTTTTTCTTGTTGATTAATTATTGTTACATGTTTTATTGTTATTTTTTCTTCATAAATTTTAGCATTTTAGAAATTATTTTTTTCGCTTTCAATAATGTTATTGACCGTTGATACAAAACTATCTCTTCATTTTTTGATTTTTTCTAGGCTATAATGGAGTGGAGCGATTTTTTATCTAGTTTTTCTCAGGGTTTCTCATTATTTTCATGAAATTGAGAAAAAAGCGAAAACTAAGGTCTCCGAGCAACGCGGATACTGTAGTTTTTATGATTTGCCAAGTTGTGCAAAATGTTATATCTATTTAGCCATGAAGAAAAATTTGTTTTCTATTTTTAAACAAAAATTTGAGAAGATTAAATTTAACACGCACTATTAAAATCTGAAGATTATATGAGAGGCGGAGAGAAAAATAAACTAGAGTTTGCAGAATATTTCATTTTATTTTAATAAAAATGAATATAAGTTAGTTTTTGCATGGCATCAAACTACACAATTTTGTACTAATAATATTTTCATCAAATATATTTTTGAAATCCAAAACTATACAGACAAAATTGCGTGAAAAAATGTTTGTTTTACTTGATGTTTGCTCTTTTTTTGCCCAATTCTTACGAACTACTTTAACTCATTGATCCAACTCGGGGTGCTGTCGGCGGCGATTCGGCGACGTTGCCGACCCTTTTTTCGGCAACGTCGCCGGCAGCCCCGCGGCGACGTCGCCATTCGATAATTTTCTGACGTTTTTGTTACGGCGATAAGTAGCAACAGAGAGGCAAGTGCTTCGCCATCTGGAAAACGGCCTCGGCGGCAATCTGCGACGTTGCCTCCACAAGCGGCAAGAAAAGGCAAGGTGTGGCAGTGGATGAAAAAGTAGGAAAATTGAGCGGGCGGGGATCGGCAACAGCTTCGGCAACAAGCGAGCAGCACGCGGCAACGAGAGGCGGCGTCAGTGTAGTTCTCCCGGTTTGAGCCAGTTTGATATATCTGATTTTCAATACTAACATGATTCCATAATCACAACATATTTATTCAGATAATTAAGATCAAATCATACATAAAAATAATTGAATACATAATATAAAAATGCAATTAACTCATTATTATAAAAGAAGAATAGTGATAGGATTGGCTTGATGTAGTTGTATTGTCGTTTTTCATATATGACTGAGATTGATGTGTTGGGGATTGGCATGACTTGATTTATCTGAAAAATAGAAAATTATTATCAAATAGTCTAAATAGCTTAATTTTTCATTAAAAACCTCCAGATATCAGCCCAAACTTTTCAATTTTTTTCCGATTTTTATATTTATGTAAAAAACAAATATTAGGAAAATTATCGAAAAATGGAATATTCCCTTTTGAAAGTGTATTCCGGTAAGAAAAAAGTGAACGAAGTGTATTTTGGTGAACTATTTCTACCCCTATCTAGCTATGTATATTAAAATTACAAAAAATTTCCTGGAAAACAGGTTTCAAATTTGATGTTTACTTTAATCATGAAATTGCTCAAAACCCTCGAAACAGTGTTCACGATTAATTTTTGAAAAGGTGTGAGCATAGTTTTCAGGTTAATTTTGGGATCAAACATTTGAAAAAAAACTCACTTTTCATCAACATTTTTTCAATCATAGTCTCCTCGAACATTCTTTAGCAATTTCCATATTATCAATGACTCGTTGAATGACGCGAACTGAAAACTTAATTTTTTCAGTGTAAATCACAATTTATATTTTTCAACTAACCTTTTACTCAAAATTCTACTGTTTTCTATGAAATTTTCTAATTTTTTTGAAGAATTCCAACGAAACCATCAATCTCTTGCTTACGGCATGCTGAAATATGTTAGTATTCATGATAAATCCACTGAAAAGGAGTAGAAAAACACAATTTAGGCCAAAAAGAAAAAAAAAACAAAAATTTCGAAAATGCTTGATTGTGCAGAATTGCGTCGCAGTGTTTTACATTTTGGCAACGTTGCTCTCTGTCGCTTGGAGCGAACAATGAAATAAAAAATCTGGCGATAAAAAGCAACGTTGCTGCTTCTTGTGGCAACGTTGCCAGGCGTTGCTGCCTTTTTGGCAACATCGCCGGAATGTTGCCAAATGTGGCAACGCCGCCGAATCACCGCCAGCACCATCCCGAGAAGTTGTCTTTGATAAGCAATTTGTTGCTAGCCTAGCTAGCCAGCCACAACGAACTCTTATCGCACACAATATTTTTCCCAAATACTTTTTTTTTATTTTTCTTTCTATTTTTCTAATCACATGACATGATGAAGAAACATTTTCCGTGGTTCTTTTTTTTCGATTTTTTTCAATAGATAGATACTTTCTTTCTTTCTTTCTCTATTTTTCCGTTTTTTTTTTCTCGACGTGTATTGATTCAGTTGTCCTTCTTGTCTTTCTCAATGTCTGCGTCTCTATTCATAATATCCGTCTTTTTTCTGTCACTCAATTCTATTATTTTTGTGTTAGATGTGTATTTGAATACTGAACTTTTATGAGGTACAAATGTTGCGTTTCGTTTTTGTTCGGTTTTTTCTTTTTTCTGGGTAGGATTGGCTTCTACTTAAAAATGTATCTAAAGTTTTTTTGCGAAAAAAAGTGCAATGAACTTTCAAAGTTTCACACGACTGTCATCTATTTTATTCTCGTTTTCAATGCTTGTCGAGACATCTACAACACATTTTCTGAAGAATACAAAAGAATTCAATTAATTTTTGATCATTCCATCTCTAGCTTTGTCCAACAAAAATATGGACTCTTTGTGTTTCAATTCGTTCAAAAGCTCATAATTTCTTGAATTAAAAATTATTTCAAAATTATGGAAAAGATGTTTAATATTGATGAAAAGTGCAATTCAAAGTTTTATTCTCACGATATTTTTTCGAAACTTGTCGAGACATATTCAAAAATATCCAAGTTGTCTTTGATCATTCGCTCTCTATGTTTTCCACTCAGAAAAAAACTGAGGATTTTTGACCTTGTTGCTATTTTATGTAGATCTGATCTTTGTCTTTCTCTCCATTTTCTCAATATTCGTCTTGTTTTTTTTTAGTCACTCATTTTTTACGCTTTCAAGTACATTTTTTGTCTAATCTTCGTCTGTCTGGTTACCACGGGCAACTCAATATATTATTAATATTACTTCTTCCTTTCTCTTTTTCTTGAAATTTTATAATCTTCGATTTTTTATTGCAGAAAAAATGGACTTGGTAGATCCGTTAGCCGAACCATGTGCGGTTTGTGGCGATAAATCGACTGGAACACATTATGGTGTTATTTCATGTAATGGTTGTAAGGTAAATATTTTTAAAAATTGAAAAAAGTTATCTTAACATTTATAACTAATTTAGTATTCAGTATTGTTAAAAATTTAGAATGTTTTCCGATAAAATCTTGATTTTTCGTCAGCAATTTGTATAATGAATTAAATTTAAAAAAAAGGTTTTCGCACATGGTTTTACGGAACCTTTTTTAATTTGTTTTTTCTAGACTTATAAATGTAATTCCTTTGAGAATTCTACAATACCAATTTTCACCAATAATTTTTCATCAAAAAGTGAACTTTCAGGGATTCTTCCGTCGAACTGTTTTACGCGATCAAAAATTCACATGCCGTTTCAATAAAAGATGTGTAATTGACAAAAACTTCCGATGTGCTTGCAGATATTGCCGTTTTCAAAAATGTGTTCAAGTTGGAATGAAACGCGAAGGTTTGTTGTGTAGGTTGTCATTCATTTTTTCTTTCTTGTTTTTCATTTTTCCCTGAATTTTTAATTTTTAAACATATTTGGGATGATTTTAAAATAATCTTCAATTTGCAGCAATTCAATTCGAACGAGATGCAAATGGTTCTCCAACATCAGCGAATCAAGCAAATGGTTCATTCAAAAAAGACAGTCCACCTTCTTATGGTGATATTAATGGAGGAGCAAATGGTGTTGGACAAGAAAATATTCGAAGTTCATCAACTTCAAGTGTAATTGATGCATTGATGGAAATGGAAGGAAGAGTTAATGAGGTATGTGAAAATTGAAAAGTTTTTTGGACTATTAACTCAAAATTAGGAGGAGAGAAATCTAGAGTAATCCAAAAAAAAATTTGTAGATAAATTTTTTAACAAAAAATATCTTGAAATATTATTTTTGTGACTGAATGGAAAACTCAAAAATTGAACAGGGTCAGGATAGAATTTTCTTTTTGTAGTAAATATGGGCTTTCTTTTTTATGGAAGAGAAAATTGATTTTGAAAATCTTTCCTATACCGATTTTTCCCTCTCATAGTTTTTATTTTCAGGAAATGTGCAATCGTTACCGTAATCGATCAGTTATTCAACAACAAGTTCCAGTTGTTTCAATGGAAGATAATGGAAATTTAACCGGAGGAGAAGGATCTGCATTTTCACAACCAAACAGACCGTGTACAGCAGAAGATCTCAATGAAATATCACGAACAACACTTCTTTTAATGGTTGAATGGGCAAAAACCATCCAACCATTTCCACTTTTAACAATGGAAGACAAAATAATTTTGCTTAAAAACTATGCGCCACAACATTTGATATTGATGCCAGCTTTTCGAAGTCCCGATACAACACGAGTTTGTCTTTTCAATAATACTTATATGAGTAGAGATACAAATACTGATTTGAATGGTTTTGCTGCTTTTAAAACAAGTAATATTACACCAAGAGTTCTTGATGAAATTGTTTGGCCAATGAGACAATTACAAATGAAAGAAGAAGAATTTGTTTGTTTGAAAGTGAGTTCTCATATTGTTTTATGATTCAATAATTTGTTTTATTCTAGGCACTGGCATTCCTTCATCCAGAAGCAAAAGGTCTTTCGAATCAATCTCAAACATTAATTCGAGAAGCAAGAAATCGAGTTCTCAAAGCCTTATATGGTTTCATTCTTGATAAAATGCCTGAAGAAGCTCCAACAAGATATGGAAATATACTTTTATTAGCACCCGCTTTGAAAGCTCTCACACAATTATTGATTGAAAATATGACATTGACAAAGTTTTTCGGATTAGCTGAAGTCGATTCTTTATTGTCTGAATTTATTCTTGATGATGATAAATCGACAGCACCAAAACAATCCAGTACAACACTTCAGCAACATTTATCATCTCCAACAACATTACCAACATCTGGGGTGAGTTTTGAGTTTTTGGAGAATTCAGAAAAAAAAAGTATCCTCAAATAAGTTTTGATCACATTCTTTAAATATGTGGAACTTTTTGCTAAAAAACCTCTAAAGCTTAACATTTTTAAAATTTAATCGAAAAAAAATATAACATTTTATTTCACAGTCTGGGACACGAAATCTTCAAAAATATATCCGCTTGAAAATCTCGAAATAGAGTCGAATTTTTTCGAAATAAAAAGCCCTATCATGTTCTGTTCCTTTAACCATCATTTTACTTAATAGGTATCTCCTGCTGGAATAACTGGTGCATTATCAAGTGTTGGAAGTAATTCATCACAATATGGAATGGTTCCAACTCCAACTGGAATGTTAACCCAAGTTTCCCTTAATATGCAAGATATTAAACCCATTTTTAGTTTAAACGGAAACGCGGAAAACAATGTGAGTTTTACTTTTTTTCAAAATTGTTCATCTTAATTTTTTTCAGGGGCAGCAATAACCAACCAATAAACCAAAAACCTATATAAATTATTCTATTTTTCTGTGATCTGAGATTTTTTACCTTTTCTCATCCGCCTGAAAATTGCCATTTTTATAGTCGATTTATCAATTTGTATATATTTAGAGAAACAACAAAAGCGAAAAGCAGAAAATATCCGTATTTATTCAGGTTTTTCTTCTGTTTCATAAGAACTCTTTTCTTTTTTTCCCGTTCCGATTTGTTGTGATTTTCGATTGATTTAAGAAGCATTTTTCCGTCTGTTCTGTGAAATATTATATCTTATCTTTCTTTATTAATTTGGAATTTTGAATGAAAATATTGTTTTCCCTAATGTTTTGTACCCGATTGTAAGTAGAAAAAGATCCAGAAAATTTGAGATAACATTTTCTTTTTAAAATTGTTTTTCACGTGACCTCTGTTGAAAAATTTGCCACGAAATTGTTTTTTGTCATTTTTGTTGTTCAAAATGTTACAAATCGAACGAATCACTTCAAACAAAGGAAATGGAAACATTGAAAAAGAAATTATTGGTATGTTAAAGGAACGGGAGGCAGAGGTTTTGAGAACATAAACATATTAGATAATTTTGGTATCCATAAAATATTTTCTATTCAGAATATCGACACAAGGATGAAAATAGCAATGAATTGAATTTGACACGTGAAAGAGTTTCAAGAATTTGGCAATTGGAAAACTTGCCAAATTTAGAGTAAGTTATAATTATTATCTCTAATTTCAAAATTAAATTGTTTCAGGAAATTGACACTTCGTTGGAATATGATCAAGAAAATCGAGAATTTCGAGAATTTATCGAAATTGACCTCTCTTGATTTAAATGATAATCAGATTGAGAAATTGGAAAATCTCGAGAATTTAGTGCATTTGGAATTTCTTGATTTGTCTTATAATCGAATTTCGAAACTGGAAGGACTTGAAAATCTTGTTTTATTGAAAGAATTACATTTGGTTCATAATAAGATTGAAGTTATCGAAGGAATCGAAAATGTTGGTGTTTTTATTTGAGTTTTGTCGTTATTTTTAATTTTTCATTTAGTTGTGCAATTTGGAATATCTGGAATTTGGTGACAATCGAATCAAACAAATCAAAAATCTTGATGGTTTAGTCAATTTGAAACGTCTTTTTCTTGGAGCAAATCAAATTCGAAAAATGAAAAATCTCGAAAAATTGACAAGTTTGGAAGAATTGAATCTAACTGGAAATGCGATAACTGTTGTGGAAGGACTTGAGAATCTTGTCAATTTACGAGTTTTGAGTTTGGCTCAAAATGGAATATCAAAAATTGATGGATTTTCAAGTTTAACGAAATTGAAGACACTTGATTTGAATGATAATAGAATTGATAATATCGAAAATATTGATCAAATTTCTGGAATAAATACACTTTGGATAAGAAAAAATAACTTGGATGATTGGAAACAACTTTATCAATTAAGAGCAATTACAAACTTGAAATCTTTAACTATGGAAATGAATCCTATTTACAGGTAATTTGTTTTTTTTTAAGATTTAAACTAATTTTTGTTGAATTTCAGTTCTGATTACACCTACCGTAATCGAATGAATCAAATTCTTCCAAATATCAATTTATTGGATGGTTTTCCTTTGAATTGGAAACAAGGAGATCCATATCAAGAATTACCCAAAGAATTTTATTCATATTTTGATGAGGAAGAAAGAACAATAGCATTGGAATGAGTGAGTGACTAATGGTCATTTATGAATAAATAAATAAATATTTTTGTGTTTGGAAATGTGTCGAATGTAAATAGAAGTGATGTGATGTGATTGGAAAAAAAGTTTGGAAAAAAAGTTACGGAAAAGTGCAGTTTATATTTAGATTATTCAATTTGGATAAATTCTACGCTTCGCTTGAAACAGCACGGAATTCATGAAATTTTGAAAATTAACAAGTAAGACTATTAACAAGAAGGTACAAAATTATACTTTAGTCTTAAGTACTTTTCATTTGTATGATTCATTTATTCGAATTTCATTATGAGCTTTGTTTTGAATTGCACGCACAAAATGTTCTCTGAGAATTTCAAAATATATTTTCGAAATATTAAAAATTATTCCGATTATTAAAAAGGTAGATTTTCTAAACCAAAAGAAATTTCCAAAACACCAAAGCCTTGCCAAATACAAGTAACCCAAAATACCAGAATGAAAAACCTCAAAATAAAAATATTTATTTACAAATTTATTTAATTAGCTGCGCAACTTTTCTGCTCCATTTATGGTTTTTTTGTATTTGTGTTTCTGTCATTCATAGTTTTTTTCGCAGTTGATTCCAGAGATGAATCATGAATGAATGATATCTTTTAAATAAACACCAAAACTTTCTTTTCCCACCTTCAAGTATTTCGTGCTCTTTTTTCTGTTTGATTTGACATATAATATTTTTATTTGAAATCGTTCCGACCTTTTTTGGTTTTCATTCCTTTTGTTTTATTTTCATTCTCATTTTTATCAATTTTTCATAGAAGTTTCGATTTTTTAAATTCAAGTTTTCAATGTAATACTGTAGATGACATCTAGAAAAATGTTTTCCCCGAAAAATCGAAAAAAGATCAATCGATTGTTTCATTGATCTACAGTATACATAATCGAAAGATCATTTTCTTCATCTTTTTTATCAAAAATTTTACGTGTGTGCCACGTGGGAAAATCGGATATTTACTCAATAAAAAATCGACAACTTTCATTTTCGCACTTTTCATAGAAATATATTATATTCAAAAGTAAATATACTGTAACTAGATACCAGAAAAGGAGTACTGTAACTAGCTAATAAACAAGAAATGTTGTTATGAAAATAATACGTTTTCATCGTCTTTTGTTACTAATAATAATATTATGGATGCTCAGCATATTCCGAGTGGCGGAGGACCAAAAGGTGGAGGATCGCGTGTTGCAACAACAAGTGGTGTTCCAAGGTATTTTATTTGAATTTCAAATTTGGATATCATTTTGTATTTGTAGAATGGTGTTTGCTGAAATAGTTGGAACTTTATCGTTTTTACAACCACAAGCTGATGATGATATTTCTGATAGATTACATTATTATTATACAACTACTTTTTTATTATTAACTGCGGTGAGTTCAAATTCTCACAAGGGAATTTTTTGCAACATTTTTGTTTTTCAACTCATGTGCAGAATTTTTGAAACATTTGTATTTCATAAATGAACCATCAATAATAATAATAATAAAGTCCACGTTTAGAAAAATTATAGTTCTCCAATTTTTAATTTATTGGATACTTTTCAAAGTGCCACGTATAGTTTACGTAAATCTCACAATTTTAACTATGATTTTCAGGTTTTAATATCGCTGAAAATGTTTGGAGGTCGACCAATTGAATGTTGGCTTCCTGCAGAATATAAAAGTAGTTGGGAAGATTATACAGGTAAGTCTTTTTTTTTTTTTTCCAAAAACATATTCTAAGTTCTCCATTCCAAAAATGTACTCCAATTAATTTAGAAATGTATTGTTGGGCAAGAAATACATATTTCACACCATTCCAAGAAGATAATTTACCGGAAGTTGTTGAAAGAGATCATAGTGTTGTATCGTATTATCAATGGGTTCCATTTTTCCTAGTAATTGTTGCTTTTATGTTTTATGCTCCTTGTTTGATTTGGAGATTATTATATGATAAATCGGGTATTCGACTCAAAGATATTATGGGATTTGCAAATGATAAAGCAAATGTTGTGCCAGCTCAAAGACGAGCAAATATTAATGGACTTGCTGCTCATCTTTCTTCTATTTTTAGACATCGTTTTAGATTTGGAGCCAAGCATCCATATCATCATAAGTGAGTGATTTTTCTTGAAATTATAAAAATGAATCAATTTTCCAGATTTTTCAAATTTCTCAATCTTCGATATTATGAATCATATTTAACTTACTTATATCTAGGAATCAAATGTTTATTTTTATTCAATGTTTTGTTTCAAGTGAGTATTACAGTAATCCTACAGTAATCCACATTTCAATAATTCCAGATGTATTTGCTTAGCAGATTTCTTGAATTGAATAAACAAAGATATTACGGTTACGGCACTTTATATGATATAATGACTGGAAAAGGATGGAGAGAATCTGCCAATTTTCCAGTTGTTACTTATTGTGACATGCAAATTCGAATATTGGGACATGTTCAAAGGCATACTGTACAATGTGTTTTAGTTATCAATATTTTTACGGAAAAGGTAATTGAGAGATAGAAATTGAAATCTCTACAGAAGTATTTTTCTTGCAGATATTTTTCATTCTTTGGTTGTGGTACACATTTCTTGCAATCGTTTCATTTTTCTCAATTATTTCCTGGATTTTCCAATCACTGCCTTTCGATCAACGAAAAAAGTTTGTTGCCAGACGATTAGAATTGGCTGATGTGCAATTTGAAAAAGGAAATTATAGACATGAATTAGATGAGGTTTGTTAAATTTTTGAAAAAATTAAGTAAATTAATTTGAATGTTTTCAGTTTGTTCGCGATTATATAAAAATGGATGGTATTTTCGTTCTTCGAATGATCACAATTCATTCAGGTGTTTTGATTTGTACAGAAGTTGTTGATACAATGTGGGATCAATTTTTGAATGAACAAGGTAGGCACTGGATTGTGGTTATTAAATACAGGGCTGGTCGGAATTGGGAATCAGTATATTGCAAACTTAACAGGAAATTACTTACTTGAAAGTTTATGATATTTTTTCAGGAGTTGAGAAATATTGTGACAAAAATCACAGTTTCCAAATGCTGATAATTTTTATAGACGTTCTCTGATTACAATAAATTTATTCCGACCATTCCTGACCCAAAATTCCCAGAACTTTCATTCAGGCCATCAAGTAATTGTATCATTATTAGAAGAAAAACATCCACTTGGAGATGGTGATCGTTCTCCTTCGGCTGCAATGTCAATTGATCAAGGAATGCGTCGAAAAACTTCAGTTCTTGTCCCTTTAATGTCTCGAGAAGATTTATCACATGAAATTGCATCGCCACCTCCTTCAACAACACAATCTGGACAATTTTTGAGACCTCCATCAAGTCGATATAATGTTTAATTATTTTTATTATCTATAAATGATCGAATTTTTTTGGAACTTTGAAATTGAATTCTCAATTTCAATCAGCAAAATGAAAAGAATGCAAATTTGAGAGTGTGTGATAAGAATCGATTGTTTATTGAATACTCAAAATTTTCAGACTTCAACCTCAAAAAATACAAAAATTTCATAATAATATTTATTGTTTTTTATCAGTTTGGTGCTACATCGTTGGGACTCGTTTTTCAATATTATCATCTTTGTCAAACACACTCTGATAATCAAAAAATATTTTCATGATAACGACTACTTTCTAATCTTATTGGCCCATTTTTGTTTTTATTTTTATTTTTAATTTCAGTTTTTTCTTCAAATTTTGAGTATACATGTTAAGAAATAATTTCAACTCTGAATTTTCAAAGATTTATTTATGAAGTGTCCTAATGCACAGCTTTGAAATAATAGATGTTATCTCAAAGATTGAATCTAGATTAAATCTGGAAATTTTCATACGGATGAAAATTAAAAGTTATGGATTTTTTTGAGTTTTGGGAAAATTGCCATTGTAAAGAATAAGAATTATCTATATTCTCAAAAAAAGTTCCAATTTTCTCACGTCTCACAATCATAAGCTTTGCTTATCATTTTTGATAAACTCCTGATAATCAACGAACGTTTTCTTTTATTTTCTACAATCTTTGTTCATTTTGAACTTTTATTTTCTATCCGAGAAAACAAAACCTTATTTTATTTTATTTCATTTCAATTTCACTCACAAATCTTTCAAAATCTTATCATTATTTCAGAATCTTTTCTTTTGCTCCTCTTTTCTTCGTCTTCAAAAGATCTTATCGCACTTCTTTTTTCTCTTTCGAGCAGCTTTATTTTTTCGCACACATTTTCGTAGAAAAATAAATGTCGACTTCGTTTCTGGAGCACAAAGTTTTTGAGGTAACTTTATGAGGGATAATAAATTTTTCGAAAAAAATTGTTCAGGGGATGAAGGATACGGTAGATATATTGAAATGCGGTGAAACAAAAGGACCTTTTAGATTTCGAAGAATTCAAGAAAAAAGTTATACGAGTGGATCAGTTGAAATAACGGTTAGTTAATATTTTAAATTTTGTTTCATTTCAAATTTTCACCCAAAATTATGAATTAAAATGAAAAGTTTTGCAGCTATTTGACATAATTGGAGAAATGTATCGAATTGAAGTTGAAGAAAATGATATAACTCGAAGATTAAATGCAAGTCCAAATCCACTTTTCGCAAATTGTGTTGTTCTTTTGACAAAAGATATTATGCAAATTCTTATGACTAAAGATGTTGTTGGAAAAGATCCATTATTTGCAACACTTATTGCTGAAAAATTTGTGGATTTAAGTCAAAAAAGTTAGTTTCTCTATTTATTTTATGATTCTAATTATTTAAATATTGTAGAATTCGAATGCTCAAAATGTCATATTGCAAAGTTCAGTAGTATTCAAAGTTTGAAAACACATGAAGAATTATATTGTCCAGTTCGAGAAATGGAAGTGACTTCAACAGCTGAAGAAATTGATAGACCAAATCTATTACTTTTACCATTAACCTATCATGATTTGCCACAAAATAATGTTGTTAAAATAATTGGACCAATGCATTCAATTGTTCCAGTTGCAATTGGAAGAGGAACAGAAACATTTACAACAAATCCATTGAATTTGGGAAATATTTGTGGAGATTTGATTATTCCACAAAATTTGAATATTAATTTACCACAATTATCTATAAATATTCCTGTGAATGGAATATTTGATACAAATCGAGCAACATTATTGCCATCGACTTCTTCAAATAGTTCATCACCAAAATCTAAGGCACATAGAAAAAAATAGAATATTTTTTGCTGCTGTGCGGTGTTTGCAGACTCGAAAAAAGCCCGTCACGTTTTCACGTTTTTCCACGTGTCAAAGAAATTTCGTTCTTTTTTCCATTGAAATTTAGAGAGTGCGCCGCAAAATTGCAAATTTTGAAAATAAAAGAGGGCGGAGTCGTGTGTCTTCACGCGGTCAGAACAATGAGTCCGCAATTTCACGTGAAAAAGAAAATTGTTCTATTTTTTTCTATGTGCTAAGGTATGTTCACTATTTTATATAGATTTTCATATCATTTTTTCTTGGTCACACGCCAAAATGACGCAAACTAGAGTACTTATCAGTTCAGCTCAACATTGAAAATTGTTATCTCATCAAAGAATTTTTACAGTCAAGCGAACCGGAAAAACCATTTGTATGCACTTGTGGAGTCTCGTTTTTGAACGAACAAACATTTGATGCTCATAAGAATTTCTATTGTAAAAATGCGCCGAACACAAAAACAAATGGTGAATTCAGTAAAAAGGTAAGTCTTTTAAATCTGAGACAAAAACATTTTCGAAAGAAACTTTTCAGTTTCCCGAAAAATGTGGACAATGTAACTTCCGACCTCAGTCATCTTCGCAATTAGCAATGCATATTCGATCTGCTCATCAATCTACAAAAACTTATATTTGTACTGTTTGTAGTTATCGAGCATTCAGTTTACGTGGAATTCGAACTCATATGAGGTAATTTTGAGAAAAAACCTTACAACTTATGATTTTTGCAGATCCCACCCGTCTTCGGATGCATTGAAGTTTGAATCAAAATGAAAATTGATTGAAATCTTGTAAATAAATTTATTTTCACGGGTTTTCATCTAATAAACCGTTTTTCAGAGATTATTAATTTATACATTCCCACAGGAGAAAAGTTAATGAACAACTACAATAATCCAAAGTTATTTTTATCCAGACGCTTCAGAGACAGAACTAAGCAGAACTTTTTCTAGACGCATTAATTTTTATTTAGATTACTCTGGAAAACAGAAGTTTTCAGCTTTTAAACCGCTTTTTCTTGAAACAAAAAAATAATGGAGGAAAGTGTGCCCCATTCAACATTTTTCGTGTATGGCCTAGAAAACTCCATATTTTGCTGACAATTACGCAGCCACGGCCATTGCCACGATTTCTTCATTTTTTTTGTTTTGAAAGCGTTCTTTCTGTTTTCTTCGCAGTTTTCTAACCAAAACGTTCAAATAGTATTGATTAAAAAATAAGACAAGTTGTCTCACCTAGAAAATTGTATTTTTCAGTCAGAATGCCAGTTATTCATGTTAAAGACGACGCTGATTTCAATGCTCAATTTGGAGCTGCTGCAGCCAAGCCTGTATTCATTGATTTCACTGCTTCTTGGTGTGGACCATGCAAAATGATTGCTCCAACATTTGATAATCTTTCAAATATTTATTTAAATGCTCTTTTCTTGAAAGTCGATGTCGATGAGTGTGCTGATACTGCTGCCGCTTATGGTATTTCCGCTATGCCAACATTTTTGGTGTTCCAAAATGGTCAAAAACTTGACCAATTAAAGGGAGCCAGTAATGAGAAATTGGAGCAACTTGTGAAGCAATACGCCGAAGGATCACAAACTCCATCTTTGGTTTCTGGACAGGTTAGATTTAGAAAAAACATAACTCATTATAAGAATATAATTTTTAGAGCGATATCACCAGTTTAATTGACAAGAAACAAATCGAATGTTTGAATGGATCAGATGATACTCCACTTGATTTATTCTTGGAAGGAAACACAAATTTGATATCTGATTGTGATGAACAATTGATCATTTCTTTGCCATTCAATCAACCAGTCAAAGTTCATTCAATCTTGATCAAGGTAATTTTTTTTCAAAATGAAACAGAACATTCATTATAAAAATTAAGGGAGTTGGAAACCGAAGCCCAAAAGATGTCAAAATTTTCGCAAATCTTCCGAAAACAATGGATTTCGACACAGCTTCCGCAGTTGAACCAATTCAACTTTTGACATTCAATGAATCAGCAACCGAAGGAGAGGGACAAATTCAAAATCTCAAATACGTCAAATTCCAAAACGTTCAAAACATTCAGCTCTTCGTTGCTGGAAATATCGGAGATGGCGAAATCACTGAAATTTCTCGTCTCCGAATCTTTGGAACTCCACTTTCTTCTGTTAATATGAACGAGTTCAAACGTGTTGCTGGAAAAGCCGGAGATGCTCACTAACATACTTTATTTTTATTTATTATTTATTTTCATGTTTTTGAACTCTTTTGATTGCCAAAAATTGTATGTGCACACGACGGTTTCATAATGAAATGTTTCTTTGATGTTTTAAAGTAGATTTTGTATCGAAAATGGTTAAAATCACCTAAAGATATTTCTGAAATGCAAAACAAATTATGAAAAAAATTTAATTAATTTTTAGATGGATGTGGATCGGTTGATGAAAGATCTCACGATCGAACAACTTGAGAGTATTCAACAAGATTTAGAGTAAGTTGTTGATGAATTTTGGAAGAAATAGTTTTTGAATTTTTTTCAGGACGAAAATGGAGGGAAAACGAGAAAGTTTAAGAGAAATGGTTGGAAGAAGATATCGAGATGTTTTAGAAGCTTCATCCGAAGTTAGAAATGTTTGTGCATTAGCAGATAAATTAACAGTTGATATTGCAAATACGAGAGTTAATTATCAATCACAACACATCAGGTAGGTAAACTAGAAGATTAAAAAATTGTGAAATGAGAAAATCTTTATTAACAATTATTAATTTGCATCAAATTATCATGAGTCACTTTGTGTTGAATCAATCGATTCAAGTCGTTTTCTTTTTTTCACTGAGCAAGTTAAAACCCAATCTCTTTGTAAACTTTTTGCTGAAACTTCTTGATCACATTTAATTTTGCTGACTACTTCTGCTGATTTTTCTGGTCGGCGAGGTCTGAAAAGATTACATATAAATTGAAAACCAAAAATGAGATTGAAACTCACGGAATTTTAATCGCAGATTTGCCTAGATTATTATTTCCGTTTCCGATATTTGCAATCGTATTTTTACTTGGAGATTTTCCGGGTTTGTTGTTCAAAGGTTCTTGAGATGGACTTTCTGATTTTTTGAGAAGTGTATTTTTTGTTTGTTGAGGTTGAACATTTGATTGAGTTTCTGATGGCCCATTTGAAGTGACGCTGAGAAAAATAGAGGTTAAGAATTTTTCAAGAAAATTTAGAAAGAAATCTGAAACGTATGTATTGCTAAACGGTACTGCAACTATATTTCTAGATTTTTAACATACATATTTACTTTGTAGATCATCTTGACAAGCAATATTTCAATTTTCTACTTACGTGCTTGAGAGATTTTCTTCAATAATCGATTGTGATTCATTTTCTTGTTTTTGAGAAGATTTGCAACAATTAAATACAAGCGAACAAATAAAAAATACTGTAATTGCTATCAAATCCGTAATCATATCTGATTTTAGAAATCACATCCAGAATAAAAAAATGATTTATTTCAAAAATATAATTGCTTTTATACAATTCCGATGGGCCTCTTTTTTTCACGCATTTCGCGTGTTACAAAAACCTAATTTTTTATCATTTCTAGAAATGGCAGCAAAGATGAACAACGAGCTGGTGAACATTTTCTTGCTGTTAATTATCTTATTTCAAATATTGGATCTGATGATGGAGAACCTTTAGATGATGTCGTTAGTCTTTGTATGGTTGAACATTTACAAAAACAACTTATTAGTAATCATGCAAGTCTGATGGTATGTTCAGCAATTTTTCTGGCTTTTTCTCAAAAAAAAAATGAATTTTTAGATTCATAAAATCGCGCGAGTTTTGACTGGAAGAATTGTTGCAACTCGATCTGAATTAGAGGAATTCAATACTTCTACTTTATCAGATATTTCAAGATCTGATTGGGCTGTGAATCAATTGACGGCTATTGCAATTCTTCAAACAAAGGATATATCTCAACTTCTTGATTTATATTTGGAAAAACGATTTGTGAGTTTTTGTTTTTGTTTTAGGGGATTATAAAGTCTGAGGCTAGAGTTTTGTTTCTAAAAGTAAATTATGGGAAAAATTGAATTTCAGTAAAAAAAAACCTCTCATATGTTTATTTTCAGGAATACATAAAACATTTGATCGAAGATTCTGCAACAATTTTGAGTGTCGTCGAAGAAATCAAAAAGACTTTGAGTGTTGTTGAAGAATTGTTTGTGCATGGAGAATTACAACATTCAATTCAATCAGTTTGTAATGGACAATATAAATGTGAATTAATTCGAGAAATGTGTGCTGATCAAGCATATTCATTTGAAAAAAACAATTAATGAAGAGTTGGAAAAAGTTTGGAGACATTTGAGAGAAAAAATGAGTGGAAGATCAGTTCAAACAACTATTTCAACACAACAAATTACCGATAAATGTGCTATTTGGATTGAAAGGTTTGTTTTGAATTTGATTGATATTATATTTTAATTGTGATAATTTTTAGAACTTGTGCTATAACTCATCAATTAGTAGCTGAAGTTTGTGAATATTTCGATAATCTTGATCAAGTGACTGAATTACTTCAAGCAATAACAAATTCATTGAAAAATGAATGGCCGAGAATTGGACCAAATAAGATAGTTTATGAGAAACTTCTTCAAGATGTTGTTGTGAATAAATCAAGAAAATTGCTTGTTGAATGGATTGTTTCGGTCGAAAATTCGGCAAGAAAACAATTTGAATCGACAAATGATGGACCATCAACATCATTATTTGATGAAAGAACTTATCGAGCTGATTCACAGGCTCATATTGGAATATCAACACAATTATTCAAGTATGTTCAATTAACTGGTTGCTTATTGAAAATATGGGGATGGTGGGGTTAAATATCGGGAGAATTCCAGAATGTCAAAAGAAACATGATTTGTTTTACGACATTTTCTGAAAAGTTTCAGTTGAATTTCGAAAAATTTTCCAGCCCTTAAAATTTTTCTGGGTAGAAAAAAAATATATTCTATGAGAAATTCCTTCAATATATTTAAAATATCTCAATTTGTTTAAATTCCCAATTCTCTCTTTTTCAGATGTGTGAAAAGCCTTTGGGAATCACTTGAATCAATAAATGAAAAATGTCATCAATTTGAGAATATTTGCACACAAATGTCTGATTCAAATACTTCATCAGTTCTCAAAACAACATTGGCAACAAATGTTCATCAAGTTCTTTTGCGTCTTTGTGAAATTAAAAATCACGAAAAAAGTAACGACGAATGTTCGAGTGTGAAAAGTCGAGAATGTTTATTGAAAGCTCGTTTGGCATTGGCTTTGGTTCATTCGGATTCATCATTGGTTTGTCATTTAATGGATAAAGATTCGCAACAAATCACATCACTTAATAAACGACTTCATTCGATTATTGAGAATAATTTGAGGTATGTTCATTTTAAATTAGAAAGAATTTCAAAAAAGAAATCACAATTTATCACAACAACAACATATATTGAATTTATAGATATTTTTTGATAGATTGATATAATTTAGAGGGAACCCTAATAAGAATCACAGTTGGATGCACCTAAACTCTGATAATGTTTTCTTTTTGAGATGAAAAGGGTGTGTTGAATATACAGGGCAAGAAGAAAAATATGACTATAAATACTATGATTTGGTGTATAAAAGACGAATAACTCGCAAGAGATGATTGAAACATTTGTCTTGAAAACATCGACGGAAAAAGTATTCATAGGCATATGGTTCTTGACTTGCATTTGGTATTTGGTTCATTTGAGTTTTAAGGAATTGTCGATTTCTTTCATTTACATCGAAATTTGGCCAACAATCAGAAATTGCACGAATTTTGTAATGATTGCAAAGTGTGTTTGAAACCTAGAAAAACATATTGAAATTATTTGTAATTAGAAAATATTTTGAACTAACCTCTTCAGCTGTTCCAAATCTTTCCAACAAAGAATCTTTCATCAAAACAACACTTCCCATTTCAACACTTTCTAAAAGTGCTCTTTCCAAATCTTGAACAGTATTCTGAAAATAATAATATTTTGAAAAATCAAATATTTCCTAATAATAACTTACTAATGTTGCATCAACAGTTCTCATTTTATTATCAGCTAATGAAATAAAAACAGTTCTTGTTGTATAATGTCGAGTTCTACGATTTCTTGTTTTACTACTAAGTTGTTCAGTTGACATAGTTTCAACCATTTCGATATATCGTTCAGGTCCACCGATTGGAACAAATGATGTGGCAAACGAGTCACACCTAGAAAAAAAAAGGTTTTAATCTCAAATAACCTTCAAAGTCGAACCAAAACAAAAATAAAAACCTCACCAATTCTGAATAATATCTCTCATAAATCCAATAGTATTATAAATTGTTTCTTCGACAAGTCGATTTTCTCCCATCAATTTATTATATTCGCTAATTGACAAACCAGGATTTTCACACCAAACAAGCATAAATATGAAAAATTTGTTCAATGGCATTCGAGAATAAAATAGAAATGTTCCTTCATATACAGATATTTTAGTGATTATCTTTTTCTCTCGTCTTTTTCGACATGATCGACATCTCCAAACAAAACCATTTGCATGTTTAATTAAACTCATTAATTGATCTTTTGGACAATCTGGAACTCGACAAACTCGAGTATTTGGAATTAAACCAAAACGAGCTAAGAATTGAATACTATACAAATGTTGTCCAAGCTTCGGATCAGCAAAGATTTTTTGTAACATTTCTGGATTAAATTCAACATCAAGAACTTCTTCGGGTTCTGCAACTGTCATATCATCAAGAATTGTGAATTTTCCTCGATCAGGTCGAGATGTTTGTTTTCGAGGCGGTGAAGATGTTGATGAAGATGGTTCAATTGGTGGAATAAATATTGATTGTTTATTATTAGCTGCTGCAACAATTGCTTTTGCAACATTTGAAATTGATCGTCCTCTTTTTTATTGTTCGAGGCGGTTGAAGACATTTCTCAAACTTTTGTTGTGCTAATAATTGTTGTGCTTGATTTTGTTCATTCATTGTTGCTAATGCATTTGTTGCAGCCATAATAGCTGCAGAAAAATCAATTTTCATATCATCATCACTATCAACATGATCTTCTTCTTCTTCTTCAGGCTCTTCTTTTACTTTCACATCAGCATCCTAAAAAAATACAAGGATTACTTTTTTCATTCATAATTGGAATAAATATCTACCTCATCTATTAATCCACTTGTTGATGAAAGAGCGGCTAATGTATATGCATTATTAGAGAATAATGTTTCCAAAGTATCCATTTTGGACCAGTTTTTTCACCTGCAAAAACAGAGAGTGTAATTTGAATGGTACGAAATTGAGATTAATCAGTCAGAAAGAAAACAAAGAATCAGGTTAACATAAATAACTGTTCGCTACGAAAAAGGGAACGATTGGGAAGAAGTTGTTTATGGTTTTTCGTTCGTTCTTCTCGTTCTCATCTTTTTTCTTTTCCTTTTTTTCTATCCTCTCGACGGGACAGACAAGGACCTCGGGCCACAAAGCAACAACCACACACACACATACATACATACATACACATCCCACACTCACTCACAGACAAAAGTTGTCGCGCACTGAAGGAATGTATGTATGTATATAAAATAGAGAAACGTAGAGAAAAGAATGACAGTCGGCTGGTTAGATGGATAGCCTTCTTTTCGTTCATTTGCGAACAGGTCTCTGTCTGTCGGCGTTTCTTCTACCTTACTATGCATATAATTGGAGAGAAAGAGGAGTGACAGAAGAGGAAACGGTCCCGGACGGGTAGATTTTTTGGTTGCTGCGCGAAATTTCGTTGTTTGCGTGTTTCTCTTATTCTTCTTCTCTCTCTTTTATTCACTCTATGTATTGTTGACCAAGTTTGTTGAAAAGAAAACGATGGAAAAAAAGATGAAGGACTATTGACTTGATTCAAGGGACTTTATTAGTATCAGGTCACACGGTATTTATTTGAGATGTGTTCAATGTTGAAAAATAACGCATTCCAAAGTTTTGAATTACAAAATTTGTATTAAGAAAACTTAGAGGTCAATTTTAAAAATGGGACCATCATGAAGATTGTTATCAAAAAACTGTCACTAACTCAACTCAAGGACGGACTTTTTTGGTTCATCCATTTTGTATTACCTCTTCTCTTCTTTCATCTTCGTTTTACATTAAATTAATAAATGAATGAAATTTTTTGGGAAGGTCAATGAAAATGACCAAAGGGTCCGAAACCGCAGAAAAAACTGGTAGGACACTTGAAAATGATGATGATGATGAATAGGAAAAATGGAAGAAGAATAAGAAGGAAATACGTAAACAGGTTCAGGAGAAAAAAGAAAAAGAAGAAGATTGTAATGAAGTGAGTGAAGCTGGTTTGGTAGTATGCGCAGAATATGGTCCTAGGATTATGACTGTTATTATTTTTATTGTTATTGAATTGGATTGGAACGGAAGAAGTTTGAGATTTGTAGATGAAAAATGAAGAACGAAGAAATTTCGAAAAAAAAGAAAAAAACACGTCGTCAGTTATTGTGTATTTTGTGCATCGGAAAATGCACACATTTTTTTCTACAGTAATCTGGAGTGTGTTTTATTTTAATTTTTTATTCAAAAAGTTTGTAAATAGTTTAAAATTAACTTGACTGAATGTTATAAAACTAATAGTGAGTCACAAATCTAGTTCTAGTCCCACTAAAACAAAATACGCAACATTTAGTCGTGTATTTGAAAAAAAGACCAACTAAAAACGACAAACTGTCGATAGTTGATTGGCTGGTTGGTTGATAGAATGGTACTGATAAGAGAGAAGAGGGGCCGCACTCTTCGTTTTTTTTGGCGTGTCGCTCTCTCCAAACATACAACCAGCTATGGGCCCTTTTGCCCGCCCGCACGAGAAGATAGAAAAATGGAAAAAGAGAAAGAGAAATAAGAGGAGAAAAAGGGTGGAGACAGTCGGCTGACTGTTATTATTTGTATTGGATGGGCCGTTTTCGTATTGATTGTCACAAAAATAAATTGAGAAATGGAAGATGGACCACATTTTTGTACTTTAGGAACATTTTATTTTGAAAAAAACGAATACAGTTATGATGATGAAACTCAGCTGATTTCACCATTAAAGATCTAATATGTTTTGGATTCTTTTTTTCTGTTGGATTCACTACATTTCACAGACTCATTTATTCCCGAAGGAGATATGAAATACAACTTTTAAATGAAAGAGTACAAAAATAGTAGAAACTCGAAAGATTTTTCATCAAAAAGCTCCGACAATTTTTTTCAAAATTTTGTATCAAACACAATCTAACAAAATGTGGAAAAGTTATAATATCTCAAAGGTTCTCTTTTTTCCAATTGAAACTTTGAAATCCAGTCAGTCAATATAAACATACAGTTTGAAAGTATGCGCATATTAATTGGTTGACCGAACCGCCAAAACTTTGAATGTATCGCAACATTATTCGATTTCTATTCATGTTTTTCGTCGTGTCCCGAAAAAAAGTTGGCGACCTTGCAAATACTGTATTTTTCTTTTCTTTTTCTATTTCGTCCATTTTTTATTGGTACACTTCGATCTATTAGTTAGGGACCTTGTAAAAAGAAGAAGAGAAAATGTTGCCGATGGCTGGGACTGTTTGAAGAGGAACGACACACAATAATAGTTATATTATTTCTCTCTTTTTGATGTGTGTATAAATATTTGGAAAGGCGCAGTTTGTAGGGAAAAAAAGAAAGGAAAATGAGAAGAAGAAAAAGAGAAGGGAAATAAAGGACCAATATATGAAATATTTGGGCAAACTTGTCAATCGATATTCGGAAAATAATGAATGGAAATAGGATATTTTTGAATCGGACCACAGGGTCCGAATTTATGAATCGAACATATTACTGAACATGAATACTAGAAATTTTTTTTCAGAATTTCTCGGTAAATCCTTGTTCATCTTTACTAATTTTCATATTGAATTTTTTAAAAATCCTGCTTCTTCAAACTGGATATTTTGCTCGAAAATTCAAAGATGATCTGATTCAGACAATTAGAAGTCCGACTCTTCAGATTTCACTAAAAATTTGCCAAGAAAACAAGTTGAAGTTACGAGTTACCTGAATAAACTAGACATGTGCACTAAATAAAAGAATCAGTGATTTGAGAAAGGCAGCTCTTCGACTAACACCTTTTTTCTCGTTTTCACATTTTTATTTATCCTCTCGTTCTCTGCTAGCAGCACCTCCTAATCAGTACATTGATATTTTGTTGGACGGTGCCCGGACCTCCCTCTCCTTTTTCTTTCTCACTTCTCTTCTTCTCATTCTTTCCATATACAAATATGCGAGCACCGCTAATCAGCTAAAAATTCAGAACAGAGAAACCATGGAAACGTGCGGATAAAAATGAAGGGAAGGAAAATCGAGAGATTTGTTCATAAACGAGATTTGTAAAAGGACCTAATAACAAAATTATATGCAAATATTTATGATATGCGAAATTGGAAATCAAAATTTGAGTGAAAAAGTTGTCCAAAATCAGAGTCACATTAAACGTGTTTCATTCGGCTCGATGGAGTACTGTATATTTGAACATTCAAAAATTTGAATCTAAAATACAAGCGAAACAATCGGACATTTGAAATTATCAAAAAAAGAAAATAGACACACAGCACAGCAAAATTCATATAAATCATAATAATTATTTAACCAAAAATAAGAAATCGATTCCATTCTTGAACTTTCGGAAATTTTGAGATTTGTTTTATTTTTGACATTTCAAATTGAAATTTGACGAAAAATCCTAGTTTTTTATGAAAATTCAATTTTTCAGGCAGAAATCTGGGACCTCCTTAAAATATTCCCACGTGCTTATAAAATATTACTGTTTTCTAGAGTAGAGACTCCAAATTACAAATTATAAATGGTTTTTAATATAAAATAATATTTTCAAAATGAATTATTCACCAACGACGAAACCCTTTTAATTATATCTTGTTGTTGTTGTTTTATAATCCCTTCCTCGCACACCTTTTCACCAATTTCACCCTTTTATCCCATTTTCGGCCAAAACCTTTTTCTAATATTAATAATAATTATAATTAAATTTTGCAGCGAATTGTGCATTTTGGTTGTAAATGATTCGATAACACAAACAACATTATTGGAATATTTGGAAGTTTTTGAAGGTGGAATGTTTGCACTTCGACTCATTTCTGAATTTCAAACTGTTGAACTTTCTGATGTTGGTGATGTTCATGTTCCAATTGCATTGTCATATCAAATTGAATCGGTTCTTTTTGAAATTTGTACAAAATTATCGAATGCGTCGGTTGGACATTTATTGACAAAGAAAATACGAAAACATATGAGTGAACATATTGCTTCGAAATTTGAAGAATTAATTGGAGAGAAAATTAGTGGGGAATGGAATCTGCCAACAAGAACTACTTTGCAGATTTTATTTGATGTTCAAGTTTTGGCGACGTTATTCAATAGTGAAAAGTGAGAAAACACAACATAGTGATTTTATTCAAATTTTGAAAAATTTCAGACTTCGCAAATTGGCAAGTTCAATCGAAAGTCATCTTGATCCATTTGATGTTTCATTATTATCTCCACTTTTATCTGCAAATGTTAAACTATCACATGCTCGATCTCAAGTTTTGTTTTCGAGTTTGATTACTGAAACCATATCAAACAAAGATGTTCAACTCCCACCATCTTATTCAAAAATTCAAGATCTTGTTGTTCATATCGAACAACCTTCTCGAATTCCAATGATTCCAAGATTAGACAGAGCTGCTGATCGAACTGAAAATAACAAAAAATCTGGAAATTCTAAAGCGAAAAATAATCGATATTTGGCGAATCCAAATCAACAAGGTAACATTTTTTATCTTATTTGAAGTTTTCTAAAAAAAGCTATCATAGGATCTTCAAAAAGTACACCATCTCTCAGCGCTTTCTATGATCGTATTTCATCGAGTTGGTTTGGTGGAGCAAATAATTAAACTGTGATTTTTATTTCTTTATTCTAATTTATTTTTTATAATAACTGTGATAAAGTTTAACGAATGGGGAACTGAACTTTTTTAATTTTTTCCAAAAAACCTGTATCCAATTTAGTGTTCGCTGACCAATTATCAATCAAATCTTGTTTTTTTCGAAAGTCTGTCTCGGTTAAAAATTAAAACTTTCAAAAGTTTCGATAGTTTTTTAGAGGTAAGTATAGTCTAGATCCCATTACAAAAAATAGTACAAGCGAAAATACGAATTATTATACATTTGTTCGTAGTCTTCTTTTTCTTCACACGCAAAAAAAACTAACTTTTATTATGCCAATGTACAGTAGTATTTTATGGTGGGTGGGGTTTTCTTCCGGGGCAAAAAAAATAATGGCATTATTATATTATCATAATATTTTCAGTTTTATTCTCAAAATGTTATTGTTTTTGGTGGCTGTTTGGTGTTTTATTTTTGGATTTGTTGATTCCTATACTAGTATTACTAAATATTTGATTGGAAATAAAACTTATTTTGAACGATTTGATCAACCATGGTTTAGACATATGCATTATGATCATGAAAGGGTAAGTTCTTATTGGATTACTGTAGTTCTCCAAACAAAAAAAATTGAATGTGAAAATGTGATAAAAGTGTTCTTCTTTCTTATATCTTCTTTTTTAGGTAAAAGATTCGGAAAAAGATTCATCAGCTTTTGGAAAACATTATGTTCCAGACGATGATGTTTTTATAGCACCGGATTGGTCAAAAAAAGAACAAAAATATTTGGGATGTTTGAATCGAACTTGTGTTTGTGGATTTTATGATGGTAGGTTGGTTACTTTTGATTTTTCTTAAATTCAAAAATCTTTTTTCTAGGCGAAGTTTCAAATGGCGAATGTATTTTAGCAGGAGGAAAGAAATTGAAACCAGCAAAAAGAGTCGAATTAAGAATGTTATCGGATAAAAATAGAAAATTGATTGAGAAAACGTGGAATTCAATGAAAAAAAGTGGATTATATAATAGAATTGGACGAGTTCATAAATATTCGGGTGTTCATTCTGGACCTGCATTCACAATTTGGCATCGAGAATTTTTAAAAAGACTTGAAATTATTCTCCGAACTCATTCACCAATTCCTGAATTTGGTATTCCATTTTTCGATTCAACTCTCGATTCTCCATTGCCAGATCCAAAAGAATCAATTATATTTTCGGAATTATTTCTTGGAGAAGTAAATGAAGATGGATTTGTTAAAAATGGACCATATCATAATTGGGAAACAATGGAAGGAAGAAGTCAAATTTTGAGAAAATTTGATTATGATAAAGGAGGAGAATTATTGAATAATGCAAGAGTTGATTGGTTAATTAATAATCCTGATATTAATATGATACTTGGACCAACAATGCCATTAACTGTGAGTTTTTCGAAAACTGGAAAATAAATTATTTAAAGTTATTTCAGAGTTGTCCAATGAATCATACACTTGATGCTCGAATGCTCGAATATTCTCATGATTATGTTCATTTTTTCATAAGTTAGTTTTATTTTCGACAGAAGCAGAGAAAATACGGAAGCTTTTCAAATATTTGTTGCCTCAATGTTGGGAATCTCCCAAATCTGCGGATTTTTGAGTTATTAAAAATTGAGATTTATAGAATTCTTACGAACCCCTGTATTTTTTCAAAATATATTCTTGTAGAGTTTGGGACAAGGAATATTCAATTCAAGATCTGATTCTTTCCTTTATCTCTTATGTTCTTAAATTAATGTTTAATTTGCAGATGGAGATATGAGTAAATCATATTCGTCTTCAAATGATATTGCATTTGTATATCATCATTGTATGATTGATTGGATTTTTGAGCATTGGAGACAAAATCAACAAACAAGACAACAAAGAGAAATTGATTATCCATTGAGTGATGAAAGATGTTTCCCATTTTGGCATTTTGCTGAAAATCCAATGCCACTTCTTCAGCCACTTAAAAATCAAGATGCTTTATCAAATGGATATACTGATCATTTTTATGAATTTGATAAAAGACCAAGTTGTACAAGAGAAAAACCAGATTGTGGTTCAAAGTAAGACTAATGTACATTTTATTGAGATTAATTAAAAACTACAGTAATTTTCAGATATTTGTTCTGTTATCTTCCTGAAAATCCACATGAACTTCCATATTGTGTGAGTAAATTGCGAAGAAATGGAAATTGTGAAGGATTCGAAAAATATCCGATTTGTTATTGGGGAAAATGTATAAAAGGAAGATGTAAAGAATCACAAAATGAACATCAGAAAATTGAAAAACCTAGCAATTTTCTAGAACTTATTATGAAATGATATTTTTTAATGAACAAATAATAAATGCATTTTCAGGATTACTGTAGATTTGTTTTGAAATATTTATGATGAATTACAATTAACAAATTATTTGTTTTTAATTTACATATAAAAATCATTCAATTTATCATAAAAACTAGCCGTCGAACATGAAAAACAACAATATTTGCTCATCGAATCGCAATTCAACAGATTTTGATTTTTCAAAGTTCTACAAACTGGAAGATAATCTGAACATTTTTCATATTTTGGAGTTCGAATTGTTTGAATTGGTTTCGAAGAGATCATATTCTTTTTACTGTAAATCTCTTTGAAATCTTGATTCATACATTTTTTACAATTATAAGTGGCACAAACTTTTGCATAATCATTTTCATTTGCACTTGGAGAATTTCCAATTACATCCTGAAAAAATTCAAATTCATGAAATAAGTTTTGAAAAAACATTACCTGATACTTTGGATCAATTGTTTTCATACTAATTTTTCCAGGTAAAGCAAATGCATATTTATTATAATGCATAACTGATGTAAAATCATATGGAATATTATAAGTCGATACATATTCTGGTCCAAGTTTTTCAAATTGAGGATATTCCGCACTTGCTATATTTTCATATTGAACTTTAATATAATCATCTCGATCATATCTCATATGTTCATGATAAATTCCAATAATATGTAAAAATTCATGAATAACAGTTGGAAATGAGAAACAACTTTGTAGTCCATTTGATTCTAAATTCATTAAATTTCTACCAGGGTATCTTCCAATTGTACCATAACATCTACAATGAAATTGTTTTTTTTTCAAATGATTATTGGTTATTCTTACCCATCTCCTTTAACATTTCGAATTTCTAAATAATCTCTTTGATTAATTCTTGGAATAAATCGAATACAAGTATTTGATTGAATTGTTTCGATCACTTTATTTATCATTTCAAGTTCTTCATCGACTGAACAAAATTTTTTTTATTTAAAAAAAAGTATGTTTTTTTGTTCTCAAAAACTCACTAAAAATTCCAGTAATAATATACGGTATTTGATAATTTCCATCATTGTCTTTCATTTCACTCCATCGTAATTTTGAGTCTGGATAAACAGCATTTCTATAAACTTGACGGCTGAAAATAAATTGGATAAAACTTTCGAAAATTGAAAAAAATACTAACTCTTTGTATGATTGCAGTAGTCTTTTGTGTGATACTCGATCACTTGAACAATTTCCACCACTGAAAATATCAATTAAAGTTCCACGTGAATCCACAAAATTGACAAAGAATAATGTTAAAAATATCGAGTAGCGCATCATGAAAAAGAATATTTTTATTGTGAGAGTTTTAGAAATTTATGTATTTTTCTCACGTATAATTTTTTGAAAAAAATCTATTTCTAGAAAATATGCATGAAAAAATAACTTGGAAACAAACTTATATACCATTTTGAAGGTGCAGCGATGTCAAATTAACAATGTTTGTACAACTGGGAGAGTCCTTAACGATGTAGCTGAAAATAACATTTAGCTGTTTTCAATCCACCAATCAATCGATGCACTTTTGTTATTGTCACCTGTCTTCTCACTCATTGTCAGTTATCGGAATTTTTTACACTAAATTTATAAAATAAAATTAAAAAAAAAAAACAAAAAATTAGCTTCCCATGCCGGGAATCGAACCCGGGCCGCGTGGGTGAAAACCACGAATCCTAACCACTAGACCACATGGGAGGACGAATGAGAGGGGAGAAATATACTTGATATTATCGATGATGATCGAGAGAAAAGATAGGAGTTTTCTATTTATTTTTGTTGAGGAATCAATAGTTATTATCTTTACATATTTTCATTATCATTTTTGATGTTTCCCCTCTTTTCTTCTCCTTACTTTTCTTTTTTTATGTTGTAAATTGTCAGGGTATATCGATTTTCTTTCTATTGGATTATTTTTTTTTCTATATGTTAACACTTTTTTTCCGTTTTATCAATCTCAAAAAAATGTTCCCTCAATCAAATTTATTTTTCATTTTTTATTTTTTATCAATCAGTCAAAATTTGATTCGAAAATGTTCCGGTTTCATGAAGAAATTCCTTTTTTTTTCTTATTTTCACCTTGTTTTTTTCAGAATGGGAGAAGAATTGTGTAATATTTGCAATGACAAATCAACTGGTAAACATTATGGTGCAGTAAGTTGTGATGGTTGTAAAGGTAGATAATTAATTAACAATTTTGTGAAAGAAAATGATTTTTGAAATTTTCAGGATTTTTCAGGCGAAGTATAAGGAAAAGATATCACTATGTATGTCGATTTGAAAAATGTTGTGATGTTACAAAAAGTAATTTACCTATTAAAAATTGTTGAAATCAAAAAACAATTCCAGATAAACGAAATGCTTGTAGATCTTGTCGACTTCAAAAATGTGTCAAAGCGGGTATGAAAGCTAATGGTAAGTTTTTAACAAAAACTCATGGCAGCCACATATTACCCGATTTTTTTGGAAAACTATACTTCAGAAAGTTCCAAAATAATCTATTAATTTTGTTTAGTACTTTTTCAACACGGTGGTCAGGAAAGATTACTGTAGAAGTTTGTTTTCTCTTTTTTCTTTTCTTAAGTTATTTTATTTGACTTCAGATACAGATAATTTTTTCTGAGAATATATAGTTCAACTACAAAATATATTCTTATCAATATTATATCATATTATAAAATATTATATCGAAGAACACAATTTTCTTTATTTTTCAGCGATACAAAATGAAAGAGATGCGATTGGAAAAAGAAAAAAAGCTGGAGATCAAACAGAAACAGAAAAAGAAGAATTAATTGATCAACTTGTTGCAGCTGAAACATTATGTCAACAATTAAGATCAAGTGTAATTAAAAGAACACAACAAGTATCATATGATTGTGGAAAAGTAAAATGGAATTATGAAGATGATCGAAGAGCAACATTAGATGATATCGGTAAAAGTATACATCAACAACTTGTTTTATTGGTTGAATGGGCTAAATCATTACCACAATTCACATTTCTTGCAATTTCTGATCAAGCATCACTTTTAAAAGGAACAGCAGCATCAATTATTGTATTAGGAGTGGCATTTCGATCAATTTGTTTAACTGTTGGTGATTCGATTTGTCTTGCAAATGATACACTTCTTCAAAAAGATCATGCAACTCATGTTGGAGATATTAAGTTTGTTTAAATATTTTGAAAAATTACAAAAAAATAAAAATAGACATTTCAGTTGTGTTGTTGGACGAATTATTGATGAAGTTGTAAATCCAATGAGAAGATTAAATATGGATTTGATTGAATATGTTGCATTAAAAGCTATCCTATTTTTCAATCCAGGTAAGCTGTCAAAGTTTTCATTCATTTTTGTTTAAGGTTACTGTAGATATTCTATTTTTTGATATTTTTGATTTTATCCAGATAACCGTATGTTCATTAAAAAACCGGGCCATGCAAAAATAATTTCACAAAAAACAATTTTACAGTTGTTCGAGAACTTCAAGATGTTGCAAATATTGAAAATTCTCGATTTGCCTGTTTGAGATCACTTCAAAAAAGATGCGCAGAGAAAGCAGTTTTAGCTTTGGAAGATGACGGATTTGATTGTCGAAGTGGCAAATTATTGTTATTATTACCTTCACTTCAAGCAATTGCTCAACAATTGGTAAACCTTTTTCTCATCACTTTTCAAAGATGAAAATAAATTAAAATTTAAAGGTAGAAGATGTTCAATTAGCTCGACTTTTTGGACTTGTGAATGTTGATGCATTGATGTCTGAATTAATTCTAAATGATCAAAAAGCATCAGATCCTCAAATTCTTCAAACAAGTCTATCATCGCCTGTCGAATCAATTAAAACTGAACTCGAGGAGTGATTCTTTTTAAATGTAACAACTCATAATTAAGTACCTCTTAAAAATATCTAAGCCGTACCGGTTTGCTCATAAAGTATTTTTATTTTTGAAACTTTTGAATTATTGTTTTGCAAACACAAAATTTCCCCAAGTCGAATAACCGAGAAGAATACCATTTTTCCAATTTTTCGCTTTATAATTATCTGCTTTTTCGTATCCACCAACATAATGATAATCAGCTTGATTATTCTGAAATTGTTTTTCTAAAAATATTCAACAAGGTCTGAAACATACAGGATTCTGAAATTCATAAAGTGGAATAACATCTCCCAAACATCTTTTCGCTGATGATTCTTCTGTGAAAACATAACCTGCTCCTTTGACTGTCTAAAATTAAAATCTAGATTTTTTTCAAGGAAATTCAGACAAACCTCCTCGTTTCTACCCAATCCACCATTTCGAATATTTTGAATACGGTAAGCATCTGAAAAAACAAAGACTACTGTATCTAGAAGTTCCATTTTTCCAAACAAACTATTTTCTTCATCGTGTGTCTCAAAAAGAAGTATCATTTTACCGCATGAATTTTGTATAACTTTTGAATCAGCTTGTCGATCAATCAATGAAATATTCAAAATTTTATCAATTGTGTAGCCTGTGAGAAAACTTCTTTTTTTCATATTCAAATTAGGAAAAACACAAAACAAACCATCTAAATATTGATTTCCTTGAACATTTACAGTATGCGCTGAAATTTTGCCATTTGTTATTCGAAGAATTGGACGAAGTGTTACACTCAATTTTCTCTGAAATCAAATAAATATGATATATTTTCACTAAAAAAGTTAATAAATTGCTCAGAGTAAAAATGTTAAGCCTGTAAAATTCCAAAAAAACTGTAACTTACAAAAACACCACTTTCATATGGTCGAATTGCGTTGAATGGATATTTTCTGAAAATTTTCAATTTTTAGCCCAAAACAAATACAGTGTAAAACATACACAATTCTTTTCGAATTATCAGTGCTGAAAAGATATCCCATTACTTTTGTTGGATGATAAAATAGATTATTTTCATTATTTCGAATTTCATTGAGTTGATCATTTGTTGTAATATAAATGAAATCTGGAAAAACCCAAAAATGTTTGAAAAAAATCAAACTATTTATAAACCTTTTGTGATTGATGAATACATTTCAACAAGCATTCCATCAGATGTTCCACAGTATCCTGGCCAACTTCCAATATATCCAGCTTCATCAATAATTTCAAGACTTTCATCTTTTTCTAAATCTGCCAAAGCCATTAATCGAGGTGTTCCGCGATCATTTACATGAAATATTTGAATTAGTTGAGGACATAAAATATCAAGAACTTCACAATCAATTTCAGGATATGAAAAACCATAAGATGATGTATTTGAAACCGAAATCTCAAATTGTGAAGATCCTAAAAATTATTATTAAAATTGAAATACCCGTGAAAAATTCAGAAAATCCGAATAATGTCCCAAATTTGGTTTTTCCAAGAAAATTTCCCCTATTTTTCCTACCTTTTTTTCGAAATTTTTGCATTTTAATACGAAATTTGAGAAAATTTTCTTGGAACGTGTTTCAGGAATCTTTTTCAAATAATTTTCCACAAATTTTCAAAAAAACCTACTGAAACTTGGCAAAATAGTTGCATCGGTATAATAAATGTTTTGATTTAATTCATTTCTTTTTGATAAAAGTGGAAGAACTTTCAACTGAAAACTGCTATCTAATCCAATTACAATATTGTATAAAATCGAGAATAATATCAAAACTATAATCATTTTGACATTCAAACATTCTTTTTCTTCAAAACTTTTTCAATTTTATAGAACAAAATTTTAATGATTGTTCCGTTCCATAAATTTTTACGAGGATTACGGTAAGTTTCAAAAATTGTTGATCAAACAAATAAAATTAACTAAACAAATTCATTATTTTGTGGGGGAAAACATGATTACAGTAAGAAAAAAAAATACAAGACAGAATATCACTGAATAACCGTATATTTGTGTTCTAAGTTGGGCACTACTTTTCATTTTGGGGAAAAAAGAAACAAGAAAAGAAATAGATTGGCAACTGAAAATATGGGATTGTATTTAAATGCAAGTAAAATGATTGACCGGAAATATGCTTTTCAGCAAGTGATTTGAGAAAACAATTATTATATTTTGGGATTAAAAAACAAATTTCTGGTTTTGTTAATATTGTTCGGGGACAGATAAAAAAGAAAAAATAATACACCGGAAAAGGAATGATAATTAATGATGATCTAAAGCTGATCAACAGCATTTCAAACTATTTACATTTATTTTTTTCGGGAAAGCTTGTCGACTATATTTTTCAAATTGTTTTGTTGTTGGCAAATCTGAAATTTTCTTTTATTATTCTAGTCAATAAAAAATTAAAATTAAAAGAAACTCACAATTTTCGAACTTTTCTTATCTTTTTCTTTTGGTGAAACCATTTTTTGATTTTTTGAAGGCGTCGAAGAAGGTGTTCTTTCAGAATAAGGTCGGAAATTTCGAACTACTTTCTTTGGTTTACTGAAATTGTTGAAAACATAAGAATTAGTGTTGATTGGATATCGATTTTTCGCTGGAACTTTTTCGAAACATCTTTGATTTTTTGCCACTTGATATTCACACAAAAATACGTCATCTTCCTGCAAATAAATTAATTAAACCTCAATTTAATTTATTTGCAAATTTAACAAACCTTAAAAAGTGGAACAGTTGGTCGACCTTTACACCAAGTCTCAACATCAATAACCATACATCTTCCAATAACTTCATCCAACGGTAAAGTTTCATAAAGAGGTGTTGGGAATACTTCCTTTTGTGAAAACATTCTTTGTGTATCAACATATGTTTCATGTGGCCAAGCATAAAATGATCCAAATACAAAACGATTATTTCCGGGAGTTACGAAAAGTCGTTCAACTCGGAAAATTCGCGTATTTTTTCGATCAAATTCTTGTTTTCTGATTTTTGATGTGTCAGCAATTGGAAACTCGTATGGATTCTTTGATTTTCCCTTCTTTTTCGACGTGGTTTCTTCTCTCAAGTTTCTCAAAAGATTCTTATGCTGAAAAAAATTGGATTTATTTTTATATCAACATTTTCGAATTTTAAACTTACATCTTCTGGAACTTGTTTATTTACATAAACAGTTTCATTGAGTCGAACTTGAATTCCTCTTCGATTTACCAATGCTTTATAATAAATACAATCTTCAAAGCGAACATCAGGTTGAGATTTCAATATTACATCATTATTTGGTCTTCCTGATAATTTTTTGATACAAAATTCACAATTATATTCATCTGATCCATTATATTCCGAATCACAATCAATATGAAGCCAAAAATGACAAGTATCACATTGTACCATTTCACCATCTTCATCAAGTATTCCACAAACACATCTAACTGCGTTATCATTTGCATTTGCTTTATAATTTGTCCAAGCATCATCTGGATCATAACTTCCAATTGGATTCTCAGATTCCAAATATGATAAATCAGCATCCGAATGTTTTCCAACAATTAAACTTGGAGTTGGTGATTGAATTGATGTTGTTGATGAAATCGAACTAATTCTTGATCGTTTTTTGTTCTTTTCAATAACTTCATTATTCAGCCATTTATTTTGAATCGGTATCAATGCTCTATCAATATCATCATCATCTACAACATCTAACCATTTTCTTACAAGTGAGTTGAATTCAACTGGATCAGGATTTGATGTTTTCAAAAATGATCGAAGATTATTGTATTGTGGAAGATATTTGTATGGAATACTTCCATCAATATTTTTAACTCGAAATGAAATAGCTTCAAATACTTTTTTCATTCCGATATTAGCACTTGGACTTCTTGAACTTTCTTTGAATAAACAATTTGGTAATCCACTACTTCTTTTTGCATTATCAATTGTTCGTCTTCGACTTCTTGATAAAAATCTTCCATTTGGTGGATCATTTGGAATTGCTGATGCAATTATTGAATTCTTTGCTGCTCGAACGATTTTTCGACATTCCGAAACTCCACAATTACACGTTGAATCCAGTGGCAATAAATGATTTTTATCAATTGTTATTTCACAATTTGAAGCAATATCATAAAGAGTAAAAATACCAGCTCGATAAACACCATTGATTGACCAAACTTCTAATCTTGAATTCGGTTTACAACTATGTTTCACAAATCGTCCAACATTTCCTTTTTTAGTTGAATCAATAAACAAATTTGCTCCAATAGCCAAAATTCGAGAATCAGAGCTATTTGAAAACCTTGTAATTGCTTCTTTACTTGTTATAACTTCTCCAGCATATTCACATAATAATTCACCAGCTTTTCGAGATATTCTTGATCTTAAATATCTTTTTGATTTTGGTCCACTTGAAACACATAATCGAGACGTATCTTCTTTCCAGAACTTTTTGTTTGCACATAAAGTAAGAGTACATTCTGATGAACATTGTACTCGTAATGCTCGATTCAAACATTGAACATCTGAAGTACAAGCACCTTTTGAACAACCACAAGCCAAAGATGGAGATTTCCAATATTTATATATATCTTCTGAAGAAGCAATACTTCTTGATATTTCTTCATATTCTCCATTAAATCTTCCTTCAATATTTCCATTATCGGGCGATTCATCATTTCGACTTCTTCTTGGCAAAACTCGATTTTTCCTTGTTGTAGAATCTTCTTCTTTCATTTTATTTGCCAATTTTTTCATACCAGATTTTGATACTCGATTTTTCAATGAAGATAATGATTTTGTCCAAGTCATTCGATTTTTCTTGATTCCTCCTTTTGGCAATGTTAGTTTCGACACTTCTTCAATACATAAATTGATTTCTTTTTGCATTGCTTCTTCCATTCTTTTTTGAATTGCTAATCGATATTGAATTTCCAATTCTTCTCCACTCAATTCATTTTTCTCTGGTTTTTCAATTTTCGAAGCCGGTCTCCCAGCTCTTTTCTTTGACTGTAGTTTTACTTCCGGAGATATTTCTTCAGTTTTCAAAATAGTTTCATCCGAAGTACTTGGTTCTTCTTGATCTGTTGAAGTTGTTACAACAACTTCTTCCGGCGAAGGCGATCTCTTTTTCATTTTTTTCGGTTTTGGTGTCGCTGGAGTTGTAGAAGATACTTCAGTTTCATCATGTTGCTGTTGTTGACTTTTTCTTTTTCTTGGTGGTTGTATTTTCTGTTTTATCAATGTTGCAATAATTGATGCTTTTTTCGGATCAAGTTCAAGTAATCGATTAACAATTTCATCAGAGTCCATATTTTGTGTAATTGATATTGCTTGTGATGTTGCTGATGTTTCACATTCAGATTCATGTGATACTCTTTCATCTTCTCCTGTTGATGTTGTTTCAGTTGCTGCTTCAGGTGTTTGTTGTTGTTGCGGAACACTAACCGAAGGAATATCAATTGGATCATCTTCTTGATCAGCTGGAACTAACAATGGCATATCCGTGAAATCCTCTTTTTCTTCACAAAATGATCCGTCAGCCTGCAAAAAACCAACATACATAATTATTTTTAAATATAAACAAACTTACATTCGAAACTGAAGCTTGTTGAAAATTAGGTGAAGGCGGTGATGTTGGAACACTTTGAATTCCAGAATCAGGTGTTGCAGATGATGTTGAATTAATGGAAACCGTTGTTGATGTTCCTGATGTTTGTTGTGGTGTCAAATACCACGTGGATTGATTTGTTGTTCCAATCATTTTTTGTTGCTGCGGTTGCTGAACAATATGAAATTGTGGCTGTTGTTGAGTTTGTTGAGATGTTGAAGTAACAAATGGAATTGCTTGAACCACTTTTGTTGTCTGAAAAATTGAATAAATTAAATATTTGTTTCAAAGTTAGGCGAAAAAGACTGAAATAGTGATAATCCGTGTCTAAGAGAGTTGAGCAAAAGAGAAAGAGAAAAAACCCGTTGTCTGGGAAACTGGCTCACCATACTTTTTTTAATTGTCGGTTTTAGAATCAGTTTTCAGGCGACAAACATGAACTTTTCGCACATGTACTTTATTCTCATCTTAGCAAAAAAATTTGTTCAAATATTGAAATGATTACACTATATATTTCAGAAAAACAAAACTTGGAAACAAATATTTTCTCGAGAAACGACAATTTTAAACTGTGTTACGAAAAAATTCAATCTCATGATACTTTTAATTAAAAAACTTTTGGAGCTTTTTTGTTGGAAAAGTCGATATTATTTTGAAGGAAAAAACACTTTCTAACGCATTTTTCAACACGCGAAAAATCTAGAAACTAAAAAAATATTCATGACTTTTTTCGTTTTGAAAAATAATTTCTCTATAAAATTGGCAACAAAAAAACAGTCAAAGTTGGCACAATTATTTTTTTCTTCAAAAAAAGCAGACAAATAACTATTACACCCTTCAATCAAAATGAATCATTCGAAAAAAAAAATAAAAAGCCTCCAATTATTTTCCCCAAAATCAAAAAACCAACTTACAGTTCTTCTAACAGCATTCGAATCATTTGGATATATTCGCGGTTGAATTGGTTGAGGAACAAAAGATGGAGTAAATGAACCAAGCATCTGAAAAAGTAATAACAAATTATATTGTGAAAAAATGAAAATATGAAAGACTTACCCTAACTGGCGGCGTTTGTGGTTGCCAAGTTGCATTTGTTCCACCATCTGATATTGCAGATGGTTGAAGTCGCATTATTCCAGCTGGTAACAGGATCTGAAAATTAATACATTTTGATTTCAAAATTATTCCTGTCGTTTTTTTCTACGTTGTCGTGTCATCTCACACACGTTTTGATTTGTTTTTGAATAATAAAATTCGTGTTACGTGAAAGGATGCAAAATGAGACATTTTATTCCGATTCTCAATCTCATTCGAACAATTATTAAAAATAATATCTCCAACAAAAGCCAAAATTACATGCTCAAAAATTTTGAACTTTTAGTCTAAAATTTATTTGAGTTTTTTATTTATGTAAAAAAAATTACAGATCGAATTTTAAAGGTGGAGTGCGAGCAGAAATTAAGCTGTGCTTATTTGAAAGAGCATTTTCTAATTAGTAGAATCCTAGAAGGATTTTTTCTGGAAGCTTCTCAAACATTAAATCCAAGCTACAGGATTTATGGACTTTTACACTTTTACAGCCATTGTACACGGTGTCACTGTTTTTTCTTGTACGAATTAGAACATGCTATTTCAAATGAGCACAACTCAATTTTTGCTCGGACTCCACCTTTAAAAAAATCTTATGTGTTGTAGAAAAAAGGAAGGGCCACAGAAGTTAAAAAAGTTTCTGAAAGGCCGGGAGAACTTATTTTTGCAAAAAAAAACCAATAATTTCAAATTTCTGAAAATGTCCATTCAAAAATTGCCGAAATTCCCAATACAAACCTTTTCGCCAACAACAAGTGATCCAACAGGCACCATTCTTGGCGGCATTCCACGTGGAACCAATTGTGGCGGCGGCTGTGGAACTGTTGTTGCGACTTGACGAAGAGGAACTGATGTTGAGGTCGATGGTTGTTGCTGAAAAAAAACAAATCGTGATTAAAATTTCAAATATTTTTTGTTTCGTGTTTATCTAGAATAACGCAAATCCATAAATCACAAAACCAAAATTGCACCTGTTACCATCAATTTACATTTCGATCATCAAAAAATGTTCAATAAAAATTTAAAGACGACAAAAGAGTGTCAATTTTAGACGAATAAAAAATGAGTGCAAATATTGAATTTTTTATGTCGTGTTCAATAATTTTCATCTAACAAGACACCTTTTTTTTCCGAAGTCTTGAATTTTCGTAATTTTTAACTCCTGAGTTCCGCTAATTCAAAAATTGTCTCATCTATTCATATCGAAATACCAAGTATTATTTACGAGCATTTAGTAATTTAATATCCTTTGCGAATTTTTTTCATCAAGACTAAAAAAACAACAAACCTCCTCATTATTCGGTCGATAACATCTTTGATACGTAGTTCCCGAATTGCTCATTTTAGCGAACCATCCCTTTGCAAATCAGGGAAATATATAGGAATCAAAAGTAAACAGAAAAAAACGCTGAAAATAAAAATCACTATTTTTGTTGTTCAAAAATGAGTTTGAGAAATATTTTATAAATAAAAAGAGACGGAAAATTAATTACTTGTTAGCTATGGAAATAATGAAAGGTTCACATCAAAATAATTATTTTTATTTCCAATAAAATATTATTTTTCTCAAAGTATAAACGTATTAAAGGATCTGGTTAACGTTTAAAATAGAAATATTTGAAAAATATAATATTGTGAAAGTTTCGAAATCAGATTTCATAATAGTTTCAATGGTTACAAAAATTATGAACTTTTCATATTATAATTTGAATAAACCTGGCGCGAAAAAAAAGTAAAACTTGCAAAAATATAATTATGATAAATTACATGATAATTCAAGAAGCAGAAAAAAAAACAAATAAATGATTAGATTAAAATAACAATAGGGAGACGAAAAAGGCAAAAACGCACGAAAAACGAAAAGAGAGACGGATGTCAGAGGAGTTGTCTAGTACAATGAAAACAAAAGAGAGACGCAGAGAAATGCGCGAAGAAAAGACACAGACAGACAAACATTTCTTCTTCTCCTTCTATTCTCTTTTCTCCTACCACCAATAGTTGTATGTAGTGAATATAATAACGATTAGAAAGAAGAAGAAGAAGAGATGCGATGCGGTTAAGCGAAGCGGTTCGATTCACTGCTGCTATGTCATATGAAAATGAAAAACAACAAGAAACAGATAGAGAAACGAGGTTGGTGGTAGAATGAGAAAAAAGAATAGACAATTTGAAAAGGTTATTGGATTTTGATTGGCGAGATGCCAACACTTTCAAGAATAAAAAACTGCTTTTGTTTTGTTTGTTTGCTTGGCTAGAAATATGTGTTTATCCAGAAAAAAAGATATATACATATTGTGGAGCTTTCGAAAAAAATAATAAAGTGAGATATTATGAGTCACTTCCAATAAAAACATTCTAAAAACAAAACTATTTATAGTTCCTCATGAGAATACTATGAATATTTTCCATTGTTCTATAAAATGTTAAAATAAAAGTTACACTAAATCGATTACACGATTCTTCGAATTTTTCGCGCACTTATTATCATCCTACCGCATCTCGTCTTTTTTCTTGATATATCCTTTACCCTACTTCCACAGTGAAAGTTTTATATGTCATGGAAAACCACAGTGAAACAATTTATGGTGCAATATATATAAATAAATAAAATAATGAGTAAATAAATGGATAAAACTTAAATTCAAAATTGACCCCTTCCTCTTTGTCCTAAAGAAACCATTTGTTTTTTTTTTTGAAAATTCATAAAACAAAACAACTAACCTCTATATCCACCGAAATTACCTCTTTGACCACTGAAACCGTCTCTTTGACCACCGAAACCACCTCTTTGACCGCCAAAACCACCTTGATTTGTACCAGTAGAAAATGGAACCGATTGCTGGACTCCACCGGCAGGAGCAACTTTGCCAAAGGTACTCTTTTGAGCCTCGGAGAAACCTCCAGCGGAAAAATTAGTTGTTGGTGGAGGTCTTTGTTGTTCCAAAAGGAATGTATCGTTGATTACACGACTATCAGGCACAGTGTTTTTTCATAGTGGTCTAATAGTACCACTTCAGTGGTACTTTTGCACCACTACACCGTTTTTTACCAGTAGTCCTATGAGTACACTTGTTGAGGTACTACTCTTCGATGTTCAGTACCCTAGTAGTGGTGCCTTAGTGGTCTTTCAGTGGTCTTGTAGTAGTGGAGTAGGGGTCACCAGAAAGCGTACCTTGGTGGTAAATCCAATAGTAGAGCTTCCAATTGAGCAAAAGTGAACACTGATTCCAACAGAATCATATTTATTAACCAATTACAATAACAACAACAGATAAATTCTCAACAAAAAAAAAATGAAATTCTCAACAACAAAACCAATAGATGAAGTTTCTTAAGATTTTCGGTTTTTCGCGGCAATTTTCTTAGCAGCCTCATACATTGCGGTGTCCAACTTTTCTTCGGTTTGTCTATTTCTCAGATTATCGCTGAAATAGTTGAATATGTCACGATTCATCAACACGGTGTATTTTTTGTGATAAGGGGGAGTCGGAATTTTATTTTAGAAGTATTTATGATTAAAATTCTACAATCCCCCTCCACCTTTTTTTTATTTTCATGTTGAAAACTATAATCCACGTCTAAAAATTTTTCAAATAAAACTTACAAAAAACCTTTGAGTTTTTTTTAAAGTTTTATTTGAAATATTTTTATTTTTATTTCGGACATCGCATGAATACAAATGCGAAATTTCGAATTTTTATGAGACGAATTTCATTCATTAGTGAATTTTTAAAATAATTATTTATTTGAAAACAAACTCACAATGATCGCGTCATGGATGCGATACAAATTCCTGCAGCGGATGTGATCATTCGTTCGCGGTTGATCAAATCAGCTGGGAGTCCTTTTTCGATAGACTCTGAAAGTAAAAATAGGGTATTTCTTCAAAAATGGGCTTTTTTCACTTACGCATGATTTTCTTTTTGAAGATTTTTTGAAAAGGAAAATACTTGGCATTTTTTTCATCTTTAACCCAAGTATAAACCATAGCCAATGTATCATTTCGAATCTGAAATTATTAATCATTTCATTTTCTAAATTATGATCTTATCCAATTTTACAAAAAATTTTTTAACAATTAGAATTTTTGAGTTTAAAAAAAAGTAGAAAATGGAAATATGTTAATTTTCTTTGCATTTTTGAGCGCTCGAAGAGTAAGTATTTTCAAGACTCTCTAAAGAAACACAACCTCCAGTAGACATATATAAATAAATTTGTCACCATTGTCTTGCATTTTCATTTGAAGTTGTGTTTCAAATGCTTCAATCAAAAACAATTTGGCCGTGAACATCTAATTCCGTTGTATTTTCATACTTTCATGATTTCTTCACTTCGAAAATCTTCTGGCTACAGATACAGGCGACCCTGATTCTGTGGCCAACCAGTTTTGTCAACGAAACAAAAACTCACCGCAATATTGACCAGTCACCATTGATTACTTGAGCTCCTATAAAACTCGGATTTGGCGAGAGTTTGGTTGAAAGATTCCTTGATTGATTGAGCCTAACACGATGGATCCAGACTTGAGCTGGGTTGGTGTTTTCTTCTCATAGTTGCGCGCCGCTGCATCCTCCTTGAGCATACTACCAATTTCCTTTGGTTTTCATAAAACACAGATTTCAAAAACAGGTGTTTGAAAGATTCATTGATTGAGTGACATTTTTGGTGGTCCCATGTAGCAATATTGATTGATGCGAGCATTGGAGACTTGAACTCTTGGGTTGGTGTTTCCTCCCGATGTGTGTCAACCGCCGCTTGCTCCTTGAACATAGTCTTCACGAGCATATTCGGAAGATGAGGCGTTACTTTCCATGCATCCAGGCGAATATCCCCCAGTACAAGCAGATTTTTTCACGTCACTCATTTATTTTTATTTTCTTTTGAAGTAGCGCTTCACAACATACTTCAATCAAAAACCATTTGACCCTGAAAATCGAATTTCCTTGTTTTTCCTATTTTCATAATTTTCCTCACTTTTTCATCAAAAAACTCCGTGTATTTCGTGGTGCACGATTGCCAGGTGACTTGTTTCGCATGATGAACCTGAAAAAGCATGTAAAATCATGTAAAACATGAAAGAAACAAGAGAAAAGCGAAAAAGTAGGAAAAACAAAAAATCAAAAATACGTGCGCGTCAAATAAAATGTGTTTGTGTGTGCGTGTGTGTGTTTGCACACATTTCGAACGGCCTACAGTAACCAATGCATTTTTTCTCGTTTTCAAGCTCGATTCAGCAGTATTTTCAGAGTAAAGCCAGTTTAATAAGTAACGTATAATCAGAGCGAGATCGACTCATGAAGTTGCAAGTGTTTTTTGTTGAAAATCATGAATAATGGAGTATTTTGTCAAGATTTCTGAAATTTTCTGAAAATCAACAGATTCTTGACCGGTACTGTTTGTTAAATAGCCAATAAATTCTCTCCGAACTATGCTGTATATTTGTTTTCGTTAAAAATATCCCTTTTCACAGTTTTGGAGATGCAATTTTTTCGTAGAGTCAGGACCCCTTCTCAACCACTATGCGACCACTATGCGACCACTACTCAACTACTACCTGACCCCTACCCTTGAAAAATAAAAGTTGATAACTTTGTCAAACTGGAATTTTTTATGATGAAATTTTTCAGACAACAACTTCAGAACCATTTGATTGTTATGTACCATTCAGTTTTTGTAAATTGAAAACCACTATTGCACCACTTTTGAACCACTGCCCATCAGTAGTGCAATAGGGGTGCAATAGTGGTAAAAATCACCCCTATTGGGGTACTAAATCACGGTAGAGGTACTATAGTACCACTACTGAAAAAACACTGTGAGGCTGAAATTCAATAATAAGAAGTAAAATATAAATATGTAATTTAAACATACTCTTGATGGAGAAGGAAAATCTTCCCATCCGTCCAATGACATTCTCGACATTACACTTTCAACAGAAGTTCGTCTTTGTCCCGGGGATAAATCTCCTTTGAGTTCTTCTTCGTAAGTACTTGATGCATATTTTTGTGGAACAGCAATCATAGTTTGCTCATTCGGGTTGACTGGTGACTCACAATCAGAACCGTTCTATAAAACAATTAATTGTAGACGTGTTTTATTGCAAAATTTACTTGGTATTTTCCATCCCCTATTTTCAAGAAAAACTAACCGTATCTGCATTCTCATCTTCGGAAGCCAAAGATCCATCATTCATTGGTGTTTCCGGAGTTTGTGCTTTTGTTAAAATGGTAATATCTAAAAAATAAAATAACTTTTCGAACATACATAAAATAGGTCCCCCGAGTCAGTTGTCAAAGTTAGGGTCCCTCCTTGAAAATTTTCCAAAGTTAAACACCTTCCTCACATTTTTGAGCGAATTTTGGACAAATCTGGGAATTTTGGTAAATTATCAGCAGAAAATTGGCCAAGTTAGGCACCCTTCCTTTCAGATTTTTGAAAAAAGTTAAGCCCCTCACCCCGATTCTGGGGACCCATTTTATGTATGTTTTCGAAACCCTTCAAAATTTTTAATTACCAGCGTTCGATTTTTCCAATGCATTACAAACACGATAAATATGTTCCACTGAAGGTTCTGCTTTCTTTTTCATATTTTTGAAATATGTAATCAGCTTTGATTTTGTTTCCACCGGTAGAATATTCAGATTGTGATATTCTTTATCTTCATTTTCGAAACTTCCAATGAACCAAATCAAAAATTTGAGAACATCTTCAATATTTGAACATAAGTTTGTGTCATTTACCTAAATCAGTTTATTTTTAAATAAATAATTAATCAAAAACTTACCAGTGGAATCAGCACACCGAGATTTGATTGTGTGATTGAAGCATAAAAATTTGAAAGGATACGTAGCATAGCTTGACGCTTCCAATATGAACTCAAATGTTTATACAAACCGCTGGCAACTGCAGAAGAATATTCTGTTTCTGAAAACATAATGATATTTAAAGATGATAATTGTACAATAAAATCTTACTATGAGCATTATTATCCGATGAAAATAACCAGATGAACGAATTCAGAAGATGAAAAGTGGTCTGAATTAGAATTAGTTATATACAAACAAAATACATTTTGAAAATTATCACACCTCGAAAACAACAAGATCCAAATCGTTAAACATTTCAGATCTCAAATGTTCCGGTAGTTGTTCAATGTAATTTGTGGCAAAGTCAAATTGTTGCGTTAATGAAATTTTGAAAATAACATAAAACAGTTCGCTTAAATATTTACATCGATCTTCAACGGATATTTCATCATTTTGATTCAATAATGGGTTGATTTTTTCGAAAATAATCTTATTTATGTCGTTCAACGAATTCGGAAATTTATGGTTCAAGAGATAAATAACATCATTCTTTGGACCAGATTGGCTGAAATGTATAAATAATAATTAATAAATGAATATGAAAACTAGTCTCAACTTACATCAAATCAGCCAATTGTGGTCGACAGGTTCTCAATGATTCCAAAACATTGTCACGAATTAATTCGATTTCTTCTTTTCGTTCTTCTGTTTCCAAACCAAGCAATTTTATCAAAACAAATGCATCCCATTCCAAATTTTCGATACAAAGCTCACTGATAGCATTGAATTTGTCAACTTCATTTTTTGCAGATCCAATTTTGAGAATATACGATAAATATTTGGCATCGCACTTTCGAATAACCATTTTACGTACAAATCCGGATAGATTTTTCTCAAACTTTTCCCAGTTTTCCGCAGAAGAATAAAGTTCGTAGACATCATGAGCACCTCCTCTTTTTACTAGGTCGTTTCCAATAGATTTTATCTGAGGTTCCTGAAAAATTAGTTCAGTACTTATATTTTACTTTTGTGTTTTTTCCTCACATAAGTTTTTCCTAAAAGGAACAATGCATCAAGAGCTGTGTGCAATCTGTCCAAATCTTCTTGGCTCACAATCATTTCAATGATTTCATTGGTGGATGGCTTCACATTTTTCAAACCAAGAATATATGCGGCAAACGGGTTGAGCTGTAAAAAAATGATAAGAAAATGAGAGAGGGCATTTTAAAAAACTACCGTTCCGTTGTCGAGAATATTGTCTTCATTTGCTGTTATATGAAGAAGTAGACTTGGAAAGAAATATGATCTGATTCCTTCGAAAACGACTTCTTCGCGTTTTGTGATGGTTGGGGTAGACATTTGAGAATTTGAAGAAAACTACCACAGCTCTGAATATTAAAAAAAATAAACATTGAAAAAGACATTGTGTTTCGAAAAAGAAAACGGAAATCGAAAAAAAACTAGACACGTGGAATTTTCAAAAAAAAATTTCACATAGGTTCTCTATCAAAAACAGTAGTATTTTCGCGAATGACAAAAACAACTGCAACCAGCGACGAAAATGGCAGAGCATCTTTTCCCACGAAAATTGAATAATTGCCACGTGTTTTGAATATACCGCGCAAATTTTCGTGTGAAGACCTCGCTTCTACAGTACCCTGTTTCTTGCAACGAAAACAACCCGCCAGTTTAATAATTGTTCGAATTGTTGCAACCTAAAAATAATTATTTTGCTCCTATTTTTTCATCTGAAAGCGACTTTAGAGGTAACCTACTCTAGATTTTAATCGAACAATTATTAAAGTCTGCAATTTCCAGCTGATAATGGATGTTTACAATTTGAATGCGAGTTTGGTGAGTTATATATTTTAAAGAAAAACTATACTTTTGATTTCGAACATTTTGCAAATCAAGAGAGAGAGTGAGATAGAGACAAGGAAACACAAACTTCCCAGTTAGAAAAAAAATAAGCGTGACATGTTTCACGTCAAACTGCAAATTTTGTTCGCTCGCTTAACTTGACTCGTAAAATAAGTGAAAATTCAATTTGAATTATAGATCGACGAAAAAATGAAGCTCAGCCCAACTCAACAACGGGAGAGTCCAGTTGACAGATCGTAAGTCTTAAACTTCAAAATCGAATGTAATTTTCACAAAAAACGAATTTTCAGTGAATCTGCAGCTTCAACTGAAACCGATGGACTCAAATCTGAAGGTATTCCAATGGAAGAAGAGTTATCGGAAGTAGACGAACAAGTTCAAGAAAAAACCGAAGAGAATAGTGAACAAATTGTTGAGGAACAAAAAGAAGATGTTGTTTCTAAAAATGAAGAAGTTCTTCAATGTGAGAAAACTCAAATTATATTTATTTGTCAGAAAAATTCAATTTAATATTTTTCAGTTCCGGAACAACAAGTTCAACCAATTGGTGGATCAAGAAAGAAGATTGGCAACTTTTTCGGAGTTTCCAATTTCTCCAATTCAGCAAAACTTATCAAATTCTTCGGTGTTCAAGATTTCACTGAGGAAATCTATACCAATGCATCAACTCATTATGCTCGCATAAAAGAAGATCGAACTGGAATTGTTCGTAAATTTGCGGATTTCTCGACCAAGTATGGTATATTATCTTTTTTTCAAAGTTCAAAATGTTTTTATTTCAGAACTTTCTCTGCTATTTTCATAGCTTTTCTTCTTTATCTTTCGATTTTGGCTGAAATGTTCATCAAAGTTTTGCCAGCTCGTTTCGAACCACACATTCGCCGTTTTGTTCCAAGACCACAAAACGAACACGAACATAACGAATAAGTTTCTTTTTTGTAATTTTTATAGTATATAGTTTATATATTTTCACATTTTGCTCATGAATTTGTACATTCAATATTTGAAATTAACTAATTCATTGACCATAACAGACAGTATATTTCACAATCTTTTCAACATTGGTCATGGAATATATTTGAAAGAAAGAAAGAATGAAAAAGAAGGACAGAATCAGGATAGATTGGAAAATAAAAGAAAAATGAAACTAGTAGAAGCCTCGCCCCCAAGACGAGTTTATAAATTGAGAAACATGTTGGAACCAAACATAGAATCATCGTCTCCAGAAGAAGTTGAATCACCGCAATCACTTCCGATATCATCAAATCCAGGTGATGGTGAACGACGTTGTTCGTCTTTTTCAACCAATTTTTGCCAACATTCTTTACGTGAATAATAATAAACTGGTGGAACTGGATATTCACTATCAACTGGAATCGTAAATGCTCCCATTTTTTCCCAAACAAGCCATTCTCCAACGCGAAGTTGACGGCATTTTGTCAAATTTTGTGCGATATCGATTTGATCCAAACTTGGTCCAATAATTGTTCCAAAATGAAGTGGTTCATCGTTTAAAGATGGATCGAGTGGTTTACAAAATGGATTGATATTCATTTGACGACAACCAAAAGAACCATAAACACCATCATTTGTTTGATAAACAAAGCCAACACCATCATCAAAATCTGAAAATTTTTTCAATATTCGTTTAGAAACAAAAAGAAACCTTACCATCATTGGTTATGAACTTTGCATCCATTTGTTGTTTTCCAATGACATTAGTACAAAGAGTAAATGCATTTGTAACCAAAAAACAGCCAACATTTGCACTCACATCAACCTTTTCATCAAAATAATAACTTATGGTTCGGTTTATCGTTGAGCAGAACTAAAATAAAATACATATACTTATTTTTGAATTTTTATCTAGAAACTTACCATAACTAAATCTTGCTCATTATTTGTTGGAATAACAAAACTTCCGAAAGATAACTTTCTCAAGTCAACATATTTTCTTGAAGCCAATTCAAAAATATTATGAGCATCATGTATCATATTACAATAATCGGACAATGTTGAATTTGATCCCAATTCAAGACTAAAAAATAATCATATGGTAATTGCTGTGAAATATTTGATAACTTACTGAATTCCTGTAACTTTTGCTCCAATCAAATGAGCTAATTCAATAAGTTGTTCAAATTCCTCAATTTGGCATCCAAATGGAATTTCAGCATTGGAATATTGTAAGTTGATAGCAATCAAAATTCTGAAAATTTGAATATTAATGATGTTTCAAAAATATTTCGGGAAAAAAACTAACTCAGAAAGTGGAGCAGATGAAAAAACATCTTGAAGTTGTTTTTCAGTTTCGATAACAATTGTTCCACATCCAAATTCAGTGGTTTGTCTAATAGTTTTTCGAGTAAGAAGTTGTGAACGAAGCACAATTCTGGATGGTTCAATATGTGCGGAAGCCTTGAAAAATAAAACAAATAAAAATAGATAAATAAAAAGTTTGAAAAACTAACCATTTCAAGTTCGGTGGTATTGGCAACTTCGAAATTGACATCTTCATTATTTGCCAAAATTCTAGCCAAAACAGGATCGCCATTACAAGCAACTGAATAAGTGGCACGAATTCTTGGACAAATAACACGAAGAGCTTCGAGTTTTTGTTGAACTGCAGTGACATCCATCACAAAGAATGGTTGTTGAGAATCATTTAAATGACCAGCAACATGTCGAGCCATTTCAACTGGATCACGATATTCACCAGGAAGAACAGCAATCGATTGATCACCAAATGATTCTCTCGACCATTCTGATTCGCCAGCTGGCGTATAATAAGATGATGAAGGAAGACGATGTCGAACCATCAAATCTACAAAAAAAATCCATATAATTTATGAATAAATCTTTAGATTAAACTCACTTATAGGTTTTGTTTTGTATTCGAAACTATATAATCGGGGAGTTATCAAATTATGGCGGAATGTGACGATTTCCCGAAATTCGCGATGCTAATTCTTCACGCGATTTCCAAGATACAACGTCAGGGGGGCAAAGGCGAGCAGGTGATGAAGAGTTTACCGGTGAAATTTTGCCGGTTATAGAAATAATTGAAAAATTAAGTTTTAAAACCGTTTAAAATTAAAACGGTTCAATTGAAATTAATAGAAAGAAGAAAAGGAATGTCAAATATAATTGAAGAAATCGACAAGGAATTTAGAATCTGAAATTATTTGGAGATTTTATAAGAGGTATGAAATACTGAAAATAAAAATACAAACCTCAGGCAATCGGATCTGGATCCCAAGGTGGTTCGGCGTTCTTGTCGAGATGAACTTGGCTAGCTCGAAGTTGCGGTTCTGCGTATATTTCGGCAAGTGCTAATTGCTCGACCTCCTGAAAAATTCAAATAATTTTCCCAAAATGAATGAATTTAAAAATAAACTTACGCAGCCGCTTAAGGGCGGTATGGAAGATTCGTTAGACTCCTCGGCGCAAGGAATCTTCGGTAATAAATTGGGGACAGTTCGATGTAATGTCCATGCACACTCTCTCCCTCGGAGTGTACGGGACGGAAAAATGAAGATTGCTGAAGTTACACGAAGTACGAATCAAATCCGAAAAAAGGATCTGACACTGAAAGAAAAAGGTTATTTCAATGAAATGATAATCAGTAAAAAAGGGTAATCGAAGAACGAAAAAATGAGATGGACATGATAATTATTGATAAGATGTCAGCTCTTTGTTCAACAGACTAAAAATAAAAAATGTGACTGCTCAGAAATAAAAAAGACAAAGAAAATGAACTAAAGTTATCAAGAAAATTAGTTTTTTTTCGAAAATATTAAATAACTCACAATTTCGTTATAAATTAAAATTCACAAAATGGTGCTATCTAATTTACGTGAGCTAGTTTATCGATTAAAATTTATTTAGAGCTCGTCAATATTATTTGAACGATTAGAATGCTTTTGAATCAAAACAAGTTGTGTTGAACTTATCTCGGTGAACTTTAATAGTACTTCTAAAAACAACAGACGCTACGAACAATGATCTCTATCTTTCTTTTATCCTCAAAAATCGATGAGAAAATCTTGAAGCTTTGGAAAAACAAAATAATGTTTTTGCTCAAAAAACTGAAAACAAAATTGATCTAATCGAACATCGAAAAAAACGAAATAAAGAAATAAAGCAAGAAAAAAATGTGTGAGTGTGCGAAAAGTGGGAGAGGAAATGAAAAGAGAGAGAGTGAGAGAATTAGACATAGACGCCCCTCGATGATACATGACTGATCGGTCAGGCAAAATGTATCACTTTTACTAACTTTTCAGTTAAAAAATTGAACTTGAGATATATTTTGAAATTCGAAAATTTTTCTGATGAACTAGTCTTTTCAAAGTTTAATTCGAAATTTCGCAATAGTATTCTGCATTTGTTTTTGTTTTCCGAAATTCCAGCAGGAAATGACGAATATTCTTATGATTGATGATTGGATTTTTATCAAAAGAAAAGGGCAAATATTCTATATTTAACATCTAACAAGACTGAATTGTAGATCGAAGTCGAAAAAAAATCAATGAAGAGAAGAGCAGTAAACATAAAATGGTTTTATTTGAACAAAACCTGACTATCATTTTTTAAACAATTGTTCATAAAATGAATTTCGGAGAACTAACAGAAGCCTCGAAGTTATTAATAAATAAATCAATCAATAATAAAATATATAAAAAGAGAAAATTTCGAAATCTAAAAAAAAGAAGAAAACGCGGGCGTCTTTTGGCTCATTGAGCAAAAAAGAGAAAACGAGAGAAATAGAAAATGGGCGGAGTTTAAATAGTCGATTGGCTCACAGCTATTTTTTCCAACAATTTCCGCGCATGCGACAAAATTATATGTGTATATTTTATGGTCATGTGTCTGCCGAAGTCACATGAATTTTCTGAAAACAAACTTACAGAATGAAAACCAAAATAACTCCAAGAAATGAAAAGACAAGAAAACCTTGCTCGAAAATTATTTGAAAAACATGGTTACGAATTCAAAGATCACAAACCGAGTAGTCAGGGTATCATCTAACATTCACAAAATGTAAACTTTTAATGCGACAAATAATTAATGATGTAGGAACAAAGTGAAGTAAACAAAAAACGTGCAAAAGACGCAGGATAAAGGCGCACAAATTAAAAAAAGAAGTAAAGGTCTCGAAGTGAGTTGATTTTTTCACGTTTCTTTAAAACATCAGTTGATCAGCTTGTTGCCAGATCCCCGCGGAACATCGAAATTGCTTATCGATTTGAACCGAAAAATCTTTGAACGTCGACACGTCGATAAACAATGTGCGCTCCATTGCAAACCGCGAAAAAATGATTTGAAAAACGTCATTTCTTTTTTTCGTTTTTGGGGAAAGCAGCGCCTTCGTGTTTCGGGTAGCCGGGTTCGTTCTGTTGTCAATGTTTATTATCGATCCCAAGTGTAGTATTTCAAGTCCCTCATAAGCTAAGCGAAGATAAATGAGTTTTTTTTTAGTAAATCTCTGGTATAAACTAGTAAGTTCCTTCAGGAAAGAACTGAAGGATAGAGTTTGTCGATATCGGTTGATTTTTTCGTAGCTCTAGCGGTTTTTTTAAGTTGTTCAATTTCATTCTCAACATCTATACATCCGACGTTGTTGATCTGTTTCACAAAATCAAATGAATTTCAGCTGAAATGATTGGAAACAAGAATCATCCGCCAACACTCTACTCACCACCACCGGCATCATCGCCTTTTGATAGTAATAAAGTATGTTTTTATTGAAATCTAAAAGCTTCAATGTTTTATTTGCAGTCTTATCGTTGGACATCAACTACGGCGGCCAAGATGGATTATAATAAAACTGTGAATGAATCTCAATCAAAACCTGAACAATATCGTTTCAAAACGAACACGACAATTAATAATAACATAACACCTGAAAAGAAAAAGGCAGATACAAGTTGGTTGTCACCATCTCGCGGTGATACTTGGAGGTTAAGTGCTCCTCGTGGAAGAACTCGTGATTTGGCTGCAGCTTTCGATCAAATCGCGAAGTCAGAGGTTTTAGGGTTTTCTCGTTTGGAACATCCAACTTATGGACGAAGACAACGCAGAAATAGTGAACCAAATTATGAAAACGAGCTGAAAGAAGTCGCTGAACCAAACTATATAGGTTAATACACGTTTATCGTATTTTTTTGACGTGAAATATCTTCATTTCATTTCTGGATTTCTCATGAATTCCACTAATATTCATTTGCTGAAATGTTTGACTTTGAATATTCGAAGTAGTAGTAATGTTCCAAGCTATCTATGCAGAAATATCTAAGATTTTGTATTTTCAGACGATTCCATGATTCAAGAATTTGAAGATGAAGAATTCGAGGAATATCGTGACATAAATAGTGATTTCTTCGAAAGACAAACTCTCGCTGATGAAAGAAGAACAGAATCGGAAGCTGTTGAAATGTGAATATAATCAATTTATTTTCAAAATTATGTTTTTTTTTCAGTCGAGAGAATCGTCAAAGTACATCTTCATTTATTCATCGAAGCACTGCTGAATGTATTATTCGAGATAATGGAGATATGGCTGATGAAGTCAGATATCATCATCCAATTGATGTAACTCCAAAAAGACCAAATAACTTGTATGTTTCAGTAAATTGACATTGTAAAATATTTAATTTAGGAATAATCGAGCAAATCGCAATTCATTGGAACCATTTCAAAATAAGTTCACAGATGGAATTGTTACTTCAACTCCAAATGTTGACAAAGAACATAGTTCGTTTTATTTTAGAAAAAAAAATTGATGAATGAGTTAATAATTTCAGATGAGATCAAAAAATATTTTGGTAATGAAGAGACAATCAAAGCATCTCCTTTATCTCGCCGTGATCGTCGTGCAACTCAAGCAATTGTTATTCCAGCTCCTGAATTTGATTCGCCCGCATCGGAAAAGAAGTTCAAAGTTCCGAATTTACCAAAATCTAATGTGAAATCAATAGCTGGAGAATTCGAAAAAGCAGATTTTGGTTTTCATAGAAAAATCGATGCGGCTTCTGAAATCCAAGAATTACGTCGAAAAGCCGCTGAGAAACACGAACAAGAAATTGATGAAAATCAAAATATTCAAAATTCAAGTCAAGAATCAGTTCCAAGAGTTGGTCATAAAGAAATGCGACCAAGTGTGAGAATGGGAATCAATTCATATAATTCAGAAGGAGAAGATCGAGCTTGGTGTGAAAGAGAAAATGAAGATTTTTATGCGATTCCAAACAAATCAAATAAATTATCAACAAATGATGAAACAGATGAATCAAGATTGAAAATGTTGGCTGCAAAAAGACAATCACTTCCATTTTCAGATATTCCAGAAGAAAGAACTTATGATAAAATTGATGAGATGTTTGATTTTGTTGAAGTCAGTTATTCTTACCCAATTTAAAACTTATTGAAAGTTATTTCAGAATTTTCAGAAAACTGACGATTACGAAGAAAAAACATTGGAACATACAAATGGTTATGCAGAAATTCAATCATCCGTCAAAATTGTTTCTTCAATTCCAAAAAATATCACAAGTACAACTTATCAAGAACTCGATTTCGATCGCTCAACAACTGCACAATTTGAAAATGATGGAACTGGCGGATCTGGTGGAAGTGGTCCACAATTTACCCGTAGTCCAACATTAATGACACCGCATGCAGGACAATCTGTAACTGAATATCGAGTATCTGAAAAAGAAGGATTGGCTAAAACCGAAAAGATTGTTGTCAATAAAATGCTTCAGCCATCTGCTTTGGCTACTTCGACTCCAAAAGGAACTGTTGCTGCAAGAAAAGGAGGTATTCATTATTTTGAACTACTACACTAGTTCAGTTATTTATTTAGTCATCTAAAATACATTTTTTCCAGGATATTCATCAAATAATAACATCGAAGATGATTCATTTGTTAGTTCAATTAGTAACGTATCAACTGCTGAAAAAATCAATGATTCGAGACGACAAATATCGGTAAGTAATAAAATTATATTCAAAATTACCTTGTTCACATCAATGTTTTTATTTCAGAATTTGATTGGTCAAATTGAAGAAACCCGTAAACATATACAATTGGCTGAAATTGCACTTATTGATGCGAAAAAAAGTCGATTAGTTGTTCAAGAATTATCAGCTCAACGAGTTTTGCTTTTATGTCGAGAACGTTTAGCTTTGCAACTTGATGAAGTACGAAGACTTCAAGCTCTTTCTGTTGTTCGTCATCCTCCTCCACCAGTTAATCGACATTTCAAATCAACAATGATTATTTCAAATATTGCTGTTCATTTGAATAAGAATTTCAATTGTCGTAAGTTTTTAATTGTTAAAGTTTACCAAAAATGTTATTTTCAGGTGGTTCTTTTGCATTTATTGTTGCACTCAAATGTCGCACAAAAATTGAAGCAACCGGTGTTGTCACTCTTTTTGCACATTATAAAACCCGTCAAAATGTGATTCATTTCGGTGAAAATCTGCATTTTTCGAAACTTCCAGTTGATTTTGTCATTACAATGGAAGTTTATATGATGCGAGTTCCGGAGCATAAAATTCCTGAGAAGACTTGTGTTTCTGTATTTGCTGCTAAATGTCGAAATCTGTTGGTTCCAAGTGCTGCGCATCGAAGAAATACAACAAATAGATCTAAAAATCGAACAATTTTGTCGTTGCCAGAAAATTACGAGAAACCGGCATGTGATTTCAAATTCTGCGGAAAATTAACTTTGGATCGTGATTCAGCTGGTGATAGAAATTTTTATTTGGATGATATTACATATCCACTAGAAGGAACTGTTAAAGTTGTCTCACATTGTTCTTCACTTCCAGAAGCTATTGATGTTATGTATAGAGGATATTTGGTAAGTTTTAGAAATTTCAGTAATCTGAGCTAAAATTTTAATTTTTTGTATTTAATTTTGAACATTATAATACTTTTTCAAGCTATAATAATGTTATTTCTTTTAGTATCTTTATAATGAGAAATCTCCAAATGGCGATATTGCATGGGAGAAATATTGGGCATTATTGAACCGTGGTTTGATTTTCTTCTGGAAACATCCGGATGATGAGAAATCTGAACAGGTAAAACTATTCTGAAAGTTATTAAAAAGTTATCTTTTTTTCTTACAGATACCACTTTCTCAAATCGATCTCACAAAATGCACAAATCAAGACATTGACGAAGTCAAAAAATCATCAAACTTTTCATACGGTAGACAATTTATGTTTTCAATTGAGTTGCTCATCGATCAAACTCCAACATTTTTGGAAAAGAGACGGTTAGTTTATTTTTATATCAAAATTAGAATATTGACTCTGTTATCTTTCATCCCTAAACAAGACAAAAATAATTTCAGAGTTTTGCTTGCTGCTGAAAACTCTGATCATTTGTCTTCGTGGTTGGCAGCAATTAATGACACTCTTTTTGTTCTCCGTTCATAGTTAGTTATTCATTTTTTAATCATTTCTCTCACTCTTCGCCTCTCTGTTTTTTATTTATTTCAAATCAAACCGTGCCATTTTTTAAATGTTTTATTTGCATCAAATCATTTCCCCGAATTCTCTCTTTTTTTATTCTTTTCTTTCTTTTTCAATTTAATTATTAATGTATAGTTTTAAATAATAAACATACTTCCGGGGTTAATCAATTATTCAGTCAATTCTTTTTCTTCCCAATCTGGATTTTCATATCGATAATGTGCAATTCGAAGAAGTTGAGCTAAACCGGTCAATCCGACAGTGAAATTAACACTACTCAAATAATAATTGATTGGAGTAATAACAAGACAGTAACGAGTCCAAATCATACCAGTACAAAAAAGAGCTGCATTCTGAAAATTCATTTTTCAAAAAGAAGTATACTTATACATAGAAAAAATAACAAACCTGTGAAACTGATAATTTCTCAGCTGGTCTTGCTAAATCTGCGATTCCCGCTCCAACCAAAGCCCATTTGAATGTTGGTCCCCAGAAAAATACGGTTTTTGGACCTGCCGGATGATTCCAAGCTGGTTTTGCAAAAGCTGGCAAAATTGGATAAACAAATCGATCACCAGCTTTACAAAGAGCTTGATAAAGTGCGCGATGTGGGGCCATTTGATCGAAAGACAAAAAAGAAATCGAAATATATGATAAAAACAGAAGACTGGTTTCTTATCAGTTTTTGTTTTTTCTCTCACGAAAAAAAAGATAGAAATTTGGGTTCATTGAACTTTTTTCTAGTTGTATTACAATTTTTATTGATAAATAAGCATTCCGAAAATTGAGATTACAATTAAAATAATTCCAAAGATCTGTTTTGTCGATTTAATATTGATCTTTTCACCCAAAAAATACCCGACAATTGAAGTTGTTGAAATTTGAATGGCATTTGCAATTGGAACTACGATTGTTACAGGAAGATTTACAACCAAAATATTGAAGATTATCTGAAATTTAGTTTGATTTTCAAAATGTTTCAGAATCAAAACAAGACAAATTGATCATATTTCAAATTTTCGATTTTCAAAAAAAACCTGATAATTTTATTTTGAAAGAATTTAAGCATGAACTTCACGAAAGGCTAACCTGGAATGAAAACAGAAAACTTGGAAAGAAATATGAAAAATTCTGAAATCGCGAAATGTTCAGAAACGCATTTTTTGTTTCCACGGAAATTCGTTCAAACAAATTTGTTTTTTTTTTTTAAAGATTTTTAATGCTCTGATGGTTACTGTATTTTGTAATGATAACCTTTCTGATAAAAAAGTTGTGTTTTAAGCATAATGTTTTAACTCACCGAAGCTAATTGATTTATTGCAAAAGGAATACTGAAATTGAAATCTAAAAAAGCGCTGAAAAATTGCCAGAAAATGCCATTTTTCTCGTTGTTTTTTTCATCTGAAAATCATAATTTTCAAAATTCCAAATTAAATTCTCAATAAATAATCTTACTTTCTCTTCTTTTTGCGGCTTTTCTTATTAATGGATTAGTTGCACCCCAAACAATTCCAACAATTATTATTGAAAACATACACCAAACATCGCAAATCATTCTTCAATCTTCTTCAAGATTTTTGTTTTATTGAAAAAAAAGTGGGAAAATATAGTTAGGTCAATTATCAATGATTCTCAAAAGATTCAAACATTTCGTTAAAGCTAAACTTTATTTTCCAAAATAAAAAACCTCGTATATAATTAATTCAATTAATGAGCTTGCATGATTTCTTTTTCTTCCCAATCTGGATTTTCATATCGATAATGTGCAATTCGAAGGAGTTGAGCTAAACCAGTGCATCCAACAAAGAAATTGACACTACTCAAATAATAATTAACTGGAGTAATGACAAGACAATAACGAGTCCAAATTAAACCAGTGAAAAATAGAGCAGTGTTCTGGAAATATTAAAAAATATATCTTTTGAAAGTGAAATTTTCTTAAAATCTGTATTTTTTCCTATTAATTTGGAATATATTTATTACATGGAAAACAGTTTGGAAATAAAATTGAGTTTAAATTTTTCCGGTAAAATTTCTTCCGAATAAGAGTTAGGGAATTGAAAACAAAAATCCAAATTTTTTCATGAAATTGAGATTTTTTCGAAAGTTTCTTCTTCATCCAAGTTCAGAAAGATTATTTTTTCAAAAATTTGGCTAAATTTTTTGTGTCGGTTTTTCTCCTGATTTTTTTGAAACAATTATTTATTTGTACTTTCGATTACATTTTAAATTAATTTTGAGAGTTTGTAACCGTGAAAATATGTTTTACCTGATAAAGTGACAATTTCTCAGCCGGTCGTGCTAAATCAGCTAATCCAGCTCCAACCAAAGCCCATTTGAAAGTCGGCGCCCAGAAGAATACAGTTTTCGGTCCAGCTGCATGATTCCAAGCTGGTTTTGCAAAAGCTGGCAAAATTGGATAAACAAGTTTATCACCAGCTCTACAAAGAGCTTGATAAAGTGCGCGATGTGGTGCCATTACCTATAAATTTATAAGAAAACTAACTTTGTTCAGAGGAGAAAAGAAAGATATTTGAAAAATCAATTTTTTCGAGTGATTTTTTGTCAGACAACTGCTCTTTGAGGTCAGCTGAGAAAAAGAGAAAAGAATGAACTCAAGTGCACTCAAACACGTGGAAAAAGTACTGTATTTTTTGAAGAAATTACAACTTCAAATAAAATTCCGAATAATCGAATTCAAAGAATGAATTTATATTTTAACACGAAAAAAGGATAGAATAGATAGAGTTGAAATACATTTAAAAAGCAATGTTTTGGAAAAAGGAAAAAAAGAAAGGAAAAAGGTTAGGGGATAAAACGGGATGTGATCAATCACAGAAAAATCAAATTCAGGGGATATTTCAAATAATTAGAATGGAAGGGAAAAAAGGAAAGCGTAAATATACAGAGAGAGAGAAAAAATGGAAATTGAGGGTTAGAATAATATTGAAAAAAAATAGAAAGAGAAGAAAAAGAAGAAGACTAGACAAATACTAATACATATATTTCGATAGATGATTTCAAATCTTCTTCATTTGATGGTTCAACAACATCCAGATCCGCCACCTAATCCTCCAGTTGCATTTCCTCCTGGTGAATTTGGTGAACTTGGCGAATGTTGTGGTCCAAGTTTTATTCCGTTCGCCTGAAAATAATTCAATGTTTTTTTGGGAAAAAATGAAATGGATTGTACCTCATTATTGATATCGAAAACACCTTCTTGAATCTTGCGGTAAATTTCTTTGGCAGTATCGATGAATGCCTAAATTTTTTGTTATTTAATTTTGTTTTGTTTTCTTCAAAAAAGAAATAATGGATTTATAAAAAACTAACGGCTTCAACTCCATTTGCTGTTTTTGCACTAGTTTCCATGAATACAAGTCCATGTTCTCTTGCAAATGCTTCTCCTTCTTCTCTTTTCACTTCGCGACGAGCTTCCAAATCGCTGAAAAAAAAGAAAATTGCATTTTTGAAAACTACAAGTAAAATACCTTTTATTTCCAATCAACATAATAACCATATTCGAATTACTGTGTTGTCTAGCATCTTCGAGCCATGATGTAAGATGATTGAATGTATCTCGTCTGCAAAAATATAATTATTTAATTTGAATAACAAATCAGTGTGAAATATTTAGTTTACCGTGTGATATCATAAACAAGCAATGCTCCAGCAGCTCCACGATAATATGAGCGAGTAATTGAACGGAATGACTCTTGTCCGGCTGTGTCCCAAATTTGAAGCTTGATTTGTTTATCATCAATTGTTACCATACGAGCACCAAATTCGACACCTTAAATAAATAATAATTTAAGATATGAATAATTTCAAAATATTTCTCAAACAACTAACCAATAGTGAGATCATGAACAGGTTGGAATCTTTTGTCGGTGAATTGCAACAATAGGCAAGATTTACCAACACCAGTATCACCAATGATAATGTATTTGAAGAGATACGCGTAGGACATTTTTTGAGAGATGACTTTGGAACAAAAACTGTAATTTACTTTTGTTATTGATAATAAATAAAATTGAAGTATAACAAAATAAAATGATTAGAAGAACGAGAAAAAAATACGCTTCAGTAAACAAGAAAAACACACAATTTTGTTTTCTTAGGGGAAAAGGCCACGAAAAATCGATAAGAATCTGATGAAAAAATGCATACATTTTTTTGGAGGATAGGAAATCGCGTCGGATAAAAAAAAGAAGTTGAAAATTGATTAGTTGCCAATTTCATGTTTTATTCTCGTGACCAATCATATGGTTCATGTGATAAAAAATTTATATATTCAAAGAGAAATTCATGAATTTTTTGTAGCAAAAAACTGTTCAATTAGAAAAAATGAATGAAGAAAAAGTATGATAGTACGTCTTTTTGTATGAATATGATCAAAGGACACATTTATGGTTGATAAAATAAACGAAACAAAAATCGATTGACCAAAAAAACGTATTAAATTACTCTAAATTGGCAGCTATCCGATTACATTTGGAGCATATTTGATTCATAAATCGGGAAAAAGTCATAAATCTGCGCATAACCGGAAAACTACTATTCTTTTCAGAAACTAGGGAAACTCAAGATTGCGAAATCGAAAAAGTTTCTAATTATTCAAATAAAATGGAAATGTGTTTCATAAATTCTTTTTCAATGAAACATTGATTTTTTTCTAATGGATCAATTCATCTGAAGAAAAAATGAATTTCGCGACATTTTTTGTCGCGAAATTGCAATTCGCGAAACGACACGAAATTAATAAAATAAAAGAGGAAATTCTTTTTTCGTGTGTTGGGTCTCGCAGGGATTACGTGTCCCTTTAATATTTCTCCTTTATTTTTGTGTTTATTTCGTGTCGTTTCACGAATTGCAATTTCGCGACAAAAAATGTCGCGAAATTCATTTTTTCTTCAGATGAATTTATCCATAATTATTTTTATTCGAAGTTTGATCGGAAAATAATTTTTCAATAAATGAAAATTTGCAAATTAAAATAACTACATCCCCACGTTGAATTGAAGTGGAAATTTTTAAAATATTTCATTTTTATTTCGAAATATTTTTCTTCGGACCGTTTTTCATAATTTATGTAAATCTTCTTAAAATTTCAAAGTTTACCTTCATGAAAAATTTAAATGAAATTTCACCGAAAATCGAAATTACACAAAAAAAACTCATGACTAGCAATGAGTGAAAAAACTCTATTTCTTGTGTCTGAAAAACCTTCCAACAAAATATAGCGAAAAAAATAGTGTATCCATTTGCGGAGAGCGATCAGAGAAAGAGTCACGAGAGGAGAAAAATGACAAATTCACGTGAAAAATGGAAGGAGAGAAGAGAGAAGCAGAAAAGACGGCCAAATCAATACACAAACACACAACGCGCGCTGTGAGGGTTTTTTGAGAGGGAAAAATGAGGGGAAAAAAGACGAAGGAATTCTGCGCACTCACTGACTCATTCGCCAATTATAGTGAGAATAGAAAAAAAGAAAGAAATAGCAACGAAAAAAAAGAAGAAGCTCAGCCAAATTACAAGGGATGCATCTGCCTCGAGGCAGATTTTCATCTCTATTTTTTGGAAGAAAAAATATATAACTAAATTTTATAGGACCATTAATATAAAATATATATGTTCATTTTGATACGAACGACTTTCATTAAATATGGTTTGCCCACATAATCCCTAAATTAGGATTAGCTTAATCTTGTGAAAGGTTAATCCGCTAATTTTAAGTTGGGTCGACCAACAAATTTGTGTTTTTGTTTTCAAATACAATCTGAAATGTTTCCCGCATTGTTTAAAATGCGTGGGACTAAAATAAAAAAAGAAAAGTGAGCATTTTTGACCTTTTTTAAAAATAGGACTTCCTAACAATTTGAAAGCACGACACTTCAAAAATCAAAATTTTTCTCAAAAAATGTCTGCAAAGATACTTTCATTCTTTTGAAAAAACTAATAAAGATAAAAAAGTGCAATTTTCTTTGGAAAAAAGTCATTATTGGAAAATGTTCAACTTTTAATTATTCATACGAAAAAAAGACGAAGATGACGAGAGAAAGAGTTTGACATTAATATAGAATTGAGTTCACTTGATTCAAACAATCTTCCACTGAAAATAACTCAGAATTTTTTTTGTACCGGGACAGAATTTTTTAAGCACATTGTTCGAGTACTGTCTATATTTTGTGCAGGCCATGACGTCATCACATGCACAAAATATAGGCAGTACTCGAACAATGTGCTTAAAAAATTCTGTCCCGGTAAAAAAAAATTTCTGAGAAGCACAATCGGAAATATCTAATATACATTTTTCGAAAAACCCACTCAAGTGAGTGGAAGAGCGGCTCAAAAGAGAGAAATTCTTTCTTTTTTTGTAGCATAAACAACATAAAATATTCTGCAATTCGGATAATAAATTGACTTTGAAAATAGTGAAAATGCGTATCAAACGACTTTAAAAATAGTAAAAAAAAATCACCAGAATTTCAAAAAAAAATTAATTCATTTCAAAAACAAAATAGATAACACATGATAAAAGTATTAAAAATAATTCGAGAATTAGTGATTAGGCTCTCGAATTTCCAACAGATAAGTTATTCGATTTCTTAATTTTTCTCAATTTTTCCGTTATATCACCTGAAAATTAAGATTTTTACATAGTTTCAAAGAAAAATAATCTTACTGTTTTGCGCGGCCAAATCAATCAATTTTTCCAAATGTTTCTTCAATATCATTTCAGTTTTTTCGAGTGGAACTTCTTGTTTTGTTTTGAGTGCATTGTTCTGAACATTTTTCAACGATTCCAAAATTTGGTCCAAATCATAATCAGCAGATTTCATCTGAGCATCAACATTCAACATCATTTGAGCACTGAAAGTTGGAAAATTTTGAATATAAAAAAAAACTGGATGAATTCCTACATTTGAACTCTTTGAACATCGTGTCTACTGGCAAATCGGCTATCTAACGGGAATTTATATTCGAGATCAGTCCATTCTGGCAAGTTTAGTTTTTTCTCCATTTCAGCAACAGTTTCTTCGACTTCTGAAACGATTTCACATAATCAAAAAAGACAAACAAACAAACAAACCATTCAAAACAGATGACATTGTTCCGATACTGAAATTCATACTTTTACATCTTTCTCCTAATTCATTCATATCATCATGCAATCCAACAACTTTTGGTTCTAATCCAATCATTTCTCGATCATAAGCATTCATTTCAATTATTTTATTATTGAAAGTACGTTCTTGTTTTGATATTTCAGCATGATAACTGTTAACCACCTGAAAATTTGAAAAAATCAGAAAATCAATCAATTTTAATGAAACAATTACCTCATTCAAAGCAGTTATAAATGCTTTTGTATCATTTCCAGCTAATCCAGCTTTAATTTCTTCTTCTGATAATAAATCACTTCCACTTGATCCAATTTTTAATGTTGATTGGGTTGTTGTATTAGTTGTTAATCCGCCAAGAGTTGATGATGTCCAACCAGTTCCTTTAGCTAATGGTGTTGAAGAAAGAGTTGATGTTTGAGTTGTTGGAGCTGCACCAAATAATGGCCCAACTGTTGCTGTTGGTGCAGCTGGAACAGTTGTAGTTGTTGTAGTAGGTGCTGAAGAACCAAAAAGACCGCCACTAGCAATTGAAGTAACTGCTTGTTTTGTTGATGGAGAAGCTGTGGTGGCAGTTGTTGTGACTGCACCAAATAAACCTGCAGTAGCAGATGATGCTGCTGTGGTTGTAGGAACTGCAGTTGGAGCTGCTAAAAGGCCACTTGGAGCTGCAGTTGTTGTAGCAGACCCAAAGAGACCACCAGATGTCAATGAAGCTGTTGTGGCTGGAGTCGAAGTGGTTGTTGAAGCACCAAAAAGTCCACCAGAAGGTGTTGCCGATACTGTTGTTGTGGCTGGTGCAGCTCCAAATAGAGGAGTAGTGCTTGGAGCGGAAACAGTAGTAGAGGCTGCGGAACCGAATAATCCACCAGTTGACAACGTTGAAGCTGCTGTTGTTGTTGTTACAGCTGGTTTTGCTGATGCCGCTGGAGAAGAGCCAAAAAGTCCACCTGTAGTTTGAGAAGGAGCAGTTAAACCAGTGGATGGAGCTGCTGATCCAAATAGTCCTGCAGTATTTGTTGTGGCTGCTGGTGTCGTCCCGAAAAGTCCCCCGGTAGATGCTGGAGCAGTTTTCGTAGCAGTTGCTCCAAACAAACCCCCACCACTTGATGTTGTTGTGGTCGCTGCTGGAGCTCCAAAAAGACCTCCAGTAGCTGGCGCATTTGTAGCAGTTGATGTTGTTCCAAACAATCCTGTTGAAGCTGTTGTCGCCGCGATGTTTCCAATTGTAGGTGCTGCAGAACTATTAGAAGTACCAAACAAACCGGCTGTAGCTGGAGTTGGTGCAGGAGCAGCAACTGCTGATGAGCCAAATAATCCACCTGTTGTTGCAGTTGGAGCAGCTGCGGGAGCACCAAATAAACCTCCTGTAGCAGAAGCAGCAGGTTGTGTTGTTGTGGTAGATGATCCAAAAAGACCACCAGTAGTAGATGCATTTGTCGATGTTCCGAATAAACCTCCAGTTGCAACTGGAGCCGCTGTCGAAGTTGCAGTTGTTCCAAACAAACCTGTGGTAGCTGGAGCAGCAGTTTGAGCTGGTGCAGCTGTATTTCCAAAAATACTACCACTAGCTGTATTCGATGTGGAACTTCCAAACAATCCTCCAGATGTTGGATTTGCATTCGGTGTTGAACCGAAAAGATTTCCTGAAGCTGGCGCAGTAGTTGTTGTAGATCCAAAGAGACCTCCAGATGGAGCCGCTTGTGTAGTTGGAGTTCCGAACATTCCTTTAAAAAAAAATAAAAATGGCATCCAATCTTAGATTAATCACCAACTGACCTGTGGATGGTGCTGTTGATCCGAAAAGTCCACCTGTAGAAGTCGTAGAAGTTCCTAAAGTGCTTCCTGATGTAGCTGGTGCTGAAAATAAAATCAATTATGAGGTTTACGAATTTCTGGCTTACCTGCTTGAGAAGATCCAAAAATACTTGTCGCAGCTGTAGTTGTTGTCGTGGCTGCACCACTTCCAAATGTGAATGCTGGTGCAGTTGTAGATGAACTTCCAAATGTAAACCCAGTGGTAGTTGCAGGTGCTGCGCCGAACGTTGGCTTCGCGTTACCAAACATTTCTACAATACGTGAAATTGAATAGTTTACCACCTTTTACAAGATAAATTGAGAGGGACACATAAAATGATAACATTTGAAGTCAGACAAAATTCCACGTAAAAATTCAAGTATAAATAGACTCCTTTTTTTAATTGTACAGAAATGTCATTTCTTAATTTTCAGAATGATTTTGAAATGCATTTACCAACATTTTCAATAGTAACAATTAAACGTGACCTCATTAGCTTCATTTCTGTTTTTAGAATCCAAAAAAGTGCGTTTTCAAACCTGAAACAGAAAACAGTTTTCAGCGAGAATTTCTGAAATGAAAAATATCAAGAAGGACTGTGTTATTAAAACACAACAAGGTCTTGGCACGATTGTGTGTTCGCGCTCAGCGGCAATTCAAACGTAATATTTTTTATTTTGTTTCAAAATTGTATACTTTCGCGATTTTTCGTATCCTATTTCGGCACTAGATTAAAAGTACGCTACACTCATTTTCATACATATGAACTAACTCCTCTCTCCAAACTATTCTTCAGTATTTTCTATGCGCTACACAAAAAAAGAAAAATAAAAGTTTGGTTTTGTAAATTAAACAGAACTTTTCGAAAAATTCAAATGGTCAAGCCATTAGAAAAGTGAGTAAAGTGTGCTCGATTGCAATCTCATGTCCAAAATTGCTTTGTAAAATACTCTTATTTCTGCATGCTATTTCTCTATCTCATATCTCTCTTTTCTCCTTTTTTCATGTGTTCTTTTTTTTCGTGTTTTTTTCGTTCATATTTTGAATGATCGTCGCCGAAGGCTTTTCATCTCTCGACTCTTTTTGTATACATCCAAATCCACATGATTTTTCATAGACTCATTATCGATATGAACTCTCCAATCAATTTATTTATAGAATTATCCAACCTGAATTCCATTGTTATGAAATATCTTTGAAGTAATCGATATGTTTGTTTTCTTCCATTTCTCGGAACACTTGTGTCTTTTTTTCTCATTTTATTAAATTCTCACTCATAGAACTTTTTCATCATAATTCAAATCAAAGTTATACTGAATATTTCATAAAATTCCATCTGTTCTTCTTCTTCAAACAGGTGAAAGTTTTCATTATGATTTATTTCTTTTATTTCAGAATTGTTTGATGAATGAGCAATGTTAGTCGATTTAGTAAGTGCAGCCCAAAAAGAAGACTGGGCCGAACTTCGAAATGTTCTATACAAACATTGGCTCAAAACATGCCCTAAATTATATTCCATCAACAATGAACAACCATGGGATAATACAGGATTCAACGAGAAACTTATTAATGAACAATTATTCGTGCCATTGGTCAGCGCATTTTGTATCGATTCGCAAAATAGTGATTCGACTTTGAATGGTTTGAACAAATTGGCTGGAACTGATCCAACCAAAAAAACGGGACAAATGTGTGGACATGTTTTCAAAAACGGTGAATTAACTTATACATGTATGGATTGTGCTCAAGATGGAACTTGTGTTATGTGTTTGGAATGTTTCGAAGCTTCGATTCACAAAAATCATAAATATAGGGTATGTGTGTTTTTGTCTAGCAAGAAAATAATTATTTCATTTTCTAATATTTTTCAGCTTCATCCATCGAGTGGTTCTGGTTATTGCGATTGTGGAGATATTGATGCTTGGTCAGATGGTTATGCTTGTTCAAATCATACAAAAAATGATGAAGAATCTCATAAAATTCCCGAAGAACTTCTTCTCCGAACTCGCAAAATTGTGGATATAATTTTGATTTATTGTATCAATCTTATAACTCAACAAGATGATGCAGCATTACCAAAAGATATTGAAAGGTAAATATTATAATTTTCACAAACTTTATCAAATGTTTTTTTTCAGTGTTAAAGCGGAATTAAATCGAGATGTTACAACTGCTCCACAATATTTAACTGTTTTATACAATGATGAAACACATACATATGAAAGTGTTATAAAAGTACTTGAATTGTATATTCATTGTACAAAAGATCAAGCAATGCTTGTTGCAACTCTTGTTGATCGAGAAGGTCGAAGTGCTGTAAAACTAGGCTCAAAAAATGAATGTACAAAAGCAAAAGATGATTTTCAACGAAAGAAATCAGGAAGTACAGTAATCCGAAGATCAGTTGATCGAAGTCTTCCGCTTGCAGTTAAAGTTATGGATACTGAATTATTTGCTCATCAAAATCATGCAATTTCTCTTTTAAATTGGTTGAATATACAAATGGATGTATTTCCTTCGTTGAGAGAAATTGTTGGAGAAGCTATGTTGGCACAATTAAATGAGACTGAAAAAGAAATTGTTATTGAGGAAAATGTGGTAAGTTATAATTATATATCTTATGGTATGAATTTGGAAAGTAAATACTGTGTTTTCTAGACTTCGATGGAAGAAGGACAAGAACAAATAGAAGTAAAAGTAGAAGAAGAAAGTGAAGAATCGATTGAAAATATGGAAGTTGATGAAGAATCTACTTGTCCACAAAAATCCGAAGCAAAAACATTATTGGAAACAATTTTATTGAAAGATACTGAAATGTGGAAATCAGCTCGAAGTTTATTACATCAAATGTTAATGAAAACTGTTTTCATGAATTATGAGCAAAAAGTGAAGTTTTCGAAAACATTTATCCAACATTATGATAAAATTTACCAATATTTTATTGACGATGATCATGATATGGATATTTCAGTTGTTGGTTTATCAGTTCAATTTTTAACAGTTCCTGCATTAGCGAGACAACTTATTGCTGAAGATGATGCATTTAGTGTTATTATTAAAACACTTATATCGCATACAAATAAATATATAAAAGAAGAATCGAAACGATTTGATTTTATGGGAAGATCATTTCCAACTGAATTGAAAAGATCTTTGAATATTTCAAGAGATATGGCGTAAGTTTATTTTATTAATTTGTTTTATGAAAACAACAATTACATTTTGTCTAGTTATTTGTTGAATGCGGTTCCAAGTTCTGATGGATGGTCGCCGGAATTGAGAACTAATTTCATCAAAGGACTCAAACATTTTTTGAACTTTTTGCATCATTTACAAGGAATGGATGAAGTTAAAAGACAAGCTGGAGAACATCAAATTTGGGAATCTGAATGGGAAACTGCATTTAATATTTTATTGAGAATGAAAGATGTTATTTCATTGATTATTTTGTGGACAAATACAAATGTGAGTTTCAATAATATTAGCTTAAAATTTCGAAATAATGAATACATTTTCAGAAAGATGTTCATAATGAAATTCTACTTTTATGTCTCGAAGAAATGGATCAACATCCAATTACATCAACAGATGAAAATGGAGGAACTCATATTGTTGTAGAAGTTGAAACTGTTTCAGCAACTCTTCGAAATTTTGATGTTCTTCGTGGTGGAGTTTCTATTCATCAACCAATTGTTCGTTTAATTGCTGGCCTTTTTTCGTCTCCTGATTTTGTTCAATTTCTCAAAGGACAAACTGAAAATGAAATGGAAGTCAAAATTCGAAATCGTGTCAAATTATTGGGAAAAGATTTTTATGAGATGAGTTTGCGGGTATTAGTATTATGTGCACAATCAGTTGCTCAATTATGGAGAAGAAATGGATTTTCATTGGTTAATCAAATTCATAATTATTTTTCTCCACTTTGTCGAAGTGAAATGTTTGATCGAGATATTCTTATGATTCAAGTTGGATGTGCAATTACACCACCAGTTGATTTCTTATTGCATTTATTGCAAAGATTCCGTTTGGCTCAATGGGCAGAAACATCATTTGAAGGTTTTGTAAAACAAGGAAGATTGGATAATACTAAAATGGATACTGAAGATTTGAGCAAAATAACTGTTACTTTGGCTGAAGAATTTTTACAATTAATCATTATGATTGTTGGTATGTTATTTTTGGGAGATTTTTATATATTAAATTAAATTGCCCTTTTTTAAGGCGAACGATTTGCACCGGGTGTTGGAAAATGTCCATCGATGAGTGGATTACAAAGAGAAGTTGTTCATGTTCTTTGTACAGGATCTCAAACATTCAGCCATGTTTGTACTTTTTCTTTCAATATGTAATTCAAAAAAAAACATTTTTTTTCAGATCCAACATAAAATGTCACATGATGTCCCATCAAAACGAATTTCCCTACACGAAGCTGTTAATGCTGTAGCCGATTTCCGAAAACCACTTGCAACTTCAGCTGGGCAATTTTATTTGAAAAATGATTGTTTGAATCAGTTCAATCCATTTTTCATGCATTATTCAAAAAGTGATCAATCACAAGCTGAACAACATCAAACTAAAATTAGATCAAAAATGGATAAGTAAGTTGATTTTTCATTTATTTTATTATTCAATAATTAATTTCAGATCAATTCGAGCTTGTATTCCACCAAAACTTCCGGAATTCAATACATTTTTCGAACGAATACCTGATATTTTACGAAATCCTTTGATTATTCGAATTCTTCGTTTGATTATTGATAGAACAACAAAAAGAAATCGATTTTCGAGTGACAGATTATTTCATAAAGCATTATTTATTGTTGGAATGGCTTTGAATGAAGAAGAAACAAATCCGGAAGAATTTAATTTCACTGGAATTGCTGAAGATACTTGTGGATTAATTGAAGCATTAGAAGGATTACAAGGAAAACAAGAATCATCGATTTGTCATTTGTTATTAGATGAAATCATTTTGAAATATAAAAGATTACGTGGTCTTCGAGCTGGTACTTCAAAAGAAGAAACAACTGAAAAAATCGAGAAACCAAATAATGAAACAGTTGAAGAAGCAAAATTGAGAAGAGCAGCAAAAGCAGCTGAAATGAGAAAGAAAGCAATGAGTAAAATGACAAATATGCAAACGAAATTTATGAAACAAATTGAAGAAGTTGAAAGAAAAGAAGATCAAACAACATCAAATACAAATGAACAAACAAATGTTGGAAAAGTTGATTTTTATGGAAAAAGTGATTATGATGAAGATATTGTAAGAGCTATTGGAACTGATTTTCCTGTTTGTATTGGAGCAAATCGATGGAAAGCTGAGGTAAACTTTTTTTGGAAACTGCGGAGGAAAAAATGAATTTTTTCTGTGAATTCTAGTAAAAATTATGACACTTTCTTTGAAATTCCATCCATATCAAAAATTAAAATTTCCTGTTAGAAAACTTCCAAAATACTTCTAATTTTTTCTGAAATTTACCTATCATTTTTTATTTTTTGAAATTCGCTCACCTGGAGCTCAAAGTCCTGGGTGGTATACGATTTATTGTTTTAATTTTTATTCTAACTTTTTTCTAAAGCCTAGGGAATATGCTTTCGATGAAATTCCGGGATTTTCGGTGAAAATTTTACAAAAATAATTTTTACAGATTATCAGTGAACGAAAACTAACTTGTATTTTGTGTCAAGAAGATGAACCAGTTCATCCGACAAATGGAAAACCAATGGTTTGTGCTGCTTTCATTCAACAGTCAGTTTTTTCTATATAATTTCTCAATAAAAAACTAAAAATTGAATTTCTTAGATCGCAACTTTTCACTCATAAAAATCGAAATGGCGAATTAATGACATCAACATCAACATCGATTTCACCAAAAGATTTATTAACAGCTCCAGCAACTCTTCAATATGGCGTTGATGTTTCAACATGTTCTCATTCAATGCATTTTGAATGTTACAAAACAATGTTTGAAGCGAATAAAAATCGAGAATCATTGAGAGCAAGACAACAACATGGAAGTCATAAAATGGTTGAACCAGAAGAAGGCGAATATTTATGTCCATTATGTAAAAGATTATCAAATGCTGCTATTCCAATACTTCCAGCTACACAAATTACACCAATTCGAGGATTTTCAACAGTTTCTGGTGCTATAAATGAGGAATTTGACGATTGGGTTGCAAGAGTTAAAAGACAATTAGATATGCCGTGCAGTAATGAAAATATTAGGAAGAAAGGACATAGCAGAAAAAGATCACATTCAGAAAGAAGTTTATTGGATTTGGAAAAACAAGCACAAAAAGATGAAGAAACAACAACACCATCTGCTGGTTTACTTGCATTAGTTACACCGCATTCTGAAACTGATCCAGCTGGAATTGTTGAAATGGTTGTGAGAAATGTTGAAAATGATGCGACAAATGAATTTTATAATGAATTGGCAGCAATGTTTTTGGATCAAGATCCAATTGCAAATTCAGTATCACCAATAAATACACCAGAAGCAACCCCAATTGGTGGAACAACACCAAGAAGTAATGAATCAACACCTGATAAAAAACCATTGAGTGCACAAATTCAACATGCTTTGCATACTTTAATTCGACCATTTCCGGGATTAGTTAATTCGAATCGATTATGTGGAAATGGTTTAGAACAATATGAAGAATCAATCAAAGAATTGGGAAAAAACATGATAAAATTCAGAAAAAAAGGAAATGAATCAAAGACAAAATTCATTGAAAAACATTTGAAAGGATATGTAATTGCTACAGTAACCTGGCAAAGTGCTGCACATGTTGCAAGAGCAATCTCTTCATATCTTCATTATGATGGAAAACCATTGTTTGGTGCATTAAATACAAGACATCGAGATTGTTTATCAGCAATGGCTAGATTGTGTTCTTCATTATCACATAATCTTCAATTTTTACAAAATGCTATTTCGGATATGTTGCGTATTTTATGTTGTGAACCACCAGTTGCATCATCATCTTCTGTTTCTTCAACAATTCCACAATCTCCACCAGCTGGAGCACCTTCCACTTCAACAAGTACACCTTCAAATTCATCCACAAATGTTACTGCTAATTTCACTTTCCTCATGCAATTGTTCAATTTGGGAGGACCGAAGAAAAATGCGAATTTGAATATATTGCAAGTCGATATTTTGAGCTTGGCGGTGAGTTTATTTTGAAAACAAAAATATTTTTGGAATTGGTATTTTTCAGATATCATTAATGATGTCAATTGGTTGGACTTGGCATAATGGAAATCAATTATTGAATACGGTTGGAAATCAAAAACAAAGACAATTAGCACCAGATGGATCTGTTGATGAAGCATATGTTCTTAGATTATCATTACTTGCACATTATTTCCAGGTAATTTATTTTCAGTTCTTTACGAAATTTAATCATTTTTTGAAGATTTTTGCAACTTATGAAGAAAATGATGGAAATGATGTACAAATGACAGAAGAAAATGAAGAAGTTGTAAGTGAATTGGATGCACAAACTAATCAACTTCTCACAAAACTCTTCTTCTTTTGTCGTCCTTATGAAAGTCGTCCAAGACGCATGGATTTATTGTATAAAAGACTTGAAGAAGGAGCACAAAACTTGCTTCGACCAATTGCTCTGATATATCATTTCTTGACTTTGATTGATCCACCAGAAGCACTCAAAGATCCCTCAATTAATAGTTCTGAACCATTATTCAGATATTTGAGTCTTCCATCGAAAATTGAGGAACAAATAAGTGGATCATTGGTTGAGAATTTATTCTCAATGTGGTCGCATGCAATTCCAAGAGATAGTTTTTCGCGTCAAGAAATTGTTGTTCAACCAGTTCGACCAAATTTATTGGTTGATTTACCATTGAAATATAGTCAATTGATAAATCAAGTATCAACATTCCGGTAAGAGATTCTTTTTAGAAAAGATAAACTAACAAACCGTGGGATTTAATTTTGCAGTTGCCCATCAATTCCAATCGAAGAATCAACATCAAATGTTCCAACAATTTGTTTAGTTTGCGGTCAAGTTTTATGCTCGCAAGCATATTGTTGCCAAAGAATTGTAAGTTGTGATATTTCTGAATATTAAAGCTTCCTTTAATTTTTGCAGATCGACAAACAAACATATGGTGCTTGTAGATATCATATGTCACAATGTTCGGGATCTGTTGGAATTTTCTTACGGTTAGTTTGTATTCGAAGGTGAACCTGTGGAAAATCTAAACATTTCGATTTTATTGTACTTATTTTTTATAATTGAATGTTTCAACAAACCTTCAGTTTATAATCCCATATATGAAAACTGATCAGTTAGAAATGAGTTTCAAGGTGTTGGAAATCAATGAGATGCCGCCTCCTAAATTATAAATTTAAAAAAAATCAAAAGGTTACAATTTCAGAGTTCGAGATTGTAATTTGGTTCTAATGACAACTAGAAAACGTGGATGTTTCCGCCCGGCACCGTATGTTGATGAATTCGGAGAGAGCGATCAAGGATTCAGGTATTTTGAAAAGAAAACAATTGACGTAAACAAATGTCTTTTTTAGACGTGGAAATCCATTGCAATTGAACAAAGGATTATATCAAAAATTGAAACAACTTTGGTTACAACAAGGAGTTACAGAAGAGGTATGTTTCAAATATTTTTATTCAATTTTTTCAATATAATTGTTTTGAGGTTGTCAATTACAATGAAATCGATTTTCGAAATCATCAATATGATTGGGGTCATTTCTAATTTCTTATACATATTTCTATCTATCTATCAATCAAGTAAATATATTTTCTTTGTGATATAGTAATTTTTATTAGTTGTTTTATTTAATGGGTAAATTCAGTAAGAAATACACTTTGTTTTTTTTCTCCAATAGATATTTTCTTGTAATTATCAATCACCAAACCAAAAATACCACAACCACCACAGATGCCTTTTCGTTAGATTTAGTTTTGTTTTTTTTTCACCCCAAACCGATTTGTACATGTATTTTTCCACTTTCTTTCTTCTCCCTCCTATTTTGTTTTTTCTAATGTGTGCTAAAATGAAATTTTCATATTTTTTTATTTTTTGAAAATAGATGACCGTTGAATTTTCGGTCATATTTATATTTTATTGTTTTTCAGAGGCGGTCCTAATGTTTTTTTTCGATGATTCATTTTTTCTGTACTTTTTGTTGTTTCAATTTTCTGTCAGAACTGTTTATATTTTTGATAATTTTTTCCTATTTTGTTGAATTTAGAGTTCCAAAAAGTTTGATCTAGTTTAAAATAATAATTTTCTAACTTCACAAGAAGTAAAAAAATAAATTTAGTTGGCAATGTTTTTTTTGGAAAGCTAAATTTGGAAAAAAAATGCGAAAACCTATGGATCAAACATTTTTTAGATGAGACCTCCTTTTCTCAATTCAAAAAATTTGAAAACCTTCTTTTTTTTTCTAAGCCAAATAACATTCTACGTTTATCCCTCTAAAAGCAAACTTGTTTCGTCTTCCTATTTTCTCATCATTCGTGGTCCCCTTTTTTCTTTTTCTTCCCTCTTTCTTCCTTTTTTTCTACACACCCACATTCAGAAAAAATGGATCGAATAGCAGAAAAAAAAAAAGAAGAAGCTCGAAAAAGAAGCTGTGCGCAACTTCTTCTTCGTTTTTTCCCGTCTCGTTTTTTTCCTCTTGGAATACTTTTTGTGTCTAACTTCCTAATTCTCTCATCTCGCGCACTATGCTTTTTCCTTCTTTTCATCTATCCATTTTTTTTCTCTTTTTCGGGTGACACATCGATTTTTGTTTTGGTTTCTGCGAAAAATGGTGGCGAATAATGGGTTTTTGGAAGATTTTTTGATTTTTGATGACTCATGATAATATTCGTTTCTCGTCAGATTTATTTCACAATTTATTAATTCAATCAAAAATTCTATTTGTTTGAAAACTAATACGTGCTTTAGAACCCCGAAAAAGTTTCAATTTCATAACAATTTTTCGAATAAACTATCCGTTTTTGGTTATCTAAATAGTTATATGTTCAAATATAAACTCGTTCATTCAATAAATATAAACAGGAAACTCACTGACGAAAAAATCAATATTGACATTCATTTGTTCTGTTTTTTTCTCTTTCTCTATATCTCTTGCACGAAAAGTGACGTAACAAATAAATATTTTTAGGTGTTATCAGTGGCTGAATAAAAAAGAACACGGGCGAAAAATGCAGACTATCGAAAAAGCATTGCATCAACCTATGCCTTTTACAACTGGCGGACAAACTATTTCTGATCGGTTTGTTATTTTTCTTTACTTTACAAGGAAACCTTTTTAGAATCACTCAAAAATTCGATAAAACTTTTACAGTAAATATGAGGATGAAGATTAACATTGGCATCGTTTTCTGAAATTTTTGAACAAAAATGGAATTATTTTTGTTTACGTGAAAATTGAATTTTGCGTGACCTGGTTTCGATCCACATTTCTCACATCGAAAACGTTTTTCCATTTCTTGTGTGATTTCAAAAAAATTTCCCTTTTTTTTTCAAATAAACTCACGAAGAATTAACTGTTTTATAGTTTGACTGCTGCAAAACATTCATTGGCCGGAAGTCAACTTGGGAAAACAATATGCAAAGCGACAACCGAAGAAATTATGGCACCAAAGAAGAAACATTTGGATTGTAAGTTTTTTCAAGAAATTTGATTAAAAAAGAGGCACAGTGTGCCATTTACTAACCCAAATCGCTAAGTTTCAAATTTTTTCCAATGTGTGAGGGTTTTACACATTCTGGGTTATTTCAAATATTCCTAATTAATTAAAAGTTTCATTAAATTTTTGCAGATCTTCTTCATTGCACAAATGAGCCAAATGTTTCGATTCCATCAATGGCAAATTCATTGATCGAAAGAACTCAAAATCCAAATTGGACAGTTGTTTATAAAGCTTTGATTACAATTCATAATATAATGTGTTATGGAAACGAAAGATTCTCACAATATTTGGCATCTTGCAATACAACTTTTAATTTGACAGCATTTGTTGATAAAAATTGTGCTGCAAGTGGATATGATATGTCAAATCATGTTAGAAGATATGCAAAATATATTAGCGAAAAGATCAATACTTATCGTATGTGTGCTTTTGACTTCTGCAAGGTTTGTGTGATTTATTTGAAATTTGAAATAGTATTGATTTTTGAATAGGTGAAACGTGGAAGAGAAGATGGTTTATTGAGAACTATGCACACTGATAAATTATTGAAAACAATTCCAATTTTACAAAATCAAATTGATGCATTATTGGAATTCTCAGTAACACCTTCAGAATTGAACAATGGTGTTATTAATTGCTCATTTATTCTTCTTTTCCGTGATTTGATTCGTTTATTCGCTTGTTATAATGATGGAATTATCAATGTTCTCGAAAAATATTTCGATATGAATAAGAAACAATGTCGCGATGCACTCGACACATACAAATCATTTTTGACTCGACTCGACAAAGTTGCCGAATTCTTGCGAGTCGCCGAAACTGTCGGAATTGATCGAGGAGAAATTCCGGATTTGACACGTGCACCGGCGAGTCTTCTCGAAGCATTGGAATCACATTTGATTCATTTGGAAGGCGGAAAAGCGCCACCACAAATGCATCATCAACAACCACCACATCAAACAATTGCACAACAACAATTCACCAATTTCTCATTTACTCAACAACCGTCAGTTGCTGAAGCTGAAAGACAAAGGTTTGTTCAGTTTTATTTGAAATTAAGCTGGAAAAATGGACGAAGGCCCTATCAACGCGTTATTCTTTTTGTCAACTAAAATAAAATGTGTATATTTCTAGATATATCGAACTCGAACAAGAACGTCTTCGTCAATTCGAAGAACAAAAGAAATCGAATCCATTTGTGGCAGATGTTGTTTCTTCATCCGGTGGTCAATCATCAGCTGCACCTGATCTTCTGGATATGTTCCAAACATCAAATGTTCAAACAACTGCTGCAGATCCAACAAATCCATTCACAGCCTTTTCTGCTGCTCCAGTTCAACCAACTTATGCAAATACCGGTAAGCAATTTATTGCTGGAAATTGTTCGAAATATCTGGGTGAAAATATTTAGATTAGAAAATTTCTGCAATCCGACAATTGTTTTTATTGATTGATTTTGAAAATTACTAGTGAATTATAAAGTTAATTCGACCTTCTGAAAGTTTTCGGTTTTAATCCTTTTTTTCAAGATTACTTTTGGGTAATGAAATTTCAAAAACGTGTGATAATTTTTTTCACGAAAATTTGTGAATAATCTTGTTTAAAAATATAAATTTCAAAAACTTCGGCGATTTTTAATTTCATTAATTTCATTAATTTTTTTCATTCTTAAAATTTTTAAAAATCAGGAAAGTATATGATCCTTTTTATCATATACTGGAATTTAAGAATTTTCGGAAATTTTCGAAATTTTTTATGAAATTTTTTGAATCTGTTGATTTTCAAGTTTTTTCGAAATGTTCCAAATATATTCTTATAGTTGCTGCAACAAACAATACTCCATTTGGAATGCCACAACAACAACAAGCATTCTATGGTAATATGCCAACTGCTGCTGCTTCTGCTGGTATGTTTTGTTATTATCGTGATTATTATTAGCGGTTATTGTTATTGTTTGCATGTAAACCCTGTTGTTGTTGTTTATCTATATATTGAAATTGAATGCTTTTTATTGATTTGTATTCTATCTCGCGTTATTTCCGCTTGTAGTTGGTCGATTGATTGGTTGTTCCTTGTGGTCGATTTGCTTGCTTTGAAAATCATTAATATTTCTCTTTCAAAAATTCACCCTTTTTGAGAAACGGAAAATCCGTTTATCACATCAACTTCTTCTGTTCCCGTTGCTGCTCATCATGCTCCACCAGTTCCTCCGCCACCAACAGCTTCAGCTATTTCTGCTGCGCATCCATCACAATCTGTCGCTGCACCAATTAATCCATTTATGGATAATAATGTTCAATCTCAAGTTCCACAAGGAACACCATTTGATCCACAAGGTTAGACACTAAAATCTATCTTTTTTTCGTTTGTTTTGAGCGAGTCTTTCACTAATTTCTCTTTCTGCTTAAAAACATTCGAAGAATTTCTAAAATCTCCGTTTATTTTTGACGGTACAAGGTTTTCTGAAACGAAAATTAATTACAATATTATGATTTTAATCAACATTATAACACAGTTTTTCAGATACTAATTTTTAGAAACACAAAAAAATAAGAACATTTTTCTACCACGATGGTGAAATTGTTTAATTTTCAAAACCAATCTTTATTTTTATAGCTCCATTTGGTTACAATGGCTCAGCAACACAACCAGATGATTTGGCCAGAATGACAGCTCAAATGTCACTAAATCAACAATCTGGAGCACCAGCATGGAATGCTGCATCAGTTGCTTCGAATAATCCGTTTGGAGCACCAGGAGCTATGTATACAGCACCAATGGGAGCATATCCACAACAATTTGCACAACCAATGTGGAATCAACAAATGGGTTAGTTTTTGAATGGAAATTTTTGAGGGGCAAAGAAAAATGGACAAACAGAAAATTTTTTTGGAATGCTCCAGGCTTTTTGAGAAAAATTATCCTGGAAGTTTTGTATACCAATATTTCAAGTGTCCCCCATAAAATACAAAATAATTATTTACGAAAACTTTTATTTCTAGCATATGGTCAACAATTTCCATTCCAACAACCAGGCCAAATTCCATATCAACAACAACAAGCACAGGTTTGTTTTTTATTCATTTTTCGAAAATTAAAAGTTCAAGCAATTTTTACACACTTTTATCTTTTTCTCTCTCTCTTATCTCTTAATCAATATTATCTTTTCTTTTCTTTCACAGGTTCAACTAGTCAATCAAGCAGCAGCGAAACAACAACAAGCGCAACAACAAGCTGCAACTGATCCATTTTCCACGTAGTCATTTTTCATTTTCCCCCGAATTTTTCCCATTAATTTATTTTACTTACCCTAAATTTTTCCATTTTTTATTTATTTCCATCCTATATATTTACTTGAATTGCTGTGAAGATTGAAAAACCAAAAAAAAATGTAAAAACATGTAGATTTTCGCTTAGTCGTTTAGGTCTTGAGCCAATTTAACAAGCCTGAACAAATTATTTTTTTGTATTTGATTTTAAAAACAAAAACATCTATTTAGACATAATTTTGCAATTTTCATAGGTCGCCGAAGTTTCAGCGCATCTCATTTTTCTTCTTTATTTATTTTGTCAAAATAGCAATAAATTATTTTTAACCAGCCAAACAAATTTTGATTTGTATTTCACGTATTTTATTTCGCCGTATTTATATATTTTTTGATAGAATTTCAATAAAATTTTATTTTTTTAGATGGTTGGAGTGGTGAGTTGTTGGATTTTTTATTCATGTGCTGAAAAATTCAGCCTGAAATTAATTTTAGATCAAACCATCGAAAGAACTTTTGAATGTTTTGAAAAAATGGGCTGGAGGAAATGTGAAATTCGAAAAATATGAAAATCAATTAGATGTTAAATTAAATCGACCAGATAAACATAACTCATTAAGTGGAACTATGATGTTAGAATTGGCTGAACATTCAGAGGTTCGATTAAAATATTTTCAAGGTTATATCTAACAATTATATTTTCTACAGAAATTCACAGATCCAAAAATATCTATAATTCGGATTTCCGGTGCTGGAAAATCGTTTTGTTCTGGAGCTGACCTTGGATTAATCAAAGATATTTCGGAGAATAATCTTGGAATTGAAATGTTCGAATTTATGTCGAAAGTTTTGAGAAGAATCAGTTCATCGAAAGCAATTTCAATTGCAAATATTCATGGATATGCATTTGGTGGAGCAACCGAAATTTGTTCTTCTGCTAATATTCGAATTGCTGATGCAAAATCGAAAATCAAGTTTTCTCAAAGTATGATGGGAATTGTTCCTTCTTGGGGCGGAGCCGAATATTTAGAGGTTTGTTTTTGAAATTTCAATTTTATACTGCTCAGAAGAGCAGATCACTACAACTCCAAAAGTAAATTCGGGATTGTGCGGTCATCAAGCCATAAAGGCTGTTTCACGCTCGCAATCTGCCCGTCTCCCTTTCATCGCAGTTGGCATCATTACCAGATAATTGGGAATTACGAGATACATACTGCAGAAATGATTCTGTATAGTATGGTCTCAAAAATTCTCTCTTTCTCTGCAGAGGTCTATAGAATGTGTGGCGGACATTTGCCGTGTATTGCATTCTATCATCTTTTGTGTATGCTTTGCTCCGCCCCCTTTTTTCATTTGTGTTGTGTGCGAAGAAAATGTTTGTTTTTCATCGGATTTTTTCTTGCAGGAAATAATGGGAAGAGGCCGTGCTCTTTCAGCAATGTGTCGAGCAAATGTAATGACTGCTGAAGAAGCTGAAAAACTTGGATGGATCGATTTTGTTTATAAAAATGAAGATGAAGCTAATGTGAATAACAAAAAGCTTTTCAAGCATAAAACCCTAATTTTTTCCAGAAATTTCTCCAAGAATTTACTTCATCTGGTTATAAGGTTGTTCAAGCTCAAAAAGCAATGTTGAATGCTGTGAAAAAATACGAATTCGAGAAACAAAAACATATTTTGGATGGAGTTTGGAAAGGTGAAACACATAAAAATGCACTGAACAAACAATTTGAAGCGATTGTTAAAAAATCAGGAAATTAAATTTGTGAGAAAAAACAAAGTTCACGTTTTATTAAAAAGGTAGATATTTTATTTGTCATTTCTATTTAGTTTTGAAAATAAATAAATTATTGTAAACATCTGAAAACATGTTTATTTTTATAGCTTCTAAATAGTTTTTTTTCAAGAAACATGATGTCATTGGATTTTGACCTAATTCCCTCTTTAATGGCCTTGAGAAACTTTAGAACACAAAATCAAAAGTGCCAAGAAATCCGGAATTCTACAAAAACTCAGACATTTTTCACTTTTTATTCAGTTCGCATATTTTAATACTCCAATTAAATAAAACTTTCTTTTTTCTCGCTTTTCTTTTTCTTTTTTTTTCAATCTCAACGTCTTCGATTACATAATAATAACAATAATAGGGATAAATTCTTTGAGAAAGAAAAGCTGGTGAGAATTAGGCAAAAAGTACGGTTGGTTGTAGTGGGAACCGGTCGGAAAAAGAATACGAAGAAAAAAGAAAATGAAGATGAAAGCATTGGATTAACAACATGTAGAAAAATCACTATTCCATCTCTTTTTCACCTCTTCTTATTCATCCTTTTTTTTCATTTGTTAGTTTTTTGTTCTGATTTTAATCGATTGATGTTTAGATATTGTTTTTGATCTACCCGCTAATTGTTGCATTTTGGATAAAATAAATTATTCCAACAAAAATTGATGATTTTTTGTGTTCAAAAACTTCAGCTCTTTTCCTTGGTTTCTACTGTCTATAATAGTGATAATATTTGTTTTAGTTTACAGTAATACTAGAATTTTGAAAATTTCGGAATCACGTGAAATGTTTTTCAGACTAAATTTTTAAATATTATGCAAATCGTCCTCGGAATTTCTTTTTTGGTTTTCTGAATGAAAAAATTTCAATTTTCAATAAATACGGAAAATCCTAATTTTGAAGCTTAGAATCTTCATAGAGTTTTTGATTTTTTAAGAACAATCCCTCATTGTCAGAACTTTAAGGTTACTGTAGCTCTATTCTTGAAATCAACAGATCTTGATTTTAAGATTTAGAACTTTCTTGATTTTTTGTTTCATTGAGCTCTAAGCTAGACTGTAGTGCGGTAGATTTGTACTTTGTACCTATATCTGGATCAGATTAACACCTCACCATATGTTGCTTTTTTTCTCACCAAAGTTTGCACCCAAAATCCCCGCCTCTTTTTATTGTTTTTTCTCTCTCTATAAATAGACACATCCTGTGCTCATTCAATATTATTTTAGGTGATTAATGGCCTGGGACAGTGTTGAAAGACGCGCTGCGTCGGTGTTTCGACAACTCGGATTTATTGTCACTGATCATCCACTTCCATTTCTCATATTTCCATTGTTATTAACTGCTGCAATGAGTGTTGGTGAGTTTTTTGGACATTTTTTAAATCTCAGAATTGAGATGGCCAGATTTGAAGTTTCATAAATTATTTGGGATGAAAATTATTTAAATAACTTTCTAATTTTGTTTTTTCTTGGAGTATCAGTTTTTTGGGATAAAAACACCTGAAAACATGTAGGCGTGAGAACATTTTTTGAAGAAGAAATGACCTAGTTTTTTTTTTCCAATCTGTTAAAATTACCCTAATTTTTCTTTAGGAATGCTTCATTTGAATAATTTGACTGATGCTGTTTATCTTTTTACTCCAACAAATGGGCAATCAAAAATGGAAAGAATGGCAATTCACGAAAAATGGCCATTAAGTGACAATAATTATGTTCCTGGTCGAGCTGTTACACAAAGTCGTGAAGTTCAGGTTACTGTACTTGCTAAAAATGATTCGAATATTCTGGAACCAAAATTTGCGAATGCAGTTTATCAGTTGGATAAATATCTACAAACGAGGTACTTTTATTTTTCGAAACAATTAAAATCTTAACTTTTTTTAAAGAGTTCGAGTTCTTCACAATGGACATTATTATAGTTACAAAGATTTATGTCTTCAATATAAAAGTAAGTTTTACTCAAGATATTTTATTTCATCAAAATATGTTTTTTAGATGGTGGTTGTCCTTCGAATCGACATGTTCATATTTTATCTGATTTATATAATCATGGATTTAATATAACTTATCCTTACTTCAGATTTGGAAATGAGTAAGTTCTTACAAATTGAAAAGTTTACAAAATATTGCTCATGTTTGTTTCAGAGGTGGATATATTGGAAGTAGTTTGGGAGGTGTGACTTTGATGCAAGGAGAAAATAATACCGAAATTTTGTCATCAGCAAAATCATGGTTTATGCTTTATCATTTGAAATTCCATCCTGATGAAATGTCATATATTTCTGGACAATGGGAATTGGAACTTGGAAGAATGATTCAACAATATCCAGAAAATCCATATATTTCAATAACATATTTCCATTCTCAAACATTGGCTGATGAATTGAAAAGAAATGCGGATTCATTGGTTCCAAGATTTGTTCTTTCTTTTACACTTTTGGTTGTTTTTTCAATGATTTGTTCAATGTGTTTTATTGATGGAACATTTTATGTTGATTGGGTGCTTTCAAAACCAATTTTGTCGATTTTAGGTGAGCTTTTGATTTGTTTTCGAAATGAATAAATAATCTATTATTTTAGGAGTTGCCAATGCTGGAATTGCTATTTTGACTGGAATTGGAGCACTTTCTTTAATGGGAATGCCATATAATGATATTGTTGGAGTTATGCCATTTTTAGTTGTTGCTGTTGGAACAGATAATATGTTTTTAATGGTTGCTGCAATTCGTAGAACATCTCGAACTTTGCCAGTTCACGAAAGAATGGGAGAATGTATGGCTGATGCAGCTGTTTCAATTTTAATCACATCTTGCACTGATGTCTTATCATTTGGTGTTGGTGCAAATACAACAATTCCAGCTGTTCAGATTTTCTGTGTTTATACTGGTGTTGCCATATTTTTCGCATTTTTATATCAAATCACATTTTTTGCTGCATGCTTAGCTTTGGCTATGAAACACGAAGAAGCTGGAAGAAATTCATTATTTTTTGTCGAATGTGCAATTGAAGAAAAGAAAGATTCAGTTGGAATATTTCAAAGAATTTTCAATATTGGATCAACTCCAAATAAAGGTGTTACTCATGATATAAAAGAACCAATGACAGCCAAATTCTTTGGTGATTGGTATGCTCCAATTCTTATGCATCCAGTTGTTCGTGGTTTAGCAATGTTTTGGTTTATTATTTATTTACTTGGTGCAAGTTATGGATGCTCAAAAATTAAGGTTTGTTTGAGGATTACTGTAATTTAAAAAAAACCGATTTGAATTTAGGAAGGATTGGAACCAATTAATCTTCTTGTCGAAGATTCTTATGCAATTCCACATTATCATCTTCTTGAAAAATATTTCTGGAAATATGGTCCACAACTTCAAATTGTTGTCAATAATGCACCTGATTTGAGGAATCATACAACTCGAGATCGAATTCATGCAATGATACTTGATTTTGCAACAAGTAAACATGCAATTGGAATTGAATCAGTTGAATGTTGGCTATTTGAAATGGAAAGATATTATCAACAAGAATTACAAGTTCAAATTGTTGATGCATCTTTTTATGGATTATTGCAACATTATTTGGCATCGAAACATAATAATATGTTGGCTGAAGATATTTATTGGGGAAAAGATGGAAATGAAACTATTGTTCAAAGTTTCCGATTTGTTGTTGGAATGAAAGATTTGGTTTCGACAATGGATCAAACTGATGCAACATTGACATTCCGAGAAGTTGCAAATAAATGGCAAGAATATAATGTAACAACATTTATGCCTATTTGGTTATTTACTGATCAATATGCAATTATTATTCCGAATACGGTATGTTTGCCATCGGAAAATTACAATTTCAAAATATTTGTTTCAGAAACAAAATATTGTGATTGCTTTGATTGTTATGATTTTCATTGCTCTTGTTTTGATTCCACAACCAATGTGTTCAATTTGGGTTGCAATGGCTTGTGCAAGTATTGATTTCGGAGTTATTGGATATATGACATTATGGGATGTAAATCTGGATGCTATATCAATGATTACAATTATTATGTCAATTGGATTTTCTGTCGATTATTCTGCTCATATTGCATATGGTTATGTTGTATCAACTGCTTCAACTCCAGATCAAAGAGTAAAAGATGCATTATCTGCTCTTGGTTGGCCACTTTTCCAAGGCGGAATTTCAACTATTTTAGCTGTTTCGGTCTTGGCAAATATTCCAGCTTATATGATTGTGACTTTCTTCAAAACTGTAAGTGGAAAACAAAAAAGTTTTACCTTTATTAATTGATTTCAGGTTGTTCTTGCAATTTCCCTTGGACTCTTGCATGGTCTTGTTTTCCTTCCAGTTCTTCTTTCACTGTTTGTTCGTGGATGTTGCATTGTTGACTTGAAACATGGAAATGCAAGTGTATCAGATGTTCAAAAAATTGAGAAGGTTGATTTTATTTTCTGGAATTAATATATTGACGCATTTCTTTCAGAACGTCAACATGCAAACTCCACCTTCATCTCTTGGATATGGTTCAGCCCTGTCGATAAGAACATCTTCCCCAGTTGGACAACCACCAAGATTCGAGTTCAGTGATGAATCGCCAACAGTTCACAACAGATCCAGAGCTTCAATGAAATCACCTGAACATTTAGATTAGAGTTAATTCTTTCTCACTAACATTGCATTACGTGTACATTAGTTTATATTTTTTACATCACTTTCTGTTGCCATAAATTATTCAAATTTTACCATTAGATTTTTGTAACAAATTTTATGAACAATGGAAGACAACAACAAATTACTTATTCTCCTCAGCGGCATCTCTGGCTCTCTTCTCACGACGTCCCTTGTATTTCTTGTCAGCGCGTTCTTTGCGGAGAAGTCTGAAGATTTCGACCTTTCTCTCGGCATCAGTGATGGCACGTGGCTCTTCGAAGGTGACGGTGTGGGTCAATGGAAGGATATCTCCGCGCAATTGAGCGGCAACCTTGAGTTCTTCAGCCTATAATAATTAAAAATATATTAATTTAATCAGGAAAACTGATGAGAATTGATACGATAGAAAATTCAGTTACTTTTCAGTTTTTATCTTAGGAATTAGATATTTCGAAGTTTATAAAATGTCTATTACAGAAATATTTTGAATTTTCTACATCAATCATTAAAAAACAAGCTTATGTTCGTATTTTTCAGTTTAACAAACCCGCCTAGAAGGAAAACCGTTCCAACTGGGTCTTTAACCAATTATTTTGAAAAAACCCGGCATAAACAGGCAAGAGGTTTTATAAAGGCCTCAGCTATTCATCCGAAAATGAACTTACAGAGCTGTCTCCCTTCTTTGGAGCGTTCAAGTTCTTAGGGAAGAGGATAAGCTTGGATTTGTACTCCTTGAGGCGGTCAACATTGGCCTAAAAAATAAAAAATTAATTCGGTAAAAAAGAATCACTATCACCTTGAGTCCTTCAGCGGTCTTGTTGACTCTTCTGGCATCAACAGCGATTCCGACAGATCTGGCTTCGGCTTGCGAGATACCGGCAGCCTTCAATTCTTGGAGAGAGAATCCACGTCCGAGACGAGTCTTGGTGTTGTATCTCTTTCCTGGGCAACGAACAACCGATCTAAATTTTTAAAAATATTGTGAATAATAAAAATAAATAGTTACCTCAAAAGTCCAGCGACTGGTCTTGGGGCAATAGCGGAAGCTTTAGCTTGACGGTTCTCTCTTCTGCGGAGCTTGCGAGCTGGTTGGTTGAACCAGGTCTTTATGCGCTTGTGCCAGTGCTTGCGGAAATGGGCATTGCCCAACATTTGGTTCCCGCGTGGAGCCATTGTACCCTCTGAAAATAGAACAAGTGAACATTTGAAAAAAAAATTTACGCAATAAACGAAAAAAAAAATCAAAAATCAATAAATCGAATTCTGAACATAATGTAAGTCTAAAACGAGCTCTAAAAAGTTTGAATAAACGCAATACCAGCCTTTTTTCGACAAAATTCTCAAAAAAACAGCAAAAAAAGAAAAGAGGAATTATTTTTCTCTCTACACACATGTATTAAAGTTTAATACTCAGGCAACATTGGCTGCGTACACACGAGTCGTGACAAGACCACATAAAACAGAAGAGTGCGCCTTTGTTCGTGTATATTTACGAGCAGTTTAAAATTTGAAATTTTCATGAAAAATGTGTTTTAAATTCAGGTATGTGTTGAGAATTTAAGTAGATTTAAGTTTTTTTTTCAATTTCAATAAGTTTAATGTTGCAGATGAATTTTATCAAATGTCTTTCGATCAGAATATATTATTTATGTTTACCAGAGTTCAAAAAGTTAAGCCAGTTTTTTCCAGAAATAATGTTGCTTACAAAAAAAATCCAATTATGGAATATTTGCCCGACACGTTTACGTTCACGCCATAAAAATATTATTTATTTATGAAATCATTTTATTTTCAAAAATAAAAAAAGTTGCATCCGGCAGGAATAAAACTATTGCTATCAGGTATAGTTGGACATGGTTTGGAAAAAACTCGAGCGAAACCAGTTTTTTGAGTTCGCTCACTTGTTTGGGTTTTGAGTTCGCTCACTCATTTCAAACCGGTTTTCGATCAAATATCGCTCATTTCTGATTTGATTAGAATAGGTGGATTTTTAGGTTTTCGGATATGGGAAATCGATTGGTGATAATAATTCGGCCCAAAAGCCCAAACTAAAATGATCATAACTTTTTTATTTTTCAAGCTTTTTCAAATATCTCTGGACCATTGTGACGTGCTCATCCTCAGCTAAATTTTTGCTCTTCGGAGCAAATTTGTGGGTCCGAAGAGCAAAAATGTTGATCCGAAAAGCAAAAATTTAGCTGACGATGAGCACGTCATAATGGTCCAGAGATATTTGAAAAAGCTTGAAAAATAAAAAAGTTATGATCATTTTAGTTTTTGTGACTCGAAAAGGTGTGATGTATTTCAATTTAATTTCAAATTTCACAAAAATCCATTTTTCATGCCCTGTGCCTTTAAAAGTCACTTTTAGGCCGAATTATTATCACCAATCGATTTCCCATATCCGAAAACCTAAAAATCCACCAATTCTAATCAAATCAGAAATGAGCGATATTTGAGCGAAAACCGGTTTGAAATGAGTGAGCGAACTCAAAACCCAAACAAGTGAGCGAACTCAAAATATGAGTTTTCGCCCAGATCATTTGAAAACTCACTCATGTCTTACTATACTATCAGGCACCATTTTATGGATGTGAGTTGTATTTTTATTCCTAAAAATATTGCATCTCTGTAAAAATTTTGCCAGCCTAATTATGGATAAAATCCGTCGCACATTTTATTTCCAAATTTTCAATGTTTATTTTTTTCTTCGTTCCTGCTCATTGTTTTAGATTAACCTATCTTTTTAAATATTTTCAACTACAAAATTTTTTGATAATCGCAAAAAGAGTTTATTCAAAAAGTTTTCCCAAATTGCATAATTGAAAATATTTACAAAAAATCGACAGAAGAAAGGGAAATAGTGAATCTTGCTAACAGAATGAGATCATGTAGATTGTTAATGGGTTTTATCATAAGTGTCTTTGTTTTTATAAGCTCCAACATATCCAGTATTATCTTGGGCATCGTCACGTCCAGATTTTCCTTTTCCCTTTCCTTCAGCATCGAATCTTTCTTTGTGAGCACCGGTATATTTTGTATGGTCAGTGAGTCGACTATAAACTCCACCGGCATTTGCTTTCGCAGCATTTCCAGTACTTGGAGCCTCAAGTTTTGAGAGTTTCTCAGTTATCAAATTGAGTTCTTCTTGAAGTGGTTTCTTCGATTGTCTCGAACGATCTTCCGCGACAAAAGCAAGAACTTTTTTAGTTTCTTCAAATGTTGTCTTCTTCTTTGGTCTGAAAATTGTAATTCGTGTATTATTCAAATATTTTCTCGCGTGCTATTTGTGAACTTTTAACTTCAAATTCGGAAAAATTCTCACCCTGCAACTTTGCTAAAAGCAATTCCAGTCATAGTGCCGGTAATAGTTTTGTTGTCCAAAACACCAGCATCTTTCAACCACTTGTCGAAGTTTTTCCCAGTCATTTCGGTAGCCGTCGCAGCTCCGAATTTCGTGAAGGCATCCCACTTTTTCTTGACATCAGCATTGTCCCATTTAAATTCGGCAGCAGCAGCCATTGTTCACTCTTCAAACAAAAAAGTAAAAAGTATATAATTTAAAACAAAAATAAGCGAAAAAGAGAGATTCTTTTTTCCGGTGGAAATGAAACCATGGAAACACCGATACAATGTTGTAAATGTTCATAAACCAAATCGGGTTACTAGGACAGCTGATAAATATAATGTTTGAATTTGGGGTCTGAGAAAAGAAAAAATAGAAGACCAAAGATAAAAATCGATTTCGAGAAGATGATAAAAAAATAAATCCGGCTTTTTTTGCGAGAGTGATACATCAGCGTTCAACGAAAAAAAGATGAATCGATAAAAATTGCAACGGTCACAAAATTAATGAGGATTATTTTTTTTCGATAATGTGTTCTTTTTTGACAAAAATCGAAGTTTTCCAAATATAATTCAGTTGATGATCCAAACTTTCTTATTTATAAGATGAGAGTGAAATTTCAAACTTTTTTATGAGTCCTAGACTTGATAAAATATTTTTCAACAAACAAATCGACCGCCGAAAAATCTAAGTTGTCAATAAAATTTCTAGCACAGTCGTAAAAAATGCATAACTCTCAACTACTTTTCTCAACAAAAAACCCAATCTGTGCCCACATTCAAAAAAAAACGACAACAACAATAAAAGAACGAAAAAGGAGAGAAGAAAATCCAAACAAAAGGCGAAAAAGCTCAATTGGGGGTGCACTAGGCTGCCATATGACAAGTTACTCGCTTTAGATTATTATCTATTATTCATTCACGCTTTTGGCACTCTTCGATTTGGTTCCTTCTTTCGACTAATGATGACAAATTCGATTATTGTTTGGATTTTGGAAAAAGAAGAACGAAAAAGTAAAATGATGTTTCGAAAACTAACTGAACGAAGAAACATAAAAAAAGTGATGGGAGAAAAAGAAAAGACTAATGATTTGTTGGGTTTACACGGGCTTTTTTGAACTTGGACACATGTGTGCGTACATTTGAAATTGAAAGAAAAAAGACCAGATACTCTACTTCAGTGAATAAAATATTTGAAAAAATGTAGTCATATGACTCTTTCAAGGCCAAATGGTGTTTGGTGTTTGAGATTGGCGCCAAAATCGAGAGTCTAAAGGCCATAAAATGTATACTACTAGTTTTACTTGTTTTTTTCTCACCGCCTGCAGAGCTTAAAAAAGTTTCGCAACCGCACTGAAAATTGCGAAATTCAATTCACTATTGAAAAAAGAAAAGAGAAAAAACAAGACAGGAGATGTGGCGATGTATTGAATAATTGACAGCCTTACTAGAGACGAAAGAGACATCAAAACGAGACAACAGAAAAAAAAACATAGAAGACCAAAAAAATGCGAAAGAAAATGAGGATTTGAAATATGATATAGGTTATATTATGTATTATTTTTGGAATGAGAAAAAAAGAAAGAAAGAAATGAAGAAAATTGGTACGATTTTAGGGAAATTCGGAAATAAATATGTCAAGTATTCATAGAATATAAAAAAGTTTTGAAGGAAAAAACTTGCACGGGTGTTGAAATTATAATTTACTTATTTTTGCAATTAGAAATTTAAAAGGTGATTCATGCTGGAAAAATAAATGAAGCAGTTTTTTGAAAAAATTCTATTTAAAAAAAAGGAAAAACAATTCAAGTTTTCCGAAAATTTGATGCGCAAATTCATGCATTTTTTGACACCGTAGTTATTAGTTTTCTCGTTTCCAGTAAACTTTTAACAAGACTAGAAAAATTGATCTCAATTTTTTTCATCGCAAATTAGAAATGTAATACTGCAGCGTGGTACCAACAAAAAACTAATTAGTGAACAGCATGTTTTTTGGTTCTTCTCTTCCAAATTTAAAAGGAAGGGCGTTTCCATTCAACAATTCAACTTTTTTTCCGATAAGAACTTTTTATGTCAAACAACCATAACAAAAAATACAACAAATAAATATTTGGTTTTGAATTTGAATTTAAAGAAAAACTCAACCAATCATTCGGAATCTGGCTCTTGTTTAGGTCCATCTTGAGATTCTTCAACAATTTCTTTCTCTTTCATAACAACATATTCTCGAGTCGAAAATCCGAATTTCAGCATATCTTTCTCTTTCAATTCAATATATCTTTGGGGTTCAATTTTTTCTTCATTCAGATATGTGCCATTTCCACTTCCCAAATCGATAATGTATGGCATAATTCGACGAGCACGCGAACCATCATCACGAGTGAATGGCATTGATCTAAAACATCAATGAATTTGATATTTCCAATTTAATTTCAAAAATCATACCTGAATTGCAAAACAGCGTGTTGTTTACTACAACTTGGATGATCAACTGGAATATCGGCAATTTTATGATCTCTTCCAATTAAATACGCTGATTGTCTATGAATATATAATACTTGTAATGCTTCTTCCCCTTTGAAAGGATATAGTCTCCATCTGAAAATAAAAACGACATTTTCCATTTATATTCTTTTGTTTGGCTGCCTCATAAATATTTTAGCATCGAAGCGAATTTAAATGAAAAGGGTATTTCGAAATTGAAAAAAAAACGAACCTAGCATTTGGTTTTTTGGCCTCTGGAGGTTCATTGTATTTAATAACAACACCACGAAAAGTATTCGTATCTTCGGTAAGTAAACCACTAACACCGAGATCCACTTTCTTCTTTTCTTCTTGAGGAATTTCTTCTTCTTCTTTTTTAACATTATCTAATAGTCCTGATTTTCCCCATTTTTCTTTTTGCTCTTCCAATCCATATTTTTTGCCATCATCTCTTCGTTTATCAGGTGATCTTCTTCGATCTCCTCTGTCATTTCGATTGCGTCGATGACGCGATTCTCTGAAAACATTGGTTGATAATTTGATTTGAAAAAAACAGTGTTGAACTAATAAGTTTCTGCATCGAGAATGAAAAATTGAACTCACTCATCACTACTATATTCTTCCTTTTTTATTCGGCGTGGACTTTCTCTTCTTCGATCCCGCGGACTTTCTCTCCTTCGTTCTCTACTTCGGTCACGTCGTCGATCAGGCGATTTTCTATATTTTGGACTTCTATCTCGACCCATCTGAAACGCAAATAAAACTTGTTTTTCGAATAAATCAATTTAAAATTCTAGAATTCTAATGGGGCTATTCAAGTATTTTCTCAACACGCTGAGAAAACAGGAGAAATGCGGAGAAAATGTATTTTCTTCACTTTTTTCGTATTTTCTCAGCCTACCTGAATAGGTTTTCTTCGCTTTTCTCAGCGTTGAGAAAATAACTTGAATAGTCCCATAAGAATTTAAAACTCCAATAAGAATTTAAAACTCCAAAAAAATAAAATAAAAAACCGCTTGCCTGTAATTTAGCGACCTGTTAATCGGAGTATTGTTGTTTTATTTTAATTGTGTGGTCATTCAAATGAATTTCTTATTTTCTGCTGTTTTTTGTGTCCACATTTGCCTGGAACGGAGAAAAATATACATATATATATATGAGAGAGAAAAAGAGCAAAAAATGGAAATAGCATGAAAACAAAATGAGGCAGAGCAGGCAAAAAAGTCGATAGTGCTTTCAGAAGACAGCTGAGAGAAAAATAAAAGAAGAGTCCTTCATTTTTTGAAAAACGGAAACTACAATGGCAGCACAGTATTATGAGAGGAATACAAGGTTTGTTTTTTGTTGAATTATTTTCAAAAAATTATAATAAGTAAATTTGTAGCGGGATGAATGCGGATCGTTTTATGTCTCGAATGACAGATGAATCGACAGTTAATACAATGCAAAGACATTATTGGACAGCTCGACAATTCATCAGGACCAAAATGGGAAAAAAAGAGGATGAACATTTGGAAGCCAGTGATATTGAACTCGATAGATGCCTCAATTTATATCGATCGGTTCATGGAACTTCTATACAATTATTAAATAATGTGGACAACTATGCAAATTATTTATTAGGTTAGTTTTTGAAGTTAATTGGGCTGATATTATTAATTTACGTAACCAACAAGTTCGTAGATTTTTAGATGCACGAAAAAATAAATTGAAAACACATATTTTTCCAAATAAAATTGAACTCTAAGATATTGAACCTAACTTCAAATTTCAGAACTAAAAAATAAACATTTACAGATGAAACCCTTGTTCAAAATGTGCTTGGGAAATATCTCAAAGAAAAAGGGAAAATTGACAAAACTGAAGCTGTTGGCAGAATTTTGATTGCAGTTGGAAGATCATTATTATTTTCTTCTCATCGTTTGAATGCTGAAAGGATTCGAGTTTCGACGTAATATTTGAAGAAAATCATTTTGAAAGCTCAAAATAAATATAAATTATTTCAGATTTTATAACAAGCTTTCGGTTTTTGTTGAAAGAGCAATTGGTGATTGTTCACAAACAATTGAAGCTGTTCAAATGTGTCGAACCGAATATCGTGGAAGTCTTTTATGGATGAAAAAAACAAGTGAAGAACTCGATCCAGATGTTGATGGTTCAATGGAAAAATTCCGAGAAGCACAAACAACTGTGAAAACAAATAAAGAAAGATTGGATCGATTGAAAACTGATACACTTCAGAAAGTTGATCTATTATCTGCTTCAAGATCAAATTTATTATCTTATGTTCTGACACATTATCAAAACGAATTGTATGAATATTATGAGAAAACATCAAGAGCTTATGAAACATTAGCTGAAAATATTAGTTGTTATAATAATTATGATTTTGAGATTCTAAGTGTAAGTTGATCTTTTTAAAGTTCTAAAATTCTATTGAAAATTTTGCAGCATCTTGCAACGGGTACACTTCCAAAACGCGAAAAATCCAAAGAATCGCCAGTGAAAAAAGAGCAACCAAATTGTGAAAATGAGGAATTGAAGGATTTATTGTTCGGAAGAGAATCTCCTGAATTTACTGGAACAATTCGAGAAGGAACTCCACAATGTGATAGTCCTTTAATTGATGATGTAGAAGTTGCCGAAGAAGCAACAACTAGCAATGATTTATTAGATTTGGTGAGTTAATTTTTTCTTGTGTTTCCCCAATTAGGATTGTATTTTCTAGACTCCATCAACATTTTCAATTGGACCACTTCCAAGTATTTATGAAAGTGCACTTCCGCCTGTTTTACCACCTCCTCCAACAAATGATATTTCCTCGCTTTTTTCGAATAATTCTGCTAAACCAAGCAATTTAGATTGGGAATCAATTCTAAATGAGCTAGAAAATAATGATAATTCATTGTAAAAAAAAGAACATATATAAATTATTCATAAGAATCTTCTCATCAATTTTCCTGATGCATTTCTAGGAAGTTCCGAGCAGAATAAAACATTTTCGATGGATTTGTAAGATGCGAAATTTTCTGAAATCTCATATTGTTCAAACAACTATAATTGGATTAGCTGACCTTTTATCATTTTCAAGATTTTGTTTTTGAGGGATTTATCTTCTTTTCCAACAACTTTCATCAAAAGTTTTTGATCGGAATTTTGATAAACAGCACAATCAATGTTTAAATGGCATTTTACAAATTCTTCAATTTCATTTGGATTAACTTGCCATCCCCGAACTTTGATCATCTCTTTCGATCTTCCAATTATTTTCAATTCTTGTTGTTCTCCGATGAAAATTCCCAAATCTCCAGTTTCCATAAATTGATCTTCTCGAATTGTCGAAGTTGGAGATTTTACCAGAATTTGATTATTTGAGTCCAATTTTATTTCAACTAATGGAAATGGAATACCAACATTTTCACCATTCGAAATACCTTTCACAGTTGAACTTATCAAAACTCCACATTCTGTTAAACCATACACTTAAAATAAAATATATTTAGAAAACCTGGAATATCAAAACTCACATTGTATCAAATTTTCCAAGCTGCTAAACCGTTTCGCAACTTTTTCAAAATCTGATTTTTCCGATGCAGCAGCTCCAACATAAATTGTTTTCAAATTTTTCAAATCCTCATATTCCGCATTCGCCAGAAATTTTAAAACTGGAGGTACTAAGAAAAGGACACTGACTTGATATTTATTACAAGTATCAATAAATTCTTTTCCATCCCATCTTTCATTTATAATTACAGTACAACCAATCCATAACATTGAAAGTACAGTAATCAAACCACCAGCATGAAAATATGGAAGAACACCAAAACAAATATCAGTTGATGATGGAGAATAATATTTTGGTGATTTTTGAATTAATTCGAATTGTTGAAGATGTGCCAAAAGAATTCGAGAATCATAAATAAATGGTTTTGGTGGACCAGTTGTACCAGAAGAGAAGAATATTATTTTGCCACTATTTTTATAATCTTTTCCAGATTTAGAATAATCAGTGATTACGATATCTTCAATAAATGTGAAATCATAATTCTTGAATTTTGTTGAATCGACATCTTTTGATAAAATAATGTGGGAAGGGTTTGTGATTTTCAGATATTCTTCTATTTCATATGCTTTATACGATGGATTCAATGGAACTAATTTTATTCCAGCAATTTGAGAACCAATTACAAATTCTAAAAATCCGACTGAATTTGTGCAAAATGTAGCAATTACTGAATATTTCTCGCAGAATACTGAATATTTTTTAGATTCTTCGACGAATTTCGAAAACAACGTTTGTTCTCCTGACAAACTTTTAGCTGCAATTCCAGAATTTTCCAAACATTTACTAGTAAATTCAGTAGCGAATGACATTTTTTCTGTTTTATTTGTGTTTGTGAAAAATAATAAAGTGGCTGAAATTTCAAATTGCCTGCATTTATATTGTGTGTTGTGCGTTGGAGCGCGATTGCTGAATAGCCGCGAAATAATCTTTTCGAATGTTTGCATTGTTTTTTTACACGGCTTTTTTGCACGGCCTTTTAAAATGGTACATTTAGAGATAAAACTATAAATGAAATTGTGAAGTTTGACGTAAATATTGTCTCGCGTGACAATACTTGCAGTGAAATATTTTTAATTTCTGATTATTTTTCAATTTTTGAAATCTCGTAAAAATAAATCATTATGTGAAATTTTTGACGTAAACTGTTTTTGTGCTTTTGCGCCACGTTTCTTATCTGATTTCTTTAATTATTTCCATCATTTCACTGTTTAAAATGAGACAGTTTTAGAAAACAGCTCCCGATGGAAGAATGGAAAACTATGTTTCGAGATATTTATGGAAGATCACCGACTGCTGCTGATATTGAAATTGCACCAAATAATATTAAAAGTGAGTTTTTTATTTCAAATTCTTTTTTTCACCAAAAACAATTTGTTCTAGGTTGTCTGAAAGACAAAAGTGTGCCGATTCCAAAGTCGCCAATCAAAAAAGGGCCTTTGAAGCGAAAAAATATTGAGATGAAAATGATGGAAGGAGAACAATTCAGTCCGATAAAGAAAAGGATGGTAAGTTGATTTTCTCTTTTGAAATTTAGACTTTTAGTTCAATAAATTATAAAATTTAGAATATAAAAATGGATACTCCGACAAGAAAATTATTATCATCTCCAAGTCGAAAAACCAACAATTTTTTCGACGATTCACCTGCTCGATCTTCTCCAAAACGTGTGAATTTCTCAACTCCTGGAAATGCCAAAAGATTCGATCTTTCCGATTTTTCACCAATGAAAACATTTTCGGCGAAAAAGGTTTCTGTAACACCTATCAAATCACCACAAAAACAACCATTCAAACGGAATCTTTCTATGAAAAAGGTCAGTTGATTTTTATTTTTGGGGTAAAGGCGAATTATGAATTTCCGGTAATTTTTGATTCGGATATATATTTTTGAAAATTGGCCGCATTATATTTACTGAAATTTGATTTTATTGATGAACTTTATTGGAACAAACGGTTGATATTTTTCTATCAAGTTCCAATTTCTATTTTATTTTGTTTGTTTTTTTTCTGTTTCTTTTGGTTTTTCGGAGTCGAATTTTTACCACAGCAAAAGAAGAAAAAAATCCAAAACATGTAAAAATTTTGCATTTCTTTCGGAAAAAAAACATTCGGAAGCCCGCAATTCGGCGGAATGGTTAAACGGTTCAAGAATACTGAAAATTTGCATTTTGAGAAGAAAAAACTGAAATTCAATAAAAATAGAAAACCTTTTGGAACTCGCATCTCAAATTCTGAAAAATCTGTCGATCTGCGAATGTCAATATTCCTAGCAGAATTTATCAGAAAACTTCCATATATTCCATTTCCCTTTTGAGAGTTATTTCTTCATAGACACAATTATATTTCCTTGCTGTTTTTTTTTCAAAACTTCAATCGAACATACATAATTTGTTTGAACTTGAAGGTCGATCCCTTTTTTTTGTTTCCCTGAGAAAAAGAAGAGGTTAATTTAATCGCATTTCGTTTCGACACAATCAACATTTTATTGTTTTTTCGCTGATTTGATTGAATTTGGAATGAGAGAGAAAACACAAAAAGATGATAGCATAATGTAGTTTCTGACAGTTTTGAGAACTAAACTGACATTTTTGTAGTATCCCTATAAGGTTTCAATATATTTTATAATCATGGTTGATCGATTTTACATCAGATTCATTTTCATCCATCCGTAAATTAGTAAAAAGATATGTTACGGGATTATATAATAAGAAATGATACAAATTAAAAATGACACATTCTCTTCTTTTTTTATATCTTGATATTAGTTTTTGTAGTGTAGTATTTGAAACCCCTCGAAACAAACAAATGTTATTGATGTAAAATGTGGAAATGTAATTATAAAAAGTTGGAACTATTGATTTGACGAATCAAAATAGTTTTGTTTCCAGTCCATTGAACATAGAAAGTATTGTATCATAGTTGTTCTCTCGAAACATAATATTACTATTCCGGTTTTTGATATCTGTGAAAATGCGATTAATAGTTTTTGAAACTGTATCGAATCAAAAAAGGGTGTTATTATGAAAAAAAAAAACATTCCGACATTTGACACCAACTCGAATAATGGATGGGAAATTATGAAAGAATGTTCTTGATCTTCAATCAAAAAAAAAGAACACCTTTGATATCATCAAGGAATTACGGTTAAAAAGTAGAAGCCATATCTACGATAATAGGCTGAATGGAAGAAAAAAAGTTATGCAATAATTTTTTCCACATTTTCTAGACGTCTGCAAATCGAAGTGTTCACAAATTCCTCAGTTCGAAGTTTTTCTCTCATATTATCCCTCACCCCTTGAAGAATTCACCATCAAACAGTGAAACTGTTTTCTTTCCCTTACAGATGTTTTTCTTTCTCGATTCGCACGGAATTTATATGAAAAAGGGCAATCCAATAAAATAGTCGAATATTACTATTTTGGTCAACAGATGCTTGACAGATGTCGAGATATTTTGTTTCACGAATCTTCTACAAAAGTGACTTTTTTTTATGATCGAACCAGTTTGCATCATAAAATAGTTAACGAGTTAATGGAAGTGATCTATAAATCAATATAGCACTGAACAATTTCAAAAGTTTTGGATGAATAGTATCGAAAAGATAGATGTATTTATTGCTTCGATTTAATTGTCGAAATTAAATTAATTCCCTTTCATTCAAAGTTTTGTTTCACACATCATCGAAATTTTCTGGCAAATTAACTTTTTGTTGAATTAATTTGACCATAAAAGGTCGTTTGTTTGCAAAACAAGTTCAAACATCACTCAATCATTTCCAAAAATTCAACAAATCAAATATTTGTTTTTATTCAGGATCTTGAAGTACTTCTTCTTCCAACTCCTGAAAAAGTCGAACCAAAGTATGATGATTTTGATGATGAAACAACGGAAGAAGTTGCGGCATCAAAACCAGCTCGAAAATTGAATCCTGATGGAAATATCAAGAAAAGTTCGAAGGGAGATCAGAACTTCCAAAAAATCAATTTGAGAAAGAAACAATTTGTGAGAGGAAAAGTAAGAGTTTCAATTAAAACAACGAAAATAATCTTTGATTTTTTCAGGTAACCGCCGAACAAAAACGAAAGTTCAAACGGAAACAAATGTTCAAAAGAAAATAATGTAAGTACGTTAAAACTATGTTTTTATCTGAAAGAAATAAAAAATAACAACAAATATTCAAATTATTATTAGAAAACATGAAAAAAAACATTTGGAATGACTTAAATTCGTCAAAAAAAAGGGAAAAGCCCCAGAAAAAAGAATTAGAGAAGGCACTCGTTTGGTGTTAAGAGAATAAAAAGAAAAACAATTATAATTATAATAATCTAAATGGATTCTTTGAACTCTTTGTGTGGAATGGTGTTTTGTTGTTCTTCCAAGAATCTTCTCCACAAATCATTAATTACATCATGGGTGAAAACTGATCCACTGTTGTTATCGATGAGATGAGTGATGAAAACACCATCGGATTGAAGTTTTTGATCGAGGAATTTGTCCAAAACACGGAGGCCTGAAATGAAAGTTATTATTTGAAAGAAATATTAATGGTGGTTTTCACAGGCCCTTTTAGTTTCTCATGCCTTTTTGCATATAATTTATTAAATTTGACGAATTCTCACGCCTATTCATTGGTTGCCGAAATAAGAATCGATCTCATAAAAATTAGAATAACAATTAGTACAAGGACATTCATTTCATGTTTACCTGATGTATCCTCTTCTCCTCCAACATTTCCGCTAACTCTCAAATATGAAAGAATGTGTTGCTTGCGAACATTGCGGAACAAAAGTTTGCGAACCCAGTTGACAAGATTGAGGGCTGTCAAAAATCCGACAAGAACGAGCCAGAACCAAATGAAAACGTAAACCTGAAAAACATAATTATTATATGTACTTCCCCTTTTTTTATTGTTCTTCCAGTTTTATTTCCACCCATTCTCGGTCGGTCAAAAAATAACTAGCCATTGGTGTCAAGGCTATTTTCGATGGTTATCGAAACGAAAATTAAAGGGAGGTGGGTGGAGATAATCATCATCATGATTGGGTTCTTTTCCCTCATATGACTGACTGACTATTACTAGTTTAGGCGAGGCAAAAGGTGTGAAGGTTTCAAGGACATGTTTTCGGTTATTGTTGTTTTTTGTTTGGAGGAATTAAAATGTAATGGGATTTGGACTGAATGTGGCGAGAAGGTCGTCGAGACTTAGAAAAGAAAAACAAGGCATGATGCAATTTGTTTTCGAAACTCACTTTTTCATTGAACATGTTGATCATCAAAACGCATTGAACTGTATGACGATGCTTGTTTCCGAGAACACGAACTTCGAAATCGCACATTGTGACTCTGAAAATGCATCATTTTGAATTCTACTTGAAATATTCCCAAAAATATTTCAGTCCCTCTTTTCTCCACGCAAAAAAATTCGTGTACTTCTTTGTTTGCACAAAAATGTGTATGTATGTCGTAAATGGAAGTGACAAATATTGGTAGAATTTTACTACTACCATTATTATTCCCCTTTCATGGAAAAAACTACAATAGTAGTAAAAATTTGCATGTATTTACTAATTGACTTTTAGATTAGTGTGGAAATGAGACAAACCTTGGGAAATGTCCACTCTCTTCCCATTCACGTCCTCTAAGAATATCATTGAGGATTCCAACACCCCAGAAAGTATAGGTGGTTGACAAAAAGCTGAAAAAAATATTACGAATTTCAAAGAAAATTTCAGTTTTGTAAAATCATACTTGTTAAGAATAACAAATTGAGCAATGATTTGAACAAGATACAAAACTTTGGTAAAAATGTAGAGATAGGCAAGATAAGATCCGTTGTGTGTGAAAGAACCATGTGCTGAAAAAAATAATAAAAATAGAGAATGTCCCTCAAATTTGTACTATTTTTGTTTGATTTTTTTTCGATGATAATAATAATAGGAATAATGTGTTATAAAACGATGACTAATTTCAGAAAAAAAAGAAGAAAAACATTCGAAAAAAAAGACTCACAATACTTTGAGAATCGTTTTTGAAGAGTAACAGCTTCGAAAATGTGAGCGGCAGTAGATTTTGCACTTTCTTGACGTGCTTTTTCGTTAACTTTGTCGGCATTTTTAGCACCAAAAAGAAGTTTCTTGAGAGCGACACCTGTAATTAATTATTATTTTCAATCAGTTTTCTCATCAAAACATCGTAATTCGATTACAATTTTCACACAACTGTACACATATATTTTTGTTTGATCTATCGAAAACACTTTTCAAAATTGGCCCAAATTTGGTCCCTCTCCAATTTTGGTCGTTTTTTTGGATGCGAAGACCAACGATGAGTCATTCTTTTTTTTGTAACAAAAGGTTGAGGGAATGAGCAGTGCGTACTATTTTTTGGATCATTGCCAATCGACAATTTGTCGTGTGAAAAATAATGATGAGATATTTTTCAAAAATATTTACCTGAATTGAAATTCATAAGGCGCCAGAAAAGCGATGGAAGGTAGAAGAGAATTGCTTGAAGTCCAAGAATGAAAGGAACCCATTGGTAGTATCCTTAAAATAATTTGGTTGAAATATATTTTGAGAAAAGTAGTGATAAGAAACTAACCAATCTCAGCAGCTTCTCGATCGAGTTCCGAATCTGGGATATATTTATCTGGATTGATAAAATATGTGTTTTGCACAAAACAATAGTTTTCACTGTATTGCTCCCAAGCACCAGTAAATTGTGCAGGAATCCAACATTGAATTGGTTGTCCGACATATTGTTTTGCCGAAAGAGTCAATGCGAAAATAATGAGCAACATAGGAGTCCAATAATAATTGAGACGATCGATTGAATCATCATCGTATTGTTTGTGAAGTCCTTTAAGGAATGCATCTAAGAAGAACATATTGACTGGCCTATTTCGATCCCTCGATTTCTTCTTCTTCTTTTTTCTTATCAATCTATTCTAGAAAGTTTAACCAACGCTGTAAAAAAATAATTGGCTCACAAAAAAATAAATGTTTTGAGAAAATCAAAAAATGCTATATCATAAAAAATAATTGGGGTCAGCGATGATTTACAGTAACCAGAGAAAGAAAACTAAAACAAATCAAATAAAAAATAATATCAGAATTAATTTGATGATTCCAAAAAGAAATTTACATATTCCCTCAATAAATTTTACTTTCGCAATTTTTTAGAACATATTATGTACATGTTTTTTTCGGGGCGATATTTACAAGTCGTAAAAAATTGAAAAAAAAATAAAATAAAAAAATACGCAAGATAAGTGAAAAATATTTGTTTTTTTTTTGAATATCGTAATTTTTATTTCTAGAAAAAAAATCGATGGAAGAAAAAACATATAATATATTTTTATGTTTTGTTGCTTTTTTCTCTATAGAATAAATAATATAAAATCAAAAACTTCTGAAAGTTTTCTCAAATTTTAGGATGAATTCTAAATTGGAATTGAGGAAATATGGGACCCTAGAATATTTTGAGGCTAGAATTGGGTAATCTATAAATTTTTTGGAATACTCCAGAAATCTGTCAATAGAGTGAACTTACGGAAAAACAAAAACCAGATGGAACAAAATTCGTAGAAACTATAAAACCGAAAAACAGTGGCGACGACGATTTGACAGAAGACGAAGAAGAGGAAAAAGAGACGAAGAAGAAGACAACGATGATCGGCGGAGGCGAAACACTGTGTAACCTGCGTCTCTTTCGTTTTTTACAGTGTCTCTCTTCAGACTCCGCCCACATTTTTCATTTTTGTTGCAAGAAGAAGAGACGCAGAGAAGTTAGACGAATTTCATTGCAAATTCGGATTATGATAATATTCATGTACTTTTTGCATGAAATTCAAACTTGTAGTTTTTAGAGGCATTGTATCCTCAACATATTGTTCTTGAGCGAAATCGGGAAAAGATGACACCTTTTAAGCAAATCAAAATTTGTTGAGAAATTTTTGAAACACCGTTTCCGCAAAAATACCGTGAGTCGAGTGCTTTCTCGGCACCAATTTTCCTAAAATATCGTAGAAACAAAACAACAGTTATAAAAGGAAAAGGAATGAATTTAGAGAAATCTCAAAATGAAATAAATAACAAAACATACGGGAACATTTGAACGCAACTTTTTTTGCATGTTCGAAACATGGCATTTAATTAAGAAAATCATAGGAACACTGAGGAATTCGAAAAAAGCTTTTCAAATGTTTTTGGCGCGCAACACTCACCGTATACTTTTTTTCTTGAAGTTGTTGTCTAGACTTTTGAAAAGTACATTTTTCTTTTGTCTTTCAAAAAAAGAGCCGACAAAGGGGATTACGGTAGTGTTAATTGGCTTTCTATTCATTCTTTTTCTTTTATTTTTTCTCTATGAAAGGAAGTGAAGGTGGAAAACAAAATATTAGAAGTTTTTATTAAAGTTCAAGCAACAAAAAGTAAAACATGGGGACTAAAATAAAATAAAATAAAGAAGAATTACATTTCGGTCTCATCGAAATTCTTCAACAATGGATCGGCATCTTTAACAAGAAGAGGAGGAGCTGAATATGGTGGAGGAGTGGCTGTGTTGAATTTGGACCACATGCTTGAAAGAAGCTCCAAAACTGGAGTTTTTCCGTTGTTTATTTCTGGAAAGTATTAGAAATTATTTCGCGGAACTAGATTTGATAATAACTAACCGATGAGTCTCAAAAGGAAAACAGTATCTGGAGACAAGTGTTCAGTCACAAATTGTTGCAATTTTCCTCTGTTATTCTTGACTTTTGGATCAATATCCTCAATGTATGGTTTGACGAATTCTTTGGTATTTCTTGAACCAAAAGATCTCAAAACCCATTGAACAAAGTTGGCAAAAGTAACAACTGAAAGCACACAAAGCCACCACCAAAGAGCAACAAAGATCTTCTCATTGAACATATTAATCATAAGAACACATTGAACTGTATGTTTATGAATATTATCCAAGTTTCGAACTTCGTATTGGCACATTGTTACACGTGGGAAATTTCCAGTTTCTGGCCATTCGAGTCCACGTGCCAAATCTTTTGATACTTCGTATCCCCAGAAATATGAATTAACTCCAAGCATTGATTTGAGAAGGAAGAATTGAAGAAGAACATTGAAAAGATATAACAATTTGGTGAACTGAAAATAGAACAAATTGAAAATTTGGAATTTGCGATTAGGATATTTACCAAGTATGCGATAAGAATAGCTGATTTATCAGCAGTTCTTTGATATCTCGTCTCAAAATGAAGATTACGGTGTCTTTTTTGTGAAATATATCCAGCCATTGTATTCATTGTTCCACTACGTGATTCTTCATTTCCTTCAGTTGCTGTGCAAGTATTACAAAGTGAGGTGACATTTTGACCCGCCATTCCATAAAGCATTCTCCAAATTACAACTGGCAAATAGAACATCAAAGCTTGAAGAGCAAGAATGAATGGAACCCATTGGTAATATCCTGAATATTTATTTGAATTTAGAAAGAAAACATGGTAGAGAGTGACTCACCAATTTGGTTAGTATGAGCCAAACTTGTTGTGTTTTCGCGTTCTCCAATTTGATTTTCCCAGTTGAAAGATTTTTCGGATTTGTCCGCTTCTAATGGGACAAAAAATGTGTTTTGAACAAAACAGTAATCTAGAGCATATTCAGCCCACCATCCTTTATAATAAGCTGGAAACCAGCAATCGATTGGGCTTCCAACAAAACTGAAAAATCAGAAAATTATTTTGTTTTCCATTTTTTTTCGCAAAACAAACCTCCATCCTGTTATAAAAGCGGAGCCAAGAACCAAACCAATAGTTGTCGCGCAATAATTCAATTTATCGACAAAATCACCATCTGGTTGTGGCGAAACCGCCGACAACAAGTTCATCACAACATTCATTGTGCCAGCTTGTTGTTTTTACGGCTCACAAATCAAAAAAAAGGCGCGACGAATGGATCACAAAATGTATATAACACAACGATGGAAAAAGAAAAGAAGAAACAACTACCAGCAAAAAAGAAGACGATGTTGTCGTGTTGTCTGCGTCTCTCTAACACTGTATTCTGAAATATTGAAGAGAAGAGGAGGACAGCGATAGACAGAATTCGAAAAATAAAAAGGGGTGGAGTTTACTGTGAAGGCATGCAAAAAAGAAATGAGAGATTGAGAGAATTTGAGAGAACATTGAAGAGAAAGAGACGCAGATGAGTCAAGGTTACTGTGTTTGGAATAGAGAAATGAGGAGAAGAAGATGGGAACTACTATTGAATATTCAATTTGAGGGACTAACAAGGTATTATGATCAGAAACTTTTCGTATTTGAACTCTGATTTTGAAATTTAAAAATGTAAGAAAAAGGAAACAAATGTTACACACTTATCAAATTGGCTTTAAATCTTGAAGAAGAGGGAAACAAGTTTGATTGAGGGAATTTTTTTGGAATTGAACTGCCAAGAAAGTTTTTCACGAAATATAAATTCGATGCTTCCTCAAAAATATCAAATTTATCAGAAACCGAAGCACAAAATATTATTCGGAATTCTAAGAAAAACTGAGTTTGACTTTGTTCGAAAAAATTCAAGCATTCGGCCTGAAAAATTGTGAACTTTGAATATTTTTGCCTCGCAAATATTTAAATTATCAAAACAGTTCGTCTTATAACAACTTTTTTGAGAATACTTTTTCAACTCGAAAATTAAAAAAAGTCAATCTTCGAGTCCCTTTCTTTATTTTGAAAATTTTGTTGAAAACTTTGACATCAAAAATGTTTTTTCAAGTGGGAACTCTGAATAAGTTTGTTTTTTGATTTGAAAAATATCCCTTCTTCAATACATACATTCCCAAATTCGGTTATCTTATTTTTTTTTAGAATTTGTTTTCAAGAAAAATTGTTGATTTTAGCGCTTCTCCAATTAAAGATTATAATTCATTTAGTTTTCGAACTTCGCAAAAAATAATCAAATTGACTCAAAAAACAAGAATTCGTATACGTTTGTTCCAATTCCCTCTTTTTTCACCAAATAAACACTTTTCAGACCCAGTCATTCTGAAAAAAAAAACACTTTTTATAGGACCTACCAGACAACAAAAAACGAACATTTAATCTCATTGTTGTTTTTATTTTTTGCTCGCTCAGTTGAAGTTTCGAAGACCAAGGTGTTTTTTTTCATATTTGCACAAAAAAATGAACCCTTGGAATTCGACAATTTTTTATTTCCGTTTTTTTTTCTTTTGCTGCTGAGGTGACAATAAGAAAAAGAACATTATACACACTTGGAAAAGTTCGAACACTTTTGAATTTTTGACTGACATATCTAGATTTTTATTAGATTGGATTATGATTCTTAAATAAAGGTAGCTTCCCGAGGAAATATATTATTTAGATTGATGCTTATTTTCTTTTTAAGATTCTTGGTTTTTTTGCTGGAAAAATGATTGAGTTATTTTCACTAGGAAAATGAAAGGTATTAGTGAGAAAATGTAAACATATTCTAATGCTCAAAAATTATATTTTTGAGTCAGATTCACTGAGAACTAATTTTTTTTTTTGAAAATCTGAATATTCAAGAAATTATATCCAGATTCATATCAGATTTTTAAAGCTTTCGTATATAATCTCGATGATTCTTTTCCATTTCACGTGTATCCTTTCCCCATTTCTTTCCTTTTTTCAGATATTTTTTGATTTCCCTTTGGGACTTTTCATCATTCTTACAAGTTTTTCAACAAGTATAACAAGCCGAGAAACAATTTTCAAGACCCATATTTCGTTTTCCCTACTTTTTCCCATTCCCTAGTTATACCTGTCTTTTCTAATTTCAAATTCATAGATTTTCTTTTTTTCATTCTTTGAAAAGTGTGTTTTTTCACACAACCCAAAATGTCACAATATTTTTTGTCTCCCACTTTTTTTTCCAAGAAAACCTGATTAGAAGGCACTTTTCTTGTGAGACCTACAAAATAAAATTATCTCATAAACATTTGCACTTTTTTCTTTTTCAAAAAAATTTCTCGGAATTGATGTTTTTGTCGTTTTTTTAGAAGATTTGTGGTCTCCAATATTATTTCAACATTATACGAAGATTGGCCTCTTCCTGTACCTATTTTTCGCTACCTTTTTGCATATACATAATATTCATTTTTCTTTTTATTTTACCCAAAAATGGGTAAAATAAAGTTGAAAAGAGCTCTTGAATTAGATGTTATTGATTTCGCTGAAAATACCAGGTTTGAATTATTTTTGTTTTTATTTAATTTCGAATTTCTCGAAATTCAAGTGCTCACGGTATTCCACGTGCATATGTTTCAAATGGATGTCGAAGATGGTTATGGTTATCATTTTTCTTCATTTGTCTTTTTGCATTTTCCTACCAAGCATTTTTGATTATTCAAAGATTTAATAGGAATGATATTATGGTTGGAGTTGAAATTAAATTTGAAGAAATTCGTTTTCCAGCTGTTACTATTTGTAATATGAATCCTTATAAAAATTCAGCAGCAAGAGAAATTCCAGAAATTAAAACAGCTGTAAGTTATTTTTTTTGAAATTCATTTTCTGGTTTTTTTTTAGCTTGAACACTTTGAGGAACATATTTTGAAGACAGATGTATCGCATTTACATACAACGAGAAAGAAAAGGTAACAAATTTTATCCTAATTGGAACCTAATGCTTCTCTATGTTACAGATCAAATCTGAAAATGATTCCAGTCGATGTTTCTTGTCAAGAAGAAAATGGTTTTTATACTCCAAATATTCTCGGATCTTCAGAATGTGTATGTTTTTTTGTTTTGATTCCGAGAAAAACCCTTTAAAAATCACATTTTTCATTTTCAGACTTGCGCTGGATTCGAAGAAGAAGATGGATATTTATGGAATTGTTATCCATTTTCCGAATGGTCACATCGGATATGCGAATGGAAAGATGAATTATTTTCGACTTGTAAATGTCATGATGGATTTTGTTTGACAGATGAAACAAAGGTTGTTTGATCTTATGAGCTCATAATATCCTTTCTCGTTTTTTTCCAGTTTCATGTTGCTTGGCCTCTTCATGCTCATTTTCCAAAAAACTCATCAAAACTTTGTATTTCACAAATTGATGCATCTTCAAAAATGCCTGAATTTTGTAGCCATTTCGACCATTTTCACGTATCTTCTTGTAATAATTGTGATTGGCTTGGAAAATGCGATGAAAATTTTGAATCTGAATTTGATCAAAAATGTATATGTCATCATAGTACATGTTTTCAAATTAAGAATGTAAAGGTAAAACAATTCATCAAAAAATCTAGTATGCACTTGTTTTAGAAATCGAGAAATAAACGAGGACTTATTGCGCAAAAAAGAGTGCATGAAAAGTTATTCACAAGATATGAAGGATTGATGGCCATTTATTCGGATTGTAGATGTAAAAAACCTGAAGAATGTGAATGGCTGGTGAGAGTTTGCAGAAGAATTTCATAATAATATTTTTACTTTTTTTAGAAAACAAAACCGGAAGATAATTCAACATATTCCGAATGTCTTTGTTTTTATAATCGAAAAAATACACAGGTTTGGCCATGTTATACTGAAGAATATTGGGAAGAAAGAAAATGTGGAAGATGTAATACATTAGGAGATTGTCAATATGCTAAAAATGAAGCAAAAGCAAAAAATCCATGTCTTTGCGCAAAACCAATTGGAATGTGTGTTTGGATTGAACCACCAGATGAAAATAATTCAACTTTGGAAGAGAGATTAGTGAATTATTGGGATGTTGCACCAACAACAACAACATCACCAATACAAAAAAAGAAAGCACAAAGAGAAAAAGCATATGGATATACTGGTGTTACTGATTTAATTGCATTAAGAGCAAAAGCTATGGAAAATATTATATTTGCTGTTGATGCATTAACTGAACAACAAAAATGGAGAATTAGTTATGATAAATTTGATTTTATTAGAAAATGTTCATTTAATGGAAGAGAATGTAATGTGAAACAGTAAGTTTATTGCTATTATTTTCAAATTCCCACGTGATATTTCATTTTGTTTCAAAAATCAATGTTCAGAGACTTTAAAGCCTATCTTGATCCAACTTATGGTGCATGCTTTACTTATGGACATAATCAATATGAAAATAATACAAATGAAAGACCTGGTCCAGCATATGGATTACGTCTCGAAGTATTCGTAAATGTGACAGAATATTTACCAAGTACGGAATCGGCTGGAGTTCGATTAACAGTTCATTCGCATGATGAATATCCATTTCCGGATACTGCCGGATTTTCAGCGCCTGTTGGATTTGTTAGCAGTTTTGGTATCAAATTGGTTAGTTTTAGAAAAAAGAGTAGGAGGGTACTGTAATTTAGAATTCATTTGACTGAGCTGGACAAATTTAACAAAAAATTAATAGGAAGGATTTATATTTCTTTCTTGAAAAAAAGAAAATCAGTTTTTTGTAGTCCAATTTTCCAGAAATCGATGGAGAGGCTCGGAGCACCGTATGGAGAATGCTTGAATGAAAATGAAGAACATTTCGAAAATGATTATATTTATAAAAACACATCTTATAGTACAGAAGGCTGTCAAAGAAGTTGTATTCAAAAACATTTGACAAGAAATTGTGGATGTGGAGATCCACGTTTTCCAGTTTATCAACAAACTCGAAATTGTCTTGTTGATGATATTGAAACTAGAAATTGTATTAAACGAGAAATTATGAATGCAACAAGAAATTCAAAGAAAATTGGATGTTCTTGCAAACAACCTTGCATGTAAGAAATATTAAATTTAAAAGTTTTCAATTTCTTTTTTATTTCAGCCAAGATGTTTATTCTGTTTCATATTCTGCATCTCGTTGGCCAGCTGTTGCTGGTGATCTTTCTGGTTGTCCACACGGAATGTCAGCATCACATTGTTTAACTTATAAAAGAGAGCAAGGATCAATGATTGAAGTGTACTTTGAACAATTGAATTATGAATATTTGAAAGAAACTGCTGCTTATGGTTGGTCAAATCTTCTTTCTGATTTTGGTGGACAACTTGGTTTGTGGATGGGTGTTAGTGTTATAACAATTATGGAAGTATCTATATTTATTTGTGATGTTATAACATCAATTATTGGTTTGAGACCTGAAAAACGTCGACCAGCTCGCAAATCATTTTCAAGTTCACTTCGATGTTCGAGAGATTATAATATTAACAAAGACGGGATTATTAATTGATTGATTGATATTTTTCATTAATTTTTTGATTGTATATTTTAAAAAAACGAAATGAAATAATATCACCTTCGAGAAGAAATTCAGAAAACTTCAAAAATGGAAAATGCTTTGAACCATAAGTTACAAAACTACGATAAAGTATACCATAAAACTTTTGGAAAACCAAAACTGACTTTTTTTTTGAAAAAAAGGAGAAATTTACAAATATATCTCAATATTCCTTTTTCCAAAAAACCCATTCGACCATAGATTTCAAGTGTGGTTTCAAATTTAATTCCTATCTCGAAACATTTTCGAATTTTTTGAAAGTACAGTAATCCAAATGTGATCGAAAACCAAACGCGAATCCATTTGAAAGAATACCATCATCTCTTCTTTTTCTATTTTTAATGTGTTTTTGTGTATAAATAAATAATTCAAGCCATGTATCTATGTATCTTCAACATTTTTTTCCATTCTTTTTTCCTTTCAAACAATTTGTATTTTCACATTTTCTCTCTCGTTCTCTCTCATTCTCTATTTTTCTCTGCGTCTCTCACCATTTGCCTGCTGACGTTTTGATGTATTTATTTATTTTTTGTATGTGAGAGAAAGAGAGAAACCGAGGCAATTCTCCCCTTTTTCTTTCTTTTCTCCCTTTTTTCGGCCACGAATTTTCATGAGAAAGAATTGTGTGTAAAACATGGATTCGCTTGAACTCGATTCCGATTCGTTTTATATTTGCACCGAAATATCACCAAGGAATTATGTTGTGCAAAAAGTAAGTGTTTTTCTTTTTTTCTCATAATTATGACATCAACTAAAAAACAAAAAAAAACACAAAAAAGGAAAAGGATATCGATTTTGCCTCCACTTCTTCTTCTTCTCTCTGCATTTTTTTTGTTTATTCCATGAGCGAAAAGAAGACGGCGAATTTATTTTTTTCTGTTGTTGTTTTTTGTTACCAGCCTATATACTACTATATTTTATCTGATTCCTTCAATTTTAGCTTTTCCTCAATTTTTTGATCTAGAAAAAATAGGTTAAAAAATAATTATACCCTTGTGTATTTGGTTCAAAAATATTGCTTCTATAAAAATCGGGTTACTGTAGTTTCGAAAAGCTGTTAAAAAATTGATTTTGCATTCAAAATGTTCAATGATGACAAGAAAAAATTAGATTACTGTAGGTGTTTAGAAAAACTATTTCTCCTCCTCATTTTCTTTTCCAACTTTTTTCTCAACTGCAACATGCTGATTCTCATAAAAAATAATTTGGTTTGGTTCTTTCGAACCAAAAGTTTTGTCAATAAATAATTTTTTCCAAACTTCGGCAATTCAAATCGATAAATCAAAAATCAAAATAAAATTTCGTGATTTGGAGAAAAATTCAGAATACTGTAATTTTTAAAAATTTCGGAAAATTGATTATCTAACGACTTTTTGATTCGGGTCTATTCTCAGATAATTTTGATACATCGGTTAGAGCTTGTTTTACGATTCACCCGAAAAATTTCCTCTGATTTTTTTTTGCAACAAAATGTTGTATCAGGTTACTGTGGATGTTTTGATAAACTGTAATTAATTCTTCTCCAAACTTTTTTCGACATTGAAATTCCATGTTGTGTCATAAAAATTTGAAAAAAAAATTGTGCTAATTAAGAAAGTTTTTTTTCAATTTTAGGCAATTCAAATCGATAAATCACAAATTGAAAGAATGGTTGGTGATTTGGAGAAAAATGCAGAAGCAAATCGGGGAGCCGGAACACCAATATCTCAACCACCAGCTCCACCTTTACCATATTGGTTCAATCGAGAATGTAAAGATAAATTAATGAAAGTCGAAGCACCTGCTCAAGGAACTTTTGCAATGCCTTCATCTAATTTCATTCTCACTCAAAATACACCAAATCCAATTGATGTCAGACAACAGCTGAAAAATCAACTCGAATATTATTTTTCGAGGTATTTATTCTCATTTATTTTTGATTTGTTTTCAATAATTAATTCTAAAATTAGACAAAAAAATTAATTAATTTTTTTCAGGGAAAATCTGATGACCGATAGATATTTGCGATGTCAAATGGATAGCGAACAATATGTTCCAATTACAGTAATCGCAGGATTTCGAAAAATTACCCAATTAACTGATGATTACAATTTGATTTTGGAAGTTTTGAGAGAATCGAATTTGGTTGAAGTTGATGAATTGGGAGAAAAAGTTCGACCAATTACAAAAAGAACAACTATTATTTTACGGGAAATTGGACAGGAACATAAAGAGGTTTGTAACAAAAAATAAGAAATAATTAATATATTGTTTAGGAAGTTGAAAAGATGTTGAATGGTGGTCCAAAATATTTAGATTTGAAATATGGATTAAATGATAGCTGGTATGTAACATATGATACAGAAGAACATACTCACGCAGCATATGTTCATTTACAAAATATCCAAATAATGTTTAATAATCGACCAATTTGTGCAAGAATAAAAGCAGGAGGTCCACCAGCAAATATTGATCAACAAATGCAACAACCAACAATTCCTGAACCATCTGATTTTCCACCAATGATGGATCTTGGACAAATACTTGCTGCATATGGATTTGTTCCTGTTGCAACTTATCGACCAGGGAGTACTGTAGTTCATGTTGAAGAAGAAACTGAAAGAACTCCGACTGTTTCAAGGCAGCCTTTTAGATTTTCGAATGGAGCCGCAAGAAATAATGGAACTAAAAAACAAAATGGTGGACATGGACATCATAATAATAAACAAAATCAAAGATATTATGATGAAGGAGGATCAACATCTTCAGCATCTTCGGGTAGATATAATAACAATAGTTATAATAATCATAACAATTCAACAAATAATTCATGGAGAAAAAATGATAGAAATAATTATCGAAGAAATAATTATCATCAAAGACAACCACAATCTCAACAATATTATCAACAATCAAAAGAAGATGGTGAAGAAGGAGAAGAAGTTTATGAAGGAGAAAAAGAAGATGAAACTAAATATCCACCACTTAATAAATCGAGTCCAGTTCCATTGATGTCTCCAGATCTTCCAGCTCCACCAGTTTGGCCAGCACCAAATCATTCGAGAAATTCGAATAGGAAAGAATCAATAAATTCGGAAGAACAAGAAAGTGGTGGTGGAACAATTACACCAACACCAATTGAAACAGCGAGCAGTGAAAGTGGAACTAATGATAGTTATCTTCCAACTCGAAAAGTTTGTGATTTCTTTTTATAAATTGAAAGTATAATTATCAGAATATATTTTTTGCAGCAATCAATTCAAAGTGTTGCAAGTTCATCTTATTCATACGAAGAACAAGCATTTCCATCATTACCAAAACCAGCAAAAGAACCAGAGAAAAAAGTTGTGAAACCAACTTTCAGGTAGTTTTCTATACATAAAATATGTTGATGTTGTATTGTGGTTGAAAAAAGGTGTGTATCTGAAAAATGCTCTTGAAAAATAAATTAAAATTTTTTTATTATTTCAGTTCGGTTGCTGCCGGAAGAAGGAATATCAAACAAATTCCAGAAACCAAAAAAAGTTATGCTGAAAAATTAAAAGAACGTGATGCAGCTCGCAGTTCTCCATCTTCATCTTCTTCTTCGTGACATTTTTATTTTACTGTAAATAGAGTTTATTTTTCCTTAGTTTTTCTTCCTTGTTAGTGTTTTTTCCAAGTTGCCTTTTCCATTTTTGAAATATGTATGCAAACTGTTCTTTTAATTAAAAAACTGTCCATATTTGTGATTCAAATGATTCTAGATCATATCATTCTTTCCTTTCCTTTTAATATATTTTTTCAACCCAAAATAGTCATATTAATCAATCTGCTGCTTTAATTGAGTCTGTTGTCAAACTTTTCTATTTTTTTCACTTGCCACTCCGTTTTCTCGGGATTTTAACAACTTTTCTTTATTTTTTGCTTTCTCTGTACTATTTTTTTTTCCTTTTTTCATTTTCTGGGACGGGATCCCCGCATTTTCGTGATTTACGTTGGTATTTTTGTCACTATTTTATTATTTATTTAATTTAAATAAAAGTTTATGGGAGAATTTCACGTGGACTTTTCAATTTTAGGTAGTATTTTTTTTAGCAAATATCTGCTCAAAAACTTCATTTCCGCAGAGCTCAAATTGTTTCCCGCCGGGAGATTCCCGGGAAGAAAAAATAATTTCAATTGAAAAAGTCAATAATTATTATTTTGAGCAGACTCGCAAAGTTTTATTCGTTGAAAGACCCGCCAAATATGTGTGTGTGCCTTTATATATGCGCAGTACGGTAGCAACAACTTTTTTCTTCTTCAAAAGTTTGGGATTTTTTGTGTTTTTCTGAGTTTTGGCCGGTTTTTCCAGTTTTCATCATAAAATATTTGATTTCAGAATGTTCTTGGGAATTCCTATAATCGGGGATTTTCTCAATAAATCAATTCATATTTGTCGCACCCATTTATACGATAATTATGATCGTCTTCATTTTATGTTGACAGCATACATCTTGGGATTTTTTGTTCTTTTGACTGGAGCTAAACAACATTTTGGAAATCCGATTGATTGTATGCTTTCGGCAGAAGTTGATGGTGATTTTGATGAAATTCAGAGAAAAGATAATCCGTGTAAATTCAGATATTGGATCATGGAAGAATTACATCCATAGTTATTGCTTGCTCTATGGAACATACCGTTATACATTCAATTCAACTGGAGCATATTTTCCAAAACACAATAAAGATTCATCTGTTTTCTATTATCAAGTAAGAATAGCACATTTGAAATCTTAATTTATAATTTCAATTTTCAGTGGGTTCCTTTCTTCTTCGCGTTCCAACTTTTATGTTTTATGCTGCCACATTGGATTTGGACCTGGATGCAAAAATTGTTGTGTATGTGATTCAAAAAAAGTTATGCAAACTTAAATGTCTTTTTCAGATGTTGATATGGCAATGATTGTTGAACATACAAATGATTTGATTGTTGAGAAAGATCAGGAAAAACACAAAAATAAGCTCACATCTCTTGTCGGATATGTTAATGAGTATTTCAAATACCGAAAGTTACACAAAATCGGATATCTTCCATGTATTTTCATGCATCCAGCTTTTGCCAGTTTCCTTTATATTATGACGAAATTTATGTTCCTTGCAAATGTCATTATTCAGCTCAAACTTGTCAGCGTTTTTCTTGATTTCGATTCATGGACTTGGGGTTTTGAAGTATGATGAAAATTGAAAGTTAAATTTAATAATTCATATTTTCAGATGATAATGAAGTATTTAGCTCGTCCAGCTGTTCAATCAATCAATTCCATTCAATTTATCAAAGGAGGAGATGGTCACATTAGTGCGAGAAAAGTCAGCGATTTTAATTATTTCAAGAACTTCCCAATTCTTGTCGCATGTGATTATCATACAACTCCTTCAATCAATGCTCCACAAATTTCGACTTCACAATGCATTATTCCATTAAATATTGTTAATGAAAAATTGTTTGTTGGATTATGGGTTTGGTTGATTGTTGTAAGTTGAAATCCAATATTTTTTCAAGAATTTCCAATTATTTCAGCTTACTGGTTTGACTATAATTGGAACAATTGGCTGGATTTTCCGATTGGTTGATTCAAGAAACAATGAGAGATTGATTTACAGTCTTTTGAAATCACACGGAAACAGACATATCAGTGCGTTCGCTGGATACATAAACAAGAAACATATGCCTGATCATCGTTATGATTTTGTTCACAAGGTAAATCTCAACATTTTCCAAAATTAGGTAATATAAAATTTGTTTCAGTTCCTCGGTTTGGATGGAATCTTGTTGCTTCATTTCATGCGCGAAGAATGTGGAGTTTTGAAAACCCAAGAAGTTATCAATGGTGTTTATGAGAAGTTCATCGAAGATTATGCTAAACCGGTAAGAAAGTTGTTTTCTTGTTCAATATTTTGAAAATCTAATTTAGGCCAAACCAACAATCACGAAAAAGGGAGAACGCACTGATTATTCAGGTATTTTTATTTATTTTCTAAATTTATTTTGATAATTTTTATTTCAGAAGTCAATTTTGGAAACGATGAAGAAGACATTTTTGATCGTAAAATGAGAGTTTAGAATATAAAAGTAATTTAATGTTAATTTTTTGTTTGTAGTATTTTATAGAATCTCACAAGGTCCGTCCATTTTTTATTCAAACGTTTTATCTTAACTGTGAATGAGACAATAAATAAATTTAGAATAATCACGTGAAACTAAAATTGAACGAGACAAAAAATTATGGCATTTCTTATTTGCAGTTTTTCCAGAAATGTTCAATTTGTTAATAAAATATCTATCTTTGCTATTAAAGTTAACAGTAATTCTAACTATTTTCATCCAATGTCAATCAAAAAAGAAAAAAAGCGGAAGCACAACAAAAAGTAGTGAGTTTCAAAAACATTTGAATTCAATTTAAAAATCAAAAACAACATGATTTTTTAAAGATGAATCGGTAACGAATCCAATATGTTATGACAATCGAGAAACAGCTTCGACACCAGTTTTACTCAGAAAAAGTAGATCGCGGAAGAAGAGAATTGTAAGATTTCAGTAAAATTGATTTTTAAAAAAATGGGAATGGTTTTTTTCAGACTCGAGAAGAACACTTGAAACAACTTGCTGAAATATCCAAAATGATTAGTAAACGAGATATGGAAAAGAAAAAACTTCCAGAACTTGAGGTAATTTTTCATTCAAATTTTGAAAAAATCAATGATAAATTGTAGCTTCAAGAAACCCAACAAGAGACTGAAAAAGAAGAAGTTGAAAGTTCGGAAATTGCAAAAAGTGAGAAAAAGGAAAAGGAAAAAATAACATCAGAAGGAAATGGATCAATAGTTGAAGATGTTGGAGAAGTTGAATTAATTGCGCGGAGAAGAATGAGCAGTAAGAAATAATTATTTTAGAAATTTGATGAATTAATTAGAATATAATGCATGTTTTCTAGGTCAAACTAGAAAAGAAATTCGAAAAAAAGCTGAAGAAATGGCAAGAAGAAGACAACAGAATGATAGAAAAAGACTTCAGATTGTAAGAAATTTTAAAAAATTATTTTAATGAGATAATATTTTCAGAGTGATTTGCAAAGTCCGGATGACACAATGAAAGATGTTTCGTCAATAAAAGAAGAGGATCGAGCGGGGTCTGGTGAAAAAGCAACTAATTAAACTAAAATAATTAATTTACTCATAAAATATTTTTATTTTCAGAAATTATCTTCAATTTACGATATGCAAAAAGTTTCAAAGGTCAGTCAGGCTACAGTAGTATTATTTGTATTTTCCTCGTTTTCAATATTATCCAATCTTATATCTGGAACTGAATTATCCTGCGAACATATTTTCAAACAATCACAAATCCAAGAAAACTTTCGAATTTCAGTCCAAACGAAAGTTTTTGTTTGATCTTTGTTACAAACCAAATATGATACTTGGATTATAAATGGTGTTGTTGTAATATCTGTCAACATAAATATGAAGAAAAGCTGAAAAATTATGTAGGTTTTGGAAAATATTTCCAGAAAAACTTTGAAAAAAAAGTACCACATCAGCTGTCAGCGAATTAGTCATAATTACGATAGCAATTAGAGGAAAAGCAAACATTCGAGTCAGAAAAATTAGCAAAGTTTGATAGAGGAGATATCTTTCCGGACGAGTTTTGATATGATCTTCTGTTCGTTTTCTAATTTTTCTAACATGTCTCATCATAATTAAATATAAAATTGAGGCAATGAAAACAAGAACATCAGAAAATATATAACTTCCCTGAAGTTGATTTTTTTAAACTTTTTTCACAAAAATAGGTTCTTACCATGTAATATAAATCATATATTTCCGAACATTCAATATAATCATCATTCAGTGTTAAATTTGTTTCGTTGTTGATTGTTTTGAGAAGACAAGAAACTTTGAAACCACGCACGAAAATATTTTCAACAATAATGATAAAATAAAACCATTTGATTAATTTTGAAAAAATTTTGCTGAAATTTTTTGGTGTTGAAAATTATTGTTAGCTCTTCAACTAAACCTAGTTGGACTGAAATTTGAAGTATATTTTGGATAAAAATATATGAGAAACCTTTGCAAACTAATTGCAAAAATTAAAAAGTTCTGAACAGTTGTTATAATAACTGTGATAAAATAAGCGACAAGAATATATAATACCATAAAAAGTGCTGTAACTGAATATTCTTTTCTGAAAATGGAAGATGATGCTACAGTAATACTTATGATTTAAAAATATTACGCGTAAATACAGCCAATGATCAATATTGGAATTCCAATAGAAATGAAAAACGCGAGAAAAATAATACTTTTATAAAAATGATTAGTTATTGGATAAACTGGAACCTGGAAGAAAAACATTGTAAGTTCTATATTTTCAAAACTAAATTTAGTGGAATCCGTATTTACCACACAATCTCTTTCGTGATTAATTTTATATATTTTTCTGTAAATTGGAAGAATAATAACCAAAGAAATTGTAAAAATCAATAATAGACAAATTACTGATAAACTTGCAACCGAAATCAGTGAATCAGTGAAATCATACATGTTTGCTGAAAAACAAATATGATGTTTTTAATTTGATAATATTGACGGAATAATATTTACAGCTGCTCAGACAAAAACACCTGTAAATGAAAAAAAAAATGAAAAAAGAAAAATGAAAAGGTGAAGAAGTAGAATAAAATAATTATTGACTGGGATAATTATAATTTGTAGCTAGCAATTTTGAATGTCTTAAAAACTTTTTTCAAATATCATTTCAGACATATATCACAATAATAACTTCTGTCGAAAATAGTAGACTTCTCAATTTCCGCACTGCGTTTTTTGACATGCGATCTATTTTTGAAGAAAAAACATTTATTAAAAATTACCTTTAAAAATCGGCTTACATGGGAATAATAACGACTCTTGGAAAACACGAAACTATGAAACTCGAAACGCTAATCCCGGTGCTGTAAGAAGTAGCTTCTGAGTTCCGAGTGGAGCCTAGAGCATGAGCCAAAAAATTTACTGAAAATAAATTTAATGACAAATAGAAAATGAAAACTAAAGAGAACAGCATCGCGATCAGCGTATTTATCAAGTTCTATAGAAATATTTTCTTTTTCACCAGAGCCCTAATAACCCACATGTGATAAACTCTTCGAACAGAACATGGAAACATTAAATATAAACTCAACTTGATTGCACAGAAAAAATAACAACAGGAAACAGTTCTCAATAACACTTATATTTTTTAACCGATTCTCACATGCATCATGAACTGCATATCATCAAACCAAAACAACGCATATTTATCTTTTTGAACTTTCGATCGGATCTTGTAATTACTGTAATAAAAGTTGTTTATAGAAAATACCTTTAAATATTGTCACCTGATATCACAGGTTTCGAATTCTAAACCATCTTTATCAACTTCAACAATTCTTCTTTTCGCATTTTTTTCGGAATATCCGCCTCGAATCGTAATAAATTCCAAGTTCGGATTTAACTCGCCATCGCGCCAATATTTAATATATTGATTGATTTCTTTTGCTGTTAAATCCATAACATATATGTGTATTGTTGTTGCATTTAATTGAACTAATTGATCGAAACTCAAAGAAGTGGCAGGTAAATTAAGCTTTGTCTTGACACGTTTAATTAAATCAAAATCAACAAATTGAAACTTCATCAAACAAACTTGTCTTGGAACTTCGGTAATTTCGAAATACTTCAATTTTTTCATATCTCTTAGTTTCACTGCACGAATGAAATTCGATCTCGCCTTACAGTTCTGAAAACTATTTAATTCAACAAAGAATGCGCTAGCTCTGAAAACTTACTAGATTCATTTTGAATTCTGTGAGATTTTTTCCAAATTTGCCCAAATATTCATTTGCATATTTTGCCATCACAACGAAAAGGTTTCCTTCTTCTTCCTTTTCCCATTTACATCGTTTATCTCTACAAGATTCAGAATAAGATTAATAGTAAAGTTATTGACTTACGCTTTATACTTAACAGTCGTTCCTCCTTGATAGTCATTGTCAAACTGAAATGTCCACATATTGTACCCAAATTCAATTCGATAAACTGGAAGAATTTTCCACAATTCATGCTTCTCTTCAAGAATACTGATTCGAGTGCAGTAATTTTTCGATGAAATTGCTTCTTCGTAACATAATTTGGAACATTGTGCAAATTTGTAGATTGTTCGATAACGCATTAGCTCAATAATCATAATTCTGAGTTCGAATGGAAGATCGAACCAACCCGTTGTATCAGTTTCTTCTTCTTCTTCTAGTTTCATCTTTTTTGTAGACGGTTCCATCATTCTGAAAATATTTGAAGTTTCTTCTAATGAAAAAAGTAGATATTTAATTTATATTTCAAACTAAAAACAAATCGTAGTGAACTTTTGAAGGATCACAAAAATACCGGCTTCACGTGGATGGTCCCTAACGAAGTTAAAATAAAAGTGCACTGCTTCATGAAGCTTTAATTAAATTAATTAAATTTACAAACTCGGGTTTTCCGAAAAATTAAATTTGGATAGCGCGCACAGTAATAAATGGGTCTCGTAGCGAAACACACACATGCATCGTCAATTAGGGAGTGTCGTTGTTTTCTTTTTATTTTCACATTTTTCATTTTCTCCCTCTTCTTCAAGATTTAACGCTTTTGAAGTTAGTATTTAGTGATCTATTTAATTAGTGTTCACGAGAAGTAGATAAATCCCAGAAATTGTTTTCGAAAAATCACATTTTTTGGTGAAATTTTCTTCAAATTCAGACCTCAAGTTGCCTCTGATTATTTCTGTGCACACACATGTGCGCATTAGGGCGCATTATGCGTTTCTAAATTTTCTCTGAAAGTAATAAGATTTCCAGAAACTTCAACTATGGCTCAACATTATGGAGGCGGTGATTGGAACGAGTATCCTTCTTTCGAACGAAAGAATGTTTCCATGAATGCGGCGCATGATCGTCTTCCGATTCCTGTAACAATTTCAAAATTGACAAGAAATATGGGTGAAAACGAAGACACTTATAATCTTGGAATGTATCGTTTCACAACAGTTCAAATAGTGGGAACCGTAGAACAAGTCAAAGAAGAATGTGGTAATTCAACATATGTTTTGAGCGATCCAGATGATCAGAATTCAACATTCACAGTTGTGAAATATAACAGCGAGGTATGCGAATCAATTAGTATTTTTCATATTCAATATTATTTTTAGAAAGAAGTAAATCGTCTCGTTGATGATTTGATAGTTGTAAACCTACGTGTTCGAGCAATTGGAAAATTGAAACAATTCGATGGTTTACGAAGTAGGTTTTTCTTCAAATTATGTAATAATATAATTATTTTTCAAGTTCTAATGGTTTATTCGATGAAAGAGTACAGCGACGAAAAGGATTATATAATTTTCAAACAAGAAGCTCGTGTTTCTGAATTGTTTTTCGAGAAGAACGTGATTGAAAAAATCCGCGAAGGAAAATTGAATGACTCATTTGGATTACCATGTATGTTATCACCTCCAGCACCAGTTTTGAAAAGAAGATTGAGTGATGAACCTCTTGAGAAGAAAATGAAATTCGAACAAGTCTCGCATCCATCATTTGATAATTATCCTTCCACTTCAAATAATGTTGTTGTGGCAACAACAACACGTCATTTTGATTACAAAGGACCAAAGGCAAAGGTATAAACTCTCACTCTAAAATTAAATCATAAATATATTTGAAATTTTGCAGATCTATGGAATTTTCATGAAATTTGCCAGTCAAAACGAATATAATGAGCAAACTGGTGTACCAATAACAAAAATTTATGAAAAAATGGGAAATATGCCACGCCAAATGATAAATAAATTTATGGAAGAAATGGAATCTGATGGATCCATTTTTCTTGTTGATGATAATGATAATTATTGGATTATCGAGTAATTTCGCCTCTGTATACCTTTTGTATAGTTTTAAAATTATGTCCCTTTACATGTAAAATACTCCTCTTGTTATTTGTTTTACGAGTTTTAAATGATTTCATCCAAATGTTTGAACATTTGTTTTTCCCCTAAAAGTCCACTGATTTTTGAAATCTCTGTCTTTTTCATATTTGATTCCAATGTGAACTATTATTTATTTATTCAACCCATTATATTTTTTCAGCTTCTGCAAACACGTTTACGAGATATTGCACACAAAAATTGGTGAGTGTTCTTTTTTGCCTGTTGGCAACAATTGATTTTGTTCATATTTTCCCTAAAAAACTAAATCAAATTAATTTTAAATTTCTATGGGCTGATTCAGACAAAAAACAATCTCGGTTTAGAAATGTCAAAAGCTATTTTTATATAGAAAAGTAACAACATTTTGAAACATTAAAAAAGTTTTTTTGGCATTTCTTTAATCAAGAGTTTCTGTGAAAAAACTTGTTCGACTTATTATGTAAAATATTCAATTTTTTTTATATTTTCAGAATGATTCGAGGGATCAATCCAATATATCAGGCATTACTTGCCGCAACTTTCACATGGGGTGTGACAGCTCTTGGAGCATCATTAGTGTTTGTAATGAGACATCAAAGCAAAAAGTTACTTGGTAAGATCATATTTTACAGATGTAGCGTATTTTACAGATGTACACATATTTTACAGATGTAGCGCTGGGATTTGCAGCCGGTGTTATGACTGCTGCTTCATTTTGGTCACTTCTTGCACCGGCAATTGAAATTGCTGAAGAAACTCATGGAAAATTCGCGTTTGCTGCAGTTGCTATTGGTTTCGCAGTTGGAGCTGCTTTTGTACATTTCGCAGATACATTATTACCATCGTAAGTTTTTCTTTGAATATTACCCATGACCTTTTAAAAATTAGTTCCCAATTTTTTCAGATGTGTAACTGGAGATCTTGGAGTTCACGAACTTTTGGCGCCACCAAAATCAGACACAGAAATGACGTTAATGCAAGCTGATCGAGAAGATTTAGATGTTGCTGCTCTGGCCAGGTACGTAATTTCTTTTTGTAAAATGCTACATTACTTTTCTATTTCAAGCTTGTGGTGTGTGTGTGCGCACTTTCCTTTTTTTAGTAAAAAATAGCTCGATAAATTCCCTCTTTGAACCCTTTGATAACATGTTTCTCTATGTTTTGAATGTTTCAAAATAGTGTTAATATCTCTAGGGACGAAACAACAACGACTAAAACTATTCGACAAAGAAAAAACAAAAGGTAATAAGCATGTACATATAACACAATATATAGCACCAAATCACTAACATTCACTTTTTATTTTTTGACAAGAGAAAAGGTTTTTTATAATGACAAATCTTTCAGAAGTGTCAATGAAGATCGTACGAGAGATTCGGAGAGTTTGAATGAAAATCGACCAGATTTAATACCTGTAAGTTATTTGAGAATAAGGGAAAAATACTGTTAATCTATTGGAAATTATTTAGTCACGAGCTGATGAATATCGACAATCTTGGAGACGAATTTTGCTATTGATTTTGGCTGTTACCATTCATAATATTCCAGAGGTTTGTTCAATTTACATAATTGCAAGTATGAAAGATAACATGAATATCTCAAAAGTCATAATTTTAGGGTCTTGCGGTTGGAGTTGGTTTTGGATCAATTGGAAAAACAAAAACAGCAACATTCGAATCTGCGTTCAATCTTGCAATCGGAATTGGTCTTCAAAATTTCCCTGAAGGACTTGCTGTATCTCTTCCATTAGCCGCATTTGGACATTCGAAATTGAAAGCATTTTGGTATGGACAATTATCTGGAATGGTTGAACCAATTGCTGCATTACTCGGTGCGGCCGCTGTTATTTTCATGGAACCAGTTTTGCCTTATGCTCTCGCTTTTGCTGCTGGTGCAATGATTTATGTTGTTGTTGATGATATTATCCCAGAAGCACAAAGAAATGGTAATGGAAAACTTGCTTCAATTGGATGTATTGTTGGATTTTTGGTGATGATGTGTATGGATGTTGGACTTGGATAAAAAACTAATCAATAAATAAACCTTTCTAATTTATATATTTATTTTTTCGATCAATACTTGTGCCAAATAATTTCATAATAACAATAATAGTAATTCAAACAACGGGATCTTCATTTAATACAATTCAATGTAAATATATATAATGAACGATTTTTATTATTTTTTGGTAATTTTTCTGGAATTTTTTTTGAGTTTTTCTACAACTCTTTCATATTTTTCAAACAAAGTTTTTACCGTAAAAAATATATAAAAATTCAGATGTGGGTTTCTCGAGCGGTTCGAATTCCTCGAAAACCATTTGTCGATCTTGATTATGCTCGACATATGCCAAATTCTTATGTCGAACGGGAAAAACGAACAGTTCCTAGAAAAGTGTATACGGATAGATTTGGAGCACCGGATATCAAACAATATTATATTCATCCAGAAGATTATGTACATTCTGAAAAACGACCATGGGAAGATCAACAATTGACTAAATATATCAAGAGACAGGATTCGTATTTTGGATCACAGTAAGTATTCTCAAACAATTTTCGAAATAAATTCTAAGATAAAAGGAAGAGTTTCACGTTAAAAAAAAACAAAATCAATGATTTCATAAAATTATTTATAAAATAAGTTTGAAATTTTTCATGAAAATTAACGTCGCTAAATAAAAATACTTTATTTTCAATTTAGAATTTCCAACAAGTATTTCGAACTTCGTCGACCAACTTCGAAACGAATGAAAGATGTTGAATGGACATTTTTCCCTGGAGATCTTGTTCAAGTTATGGTTGGAAAAGACAAAGGAAGACAAGGATTGATTATGTCGGTTTCCAGAGAAACAAGCGAGGTATTTTCAGATAAAAAGACTTTAAATAAATTTCAGAAATTTTCAGGTTATTGTTGATGGTCTCCATACTCGCCTTGGTGAAGATATGGAAAATAGTGAAAGACTTGGAGTTGATAAAACCCTTCGATGGAAAGAACAACCATTATCAGTTTTGAAGAATCATGTTATGCTTGTTGATCCGAATGATGATTCACCTTGCACTGCAAAGTAGGTTTTTAGTTTGAAAAAAATAGCATAGACAATTTATTATTTTCAGATGGCAATTGAACGCCGCTGCTGATGAATATATTCGAGTTTCAACTAAATCAGGTTATGAAATTCCAATTCCATCGCAAGCCAAAGTTACTTATGAATATTTACAACCAGAAAACTATATTGGTAAATAATTCATTATTTTCATTTTGAATATTTATTGTTAAATTTTCAGAAGTTGAAGGAAAAGATACTCCAGCTGATGCAGTTTTGGAAAGAACTTATCATCCAAAAGTTGCGAGTTTTGAACAAGAAATAATGAATGATATGGGAATTAAAGACGAAAAACAACCAGCTCCGACTTATTGGTATTAAAGTTTAATTTTTGTTATAGATTAGTTTAGATCGTTTGTTGTTGATCTCTGTTGATTTGAATGAATATAAGTTTTTGTACTCGTTTTGTTCGTTTCTTTCTACAGAAAAAGGATGTGACAATTTCCTTGAGAATTACTTGCAATTTCAGCCACCACGTGTGAAAAACGTGAAAAGATTAAAGGAAAATTGTTCATGATGTGTGTTGTGTCTCGCAGCGAAGAGGAGTTTTTTCTCCCGCGCTCGTAAAAATATTTGTTTTCTTGTTTGAACAATTTTTATTCCAAACACGCTTTATTCGTTAGGTCTGTTCTAAACCTAAACCGAATTAAGAAATGGAAGTAGTGGAGAATTATTTGTCAGACTCATCAGTTTTGGCTGAAGCTAATAGCTCCGATTCAAAGGTAAGTTATTCTTTTAAAAAAATAGAATGGTCTGAAAAAATGTTTAATTGTTTCAGGAGCAATTGATAGATAAAGAAAATGAAAAAGCTTCGTCTGAAGTAAAAGAAAGACGAATTAATAGAAGAATTGCATTGGCTATGGCTCGAGCACAAGATTCATCGCCACAAACTCTTTCAAAATTACAAAAAACATCAGCCGATAAAACAATTGATTTAACAAATGAAGATGATGATCCGACTCATAAATGGTTCAAAAAAACGTTTAAAGTTGATGAAAAAGCGAAAAAGGTCGAGAAAAAGCAAACAGATGAGTTTCAGAAGCCTCACAATTTCCCAGCGCATGCACCAAGAAGTTGTAAGTTGGAATTTTCATTTTAAATTTAAATCATATTTTTACTTAGTGTCAACATCGGCAATGATCAAGAAGAAACTTGCTGCTGGTTTAGCTGTGAAACGAATGAAAGGATTGGAACAAAGAAGACAAATGTATGAGATGGATAATCAACATTTGAAACCTGATAGCGATGAAGATGAAGAATATGAAGAAAAGACTCTAAAAAGAAAGAAAAAAGTAGTGAAACCTGGAGATTATGACAGTGAAGATGATAGTGATTATGATCCAACAAAAGGATCTGGAGAAGATGGAGAAGCCGATGATGAATCACATCAACAAGTTAATCATATTCGCTACCCAGCTGATGACGAAGTTAGTGTTAATCTACTCAATGATTCTTTCACTTATGATGTTTTTAAAAATGTTGGACATCAACATGGACCTGGATCTACTATTTCAACTCTTGATGGGTAAGCAATGCTAAATTGAAAATAAAATGTCACATTAGAATTTTCAGACACATCGAGAAAAATGGCGTTTTGAAATTACCAAATGTTGAAGAAATGGAAGCGCAAATCGAAAAACCTTCAACTATTGAAGACGATTTCGGAGATATTTTGAGCTTATGTTCCGGAAAGTTTGGAGCAACTCAATTCGGAACACAAGTACAAACTTCTAGTAGTATAAAACATGTTGAAGAAGAAAAACCGTGAGTAATTTTCGAAATGGTATTAGAATAACTTGGATGGCAAAAACAATTTTCGTGATGAAACATTTTTTAGAAATGACGAAAATAATCTATTTTTATAGACCTGAAAAATGTCCTATCCCGAATCATGAATGCCATAGTTTTGTTAGCCTAATAGTTTAACATATGTTTTTTAGAATCCCTCAAGTCGAATCCTTTTCTCCAAAACATAATAACGAAGAAGAAGAGGAAGAAGAGGTTATTGTTCCGAAATCACAGAAAAAGCAAAAACGAAATATGATCGATTCTGATGATGAGGAAAACAATGAAAATGATGAAGATAAGGAAATGGCAACTGAAAATAATATCGAGGATTCTTTGGAAGGGAATTCAGATGAAGTTGTTGTAGAGAAAACTGAAATTTCGATAACAACAACGACAAGAATCGTAGTTAGAGATGAATCATCTGATTCTGAAAATGAAGAAGATGAGGAAGAAAATATTGAAGAAGAGTTTGAAGAACCTGAAGAAGAAGAAAAAGAGGAAGAGGAAGAAGATGAAGAAGCTCCAAATTTTGATGATGAAGATGATGAATTAGCTGTGTTGAAACGTATCGAATATCAAGAATATAAAACGAAATCGAAAAAGAAAAACTTTTTCGACGATGAAGCTTCTTTGTCTGGAGATGATGTTGGAAGTGAAAATGAAGACGAAGATCCAGAAAATGATTATTATGAAGCTGAAGAAGGTGATGCAGATGATTTACCAGATAATGATACAATTCGAAAACAGAATCATCGACTTATGATGAAACAAGAAAATGATAAAGAACAGAGGTAAATTATTTAATTATAGAAACATCTTACAAGGAGGGTTGATTTTTTTAGAGCTTTGTTGAAATTGCAAGATAGGCTATTGGCGGATGGTGATTTGGGCGGAATTGAAACAAATCGACAGTTCAGATTTAGATTAAGAGAAGAAACTGAAGCTAAAATTGAAGGAGGTTTAAATTATCTTCAATAAAAAATAAATAAAATCAATGTGTTATTTTCTAGAAATGAATATTCTCGTGGATGGAGAAAATGTGGAACAAGACGAAGAAGAAGAAAAAGAGGAGGATGAGACGAAAAAAGCTGAAAGAGCACAAATGCTGAAATTCCGAATTGAAAAAGCAGAAGAATTAATGATGTTGGATGAACCGGTCGGAATGAATGATCCATTTGCGAGAGCTGCAAAACTTGTAAAATCAACGAAAATAAATATTGAAGTGGTTGAAGGAACTGAAATCATTAAACCTGTGAAACGAATTGAGGTATTTTTATTTTATTTTGTTTTTTAAAATCATTTTCTTTCAATTTTTTCAGAAGCCGTCACTTCTAAAAAAGACAACATTAGCAACAACAATGCAAGAAGTATTGATTCAAAGTGAGTTTTTTTTTCAAAAAGACAGTTTTTATATGAGGCGATTTTTTTTCAGCGACAAGCGCTGCTCCCAAGCAAATGTATGTACACAAATATGAATCTGCGGAAAATCGAAATCAAAAACGACAATTGCAACAAACTACACCGGAAACTTCTACGGCTAAAAGATTAAAACCCTCAAAACTTAGCATTTTGGAATGATCATATCATGATTTTTTTAAATTTTCACTTTGTCAAATATAAAATCTATACAATTTTCGGATTTTGTGTTAATATAGTTGCTCAACAGTTAACCAAGCTGTTTTGAATATTTCTCTTTTTTCGAAATCAAGTTCTAAAATTTAGTCTATTTTTGAAGAATGCTCCGAGTTATTGCTCACAATGTCTTCCGACGTAAATATTCTCCTCCAAAAGCTGGAGCAGCAGCAGCTGTAAAGGTAATTTTTGAAAAAAAAGGAGAAAATTTTGAAAAATCAACCGATTTTCCAGGTTGATAAATCATTTGTCGAAGAAGATGCAGAGAAATTGGCAACTCATGTTTGCATCAATGCGTATATTCAAGGTAAATTTGGATTTTAAAATTTTTATAGGAATATTTTGAAATCTAATTATGGATGAAAACATCCCAATTTGTGCTCCTAAATTTTGTTTTCAAATTTAGAACAAAAACTGGAATTATGAATAAAAAATCGATTGTCTCGGAATCTTACTCCAAAAAGTTTGGGTTCCATAATTATCAAAAAAAAAACTTTAAAATTTGAGATCATCGATTTTCACCGAATTAAAGAAATTATTTTTAGTTAGAAGATTCCAAATTTTCAGTGATTTTGAATGCAATTCCGATTTGAAAATCAAATTCAATATTTTTGTAGGCGATGAACCTGGTCCAAAAATTCTTGCCAACTCCGAATACCCCGAATGGCTTTTCAAATTGGATCTAAAACCACCACGTGCTTTTGAAGATTTAGATGCTGAAAAAGATGGTTGGGCATATTGGAGAGCATTGCGAAAAAGACAAATTGAACAAAATCGACGAATTCAAAACTTGAAAACACGGTTCTTGCATCTACAAAATAGTCCAAGTATGAAAAAATAAGGTATATTTTTCTGTTTGTATAGTAGTTTTAGGATTTTTCATTTGTTATTTTTTTTCTCTGTTAATAATTATAATAATAGTCATATAAATTATGGCAATTTCGAGGACATTACTAAAATCAGGGAAATCTAAAAAAAAATTGAAAGGCACTGATATTTACAACATTGAAGTTGAAATCTCTAAACAACTGCTGTTTCATATTCCAGACCGTATTTTTCCATGTCGTCTGTGTTAATTTTAAATAATCCTGAAAAATTTCAATTGGTATATTAATTTTTAAAAAAAACAAGCTTACCATTATCTCCCCAATGTGCACCAAAACTATTAACCGCTAACCAATAATGTTTTCCATCATCTGATTCTCCCCAACCAATTAGTCTAACAACGTGCCAATAAACAATTCGATCATCAAATCCATCAAGTGGATGTGGTCGGAAAACACCTTTAAAAATTGAAATATTATTCGAATTATTTATTTTCTTTTTTTTCAAAAAAAAAAAAACGAACCGCTTGAATAATGCAGAAATTCTTCAGGAACTGGAAAAGCCATTGTTGTTGGACCGTACAATAAAATTTCCTTCTTGATAATATTTCTATATTCCGTTGTATTCAAAGTTTTTCCAGTTTTTTCATTAAAATGTCCAACAACAGTTGGAACTTTTACACGTTCTTTTCCATCTGCTGAAACTGTCATTGAACGAGGATACATTGAATATGCAAATGAGGCTGGAAGAGAAATTTGAAAATAATTAAATGAAAATCTGGAATTGATTTAATACCAAAATGTTTATCCTCCTCATATCTATTTTGATAATAGATATTCTGACATCTTCGCATACAAGTTCTTTTATCTTCAGCTTCTTTGAAAGTAGCTGGAGAGCATGGGACACCACAAGAAAGATCAAATGAATATGGACGACAACCATCACGACCGCCTTAAAGATTGTGAAAACTTTTAAAAACTCCAAGTTATTTAGCATACCAGTAACCAATCCTTGATTCACCCAATAAGTCAATGCTTTCAATGGATCTCCTCCATAACAATTTCCACAAACTGGACAACAACCAATTATATCTTCGACTGATAATAATGATTTGAATGTTCCATTTGAATGAATACAAGCACGATCTGAAGCAACACCAGCAGCTGCAACGGCCTAAAAATGAACATAAAAGATGTTTTTGAAATAATTTAAAAAAAAACTTACAAAACAACTTCCACATCCACCTTGATTTGGAACATTTGAAATTGTTGGACAATTTGGCCATTTTATTCTAGCATCAAATGAACTTGGTATTTCACTGTCTTTGAAGTTTTCAATTTCACTGAAGTTAACAATAATAAATTGAAGAATAAAATGAAATAACACAATATGAAACACTTACGATAAATGTCTTTTCATCGCTTCGGATTCAAAAAATTTCCGAATATGTTCCACATATTCCTCCACAGCTGTTTGATTTCGTGTATAAGTAAAACCATAGCTGCGATTTTTGACACCGAATTTATTGAACTTGGCTTTCCACGTAGAATCAGGAGAATCATTAACTTGTCGAACAAGTTTTCTCAAATATTCATCACTTTCTCGTTTATCATGAACATCAGTAACATAATGACGATAAAGATGAAAACTTCCCCAAACAATTAATCCAACTGAAAAAATATTGATGTGAGAAAATTTGAAAATTTAAGGACTCACTAAAGAATAGGCATACAATACCCATAAGAATAATTGCTGCTCCATAAGCTATCCTCTTTTTTCGATTTCTTGTTTCAAAAGTTGTTCTTTCTGCATTTCCACCTCCTGATTTATCGTTATACATTTCTAAAAAAATAGGAAACAATAAATAATGCACTGACAAAAATTAGGTTGCGGAAAAAAAGGAACCTTTTAGATTTTAGAAATTTATGAACATCTAGGGAAAATGAATTATTTCCGGAAATTTCGAAGTTAATGTGAATGGAGGACCCTTGATCACATGTATTAATGAAATTAAATTGAGATCTCAATATGTACTAATACATATTGAGTATACTCCGTCCCCCTCAAAAAAAAAAAGAAAATTGGAAATTCAACTTATTTTTCGAAAATATCAACTATTACAACAATATCCAAAAGAGATAAATTTCAAAGATAAATACACAAAAATCTTGTTTGAAATGAAAATTCCTCTCCTTTTTTGACTAATTTTAGCAAAAACCGTCGGCAGTCGAATTAGGAAACAATCCTTCAAAAAGAAACAGAAGAAATATTTAATCCAAACTGTAAACATTTCATTTGTATGCAAATAACAAATGATAATTTTCAAATAAAATATGGATAGAAAAATCGAATTGGTTTCTTATTTTTTATAGAACATTCTCATTGACAGGAAATGACCGAGATCCATTAAAAGTTTATTATTTTGCTAAAAGTGTCAGGTGGTTTGAAAAAAAGAGGATTGGTTTTGAGATTCAATGATTTATATCAAAAACAGTAGTGCTTTAAAATAGAACTACAGTAGTCTTCCTACTAAAATATTTCATTTCGCAAAAAAATTGGCAAGAATAAAAATTGTATACTTATTTATTTATCTGTTGTGTTTCAAAAACAAACGGTTCTATATAGATTTCACGCATTTTGGAGAGTTTTGCAAACAAAAACAGACAGATAAGTGATCTTTCACGAACACGGTTGAAACTTTTTTTTTGTTTGGAAAATACATTTTTTGAGAATTAGAAAAAATTTCTGACTTTGATGAGAAAAGGCTTTTAATAATTTTTTTTCGAAAAAAATGAATTGAGAAGACCAGGTCAAATTAACAGCTGTTCTTTTTTTTTCGTAAAATTTTGAAGTTTTGGAAAATGCCTAATTGAAAATAAAATAAACATTTTTGTTTAGACGAGACAAGGAAGCGGATTAGTTTTATTTTTTTGCGATGTAAATACTATTATTTGACTGAAAATTATAGGGGAAAATGAATGTCTTTGAAAAAAACCTTTTCGGCTGAAATGAGGTAAAGTTCAAAAATCTTTTCGACAGATTGAAAACATAATCCGGCTGAAAAAACAACAACATGTTTCGATGGAAAGAATTAGTTTAGAATAGGGTCTGGGATTACTGAAATATTGTCTCAAAACAGTGTAGCTTTGAACTTGGAATCTAGAATTTTAAAAATCCTTTGAATTTAACTTGAAAATGAAACCCACATTTTTGAAAATGATTTTCTAATATTTTAAAATTTCAGTAAGATCCAAAATCAGGAATTCCAAATGGATATTTAAAACTTTTTTTTTTTGAGGACTTCCGATTGTATTGACGAAAAAAATGCTATTTTGAGAAAATTTCAAACATTAATGATGAATTTGGAGGGGAATTTTTTGTCTAGGTGAAAAATTAAAATTTTTAAATTTAAATTTAAAAAAACTAATCAAATTCCATAAATTGAATTGAGTAGATCATAAAGTGCAAATTGATTATTCACAACGAAACTAATAATAATAAAATAAATATTTTCTTTTCAATCGTGGGTTTAGTCAATCAGCTTCCGCCTTCCGCGTCGTCGTATGCCATGACAGTATTTTTGTTTGTCTTTCGCCTGTTTTGGCGACTTTTCTTAGCAAAAAGACTATAAAGCTCATATAGCTTCTCGCAAGGCAATATACAAATAATAATACCGGTTCATTAGTGCTAATTGGGCGATGACGTGGCAGAAAAGTTCAAAAACTCACCTTCTAATTCGTCTTCTTCTCTCATTTTTCTCCGTTTTCTTCTTTCTGCCATCTAAACTTTCCTTTTATAAGTATATAAATACAATATTACAGCACTTTCGCGTTTTTTTAAATCAATATACGATTTCATTGTTTACTCAACAAATAGTAAGTCACTTTTTAGATCACAAAAATGTTATTCCATGCAATAAAAATCTGATTTGTGCAATAAAAGTACATAAATAAAAAAATATATACACAAGTGAAATCAAGCCTCAACAGCGACTTTTTCTCGTTTTGAAGATGCAATTTTTTCTGAAAATATTTATATTTTCAGATGAAGTAAATGAATTTGAAAACACAATACCTTTTTCTGGCGAAGCAGGTTCTGGTAAATCATGAGTTGGAACAGATGGAAGAATATCAGCAGGAACTTGTGCAGCCAAAAGTTCTTCGAGTTCTTTTTCAACATCACTGACATCAGAAGTTGATAATTGACCAGAAAGCATGTTTGAAATTTCTTCTTGATATTCGGCGGCTTCTTTTGTTTCTTCCATAATTCTATCAATTTCATCAACATCGAATAAAGAATTCATTTTTTTCAAAGCATCATTTCCCTGTTTCAACCCTTCCACAACTTTCTGCTGTATTTCAGCGAATTCCAAATCTTGTACCATTTGTTCAATTTTCGAAAGTTGTGAAAGTGTTTGATCAATAATCTTTTCTTGATATCGTTTTTTCTTCAGAAGAAGTAATGCTCGATCTTTCTTTCCTTCTCGAATTAATTCTTTTGCCAACAATCTTTCCTTTTCCATGCAATTTTCTTTTCGTTTAATCATTTGCTTGATTTTATCACGCTGTGTTTTGAGTGCCTATGAAAATATGCGTTTGGAGAGTCACAAAACTTAGAAAAACTTACTAAAATAGCATTGTCTTGTTCGGAAACTTTTGGCGTTTTATCCTTCTTTGAGAATACACCACCCATATCGTAAATAAAACGAGTTAAATGCAAAAAAAGTGAATAATCGATTGCAAAGGCGAAAAATAAAGAAATGACGTGGCTGGGGGACTAGTTGCAATATTGCATTTCTTCGGCCATTTTTTATTATTTTTTACGGCGCTAACCTAAAAAACATTTCTGGCGCAAAAATGGCCTCCGAAGAAGTGATTATGTTATCAGATGAAGAATGTATTGTAATTGAGGAAACAACAATTGTGGAAAGGAATACTGAAAAGTAAGGCGTCTCAAAAATATTATTCCAAAACATCATATTTCAGTGAATGTTCCACTAGTTTTTCACTCATGTCTGAATTGGATAAGCTTATGGAAATGAAAAAACGTGAATCATCTTCAAAATCAACGTATCAAATGGATTCAGATTCAGATCTTGAAATAACACCAGGTCCATCAGAAAAGAAGAAATCTTCGACTAAAACCGATGAGGCGAGGATAAGGAAAATTGAGAAAGACAAAGAAAAAACACAAAAACAAGAAGAAAAAGATAAGAAGCGTGAAGAATTGAAGAAGAAAAAAGCAGAAAAAGAGGTATGAAAATATAAATGAATATTGAATATATTCAAACAGAAAAATTACAGAATGAAAAAGCAACGCGAAAAATTGAACGTGAAATGAGTTCTTCAATCAACTCAAAATGTGAACAATATACTTTTTGTCATATTGGAACAGCTATTCTCGAAATAATTCGTGAGTTTCTAAATTGTTTTGTTCAAATAACAATATGCGGCTATATTTTAGCTGATTTGAAAATCGAACTAACCAAATTATACACTGAAAGAAAACTCGAAAATCAGTTTATTTTCGAAAATAATCTTGGAACTAAAATTGAATGGAGAAGAAAATGTATCGAAATGAGAGAAAATGACAATAATCAACCGGAAAAATTCGAATATATTGTGAGTTTGGAAAATGGACTGAAGAAATAAAGAAATATTCAACATTTCAGTCAGTTCAAGATGTATATGCAATTATAATTCCATCACAAACACTTACCGATGTTATAAACTCAAACACACTCGAAGATTTCATTGTACAGGTAAATTTCAGAAATAAAGTAGCATGACACTGATTCGAAATAGGCGAAGTTTTAAATGATTGCCTGGTTCCAATATTTTTATCATTAAAAATGTCCGAAGACAAAATGTTAAATATTCATTTTTTTTTATTTGACGTGAAAACGTGTAGGGAAAAATGAGCGGTCCAGTGTTTCATTTCTTGAGTAGTAAAAAATAAAAAATCAAAAATGTTCAGCAAAAATCATCTGGTCGATCACTTATGCTAATTGTGAGCTACGGTAAACTATCAATTCAAAAGAAAAAAATCTACAGAATCTCATTGGATATTTTTGAAAAACATCGCGCACAAATAATTCAATTAGAAACATCTGACCAAGTTGCTCTATTTACTGCACAATTTTTGAGAAGTATTGCAAGAAGAGAGAAAAAACGAGTTGAACATGGAGAAGGTGAAAAAAAGGTATCATATGATGGAGAAAAAGGTATTGTTATTGGAAATCGAGATGAAATTGTTTGTGATTGGTGGAATAAAATGTTGGCAACTATTGAAAGAATATCTGATGCACAAAGAAGAGCTATTATTAAACATATTCCGGATCCAATTCAAGCTATCGAACGATTTTTGAAAGTTAGTTTATTTTACTTCGTTAGTCAGGGTCTTTTTACAATCTTGAGATAATGGAATCATTATTCATTTATGGGGAAGAATGCGAAACGTGAACTTATTTTTGTTCAACGTGGCAATTTGTATTTCATTTCGAATTTTTTGCGCGGTTTTTTTTGTTTCACCATATTTTTTTTTGTTTTGTTATAATTTCAGATGGATTATTCATCAGCTGTTTCGGAATTGGCTAATCTTGTAGCTGAAAATAATCGAAGAGTTGGTGAAGTTATGGCACATCGAATTTATACAATGTTAACTGATGAAACGGGTTGTGCAATTGTCGAATAAGTTTATTCAAATAATTTTTATTTGCATACCCGTTCTTTTCGAAGATCTCAATCACAATAAACATTTGAACACTATGAAAGACACTACGAAAACAATTGGTAATGTTGGTAAAATATAATAAACTAGGAAAATATCGAGATGGGTTTTTTGGAAATAGTTTAGGTGTCTGATGTAGGGATCCATTTTTGGAAATGGTCCGTATTTTGCCACAAATTCTACATTTTTGATTACTTGATCTTTTGGTTTATTTGGTTGATTCTCTATAAGTTCGGCCAACCTCTCTGCATTTTTCCGATATATATCCTCGTATAAAATCGATTTGACTGCTTGTTTCAATTTATCGAAATTATCCAACTCGAATTTATCGAATAAAATTGATCCATCATGTCGTGCTAACATATTTGCATTTCTTTTTTGATCTCCAAAAAGTGGTACTAATAATGATGGTTTTCCACAATGCGCTAATTCATTTATACTTCCAAGTCCTGCATGAGTCAGGAAAGCGGTTACACGACTGTCAGCTGAAAATATCTCATTCATATTAGCGTCTCAATTCGTTTAAATACTTACCAAGAAGTGCTCTTTGAGGGACCCATTTATCGAAATGTATATTTGTTGTTTTTCCAGCCCATTCCAAATCTTCTGATTCATATTTCCAGATAAATGTTACTTCAGGAAAAGCTTGAATAACTTTCAATATATTATCTCTCCATTCAATTGGCATTTCTTTTGATTTTGCCATACTTCCAAATGAAATTAACAATGTTTTTTCTCGAAGATTCAAAACCGAATTCCATTCTTCTGATAATTTTTCAGCTCGTATTTTATCAAGATTCACACTTATTCCACCAATTGGAACAGTTTTTTGAATAACTGGTCTAGGAAAATCAACATAAGGATTAGAATTGGTGAAGTATAAAGAAGCAGTTGGAAGTAAATCTCTCCAGGAAGTAACTTCGTTTCCTAGGTATTTTTTATAAACAGCTTCTTCTGCATCGAACATTTCTTCAATTGTTGAACGGAGGAACTGTAAAATAATGTTATTTTTTAATCATAAAATGGATAACTTACACTACTCCATCTATAATTTTCATATCGTTGATGTAATGTCATTTGTTCTCCATGTGTTGAATAAAATGATGGAACCGAACTTGTGTCTTCAATTTCTCCAATATATTGCAATAAAAATTCGAAAAATGTGCAAGACGATGTTAGAACAAATTTGTCAATTCCCAATTTATTTATAAATCCCATACCACAAACTGATAATGGTTCTAAAATTGCAACATCAAACTTCTTGTTTTTCATTTCATCGAATATTGTTGGATTTCGAAGAAAATTGATGCATGTATTTTCCATTAATACTTTGAACCATGCTTGAACAGCCAACATACTTTCTGGTGTTGCATCTGCTTTCCAAACTGTTTCCATATTTGAATCAGTTGGTTTCATTATTTTTTGCATTTCTTCGTCATGATCAACAAAAACAATATCTTTTGTTGATTGAACATTTGATGCATTTCTACGACTTTGATCAGAAACTGGAACCAACAGTGTCTGAATTAATTATTTTACAAGGGAAGTGCATAGGGTTAGGTGTTGAACTTTTGATGAAACGTTCAAAATAAACCAAATCGACCATGCTGATCACGAATCCGAAGTCAAAAATTGCCACAAATGCCTGTGAGCACTTTTCTGGAGCTCCAAAGTTAGAATTGAGTTTTGGTTTTTGCCCATTTTCACCTTGTTTCTGGGCGGAAAATAGATTTTTATAACATGAATAAGGTTGCTCACCACATTCAAAAACATATCCGCTTTTTAGTTCTTCGAAAAATATGAAAAACCAGCTGAAAACTGCAACTTTTAAGCATATCCTGAAAATACACACAATCACACGTAAATACACACGTTTTTCAAAGTTTTTCGTGCATTTTCGAAAATTACAGTTTTCAGCTGGTTTTTCATATTTTTCGAAGAACTGAAAAGCGGATAGGTTTTCGAATGTGAAGAACAACCTTATTCATGTTATAGAAATTGATTTTCCACCCAGGAACATGGTGAAAATGGACGAAAACCAAAACTCAATTTCAACTTTGGAGCTCCAGAAAAGTGCTCACAGGCATTTGTGGCAATTTTTGACTTCGGATTCGTGATCAGCATGGTCGATTTGGTTTATTTTGAACGTTTCATCAAAAGTTCAACACCTAACCCTATGCACTTCCCTTGTTAGTAATATTTAGTTTTTTTTAGAAACATTTTCACTCACCACTTTATGTCCAGCATCTGTTAAAGTATCAGCTAATTGTCCCAAAAATATCATATGACTATTAGCAAAAGTTGGAGAATATACTAGGATATTCAAACCTATTACATTTTGAATTGCTAAAATAAAAGCAAATAATATAATCATTTTGGTTGACCAACAATCAAAAAATCTTTTCTCTCCTTTTATACTTTTTTTTTCGTTGTGAAAGATTGCACAACTTTTCTCTGCGTCTCTTCAGTATTTTTTACTTTGATCACCACAAATTAGACACACTTTTTTAACAGAAAAATGTTACTGTGAACTTTCGATTTTTTTCTTGAGTGCTTTCGGAAACATTTTTGACAAAAATAACAATTGTTTATTCGTAGTTATATTTACAGAATAACACCATGAAAAAGTGTATTTCAGATTGTTTTTTTCACACGCATTGTTAATTTGAAACGAGAAAATAACAATTTTGCAAGAATAATGAAAACAAACGTAATAATAATTGAATATGTGTGATATAAGAACATAACATCTAAACTATTTCTTTCGATAAAATTCAATTGTCGACTGTATGGATCCATATTTGGAAATGGTCCATATTGAGCTACAAATTCAGTGTATTTTATAACAAGCTCTTTTGGTTTCAATGGTTGATTTTCCAATATTTTAGACAATCGTTTTGAATTTTGTTTGAAGGTATCGTCATATAGAATTGATCGGATTGAATTTTTGACAATCTCATAATCACTCAAATCCTCTTTTTTCAATACAATTGCTCCACCATGTCTTATAAACATTTTCGCATTTCTTACTTGATCTCCGAATATTGGAATCATTAATGCTGGTTTTCCACAATAAGCTAATTCATTTGTACTTCCTAAACCACCATGAGTTAAAAATGCAGTTATTCTTTCGTCATCTAAAAAAAAACAATTGTTGGGAACGAAATATTTTTAAATTCTGACTCAATAGTGCAGTTTGTGGAACCCATTGTGAAAAATGAATATTTTTAACATGATCCGCCCATTTCGTATCGTTTGACTCGTATTTCCAAATAAATGTTGTTTCCGGAAATAACTGAACAGCTTTCAATAGATTATCTCTGAAATCTATACTTATCTATCAATGAAAAAGAGAATAACTTACCTCCATTCTTTAGGCATTTCTTTTGACTTAACCATACTTCCAAACGAGATAAGCATTGTTTTTTCTCGAAGATTCAAAACATTTTCCCATTCTTCTGGTACTTTTCTCGATTTTATATATTCCATGTCTACACTTATTCCACCAATTGGAATTGTTTTTTGAATTGTTGGTCTAGGAAAATCTATAACAGGATTCGAATTTGTGAAATACATTGAAGAAGATGGTAGAAGTTGTTTCCAAGGTGGAATTTCACCACCTGTTCCTGATTGATAGATTTCTTCCTCTTCATCAAATAATTTTTCGAGATTCATTCCCATATACTGAAAATTCACATTTTTCATTTCGAAATCTTGCATTTTTATTTTACCAAAGCAGTTTTATAATTTTCGTATCTCTCAAGAAAAGACATTTTATCTCCAAATTGTCCTAGAGTTGAAGGTACATAGCTATGTTCAATTGTTTCACCAATATGTGGTAAAATAAAATCATATTGTGTGCAAGATGTTGTCAAAATGAAATTTTTGATACCCAATTTGTGAGCAAAACCCAGCCCACACACCGAAAGCGGTTCCAACAGTAAAACATCAAAGTTTCGTGACTTCATACTTTCGAAAACGGCTGAATTTCTAAATAGATTAGCACATGTTTCCGTCATAATATTATTGAACCACAAAAAAGAATCAGTTAAATCTTCAGGTTTGAATTTTTCAAGCCAATAAACACCCATACTATCATCAACAGGAACTATATTTGTTCTGGCTATTTCATCTTGATCAACATATACAACATCTTTCGTTGTTTTAACACTTGTCTTATCTCTTCTTCCTTCATCAGCAACTGGAACAAGAAGAGTCTGAAAGTGTTTTTCAAACATGTAGAAGGCTTTTAACAGGTTTCACGAACCACATTATGTCCAGCATCAGTTAATGTATCAGCTAAATGTCCCATAAAATTCTGATGACTATTTGCAAAGGCTGGAGAATAAACTAGAATATTATATCCATCATTTAATTTTATGATTAGAAAATATATAAAAAATATCTTCATTTCTGAAAATCGAACTAGAAGTGATTTGTTGAAATAATGTCGGGTTAGTTATATGATATTACTGTAGTGATTGTACAAAATTGATGGATCACCAAATGAAATAAAAACATTGTTTTTAATCATAGAACTAGTATTTTTTCGACCAAAGTATTTCAAATTTAATTTCAAAGAAGTTGTTGATTTTCAAAAGCATTATCTAATTGTTCTATTGATCATACATCGAGTATTCGCTTTTGTTTTTTATTTTATTTTTCATTCTCAAAATTATCAAAGAAGTTCTTATCGTAGTTCTTTAGATAAAAGTGTAAGTAAAGTATAATAAACCAGATAGTACATACAAATTTCGAAAATAACCAGATTGTTAAGAAATTTCAGTTGATTGATCTGTTTCCACGAGGATTTCAAAATGCAAAAAATTTATAATTATTTATTATTCTTCGTCGCCTAAACAAGTTCAATCTCATAAAAACAATCTACAAAATATAAATTTAGTGGCTATTAAAACGATAAATGATAAAATAATCAAATTACTATGGAAAATTGATAGAATATCCAAACTGTTTCTTTGGATGAAATTTAATTTTCTGCTGTATGGATCCATTTTAGGAAAAGGTCCGAATTGTGCGACAAACTCTGTGTTTTTGATAACAAGTTCTTTTGGTTTTATTGGTTGATTCTCTAAAATATTTGCCAATTTCTGAGCATTTTCACTGAAAGTTTTGTCATAAATAATTGTTTCGATAGCATTTCGAAGTATATTGTAATTTCCTAATTTAGTCTTTTTCAATACAATTGCTCCTCCATGTCTTGATAACATATTTGCATTTCTATCTTGATCTCCGAATATTGGAACCATTAATGCTGGTTTTCCACAATTAGCTAGTTCAGTTGTACTTCCAAGGCCGCCATGAGTCAAAAATGCAGATAATCTGTTATCATCTGAATTTTTATTTTTTCTTTTGAATTTTTAATCATTAGATAACTTACTCAAAAGTGCGGTCTGTGGAACCCATTTAGAGAAATAAATATTTGAAACATGTTTAGCCCAAGCTGTATCTTCCAATTCATATTTCCAAATGAATGTGACATCCGGAAAAGATTCAATAACTTTAAGTAGATTTGACCTAAAGTATTCTTTCAACTATTTATTATTACAGATAAATACTTGCTTGTATTCTATAGGCATATATCTTGATAAAACAACACTTCCGAATGATATTAGCATTGTTTTATTTCGAATACCTAGAACATTATTCCACTCTTCAGATAATTCCTGGCTTCTAATATGTTCCATATTCACACTTATTCCCCCAATCGCAACTGTTTTTTGAATAACTGGTCGAGGAAAATCAATAAATGGGTTTGAATTTGTGAAATACATTGAAGCAGCTGGCATTAGTTCTTTCCACGACGGAACATCTTCGCCTAATAATGATTTGTATACAATTTGTTCTTTGTCGAACATTCTTTCCATATTTCGACGAAGAAACTGGAATTGTTTTATTGAATATTTTCTCATTATTTAATCAAAATTACCAGATTCATTTTGAGATTATTATATCTTTCAAAGATATTCATTTCATCAGTTGATTGTGATGTAAGAGCAGGAACATAACTATATTCATCTGGTTCACCAATCCATGTTGAAACATAATCAAAATATGTGCAGGATATTGTAAGAATTACTCTTTTTAATCCAAGTTTATGTGCAAATGCCAAACCACACATTGATAAAGGTTCTACTAATACGACATCATAGTTTCTCGACTTGATTTCTTCAAAAACTTGTTTGTTTCGTAAAAAGTTGGCACAAGCTTCGACTGTCAAATTATTAAAATGTTCAAAACTTGCATCAATATCTTCTGCATGAAATTCAGTTGTCCATAATATTGCAGTACTGTCATCAGGTAGATGTATTCTTTGTTTTCCAATTTCATCGTGTTCAACAAGAATAACATCCTTTGTGGTTTTTATTCCTAATTTATTTCTTTGTTTTTCATCAGCGATTGGAACAAGAAGTGTCTGAAGTTTTCAAACATTAATTATGGAAAATTAAGGTTGAGTTGGGCAACTCACAACATTATGTCCAGCATCAAATAATGTATCCGCTAAATGTCCCATAAAATTCTGATGACTATTTCCGATTGATGGAGAATAAACGAGAATATTGAATCCATCAACAAAATTAGTCAAAAGAATCAACAAAATCGAAAATGACATCTCGGAAAATTAACCATTTGATGGAATTGAACAAAACTATTTTAAATTGTTTTGATCGATTGCACAACATTTCTCAATATGGGGCGGTACTCTCATTGTGTCTGCAGTAACACAACAAAATGATACTAGAGTTTGTTCGTAAAAAAGAAAACAACAAAGATCAAAAGATAGCGAGAGAGAGTTTTTTGTGAAAAAACTTTGTCTGGCCAATATTTGTCAATAATTTCGATTTTTCTTTCATTTGATTTCCTAAAATTGGAAAACCTTATTGAATTGTACGAAAATATTACTGTTTGGAAGACCACCAAATCGTCTGAAATTTTTTATTAAAAAATACTGGAAAGCGAATTCTGTTTATTTACAACCTCCTGAAGTTATTGCATTTGTGATTTTAAAAACAACAATGGAAACAGAAATTATCACAGCAGTTTTTGAAATAATATAACTACTATAATATAAAAAGAAGCAATCTAAACAATGTTTCTGTATGAAGTTCAGATTTCTAACATAAGGATCCATTGTGGGAAAAGGTCCATGTTTTGCAACGAATTCAGTATATTGAATAACTAAATCTTTGGGTTTGACTGGTTGATTTGCAATAATTTGAGCAAGTCGTTGTGCATTCAAATTATAACTTTCGTCAAAAAGTATTGAACTGATTGCAGAATAAATAACCTCATAATTTCCTAGTTCGTGTTTGTCCAAATAAATTGATCCGTTGTGTCTTGCAAGCATTTTTGAGTTTCTAGTTTGATCTGCAAATATTGGTATCATCAAAGCTGGTTTTCCACAATGAGCTAATTCGTTGACACTTCCTAAACCTCCGTGGGTCAAAAATGCCGAAACTCGATTATCCACTGAAAATAAAATTGTTTTAAATAAGAAATACTCAAGTTGTGTATGAAACATACCTAGAAGAGCAGTTTGCGGTATCCATCTACTGAAATAGACATTGCTCACATTTTTTGACCATTCAGTATCACTCGATTCATATTTCCAAATAAATGTGACACTTGGAAGAGATTTGATAACTTTTAATAAGTTTGATTTCCAATTATCTGGCATTTCATGAGATTTAACCATACTTCCAAATGAAATGAGCATTGTTTTCGGACGTAAATCGAGAATTTCATCCCATTCTTTTGGTAGCTTTTGACTCAAAATATGATCCATATTCACACTGATTCCTCCAATTGGTATAGTTTTTTGAATAACTGGTCGAGGAAAATCAATAAATGGATTGGAATTTGTAAAATACATTGAAGCTGATGGCAAGAGTTCTTTCCATGTAGAAATTTCATCCCCATAGTATTTTTTGTATAATTGTTCCTCTTTGTCGAAAAGAATCTCCATATTGTCTCTCATATACTGTAATTTTGTCAGGTTTTTTCCCATAAGTTAGCTATCACAAACCTTATAGTATTTGTAATTCTCAAATCTTTCTCTGATTGTCATTTTATCATTTGTGGGACTTGTTGTTGCTGGAACATAACTTGGATGATTTGGTTCACCAATCCATGGAAAAAGAAAATCATAATGTGCACAAGATGTTGATAGAATTGTTTTCTCAATTCCAAGTTTTCTGAATAACCCAAGTCCACAAACAGATAATGGCTCAATTATGGCAACGTCAAAGTCTTTCGATTTTAATTCGTCCAAAAGAGTTTTTGATCTCATAACATTTGCACACGTTTTCTCCATCAAATCAGTAAACCAGAAAAAGTTTTTCTCTGTATCTTCTGCTGTTGCAACTTCTGTCCATAAAGATGTCATACTTGAATCTACAGCAACTATTTCCTTTTTCGCGATTTCATCCAATTCAATAAATACAACTTGTTTTGTTGTTTTTATCCCCAGAACATTTCTTCTTCCTTCATCGGCAATCGGAACAACCAAAGTCTGTAAATATTTTATTTATTAAAAGTGTTCCTTCTGATATTCTACGAACCACATTATGTCCAGCATCAGTCAATGTATCAGCTAAATGTCCCATAAAATTCTGATGACTATTTGCAAAGGCTGGAGAATAAACCAGAATATTGAACGATATACAGTTTTCAATGTAAAATGCTGCTAGAAGAATATGGATAATCATTTTCGAACGTGGAAATTCGAAAAAAAAACTGATCAAGTGACAAATGTTTTGTTATTGTTATACTTATTTTGAATGTGTGATGGATGTAGTTAAATGAATCAAAGAACACAGTTAACACTAATTAATAATAATGAAATTGCTGAAAAGGCATCAAATTCACGTGAAAAGTTCCTTGTGACTATTTAATAACATATCTACTAGAAGTCTGACTAGAAAAGGAATGCAATTAATAATTTTTGCAATTCTGGAAGTCTTGTTTGTTTTCTTGGTGTTTTCAAAATCAAAAAACATTTCGTAAAAAATATTTTGACGTGTACAATTCTCATCCACGTTTAAGATCAATGAAACAAATCAGACATCATTTTGAAAAACGTTTGATTTTCTTATCTCCACATTTCCAAATATTGTGTAATCGAGGAAACACATTTAAAAAAGCGTTTGTTCTTTGGCTTTCATCATTTTTTTTTTCTGCACTCATGTTGTATTTTTCTCTATTTATTTTTCTTTTTTTCTTTTGCTTCCTCATTCAATATTCTAGTTTATTCACCCAGTTATGCAGTTAGTCACAGTAAATATTTGGGAAAATTAGCTGATACGCTAACTGAATCAGGAAATAATGTTGTGAGTTTTTATTTTTGAAACAGTGTTTTTTTAAATCTTTTTATATGTTATTTTCTTCAGACTATACTAGTCCCTATAAATGATGAATCGAAAAAGTATGATAGTGGTGCTGTTTTAACAAAAAATGTGATTTTTGTGAAACAAGATGATGAAATGAAAAATAATATGAACAAACTGGATATGGCGGGCGGAATAAAATCATTGTGGTTGATTGAAAATAAACCAGAAGATTATATTGATGCTTACAATTGGTTTATTGAATTGATGAAAGAATCTTGTGCAAATGTAGTCAGAAATCAACAAATATTGGACTTATTGAAAGAAACCCATTTTGATGTTGGAATAACAGAACCAATGTCAATTTGTGGATTGGGAGTTTTTGAATATCTTGGAATTAACAAAACGATTCTTGCGACATCATCGACACATTTTGAAGGAGCAGTTAGAATGTCTGCTGAACCTATTGATCTTAGTTTTGTTCCGGCACATGGAAGTCGAGTCAAAGATGTTATGAGTTTTTCCGAAAGAGTTGAGAATTATAAAGCAGTTGAAGTTATGGCTGGAAATCTTGATATCATTTTCGGAGCGGAAGAAGTTGTTCTTAAAAATTATATAAATGTGCGAAAATCAAGTCAAGAATTATTATCAGGAGCTTCATTGTTTTTCACAAATTCTAATCCTTACTTTGATTATCCTCGGCCGATTATTCAAAAAACTGTTGCAATTGGAGGAATAAGTGTTGATATGGATTATATCAAAAATCAAAAATTAGATGATGAATGGAATACCATATTGAACCAACGAGATAAAAATATGCTTATTTCTTTTGGATCAATGGTTGATTCATCAGGAATGCCACAAGAATGGAGGTGAGTTAGATTTCTAAACTACAAGTGAAGAAAACTCGAGGATTATTTTCAGAAACAATATTCTTGAAAATATAAAACAATTTCCGGATGTAACATTTATTTGGAAATATGAAAGCGATGACTTGAAATGGGCTGATACAGTTCAAAATATACATTTCTCAAAATGGGTTCCACAAACAGCTTTGCTTGTCGATTCAAGATTATCTGCATTTTTGACTCATGGTGGATTAGGAAGTACAAATGAATTAGCTTATTGTGGAAAACCAGCTATTATGGTCCCAATTTTCGGAGATCAAATGAGAAATGCAAATATGTTAGCTCGATTGAATGGTTCAATTGTTATCAACAAATTTGATCTTTCCAATTTTGAAGTTGTCAATAATGCATTGAAAAGTATATTATATGATGAAAGTTATTCGAAAAATGCTCGAAAATTGGCAGAACTTCTGAATGATGCACCATTTGATCCAAAGGAACTTGTTATCAAAAACACCGAATTTTTGGCCAAGTTAGAATTTTCATGAAAATTTCAATAATGAATACACTTTCAGATATGGACCATTTCCAAGTATGTCTCCTAGAATTCAACATCTCAATTTTATCGAACGACATATGCTGGATGTTGAAATTTACTTATTCATAACGAGAAATATTGTATCTTTTGGTATTAGTTCATTTATTTTTGTTTTCCTTGTACGGTTTTTGAGAAAATAAAGGGTTTTTACGAATAAAAAATCGCATTACACCATAGTAAAAGTTTCAAACGAAAGAAAATATGAATTTGTTATATGTGTTTACCGAAAACTATCTCTCTATTTTTCTTCAGAAGCTAAAGTCCTCATTGAATTCAACAATACTTTATTTTGATTATTTTTTGGCTACGTACTAAAAAAGGAAGATGAATATTGTAGAGTGAATATATTCTCGATCGTTTTGTCTAACAAAAGTACAGTTTTTGAATTCATAATATAGATAAGGTACAATTGACCTTCGAAAAACATTGTGTGGTTTGTGACTGTTTGTTGTCTGATCATAAATCAATTACACAATGTTATGAAACTGTAACTACAAATACCAAATATTTTTTGTATCATAATATTTGTAGATAAATATGCTAGTTTTTTTACTTTTTGTTTTCAATTGTGTATTTTCATTTAATATTCTTGTTTATGCTCCTCTTTATGCTGTTAGTCATAATAAATTTATGGGTAAATTAGCGGATACTTTAACCGATGCTGGAAACAATGTGGTGAGTTCAATTTATCAATTTGGCGTTGAGTATATTTTTCCACAACTTCAGACGATACTAGCACCTGTTGGAGAAGAAAATATAAGGAAACATATTGGAGTTGAATCGACAAAAAATATTTGGATTGTAGAACAAGATGAAATTATGAAAAGTAAAATGAATAAAACAGAAGATCCAACTGTTATGAATGGCTTATGGTTGGTAGAAAATAGTCCAGAGGATTATGAAACTTGTTATCAAGGATTTGCTGATATGGTTAGAGAAACTTGTGCTAATCTTTTAAGAAATCAAGAATTTATTAACAAATTGAATAGATCAAAGTTTGATGTTGCTATTCTTGAACCAATATCATTTTGCGGGTTTGGACTATTTGATTTAGTTGGAATTAAAAATATAATCATTGCTTCTTCTGTTACACAATACGAAGGATTTGTCCGAAATTCAGGAGAACCTGTTGATACAAGTTATGTTCCTGGACTTGGAAGCCATGTTACTGATTATATGAATTTCAATCAGCGATTGGAAAACCATCTTTCAACTGATTCAATGGCGAGAAATTTAGAACGGATTTTCGAATATGAAAATATTTTACTAAAAGAAAAGTTTGGACCTGATTTTAAAAGTTGGCAGGATTTATTACCAACTGCTTCATTATATTTCACAAATTCTAATCCTTATGTTGATTATCCTCGACCGATAATTCAGAAAAGTATTGCAATTGGAGGTATCAGTGTGAATATGGAACAAATGAAAACACAGAAATTGACGGAAGAATGGGATAATATTTTGACAATGAGAAAGAAAACAGTTCTTATATCATTTGGTTCTATGATTCATTCCGCAAAAATGCCTGTTGAATGGAGGTAAAACAAAAAATATATCACACACGTATATTACACATAACTGTGTGCTTTCAGAAACAATATTCTTGAAAATATAAAACAATTTCCGGATGTAACATTTATTTGGAAATATGAAAGCGATGATTTGAAATGGGCTGATTCTGTTTATAACATACATTTTTCGAAATGGGTTCCACAAACAGCTTTGCTTGTCGATTCAAGATTATCTGCATTTTTGACTCATGGTGGATTAGGAAGTACAAATGAATTAGCTTATTGTGGAAAACCAGCTATTATGGTCCCAATTTTCGGAGATCAAATGAGAAATGCAAATATGTTAGCTCGATTGAATGGTTCAATTGTTATCAACAAATTTGATCTTTCAAATTTTGAAGTTGTCAATAATGCATTGAAAAATATACTTTATGATGAAAGTTATTCGAAAAATGCTCGAAAATTGGCAGAACTTCTGAATGATGCACCATTTGATCCAAAGGAACTTGTTATCAAAAACACCGAATTTTTGGCCAAGTTAGAATTTTTATGAAAATTTCAATAATGAATACACTTTCAGATATGGACCATTTCCAAGTATGTCTCCTCGAATTCAACATCTTAATTTTATCGAACGACATATGTTGGATGTTGAAATTTACTTATTCATAACCAGAAATATTGTATCTTTTGGTGTTGGTTTTATCATTACTATTATTTTCTTTTTAAGGCTTTGGAGAAAATAAATTATATTTTCCAAGTTTAGTTACGATCTGAATATCTCCAACAATAAAAACCCATTTATTTGAATATTTACAAAATGGAACATGCAGTACTTGTTGTTGGTTTATCTGTGGCAAAGAAATTGTTGTATGTGACTTTAGGTTTGACAGTTTGTTGATATTCCGGAGGTGGTTCAGAACTTCTCAAAAACGCTTGCTTTGCTTTCAGTTCTTCTAATTTTGATTCCAAGTCTGACATCTGAATTCGATGTCCTTCAAATGTATTGTCTTGTTGAGCGATTTTCAGTTTGAGAGTATCTATTTCTTGTAGAAGTGAACTTTCTGTCAGTTTACTGAGATCGCTGAAAAAGTGAATTATTCCGTATTGGAAAGAAAAGAAAAAAAAAGAAAACATACGCGTTGTTTGCAAAGGAACTATCAAAACGAACTCTTCTTTTTGATTCATCAATCGGAATTACTTCTGCATTATCAAATTCTTCTCTTAACCATGTTCTTGTAACATCACAAGATGATGGCATACTTCCACTTCTTGTTCTTTCTACTAATGCTGATGGTAATCGTTTTCCTTCTAATGAATCAACTGAAACTAATACAATTTTACCAGCAGCTGAAATTCCATTCAATCGTATTCCTTTTTCTCCTCTTTCGTCTTGTAATCGAAGAATTAAAGATGGAAGTGTAACTACATTTGGATCAAAACTTTCGCTATGTGTTCGTTTTACCAATCGATTTGTCATTGTTTCTTCAAGATTTTCTTCAAACATACAACAATCTTTGCTATCTTTTCGACCCCAAAAATAAAGTTCTTGTTCAGTTGTTGTAACCAGTGTGAACCCATCTCCACATATTACTTTCTAAAAAAAGAACGAAGTTTACATCTTCAGTACCTCGAAATAATGAAAAATATGCCTTACCGTACACGCATGATGTAATAATGATTTAACTGGTTTCACACATCTTACAGCCATTTTTTGATTATGTCCATGACCTAATTCAGCATTTTCATTTCTTCCAAATAACATGACTTGACCAGATTCCAAAATAACACCCGCGTGATAATTACCAAGAGAAAAATCAATAACTCTTTCAGGAAATCCTTGTAACATTGTTGGTTTACTCACATATTCTCCATTATCTTTTCTTTCTTTCGCAAAGAAACCAAGTCTTTGGGCTAAGTTCAGTTTGTTATGTTTGTTACTTCCCATTGCAAAAAGTGTTCCATCTTCAGTTATTAAAATAGTTGCATCCTTACAAGCTTTTCCAGTCGCTATTTTCTTGTTAATTGTCAATTTTGTTGGATTAAATACATGATCATTTCTTGGGCCCAATCCTAATTGTCCATATTGATTATTTCCCCAACCATAACAATCTCCACTTTCCAAAACAGCAATAACATGTTCATAACCACATATTATTTCTCGAACATTTTCTCGTAATAAATGTTCGACTAATACAGGTTTTGTTGCATCAATTGCATCTCTACCCAATCCAAGATATTTTCCATTTCCCATTGTCAAAATAGTTCCTCTATCACATCGAATTACACTGAATTTTGAACCACAATGAACACTTTCAATATCTCGTTCTTTTAAATTATCAATTAATCGAGGTGTATCCAATCTATGTCGATCTTCAAAACCAAGTTGTCCATGTGAATTATCTCCCCATCCAAATACTTCATTTTCATTTGTTAATACCATAACATGTGTTTCACTAACTGATACCTGCAACAAGTCTTTCACTTTTTTTCAAACATTTTTCTGATTTTACCTGTTTGATACTTATTCTTGATGGAAGTCTTGAAACCGAACTCAATGAAATTGTTGAAGTATGTAATTCATAAACAGTTGACCATGATACAGAACTTCTCATTGATCCTGAAGTATGTCGATTGCGAGCATCAGATGGTCTTAACATTTTCAAAGCTTGTGCTGCATTTGGTCGATTATTTGGATCTAATTGAAGTAATTCTCTTATAACCATTTTTATTTCTGTAGAATACGGTGCTTTTACTGGTGTATAAGAACATGTCATAATATTATTAACCAAAGCTGGCAAATTATCTCCTTCAAATGCTTTTTTCAAACAACACATTTCATAAAGAATACAACCCAATGCCCACATATCACTTTTTTCATTATATGTCATTCCTGAACACATTTCTGGGCTTATATAATAAGGTGTTCCAACAACTGTTTTTGCTCCTTGAGCCATTGTTTCTGTTCCCATTATTTTTGATATTCCAAAATCTCCAATCTTTACAAAAGCATCTTTTGTCAGAAAAACATTAGCTGTTTTCAAATCTCGATGCAATACACTATTATCATGTAAATAAGCGACAGCTGAAAGCATTTGTATCATTATATCATTAATATTTTCCTCTTCCAAAATATTTTGTGTTCGAGCCAATAATTGTGCCAATGTTCCTCCATCAGCATATTCCATTTCGATCATCAAAACACCTTCTTCTTCAAAAGAATCATAATATGCAATTATATTTGGGTGCTCGATTCGAGAAAGCAGAGAAACCTTAGCGAGACACATAATTGTTTTATTGCTCTTGTTGTTATTTTGATCAAAACTTACCTCGTTTAGCGCTAAACGTCTTTGGGAGCTATCCAATTCATACATGTTGATTTCTTTGATTATAACTAAAGAACTATCTTCACGGCGTCGATAAAGTACAGCTGAACCGAATGCACCTGAAAAATAATTAGTTGGAATTATTTCAGAATTTTTAAGAGAATTCAGAAAAACATATTTGTCTTTCAAGAAACATTTGAAAATATCAGGAAACTTGAAACGGGATTGAAACGTTTAAACTACTTTGGAACTTTATTTTCAAACAATATTCGTCTCTAATGAATTTAACAAACCTTTTCCAACAGTTCTTATTCTTTCATATCGATTATGTGCTGATGTTGCTCTTGCATTCATATTCGGAATCATTCTATCATGATCAATATAAATTTCGACAATCCTTCTGGAATAAAAAATAAAAGAAAAAATAACAACGAAGAAAAATAAGAATTTTATGGTTGCCAGGGAATCCCTATATATTTTCAAACTTACTTGTTATGAGGAGCTAAATCTGGTGATAAAAATCGGCTGACAAGTCGAACAGAAACCTGAAAATTAATTTAATATTTCTAACAATGATTTTTTGATCCAACCTTTTTCTTGCTTATACTTTGAACAGCTAGACATAATTGAGCTGGTTCTTCAATAGGAGTTGTTAGAAGAAAATCAATAAATGCTCCCTCAATTAGAATATCTGATATTAACCAACGAAAAAATTGATAAATTCCACTTGTTTTATTGGTTAAAGTTGATTTTTTTACTTCCTGAAATATATAAATTTGTATATGAAAAAGCTTAGAATGGGTTGAATGTGTGGGAAAATGATTTTGTCATAAAATTCGATTTTATTTACCATTTCATCACCATCTAGAAGTTTAATTATATTTTGTCGATTTTGTAAATTCAATCCAAGATTTCGAACTTTTCCAACTTCATATTCATCGAATTTTGAACGTAAATGATCAAATTCACATAACATATCATACTGTAGATTGACTGCATTTTCAGAAATAACAAGATCTAAATTAGTTGCGTCTGAATTTGATAAAATAACTGTGCTCATTAAGTGCCGCCTTTGCGAAAAATAACATAAAATGGAATAAAATATTACTCGAAAAAAACTAGTTGTTATATTTTTTGGTCTCCTTGACAACACCAAATCAACTCAAACTCAATTTAATTAAGAGTGTACTATAAAATAAAAAAATGCTTTATTTTTCAGAAAAAAAAGAAGAAAATACCCATAAAAATGTATAGAAATAATAATAATATAAATCACATTTGGATGAAACAATAAAAATATAAAGCTGGCACAAAGAAAAACATCGAGGGTAATGAAAAATTAAAAAGTTTCAAAACGATGTGAAAATGAGGGTCCTTCACGATTTCGATTTGCTTCTGAACAACCTTCAGATATTTTCTCATTAAGTTGATTTGGACCACAACTGAAAACTCCGATCTCTTCTTGATCTTCATGTCGATTTGCAATCCATCGGAAAATTGATTTGAAATCTGGTCGACCAAAATGATTTTGTGCGTGAAGACCAGTAAACATTGAAACACCAGAATTTGTTCCACGAAAATGTTGCTCACAAATATACTGCAATTAATTTTTGATCAAATTTCATTGAGTTTTTCAAAAAATAAATTTGACTTACGAGCATAGTAGTTCTCAAGTCAAATTTATTGAAAACTTGAGTGACAAAAATATGTGTCTCAATAATTCCTTTGCGATCTTGTTTCTCAACTTCTTTCAAAACATCAACGAACCATTCATAATTTTTGTGACTCGGACAAACCCATAAAAAGTAAACTTTTTCGCATCGAACTCGATTAAATGAATCTTGAGATGTTAATTGAACAAGATCATTTAATGTTGAAGCATATGGTGTAACACCAATTCCACCACCAACCATAACAGCTACTTTGAAATTCATCCATTCCTGATTTCCATCTCCATAAGGTCCTTTTAAATGAATAAGTGGATACGGTGAATTATAAGTTTGAGCACGAATAATTTCACTTCTCAATTTCCATGTCCACGGTCCAACTGCTTTGATATATAATTTGACAGTTGAATCTTGTGGTGAAGAAGCAATTGAAAATGCGTGAGATTCATTTCCTGAACAAGAAATTGCAGGTGATGATACAGTAACCCATTGTCCTGATTTATATATGAATGATCTTGGTCTTCTAAATTCGATAAAAATAATATCAGATGGAAGAATTTCAGCATTCACAATATCCAGTTTTTTGTAATAAGACATCAAACCAATAATTCGATCGAAAACAAAAAGAATAACAGGACCAAGAATATAATAACCAAATTTAGGACTCTGAAAATCAAAAAATTATCATTAATTTTTGAAAATGATAGACTTACATCTAGTAATTTTGGAAGACCGTGTAAAATAGTCAACGCATAAAATGCGATATTCAATAAATGTGTCAAACGGAATGCATGATAAGCTCTTCGAATAAAACACGGCAATGCGAATACATAAATAATACACATAACAGAGACTAGAGCCAAACCTGTTAAACCGGTAATTGTACTAAAGAACCAATAACTAATTGATGGTAAGAAGTTTGATCTGCAAATATATTATTTTTGTTTGGAACTATTTTAATTGATAAAATAATTACCCAAACACAGCTTCTTGGAACAAACAAGTTAATCCTTCTTGACTTTGTGTTCCAACGTGATAAAAATTGACACAATGTCCAACAGTATGAACTGTCGCCCAAAATGCAGCTGTCAATGCAATTATTTTGTGAAAACCAATTGCTGAATCGAATGGAATAAATTGAGAAATAACTGTTTCGCGAAGAATTGTGATGAGATTACGGCAAACAGTTAGAAGAACTAATGCCATACAAAATGAAAGTGAACCAGCTGCACCACGAGTTATTGCAATTCCAGCACCCATCACACGACGTAAATCACGATGTTCAGTCATGTAACGGTAATCTAAAATTTATTCATTTATATATCATTCAAAATTTTCAAAAATATAACTTACGCCAAAATCTTTCGAGAAAAAGGATAATATTTGCTGCATAAAATACGAATAAAATGAAAACATGTTGTCGATAAGTTTCTAAAAACGCAGTCAAATTTCTCCAATATGTTTGTGGAGCACTTATATCTATTGTTGATTTTTCAACAACAGCAAATGAATTCAATGAAGCTCTGTCAGAAGTTGGTTGATTTCTATTAACTGGGAATCCAACTGGTCGATCATCACTGAATTTTCCAAAAATTAATTCGAAATCTCTTTCAGTCAAATATTCTGATTTTTGTTTGACTCCTGCATTGAATATAACTGATCTAATTAAGTTATCTTCTTTCGTTTGATCGATTGCAATTCCAGCTTTTTTATTCAATGATCGAATCAAATCAGCAAAATCTTTTCGAAGTACTTTTCCAGTTCCTTCTGTATCACACATATCAAATATTTGTCGGAATTTGTCATGTTGTGTTCCTTTTGTAAAAGATTTGAGAGATTGAAAGAATTCTTGGAAACTAATTGAATCATCATTTTGTTTGGCAGTCATTGCAAATAATCTTTTCACAAATACATCATTTTCTCTCATTCCCATTGCAGATGCTAATTCTTCTCTTGTAATTGTTTCATTATACATTTCATCATCTTCATTTATTGTAAATGTTCCATCTGATAAATCATTCTTATCAAATGCTCTTGCATAAGCTTCTCTGAAGAAATGATCCAATTCATCTTGTCTTTTTTCTTTTGTAACTGCATGTTCCAAAATGACATAATTTTCTTCAGATCTTGCTTCGAGTTGTGCATTCACACTTCTTACAGCTACAGTAATATTTTCCAAAAATTGTGATAAATCATAATCTGATGGTAATCTGAATACAATATGATTATTTCTTTTTTGAGAAATAAGAACAAATGGTCCGTGAACTTTGCTTGATTGTGGAATTGAATGAATTATCTCAATTTTTTGTCCTTCTTCAAATCTCAATTTTCGAAGAACTCCTCTTCCTCTTGGTTTTAATAATGTCATTGTCGAATTTTCGATTTCAACTCGAACTTGTCGAATATATTCTTCTTGAATCCATTCTAATGCATTTACACCATAAACTTCTGCTTTTGAACAAGTTTCAGATGGGAAAAGAGTATTCAAACTATCACAGGCTTGATGATGTCCAATACTAACACGTCGATTCACCAAAAACCGTCCAATTCCAAAACAAACTGAAAATTTAAAAACAATTAATTTTTGGAACTTGAAAGTTATAAAAATGTCTTACTTATCGGAATGCAAATCAATCCAATCAATGTGAAAACATAAGTTGTATCATTATCTGTCCAATAAGTTGATCGCATAAATGGAACACACGGTTCTAGATTTGTAGTATTAACTTGGAATGGTTGTGGACATGGATCACCTTCTTTGAAGAAGAATACCTAAATTATGATTTCTAATCAATATTTTTTTGATTTTCTCAAACTCACATCTTTTTGTAACATAGTTTCATCGATATCTGTAGTCGCTTTAATAATATCTCGCAATGTCCATTTTCTGATATTCTCAATTTCTTGATCATTAAAAAGTCCATTCAATCGATTTTCAAACCAAAATCTATCACCATCTCGAATTCTTTGGAATTGATCTTTAATAATAGCAATAAAAAGTTCACCGGGTCCATTTTCACCGCCTTCAAGCATTCCACCAACATACGAATCTAATGCATCAATATTTCCAGAATATAATTCTTTTAATGCTTCAATTTTTTCGCGATGATTTTTATAGAATTCAACATTAATAGTTTGCCATGTTTTTGGTTCAAGACTAAAAACTCTTCGAAGAACATTATATGGTGGTAAACCATTATCTCTTCCTCTCATAATTGAAGAAGCAACAACATCAAGACGAGAAAAATGCATTGGTCCAAATATATAATCTCTCAAATCTTCAACAACAATATTATCATCTCTTTCAGCAATTTGTGATGCCATTCCAAGTACAATTTCATCAACACTATATTCTCGAACAATATCTTGTGCATTCCACCAATTTTGACATAATCGAAGTGCTGGATATCCACCAACTTCTGTTCGAAATTCGCATTTCTTTCCACGTTTTCTCAATAACATTGCCGGAGGAACAATTGAATGAGGAAAACGGAAAGCGGCAGCAGAAAATGCATGTGAAATACCTGGTGGAACATGTGGCATATATTTTGTATATGGATCAAGTTCAATTCCACCAAGAAGAGCTGGCACAAAATCATAGGCAATTATTTTTTGAAGAGATGCAATTACAAATCGACGAGCAGCTTGGAATGTTTGTTCATCAGTCCAATCTGGATGATCGATATTGATTCGATCAGCCAAGAAATTATGCCAACGGAAAAGAATCAAACCGAATGATAATAATCCTGGATTTTCATTCACACGCGAATCGCCAAGCACTGAAAAATTGGGTGTATTACAAATCAATTTTTCTGAACTCTTAGAATTTTTCAAATTGGAAGTACTTGGAATTAAAATAGAATTATTAAAATGCGATGTCCAAAAAAAAACACAAAAGTTTGAGTATTTCGAAGAAAAAACCTCTATCAATATAAAACTCAAAAAATTGCAAGAAATGAAACTAACTGAATAATCTATCTGGACTCATCAATCGATGAATTTGTGGCGGTGCTGGATTATTTAATGGAATATGTGGATTATTCAATGGTGGATATCCAGGTACACCTTCCAGCAATCTTCCATTTTTAAAAGATCTCAATGATGCAACCCATGGTTCAGATGTTCCATAAATAAATGATCCATCAAGCCAAGATGTTACTTCGTTGATTTGTTCACGTGGCGAATTCAATCCATTTCCAGTCGATTTATCATATTTTGCACGAATAAATGGAATTTCAGTATTATCTTCGCCTTTTTTATCAAAAACTTCATCATATTTTGGAACTGGAATTCGAAGAGTTTCAAGTGGACATGATACACCATTTGATTTCATTATTTCATAAGCAACAACTTGACCTGAAAATTGGATTTGAAAATCAAAAATAAAAAAAGAATTACTAACTGAAAAATGCCAATAATGTTGTCACATTTCTTGTATTCGGAATACCAGATTCTCCTTTGAATAAAAGATTTGATAATGCTCTCGCAGATGGCAATGAATTATTTACAGCATAAACTCCATCTTGATAATTTGAAGGTGCATCTCGATGTAATCTACTTCCTAAAAATGAACCACAGTTAATTTCGCTTTAAGAAATTATTATATTTGTCAAAAAATTACCTGCAGATCCCCATTTAATATTTGCTAGATTATTGTACCATCCATCATATTTTTGAAATTCTTCATTTTGATGGATACCTGAAACAATTTGCTGATTCGGGTGGGGGCTAACATAATATAAATATTTGTTTTTGGCTTGGAATGAGTGAGAAAAATGGCTACTGTTGTGTTTATTTATAGAAGAAAAATAATAAGAAGAAAAAGAATGAGAAAACGATAGCGCGCCGAAAAGACGTGCAAAATGTTAATTTCCGGAAAGAAACTAGGCTTGACACAAAATTATTGTTGATTTTTTTCAGAAATTCGATAGATTCAAAAGTTTGTAAGAGAGATTATTCGAGGCTAAAAAGTTTACACAAAAAATAAAAGTAAATAAATATTTTGCAGGTTACTGTAGTTTTTTGTTTTAGTGGCACAATTTCTTGATGGAATCAAAAATACAAAATATATTAGTTTTTCAAAACGACAAATTTCAGAATAAAATACTCACCTAATCCAATATATGTAATAGACCAAAAAACCGCAAGCAACAATATTTGGCGCATTTCTGCGCGCCAGAAATGAGACTTCTGAAAAAATAACTAATAATTATCATTAAGAAATTAAGAATAATTAAAAAATTAAAAATCAACAACATCATCATAACAAAAAAAGAGAATGAATGAAGAAAAAGAAAATACGAGGAGGAAAGAATGAAATGCGCGAAATAAGCGGATGAGAGAGTATGAAAGACAAAGAGAGGACAGAGAAAAAGAAGACTGTCTTGTTTTTTTTATTTCGAAGAATCATTCAATGAATGACTGACTGCAAAAAGACGAATTCTTTTGAAAAAAATTTAATTTTTTTTGCTGGTAGGAAGAATGGGTTCAAAAGTTTTTGCCCTAAAAAACGAGGCGGGTAAGTAAATATACAATTTTAGGTTAGTAAGTAAAGTCAAATAACAAATATTTAGAAAAAATGTTCGGGTCCAAAAATTCTTGAAATTCTTTTTTTCGTAGGTCAAAAAAACAATAAATCAATCAATAATAAATGAGGTCTGTTATTCAGGTAAAAGTGCGCAAATTGTTTCTTTTTTTGTGATCAACAAATTTGATGTTGTAATAGTATATTGATCGATTTGTTCTTGAATACAAAAGTTCATATAACCTGAAAATTGTACACCCTAGAAAATCAGAAAAAAATATGAATAAAAATAAACAGGTTTTCTATAAAATTCTATAAGATACCAGTTCGAATTGAAATAAAATTATTATCATTTTTATATGAATAAATATACTAATAATGTCAAGTCATCACAAATTTCAAATAAAAAACAAAATGTTGTTATTTTCAATGTTTTTCTTCCTCTTCCTAAGATATTTTTGATAAGAAAAATTGAATCAGCAAAATTAACTCTTGATAAAAATAAATAAAAATTAAACGGCGACGGACATTTTTAAGACGATAAAATCAGTTTTTACCTTGAAAACGAAAGGCGATTTTTGTTGACATAAACAAAAATTATTTGAAAACAATTTTTTATAAAAGAAAATATTTATGGAATTGATAGAAAACAAATAATTATTTATACAGAAAAAAAAAAGGAATTATTGTACTTCTTCTTTAGTTGGAACAAAAACTAATGGCTGATCTGTTGTCGGCAAAGATTTCATTTCAATTGAAGAATCAGAAGAAAATACACCAAGTATAACTGGAAGAATAAATAAACCATGAAGAAGACCAATGGCAACAACGAGAAAAACTGTTTTGGCAAAACAAACGATTGCATATGTTGGTACAAATATTAATGGAAGCATACAAAGAAATGTTGATAAACCTGCTTCAAACATCGGTTCAGCCATTTCAGCTAAACTTGTTAAAACTCTTTCTTGAGGAGTTCCAGTGGCTCGGAAGAAATTATAAGCAACGTGAGCTGTATAATCAACAGAGAAACCAGTTGCGAGAAGAACATCAACTTGAACAACTGGATCCAAATCAGCTCCCCACCATGACAAACCACCAACAAGAACTGAAAACAAATTTATATTTGAAATGAATCAAGTTCAGAGTTTTTAATTGAAATACTGAAAGAAAATTTCTAATATAATAAAAAATATAGGTTTTTCAAGTAATTTTATTTTTGATTTTAATTTTCTCCGATTTTTTTCTGATTTGTACAGTATTTTAATTTTATAAAATATAAAAGTACTGTAGTTTTCACGTAAATCTCTAACTATTTTTCATCCAAACTAACCGAAACAAATAGATGCAATAATTGATGTAATAATAACAACAGCATTGATATTCGCAACAAACACCATACAAACTAAAGCCATACAAATTACCGTAACCGCAATTGATCCAATCAAATCCTGTCCAACAGTTGTAATAATACTCAAAATAGCTGAATCACAATCAAATAATGTTGCATTAAAAGTTTGATCATTTGTTAGAATTGTTCGAACTTGATGCATAACACGTGCTCTTTCTGCCCATTCAGACATTCCTTCTCCAAGTAAAGTCATTCGAAATGCTGTCACATTTTTGTCGTTTCTGAAAAATAAACGATTATTTTGGAACAATTTGAAAAACTCTTACCCGCTTTCGAATTTAGCCAAAGGCGGATTTCCAATTTGCTCCAACCAAAATTTCAAATTATCATAACTCGGCTCATATTTTTGTCCATGAATCCACGAAGTTAAAGCATGTATTTTTCTATCTGATTTTTCGTATTGCGGCAAAAAATTGAGACTTCTATTATTTCCTCGAATTCCTTGAACATGTTCTAATTCATTCAAAAGACTATAAAAATGTTGATATTCGGCATGATTTGTGATATTTGGTGGTTTATTAACAATAATTGTGATAGGGAAATATGTATCGAAAACTGGTCTGAAATTTCAAAATGTTTAATTCTAGTTTGATTAAACAATAATTGAACTAACTTGATATTTTCCAATGCATCCACTAATTTTGAATTACTTGGAAAAGCTTTTGCTGGTTCAAAACTTGTTTTCATTGTAATAACTCCATATGTTGTAAATGCATACATAACAATCAAAACAATTCCACAAAGAAGTCTTCCTTTGAGTGAGCAAATGAATTTGGAATATTTGAGCAAAAAATTATCGGCTTTTGAAAGAGTTGATTTATCAACTGGTTGATATTTTGGATCATCACATAAAAATACAACTGGAGCAAGAATTGTATAAGTGAAAATATAATCAAGGAATAAAGCAATTGAGGCAGTTAAACAGAATAATGACATCTGAAAACATAAGTTATTTCTCCTCATATGGAGAGAAATACGGTAGATTAAGAATTTTAAATTCAAAAATATTATCGGAAGAGTTTTGTGCCATCTTTTCTAATATCAATAAAAATCTAACCTGTGGAGTTGGTGTCAAAAATCCGATTCCAAAAGCAATAATATTAGTTAAAGACGTAATTGTGATAGAAGGTCCAACATCAATAATAACTTGTTCGAGACGCCGTTTTCTAAATCATATTATTTTTCTCTGAAAAAGTATTTCCAAAAAATAAACACTCACTTATCTCCAATAGTAATATGATGTTTCCATCTGTGAAGAAGAATAAAAGCATCATCAACTCCGATTCCTAATGCCAAAAATGGTGTAACACATTGAATTGAAAATGTTGGATAACCAAACCAACACATTAATCCAAATGAAGCAACTGTTGATGCAATTGGAGTTATTAGACTTGTTGCAACTAAATATGCAGCCATTTTAAATGATGATAATCTAACAATTACAATTATAACTTGTGTTAATAAAAGGAAGAATCCAATAGTCATTAAAGTTGTTGCTTCAATTGCTCCTCGAATCATTTCTCGATTTGCAATTATATCACTGAATATTGTGAATTTTACAGTTTTAAATTCAGATGTTGATTCTTTGGAAATTTTGAACAAATATTCAATGGCATCTCGAAATTGTTGTTTTCCTTCTTTGGTTTTTGATTTCGAAAAATACCATAATAAAACAGTTTTCGAAGAAAGAGTATTATTTGGTGGAATTACATCCAAATTACTCAAATGAAGACCCAAAAATACATTCATTCCTTCATATGGATAATCAGGGAATTTGATAATACCAGTATTATTTGACGATGGATTACGAATTTCTTTCTAGAAAAATAAATCTTCGAATATTTTATTAATTTTTTCAGATTTTCATGAAAAAATAACTCACAACCAACAAATGAAATGGTCCATTGAGATCACAAAGTGGTTCACATTCTCTTGAATCATTAATTTCTTTTCGATAATTTACAGCCGCTGATAGAACCTTATCGACTCGATAAATTTCTTCGAGACCTTTTTCAGATAAAACATTTGTGTTTTCATCGATTCCATTGAACATACAAAATGCACGTTCAGGATATATTGAAAGATTATAATATTCTAACCAAACACGAGTTTCACTGGAAAAAAACATTATTTTGGGGATTTTTTCTGTTTCTGGGTTTGGGTTTCTAGATTTGGATCTGAAAAATTAAGCTATTATGGTTTTTGAAAAAAGTTCAGAAATTGTGATCGTCTCAAAAATAAGTTTTTGAATTGGAGCCAAATTATCAATTATGTATATCGACAAGTTCGAAAATAATATGTGTTTATATCCGACGTTTCGGTAATTATACCATCATCAGGGACTGTAAAATTCAAAATACAAAACTACAAAAATCATAAATTCGAAAACTGCATAGGAAATGAAAGAAAAGGAAAGAAAAGAAATAGGCAACGGAAGACTAGAAAATGGAAGACTAGACAATGGGAAGAATGGAGAGGGGGAATAATCATCATGTGTGTATTTACGCTAAACAGGAGGGATGAGGAGTTTTGTTTATGTCAATTTTTAGATGTGTTTTTTTGATTATTTAAAGTTGGTTTTTTTGGGATATTTTTTGGAGATATTTGTGGTAATGTTAATGTTCCAATCTTAGATATCATCTCCGAAAGTTCTTCCTTGCTATTCAAAATCTCAAAAATACTTCTTCGAAATGTTGCAAATTTTTTATTCGGTGAACCCCAAAATCCTAATTTTTCTTCCGAAAAACTTACTATCCAGCCACTGAATTCTCGGGTGAAAAACTTTTCCTAATATCTTGTTCCAGCCGCAAATGCACCAAACCCGAGCTCAAACCAATAATTATCAGAATACTTACTGTAAAAAATGCCCAATTATCAAAGGTGATCATTTGTTTTTGCAATAACTCACATATTAATGATTGAATTGGATATGCAGCTAACAATCTGGCAACAATCGAACTTATCGAATCCCAACCCATTGCAATCGACTGCCAACTCTGCAAAAAACAAATAAAAATCAAAGTTTAATTGAACTACGAAGTTCAGAATACTTTTTGTTTCTACAGTAATCAGGCACTTACACTTTGAAAATTTGTCATTTGAAAAGAATATTATTTATTTGAGAATAAAAAAAATCAAAAATGGGAAATGTGAAATGAGAAACAAAAATTAGAATTTCTGATTTTCTATGGGAAAATGAAACTAAAATTAACTTGATTCATTTTGAAGAAAAAAGCGATAAATCCTAAGAACCAGACCAAAAAAACAATATATTTCTTCAAGTACATCGAACTTTTTTTTCTCTGACGAAAACAACTGATTGGACAACAAAAAAGGCGAAAACGAAAATTGATGTTCACCTTGAAAGTGGTCAGGTTTAATATTAATAATAACAATATCATATGTTTGATGAAAAAAGGAAAAGAGAATATAAGATGAAAAAGCTGCCGATTCATGTGAAGAAAAACATTTGGATCAAAACTCAAATATTATTGACCAGCTAAAACTACAATAATTATTACGATTTCTGGTTTTGTTTTCGTTAGAACTGTCAAAAATCTAATTAATCGTCATCATTTTAATTGAATTAGGTAAGAAGTGGTGAATCACACAACTTTCTTTTGCAAAAACCAAGAAAACAATCAAATTTTGGTCAATTGCGTATCCCAAGGTGAATAAAGTTTTGTGGAAAAAATTCGAAAATTGGGAGAACATTTTGAAGAAGACTTTGTGAGTTGGAATATCGGAACTTGGATCATTTTTATGAAATGGGACAAATTAACCATAATCATGTGAAATTTATGAACCAAAATTGTAAAATTTTTGTTTCAGAAAAACATGTTGGTAAGCAACTCTTTAAAATTTCCCAATGTTTTTCTACTCAACTTTTCGATTTAGTCTGATGAAACGTTTTCTTAAACAACATTTTAGCCTTTTTTATAAAACTACCGCCTCATAACTATGTACAGTACACCCAAGAATACTCCCTAAACCTTCCAACATCCAAATTATTTGAACCAACCTTTTTGATACAAGAAAACACCCGATTCGCCGCCATTTTGCGATCAAAAATGACGGTCGTCAAAAATGGTGATAACTAATTTTTCGAAATGACAAAATAAACTGGTTGGCAAAAATAATATCAAGATCACGTTTTTTATTCACTCGTTCTTTTTTTGGTCAAACTAAAAGGGGTGGGATCAAAGAGTACAAAAAATACAGAAATTACGGATTTTCGAATTTTTAAGAAAAGTAAAAAATTTCAAAAAAGTATCGTTCAATGAGCTGACGAATAAAGTAAAGAAACAACTTGTGAATAAATATTGACTTTGTTCGATAGAAAGATGTTGGTAACCATTGTAGGCAAAAATGCAGAAATGAATTTGTTTTGTCAAAATAAAAAACCTCTTTGACGAAAATCTTCACCAAAAAACTAGCCACTATTACAATTTATAAGTTGCATAATAATGTGTTTTTTGTAGTTTCTTTCTAATTTTTCCTGTTCTTTTTATTCTTCTATTTTTCTTATTAAAACATCAATCAAAACCTACCTGAAACCGATTCTTTTTTTCTTGCTGAAACTGTAACTGATAATATTATCATTGACCATCTCACTAACCTTTTATAGTTTTTTGCTGAAATTGATTTTGCGCAGACGACAGACGTTGGAAATTAGCATATGTCTGTCTGAATACTGTCAAAAACGAGAAAGAAATAGAGAAAAATAGATGGAAAAAAAAGAGAAAAAGAAAACCGGGTATAGGAAAAAAAAAGAGAAAATGTTGTAAATAAAAATGAGGAACACTGTTGCATTAGACAAAAATATATGGAAAAAGAACACGAGCGATTGTAGCGGATTTGCGCAGCGTTGGTCGAATATAGTTTTACTTTTTCGTCTGATTCACTCGATTTGGTTTTGGTTTGATTTATTAATCGCAACTATTTGTATATTTTTTTATTTATATTTGTAAATTTGGATAAATTATACATACATTTATATACATATATCGAGAACAAAAAAAACTAACAAATAAATAAATACCCATCAGAAATTATTGGGTTGAATAACCAAACTGATTAATTCATAGAAGAACAAGGGAACCTTTTTTGAAATCTGGTGAAAAAAACTCAAATATATTTTGCAAAAAAAGGTTCCCTTTCAAGTTATCTTCTTGAAACAGTAGATGTTGTTTCAGATTGACTTCTTCTTGATCTACTACCCGGTCCAAATAAACTTCTTGTTCTACTTAATTGTCTCACAATATGATCACAACATCGTATTTCTTTCAATGCACTTCCTTGTCTTGTTACTTTTGCCAATTGTTTTTCAACATCTGATTCATTTTGCCATGCTAATCTTGAAACATCTAATTGTTCCGAAGTCACTCGATGCATTGATAATCCTTTTATTTTCGATCTTAGATGTGACATATCATTGCCAGATTTTTCTTGTTCGAAAAAGTTTGAAACCAGTTACAACATCTTCCAACTCTTTTTCATGTAATTCCTCATTCTTTTTCTTACTGTACATATAATCTCGACGTTTTCGAGAAAATGCAAGCCATCCAATTTTCGATAAAAATAATGAAACTTCAATTATTGTGAAAACAGACATTCCCATAAACATTCCCATATTTCCACCAATGTCACCTGAAATATTTTTTTTTGAAAATTCTAAAAATTTAACAAAAAACATACTGAGAAGTTCGGTAATAGTCATTCCTTGCATTTGAATATATTCAGTATATGACATATCTCGGAAAAACACATTTACAACTTGAAAATTTGATCTGAAATAAAATAAGGATGTTTTCTTACAATTAAATTGAAAGGAAAATCCAACTTCATATGTAAAATATCCCATTGTCCTTGTTTATGTAACCACATAAGTGCACCTCTTGAAAGACCTTTTCCATATGAATTGAATGCATGATAAACTTGACTTTTACATTCAACTCGACATTCTTCACAACTTGGCATTTCAATATTTACAACACCGTTGCTTACCACTTTCATTTTAGTATCCATGCAACGATATGTTTCATATGGAGTGCAATCACGGAAAACTGGAAAATTATATGTTCTTGAAGCTTGTCTGAATTTTTTTCGGAACTGTTCGCCTAGACTCAGTGAGTTTTCGCAAGAAATTTAATACGTGGATAATTCGGACATTTTTCCTTTTCGAATAATTTTTTCATTTCTACGGAATCCATTTCCCATCTCATACCTTTGAATTTTATCTATTTTTTTGAAAAAAAAAAGTTTATACAGTTTTTTGAAGTTTTACAGAGACATCAATAAAACAGGGTAGAGAATAGGTTGATCGTTATCTGGTCAATAATTTCTCACTTCTTTTCAAACAACATTTATTTTGTACTTTTTTCCAACGCTGAACTTACGATTTTCATGATTATAAATCGATGGACTACAACCACAAGTTGTATTGAAATATTGAGCTTTACAAACAGTCGAACACATTGCTGCTGTATAAGGAAAATCATATTTATAATTTGCTGGCCAACTATCAGTACAATTTCCCCAAGAACCAGATGATAAAAGGATGTACTGAAAAATCTCTATCTCCACATAAAGAATATATTTCTCAATCTCACCCTTGAACTTGACAACGCTGAATAGACTACACTATCTGGTGAAACAGCAATACCTTCAGATGCGAGAAATGGCAACTCAGCTGACGAATGAATATAATATCGAAAACCATTTTCAAATGCACTTGAGAATACAGGAGTAACACCATCAGCTTCCGAATCAAATTGTTCTTCGATGTGAGAATCGAGAATTATTTGAAGACCGGCTGCAATTCCGGGTTCTGATTGGGTTTTCATCCATGGTTTATCACTGTCTTGAACATTTAATGTGAAACATTTTCCAAGATCTGAGAATACCGGGGTTGCATATTTACAGCAATCGAATCTGGAAGTTTATTTTTGTTGATTTTCAATTTTTCGGAAACAGTAACACAAAGTTTTTGATTTTTCTCACCTTCTTCCACCAAATGAGCACATTTTAAAAGTATCATTACATCCAAAACCAGCATCCATAAAAAATGAATCGGCTGTGAAGTTTGTATGATTCTGAACATATTGTTTGAATAAATTATCACCAGAATGTAATTGTTGTCCATCTGCTCTACCATAAAGTGTCATTGCATCGCTATTAAACATCATCAAATAATCAAGAAGATCATCTGATAAATCTTTTGTTGAATTTAAAGATTCAACATATGTTCTTTTAATTGGATTGAAACTACAAACAGTTACACGTGGAAATACCATACCACCTTCACTCAAAAGAAATGATACCTGCAAATCAAATGATGAATTTTAAGAATAATTTTGAGAAAACATACTTGTGATACGGTAGGTCTCGAAAAAAACATATTAATAAGAGATGTTACTTGAGCAAATAACAATATCATTGATGAAACCATTACAATTATCCAAAATGCAATCGACCATCTTTTTCCATTATAAATTCGTTTTGGACCATGTAAAGTTGTTGTATCTGTTATGAACAAAAGATAATTCAACTTTTCTACAGTAACCCCAGAAGAAAACTTTTTTGAACTTCACTCAAGGTTTTAATGTCGATTTTGATTTTTGAAAAAAAAATCAGCTGTCGATTTCCAATATAATGAAATTTCTCACAATAATCTCGAGGAAAAGCTCAAAAATGTTCCCTTTGTGCTCACTTGAAAAATGTTCAGATTCTCTTGCAATCGATCCAACTCCTTCCGTATTTTTTATTTTTCTCAATTGTGCCACAGGAACATCAACAATTAATTGAGAAGCTCGTTTTGAGAATGGTTTCAAATCGGAGAAAAAATGAACCTTTGCTCGCTGATGGACTGAAAAATCAAAATTGTAATATGATGTCATATTTTCTTATCAAATATTTGAAGAATGGAGTCTTGATCAAGGAATTGAGTTCCGAATGAAAAAAACACTCCTAAATTGGTAAAACTGAAAGGAGGTTTGGTAAAACCCAGAAGGCCCATGAAAAAAGTTCAAAATTTTTTGAAATATGGATTATTCGTAAGCTTACGTGGTCCAAAAATTAGGAATGTGATGTTTGATTCAAGATTTCTCTAAAAACTCACTGCATTCTTGGCGTAGTTTCAAAACTTGTCGAAGTTGTTGTTGACGAGGAAGAAGGTGCTTGAGATATTGTATCATCCTCAAAACTATTGGCCGAAAACTGAACCGAACCTGCTTTCGGCCTTGGTCGATCTGTGTATAATTGAGAAATTGTTCTGAAATTTGAAACAAAAATTAAAATTTTTGTTTGATACACAATGTTGTTTTTTTCAATGAAACGAAGATGTTTTTAATAGAAAAAAATCGTTTCAAAATTGTTCAATTTCTCATTACAATTTGTGATTTATGAAAAATAAAGATAATATTAATTTACAGTAACTAAATGATTATTTGCTTAATCATTGGAACTTTTTTGAAAAAAAAAGAGTACAGAAAATTCAAATAATAAACGGGAAAAAGAAGGAATAGAAGAAGAAGAAACAGAAGTGTGATAATCTATATTTTATTGACATTTGAGATTTTGCGAGCTTCTTTTTCTTTTTTCGCGCACTTTTGAATTTCAAACTACAATTCAATTATTTGTTTTCTTTGAAACGTTCCTAAATATGGAAACGAACTGTGTTTTTCAAATCGAATTGAAAACTGAACAAAATAATACTAAAATAAATAAGAACTCACCTCAATCTATCCATTTTAGAAGTAATATCAACAAAAAAGTTGCAAATAATCAACCACAAAAAACTTTAACGACGTGTTATTATTGTCAGCCGTTCAAATCAATAAATTTCCTCGCTAAATTTTAAATGTGACATAATCCTCTCTTTATGAACCCAAACGATAATATACTTTTTATAATACTTTTGATAATAATTTAATAATAAATAATACTTTTATCAAAATTTTGAAAGAAAAAGAAGAAGCATATTTGTATATTGATATCAACACATAATTTATTGTTTTTCTCCAGAAAAAATATTTATGGTATCATAATCAGTATTGTAAAAAAATGTTTCAGAATAAGTATAATCAGGTAACCGGGAAATTTGAAATAAGTGAGATTATTAATACAAGTAATAATGAGGAGGTTATATACATTTGAGAACTTTTTTACAATTTTTGAAAAGAGTTTGTAGATCCTTCCAAAGATATTCTTGGTGTAGAATCGTAATTTGAACTTTCAGCGAGTTCTTGCATATTCTGCAAACAAATAAATGTCTTGGGAGATGAAAAACAGTTTTCTCATGAAATCGTTATTATGTTCTAATATATTTTTCAAAGTTTGGCAGAAAAGTGTCCCATTTATTTCCAATTTCATACTCAAAAAAAATTTTGGAAAATATGTCGAAAATGAGGGAAAATTTGGAATAACCTGCTTGTGAAACAACTAAGTTTTTTATGTTTCTCCGAATTTTGTGATTTTGAAAATTCGCATAAAATTCCAAACTAAAAACCAATTTTTCAATTGAATCCCTCAAAAAACTCACATCTAAATTAACATTGGCAAATGTGGTATTCAATAATTGTTTAGCATCAGCTCGATCTCTTGGATCAAAAGAGAAACACATATCTAAAAATTCTTTGACATCTTGTCTTTCTTGTGCAATTTGTGGATATTTTGGTCGTTGTTTCATTTGACATATCTACAAAAATACCGTCTCGTATTTTTTTCAAATTTCTGAATAAAAAGTTTACCTGCCACATAATTCTCATAACTTCTAAATCTTTCCATGGTCTTGATCCAGTCATCATTTCAATTACAGTACATCCAACTGCCCAAATATCAATACTTCTACCGTATCCTTCATAATTTCCATCATCATCAGAATTTCCATAAGTGAATATTTCTGGTGCCTGAAATAATCAATTTATTCGTGTTTATTTCCAAAATAATTACCATATAATTTTGTGTTCCAACAAATGTTTGAAATTCTCCATAAATTGTTGAATCATTTTGAAGTTTAGCCGAACATCCAAAATCTCCAAGTTTCAAAACAGTTTTATTATCAAGAAATATATTATCCGGTTTTATATCTCGATGTATAACATTCTTCGTAAAATGCAAATATCTGACAGCTTTCAATAAACTATGAGTTAATTTTCGAACCAAATCCAAATTCATATTTCCGTGACAAATAGTTGTCAATGTTCCTGATGAACATAATTCCATGAATATAAATACTTCTTTTTCTCGAATTTCATAATCATAATATTGAACAAGATTTTCATGATGAAGATTTCGAAATATATTAATTTCACTTTCAATAACTGAAGTATCTTTTGTTTTTCCAATTTCAATTATTTTCACAGCCATAGTTTTGTGATTATCAATATCCAATGCTCGACATACAGTTCCAAATTTTCCATCTCCAATTTCTTGCAATGTTATCCATTGAAATGGTGCTTTTCTCGTTTTATCACGTAATCCAATAATTTCAAAACCAGTTTTGTCATCTCCCAAAACTCTTCCAATTTGTTTATTTTTCAAATATTTATCATCTCGTTTCTTCTCAATTTGTTCAATTTTTTCCATTTGAGTTTCTCGTTTACTTTCATTCGAAATAGTTGAATATTTTGAACTTGTTGATCTTGTCATTCTTTGATATGATACTTGTATAAGTTCTCCATTTCCATTTGTTCCCATTATTTTATTTTCCAAAATATCAACAAATTTTTCCATTTTTTCATATTGTTTCGAATTCATAACACTTTCTGAAACCCATCGAGGTTCACTAAAATATTGAAGAAAAAGAAAAGCAGGTGATGCCCACATTGGAAAATGTTTCGAAGGTTTCGCATTCTTACTATAAAAATATTTGAGGTTAATTTAAAAAAAAACTGAATCTGAATACTTACATATCCACAAATTTCAAATAACTTTCCATCAAATTTATAGCTCTTTGAATCATTGTTTGACCGAGTTCACTTATAAAAGTGTCACCAATTACTTTCGAAACATCACGATGAATCTGAAAATTGCATTTTCGAAAGTTATATTTGAAGGGGAAGTGTTTTCAGAAAACCTTGTGTTGAATCGATACAAAACTATGCATTTAAGTTTTCAGGAAAACTTCAAAAAAATACCTGGAAAGCAATCAAAAATTGTTGCTCCAATTTAAAATGAAAATGTTTTCCAAAATCTGCACACTTCATCAAAAGACTTTTAATCTTTTCGAGTTGTTTATCCAAATGTGTCAATAATCGATTTTCACATAATTCTCGAATTCTCGACGAAACAATATCATTTGAATAACAAAATTGAGCATCGATTTTGAGATTTTCAAAAATATTTGATTTCGATAAATTATTATAACATCCAAATAATAAAACAACATCGTTTCTCAGATAATTCGAAAAATGAATACAAGTTGATTGATCAATTTCAATTCTCGCTCTCCGATCTTTCCATGAATTTTTGATATAATTATCAGAATCTGGTACAATTATAACACAACCATCATCAATTTTGATACTATTTGAAATATTCAAAATACATTCATCCAAATGTTTGCTATTTGAAGCAATTGAATTATTAACAAATATTGCAATTGGTATTGAATCGAATTCAGAATAAGTTATAAATTCGATTAAATAATAATCTTCTTTGATTTCTTCAATAATATCTTGCCATTTGTTCATAAAATCATTCAAAGAATATCCATTCGAATCATAAATATCATTCAAAACAGAACGAATAAATGAAAATATTCGAAGTTCTCTTTCTTTTACTTCTTTGATCAGAAAATTGATATTTTGTTTGAAATTATTATGTAAACTTTCAGTTGTTTCTAAATTATCATTATCATCTGAATCATCCGGATTTTCAATAAATTCATTTTTGAGTCTTTCGAGTTCATCTTCAGTATAGGTTTCAACAAAATCTTCGACCAAATTATTCAAAATATCGCTGCAAAAAAATTTTCATAATAAAAAAAAATATTCGATAAAAATTTAAAAAAAAACTCACAAACATGCACATGATAATATTTCCATTCCTCGTTTTGTTGATTTCGCAAATTTCAAACCACATCTCCATTCTTCTTCCAATTTAACAAATAAATGTACTGGATCTGCTTGAACAGATTTACAATTTGCCCAAGATTTCACATATTGTATATATTTTTGAAACACCTCATGAACATAAACTTCATAATCCTCCGGATACATAAAAACAGGAATTGGTCCAATTGAGTTCAATAATCCAAAATATTTTCGATTTGTTTTAATTGCTTCATCAAGACATTCTTTTGTATCAGTTATCATTGCATCAAAAGTCAAAGCATCCAAAACAGAATAATCTTGTAATCCAGAATTTGTTCGAATATTCAACCAACAAACAACAAGTTGCATTGGAATTATCAAAATAAAATTGAAAAGTGTTGATAAATTTGGGAGATTCAAAGCGGTTGCAATTTTATCACCAAATTTATATTCACTCATTTCAGCATATCGTTTTTTCTATAATAAAATAATTTTCGAAAATTTAACATTTTGATTGAACTCACTAAAACATCATCGATTTGAAGTTCAACATTACTAATTTTAGTAGCAGCTGCATAAGTTGTTGGTCGTTTTTGAAGTAAAATTGATGATTTTGCAATTGTGACATTTGTCAAATTATCAATTCTTGCTAAAACTTTTTTCATTTCCTTCAAATCAATTGTTTTTTTGACATAAGATCGAAATACATCTTGAATTGCATCTAAACTGAATACTGTATTATTCTCATTGAGAGGTTTGAACCAATTTGATGTTGAATCAGTTGAAAAAAGAGATCCAAGCTGAAAAAATACTTTATATTCTTTTTTTTTTTCAATTAATCAATTTACTTACACTTTCAATAGTTTTCTCGAAATCAATCAAAGTATTATACCAAACTCGTAAATTTGTCAATTTGACATCGAGAACAAACTTATCTTTGGCACTTTTAATTTCTTCGATCCATTTCATCAAAACTGCAGTTGTTGGAAATAATTCGGCCAAAGAATCGAAATCCTCCAAAATATTCTCAACTTCAATTTTAGCTTTTCGAAGTTCTTTACAATATTCTTCCGAAAATATCATTTTATTCGATGTTTTTTCGACAAAATGAGTGTTGAATCGAAATCCAATAATTTGATCCAAAACATGCATATATTTATTTCGAGTATTTCGAATATTTTGATCTTCAGCTAACCATTCATTTCTATCAACAATAATATGTTTCGAATCAGTATTTGCATTTGCCGATTTATGAGATCTTAGAACAAGCCAAAGAATATTACCATATTTGAATGTATTATTATTTCCAACAATTGTCAATTGTCTTATTGATTTCTTCTCAAATTGACAATCTACAATTGTTTGTGTTACTTTCACATCTTTTTCTTTTTTGTAAACATTGCACAATTCGTTGATTTAAAGCATTTCTATATCCTTTTTGATGAATATCCAATTTTTTCAAAGACAAATTCAAATTTGTCACATTTTCCGGTCCTCCATTTATTCCTTCACTATTTTCATTATCTTCTCTTGTAATTGATGGAATACATTTATAACAACTTTCATCGTCATATCCTTCGTCAACATCATTTCCATAAAAATCATCATAAATTTCTCGATCAATTTCAGTTTTGCTCTTCTTTCTCTTTATTTTACTTCCAGTATTTGCAGTGTTCAAATGAATTCCCAAACTTCTTCGACCCATATATAACTTTTTCGAGGTACTTTTCTTTCTTATTGCAGTAGAATTATTGCTAAAAATCAATAAATATTTTTTAAACTAACAGGTAATTTCAAAATTTCTTACGATTTTCTCGATGTTTCGCTTCTGTTTCCCCGAAGATCTTCCTCAATTTCGGTTAAACTTTTACATCTCTTCAACTTTTGACTTTTCATGTCATTGGTTTTCCTGATATCAGTTTTTGGTTAATTTCTGAATGGATTAAATTACAGATATAAGAAAGAGTATAAATAACTCATGAGTAGAGGTACTTTTAAAATGAAATAAGTTAAATTTTATTATTTAATTTAAACCACCCGTTGTTAAATATATATATATATAAATTTGTTAATATCCCAGACTAGAAGTTTGTGAACCAGGTCGATTCGAATTTCCATCACAAAGTTGAGCGAGTCTCGAAGGATGAACAAGAACTGGATCATTGCACCGTTTCAAAGCCGAAGAAAGTGCTTGATCTACCATTGAATTTACAACCACCTATATAAAAAAATATTGTTATATTTTTTAAAATTATTAACAAGGAAACCTTTTTTACTCAACACTTCAAACCTTGATGAAATTTTGTCCAGAGACAGCTTTTGGGGTCATAAGAACACCCTAAAAATTTTAGTCTCCCAATGGACCTCTGAGCCAAGTTCTGGGCTCTCAAAAGTTCGAAAATTGCCAAAATTGGCTCATAAAACACATCATAACTCAATTTTCGATCAATTTTATGAAAAACTGAGTAGCAGATGATGATCAGCGTGGTCGATTTACCCAAAAACCATCAATAAATCAAATTTTCAGAAAAATTTTTGATTTTGAAAAAAAGAATGAGCAGGGGCACATATGGATTTTCATGAATTTTCATCCCAAAAATAAAAAACTTCAAAATTTTTAGAAATAAAGTTTTTTATTGATTGACTTTTAGGTAATCGACTATGCTGATCAATATCTGAAATTTCATTTCTCCCAAAAAAAATTTTGAAATGGAGCTATGATGACTTTTATGACCATTTTTAGGCCTTTTTGAGTTTTTGAGAGCCCAGAACTTGGCTCAGAGGTCGATTGGGAGACTAAAATTTTTAGGGTGTTCTTATGGTCCCAAAAGCTGTCCATGGACCAAATTTCATCATGATTTGAAGTGTTGAGTAAAAAAGGTTCCCTTGTAAGATTAGTTACCTCATCAGAAACCACTGAAGCCAAACATCTTTGTAAATAATAACAATCGACTTGAACTTGTTCAACACCAAATTTGCTATATGTTTGAGATCGCACTGATTCGATAAATATTTTCAGAACAACTTTGATTATAGCAGTCATTATTGAAGCGCGATTAAACTGAAATTTAAAAATAATATAATAATAAAGTATTTTGTGAAAACTCACATGTATTTGCATATGAAAATCAATTCTTTCACACCATAATGAATCTCTTGCAGCATCAAGTGCTGAAGTAATTGGTCTTCGATTTGGTCGAGTTTCTTTTTGTTTAATATCTCCTCCAAGAAGATTTGTTAATTCATTATCACATAATGTTGTTTCTTCAACAACTCTTCGAACTGCAGATCGTACTGAATTTGGTGTTGCTGATGGTTGAACTAACATTGTGCAACCTTTTGCCAAATTTTCACCGATCGATAATCCAGTTTTTTCAGCAAAACATCGAACCAATTTTTGAGCTCGTAATTTGATATCGGAAATAACTTCGCTTATGTCTGAACAATTAGTTTTGTTTTTTTTGTTCCACACCTTGAAATGAAACTTACTCGTAAGTCCAGTAGATGATGTTAATGAAAATTGTTCCCTGCACAAATTCAATAAATATATTGCAGATTTATTGGACAAATGTTGAAGTGAAACGGCAAATACCAAAAGAACTCTTGCATCCGCGAATCGAGTTTCAGCAGTTCCAGATTCTGAAAAATATCACAATATAAAGAAATGTTTTATTTTAAAAAAAAATATACCGTATTCATCAGCTAATTCCAAAAATCGATTGAAAGCTTGAACCAAAAGTCTTTCGTGTGCATTAAAAGCAAAAGAAAGACGAAAATCATTTGGTGGTAAATTGGCAAATGTAACATCACTAGCAGTAAATAATAATAAATTGGCAAGAGCTGTTTTGACTTGATGCACAAAAATTTGCTCAATTTTCGAAGATAAACTAACAAGATCATTCGAATCATTGATGAGATTTTGACGAGTTTCAGATAATACAGTTCGAAGTTCTTCTTTGATTCTTGTTAGTGATAAATCGATTTCATGTTTAGATACATCATTTATTAATTCGACTGTTGAAGAAAGAAAATCGAGTCCTAAACAAAAATTGTAAATTTTTTAAATTGAAAAGAATAATTATAACAAACCTGGTATAACATGTCGACATGTTGATACTTTTCTAAAATATCTATCAAGAGCTCGAACTACAATTGAACAATCTTTTGCATCATTTGAAGAAAGGAATACTTTTGATACTAAATTATGAAGTGATACCATTTCTGTTTTTAATACAATCAAAAGTTCATTTCGTTTATCTTCAAATAATCGATCATGAGTTGTTGCAATCAATGTCAAATTTGGTATAAATGTCTCGGATGCTTTATCAACCAAATCCAAAACATCCGAATGACTTCTTTCAAGTTCTTTCAAATCTGCTCGCAATGATTGTTCTGAACATTTCAATAGTATTTTTTGAACTTCAATTCGATCTCTTCCTAATTTCAATAAAAGATCAACTGCTTCCGAAACAACTTCTGCTCCACTTGCTGGATTTTTCAATTGCTCCATTAATTGATTCTCCGTTCTTTTGAAAATTCTTTCAGATTTTTCAAAAACTCGAGAAACTTGTGGAACATCTTGATAACGTTTTAATGAATCTTCAGCGAGTTTGAATAAACGAATAACTTCCCCAAAATTCCGTTCATCAAATTGACTCTGAAGTCAATCAATTTTGTTTCCAATTTTGAATAATAAAAATAACTTACTTGTAGAACATGCGGTAAATCAAAAATATATTTCAAACTATTAACAACTTTGTAAGAACTTCCCAATTGTAATACATCTTCTCTTCTTTCACCAAGTACACCATCAAGATTTCCGATTAGACCAGATATTGTTTTCATACTATCACTCAGTGATATCATCTCCTGAAAATGTTGATTTTTCAGGATAATTTTAAACGAAAAAATACAAACCGTATCCAATTGATTGAACTCGTCCTGTATTTTTCTCACAGTATTCGTTGCAGTCAAAAACTTGTTATAATTTTCATACACAATTTGATGAACATCTGAATCCAAACGTCTAACAGATGATACCATTTCTTCTTCTTCTTTCACAAGTTCATCTAGCGATTTTTCTCGAAGTAATCTGGCAACATATGCATCAACATCAAAATCAGGTTTCGATAGATCTAATATACTTGGTTTGAATTCGGAAGACATCTGCGATTTGAAAAAAAATTAGAAATTGTAAATGAAGAAAAACAATAAATTAAAAATTTCCACGTGAATACTCGACTCAAAAAATGTTTCATTTCTAAATTTATATCACTAGCATATTCTCGCTTTCACCGCTGGAAAAAAATGCCGATAGGTCTGGTAAAAAAAAAACTAACTTCAATCTAAAAATATAAAACACAGAAATTAAGCACTATGCACACAGTTAAAGACACGACTTTGCTATCGCGAAAAAATGAACAAATATTCATGTGACCTTGTTTCCCGTCGGTTTTTAGGCCACGCAATTATGTGCGCTCTGTTGACAAACATGCTGCATCATTGAAAAATACGCCATTTTGGCGGGTTTACAAATTTGCGTTCTTTGTTTATCTTTTTTTCGCTCTCAAAACTTTGAAAATATCGTTTATTCCAGTAAAATGCCAAAACGTGGAAATGAATCGAATGAAGCTGGAACTTCTTCACCACCAGAACAAATTTTAGAAGGTAATACCACGACTTTCAATCAAATGGAAAATTAATGTTTTTCAGATTCCGTTATGGAAGATATATTGGATGAACCAATTGAGGAAGATGAATGCTTGGAGCCACCAGCAAAAAAACCGGCTAGTCAAGGTATGTTTCAATGTTAAATAATGTTCGAAATTCAACGAATATCAAGAGTTTGACTACATTAAAGATTTCTATCAAATGAGAAAAACAATTTAACTCATCAAAAAAATTCTAGTGTTAAAAATAACATAGGTTTAGCAAAATGTTAAGTTTTCAAATGGAAAAGTGGTTTGCTTCAAATTCTTGTGTCCCTTATGAAACTTTTCATGTTTAATTAAGAATGCATCTTGTAATTATCTTTTCGTTATCAATTTCTAATATGTTTAGCTCTTTGGTTGATTTCTTAACATTTTCGTATCAATCAAAAACAGTAGTTGATAATAATTAATAAATCACATGACACTCGATTCTCGAAAAAAAATATGTTCATAAAAATGGCAAAAAACAAGCAAATAATGAGATTCAATTATTATGGTACCTATTGATTAGATTCTGTAGGTTGTGAATTTTCGGTAATATTTTGTGGTTCAACAACTTCACTGTAAGCTGGAGGTCTTGAATCAAGTCGTGGACGTGGTTCTTCATCATTTCCAAATCCTAGGTTGACATTTCCACTATTCATTCCAGGCTAAAAATCAAAACATTATATAATTTACATATTATGTGGTATACATTTACATTTTTAATACTTACCAAATCTAAAATTGGTGTTGCGGTAATATTTTCTGGTTTAATATTTTGTTCTGTGATTGGTGGAGCAAATTGAGTATATCTTGGTGGAGGTGGCAAACCATTTGGACTTATTGGTGTAGGTACAACATATTGAACATTGAATCCTTCATTATTGAGATGATGAGTTGGTCTAAATTTATAAAACAAGATTTTTAAATATCTCTTTTGATATTTAACTTACAAATATCTTGATTTTCTTAAGAAGTTGTATAAAATCATCAAATATCTCATTTGAACAATTGCCACAATAATACTTAATGTTAAAAAGAAACATGAAATAATAACCATTTCAACATCAGCTGTTGTGAATTTTTCTGTACTACATAGTTTTTTTGGCGTTATTGTTGTCGTAGAAATGTTGTCACAAATATTATCGTTATTATCAACCAACCAAACTGTTGCTAGAATTGCGCCAAGAATAAGGAAAAACACCCAAAATGTGTACATTGACTGAAATTCATAAAGTTAGATTTTTGGACTAAAAATTTAAAAGAAAAACTTACAATGTATAACATATAGGCTGTGACATATGCAATTTTTCGATGTTTCGCACCAGATGATAAAATAAACATCATTGCAGATCCTATTGAAATTTCGAAAAAATATAGCATAAATGGGGAAAGATAGAAAAGTCCGAATATTTGACAAATCATTAAAATTGAACCCAAAATTCCAACAGCGCCCTGCAAAATTTCGAAAATATTGAGAAATAACGGAGATTTCGATAAAACTCACTCCAACTGGTAATCCACAAAAAACACGTGGTTCTGGCTCAATATTTTGTTGTTGAGCTCGTGGCTGTTGTGATACTCCTTGTGTGGAAGACATTCCTATAAAAATGAATAGTTTTGTTGTTGAATGAATTTATAGAAGAAAAAAATAAATCAATATTATTTCATGCCACGACCTTTTTACTGATATGGTAAAAAGTGAGCAAATATTAAAAGAATAAGAAGTTTTTGATTCTTGTTAAAAGCAGCTGACAAGAAGTGCAAAAAAAAGAGAAGAAGATACGATTTTAATGTTTGAATAGTTTATGACTGTTCAACTATGATGATAAAAAATGATTCAAAAACTAATACTTGAAGAATCAGAAACTTTTTGAAAAAAAAGTTCAAAAAACTTATAGTTTGATTTTTTTTTTGAATAAGCTCAAAAATTTGTAATTTTTTAAACGAAAAAAAAAATTAATTTAAATATGTAATAGCTTCTAGAAAAGAATTGATTAATTACTTATTTGAAATTAAAAAAAAATAAGTTGAAATTGTCACGAAAAGAAGGAATTAAAATGTTTATAACAATTGAACTCGTCAAAGAAAATGAAGGGAGTGGAAACTTTGATGATAATTAAAATTGATAAGAAACATAATACTTTACAGAATATAATGAGCAGAGTCCTGAATCAGATGTGTTAGAAGTTGAACCAGAAATTATCATTGAAGATGGAGAAAGTCGACCGAATTCATCTGAATCCGCATCATTTGGTGGACAAGAACAAGAAGAGGAGGAAGAAGAAGATGAGAGTTCAAGATCTCCTGGATTAGGATTTGAAGATGAAGATGATGAAGAAGACGAGGATGACGATGATGATGATTCGGATAGTGTTTTTGATACTAATGTACAGGTTAGAAATATAAAAAGGAAAAATAATGGATATACATTTTAGAAAAAGAAAATAGGGTTTTCGACTCTTCACGAAAATTAGTCAAGTTTTTAGTCAGTGAAAAAAAAACTAATTGGGTTTCAAAAGTTTAGAACAGAAAAGTGAACAATTAGCTAGAAATAGAATCTGATAAGTTGAACTCCCTTTTCAAAAAATACATTTCGAATGGCTATGTGATAGTTTACGAAATTATTATTTATGTTTGAGAAAAAATTCAACAAAATAGTTAATTTTGAAATCTCGAAAAGAAAAATGAAAAATTTAAATTATTTATAAGAATGCACTGATAAATATTGAAATAAATAAATAAAGAAAGAAAAGAATGAATGAATAATGCTCCCACGCATTATTGAATAGTACTAAAATTAATGATTATTTACAGGTTCCGGAAACCGATGAGGAATATCGAAAAACATGCGAAGCTCTCAAATTATCAGAGGAATTGATTCGAGGTGGATGGGAATTATATTATCATGCTGGACAAAGAGTTTTGATGGAGGTAAAAACATATATAAAATAATAACAATAATATATAGCTGCATTCATATTAAATATTAATGTTGTGTAAATATTGTCATGGTTCTCTTTCTATTCAAAAAAAATTGGAATTTTTTCAGGGTGATCAAAAAAGTTGGCAAGTGGTTGCAATATATTATTTCGTTCTTTCAAAAGATGTCAAAAAATCGGGAAGAATTGGAAAAGTTCTTGAAGAACCAATGAATTGTACATTAAATGAAATGCTCGATTATTTTTCGATTAGTGTTGTTGAGTTTTTCGACAAAATGCATCGATTTATTGAGACAATTCATTCGAAAAAACGACGACGTTATTCGGAATTTATCAAAAAAGCGCAGGAATCGCTTGCTGTTACTACGGTTATTTATAAGAAATTTATGAAAATTTATCAACTTTTGTTTGTTTATGTCGAATCCGAAAATGATGCTCAAACTGTCTCATCGCAAAAAGTTTTCCAATTGATTTGGACTGCATATCTTGTTCTTAAACGTGAGTTGTTTTGAAAAAAAAACATTTTATCAAAAAAAAAATTTGCGATTTTTGTATTCCATAGTTTTTGACAACAGCATTTCTTGGAAATTTAATTTCGGGAAAGATAGCTTCAGATAATAATAAACCAAACTTCATAATTATATTGTATTTGGATTCCTCTTACTCTGTTTAATCGTTTTTCAGGTGGATTACAATCGGAAGATCTCATCAGCTGCCATCATTTACTTTTCTGTATTGTCGACATTTTTTATACCGATTTATGTAATCAAACAGATTGTCCATCTGAACAACATTTGAACCCATCATTCGGTTAGTTTTTTAATTTTTTTTACTCCAGAAAAATTCAAATTTTGTTTATTTTCAGTTGAATCAATTCTATTGCAAGATATGACAATTTTACGAGCCCTTTGCACAAATTTCGATGGTGTTATATTAGATTCGAAACATTTTTTGGAACACGTTTATCCGAGATTGCCAAAAGAAAGTATTCCGGAAGCTTGGTTTTTGGAAGAATATGAAATGAATATGTGAGTTTTTCCTTCTTTGAAAACAATTTATATATTTTAACTTTTTACAGAACCAATATGAATAATGTATATTCCAAATATTTATTGCAAACTGGACAAATCGATGAAAGAGTTTTTGTTCCAACTGAAGAAGAGATGACTCATATATTCGATGATTCATTCAATTCGGATACAATTACAAGTGTTTTACGAAAAGGATTCAATCAAGTCGAATTTCAAGATGCCAATTTTCTGAACAAAGTTTCTGTGCAAAATTGTTTGGATCGAATCCATTTGTCTGCTGAAAAACAAGGAATTTGTTCAAGTCCAAATGAGATGGCAAGAGTTCCAAATGTAAAAGCTGATGATAATGAAGGCATTAAATGTCCAGAAGATAAAGATCCATCAGAAACTGCAAAAAGATTGATTCGAATTGTTGGATCATGGGATTTGGAAAGTTCGGATTTGAAATATCATTGCGATCAAATGTCAGATAATCCAACAGCAACTCTTCTATTGAAACGCGATGTTTTAACCGAAAAATTCGTTCAAAAAATCAAAGACGAAGTTGAAGAAGACAATCAATTTGATAAGGGATTTTTCGCAAATCTTGAAAACCATCGAGATATTCTTGAACGACTTTTTATGAAATATATTGAGAAGATTATGCTAACAGAAATCAATAAAAAGTGTAGAGAAGAAGATCTTTTGGTTTGTTTTTTTTTCGAAGCTATTTTAATTATTATTATTGTTATTTCGAATTATTTCAGAATGTTCTCCGAAGAGAAGAGTTTCTTGATGCTGTTTTTTGTTTTTGTATTGAATTGGTATTATTTTCAAATGGAAGTGTTCGTGAATTCCCATGGAGTGCTCAAATATGCGATCTTCATCCATTTCTTTTTCATAAAGTTATTGATTTAATGATTAATCATGAAAAAGAATTGAGTCGACCAATGGTTCAACATTTCAATCAAGTAAGCTTGAATTAAATTTAGAGATTATAAATTGAATAAATAATAATTTTTTGCAGATTGAGGAACGAATCATTGAAGAACTTGCATGGAAAAAAGATAGTCCATTATGGCAAATGATTGTTAGATGTCCATTGAGCAGTTTTACTGAATTTGGTGAAGATTGGTTCGAAAAAGGACAATCGCCTTTGAAGTTTACACCAATTAAGAAACGATTGACAACTGATGATTTAGGAAGACCAATTATAAGTTCGAATGGACAATCGAGAACTGTTAGAGTTTTTATGAAAAGAGTGAGTTTCTATTTTTGAAACAGGCGAACTTGAAAATTAAGTATGTTCTGGTATTCCTGAAGAAATATTTATTCCAAAATTAGAAATATACACACTTGAACTGTATTACAAAATGTTTACGGAACTGATCAAAATTCTTGTAAAATATAATTCCTCACAAGTAAGATTATTTACTATTTGAAAACTATTTTCAGACATATTTCACTGCCGCTTTGAGACTTCATGATCTTTGTGATCGAATTGGAATGGGAATTCGACCGAAATCTCAAGTTTGGACACTTTTTGATTTTGTTTTACGAAGTCAAACAAGTCAATTAATGGATCGACACGTCGATCAAATTCTCATGTGTTGTGTTTATGTTGTTTCAAAAATCAATGCAATGACAACTACATTTATGGAAATTATGGCACATTATAAAAGACAACCACAAGCGCTTAGCGATGTTTACCGAAAAGTTCCAGTTGATTCGAAATTGTTTGGTGAAAATGGGACACCGATTGTTCCCCGAATTGTGAAACAAGAAGGAGATAATGAAATACTAACACTTCTCAATACACCAATTAAATATTCACATGTTGATCTTATCAAATACTACAATTTGGTGTTTAGAGATAGAGTAAAATCTGTAATTCATGAAATTGAATCAGCTGGAGACAATGAAATGACTGAAATGCCTGTTCCAACTTGTTATGGATTAGCTCCAGTTAAAATCAATTTATCAAGAACTGTAAGTTTATATACTTTTTTTAAAATTTAAACTTATATTTTTGTAGGTTGCTATTCAAGCTCTTCCAAAAACAATGCATGGTTCATCTCGTCAGGAATTAGTTATTGCAAATATCACAAAGAATGGATTATCTTATGATGTTTTGCAAAGTCCACGAAAAGAGCTACAGAGCATTAATCAAAAAATTGCAGCTCTAATTTAATGTTTTGCTTTGTTTTTTCCACCTTTTCCCATTTCTTTTGTTTTTTTTTGTTGTAAAATTTTTGTCCGCCAAATTGAATTCTATTCTGGTAAGTAAAGTGAAATTTTGTTTCTTTACTCACTTAATTTTTTTGCCTGTAATCTTTTACTGAATTTTGAATTATTAATTTTTAAGATTAACTATTTTATAGGTAAAATGAAATTTTGTTTTTTTTTGGATTTAGTGAAAACATCGTGAAGCGAAAATTTTTTTGAAAATTAAAAACAAAAAAATAGCGTGAATATTTTTTATTTTAAATTTGCAGTTTCATTTTATACTTTTTAAGTGTACGAAATTCGTACTGAAAAAGAAACGAACAAAAAAACAAATAAAATTTCATAATAAAATGTTCAAATATTTAATTTAACAGGTAATTCATGGTATTCAAAGTGGTCTTATGGGTGGATAAAACGTTCGAGACGTTTCGAACTTGAAATTAGTGAAAAGAACATGAATAAAAAAGAAAATTTAGCCTATTGAACAAAAAATTAAAGAAAGAAAAACAATCAGTTTTTAAAAAACAAAACTAATAATAAAAAACATTGCACACTCAATAAAAAATGAAGATAATAATAGAAATATTTAACATTGAAAAAATTAAAAGCCGTTAGTTGGTTGGTTTCCTGTCATCGCCAACTCATTGTACATACTTTCTGCTGCACGACGACGGAAAATTTGTTGAAGACGAATTTCGCGTCTTTTGTGTCGTTCTATTTTCAACTTCAATCGTTCATTCTTTGTGTCTTCAGAATCATCCGAATATTCACCATCTGATGAAAAATCGGAAGCTGATGAGCACAAAGATTCGCTTGAAGGTTGAGGTGGGATTGGCTCGACTGGTGGTGGAATTGGTGGACGTCGATGTGGTGGATTCTGCAATAATATACTCAAATATATTCGAGGGTTTTCTTATATTATTTACCAGTCCAATGTCGATATTGTATGCAGCTGCTGTTAATTGATAACAATATTCAACAAATAAATGTGGTTCCATTCGTTTTGCGTTCTCAACAAATTCGTGCGGAGCTGGAAGAGGAAGTTCGTGTGGAATCAGATTTAGACATCTTCGTGCTTCCGCTCGCATTCTTTGATGTTCCTTTGCTTCAACAGCAAATGGATGTTCGTGAACTATTTTGTGGAATGGATTCTCCTTTTGAGTTCGACTTGCCCCAATCAAAGTATGAGTCATTGGTGGTGGATGACACTTCGGTGGTCCGAATCGTCTGAAACGTTCAACATAGTTTTACAATATATTTAAATTGTCTTACTCATACTTCTTCTTTAAAACATCGTGGCGCCAACGAATCAAATCATCATACCATTCCAAAACAATTTTTCGTTCAATGCGTTCATCTGAGCAATTTCCACCACGGAATATATTGCATTGAACTTCATCGGAACATCTGTGCGCTTTGATCGACGAATTGTCTTGCAAATCATCTTCAAGTTCTGCGCGACTTTCGTCAGCATCAAATGTTGAAGCAAATCGAGAGCAATCCGAAGCACCCTGAAAATAGAAAATTCTTATTCCACAATCACGAATAAAACTTGCATCAGCATCATTAGTTCCGATTTGGTTACAGAATCGCCTTTCTTCATCTTCTTTCGATATTTGCGAAGAAACGTATGATGATGATGAATCGGTAGGAGACATACTTGAACAACAAGAAGACATCATATTCTTTTTGGAGAATGCTGGATTCAATTGTAATACAATTATATCATTTGATCCATTGATACTAGACGAAGAAGATGGCGGATTTGGGGAAAACGCCGCCGGACGAGTCGACGATGAAATGGCAAGTTTGTCGAAAACTCTTTTGACGTTTTGCTGATCTTCTGCATTTGAGGTTTGTTCGGTTGATGCTTGTGAGACTGTTGGAGACGTAGGCTCAATCGATTTCGGACACGTGTACTGATGATGAAATTGAGTATACGATGGAAAATCCGGTTTTTCACCCTTCTTCCCTCCTCTTCTGACAACCCACTTTGGTTGCTTCGAAGCGTCCATCGTATCAGATCGTAAAACAACAATTGGACGACCGCGCAAGTGATTCAACTACGAAAAAAGAATTAGTTATGTTGTTCGGAAAATGTTTCAAAGTTCTAACCTGCACTTTCTTGCTCCTATCGTAACCATAAAGTGATGTTTGTACAACATTAGGGTCATCGAGATATTTTGAAGTACTCATTGCGAAAACCGCTGATTAATTCTTGCGAACTAATAAGAAATGACGCAAAATCTCTCACGTGAAAAGACACTTGGATTTTGGGCCAGATTTCGATTTTGAGCGAAAAATGAAAACGCACTGCTCAGCTGCCGCGCGCGACAACCGGAAGTACTGTACCTTTGAGGTCTCGACACGATAGAAAATTTTAGCGAGCGCGGAGTCAAACTTTCCATTTCGAGCTTTTTCAAGTTTTCAAAACTTTTCTATGGGTGTTTTAGAGCTGTTTCAAAGTTGATTCTATTTTTGAAATATACTCTTTTAATTCTAGAATTTATCTTCACCGAAAAATCTCTCTACAACTTTTTATTTATTCAATTTCAGAGTTTTACATTGTAAATATAGGAGGTTTGGAAACCTACTCACCTGGAATGGAAGAGTCGAGCAGTTCTGGCTGTAAAAGAACACCTCCTCCACTTTTATTGAAACTTGACGTAAATACCGATTGTGGAGAGGTTAGAAACTTGATCAAATTTTTGATTAAGAAACCAAATTTTTGTAGAAATCACCAAAAGCTCGGACGGTTCTCGAATTGTTCAAAAGATACAATATAAAGCGTGGTTCGGGTGTGAAGAAGACTGTGGAAGAAAAGAAGCATATCGACGAAGGAGTTAATGTTGGTTTCGACAAAATGTCGATAGATGAAAAAGACGGATTTTTGAAAAAGTTGAAAATGCTTACTGTGAATAGCAATAAGAAAACTATTCGGAATTATTCGAAAAAACAAGATTCTCCGATGGCTGAAAATAAGTATTCTACGAAACAGTCAGCTGGTGCTGAACAGAAGCCGGTAAGTATTTGTTTTTGATATTAACAAGTAAGAGTAGCATTCTGTTTTTTTAGAAAAAAGATGCTGCACGTCGTTTGAATTTTCGAAGCGTCTCTGGAGATGTTGAGAAAAAACCAGAATTTGAAGTATCGAAAAAAGAAGTCAATGAGCATAAAAATATCAAGAAGCCATACAAACATCATGCTTCGCGTGGATCTTTAGAAACTCCTGAAAATTCTCCAACGAAAAGTATGGGCTCACCCATAAAGCATTTTCAAGAAGAAACCAATCGTGATAGCTCATTCGCCGACGAAGACAATACGAACCGAAGAAAGAGATTTTTCAGTAGAAACAATGTGAAAGATAATTCTTGTTGGTATGGTGATCTTCCACCACGAGATTATACTAGTCCAGTTTTTTCGAGAAAAATATTCGTTGGTGGAGGTTGGTTTTTTGTGTGTATAGATTTAGACTTTCGATTGTTCTAAAATTTTAGTTCCATGGGATATCACTGAATCAGCTTTGAAAGAAGCTTTTGGTGAATTTGGGAGTTGTATCGTTGAATGGCCAGGACAAGAAGCCCGATATAGAACTGGTGGACAACAAGCTTCGCAATCTACATCAAATTCGCGTATGAATCTAAAAACTATCCAAAATTCAGCCACCGGATATGTTTATATGATATACGAAGACGAACGATCAGTTGCTCGTTTACTTCGAGATTGTTCTCAAGAAATTGGTGGAGCTGGTGAATGGTATTTCAAAATAAGAGCTCAACGTTCAAAATCCACTGAAATACGTCAAGTAAGTTGTTTCTTTCTATTTACTACGAAATCTGTTGGAAACAAATTATTAAATGTTTGTATATATTTTTAATTTGCAGGTTCAAATCATTCCTTGGGTTACTTCTGATTCGTTGTTTTGTGAAATCGACACACTTGCCGAGACTGGAATAGAGCCCAAAAGAACTGTTTTTGTTGGAGCACTTCATGGAATGATGACAGCAAATGTTCTTCATGGAATTATGGAAGATTGTTTTGGAAATGTAGAATGCGTTCAACTTGACACAGACAAATTCAAATATCCGATTGGTAGTGGTCGAGTTACATTCAAAGATCATAGTGCATATTTCAAGGCTATAGAAACTGGATATCTTCATGTTCAAACGAGTAAATTCAGTATGTATATTTTCCGAAAGTTTTGATTCCCAAAATTTTATTATTTCAGGAAAAAGAGTTCAAATAGATCCGTTTCTCGAATCAACCACTTGTATGGTTTGTAATATTGAATCAGCTCACTGTTTCTGTCGAAACCGCGATTGTTTCAAATATTATTGTCATTCTTGTTGGTCAGATGATCACAATAATCGAAAAGATGGACAAGTTCATATACCTGTTATAGTTCCTTCTTCTGCTACGAAAGCTTTATCAAATGGTCGAAAATCCGTTTCACCAATAAAACCAATTGCATCTGTATCTGCACCAAATCAATCATCCAATACTTATACAACTGCTACAGCTGCATTTCCTTTATTAGTTGCTCCACCTGCAATTTATGGATATATGACACCTTCTCAAATTGCAACTTCACAACCAACTTTTATTCCAAATTCTCAAAATGGTCCTATAAACTCGAGAAGTGAAGCAAGTGTTATGACTACGGTAAATATTTTATTTAAAAAATGGTTTTCAAAGTTTATCAGGAATTCGAAATTTTTCAGCAATCACCATGCACTGCTCTTTATATCAATACATCAATGTTGACACCACAAAAAGGACCATCTTCAACGGATTCCATTGGATACTATAGTAGTGGAATTATATCACCTGCCACAAATACTCAACCACATTTTTATTCGCCAAATTCAAATTCATCAACAGCTTCCACTCCATTTTATGGTTAGTTTTTTGTTTTAAAATAATACTGTGTATTGAACCAAAACACTCGAATTATCACATAGAATTGAGAAATCAAAAATTAGTCAAGAAAAATTGCAATTTTCTACAAAATTGTTTTTATCAATTTGCGGTGAACTGTTTGCGGTGCGGTGCTTATCAGTTTTAGTTCTACTACCGACTGTAGTTTGGACTATGAATTCTTTATTTTTCGTTTCGGAAAGACATTGTGACGAATAAATTTTAAAAATCTGAGGTTTCTAGGCAGAAGGCGAAATGAAAAAAAAATGTAAAAACACTTTTGAAAAAAAAATGTATATCCCAAAAACTGCAGTACTTTGTCCCTAGCGTTCTTCTTGAGAAAAGTGTCAACAATTATTTTTGCAGGTGGGAATTTTTATTGTTTCCCCAATCCAAGCTCAACTCAATTAGTATATGATCCAATGCTGAGTTCACCAAACTATCAAAATAATCACATATAATTGCATTTCTTCCCAAACTTGTTATTCATCAGTCAAATTTTCAAAAAACATTATTATCTTTCTTCTTCTCTCTTCAAATCTGTGAATGGCTCATCTTGTAATTTTTGTGTAAGTGTTTTCCGTGCATTTTTCATGTTATTTTGTTATACTCATATAATATCTCGAATTCCACAGAAATCTATAAGAATTCTATGTATAATGCGTTTTATCGTATGTATAGGTAACGTTTTATCTTTCCCTTCTGTTTAAATTTTTATTATTACAATTTTTCTTATAAATATAGTAGTAAATAATGGCACGATATGTTGTATAAAACCCGAATGTTTGAGATCTAATAGATGATGGAATAATTAAAGAGCAATATTTTAAAATTAAAATGGTCTCCAAATTGTTGGCGATGATCCATTTGAAGATGTTGTTGATTCATTTCGTTTTCTTTTAACAGACGGAGTTGTTTGTTGAATTAAAGAAATTGAAGATGGAGATAGAGATGTGTTACTTGACAAAGTTGTATTATTTGAAGATGAACTTGAAGCATTCGGTGGAGAAGATGTTGAAAATGATGAAGTATTCAAACATTCTGCAAAAAATCAATATTAAAATTTAATATTGTGTTTTTTGAAAGAAATTACCATTTTCCTGATCAGATTCCAATTTTCTTTTAGTCCCAATTGTTGTTGGTAATTGAAAAGGGAATATTGATGGCATAATTCCTGGAATAACTGGAAACGGCCAAAATTGAGGGGCTAGAATTGGTGGAATAATTGGATGTTGTGTTATTTCCATGTGTTTTATATTTGAAGATGAAGAAGGCAAAGAAGAAGTTGAAGATGAACTACATTGTTTTGGAATTCTTGCTTCTCTCGGTCCATCTACAGTAACTTTTATCACATTTTTTGCAGTTGCAACCATCATTGGATTTGAATGTATAACAATTGTTAAATGAAAACGACGACCTGCAAGAATAAAATAAAAAACACCTTGTCGGCGGTATTTGATCAAAAGAATGCGCCAACACAAGATAAGTGTATTACACCTTGCTGGCTCCCATTTTTATTGGCGCACTTACCTCGACCCGATCTTCCGACAAAACGTAGATCATTAAACTTGGCAATTTGACGATGTACTCGAGCTTTTTCGTTTCGAATTTCGCCGCATGGCGCTTCATCATTTCCCGCCCAAATTGACACTGCAAATAATTTTGGAATTTTTCAGAATTTCAAAAAAATTATTACCTTCAGTATTATCAGGAACTGGTGTGAGTAAAACAACAATAAATTGATCTTGAAATGATTTATTCGAACGCCAATGTTTTGGAAGTTGAGAATACAAAATATTTGGGCTACTTGATTTCTGCAAAACAAAATGAGATGAGGTTTTTCTTATTTCAAAAATGAACCGAACTATTTACCTCTAAACCTCGAGCCACAACTGGTTGTTGTTCTAGAAATGTTCGAATATGTTGAAATACTGAATTCATTTGTAGAAGAACTGAATAATTTGGAAATTTGATAATGAATAAGAAGACGACAGAAAAACCGCAAATAAAAAGTTGTTTACATTAAAACGAAGAAAAAAAAGGTTGATAATGAAAAGCAACAAAAAAGAAAGAGTTTGGTGCACCGAGATAAGAAAGGAAGTATTTTAATGGGGTGATTAGAATTTATTATGTAAACAATTTTATTTGAAAAAGTTCCTGCAAAAATTTCAGGATTTGGGAAAATAGTTGGAAAAATATGTGAAGTTCTTTTTTATTTTAAATTATTATATTAAAAAAGTTGGCTCATAGAACCTTGGGACAACAGTTTCTCAACTTCATATTTCCCTACTCTTATAATTCCATCAATTTTCAATGGTTACGAAAAAATGTTAACAAATGTAAAGGTATTTTAAAATACCTCATTTACCATTTTTGTCTTTTTCCCCATATGTTGTCATTCGCATAGTAGAGATTTAAAACCGAGATAAAAATAAAGCTAAAAATTTCACTTTTCACCTTTTTTTGTCGTGTTAGTGGTATTAGATAACATCGGTTTTTTGTGGGAGGCTTATAATCGAAAGTGCGAAAAAAATGAAGAAAATATGAAGAAATTGTGGTTACTGTATGTCTCGCATAATTTTGTGTTTTGATTTTATCGAGAGCAAAGTTCGGAAAATTCGAGAATATTTTAGAAAAGTTGAAAAGAAAAAGGGCTGAGAAAAGAAGTGGAATATTTGTAAACAGTTTTAATAAAAATTACTCAAACTAGAAATTTACCAAGAATTTGAGAACAACCTACAAAGAATGTGAAAAACGGGAAAGTTTTTGAAGTGTAAAATGAGTTGGAGAAATCTGAAGAATATTTTTGAATGGAATTTTAACATTTTTTTTTTAATTTGGCAAAATAACTTTTTTTTTTAATTTGGATACTAACATCACAATTATCAGTTCGGCAATAGTGGAAAAAGAATTATGAAAGAAACATTGAATAAATCATTTTCTAGTTTTCAAACAATTTTTAAAATTTTATGGATCAGTTATGTTACTACTTCCAAACAAACATTTTTCGTTTTCGGGTCCAAATAAAATGTTCAAAAAGTTGAAACGTATTTTAGTTTTGAGAAAATCGAAAAGAAAAAAAAACTTGATGTCTTGAAAAGTTACAGTAATCCAAACATGTGATCATCACAAACCTATAGTTCTTCTAACTTGTAAACAAAAAAATTCTGAAAGAACCAAAAATTATCAGAGTTTTTTAAAGGTTTCACAGAAATTCGAGCATTAAAAACTATGTGAAAATGGAATGATTTGAAATGAATCGAAGAAAGAATAAGAAGGATGAAGACTGCAGAAAAAGAACAGGTTTTTTGATTCGATTCGGTGTGGTCCTTCTTCCCTTCTTCTTCTTCTTTCATTCGATTTCTGTGGCTGGCCGACCGGCTGATGGGTGTTTCTTCGCGGTTGTTTTTGACTCTATCCGCCCTTTTTTCCCTCCATCCACTGAAAATAAAAAGATTCTGCCACACGATAAAATGTATGTGTGTTCACCCGTTTTCTCTTATTCTTCTTCCATAAAAATGTTCGAGTGAAAAATAAATAGATAATATCAATATTTTTGGGTATTTCAGGAAAAACCTTGTTTACTTACAGTTAGATTCAGAAATCTTTAAAAATTTGGTTGAAAACAGGGGATAAGAATAAAATTCTGTATTTAGAAGTTTAAGAGGTTTCCGATTTTTTCTTGAAAAATAAAATTCTGAAAACTAATTTTCAAGGGATGTATCTACAAAATCAGGGGTTTTCTGAAGTTTAAAATTGGGCCACGTCAAATAATTAAACCAGCTTCATAAAAATCATTAGGTTATCTGATCAGCGAGGCCGAATCCTGGACCATTTGTTAGAATTAGTAAATCTTTCAGATGCGCCTATTAGAAATGTTACAAAGCCTGTTGAACTTTCAGAATTTTACAGACGACACCCATATTTGCTTACTGTAAAACACTCTTCAACTTCTTTTCAAAACGCTTCGAGTTTTTTGCGGGAAGATCACGATCTTCAAAAAAAAGCTTCCAAAATGAAGTATATCTATCTGTGTCCAGCCAGTTTGCATAATAATATTACGCATATTCTTATTTTCCTCATCTCAATATAATATCAGATTAGGAAATAACACGACAGTGCATAGATTGTATGGTTAGATTTTGGTATTTACCACCAGTCAACATTTTTCGCACTTTTTTGATTTATTATTGAAAAGAACAAAACAACATATGGTGAAATAAAATGAAAATGAAATACAGTTTCTAAATATAAGAATAAAAATGAATGAGTAAAAGGGGGCGTGTCTATGAATTGTTACCTCAAATTCAAAATAAAATGTTGGCGGCTGGCCGCAAGAAAGATATTTAAAAGAAGAATCGGAGAGCAAGAAAAGGACCAGTTGTCGAATATACACTCAATCAATTCATTCAACCGCTATCAAACAAAACACGACAACAAAAAAGTTGGGGGGAAATAAAAAAAAAGAGAAAAAGTTGGGAGAAAAATGGATGAGCAGGGAAAAGGATACGGTAGTTTGAGGTTGTAATTTGTTAATCGGTTGATCGATTGTTGAGGAAAAATTTGAAAAGAAAAAAAGAGATTTGAGGGAGGAGGTAAATTCTTGTGATGAAACTGAAAGAAGTACTGTAGAAATGACATTTGGATTTTTGCTTTTGTTGAAATTATCTTTCAATAATTTTTTCAAAATTCAGACGATTCTCAGTTTTAAAGATGTGAAAAAATAAAATGCAAAAGTCTAATTTTTTGATAGAAAAATAGTTTTAAATTTTTTTTTCAAAATTTTATCAAAAAAATTAGAATTTTTGTTGGTTTATTTTTATCCCAAAATGAGGGATCAAAAATTTTGAAAATTTATATATTGTCCTTCCGAAAAAAAAAGAACCTTGGAAGAGAACCGAGATGGCCTAGGAAACCAATACTACAGTAGACTTCGCGAAATTTTGGAGTCTATTTGAAAAATAAAATGCGAAATTTACACGTTGGCTATTTGCCAACCAGTTTGATATGCATGTGTCACGTCATTTTTAGTCTACTGTACGTGAGCGCCAATTCAAACGGGGGTTCTTTTATTTTCGGAATGACAATAATATATTTTATCTTACAAGCAAAACTTCATAATTATTTTTTTTGGAAAATCAAACTTTGTTTTCCAACAAAAAAAATGGAAAATAACTAACTAAATTGGGACAATTTTTCTTATTTTGATTTCGAACTCATTTGGAACTGTTTATATAAAATAATACCCATTTTTTCTACAAAATTATTGTTCTAACAATTTTTCCAGAGAATCGAATGCCAAAAAGTTCCAAATAAAATAATTTGTTCTAAAAATTTATGAAAACATCAAAATATTTATACAAAATATCATTTTGTTCATCTTCTTTATTTTCATTTTGTCATGTCATTTTCAATTGTGCTTCTTCTTTTTTCTCCAAACAATTGTCGTTCAACCACAACATTTGCTATTTTCACTCGTTGTCACATTTCTCTTCTTCTTCCTCTTTTTTCTGTGATATGCAATCAAAAAAGATATAATACTGACAGCAAACTTGAAAAACCCTATTATATGCACATTTTATGGGTTTTTTGATATCTATCACTTTACTACCAACTTTTATCAAATTCAACAAAACTCGTAAAAATAAAGGGAGATAAAAAGAGAAAATGGGCTAAAAAAACAACAACAAAAAAAGTTATCGAGCAGCTCTTCTTTGTCGGAATTTCGATATTTTTGCTGGAATTTCAGGTTCATCTTTTGATGTTGAAGGCATACTATAAATTGGATCAGTTCTTTCGAAGATTTTTCCAGGAAATGAACATTCGCTCATAACTGTTATTTCTTTTTTCTCAATATTTGTCGATAAAGCGCCTGGAGCAATTGGTGTTGGATCTTTGACTTTTAATATTGATTTCGTTTCGATTTCTGGAGTCGATTTATCAGTTTCAATCTGAAAAACAAAACATTTAATTGAACATTTTAAATAATAGAAATTTCACGTGCGTGAAATTTCTATTGAAAAAAAAATAATTATATTCTTATGTTTCATTTTCGAATATTTCTAATAGCCGAAATAGCAGCGAATTATTTTTGGTAAGTAAGAAAAATGATATTAATTAGAAGACAATTATTTTGGCAATGAATAATCGAAATTCTAGCTAAAGTGTCAAATTGATACTAACTTTGCAATTCCTCATCAAAAGCTAATGTTTTGTTGTAAAATCTCTTATTAATCTTTCACCATGGCAACCTTAAGTCAAAAATGAAATTTTTTTGAAAATTTTTCTACACCTTTTCGCTCCAAATCTCCCAAAACTAGAAAAATGCGGATTTATTTCAAATTTTGCTCACATTTTTTTTGAAAAATCTTCCATCTGCATTTCAAGCTGTTGAGATATTACTTTTTTTTTACATTTTTAAAACCTCAATGCTTTTTTATCTTAAAAACTTACGGTATCAGTTTGCCGAAATAGTTTTATTTTCTCCAAATCTTTGGCGAATTTCAAACTTTTCTTTTTCTTTGTCGTTTTTTCAACAGTACTTGTCACAATTTTTTCAATAATTTCGACACTTTTCTCCGTTTTTTTCTCTTCAATTTCATTATTTTCATAATCATCTGAATCAAGAGCATTTTCTTCATCTCCTTCATATATATCATCATCGTCTTCTTCCTCTTCTGAACTTGATCCATCACATGTTTCTAAAAATTGCAAAAGTTTTTCCAGATCTTTTTCGTTAACTCCAGGCATTTTCAGCATCCTCATATAGTTTTCCTTTTCATCATATTCTTCTTCTTCTTCTTCTTCTCCGTCATTTTCTCCGTCTTCTTTTGTTTCTTGAAATTCAACTTCATTCGTATTTTGTATCACAATCTCCTTTTCAATGTTCTCTTCTGATTTTTGTTCAATTTCATTGTTTTCAAGTTCAAGTTTTTCTAATTCTTCCAATCTCTTCATTGCTTCGTCGTGAGAAACTTCTGATGATTTTTTAGATTCGTTGCGAATTTTTCGATTTTTGTAGAACTCTTCTTCTTTTTCTTCATCGTAAGGTTCACAAATTTCGACTTCATCTTTATTTTTAGGTTCTCCAAAAAGTTTATCAGTATATTCCACTTTCTCATCAAGCATTTTGATGAATTCATTACCATTATCAATTGTTTTTTGACAATCTAAAATTATTTTTCATCAAAATTTGAACCAATTTTCAAAATTAACTCACCTGCAATTCTTCGTTGTATAATTTTGGTTGCAGTATGAGAACTACATTCTACCAAATAATCATCACCCAAATTGACCATTACTTCATTTGTTCGAACTACGTGAGCATCACAAAAATATGCAACATCACAAATTTTCGCAGATATCGGCGTTTCCAACTTCTTAACATATTCGGCTAGAGTTTTCCCGACATTTTTGTACTTTTCAATAGTCTCTTTTTGCTCATCTATCGTTTTCTGCACTATTGATCTTTCTTTATCGACTTCAGCCAAGAACATTTCCCTCATCCGATCAGTCATTCTTCTTCAAAAAAACTTTATTAGACAAATACTTTTAATTTTTTATTTTGAGTGAAATTTTTTCTGCAGAAAATAAAAAAATGTCCGAGAGAAATACACAGAAATGAATACACCGAATATTTCGCAACATTGCACACATTTTTTTTGTTTTTTTTTTTTGAAAAATTGACAAATTCAGCTTTGATTTGAATTTTCCAGGCGTTTTGAGACTTGTTTGAATTGTTTACAAATATTCTTCATTTGATTTACACTCTAATGATGTTGAGTTTTTCATAGACTCAAAGAAAATCATGAAAATAATTGATTTTTCAAAGAAAAAGACGAAAAGCTTTTTTTTCGGGAAAAATAAAACATGTTGTTTGAGATAAAACGTGAGCTTGCGCGTTAAATCGTGGTGAAATAATTTTCTTTTTTATTTTTCATTCAGTCTGGTGTAAAATTATGAGGTTTCTTTTTTGCAGAAATTCAATATCAAATGTCTGAAGATGATCCAAATCATGGAATTATAGGATGTTTACCCAATGTTGTCGACCCAATTCACGTGGAAGAACTTCGATCGCTGGTGAAAAATGTTCGAGAAATATACAGTTCGACTCCAAGTGAAACTATCATTGAAATATCTTTCTTGAGATATTCTCGTTTGCTTCATTTATACCAGGAGCAACCAAATCTTCTCGATTCACTTATTCCAGAATTAATTGATATTTTAGTGAATAATGTTGAACTAATTGAAAATTTATCAGATGTTTCAAGAGCTTCTTTAAAATACATATCGGAATTATGTATTGTTCGAGGAAGAAAAACAATTGTTCGATTACTTCCTCACCAAGTTACACTTCTTGAGCCGCTTTTACGAACACTGGAATTTTATGAAAAATCTAAAATATCTGATCATTCGCAAAGAAATGTGTTATTGTTATGGTTATGGATTGTAGTTCGAAACCCATTTGATTTGAGAAGGTAAATTATCGATTTATCAGACACAAGAATAGTTACCATATATTTCAGATTTGATCCAACTGGCGATCCAAATAATGTTATAACTCGAATTATGAATATTGCACTTGGATATATGAAATGGGATTGGAATACAAGTCAATATTCAGCATCTCTTGTTATTTCACAATGTCTTTCAAGAACTGATGGAATTCCAAAAATATCACAATTTTTGGACAATCTTCTTGATTCTATTATATTACACGAATCTGATAGAAAACTATTATTAGCTGATCTTCTTATATTGCTTGCAATTCTAAAACACGTTGATCGATCAAATCTTGTTCCACATCTTGAAAAAATTTATAATAAGATCGATTTTCTATATCCAATTGATGAAAAAAGAGGAAGTTTGATTGGAAAATGTTTAGTGAAAGTTGTGCAGAGAATTGGTTTAATTGCTTTGAAACCAAGAAATTGTAAATGGAGTTATCAAAGAGGAAAACGATTATTAGATAATATGTTAAATGATCATCAAATGGATATTCCAACAACTTCGAATGATGAAAATATGACAGAATGGAATGATGAAGATGGTTTAGAATATCCTGGAATTGTTAGTTTTTCTTTGTTTTTAGAGAACGTTTTTTGATTTTAATAACAAATATTTTGCAGATTGAATGGTCTTTATTCCATATTTTAACATCATTGTCTAATTCTGAAACATCAGTTCGATGGTCGGCAGCAAAAGGAATTGGAAGAATAACAATGAGATTACCAAATGCTGATTTTGCATTGCAAGTAATTCAACAAATAATTGATGGACATTTTGGAGAAACTGGACAATATTCATCTTGGCATAGTCATGGAGCATGTTTAGCAATTGCTGAATTAGCTCGACGTGGTGTATTACTTCCATCTTTATTAGAAACTGTTATTCCTGCTATTGAAAATGCATTAGTATTTGAAGATTTAATGGGAGTTCATCAAAATGGGAATCAAGTTCGAGATGCTGCTTGTTATGTTATTTGGGCATTTGCAAGAACTTATGATCCAACTATTATGGCGAAATATCTCAATAATTTAGCTAGCTCATTGGTAATTTTCTTTTGAAAATTGTATTTTTAATAATAATTTTAGATGTGTTGTGCACTTTTTGATCGAGAAGTCAATTTGAGACGAGCTGCTTCAGCTGCATTTCAAGAACTTGCTGGAAGACAAAAAAATGTGCCAAATGGTATTACACTTTTAACATTGGTCGACTATTTTGCTGTAACAAATCGACAGAAATGCTATGAAGAAATTTGTGTAAATGTTGCACAATTTGAAACATATTCGCAATCAATTTTGGATCATCTTATTAATAAAAAAGTTAGTTTTCTGATGGGTGATGCGGGTAGAAAAATAGGAAAAAGCAAAACGTTTATTTCGCACTGAAATATCCGATTCAGAAAATTTCAAAAAAATGTTTTACTCATTTTTTAAGGTTATTCATTGGGATGAGAAAATTCGAGAACAAGCTGGACAAGCATTGGAAAATATTTGTAAAGTTCACAATTTTGACAAGTTTTGCTTGGACATACTTGATGTTTTTGTTGAAAAATGTGTTGAGAATTCAACATCTCCGGTAAGAAAATTTTCATTTTCTTGTTCCAAATTTTTTCATAATTTAAATTTTAGATTCATCGACATGGTTTTCTAATTGCAACTGGTCATATTGTTAAAGCACTTTCTTTTCGAAAAACATCGATTCCTGAAAATATTCAACAAAAACTTGCAGAAATTCCAATAATTTTAAAATCACATACAGATCGACTTTCTCAAGTTGGTTCAATTATTCGAAAATCAGTTTGTCGATTTATTAAATTAGTTAGTGAAGCGAATTTGAAATTATCAACAAATGAAATGTGGATCGAAAGAATTTTGATGTTTTTGAGAGATACAAATGAACAAATTCGAGAATTGGCAAAAAATGCAGCAAAAGTATATGTTGAATATCATTTATTAGATAATCAACAAAAAATTAATTCAATTCTCAATTTATGTTTGACAACGGTTAGTTAAATATTATATCTATTATCTATTCATACTTAAATTAACCACGTTTTGCAGTTATCTTCTGGACACGATGAAAATGAACGAATTGGAATGTGTATGATTTCTGAAATTCTTCCACTTAATAACGATGTTTTCGATGCAATTTGTAATACAATTTTGAAACCGAAAGCAACTGATTTGAAATGGGCAACTGCTCGAAAACACGCAATTCTTGCAATTTGCTCATTTTCGATATCATGTTCTGCTGAAAAATTTGAAGAAATATCTGGAAAGCTATTTGATACTCTTTATAAAGCAATGAATGATTATACAACAAGTGCAAAAGGAGATATTGGAAGATATGTAAGTATTTAGAAACATATTCTATTTAAAAAATGATTTTGTTTAGGTTCGAGAATCAAGTATGTTAGCTCAATATCAAATATTAATAAATGCAAATTGTTGTGATGAAATACTTGATGAACATGTTATTCAATGTATTCGAAATATGATTCAACAAAGTGCTGAAAGAATTGGAAGAACTCGAGAAACATCTTGTTTTTGTATTAAACAATTGATTGAATCTGAAAAATGTGGAAGAAGAATTGCGAATGTTGAAATACTTCGAAATATTTATCAAGAACCGCATGATTTTATACAAGACAGCAAACTTTTTGATTTGAAGCCGATTTTGGAAAAATGTCCAGAATATTATGAAAATATTTTATTAGGAATTGTTGTATCTGGTGGAGGATTGAGTGAAGGAACTGAAAAAACTGCCAGAAAATTATTATTGGAACATCAAAGAAGTATTTGTAATGATAAAATGGTTAGTCAAAAAAAGGAAAGGGGATGTTTTTGGAATTTGCTGAATTCAGAAATTTATGAAAAAAAAAAGTTTGAAAATTTCAGATTTTTAATGAAAATAAATTGATCCATATTTAATGTTTTTCAGAAATTCGATCGATTTTTGGAAACTTGTTGCCGATTATTCCGAAAATCACAAAAAGGAATTCGAATAACAAACAGTTTTATGCAAGTTTTACCACAAATATTTGGAAATCTTGGAGAAGTTTATGAAGAAATTCCCGAAAAATCTGAAGCTATTGTGGAAATTGTTGAAATCATGAGAACTGTAAGTTTTTTTCGGATTTTGAAAATTTTATTTAAAAAAAATTGTATTTTTAGGTTTCTGAAAATAGTCCGCAGGTTTCACGTCAACGTTTACTTATTGATTGCCTTGCTGAACTTTTGAATTGTGGAAAAAATAGTCAAATCTATCGAAAAGCCAGAAAAATAGTTGGTTTTTTTTTTTAAATTTTCAACCTCTCATACAAGTAATTTTCAGATTCTGGAATCACTTGTTAATTTAAAACCGGTTTTACGAAAACTTGCTGCCGAAAAATTATATGAGCATTTGTGTTGTGCGGAAGAAGTTGATGAATTGGTTCTTGAATTGCTTTCGACTACAAATTGGCAGGATGAATGTTGTGAAATTGAAGATCTTGAAAAAACGGCTGAAAAAATTGCGAAAAATTTGGCATGATCTCATTTTTGTTTGGTTTCGTTTTGCATATTATTTTTATTATTATTTATTTATTGCTTGGTTATTGAAGAAAAAATTATTGAACGATATTTGCAATATTTTTGATTACAAATAGATGTGGTTTTGATTGAATACCATTTATTATTTGAAAAATAGTACACAATTTGTTAAACGTCGGTTTTTTTTGACAGAATGGGTGTTGCTGATGATGTTCACAGTGTTGTTTTGACACTAACAACATCTGGAAAACCGATGACACCATCGAGTATTGAAAAAGAGTGGAAGTACGTTGAAATTTTAATTATATTTGGGAGGAGAAAGGGGCGGGTCTGGGGATGTTAACGTTAGCTACTATATAAATATATCACATTTTCCTTTTTTTCTTGATTTTTGGATGCCCCATTTCAGTTGATCTACTTCAGATTCAGAAGCTATTTGACAAGTTCAGAACCTAACCACTTTCTTTGCGAGATATTTTCAATTCAGTGATTCGAATTGTTATTCAATTTTATAAATATTGTCAGACTTTCTCCAAAATCTAAAAGATAATTTTCCAAATTTTCTATTATTCAAAAAGCGCCATAACATTGACTCCTCTCTTAAAAGTTGTTTTGTATTCAGAGATCTTCGTGGTGTTGATTTGAATGCTCTCATTCGCAAAGAAGGGCTTTATTCTCGACTCAACGATCTTCTCGCAAGCAATACGCATTTGTTCACACAACAAGGATATGTATGTTTATCATATCTTTCTTTTTCTTACTTCAATCTTTTTTTGAAGGGTTGGTTGGCTGTTCAAACATCTGAAACACAAGAAGTTACGAATGTAATGAGAGCAAGTCGAGGTGGAAAAAGAAATGGTGGAAATTCGAGAGGAGGAAATATGAATCGAGGTGGCGGAAGATCTGGAGGAGGAGGAATTCCTCGAGTTGATCATAATCAACGATATGGAAGTGCCTTTCATAATCCGGCGAATTCGAGAGGAAGAGGAGGTTTTAATAATAGTGGAGGATTTGGTGGAGGAGGAGGAGGAGGTGGAAATGATCGAATTAATTCGAGACCGTTTCGATCACAACAACAATATCAACCACAACCACCACCGCCACCTCCAATTGGATTGAATCCAACTTCATCGAGATATAATGGAAATAACACCAATGATTTTGGATCGTAAGTTTTTTTTTCATTCAAGAAGACAATAGCAGAAACTGCAGAACAATCCAATTTTTTAAAAATAAATTCTCTTCAGTTTCTAAATGTGATTTGCCCACAGTTCTAGCCAATTGATATTTCAAATCCCAACTTACAGATCTCAACAACAACAACATCGTCGATCTCCTAGTTATTCACCACCGAGGAGAAATTACAGTACTTCGAGAAGAAATTCGCCGGCTTATGATGATGATCGAGATAGACCAAGTTGTGAGTTGAAATATTCAAAGTTTTTCATTTTTTTCCGAATTTATTTAGTCGCAAGATATGAAGAGCCGGTTCGACAGACAAGATATGAAGAACCAATTCGGCAAGCAAGGTATGAAGAACCGGTTCGACAAGAAAGATATGAAGAGCCAGTTCGGCAACCGAGATATGAAGAACCTGTGAGACGATCACCAGTTTGTGAGTTTTTCTCTTGATTTCTCTTGATATTATTCTGTAATTGTTTCATTTTCAGTTGGTCGGCAAAATGTGGATGATCGACGTTATCAAAGATCCACTTCAAGTTGTATGTTTTTTTTCAATAAGATTTAAATTATGTAATATTTTTCAGTTGGACGTAAAAATGATGATGATGGTTATGATCGTGATCGGGATCGTGATTGTAAGTTGGAAATTTTTACATATTTTGAAAATTGTGAAAAAAAACTTCCCCAAAGTTCAAATGCTAAATTATAGATGGATCTAGCTCGAATCAAAGAAACGGATATAATGATGATAATGGTCGAATGAGTAGATCAAGAAGTCAATATGACGACGAAGAAGGACAATCATCGAGTTTCCAAAGACATCGATCACAAAGTCGAAGTATGAGAGATGTTCGAACAACCAGAGAGAATTATGATTCTTCTAGTTCTTATAATGATGTAAGTATTTTTCTCAAAAAATAAATAAATAAAAAGAATTAAACTGTGATATTATTTTTAGATACCTCGAGAAACTCCAATGACAAATCAAAGAGCAAATGATTTATTGATTCGTTCTGGAATTGATAGTTTATCAATTAATGATGATTCGAATGCAGCAGGAGAAAAAGACAAATCAGCAAAGAATACGAAACAAAAGGCAGCTAATCTACTTTGTGAAATATTCAATAATAACAATGGTGGATCATTGAAAGTGGAAGAAGTTATCAGATTATTGAATCAACATATGTAATTGAAAACAGTAAATTAATTATTGAAATTGAGTTGTTTTCAGTGATTTGCCATTGAAGAAATATGGAGATGTTGGAGCACTTGAGAAGTTGAAAGCTGATAAACCAAAATCTCTTCAATGCATGGAAATTGACAGAACAACGGTAACGCCCCTTTTTTCTTCAGTCCGCAGTGAGAAAAGTTTGCTTTTTTTGTTTTGTTTTCTCGCCTGTGAATTTTATTGAATTTTGAAACCGAAATCTGAAAGTCGAACCCTTTTCTTGATTACTCTACATTTGTTTTCTTAAAATGTCATCATTACGGAACCCCCCCCCCCTTTTTTTTTTCTCCGAGAAAAAAGAATTCTCATCCATTCCAGTAAAAGTTAGAAACTTTCAGTTTTTGTCTCGTTTATTTTTTTTATTATTTTCAGAGAACAGTTCATTGGCGATCAATTCGATCAGATTCTCCACCTCCTTTATCAACAACTTCATCTTCTCGAAGACCAGATTCTGAATTATTGAATAACAGCGGAGAAATTCATAATCAACTTGAATTGACTGTTTTGAATTCGATGTCAATGAGAGATGCAATTTCAAGATTGAAATTTGACACGGATGATGTAAAAGATAAGATAAATATTATTGCATTGGCTATACTTATACAAAATCCGAAAGTTTTTCAAATCGATAAATTAGATGGTAAGTTTTTGGAATTCTTTAGCATAATTAAAAAAAAGAGAATTGAAAACATAGTTAGAAAAAGGACTATTTACTAAAGAGAAAGATGAATACTTCTCAGAGAAAGTATGGCTTGAACGGCGCGGTCCGCGGACGATTTTTCACCGATTTTTGGGTGAAAATCATTACGCGGATTCCGCGAAAAAAATTTCGCGGACAGCGAAACTTCAGCCAATGAGCGTCGAATTTCGCGCATTCCGCGAAATTTTTTGACTTGGAAATTGGATTTTTTGCGTTTTTCGCGGATCCGCGGATGGACTCGAGAGGAAGGTTATAAAAAGGATAAATTGTATCGCGTACGCGACAACGAGGATGGCGCAGCGAGGAAGATGGATGACTACAAAACTACAGGATTGGGATCGAGGCCGGGTTGGAACTACAAGTCAATACTAACTTCTGATAATTATCAGTGGTAGTGAAGCATTTTTATATTTCGAGAGTGCATTGCGCGGACGTTTCGCTAACAGCGGAGTATAATTTCGCGGACGTTTCGCTAAAGTTCTTGTGTCAGCCGCGGATTGGCAGATTTCTGGGTTTCGCGAACCGCGCCGTTCCAGCCAGACCTTCTCTGAGTTTATAAAAATACTATTTTTAGAAACTGGAACAATTGTACGGATTCGACAACAAGAAGTGAATGCGAGACAAGAAACTGTTAGAAATGGTAATTTTATTTGAATTTTGTCTAATTTTTCAAGGTGTTTGTAAGGTGTTTATAACAATTAAATGTTTTTTAGATGATATTTTGTCTCCAAATGTTTTCCACGCTTTGGAATATCATCCTTGGTCATTTCCAAACGAATTTAAAAATATTCCACGCCAAGTTTATGTTACAATGATCAAATTTATGGGATTTCAAAAACATTTTTATGTGAGAATTTCGGATAAAAATGAAGAATATATGCACATGCATACCAAAATACAGTAAGTTTTCATTTTCAGATAAAAAAAAATAGATAAATTATTTTTTAGAAATCTTGCCGAGAATTATCAAAACAAACACAGGTCATTTAGTATGAGAGATTGGAACAAAAATGATGCTTGTTTGGTTTATTGCAAAACAAAAAATACGGAAGAAACATCGAATTTTGAATGGCATCGTGCTATTATTGTAGGACATGATGATGAGGTTGGTAGTTTATTTTTGAGATAAAGAAATCGGGCAGAAATTTTGCAAACCGATTGCTCAAATTCAAAAATTCAAAAGTTTACAAATTTTCTGGTTTGAAAAATCTGATTTTTTTAATTTCCGAGAAAGATCAAAACTTCTTGAGAATTCTAGATTTTCCACATTTTTCTCTCACAAATAATATATAAATATTTTTATAGGATGAAATGATTGTTGTGAATCTCATTGATATGGGCCTCAAAAAATCATGCAAGCCTGAAAATATAATTCCAATGCCAACCTCAATGAGCACAATTAATTCATTCGCAATTCGTTGTATTTTGCCAAATTTCGATATTGTTGAAGATGAAGAATATCAAGAAATCGAAAGCCATTGGAAAGATACTTTTGAAGAAAATGATCGAATTCCTTTGTGTATTGAACCAATTGAATGTATGAATGAAAGAAAAGGATTGGTTGTCAAATTATTCAGCAAAAATACTCAACAAAAATACATCGATTTACTTGCTTCTTTGCGAAAATGCATCCGGGAATACTAAGTTTCTGGCTTTATTTTGTTCTCTATTAATTTGTTTCTCTTTTTTCGGTTATTTTATGAATATTTTTAATTTATTTAATAAACAAAACAGATACAATTACTCTGAACAGAGTTGAGATACAAACGAGCTTATAATTGGATTTTTAGAAAATTATTCCGCTTTGACAAGGGTAACATTGAAGTGATCAAGAAATTCGGATGGCTTTGTTTGCCATTTTCCGAGTCCAGCTTTTTCGAGCTGCAAATTATAATTGTTCGTTAAAACTGTTACTTAGGCTTATGTTTAAGTTACCTTATTATAAAATGCTTTTTTGGATCTTTGATAAGCAGCCCCTTTAAGTTTGGCAGCATTATAATTTGTAATCGAAGTATCCGCATTTTTCAATTTCAAATATAATTGAAATAATTCGAATTTTGAATATTTTGAAGGAGTTCCAGTAATAGTAACACCAGTTTCGTGGTCGATTTTTTCGACACTATCAATTCCACGAGTCCAACCTTGTGCATAACTTGTAACAACTCGCATTTGAGCCTAAAATCGAATATTTTGAAATTGTTATAAAGATAGTTAACAGAATTATCTTACCGCAATACTTTCAAGTTGCAATTTACTTGTATCTTCTCCCAATCTTCCAGCCAATGCAAACTTCAAAGATTCATCAGGAACAGGTGCATCAGTTCCGAAAAAGATACAATTCAATTTAATTGTATTCAAAAGATTCGATAAAAGTGCTCCTTGAAGTCCAACAGTATTCCATTTGTAAATCTTATCAGCTGTGCAATGAACACGGATTTCTTTTAACTCTCGAATTTCAGCAGTTGTCATAAGATCATCAGGAACTGGAGTGAAATTAATCGGGCTGAAAAATTATTTTTTATTTAATTTTGGAAAATAATTGTTCTAAGAATTTCGGAAATAAAAAACTCCGTGAGCATTCACGTTAATTCATTTTATAAAAAATCTTAGTTCAGAAATGGCACAAATTTGTCCATGTGTGTGAGTTTTTTGAAGGGTTTACTGTAGTACGGAGGTTTTAAAAACAAAAGAATTAAAATTAAACTCACGTTACGTATGCCAATTTTTTGACTTTGGCATCTCTGACTGACATTGAACAAACTGGTGGAAAATTGGCATAAAGAATAAGTTGAAGATTTGGTTTCAAATCGGCCTTTTTTCCTTTGTTAATAATGAAAACAGAATTTTCTGGATCATTTTCCATAACAGCCAATTCTTGAATAAAATATCGAAGTAGAGAACGTCTTGCCAAAACAATTGGATCCATATGAACCAATGTTTTACCACCAGATTGATTTAATTTTCCAGTATCGACTATATTTTGCATTGAAGAACCACTTGCAATAAGTCGTTTTTCACCTTTTTCATTAACCAAAAAGAAGCATGCAACTTGATTACTTGGACGAACATTATAATATTTACTCATTCCGTGATATTCTCGTTTTGCAAATTCGGCAATATCGTGGCATAATTGAGAAACATTATGATTTCTATCAACTGCATTCTCATTTGCTGGTTCATTTTCGAGTGCGTTGAAATCAATAGCAAATATTTCTTTGAGAGCAATCACGGCTGCATTATTTTTTGCCAATTTTTTCGATGATCCAACTGCAGTAAACTTTTTGTCTCCAATCAAACAATGACAAATAAATGTTGGTGGAGTTGTTTTTGGTTCAACATCTTGGAATTCATAATTGATTTTGAGTTCACCATTTTTCGAAGTTTGTGCCAAATGTGTATGTAAAGTAGCAGCTGGACCCAATGATTGAGTATCTCCTGATTCTTTTTTCTTTTCACATTTTGTTAGATCAATTTCGAAAAATTGAGTGAGAGCAAGAAGTGCAACTTGTTCTTTAGCCATTGTTTTCGAAAGCGAATCTGATGATTTGAATTCGGCTGTTCTTCCAGAATCATCTATTGATTCAACCTTGCACTTTGCGAAATAAAATGGTTTTCCTTCTCCAAGTGGAGCAGCTTCAGATAGTTCAATATCGAATGTAATATTACAATTAAGAATTGAAGCGATTTGATAAAGTGTCTAGAAAAAAAACAGATTTTTCTCAAATAAAAAACTAATTTTAAACTCACTGAAACATTGCTGAAATGATTTAATCTCTTCGTTGCACTATTCAAAGTAACTGTTTTAATATCATAATGAGAAACTTTAAATAAATCAAGAAGTGCTTCCCTGACAACTAAATTTCGTTGCATTCCTCGACCTTTTCCTGATTTTTGATATTGTTTTCCCTGTTCTTCAAACTTCAGAGTAACACTAAAAATTTAAATAATTGAAAAATTGAATGTTTTCTTCGAAAACTTACGTGAAAATAGTAGCAGGATCTTTATACCATTTCGGCAATTTCTTTTCTTTTTTCTGTTCTCCATCTTCATTTGTTTCCATTGTTGTTTCAACTGGTTCTTCTTTTTTCACTTCTGTAGTTGGTGGTAATTCTTCAGTGATTTCAAAAACAGGAACATATTTTTCAGATGAATCAGAAATTATTCTTTGCATCAGATCATATAAAGAGGCAGCGGCTTCAGCTGGTGAAAGTTTTTGTTTCTTTGTTTGTTCTTGATGATCACTTTCTGCGGCTCTTTTTTGTTTTTTCTGTTGTGGTTCGACTGCTGAATTTGATTGACTTTCGACTTCTTGTGGTTTCTCTTTTTTAGGAGTAGATACAGCTTTGACTGGTTCAATAAATGGTTCGACATAAACATCTGGTCTCAATGCTTTGATTGCAACTTCTGAACATTTATGTTTGGCGCTCTTTTTGTTCAATGCATCAGCTTCGAAAATATGTCCATCAACATTCAATTTGCAAATGTATCTTTTGGGTGTAGTTCCTGAATCGGTAAATCTGCAAAATACATAAAATATAAATCTCTTCAAATGTAATCAAATTCAACTAACTCTTCGTTTATGTTTTTGAAAAGTTCATGAAGAACACTTGTCGGAGTTTTGCCCGTAGTTACAACAGGTTTTGGACCTTTTGGAATCTGTTGTTGTGGTTGCCCTCTGTTCGCATTCTTCTTTCCTTTTGTACCAAAATGTTTTTGACTCCATTCTGGTCCTAATGCAGAATTGAAACCGAATCCAGTACGAGTACCTGCTTTTTGTGGAAATGTTCCAAAATTTCCAAAGTCATTTCCAGAAAAGGCGGTATATCCTCTGTTATCTGCATATCCATAGTTTTCATAAGGATTTTCGTATTTTGGTTGTTGCGATGGAGGTTGTCCCCAATTGGACCATGTATTTTGATAACCCTAAAAATGAACATTTTTTCATGAAAAAGAACATAGGGAAAAATTGGAATGGGAAACATTTCACCCTGTACGAATACGGCCAAAATGTTTCACAGGCAGATGCAGAACGGCCGGATACTTGTCAAAAATTGAAAACCGGTCCGAAACTTGTACGTTTCCGACCAGTGTTGAAAAACGGCCAGTAACAACTCAAAAACCGACCAGTTTCTGACCGGTTTATCAAAATTGACCAGTAACCGGCCGTGTTTTTTCACTGGTTTTCGGCCGTTTTTGTTGAATTTGAGCAGAAACCGGCCGATTTTCGAGTGGTTTTTGGCCGTTTTCAACACTGGTCGGAAACGTACAAGTTTCGGACCGGTTTTCAATTTTTGGCAAGTATCCGGCCGTTCTGCATCTGCCTGTGTTTTGTTCTTTTTTTTGGACGTGCGCGTACATGAGCAACATTCGTTAGAATGAAAAGCAAATTAGATTATTTGCGATTAAAGCTCATACCGTACGACAACGCCAAACTTTGGGTTTTTGAAAAATAAAACTTTCGACCCCTTAAAAGTTTGAAGTTAACGTACGGATTTGGAGGAGTCGCCTCCAAAGCTAGACCAATCGCCAGTACCGAAAGCGCCGAAATTGTTATGATCCATTATTTTGTATCGACAAAGTTTTCTTCCTGAAGATTGATTTTTATTAGACGGAACGATCTCTTCTTCCTCGTTTCGTAAAATAAAAACGATATAATTGTTGTATTTGACTTTTATACGAATTAATCCGATACAACAATTATAAATTTCTGAACATAAGTATTTAAACACACTTCACTTCAAAAAGGAGTGATAAATCTTTTCTGCGTTTGAAGCTAAACATAAAAATGAGACTTTAAAAGTTTTGAAAGGACGCGAAAACAGAAAATGAAAAAAAACAATGCTCCGCACTGACGATTTTGAATCTGCCTGCTGTTTACCGCTAATTACTATGCAACGTCATTCAACGGAATGTTGTTTGAACACGTCACCTTTTATTTTTGTCCAAAAACTGTCTATCAAAGTTTTTATACACAAAAAGCTCAAATATCTTGTTCAAATCTCATTGGTATTTCCATATTCAATCAGTTTTTGTTCCAGGTGTATGTTCTGGAATCGATCAAACAATCAACCAACGTCTGGAGGAGCATCTGGAGATTTGGGTTCGCTTTTTTTTTGTTTTTTTAAAGAATATATCGTTAATCACGAGGGAAAATGTTATATATTTTTTATTTTTCAACAACTTCTGTCACTAATATTCACTAGAAACCAATTTTTAGTGAGAAAAATAATGTATCTGACTTTCTTTCTGTTTATAGAAGTCTAGATATCATATTTCTTTTGAAAAAACAACAAGAGCTTTTTCCAAATCAATAATTCATCACAATATTTTGATTTTTCAACCAAATCATCTCGAAAATGTTTTCATTTTTTATTCTGAACGATTCCGTCTTTAATATTTCCGCCTCTATTCTTTCCAAAAAAACACACATAAAAAAGAAAGGAGAATTCCCTTTTCTTTTATTTCAAAAAAAAAAACGAAGCTTTTTCTTTTTTTTTCCTATGCGTTATTGTGAATGCATGTGCATCTATGCCAAACTCCTCGCGCACACACACATTTCCATCGATTTCTTTCTTCTAAAAAAAGAGAGATTGCTCTTTTTTTCGTTTTTTTCACATACATATACAAATTTCAGTTAGCAGTATAGCTTTTTTTATTGATAAACGACCATAAATAATTCATAGTTTTTTGCGGACTGAGAGTTTCACTTCAATTTTTAAAATGAAAATATCACTCTTCTTCAGATAAAACTGTAATTTTCAGAGCCATATTCATTTAGCAAAACTTGTTTCTCAATACATTTCGGTTATTTTTAGATATAAAACATTTATTATCTGAAAAAAAACATTTTCTCAATTAATTTTGTTCAGAATGTTTCGGGTACAGATTTTTTGCAAAAACATTTTTTAAACATCTCAGCGAACTCGTTGTGTGAAAAATCAAAATTTGAAAAATATTCCACGTGTATTCACAAAATATTTACTTGAACTTGAAAAGACATATTTTTGCATTAAACAATTGTGAATTTTGAGATCCTTCTAGCCATGATAAGTCCCAACATACATGGCACTGCTCTCAAATCTGTGAGGGGGAGATCATGACATTTGGAAAAAATTTTCGAGGGGGGGATCATGACATCACAGACAAAACATCTAAATTTTTTTCAAAGTGAAATCGGTACGCTAGAAAAAAATTGGGTTTTTGCATGTGGTCATTTTTGACTTATTTTTTCAGGTTCGGTAATTTGGAAACTAGTTCTTTAGGAATATCGAATGTAGAGAACGAGCGAAGAATTCGACGGATATCTTTCATCGGCTAATTATTCTTATTTTATTTCTAAAATTCTCAATTATATTTTTCTATATCCTTCTAAAATAAAAAATGCGTTTATCTCAGAAATTTTTACAAATTATCATTCTCAACTCTTCTGAACAATTACATATTAATAATCATATCCAATGCGTTATTTATTTGATCATCAAATTGAAACTCAAAAATATTGAATTACAAAACAAAAGAAAAAAAAATGAATTCCACCGAGAATTCGATCCAAAAACCCTCTGATTATTAGGCGCGATCTCTACCGACTTGACCACGAGGCTACTAATTTTCACACGTTTATTTTTAAGTGATAAATAAGGGATAGAAGGGGAGAGAAAATGAAAAAGAGAAGGAGAAGCGGAAAAAAATCATAAAATTTTTGAAAAATTCCCATTTTTTATCGAATTTCGCCGATTTTGTTATATGTTTCGACTGTATAAGTAACTTAAGGATGGTAGAAAGGAATGTCTGTCGAAATTATCTAAAAAGATGGTTTATTTCTTGAGATATGATCCCCCCAAAATCGAAGCCGTTTTGCTATGTCATTTTGGGGGGATCATATCTCAAGAAATAAACCATCTTTTTAGATAATTTCGACAGACATTCCTTTCTACCATCCTTAAGTTACTTATACAGTCGAAACATATAACAAAATCGGCGAAATTCGATAAAAAATGGGAATTTTTCAAAAATTTTATGATTTTTTTCCGCTTCTCCTTCTCTTTTTCATTTTCTCTCCCCTTCTATCCCTTATTTATCACTTAAAAATAAACGTGTGAAAATAAGTAGCCTCGTGGTCAAGTCGGTAGAGATCGCGCCTAATAATCAGAGGGTTTTTGGATCGAATTCTCGGTGGAATTCATTTTTTTTCTTTTGTTTTGTAATTCAATATTTTTGAGTTTCAATTTGATGATCAAATAAATAACGCATTGGATATGATTATTATTATTATGTAATTGTTCAGAAAAGTTGAGAATGATAATTTGTAAAAATTTCTGAGATAAACGCATTTTTTATTTTAGAAGGATATAGAAAAATATAATTGAGAATTTTAGAAATAAAATAAGAAATAAGAAAAAATAAGAAACAATGGATGATATCCGTCGAATTCTTCGCCCTTTCTCTACATCCGATATTAAAAGCGCTAGTTTCCAAATTATCGAACCTGAAAAATATGTCAAAAATGAAACTCCCCCCCCCCCTCTCTTGGATATTTTTCATTTTTTTCACCATTTATTTTTTCAAATTTTTGACAAAAAAAATTGAGGGGGATCATGACATTTCAAAATTTTGGGGAGGGGGGGATCATTACATGGAGGGTCTGTTGGGCAAAGATGCCATGTATGAGTCCCAAAACTTTTCAAAATATATTTTCGTAACCTTGGAAAAATTTTATTCGGAAACCTATATTTCGAAATTTCCTGAATAAATAAAACATTTCACAATTCATTTTTTATGGAGTCTCTGTTTATAACCACCAGTCAGCCTAATAATCAATAATTTTTCATACGAAGCAAAAGTTTTCGTTCGTCTTTCATGAATTCGTAATGCCTTAACCTTTTTCTGTTTTTCTCTTTTTTCTTCCTCATTCAGTCATTCCAATCAATCTTACTTTCTTATAAAAAGACAACTTTCTTTCTTCCGTAAAACAAAATTGAATTTGTTCGTGAGTATTTTATAATCGAGCTACTTTTTTTCGTTGTTTTTCTTCAACGAAGAAAAAATGTGAAAAATTTTCGTTGAAAGCTAATTAGGTTTGGTGGATCCTATCCTAGATTACATCCCATGGGATATTCAAAACATGTTTTTTCTTGAAAAGTATTGTATCTTCTTTGAATTTTATTACTTTAATTTCTAAAATAATTTTAAAAATTCTGTTGAAAAAATATTATTTTTCAGGTCCACCTTTAACAACTCGGAATATTAATTCACCTCAAACAAATATGTTTCGAGTAAGAAAAGCGCCAACAGATGCGCTGGCATTGACAAATTGTGCAGTTGTAAATCGAGAAGATTTTGATTGTAATCATATAAAGTAAGATATTTTGTTCAAAATCAGATCATAAGAATATTATTTGCAGACATGTTACTGTAAAAACTGGACCAGCACATCATTTTATTTTCTCATTGAAAAATGATAGTTCACTTCGTCGTGGTGAAATCGCATTTGCAGTTCCACAAAGAAAATGGGCAGCATTATCATTAGATCAAGAAGTTCGAGTTGAAGCACATCGTTTTCAACATAGTGAATATATTGCATCAATTGTTGTTTCAGCTGATTTTAATAATAAAAAAGCTGTAACATCTGAACCATTGAATGCTGATTTAATGGCTCGAGAATTTTCGATGCAATTTGTTGGACAATCATTTGCAAAAGGAGAATTACTTGTATTTCGATTTGAAGAAAAAGATAAAAATCGAGCACATACTTTATCTTTAGTTGTAAAATCAATTGAAGGAATTGATATAACAAAAGCTGCAATTGCTGCTGGCGGAGAAGGTGGAGAAGCACCAAAACCACAACCAATTGATGCTGGTGAACTTATGGCTAATTCAGTTATTGTTTTTGATAAAGAAGAAGGTTCGATGTTGAATTTGATTGGAAAAAGCAAAGGAAAATCAGCTTATCGATCAATTATTAATCCTGATTGGGATTTCCAAAAGATGGGAATCGGTGGTTTGGATAAAGAATTTTCGGGAATTTTCCGAAGAGCTTTTGCTTCTCGTGTTTTCCCTCCAGAATTTATTGAACAATTGGCAATGAAACATGTTCGAGGTATTTTATTGTTTGGACCACCTGGAACTGGTAAAACTTTGATGGCGAGACAAATTGGAAAAATGTTGAATGCTAGAGAACCAAAAATTGTTAATGGACCACAAATTTTGGATAAGGTTTGTTTTATTTGGAAAATACAAGGAAAAATTTTACGATTTTTTCAATCATAAAAAATATGCGAAAGTTTCAAAAAAAGTTATTCTCAGAAATTCGGAATATAAAAATAGCCTACGATTTCAGCTCCAAAAATGTCAGTAAAGTTTTTGATTAAAACTCCATGTATCTGAGAGAAAAATCATCTTATTTGTTTTTCTGGTTTCTCGAAAAATTCATAATTTATTTTCAGTATGTTGGAGAATCCGAATCAAATGTTCGTAAATTGTTTGCTGACGCTGAAGAAGAATGGCGTAGATGTGGAGCAAATTCTGGACTTCATATAATTATTTTTGATGAAATTGATGCAATCTGCAAACAAAGAGGTTCAATGGCTGGAAGTTCTTCAGTTCATGACACAGTTGTAAATCAATTATTATCAAAAATGGATGGTGTTGAACAATTGAATAATATTCTTGTTATTGGAATGACAAATCGAAAAGATATGATTGATGAAGCACTTTTGAGACCTGGTAGATTAGAAGTTCAAATGGAAGTATCATTAGCTGATGAAGCTGGAAGACTTCAAATTTTGAAAATTCATACAGCAAGAATGAGAGAATATAATAAACTTGATCCAAATGTTGATTTGGGAGATTTGGCAAAAAGAACCAAGAATTTCTCGGGAGCTGAAATTGAAGGACTTGTTCGAGCTGCACAATCAAGTGCTATGAATAGATTAGTTAAAGCTGGTGGAAAAGTACAATTAGATCCAGATGCAATTGAAAAATTGATGATTAATTCGGGAGATTTTGATTATGCATTAGAAAATGATATTAAACCAGCATTTGGAAGATCAGATGAATCACTTAATAAATTCTTGGATCGTGGAATGATTGTTTGGGGACCGGAAGTTACGAAAATATTGGAAGAAGGAGATTTGCTTGTTGCCAGCGCTAAAAATCCAGAAAATAGTGGATTTGTTACTGCTGTTTTAGCTGGTGCTCCAAGATCTGGAAAAACTTGTTTGGCTGCACAAATCGCCAAAAATTCCGAATTCCCATTTGTCAAAGTTGTTTCACCAGGAGATATGGTTGGATTTTCGGAATCTGCAAAATGTCAAGCATTGAGAAAAGCATTTGATGATGCAAAACGATCGAAAATGAGTGTTTTATTGATTGATAATATGGAAAGATTGTTAGGTGAGAAATTCATATTCAACTCACTTACTTACTTACTTTGATGATGATAAATTTAATTTGTTTTTGTTCAGATTATTCGCCAGTTGGTCCAAGATATTCAAATTTGGTTCTCCAAGCTTTATTAGTTCTTCTCAATGAACCACCACTTCCGGTAACTTTTATTTCGGAAAAAATGTAAAAAATAATTCGATTTTTTCAGGATCATCGTCTTTTGGTTCTTGCAACTTCTTCGAATCGATCATTTTTACGTGAACTTGATTTGATGGATGCATTTGGTATGAAATTATATATTTAAAAATTACATTTTTGAAAATCAAAAATGTTTTTCAGGTCATTCAATTGATGTTCCACTTCTTTCAACACCTCAACAAATGTTGAATGTTATTTCTGATTCGAATGTCTTTACTTCAGCTCAATTGCAAGAAATTCAAGCCAGATTGACACAATTGACTGAAACTCATAGGTAAGTGAATGGGAATCTACGAATCGAAGAATTTCTGAAAAGAAGTCTCATTTTGTTTGAAGTGAGAGTTAACAAATACATCCAAACTGAATTTTTAACAAGGAAAATTTCAAATTCTCAAAGTCATTTTTTGGACCACAAAAATCCGCTTTCTGTTCCCTTACTCCCAAACTTCTGGTCAACGATTTTCTAATCTAATTTCTGGAAAAAATCTGTGGCTTTTCCATTTTTGAGCAAAAATTGAGCCTTTTCCGATCCAAATTTTGTAAATTTTTAATCAAATTCTGACGTAACACCAATGTTCGAACCAACAAAAATTGAATTTTCGATGAGTATCTGAAGATTTCGAGTTTTCTAATTGTGGATTCCAAAGTTCTGATTTTAAAAAAACTATCGAATCAAATATTTGAAAAATAACAAGTTTCATTTCTGTTGAAATTTCGAAGAATATATTGACAGATCTTGTTTCTTCGGAATTTCTTCTATTTTCATATAAATCCTCTTTGATGCTGTTTCAATTGCATTTGTTCTCTACAAAAAATCTATTTATTTACATTTTTAATTTTCTTTAATTTCTTACCGTATAAGTGAAACATTTAGTTCTGTCAACATCTACAATTGATAATTTCATTTCGTTTGTTTTTGTTGGAACCTTTTTCTTATATTCGGTTTTTGCACCAGCTGTGTTTATCAAACTACGAATTGTATTACTGAAAACAAGCGGAGGAGTAAAGAAATCATCATCACGGGATTTTAGATTGATTGAAAGAATCCAGGGATCGAACATTGTATTCCTAGAATATTTTTTGATTTATAAAAAAACTTATGTCAGTTGTAATATTGATCTCACGTGATTTTTGGTGGAACATGTAGCTCAAATTGTTTCGAATGATACATTTCAATTTGTTCACTTCCAACTGTACAAGCTCCTTCAACATCTTTCAAATCTTCATCAGTTGGTTCAATACAAGTCATCCATTCTGGATCAGTGTTACCCTTATAAATATCTTCTGGTGGCAATTTCAGAACTTCACTTAATTTTGGATAGAAATCATAGACATCTTCTGAAAAATTTTGAATTCATTGATTCTTTTTAAATAGGAATTTTATTACCTCTAGAATCAATTGAAGTATAAGTGCTTGGAGTTGTTGGAATAATTGGTGATTTGAATGTTTTATGACTTGTTGCATTCAATATTATTATTGATTTTGCTTTTGGTCGAATCATTTGATCAAGTTGATAGAATTGTTTATTGGATTTCGGCACAATTGCAAAATCTTTTTTTGTTTTATATTTTTTCACCAATTTCATTATTTCATCCAAATCTTCATCTTTATCAATATTCAGAGTTTTTCTTGCTTTTTCTTTCGAATCAATTCTATTCGATTCTTTTGACTTGATTTTCACAACAATTTTGTCTTTCGAATTATTTTGGCATATTTCCACTTTTTTGATATTTGATGGATCTTGTGGAGGAATTGGTTCGACAATCGGAGAACGAGAACTTTTTTGTGTTGGTTGTTGATTTTTTGTTGGTGTTTCACTTTTTCCTTTCCTTCTCGAACTTGATGTTCTTTTTCCTTTTGGAGTTGCTTGTTTTCCTTTTTAGACTAGTTTTCTTTGGCTTATTCACTTGCTTTGATACTTTTTTATCCTGAAAATTATCTGGTTCTACCTAATTTTTCATATTCTCTCTTACCATTTTGCTATATTTTTTTTGACTTTATTTCTCAATTGAGAAAATATATAAATACCACGTTTCCAATTTTCCAAAATGGGTTAATAGAACAATATCTAGATCACGCTACGTAAGTAAATCATTAAAAATTTTCTCACACGAATTTTTTTCGATGACAATTTTCCCACGAGCGAAAAATGTTTCCCCGCTTGCAGAATGTTGTTTCTCAAAACATAAAAATTTTAAACTAGAAAAAAACACTAGTTTTGCAGAAATAAAAAAATCCATTTTAATTTCCTGTCGAATCAAGAGCTCTAAAATTAGATTTGTCATCAAAACTGATTTTTTTTCATTCAGATTTGGAATTGGAATCAAACGACTTCTCGATCTTATTGATTTCTCACGTCAATGTGATGCTGATTATCGAGTTTCGACTTTCTTGACAAAATTGGAAAATATGGCATTGCATATGTAAAAAACAACAAAGAACAGTATTTTTAAACACATAATTTATTACCTAATTTATTCAGAGCTTTTTCCTTTTTCCTTTATCGCAATAATCTTTTCTTTTTTCCCCCACAGATGATTTTATATATTTTTCATGTAGTATTTATTCAATTTTCAGATAAATGTATTAATTAGCAGAAAATGTGTATTTTATTCTCGTGTGACGCTGGCGCCGAAAATTGGGTTCAATTTTCTAAAGTGATTTTTGGAAACTGCAACAAAAAAGCATATGATATATTTTCTATCAGAAAAAAAAACTAGAAATTCGTAATCTTGTAAAAGTGCATCGAATTAAGATTAGTTCCAAGAAAATGTTCTTTTGATTCATTTTTTTATTATAGGGTTTTAAAACGAAAAATATAAATATAAAAAGGTGATTACAGTAAAAAAAATGTCAAAAGTAAGAAAATTGTTTTTTTTTCAAGAAAATCATATTCGAATTTTCAAAAAATGACATCAGGAATTCAAAAAAAATGTGTTTCTTCAAACTTTCCAATCCAGCAAAATTCTGGAAAAGTACTTGGACATCCAAAAAATTGGATTTTTTCAAAAAACTTCATAACCAGTTTTACTATCTCAAAACTTTTTGTTTTTTTTTGTGAATTTCCAAATTTCACAATATTTTCTTATTGTTAGTTTATTTCGATCAAGGATTATTATTGGCATTTTTTTAAATCTCGAAGCTCTTCAAAATCTCAATTTAAGTTCAAAATGTTTCATAAAACCCTTCTCAATGGCCTCATTTCTTTTTTCAAAATCAATGGCAACATTTCATAACTTCTTCTTCTAATAACTTGTGCAAATAATGGTCATTTTTTCGTCGTTATTTATTTACCGCCAAAAGAAATTCCGAAAATATGATATCATCTTCCCGTAAGTCGATCCAAGGTCAATTGTTTTTTTTACTCGAGTAAACTAATCGAATACCGAAAAAAAATGTTGCGAAATTATAATATACGAATAATTTATTCTTTTGTATTAAGTTGTGAGATCTTTGTATGAACCAGAAAAAAACAAGAACAAAACAGATTAAAATATAAGTATTAGTATAATTTGATAGAAAAATTAGAGTGAGCAAATTGATTGGTTGGTAATGGTTTTTTCACAGGGTTCAAGAGATCCTATTTTTTGAAGAAAAAAAATTGAAAAAATTTGAAAGTAAAGTATAGAAGATAGCTTGATGGAAGAAAGACGAAGTTGGAGGATATATGACAGACATGGACTCTTGATTTTTGCTGCAAATATATTCAATTAATATTCTCTTTTTTAAATTATATTTTAAAACCCTATTTAACAAATTAAAAAAACTTACAAATTCAAAATCGGTTTAGATATCTTCGTAGTCGTTCTAACCGATTTGTTTTGATCATCATTTTCTTGTGTTCTGTTTTATGATGTTTCTTATGTGCTTGATGTCTTTGTTTTGGTGGATCAAGTATCCTATCAATTATAACACCTGAATCATCAGGTTCATCTTCAAAAAGTCGATAGTCAATATCTGAAAACACAAATGAATTATTGAACTTCTAGTTTTCTAATCAAAAAAAAATATTTTAGCTCACCTTTATATTGTGGTCTGGCTTGTGATGTCAAAAATGCACAACTCAAAAGCAATAATGTCAAAATATAAAGCACAAATTTCATGTCTGTAAAAAAGTGAAATGAAAGAAAATAAGATCATGGAAAGTTTCGCACAACGAGACTCCGCCCAACACACATTTTTTTGAAACTCCGCCCACTATCAGATGTTCCAACAAAAAAAGAAAAGGAAAATGAATGAGGAGCGGGTTGTTACAAATTGGAGAATAATCTCAGAGGCTAAATCGCAGCTGAACGGCAGCGCTGCCGATTTGAACAGCAGAAGTGGGCAACAGTTGCCATGTGTGTGGCAGCTGAAGCCAATTGCTGCCGAAGGAGCGAGCTGCGAAATGGCAGCGCTGCGGCGTCCACGGGGCTGCGATGTTGATTAGTTGCTGAATCGAGCTGCGCTGCCTTTCAGCAGCGAAATTACTCCTGAGATTGAAAATTCAACAAAATTAGAAAGGAAGAGTTTCAGAAAATAGTTCAAGAAATGTTCGATTTTTAAAAAATGAGTTCCACGGTAACGGAAACTTAGTTTTTGAATTTTGATGTGAAACCTACAATGTGACTGAAAATCTCGAATTCACAGAAACTGCTAGGAAAAATTTTAAAAAATGCAATTTTCAGACAAAAAACATTTAAGACAATATTTCACATGAAAAGAATAAACATATTTGAAATCTAAAAATAAACTGCAATTTAGAACTTTCCTCTCCCATAGAATATTTTGGAACAAACATAGATATAGTAATTTTCAGACTCTTTGAAAACTTCATTATTCCAAAAAGTTCCCTAACACAAAAATGTAATATATTTTTTGTTTTTGTTTTCCTATTTCTGATTTAAAGAAGATTTTAACATTTTGTTAATCCGCTAGAATATAAATATTTTTAATTTTCCAAAAAGCATAATAAGTTTTTAATACCTAAAAATCCAAATATGTTCTCAAAGATCTATCAAAAACGAAAAAATATTTTGAAACGAAAAAACAAACAAAAAACAACAATGTTGCAGAAAAAGAAGACCTGCTAACCTAAATCTATCTCTATCCACTGTTTCGTACCATGTACCTGAATACTCAAGACTTCCCCCTTCTTTTCTCTGATTTATTCCAAGTCCTACTTTCCCACAGTCTCACTGACTCATTTTTAGAACACAAAGAAGGCGCGCGCGCGAGAAACAGTCAAGGAAAAACTAGTAGAAGGTAAGCGTGCGCGAAATGTATCGCAACAGGCCATCATGTTGTTTTTAACCCCTTACAAGTTAAATATCTAAAGAATGAAGGGTAGAAAAAGAAGAATGTTACCTATGCGAGGTGAAGAATAAGAAGAGAGAGAGAAGAAGAAATAGAAGGTATTATCAAGGGCGCAGCACCACTCAGTGGCGCGGTGCCAAGGATGAAAATGAAATGAAAATGGGCAAAATGCCAGCATGATGATGATCAGTTGATGCGCGATCAGAAGAAAAAAAATGAAGGAAAAAAGAGGAGGAGGAAAAGAAGAAGAAAAACGGTAGTGCGTGACTGGTACTGAATATCATTTTACTCATACATACTATCTACGTTTACTTGTAAAAATGAGATAGCAACATGTTGTTTTTATTAATTTCATTATCAAGGGTTGGTCATATGTAATTGGATAAAAACAGATCTTGTGATTTATTTTGTCGAAATTTGCCATTATGTCTAGGATATTGGGTCAAAGTTTTCATTTTGTCTACATTTCCGAACAAAGATCTTCGACAACTTAGAATTGAACACGAGACTTTGAAACTCTGGATAAAAACATAAAATTGAAAAAACCACGAGTTTCGTAGATCACATTTCTCAAGTGTCACTTGTGAAAGAAAGAGAAACAACGAACATTAAAACTACAGTAACCCCATCCTGTTGAGCGATATTTATACTACTCATAATTAGAAGACCCCCAACTTCTCAGGATAAATCAAGAATATGTTCTCAAAATCTCTCGGTGAAATGTGAAACTACAGTAACCCAGTAAACTTTCTATCGCACTTCCAAACAAGATAAATAAGTATCCAAAAATAATTAGCAGTGTCACACTTATTTTTGACATTCTTTTTTACTTCACGAGGAAGAATACTAATAGAAAGGTCGAAAACTCAAAATGTCAGCACAAAGTATTCAAAATAACACCATAATGAAACTTTTTGGAGGGGTGAGAATAAATTTCGATTGTAGTGTTTCTGAAAATTTGACGCATCCCAAAAAATGTTACCTATAACACATACTCGATCATCGCTAACATATATTTATTTAAATTTCAGGCGACTTTTCAAAATAAACTTACTTTCTGATCGTACTCCCCCGTTTGAATCGCACTCAACCCAAAAATTCAACTTTAACTTCACTAATAAACAAATTATCTTACGCTTCGCGCAATTCTGTGACTAATAAATGTTTTCTGATTCATGATCTTCTTCATGTTCTTCTCGCCTTTTTTTTTCATTTCTTCTGACGATTGTTTTTTTTCTATTTTTGGTCAAAATAAGGAGATTAATATTGTCCACCTACTGATCTATTGGAAAGTACATTATTAAATGACGTTTTTTTTTCAAGAAAATATAGTTCCCACTACAGATAGTTTTGTAGTTGTATAGTTATGATCATAGTTCTTTGAATTGACATTCTAAAGGTGAAGGTCGCCATCGCTTTTAAAGATAACCGTAATCCATTATGCGCCGCACGCAACAAAAATTGTGTAGTCATAAATATTTAGTTGATCTATGAACTTATTTTTAAGTAAAGTGAAAACTGTAGAAAAACTGAAAGTTTTTCGTAATCTACACTCTAGAAGATTATAAATCATTATCAAAGTATAAAAAATAATTCACCCAGCAAGAAAAAGTGCAATAAATATGGCTTCAATTATACAAAATAAAGAAAACAAACTACATTCTGACTCATTCGTCAGATTTAGACACTACAGTAATCCGTTTGAAAAAAATATGTTTGAAAGCAAATAAAACACGCATAATTTTTGAACAAGAGAAAAGGGTCGTAAATTTTCGGGAGCAGAAACAGCAATTTTTGGAGTGAGCATTATTTTTTTGCAAAAAAAGTGCATGTTCACTCGACGTCATCAAAAAACTTCAATTGTTGTTTACTTCTTCCAAGAAAATATTTGGAAACATTTTTTGGACATAAAATGAAGAAGGACCATTGAAAAAACAAACAAAACAAAAATGCTTTGAGTTAGATACTTAATTGAATTTTTGTTTTGTTTTGTTTTCAAAATGTTTTCTGTTTTGGGAAGAATGCCAATAGGAAATGAGATGGCTCATCTTCTATTTTTTTTTGCTTTATTTTGTTGTGTTTTGTGAATATGACGTTTAGTCAAGTTTCAAAGGGCGGATTTTATTTTTAGCGAAAAAAGGAAAGGATAAAAAACCACGTGGAAACGAAGTTCGAGAAAATATTTATTTTTGGATTTGGATTTGACGTCGACGATTATTTGGTTTTTAAGAAAATAAGGAGTTTACACCAAAAAATATTTAGATAGACATTTTGTTAGGAATTTTGGGAGGGCTTGTTTTTTTTTTTTGAATTTCTAGATAACTCTAAAGAGTCTCGCTGGGCCAGAATTGAAATTTAAACCACATTCTCTGTGAAGTGAAAATAGGCGTCCCATAAGACTTTCAGAAATTTATTTCTTCACCTCTGGACTACGACTATCCAAAATGTGTTTTGAGACTGTGACTTTTTCTCGAATCTAAATCCCACACCGTTTGGTCCAAGGGAAATAGTTTCCAATATTTTATATCAATTCAGTCCAGTTAGAAATGAGTTATGTTAAGTGGAAGCTGAATCCAAGTGTCCAAACCAAATTGAATACATCTGTCCATGGGTGAAACAAATACCGTAACCCAGATACTTTTTTTTTGAAATTTTCAAATGATTATCGCTACGTCATCACTTTGACCTTTTTTACAAACAATACCGCCAATAATAATTCAAATTAGTTTCTTTTCACCCTTTTCTCTCCTCTTTCTTCTAAATACACCCATCAATTTCGTCACACCAAATGATGACGTCACGATGTACATAAAAAAGAATACAAATAATCGAAGTGTGCGCACTTTTTGTATTTCGAAAACATTCGAAATAAATGGCAGTTTGGCAGGATGCCAAATGAGTTCTTGGCAAAGAAATGAGTCATCATTGAATAAGAAAAAAAGAACAGTCAGGTAAAAATGTGAATAGAAAGGCGTAGAAAAAACAGAAAGGGATCGAAACAATGGCAACACAAATTCAGAAAAACAATAAAAATAATGATGATATTTAGCAAGTTTTTTCAGGATTTTCAGAGATTACATAACAATCCAAATGATAAGAAAATTATGAAAAAAATATCTGAAGGTTTATGATTCTAGAAAGTATTTGGATTAAGTTGAGTTCAGAAGGGGATTTCGAATTTTTTTCGAAAACTCAGATCGGAAATTTTTAATCAATCGAAACAGATTGTTCTGAAAATTATTCAGATCTGATAGAATCTCATCAACAAATAAAGGAAAAAGAAAAATATATAGACTTCGAGTGGGCGGGGAGTTTTAAGCTCATCGTTCAAAAATTTGAGTTTTCAAGATTCTAAAAATTCAACTTTTCAATATTATTTTCGAAATCTTTTGGGGAAAAAACTTTTGAGTTCGGTAATTTCGTGAAACAATTTTTCGACCTGGCAAAATTTGGACTGAATCTAGATTTCAAAAGGTTTGAGAATTATCTATAATAAAATTATAAATCTCAAATTTTCCTTTTGAATTTCTTAAATTTGAATCCCGCCCACAACATTCTACCATGTCTCGTTCTCTATCCTTGATTATCTAAATTCCTTGAGAAAATAAATTGAATTGAATTAAAATTGACTGAAACTTTGAATGAACTCAACAGGAAATTGAACGTTTTTGGGTACTAAATTTTTAAGATAACTATTCTCGATGCTCTTTTCATCCTGAAAACTATTTTTGAAACAATTTTTCAGAATCGATTTCTTTTGTTAAACCGGGAACACAATATGTATAGAAATGCCTCCTCTTTTCCTCCTCCGCAAAACTGAAAACATTCGGAAAAAAAAGAATTTTCAGAAAGTTTTTGTTTGATTGATGACACTGAAAATGTTGACTATCAATCTATCTTTCCGTTTTTTTCGACTTCCAGAATTGCATAACAAAATGTGATAACAAAAAACAAAATAATGATCAGATGGGGGATTTTCAGAAAGGAACTCTAGTTTCTTGAAATGGCTGATTTGTGCAAAAATCTAAATATGACACAATTTTTTAAGGTGTGCCCAATTTTGGAGTGTACGTATACGTCAGATTTGTGTTGTTTCCTTTCTCATGATTTTTAGATCTTTCAACAATTGACGAATAAAATCAAAGTGAAACCAAATCAAAACACTTTCGTCTCACTTGTTTTGTTTCCTCGTGAAAATAAAAAGTGAAAATTTACTATGATTATGCAGCATAGTAAATGAATGTTATCATTTCATCAAATCGTAAATGCGGATATCAATATGTCTGGCGATTGGCTGGACATCGACCACGACCGGTTTATGTCTATATTTTGATTCTTTTTTCTACAGGTGGATTGTTTTGCCGCGCGCCAAATTTCGATTGTTTGTAAAAATTTCGGCAACTTTTGATCTTTTCATTTTTAGGGGTCATCGTTTGTTACTGAACTTTGAAATTCAATATTATTAATATTAAATTTAGAGAACTCATTCTATTATTAGCTTGGCATAAAAACTTGGCAGACCTGAAAATCAGGTTGCGAAGAAAAAAAAGTAAGGGTCAGAGAATACCATATTGAAAAATTGAAATTATAGATAAAAAGAGATTAGAGCATAACATACTAAGAAAATCTAGAGCGAAAGTTTTCACAAGCTAATTTTCAGAGCGGAAAATTTTTCGAAGGGCAACATTTCTCTGTACAGCTGTATCAAATTTCCTGAACTGTGAAATTTCTGCAATTTTTTCTAAAATATACTTATCCGGATGTTTGATTCTTTAATTTTCCTCCTTGAAGTATCTAAACGGTTTTGTATCGGAATGTTGATTTCAACAAGTTTCTTCAAATTTTGCCAAAATCAGCAAAAATGAATTGCACTATCCAATAAAAACTTGCTTTTTCTCGAAGTACACAAAAAATCGGGTTTTTCTTATCACTAGACCACCCCCAGGTATTGTTTTGTTCATCGTTTTGAAATTATCGCAAAATTTCGTATTTTCATGGATAAAAAAGGGATAAACAATAATTAAATCGGCGAAACGGTAAAACTTGAATAATATTAGACAGAGAGTAAAAATTGGGGGATTTTTCAGACATACATTAATTGAGTTGTAATTCTCCTCGGAAATCACCAGCTGGCAAACTTGTTGTGTCGATGTCATCGAAATATGGGTGAATCAATGCTTTTTTGGCCGAAATTCGGAGTTTTGGATCGTAGATCAGCAATCCCTGAACAAAACAAAAACAATTAGTTTTATTTTTAGGTTTTTGATATCAACAATATTATCTCGGGGTGTTGGCATATGATCTGTTGTTTTTCTTATTTTAATGAAAAAAAACATCTCGCAACAATTTCGTGATATCTCTGATCAGTAAACAAACCTGTAACAAATCGAATGCCTGATCATCAATCATTGTTGAATTCGTCTTCTTGTCGATGAATTTGTCACGCAAATAATTTTCACGCCATCTGGGGAAAGTCATTTTATAATCTGGCAATGATTCAACACCATTCCATTCGAGTTCTGTTGGTGTTCCAAGAATTCTGAAAAAAAGTTAGAATTAAGAATAGCGAATGTTGTATTCTAAATATTTACCTGAAAATTCTGAACAATTCATCGATCTCAGAATCTCCTTGGAAAAGTGGTTTCTTTGTGATCATTTCAGCAAATATGCAACCAATCGACCACATATCAACACCCATTGAATATCTTTGAGCTCCGAGTAATATTTCAGGTGCGCGATACCACAAAGTAACAACTTCATGAGTATAAACTCTTATTGGAATTCCAATTGCACGAGCCAAACCGAAATCAGCCAATTTGATCGAACCTTTTGCATCGACCAACAAATTTTGTGGTTTGAGATCGCGATGAATAACACGGCGTTGGTGGCAGAAACACATTGCTTGAAGAATCTAAAAATCAGAGTGTTTTTATGCTTTTGAGATCAAGAGCATTCTATAATTACCTGGAACATGTAACTTTGAACTGTTGCTCTATCAAGATATTCGTCTTTTTTCAATTGATCCATATATCTTTTGAGATCTGATGAAAGGAATTCGAAGATCAAATACAATCTGTTTTCTTGCATGATAACAGCTTCCAATCCGACAACATTTGGATGTTGTAATTCTTTGAGAAGTGAAATCTCTCGAACTGCTGTTGAAGGAACACCTTCATCTTCGCTTTCAAGACGAATTTTCTTCATTGCAACCATTGCATTTGTACGCTTGTTTCGTCCTTTGTACACAACTCCATAAGTTCCTTCTCCAATTTTTTCGAGTTTCAAAAAGTCATCCAATGAATACGGCGCTTCAGGAACAGCAGCCGCCATTTTCTGCAAAACAGTGTTTCTTATTTTCAATTAAAACGTGAAAATGGCGTGATAACCTCAAAAACGAAAAAGAGAGAAATGAAAACATTTTTTGAAAAGGAAAGCTGCTGCCGCCAGCGTGTGACAGCTGTTCGTGCCGAGACACACACAAATAATTCGATGTCCCTTTACTATTTTTTTTTGAATTATTTTGGAAAATTTCGAAAATCTTCCAATTTTTCAGTTTTTGAGTAAGTTATGCAATGTAATTTTGCAGCTTTCAAACAATGGATGTATTTGGGAGAGATTCCCAACTCTCGGCCAATATAACAGAAGCAAAAATACCAGATAGTCAAGACAGTAATGATGGTATTTTTGTTCACAGTCAGAACTCAAGGGAAAACAATATCTTTTATAGAGCTACTCTAACCCAAATTGCTAAACCGTATGTTATATTTAAAGTTATGAAAAATAATAATAATAATACTTTCAGAAGCATTCTACAAAAAAAGGTCCGAAGAGTCGAAAAAGTTAATAATAATAATGAAGAAGAAGAATATTTTAATGATGTTGGTGGCGATCTGTCTTTCTACAATTCTTTTTCATTACAATCTCAAGCGAAACACATTGGATTGAAAAAACGAAATCCTAAAATGCCGTAAGTTTTCATCAAATTTTTCAACTTTTAAATTTCAAATTTTAGACATGTTGATGTTTTGGAACTTGCAACAAATGAACTCAATCGAAGCATCGACACTCTCACACCAATCGTGAATTCCAGTTTTTTAGAAAATTCCTTCAATTCAACAATTTCTGAACTGCAAATTGACTCTCAAGAAAGTGTTCAAATTTTGAAAATATTGAAAAAGGATAAACCGGAAGAAATGAAATTGGAACGTGTAGAAGAAGATGAAGAAGAGCAAAAGAGTATTGATATATTTTCAACAGATGGTTTGGATAACGAAATTATGGATAATGAAATAGATGAAGGATTTGATCAAATTGATGGATTTCAAGAAGAACCACAAGAAGAAGTTAGATTGTTTGATGATTTTGTTGAAGAACAAAAAGTTGCTACAAGTAGTGCAGCAAGTGAACCAGTTTTGGATAGTGTTAAAATTCGAATTGATGTAGCTGAAATCATAAAAGGTTCAGATTTTGCACATGAATCAATCGATAAAAATCTTTTGTGGGCAAAAGAAGCATGCCCAATTCCCATTGTTATTGATGTTGAAAAATGGAGCATGAATGGAGGGCGTAAAATCAAACTCAAATTTGTCAGATTTTTACCAGGAGATGGATTGGATGTAGCATTGAAAGACAGTAAATTTGCAGTAGAAAAATGTTTTGGTTGTTTTGATGCTGAAAGTGAGTATTTATGAATTAATACTGAAAAGGTGATATTATGTATTTATTTATTTTTAAACAATTTAGAGAGAAATCCAAAAGCAGCATTTTTCTACATCTCTTCAACGAATCCAAAGTATTATTGGCAACCACCGACTGAAGAAGGTTTTTCTTCAATTGTTTGAGCTTTTATCACAATTCCAAAAATTTCAGAAAAGTATTTTTGCCTTGATGTCGATGATCAAAAACATCGAGTTTGTTTCAATTTAACTTTTGCATGTAGAGAAAATTGTATGAAGCAACCAGATAAAAGAGGAAAAACAATGGTTTTGGCTGCAGTTGTAGAAGATGAATTTGGGTTTGTTTTTTTCAGGTTGCAAAATATGCTAAGATTATTCTACTTTCAATATTCTTTTATTTTTTATAGAATTATTGTATATTTTCTCATTAACTTGGAACTTTAATGGTTGCAAAGTATTCTTGCTCTTTCCATCTTTTTTTTCCATTTTCAAAAATTTACCCCTCATGAGATAATCATTCATCACAATTTCTATATTCTTTTTTGCTTCGTGTGCATGCGAATATAATGGATCAATTCATTTGACTTTTTTATTGCAATTTATGAATTGAAATACAAAAAATGTTACAAAATTCATTTTTTCTTCAAATGAATTGGTCCATAAGATTTTTGTCTGATTTATTAATTTTCTCATTTCGGTTGCCCTTTTTATTTTTTCTTCTCGGATTATAATTTTATTTTTGCAGAAACGAAATTTGCCGTGACATTTTCCACTCTGTTCGTGTAACTGCTTATCCGAGACGAGATTTCAGAAACTATTTGGACAAAAAAAAGAAACTCAAAGCAGAACAAGGTTAGTTTTTGAACATTTTTATATTCAAATAATTCAAAAGTCAAAATTGAAGCTCTGAAAACTTTTATTTCAAGAAAAAAAAACAATCTCTAACAATAAGCAAACAATTTTGTAACAAGAAATTATTTGTTTTTCCCTTGCGATAATTTCACAGGAATAGAGAATTCACCAACTAATATATAATTTTCAGCTGAATTGCTCGAGCAAAAGAACAATGTAACTGATCAGGTTTGTTTTTCATTTCCATTCTCCAACACATTTCCTTGATTGTTTTTTTTCAGCCAACAGCCACAGTAAATAAGCAACAAAGAAAGAGAACAACACGTTATTTTCAATTTGGAAGCGGAGATCCAGTTCCATTTGATTTTGAACCAACGGATAATCAACAATCAACACAACTTTATACTGAGAGTTAGTTTTTATTTTTTTTTTCTTACAAGAAACATTATGTTTTAGTGCCAAAATTGAAACGTAATGATGAAATGGAAGTGGATGAAAATATGGAAAATGCAAAAAAGTCAAGAATTGAGATGGTTAATACATATCATATCAATATGACCTTCGAAAAAGGAGATTATGAAGCTGTTTTGGAATGTTTGGCTAATCGCGCAAAACAAGAACGATATCAAGCAACAATGACCAAATCAACAAGAGCTTCTCCACTTTCATATTTGTCAAAAGTGGATTATTATACAAAAATCGAAGATTGGTTGAAAACGATGGCATTGGGACATCATTTGTCAAATTTCAGACAACACGCGATTCTTGCAATGGGTGATCTGATTTATGCGTATAAGAAGGACCCTTATGTGAGTTTCATGCAGTTGGTTCTCTAAATAAAGAATTTTTTCAGTTCTTCGAAAAGCTTCAAATTCCCAACGAGGAAAAGTTGACAATGTTCCGAGTTTTCCACAACTTCTACCATGTTTATCTCCACGAAAATATCAAAACCGGTACTCATTAATTATTTTTTGATCTCACATTATTATTATCTACTGTGCCATATTAAACCCGCAAGAATCTCATAAATGAAAATTTTCATTACAACAAAAACAACGTTCTCTGCAACCGACAAAACTTAGATGACACCAATTCTGTTGGCGAGGTCCAACGCATCATAATCCGGTGCCAATCTGACGTAGGCTTTCTTCTGGTGAAGTGGAGTGATGAGAGTGTTGACCTGAAGCAGAAAGCATCAATAACATAGTATTTCTTCCTATAAACTAACCTTGATAGCTTTAACTTGGTATCTGTCGTACAACGCTTTCTTGATTTGATTTTTTGATGCTTTCTCATCAACAATAAAAACAAGTGTGTTGTGCTCTTCAATTTTTTTCATGGCGCTTTCGGTGGTGTGTGGGTACTTGATGATGGCAAACTTGTCAAGTCCAGAATCTTTGGTGGCTGAGATTCTTGGGAATCTGCAATGTTATTTCGGTTTGTGACCATATACATATTTGAAATTCGTCAAATTTTTACTAATAATTAAAATTTCCGCCAAAAGAATGTGCAACTGTTAGAAATCACGTCGACCCACCAAAGAACAAACTGCTGCAATGGGTGTGAGACTGAATGCATCAAAATGCAAGAAAACTACTGAGCCATTTTGAAAAATGTTTACATATTCATGATCAGCGTGTTCAAATCTATGTAAATAAGGAGTTTCATGAATTCTAGTTGAGGTTTTTTCTCGTAGCACTTCGCGGAAAACCCGAAAAACCGTACACCCGTTGCAGCAGTTGGGTTGACGTGAAATTTAAGTAATTTCACACCTACCTTGGAGCTCTGGTTTGTCTCAAAGTTTTTGGGCGTCTGAAGTGAACTGATGTGCGGATCTTCTTGCGGTGTGTTTGGTTGTTTCCTTTAACAACCGACTTCTTCGCGGCGACAGCTTTAGCTGGAGCGGATTTCTTGGTCGGAGCCATTACCTCAAAAAAATTAAAAATTTAGAGGAAAAGAAATAAAAGAAACACAAACGAATTTCGAAAATATGCGAAAAACATAAAACACAGCGAGGATAAGAGTAGAGAAAGAGAACAAAAAGAAAACAACCCATTACATTGGTGAACAAAACAAAGGTGAAACCGAGTTCTTTTAACCGAAAACTCCAGTTTTTTCGTAAAAAATATTTTTGGAGCAATTTGAAGAGATTTAACCCAAAATTTGAAGAAACGAAAACTACAATCAATAGTCCTTTGTCTAATACGTAAAATTCAGAAACAAAACCAGTAACAAACCATGAAACACACGGGGAACAGGCAAAAAGAAAGAAAAAAGAAAAATTTTTGGGATTCATGATGATTTTTAAATGGACGAACGGGTGCGGTGTGAGACCAAACAGAAGTACTGTAGTTATGGTCCTTTAAAATGTTTTTTCTTTTTTTTTCTTTTTTTCTTCTTTTTGTGTTTCTTTCGAACTTTATTCGATTCGTATCGGTTTAGTTGAAATTTGATAAATCTATTTTTGGGTATATTTCAAACTTTTTCGAATAAGAGTAATCTTTCAACAAACATACTTGACATCATGCGGTTTTTTTGCGAAGAAAACTAAACAAAAAATCGGAAATGCCATGAAAGGTAAAATGTTTCAAAAAGAGTCATCGCGGATTATCACAACAGTAAACAATCTCCAAAATCGGTATGACTTTTTTGTGTATCTTTGCATGAATATTGTGCAAATATCATCCCACAATTTTTCATCGTGTAAACTCTTGTCATTCATTCCACTTTTTTCTGATTATGATATTGCCGACAATCTTATTGGCATTCATAAACTATAGTTTAGCTATAAAGTGTAAAAGCTGCTATAGTTACAATAATCAAGCATGTATACAGACACCTGATTGTGAATCCGATGTTTGTATTTATGGTGAGTTCAATTTTTCTCAATGAGAAACACAAAAAATTGAGTTCAGAGCAACTCAACTCTGCAAATGGAATAGTTCATACTTTACGAACTTGTGCGACAAAAGGTGCAATTTATACATTTGATGATGGAACAACTATGACAAATACAAATCAATGCGTTACTAAAACAACAAGACAGGGACAGTATTATGTTTCACTTTGCACATCTGGTGATTATTGTAATTTGAATTGTCGAACAACGGTAACTCCAATTCCACTTGTTCCAACAATTGAACCAATTGTCGGAACTGGCGCTATTTCTTGTTATGATTGTTCAACAAGTGATGGAACTGATTGTCAAACAAATCAATGTAAAGGAACATATTGTGGTTATGAAAGAAAATTAGTTGGAAATCAAATGTATTTGACGAAAAGTTGTTTAGCTGATCCTATTATTACTTTGGATGATTCGACACAAGTTACTCAAGTTGATATTTGTGAAGTTCGAAACACAGCAGATAGCAGTTATTATGTTAAAATATGCAATGATGTCAATTTTTGTAATAATTATTGTTCTCCTGGACAAGCTCAACCAACACTTCCAACTCCACAGAAACGTAGGTTTACTTCAATTTTCACAAATTGAATTCCAGATATTTTCAGAAGCTCTTGTTACATGCTATGATTGTCAAGGATCTTCAGATTGTTTTACTGGTTCATGTCAAGGACTTTATTGTATCTATGAAAAACAAACTCGTATTTCAAATCAGAATACATATTATACAAAAACATGTTCTGCTTATCCTTATGCAACGTATCCAGATAAACAAACTACCCAAACAATTGATCAATGCGAAACAAAAATTTTGAACGATGTTCGATATGAAGTCAAAATTTGTCAAACTGGGTCATACTGTAATTCAAAATGTCAAAATGATGCAAGTAATCTTATGACTTGTACTCAATGTCAAGCAAGTAATCAAAATGATTGTAGTGGAACTACTTGCACTGGACATTATTGTACATTCGGTAAGAAAAACGAAATAAAAAAGTAAGTACGATACATTTCTAATTTCAGTTCGGGAAATAAATCAATTGGACCCTTCTAAGTCATTCGTAAAAAAAGCTTGTTCGTCTTCTCCATATATTGCTTTCCCAGATAATTCAATATACAACAATTTCGGAGCTTGTCAGTATAAGTGAGTTAAAATTTAGTGTCTACAGAAATTTAAATAACATTTTTTAAGAACACTTTCATCTGTTCAATATTCGGTCAAAATTTGCAATTCGACAAGTTATTGTAACTCATATGCTTGCCCCGATGTCAATATCCCAACTCCTTCACCTCAAAATTCTGTTTCTAGACTAAATTTCCTTCTATTGTTTATAATAACAATAATCTTTTCAGCAATATAGATAACAAACTAATATTTTTCTGTATAAATCAATGAAAAAATAAATTTATAACACTTCTGAAGTTAAAAGTAGAACCAAAAAAAATAGCGTAGCAAACGTGCCCTATTGAAATATTGTGTTGTTTATTTTGAACACTGGACATTTTCGCGGTTAAATTAGTTTTGAAGTTATGCCATCAACGAAAAGATTATCAATTTTGCCAAAAAGGTAAATTCATTTAATAGTTTATCAAAATATATTTGTTTGCTTTTTCAGAGAAATCTCGAATAATAGACGTTCTTCAGTATTACAAACTCCAAAATCAACCAAAAAAGTTGAGGAAGAAAATAAACCAACAACTTCAAAAAGGAAACATTTATCGAAAGAAGGTTAGTTTATTGAAAAATATATTTGAATAATTTAAAAATTATAGATGATGAAGAAGATGGTGTAAAAACTAGAAGATTACAAAAAACGTGAGTTCAGTTCTCGCTGACTAAAAAATCATTTCATTTTCAGAAAAATTGAAAGTGGTCCAAAATGCACTTTTTGTAAATCAACCGAAAATCAAGATCAACTGAAAGCATGTTCCGGTTGCTTGGCGAATTGTAAGTCGTTTTAATTATGGTTTTTGAAAAATAAACTTTGTTTCAAGATCATATTACAAGTTGCCTAAAGTATCAAGCTGAATTTGCTGAAAATATTCAAAGTTCGAAAACATGGTTTTGTCCGAGAGTGAGTTATTTCAGAATAAGTTTTAAAAAATTAGATAAATTCATATTTTCAGTGTATTCGATGTGCAAAATGTGAAGAGTTTATTTCTGATCCTTCAAATATTGAATGCTATTCTTGTTGTAAAGCTTGGCATGGCGATTGTGCACCAAATGGAAGAAAAAATAGCGAATTATATGATGGATTATGGATGTGTACGAATTGCTGTAGGAAAAATAAAATACTTTTATCTCCTACAAATACAAAAACAACAATTCAAAGCTCGCCGAAAAAATCAAAAAAGTCTCCGAAGAAAAATGATTCTGAAATAAAACTCAAAATATCGCAAGAAGAAATTGAACAAATAATGAAAGAAAGAAATTTGAAATGGGATCAATTGGCTTGTTTAGCAGGACTTATTTCACCAACAAAATCAATTGCTAATTTAGCTCGAACAAGTCCAAAAAAACAGGCTTCGAAAAAGAAAAGTGTTCAGAAAAGACTAAGATTTAACAATGATGAACCAACAACTTCAGATGATTATTGTGAAGAAGAAATAGAAGATAATTTTGGAATTGTTACCGAATTCGATGCAACTTTGTGAGTTTATATTGATAATTAAGGTCCCCAAAAACACTCACTTCGGTTGAGAGTATAGTCAGCAGACATTTTTTTGTTATTGAAATTTATAGAAATGGAAATTTTGTCACCGGCGTGAAAATATTGATAAATAGGTCACGTTTCAATATGTTCTTTCCAAATTTAATTTCTAAATTCTGAAAACAATTTATTTTTTCCTGAGGCGCCATTTTTTCAGATATAATCAATCTTTGAAAACATCGTCTAAAGCTTCATCCTCAACATCTACTGGTTTACCTCCAGGAAAATGGATTTATATGGGAACTGGAAAAATATCAAAAGTTATCGGATCATCTGCATATCCCGAACCAATCAAAGATTCTCCATTGATTTTCATTTGCAAATTCTGTTTTCACTGCACAAATATTCCAACTGATTATCGTATTCATTGGGTATGTTTGGAATTGAGAAAAGCAATTTACATAGTTATTTTATTGCAGAATAATTGCTCATTTCGTTATCCACCTGGAAATGAAATATATCGAAAAGATAATCTGTCATTTTTCGAAGTAATCGGAGCAGAACAAAAAACATATTGTAGAAATCTTTGTCGTCTCGCAAAGTTATTTATTTCTTCGAAAACTCTTCATCATGAAGTTGAAACTTTTATGTTTTATATTCTTTGTGAAATAACAACAGAAGGTTTTGTGATGGTTGGTTATTTTTCGAAGGAAAGAAATCCATCGAAAAACAACAATTTGTCGTGTTTATTGACATTGCCAACTGCACAAAGAATGGGATACGGTAGAATGTTGATTGATATGAGTTATGCTTTATCAAGAAAAGAATTGAAGATTGGTTCACCTGAACATCCACTTTCTGATTTGGGAATATTGGCATACGGTGGATATTGGAGATCAAGTATTTTATGCTACCTAAGGTTATTGAACTTTGTCGAAATGGAAAATAATATTCAAAAATTTCAGATCAATTCGGAATCATCACAATGTGACAATAAAGGAAATAAGCTTGAACACAAGAATTCATCCAGTTGATATTGTTAATCAACTTTTGAAAGATAAAATGCTACTTTATAAAAAGAATGTATACTTCATTAAAACAGGAGTAAGTTTACTATTCTTTCGCAGTTTCTATTCAAAAAAATCTTGATTTTTCTTCTAGAAACGAGCCTTTAAACATCCACTCTCACAAATTCGTCGCCGTTATATTGATATGGCATCACTTCATTGGTCTCCAAAACCAGAAGATCTCAAAGGACTCGATCCAACTCGACTTAATTTTTATGTTTAAATTTTTATTTTGAACAATGAATTTTTGCAATAATCAAAAAAAATGTTATATGGAGTTTTGTTTGAAGTTGTTGATCTTATTCCGAATATTTGAATTTTTCATGAGAAAATAATTATTATCTTTTTGAAGATGCCATGTAGATTGAAAAAGATTACTGTATATGAGACACCGGGCAGATTTTATATTGTTGGATCGGATAGCGCTGGTGGGTTTGGGAATTTTGGATCAAAATGTTGTGATTTTTCGGAAAGGGTCCCAAAAGTTGATATATTTTGGCTTATTAAGTATCAAACAAATTCGTTTTCTAGGAAATGATTGCAAATTTGTTTTAATTCAAAAAAAAAAACAAAACATAATTTTTGCGTGAACTTTCAGAGTGCTACATAATTAATTTTTTTCAATTTTTGAATATTTTCATTTCTTGTTATTTCCTAGTAGAAAAAATGTTATTATTTTTTTCACTTGTTATACAAGATACTACTTTTATTGATTTTTTCGATGGCTTTATGTAAATTCACAATTGAAAAGTGTTAATCGAAGTTTCCAAAAAAATATTTCCAGGAACTCGTTATAATGTTTTGAAAATTGATCGAATTGACTCTAAAGTTTTGCTAACTGGAGAACCGGAATGTGATTATACGAGAGAAGAAATTCTTGAATTATTGACAACAATTTCGGAAGGAAGTTCAGGTAACTTTCACTTCACGCTGTTTTTCCAAACTAAAACATTTTGCAGTTGTTTATAAATCGACTAATAAAAAAGGACAAAAACATGGGCTTGTTGAACGTGTTTCAAATGCATTTGGAATATTGGGAGTTGTTAAATTTCTTGAAGGATATTATTTTATTGTAATAACAAAAGCGCATGCAGTTGCAACTGTTGGATATCATCCAATTTATAAAATAGCTGAAGTTGCAATGTTACCAATTGCAATGGATGGAGTTACAACAAGTAATGAAGAACAAAAATATGTGAAATTATTTCAATCTGTCGATTTGACAACTGATTTTTATTTCTCATATACTTATGATTTGTCGAGATCATTTCAAGATAATGCATTGAGAACTGATTGGAAAAATAATGGAGCCAAGAATATTGTGGCTGATGAAACATTTGTCTGGAATCATTTTCTGCTTGAACCACTTCGAAAAAATTTGATAAGTGAAAGATGGTTTGTGGAAATTGTTCATGGATATGTTAGACAAGAATATATATTTCTTCCAATTTGTCGGCTAAGTTTCACATTAATTGGAAGAAGATCAACAAAATATGCTGGAACAAGATTTTTGAAACGAGGAGCTAATCCCAATGGTAAATTTTTTATTGTTACAAGGGGTAGGGAGAACAACAAATGTTTATCCCAAAAGTTAGGAATAGTAAAACCCAGTAAAAATACAGTAAAAAAGTAAAATCCCAATATTTGTTCTCGGTCAGAAAACGGCGGGGTCGCCACCGATCGGGGCGGAGTCGCTACAAGTTTCGGGGAACTAAAAACGTGTAGCGACTCCGCCCCGATCGGTAGCGACTCCGCCGTTTTTTGACCGAGTTTCTCGAAAATCGTAGAAAAATGTTTCATAAGTTTTCTGACTACGTAAAAATTTCATTAATAATTTTTGTCTGATAATAAGTTTTGAAATACAATTTTTGAGAATTACAATTTTCCCCCTCTTCAAATCAATTAATTTTTTTGCAGGACAAGTCGCGAATTTTGTTGAAACTGAACAAATAATTTGGGATATGACATCTTCTCCAAATGTTGCAAATGGAAAATTCTCAAGTTTTGTTCAAATTCGTGGAAGTGTTCCAATGAGATGGTCACAAGATCCATCAACAAGAGGAGTTGTTGGAAAACCATTAATATTAATTGATAATCATGAACCACATGCACAAACAGCTGCATCACATTTTAGATATCTTCGAAATCGATATGGAAATCCAATTATGATTATGAATTTAATAAAAAAGAAAAGAAAAACGGCAACATGAAGGAGTTTTGCATTCACAATTTTTGAAAAATATCGAATATTTGAATCAATTTTTACCCGAAGATGAAAAACTTTGTTATTTATCATTTGATGTTGCGAGATGTAATAAAGCAGCAAATTCGATGCCATCAATTAATGTTTTAAATGTAATGGAAGATTTGGCAATGAAATCAATTTTGAAAAATGGATGGTTTCAAACTTGTGAAATACCAGAAGCATTGAAAATTCGACACAGAGATTCTTTGAATAATTTGGAAATTAGAAGGAAAAATGGGTTTATTATACAACATGGAATATGTCGAACTAATTGTGTTGATTGTTTGGATCGAACAAATGTTGCACAATTTGTTATTGGTGAGATATTTTATAGATTGAAAGGAAGTAAAATGAATTCTCAAAATAATTTTTTCATTAACAAAGGAATACTTGTGTTAAAAAAGTTAAAAACAAGAAATTCCAAAAAAAAATTAAGGAAAAATGTTCAATAGAGTTTTCAATCGAATATAAATTTGAATAAGAAAGATCCGAATGTCCCATAAAAAATGAACGATTTTTAGCCAAAGTTGCACTTGGTTGTCAATTATGTGCTTTTGGAATACTTGATGAACCAAATCTGAATCTTCAAGGAGAAGTTTGTCGACTTCTCGAAGATATGTTTGATGAACACGGTGATACAATGGCTTTACAATATGCTGGAAGTCAACTTGTTCATTCAATTAAACATTATAAAAAGACGGCTGCTTTCCAGGTATTTTCTGATTTTCTCAGAAATTAATTACATTTATATTCCAGGAACGTCGCCGTGATGTTTTTCAAACACTTTCTCGATATTACAGTAATACATTTGGAGATTATGATAAACAAACTGCAATTAATTTGTTTTTGGGAGTTTTCAAACCGAAAATTTCGAGTCAAAAACATTTGTGGGAATTGACAAGCGATTATTTTCTACATTTTCCATATAATTTGAAAATTCAAACTGATTATTGTGCTTGGATTTTGTCAGAAAAAGAGCTTGAGAATATTGTATTTTTGGAATCTGAAGATGAAGATGGAGAATTTTATAAAGTTGAATGGAAAGATGTTGAACAAGGTTAGTTGTTTTTTGAACAAAAAAATAATATTTTTTCTCAACAATCATCTGTTCCATTTTTTGTACATTGAACAGAAAGTACATGTGATTGTATTATTTCATTCTGCAGACATATTTATGTCTGATGATACTTTGAACTGAAAAATAGTTGCGATTATCTTGATTTTGATAAGAAAAATAAAACAAAAGTTAAATTTTTAGAAACTCGTCGTCCAAGTGATTCTGATCAATATAGAACATTAAAAAGCTCATCAACTGATGAATTTAGAGATTATTATCGAACTTATGAATTTACACCTTTGGATGATCGAGTTGGAAGATTATTGAGTATTGAAAATCGGGCAATTCATATTGATGGAATAAATCAGGAACCAACAACACATGCACAATTCTTGAAATTATGGAAAACTAGTGTAAGAAAACTGATACTTTTATAATTTAGAAATTATTTTGTATTTAGGAAACCAAAGAGACAAAAACATCTTCAAAACCAACGAATAAAGAAAGCGACGATGAAGATGATGAAGAAGAAATAATAACATCAACTCAGTGGTCAGATGTTGTTGATGCACAAAAAGAATGGTATGATACGGTTAATCGACATGGAAATGTTCTACCAAATCGTTCTCAAAATTTGCCACGAAAAGATAAATCGGAATCGAAAAAGAATAGTTTATTGAGTACTGGTTTGAAATTTGCGAAAGATATTTATAAATTGGATCATTTGAAAACAACAGCAGAAGAGAGAAAATATTATGAAAAATATTCGAAATTGGCATGGAAATGTGATAAAAATGATTGGGAACAATTCAAACCAACATTATTGGAATCGAAACAAAATGAGCAAAAACGAAGAGCCACATTTTTCACGGCCGATGATTGTTTTAGAGTTAGTTGAAACGGGAGGGGGTTTACATTTTTTAATTGAAAATCTTTATTATTGTGATTTTATTTGAAGATCTCAATTTGTATCCATTGAGAAATTCTGAAATTGAAAAAATGAACAAACACAATCACAATTAGAATTAGAACATATTCCAAAAAGTTTGGGACAAAATTTAGATAGAATGTTTGTTCCAGTTTTTTCGCATTTCAGAATTGAATATTTCTGTGCTGAAAATTCAGACGAATATTTTTAAAAATATGAATAACGAGTTTACGATTTCATTTTGAAAAATAAAAGACAAAAGTTCAGATCTTATTTAAATCTAAGTTTTTCTTCCTGGTGTTCTTAAAAATTCTCAAAAATTTTTAAATAGCTGGAATTCTAAAAACTCAAGCTCTCAAATTTAGACGGAAAATCCAGAAGTATCAAAAGCATCTCGCAAATTTTATGAGAAATCAGTTGATCCGCTCTTGATGAATATATCAAAACATGATATGAATACTTTTGCCAAATATGTGCCAATGGGTTCATAATTTTCTTTTTCAAATGTGTATATTTTATTTTGTAACTCTGTGATATGTATGTATTTAAATATTTATTAGATTAGAAGCGTAAAGATTTTATTGCATACCCTTTGGTTTAAAGTCGAAAATCCACTCGGTTCATATGGGAAAAAAATAAACAGAAAAAAGATGGAGAAGAACAAATAAATACAGGAAATGGAAAATGAACTACAATTTGAAATTGAACTAATGAAAATTAGAAAAAAATACTGATAAATAAATAAATAACTACTACCGTCTAACTGCCCGTAATTTGTAAGGCTTTGGTGCTCGAAGCGAAGATGTTATTACTTCGATTTTTGGTGCAACTGCTCCATCTGGATACCATTCGAAGTTTTGAACAAGTGTGCAGAAATATAAAAATACTTCCATTCTTGCCAAATTTTCTCCCAAACATGATCGTTTTCCCATTGAGAATGGATTTATTCTTTCATCTCTGATATATTCGCCTTTTTCCTACAATTATTTCCATTGTTTATACATCTTTTTAAACAACTGTGAAACTCACATTCAGATATCGTTCCGGTCTGAATTCTTCTGGATTATCAAAGTGTTTTTTGTCAACATGAACTGATTGGAATTGTGCAATAATTCGAGTTCCTGCTTTCAATCGATATCCTTCGCAATTTTCCACATTTTCTAGAGTTGAACGAAGGAAATTAACAGGAAGAACATATCCAAGACGATAAACTTCTTGAAGAAATGCACAGGTGTATGGGAGAAGTTTTTGATCATCCATTACAACTTGCTGAAAAATTGATTTTTTCAAAAATAAAATCAAAATTTTGATAAACTAACTCTTTCTCTTCCAACAAATTCATCCAATTCGTTGATAATTTTTTGTTGAGTTTCAGGGAAATTAACAAGATATAACATTGCAAATCGAATAACAATAATAATAGTTTCCATTCCTGCACTATATAAATCATAAATTGCAACAATTAATTGTTTTTCAGTAAATCCATCAGCTAATGCATTTTCAGCTGCACGAGCTTTCATTTCTTTCAAAAATCCATCAATATAACTTGATGGATCTTCATCATAATTTATACCATCTTTATGTTTTCTCAATGCATCTTCAAGTGATTGAAGAATTGCATCATTTGCACGAGTTGCATTTGGAATACCAAGTGCTAATGGTTTATCAAGATATGCAAGCCATGGCCAAGCATCAAGAAGTTGTGTTTTTGGAGAAGTGAAATGCTCCAAAACATCATTGATTGCAATATGGAAATCATGAATCTCTTTTTCATCCCATTCACGAGTAAAACCAAACAAATGTTTATGAATCACATTTCCAACCACGTGCTGAAACAAACAATTTTATGTGTCTATTTTTCAAATATCGAAAAACACATGACTTACAACTAATAATGGTCGCAACTCAATTGGTTTGTCTTTTGCAACATCAATTTTCTCAACCAAACCAGTTGCCAAAGATGAAATTGTGTCTTGTGTTCCAGCTTGTCCAACACCTAATGATCTAAAGATATGTGTTGTAAAACGACGTTGTGCTTTCCACCAAATATTTTCCATGAAAAATAAACCAAAGTTACCCTAAAAAAATCAAACCTATTTTTAGAAAAAAAAATGAAAAGAAAAGTATGATTGATGAAAGTGTCGGTTTACCTGTACTAACATATCCATTATAAATGTGTCAGGTCGACCAGAAAATGCTTCGCCGTTTTTCACGATGTTTCGTTTCAACATCTGTAATTTGAGAAACTTGTATTTTATTTAAATCACTGCCAAAATATTCCCGGCTTTTGATTTCTTTTTCACTAAGCCCAACTTTCGAAAACCCGAATTTTTAAGAAAAACGGGTGAAATACGAATTTGGGATACTCGAAAAAGCCCAATTTTTACCCTTGCACAATTTCCCTTAAATTCTTACATCGTAATCAGCTATCACAATTGTTGGATACGGTAACCATAATGTAAAAATGCCACCATATTTTGCTTTATATTCATTGATAATTGTATCAATTCGATCTTCTGGCACTTGAAATACATTTCCTATAAAATATCAAAAATGATTAATTATCTCTAAACAAATCTCACACCGATAAAAGGCCATGGAGTTGGTCCGGGGGAAGACCACGTAGACGATTTGCAAATTTACACAATAATAACAAAATAATGATGACTAGAATGACGAGTTCGGCGAATAGCATTTTATGAAACAAAACCAAGAACAAATAATAAATAACGATGAGAAGAAGAAGGTGAGTTGAACTGGAAATAAATATATATTTATGATTGAAAATAAAAGAAAGATATAACAGTTTGAGACGTGACTTTTGAGGAATTCGAGAAGATTATTGGTTTTACAGAAACTTCCGGGAAAAAAAAAATATGATGTTTGATTCTTTGAATGTTTCATCATATTTAATTTTGAAAAAAAATTTTCAGAAGTTTTTATTTTAAATTCTATTCAATTATTTATCGTGAGAAATTTTGAAACTACAAAATTGTGTACCCAGTTCATTTAATGTGATACAATGTAGCCTTTCAACAAGTTTCCAAAAAAGAAAAAGATTAACCCAGGGAAAAAATGTTCAATGATATCTATTTTTCAAAGAACATTGCAATCTCTTTGAAACACAAAATAAAACAATACGAGAAACATTCAACTTATATATCGAATAGTTAATTCGATCAGTTATGAAAAGGTCCACGAATTTCGCTTTTTTTCTGCGAACAACTTTTGCACCGCCTTTTTCAAACTCCGCCTCTTTTTACTGAACACCCACACAATGATTTCTTGGTTTTGCGTTTTTTGAAAATGAAAGGTGTATTTTATAGGAGAAGAAAAACGAGAAGATGATTATTATCATATGTTTTTTTTCTGTTAATCACAACAAAAATTATTTGGGGAAGAGAGATTTATACGTGCAAATGTGAAGTTATCGGAAAGGTTACTGTAGATTTACCTATTTTGGAAAACTGATAAAAGATGACGTCACAATGAAAAACCTCGTTTTTATTTTCAGAAATCTGCAATTATAATTTATCCAGAAATCTGCTACAGGAAAATTCCGCCTTGAAATTTCCTTTAATAAATCGGAAACTGAATTTTTGGATGAAAATGATTTGAAAATTGAAAGCTTATTATTTTCAAAAAAATCTGAAAATTGGGTAGAACGTATATAACGAATCTGTTTTTCAAAAAATCAAACCTTTTTCATTTAATTTTTTAAAATTGACAATCCAGAATTTTTGTCCGAACGTGTCACTTTTCTATTTATCTCAATTCAAAATTTTAGATTTCATTTCCTAAAAAATCATAAACCACTTTCCTTTCCCCATCCAGTTTCTTTCCAAATTTTGCAATTTCCGAATAATATAAAACTCTCAAAGCTTTACCTTTTCCCACCTGCTTTTTGATAATTATAAGGGCGCATTTTATTGTTGATATGGCAACCGCAAATTTTGGCCGGTGCTTGGCTGATTATTAGTTTCGCACCCCATTTTTTGGCTTCTATATACTAAAATCATAAGCTTTATTTCATTTCATTTTGTTTTTCGCATTCATTTTTCCCTTTTTCTATTCCTGACTCCATTTTTTTGTAGTCAAAAGTCTTGTTTGTTCATTCAAACATCATACATTGTCATCTTTTTTGTAATATCTCGTCATTTTTGGGAGGGCTTCCCCGTATTCTTTTTTTGATCGTTCTTTGATAATTCGGAAAACAATTCAGTTCCGCGCAAAGAACAGATTAATTGAAACATGAATCAGTTATCAACAAATGATTATTGAAAATATAGTACAGAAAATTTAAGAATTATATAATAAGAATAGTTAACTTGTCATTTGTTTTATTTATTTAACACACCCAATTTTGACCGGTCAGAAAACGATGTAAAACGAAACGATTATTGTAGACGTCATGTTCATCAAAACCATTTTTCTGATCTTGTTTGTTGAAGGGTTTTTTGAATGAAGAGCGAACAAATCAGTTTTTCCGGAAGTTTCCTGAATAGTTCTGTGCCGGAAATATAACGCCTGGAGAACTGTCGGTACAACAGGAAAATCTAGAAAATAGTTCCCGAATTTTTTGATTTTCAGATTTTCATTTAAGATTTTCTTCATATATGTTTTGAAATCATTTTCCGAGCACTTTTCCGAAGACCAAAAAATTTTCACCACTGGTTTTGAACTTTCATTAGTTATATCTCAGAAACAGAAGTATCCCATTTTTGTCTGAAATCCAACAGGAACCTAGGATGGTTCTGATCTATTTGATTGTGATATAAGTTAGTTATAAAATCTATTAAATTGTTTCATTGAATCAGTTGAATCAACTGTTCAAAAAACCGAACAATAAATCAAGTTTATCATCTTTTTTTGATGAAAAAAGAAGACAGTTTTGACAAAAATCACGTTCTTTGTAAGGATGAATGTTGGAAATAATTTCAAAAATTCAAAAAAATATTAATCATCAAAATAAGTAGCTAAAAATAAACTGGTGATGAATGAACTTGTGTTGTCTACGTGTGAAACCCAAAAAACAGAAAACAGTTGTGTCTCGCGCACACAAAATGTATTTTTTGCGTAGGTGGAAACGGATTTGTTTGGGTGGGCGGATGAAACAAAAAAAATGGATAAATATGATAGATATCGAGTGGTCAAAAGTTCGAAATGTTTATTGTTTTAATAATATCTCGATTGCTCGAAAAAAAGAGAAATTGGAGACGGTTTGGGAAAAAAAGAAGACAACTATGTAATTCATCAATAGTTTTCAGAAATCTCGAAAAATTTTCATATTTATTATTGTTTTTTTTTCGCTGAAAACAAATACAGCAAATTTGGGAACTTGAGAAATTCAGAAAAACATTTGGAAATTCGAGGGAATCTAACGTTTCAAAAATTTAGCGCTGAAGCTTTGCATTTAATTTTGAATTTGAATTTGAAGCCATAAAAACAGTTCCATACTATTTTTTTCATTTTGTGGTGAAAAAACTAAAGAAGTACTTGAAATTTCGAAAACTTTATTCACGACATGATACTTTTTAGAATGATTCTTGTGAAATTTGAATAAACTATTTTCAGATGACAAAATAATTTCAAATCTGAAAATTTGAAGCTCAAATTTTTAAATCTCTATCGCACACGTCGACCCAACTGCTGCAATGGGTGTACGGTATTTCTGTTTTTCCACAATGTGCTACGAGACAAAATCTCAACTAGAATTACTGAAACTCCTTATTTCCATAGATTTGAACACGCTGATCACGAATATGTAATCAATTTTCAAAATGGTTCAGTAGTTTTTTTGCATTTTGATGCATTCTGTCTCAAACCCCTTGCAGCAGTTTGTTCTTTTGTGGGTCGACGTGCGCAGTCTTATTTTTCTCCTTTTTTCTCATTTAATTTTCCTTTTTTCGAAATGGCACCAAACGGAAAAATGCGCGAAATTGTTTCGATTCACATCGGCCAAGCCGGTGTTCAAATCGGAAATGCTTGTTGGGAATTATATTGCCTTGAACACGGTATTTCACCAGATGGAACTATGCCAACTGATCAAAGTCTTGGTGTTGAAGATCAATCATATAACACATTTTTCTCTGAAACTCCAGCAGGTAAGAAATTGCAAAAATAAAAGAAGAAAATGAGAAATTGATGATCAAATCAAAAATGAATTCAATTTCAAATTCGAATTTAAAAATTTGAATTATAATCTATGCAATTTACAGGAAAACACGTTCCACGAGCATGTTTTGTAGATTTGGAACCAACAGTTATTGATGAGGTTGGACCAAGAACAAAAAATTTAACAAAATAATTTCTTACAAAATTGAATTCAGGTTCGCACTGGAACATATGCCAAATTGTTTCATCCAGAACAATTGATTTCTGGAAAAGAAGATGCTGCAAATAATTATGCTCGAGGACATTATACAATTGGAAAAGAATTAATTGATGTTGTTATGGATCGAGTTCGAAGATTAACTGAAAGATGTCAATCACTTCAAGGTTTCTTGATTTTTCATTCTTTTGGAGGTGGAACTGGAAGTGGATTCACATCACTTGTTATGGAAAGATTATCGATTGATTATGGAAAAAAAGCAAAACTCGAATTCTCAATTTATCCAGCTCCACAGATCAGCACATGTTAGTTTCTTGATTTTTTTATTTATGACTTTTGTTTTATTGTAAATATAATTTTAAAAATGTTCAGCGATGGTCGAACCATATAATTCTCTTCTTACAACACATACAACTCTTGAACATTCCGATTGTTCATTTATTATGGATAATGAAGCAATTTATGAGATAACAAAAGTGAATCTTGGTGTTCGAAGTCCAACTTATACACATTTGAACAGATTATTGGCACAAGTTGTTTCTTCAATTACAGCATCACTTCGTTTTGATGGAGCATTAAATGTTGATTTGACTGAATTCCAAACTAATTTGGTTCCTTATCCAAGAATTCATTTCCCATTGGTTACTTATGCGCCAATTATTTCAGCGTAAGATTTTTGGGCGAAAAAGTTATTATAACATGAGAGGGAAAACTGGAATTTCAAAGAAATTTGGATACTGTAGAATTTTTTCGACAATTCGAAAATCGGGACAGCAAATTTGAACGACTCTAATTGACGATAATCGACCATTCTGAACTATGATGTGCAATCAGAATTCAAGATTAGGCAAAAAAATGAACTTTAAAATCACCTCAAAGCTCATTTCCACTTGTTCAGCATAAGAATTTAAGAATTCAAACTTTTTTTGACTATTTCATGTTTGCAGCGAAAAAGCATATCACGAACAATTAACAGTTTCTGAAATCACAAATGCATGTTTCGAACCTGGAAGTCAAATGGTAAAATGTGATCCTCGAAATGGAAAATATATGGCATGTTGTCTTTTGTATCGTGGAGATGTTGTTCCAAAAGATATCAATTCCGCAATTTCAACAATTAAAACAAAACGAGCAATTCAATTTGTTGATTGGTGTCCAACTGGTTTCAAAGTTGGAATTAATTATCAGCCACCAACTGTTGTTCCCGGAGGAGATTTGGCTAAATTACAACGAGCTGTTTGTATGTTATCAAATACAACTGCAATTCAAGAAGCTTGGGCGAGATTAGATCATAAATTTGATTTGATGTATGCTAAACGAGCATTTGTTCATTGGTAAGATATTGGATTTAAGATATTGGAGGGGATAAAAATAGATAATTTGTAGGTATGTTGGTGAAGGAATGGAAGAAGGAGAGTTTTCGGAAGCAAGAGAAGATATGGCAGCATTGGAAAAAGATTATGAAGAAGTTGGAGTTGATTCTTTTGATCCAAATGAAGATGAATACTAATTTTTACAATTGTAAATATATCCAGATATTTTTAAAATAATAAAACAAATTAATAAATATATTTTTTACGTGACCTTATTTTTTTCTTTTTTAACACGTTGGTTTTTGGTTCCATTTGTCTCATTTTGAGTAATCAGCAAAAGGTAAGTAATCAACTCCTCTTCTAATTCTTCAACTCATAACTCCACCTTTCGTTTTTAGATCCAATAAGTGAAACAAAAAAACCATAAAAATGGGTGAAATATTGGAAAGATACATTGAACAAATGTCAACTACAATTGAAACGATGCGTCGTCGAATGATTGCATATTATGATGGAATATTTTTCATTTCGAAAAAAGTTGGAAAAGCTGTTGAAAGAGCAAAAGAAGTTGCTGAACCAGCTGCAGCTGATGCAAAAGATTTTGTAAATCTCGCCATTTCCGATATTGAACCACTTGATTCAATTGAAACTGAACAGAAAAATAATTTGGTTGAAATGTATCTTGGAATATCTGTTATGTTGATTGGTTTTGGAGGTGGACAATTATCTGGAGTTTTTGCACTTCAATCCATTTTACAATATTTCTTTGATAATTATGTAATTGGTTTGATTTTGACAAGTATTCCATTTTTTGTTTATTTTAATGTGAGAAGAAATATCAGCTTGGATGATAATGAAAGAAGATCTATGCTTTTCTCTTATACTATGCTTTTCGGAATTTTGTCCGGTTATATTTTTGGTGCACGAGTTTTATCAATGGCTCCATCTACTTTATTTGTACCACCACTTCTCTTTGCACTCTTGGTATATTTTATCCGGATTACTGTAGAAAATGTTTTTCTTTCAGTTTGACAATGGCATAATTCCCCTTCCTTTGACTTCCATCAATCGTCAATCTTTCTTCATAGCGTTTGCATCAATCAGTGTCTTCTTGACAACTTTGTTGTGTAAGTTACAAAAAAAGTTTCGGAGACCCCCAAAATATGGAAAAAATTTCGCTCCCGGGTGGGCTCGAACCACCAACCTTTCGGTTAACAGCCGAACGCGCTGCCTATTGCGCCACGGAAGCAGGTGTCTCTCGCTGTCTCTCAATGTCAATATATTATAGCGTCAATTGTCCTTGGATATTTTTCGTTTGCCGTCTCGTTGTTCAACATTGTTCATGCCACTGGTATTTTTGTTCATTTCCAGGTGAGATTATTTAATTTTTTCATTTATTTTTTTGATGTGAGATAAAAATAAGTTTTTAGATAATCATGCAATACGTAAAAGACAAATCATTTTTGGTCGGAGAATCTCAAATAGTTTACTTGGGAACAACAATTGCAACACAACTATTATTTACTCTTATTTTTGGATCAAATAACTTGGTCAAAGATGCGCCAGAGAATTCACCAAAATAATTGTATTTGAATAAATGTGTCATTCTTGAAAAAACCTTGAAAAAAGTAATTTTTGGTCCACAGTAATCAGCATAAAATTTTTTTTTAATTTTTTTAAAATTTAATCAATTTTAAACGTGTTCTAATTTCTATAAATGAAAAACAGGGCCCGGATTATCGGTATTTTTAAGTTTATCATCTGTGATAATTAACAGTGTGTTTTCTTCATTGTTTTGAGGTAAGCTACAGTAATCCTCTTTTATCCAAATAAATTCAGTATTTAGAAAGAAGAATGTCTACAGATAATATAAGCAACGCGAACAATACAAAAAATAGCAGCAGTTCGAATTCTATTAATAATAGTACAGTAACAGTTATAAAAGGAGAAACACTTGAAGGAGCTGTCCAAGGAGGAGCAAAAACTGTTAAAAAGACTGTTAGAACTGATTTTAGCGAATGTATTACAGATGCTCAAAGAACTCAATTTAATTTGAACACTTTTATTAATCGACATATAAGAACGGGATCGAAAGCGCAAAAATATGAGGTAACATTTTTCTGATACGGAAAACAAGCGGAAAATATTATATTTGATCCAAAATTTCGGAAATTTCATCTCAAGTTTGAAATTTCAAAATAATTATAATTTGGAGTGCCATTTTTTCAACTTTCAAAAAAAAACATTAAACCTTCTAGGAGTTTTTCTACATACCACGCCCAGCTTCGTGCAAATTAACTTTAAAAATTGGCGGTGTGGGTTTTGAATTTTTTGGCAAGGTGAAAACAACGTTTTCGACTGAAAAATACGACTTTTTTTTTACGAAAAAAACAAGCAAAAATTTTCTGTTTCTCAAGAAAATTTAAAATTGGTGAGGTGAATTTCCGTATTTTTTATTGGCGCCGTGCAAATGCCTCACCCTGGGCGTGGTATGTTTTTCTATAATAATTTAGTTTTTCTCAGATTTGGGAAATTCACTGTTTATTGGAAAGAGCTGGAAAAGTATTTCAAAATGGAAAAGCATTGGTCGAAGTTCGTGCACCTGTAAATATTTGTGGAGATACTCATGGACAATATTCCGATCTTTTAAGAATATTCAATTCATGTGGTGCTCCAACAAGACAAAAATATTTATTTCTTGGTGATTATATCGATCGAGGAAGACATTCTTTAGAAGTTATTTGTCTTTTGATGGCACTTCGCCTTGCTTTACCAAAAAGAATGTTTTTGTTACGAGGAAATCATGAATTGAGAGCAATCAATAAGAACTATGGATTCTATGCCGAATTACAAAATCGATTCAGATCAAGTGGTGGCGAACATGTTGCATTATATGATCATTTCAATTATGTTTTCAGTTTTATGCCATTGGCTGGAATTGTTTCAAAACGGATACTTTGTATGCATGGTGGAATATCTCCACATTTAAAATCTTTGGATGATATTCGGAATATTGAATTGCCACTTGAAACTGCAAAACAAAATGTTGGTTTTGTTAGGGGACACGTTTTGGGATTTGGATCAAAAACTTCTTGGTCTCTGATATTTATTATTTTTGCAGCCACTTGCATGTGATTTATTATGGGCTGATCCAGAAAAAGGATGTGCTGGTTTCGAAAACAATAAAATTCGCGCAATTTCTCATATTTTTGGAGAAAGTGAAGTTGACAATATGTGCAAAAGACTTGATATTGATTTAATTGTACGAGCTCATCAAGTTGTTGAATATGGTTATGCATTTTTTGCTGATCGCCGCTTGGTTACTGTATTTTCAGCTTCAAGATATCAAGAAGAATTGCACAATTATGCTGCCGTTGTTGTTGTTTCAGCTTCTTTAGAATTGAGTTTTATTCAATTAAAACCTGAAGAATTTGAAAAACGAAGAGAGGAAAATGATAAAAATGGTGGAGGAAATGAAAATGAACAACCAACTGCAAAAGGAGGACAAGAATGAAAAAGAAAGAGAAAAACTGAAAATTATCGAAGAATAAAGAAGTTTTCTCCAAAAAAGTAGCAATTTTCTTATTATTGGTTACATTTTAGCTCTGAATATCTGAAGATCAGAAATTTTCACCTGCAAATAATAATTCTTATATTTTCATTTTTTCATATAAACATTATTAGTAATGCCGCTCGAATGTTTGAAATATGCTCCAGATTATTATAGACTAACTCTTCATATAATTGGTGCCCTTTCTGTTCCAATTAATGCGACTGGAATTTATTTAGTCATGAGACACTCCCCAAAAAATTCTTCCTATAAATATTGTCAATTATATGTTCAGGTAAAACTTTTTTCTTTGTGTTCACTTTTTCAAGACCTAGAAACATTTTGGTCAAAATGTACGATTTAAAACTCCAAAAATTAAAAATGGGAACCATTGGACATTGTTGAAAAACAAAATATGTGGTTTAATAAAAATGAAACTCGAGTCTTTGTTGAAATTTATAAATAACACGTTCAAATTTGAAACCTTTCTTCTGTATTTCAGTTTTTTTTAATTATTAAAATTGAGTTGTTTTTCGAACTTTGCTCGGTTTTCTGATTAAAATTGGATCTAGAGTAACAATGATCAAATACAAAAAAGCTTCTTGAAAAAATAAAAATCAGCTGTTGCAATCTGTGAACAAGCTACAAAAACATGATATTTTCTTTGTATTTTTTGAAGCTTCGAAGTAAACACCTGTCGTTTTCAATTTTAATATTCTAAGCCCACGGAATTACGTGACTTTTTGGAAATATTTTCAAAAAACTTTCTGTTTGTAAATAAATGACTTATTAAATGTTTAGCAAATCAGAATTGGATTACGGTAGTTGGTAACACTTTTAAAAGATATGTACATTTTATTTCCAGCTTGTTACTGTATTTGTGGAATTACATATGTCATGGACTTGTCCTGGATATTATTATTTTCCATTAATGGGTGGAATAAATACAAATGAATTCATGGCTGATTATATTCCAACTCATACAAGTGTTGTTTTATATTTTTTCTTATTTGCTTTCGAACTTCCATCAATTCTTTCTTGTTTTATTTATCGAAATGAAGCTGCTGCTGAAATGAATACTGCAATGAGAATGCCTAAATATTTGACATATTTTATCGCTGTTTCATCACATACTTTTCCATTTGTTGTTTTGGTGTTGCTTTTAAAATCTCAATTAACATATGAACAAAAAAAAGAAATATTGCAATTGGTAAGGGTTTTTGATAAAGATTGTGAGAAGATTTTGGAATTGTTTCAGTACTATCCATCTTGTATGCATGTTCTTGATTTGAAAGGATTTGAAGCATATGATTATAGATATAATTATTATACGGCAGCTGTTGGATTATCTGCAATGATTTATATTTTCTTTTATGGATTGTGAGAAAAACATTTCAGCTTTTTTATAGTGTTATTAGAGATAAAGCATATAGTTTTCGAAAGGAATTCTGCTCTCAAAATAAAAAATTTAAATTTGGAAAAAGAATTTGTTGGGATTCTTTGAAATCTATATTTTCAATTATAAAAATTCTAAACCAAAAAATTGATTCTCTGGAAAAATCTTTATGTTTCCTAGTGAACACTACAGTAATCCTCAAAAATTTTCTATTTTTTATAGTTACGGTTTGTTTTTGGCAATGCATACAATGTCAATTCTCCAAAAAATGAAGAAACATATGTCTGCTGCGACTTATAAAATGCATCGAACTGCAATTATAGCACTAACTCTTCAATGTATTTGTCCATTTGCTTTTATTTGTATTCCAATTAATATTATTTTCACAGTCATTGTTTTTGAACAATATGAATTAACAGGTAATTTCTGAGTTTGAAAATATTTTCGGATAAAATGACTGGAATTTCAGCGTTGGCAACGAATACAATGTTTATGATTGCTGCTCATTCGATGGTTTCAACAATGACTATGATTTATTGTAATAGTAATTATCGAGAAATATTGAAAAACAATTTTATTCGAATTATTGGGTGAGTTTTGAAATATCAAATGTTTTGCCTATGCGTTTTTCTGAATTCAGAAGAAACATTGTTTTCAATTTTATAAATTTTGAATCGATTTGCTGATTCGAATTTCGACTGATCTCTTTGTCGGATCTAGCCATCCTCAAAATCGGGTCTAATTAATCCGGCTCAAAGCATGTTGCGATTTCAAAAACTGTACAAAAATTAAGAATAAGTCAATAATCAATTTTGAAAGTTTTCAAGACATCCCTAAAAATGTTAGATCCCCAAATTCGCAAATTCTTTCAGATGTGGAAGATGTGGATTAAATTCAACTACACTCATCGAACCAAGTATTTCTGTTGTTCGTTCAAATGCTGGGGCCAGAAATATAAGTAGATCATATTAACATAATAATTTATTCAAAATTGATTGCAAATTGTTGTTGTTGTGGTTTTGGTGACAATGAAACTTTACGAATTTGTGTTGATATTTTACAAGGCAAAATATCTTCAAGTTCTTTCATATCACGAACTTGGATTATTCGACCTTCTAATAATCTACGCTGAATTGTAGTTGTTCGAGAAGGTTGAGCATCTAATTGATATGCTTTTGACCTGTAATTAATTGAATAATTAAATAGCGTATTAAGAAATATAACTTACATCTCAATACAATCTTTATTAGTAATACATCTCATTCGATTTAATTGAATGAAACAATTTTCCTGATTAACTTCATATACAATTGCTGGCATTGTTTTATGATGATGAAGAATTGAAATATGAAATATATAAAGAAGTAATGGAAAATTGAAATTTGGAAAAAGAATTGGTAATCCAAAAAAGCTTTGATTCTCACAATACATACCAAATGAAACATCCAATAATTCCATCTACAAAATGAACTACAACAAAGAATTTTGAAATCGAAATAACTTACGAAAATTATTGAAAAATAGAAATATAAAGCAGTTAGAGCAAACATAAGTTGATGATTTTGTGAATAATGACGACGTTGAATTGCATTATAAATTAATCTGTAAACTTGATTGTCTTATTCAAATTTGAAAAAAAACCACCAACCGACAAAGAATAGCAAAATCTTTGGCGTAGGGATAAAAAGCAATTGAAGTTGATGTGAATACAATAAGCAAAAACAAAGGAGCTGAAGATATTGTGACTGTTGAAGACAAAGATCGAGTTAAAAATGGAAAACCCAAAGCTGCGCCAAAATGTCGACCAGAATATTGTTGACGAACATTGCAAGACAACATTCTGTTTTTCAAAAAAAAAATTGGATTCCTGTAGGAATATTTTCTTTTTTTATTTGAAATATAATTTTTGTATGTTTTTTTTAATAAGAATTGAGGATTACTGTACCCTTGTGGACTGAATTATTTTTCTAATTTTATTTTCAGTTTTTAAAAATGTCGATCCATAATTTCAGAAACATCTAGATTTTAATCTGAATTCAAAATAAATCTGGAAACCTTTTTCAAAAACATTTCTAGAATTAAATTAAACCTGCTAAATTATTTTTCAACAAAAGTTCCCGAGTTTATCGAATACTTTTTTTTCCGGAAACACACAATTTGGAAAATTAGGGTAATTAGAGCATTTTGAAATAATTTGGCTAATTTTTGTTCCAAAAGCAGAACTCACATCTTAAGTCCCAAATAATCTTCAAATTTATTCGAAATCATCCGAATTAAACAAAAAATAATAAAAAGTACTGTAGCTTGTCGTTGTGAGACACAATCTTTCTCATTTTCATTTTTACAAAGTGTTGAAATATACGGTTTAACCAATAAGTTATTTAAAATTCCAACTGAAAATGTGAGAAAAAATCCAAAAAATAAAAGAATATAAATTTTGAGGTGAAGCATTGCTGAACTTCTCCAACGAAAAAAAAGAAGTGAAATCGAGTTTGGGTGGATTTCGGCGCAAATTTTATTAAATTTTGACAAAGAAACTTTTGAAGAATTCTGAAAAGATGCAACAAAAAAGGGATAAATAAATAAAATTTATTAGCCTAAAATATACTTTTTCACCAAAAACAAACAATAAAAAATGACTTAAAACTGACGGAATGAAGTAAAATTCAAGTGAAGATCGATTTTCGGATATTGACAACAGTACCTTCGATTGATTTTTGAGCATTGATGGCAATATAATAGAATACGGCAAGATATGCCATGACACCACCCGAAATAACAAGTTCAAATACGGCTGGTTTAACACGTTCAGCAACTAATTTACTTTTTGTAACACCATAGACTTTTGCATCAGTAATTGTAACAGCAGATTTTGAAACTTTCGAGTATCCAGAAGCAGCAGCTGCAATATTCGCAATTGTTGATTCGGTTGCCAATTTATCTCCAACTGGACGAGGTTTTGAAGCAAATTGTCTGAAATAGAGTAAAAAGTAAATAAAATAATTATTTCAAAGTGTTTACCTGATAAAATGATGGATTCTTTGTTTATCAACAGCTTCTTTTGATAACATTGTTGACTCTGATGATACACGAGAATCGGTTGATGGTCCATTTTCTGGTAGATTCAAAATATAACCAAGAACAGCTTCAGCAATTATTCTGAAAAAATGAGAGAATTTATTATGAGATTTCCCGGAATTTTGATTCGTACCTGACATTCTCGATAAGTTCATCTTCATCAATTTGAGAGGCATTATCCAAAATACTATTTCTTGCAATATCAGTTGGACTAGGAAGGGTTGAAAGAGTTACAGATGGCATACGTTTAATATTGAATCTGAAAAACATAAAGAAATTATCAACAGCTCAGAAAGTCTTATACTTACTTTTCATGTTCCCACGAGCTGACAGATGTTAAACTGATCTTTTTGGTGACAAGATCGAATTTCTTGTTTGGTGCGATAGCTTTGATTCGACGGAAAATATTAGCAGCAACTGATGTTTCGCTTGGTTGTTTTGATGCATGCATATACAATCCGTCAGTTTTTCTTCCAATACTTTCAATACAAATAGCTAAATCAAGTTTTTCATCATCAGAACCTTTTTGATATTCATCAATCCAATGACGAGTTCCTTGATAATTCATTTTTCCAGCTGCGGTCCAAATAAACAATAAATTAAATGGTGGTCGAGTTGTTGGTCTATCGTAGAATTTACTTAAAACTGCAAGAAGTTCAAGAAGAGCAACAATTCCTGAGCCATTCGAATCGGAACCAGCCGATAATCCAGGAATAACAGATGAGGAATCATAATGGGCAACAAAAGCAATAGTTGGAGCACCGCGTTCATTGCTTGACAATCTTCCAACAATATTTGATGGTTTGTAAGTGTCTGTTAATTCACCGTCGTTGTCTCCTGATGTCAATTGAATTGTATTTCCAGCAATCGATTGAATTAATTGTTGAACAATCGATTGAACTTTGTCTTCTTTGTTGTTAACATCTGCCAAAACTGAAGCTGAATCTTCAGTTGTTGGAGCAACATAAACAGACAAATCAGTTTTAACAGTTGATAACCGATTTTCAAATTCTAAGAACTTCTGAAAACAGAACTAATGAAACATTATTTCAAAAAATAAAAAATACCTGACGATCAACATCGCTCAATTTTTCAATATCAGATGGAATGAAAATAAGAACAGCTCCAGTTGAAAGCTGCCACATATCATCAACATCTAATGTCAAAAGTTCTCTCCAAGTTGTCACCATACATCTTCTAAGAGTTCGAGAATTTAAAGAGACAGCTTCGTATGCAACCCGATAGTTTTTGCTTCCATAAATATTACCACTGATTTCATATTGATTAAGACGATAAGCATGAAACTCCATCTCTACAACATCCCCAATTTGTTGAGAACCATTCACTACACAGAATGTCAGCATGAATGTCATTGAAAAAATGACAAAAGGATTTCGGAAGAAATCCAAAATTTCCTCTTGCATCTGTAACAATAAAATTTAATGAAATGATAAATTATTTAGTTATTGATTTTGAAAACATCGAAAATGGGCTTGAAATGACCACGAAAGAGCCATTTTTGAGGAACACCAAAAACGAAAAATAAAATTTTTGATTTAAATAATGCTACCGTAGTGTTTACGGCCTGGCAGGCTATTCGTGGTGAGACACACAACCCGCGAAAAACTCAACGCGCTTTGTGGTTTGAAGTTTTTTTCTTTTCCGTTCGCGCATTTGTCATTTCTTTTCCAGTTTAGCGTTCGTGAAATATCGGCAGAAGTGTAGATTTATCTTAACTTTTGCTGTATAAGAACTAGGGTAGTGTGAGATAAGTAGAAACGAATAACATGTTGAAATAAGTCCAGGTTTTATGAACAATCAACATCCGTTATTTAGTTTTGTCCGTTCGAATTCCTTTTAACTGAAACTTTTTCAACATTTTTTAACATTTTTTCTTCATATAATTTAAATTTTCCAGATATGGCGACATCGATTGCCGCCACAAATGCTGTTCCACCAAATGCGGATGATGGATCTGCAGAAGACCGAATTGTAAACGATGAGTATAAAATCTGGAAGAAAAATACGCCATTTCTTTATGATATGGTTATGACACATGCACTTGAATGGCCATCTCTCACCGTTCAATGGTTGCCTGATGTTATTAAGGTTTGTAAAAACATTCATTTCATTTAGAATTCTCATAATACAAATACTATTTAGACTGATGCTACCGATTATACAACTCATCGTCTTATTTTGGGAACTCACACTTCCGATGAACAAAATCATTTGTTGATATCTCGTTTGGCTATGCCATCTGATGAGGCGCAATATGATGCTTCTAGATATGACTCTGAAAAATCAGAATACGGAGGATTTGGAGCTGTCACTGGTAAAATCGAGCCAGAAATCAAAATCAATCACGATGGGGAAGTAAACCGTGCTCGTTACATGCCACAAAATCCAGTTATCATTGCCACCAAATCGCCAAGCGCTGAGGTTTACATTTTTGATTATACTAAACATCCATCCGTTCCACAAGATAACAAATGTAAACCACAAATTCGTTTACGAGGACATTCAAAAGAAGGTTATGGATTATCATGGAACTCGAACAAACAAGGATTTATTTTGTCTGCATCTGATGATTGCACAGTTTGTCATTGGGATATTAATGCTAGTCAAACTACTGCCGGTTATCTCGACGCAAAAACTGTTTTCAAGGGACATACTGCTGTTGTTGAAGATGTTGCTTGGCATGTCTTACATGATGGAATCTTTGGATCAGTTGGAGATGATCATAAATTGTAAGTTACAACAAACACAAATATCTATATAATAAAATACTCATTGATTTTTAGGCTTGTCTGGGATGTCCGTACACCAAATCCAGCTCATTCGGTAGATGCACATAGCGCCGAAGTCAATTGTCTCGCATTCAATCCATATTCGGAATTCATTCTTGCAACCGGAAGTGCTGACAAAACTGTTGCATTGTGGGATTTGCGTAATTTGCGTTTGAAACTTCATTCATTCGAATCGCACAAAGATGAAATATTCCAAGTTCAATGGAGCCCGCATAATGAAACTATTTTGGCTAGCAGTGGAACTGATCGTCGTCTTCATGTTTGGGATTTGTCGAAAATTGGAGAAGAACAAAGCCCAGAAGATGCCGAGGATGGACCACCAGAATTGTTGTTTATTCATGGTGGACATACCGCTAAAATCAGTGATTTCTCGTGGAATCCAAATGATCCATGGGTTGTTTGCAGTGTTTCGGAAGACAATATTCTACAGGTTAGTGAAAATGCACAAGATAAAATATAAGCTTCGACTAGCGAATCATATTTTGCATTTTTTTCTCGAAGTGAAATTTTTCTATTTTACACGTTTACGAAAGGGTAACTTGAAATTTCGAAATACTTGCCCCTTTTGCAATAAATCACGCATACAATATTTCTCAAGTTCACGTATAAAAATATTGTTGCCGAATTTTGTTATTTACAGAAAAAACATGAAATTTTGCATTTAGGTGGTAATTTTTGTGAGTTCTAAAATTCATTGCGGAAGTTTTGCTAGTCTACCTCAATCAATATTATATTGATCATTTATAGGTTTGGCAAATGGCGGATAACATTTACAATGAAGGAGAAGACGATACACCAGCTGACCAATTGGAACAAAAACCATAAAAATGCCTTGTGAATATTGCAAAATTTCCTACCAGAATCTCATTCTAATTTTTATTGTCGAAATAATTTATTTATCTTGTCCTATTCAGTTTATTTCTTTTTCCAAAAAGTATTAACTGATATTTAACCATTTTTAAGTTGCTATTTGAACCACAATAAAATGTTTCTCGAAGAACACTATTAGTTCTCTTTTTTCTTCTTACAAAGTTTACTTCAAACAAATATTTCGATAGAGCACTTTTGTTGCTTTGTTCGTCCATTCATATTTTTTCCTAATTGTTTCTGTTTAAAAAACTAAATACATTTAGAAAAATGTGGCGAGGATTAATTAGAAGATTATCAACGAATTCTGAACAGATCGCCAAAGTTGATGTCAGCTAGTAAGTTTAAGTTTTTGTGAACAAAATGTTGTAGAAAAAACGATAATTTTCATTTAAAAAAATAAACAGGCGTGAAACGTGATTGAGAAATTTCGGATTTCATTTCCGAAAATTTTATTTTTTCGAATTGTTAAATGATGGCGTAATTTTCAATGAAAGTTCTCTTGAATTTGAAAGTTGCCCCATGAAATAAATTGTCATGTTATATTTTGGGCAAGTGCTATCAAACAATATTTTTGTTCAGAGTTATTATTTCATAATATTTTAGTCTTCGACCTCGTCATCGAATTTTGGCAGCTGGTGGAGTTCCTCCAGTTGAATTTGATTATGAAAGAGAACGTGCTGCAAGAAGAGAAAGATTCGGAAAATTTGGATTAGCCAGTGGTGTTTCTGTTGAAGAATTATATCCAACTGTTGAAGAAATCGAAGAAGAATATGCAATTGGTTTATTTAAAGAGCTCAATGAAGTGAAGCAAGAATATTTAGAATTGAAGAAAAAACAAGACGAAGCACACAAAAATCGGTAAGTAATTTTAAAAATAAAATCTTATAATTTTTACAAAATTCAGATTAGCGGAACTTGAAAAGAATCTCAAAAAATATCCAGCAGCTTTGGAAAAATATGAAGCGAGTTTAGTTAAACAAGAAAAATTGAAGGATGAGAAAGAAATTGCATTGGAGAAAAGAATTCGAGAAATTCAAGAATATTTCGGATATTGGATGGATCCAAAAGATCCTCGATTTGAAGTTATGCTAGAACAAAAAGAGGCTGAAGAGAAAAAGGTTCGTTTTTTTTGTGTTAAAGCTTGGATGAACCAAATTTTGCTTTTAGGCTGTCAAACTTGCAAAACGTGAAGAAGTTCAAAAGAAAAGATATGCTGAAGTTGTTCAATAATTCTTATCAAATTGTTTTTAGATATTTAGTTTGTTTCTAGATTTTGTTTTGTTTCATTTTTATTCCAAAAAACCTTTCTTGTTCCTCGTGTGTTTCTATTTTATCAAACAAGTGTTCTTCATCACTTCTTTTATTTTATTATTCTTAGTCTTAAAGTATCACCGATTTTTCAGATCATTCTAAATGCAAAGAACTATTTTAGAATATTGTGGTGAATCTGGTGGAAATTCATGTGGATATTGTAAACACAAAGATAAAACGGGAGGTTGGTTTATTTTTATTTTGAAAAAAAAAACATTTATTTTCAGGCAATAATTCGAAAGAAGAAGAACATGAAGATGAAGATAAAGGAACATCGCATTCTTTAGGTAAAAATGAATCGAAAAAATGTATTTTTGGTAAGCAAAATGTATTTGTTGCTCAGGCTTAGTTGCTCATATGTCCACCTGTGAGGATATTATGTCATTTTTGGAAATGGGTTGGAGCACGTGAGTAGCTGATCGTCTCTATCCCATTAAAACATTATTCCTTGTCGTCCTGAAAATTAGGAGATTTTATTTATTCTTACAGGGTTAATGGCATATTCTTTATCGTCTTCTTATTATTTGGAATTGATGGATATGGGATGGAGACGGTTTGAAATTTAATTGGAATTTTTTGATTTTAAAATTATATTTTTTCAGATCTGGAAAATATTTGTATAAACCAACGAATGAAATAACATGTTGTCCACAATATACAATTCGATTAGATGTTACAAAATTCACATTGTCAAGAAGTCAAAAAAGAACATTGAGACAAATGAATGAATATTTGATAAGTGGCAAAAAACCAAGATGTTCAGTGAAAGATGAAGATAATAAAATGGAAGAAGGTCCGAAAAAACAGGAAACTGAAAAGAAGGAAATTGAGAAAAAAGAAAAAGAGGATCGCCCAGTTATAAAGAAAAAAGAAATGAGAAGAAAACGGTATTATTTTGAATTGTAACATATTAAAATTTGAACCAAAAAGTATTTTAGATTTGAAGAAAAGTGTCGTTTGAAAAATTTGAATATTGAAGAAATGAAAAAAGAACGAGTTGAAAAAGAAGAATCTCGTCGGAGAACAATCGAGTCATTTATCATTGAAAGTTCAGAATCTCACAGTCATAAATTAGAAGTTAAATTGGTTTCAACGAGTAGTGAAGAATTTCAAACGAAAAATGATGAATCATATGAATTGTATAAAAAATACCAACAAACAATTCATAAAGACGAAAGAGCGAGTTTTGCTGGATATCGACGATTTTTATGTGATTCTCCGATTAGTGAAGAAACTGATTCAACTGGAAGGTATTTTTTATTTTTCTCAGAAATTATATTCAATTCGGTTGGTTTTTTTCAGATTAAAACTTGGATCATATCATTTATGGTTTCTGTTGGATAATAAATTGATAGCTGTGAGTGTTATTGATATTCTTCCTCGCTGTTTATCCGCCAAATATATGTTTTATGATCCGGATTTTTCATTTTTATCACTTGGAACTTATACGGCATTGAGGTAATTATAGAAACTTTTTATTTATTTCCTTATTTTTTTCCAGGGAACTTGAATTCACTAGGAAATATTTTGCAATAAATCCGGAAATTCGTTATTATTATATGGGTTATTATATTGATTCATGCCCAAAAATGAGATATAAGGCAAAATTTCGACCGAGTGATCTGTTATGTGATAACTCGTTTCAATGGGTTAGTTTCAGTACTTTCTTTGATACTTGAATTCATTTCTAATAATTTTATAGATCGGTTATGAATCTTGTAAAGAACTTTTTGCCGATTCGAAAGAAACCAATGGGTATACTGTATTTCGGCCAGATTTGGAACCACCGCAACCATTGCCTATTGAGGATTTAATAGTTCTCTCGAATCGAAAAGTAAGATTTTTTGTTTTTTTTTCCACACTCCGTTCTTTTTTTTTAGCTAATGTCATATTCAATTTATAAACGAAGATTTTCAAATGGAAATGAAGATTTAGAATCTGTTGAAAGACATTTGCAAGGTTAGTTTATTTTGTTCTACTTTTCCATAAGGTTTCAATTATTCTTTCTAGATTTGGCCAAGAAAGTTGGCCCAAAAATTCCCGAAGCAATATATTATTTTAACGAACTTAATTAGTCTGGTTTTTGTTGTAAATATCATATTTTTATCCCCGGTGAATGAATATTTTCTAGTGTATTTTCTCGTCGAAGTGTATACACAAAGTAGTTCATTGTTCTTTTTATTATTTGCTTCATGGCTGACGTGTACCGTTTCTTTTTCTTTTTTATTTATTCGTTATTATTTATATATTCATTTCTAATTTATGTCAGAATAATTATGCAAATTTTTAATGATTTTTTTTTAGATGAAACGGGTCTCGTTAGGATTGTTGGTAATATTATGTTTAGCTGGTGTAGGCGCGCAGAATAATGCGATTTTCAAAAAATTCGAATATAAACATTCTTTCCGAGCCCCGAATTTGGCACAAAGAGATGGATCGATTCCATTTTGGATTGTAAGTTGAAAAAATATGAAAAATGAAATTATATAAAAAATTATGGATTTTTAGGTGAGCGGAGATGCAATTGCTTCTGGTGAACAACTTCGTCTTGCTCCATCAATGAGAAGTCGAAAAGGAATTGCTTGGAATAAAAGATCATTTGTTGAAAGTGAAAATTTCCAAATTGATGTTTCGTTGAAAATCGGAGGACAAGGAAGAGTTGGAGCTGATGGTCTTGGTATTTGGTATACATCTCAACTTGGAGCACTTGGACCAGTTTTTGGAGCAAATGATTTTTGGACTGGAATGGGTCTTTTCCTTGATTCTTTTGATAATGATGGACTTAAAAATAACCCGCAAGTTTCACTCATGTTGAATGATGGAACAAGATCATATGATCATCATACTGATGGATCACAACAAATTGTGTCAAGTTGTCAACGTGATTTCCGTAATAAACCATATCCAGTTCGAGTTCGAATTGAATATTTGAAGAATGTTTTGACTGTTCATATTGATGATGGAATGCAACCAACACCAAGATATGAATTATGTATGAGAGCTGAAAACATTTTCCTTCCAAGAAATGGTTATTTCGGAGTGTCAGCTGCAACTGGTGGTTTGGCTGATGATCATGATATTCTTGATTTCTCAGTCTCTTCATTGTTTGGTGAACAACAAAAACCACAACCTGCTGCACAACAAATTCCACTTCAAGAAAAACAAAAATATGATGAAGAATTTGAGAAACAAATGAAAGAATATGAAGCCGAACAAGCAAAATTCAAAGAACAACATCCAGATAAAGTTAAAGAAAATGAGTATGATGATCCAACGTAAGTTTAGATTTTTAAAGTCGATTTAAATCAAATTTAGATGTTTTCATGAAAATCGAACACACTAATTAGATCTAATTAATCAGAAGTTTTTACTTTCAATTGTGTCCATCAAAAACTACTAGTAATAATCCATTCTGTCAAAAATATCAGAATTCGTGTTTAGAAAAAAATTCAGTATTCAATATTTTCTATAAAGCTGAATTGTTTCAGAAAATTCTACGAAGATGCAACAGCTCGCGAACTTCGTCTTATTTATGAATCACAAAATGCAATTCATCAAGTGATGCAAAATATGGATCAACGATTGGCACAAATCCAACAAACTCAATTAACTGGATCTGCTGCAGTTCCACAAACAACTGGTGGACAACAACAACAACAAGTTCCAGTTTCAGGTGGAGGTGTTGCTAGTTTCCAACCACACGAAAAGAATGAAGTTATCCAATCACTTCGTGATTTGACACAAACTATTCGAGATATGAAACAATATGTGAATGAAATATTCACAAAAACATATAATATTGATCAGAAAATTCAACAAGGAGGAGCTGGAGGAGGAGGAGGAGCAGATAGTGAATTACATTCAAAAGTAGATAGTTTATTGAACGAATTAAGAGTTATTCGATCAACACAAGTTCAACAAGTTTCTCAACCTGGAAAAACAGGAAGTGCCACTGATTGTTCAAATATTTCATGTGTTTCATCCACTTTCTTCTTGGCTATCATTTTCGTTCAATCGATTATTATTGTTGTTGTTGTATTTGTCAGGTTTGTTAATTTAAAGTCGAAGAATCCCTCGTCAAATATTTTATTTTCAGAAGCAAACAAGACAAAGCAAAATTCTACTAAACTTCGTATTTTTAAATGCATAGTCCGTAAACACTTTTTAAAAGAAACATTTTTTCCCGCCTTTTTTTGTACAACGAAATGTTTTTGGTTTTGGTTAGTGATTGGTGCATGGTTGTTCATCCGTTTTCAATAAATTATTTTTTCAAATAACGTTTTTTCATCAAATATTCAACATTTATAGAAAATGGATAAAAAACGAACTCAAAGTGGATTGATCTGTTTTCTTCAAGGAATGATTGGAAAGAAAATATGTGTTGAAATGATGAACGAAGTTTATGTTGATGGTGAGCATTTTTTCAGAAAGTTCAGAAAAAAAACGAAATCATTAAGGGATTTTGGAAGATGTGGATTGTTATATGAATTTGAAAATGAAAAATGTTGAAATTATTCGAGAAAATGGAAAACAAGAAGTTGAACAGTTTGAAATTAAAGGAAAACAAATCAGGTAAATCTATTGAATTTTTTTTAGAAAATATTAATGGATGAGTTTTAGATTTGTGCATTTTGAAGATTCCGTCGATTCTCAAAATATAATTCGAAAACAATTAAACAAAAATCGGATGTCAAATAAGCGACTCGATCAACAACAATCGAATTCGAATAGGACAACTTTTGAATAAATTGGTTTTTGCAACACAATCGAGTAAAGGTAATTCATTCAAACAATATTTCAAAAATTCGAAATTTTCACACAAAAAGTTATCAAAAGAAAAAGATAATCACTTATATTCATCTGTTATCCATATTTATAAAATTCTCAGTTTTTGAAAAATTTCTAGAAAAAACAGAGAATTTACATATTTGGAGACAGTCAATATTCTTCTACAAACAATAAAGTTGTGTATTGTTAAACAATTAATTTATTCACAATTTAAAAAGCATTCACATAAAAATTAAATTAAAAAAAATATATGCGAAAAGATATTCATTGACTGATATCTTCTTGATCATAAAAAGAATCATATGCATGGTCGAGTTCTCGCCGCCAACAATTTCGATGTTCGCCAAACATTTCATCGTCTTCTCTTTCAGTATTCATTCCTAAATATTAATTTTTATATTCGCTTTTAAATCAAACAGAAAACAACTTACTTTCATTTGTTTCGAAGTCATAGAATTTCAATGCATTTGTAAATGCCGAAAGAACTCGAACTGTTATTGTCGGAGATTTCTTGAGGATTTTCAATGTCCATTTTCGTGTTCCAAGTATTTCCGAGAACTGAAAATGTTCTAGTTTTTCATCATTTTCTTAATCATAAAAACTTACCATATCGAAAACTTGATCGAATTTCAATGCTTCGATTCCAATCTTTCTCAAAAACTTCACAACTTCATTATAATGAATTTCCAAATGTTTTTGATCCAGATATCCCAATCCTTCAACATCAAATATTCTAAACCAATATTCGATACTTTGATATTCATCCATTCCATAAAGTGCGAATATAAAATGTGATGCTTCGGCAACATTCAATATCTCCTTTTTTCCTTTTGTCACAACTCCTTCGAATAATCGATCAATAATTGTTGATGGAATTCCTCTTTCAATGAAATAATCAAACATATTTTGTTTATCGAAAACATCATTTACAGATATATCGATTAGTTTATAATATGTGAATCCAATCGAATTATTGATATATGATTTGGTCAATCCATCTTTGCACAAAAATTGGATGACTGTTCCAGGTTCTTGAACCATTGTATATGGCCTCCAAATTGATCTTGCATCCCATAAATATCTTTGCAAAGCCTGAAAAATAATTTCATGTTGAAGACAAATTCATTTCTTTTCAAACTCACAATTTCTTTGTATGCTGAAGGTGTATTTGATGGCCATGTTTTTTGTGCACAAATTTCAAGAGCCGCTCTGACAGAATCATGAGGAAGCCGGAATTTTGTTGGCATGAATGCATTTCCATCCACATATTCGATTGCTGTTTGAAACGACAAAAGTGAGCAATCCGATTTGTCTCTGAAAATGCCCATCAATTGCTTGAAACAATTCAAATTCATTGAATATTTCACTCACGCAATCAAGCTTTCATCGACTCCTTTGATAGCTATTTCAGTCAAATTTCCTCCTTCAGATCCAGAACTTGTTGACAAAAACGAATTGTTTGCCGTCTTTTTTGCAATTGGAGAAGATGTTGCAAGTGGTGAAAACTTCTGTAAAAAAAACACATTCAAAACTTTTTATGACTCATAATATGAGTTTATAGAACTTACGAATGGAAATGCGACTTCTTGTATCGATAGAAGTTTGCGATTCATGGGTGTCGTTGACATTTCTAACGATAAGAGACAAACTTCGAAACTGATGCAAACTGAGCATCTGCAAAAAAATGAAACACTAAACAGTAAATCATCCCGCCAAAATTATTGGTAGTAGGTCAAAATCTAATTTGACCCAACAGAAAAAAAAAGAACGAAATGCATTATGGGGCTATTCAGCGAAAAAAAAAATGTTTTCTCAACGGGAGAAAAGCGAAGAAAACCTATTCAAGTCGGTTGAGAAAACATAAAAATCAAACACTTGAAACACACAAATTGCGACGAGACCCAACGAAAAACAACATGTTCCTTTGAACTTTTGCATTACTGTAAATTGGTCCCGTTGCGATTTTCTACAGTATCTTAAAGGAACATGTTGTTTTTCGTTGGGTCTCGTCGCAATTTGTGTGTTTTATTGTGTTGATTTTTATGTTTTCTCAACCGACTTGAATAGGTTTTCTTCGCTTTTCTCCCGTTGCAGATTAAAGGGACACGTTTTTTTTCGCTGAATAGCCCCATTAATGAAATAATCAATTTAAAACTTTTTCTACAGTAATTTTTCGCGACGAGACTCGGTGACTGTCAGCTGTTGCGCCTTTCATTTATTTCAAAAAGTAATTTTTTATTTTCGGGGCCGCGCGGGGTTTCTAGGCGTTCCTAGATATACGATACTTATGATACAATTCGTTTCTTTTTGTAAAACTTAGAAAAAGTTCTGAAATTGCATAGATTTATCTGATTTTTCTTTCTCGACATTTTTAATTTGTTTGTTTTTTAAAACCAAAAAGCGACAAGTAAGTATTTATTCAATTATTCATTGTTGAGTTTCTCCTCTAAAATTATCGATAATACTTTTTCGATCTTTCCATAACGGAAAAACTTCAGATCTTCCAGTATCAGGATGTGTATATCTATAAGTACGATAAAAACGAACCAAATCGGATAATTTTCGAAATAATTGAGTTTGTTGTTTATTTATAATTACAGTCCACCACATACTATTATTTTCAGTCAAAATATTTTGAACACGAAAATTGAAAACCTCATTTTCACAATTTCGGTGACAAATAAAAAGTGGAATTGAAATTGGAACATAAATTTTGATTGGATGTTTTGCAACACGATAATAAAGTATGAAATCATCTTGACGAGTTAATTGAGCTGCTTGTTTTTTATTTAAAATTCCATGATAATGTTTCTCGAGTAATTCATCTCCAAATTCTTGTTTCTCATTTTGAATTGTTAAATTTGTTGAAGTTTTTGATGATGATTTTGATGTTTGATTTGATAATCCAAATTGTGTTGCATCTGATGGCAATGACCAATTTGTATTATCATTTGCTAAATAAACACGTGGAATATATGACTTTTCACTGAATGAACAATTTGTTTCAATTGTTGGTCTGCAAAAATGCTTTTATTGAAAATTCGAGCTATTTTTGGAAAACTTACTCAACAGTTTCGAATTCAGTTTGTGGTGTTAAAGCACGTTGTTTTCTGTTCTTTCTTTGTTGTTTTGATGATTTAGACGATCTCATTTTTATTTCGATTTGTAGTCGGTATATTCTTATTCAACTAGGAATTCTAAATGAAAACTGAAGGAAACGGAAAACCTTCCGAAAAATAGGTTTACGTCGAAACGTCACACGTAAAAATTCAATTTTTTGCTGAGTTTTTTTGGGAGCTCACAATAAATTTAGAGATAGAAAAGCTGACAGAAATTCGCCCACAAGATAATTTCCAAAAAAAACATTTTATTTGTTCAAAACAAATCTTTCAAATCAATTTTCAATTCATTCGATATTTTCAAAGGTTTTGATGAAATAATATACCATCCATCATGATTTATTCCAAGTGTTGAACTATTTGAAGTTTTTGTAAAAGTTGAAGTATTTGAAGCTGATCTTGAATATGATGCCATAAATGATGGAGCTGATGTTGCTTGCGAAGATTTTGAAGTCGAATATTTCGGAATTGTTGTATTTAATGTATCCAAGTTTTCATATTCGGTTTTAGATTCTTGTTTTCTTTTACTTGGAACTTTATCCGGGATTTCAATTCCAATTTCTTTATTGAGTTCGAGTAAATTGACAAGTGATCGTGGTTTTTTCAATGGTTCCAATTCTTCGTATTTATCACTATTTTTGGATGATTCAGTTTTTATAGTTGTATCAGTTTTCGAAGTTGATATTGTTGTTTTTTGAATATTATCAGGTAAATTAGAATGAATACTTCCAAAACTTGAAATAGTAACTCTATTCATTTCATGAGTCGAATTAATACTTTTGTCATCAATGTCTGCCAATTCTTGTAAATAAACTAAAAATAGAAAACTGCGTCATTAAAAGCTGATAATTGTTAATTAATGAAATCATACCTTTAAATGTCAAATCATAGCTTCGATTTTCAGGCAATTTTTTGAAAAAATCATTGAAAACTGATATGATATCATCTGCTTGTGTATTCATTCTTATTGAAAATTGAAAACGATTTTAATTATATCTCAAAATAACAGAAATATATTTACTACGGCAATTCAAAAATAGAACACGTAAAATATTTATTATTATTATTTTTTTGTTGATAATCTACCCAAATTTTTACCTGCTCGAAAATTTAAAAAATGTTTCTATTGTTTCTTTTTGTCTTCGACAACTTCTTCTTCTTCTTCATCAATCACATCTTCTGATCCAAAAACTGTTTCAGCAAAATACCTATTTGAAAAATGAAATACAGTAGATTTCTATTTAAAAAAATGTACTAACCAGGCAATTAAAGGACTCAACCAATAAACAAATAAATGTCCAGCGTGTGAAACACCAAGACAATTAAAAGTACAAGCCCAAGCAACAATCGGATTCGCATACATTCCAGTGTAATTAATACCTAATTAATAAAAAATACGTAATTGAAAATTGAGATCTCAAAAAAAAATACCTATTGCACACAGTAATCCACTGAAAGCACAATTTGCAACTGAACAAATTGTGAAATCTCCGTCATATTTTTGATCTACAAATTTTTCGAAAGCTTTTGCAACAAATGTTGCAACTCCTTCAATTATGCAACCAGTTGTAATTGCCACCTAAATTATTCAAAAAATAATAATAAATTTGAAATACTTACTGTCAAATCAGATGTACAAGTTTCTTGTTCGAGTAATTCTGTATGAACTGGATGAATTCCGACCGACCAAAATACACGAGCAATAAAATATGAGAGATAAGCTGCAAATAATCTTCGAGTTCTTAATTTCAAATTAATAAATTACCAGCTGAAAGTTGAACCAAAAAAACATAAATTCCTCGTCGAATTGCTTTTGATTTTCGATAACAATTTGTGACCTGAAAAATATTAATTTCTCAAGGTTTTTATGCAAAATCTAACCAGAGGACATGGATGTGCAACTGCATCTCTTTGGAAATAACAATTTGCTAATTCAATTATAAAAATTTCTAGAAAAACTCCGAAAAGTCCATAATTTTCGAGAATTGTGCCAACATCAAACATTGGAACACATATTTGAAGAGTTCCAATAAACTGCAAAAAATATTTTTGTGTTTTTTATTTCAAAAAATATGTTTTCTTACCTCGAGTATCAAAAGAGCTGATAATCTTTTTGGGTTGTCAAAAGATTTAACAACCAAAAATCGAAAAAGTTCACAAATCGCAAAAACTGCTCCATAAAAAACTAAAGAAGCCACCCAAATACGCATTTTGAATGGATGCAAAAAGAATGAAAAAGAAGCACAACAAATGCAAAAGAAAGCGAAGCGAAATGCGCCTCAGAGTTTTTTTTTTCTGCTAACAGGTGGTGGTGAAAGTAATTTGAGAGCACTGCCGAGCTCAATTTTTATGACGTGGATGATAAGAGAAGAGATAAGATAAATCAAAAAAGAAATTAAAAAACGAGAGAAAAAGAAAAAACTTCGCAGCGAGCAGGGTTCGAACCTACGCGGGCAATGCCCAATAGATTTCAAGTCTATCTCCTTAACCACTCGGACATCGCTGCTGACGAGTGCATCGAAAAAAATTGTACACATATTTGTGTTGTGTGGAGAGAGAAAAAGAGAACGGATGCAAAAAAAGTGGGGGGTAGACAGGAAAAAAAAGTAGGCGGAGCAAAATTTATGCCGAGAATAAAAAGGATATTCAAATGGATATGAAAAGCTATAAATCTCATTTCTTCACACCTTTTCTTGACACGCACGACGAATCACGTCATAACATTGACTCATAATTTTTTTTTCAAATTTTATCACCAGGATTACTGTAGTCTTCAGCTCTTTCTATTATGTTTTCCTTCTTTTATGAATGAGTATTTCCGTGTTTTCCCTTTGAATAAGATTTTTGTTATTTTCTTCATATTTTTTTTCCATTTTTGTGTTGTGTCGTGTTTTTTTCTGCTGAAAAACAGCTGATTCTCATCGTCTGCGTCTCCAAAGCCACGCCCCCATTTTTTTGCTGTTTTTTTTTTGTTGTTCGCCACCCAAACGCTTTATTCGACTTGTTTTTCCCTTGTTTTGTTCCATTTTCACCTAATTTTGACCTACCACGAATAAATGTCAAAAAAGGTTTGGTTTTCCGACAAAAAACCAACAAAAAAAATTATCCAAAAGTTCATTTTCGTAAAGTTCTTCAACTTCAAAATGTATTTAGTTATTCGATACTAATCTAATATAATCATTTTTTTTATTCATTTTTTCTCGAAATCCATGTTTTTCTCTTTCTCTAAACTCTCACTTCTCCAATAATATTTTGAATTCGAAACAAAGTTACTCATTATTTGTTCACTTATTTCAACATACTTCATTTTCCCACTGTAATTTTTCCTAATTGTTATTGTTTTTCTCCTTTTTTTAAGTGAATTGTCTTTTTTTCTGTCTGAAAAAAAGCTGGATTATTCTATTTTTCAAGAATGATAAAAAATGTATAATCATTAATCATTTGTTTAGTCATGTGTACTGGATTTCCGTCTTTATTTTATTTTTTTTTCAAAATTCTATATTTTCATTTTTTTTTTGTTATTTCAAAAATGTTTTCAGAAAATCTGAAAATGTTGATGGATTGTGGTGCAATTGGTGTACAACATGTTGTTCCACAACAACAACAAAATCAACAATATTTCACATTCAGAGATCGTAAAAAATCATGTGGTTAGTTTATGGGATACTGTACTTTGATGTGATACTGTAGAAAATTTCTTATCGCTTTTTTTGCGAAATTGGATGTTTGGAGTGTATTGTAGTTTGGCTGTCTTTTGGACTTCAAAAAAAATTTGAATGAATAATTTGAGCAAAAAATCCCATAGATTATTAAAAAAAAAATAATGATTTATATATTTTTTCTGGGAAATTCATGTTTTTTAAAGATGGAAATCATATTTTGTGTCCAATTTGTTATGAATATCTCTAAGTTTTTCAACTTTTCAGGACAAAGTCAAAGTTCAACAAAAAAATGGAATGTTAGGATTTTGAGGATCATTAGAAACTTCAAAGTTTTGACAGATTGTTGAATAGATAATTTTGAAGAAGTGAAATTATTATTTTGTATTTGATCTTCGCCGAGTAGTTTTCTAGTTTAGATCACAAAATTCCTAGTTGAAAAATATTTCATAAAATTTTTTTTAATTTAAATAATACTCTTGAGGCTTACATTTTTTGAAGTTTCAAATTATCCATAAACTAATTCTCAATATTTTCTAAATTTGAAAATAGTTTCTACCGTATTCTTTGTATTCTATTTCAGTTTTTGTCCCAATCCAAAGTACCCGCCATCTCCAAAAATCTGTTCTTTACTCTTTTCTCTGCGTCTCTTCCACTTTCGTAATATTTCGTCTCGTTTTTCACTGTCCATATAGTAAACATGTACTTTTGCTCGAAAATACGAAGGGCATCTGAAAAGAGGGATAGAGAAAAAAAGAGAAAAGCCTCGGGGTTACTGTAGATTTTTTTGCTATTTTTGAAAAAATGCTCGAATTAATTCAATCCCGGATATTTTTTGAAAACGAAAAAAAGCGAAAAAAACCAGTTGATTGTGTCTCTCATCATTTTGGAGAGAGTTGTTTTTGAAAGAAGAAAATAAGTATTTATGAGGAGGAAAATGAATGAAAAGTTTTTTGTTGGTTGTTTTTTCAAAATACTATTTACGAAAATGGAATATTTTAAGACCTACTAAAGAAAAAACACAACAAAGAACAAATCAGGAAATGAATTCCTAAAAATTTATTGTTCGAAACAAGGGCACGTAAAATATAATTTCAAAGCTCACACAATTTATTGCATTTCTAAAATTTTTTCTATATGAGAATCGTGTTAATTTGTTTTGAGCCAAGATTGTGAGAAAAAAATTTGAAAATTGATAACGTCATAAGTTTTTCAGGGAGCTTTCCTGCCCATTTTACAAAGAAATTTTGCTTTCAGAGTTTGTGCTCAAAATTTTCATTTCATAACGTTTGTTTGTAACCATTTCTTTCAATTCATTCCGGACACACGTTGCTCCTATCGCTTTTAAAATTCTCCAATCTTCTCAGATAAAATCATCATTGAAACATTTCGAAATGTATAAAAATGGGCGTGCCATGTTGTCATTATTTTTCCCGTTTTTTGCTGGTCTAGGAGGAGGGTACAGACTTATACACACAGACACATTTTTGTTGTTTACGTAAACAACAAAAAAAACGAGAAGAAGCATGGAAAAAAGGAACACACCACAACAAAAACAACATTCATTCGCCTGCAGCAGGAAAAAAAGAGAAAAAAACTGGTCACTTTCTTTTTTTTTATTCCTCTGTCCACTCTGCTGGTCAAAACAACAACAACAACATCTGATTATTTCTGTTTTTAGTAGTAGTATTTTTGAATCAACAAAATCTATATTTATTCACTTTTTTTTTGTTTTTTGTATGTTACTCAAACCAACATTATTAGCTGCCACTGCTGCTGCAAATAGTATGTTTTTTAAATAATTTGGAATTGTAGAACTGGTTTTTTCTCGATAATTTGCTTTTAGCAAATTCCTTTGACAGCTGAAAAATGTTGCACTAATAAAAACATTTTTTTGAACTCTAAATTTTTCCACGTTTCGTGAATTCGAGTACCTAGAAAAATCCGATATAGTTTACATGGAAAAAAAATGTGGGTTCAATTTGAAATTCCATTTCCTGATTTATTCAACCTACAGTAATCCGTTTCTGTCTAAAAGAAAATGTATCAGTTTTTTTGATTTTTGCTCTAATTTATCACTTCAATAAAAATCATCTAGTAGTCTAGACTTTACTTGACAAACAATACAATTTTGATAAGAAAATATAACCGGAAGGAAGAATTTTCAAAAACTAACAAACAAGCGAAAGTTTTTCAAATAACTCAAAAATAAATATGAAAATAGGGAAATATGCACTTGAAAATTAAATGTATTCGACAAAAACATCGGGAACGGAAAATTTTGCAAGTAGTTCATGTTGCTCGAAATAAAAAAAATAGCTGGGCTGTAAATTTTCAGACCTTTCCAAAACCGTATCACTGATATCAAATGTTTTCAGATTCCGATGAATACCGTAAACGTTCAAACACTTTGCTTTCCCGAGGATCTGAAAAAAGATGGCCAAAACGAGATATGGGACCACAATTTGAATTGAGATGTTGTGTTGATCCAGAGGTAATTCAAATCTATTTCTTCTTTTCCCCTAATCAAATTTTTATTTTCAAGATTCTTCGAATTAATGTTGATCGTCAATATTATTTCGAAGATGACACTGTTCATAAAAATGGAAGTGTTTTTCATAAACGAGAAAACTATGATAATCTTTTGGCAAATATTCCAAAATCAAAATTCAACGGAATTCACATAAAAATGGAAGATGATTGTCCACAAGGTGGAGATGATGTCAGATTGTGTTTGTTGAAATCACTTGGTGCACATAATCTCAGAAATATTCCATGTGTTGGTTGTCATGATGATTTGAAAGTTTATGACAAATATCCACTTATTGATGGAACTTTTTATATTTCAACAGTTTCACAATACGGTCCAAAAACTGAAATTTCCTTAGATGGTCGACGATATTTTCTTCAACAATTATGTGCCAAATGTCTTTGGTCTGATTGGTCATGCAAAAAATGTGGAAAAAGTGAGTTTTTTTGCCATTTTCACCCCAATACAAATAAATAGATATTGTTTATTTGTTTTTTCCCCAACCAACTATCACAACAAATATTTACTCGAAATTTCAGATGACTGGTTTGATGGAAAATCGTTTATTTTGGGAACACTTTATTATTTTGACATTTGTGAGTTATTGAGAAAAAAAAATGAAAAATAGAAAAATGATTTTTTCAGTGTCAGCTGGAAGATGTTGTTCACCAACTTGTGATACTTGTCAATCACCAATTATGGTCAGAGATCAAATGTATCAACAACTTTTGAATGTTAGTTTTTGTTCATTATTAATTCAGGTAAAACACAAAACTAGGGATAGGAACTTTGAAGTTATCTTATTCTAAAAATTAAATAATTTAATGTTAAATTGAAGAATTAAGGAAATCTTCTCAGAACTTTTATTAATCTAGATGAATATCCACAGTCAAAATGAGTCAGTTTTTAAGTTCCTTTTTTAGCTTCAACTTCAAGATTGTCAGTTTCAGAAATACAAATCCCACTAATTACAATTTATCTTGAAGTTCTTGTTCAATTATTCTGATCGATGCTTTCTTAACTGTGCCATCCCTTATCTTGTTCATTTTCAGTAATCTCATTTTTCTTCCAGGGAAACTACGCAACAATAAATGAGCCTCAATCATGTTCTTCATGCGGTTCTCACAAATTCCACCTCATTCGAGATATCCAAACTTGTCAAATCATTGCGAAACCTCCAACCTAACTTCTTTTTTTTCTAAAACTCTTTCTTTTCTATGTCCAAATTTATCATGTTGTTTGAATAGTCGCCAGTTTTTTTGCCTAGTTCCAAAATATCTCCCCCCCAAAAAACATATATTCTTTTTTTCTTCGTCCCAAGTTGTTGTTCTATGCATCAATCAACTATGCAACAAATCTACCTCATTTTTAGGCCTGTTTTTCGGCCTTTCCCTACCTCCCCCACAAAATAATGATATCATCCCCCCTTCCTCCCAAAAAATTAAAATACAAAAAATTGTTAATTATTAACCGAACATTCCCAAACCTTTTTCTGTTTATTTCTTGTTTGTTTTTATTTCTTGATTTTCCACGTGTTGTTTTCGAAATTTCATCTTTCAACAAAACTCGGATACTTTAAATATATAATGTTCGGAAATTCATCTTTTGGAGAAACTTTATATAGATAACTTTTTTGACCATTTCTAACATTTAGAAATTCTTTGATGAATAAATATTGTGATGTATTTTATTTGCATTAAATTAAAATATTGGAAAAAATATCAAGTTTCAGAAAAGAAAAGTGTTGAGTTATTTATTTATCACACATTTTTTTCAGTTGGTTTGGTTTTTGAATGACTCTTCTTTTTTTTGAAGAGGCGTTGTCAAGTGAGTCACTCGAGCATGGGAAAAATATTAACAACAAAAAGCTAATACTGGGAATTAATCCAACTTGCCTTTTTTTGGAAAATAAAAAAAAATTATAGACATTCTGAAAATCCTAATTCTTCAGAACTTCTGGATCATTTTTTTTTGGAAAATTATTTTGAAACGTGGTATGTGAGGCGAAAAAAGGATTCCGTTTTATAACAAATAAAAGAACTAGAATCACGGTCCTGAAACTTTTTATTTTAATTTTCTAGAAAATTTTCATCGAGTTTCTAATATTAGACAAAGCCTACGCCGTAAAGTTTCCAAATGTTCATTTTATTTGATTTATTTTCGGAAAACCTTCAAAACTGGCAATTTTGTGAAAATTAGAACAACATTTTCCTAATCAATGTCTTAAATAAATATTGATTTCATTTCATATAAATAGGGTTTCAGTCAGTTTGCAACTGGAATTTTTCGAAATCTTCCAAAAGCTTTCGAAAAATTTTATGAAAATAAACTTATTTTCTAGCTTTGAGATATTCTTTGAATTTCATAATAACTTATCATGTTTTTCCAAAATTTCCAAATCATATTTTATTACTCACTTTCCATAATTTGCTGATTTAAAAATATGAGAATTTTCAAACTTGTGGATGATAAATTGGAGTCAATCTAACTAATCCTTTTTTTTTCTACATTTTCTCCCACTATATTTTTGATGCAATTCAATAGTTTGCCTGCCCACTTTTTCCCCTTTTTTTCGTATTTTTTTCGTTGCCACCACAGCCATTATAGAGGAAAAAGGAAAAAGAAGAAGCTCTACTAGAAAGAAAAATGCGAGTGCGCGAAAAAAAACGAGAAAAAAAAGGAGAAGAAGAAGAAGCTGAATCGATTCTGTCTGCTTTTTGCTCGTTTTCTTTTTGCTTTCTTTTTTTTCTCGATGTATATATACATCACATCACCTTTTATATGACTTTTACTTACTTTTTGTTTGACACAAAAAGAAAACCTCGGCCTGTTTTTCAGATATTCGCGAAGAAAATGTAGATACAAATTTCTGTTCTATGATTTATTTTTTTTTGAAAAAAAAGAGTGGATACGGTGTATTTATTGAGAGCAGGTGCTTATTACTCAGTCTTTGAAAAATATATTTGTTTACTGAAAATGTAGAAAACATGATTTTCTCAAATTGTTAATATCGTTCAGTTTAGGATTTCTTTTTATAATAATCTCAAAGTTCCGAATATTTCAAGAATTCAAAAAAATTATCACGTGACTGAACATTTTAAGAAAAGTCAGATTTTTGAGTACTGTATCCTTTTGTGGAACGATTTTTTCGAAGTTGGATTTTGAATTCACAAACTAGGATTTTTCAAATCGGACTATTCTTTTTTTTCGAAGTTTTTCTTATTTTTTTTCGATTTTATTCTTTCGAAGTTTCCAAATTTTCTCTGGATATAACTTAATTGGTCCAATTTATCCTCCTTCTTCAAATTTGCAATCATTTTATCAACTCCCAAATTATTCAACAAAATCTCCCCCTTTTCTAATTTTCACTTGTTTTTCTTCATTTCCGTTTTCCTCAAAAAAAAACTCTTACATACAAAAAATGCAAACCGGAAAACGGCGATTTTTCTTATGAATAATATTACAATATTTTTTTGCTCATACATTTTTTGCAGCACATCCAAAATGCGGTTAAACCAATCAATATCAATTTATCAATCATTCATTCTTCTTGCCATAATTACAGTAAGATTTGGGGTTATTCCAAAAAAATGGGAAAATATCAGGTTTCAATGATGTCATAAATCCTTTTTTTGGAGCAGCCATTACCAAAAAAAAATGTGTGAGAAAACAAATGAGATGTTCATTTGTTTATTTCAGATTCCATCTTGTTTGGCAGTAAAATGTTATGATTGTGTTGGAATGGATTGTATGGGTAGTTTTTGTAATGGAGATGCTTGTATGATATCACAATATGCGCCAAGATGGGGAACAACAAGTTTGGGTGATCCAAAAATTGTCAAAGGATGTATTAAAGGAAAAATGATTGATGAAGATATTCGAGATCATTGTGAATTTGCTGAAGATGCTAAAGTGAGTTATTCTGAAAATGAGTTATGACGATGTGGCAACATTTTAAAAATCATGAATAGTCAAAGTCACGATTTCTCGAAATTTTCCCACTTCATTTGTAGCATCGTTTTCAGTGCATCAAGGTCTATAAAACTCATTATTTAGATTCCTTTTAACAAAAATTGTGAAATATTTTAGGACCCGTTCACTTGTTTCTGCAAAGGCGATTACTGTAATAAGAAACCATTCAAAAAACTTGAAAGAGAAGATGTTGAATTGCTTGAATGTGTTTGTAATGGTGAACATTGTAATAAAGATAGAACATGTCTTGGAGAACTTTGCACTTATGTTTATGATCATGAAACTGGAAAATATGAACAAGGTTGTACAAATGCATCTGTTCCACTTATTGAAAGAAGAGCAATTGGAGCATGTATGATTCCACCAATTACTGGAGCAATGCATCATACATTGGCAAAAAGTGCAAAGAGTTTATTGAAAGTTGAATCATGTCTTTGTGCAACATCATTCTGTAATAGTCAAAAACCTGAAATTAAAGTGCCAGAAAAAGAAAAATGTCGAGCATCGGTTTCACAAAGAGCATTTGATGTACCTGTAAGTTATTCTGAATTTTTCTCAAGATTTTATTATAATTTTTGTTCAATTCAGAGCTCGAGTAGCAATGTTACATGCGAAGGAGAATATTGTTTCACTGCAACAATTAAAGCAAAAATTGGAACACTCCAAGAATACACAACTTATGGATGTGCATCATTTAGTGAAGAAGGTGGTTTGCCAGAAGAATTGAATCCAGATGGATGTGCAACATTTTCATCGGAAAAATTGGAAGTCAAAACATGTTTTAGAACAAAAGATAAAGATGCGATTGAGAGAGCATTGGCAACGAAAGAAGTTCCAAAAAGAAAGCAATCGAGAAGGTTTGAATATCAATCAATTTTAATACCAATAAATATTAATATTTTTCAGAAAGTCGCAGAAGAAACCAAAGAAAGTAGAAACTGAAGAATTCGATGATGAAGAAGAAGAGGAAGAAGAAGAAGAGGAGGAGGAGGAAAGAGAGGAAAAGAAAAAGGAATCACCAAAAGTGACAAAAGAAAAAATAAAAGAAAGAAAAGAAAAAGAAGAGGAAGAAGAGGAAGAAAAAGAAGAGAAGAATGAGAAAAAGAAACCAGAAGCTACAACTGCTAAATCATTTATATTTGAAAAACCAACACAACCACCAATTCCAGATGACTCGAATACAACTATGGTAATCAGAATAAAATAAAACCTATCATTTAATTTGAAACATTTCAGATAACCGTATTCGTTTTGCTCATTTTGTGTATTCTTGGCTCGGGAATTGTCATCAAATTCGAATTACACAAGAAATTGAAGAGAAGTAATTATGATTCTGTAGCTGGAGGATAATAGGAGATCAATATATTTTCAAAAGTCATCTATTCACTTATTTATTTATTTATATTCCCCCCTCGTTTTTTTTCTTCATATTTTAGATAATTTTTTGCAATAATATTTTGATTTCAAACAATAATGATATTTTCCCCCAATAATTTGAGAGCCTTGTAGTAGATTTTTATATAAAATTATTTTTTTTAATGAAGTAACAGTAACAATAATAACAAGTTGAAAAAAGATTTGAAATCGGAAAGAGGCTTACTTTTGAACAACAGTGGTGTCGCGCATATGGATACTTCGAAGTTGACGTTTCTTTGTTTTCTTGAGTTTGTGAATCTTTGTGATTTTTTGAACAATTTCAGCTTTTCGTTCATTTTCCAATCGTCTTCTTTCTTGTTCAGCTTTTCTCTCAATCTTTTCTTGTCTTTCTTGTGCGTGTTGTTCTCGAATATTATCCTGAACTCGTTTCACCATATCTTTTTTCGCCTTCAGTTCCATTTTTTTGTCCCATGTGGTTTTGAGTGTTTTGACTTTTTTGATCGTCGAATGTCTGAAAAACTACTAATTTTAGTTTTTTATGAGACTGAATGAAAATGAAAATTATATTTGAAATAGAATGCGTGATCTCAAATATTTTATTTCTCATTTCAAAAAAAAAACTGACTTTTTCTCTTGTTTTGTTTTCCACCAGCGATTGGATTTACACGTGTCGTTGATTTGCGTAAAATCTGACGATGTTCCCTTGTTTGTGCTTGTTGAAGACATTTTCTGAAATTTAGTATTTGTTTCGAATGAATTCGAATTTGCGATTAACAAAAAGATAATTACGGAATTTTAAATGGTAAAGTAATTTTGGGATTGAATATAAGAGGATGATGCAGGTTAGTTTCTCCCTCGAGCTAATTGAGGAGAAAAAGAAGAAACGTGTTGCTCGTGAAGGCGAAACAGATCATTTTTTGAATTTCGCCTCACTTCTCCGAAGGCGTATTATCAACGTCAAAGTGGCTGGCACCGAAATGAGAAAATAAATTCAAAAACCCGTTTTCGCGGGGATACCGTACACACAAGCACGCCCCTCTTTTCGCTGCGAGATATCGCAGTTGGGTAAATCGGTGCGCCTTTATTTCAATCGATTTTGTTGCATCCGCAATAAATATTTATTATTGTACGTGACCTACACGTACCAATTCGTGGCATTGCTAAGCTGACGTTGCTTTAGCACTATAAAAGCCGTCAGCCTCGTCATTTCTCGCTCTTATTATTATTATTCTAATAAATCTTTGTAGTGTAATTTGTTACTTATCTTCGGCAGTCACCGTATCCTACTCAAGGATACAACATTTTGGCGATCAGGATGAGATTCGAACTCACGCGGGAAAATCCCAATGGATTAGCATTCCAAAATGTTGTATCCTTGGGTAGGATACGGTGACTGCCGAAGATAAGTAACAATTACTAATACAAAGGTTTATTGAAAGAATAATAATAAGAGGGAGAAATGACGAGGCTGACGGCTTTTATAGTGCTAAAGCAACGTCAGCTTAGCAATGCCACGAATTGGTACGTACCAATTCGTGGCATTGCTAAGCTGACGTTGCTTTAGCACTATAAAAGCCGTCAGCCTCGTCATTTCTCCCTCTTATTATTATTCTTTCAATAAACCTTTGTATTAGTAATTGTTACTTATCTTCGGCAGTCACCGTATCCTACCCAAGGATACAACATTTTGGCGATCAGGATTTTAAGGAAAATAATTCCGAACAAAAGGAAATTAATTCCGAACAAAAGGAAATCAATTCCGAACAAAAGGAAACTAATTCCGAAAATCGAACTTACTGCACTCTTTTGGAATCCCAGCTTACTGTAAGAACAAGAAGAACACAGTTCTCAGAGTTCTCTCGAATCACTCCAAAGAAGAGCACAGCTCTCTTGATTCAGTTCAAACAAAAGAACACAGTTCTATTGATACGCAGAAGCTCATCCATCGAAGATAATAATCCATCATGGATCCAGAGCAAGTCGCCGAATTAATCGAAGCGCAACGTCTAAACACTGAGTTGTTACTCGAACAACAAGCCAAATCCACTGATTTGCTTGTGACCAAGTTGTTCGACGGTTTCAAGACCTATCTTACCTCAACAACTGGAACTTCTTCTGTTCCTCCAGCTGGTCCGATAACAACTTCCGCAACGACTACTGAGTACATCTTGAACTCATTATCCAGTCGAATCCCTGAATTCATATTCGATGAGGAAAGCGGTCAAACCTTTGATGTGTGGTACCAACGATACCAAGACACGCTCTCGAAAGACGCCAAAGCACTTGATGATGATGCTCGATCTCGCTTTATTCTTCAAAAGCTTGATCCGACGTCATATGCTCGGTTCATCAACCACATACTTCCAAAACGACCAGCGGACCTCGCCTTCGAGGAAACCGTTAGCACGCTCCGAACACTTTTCGGTCCGTCAGCGTCGTTGTTTTCGCGCCGCGTGGCATACATTCATTCCAAATGGGATGGACAATCCATCCGTGATTACACTGGACTTATTAACAGTCGTCACGAACTGGCTGAAATGAACTCGATATCAAGTGAGCAACTCAAACTTCTAATATGGTTGAGTGGTCTCGACTCTCAGAAACATTCTGACTTGCGCAGTCGTGCACTTCGTCTAATCGAAGAAAAATCCACAATAACACTGAAGGAGTTGAGTGCTGACGTCCAACACATTCTTGACATTCGGAAAGATTCTCTCATCAGATCTACTGATATTACTCCAACTGGCATCAACGCCATCTCAAAGTTGAATAATACAAAACGAGACCCACCGTCACCTTGTTATCGTTGTGGAGGCCAACATTGGGCTAAAGATTGTTCCTTCATTACTCAAAAGTGTACCGAATGTTCTCGATTCGGACACAAGGCTGGTTTTTGTCAAAAGAATCCACCAAAGAAGAACAAATCTAAACGGCAAACTAACGCCGTAGACACCTCCACGTCGCCAAGAACTTCCGAAGATCGTACTTCTATCGGAAAATTCCAAAGAATCTTCAAAATCGTGAAGATCAATGGTAAATCCGTGAAAATGCGACTCGATACTGGAGCCGACATTTCCATCCTCAACAAGCAGGATTGGATAACTCTTGGTCGACCTGAACTTTCACCACCACTTTTTGACTTAAAGTCCGCAAACCAGCAACCAATCAATGTTTATGGCTTCTTCCGTTGTAAATTTGACTTGGATGGTCAGACTGGTGAAGGAACTTGTCACGTCGCGGATTCCCTCACACTCTTGGGAATGGACTGGATTGTCCAGAATGATGCGCTTTACCGTTCACTGAATGGAACTGCTCAGATAAACTCTGTTTCAGTAGCGTCACTCACTTCTATCCGTGAAAACTTGGTCGAAAGGCTCAGAACACTCTTTCCGGACACATTCACTGAAGGACTTGGATGTTGCTCCAAAACAAAAGCGGTTTTCCATCTAAAGCCGGATGTCACTCCGATATTCCGCAAAGCCCGACCCGTCTCGTATGCATCTCTGCCGCTCTTAAGCGCAGAAATTGAACGTCTGGTTGCTACTTCAGTACTTCGCCCTGTTGAGCACTCTGATTGGGCATCACCGATTGTATGCGTCAAGAAGAAAAACGGCAAAATTCGACTTTGTGCCGATTATTCGACTGGCCTTAATGATCGACTTCAAGACAACCAGCACCCACTTCCACTACCTGAAGAAATTTTCAACACCCTCAATGGTGGAAGATACTTCTCTACAATAGACTTCTCCGAGGCCTACTTGCAGGTGGAAGTGGCTGATGAGTCGAAACACCTCACGACCATCAACACTCACTTGGGACTTTTCGAATACGAACGTATGCCGTTCGGAATGAAAACAGCTCCTGGCATTTTCCAGAGTCTCGTCGATTCTATGACTTCTGGACTTTCCGGTACTTCTTGTTACCTCGATGACATCATCGTCACTGGACGAACGATTGAAGAGCACAATTCTCGACTCGAGAAACTTTTTGATCGAATCCATGCCTATGGATTACGCATCGGTCACGAAAAATGCTCATTTCTGACCACTGAAACTCGCTTCCTTGGTTTCATAATTGACAAAAGCGGACGCCGGCCGGATCCCGCCAAGATTGAAGCAATCTCAAAAATGCCAGCGCCAACTGATACTACCCAAGTTCGAGCACTTCTCGGAATGATCCAATTCTATGGACAATTTATACGGTCTCTCCATGACCTACGGGCGCCATTAGATGCACTCACAAAAAAAGACGTCATCTTCAAATGGACCCCGGAATGCCAATCTGCTTTAGATAAAATCAAAGCAAAACTTCTTTCTAACCAACTTCTGGTACACTTCGACCCTGAACTCCGCACAATCGTTGCCGGAGATGCTTCTCAATACGGCGTCGGAGCAGTCCTACTCCACGAAGTGCCAGATGGTTCCTACAAGGCAGTCGCCCATGCCAGTCGTACACTGACTCCAGCGCAAAAGGGTTACTCCCAGACTGAGAAAGAAGCTCTCGCATTGGTATTTGCTATGCAAAAGTTTCACCGCTATGTGCATGGTCGAAAATTCACGTTGAGGACTGATCACCGTCCACTTCTTTCCATCTTCGGATCGAAGACGGGAATCCCGGTTCACAGTGCCAACCGCCTCCAACGTTGGGCTCTGATTTTGTTGAACTACGATTTCGAAATCGAGTACATCAATACCCAGAACTTCGGTTATGCTGATGCTCTATCCAGACTCATCGCAGCACAGCAACTTGAAGAAGAAGATCGCGTCATTGCTTCCATCGAAGCTGATGTCACAGCCGATTTCGCAGCTAACTGCAATTCTCTTCCTGTCACTTCCGAAACTATCCAGAAAGCGACAATCGCTGATCCACTCCTCGTCCAAGTGTCTGATCACATCCAATCTGGACAATGGCCCAAAATCAAACCTGACTCTCCACTCTGGCACTACTACAATCGTCGAGAATCACTTACGATGGTTCAAAACTGTCTACTTTTCTCTGATCGAATAATCATACCGAAAACACTTCAAAACCGAGTACTTCAAAATCTTCACAAAGCTCACCCAGGGCAAACTCGCATGAAGATGTTGGCTCGAAGTTTTGTTTATTGGCCAAATATTGACTCGCAAATCGAACAACTCGTTCGAAACTGCCCAAGATGCGCATCAGCCGCTAAAAATCCAGTCAAAACTGAGCTGAAAACCTGGCCTACTCCAAATTCTGCTTGGACTCGAGTTCATGCTGATTTTGCTGGTCCCATGAACGGTACTTATTATCTCGTCATTGTCGACGCATTTTCTCGTTGGCCGGAAATTTTTGCTCTCAAGCAAATCACTACATCCGCCACGATCTCGGTACTCCGTCAAGTCTTTTCACGCTTCGGAAATCCGACAACTCTTGTCACTGACAACGGCACACAATTTACTTCTGCCGCATTCGAAAATTTTTGTACGTCAAATGGTATCGAACATCTTCGATCTCCTCCGTACCACCCACAATCAAACGGCCTAGCCGAAAGATTCGTGGATACTCTCAAACGATCACTTCTGAAACTTCAAGGAGAAGAGAGGACGGCAGATACTCTTCAAACTTTCTTACAAGTTTACCGCTCCTCACCCTGTCCTTCGAACACTGAACATCGTTCTCCCGCTGAACTCTTTCTCCAGCGAACGATCAGAACTCCGCTGAGCCTCATGAAGCCAACGGTTGAACAGCCAAGGTTGCCTGGAAACACCAGCGCTGAAAACCAGTTCAATCGACACCATGGTGCCAGACACCGCAAATTTGACATCAATGATGCTGTATTTGTTAGGGACTTCCGTGATCCCAAATCAACTTGGATTCCCGGAATTGTTATCAATCGTCACGGAAATGTCAAATACACCGTACGAGCTGATGGTCATGATTGGATTCGCCACATCAATCACATGCGCCCCCGTGATAATATTACTGCTGTCAACTCATTGTTGGATGACTTCGACTTGCCGCTTTTCTCCAAGGCCGAATCACCGCAACCTCAATCAGTCATTTTGCCACTCAATTCTCCGCCGCCGCTGCGCCGCAGTACTCGTATTCGGAAACCTGCCACACGCCTTGTTATCGAACCTCATCGTCTCAAATATCGGGTGGAGGAGATGTTGCATCCGCAATAAATATTTATTATTGTACGTGACCTACACGTACCAATTCGTGGCATTGCTAAGCTGACGTTGCTTTAGCACTATAAAAGCCGTCAGCCTCGTCATTTCTCCCTCTTATTATTATTCTTTCAATAAACCTTTGTATTAGTAATTGTTACTTATCTTCGGCAGTCACCGTATCCTACCCAAGGATACAACAGATTTTTTTTTGTTTTTTACGCAAAACCGGCGTTTAACTTGGAAACGTCGAGTATTACTAGCTATTTATCGATGATTTAGGCAGCATACGACATCTGGAGAAAGAAGGTAAGACTTTTCAGTCGAATTTCCATTGAAAAATCATGATTTTCAGGATTTCCGCCAAAATCAACCGGATCTTCGCCAATTTCGCCGAAAATCAACCGGATTTCATCGATATGTTCAACAAAAGCTGCAAGAGCAAACTCTTCCAGGTTCAGGTGAGAATGTTCATTTGAATTTTCATGAAAATGTGAAGATTTTCAGGTTTAACAGCAACAACTTCGGGAATTTCGCCGTTATTTCGCTCAACATTTGCATCTTTAATAATTACCTGATTATCAACGAAAATAAAATGTTTATGATATATAATTGATCAACTAAAACTGAAAGTACGCGAAATTCACATAAGAATAAACAAAAATTACTTTTATCTTCGAATTTTATTGTTTTCCTCGATTTTTGATGATGGTTTGAGGAAGTTGAAACTATTGCAGCTGTTACTAAGCATGCCAATGAACTTCGGCATGTGTTCGGTGAAATCCGGTTGATTTTCGGCGAAATTGGCGAAGATCCGGTTGATTTTGGCGGAAATCCTGAAAATCATGATTTTTCAATGGAAATTCGACTGAAAAGTCTTACCTTCTTTCTCCAGATGTCGTATGCTGCCTAAATCATCGATAAATAGCTAGTAATACTCGACGTTTCCAAGTTAAACGCCGGTTTTGCGTAAAAAACAAAAATCGATTGAAATAAAGGCGCACCGATTTACCCAACTGCGATATCTCGCAGCGAAAAGAGGGGCGTGCTTGTGTGTACGGTATCCCCGCGAAAACGGGTTTTTGAATTTATTTTCTCATTTCGGTGCCAGCCACTTTGACGTTGATAATACTACAGTAGAAAAACAGTCATTTCTTGCTTCAGCGGGGTGTATTTTTTGAAAAAAAAATGAAAAATAGTCCGAGACACACCCGTTCAAACAATGAAAAAATTAGAAATTTCTTTTATTCACACTGCGCCACAATTTGCAAAGGAATTAGCTAACTAAGTGGCAAAACTAAATATACCATTAGAATCAGCGCATCGAGATCTGTGTGAGACTACGCATTTCGAAATTTTTAGGGTCCTGCGAAGAAAGTTAGCAATCGCGACAAGACCCAACGCATGAAATTTTTCATGCACCTTTAATACTGTAGTGCGAAATATAACGGCGAACAGAGAGAATTAGACAAAAGTGTTTGCACAGTTTTTTGTTTCGTTTTACAGTAGAAAACACTCATTGCGTGGCTTGAACGGGTGTGGAGAGAACTACAACATGATCCAAAAACGCGAGAAATACGCTGCAAAATACGGTAGACGCTTTTCGTTGTGAGATATTTAGAGAAACATATAACGCCCTTTAAACCATTTTCTTGTTTCTTCGAAGAAAACGAAGCTTCGTTTTTGCAAAATTATGCTGTTTAAAAGCGTATAAGCTTCTTTAAAGAAGCAAATTGCGAAACATTTATTCTTGTAATCACTATAGTATCATTAAGCTTTGGTTGAAATTCCATTGAAATTATAAGGATTTTGCATTCCTGAAAAATGTAATACATGCAAAACGTGGATGAACGAAAAATATACGGCTAGGGGCTATTAACATCTATCAAGTAAAGTCAAGTTATTTTTAGTTAATTCTATCAAAATGTAGGCGCTGGGAAGTAATATTAGGATTATGAATTTAATTTAATGATTTTTTGACGATTTAAATATGAAACGTTTTATAGGATTGCCGTGAAAAAGTTTATTTTGTTATTTGTCGATAATTATGATTTTCATACTCATAAAACGTAAACTTATCAACGGAAAAACGAATTAAAACGTGAAAAAAGCGTTTGAAGAAAAATAAAACGAAAAAAGTGTGTTCGACAGAGCGCGTTTTCTCTTCTCATTTCGCTCCGCACCAAATTCTATTATTTCTTCCCAGAAGAAAGGTTTATCATAATCTAAATTTATGCCGACACAATTTATTCGTAATCGCAGTGCGTTTCCACACGGAACTTCGTCGAATATCGACGATGTTCACATTTATAACGATGGTAAGTATATGGCGATGAAATTGATTGATAAAACGTGTTTTTTCTTCAGATTTTTTCTCCCAACAACCAATGTCATCAGGAGGATATGAAGATTCATCAAATATTTCACCTCCTATAATATCTGGAAAATCTAATAATGATCCGCTGGCGGGTGCTTTGTTGGGATTAGCAGAGTAAGTGATAATTCCAACGAACTTTATCTGATCTCATCAATTTCAGTGTTATAACAAAAACTGTAATTTCACATCCTTGTTCTGTGATTCGTCGACAATGTCAAGTTCATCAATTTGCCAATTCATTACATTTAACTCCAGTAACATTGGTTCCTGTTATTTGCAATTCTGTAGCAAAAGAAGGAGTTCTAACATTTTGGAAAGGAGCAATTGGAACAAGTGTATTATGGGGTTTGGCAAATGTGAGTGAAATTGTAATTGGAGATTTATTGGGTTTACCAAGAACGTATGTTGTGAATGGAAGTTCCGAAAAGTATTGGAGGCATATTTTTTTGAAAGCAACTACTTTTGCAGTTATGACACCATTTTATATTTCATCATTCATTGAAACCGTTCGAGTAAGTTTTTTATTTTCATGGAAAACTTTAACGTTCTACTGTTTGATTTCAGAGTGAATCAGGGATTGGTGCTGAAGAAAACAAAGTTCTCGATGTTCTTGTAAAAGGTGTTGATCGTATGCGATATCTTATTTCTTCTGGTCGAGATCCATCAAAGAAATTCAGTGTCATTCATCTTGCTATTCCAACAACAGGTTTTCAGTAGGTTTTCAAGCCTTTTCTAACTTATCTATCTAACGTTCTTTTTGTTTCCAGAGTTTTGCATTATATGATCCAAACAGCATTATATCATACATTTTTCAAAATGGCCAAAAACTATGTGGTAAATATCATTTTGTCAAACTGAATGCTCAAATCAACAAATTTTACAGAGTAGAAAACCACCACAAGAAAAAACAACATTTCATGATTTTGCTCCACAATTATTTGCCCAAATGTCTTCAACAATTCTTACTGATCTAATTCTTTATCCAATTGAAACCATTTTACACAGAATGTACATTCAAGGTTTGTTCATTCTACATCAAAAGTCTTTTATTTCCAGTACATTTTGTTTAGGAACAAGAACACTAATCGATAATATGGATACGGGATTTTCTGCAGTTTCACAAACTGTGAAATATAATGGATTTGTTGATTGCGCAAAACAAATTATGGAAAATGAAGGATTTTGGGCACTTTATGCTGGAGTTGGAGCTGTATTTTTGGAATATTTATTGAATTCAGGGCTTCAACAAATTGTTCGAGCATGTTTTGATCGAGGATCTGAAATACTTCGAAAAGCAACTGAAGGGCATCCGATTGGTCAAATAACTCCACCAATTTCTGCGAAGTCCAGTTTTCAGGGGCCACTTTCTGGACCTTTTGCACAAGTTTCTCCAATCGCAACACCAAGAAAGTGAGCTTTTTGCTGATATACATGTATTTTCAAAAATCTTTTATTTTTTTTGAAGACAAACAACAACTCCACCAAGAGATCCAACCGAATTCCCAACATTTGGTGAAACTGTTAGTCAATTGAATAGTCCATTTCATCAAGGTTCAAATACAACATTTGGTACATCAAATCGACAAAATGTATTTGGAAGTCCACCAAATCGGTGAGTGCAAAAAAACGATATTTCGCAATATTTTTTGTTCTCGAAATTTACATTATGACGTCATAATAATCACCCAACATAAGTCTGTGGTGAATACATGAATATCTTTCTTTCTGTCTTTTTATGTCTTCATATTTCTTTCTCTCCTTCTCTATCTAATTATTTGTTATTTTTTGCAGTTCCCGCGCAATTCACCCATCAATGTCACCTGGTCCGTCTGGTGATACAACAAACAACGCTTTGCCACCATTACGTCTTAATACAGACCATGATCCATTCAGTGGTTAATATTTTCTTTTAGTTTTTCTTTTATTTTAACCTTATTTAATTCATGTTTACGGTAGTCAAGTGTGTGCAAACACCGCATTTTTTTCTTCATATATATTTCATCAGAAGTATTCACTTTTATTTTTATCTTTTTTTATTTTCCGGTTGCTTTTACCGAAATTATTTCTCACATTATAATATTCGAGTTTTCTATAAAACTCGAAACAAACTTCATTATTTTCAGGCCTTAATTAGGATTTTTGAAACGTTAAAAAATGGGAGATAATTGGGATGATGATGATTTCGAAGTTGCCGAAGTTTCGACTTTCAAAGATTCCGAACCAGCAGCAATTCAAATAACCGATGAAAAACCAAAAGCGGCGGCTGCTCCCAAAAAAGCTGAACCAAAGAAAGCTCCAACATTTGCAATGGAAAGTTTGGGAAGAGAATTGACATCGGCTGAAAAGGAAGCAATGCAAAAGAAGAATGATTTAGCATTGGCAAGAGATATGTTTGGAGATGATGGTGGAGGTTAGTTTAAGTTATTCGAAGAAATAGGAAAAAAAATTATCGCCTCTAAGATTGTTAACAAGTTTACGGCAGATAATTATGAACCTGAAATATAGTGCTGTAAATTATTTTTTATTTTCTCATTGTAAAACTTCTAACGAGTGACGTAAAAACAATTTGGATGATCAGTTTAACAAGTCTTTTAAAACATGATTAAAAAACTGTTTTCTCTAGAATTTTTGAAAATAGTTTTTTTTTCTAAATTATCAACATTTTCAGACGATGAAAGTTCATCTTATGCCAATATTTCATCAAAAGAAGAATTTGAATATTGGGGAGAACGTGTTGGTGGATTTTTGGCAACAAGAAGCAAAGCTGGAAATTATGGATCTATGATTGGAAAATTGATGGTTTCTATCACTGAAAATTGTGAGTTTTAAAATTTAAATTCAATAGGTTTTTGTTTAAAAAAAATATTCCAGTGACTGTTGCTGAAATTCAAAAAATCAGCACATTATTGACTCAAATTAGTACATCGAAGAAAAACCGAAGAGAAAAAACAAAAGGCTGCAGCACCTGCAACAACAGCAGCCGCGAAGAAAAATCAGAAAAAAGCAACACTCAAAGTATCGAAAGCGACCAACAATGTTTATGATGATTATGGAGGTGGAGCTGACGGTATGTTTTTCCTTTTTTTTTTGAAACTATGAAAATTTTACGCTTCTTGATGTTAAAGGGAACATTCACATTGCGTTTCTATTTTTTTCTTTCAAAAATCAATATTTTCAGATTACGACGACTACGATGATTTCATGTAATCTTTCCTGCTTGTTTCGCTATCCGGTTCTTCTTCTTCTTGTTTTTTGATATAAAAATCAAAAATTATCACATTTTTCAAATGCCTTATGTGCCTGTTCTGTTATTTTTTTTTTGAAGAATTCTATCTATTGGGAATGAAATTTTGTTGAAAAATTATTTTATTGATTTTTTATTTGTTGTATTACAATTCCCCCTATTTTTCTAACTCATTAATATTTCAGGATTTTGACAGATAAACTTACAGACCAACAATGGATTGTAGTAGCTCAGAATATGATGACGATGAAGTTGAAATGATGATAGAAGAAGGAAGAATGCAAGTTTTGAGATGTAATGAAGATGATATTGGTAAGCATTTTTTATTTCGGTGTTTGTGTTTTGGATTTATTCTTGAGCTTGACCCTCATCTTCTTCATCATCTGTTGGAATTTCATTTGTCTCGAAAACAACACATTTATCCTCTCGAACTTTTACCTGAAAAATAGGGTGTTTCAATAACGGTTATTGCAAGATAACAAAAAATTAAACCATTTTCAAAATCTGTCTGATTCAGAATTTTTCTCAAAACTAATACCTACCCTTATTTCTTTTGCTTTTTTCGATGCTTCAACAGTCGCTTCCGATTTATTGTTATTCTCAAGATCTTTCTCGAATTGATCCAATTTATTTTGCTTCAATTCATTCTAAAAAATCATACAATTATGTCAGTTGATCTTTGTTGTTACTTACTGAAAGCATATCGATATTTCCACGATATTCTGAATATTTTGGATCGATTATTAGATGATCATGAGCTATTTTATTGGCGCGATCATGAACAGCAGCTGAAATGAACAAGATGAGTTAGCATAACTTTTGAAACTTTATAGAACCTACGTGTATAAATGTTTTCACAAATTGTGCTATCAAGTTTTGGAAGTTTTGAAGCATCCAAATAAAAATACATATCATTTTTCTGTTCTTCCGTTTTTGTTTTCCCTCCATTCTGTTCATCATTTGGCACATTTTCCTTTTTCATTTTTATTGATTCCACTTTCTTTTTATTTGCTTCTTTTCCCAAATTATTTTCATTATTATCTTTTGATACTGCAATATCTTGTGGATTCTTTCCAATTTCCTCAACTTTTCGATTTTCTTCCAATTTTTTCGCTTGTCTAACTTGTTTTTTCTGATTATTCACTAATTTTCTATTCGAATTTATCTCTGATTTTTCTTTGACTTTGTTTGAACATGATATAAATGAGATGAAAATAATCAAAAATAGGGAAATTATATCGAAAATACTTTGAGCTAAATGAATAATTTGTTAGGTTTATTCAGATGATAAACTTACCGAACATTGTATGCTATAAATCTTGAGAATCGATTAGTTCAGTGTTTTTAAAAAATCATAAATACTCGAACATTTCTTCGATTTCACTTTTTTTCAAAAATCTTATTTAAGGTCACGCGGAAAAATTGAATGATTTATTTTAGCATTTCGAGTAGCAGCTGAGCGAAGTCGTCTTCCTTATGATCGACCAACAGATGTCGAATATGCATTTTTTCCCGAAATTCGAACTTCTCGACATGCGAATACTGTATTTTTATTAATTCGAAATACTGCTCTCAAATTATGGCTATCCAATCCATTATATGAACTCGAAATTCCAGAACTCAGACGAGAACTTGCACCGCCTTTTAATTGTAAGTCTCAATTGAAAGATTATCCTATTTTTAATGAAATCATACAATTTAAATTTATAGCTGATTCCCAATTGATTGAAAATGTGCATAATTATTTATCTCGATATGGTTTAATCAATGTTGGAATATTTAAACGAAGCACCGGAATTCCGCGGAATATTCCAGAATCTGTTAAATCTGTTGTTGTTATTGGAGCTGGAGTAGCTGGAATTTCAGCAGCACTTCAATTGACTTCTTTTGGATTTGATGTTACGATTATTGAAGGACGGGTTAGTCTAAAAATAGGAAGCATTATATTTTTAAACATTCATTCAGGAAGAAATTGGTGGACGGGTTCGAAGTATTCATGTTGGAAATCAAATAATGGAAATTGGAGCAGATACATTCAGAAGTTCTAGTAAGGTTTTAAAAAATATAGAAAATTTAATTTTTATAACCTGATGAGGATATTCTGAAGAAACTCTTTATGAATCAAAAGCAAACTTTTTTCTAAGTTCATCAAATAGTATCAATATTTATGAATCTGATTAAAAAATGATATTAGAGAATAATTTTGAACTGAATTTTTTAATTGGGTTGAGTTCAATATATAATTATTCTTAAAAAAATATTATCATTTTTTCGGTTCTATCCAACATTTTCCAAGAACAAAAACTATAGTTTTAGGATCAAACGCAATGACAGTTTTGATTCAACAATTACAAGTCACACCAATATCAGTTGATGAAAAAACTCCAATGTATGCTGATGGGAAATTTGTCGATGTATTACGAGATAAAATGATCAATGCAACCTATACGTATGTTTCTAATTCTATATTCTTGTTTTATTTCCCAATTTGAATATTTTAGAGCTTGTCGTGATTCGATTGATGTTTTGACTCACAACGCTGAACAACGACAAGAAAATGGATTGTATATTTCGAGACAAAGAGGATTTGAAAATGTTTTGAAGTAAGTTACGAATAAAAAAGTCTCTGATTAATTTTTACAAATATTTACTATTTTCAGCTTGATTGAACGTGAATCAATCATAAAATATTATAATTTTTGGAAAATTTTAAATGACATCACGGAGAAAAGAGAAAATCATTATCAAACAGTTAGTTTTTTCTAAACATTTGAAACCTTTTGAACATACTATATATTTCCAGCTCAAAATGTGTCGTGAAATTATAAATATGAATGAGAAACGTTTGACTGAAATTGGTTCAAGTGATCCGCTTCTTCGTCGATCAATTCGTCATGATATTTCAGTGACTCTGAAGAAATTTGAGGAAAATTTCGAAAAAATGGAAGAATGTGAAGTGGAAATTCATAATGCGAGAAAAGCGCCGTCGTCGAAACAAGCAATGCATCCATCCGATTTTCGATATTTCAATTTTTATTTGGGACATGAGGAATTTGTTTTTGGTGCTCCGTTGGAACAGGTACAAATGAGTTGCGATGCGGTTAAAAGTAAATTGCCAGGAGCAAGTTTGAGAGGTCAGTTACATTTATATTTTCTAAAAAAAAGTAGAAAAAATAGTTATTCAAAACAATATTCATTTTGCAGTGAAAGAAGGAGTTTCTGGACTTCTCGAAAGATTGGTGGAATCTCGAAATATGGATGTTCGATTGAATCATCGTGTTCAAAATATCAATTATGAGGATAATGGTGTTGTAATTCAAGTGAAAAACGGAGAAAAAGACGAAGAAATTCGAGCAAATTTCTGTGTTTGCACATTGCCAATTGGAGTATTGAAAGAGTACGTTTTTTTTAATTCTCTTCAAAATCGAATTAAAATCAAAAATGATTCATTTATTTCGTTTTAATTGACTTCTACTATTTGTTCTTTGCGGTAAAATACTTGGAGAAGTACATCCATTTCTTCGACCAGCTGGAGATGGAGGTTTTGATAATGAACACATTGGTTGAGTATCAACAAGTGAAACTGGTGAAATATGAGGAACATTTAGAGCTGTATTTGATGGAATACTTCCGCGCACTGCTCTTGTCTGAAAACTTGTTTGATTTGAAAATTAGAAGTTTACAATTTAAAAGTTTACTAACCGACATAGCTCCTTTTGCAATATCAGGAGGTGGTGGTAATGCAAGTGGTTGTGTATCTGCTAATTTATCCGAAAATTGTCCAAGTCCACTTGTTGGATCTGTCATTCCTTCTTCCATTAATTGCATTGGTTTCAAATAAATGTCAATATTCTCCGTTGGTGACAATTTCTTCAAAATTAGTGGAAAAGTTGGACGATTCATCGGATTTTTCTCAAAACAATCTAACATTAATCGAACAATATCACCTGGCGCATCTGGTGGTGCTTGCATTGGTGGAGTTTTATTTCGTATTATATCTTTTGCTTGTGCATTTGTTAAACCGGGAAATGGATCAGTTGCACAATATGAGAATATCTCCCAAACTGTTACTGCATATGACCAAACATCGGTTTTTGTTGTGAAACAAAGAGTATCAAGGGATTCTGGTGCTAACCAACGAATTGGAACTTTCATTTTTGTTGCTTTTGTTTCTGTTTTTCCACATTCGGATAAACCAAAATCTGATATTTTAACTTCCATAAGCGGACCCAATAATAGATTTCTTGCGGCTAAATCTCGATGAATAATCATTTGAGATGATAAATAAGCCATTCCTCTTGCTGCATCTCTACAAAATTGCATTAATTGTTCTGTCGGACATTTTGTTTTCTTCAAAAAACTTTTCAAACATCCATTTGATGCCAATTCAATTATAATCATAAGAGGTTCTTCACTTGGTGCAACTCCAATTACTTGAACTATATTTTGATGTTTCAATCTTCTCATTAATTTGGCTTCTTTCACAAATTCTCGTATCATTGATTTTCTTGGATTTCCTTTAATTCGTTTAATAGCTACATCCATTTGAACACCTTTATCTTTATCTCCTCGTTTTTTCAATGTTCCTTTCCAAACTTCGCCAAAAGCACCAGATCCTAATTTGTTTGTAAGACAAATATCTTCGTGTAAAATATAGTATTCTGGACGAGGAATTGCACGAACTAAAACTGTTCTTGTTGGACCAAGTTGATATTTTTGAACAACCAGAAAATTGAGAAGTTCGACGAGTTCGAAAAATTTGTCGTTTCGTTCGAGCTGAAAAATCGTTTTTTTTTCGTCATGAAATTGAATGTGAAATAAAAATTAACAAACATTTTTCAACGTCCATGTTCCGTTTTCGTAAACAAGCGGAAAATGTCGAGCTTCGTTATTATGACAAACCGAAAGACAAATGAATGGACGGGATTTCTCTGTTGTTTTTCTCACAAGAAAATCACCATCAACCTGAAAACATTTTTATTATTAAATAAAAAAACGTGAGAAATAAAAAAAAATTAGGTCAATTGCCATTTTTAGAAAGTGACGTTTTAGAATTGAGAAATTGATCATTTCTATAGAAAATGACGCCGAATTGAGAAAAAAGCAAACCTTCAATAAATCATTGATTTCCTCTCTTGGCATAACTCCATGATACCATTGATGTTCAATTAATCCTTTTGATAATGTCGCAATTACCATATTATTATCATCAACTGGTGCTAATTTATCACCTGATTCTGTTTTCTGAATCATTTTTGAATCAGTTCCAGATAATTGTGCTACTTCTCTTCCTGGTGATATTCTTCCTTTTACAAAAAAACCACCGGGTTTATTCTATAAAAATTCTGACTATTATTCACTACAGTAACCTGAAACATTACTTTTCCTTTGAAAAATTCTCCTTCTTTTTTCCGATTACTTGAAATACCTCTTTTTGTGGTCGGTGCACCTGTTACATCATTATTTACTCGTCTTACTGTAATTATTCAAAAATATTGATTATTTTTCAAAAATATGTTGGTTACTTACTTGTCATGTTTGAACTACGATGAAAATTATATCAAACCAATTGTAGTAAAAAAATTATTTTTAGCCAATTGGTCATTAAAAATAGACAGATTTATGATAAAATTCTTCTTTTATAGCCACTAAAAATAGATCACGTGATCTCGAAAAAATAAATAATTTGAATAAATATCATTCGTTTTTTTCAGAGTTTTGAAGGAAAATAAAAAAGTGCCAACATTTTCGCCACCAATACCAGATTATAAAGCAAATGCAATTCAATCGATGGGAAATGGTTTATTAAATAAAGTTGTGCTTCTTTTTGAAAAACCATTTTGGGAAAACGGCGGAAAATTTTATTTTGCCAATATTTCTTCATCAATGTGAGTTTTACCAAAGATTTAAAACATTAAAGGGGGTGTCCTTCTACATGAAAAATCAAGTCCGCAATTGTGCGTCACATTTTTGGACTAACTATTAGCAAGCCTAAAGTTGATTAAAATCGCCTTCCATTGTTTAAAAATGTTAGGAAATGCATTTCGCGAGAAATACACACAAATAAATTATGTGTGTGAAGAGCACACATGTTTTTTATATGCACTAAAACCTTAAAACCTGAGAAAAACATGGATAAAATGGTGAAAAATCACTCTAGAATCAAAATTAAATATGGAATGTTTCAGGAGCACCTTAGCTCTATCGATTAAGCCTAAGTTTCCCTGTAGCAGGACAACCCCTTTAATCAATATTTTTTCTTGCAGAAAAGGTCGCGGTGAAATGTTCCTTTGGCAAACAATTCCAGAAAGTCGAGTTTTGACAACTTATTTGGCTGGATCTTCGGCGAATTTGAATTTACCAGATGAATTGATTGTTGAAAAAGCTATGCATATTTTGAGCTCCATTTTCCCACAACAATGTCCAAGAGCGGTTAGTGCTGAAATATCAGATTTTTGAGGGATTGTTTTTGTCAGAAAATATCTTTTTTTTTTGTTTAATTTATCTAAAATTCTGAAATCAGGCTTATGCAGAAGCAGAAAATTCGATTTACTAATTTTTGAAAAATTTTGGGAAGATTTCTATTTTTCAGCCGTTGAAATATAAAGTAACAAAATATCAAGATGATGAAATGGCATTTGGAAGCGGTTCTTATATGAGTTTGAGAACAGAAAGTTAGTTTTGTTTGTTTTCTTGAAATATGAAAATCCACATTTTTGCAGTGAAACATTACGAAGAATTGACCAAACCATTAATCAGTCCGAAATCGCAAAAAAATACGGTTTATTTTGCTGGCGAACACACCTCTGAGAGATATGGTGGAAGTCTTCAGGTAATATTCAGATTATGCGAATTGATTTGGAAAAATATAATTTCAGGGTGCTTGGTTGTCTGGACTTCGTGTTGCAGCTGATATGGCTAATGAAATTTTGGGTATCAGTTTTGTGAGCTGCGAAGACATCGAGGTAGGTAAAATGTCTCTAATTGTCTTGCAAATTCTGAAACTTATCAGTTCTACGTTGTCCTTCATGGGATTGTTTTGAAAAATTTAAAGGTCCCATGTTTTTCCACAAAATTTTTTTTCGAAACTTTTTAGAATCATCATTTTTCCCTGAGATCCTAGGTTTTTTCTAGAAGATAAACCAAAAAATTAATAATTGTTTTTTTCAGATAATCGATGAGAATGACAATGATGAAATTTTGTCAATGGATCGACCATAATTTTAATTGTATACTTAATTTTTCGGATAATTTGCATTACATTATGATCTCTGTTTGTTTATGAACTTTCCATATTTTATGATTCTTCTACAGGATTTCCACTCAACACGAAAATAGACCTTGCCTGAAAACAACTGTACCACGTGCTGACTCTCGAGATGTTTTATTGATTTTTCAATTGTTTTCTATGTTTATTCATGATTTTTTATGGCTTTTTAAAATGGTAAGGTAAAATTGAAAATAACATAATCATGATAAAACATTTTCACAATTAATTCCATCAAATAAGGACTTGAAGTCAATCGGCTTTCGATAAAACTTGTTGCTTTTGTATTTACAGTACTATGAGCTGTTCGACCACTTGTTATTGATTGATTTATGAAATCAATTGATGATTTTGGAACATTTTGTTTTTCAAATATTTCAAACAGATTTCGAACAAAGGTTTTTTCGGCACCACGTTTTGTTGAATATTTGATGAATTTGAAATTGTTCAAATTTTCGAATAAATTGCAACGCCTGAAAAGTTGATATAAATTCAAATGTAGAGCTGCAAAAAAACTGCCCGTTGCCCCCCGCGCACACATTCTTGATTTGCCCGGGTAGCCCGCACCCGCCTTCCCCTTTACCCGATTTGCCCGTTTGCCCGCCAACACTTGCCCATTTGCTTTTTTTGCCCGTTTTGCCCGCCACACCGTGCATTAACATGTGTGAAAACAAAAAAACAGTAAGAGAGAGTGCACAAAAACGAGAGATAGAAAAGAAAAAGAGAAGAAAATGCACGGTGTGACGGGCAACGGGCAAATCGGGCAAACAGGCAGACGGGTGCGGGCTACCCGGGCAAATCGATCATAGTGTATCGAGGGTGTTCGAGCCGGGCCGGGGGGCAAATTACCCGACTGCCATGAGCGGCGGGCGGATTTTTTGCAGCTCTATTCAAATGTGATTTTCGAAAATGAAAATCTTACCAAGATTGTGGAAAAAAATGTCGATCTTCATAGGTTTTAATAAATTCTTCTTCAGCAATTTGTTGTTTCATTCGAAAATATTCGGTTTCAACAAAACATGTTAGATTTCGATGACAGTTATTACAAAATCCAGCTATTACAGGTTTTCTGAAATTCTTTAAATTAAAGTTTAAAAAAATGTTAAAATAAAAACCTATAACATTTATCAACGAATCCGGAAATAAACCTTTCAACTGGATCACGAACAATCATTATATTTGTCCAAAGTTTCATTGATTTCTTGGTGATCTGTAATTTTTGATATATTTTTCTCGGAAATCACGCTATGCCAGCCGATACAAAAATCAGATTTCTGGGAGACGCAGACTTTTAACACAGGCAGAGACATCTCTCGCCTTTCCTTCCCCCTCGGGCGATATATTGCACTGTTCGCAGAGACAGCAGACAAGCAGACACACACAAAACATAGCGCTTGGCCGCGCCGGTTTTTCGTCTGTCGCTGCGTTTATATACCTCATCGGCATCGCCCTTTGAGTTTGTCGCTGGGTTTATAGACCCAGTCGGCATCGCCCTTTGATGTGTTGAGGTCTCGCAGCGACTTTCTAACCGAAAATGAATGTCTGCGTCTCCTCGGATTTGTGTGGTGGCACGACGTGAAATAATATTAGTTTTAAATACCTTATATTTTTTGAACATGGCTGCTAAATTTCTGAATTCGTTTCGAAATTTGCAAAATCGAATAATTTTCCAATCTCTCAAAATCTCTCGATTATTTCTTAAAAATTTTGCCTCATCTCGAAGATAGCAAAAAATTGATGTCATTACTGTAGACATTGATTTTTGAACAACACAAGTTGACAATTTATATCTAGCAGCTGCACGAATTTCGCCTTCGAAGTTTTGAAGACCTGGAATGCATGTATTGTTGATTGCACAAAGTTGATGAGCTGTTAGATTTGTTGAGCGTTTCGGAAGATCCTAGAAAAAAAAGAAAATGTGTGAAAGTATACGGTATTCAAAGGCACACACACGCAAATTGTGTATTGCGTCTCGGAACGAAAAACGGCGCGGCAAACATTTTTGTGTATGATTACGGTATTCAAAAAAATTTTATTTTCATTTTTTTGTTTCCGCTTCCGTGTTGAATTTCAGTTTTAAAACTCACATGGATGTTGTCTCTCACAAAATCTTGAATATTTTCCAGTCTGTCAACAGATTCTCGCATCTCGTAATTCAACATTCTGTAAAACTTCGGTACTTTTTTCTCTTTCTTCTCTTTTGGAGACGATCCATTATCGAAACTGTAGAAAAAATATATAATCGAAAATACTAGAAAAAGTAGAATGATCGTTTTTCGTTTCATCAAAGTGATTCTGTTTTGTGAAAAAAATCGAATCGGATTACCCACATCATTCGACTCAACCAAATACTTTTAAAAATCAAACTATTTATTTATTATGTATTTTTAACAGAAAAAATACGCATTAAACCAAGCTTTTTTCCGGTTAGACAAATCAGATTGTTCAATAGGAAATTACGGGATTTCGAAGTTGGTTGTTTCGATTCTGGAACATCTGCGGATGGAGATTCGTCATCAGATGAAACCAGATTATTGTGAAATGAAACGGCGGTTTTGCAAGTTTCATATTGGAAAAGTTCCTCATAGTTCTTAGAAATACTAGGTTCGACCAAAGAAATGTTTTGATCTTTAATCTCTTGGACTTGTTTGGTAAAAATTTGATCGAGTTCAATTAGGTCATAGAATAAATCTCCCAAACTGGTTCTACTTTTTGAATCTTCGACATTTACAATTGGACTAATATCTTTCTGAAAATATCATATTTTTGGAATAAGCTGAAATATTATTGACTTACAGTTAGATCTTTTAAAGCATCCAAAATAGCCGAAGCATCAGAACTTGATTCACCAACCAATTTATAAACCATAGGATCTATAAAATTTGTCAATTGTATTTATTTAAACGTTTAAGAAGTAGTTGAATAGTTACCAATTGGATCTTTCATCAATATTGGATCGGGTATTTGAGATGGTTCTCTCATTAATGCAAGAATTTGAGATTTCTCTTTGATCAATTCAGATTCAGTTTTCAAAGATGGCAAGTTGTAAGAGGTATCGGATGAATGAGTTGATGTTCTTCCAGCTTCATATCTTTCAGATTCTGTGTATTCCGAAGAATCGGTCATAAGATCATTTTCAGGTTTTGATGGTGTAATCTGTCTTCCATTTGGAGATGGTATCCATCCACAATAATCAAATTGTCCATCATAATTTCCACAATCAAGAACCCAATCTATAAATCCAGATTTCCTAGTGTTATTTGTTTATTACTCACTTCTTCCTTTAATAATTAATTTGACAACCGAGAAAAAGTTAGCATCAAAAGGAATAATTCGAATTGCATGATATTTTCTATCGGCCGCCCATCTCATACAATAATCATATTCAGCCTCATATCTTCTAGCTACTTGTTTTTCATAATTTGAATCTTGTCTGAAACTGAGTGTTTCAAATGGATTTTCATCACAAGCAGGATAAATTTGTCTGAAAATTCAGATTCATTTATTTATAAAATCAAATTCTTCGCAAATATCCTTACTTTAATTGCTCATGATCACCATGTGCTCCTTCTTCAAAATCATCACAAGTACAACCCAAATCTATTTTTGTTATTTCAGTTTCTAGAGCAGAATAAAGAATCGAATTCAAAGATTGTGTGTATTTCGCATATTCCATATTTTTGAAAATAATATTTTCCCCGTGGATTTTTTCCATCTCATTTTTCTATCCAACAAATTGGGTCACGTCAAAAATAATTTATTTCCCGTCATTTTATGAAAAATTTCGCAACAAACACCGTCACGCAAAAACACACACTTTATTTTCCTTTTATATTTTCGAGGTGTTCCTATTTTTGAATTATTTTAGTGAATTATCTAATTATTTCTTACAGATTTGAATTTTTCAGGTAACAAAAATGGTGGAGGAAACTCGTCCGAAAACTGAAAAAGAATTGAAAAAGGAGGCCGAAAAGGCTGCCAAAATCGCTAAATTCGAGGAAAAACAAAAGAAAATGGCGGAAAAAGAAAGCAGCAGCAAGTGCAAAACCAGCCAAAGAGGTATGTAAGATATAAATAAAGTGAAGATTTTTATGAAAATATTTTAATTTTAGGCGAAAGCTAAAAAAGAAACAACTGCAAATGAGATTCCAGTTGATAATACTCCAACAGGAGATAAAAAAGATTTGTCAAACGAGATTCCATCTGCTTATTCTCCAAGTTATGTCGAATCATCTTGGTATTCTTGGTGGGAAAAACAAGGATTTTTCAAGCCAGAATACGTTGAGAAAATTGCGAAAAACAAAAATAAGAATCCTGAAAGTTTTACTGTTTGTATTCCACCACCAAATGTAACTGGAACACTTCATGTTGGACATGCTTTGGCAACAACAATTGAGGATACAATCACAAGATGGTTAGTTTTATTTTCCAACTTTCGATATATACTAATTATTTTTAAGGAATCGGATGCATGGAAAACGAACACTTTTCAATCCAGGATGTGATCATGCTGGAATTGCAACTCAAGTTGTTGTTGAAAAACGTTTGAAACGTGAAAAAGGTTTGACGAGACACGATTTGGGAAGAGATCGATTCAATCAAGAAGTTTGGCATTGGAAGAATGAGTTAGTTTTGTTTGTTTGATCAATTTGAATTTATATTCCTTGAAAAATTATCATTTTTTCAGAAAAGGAGATGTGATCTACGATCAATTTCGTAAACTTGGTGCATCTGTAGATTGGGATCGAGCTGTTTTCACAATGGATCCAAAAATGTGTCGAGCTGTTACTGAAGCATTTATTCGAATGCATGAAACAGGAACAATTTATCGATCAAATAGACTTGTTAATTGGAGTTGTACATTAAGAAGTGCAATTTCTGATATTGAAGTAGATAAGAAGGAATTATCTGGTGCTACTTTGATTGCTGTTCCAGGATATGAAAATAAAATCGAGTTTGGAGTTTTGAATTCATTTGCTTACAAAATCAACGGAAGCGGTAAGAAAAGTTTTAGAATTTTATGAAAAATATTAGTAATTTTTGTAGATGAGGAAATAATTGTTTCTACAACTCGTATTGAAACAATGCTTGGTGATTCTGGAATTGCAGTTCACCCAGATGATCAAAGATATAAACATCTTGTTGGAAAAACTTGTATCCATCCATTTATTCCATCTCGAATTCTTCCAATCTTTACCGATAGTTTTGTTGAACAAAGTTTTGGTACTGGTGCTGTCAAAATCACACCAGCTCACGATCACAATGATTATGAAGTTGGAATGCGTCAAAAATTACCATTCTTCAATTGTATCACAGATGATGGTTTGATCTCTGATGGATGTGGAAAATTCAGTGGAATGAAAAGATTTGATGCAAGAATTGCTGTTATTGAAGAATTACAAAAACTTGGATTATATCGAGGAAAAGAAGATAATCCAATGGTTGTTCCAACTTGTAGTAGATCAAAAGATGTTATTGAACCAATTCTTAAACCACAATGGTATGTAAAATGTACTCATATGGCTGAAAAAGCTGTTGAAGCTGTTAGAAGTGGAGAATTGAAAATTGTTCCGGATTTCCATATTGCAACATGGAATAGATGGTTGGAATCAAGTAGAGATTGGTGTATTTCAAGACAACTTTGGTGGGGACATCGAATTCCAGCATATTTTATCGGTTTTACAGATGGAAGAGTTAGTTTTTCTATTTGGACTATGCTTTTCTAATAATCACGTGATTTCTACAGAAATGAATTTTCAAATTTTTTCAGCCTCAAACTCTTTCCGAAGAAGAATATTGGGTATCAGCTCATACTGAACAAGAAGCTCTTAAAAAAGCCGCCAAAAAGTTCGGAGTAGATGAAAAATTGATCAAATTAAAATGGGATGAAGATGTTCTTGATACATGGTTTTCTTCTGGAATGTGGCCATTTGCTATTTTCGGATGGCCAGAGCCAACAAAGGATATGGATTTATTCTTCCCATCAGCTGTTTTAGAAACTGGACATGATATTTTATTCTTCTGGGTTGCTAGAATGGTATTTATGGCACAAGAATTGACTGGAAAATTACCATTCAAAGAGATTTTGTTGCATGCAATGATTCGAGATGCTCACGGAAGAAAAATGTCGAAATCATTGGGAAATGTTATTGATCCATTAGATGTTATCAGGTTAGTTTTTGAATTTTATTCCTAATCTCTTGTTAATTCAATGATTGTAGAGGTGTTTCTCTCGAAGGACTTTATCAACAACTTTTGAGTGGAAATCTTGATGAAAAAGAGATTGCTGTTGCAAAAGCTGGACAAGCTCGTGATTATCCAGATGGAATTCCTGAATGTGGTGTTGATGCACTTCGTTTTGCACTTCTTGCTTATACTTCACAAGGAAGAGATATCAATTTGGATGTTTTGCGTGTTCAAGGATATCGATTCTTCTGTAATAAAATCTGGCAAGCTGTTCGTTTCACTTTGAACCAATTCACTGGTGATGAAAAACCAACATATAAAATCGATAATTCGAAATTATCTTCGACTGATAAATGGATTTTGTCAAAACTTTCATATGCTGTCAAGGAAATTAATGGAAGTCTTCGCGTATGTTATTTTTTAGTTTGAATTTGAAATTTTTTTTTAGCATTTCTGAATAATATTTTTTGCAGGATTACAATTTCACTCAAGCAACAACTGTTTCTTACAATTTCTGGCTTTATGATTTCTGTGATGTTTACATCGAAGCAATCAAACCAGTTTTGTATGGAGAAAACAAAACAGCAAAACAAGTTGCTCTTTCTGTTTTATATTTGTGTGTTGATACTGGACTTCGATTAATTTCTCCGATGATGCCATTTATTTCGGAAGAATTATGGCAAAGACTTCCAAGATTAGCAGATTGTGATTATGAATCTCCATCGGTTACTGTAGCTGAATATCCAACTCCTGAACAATATCCATATTACAATTCTGATCTTGAAGCTGCTTTTGAATTTGGAAAAGATGTTATTGGAAAAGTTCGATCATTGAGAGCTGATTATGATTTGACTGCAAGAACCAAAACTAGCAGTATGTTTTTGTCCAAAAATACGGATTTTTGGAATACTAATATCAAGATTCTACAATTTTTATTTCAGTTTTCTTTATATGATTGAAAATTTCTTCTAAATTAAAATTTAAAAATGCATATTTTTTCAGTTCAAATTGTTGCTGAAACTTCGAACGACGAGAAAGTTTTGAATGATTTGAAAGATCTCATCGCTGTTTTGACTTGGAGTAAAAATGTTGAAATTTTGAAATTATCTCAAAAGGATTCAATTGAAAAAGGAAGTGCACATATTGCTGTTGGAAATCGATGCCAAGTTTATATTAATTTGACTGGAATTATCGATATCGCTAAAGAGGTATTTTCACTTATAAAATGTAAAAAGTAAATTTTATTCCGTTTTTTGCAGATCGAAAAATTGACTGCAAAATTGGCGAAAAATGAAATTGCTGTCAAAAAAATTGGCGAATTACAATCGAGTAATGACTATGAGACAAAGGTTCCATTGGGAATTCGAACAAGAGATCAAGAAAGAAAAACATCTTTGGAAAAAGAAATTGAAAATATTACAGCGGCTATTGCTCAGCTTAAAACTCTCAACTAATCCGATATTTCTTCCTTTTCTTTCTTATTATGTGCCTTTTTTAGTTTGTTAGTTAATTTCATTCGGTGTTTTTGTTATTTTATTTATAATATCTTTATTGTTTTCCTCTTCCTGTTTGTCAATATTTATATAATATACATTTTTTTCGGATTTCAATTATTTTCGGATGCCTGCATCTCCAAAAAAATTCAGCTGCTATTTTTGTTGAATAAAATCAGCGAAGCTTTCACAGTATAAAAAACGAGGGAAAAGAGAAAATTAATTTGGTTCCTCTTTGAAATGTCAATTTCATTTTTTTTTTCCAAATTAGCTTTTTTCGAGAGAGCGAAAGAAACATTCATTTTTAGTAAAAAGAGTGTCTCCACGAAAAAGTCTGAAATATCTACAGTAATCCATTTATTTTTCTCTTCTATTCCAAAATGATGTATTTCTCTAATCTCTCTTCATTTTCCACACTATTTCTCTTTTTTTTTTGCTCTATAAATAATCAGAAAAGGCAAGAAGACTGAAAATGAAAGAAGAATCAATATAGAAGAGCATGAGAGGCGGCAAAAAAGGAGCCGAGAAAATAGTATGAAAAATAAAGAGAGAATAGAGAAATTGAGGAATGAGCGCACACCAAAAAATGGAAGAAGAAGACTGAAGAAAAAAAAGAGAAAGAAGAAATATTTTTTGTACATTCATGTGCTTTTTCTATTTTTTCTCGTTTTTCGCCCCGAAGCACTTTTGAATAACGCGTTTTTTATTTTACCTGTCAAATATAATATCTTCAGCTTTTGAGTTATTTTTCTTCTTCTTCCGGTTTTTGGTGAAAATATTCCGGGTATTTTTTTAGCCAGGCTCCACATTTTCGGTGTAGATCAATAAACAATTTCAAAAAAAATTAGAAATGAAAGTAGTTCACGTTTTTGAAATAACGATTTTAGACGTGACAAATTTTTAAAAAGTTCATTTTGCTTTTTCAATAACTTTTTGTAATTTCCAAACTGCTGACTAAAAATTTGCAATGAACATGAATTGTTAGTTGGCTCAATTTTGAAATTAGCTGTGACGTAGCAAAATTCGGCATCTCAAAAATTGTGACGAAGTTTTAAATTGATTCACTTAGAAACTTGTTTTTCCGAATTTTCTAAATCTACAGTATTCTTGAGATGAATTTTGTTTTCGAAACTCTAGAATTTTATTTTAGCTCTTAGCCTTACAAAATTGCCACGTCATAACGAAAACGGATTTGGAATGAAACTTTAGGAAACTGAGAAATGAGAATCAGCTTCAGAAAAATAGTGTGCAACAATCAAAAACTGTTTCTAATCTGGATTTTTTGTTCATTTCCCATAACCAATAAAAAACTTGGTTTTGTCTAAAAATCATAAATTTTCCATGTTATTTTTTATTGCTTTTGCCCTTATTTTCTTTTTGTTTTTCTTCATTCGATTTTCGTTCAAAATGATTCGTTATGTCAGCAGAATGGGTGATTATGATTATTTGATCAAATTTTTGGCGTTGGGAGATTCGGGAGTTGGAAAAACATCGTTTTTGGTGAGTAATATTTTCTAGATCTTCAAATATTTTATCAACATTCATTATTTTCAGCATAGATACACTGATAATACTTTCACTGGTCAATTCATTTCAACAGTTGGAATTGATTTTAAAGAAAAGAAAGTGGTGAGTTCTCGAACATTCTTGGATTATTTTTTTTTTCCTATATTAAAAAAAAACAAAAATTTGTAGGTCTACAAAAGTGCTCGAGGTGGATTTGGTGGGCGTGGTCAACGTGTACTTTTACAACTTTGGGATACAGCTGGACAAGAAAGATTCCGAAGTTTGACAACTGCATTTTTCCGCGATGCAATGGGTTTTATTTTGATTTTCGATATCACAAATGAACAATCGTTTTTGAATATTCGAGATTGGTTGTCACAATTAAAAGTAACAGATTCTCGGAGGAAAAATAACATGAAAATGAAAGTTTTCAGGTTCATGCATACTGCGAAGCTCCAGATATTATAATTTGTGGAAACAAAGCAGATTTGGAAAATCGAAGACAAGTTAGCACAGCAAGAGCAAAACAATTAGCTGATCAATTAGGGTAAGAAAATGTTGGGAGAGAAAAACAGTAGTTCAGAAAACTTTGGAGCTACAGTAACAAAGGGTTTTAAAAAATACATAAAGCTAACAATTTTTGCTAATTTTTTGGTACACCAAATTCTTCTTCAGTAATTTTTCGTGAACTTTTATGAATTCCAACTAAAGCCTGAGAGAATTACTATTCCAAAATTAATATTTTTATAGATTACCATACTTCGAAACTTCTGCTTGCACTTCAACAAATGTTGAAAAATCAGTGGATTGCCTTCTTGACTTGGTTATGCAAAGAATTCAACAATCAGTTGAAACTTCGAATCTTCCACTTTCAGGTATTCCTTCTATTTCGTTTTTATTCAACCCCAATAAATTATTTCCAGAATGTCGTGGTGTTAGTTTGGATAATGATGCATCTTCAAGCTCATCTTATTGCGCAAATTGTTAAAATGAAAAAAAAACATCAGAAAATGATATCTTCAAACTTTCGCCCCTAATAATTGTGCCATTTCTATTATTTTCATAACAAAGTACTAATCAAATGTGTATATTATTATTATTATTCATCTTATTCATTTACTTTTTCCTTTTTCCTTCTATTTTTTTCCCATATCGCTTTCTATTTAGCCATTGTCTAGTTCTATTGTATTCTTTTATTTATATTACTGACAAATTTAGGCCATTCTTATATAACTCCAAAAAAAACAAAAAGCTCATTATCAGATTTTTTTCTTTTTTTCTACGATTTTTTCTCGAAGTTTTGGACAAAAATCATATCGATCTCGAAAGTCTTCTTCTCTATCTTTTTTTTAAAATTTCATTTTCTGTGTTTTTTGTGAATAAAATATAAAATGATCATTTTTCAAATCTCAATTGAAAATTAAATTAGGGCGAAAAAAACATGAAGTGTTGAACTAAACCTTTTCAGATTTTAGAGAGCTGTTATTAAAGTTCTCGATTTGTGAACTCGAGGTTTTTCAGAATAATTTTCTCTGAGGCTATCAAAATTACAGAAGAATTCTGTATTTTTCGATTCTCAGACCATCCCTTATCATAAATTTCCCCCTTTGAAAAACTTTTCGATAATCAAATTATACTGAACAATTTTATGGGAAACTTGGTGTTTTTTAAAAATTCCAAAGTTCAAAAAGTTATCTTATCAGAAAAATGTTTCAATAAAAAGATACATTTTTCATAGAATATCAAAAAAAAACAATAAAAATATCTTGAGAATAAATGTACGATCTATTGTAACAAGTAAGTGATGAAAATTAGCAGAAACTTACGAAAAAAAATGAAGAAAAAATTAAAATCTTACGTGAAATGACGCGATCCACATGTAATTTTACTTTCAAAAACATTTCTCGATTCAAACACCAGTTCAAATGCCGAGAAGAAAATTGATTAAGTGGAAATTATAAGGTGAACTCAAATTTCAGATTTCAATTCTCTATTTTTTTTTTGAAAAAAAATAGGAGTAGGTCAATTTTTTTGAAACTTTACTGAATAGGCGGGAAATTGTCGGGTAAAAAAGGGGTCACATTAATTCTTATGAATTGTTTCTCTACTACGTGTAAGTAGAATGTTTTTTTTAGATTTGACCAAACTATTTTTTTGCATCACCTCATTAAAAATGCGAAATAGTGACCAGTTAAAATACAGAGAATGTTTATGCGAAAATAATCTGCATAATTCGAACAAATAAATTGAATTCAAAAAATGTTGTTCAGTTATTTTGTAACAGTCTTATTGATTCTTTTCGGGATACAAAAATATCGATAGTACTTTTTTTTTAGGTGATATCTTCTTCTTCTTCTCCTTATTTTTATTCGTATTTTCTATCTTATATGGTCATTATTTTCATTCAATTGTCACTTTCAATTTGATCACAAAACATAGTCTAGAATACTAGAAGATTTCAAAACCAAACTAAATGTGAATGACATTAATCAATTTTTGTCGAAAAAATGGAGAAGGTAAGGATATGTTACTGCTTTGTACTAACGGGGCTGGGTATAAGAGAAGGGTCGGCTGTTTTATGTCAACAGCTGGCTTAATGAAATACTACGTAAAGATAAGAGTCGCAGTTTTATAAATATTTGCATTTACACGACCAATACTACGTATTTTTTGTTATCTTTCAGAATTTAAAAACCCGAAATATGTTTCCGATTTTTCTCTGTACTCAAATAGAAACTATCGTAGGAATATCCAAATGAACTCTTATAATTCACATGAATAAAAATAATCGTTACATATTTAATTAGTACCTATTGAATACCTGGTTTTGGCGAATTGCCAATGGCCACGAAATATATCTTTTGCTATCTGCGTCTCCCAATCGAATTCAAATGTCCTTTTTCGTAATTTCGATTTGAATTCACACAAATAATAAATAGAAAAAACAATTTCGAAATTGTATTTATTTTTCGATTACGAAGCATGAGCAGGTATTAAAAAATTTTACAACGTATTTTCAACATCACAAAGTGTCCCAATTTCGATATTTCTTATTTTCTCAGTTAGCTTAGAAGATGACAATTATGAGATCATCTGAAAAATACCAGAAAATCCTATAATATCCGTTCAAATAACTGAAATTGCTTAACAAAAATGAAAATGAAAACTGAAAAAAAAACAAAATAAATTTCACGACTGGAATACAGTATCATATAATTTTAAAGGAACACACAAATTTTCTTCTCTTCGGCACAAGACCACACTAATTCAGAATTTTATTTTTGTTTTCGTTTCTCGACAGTTCTTCCCGCTCCAAATTAACAAAGTTTATGTGACACAGACACATCGTATCTGTCTGATAAGAGCAAGTTGTTATTGATTTTCAGAATTCGGCACCACAACAAGTCGATGAAATCATCTTACTCGTACCACAGTTAGCCTATCGAGAGGTATGTTCTATTTTTCTTTTGAAATTAATTATTTTTCAAACAAAAACAACACGAATTGGTTCTTTGTTTATATTTCATGCTTGTTTTTATAAAAATCAATGAATTGTACGTTTTTAGAGAAGCGTAGACGAAGTTTTTCTACCGGAGAACCATCTATGCCCAAATTCAACGCCTGTCAGATCATTGTGAGTTATACTTTATTTTTTCCCATCATTTAGTTTTATGAGTAATAAAATACATTTTAGAACTCTTAGAAGGAATTCGGAAATGCATCGAAGATTTGAGAAAAACCGACACAGAGAAGATAAACTTCTGAGAACTCCTCCGGATGATGTTTTTGACGAAGATGATTGTTTGGATCAGGTAAATTGTTTTCATTTTTATTACAAAAACCAACAGGCAAATTTTGTTTAAAAATACCCAAAAATATATTTTTATCACTCAAACTACAAATAATGCAAAAATCTGTCTTAACCTCGTAAAAAACAGTAGACAGACAGGCTGATAACAAAAAGTTGACAAACTTTTTCATTTTATTTTTTCGACTACTGAAGTATTACTTCTTTATTTTGAATCCTTGATTTATGGCTTCTCCCTCATTTTTTCGTAATAAACGGTGGGTTTTAAAATATGTTGCATTTAAAAAATAAATTTTGAAAATGTAACTTTTAACTCATAAAAACTGGTCGTAACAGATGCTAATCTACAAATAAAAATACCAAATTTTGTTTTTGTTTGTTATAATTGAATAACAAATCTTTTTGAAAAGAACAACTATTATCATGCTTTCTTATTGGGTAAGTTTGGAAAGTAAATAAACTTAACTTTGTTCATTTACCAGAAATTTGTTGTTTACTTTCATTTTTCACAGTTAAGATGTTTGAATTTATAGAGTTCAAAAGTTTTATTTTTCTAGATGCGTGCTTTTGAACCAATCCTCAAAAAACATCATCGAGAAGAAGACCGAAGGGAATCACTTGCAACAAGACAAATGAATAAAAGTAGAAAGCATAGAAGAAGAAGAACAGGTTTGTTTTGAGGGAAAATGAAAAAGGGCTCTGAAGTTTTGAACTTAACAATTCGAGTTATCATAATTATATATTTTGATTTAGGATTTGAAAAAACTGAAAGAGAAAAGTGGAAGAGGGACAAAAATCCTTCTCAGATTAGAACAATGACATGTTCCACAGCTGCATAAAGGCTGTCCAAAAAGTGCAATATACAAAATGATCCCCTAAACAGCAAAAAAAACATTCTAACGAATCCCTTCCAGTTTTCAAAATTTGAAAAACTCACAGTAAAATAAAATAAATTCAAAAGATATGACAACCATTTTAATGGAAAATTTTGTGTTTCTAGAAATACAGGAAATCAAAAATAAAACGAAGAATTGTTGAAACACCTCAAAACTCATTTCCAAAACTGTCTTTCAAGTATTTTAATTTTTAGACATTCATCGAAATATCCTGAAAAGATTCCACCTAAATTTTTCAAAATTGTTTTTGCAGGTAGTTTTACCGGTGGTGTTTATCCTCGAAAAGGTCATCGTAATCGAAGTCTTCTTGGTTATGCTATTCCACCTCCAAATGTTCATTCAAATGATTGGAGAGAAATGTTAGCAATAACTGATTCGAAGGATGACAAATTACTAAAATCAGTGAGTTTTTCTTTATTTTCGGGAATAGCCATCTTGTTCTTTTTCGGAAGTAAATATATTGTTTGAATAACATCTTATATGATGTTTTGTTGATTCAGCGTGAGAGAGAAGAAAAATCTGATTAACACACCCCATCCGATGTTTTGAAATTACTGTTTTTTTTGTAGCTTCAAAACAAATTATTTTATTTTTAGCTATGAAATTTCAAAAACAGGTGACTCATTTTGAAGTTCTAATTTTTGAAGTTATGTTCCACTTTAGATTAAGATAAGATTGTTCTGTTAACATTTCTTTAAAGACCAAAAGAACGCGTGTTTCTGTATTTTAAAAGTCAAGGTCAAATTTATTAATTCATAATACCTTTATAAGACTGAAAGTATATTACAGCTTTTTAAAAAAAGTGTTTTTTAAAAATTAATATACCTGCCAATTTCATTTCTTCACCTTACGGAGTATAATCATCATTTTCTAAGTTTAATTTTCAAAAATGTAACCTAAAAATGATAAGTTTATGCAACTTCGGTATTGATAAGAAAAATTATATTTCCAATAAACTGCAGCAAACGAAAACTTTAACCAAAGTTCTTTTGTTTTCATTTCATTTCAACTGACCAGGTTAGATTAGATCTTTCAACATTTATTTTTTGTACAGTTTAATAATATTTATTCAATTCAATTTTCATATGTTCCTTCCTGTTTCAAAAAAAACCTCGAGTGACCCGAACAAATCAGTAATTTCAATCTATTAGTTGATACCAATCTCCAAATTTTTGCGAGTTTCAAGATTTTTTTATAATCGGTTGGTATTTGAAATGATGTTCGATTTTTCATTATCAAACATAATTTTATTTGTTTTTCACTTCTCATTTTAACACCTACTTTTATTTTTTTTTTGAAGATTTTTTTGTTTTGAATATAGTTTTTTTTTTTGAACAAATCAAAATAATAGTTAGATTCTTGGCATTTTGATGAAAAAGTAAACCTTGATTGGACAAATGATCGGTCAGACAATCAAATGACGAATGATCTTCTCTGAACACAAATTCGTATAAATCATTGTTTAGTTTAGATAGTTCATAGTTACTAGAATTGTTTCATTTTTCTTTTCCCAAATAGACAGTTTTATTTCAGCTGGGCGTCGCAAATTGTCTCGGAGCCTCAAAAGGCGATGTGGCGACTTCTCATGTTACAACATCATCAGATCAAACAACAATTCTTCAACAACCAGCCGGATGTGCAATTTCAGTTGCTGCTGTAACTGCTTCAAGTCAACAAATACAATTACCAACTTTATTATTTAATCAAATGAGATTTGGAAGTGAATCGAATATGTCACTTCATAAAAATAATTGGATTCGAGATACATTTACAAGAAGAGAATGTTCGAGTTTTATTGCATCAAATCGTGATATAAATAAATGTGGATGTGGAAGACCAAGAGATTTACATCGAAAAATTCCCGATTTAACATCGGAATATTTAAGACAGAAAAAATCAATGGCGGCATTTGAACAATCGAGAGTTTTTGTTCAAGATGATTCGAAAATTGGAACAAAAGCTAAAAGAAGTAATATTGCAACTGAGAAATGGAGTCTACGTAGACATACAGTAATCCTGCCAACAAATGCATTTGGACAAATTGAATTTCAAGGTGGACCACATCCACACAAAGCACAATATGTTCGACTTAATTTTGATACTGAACCAGCTTATATAATGTCATTATTTGAACATGTTTGGCAAATAACACCACCGAGATTGATTATTACAATACATGGAGGAACTAGTGATTTTGAGTTAGTTGATTTTTGTGGGAAATTTAGTAGTGTAAAAATCGAAGTTCTCAAGCCAAGTTAGTTTCTGCTTGAAGCTGTTCTATTTTTAGTACAAAAATTCTGAAGCTTTCTATTTCCAAATTAAATCAGAAATTAGTTTTTTGCAATAGAATTTCATGAACTTCAAGAGAGTTTCGGAAAATTACCTGAAATATTTTTTTTGAAATTTTGAAAATTTTTTGAAAATATTAGATTTCTTCAAGAAATCGAAACATTTAGAATTATAATTTTTCATCTTACATTAGAAAGCATTTTTCCGGAGGCTGTCAACGTTTTTTTTTAAACAAAATAATATAATTTTCCAGTTTGCAAGCCAAGTTAGCCAAAGTATTCCGAAAAGGTTTATTAAAAGCAGCATCTACAACTGGTGCTTGGATAATAACAAGTGGTTGTGATACTGGAGTTGTTCGACATGTTGCTGCTGCTTTGGAAGGTGCTGGAAGTGCACAAAGAAATAAAATTGTATGTATTGGAATTTCACCATGGGGACTTCTCAAAAAACGAGATGATTTTTTAGGAACCGTAAGTTTCTAAAATAAAAAAATGTATGTTGATCTTCATTTAATTTTAGGATAAAACAGTTTCTTATTATCCATTCACATCAAAAGGTCGTTTTACTGTTTTAAACAATCGACATTCGTATTTTTTACTTGTTGATAATGGAACTGTTGGAAGATATGGAGCTGAAGTGATTCTAAGAAAACGGCTTGAAATGTATATTTCACAAAAACAAAAAATATTTGGTGGAACAAGAAGTGTTCCGGTTGTTTGTGTTGTATTAGAAGGAGGAAGTTGTACGATAAGATCAGTACTCGATTATGTCACAAAGTAACGCTTTTTTATTATTGAGAAATTGAGAACCAATCAATATTTTTTAGTGTTCCACGTGTTCCTGTTGTTGTTTGTGATGGAAGTGGAAGAGCAGCTGATCTACTTGCATTTGCACATCAACATGTGACAGAGGATGGGTAAGATATTGATTTTTTTTTGGAGGATCAAAGTTTGAATTGGACTTTGAGATTTGGAAAACAAACAAATGTTTTTCTGTTTAACTGACACTTATCCATGAGCCTGAAGTTCAGAAATTATACTCAAATTAGTTTGAAAAAAAGAGTTCTGAAATTTTTCGAAATATACTTACTCTATTCCATATTCTCTAATTTCAATTATTTATTTTTATAGTCATCTCCCTGATGATGTTCGTCATCAAGTTCTCGATCTCGTTGAACAAACATTTGGATGTAATGAGACAAGTGCTCAACGACTTCTTCACGAATTAATTGTCTCGGCTCAACACAAGAATCTTTTGACAATTTTTCGACTTGGAGAAAAAGGAGAACACGATGTGGATCATGCTATTTTAACAGCACTTTTAAAAGGACAAAATCTGTCACCAGCTGATCAATTGGCATTAGCATTGGCATGGAATCGAGTTGATATTGCAAGATCGGATATTTTTGGAATGGGACATGTTAGTTTTTATTTTTTGAATATTTTATATGAGACTTCGGTTACTGTATATAACGTGGAAGTTGATGGATCATTTTTTATTTTGAAAATAAAATAGATGTTTTTTGAAGGAATGGCCACAAGCAGCTCTTCACAATGCAATGATGGAAGCATTGATTCATAATCGAGTTGATTTTGTTCGACTTCTTCTCGAAAATGGTGTGAATATGCAAAAGTTTTTGACTGTTACAAGATTGGATGAACTTTATAATACGGATAAAGGTCCACCAAATACACTTTATTATATTATTCGAGATGTTGTTCATATCAAAAGTGGATATCGATATAAGTATGTTTTTTTCGGAAAAAAAGACCTTGTTTTCGGAACAGTAAATATTCAAATAATTTGTAGATTGCCGGATATTGGATTGGTTATCGAAAAGCTAATGGGAAATGCTTATCAAAGCACGTATACAACTCCTGAATTCCGAGAAAAATACAAATTACGAATTAAAAAAATCAAAGCACAAAAGAAAGCATATAATCGAGCATCTCATGGTGGATCAGCAATTATTTCGAGACAATCAACTGAAGCACTTTTTAGTGCGAGTTATGGAAATGATGACACAGTTTGTGAGCCATTTAATGTATCAGCAGTTAGTGGAAGTCGAGCATTGAGTAATCATATTTTATGGAGATCTGCATTTCGAACTAATGTAAGTACTTTTTGTTGTTAATGGAAAGTATATGTTTCTAATTAATTGTAGCCAAATGGTCAAATGAGACCACCAAATTTGGATGAATCACGAGATGGTCATAGTGAAATTGAAGAAGAATTATCAATGACTGGAGGATCTGTTGATACTGAACCTGATTTTCGATATCCATTTAGTGAATTAATGATTTGGGCTGTTCTTACAAAACGACAAAATATGGCAATGTGTATGTGGCAACACGGAGAAGAAGCATTGGCTAAATCACTTGTTGCTTGTCGATTATACAAAAGTCTTGCAACTGAAGCAGCTGAAGATTATTTGGAAGTTGAAGTTTGTGAAGAATTGAAAAAATATGCGGAAGAATTTCGAGTTCTTTCACTTGATCTTCTTGATTTTTGCTATCATCGAGATGATGCTCAAACACTTCAATTATTAACTTATGAATTATCAAATTGGAGCAATGAAACATGTTTGGCATTGTCGGTTATTGTTAATAATAAGAATTTCCTTGCTCATCCATGTTGCCAAATTCTGTTAGCTGATTTATGGCACGGTGGATTACGAATGAGAACACATTCGAATTTCAAAGTTATGCTTGGATTAGTTTTTCCATTATTTATTATGAGTTTGGAATTTAAAACAAGAGAAGAATTATTGAATCAACCACAAACAGCTGCTGAACATGAACATGAAATGAATAAATCAGATTCGAGTTCATCTGCATCAAGTAGTTCTGATTCGAGTAGTTCAAGTAGTTCAAATGATTCATCAGATGATGAAGATGAAATGTATGGAGGAGCAAAAAGAAGAAAACAATCAACTGGAAGTATACAATCACTTAATATTGCTTCATTATTTCATAGTCGAAGAAAAGGACATGGAAAAAGAAGAATTGGACCAACAAATGATACAGATTTGAGTGGAAATGAATGTGGAAAAGAGAAAGAATATGGAACATTTGGTGGAGAATTATCACCGCCACCTTATGCATCAAATAATATTCATAAAAGAAATCGACATTCTTCTTATAGAAAATCAAATGGAAGTAAATCATCGATTGGATTTGGATCGAATAGTTAGTTTTTCTATAAAAAAATAAAATATAGAAATATAAATTGAATTATTTCAGATACGATAAATAAATTACCAAGCACAAATAAAACAATAAGTGATCATGCAAAACCTGGAATTCTTGAACAATATCAAGGAACTCGACAAATTAAATTTCGTCGACGACTTTATGAATTCTATACATCTCCAATTACAACTTTTTGGTCGTGGTCAATTTCTTTTGCACTTTTTATTATTGGTCTAACATATGTCCTTTTGGTCAAAACTCCACTTCATCCAACTGTTTTCGAATGGATTTTATTTGCATATGTTGTTGGATTTGGAATGGAATTATTACGAAAAATGTTGATGTCGGAATCGAAAAAAATCACGGAAAAAATCAAATCGTTTTGTTTCAATTATTGGAATATGGTAACAATGGCGGCTATTGTATTTTATATTATTGGATTTGCGGTTAGATCTCTTGTGTAAGTTGTTCGGGTTAAATCAGCTGATTTTCGTCAATTTTTGAGTGCTTTCCTAATCACAATTCATTTTTATTGATATTTTCAGTGATGTTCCTTATGGTCGTGTCATTCTTGCTTGTGATTCAGTTTTATGGACATTGAAATTATTAGATTATATGAGTGTTCATCCAAGACTTGGACCTTATGTTACAATGGCTGGAAAAATGGTGAGTTTTAGATTAATCTCTGAAACTCTAAATTCGAAAATTTCACAAAAAACATTTATTATATCAATATGTTTTTTTCATTCAGATTCTGAACATGTCTTATATAATTGTTATGCTTGTTGTTGCTCTTTTATCATTTGGACTTGCTCGACAAAGTATTACTTATCCGGATGAAAATTGGCATTGGATTCTGGTTCGAAATATTTTCTTGAAACCATATTTCATGTTGTACGGAGAAGTTTATGCGGATGAAATTGACACTTGTGGAGATGAAGCATGGGATAGACATTTGGAAAATGGTGAAGAAATTCGATTGAGTAATTCGACAACTGGTTTGGCGTGTGTTACCGGATATTGGATTCCTCCACTTTTGATGACATTTTTCTTGCTCATTGCTAATATTTTATTAATGAGTATGTTGATTGCGATTTTCAAGTGAGTTTATTTTTCAAAATAGGTTAAAGATTGAGTATGAGCAAAGAATAAGTTTTGCTCATTTAAAAGAGTATGTTCAAATTAGTACAATCCTCGAAGGTTTTTTTGGAAGCTTCTCAAACATTGGTTTAAAAATTTCAAAGTTCTAAAAACAGCGAAACACCTTGTTAAATGGCTTAAAGAACATATGTACAGTAGTTTGGAGCTGTGTTTAAATAATGTTTAAGAAGCTTCCAGAAAAAATTCTTCGAGGATTGTACTAGTTATAACATGCTCTTTCAAATGAACACAACTTATTTTTTGCTCAGACTCCACCTTTAATAGATTAGGATCTAAAAAATATTTTCCAGTCACATCTTTGATCAAACTGATGAAATTTCTCAACAAATTTGGCTTTTCCAAAGATATCGCCAAGTAATGGAATATGAATCGACACCATTTTTGCCACCTCCTTTTACACCATTATATCATCTTTATATGTTAGGAAGATATATTCAATATAAAACGAGTAAAGATGAAAAGAAGAAAATTGAAAGAAAACGAGCACTTTTTGATTATTCACTAAAATTGTTTTTGAACAAAGATCAAATTGAAAAATTGCATGATTTTGAAGAAGATAGTATGGAAGATTTAGCGAGGAAAAAAGAAAATATGGAATATAATAGCAAAGAGAAGAGAATGTATCGAACTGACACAAGGTAATACAATATATTGTTGAAAATTAATGAAATTTTGAATATTTTCAGAACAGATCAAATTTTGAATCGATTGGTTGATTTGCAAGCAAAAGAAACAATGGGCCGAGAAACAATAAATGATATTGAAACAAGAATGGCAACTCTTGAAAAAACAAATTCCGAAATTCTAGACTGTGTTCGACAACTTCTTCAACAAAATCTTCCAATGGGTCCAAGATGTTATTCACCAATTCCTGAACAAATTCATCTTCTTAAAATACCGGAACAAAGAGAAGAATCACAATTGGCTGATATTGCGATAACTCCAATGAGAAGAGCGAGAACTTCGACTGTTTGTGGAATTGTTGGAGAAGAAGGATTATATTTATCACCAGGAGCTGCTGAACAAAATCGATTGATTTCTGTTTCATCAATGGATCCGTTGCCACTTGGAATTACTAAAGCGTTAGTTTTATGAAAAAAAAACTCGAAATAAAATTTAATTTTAGGACTTCGATTCGACGACGACATGAAGAATATACTTCAATCACTGATTCAATTGCAATTCGAAAACATGAAAGAAGAAGAAGAACTGCAAGATCAAATAGTAGTGATCATGCTGAATCAGCTGCTGGATCAGATATTGATGAAAATGTGATAACATTATCGAAAAAACGATCAATTCGAGATGTTCGAGCATCCGCATCAAGAGATAATATTGATGATGATGACGAAGAAAGCAGAGAAACAAATAAATCATTTGAAAGTGTACGTTTTTTCGAAATATGATGAATTACAAATGAATTTGAATCTTTTCAGAATGAAAAACATGATGAAGCTGCTCAAGCTGATTGCGAATTAACAGATGTTGTATCTGAAGATGAAGATGAAATTGAATATGATGAAGAAGAAGAAGAAGATGATGATGAAGATATGCCAAATAACAGAAAAATAACAGCTCGTCGAATGCCTAGTAATACACTATCAACAATTCCATCACAATCTGAACTTTCTCATCATGTGATTAATGAAACACACTCATCACCTCCACCTTCGCCAGCTAAATAATTTTTGTTTTATCCCAAACCTTTTTAACAATAATTTTCTAGTCAATTTTGCCTTCAAAATAGAACCGGTCTTTATTGCAAAAATTCAGATTCTTTGTATCACTTTGTGTTTCTTTCTCAATTCGGGTTTTTTTCACTTATATTTCTAATATTATAGTTATTTCAAATTTTTTTATTTAGATTTTTGTTGCACTTTTTCATAAAGTTTCGAAAAATACCTAATTAATCACATTATAATCCAGCTGCTCTATTTTTTCTATCAGCTCCACGTTGTTTATTATCGGCCTTATGTCTTTCTTTCAATTGTCGATTTCTTCCTCCAGTATATCCACCATCAGAATTTCCGACTTTTCCACCACGAGAAGAAGTTGAAAGACCGGGTGGGGGACCATTTGAAAGTTTTGATGGTCCTTGTGATTGTGGCTGACTTTGATTACGGTTTTGTGTATTTCCATTTCCTCGATTATTTCCTTTTCCAGCTGGTTTCGATTCTATTTTTATTTCTTCAATTTCTTCCTCCTCAGATGAAGATTCAAGTTCTTCGCTGAAAAAAAACATATTTTATAAATTTAAAAAATAAATGATTAAAAATTTCTAACTTAAGTCTCTCAATATTAAATACTCGTTCTTCAAATTCATCATCATATTCATCATCATACATTCCATTTTCATTTGGTATTTCATATTTATATTTATCATAAGTTGGTCGAATTGCAACCATTTCAGGTGTTGTCATTTTCAAATTATTCAACGCCGAATAAACTTTTGATGATTCCATTGGCACCAAAACTTCACCATCTGGTGCAGTTTGTGGTTCTCGAATTTTGTTGAGTTTTGAGAAGACATTTGCTTTATATTCTTGAGCTTTTCGTCGCATTTCAGACATTTCAGATACTGGTTCAACAATTACATTTTCATTTGTTGAACCGTGTGCAAGTGAAAATAGACCCGGTTTTTTATTTGCTGCAATGATAGCTTCAGATTCTTTTCGTTTTCTTTCATCATAAAGTGCTCTTTCTATTTCATCCGATGCTGTGAAATCAAGAGGAGGCCAATCAGAAGAAGTTGATGGATTCCAATCAATATTTGATTCAATAAATTTGAATTCCAAAGGAATTGATTCGCCAGTCAATAAATTAGAAACTGTCAATTCAGCATTGAATGAAAAATGGCGAAGAACAAGCTAAAACATTTTCAAATAAAAAATATTATCAAAATCGTGAAAAATTGAACTTACATGTATGAAATGTGGAGACAAATGTGGAAACATTTCAGAAACATAACTGATTTGATTTTGTATTTCAGAATCATCAGAAATTCCGAGATTTTCAAAATATCCACATTTTCTCAATCGATCGACTGTTTTCTCTCGGATTTCAAATAATACTTTCTCATTTTCAATAGGTTTTTGATCGATTATATTCGAGTAAGCAGTGAAACTGAAATAAAACACATTTCTATTTAGAAAATAAGACAAATCAACATACATTATTGAATTTTGCGGGATTTTTTGATCGAAACATTCAACAAGTTTCTGAAGTGTGAAAGATTTAGCTTCAAATACTTTTCGAAGAGGAAAACCATCGATATTTGAGGCAACTTCGAATAGTGTTGGATAATCGAAAATTGAATAAATTGATTCAAAAAGACTTGGAATTCTGAAAAATTTTCAATTTTCAATTAAAACTTTCATTAATTTTATTACCTTCGATTCCAATTATTTTCGACTTCAATTTTTTGTTTTTCGGCAAATTCCGAAATCTTTTTGAAATCGATAATTATACTTCCAACAGTTACCAAATATTCAATAATATTCAAAGAAGTATTATTTGTTCTATTTTTCTCATAAGATTGTTTCAATTCTTTTCCATATTCAATCAAATCTTCCAAACATTGTTTTGCAGAAACATCGAGATATTTCACAACATCTTCTTTTGAAATCAATTGGCGATTGAGAAACTTCTCGAAAACTTGTCCAATTTCTTTCTCATTATCAGGATATAAAGTGATGATTTCCAAGAAAAATGGTTTTTCGAAATATCCCAGATTTTTCCACAATGATTTTGTCAAACTTTGACAAATTTTCAGAGTTGCATTCAAAATCGTCGTTTTCGTATTGATAAATGATTGATTCGATTTAATTGCAGCTGTTCTAAATATATCCGATTCTCTTGGCATTCTTTCCACAATTGTGTTCAAAATTTCAATCAATACTTCATCTTTCACCAAGTTATCAGCAGATTTTCCAAATCGAAGTTCCAATTGTTGAGTTATCGTGTCGCAGTTGGCTTGCCACATAACCATTTCGGCTTCGGTTGGAAAAACTCCGAATTCGACTAATCTCATTCTGTAGAAAAATAAAGGAATTAAAATGAACAATCAAAGCTTAAGCATGGAAAGCGAACAAATGGTGAAATATTTCGAAAAAAAATAATTTTTTGTCCAAAAGAACTACAAAAATAATATACACTAGCGGAGTGTCGTTTGAACTTTTTGAAGTTAAGGTCGATTTTGAACTGGATTACTGTATTTTTCATCAAAAAAAAGAAAAGGAAAATTCAATACATTTAAAACAAAAGTGCAATAAATAAAGAAGAAATAAAATAAAACAAATAAATAAATACATAAAATTAAATAATATCAGTGAGTAACTTCGATATGCGTTGTAAGTGAATCCTTATCTTTGAATTTTCGATCGCAAAACTCGCATTGAACCAAGTATTGAGCATTTGGCCCATAATGTGTTTTCATATGACGATTAAAAGTGATTGTTTGATCAAAACGTTTCATACATAAATGACATTCGAGTGACGGTGTTTCATGTACCTGTAAAAAATTGTCATTGAAAAAATAGAAAACAACATCGGTAAAACTAAATAAGCTTCTCCTTGTGATGCTCAGATTAACAGAGCATCCGTAAAATACATAGAACTCTTTTCAGTTTTTTCCCAAAAAAAAATCAAATTACCTTTGTATTATGTAAAAGTAGCATTTTTGGACTGCTAAAGTTTTGTTCACATAATGCACAATAAGTTGTAACAATAGTTTCGGTAACTTTTCTTTTCATAGAATCTTCTCTTTGTTTTGCTTTATCATCAATTCCACAATTTGATCGATGAATTCCCAAATCGTTGAATAATTTTTTCTTAATTTCTCTTCGCTTTTTTGCTCCTTCGGTTTCTTTTAAAACTGATGTTTTTCGTTTTTTTGAGCCACCAGTTTTCTGAAAAAAATGAATTGAGAAAACTAAAGAAATTTTAGAATAAGAAAACTTACTGTAACTTGTCTTTTTGAAGAATTCAAATCAGCTACAAAAATAGTGGGAACTGGCAAATTATCCCTTTTCAATTCATTTGTCATTTTTCCATCTGGTTGAACCAAATAATAATCTAATTTTTCGGGAATAATATTTTCTTTTTCATCAATTCGTTGATCTTCAAAACATTCACAAGCAACTGTTTCATGTTCTAATTCTTCTGCACATATTTTTCGAGTTATTTGTCGGGTTTCGCAACGCTCTAAATATCCAAATACAATCGAAAAATCATCAAAAGAAGACATTCAAAAATTGAATGAACAAAAAATTTGAGAAAATAAAAAATAAAAATGTGGCATACGTGGAAATATACTGGGTCACGTGAAAAAATACCTAAATTTTTGAGACACGCACTCGATTTAGAAAATATTTTGAATCGGACCAGGATGACCTCTGACTAAAAAAAGTAATCGGAGCAGATGAAACGAAAACCATTTTTCTTGTTTCCGTGTGGTAAAACATTTCTGTTACAGATTTAATTTTATTTATTCCTGATCGACGTGATAATATTTACCAAACCAATGTTGATTTTTGAAAATTAATTATTAGAACATTGGTTACTGTAGAATCTTTACATTTACTTCCTGATATCAAAATGACATTCTGAATGGAATAAACTTTGCAATTAAAATCAAAATTTCATATCGGAAAAGTACGTGTAACTTGAAACCCAACAAATATTTATATTTATTTATTTATCTACAAGAATTCAATGTTATATTGACTAACTTGTCCTTTTCTTTTCTTCCAACATTCTATTGTGTTACTTCAGTAAATATTGAAAAAAACTTCCTGTTCTTTCTGATTTTCCTGTAGTTTTTTTTATTTCATTCCAATAGATATCTTAATATTTGTTTGTTATTATTATTTTTATCAACTGCCTGGCTGTCATGTCGGGGGAGAGGCATGTCAAATTAGAGCCGAAACAAACCGGACATTTGTATTTGTGTATTTTATTCTTCTCTTCACCAAACTAATCTTTTCCTTGTTTTTTTTCATTTTGATTAAGTACATGTTCTTTGCTCGAAAACACTGCTATTTTCAATTTTTCCCAGGAATGATTCTTCTTTTATTTTTATCCGCCATGATTCTTCCTATTTTTAATGCTGATATTGCAAAAAATACAATTCAGAGTGAGTTTAAAAATCAATTTGATTATTAAAAACAAAACTCATTTTCAGATGCTGTTTTTCAGTCAGAACCTCTGACGCCAGGAATGACAGATTTATTAGGAGGGGGAGAATCTGAAGAATTACCAGTTACGTTGCGAAGTCATCCAATGGATGTTTTGACAGACGATACAAATTTGTATGCACATCCAAAAATTCAGCAATATCCGAGAATTCAGGTGAGATATTTTTCAATTTCTGTGACATAATTTCGATGGATCTCAATAATACCAGAATTATTCCAAAGTGTTTTAAAAATTTAAGTATTTGAAGTTGAAATGTTATTTTTTGAAAACATCCCTATTTTCCAGCAGCACAGTTATAATAACTACGGTAACAACAACAACAATAATAACTACGGTAACTATCGTCCATCACCACCACTTGGTTATTCATATGTTGGATATATTAATCGACAAGCTAGAAGATATCCAGTTATGATGTATACATTAGTTCAATGTGTTCCATGTCAACGAGCAAAACATTTATTAGCTGTTAATTATGGAGATATTCCTTCACACTTTTTAGGTGAGCATTTTTGAATGTTCCTCAAAAAAATGTGATATTTGAAATAGCACAACAGGTTTTTTAAAACTGTAAAAGGCACAAGTCGTTTATAATAATTATGACGTGGCAAACTTACAGTACTTTCATTAATTTCAGAGATAATATTTTCGAAATTCGAATTTAGATTTCACAGAATTCACTAGGATCCTTCTGAAAAACACAATGAATTCAGAATTAAAAATCAAAAAATCAGAAAAAAAAGAGTGTACGTTAGCTATTTTATTACGTCAAAACAAATATTATGGAACATGAATCTTTGCTCATGATTTCATACTTTTTTTGTGTTTCTTACAAAAAACCAGAGAAAGTATGTGTTCGATTTCCCTGCCACAGCTCACTTTCAAAGAAATGTCGCCGACTCACCCAATAAATAGTTTATATTCTCTAACTTCTGCAGTTTGACTAACATCCAACGGAAAACACCGCTCCAAAATTTCCAGGGTGCACAGTGTGTACTGCACATGGTGTAATTTACTATCTCAAATCGCTAGACTTCAAAATTTTCAATAGTGTTTGGGGTAGATCAAAAATAATTTTTCACTAAAACTCTCATTTTTGCGTTGATTTCGTGGATTTTTTGTAGAAGTCTACATATAACACTTCGTTTCAACCATGTGTTGGGACGAACAAATAGAGAATACGCGACGCAGACACAAAAAACCCCGAAAATTTTTAAAAATGAGAATTCTTGGACCATCGCTGCAGGACCCAACAGTTGGCTGGTTGCCAGCCTTATTAAATTTCGCGGTATTTTCAGTTTCGCGGGTTTTTCTTTCGCACTCTACACACACTCTCTCTCTCTGTCTCTATTTGTTCGCCCTAAAACGAAGTGATAAAGTTTCTAAATTTTCAGAACTTGTTGGCGATGAAGATTGGCAACGTCAACTTCAAGTCGATCTTCTGAAGGTCACCCGACAAGCTACATTTCCCTATGTTTTTGTCTGCGGTCAATTCATCGGTGGTTCCAGCGACCTTTTCAATTTACATCACAACGGGCAACTTCGACAAATTTTAAATAATTGTAATTCTCGAGGTTGAGAACAATACAGAGAAGATATTTTTAATTTATTTTTTACGTTTATTCCAGAAAAAAGAGGGCATAACAATAAATTATGTAATTTTTGTGTTTCAAGTTGATATTTTTTGGATAACTAATTAATAGAAAACAGGGGACCCTAAGTGACAGACAAAATACATATAGAGATACCCAGAGAAAGAAACAAGAAAAAAAGGTGTTTTGATAAATAAATAAAAATAAGTTACATATCTATTCGTCATCTGAATCTGATCCTTCGGTATAATCATCTTCACTACTAACTTCTCCAACTTCTTCACCTTCTTCATCATCAAAATCTTCGTGTTTGATTTCAATTGTTTTCGCTTCTTTCAAATCAATCTTGAAGTCAACACTATATTCAGCATCAAGATAAGAATCCGATCGAATTGATAAATTATATGTGTAAACTCCTTTCTGTTGTGGGGCACCAAATCGAATATCAACCTGGAAATAAACAAATAATCTCAATTTTCAAAAAGTTTCAACAAAAAAAAACGAACCGTTTGTTCATCGACCAATGTTTTCACTAATTGGGTGGCAGTCACCAATTGTCGAACTTTTTCCTTTTTATCAACTTGCGTCAATGTCACCCACCACCATTCGAACTTTTCTCCTGGATAAAATGGTGCATGAACTTTGTGAGTTTCCACAGACTTTGTTTCAAAGTTCATTTTCTTGGCTGGCACATCATCTTCCCATTCAGAATCTGATCCTTTATTATCATCTCGATCTTCTTCATTATCCGATTGATTTGTTTCGGAATCGGATCCAGAATCTGAACCGGACTCCGATTCTTCCTTTTCTTTCTCTTTCTCCTCTGGTGTCTCTTTTTTGACAACCTTCTTTACTACTGCATTATTTTTCTTCTTATTTCCTCCGGCTTTTTTCGCTTTTGGCTTATTTTTCTCCCATGGTTTTTTGGCAGGTTTCTTCGCTTCAGTATTTGGTGTTGGTTGTTCTTCGGTTTCGTTTCCACCGTCTTCTCCTTCATCTTCGGTTGAATATGCTTTATGTTGATCCTTAATTCCAGCTGCTTGTGGATCGATGAGTCGAGTTCTTTTCATGGTTACTTTGAGAGTCAAAACACATCCAGCAGTAAGTTCATGTTGATCATCTTCTCCTTCCACTAAAAATTCATCATTTTATTTTTGAATATCAAAATTGGTTAAAACGAAGAACAGGCACCTGGAGAGTGTCCCAAAATTTTTGGGCATCGTGAAATTTTAAAATTTTTATCAAAATCCGCTGAAAATCAATGTTTTTCATTGGAGTCGTCAAGTATAATCCTTATTCTCTCTCTTATTATTTTTTCTCCAATAAATTATTATTATTAACTACACATTTTCGTGAAAAAGTGTACAGCGTGGCTTTTGAAACTTTTTGTACAGTGTCCCTATTGGACACGTCTCTCCAGGTGTGCCCAACTTCAAATCAGATCCCCTTGTCACAGAAGAAGCCCCCATCGTGGACCCACCAAAAATTTGGGCCTGAAATGATAACTGTTGGGGACCTGATCTGCTATTTAGCCTAAAATTTTTGGAAAATAAAACTGACCAACAGTCTTTGTCTCAATTTGCAATCGTGGCATTGTTGACAAAACAATCAAAACATCTCGATATTCTTCATCTGTCAATGTTCTCAAAACACTTCTTCTTTTTTCACCATCCATTACAGCCAAATCATTACATGAATGGATTTTTTGTTTGCGTAAATGTTGTAAATTGTATTCGGTAATATGTGGAAGTTGTAATAGAGGTGAATTTTTCTGCCACAAGGCTTGAACAAACATCGGTTGAAGTTTCATGAAATTTTCGAATGTTTCGATTGGAATTCTACATTGTGAATAAATCAAGAGATTTTGCGAACATTGCAACATTTCTTCGACTAATCTCAACAATTTTCCAACAATATAATGTTGATCTTGATCGAGGTTTTCCATTTCCGATTCAAGTGGAAGACGGGTCAAATAACTATGCATAAGAATTCTAGCTTTCAATGCATACGGCATTGATAATGGTTGTTCTCTGCCTTTATCGCTTACACCAGGAAGAGATTTCATGAGTCTTGGAAGTTCTTTTTCATCGCTTTCTCTTTCGACAATCTCTTTGTTGTATTGTTTATTGAACTCGAATGATCCAGACAATACAGCAATCATTCCTATAAAAAATTTGTTAACAATAAATATTATATTTTTTTATTTTAATAAAACTCACTTCCAATCTCCATTCTTGGTGTTTTGTGAATAAAATAATAATATAATCTCGATGTATCTAACAAAACCTTATCAACACTATATTTAATCGAATTGTACCACCAAATTCCAACTACAACTGGCAAAATAACCATGAATATAAGTCCATAAAATGCCAAAACCCATAATCCATATTCTTTACTAACAAGCCATTTGGGAAGAGCGATTCCGAATGTTGTTGCTTGTGGTCCATCAGGATTTCCATATTTTTCCCAATTTTCTTTGGCTTCTTTATCAGTGAGAGCTTGATAAGCTTTTGCAATTCTGTCGAAATGTACTGGATCGCCTCCTCGATCAGGGTGATGAATTTTAGATTGATCACGATATGCTTTTTTGATAGCTTTCTCTTCGGCTCCTACATCTAGACCAAGAATTTGATATGGATCATAATCTTTATGAGTTTGCTCGATTTCAGTTGTTTTTTTGACGATTAATGCAAAAATGGCCCAAGCAACTATCAATCCAACAGTTATCAATATTTTCTTAGTTCTTCTCCATGGTTTATTCGCCGCTTTTAATTTCCGTTTTCGATCACAACCTTTACATTGACATTCATGTTCGTTCACGACATGTTCTGGTTCTGTAAAAAATACTTTCTTTGAGAAATCGAGAAAACTGAGTCAGATGAGAAATAATACACTTTTACATATAAAAACATCATTTTTTAAAACTAAAAACACTCACCAGGGCTCGATTTTGTTGGTAAACAATAATACGTCACCGGAAACAGTATAATTGCATAGAACGATACTAACACATAATAAAATGTGTTTCCGACCTCATCGTATTCGAATGAGGCTCGACCCATGTTTACCTGAAATAATAAATATTCATTCACTGAAATAACTCCAGTTTCATCGAAGTAACAGCATCATAAACGAAAGAAGAAATGGTAAAAAGGTTGTATATCAAAAGCCGCACACGCCACGCGTTTTTTTTTCCGGATTTATAAAACAGGAATCCCACCCTCGGGATTTTGGAAAAGATCACTTTGGAAGTATAACAGTTGGAAACCCAGAAAATATCTCCAACTTCGATTTTTGCAGGGAAAATGCTAAGTTTCAGCGAAAAATAGAAAAACAACAGAAAAAAGGATTGATTTGGAGTTTTCAACGAAACTATGCGGGTGTTGCAAACAAACAATGCGGACACTTGCCGAAAGGGGCGTGGTCTGGCGCATTTTTATTTTTAATTTTTGCGCTTTTTTTTCGGTTTTTTTCGTGGGGATCCGGGAAAAACACTATTCGTATAACTTTTGGTGCGGTTTATTGTTTTGAACATTCGAATATTCACCAACTTTCAATGAACTTCACATTTTACCGGGGTTCTTTTCAAATCTGAAAAAAGACTGTTGTAAACTTGTGGTTTTTATATGCGACGCATTTCGAAATCTTCAAAGTCCATGTTAATTTCAGATGTCAGTCAAATTGGCTGGAACCGCATTACGCGAAGTGCGTATCCATTTGTGTCAGAAAAGTCCAGCATCTGCCGGAGTCCGCGCTTTTATCGAAAATGATTATGTGGCGATTAAGAAAGCGAATCCACAATTCCCAATTTTGATTCGAGAAGCATCCGGAATCGTGCCAAGGTTAGGAAAATCATCTGCGTCAGGCCTGTGCCGGAAAATCAAAACCCGGAAAACGGAAAGTCGGAAAATTTCCGGATTTTTTGAACCGGAAATCCGGAAAATTCGGAAAATTTTTCAAAGTCTGAAATTTCGATTTCCAGCCTTAACTTGGCACTAAAACTTATTTTTATTCACAATTCTTCTATTCACAGGTAATTTAGTAACTATTTGAGACGTCTTACGTTCAAAAAAACAGTAAAATTTGAAAAATTGAAAAAAAAATTTCCGAAAATTTCATTTTTTCTATCATAAACTGAGAAAATTTTCCAAAATTTAGGCAATTTTGAAAATATTACTACTAGAGATCATTTCCGGATTTTCCGAGCACGTTTTCCGGAAAACCGGAAAATTGATTTTTCCGTGAAAAAACCGGAAAATCCGGAAATTCGGAAAATTCGGAAAATTTCCGGCACAGGCCTGATCTGCGTTTTTCATTCTCACAATATTCATTTTGTTTTCTCGTCAAACAATTTTAATGTTCCAGAATCTTTGCTCGTTACGAACACGGAGTCGAAAAAGTTGCAACATTGGAAAATTTATCAAGAGAAAAGGTAATTTTTCATCTGTTTTCGATATGAAGAAGATAAGAGTAAAAGTTACATTTTTCTTATCTGATCATTTGTTAACCCAATTATACATATTACTGTTTATTTATTTCCAGGTTCAATCAACTCTTGCCAATTTGGCTGCACGTGTCTAAATTCAACTTCTAGAATTTTTTCAGATCTAGTTTTTAATTTTTGTTTGATGTAAAATGTATGTTTTTTGAGAATGATAAAAATTAGTCATCATTTCTCTTTTTTTTAAAAATCCAACAACAACACAACTGTTTCTCTCAGTTCTTATATCTATATTTCATATTGATCATTTCAGATTTTCTGAACAGTTATTTTGCAGAAAAATGGATGAGAATGATGTTTTGCGGAATATTGGTGTGGATTGGGAATTCTGGAAGGAACAAGGCAGAAAATTGTTATGGGTATGTTTAAAATTGTACAGGGTCCCAGAAATGTTTTTCGTGAAAACAAAAATATTAAATTTTTCTAATGTGAATCATCGTTTTTTTCCCAGCAGAATAATTTTATTTGTTTGTTCGTATCATTATAATGATCGCTATTTACGATTCTCTTCCAAGAAATTGGAAAAAATTCACATTGGTGGGAAAGGCTATTGTTGTAAAAGTATCAATCAATAATATTTCAGGTAATCGTTTCATTCTTCTTCTTCCGCGCTCTTCAATTTGCTTCTCGTTGGTATCTTTTCGGAAAATGGACATGGCCAACTTTTTTCATTTTTCGGCCTTCGACAACAACCACAAAATGTTCCATCAGATAATACAGAAACCAGTCGATCTGCTGAAGATTCTCGAGATCTTTCAGCAATTCCGCCGAATAAAAAATGGAGAATTTCGAACGAAATAGTCTCTTTGATTCATTCAATTATCTCCGGCGCATGGGCTGCTTATTCATTACTTATTTATAAAGAATTGATGACAGATTTGATTGATTATCGCTGTGAAGTTGCCCTAAACTTGGTGAGTTTTTTTGTCAATTATAATGTGATTTCATTTATTTTCAGATCTACGTCTCTACGGGTTATCTACTTCACGATCTAATTGATTTACTAGTCAACGAACAATCAGCCAGAATCATCGAGCTTCTTTTCCATCATGTTGTTGTTCTTTCCGCATTCGCTGTAACAATTGTAAGTTTCTTCCAAAAATTGTCAATTAACAACAATTTGAACATATTCAGTTTGTCGGTCGTTTTCTCGGTGTCGTTATTTTCGGTCTTCTCATGGAGCTCAATTCAATTTTCCTTCATTCTCGAAGTCTTCTCAATCTTTTTGGCGTCGATAAAACTGCCCAATCTTTCCGTATTATTGCATTGTGCAATATGGTAACTCTGTTCCTTTTCCGTCTTTGTGTCTCTGGTTATTTGTTATATTTCGTTATTTCAACAATTCCGGATGTTCCATGGTGGCAATCTTTGGTAAATGGATTGGTTATACTTTCATTAGGATCAACAAATACTGTTTTGACTTATCGATTGTTGGCAGCAGATGGATTATTAGGTAAGAATTTTGAATTTTATGGTTTATTTTTCAGAAAACAAATTAATTCAGGCAAAAATCGTCAACGTAAATCACCCGCAACAACTGGTTTAACAAATATTGAAGATGGAGATGAGGTATGTTGCCTTCTGTAAAGTTCAGAATCATTTTGATAATCTATTTTTCAGAATCATCATACAGTAGCTGTGCAAACAGGCAATGCAACCGTACCGCTTGTAGTTTCAGACGATGCTACACAAACCGTCTAATCCATAAAACCCAAAAAATATTTATCAACGAATTTCGCTGGCTGAAAATTTTGTGATTTTGACTGTATTTATTTTTTATCATCCATGACCGCGCTTCTTTTTGCCATTTCTCTTCCTTTCAAAAAACTGATCTGAATCCCCAAATATTTATTTACAAACCTAAGTCCGTAGCAGGGCTGGTCGGAATCGGAATATCGGAATTCCGGAAATTCCGAAAATCGACGTTTTTTCGGAAGTGTAGTTTGGTCGGAAGCACTTCCGACAGAAAAACTCGGAATTGCTTGAATTCCGACTCTCGTTCCGACTTTTTTTTTTCATTCCGACTTTTTTGTCGGAATCACTTTCGAAAAATTTCGGAATATCGAAATATATGCTTTTATAAAGAAAACTTCATTTTTAAATTAAAATGATGGTGAAAATTTTCTTAATAATTAATAATAGACAAAAATGTGTTGTCTTTGATGAACTAAAGAACAAGATTCACTTTTTCGCAACTATTTTCACTATAATTGTTCTGATAACTCATCGAAAAATCTCGTTTTCCAGTTTTTTCTTACGCAAAAGGACTTTCGAATTTCTTCCGAAATTCCGGAAAAAAGTCGGAATAAAAAATCGGAATTCCGAACTATCGAAAAATTATTCGGAATAAAAAGTCGGAATGCCGAAATTCCGAGTATAAAATCGGAAGTGAAAATGGGACTTCCGAAATTCCGAAAGGTCAATTCCGACCAGCCCTGGTCCGTAGGTAATTATTAACTTATTTTTTCGCTATTCATAAATTCTATCATTTTTTTCATATTCCTCACTTTGTGAACGCCTTTTTTTGGCTTGAAATATCTGAAAATCTTTAATTTGTTAGTGTAAAGCTTCTACATACTAAATTTCAGTCAGTTTTTGAAAGAAGATGAGCAAAATAATCAGAAAAAGAACAAGAGATGAGATGAATAATGGTGGAAATGGAAGTGGACAACAAATTACAACCAATCAAAACAACATTCAGAATGATTCAATTTATATTGGAAAATGTTATATGGTAGAAAGAAGAGCGGATGGAAAAAATCCAGAAAAGGTTAGTTTGGTTTTTTGAAATGATTAATTTTACGAGAAAGGTCTTGCAATTAAAGGTGGAGTCTGAGCAAAAAAAAAGTTATGCTCATTTGAAAGAGCATGTTCCAATTAGTACAATCCTCGAAGGATTTTTTCTGGAAGTTTCTCAAACATTAAATTCAAGCTATTGTACATTTGGATTTTCAAGGCATTTTTTTACAAGGCGTTTCACTATTTTTTCAAATTAATTTTTGAGCTTCCAGAACTAATTAGAACATGCTCTTCCAAATGAGCATTACTCATTTTTTGCTCAGACTCCACCTTTAAAGGTGGAGTGATATTTTTTCAAGCCATTTTACACGCTGTTTCAATGCTTTAGCGAACATTGAACTTATTTTACTAATATTTGTAAAGCTTCCATCAGAAATCCTTCAAGGAATATATCAATTGCAACATTCCGTTTAAAATGAGCCTAGCTCATTTTTCTTTTGCACTCCACCTTCAATTTGTTTATTCAGATCCTGGCCACAATTATCCACGTTGAATGGAAAGATAAAAACGAAGAAGAAGCATCATCGTCTTCTTCACAAGAACCACAAGAACTAACTGAAGAAAAATCAGAGGAATCGATTTCAACTGAAGGAAAGACTCAAATGTTTTATGTTCATTATGAAATGCTTGATCGACGGATGGATGAATGGGTGACCAGAGATAGAATATTTGAACGTATTGATGCACCACAAACATCGATCATTGTACCTGAAATTGTAACTGGTACACAAAATAGTGGAACTGAAGGTGTTGTAGGTGGAATGACAGCAAATTCGAGTGGAATTAGAGGAAGAGCATTGACAAGAAGTCAACGACGAATTCATGAAGAATTTAATCATATGAAACAAGGATATGATTCGATGGATGCGACAACTGCGAAATTGGAAAAAGAACACGAAGAGGTATATTTATTTACATACAATGTTTTCCTTTTTTTTGAAAACCAAATTTTCAGCGCACTAAAGTCAAAAATATTCCAAAAATCACAATTGGTCGTCATTGTATAACAGCTTGGTATTATTCACCATTTCCTGTTCATTGCACCAATCATGAGATATTTATGTGCGAGTACTGCCTTTTATATACTCCAAGCAGAACGAAATTCCGCGATCATTATATGGTTGGTGAAATTTTGTTTGTTTTTTTTTTTGAAAAGTTAGGAAATGTATTTCGTAAAAATTGACATTTCTTATGAATCTATGCCAATTAATAGTTTATGATAAAAAAAAACACAAAAACGCTTTCAATTTTTTCACGGGATAGTAAAAACCGAGGAATCTTTTTTCAAAATATTTTATTTCATCTTCTTTTTTATAGACATGCAAAGCTCGTGAGCCACCAGGAAATGAGATTTATCGAAAAGACGAACTATCTGTGTACGAAATTGATGGAAGTTGTGAGAAGCTGTATTGCCAATGTTTATGTCTCCTCTCGAAATTGTTCATGGATCATAAAACTTTGTATTTTGATGTAGATGATTTCATGTTCTACGTTCTTTGCGAGGTTTGTTTTTTTCGAAAAATAATTTCTCCATACGTCGCATGCGTGGAGTAATCGACTCGTGGAGGAGTTGATACTCACACCAGTTTTTGGAAGGGATTGTCACGTGAGAAAAATTTCCAAACAAATTTTCTCAAGAACTGAAAAAAATTGATAATAAATTATTTCGAAATTTTGAAACGTATTTTTTTTTTTGTTTTAAAAAATCACAATTTGGAGTCCAAATTTGTCTAAAAATCGCTGAAAATGAAAATTTGAGTTGAAAAACTAGGATAAACATCTTCAAGGCGTGGCAATTTTAAAATAGAAGATTTCGAGGAGGAAAATTCAAAAAATGTTGTGCCATAAAAAACTTAATATTTCAGATTTTCTGAAAAAAATTGAAATTTTTCAGTTTTTAGCAACCACGTGGCAATAAAAATGAACGTTTAGAAAAAAGTGTTTAATTTTACAGGTCGATGATGATGGTGCTCATATTGTTGGCTATTATTCGCGTGAAGTTGAATCGACAAACAATCTGGCTTGTATTATGGTTTTTCCACCATATCAAGACAAAGGATATGGAAAATTGTTGATTCAATTGAGTGAGTTTATTATTAATCTTGAAAATTTGATTCAATTCATTCAAAAAAAATGCTGCTGCAGGCTACGAAATCTCGAATCGCGAAGGATATGTGGGAACTCCAGAAAAACCACTTTCTGATTTGGGAAAAGTTAGCTATCGAAGTTATTGGTGGTGGGTGTTGCTCAATGTTCTCAGCGAAACAACTGTAGGTTTTTTGATTTAATTATTCAATCTTTGAACATTTTGAGAAGTTCTTTTCGTCTCCATGTCTATCCATTTTTATTCAATTAATTCCCAATTTATTCGAAATTTCTTATTTCAGGCAAATGCAATTAGCGCGTCTGAATTGTCATATATCAGTGGAATTGCAGTAGATGATATTGTTTCGACTTTGACTACAATGAAATTGGTCCGACAATACAAAGGTGATTTTTGTAGAAATCTTCAAAACATTTGCGAAATTCAAAGCACGCAAGAGCAAAAAACGAACCATTATAAACTACAGAATTTTTATGAAAATATCTTCTGGGCTGATTCAAGTCGAAAAAATAATTTAAAATTTTTTTTAAAAAACAAAACATTTCGATTCAGCAAATATCAAAAAAAAAACTATATTTTTTCCTATTTTTTGAAATTTTTTTCATTTAAATATTTTCGCTGCGAGATATTTCTTATTTTTGTGTGGAAAAAATGTCAAAAATAGGAAAAATTTTTTTGACATTTGCTGATTGTGAATCGAAATTTTTGTCAAAAAAAGGTGTTCTTATTATTTTTTCGACTTGAATCATCCCATTCAAATTTTTAATCAAAATATATATTTTTCAGAATGCGATTATATAATTAAAACAGCACGAAAAATTATCGATCATTGTATTGCTAACGATTACGGTAAAAAACCGCGAATATTACTCGACAAATCGGCATTAAAGTAAGAGTATTTTTCGATTTTTCATCTCAAACATCATCAATTTTCCAGATGGGAACCACAAGTCAGACGAAACGTGGCAATTGAATTAGCCGAAAGAAGATCATCGGCAAACTTGGTAGAGGAGATTCTGGGAGGTACTTGGTTTTCTTTGAAAAATAATTTTAATCTCATGAAATTTTTGTAGATGACTTGAGTAGCGGTTTATGTTCACCAAACCCATCCGAATGTTCAAACAATGATGATCCAACTGGATTATTTTGCTGAATTAGAAAATTCTAAAATTCTCACTTAATTTTAAAATCTGTTGAATATTGTCTGTTTATTTTCTTTTTAATTATTTTTAATTATAAACTTTTTAAATTTTTAATCATTTTTTTGAATTTTTTTCTGTCTCAAAATATGAGAAAAACGACTATAAAACAATGTTCATTTGGGTGAAAATTTGATACATAATTTACATATTGGCACAATGTTTGATGAATTCTGAAGCAATTGAATGTTTGGCCAATTGTTCGTGATCAAAAATATCTTGATTTTGTAGCAAACATAGAAAAGAATTAGCAAATTCGGCGGTGTATGGAGGTCCGATCAAGTCCAAAACTTCGAGAAGAAAATATCGAACCAGCGAAACATCAATAGAATCTTCCGAAACCATCCATTTCATCCAGTCCAAAATCGGTATAACTTCGCCAACAGATAACAAATGAACAAATCGATCAACAACAAGTCGTTGTCTTTCAATTATCAATTCGGCCGCAGTTTTCATATTCTCATTGCCAATTTTCTCAAAAATCTCGCAGAATGCATCGAAAACATCAGCGCGTAAATGTTGATGATGAGTTGCAATATTATCCAATATCACATATGCTGAATTGATAGTTTCTGTTGAACATAAAGTATCACTTGTGAGAAGAGTTTTACAGTAATGAAGCATTCCACAAGCAATTACTGCAGTTTCACATGATTCAAGGAAATGTTGAAATAATACAATCAAACAATCTTCACAATCGAGATATCCAAGTACGTTTTCGATTTCAGCCTGACAATTCTCCAATGAGCTGGTCTGTAAAAAATTTTTTATTGATATTTTCTATACTCGGGCAGGAATGGAAAATAGATTTTCACATTTGGCCGAAAATTGGAAAATTTAATGAAGTCCTAAAATGTTGAATTTCACATCAGAGAGAAAATTCATCGAATTTGAATATACCATTGAAATTACAGTTAAAATAATTCACTGAAACCATTTTTCGTGAAAGGACTTTCGTATTAAATAAAATTAAAAAGAAATTATTATCAAATTTTTACAGTAAAAACTCTGACAAATGTTTTCCGAAAAATGGTTTATCAATAAAAACACTTACATCATGCACATTAGTGTTCTCATCAACAATCGTGGCAGCAGCATAAGCCAACAAATAAACACATTTTATCCGAAGTTCATCGCTCTCTGTCTGAAGTTTCACACCTTTTGCATCGAATAAAATATCGACCAAATAATTCAAGATTACAGGATCTCTTAAAACATTGATTGGTGGTGGCGGTGATGCCATGAATTGTTCATGAATTAGCGAGATCGTTGTAGAGATCTGATTTGTATTCGTGTTTGCAAGACCTGAAAAAACATTTTCTTTTTTGATATTGTCATATTCTACACCTCGGGAAATCTGTTGAAAATGTCAATTTTGAGTTTTTTTTTAATTGACAAATGAAAAAATTAATTGGGGATCATGAGGTTATTACGATTATGACAAAAAAAATGAATCGTGAAAATTAGATTTCAGGATATGTGGAATTATAAAACAAAAACTCACTCAAAATAGATCGCGAATATTTATTAGAAAATGGTTTCGAAGACATTCGTAGTTGCAAAACATTTGCAGAATCTCTTGGAATAATTGCGGCGCTTTTCAACTCGTCTTGAATAAATTCACAAGCTGCTCGAATCCATCCACCTTTTGCGTTGGCTGTTGATCGTAAAAGAGTTATCGAATATAAATAAGTGTGCATTCCTTGCAATGCAATTCTTCGAAGTTTCTCTATCGCTTCTGTATATCCAGCTTTTTTGTAATTCGTCAAAACATCATCTAACGCAGATACAAAAACTTTTGAGAACATATTCAGTTGCTGAGCGGCACAATTTACATTACTCATTTCATTTCGATATCCTGCATCGGATATCAATTTCACAACATGCTTCAAAAATTCGCATTGTTCATGGTTTTCCATCAATTTATATAATGTTAGTCTCCATTTCTTATTCAAAATCATTTTCGACAACCATTCAAGATCCTCTTTTCCGTTATTCAACAAATGATCAGCGAGTTCGGGTTGAAATTTTTTGAATATAAGTTGATTATACGCTTCCTCCACAACCTGCATCGATTCTTTTCTTCCACTGAAATTCGACGATTCGGGTTGTGTAGAATCCGTACTATTTCGCTTACTTGGTGAGGGATCACCAAGTTTATCTAACATTCCACACATTATATTGCATATTTGACTTGTTCCTTGATATGAATCCACCAATTCTTCTACAATTTCTTCCATATTTTCGCTTCCCATTCTTTGAATAACTTCTTCTATATCACCTTCCATTATCGCATCTTTTCCTGAATATTTTAAATTAACTTTTGAAATTTTGACGAAAATTCAACTCACTTTTTAAAGAATCCATGATTTCTAGAACTGGATCTGGAATAACTTAAATTTAAAATTTGAGTATATGCATTTGAAATAAATATTTTCAAGGTATTCAAACCTATTTCATTCAAAAAGTCAGAAAATAGATAAAATTCATTATTAATATAAGAAAATTCAAAAAACTCCAGGTTTTCTTCCTGGCCAAGCTTCTTTTGCATATTTCTTTTTATGATCTTCAACTTCATCAACATCAGCAGCCATTGAATACAATTGTGTTGGTTGAGTTTTCCCGTACAAATCCAAATCCGGTGCAGAATTTAATGCCAACGGTCCGAATGTTGAGGAAAGTGGAGCTGTTAAAACTTCTTTGCTAGGTCTAACAATCTTTCTTGGTGGTTGAGAAATGCCACTTGATCCAGGTCGTTTTCCAGGATTTGTCGAAATTATTGCTGTGGTTACAAGATTTCGGAATCTTCCAACAGAAGGATCAACATCTTCTGGATTGATAACATCCTCTTCTTCAATAAATGCAACATTTCCTCTTGGTCGTTTTTTTCGACGTGCTTCTTCGAGAGAAATTGGAAGTTGCGGAATTTTTCGATTGAGTGCAGTGTTATATTCAGTGAGATTCTAAAATAATTATATTTTTTAGTAATACCAGAATATATTTCGAACTCACATCTAATTGTTGATCAGAAGCTGCAACTTGTGGATCATCTTCAACATGTTGCTCGACTTTTAGTCTAACCGCATATTTTCTAGTTGAAGCACCAAGTTGGAATTGACTTCCAATATCAATGAAAACAACTTCAAGAGGGCGAAGTCGAACATTGCCAATAAATGTTCCATGACCTGCAAAATCATTGATTTTCAAAATGTCTTGTGTTTTTTTCCAAATTCTAAAAAATAAATGAATAACTCACTACTTTCCATATCAATCAACGCAAATCGCTTCAATAATCCATGATATAATAAAAGTGCATGAACTCTTGAACACGAAGCATGTTCGACGGCAAAATCCACTTGTTTATTATTTCTTCCAAAATAATACGCCTTTTTATCGTCGATCATTAATTTTTGGATCAACTGTGGTCCTTTATAAACATCCAAATGTGCTCCATTTGGCGGTTTTTCTGCCCAACTTGGAATCGCAAACTTCGATTTTTCATCAACAACTTCTGCATCGGTCATATTCTTGTTCTAGAGGTTGAAAACAACAAAAACTTGATGTATTAGAACCCAAAAAAAATAAACTATAGTTAGGATAGCATGCGCGCTCCACCGACAATCACATTAACAAGCCTCTGGGAAGGTGAAAAAAGAAAATGTGTTTCATATATAGAACAGAACGAATTAAGTGAAAAAATTAAAGAGTTTTCCAAAAGAAAAAAAATTAAAGCTCGTGATGGTTACGCAAAACTACTACTTGTGGGAATTTATCAGAACCCGTTGAATTTCGATTATGTGTTTGTTCGATTGGAACTGAGAATGTTCGACGACGACGGTATTTGTCACGTGGAACAACAACTGTCGTTTGTTCATCTGAATATATATTTTTGAATAATAATTATGAATTGAAAAAATCTAACCATCCAATCCTCCTTGATTTCCATTTCTTGGCACGCGCATCTCCAAAACATCTTGATAACTATCCTTTATAGCATCTGCTCTCAATCTTGGAAACTTGACTTTCATTCGAATTTGTGGTTCCAAGAAATGATCGATTTCTAAATTGGGATTGTTCGTACTTGCCACACCTTCATTATTCATATTGAGACACCAATAGACAGTAAAAGCTAATCCAATTATATTCAACAATAGGACAAATCCCATGAAGATAACTGTCATAATATTTTGTTTTGTCCAAGTCACTGGTTTTTTCGGTTTCTCTTCATTCTCCATTTTTGATATCAAGTCTCGAACAATTCGCACAGCTTCTGTATTATCCAACTTGCCGTTTTTGACACGTTGTTTTCGAGAAGTAATCATGAAAAACAAATCGTAAACAAATTTCTCATCGAAACGAAATGCTGTCACCATTTTGTGATTGAAAAATAGTTTACAACTTTTAGGAACTTGTCTCATGATTTCGTGTCTTTCAGAAGGAGTTGTGTGTTGAATTTCGTATATCAATTCATCAAATGCACTTGCTGCAACATGAATAAGTTTAGATCCACTTGTCGGGCAATAACTGTTCATTTGTTCTCTTGTACAATTCATATAACAAGCAAGTGGTCCACAAAAGTCATTCATTCCACTGATCAAATTATCAGCGGATTCGAATGACATCAATGCATTTGTTGGTACGTTGCAGAATGTCCCACAATTTTTCTCCTCCCGCGCTTGTTTTCCCATCACAACAATACATTTGAACAATGACTCGAATGGATCTGCAGAATCACAAGCCCAATTAAATCCTGAAGTTAGCTTCCTGTACAAGATCTCATAATCCGAACAATGTTCTCTGACGCAGACGGAAGCATCTTCGTATAGGCTGAAAATTGTTTATCAGAAAAATTAGGAATTTGTGAGAAATACCCGCAAATCTTATTTCTCGATTGCATTGAAACATTTCCGGTGACAAATGACATCAATTCAACTTGAAACTTTGTAGTACAATTCAGTAAGCAAGCAGGTATATGCATAGGTCCGACGAAAAACGATAATAACGGCCCTGAAATATAATTATTACGGCTTTCAACACAAGTAAGACCTACTCTCTTTCGGATCCAATATATCATAACTATGGCATGCGGTTAGAAACGCTAATAATGATAGAATCCTCATTGCGCAAAACTTTTGCGCGAAAATAAAAATATGTGCGCGTATAATTAAATGCCACGGGTGTAACAAAGCTGTGTGTGTGCACCATCGTTGACAACCGTAGTCAATACACATTTTTTTCTTCAGGTTTTTTATTTCAGAGTACTCTGAAATAAAAAACTCGAGTTTTCCAGTGAAATTAATAATTAGGTGGTTTCGTAAGACTCATATCGAAATGGATGTTTCTGATCAACAACTTCGAAGCTATTCACACGCCCAACTTCTTAAATATATTTTCGAATTTCGCAAAGATATAAGAAAAAAAGAAAATTTGGATTCATATGTGAGTTTTTTTCTGTGAGGAAACATTTTTCATTTAAAGTCTGAAAAACCCTTTTTTCCCAGAAATCATTGAATATCAGGAACAGACAACTTCAAAACTATCGCCAACATTATGAATATGATTATGTAGGATTTTCCAAGGTTTTTATTTGAAGTTCAAATTTTCAAATATTTCAGCCTTATTCTACATCTTGGTTTGATATTCCTGAAGAATTGCGAGAAATGGTTATCAACGAAATCGATCCGGAAACCGTTTTTCAATTTAAACAATGTTCGAAATTGTGTGCTGAAGAAGCTGGAAGATCGAAGAATTCTATGTATAAGATCGAAATCAATTACACTGAAGAAGGAACCCATATTTCTTTTTATTTGACAGAAAACTCAGAATGTCCACATTTTCGTTATAGTTTTTCTGAGAGCGGCTGGAGCAAATGGAAAAAGACAATTATTTGCCACGAACGAATTAAAATTGAGGATTGGTCACAACGTGAATTTAATAGTTTTATGTACAATCTTGATGAAGATGATGAAGAGTCAAGTGAACATTCGTATATCAATACATTGAAAGAAGAAAAATGGGAAGTTGAGGAAAGTGAAGGTATGAAAAGTGTTATTGTAAAGTATTTGAAGAAGTTTCTCGAAGAGTATAAATATTCTCTCAAAGCTTTCGATAATACTGTAAGTTTTAAAAAATAATTTAAGTTTAACTTGTTTTCATTGAACTTGTAATTTGCAGGAAAAATTGGATTTAAAACATTTGAAAAATCTTCAACATATTGAATTCGATAATTGCGATGTTTTGGAAGAAAATTTGATGACATTTGAGCAAATCTTGAAATGCAGAGAACATATCTCCCTCAGAAGAACTAAATTGACTTTCGATCAAATTATTCAACTCAACGCGCATTTTATTGATATTGCAGCAAGAGATTTGACGAATGAACAAATCAAAAGGTACTTGAAAATGTGGGAAAATGGAGAAATCGATGAAAATATTGGAGATATTACGATTGATACAGATAAATTGAAAATCTTGGATGAAGAATATTATATCGATGGATTATTGACAGTTTTCGAAAGAGAAGAACCAGCTAAAAAAAGATTCAGGTAAATTTTATATAATTCTTTTTGAAAATAGAAAATGTTGATTCAGATCGTCTTATGAGAGTAATCATTTTACTTTCAAAATCAAGGGTCCACAACAATGTGAAATTCATATTCGGTTGGCTGATGGTAAAATTCGATTAGATCGTTTTAGTAAAGAACTTCTGGACCGAATCCATTCTTCCCGTTAAAACGTTTCAAATAGTTTTTCTAGTTTATTTGAAAAAACTTGTTAAAATTTTGTTTGTTATTTTTTATTGTTCACGGTTTTTAAATACATTTTTTGTTTTTATCGTCAGAAGTTTTTGAACTTTTTGATTGAAATTCGTTTTTTTTAACGATTCTAATATATTTTTATTCTAAAAGCTTGATAGTTCTCGACACACAGAAAATGCTTCCAGAGATCTTCTACAAAAATCGGTTAGGATGAGTCGAAAACCACGAAAACGACGAGCAAAATCGAAATATGTTTCTGATAAGAAGCAGAAAGCTGATGTGAGTTTTTGAATTCCAGAAAAATATTGGAAATAGCTTATTTGTAAGGTGGAAAATAAATGTCTAAAATAAATTTTGAATTTACCCTATCAATTTCTGGCTTCTCTTGAATTTCAGTCAACTTTTCTGAATTTCAGCCTTCGTTGGGTTTTTTCGATATACCATTCGAAATGAGAGAGATGATAATTCTTGAAATGGACGCAAAAAGTCGATGCAAACTCGCGCAATGCTCCACAAAATGTGAAATAGAAGTAAAAAGATCGAAATATCATATATACGGTTTGAATGTTTTTGATCGTTTCGATACATCTTATATTTGTGTGAAAGTTGGCGATAAATCTTGGCATCATTCAAGAAAACCAGATTATGCTTATTCATTCAATTATGATTATTCCGAAGAGGATCCTGAAAGTAGAGTTTATGTTAGTTATTGTGAACTGGAAGAAGATTCTGATGATTTGCCGAATTCATTTTATAAGGATCCCGATGACTATTTTTGTGAGAATCATGAGGAGAAATGGACTAAAGTTGAAGATGGAGATATGAAAACTGTTGTTTTGAAATATTTGACAAATTATTTGGACACTTATCATAATTCGATCAGAGAATTCGAATTCAGGGTGAAATTTTTATTTTAGTTAGAGATAATGGAAATTCGAGAGCGTCGAATCAAAATAGTTTTCGATGTTTTTCTTTTTTTTCTGCATAGGAATAGTATTAAAGGGTTGGTGTTCTCCTGGTGAAAAAAACTTCTGCAAAAAGGCGTCAAACAGTTTTCTGCAAACACACACACGAAAATAAAAAAAACGCGTTAGAGCGCACTTTCTTGTTTTATTTCATAGGTTTCAACTCGCTTGTGTTTTTGAGGAAAAAATGGGCTCAGCTGCTACTATAATTTTTCTAAAACCTTATTCCTATCTAAACCAATCAAGATTCCTTGGCGGAGCACCAACCTTTCAATGTTCTGTTACATATTATTTTGAAAAAGATTTCCTAAAATATCTGAATCGAGAATTTCTACCAAGTTTTCAATTTTTGAAGTAAATTTTTTAAAAAACGTTTTGTTTCAGCACGAAATGATAACTGTGCACGATTTCAACGTGAAACATTTGAGACGACTCAGAGCGCTTGAAGTTACCCAGCAGAGAGAAGATCTTTTGACATCGGGATTCATAAACTTCAACCAACTTTCGAAAATGATAAGAATTTGGGCAAGTGAAACAAATTTGACATTCGAACAATTATGCGAATTTCAAGGAACTCGAGGATGTTTAAGATGCAATGATTTCGATGATAAAACTATCAAAAAATATTTGGAAATGATTAAAAGAGGAGAGAAAGATAATCAATTGTTGAATTTCGTTATAATGACACCAAGAAACGAGAATTTGAACATGGATTATTACACAGAAAATTTGAAATCGAGAGAGAAATCTGATCGTCCTGGAATGGCTGCAATTCAAGAAATTTGTCTTATGCAACAAGCAATTCTTGGCCCAGAATATTTTGGATTCACCTGCAAAACTTTCACTGATTATCGACTTGGAGTTGCCCAATTTTCTATTGAGGAAGACTCAATTACTGTTATGGCTTTATAATTTTGTTGTTAATCAATTTTTTCTTGTTTTTTTTTTAAATTTGAATTTGTTCCTGTTTGTTTTTATAAAAACTACTTTATGAAAAAAATCGTGAAACTTCATTTTTGACCAGTTTTCATTCAACTAATATAATATCTCTTTTGATTTTAAAACAAATCTGAAAATTTAGTCCAAGACAACTACACAAACGACACTCCGCACGCGCCTTGTTTATTTTTCTTTTTTTTCGCAAAAAATAATTCCGAAATCTTTCAAATTTTGTAAAATTCGATTTTCAGATGGTTTCGAGGAAAGAAGAAAGGAAAAATGCGAAAAAGTTGAAGAAGCTTCAAGCCAAAGCCTTTGCACAGAGAAAACCGGTGAGTTTTTAAATTTAAATATGTTTTTTCGAAAGTATTATTTGTGAATTTCAGATTGAACAAATAATGAGACAAGATATGAAATTGACAAAAGAGGATAAAAAGAAAAACAAAAGGAAACGACAAAGGGAAACCAGAAAGTTCGAGAGGCAAGCTGCAAAACATGAAGAATCAGAATCGGAAAACGAAGATTCTGATTTTTCAGAAGATGAAGAAACCTTGAAAAACACTAAGAAAAATGGAGGGATGATTGAAGTCAGTGTTCACAAAGGAAAAAGAAAATACGGAGATGAAAGTGCAACTGATAGTGACGAAGATCTTACTTATGAACAATATTTAGAAGATGTGAAACGCGTCAAAAGACAAAGACAGATCGATCAAGAAGGAGGAGAAGAAGACGATGCGGCAATTCGAAAATATGGAGTTTTATTAGGATTGAGTGACAAGAAAAAAGACAAAGATGGCTCAGTGAAAGTGCCGAAAGCTTTGAAAAGTGATGGATTAGATATGCTTCTAGATTTTTGTGATTATGAAAAGCGAAAATCATTGATGGAGAATGAACAAGATCTAGATGATGATGAAGAATCTTTCGATGAAGAAGGTGACGAAGAAGAGGACGAGAAAGAAGAAGTAGAGCAAGAAATGGATTTGTCAGAAGGTGAAGAAAATATGGAAAATGAGGAAGAATTCGAAGATGAAGAATGTTTTGAAGATGAAGACGAGGATGAAGAAATAGAAGAAAATGAAAAAGAAGTTAAAGAAGCTGAAGATATTTATGGAAGAAAGATTAATAAAGAAACTGGAAGATTAATTGATTTTGATCCGAAAGCAGCGAAAAGAAAACTTGAAGAACTTGATGAACAATCAACGAGTACAGCTGAACAAAAAGCAAAAGTTGATAGAACAGTTACTGGAATTATTAATCGATTATCTGATGCAACATTGATTAAATCACAACAAGCAATTCAAGAACTATGGGTTGCAAGTTCGAAAAATGATGTGAAAAGTTCTTTGTGCAAAATTCTAACAAGGGTTCTATCTTCAACTTTTCGTGTTCAAGATTCTCTTCTAACCACTTATGCTGCACTCATTTCAATGTGTCATACACAAATCAGTAATGAGATTTGTAAGTAATTTTTTCTCAAAATAAGTTATGATTTCGAAAAAAACTCTTATTTTTCAGCTGCTCATTTTGTCGAGGTATTTTTATGCGAAATGGTGAAATTAGCTCAAGAAGAAGATGAGGAAAGATTTGCCGACGATAAATCTCTCGAGAATCGTGTAGTGTTTGTTGCATTCACTGTAGTATTCAGAGTATGTTTTTATTTGTATCTAAAAAAATTATTTTCAAAAATTCTGTTTTTATAGATCATCCAACCAAGTGTTCTCATTGAACTTGTCGATAAATTCGCTATAAATCTTACTCTTCTCAATATTCAATCAATTTATCTCTTCATTTCATATGCATACAAGTCACTGAAAAAAACGAGTTGGTCACAAGTCACTGAAAAAATCGATATGATTTGCGCTGAATTTGCGAAAAAGCCGATTTCTGCCTTACCCCGTGCAAAATTCCTGTTAGAACAAGTGGAATCATTGAAAAAGGCTTCGCCAAAAAATATTGATTATAGTGTTATTGATCATCAAGTCAAAGTTTTGCAAGGATTGGCAAAAAGTGAGTCTTTTTTTATTTTAAAAAAGTAATGAAATTATTCTGGGAAAAGTTCACGTTTTGAATTGTTTTTTATTCACAATATTTTTTCCAGAAAAAAATTCATCAGCAGATTCCAAAGAACTTGGAATGTCGTTGAATGATTTACTGCATGCTGAAGAAAGAGGAAGATGGTGGGTTGTTGGTTCAGCTTTTAGACTCCCAGAGCAGGGAGGATATGGATTACTAGCCACTGCCATGAATTCCTCGAGTCAGAAAAATCCGACAACTTTCCCATCAGAAGTTGTTGAACTCGCAAGAAAAGCTGGAATGAATTCGGAAATTCGAAGAAATATTTTCTGCACAGTTGCAACAGCTGAAGACGAAGATGAAGCATTTGAAAGACTTGTAAAATTATCATTAAAAGGTGAAAAAGAAAGAGAATTGGTGCATGTTTTGGTGTTGATGATGTTGAAAGAAAAAACATATAATGCATTTTATGCCGCTATTTTGCAACGATTTTGTGAATTCAATAAGAGATTTGTTATCACTTTACAATACGCATTATGGGATCGATTGAGAGAATGTGACACGCTAAAAGTTAATCAACGAAATAGTTTGGCACAATTATTACACGGTTTGGTGGCTAGCGAAGTTATGCCTATTACAGTTCTCAAGGTTTGTTTTGACCAGAAAATAGGGAAAATGTTTTATTTTTGTTTTTCAGAGCATTGAATGGGCGACTCGATGGCCTTCCCTTACTGCATTGCTCAAAAAATTCTTCTTATCTCTCGCAAAATCTCCGGAAAGTGTGTTACGACGAGTTTTCGAGCCGCTCACAAATTCTGAAAAACGCGGAAAATTCGAAATGCTATCAGAGGGAATGCGTGTTTTCTGGCACATGCACCTCAAAGATTCAGAAACATACACCAAAATCAATCGCTGGATTATGGAAAGTGGATACGACTAAGCGCATTCTTCTTATTTCAAATTTTGTTATTATTTTTTGTTCATTTCGTTATAGCTGTTATTGTTATAAACCTGTTATTATCCAAAAATTCACCTATTTCGTGTGAGTGCGAAAAAACATATGTCAAAGGATTGCGCAACTAATTCCGTCTAATTAAAGGGAGCTACAGTAATGGGCGTGTCCAAAAACCTCAGCTTCATTCATTTGTTTATGGAAAATATTCCACGTGGCAAAATATTTCTTTTTCTCATTTTTTTTGATAAATTCCCCAATTTCCAAAATTTCCCTGTCGTTTTCTCTGCGCATCTTCTCCTCGCGTTCTCTTTTTTCAAAGTGGGTGGAGTCTATAGCACACAAAACATAGCGAAGCGCGCAGCCAGCCAAGTGTCGTCTAGACGATTTATAGATAAATGAGAGATAGGAATATATTGTTACCTCTATGAAGATGAAACTAACCGATCTATCGATTGACATCTTGCTGATTTCTGTACGTCAGTCAGAGGGGTAAAATTTTGAATATTTATTTTTGTAGAATGTCTACAGTAATCCAGGATGATTTTTCATGCTACCGTATTCCAATGGTATATGAGGATTGGCGACAATTGGAACCCACATTTTTCAAAGTTCGAGTTCAAGATTCAAAGAAGAAAACGAGCAGGTAAAAATAATAAGGCATACTTACACCAACTCAAATAGAAAATATTCAGGACCACATCAGCTTACGCTTTATTTTTCCGCGAGCGCCAAGTTGCCGAGAAACGTCGTGCTCCTCATCAAACATTCGGTCAACTCAGCCAAAACATCGCAGCACAGTGGGAACATTTGACAGCGGAAGAAAAAAATCAATACAAACTTCGTTGCGAGTCCAAAAAACGATGCAATATTGAAAAAGCAGTGGAGGAAAGAGCAAAAATGTTGCTCGGTGTTATCAAAAAATGAATGAAGAATGCAAATGTTTTTATTATGTCTTCATAAATAAAAAACAACATACACTGGTTATTCAATTAATGGAACATACACGAAGAAAGATTTTTTTTTTAAATTTTTAAATAAATATTATATTTTTTCAAACTGCCAAATGTGCCAACTTGTATAGAATTTTGTCAAATTCCCCATTTGCTCGATGTTCGTAGAATACTTGCAACAGTTTAATAATACGTGTCTCCGCCTCTTCAAGTTTTGCCATTTTTGCGATCAGAATTGCAGAGAGCATTGCGATTTCATCTTTTTTCAGAACAGTATTACGAATATCGAATCGTAGTTTATCAATAATTTCCTGATATTTTTGCTTGTCGCGATTTTGAAGATAGGCAACACTGTCCATTGTAAATGCAGCACGGAGGAACTGAAAAATTAAAATTTCAATTTGTTCAAGTTTCAGAATAAAAATATGTTTACCATAACTCGATCGCTCATCTCCATTCCAATTACTCTTTCTTTTCCAAATTCTGGCAAAACTTTCGAAATAAATTCTCGAATTTTAATTGTGGCTTCTTCCGAATTTCCAATCTCATCATCAATGATCGAATATGCCGTTTGAATATTATGAATTTCCGCCGATTCAAATTCTCCCATTCCAGCTTTCACTTCAGTTTTTATTAATTTATCCACTTTTTTGTCTTGGACTCGAACTTGTTCTTTATTCATTCCCATTTCGATACATTTATCAAATCGACAAGCTTGACAACGATTTCGAGAAACTCTATCGATCTAGAAAAAAATTAATTTAATTCTTGAACCTCAAAAAAACAATAAAGAATACTTACTCTACAACTAGCCGATTTATGACATCGATATTGCATTCTTTTTTGCACAGTTCTTCGGAAAAATCCTTTACATCCCTCACAACTCATAACACCATAATGATAACCGCTCGCATTATCAGAACAAACTACACACAATTCACGGCCAAGTGGTAAACTTGGTGCAGCTGGCAAAAAGTGTGTTGGAAAAGCGTATGGATGGAAAATGGGTGGCGGAGCTGCGACTGCACGCCATTTTGGCACAAGTTGTGGAATCTTTGGTGTAGTGTCAAGTGGCGGTTGAGTATTCTCTTTTTTGGCAATTTGAAGAGATTCAGTTGATGAAACTGATGAAATCGATGAAGATGAATTAGTATTTGAAGAAAGAAGATTGTTAATATGAAGAAATGAAGAAGCACGTGATGACGTGGATGGCGTAGATGGTGTTGATGCAGTTAGAAGTGATTCATTTCCAGAGTCTCTGAAATTTAGAAATGATTTTATTAAATTCCCACAGCTGCGACATCATCGGTCACGTTTTTTTTGAAAATGAAATGTTTTCCACAAAAAAAATCTAAATTGCCACATGCTACGTCGTGTGGGAAAACAAAAATGAAAAGCATACCTATCATCAGTAGTAGAATTATTGGCCATAATTTGCTGCGTGGTTTGAATCTGATGATTCGCCTGCCAATTTGCCGCTGCCATTTGTTGATGATGTTGATGTTGCTGTTGTTGTTGAAAATACATCGCGGATAGCATTTCATGCTGTTGTTGAGGAGTCGCAACCATTTCAACCGGCGGAAAATAGCCATTATGATATGGTTGAAAAAGTTGATATGGTGCGGTGTTTGGTGGTAATTGACGTTGAATTCCAAATCCTGGCAAAGTTGTTAGTGGTGGTCGAGGTTGTGTTGTTGATTGTGAAGATGAAGAAGGAATATTATGCATTCCTGAAAACACGACTATTTTTTTCCGGGTAATGAAAATATTTATAAAATATAATAAAGTGACAGATAGATGGGCGGGGCTAATCAACTTGTCTCACATCAGAAACAAAAATTTTGAGAAAAAAGTACTAACAGCTGTTATAGTAAAGATTCCAAAAAAAAAAATATAAAACGAAAGAACTTTTGCGCGAAAACATGTACTTTTTATAAAGAAAAGGGTACAGCTGGGAGAAGGAAACGCGCGGGAAAACACTAAAAAAAGACAAGAAAGCTATTTTTCAAAGAAAAAAACGACTACTAATGTTAGTCATTTTCCTGGTTTTATCAATCAGCGAATAAAAAAACGAGAGAGAGAAGAAGAAAAAGTTGTTTGTTTCGAAAAATAGAAACAAAACAACATGATCATTAAACGCGTTGAATCTTTTGATTTGTAGTTTCGTCGACCCGGTTTTATGAACCAACTTTCAAAAAAATCATAAAAATAATGCTACAGTACTTGTCAAAGGCACACCTTGTGTGTGTTTGGGTTCTGCGGCGAACGAAAAGTTGCGGGTCCGAAAATTGTTTTTCCATCTTTTTTAAAAGTAAAAAAAACTGAATTTGAAGTTCGAGTTTTTCTCTGGGGGTGCTGATAAAAATTGGTTGTTTTAATACATATTTAATTTAAGAAATATTTCAAGATTCTCTATAACAAGAAGTTTTCTGAATACAACTAATAAACAAAAAAACAAAAATGAAAAATAAAGCGGTCATGTTATGATTATGCAACACAACTGCTCACTGCCAAAAAGTGGGCACACACAAAAAGTAAGAAAGGAAAGAACGCGCGAAAAAGAGGCGTCACTTGTGACCTGATCAATTGGATACTGTAGGTCATATAAGGTGAGAATTTTGGGAAAATTTGGCGATTGATTGGGATAGAATATCATTTATTGGGATACATGCAAAAGTGAAAAATTCTATTTGAGATACTAATTTAGTCAAGTTTAGGCCTAGACCAGAGCCTTTCTATTTATATTCAGCAAGAAAGTCGTTGTGGAATTTGGTGAATCTTTTCAGCATTTCTTTGAACAAATCAGATGGTGGAAGAATTGTGCTTCTGGAAAAAATATTGTCTGTCAATGAATTATTTTCATGTCACAGATATTTTCAATCAAAACTTGAGATGGTTTCTAATAACAAAAAGTGCCACATTCAGAAAATCAAACTACATCTTGAAAATGTTTAGACTAGTTTAGAGAAGAACTTGTCTCGAACAATTTTTTGTATGATCTATAATTTAACTTTAGGCCAAATACTTATCCCGGAAACTTCCCAAATATTCAATATATTTCCCTAATTCGAGTCATTATGACATAACTGATATTATTATCCTATGCAACACTGGCCATTTTTAGCCCAATTCTTAATTACACATAGTTACGTCACAGTGTGTTGCCCTGTCTTGTTATTATTATTTTTGCTGATCAGACAGTTTGGCGGTATAGTTTTGTGTGTATTGATTTATTGTTGGGTCTGTCAAAAAATCTCACACCAAAAGGTGTGATTGGGGCAGAAGGTGACAAAATGAGCAGATGTTTTGTGATTTTCTGGGTGTCATATTTTTTCAGGTGTTTTATTGTTCTCCCAAAAAATAAATAAATACCTGAAGTGATAGGTTCCATCTTTTTGTCCAAATCCGCTTCCTGGTACAATACAGATTCCAGTGGTTTCCAAAAGTTGCATTGCATAGAAAAAGTCGGGTTCTTGGTTGAGTGACTGAAGAATTTTCAAAAAATTTGACAATGAGAGAAAAGATAAAAACTAACCCTAGCTTTCTCCACAGCTTTTGCTGGAATTTTTATGGAAGGATAGGCATACAATGCACCTTGAACTTGGGTGCAACTAACTCCCTCAAGTTTACTGAAAGCTTTTTCGAAAAGTTCAGCGCGTTCCTTCAAAGAAGCCAAGATCGCATCACCTTCTTTTTTCCATAATTCATATGATGGTTGGCCTTTTTTCGGTGGATTAACTAATGCATCAACAACAGCTTGTCCGAGAACTGAAGAGCATAATTTAGCTGATATCATTTTCTTGTAAAACATATAAACTTCAGAATCCATGTTTAGAAATTCCACATATCCTCCACGCATTCCACATTCTCCCATAAAACCTTTAGATGCCGAATGGAATGAGGCAATCTCCATTCTGAATTTGACAAATTTGGATTGAGTTTTTATTAAAATAAGTAACTCACTTATCATATGGAGCTCCCATTTCAGTGACAACTTTTTTGAAAGAATGGAATTTTGATTCTCGCGAATAAACATTATCCTGATAGACTTCATCGGCAATTATGAAAAGGTTATTTTTTTCAGCGAATCGTACAATAGTCTCAATATTTTCGCGTGAAAGAACTTGACCAGTTGGATTTCCAGGATTGATTACACAAAGAACACGAACATCATATTTTTCGCTGCTTTCTTTCAAAGATCTTTCTAATTCAGCTTCATCCAATGACCAATTTGATGATTCATTCAAATAATATCCAACCTGACCTAATCCAAATTCGTCTAGTGATGCTGAATACAATGGATATTGTGGGATCGGAATCATAACTCCAACTTTTTTCCGATTTTTATCATTGATAAATAACTTCAAAACATTTCGAATGGATTCCGAAGTACCACTAGATATACAAACATCTTCCCAATTTGCTGGAATTCCACCATCTCGTTTAGTGATATATTCAGCAATATGTTTTCGAACAATTTCAACACCTGGACTTTGTGTATATGCTCCAGCTGACCGTCCTCCACAATTCCCCAAAAAAGCTTTGGCATTTTGAATAACATCAGATGGGATTGATTTGTCAGTTTCCATTAAACTCGGATTCGCAACACATGCAACAAGTTGACGAATATAAGTAATCGGTTTCTGTCCCATAGCATGAGCATCTCCATGATTAGCTCTTATCACATTTGGAAATGGTTTTTTGACTCCATTCGCTAATTCTTTCTCAATTTCACCAGCACGGCTGGCAACTGGTCCAAGAACTGCAAACTCCATTTTGACAACATTTGGATTCATATTTGATTTATTCAAGATCTACAAAAAACATCCAATTGAAATATTTCAAAACAAAAAACTAACCTTTCCAGGCGACAAAATTGATGAAGTTAAAGATAAACTCCGACGGATTCCGAAAAACACATTATTTGCTCGCATATTTTCGTTGACTTCCAAATCGAATACTCTTACCTAACAATGAGCCTCTTCCAACTCCCATATTCAACGATAAATACGTAAAAACCTTTTCTAGGTTTTCACGTCTGAAAATTGAATTCCAGCAAGAAAAGAAACTCACATTTTTTAATGGAATCCACAGAAATATTTAGAACACTGAGAGATTTATTAAAATATCAGGTAATTTCGAGGCAAGAAGTAAAATACATGCAAAAGTGAAAAATGCTATTTGAAAAGCTATAACTAAAAAGGCCATAATTAGGCCTATAAAAAACCGGGCTCTCAATGTATCTATTTGTATTCAGCAAGAAAATCGTTGTGGAATTTGGTAAATCTGGTCAACATATCTTTGAACAAATCAGATTGTGGAAGAATTGTGGTTCTGGAAAACAATAGGGAAATTCTTTTTCAGAATATGTTTCCTATAGGCTAACAACTTATTGATCCCAAAAAAATACCTGAAGTGATAAGTTCCATCTTTTTGTCCAAATCCGCTTCCTGGTACAATACAGATTCCAGTGGTTTCCAAAAGTTGCATTGCATAGAAAAAGTCGGGTTCTTGGTTGAGTGACTGAAGAAATGATTGATTGGAAGGGAGAAATAATATTATAGGAAAAAACTTACTCTAGCTTTCTCAACAGCTTTTGCTGGAATTTGAACAGAAGGGAAAGCATACATGGCTCCTTGAACTGGGTTACAGCTAATTCCATCAATGCTACTATAAGCCTTTTCAACAAGTGTTGCACGTTCTTTCAACGATGCCAAAACTGCATCTCTTTCTTTTTTCCATAATGCATATGATGGTTGGCCTTCTTTTGGTGGATTGACAACAGCATCAATAACAGCTTGTCCAAGAACTGTTGAACACAGTTTAGCTGAGATCATTTTCTTGAACAATACATAAACTTCGGAATCCAAGTTGAGGAATTCCACATATCCTCCACGCATTCCACATTCTCCCATGTATCCTTTTGATACAGAGTGGAATGAGGCAAGTTCGATTCTATAAAAACAAATTCTATTCATTTATTTCAGAAAAAACTCACTTATCATATGGAGCTCCCATTTCAGTGACAACTTTTTTGAAAGAATGGAATTGAGATCCTTGAGCATACACGTTGTCTTGATAAACCTCATCAGCCAACAAGAAAAGATTGTGCTTTTGAGCGAATCGTACAATAGTTTCAATATTTTCGCGTGAAAGAACTTGACCAGTTGGATTTCCAGGATTAATTACACAAAGAACACGAACATCATATTTTTCGCTGCTTTCTTTCAAAGATCTTTCTAATTCAGCTTCATCCAATGACCAATTCGATGATTCATTCAAATAATATCCAACCTGACCTAATCCAAATTCTTCAAGAGTTGCTGAATACAATGGATATTGTGGAATTGGAATCATAACTCCAACTTTTTTCGCATCATTTTTATTGATGAACAACTTCAAAACATTTCGAATCGATTCGGAAGCTCCACCAGACAAACAAATATCTTCTGAATTAGTTGGAATTCCACCATCTCGTTTGGTGATATATTCAGCAACGTGTTTTCTAACAACTTCAACTCCAGTACTTTGACTGTATGCTCCAGCAGACTGTCCTCCACAACTTCCCAAAAAAGTTTTAGCATTTTCAATAACATCAGATGGGATTGATTTGTCAGTTTCCATGATTACTGGATTTGCGATGCAGGCGAGAAGTTGACGAATATAAGTGATTGGTTTTTGTCCCATTGCATGAGCATCTCCAATATTTGCTTTGATCACATTTGGAAATGGTTTTTTGGCTCCATTTGCCAACTCTTTCTCAAGTTCAACCGCACGGATAACGATTGGACCACGAACTGCATATTGCATTGTGATGACATTTGGATTTATGTTTGATGTAGTCAAAACCTAGAGAATATTTGGGTTCAAAAAATATTAGAGACAAGTTTGAAGCCAACCTTTCCACCTGACATGACTGATGAAGATAAAGCTAAGCTTCTGCGAATTCCAAAAAATGAATTGATTGCTCGCATACTGCAAAAACATCAATTTCCACATTAATATTATTATCTAAAGTTTTGAAAAGCGTAACAAAAACAAGAACGGAAATCGATTATTTTGCATTGATAAAGAACGAAACATACACAAAAACAACAAAAACGTGGGGTTAGTATGGTTATCTTTAGATCTATTTCGTTTAACTTTTTTAAAGGAAGATGATGATAAATAAATAAACTAAACACTTCGAAAGACAAATAGTAGTTTGATCTCTCACATTTCTTGGTAGTTTGGTAGCATTTTGAAAAAGTAAAATACGTGGTGGCAAACGTTGCGACAGGTCAAAAATTGGTCACGTTTTCACGAACGTTTTCAAACATAAAATTAAAACAGAAAAAAACAAGACAACAATTATCTGGAAAACTCACAAATTAAATGACGAGCAGGAATAAAAATCGAGTCCGAGTAGCGAGAGAAAACTGCTGAAATCGATTCGAGTTAAAAATTTGTTGTTGTGTTGAAAAAAACGAGGGAAACTCAATGACAACAACTATTCTCTTCTAGAGACGCAGAGAGAGAACAACTGTGTCATATATGTATTTACGTGCAGGTTGGATAGTCTCGTGGTTATTTGGTTGATTGGTTTGGGAAAAAAAGCAAAAAAATGTTTTTTTCGTCGAAATGAAATAAAATTTCAAAGATCAGAAAAACATTGTGCGCCTTTAGTAAAACTACGATCATCGTGACGAGACCCAACACACAAAACTCATGCGGCTTTTCAGATTTTATTTTTATTTTTCGCGTTTCTTTTTCGTTGCATGCGCAATTCAGCCATATAAAGTTCACTAATCCGCAAACAAAATACATAAATATTTGTGCCAGCAGTGGCCGCTGGCGCCTTTTCTTCTTCCCTCTCTTCTTTTGAAACGTGTCTATCTTTTCTTCTCTTTCTTTTCCCTCTTTTCTCGCACCTCCAAAAAATAATATTTTCGGCTTTTTTTGCAAGAAAATATGGAAGGTCCTCTTTCGAAATGGACCAATATGGTTCATGGTTGGCAATATCGATGGTTCAAACTAGAAAACGATGCATTGCTCTATTATACATCTCGTGAAAAGATGGCCAAAGGACAACAAAGAGGTTTGTTGTGTTTTTTTCAAATAAAAATGTCTCAAGAGACCCTTTTTGTTTTTTAGGACAAATTCGATTAAATGGCGCACTTGTTGGAATTGATGGCGAGAACAATTCGTTGTTCACTATAACCGTTGACGGAAAAACATTTCATATGCAAGGCCGAGATGTTCGCGAAAGAAATCAATGGGTTCGTATTCTCGAAAATGCTATTCGAACCTCAAATGGCTATAATACTAACAAAGTGACGAATTCCGCTGCAATTGTACAGCATTTTCGACAACAAACTGAAGAAGCCAATGAATTTTTGAAGAATTTGGTAGAACAAGTTAAAGAATTGGAACGACATAAAGGATCCGACGAGAAGAAAATTGTTGATTCACTAATTGCTTCAAGTAACAATTTAATCAATACTGTCAAGCATTCTATTATTTATTTGCAGGTTTGGTTTCTATGCATTTTTCAAAAAGTAAAGTTGTAGGTTTCCAAGATACGTTTTTTGAAAAATGTAGAAAAAAATATGATTGATGTGATGATTCATGCGAAAATTTAAACATATATTTTTCAAAAGAAAAAATTCAGCCCTTTTTTTGTCGAAAAAGGAAAGCCGATTAAGCTACAATATATATTACATATTTCTATTTGTTTTATTCCCCACTCTTTCCATTTTTTCCATGAAACATATAAAAAAACATAATTTTCCGAAAACCCATAAACTTCCGGCATATTTTTTATGTACATTTTCGAAACAAAAAAGTTTCAGATGGTTCAAACTCGCTTGGATCCCAATTCGACTACTGAAAAACTCATTTTTACGCATCCGGATTTGAGCGATAAGGTTTGTGTTTTTTTGCTTTTTGCCAATATTTGCTCCATTTTTTCTGCTCTTCCTTGATTTCTTTTTCTTCTTCTCCTATTTTGAGTGCAAACATTTTTTAGGAGACATCTTTTTTTCTTATTTTTCTTTTCTTTTTCAGAATGTAGTATAGTATCACATCAAGTGATAAGAGACAAAGAAACAATATTTTTCTTTTTTTTCTCATTGAAAATCAATATTTGCTTCTCTTTTCTCACAAAATATTTAAAAAAAAACCATTTTTAATTCAATTTGGAAATAATTCATTTTCCACGTGACCTCTCGATTTTCGCGTCACTCAAAAAAAACGTGTCAATTGAATTTGCTTTCCCATTTTCTATCACTCTTTATTTTGGGGTTTTTCATAAGTGGGGTTGGTTCCATAAAAATGTGTTATACAAAAAAACGTGTGCTGCAGCCTACACCACCGTCGTCAACTCTCACTACCACCGACGACATTAATACAACGTCATCCAATTCGGAAACTGGCTCATCGAATTTGAAACCACCGCCAGTTTTGTCGGGAGTTCAACACTTGGATCATTTGAAACCGCAAAGAGCTGAATCTTATGCAAGGTTAGTTGATGAATATTTGACAAGGGAACTCATTCAATATTTGGACATGAGTTATGATTTATGAGTTATGACATTGCAAAGTTTGGCAGTTTTGAAAACAGACTTATAATTAGTTTTAACAATCGATTCTATGAAGATAAAAGATATGTTTTCTAGTATAAACAAGTTAAGGAAAATAATTCGAACTTTTTTTTGTAAAGTTTCCAAAAAAGTGTAAAGTCCAACTCCAACCCAGTATAATCAAATTTCCTTAGAACACTTTGTCTTTCGCGCCTCCTAAAAAGCTTTGGACCTGACAAAAAATTCCCAATTTTTTTCAGCAGCGACGAAGAAGAATTCTACGACGCCGACGAAGAATTGATTGATTTAGATCGAATTGAAGAGAGTGAGAAGAAAGAGGAGACACAGACCGAAGCTTCAAAAACAATAATGTCATCTGAAGAAGAAGGCTTTGATTTCGGAGACTCGCACGAGGATTTCGATACGATTTATAATAATGCAGAAGAACATGACATTGGAAATGTTCAGCAAGAACACGGTTCAGTTTTGATGCATTTATTAAGTCAAGTTAGTGTTGGAATGGATCTAACTAAAGTCACTCTTCCCACATTCATTTTGGAACGTCGTTCACTTCTCGAAATGTATGCCGACTTTTTCGCACATCCTGATCTTTTCGTCGCCACAAATGGATTAGAATCGCCCGAAAAACGGATGATCGCAGTTGTTCGATATTATCTCAACGCGTTTTATGCGGCACGGAAAAGCGGCGTCGCCAAAAAACCGTATAATCCGATTCTCGGCGAAAGTTTTAGATGTCGATATACTGTGCCGAATTTGGCACCGAGTGGAAAAAAGACTGAAAGTGGACCATGGCCAGGATCTGATCAAAATCAATTGACATTTGTAGCCGAACAAGTTTCTCATCATCCACCAATTTCTGCTTTTTATGCTGAACTTCCAGCTAAAGGTTAGTTAGTGATGACTTTTTTCTAATTGAAATAGCGAATTTTTTGAATCGGGTCTCATTTTCGAGATGTCTCAATTTTTTGAAAAAAAAACGGCAATTTTCGGATTTTTAGTAAAAACTTCAAAAACCAAATTTATAGGAATCTCATTCAATGCACACATTTACACAAAATCCTCATTCCTTGGTTTATCAATTGGTGTCGCAAATATTGGTGAAGGTGTCCTAACTCTTCAAAATTATGACAATGAACAATACACTTTCACATTTCCAAGTGGTTACGGTAGATCAATTATGAGCACACCATGGGTTGAATTGGGCGGAAAAGTGAAAGTTGTTTGTGAGCAAACTGGTTATTTTGCCGATGTTGAATTTTTGACAAAACCATTTTTTGGCGGAAAACCACATCGGATTCAAGGATCGATTTATAAAGAAGGACAGAAAAAAGCGATTCTTACAATTCGTGGAGAATGGAACAATGTGATGTATGCAAAACCACAAAATGGTGAAGAATATACTTTTATTGATGTGAAATCGAAACCAGAAGTGAAGAAAGAATGTGTTCCAGTTATGCAACAAGGAAAACGTGAAAGCAGAAGGTAATTTTGATATACATTCCAGAAGTCTCTAGGGTGTTGTTTGTTAACTTATGAAGGAAGTACTGTAGGTTTCGTTATTTTTTGAAATTCCAAACTTTTCTCAGATTTGACTATTTCAAAAAATTTCCACTTGAATTTTTTGGTCCCAGAAATTCTTCAATCCGTTTTGAATTCGATTTATAATTATGCAAAAAAGAGCTCTAATTTCTATGAACTACAAAATATTTCTTCACAAACTAAAATTTTACAGATTGTGGCGCCACGTAACTGCTGCTCTTTTGAGAAATCGTATACAAATTGCAACAACATCAAAACGATTTATTGAGCAAAGACAACGAAAAGAAGCAAAAGAGAGATTGGAGAATTCGGAAAAATGGAATCCGGAACTTTTCGAAACAACTGATACGGATGGTGAATGGGTTTTCAAAAAGAAATTGGATAATCGCAATGTGGTATAATTTTTTTAATTATTTATAATGTTAGTTTTTTTCTCAAAACGGTGATATTTTTTCCTTATTTCCATTGGTTGACTTGTGATACGAGTATTTTATGAGTTATTGTTCAAGCATGAATTACTGAGATGTATTTTTATTTATTGCATCATTTCCCCTGCCTTTTTACTCCCTTTTCTTGTAACTAAATTCTTAATTGTGAAGTGAACAAATATTTATTATCATCAACAATTAACAACAATCAAACATCACACAATTCGTTTTTTTGTGAAAGAGCACTTTGTGAATAAATAGGCATGGTCCCCGTCTTTTTTTCTTACATCGATTAATTAAGATAAAACAATTTGAGTTATTTACAATTCATCACGTTGGATGAGTTTTTCCAAAGTGATATCAAAATAGAGTCTAGCTTTTCCTGGGATTTGTGGCTCTCTTCCATTATCTCCATATCCGTAATCTGATGGAATTACAACTTGACGACGTTCTCCCTCGCACATTCCAGTCATAGCGATATCCATTCCCTTGATGACTTCCTGCAAAAAAAGTCAGAGTTAAAAAAGTTGCCACGTGGAATTTGAGAATATGGCAAGGGAATTCTCAAACCTATTCAGAAGGTCAAACATTTTGAGATTACAAATGTTATGCTCTAACAATCTCTCTCCCTAAACAATGCTTCCAACTTACATTATTGTTAAGTTTGAAGATGAATGGAGCATTTCTTGAGAAAGATGAATCAACAAAAGTTCCATCTTCCAAATGCAAAGTATATTGTTGATGAATAGTATCTCCAGCTTTAGATTTCTTGCATTTTTCAGCATCAATTGTATGTGTTTGCTCAATAACAATTCCTTCTTCAGTAGTCCATTTTTCTCCAGGAACAGCTCTGAACAAATCAACCAATTGAACTGTGTAATACAATGTTTGGTCTTCTCCAATATTATCACGATCTCTTCCTTTTGCTCCGAATCCAAGACTTCCTGGGATCACAACCTTTCTCTTTTCTCCAATGCACATTCCAGTCATTGCTCTTTCCATTCCTGGAATAACTTGACCTTTTCCCAAAGTGAAAGTATATGCTTTTTTGTTGAAGTTTGATCCGATTTCTTTTCCATCCTTATCACTCAATTTATACCATTGATCCAAAACATCGCCGTCTTGTGATTTGATTTTGCATTTTTCCGCCTTGATTGGTCGAATGATTTTGATCTCCAAACCATCTTCATCTTTCCAGCTCAATTTTTGTTCTTCTTCCGAATAGACAAAAGCAACCACAAGGGCAAGTGTGAGAAGAAGCAAAAAACGCATATCTAAAATGAATATTTGAAGAAAATGGAAAATGTTTACTAAAAATATACGATTGGAACAAAAAATAAGGGAAGAGAGAGCAGCTGTGGCTGACCTTTACATCTGGTGAAAAAAGAGCGAAATAGTGACACACATGTTAGTTACACTATATACTTTTTGGGGAAAAATTGAGTTTTGGATTTTGGGCACGTGGAAAATCTATAGTGATGATGAATGTCATTTGAAAAATGGAAAAAAATCCAAAAGGCCACGTGGCACTATTGGATTTTTTGGGAAACTGAAGCTGAGCCACGTGGCAATTAAGAATTCTCTGTACAATAAATTCAAAAATTCGTTTCTGAAATTCTATAATTTTGCCACGTGGCAGTTAGGAAGTTTTTTCTCGTAAAAAAAGGTTTGCAGATTTTTTTTGAAAAATGTTCCCAGTAGAAGTAATTTCGAAAAATTCCCAAGTAACAAAATCTGATAATTATGCTTCTCCGAATATAAAACAATTGCGTAAAGCCACGTGGATCAAGCAAAATCGCGGCTTATCTCACAAACCGAAAAATAACCTAATCTAACCCAAAAAACAATATAATGAGACGTGGATGTAAAGACAGTGAGTATCCGAAAAGACAACTGAATGGTGTTTTGTCTCTCTTCTCGTTGTGTCCTTCAACCACTGGCCACTCTCCACCCCCTTTATCTTCTTCTTCTTATTTTTCGCATCGCGCTGTAACTTTCTCGTTTTTGCAGTTCGGATAGTGAAGGAGAAGATGGGAGAAACTGGATTCGATTTATAATTATGAAAAAAAAGTGTTTTTGTATTGTATGGAAATTAGATGAAAAGCGAAGAAAAAGGAAGGAAGGAAGGAAGTTGAATATAAGAAAAACAGGATCGAATTGGAAAAAAAAACATTGATCCGAAAATTATTGAATCTTTTGATTTTGAAAATGAAATATCTAGAGCTCAAACTTGTAAATATAAAATTTTTTGGATAATTGGAAAAGTCGTAAAATTGCGGGATGTTAGCCCTGACCTTCAGATCTTATCAGGTGACATCATGAAAATTGATGTGCTCTTTTTTGCGGCAAAGACAGTTCTGCTAGATTATAATTTTTCAGAAATCTCTGAAAAATTCAACATTTTTACACGAAAAATAAAATCTAAAAATATTTATTTTACCTCACAAAATTCATGGTATAAAATCGATATCTACATTTCCACCGCATAAAATAACCGCCGCATTTTTAACATGAGCCGGTCGATGAAATGCAATTCCAGCAAAAGCTAAGGCAGCAGTTGGTTCGACTCTTTGCTTCAATCTTGTCCAAATCAACTTCACAGCTTCTCTGATCTCATTTTCACTAACACTAATCACTTTATGATTGCAGAATTGTTTCAAAATCGGTTGACAAAGCGAGCCAATTCGTGCAACTCGTACACCATCCGCAATTGTATTTAAAGTATCAACAGGACAAATTACGTCATTCGACAGAAGATCGTTTAGTTTTTTCTGCTCCGGCTCAACAAGATAGACTAAAAACATAACTTTTTCCTAGGCTTGAGTCTCAAATTAAAAAAAAATCACACTCACTGTTAATATCTGGTCTCAAGTTTCCGATACAAAATGCAATTGAAGAGGCCATTCCACCGCCACCAACCGACAAGAAAATGCTATCAATCTTATCTCCGATTTGATCCAAAATTTCGAATCCTAAACTAGCGTGTCCATTGATCATTGATGCACAATTGAAAGGTTCTACATTATAGAATCCAAGTTCTTTGGCAAGTTTTTGGCAGGTTTGTTCTCTGCAAAAATTACAGAATTTAGAACAAAATTGTACCGGAAATTTTCATATTTCCGGAAAATTATTCTCAAGGATTTTCAAGATAGCATTGACATTTCTGGAAAATGTGTATCCCTTTAAAATTTCCAAACAAAAATCAAAGTCACGAAATCACAATTTTTAGTTAAGTTTGTGGTAAAATTCAGAATTTTTAGACTACAAAAATATTCTTGTCGGGAAAACTTTTAATTTAATATTTCCAGCTTGATTGAAATAAAAATGAACCAACCTTGCAGTAGCTGTAGGTTCACAATAAACCACATCCGCACCATATTCAAACATTGCTGCACTCTTCGAAGCTGGCGCATTTTTCGGCACAACTAGACTGCATTTCAGCCCAATTTCTCGTGCCGCCCATGCCAAAGCTTGTCCATGATTTCCGGAAGAATGCGCAATCACACCATCCGCTGCAAATTTCTCTTTCGCCAAAATCGCAGAATTCAGTGCTCCGCGAGCTTTGAAACTTCCAGTTTTTTGTAGATGTTCGCATTTAAAAAACACATGGGCTCCAACAATTTTATCGATATTTTCTGATGTTAGAATCGGAGTTTTGTGAAGAATATTTGAAGTTTTCTGATGGGCATTTCGCATTTCACCGAGACTAATTTCCGGGGAAATCATCCTTAATCTAAACTAAAAGTTTGATTTTTCTAATCTAAAAAAATGTTTGAAAAAATGCCTGATAAGAAACCAAGAAAAAATCGATTCAAAATATATCAAACAGTATTTAGTTTTGCTGTTTTTTCTCTGATAACAAGATGATCTCATAGAAATCTTCATTCATTTTTAATACCAGTATTATTGCACCAAGGAAGGCTATTTTTTCGAGTTGGGCGAAGTGGCCATAAATTACAATTACACCACGATAAAATCAAAAAAATACACGCAATTGCACCCGAAATAAAATAAATCACAAATTGCACGAATTCACTAGGCAATCGACAACTATTTACAAGTATCTAAAAAATTATATTGTTTTTTTGAAAATGAAAAAAAAAATGCTTACATTCTCCTCATTAATAACTACCATGAGCAATGCCGGTTTATCACCATTTCTCCAGCTAAACGAGTTCACAGTATATTCATAAAAATCATAATCTTTTGATGAGGAATCTTGCGGGGATTTTGAAGTCCATCGCTTTTTGCACATTTTATGCGAATGACCATCAAAAACTGCGCGAGGATTTAGCCAATCTATCAATTTTTCAGTTGATTCCTTGGAAATTGTATCCCAACGTTCTCGATAAATCTCTTCCTCGTCAATTTCATGCAAATAATCTAATTTCTCACATTCTCCATCACTTTTTCGATATAATGGATAATGTTGGAGGACAATTGGCGCTTTTTCATTTCTTAATTCTTTCAGACGCATTTCAGCTTCATGACATAATCGACAACCATCGCCTTCTAAAGCCATCGAAGTTATCAAAACAAATCGATGATTTTTGATGTAGACTTCATCAATTAAACTTCTCTTGAATTCTCGTCGAAATGAATCAACAATTTCAGGATTTATGCTAGAAAATATTCCATTTTCAGTTTCAAAAAATTCAGGAACTCACTAATCATGAAATCCTAAATCATGATTTCCAGACAACACAATAATCTCAGGCTTTTCTCCAGCTCTATTCACATCTCCAAACATATTCTTGAATTGATTCGCATATTCTGAAAACTTCTGTGAATTCGACCATTTTCCCTCATCCAAAAGATCGCCCAAGAAAAATACAACATCAGGTTTATGAATCGAAACAGCGTGTCTGAATGATTGTTTCATTTGCCATTCTCTGAAAACAAATATTTTGGAACTTTTTTTGTTGGGGTAAAATGTTACCTTTTTAATTTGTCCAACCAATGTCCTAATCTTTCGCCTAATAAATGTGTGTCAGAAATCATGAAAACTTTGAGATCTTTTGAATCGCAGCTGCAAGTTTTATTCAATTTAAATATTAAAAAAAAGTCGGGAATAACAGTTTTGTCGGAAAAAATCGGAAAATTATTTATAATATTCAATAACACCTTGAAATTATTCTCTATTGACTAGGAGCTGTTAGCTCCCAGGCGTAACGGTCTCCTTTGAATTGGAAACATTCTTATAAAAATCCTCACAAAATTCTGTACAATATGATGTTAATTACAGCACAAATTAGCAAAAAATACCTTTTCCCAATCTCTTTTCCGTTTTTCTCTGCCTTCAATCTTTCTCTGCGCCCTCTCTCTTTTCAACAGAAATGTTGACGCTTTTTTGGGACATTTTCGAATGAAGATTTTCGATCGAAAATTACATTAGAGGATATAGGAACGAAAACAGCTTGCGGTGGGACTCGAACCCACCAAAATGACCACACACATTGCTTGGCAGTCCATCCCCTACCCGACTGCGCTAAGGATGCAGACATAAAACAATGCGCGTATTGTCAAGTTATGAAAGAAGGAGGCAGAGAAAAGGGGGAGAGGAGTGAATATCGGGAGAAATGTGTTGCATTGTGGGATTTTTAGAAAAGGTTGATTCCAAATTTTATCAGATTCTAGAAATTTAAAAATCTGTATTTTTCGGTGTCAAAAAACTCGAAAATTTTAGTTAATGTTTTTTCCAACAAAAAATGCCTTACCCCTTTTCTCCACACGGCCATTCACATTTCCAAATCGTCAAATAAAACAAAATACTCTCATTGAACACGAAAACCAAAAATGCATAGAGTAAGAAATACAAAAAAGGCCAAATGTTACATCTCATCGATTATTCCTGCAAACAATCATTAGGGATTTGAAAACTAGGTTTAGCAGGAAATAAATATGGAAATTCCACTGGCCATCAAAACTTGTGTCACTAAAAAAGAGGACAATAAATTTCATATATCATATAATTATAACAAAAAAATAGATACACGATTATCTAAAAAAAAGCCTAAAGCCTAAATAACAATAAAAAATCTATTGTTTCATTAACATTTGTGTGATTCTTTCGAGAACTTTGTGATTTAGACCAGGTCCAATTTTATTTTCTTCTTTTCCTTCGATTGATTTCACAATATTTATAGTTTGATATTCATCTTTATCGTAGATGTCGAAGAGACTGAAGGGACCTTCGATTCGAATGAAATTTGTACGATCGTTAACAAATCCTATAAAAAATATAGGTTTTGAAATTAAAAATTGAGAAGTTTTCAACACCTGGCCGGCTTAATTTCGAGAAATTTCATCAATCATGAAATCACTGATTTTTAGTGCTATACCGAGCTGCAAACCGATAAAAACACACGCTTTCATGGCGAATTTAGTCGGATTATTTTTACAAATTTTGTAAAAAAAATACCTTCACACTCCACATTTATCGCCAATGTGTTCAATTGTCCAACAGCGAAGAAGAAATTGATACCATCCGACAAAATCAATTGTGATGTGAAAGGACGTGTAACATCGGTGTATTGAGTGAAGCCTAAATTTTTTTTCAAAAATAAGTACACAAATTTCTGATATCAAAAAAAACTTGCCATGAGCGTGAGCTTGTGCGCAAAGTGTGGTGAACATGCTTACAACCGCTTGAGATCTTGCAGCGTCGTCAAACATTTGTTCTGAAATGTTTTTTTTTAAATTTTCCACAAAAATCTAGATGCAAACTCACTAGCTTCAGGGATTCCTTCAAATTCATAACTTTTCCCGTCTTGGTATCCCATCCAATATGCAATTCTTTCTCTTAATGGTCTCAATGATTTAACACCCAAAATACCATGTGAATGTGTTTCTCCTGAATCAACATGATAACCTGGACATTGCCAGAGTGGTTCTTGATCTGGCCACAAATTGTAGACCTTTGGCGAATAAATCTCTTCATCCAAATCATTTTTGTTATCATCGAAAATCGACAATTTCGCATTTTCCGAGTCCAAAGAATGCAAAACGGCAAGCGCTTCTTTGCTTCGAATTTGCGCCGCCAATTTGTCTCTATGAACAAAAGCAAGTTCTCCCAATTTTCGACGATCATCTCCGATATATTTCGGATAATTGTTGAGTTTTCGAACAACTTCTCGAGTTCCAACCTCTTCAACATCATAGAGGAACGAAAATCCGCTTCGAATCCAGAATGCCTCACTTTCCACATCATATGCCACTCGATTTTCCGCCAATCTCGTTACATTATGTGCAATTCCACCCATCGCATCATCAATCAAACTTCCCAATAATTTTTGAGTTTGTCTAAAAAATAAAAAACATTTTTTTTGCTACAAAAGCTTATCACATACTCTTCATCGAAATTCAATCCATCACCGAATTCCATCGATTTCAAAGTATTCAAAAATGATGTCTGAAAATCTTCATATGGTGGCAATAATCCTTGATAATAATCATCCAGGGAATCATGTTCAACTCGAGTTTTTGTCAAATATTGATAATATTGAAGAGTATCAAAATGCATCGGAGTTTGTGGAATTCCCCAAGCTTTTCGAGTTGCCATAAGTGTTGGATGCCAATCCCTAGAAAAAATGAGATTTTTTAATATTCCGTAGAAAAATCCCTACCGTCTCCAAGTCTTTTCTGCTCTTGTCCACGGTCTTTCATATGGCGAAACAAGATCAACTTTTTCTTTAATTGTTGGCATTGAATTCACCATTTCTGCAGTTTTATAATAGTCGAATAATCGAACACCAGCCCCAGTTGCATCTCCAGTATTCAAGAACTCATCTTGCAACATATGTTTGGAAGTGTGATGTTGATGTGGTTTCCGATAATATGGAGGTCGGTATACTGTAGATGAGTTAGCTGATGGTTTTTCGACAGAATCTTCGGATGTTTGTGGAGCAGTGACTTCAGAAGATGATCTTCTGATTACGGTATTTCGAAAAATCGCCCTTTTCAACATTATTTTTCTAAAAAAAAATGAATGACGTTTCCTATTTTTTTTAGAATTAAATAAAAGTTCCGATTTGACGGATTTCGCAAATTAAATTCAACAATTATGATAAGTTAAAATTGTTATATGAAACGTGCACCAAAATATTATTTACAGGAATGTTTTGAGATCAAATTAATGTCTTTGGGATCTTCTGGTATTTGCAGATGGTCCTCCGGGACTCAACAAAGTCGCCAATAAATCCTGAGTTGGCGAGCTTTCAATACTACGCAATGTTGGTGAAATATCATTCATAATACCTTCGGGGGTTTCTGGGAGCATTTGTAAGCGGACACCATTTGTGACACTTCCGTTTAAAGATACATTTGAGGTCGAGCTCGTGCTTGCAGCTTCCGGAGTTTGGAAAATCGGTTGATGTATTGCGTTGGTAGAGATTCGAGATTGACGAGCATTGGCACGAGTAACACGAATATTTGGAGGTGCTGCAAATATTTTATTTGGTTTTGCTTTTAAGACATGGTTTTTGTAATAACTGTTATTTGTTGATAAAACAAGCAGCTCAGGATCGCTAAATTCAACAAAGAACAAAAAACTTCGTTTTCTTTCAGTCCAAAGTGTTTCACATCATCGCCGCAATCAATTTTCTCACTTAAAATCCCACAAAAATACTCACGAGCACTAAAAGCCTCGCTATTAACCGGTGTAACCATATCAGGTTGTGGAACGGCTTGCGGAGTTGTCGCAGCTGGCAGATTTCGACTTCTTGGTGGATCATAAGTCATCAAATCATCCAATGCTGGACCTCCTGTGATTTTCGGAACCGGTGTTGAGATTTGTGCAAAAACCCGATCTTCCTCTTCTTTTTTCTCGACCTCCATCGGTTCTTCTGCTTCTTCTTGTTGTTGCTGTTGATATTTTGGAAGAGATTTCTAAAAAAAAACTATTTTTTTCCCGAATTTCTGAATATTTACGAACTCTTTTCTTTTCCAACTCATCCATCATCCATCGCAAATCATCATCTCCAAGTTCCAAACAAGTCAATGGTCTTCTCAACATTGCTTTCTATAAAAATAGCTATAAATTCTGAAATTCTTTCTTAAAAATCAAGATATTTCAATGGTTGATGGAAACAGCTTTCAAAATCAAGAAAATCTCAAGAAGATATAATTTATAACCGAAGAAAAAGAACATCCAACAAATATAAGAAAAAAGCCAATTTTCACGAGTACAACAGCCTATAGAAGATTTTTTTTTCCATAAAACTGAAAATATTATGATGTTATTCATGGATGTTTTCTGTGAAAATCGGCTTTAGAAACCAAAAACAAAAGGAAAGAAAGAAATTTAGTACCAACAAAGATTGGGAGCGAATAGTCTAATTTGCTTTAACAGTTTTCTCTTGTCGAGATTTTTCGAGTTGAAGAGCAATTTGTTGTGCGCGAAGTGTGAGACGTTTTGTGTTTTCCATGACTTGTTCGTGAATACTAACCGATTTAACACCCATCACAACTTGTCCCAATTTACTATCGATTTTAGCTCCTTCGATACGGTAAGTTCGGATAAGATCGACAATCCAGCGTTCGGCTTCTTCTTGTGTCATATTCAATCTTCTCGCCAACATTTCGATGGTAATGCATTGATGGATTCTGCAGAACATTTCAAAAATCAAAAGACGAGCAGACTCGCGGAAATCTGATAAACAGGCGGTAAGGAAGAAATCATTGGAGAGAACTTCTTCGCATTGTTGAAGTTTTTCTTGGGCCTCGTCGAAATCATACTTGATGTAAAGACAGGTAAGAAAATCGGTGACTGGATCTTCATAGTTGTGGCGTTCCTGAAAAAATATTATTTTTCAAAGTAACATTCCCATTCTCTACGTGGTAAAAAAATAATAAAAACTCACAATGTCGATAACCTTGATCAAATCTTTCAAACTGTTCTTTTGTCTGGATTTACTTGTGACAACAGCAACAGCCAAATATCTCAACAAATGTGGAGCCAAAACTTGAATAGCATTCAAATATGGTTGTTGATTCAAGAACAATTCGATAATCTCGTCTCTTCCTTTTGGATAATTGAAATAGACAAACAAAGCCCAATGCATGAGCCAGGCTCTTTGAGTAACCAATTCCCACTCAGTTTCGAATGGATTGGCGTCAATATAAGCGCGAAGTTTCAACAAATCATCCCGAGCATGTTCCCATTCTTGAACAAGAATTTCGCTGGCCAATTTTCCATAGAGAGCATTCAAATAATTTGGATCGGCTTGATTAGCCAAATTGCGATAGTAATAAAGGCAAACTGAAGAGGCCGTATAGTTTCCACACTCATACATGAATTTACTGTATTTGTAAAGGACTTCGACGTTTTCAGCGCTGAATCCATGATTGGCAGCAAGGAATTCGAGAATTCTCACATTTCCATCACGCTCTCTATTATTTTCCAACATCTCTTTCACCTCTGGAAGCTCCAAAATAGTCACAACTGGATCAATTTTAGCCTTGAGTTCATCTCTTTCTTTAATGATTTGCTTTCTTTTTTCCTCAATAGCTGCTGGAACATTTTTACCCTGAAAATATTTATATAAGACCTGAAAAATAAAACAAGACTCACATAAGTATCCATAAGACTATCAATCATATTAGTCTTGCTCAAAAGTTGTCGATGCATTTCAGTAATCGATTTCGAATCGTAAATACCTCTTGGTTCGATAAACTCCAAAAGTGGAATAACCAAGTGTAGATCCAAAAATGGAGCCATTCGCTGGGTCAAATCAAATTTCGACATTTTGTTACCTAAACCTGACATCGTTTTCTGTTTGAATAATGATTTTTCTTCGAAATAATCCACGTAACCCTAAAAAAACGTGAAAAATAGGCGGGGACGAACGAAAAAATGAAAATAATTTTCGAGGCGTTAAACAACGAGCAAGCGGAGTATCGTTGCAAACATAGCGGTGTTTGCAGAATCTCAAATGTTTGTTTTGCTATCTACAGTACCTTATGCTTCGAAAATTAAATTTACAAAATTTGGCTGAAAATCTAGCACTTTTCAAGTCAAATCCGAAATTTGTGCTTTTCGAAAATGCAGCTAATCTACAAATTCGACAAACTCTTCCAAATCATCCATGCAATTTCTATATTTTCGAAAATTCTCGGAAAAACTTGAAACAATTCTATTGCATACGTCACAATCTTTTGCCTGATAATGAACGATCGATTTTAATGATAGAATCAGACGGCGAATGGAATTCAGATGATTTGGAAAATGGAGTCAAGAATCTTGTCGAATATGAAGAAAATCTATCGAAAATTGGGTTATTTATAGGAAACACAAAATTAGCAGAAACTGTAAGATTTCGAATTCGCCGGGGATAAAAAATTACAAGATTTTTCAGTTCGCTCAAATAATTCCAAAAATTCTACCAAAACTTCAACCAAATGGTTTCTGGCCTTGTAAATTATTCCACGTGGATCCATCCAAATTTCAAAAAATTCTAGATGCAAAATTATCCGATTTACCAGAAAATATGCGATTAGGAAATACGAGAGTTGAAGATGCGCAAATTATAAATGACACGTGGAAATTCGCAACACCCGATGAAGTTTTACAACAACGGTAAACTGGGTTTTATTTCAAATAATACTTTGATACGGAAAAACATTTCAGAGAAAAATTGTCGCGTCTTCCAACATCTTGCGTTTTTCACAACGATGCTCCGATATCTTTTGAAATGATTGGTTTACACGGTCAATTATCGCATCAATTCACATTTCCCGAATACCGTAATCTGGGTCTCGGAACGATTGTCGATATTTCACTGCTTCAAAAAGCCATCGCTTTTGGAATTCATCCTTATAAATGTGTGGAAGTGGATAATGAGAAAGTTGTGAAACGAAGCAAGAATCAGGAAGAAGTTTGGAGTACTGTAGAAGATAATGTTGTTTACATTGGGTTCAATCGTCACTGATTAAATAAATAAATAAATCATCGTCTCTTGGAAAGCTTTTATTCTCTTTTTTTACATCTTCTAGCAGAAGATCATTATTATTACAAGAAAAAAACATTTGGTTAGAAAACAACAAGAGAAAAAAGAAAGATTAGAAAAATAAAGAGGTAGCCCGTTTTATTGGCCCGTATTTTTGTGTTTTTCTAAAACATAACATAAAAATGGTTCTAGCTAGAAACATCAGTAGATTACTGTAGATCCACGTGGTTTTTCCATTTGCTGATGTTGTTGCTGTGGATTTTCCATGGTTTTCATCATGGTTCCTGCACGTTCCATTTCAAAAAACCAGAAGCGTGGACATCTGAAAAATCACATTTTTTGTATTAGTCATAGCCTTTTTATTGAAATGAAAAGAACAACTGTGTGTTCGTATCAGAACAAATATAGAAAAAAACATAAAACGTGTTTTTTTTTACAAAAATCAAAACCAACCAACCTGATATTCCGCTGTGCATCCATCAAATCGTGCCAATCCCAAGGTCCTGCCATCTTGGCGACTGGAGTAACTCCTGTCATGGTTTGTGTCAACACCACATACGACTCCCAACAAAAGCGACAACGAGGAGCATAACTCGAAGATGAGTTAGTTTGTGGGTGAAGATTGGTGGTGGCATGATGTGACTGGAAACAAAATTGAAATTGATTTTTGATGTCAAAAATACATTTGTTACTTTGAGTTTAGGCAGAGTAAACAGAAAAGCTTTTGATGTTTCAAGATTTTTGCAGTTAAAAAAAATAAAACTTTTTAAAACTAACTTTCTCACTAGCCGCCGTCGAACAACTTGCAATTCCGGAAGAAGTTGAAGAATACAAAGCATCCACAAAATCAGGTTGTTGCTTCACAAATGAATAACTATTCTCTTTTGGGCGCTTTTGTATCAATTGTTGTTTTGGAATAAAATGTTGTTGTGGTTGCGGGAATTTTGAAGCACTTCCCATAAAAATGTTCAAATCAACCTCAATAGCTGGATCTTCCAAATCCTCATGGAATTTTTGTTGATCTTCAATCGACAATCCCGACATCATCATATTTTCCGACGAAGATGCACTAGAAAATCCCGAACTTGGAGTTCGAGCTATTTTAGTGTAACTCATTGGAATCTGCTGTTGTTGTTGTTGTTGTTGTGGCTGATGGTGGTTGGCGGAACGCATTGGTCTACGCTAAAAACAAAAACTATAATGAATTATGATAAAAAAGTAACTTGAGTTAGTGAGAAAGTTTACTTATCAACTGGTCTCTTTTTTTTCTTTCTTTTTTCTTCTCATGTTCCTAGGAGATATTTGTTTATTTGCGAGTGATTGAGTGGAGTAAAAGAACGGGTAAAAAGAAAAGAAGAATGTCAAATATGTTTGTTTCTTACAACATCACAAAAAAACTCGATTTCCAGATCGAATTGGTTTTTGAATGTAAATTTATCTACAGAATGAGAAAATTCGATTTTCGAAAGGTCGCAAAACTCACGTTAATTTGATGGAAAGATTCTTGACGGTTAGTGATGGGTTCAAACAGCGACGGAAGTTCGGAACGCAACTGAAGCATCTGCTTTACCGGCGGCCCGACAACAAATTCTGGTCGATAATATGAAGTTGAAACTCTTCGCGGCGAAGGATCGCGTTCGCGCTAAAACAGAATCAATGAATAAATAGTAGATCAAAAACATTTGAGAAGACAATATTGATGGTCTACTTACCCTCGAGCAACACTTTTGATAACAATGTGTGAACTTGCTGTTCATTTTTTTCAGCGACTTCTTTCGAAGTGACAAAATTTATGAAATGAGACATCTCTACGAAAGTCTGGCTTGAAAGCGTGGGAAAATCGTCATTTTCCCACGGTTGTCGTGGGAAAATAGAAAAAATTCGCAGTGGAGCACGAATGCTTTACTCGGGCCCCGCCAAAAATTTCGGTTTGAATTTCGAATTTTATTTTTTCTTCTTTTTTTCGTTTCACACTATTTTATCAGCTTTTCGTTTTGCTCGAGAGTAGGAAGTGAGTTTTTTGGGGAAAAGGAGTTTGCACAGCTTTTTTCAAGGAAGCGAATAAAACTTTGGAAAATATTAAAATTTGACGTCAAATAAAAAATGACTACAATCAAAGATGACACGAAAACCTGTCAAAAAAGTAGCAAAAAATTAATACCTTTACTGATAAACCTAAATTTCAGCTGATAAAAAAGCAACAAAAAAATCCCGGAAAGAAAAAGTTTCAAGTGTAAATATTTCGTATTATAAAAATAGATTATATATTATATCCGTTCGCATTGCGCAAGCAAACAATCATATTCGTGCCAAAAATTTTGCGCAGGGCAGCAGAAATTTTAGCCAGTCAGCCAAAAAAAAACTGAACTAAACCTGTCCAAACCATATTAAAAATTATGACTAAACCAATTATAAAATCCACAAAAAAATCCCATAATAAATTTTCCCCTCAAAAAATCAGATAAAAATGGCTGGTTATTGGTTAACGGGCAAAAAAAGAAAAGAGAACAGGCAAAAAAGGATGAGTCACGTCTTGGCTCCGCCCATTTTTGCCTTCTGTGCTCGTCTGCGTCTATTTGGTACAGAAAAGGTCTTCTTCTTTGCTGACCTTTTTTGTACCAAATAGTTCTAAAGAGGAGGAATATAGAGGGAATAAGTGAGAGAGAATGAGAGAGGTGTTGACCTAGTAGACATTTATTTGTATTAACATATTATTATGATTGTCATTATTATTATTGTGAAGATGAAGACGGCTGGTAGAAAAATCATCATAATTGATAAAGGGAAAGTGAGAAATTCGCATATAACTTTCCCGAAAAATTGCTGAAAACATCAAGTTTTTTTTGCTCAGAAAATTTTTTATACAACATGTTTATGAAGCTAACGATGCCTCTTCATGATTAGCATGATTCTCATCTTTGCAAAAAAAAAAACACAGTGTTTGTGGAAAATGTCAAGGTGCGAAAGGTTATTAGTTTTTGTGACTGACAAATTTCGGGGTTTGGATAGCGGCATGTTTGGTGTTACACGTTTTCAGCTGGAATTAGAGATGGAATTTTTTTTTTCAATTCTTTTAAAAGTTATTGAATTATTTTACAGTTTCTCAAAAATTCAAATGATCAATTTTGGACATTTTCATAGTATATTTTTGCAAAAGAAACAACTCATACTCAGAGTTAGTTGTTTTAATTTTTTTCGAAATTTAGAACTAATTTCATAAGTTTCTGAAATTAATTTTATACTTCTAAAGCGCTCCAGTTCTCAAAAAATGCCCAAATCGAAATTCCAGTTGAATATCTCTGGTACACACAAAACATATCACCCTCCAAACCCCGAAATGTGTCAGTCACACAAACTAATAACCTTTCGCACCTTGACATTTTCCACAAACACTTTGTGTTTTTCTGCAATGAAGAGAATCATGCTAATCATGAAGAGGCATCGTTAGCTTCATAAATATGTTGTATAAAAATTTTTCTGAGCAGAAATAAAATAAAGAAGGAAGAATTCCAAATTTCAAAGAAATTGAACACAAACGCAATCAATCTCAAGTTCATATGTAAATTAATTGGATTTGGCAAATTACTTGAGTCATAAACTTGTTTTCTTTTTTTCCTATTCCATCCAATAAAAACATCTACCTAAATAACAAAATATACAATCAAGTAACAGCTGCGCGACCCCTTTTTTATTTAAAACCTTTTGGATTTATATTGCACTTTCTATCATTTTACACTTTCTTCTTTGAACCGCGATCATATGTGCCCAACGCGTCCATTACACATTGTCAAAACGAGCAAAAGTGTACGTTTCTTTTTATTTTATTTTATATTTCTTATTTTTCTCACATAGAAAAGCTTGTAGAATGCTTACAATTCCTGTAACTAGCGATGCTGCTGAAAGCTGGGATTGGCCACTTCAACACAATGATGGTGTTGTCAAAGTGACCAACACCGCCGAAAAATTCGAAGTCGGACTTGATGCTGGATTTTTCGGCCCAAAAGATATTGATGTTCGTGTGAACGGTTTGGAAATTATCATTCATTTGAGACATGATGTAAGTCAACTTCAACCAGTAAAACAATTGTATCGCCCTTTTTCAAGCAATTAATTTTCGAAAACTTACCATTTTTCCGGTTATCAAATGACCTTCATTTTCAACATTGAAGGAAACAAGCAAGGAAAAGTTAGAAAAAAAATGAGCGGATGACCTAAAAGAGATTTGCGGGAAAAGATATACGAAGTGACAGATCAGATATTATGTATGAATTCGATAAAAATGAAAAGGAAATATTTTCAAAAAGTTTCCGTAATTTTAAAGTTACAGGATCGCACAACTGAATATGGCGTCGTCAACCGCGAAGTTCATCGCACCTATAAACTTCCGGATGACATCGATACTTCAACAGTCAAATCGCACTTAAGCGCTTCGGGAGTTCTCACAATCACAGCCAAAAAACTCGCATAATGGAACAACTTTTAACTAAGTTTCTGTAATATATAAGAAAAAGAGAAATAAAATGTTTTTCATCTTTATCAAAAGGGCGTTCACACATAAATTTCGAACCAACCCCGCGAAAAATAATAATAAAAAAGAAAGACAGGTCGGTCGAAAAAACTATTGAAAAGAAAAATGCATCAATTTGTGACGGTGGGCAATTGATATTCGATAATGGTAGAGAAAATGTTCAGAAGAAAAAAAAGGGGAAAATTATTGAACTAGGAATCTAGGAATAATTCAAAAATCGGCAAATACGATATAGGTTCGAGCTTTTTTTGATATGAGTCCTCAAAAAAGGTTCGCAAGTGTTGTGAAAAACGGTTCGCACATACAAAATGAGTGCGCGACTACATTTTTGTTTCTCAAAAAATGGGTTCTTTTATTTAGCACGAAATTTTCAAAACGAATTCAAGCTTGAATTTTTCTGCGCAGACCCTTTTTCGTGGAATTTTTTTGTGGATTCATTCCAAAATAGGCTCGACACCATTTGCCTTCTGGTCATCCTCTTTTTGAAAATTGAAAAATATACCCAATAGAAAAATACTGTAGCTACAGTACTTAGACTTTATTCCTTCCCCTCATTAAACGAATACAAAATGTCGTATTCATCATCTTCCGGTAATCCCATAATTATTAGCTGATTTTATTCTCACCTGTCCTTCCTTTTCCTTCTTTCACCCCCTTTCCCCTTTTTTCTCAAAGTGGTTGCATTTTCTGCGCCAACCCTCAAAACACTGACACATTATTTCGTCCCTCTCGATTCGAAAAATGGCGTGCACAGCCATTTTTTATACTCATTCTTTCTCTTTCTACTCACAACTATATATTTTTTCTTGATTCCTTTAAATTTTTCGCAAGAATTATTTTGTTTTGTTCAGGTATGGGAGATGGGGAGGATTCAGCCAGGCAGATATTGGAAAATGAGAGAATGAGAATTTTGCGAGAGTTAGCCGAAATGGAAAGTGAAGAGGATGAAGAAGATAATGATGATGATGATGAAATTTCGCCCCCACCTCCACCACCACCAGAAGAAGAAATGTTAACTGAAATTTCTTCGACATCTAGTTCATCTGATAATGTGATGTAGGTTTTTTTTTCCGAAAAATGATTTTCACGTGGCCTAGTTTTTTTTTCAATCTGTCAAAAAATTCATTTTTTCAAAAAAAAAAAAATCATTTTCAGAAATACAAGTGATGAAGTACAGCCAAACGAAACTGAATTTGTGATAGAAAAGGAGGCTCCTGTGAAATGTCCATTTTCCGCATCGGAAAATCAACCAAAAATCGAGCAAGATGAAAACGAATTCGAAGCCGAGTTAGAAGAACTTATCGAGAAAGGAGGAGAGGTTGAGGATGAAAATAGTAGTCGAAAAGTCTGGAAGACAGTGCTAGAAAAAATAGATCATGATAGATTCAATCCATTGCCTGCTGATTGGGCAATGGTTACTCATGCTAGTGGAATGCCTGTATATTTACACAAACCAACTCGAGTTATTACATTAACTAGACCTTATAAAGTTGAGGGTGCTATTCGCAGTCATCTAATACCAATTTCTTCTGTTCCATGTTTATATCGTCAAAAACTTGAAGAAAAAGAGGAGGCGAGAAAAGAGGAGTTGGAGAAAAAAGTTATGGAAGAAGAGAGTTCGACGGCTCAAAAATTAGCTGCTCATATTTTGTCGGGAGCAAATGCTGGCATTGTTGAGGTAACTATTCTTCTTTTTTGCAGATATATATTTCATTCCGCAACTCAAACCCAGGTTTTCGGTGTTTTCAGTTTATTTTTCGCAAAAACTTTTCTGAATTCACCCAATACTTTAGTTTGATTCTTGAGGCGGTCACTTTTTCTCTCATCTCATCGAAATATCTTGAAACTAGTTGGTTTGATCAAACTTTTCTGAATTTATTGAATAGAAATGTTTGCTCACTGATTGGTTGCTACAGATGATTTTGGTATATTTTGCCCCAATCTCAAACATTTTTCAGAATCAAGATGATCTCTTATTAAAACCAGAACAATATCATGAATACTGCGCAAAACGGTTCAAATTCAAAAAAATCCTTGTTAATCGTTATAATAGCTGTGAAGAGAAATTTGAGGCAAAGAAAACTCGTAGATTGGATAATGTTTTAGCGCGAGCAGGATTCAAGGGAAAATATGAGGATATGAAAAAAGATAAAGATGAACATGAATTATTGATAACTGCACCAAGTGGAGCTGTATTAATTGATGTTACACCTTATGATCATCGTAGATATGCGAATAAAAAACCATTTTTATTGAATCCTGTTGGTCGAACTACAGTAACCGTTCTGAATGAATTTATGCAAAGATTGGTGAAGGGAAAAATTGAATATGAATGTGATGATAATCGAAGTGTAACTTGTCCATATAAAGCAACTGCCTGGTTAACTATGAAAACATCTGCAATTATTCAAACTGGTGGAAATGCTAAAGAGAAGCTTAGTTTGCTCAGAGAGCAAGCTGAATTAATGGGTGCTAATACGACTTTTGGTGTTGATGGTGATTCGCGAAAATTTCCGATTGGTAGAGGAGTTGGACATAGTAAAAAAACATCGAGATTGGCGGCGGCTAGAGATGCTTTAGGGGTAAATTTTATGGAAAAATTCTAAAAATGACCAAAAGTCATGAAATAGCTTTAAAGTTCACGTTTGAAAATTCCGTTCACGTGGAAAATATCTAATTTTCTTTTGTTTTCAAAAAAAGTTACCAGCGGTCGTGGAATAAATTTCAAGTTCTAGCTAAAAAAAATCTCGTGTTCGTAAACATTTCTAAGTCAAAAATTGCGAAAAAAACCTCTAGAATAATATTATTTTTTCAGAAACTTATTCCATCTCTGAACGTCAACGATACTTTTATATGCACCGGTGTCCAGGAAAAATCCGAATCAGGCGCCACGAAAAGTTATGATGAAGAAGCCATGGAACTTTTCGACAAAGTTAATATTCTTTCGAAAAATCTAACACATTTATGCATTAAATTCGGAATCACCAAACCAATGTCTTTATTGAAAGATGCGGTTGCCAAATCGCTTCGTTGGAATGGAATGACTCTAGAAGTTCAAAAGGATTTCGTTGGAAATGGTGGAGAATTATCGAAAATCACTCTTATATTAGGCGATATGAAAGAACAAGCTGAAGGAAATGGTGTGAAGGCGGCAACGCAAATCGCCGCGCAAATGATGTTAGCCAAACTCAACCCAGAGTTAACTTCTTATGGAAGTTTTCTTCGATTATATGGAGGATTGGAAAGTAAAGTGGCAAAAGATGAAGCGAAAAAACAACACGATCAAGTAGTTCGATTGCAAAATCAGGGAAGTCTTCTACAACCAAATCATGCTGTCCTCGAAAAATTGAAAGAAGAAATGAGAAAAGTTGCATTGGTTCATCCACCACGCCAATTTTTGTATGGATTAGCGAGTCAAGAAATTCCATTCAATCCTCAAATAACGATTTCAGTTGGTGTACAAACTGAAAGAATTTTGGCATCGCCTCCGTCACAATTTATGTTGCCACCACCACCTCCTGTTCCGCAGAATATTTAGTGAGTTCGGAACTTTTTTTTGACCTCCATCAGACATGTGACAACTGAAGAAATGGAAATCTGAATGTTTCCTGATTTTTATTACAATTTTAAAAATAACTTGTTTTTTCCGGAAATCATAAAAATATTTGTCTTTCAGTTATCCACAAATCCCACTTCCTATCGAAGACCTTGGTCGAAAACGCCCATTTTGCCCTGATTCCACAAATCTCACCACTGAGCCTCAATCAAAACGTGAGTTTTTTCCCCAAAAAGTCATTTTCAAAAAATTATTTTTAGAGGCGCCACCGTTCTCTTGATTATGAATTACGAGTTTATTACAAGTTTGTCATTGTTGAATAAAAGTTTATTGAGAAAAGAAGGCACAGTTATTGGAACCGTAAAAAAGGTAAATTTTCAGGGAAAATTATTTAGATGGGACATGAATCAACAAGAACTTTGTTGAGTTTCGCAGCTTTCTCGAATGGTTTTTGAATTGTTCCGATGTGAAGATGACGATAACATCCAGTTAGACTTGAGGTTGAGATTTTCTCGGCCACAGGACCAGAGACTCCTCCAATGTTAAGTGGTAAATTCATTAGTAAGTCGAGAGCAGAATCTGAGAGATCTGCTGGGATTTCGTTGCGTTCTTCGTCAAGAATAATTATTAGAATCTTGCTAGTCTTATCCAAAGTAACTTGAATACTATGCCATTCTGAATCACACATTGGTTTGAGAGCTGGAAGCGCATCTCTGATTTCGATTTGACCATGAATCAGAGTTACTAAAAGTTTCTCATTTTTCAATTCTATTGTCAATCTCGCTCCATCAGCATTTGAATTTGAAACTAAAGCAAGAATCAAACCATCATCAGCAGTTGGTCTGAACTGAACAGAGATGTCTAGATTCTCATCAATGGCTTTAGTTTTTGTTTCGAAGACTGCAAATCCAGCTGTGTGAACATACATTCCTTTGATTGGTTTTGAACATGGAACAACATCTCGAGAATGATCAGCTCCTCCCAAAGAATATGGTCTTGAATTGATCTTGAAGTCTCTGATACAACCATCGAAACCACCGGTTTCTAGACCGAATTGTGAGCGATGTTTTGAAATGACACCACCAACATACATTCTTCGACGCATTACTTTTGGAGTTGGACAATCTGACATCTCAACAGGATCCTTGATTTCATCAACCCACAATTTCAGGGATTTATCCGATTTTACGATTTGAATATCGTGCCATTGACCATCATTAAGTCGTCTTCCGAGATGTTTCAAAATTTTTGGTTGTTTGTGTCCTTTAACTTCGAGAGTAGCATAACCATCAATAATATTGAAGAAGATGTATCTTGTGTAATTTTTATAGTTTGCCCATGCCCAAATCATTCCGTTTGATTCATCAGTTCTCAAAGACAATGTGATGGATAAGCTGAAAAGTTTTCATTTATTTGCGAATGTTTTTTTATACTTACTGTGTAACATTGGGATATGGCGCTTGGAAGTTAACTCGACTGTGACTTGATTTACTGATACCAAAACGAACACTTCCATCTACATTAACATAAGCAATTGATGATTTAGCACCGCACGTTGGACTGGTATTACTGTCAATGTTATAATAATTTCGATGTGTTGATTGATCTAGACTGATTTTTGAAGCTTTTCGATGTCCTTTGTGACCTTCGGAATCGAGAATTGGATCATCAAGTGGGGTGAATATTTGACTAGCTGGATCCAACTGACATATTCCTATTTGAGCATTGTGCTCAATTGGGATGATATTAAGTGGTTTCATGTTAACATATATATCTGAAATACATCCGACAAATGAAGATGTGATTGGAATCTCTTCATTAAGTGGTTTCAGGGAATCGGTGAATCCTCCCAGAGTCAAAGTTGAGCTGGAGATTATTGATTCATCAGAAAGTGTTTGAGTTTCGCCAACATTTTTGTCATCGACTTTCAGTTTGATTCTGGAAAAAGATATTGGTTTTTTGTTTCTGATAATAAATTTAGTGTACTTACGATTTTGCTGATCTTGTCATAAACACTGAATGTGGTTGGCCATCATTATAAGGCTGTGTTGATCGGAAAGTGACTACTTCTTTTCTTGAACTTGGATCTTTGCCAAAATGAAGAACCAAATATCCGCGATATAAATAGAAAGCGATATATCCATGATTCTTTTCTTCGTCCGGAGTTTTCGACATTTTTGAGGATTGATATAGAATTGTTCCATTTTCTTCGCGTGTTCTGAATGAGAATGCAACACTGGCATTGTTGGAGATTTCGATTCCTTTGGTCACTAAAAATCCAGCTTTGGGGAATCCGATGATTCTCTCTGTTGGCAAGTAATGTTCAGCACCATCGAATACGCAACCAATCTCGCGACGTTGCGAATGTTCAGAATGATCCAAATCGAGTTCACCAATCTGCGATGGTTTGACTAGCAATATACAACCAACAAAACCACTCCATTGAATATTTGCGGCGAATTTGGCGCGACGCAAAGTCGCTGGAACTCCGGCGACGAAATGATGATCGTTGTCAATGTTGAGTGCTGTCGCTTCACCACGAATCACTGTGTTAAATCTATCAGCATCACTGTCAACTTGAAGATACATTTCAGTTCCAGTTCTGATTGCTTTTACTGTATGCTCTTTTCCATCGTTGTAAATATTCTGTGAAATAACTTCAGCTGTTCCCGAACCTAGATCCATATTGAATACTATTCGACCATCTTTGATATGTAAAGCCAAATGATCTCCTGATCCTTCACTTCCTCGGAAATATAAAAGACCATTTGGAGAATATGTGTTGAAAACTACAGTAATCGCAGACATTGTTCGTTCGATAATCGGCATTGTTATATTTGCAAATCCATCACGGAAATGATGACCACGTTGAACAGCTCGCGGAGGCGCATTTGCTCCTTCACATTGTTCTGTCGTTTTGTCGAATGCCCAAAGTGCCAATTTACTATTATCGATTACTAATTCACCAATTGATCCATGGAATTGATTTGTAGTTAAACCAATTTCTTTTGCAACTTCTTCATCAACTCCCACATCAATTTTTGTTTCTCCAGGAACTGTATTGAATACCAAACCACCTTCTGCGAATTGATCCCCAACAATAACACTCACACCATTTCCTCGATTTCTATATCCACCATCAATACTTTCTTTCAACGCAACTGTGAGATTAACAGCATCGCCAGTTCGTTGAACATCGATGTGATACCAAGAAGCACGGTCATTCCAAGGAATAAAATTGATCGGATGGCTATTTGTAACCATTTTCTTTCCATTTCCAACATTCCAATGAACAACAATTCTTTTTCCTTTGACTTCAACACCAATATATTCAGTTGGTTGAGTTCTACGATTTTTAGTCTTGGTGACAAGAATTGTCGAATCATCAACACCTTGTAATGGGCGATATGTGATATGGAAGTTATTGATTGGAGATGGTGAAGCTGGTGAAATGAATGATCTTTTACAAAGACCTCGTGATCCAGAATCGAGAGCCAGACGAATTTGATTAGCTTTCTCTTTTGCTTGCTCAATCTTATCACGAAGCATTGCAATGCTTTTTGCCAATTCTTCAGCTCGCTGATTATTCGCCAACGAGGCAAAGTCAACTTTAGTCAATCGATCTTTTCCATATTCAAGAAGACTTCGAGCTTCTTTGATTTTGTCGATTTCTTCACGAATTCCACTTGAAGTGCTGTTGACAAGTTTCTCAGTTTCTAGAGCAATTTCAGCTACTTGATCGCGAATCGACTCGGCTTCTTTTTTAACATTAGCTGATCTTTCATGAGCAGTTCTCGCACCATTTGTAAGAATTGAATGCATTCGATCGTGTTTGTCATCCCACGTTGAAGCTTCGTCTGAAAATCGAGAAAATTACAGATTTAAAAAATTCGAAACTTACTTTTAATAACTCCTAATCTCTTAATCATATCAATTTTCTGCTCGTTAACATATGCCAATCTTTCTGTCAAATCTTTTTTCTGTCCCTCAAAGTCTTCATCTTGCCAAAGTTTTGCAGATAGTTTCGCATCTTCAGCAATTAAATTCGAACTATTAGAAACTTCAGTAACCTCGTCGATCAAATTTTTCTCTTCCAAACTGGCTTCGCTAGCAGCTACTGCTCCATTAGCAGCGGCAGTTGCATTCTTCAATGCTTCGACAATTTCATCGTAGGCATGTGCTGCTTTGAGCGGATTTTCAGCTGCAAGTCGAGTTCCAGTAAAACTATCCCCAATTGCTTTTGCATTGATTGCTAGTTGTTTTGCATGATCTGCTGATTTCTTAACATATTCTTCGTCATATTCATCAATTAGTTGAGAATATAAAAGTGTAATGTTCTGACATTCTTCAACTTTTTCCGGAATTTCCAAAAGTGTTGAATTAATTTTCTGTCTATCATCAAACATATTCATCAATTCTTCGGCTTTTGCTTTCTCTACAGAATTTCTTGCACTTGCTAATTGATCCTCTGCTTCAACTCGAAGTTTTTCAATCTCATTTGATACTTCCTTATATCTGTCAAGTCTTTTTGTGACTACAGTACTGATTCGTTCAGCATCAACTGTTTGTTTCTTAGCATCTTCATAAATTGTCTCACGATAATCATTCAACCATCCCTCGAAAACATCAATTCGATGTTGCAAATCTTCGAAGATTGTTTCATTCAATTTTTTATTGAATACACTCTTCAAAAGTTCTTCGGCTTTTTTGTGCTCCTCTTCCGCGCGGTTAAATCTTTTCTCAATATATTCTCCTCTATCAAGAGTTGCATTATAATGAGCCTCAGCTTCCATCAACATTCCATCAAGAGCAGCTCCACCAACTGTTGTAGCTCCATGATCGGTGAACATATTGAGGAAATTTGTGGTGTTGAAAGCATTGGCGTAGTGAAGTTGAGCTTGTGCTATCAGATTTTCAGCAATGTTTGTAAATTGAACTATAGAGATGTCGGATTTGTTAGCTCTTCCAACTTGGAATTGAACTTCATCCATCACACTAAAAGCTTCTTTGGTCCATTTGGATTCTTCACTAACAAGCTCATCTTTTCCAAGAGTTCCAACAAAGTTAGAAAGATCAAGTGTTTCATTTCCGATTCTATAAACACGTTTCCATGGAATAGGTTTGAGATTACTGAAGTTTTGAAGAGCCAAATGTTCTTCCATTTCGTCGACAGTTTGCATAAGTGGCAAATAACATCCTTGATCACAAGCTGAAAATTTAAAAAATTAGTTTTTTCCATAATTTTTGGGAAAATAACTTACAAGTACAAACTCGATTAATGAATGCATGTCTTTCTTGACACATCGAACAAGTTCTTCCAGTTACTCCAGGTTTACATTCACATTCTCCAGTCAATGGATTACAAGAATTGTGCAAACTTCCATCTGGATGACATTCACAAGGCGCGCAAGTTCCACCAACGTGTTGTGGATCTCCAAAATATCCAGCAGCACATGTCTCGCAATATTGTCCAGTATATCCGATCTTACAAGCATCGCAAACATATCCACGACCATAATCAACAGCTTGACAAGAATCACTGAATGTGTTGTTCAACAATGGGCAGGCGCATTTTGTGCAAGCATTGGCCCCACCTTCCCGAGCATCACCAATATAACCTCCTTGACATTTTTCACAAGCATCTCCGTGAGTGTTGTGTTCACAATCTTGGCAGACGCAAGTATCAGGGTGACAAGTTTGAGAATGACCGTGACAAGAACATGGTGAAGCATATCCCAACAGAGCTAAATCATCAGGCTCATTGAGATAGTCTCGATGACGTTTTCGGCAATATCCTTCGTCAGGATTTTGACAAGATAATCCGGAATATCCTTGAGGACAAGTTCCACATTTTTCAACGCCCACAGCTTTTGTGGTAGAAAGTCCTGCGATGATAGTGCTCTCAGGAACAGCAACATCTAATGATACTTCTTGTAAATTGATCGCATCACCTCTTGCTGGATAGTTATAACTTCCTCGGATATAAATTCCTTGCACATTTTGCAACGCAATCATTAGTTGTTTTCGAGTCAATTTAAGTTCTGGCGAATGTCGAGCTCTCCATTCATTTTCATGAATTCTAATTTTATAAATTCCATCATCATTTATATCGAATGGCATATGTTCTAACTCGATTCGATTGTTTCCAACGATCACAACTTGCGGGAAATATCGGAAATATTGATTGTCTGGTCTCACGCCGTGTAATCCTCTTCGATTATCCTCGTTCCAAATTTTGAATCTCAAAAATCCATTATAACTTGTGGTTCGATCTCCCAACATTGAAGATGGTAATGGCCAATAAAGTGGCGTCGCATCTGTTGGATAACTGTTAAAATGACTTGGTGTAGCACGAAGAAGATTGATGTTATGTTTCTTGGTATAGAATTCCCAAGGCTCTTGGAATGTAGCACGACGATCTTCGGCATACATTTGCTGCCAAACCAGATCAGCTTGTTGACATTCGCTGGTTTTATTGAAGCAGAAACATTCGGTGCAACCTTTGATATTATGAATATCTAGGCTGAAAGTTCCTTCGATACATTTGTCGCATTTGTCACCGATCGCATTTTTCTGAAATAATCAAGAATTGAAGTTTAAGTCGACGCGATAAATTACTCACTTTGCATGGACATTTTCCAGTTTCATCACACAAACATTGTCCATCTTTACACGCGTTCGGATCTGTTCCAGCTGGATCACAACCGCATGGTTCACAAGTTGGGAATTTGAAGAAGCCATGTGTACAATGATCACATTTCAATCCAACGTATTCATTTTTACATTTACACTGTCCGGTTAATGTATTACACATTCCACCATCACTTCCAATATCACTACAGTTACAGATCTTACAACCTTTGAGAGGATGATAATCCCAAGAGTTTTCTGTACAGTTTTCACACATTTCTCCAACTGTGTTTGGTGGACATACACATGATCCATCAACAGGATCACACACTTGACCAGCTGCTGGACATGGTTCACATTCAGTACAACCTTCATCAGATAATCCATAGTGATTCGGTAGACATTGATCGCATTTTAACCCAGTCACACCTGGCTTACAAACGCATTGACCAGTTACAAGATTACATGCGGTTCCTTCTGATCCGGTTGTATCACAATCACATTCTTCACAACCATCTCCACTTGTGATGTTGAAAAATCCTTCGGCGCATTTTTCGCACATTGTTCCTTCCACATTCTCGCGGCATTCACATTTTCCAGTAACATTATCACATTTGCCATCTTCAATAGCTCCATAAATATTGCAATGACAAAATTGACAACCAGCGTCAGTAAAATTGAAATAACTTGGTCGGCATTGATCACATCGTTTTCCAAATACACCTTGCTTACAATTGCATTGACCACTTACTTGATCACAGTCAGTTCCAATAGATCCAACAATATCACATTCGCAAGCAGGACATCCGTTTTCAACATCTCCGTGATTGTCAACACATCGATCACATTGTTTACCAATGTAGAATTCCAAGCATTCACAAGATCCATCAATATCCGAACATTGTGAGCTATTTGAACCTTGTGGATGACAACCGCAAGGTTTACACGTATGGCTCAACGCATTTCCCCAATGATTTTCTTTGCAAACTTCACAATGTTCTCCAGTTGTATGTCCAATACATTTTAGACATTCTCCAGTTGATGTATCACAATTACCAATATCCATCAGATCAATATTTCCATTACATTGGCATTCTACACATGTTCCGTTTTCTCCTAATGGATCACCGAAGTAACCATCTGAACAGACTTCACATTTATTTCCTTCATAACCGGTTTGACACGCTGTGCAGACATAATCATCTTCATTTGCAGCTGCGGCTCCGGAAACAACCAATTCAGTCATCATACATTCGGGCGATCTATTGTTGTCCAGACTTGGGCATTCGCAAGGCCAACAAGCACCGAGTTCTCCACCAAGTGATGGATTTCCATAATATCCGGGGAGACATTTTTCACATCTTGAGCCAGTGGTATTGTGTTGACAGTTAAGGCATTCACCGGTATAAGGATCACATTCATCTAAAAATCGGAAAATTAATTATTTTTTTAATCTCTCAATAACTAACCAGAATGATCTTCGCAATTACATTTTTCACATCTTCCACCATAAAGTTGATCATTAACGCGACGATATCCGCTAACACACGATTCACAACTATTTCCAGCTAGGTTTTCGGGGCATTCACAAATTTCAACACCGCGCATCAATGTATCTTGTTTGACAAGTAGCGATTGAACACTGTTATCTGTGACTTCAACTTCTTCAACTTCTCCTGGATCTTGAGCAGTATCCAAGCTCAAACCAAAAATACTAGATTGAAGTTGCATTTGTTGATACATCGCTCGAACTAAGAATTTATCAACGTGCGCAAGAACACGCATCAAATCCGCTTTATCAACAGGTTGTCGAGTTGCACTGTTATACCATCCACTTCCTTCTCTCATTGAAATTGAAACAGTCATGTTTTCTCGAGGCAAGAAATCGATTCTTGAATAATATTCCACTTTCAATCCATTTCCTTCGATGGCAACATCAGCAACAGGAACAGGTGCACCTTGATCAGTTGGAACATAATAAACATAATAGTGAAGATATCCACCGTAGGAGTTCAGCATATTTCCACGGAAACTTTCAGGGGCTTTCCAGTAATACAAACTACGATCTTGATTTTGGTTTGCATTGAACATCAGAACTTCCCCATTTTCAACATCTGGTTTGATGTCTTTACCACCACTTAAATCAGTTAAGTTCCATCCAATATTATCAGTAATTTGCGAAGTTGTCCATTCGAATTGACTACAATTATTAGAAAGACCAAAACAGAAGCAACTTTGACAACCCAAAGGATTCTGTTCGGATAGATGAATTGTTCCAGCTTTACACCGATCACAATAAATACCTTCTACATTTGCTTTACATTGACAACTTGCTCCATCGCAAGTGTCGAAGTTAACACTTCCAGCCTGATTGCAAGGACAAGGCTCACAAGTTGGATGATTGCGATAACCTCTTGCACATCTGTCACATCTTCTTCCACCAAATCCTGGTTTACAAACACAATCTCCTGGTTGTTGTTGTCCGTTTGAAGCACTTTGATCATCTCGAACACAAGCATCACTTACTGATCCAATTGGATCACAATCACAAGTTCGACAAGCATCTTCACGATAGTGTGACATTCCCGATGGTCTATAATATCCTTCCTTACATCTTTCACAATTATAACCTTCGGTATTGTGTTGACAATCAATACAACGACCTCCACCTTCGTAAACACCTTCTGGTGTAATTGACCATTTATTACGATCAAGTTCTTCGTCATAAACACAACTATCAGAATGATCAAAGCATTGACATTGTTGACAAACATTTGGATGCGAGTTGGTACCAGGTTTCCACAAAAGTTGATTGAAAAGTGGGCAACATCTATTACACGATTCGCCACAAGTATTGTGACGACATTCACATTTAAATTGCTGAAAAAAGTTTAGGATTTAGAGTGAAAATATAATATGAACATTATGAACTTACTCCTGTAACTGGATCAGATGGACAACTTTCTGCATGACCGTAACATATACACTGTCCTCCAATTGAAATATCACTAATTGAATAGAAATATCTCATTGTCACTGATTTATCAACTTTCTGACTCTTTCTGTTAATAATCATCAAATCAGCATTCAAAGTTCTTGGGCTTATAAGTCTTAGTCTAACAAATCTAGCTCTTGTGAATTTTTGCAACTCTAAACTTGGCTTTTCTGCACCAGGTCTTCCATTAACCAAAGAAGTGTGAATTTCTCCATTCTCCAATGGTGTAATCTTTGAATATTCAGAAGTGCAATGCACTTCAACATCACTCTTGAATCTCGGAACTCCAGTAGTTGCCGCTATTCCGAATTGTCTCATACATTCAGCATCTTGCATAGCAAAATATTGCCAAGGTTCGTAATTTTCACCATCAAGTGATTTTTCGAGAACCCAAGTTCCAGGCCGTGGAGCATTTCCCATTTTGATAATAATATAAGCGACTTGATATTCTTGTCGAAGATCGATTGTAATGTTGACTTTTTCGAATTCGAGACCATTTGAAAGAGATGGTGATTGCCACCAACGACGTGTTCCATCGATTGCGTATTCAATCGGATGACGTTTATGAACATTGTTTGCATCGCAGATGTCACATTGTGGAGATCTAGAAATTATACGAAATTAAAATCTACCATTTCACAAAATTTGTTATGCTTTTAAAATTCAAAAAAAATTTCTCGAAATCCACGTGGAAATTTTGAAGTTTCAACTTTCAAAGCCGTATTTACTCCTTTCGAGATTCGTTCTACGCGAAGTTTTCAGAATTTTCAGAAATATGGTTCTTTAAATGTTTTTCGAAAATTCCACACATCCACTTGGATTTTTTAAAAAAAAAATACCCTAACTTGATTTCCGCCCAACTTACTGTGTATTACTCGTTTTTCGCAACAACACATGCTCAACCAATTTACAATATTCCTCGGTTCGAAATTCTCCGCACGTTGAACTTGCTGTGATTAATGAATTTGTGGCCAGATTGAAAATATTTGGGAATAATCCTCTTTCGGTTTCAGTGCTAATAAATTCCTGATAATTCGATGAAGTCTGATAGTTTTCCCATATCGAAGAGTCATCTTCGTCTGATCCATAGACTTTTAGTGGTACTATAATGAGACCCAGGCTTAAGCCTAGAAAAAAGCGCCAAACATGGCGCATTTTTTTCTCTATATTAGAGGGTTTCTGAAAAAAAACTGATTAAGTTATGCCGAAAATTAGGAGTAGACAATGGTGCAGAATCAGTGAAAAAGTAATGTAGAATGACCTCCAATACAGGTTTATCTTGCGCAAATATCATAAACTTATGCTCTTGAAAGAAAGAGTGTGGCAGATGTAGAGACGCAGAGAAAAAGTGATAGTCAAATATGGAGCGGACATAAGGTTATTAAGTTTGTACTAGTTCATATAAACATGAGTACTGTAGGAAAATTTGAATTTTTTGCTCAAAATTTGTATATAAAATTGTTTTGAAAAAAGGAAAAAGTCAAAAATATTACAATTTTTTTTCAATCGAACAGAAAATAGTACAAAGCGATGACCTTTATATTATTACTATATCTTCTTTATCAAAATCAATCAGAAAGTGTTCCGATTTGATTTTATCCCCAAAAATATTTTCTCATATTAAATTTTGGTGGAGGAAAAGGAAAAACAATTCATCATTTTACAGCGAAAAATATGTTTCGAAAAATATTTTGTTTTGGCACGCCAAATGAATGAGAAGAAAAGGTTGCGCAATTATCACATTCGCCTTTTTTTGCACCAAAAATGGTGCTAGAAATACTTAGATGGTCGAAAAAATAAAGAAGTAGGAAAAAAAAGGGAACGCTAATGAGTTGGTATTTTTTCTGTTATAACAACAAATATTTGTTTAACCTAGCGAAAAGAAGATAACTGAAAGAATAGAAAAAGTTTCGGAATTTTCGAATTGCCACGTGGATTTTTATCCGCTCTCAATTAATTTCATCAATCAAAATAATTTATTGTGTACATTTTTTGAAAATTATATACTTATAATTACAGTACTTTTTCCTCCTTCTTTTCCTTTTTGTTTTCTTCTTCTTCTTCTTCTTTTTTATCAGTTTCATCTCTTCTCATTCTATTAAATCCTCCAACTCGGCTACCGTATCCTCCAGGGTACTGTATTTGTTGATAATTATTGTACATTGGCAATAATCCTGGCATTTGTGCCAATGATCCAAAAGTGTACTGTGGTTGTCTTTGTTGTTGTTGTTGTTGAAGAGCTTGGGTTACTGTAGGTAGATCTTCTGGTGGATGAGTATAGGCTTTGGTGGGAACTCGAGCGGAAGTTGTGGGTTGAAATGAAGAGCTCGGTTGGGTACTGTAGGTTGTAGTTGGTTGTTGAGATGTGGAATATGTTGAGCCAATTGTCGAACCAATTGTAGATCCAATGGTGTTGGCAGAAGCTGTGGTTGAGAAATCTGGGAGATCGCGGAAAACCTGAACATTTTGATGAAAGATATAGGGCAATTCCACGTGGCTCTTGGAAACTATTGAAATTGCAACCCTTGGTTTTTAGTTAGAAAAACATGAGTTGCTACGTGGGGATTTTAATTTTAATTTGTTAACTGCCACGTGGCAATTGAAAAAAAACGAATTAAAATATTTTTTTCATTTAAACAAGTGAGTTTTTCACGTGTCAAGCTAAAATATTTCAAAATTCTTTGAATTACAGTTTTTCAAAATACCACGTTGCTTTTTTTCCTTCTGAAAACGTTTTCCCTGATAATTAATCACCTGTTGTATCCGTTGAGCTATTGATTTTCCAATAGCCGATCCAAATGCAGCAGCATCTTGTCCATAAATATTGAAAAATCCTCCATTATTATTGTTGTTCTGATTTTGAACTTGATAAGGATTATAAAATTGTGAAGCACTTCTTGGCAAAACTCGAAATTGTTGATTGTTATTGCACGGATTGCAATTTGATGAAACTGGTTTAGCTAGCGAAAAAAGGAACATAATATTGATGATAATTGAAAAGTAGCTCATTTTGGACACCAGAAATCATGACGAAAAATCGAGATTTATATACTTTCCGCGTTTTCACGTGAAAATTGAGTTGAACAAAAAAACCTGCTCGGACATAACAACAAAAAGGTGCTAAACAAATAGTGTCTTTTGTATTGGTAGGGACAAAAACATGAGATGAGACGAAATGGATTGAAAAAAAAACTTGCCACGGTTCGGAACAATAACTTTTTCGCACATTTCCGGCACGGATCGGATTTTTTGATACATTTATCCGTCCACTTGAGGCGATAGATCAAACTCTACGTAAATTTTCGATGAGACACACAAAAATCAGAAATTTATTACATAAGTTGTCTTGATCGCCTATTTGCAAATAGAAAAAAACGATGAAAATGTGCAAAAAAAGAAAAAAATCGAAAATGAGATCCGTACACATAGAAAATATCACGTAAATGAGATTCAAAAAATCAATCAGAACTAAATAAGAGAGATCAAAAAAGTAGAAAAAAGATCACAGTGAAATATAGATACATTTTTGTATAAGATTAGCCTTTCGGCTTATGTGGCAATATCAGGAGAACTTCGAGCCACAGAAGACAAACGGAAAGCTCGAATTACATTTCGAATTCGGCGACGTGCGGCTGAAGCAGAACTTCTGGCGACAGAACGGAAATCGTCGACTCGTTCACGGGATGGAGATCGTGCATCGACTGACTTGGAACCTACAAAAATTTAAGTTTGGACAGGATTCATGAATATTGTGAGTTTTCCTTATAGTTTTCCATATTCTTGCCATATTCTCTAAAAACCTTCTCACCTGCAATATTTCCAACATGCGGTGCTTTTTTCTTTTTCGTCAATCCGATAGCCGAAGCCATTGTCTCCGCTCTTCCACGAATCGTCTGCTCCGGAATTTGCTCCAAACTTCCAAAAGTTCCCGGCTCAGCCGCTTGTTGCTCGCCAGCGATTTCAGCTGCAAAATCAGCGCGCAAAAAATCGCCGCGTCTCGAAGTTGACGGTGTTGCCGATGCAGATTTTGAGATCTGTGCTCCCTCGAGACTATCCGATGGGAAAAAATGTTGTTGTGGATGATTATGATGACCAGCTGAAGATGAGGATGAACTTTGATGATCGGATGGACCATCGGGGCGATTTGGACTAGTTTGTGTAGTGGTTGCGATAAGTGAGAATGGCCATGATCCACTTCGCTGCGATTGAACTTTGACTTTACCATTCGTAGTCAGCTCTCTGGCCAGCGGACTTTGTCGACCAATGTGTGAATGATCGGATCGATGAAGTCTTGGAGAAGTAACATCTTCTTCAAGTGTCACTGGAAATGGCGAAAGTAGTCCGGCTGGATCATGTGAATCCATTCGGGACAAATGATAAAGAAATCGATCAAGTCTCTCGGGTTCGGTTTCTTTCAATTTGTTATAGATCTTTGATTGAAGATCTCGTGGAATCTTTAAAAAATATTTGTTCACTTGTTCATTACAAATTTGTTCAACTTACATTAAAAATTTCCTCAACGTTACTGATCATTGTTTCAACTACAGTACACTGCTGATCATTTTCAGCTAAATGTTCGTGAAGTTTATCATGATCAGCTCGAAGAATCGAAGGAGCAAATATTGTTGCCAGATTTCGCCCATCCATTTTATTTCCGTGGAGCTGAGAAAAACTTTGAATTTTATTTATTTTTTTCAAAATAAAATCTTACCACTTCACCATTTTCATCAGTCCGATCATTACTATGACATGAAACTTCGTGAAGAAACTTCAAGAGGACAAATAAGGTATCCAGGTTAGGAGAAACCAAAAGAGCAAATAGTAGTCGGATGGCTTCAATTCTATCTTCGATATTTAACTTTGCCGCAGCGATATACGCCTGATAATGTTCTTTTGGTAGTAAACTTTGTGGTAAATCTCGAAAATATTCCTTGAGCAATGTTGCCACGTCATGAGCAGTTGTATTTTCTACCATATTATCATTAATAGCGTGTCCACCACCAACTTTTTCAAGAGCATTTCTCAATTGTCGACAGCGTTTTGTGTTTCCGGCAACACGAAAAAGTCCAACTTGATTGAGCCCATACGTCATCAAATATTGTGTACAGTTTTCGACGATTCTCGGAACTTGTAGAGCGTGTGGATCGATGTCATCAGTGGAAGCATCGAGAGAACATGAAAATGAGGCTGACGCAGCGCGCGTTTTTTTGGTGAATCGACCCTACAAAAATATGTTTCAAAGTATTCATAAATGTATGATTGAAAATTTGGCCAGAACTAAAAAGACGATGAGAAATTTAGCTACTGGTATTATTTTTTCTAACCAAGATTCTGTAATTTTGAAGCTTTTGAGTAGGTTTTATTGGGATAACATTCTGGAAAATTGAATTTCAGTAACTTATTTTTTTGATCAATTATCAGAATGAAGCTTCTTACAATTAACAACATATTTGAAAACTATAAACTTCGAAAAATTAGTGATCTACAGCTATAATTACTTTTTTCCCATAAGGCATACCGTAATCTGTGGTTGTTGAATAAGCGGCTCAGGTGTTAGAGTTGTTGCAGTATTGATTACTTGAATTCCACCAATACCCACACCAGAACTTCCTCCAACACCTCCAGAACTTCCTCCAGTCAATGCAGATGGTGAAGTTGGTGTGGAAGATGGATATAAATTCTGAGTCGATGGATATAGCCATTTTCGATCATCATTCCACATTATTTCGGATTCTGATTTTACTGGCTTCGCAATCATTTTACCATTTCGCATCAGATTTGAATTTTGGAGCAATACTGTTGAATCATCAAGTGATCTACATCGACTCTCCAAATCCAATCGTTTCTCATTCAACATACACATTGCCAACGACACTCCGAAAACACGTTTATCTTCCGGTGGACACGGTGTTCCAGAAGCTCGTCGTTGAACATCGGCAACTGTTGGCGCACGATTTGCTTTCACAAGTTTCTGTCGTTTTTGTCGTAAAGCCGATAAATGATCCTTGGGTTTTCCAAAATTCACACCTGGCAATAATTTGGTGAGTCGCTGTGCGGCCACAATTTGAAGTGCGCTTCTCTCAATTTCCGATAAGTTTTCAAGACGTGTTCCACGTAGCACCAATTCCATTCCTTCTAATGATCTCCACGTCATACTATCTAATGATTTCCACGCGGAATCGGTGGATGATGACGTGGAACTCGCGTGCGAGAAATTCATATATTTCGGCTTCAATTTCCATAGCAGTTTTTGCGACGAATATTTCCAGCCGTCCGAGTGACTACTGGAAAAGAACATGTGATTTGCTTGAAAAGGCTTTTGGGATGAAAAACTGAAATGATGTGGTATAAGAAGTTAATCTTCTTGAATCCACCCACGCGAAAAAAAAGAGGAATGAAAAAACTTCCAGGAATTTGAAAAATTTAAAAACAAGAAATGGTTTTGGATTGGTTAATTTCTTTACTTTCTATTTTAAAAAAGGGCCCCCAAGGCTCTCGAACCTTCTCAAACCGAACTCGCCTTTTCTGAAAACTTTAGAACACCTGATTTTTTGTTGTTTCAATGACGTGGTTCTCAATTCCCCCCCCCCCAAATCTCACCTGCTTGCACTCAACGGCACATTCGGCGAAACTGGTGCAGTCATCGATTGTTCTACACCAACTCCACAACTTCCACCGCCACAACTTCCACCAACATTGCTACTTCCGCCTCCTCCCACATCCAGTGTATCGTGAGACGAGTCGTGAAAATCAGATGAGTCGCGCGAGTCGCGAAGTCGACCCTGCAAAATTGGAAATCGGGTTTTAAAAATTTTGAAAATCTGATTTTCAGGACTTCGAAATGGAATAATTTTATTGAAGAAATCGGGCCATCAAATATCTATACCAGGTCCAAAAAAATTGATTCAGATGTTTGGATTTCTAATATCTGACCTAATTTTTTTGTTGGTCCTTTTTCTACAATCTATAAATCTGGTCCGATTCCAGATCTTTTGAGCTGATATTAATTTTAAAAATTAACCTTTTTTCTACGAAACCTAAACATCATTGAGAATGATGATTTTTATTGAAATACAAATAATAGAGGAATAAAACGAGACATGGATTAGTGGCTGCGGCGAGAAGAAAAATCGAATAGGCGTGCGCGACACACAAAAATTTCAGACACACACGAAAATTTTCAGCTGTCTTCTTCTTCTTGCGCGGCTTCTTCTTGGGATTATTATTTTATATATATAGATAGATATTAGAATATTGGAGGCAAAAGCCACACGAAAAAGTGGCAGAAAAAAGTTGGGGTTATTATTATCCTTTCCAAGTACTTTTTCTGGGTGGGTGGAGTTTGGTGGTGGGTGAGGAGGCACACAGCACAGCAAAAAATTCAATTATCTTTTCGAGTCTCCATTTTCAAGCCACTGGAAGAGAGATATTTTTGTGTTTATCTCGTTTTTTTGTTGCTCGACCCCGCCAGTTTTTAATTGGTTAGATTAACTTTTGTGCGCTCGTGGCAGTCATTCATTAAATAATTATATTTATGACTTTTTTCTTTCGAAAAAACTTTTTCTTTTGAAAAATAAGAGAGGGGTTTGTTATGACGTGCCAACTTGACGTTTGGCACAGATTTTTCTATTTCATGATTCAAGTGTGGCCAACCTTAAAAAAAAAGATGGTAACGACGTAGCGAAATCTTAATGTTTTTTTGGAATTGACAAAAATGGCAGCAGAGGCAGATCTGCAATATGGCTTCCATTTTCTGGAAGCAGTTGGATAAGGTCGGATTTCATTTTTGACAGAAAGAAGTGCGAAGGTTTTGGTGAATTTTTGAATTTTCCATAGCCTAAGCGAACATTCTGTAATATTTTCAACATTTTCTCCCAGAAAATTCTAAGAAGGAAGGCTTCTTTCTTTCTAGACTGAAATTCCGGTATAATTTTTCAAGAAAAAAATTGAGCGAACTTTAAAGTCAGATCTATTTGTGCGAATTTGGCAAAACCCAGACACCGACCAAAAAAATGAAAAAAGGGGAAAAAACAACAAGAACACAAGCATCATGTTATTCAGAATAATAATAATAAGCTTTCTCTCTCATTTTTTTTCGAAAAAAGCAACCAACGAAAAAAAAAAGAATATTTCTATGGTTCGCGCCCGCAATGTGTTAGTAGAAGCGCGAAAAAAGCAGCGAAAAGGACCCCCTCGAATGAATGAATGAAAAAACAAAAGGAGAAAAAAGAAAAGGAGAGCACACGGCATGACAAAAAAAAACAAGATGAATATAGATGTAAATGTAGAGACTGAATATATATATCCATATATACATGATTTTTTTTGAGAAGGGGCGGAAATATCTATCAAATCCGAGCATTGTTTGACCTGATAATTGGCTCGGCTTAGTTTTTTCCGCGCAGAGAATTCGGAGGCGGAAATTAATCTTAATAGAAGAGAGATACATACAAGAAAAGGATTAGAGGATTTCTCAAGAAAGGGGTGTTTCTGATAAGCTTCTTTATAAGAAAAACCCTGAGTACATTCCAGAAAATTTGAGAAAATCCAAATTCCCCTCAAAAAATAAAGACGAAATTTGGGAGAATCGCATATTTTAGCTGGAAATTTGGGGTTTCTGTATATTGAAAATTATTTCACGTGGCATATTTTTTTAATTAAAAAACGTCATTAAAATGAATTCCACGTGGAAATTTGAAACTGTCATGGAGAAACTTCAGATGTATTTTATATGTATAGTTTTCTATAAATTAGGTTTGAAAATTGTAGATTTCATTAGAAGAAAAACACGAACTTCTCAAATCCACGTGGCAGTTGGGAATTTTTATTTGAAATAATTTGATTTTTCAAAAAGCAAAAAAGTTTTTTTTCGTGTCGAGATTTGGAACTTCAACACCACTTGATCACGAGATTCATCTCATTTGCAAAAAACTATGACGTGAAATTTTCGAACTCAGCACTGAAAATTAGGAATTTCCGTTGTTTTATTCTCATTTTCCAAGAGATTCAAATCAAACCACGTCATAATTTTGAGTTATGCAAAAACTTGGAAATTTCAAGTTTCATCAAAAAGTGGTTAGCTAAAGTGAAGGGCCGACAAAAAAAGAATGGCAAAAAGTATCGAGTTACTTCAATTTTTCGGGTTGTTTTGTTTTGTTTTTGTTTTTTTCCCTGTTCTGTTGAAAAAAACACAAATTTGTTTGAGCTTCTTCTTCTAGACAAAATTGGAAAAGGGTTCCCATGGGTGAATTTCAGCCCAATTTTTTTGAGAATAATCAGAAAAATCCTTCTATGACAATTAATAAAAAAACTAACTAGAGGATTGTTTTTTGAAAATTGCCATGTGGGATTTCAGCAGTCCAAACTTTTTTTTCATTTTCAGAAAAAAATCAGAATAATCCCTGTATACTAATAAATAAAAAAGATAATCCCCCAGATTTTCATTTTTATTTTATTCAAAAAAAAAGGAGAATTGAAAAAAAAAGTTTTTTTGAAAAATCCAATAAAACCGGATGGAAAAAATGAAGAAGAAGAAGAAAAAAGGAGAAAAATGAGAGAACAATTTATATGGACAGCAAAAAAAGGAGAAAGCTTTGAAAACAAAAAAAAAGAGTTCTGAAATTTGAGGTACTCAAGTTTTCTCATCTATTAACTTTTGAAAGAATTTTGAACATCGCCCTGAAATCGTGAAAAACAATTGGTCACAAAGCTCACCACGAAAACTAATTGAATTTTGGAAACGTATAATTTTCAGTGAGTTTTTATATGGTCTGGGTTTGAAGAAAATTGTCTGAGAAAACCAATTATCAGGATAGTTTTAGAAGTGTAAAAAAATTCAAAATCACAATTGCTGATAATTTTTCCGAGAAATTTTTATATCAAAATTGTCTGGGAAAACAAATTATTGGTTAGGAACTAAAATAAATTTTCAGAATCAAGAAATCAATAATATTCTAGAATTTTGAAAAAAAATTCAGAAAAATAACGATATTCTGAGATTTTTTCTGTTCTCACTATCAAAATTTATTTAAAAATAAATTACGATTATTCAAATATTTTATTGGGATGAATAGAACGTTTGGAGATTTGAGATAACTTCTGATAACTTTTTTCAAAGCAAAAATCCTCCACCAAAATTCGCCTACCGTATCCGTTTCAGTCCATCTACGTTGATTCGATTTTCTGATTTGCAAGAATCCGTGTTGCGAATTCTTTCTACCATCATCACTCAAATCTAACGGCATAATTGCAGCACTGTCAACCGATGGATGTCGAAGTGTTAATTTTGGGGGCTGCCTGGAAGAAGGAAAAAATGCAAATGGGCGGAACTTTTTTGGAAAAATTTGGGAAAAATTATATGGGAGGGCGGCGCGTGCTCGAAACGTCAGCTCAAAAAATTGTAGTTTCCAACTGAATACAAAAAACTATTTGTTTTTCTATAGCAGATAGTAATGCCACGTGGAAAAAATTATAAATTTTCACATTTGATTCAGAAGCATGTGAGATACCGTGTATTAACTACAGTACACTGAAAGTGTCTCGCAAGATTCCGTGGCTAGCCAGGTTACAGAACCTCCGGATATAGTTTCACTGTAGCAGCTGGTTTTTCAATAGAAAATTCACGTGGCATCTCAAATTTTACCACGTTGAATTTTGAAAAAAAACGCAATTTCAAGATGTTTCTAGCAGAAAAAATATTAGAAATTTCGATCTGGAAAAAAGGTTTTTACGTCGGAAATTTCGAGTGGCAGCAAAGCGTCAGCGCTGAAAATTTGTAGTAGAATACAAAAAACACATTTTCTCAACAGCAGCAAAAAACACCACGCATACACTCAAATTTTCAGAAATTTCAGAATAATGAGTAGAGGCGGGGGGAAATGTCTTTTTTGTTCAGCTCGAATGAATTTGAACGGAAATAAAAGTTGAATAATAAGAAAAAGAAAAATGAAAAATACTAAATTTCAAGAATTGTTGTCTACTCTTTTTGTCAGCTGAAATAGAAAAACACTCACAACTGATTTTTATTCTTCACACTTCCACGTTGAATTGATCCAAAAAATGTGCGATGTTTGAAAAGACGCCATTGACTTTTTCGAATTGATCGACTCGCAAAACCGGCTAATCGACGACTTCGGCTACGTTGAGGTGATTTTGGTTGTGGAGATGTTGGGCGACTTGTGGCCGGAGAACGACCAGCATCATCACTACGACCAGAATCGACCGAATCTCAAAAAAAAATAGATGAATTTTTATTGAAAACACAAGTGGTTGTAGGTTTTTGCTTGAAAAATGTGTGCAATGCGATTTTTTTGGACTTTCAAACTCATTACCTCGTTTACTACTTTGACTTCGAAAAATCTTCAATCTTCCAATCGAAAATCCCGTTGATTTTTCAGAACTCGAAGCCAAATGTGTATTATGTTCGGATTCGGATGTGACAGTTTTTGTGCTTCGCGTCGAACCGGCTGGACTTGTTGATGTGGAAAGTTTCTGATGATTTTGGGGCTGAGATTGAGAAGTTGAAGGAGGAGAAGAAGTTGATGGATTTCCGCATTGTGAATGAGAAGAAGATGGTGATGGAGTGCGGAAAGGCATTCTGCAAATTATATATATATATACATATATTGAAGAGGATTTTAAGAAAAATAAGATAAAATCAATAATGTTTGAGAAATCCTTCAAAGTATTTGAGATCTTTCAACAATTTTCAAATGCGCTTTGAACTGACTCTAAAAAGCCGTGTGTTTCAGAAGACATTTTAGAACAGATTATTTGGAATCCTAAGAAATTTTTTGAATTCTTTTCCAAGTTAAAATTCACGTGGATTTCACACAGATAAAACGGAACAATGAAAACATGCTTTGTTGAAAAAAGTTATTACAGTGAGAGATTTGAAGTTTGCAAGCTCCGCCCACAAAAAAAGTAATTTTTCTTCCTCTCGAAAAAGAAAAAGTTTTTTTGTAGTTTCAAAAACATTTTTTGAAAACTACACCTACTATTCGGATTAATTTTTTGCACAGCGAAACAAATCCGAAGCGAATGAAAAACGGGGGAAAAATAAGTAGAGAATAGTCGAAAAACAAAGAAAAATTACTCGTTTTTTTCGTTTCGAAAAAAAAACGAAGGAAAAAAAAACAACACATCAAAAATCAACATTAGCGAAAGCAGAAAAAAATGAAATTTTTCCAGCCACTGAAAAAATTCTGGAAAAAATTAGCATGTGCACTTTTAGGGATTTTGAACACACTCATTTTGATGAAATAAATTAGAGGATTTTTCGGGAGAAAAAGTTTGATCTGAACTTTTGGAAAATTCGAGAATCCACGTGGCTCTGGGCTTTTTTGAATATGAAAAATCCACGTGGATTTTTTCACGTAACATCAAAAAAATTGAAACATTCAAATAAAGCCACGTGGCATCTTGAAATAAAAATCCATGTGGCATTTTATTTTTTGACCGAAAAAAACGACGCGGTCCCCGAACTCGATTGAAAATTAAACGCCACGTGGCATCATTTGACTAATCAAAAATCAAAGATCCACGTCACTTTAATTATGCAAATTTCTAAGAACGTGAAATTTCGAAAAACTTTGAAAACTCAGAAAAGCTAGAGAATTTGTCACTAATCATTCTCACCCACTCGCCTAATTATCCAATTTTCCGTTGAGAAAAAATGTGTGTTTTGAAAAATAGAAAAACGAGAAATAAAATTGAAGCTCAAAAATGATCCGTAAGATAATCTACACACTGATTCACCATGTTTTTAGAAAAAATAAAAATGTTTGAAATTTTGAGCTTAAAACATTTGCAAATTTTTTTGTAATTTTGAGTTTAAAAATCCACTTGAAATTTGTTTTACATTGAATATTCAATAGACAATGTGGAATTATGAAATTAGATTTGTAAACAATTCCACGTGGAATTTGATTGGCATTTTGAATGAAAATGAAAAAATTAGCTGATTCAACTATATTTTCAGCAAAAAATGTGTGAACCTGTGAATGATTAACGAAAAAGTTCGAAAAATCTACAAAACACTCCAAATATCACATCGAAAATTCAAAAAATTCTCTGATTCTCGGTGTTTTCAGGAAAAAATGTCTGTAAATTTTGAGCTGGAAAAAACTTGCAGAAAAATTGCGCGAGTGACTTGAATTCGAAATTCGTTCTAATTCAATTCAAATTTTTCTTCATTTTTTTCGCAGACAAAAAAATACGTTTCAAAAAAATTGTGAGCAGTCGCTACGCAACCTCCTAAATGGCCCGAATCCAATTTTTTCGTTTATTTTTGTTTGCCAATAAAAAATCGGGGGATTACTGTACTTTTTTATAATGGGATGGATTCATGAAAAAAACTAATCAAATTTTTTGTTTTTTGGAGCTCGCAAAATAGAAAAAAGGTATTGGTTTACCTTTTTGCAAATATATTTAGAAACCAGCCTATGAAAAAAAGAAATGAGCCAAAAACAATAATATTTGTTCAGGAAAGAAGAAAAAGAAGCGCTTTTGGTAATTTTTGAGAAAATTTAATTTTTTTTTGGAATAATTTTAAGTAAAGGTGATTATGATTGAAGACTACTAGAATTTTTGCTTGGATGTACAAAAAATTTGAAATTTTGGTGTATGTGATTATTATTAGATCGCATTTGAAAATTTCAGAGGCAGAATTTAATTTGGGACCGTAGTTGATGAATTCCATCCAAGCGCACATGATAAACAATTTTGTAGAAAATTTCAAGAGCGGAAAGCTTATTTTTTAAAATAAAGCATAAGTTTAGCAAAACCCCTAGCCTCATTTTCATCAGTCAAAAAATTGTTTTCAATATTCTCCCCGCGCTCTATTTTTTCAGCAAAAAATAATATAGTAATTAACTTTTTTGTGCAATCATCAAAAAAGTGTGGCTCGGGGAAATTATATATATTTTCTCTTTATGCCCAAACAAAAAAATGTGGGGCGACGCATATTTTTTTTTAGAAAATACATAGAAAATAGTGGCTCATTTGGCTGACATGGAAAAAATGGAGAAATTTTTCAGCATTCCATAGAATTCTGAAAAATGCACCTGTTTTTGAGTTTTTCGAAAACTTTTTTCAATCAAGTAATTTTTCAGAACCTTGAGGAACTCAAGAAGGAGGAGCTCATTGAGCATGACACTAAAAAATGGCGACAGAATGGAATGGAAAAGAAAAGGCACAAAGCTAATTGGAAAAAAACGGACAGAAAAAATAGAAGAAGAAGAAGGAGAAAATAGGTGTGTGAATGAAAGAAGAATCGAGACAAAAATAAAAAAAAATTGGCGAGAGCAAAAATAGCAAAAAGAAAGAAGGAGGAGACGATTAGTTGAGCACAATCAAGTAACTATGATCCTTTAGAGCTTGGATTACTGTAGAAATAGAAGAGAGACAGAGAGAGTTTAAAGGAAAAATAAGGATCAGAAGATCATTTTGAGAAAGTGGAGGCGTACTGTAGATTAAAACTATAACCAAAAAATTATGATCTTTTAAGATTTATATTACTGTAGAATGATAATATATGGTTGAGAGACATCGAGGATTATAAGATTATCTTGAAAAGGGTGGAGGAATACAGTAATCAAATTGGAAGCATCATTCCAAAACTTAATGAATTACTGTAGCTTTGAATAATAAAAAGAAAAAGTTTAGAAAATGCATTGTAACTCAAAAATAAAAAAAAATGTGTGATCTACCAGTTTCCGAATTCTCAGAAGTTTAAGGAGTACTATGGTATTTCAAAAATCAAAGGAACATAATAAATGTCAAATATCTCTGATTCCGATATTCTCAGTAGCTCGAAAACTTTGAAGAGATCAATGATGTTTATCTACATTTTCCAAAAATCCAGAAAATTCACTAGAATTACTGTAGATTAAGAATTGCAAGTCACAATTATTGTGAACCATAGATTTTATTCCAAAAATAATATGTGAAAGATTACTGTAGCTATAGCAAAATACATAGAGCGTGTCTCATAAAATTTTGATCTACGATTTCGCATAAATTTACAGTAGTCCCCAAATACGTGCAAAAAATCGCGAAAAAAACTCTAGAATGAGCGAACAAGAATAGCAGCTGAAAATTTCCATATGCCCACACATACATTTTCGAAATTCGACAAAATTCATGAAATTTAAATTTTTTCAAATAAATGAGTGTGAGAAAAATATGAATATATGAGGAACAAGCATTTTGATCAAAAGAAATAGGCAAAAACGAAAAAATAAATAGATAGTATACAATTTTTGTTGCGAAGCACACAATGATCAGGTGGCCGAGTGGTTAAGGCGATGGACTGCTAATCCATTGGGGTTTCCCCGCGTGAGTTCGAATCTCATCCTGATCGAGAATTTTTTCTTTTTTGTAAGGGGGTCTACAAAAAATAAATATGTAGTAAAAAGGAACCTATATATGGTAATGAAAAATAAAATCGCATAAAAATAATGGATGGATTATGTGATGATGGAAAAGGAGAATAATTGAATTTGCTTGCTTTTTCCGCGCCGAGCGGCAAAAAAGCGTTCTGGAAAAAATAGAAAATATTTTATTTTCATTTTTTCAACAAAAAAAACGCTGACTAAATGACTAGAATATAAAAACTGGACACTCGGACAAATTTAGCCAATTTTCGGAAAAGGAGATTTTTCGAATTCAACTAGTCAGAAATAAGTTCTAGACATCAAAAAATAAGAAAGTTTTATGACTACTAGTTACTTTTTCAAGCTGACTAATAAAAGTTTTTTCGGCAAAAACTTTTCCGGCTCGAAACAAAACGAAATTAGAAAATTTTTACGACTTGGGAGTTGGCGGCGGGGGAAAAAGCGAATTTTTGGTATCGCCAATTTTTTTGTGGGCAGAGCTAATTTTAGCACACATCAGAGAGGAAATTATTCAAAATAATGGGTTACTGTAGTTCAAAATTCGGAACCTTGTTTTTGTATAAATTTTGGTGTTGAAATTTCCTACGAAAATTATTACCGTACCACGAAAAAAAAAGAATCTTCGAAAAAATGTCACTAATTTAGGGACCTAGGTTACTGTACTTGGAAAACCCAAGTTTTCTTCTTTGGGAAAAATACTAAATTTTCCTATCTAATTTTTTTTCAAAACATTTGAAACATTCTGGATTACTGTATCTTGAAAACTTCATTCGTGACAAAACTAGCAGGTCTAAAAAATATCCAATTTTTTGGGAAAGAAGAAGTCTCAAAAATTAATATTTCAAAAGACATGCGAAACCTTTCACCCAACCAACACAAAACAAAAAAGGCTAAAAATCAGCCAAATTAAAATTCACACGAAAAATATTCGATTACTACAAATAAGAAGAAAATTAATGAATTTTTTGCGGATTTTTTTTGTCCAAGAGAACTACACACAAGGAAACTAGAACTAAATTGGCTCTTGAGAAAATTGAAAAAAAAATATCTATCCTATCGTGGAGCGCGCAGTTTCTTTGATGGTTGTTAAAAATGTATGAGTTCATCGTCTGGTGCTCTCTTCAAATCACACATTATTTTCGTCGCGGCTTCAGTGAAGCATAGCGAAAAAGTGATCCGGCAGAAGAGGAAAGAGGCACAAATTTGTTGTTTTTTTCCGTGTAATGTTATTATTATTTTATACAATCAGACGAGCAAATTAATTAATTTGTTTAAAACTTATTGGTTATGATGTGACAAGATTTCGTATTTTTTGCGGGAAATGATGAAATGCTTTGAGCTATTTGTTAAACTTTCAGAATCTGTGATTTTCGATTTTCAGATTTGACGTTGTTTTCATCAAACTTGGTGTCGAGAAAAATAACGGAGTTTTTTTTAATATTTAAAATAATATGTTGACACTTTGGAAAAAAAATGAGGCTGGAATTTTTTCCGAACTTTTGCACACAAAATATTCCACGTGGCTAATAATTTTCAAAAAAAATGAATTTTGCAAATAATCTATAGTTTGAATGATTTTCAAAGGTCCAATTTTTAATCCCAAAACCCTTAAAAAATTAAAAATTTATGACTTACAGAAAAAAGTTGTTTCCAAATTATAAAACTTATTATCCCTGACAATTCTTCGGATTTTGTTTCACAACCACATTTCGTCTAACTCCAATTGGTGGCGGATGTCGAATTTGTATTTGTGGCAAAGGATTTGGAACAAAAGGTCTTGCATAAACCGGCATATATCCTCGTGGAGCAGCTTGAATTGGAACAACGTGTCGAATTGCAGAAGAAGAAGAAGAAGGATAATGATATGAAGGTGGAATATGTTTGGTGATTCCTGCAAAATTAGAATATAAACCTGGTAAAATTTTATGGGGGTTTGAAAATTCGCGTGACAGCAGTTCTCAATTTTTCGGGATCGCGAAAAAATGTTAAAAATAGAAGAGCGTGAGAAAGCACAATACATTTATTCATACATAACAAAAAACAAATAAAACTACAACTACCAAAATATATTATATAAAACATCTTTTTTTAACTATCAAACTTTTTTCTGATCAGTCCATTTGAATTTCAGAGCATTATCAGAGTACAAATTTGGTCGGAAAACTTCGAATTTTGGTTTTTGCGCAGTGAAATCCATGTGTAATCTAGAAAACCCGTTTGATTGTAATTCAAAATTCAAAAAAAACATACTCAGCTCGAAAGTTCGTATGAACATGATCAACATTTCCCTTTTTCTCATTAGCCACCAATCTTTGCCAAATTTCACGATTTGCTTTAGACATCAAAATAGTTTGGATCATTCCAGACATCTAAAAATGAATTTTTTCGGAAATCGGAAAAAAACGTCCAGGGAGTTTAAAACTCACTCTCAACCCAACAATTCCATTATATTTTCGATAATCAGCCATTTTGAAAACAGTCAATTTCACATCGTCCAATGGAAAATACAAACCGAATGCCAAAATCGCCGAAATCTCATCAATCAACGGGCGAATATTGAATGATTTCAAATTTTCGATAAAAATTTTAAATGTTCCATGACATCTTGCCATAACGCAAATTGTATCTTCAGGCATTAGCTAAAATATATATTCATTTTGGTAGGAGAAAACTGATTGTGAGACTCACTTTAAAAAATTGTGTATTGTTCTTTTCCTTACTGTAATAATAGACAACGTCAGGATTGACAATTGATTTGGTGACAAAAACATTGGAAAGTCCTGAAATTTGTGAAATATACATATGTATATAAGAGAAAAACAAACAAAAACGAAGAAAAATAAAAGAATTTGTGGAAAATTGCAAAATTTGAAATTTTTTCTAATTCATGCGCTTAAAATGCCTGAAAAATTTCAACATTGATTTTTTCAAGATCCCAAACTTTTTGTTTAAAAAAGACCATCCTAGTTTTTCGACAAAACCTTTGAATGAGAGGCCAAAATGGGAGAAATTTTCAAAATATCAAATTTCTCTTTTTTTATGTGTGTACCGCTTCAACAGTAATCTAATTTTCCAGTTGAAATCAGTTCCAAGAATTTTGATAATTTTCAAATTTCAAAAAAAACCCACTCATTTTCTTGGTTGCTGGTGGCGCACTCAAAGTCATTGGATCTCTTCTCACAATCACCGGAACATCTTCTTTCGGTTTTTCTGCTGTTTTCTCGCGAATCACAATTTTCTGATCCTCTTCATAATTTAATGGCAAAGAGATATTGCTCATTTCAATAGAACTGTTGTTGCTCAATATATCGTTTTTCAACGAAAAATGCAAATTTTGCGCAAAGAGTTCGTTGAATGTGACCTGAAATAAAGTGCATCCTTTTAAGTAGCTTTTCAAAGCGGAAAGTTCAGGCTTTTGCTGAAAAATAAAGTCTATGTGACCTATTAGACGCTAATTATAGCTTATTTAGAATTGGCAAGCAAATCTGGAATTCCAGCCATCTCGAAAACAGATTATTTTTCCTCCAGCTGCTGCTAAAATTTGTTTATTTTCCCAAGAACTTTTTCAAATTCAATTTTCTCTTTTTTATTAATTGATTTTTTAAATGACCGGGTAACCGAAAAAATCATATTTTAAAATCAAAGTCATGATATACCAGCTTTTTGTAGAAAATCCTTACATTCAATTTCTCTAACATATCTCCAAATCCACCATTAATAGCATCTAAAAATTCGACAACTTTCTTCGCGTTTTTCTCATACAAAATTATAACCAAATTTCGATCATGTGTATTTTTCGAATTCTCCATAATTGCCATCATTTTCTCCAATTCCACTTTGGTTTTCGATACTAAATGCGACATTCTATCCCAAGTACTATCGAAACCCGTCACTTTATTTTCAATTTCTCCTAATTTTGTAGCCAAAATCTTTCGAGTCGCTTTCATCGCTGATTTTGACTGTAACAAAAATCTTATTTTGTTTTTTGAAATTATAGAGAAAAAACCTACACGAAGAGGATAAAAATCAGCAATTTTATGATTTTTTGGCAAATGTTTTTTGAGAGCACAAGTTGAACAGATCGCAAGTGCATCTATATTTTCAAACACTTCTTCCGAATCCACGTCATAGCCGAATTTTTCCATGGCGCAGTCTTTGCAAACATTCATGCTAAAAAAGTAAATATTGTGAGAAAAAAGGGTTTAATTTTTGCGCAGCTTTTTTTTCTGTTTTTTTTTGAAAAAAAAGTGACCGAGGTCGCAGATTCCAATTATCATTTTTTAAATAATTTTTTATATCAAAAATTGTTAAAACAACGAGTTTAGGGTCCCAAAAATCCCGGAATTCAGGGTTCTCATGTTCAATATAGCTTAATTACTGTTTTGAAAATTAAAAATCAAGTGGTCCATTTAAAAAGTCTGCATTTTTAAGTCACGTTTTTTGAGGTCATCTTTGAAAATAACAATTTTTATCTAAAAAGTAATATTAAATGAAATTTTCGAAGCGTGAACTTTGGCTCAAATACATCTGATAACTTAAAGTTCATTTCATTTTTTGTTTTTCTGATGCGAAAAAAAACGAACTCTGTCTCAACATCTTCTTTTGCACATTCAGTGCAAATCAGCACACAATCCTCCTCATTTTTCTTGATAGCACTCAAAATTCGGCCAATTTCATCAACAATAACTTGATTTGTCTCAACATTTGCTTCTTCTTCCCATTGTTTTTTGCAAAGACTGCAACAATTATCACAATTTTGACCATAACAATCTGCGCAAATTGTACAAGAACATGAAAGTTTTAAAGGATTTCTTCGATTGAAATCATAAACTTGATCGCATGATTTGCAGCGTGGAAAAAGATGTTTATTATGCGATTTTTGGAGACCATATCCAATTTTCAATGCTGTAATCGCTTCTTTCGTCGGGTTCGTAACACAGTCTTTGCAAAAATTCAAATTCTTATTCTTGCTTATAAATATATTCTGACAATTCTGACAAATCTTCGATTTATAACAAATCGGACATCTCATCGCTGCATTTGCTTCTTTCTGAATGTCCATTCGATTATATCGTCTTTGCTCTTTTTCATAATCAAATCCCAAAGTCGCAAGAATCAACTTTTGACATGGCGTGCAATAAAAATGAGCACATTCTCCCAGGGTTTCTGCTTCTGTGAAAGTTTATCTTTATGTTTTGCTCAATGAAGGAAATGTAAAAGGAACTTACCAACTTGTTGGCCACATTTGGCACAATTCGAAAGCATCTTTCTTTTATTACTTTTTCACGAGTTCTTTAAGGACGCTTGAAAAAAAACATTAAAATGGTCTGCATTTGAGCGGTGCCGTGTTTGTTGGGTCTCGCCGCGATTCGCAACAAAACCTCATGTACCTTTAAATATATCGTAATCTCTGTGAACTTTTGTGGGTTTATTGCCTTTTCGTCACTCTGCGCAATAACTCAATTTTCTCTAGAGCAAAGTAAAACTACGAGAAACAATAAAAATTCCTATTTCCGTTTTTAAAGAAAACAAAAATACAACTTTTTTAGTTTTTAATTAATCTAGTGTGAGATTCAAAAAATCACGTCGTAGCAAAAAAGTGCCCCATATCTTTCTGCCTCATTAAAATTTTTGTTTTTCTCTGTTCTAATGGTTTTCTCGAAATTCCAATTCTTCTTATTTTACTAGCAGATATTTGTTTTCCGAATATTTATTTTCAATAAATTGGTTTTCTCCTTTTTCTTTTGATTGCTTTTATTTTATAAGTTTTTTGCAAGAAATTTTTCAGACGCCTTCCTCTTTTCAAACTATGTTTTTTTTAAATGTAAACTTCATAAAGTGTCAAAAACACACTCGCCAACTGGAGTATAAAAAGAGTGAGAGAGATAGAAATGTTTATCTTGACCATTCCACACATGTTCGATGACAGCTTGTCTGGCCGAGTGGTCTAAGGCGGGCGTGTGGTTTCCTAGATGCCAGTTCGAACCGCACCCGAGGCGTATGATGAAAAAGAACTCTCTCACTGATTGGTGATGTCTTCCTACATTATCTGAGCCATTTTACTTTTTTAATTAAATCCGTACCACGTGGTTCTATAGAAAGAATTAATTAAATTCTTTTTTGTTTTGCAGATGAGTAACAAGAGTAAACATTTGGAGGATATAACAGCAGGTTTGATTGAAAATTCCTCATTTGAAAAAAATGAAAAATGTCGAGAAATGTTACAGACGATTTGACGATTATGGGGATTTATATTCGAAATGCGCATGTCGCTCCAACATATACTGAAGTTTTAATACAAGTTTCTTTGTTTGCTATTAGTGCGCTTCTAACTATTCTTGCAGTTGTAACAGTTTTCAAGTTCACGTAAGTTATCTGAAAAAAAACATTGAAAAAATATCACGGATAATTTCAGAGTTTTCCATAAAAATCAACGTAACATTTTCGCCTCTTTGCTTCTTTTTTGGTTCGAATTGCTGCTTTCTCGCGTTATATTGTGGAAATTCAAATACACTTTGACCATTGATTACAATGGAGGTAAAGAGTACCTGAAAATTTTGCTCGAAACTTGAAAATTCTAGATTTCGCTCTACTTAATGATTGCGAACGGTATGGTGATTGTGAGGTTTTCGAAAATTGGTCGGATCCAGTTTTTGTGGCCGCCAATTTACGATATCATTATATGTTTGTGGTGATTTTGGCACCAATTGCAATTTTGAGTGAGAGAATTTTCGCGACGGTTTTGGTGAAGTACGTTTTGAACTTTTGGAGAATTTATTTGAGATTTTTTGATGAATTTGTAGATTTCGACCGGTTTTCCTTTCATTTTGTTAAAGTTTCATCTACCTTTTTTTCAGAGACTACGAACGCAAATCGCGTCGATGGATCTTCATCACAATTCTGTTTTTCCAAATTTCCCTCGCCTTCACTTTTGCTCTCATCACCACAACATTTGGTCTAACTTTTCCTGTCTTAATCACCGCAACCTCAATCGCTCTATTATCCTCGGGAATAATTTTCGGTTTTGTCGAATTTTTCAACATCAGACGCTTGCGGATTTTGGAGAAGAATCATCGAAATGGAAAATATTCGTTGAGCATTCGATATCAACTGAAAGAAAATTTAAAAACTTTAAAAGTAAGGGCATTTTAGGGATTTAAGGATTTCCAATTTTCAAAAAAAAAAATTCCAGTTAATGAGAAGATTTTTTCTCTCAATAATTGGTTTTATTGTTGTGATGGGATTGGCGAATTCAATTCCAGTTTTAATGAACATGTCGGCATATGTTATTCTCATAGTTCGACAATACTTGGACTTTATTTTTCATTCGTGAGTTCTAATAAAACATTTATAATTTTTTTAAACCCACATTTTCAGCAATCCCATTGTGTTGATTCCAATCGCTTTAATAACAATCGACGCTTATCGAAACTATGTGACAAACAAAGTTCGAACAACACTTGGCTACCGCGCGAAATCGCAAAAAGTTGATATTCGAAAATTGAAAGCTCCCGAAAATGTTAAAGAATCTGATGTCTATTTTTCGATTTTCGAGAAACAGATGAGGAAAAAATGAATTTTTTGAACAAAAATGGGGATAACAATAAAGACAAAATCAACAACAAAAATATTCAGAGAAAGTTTCAGACACTATCGATAAATTTGCACATCTCGGAATCTTGATATGTCCGGATTTTTTTCGCCCATTGTTTTGGTGTGTATTGCCAAAGATTTTTCGGGTCTCTTGTCATTGCCTGAAGGTTTTTGCTTTTTTTAAAGAATAAAAATGATCTGAATACCTGAAAATCGTCTCCGTGTCTCGCCAACATATAAACACACAGTTCAGTTTCTCTGTGGAAAAGTCGGAATTTCCGGTTTTGCCCCGCGATTTTATCATTCGCCTCCTTGGCTTCTTCTTCCAATCTTTGAACAATATAATCAGCCTGTTTTTGATTTTTCGGTCTTCTTGTCACTTTTTTCTCCGGTTTCACAGGTTCTAAATTGTCTTCGCCTTCAATTGGCACTGCGTCAATGATTTCTTTCCGACCCGAGTCCATTTTTACCACCTCGTTTGGATCAAATGCAATTCCCATGTCTTGAATATTTTCGCGTGGCGTCTTTGTTTCATCCCAATTATATTTGATAATTGGTCTGAAAATTCAAACAATTTAGGCTTGGAAAAATAGAATAGAACACGTAAACAACTCACACTTGTGATTTTGACAACTTCTTCTTATTTTCCTTCTTTTGCAGGTATTTCGCCTTGTTCCGACGATTCACATATTTCGGTCCACCGCGCTTCTTCACGTCTTTTGGCATTTTAAGGTGTATTTGACTGAAAACAACAACAAAATAGGGTTTTTTGGGGGAGAAAACGCGAAAAAAAGAAAATAATTTTCCGTGGGGGACTAGAAAACGCTTGAAAGCGCTTGGTTTTCTAGACCCTCTGCAACGTGTACTTCTCTCGGACAATTGACATTTAATTTTTCTCTCGAGTTTTCTGTTTTTAAATGTTGCGAAATTCATTAAAAGACGTTGTTTTCAGACATCAAATGTCAACACGGAGAAAAACATCGACACCGCAAGAGCGTCGACCCGTTTCCCCAAGCGCCACACCAAGTCCAGCGCTTGGAATCATCCTCGCAATTGCCCGTAAAATTCTCTTCATCGACGCCAAAAAAATCGCCGTATTCTACTTGGCTTTTGTCACAATTCTATCAATTATCGAATCGCGCGTCGAACTCGATTCCACCTATTATTTGGTGCAAAAGCATAGTATTTTGAATCAATATGGTGTAAAATTGGGATGGTTTTGGACATGTGTAATTGTTGGTCCTTTTATTTGGTTGACATCCCGAGCACATTATAGAAGAGATCGTGATCAACCGATTGTGGATATTTGTAGATTGGGTGTTGCAACTGTTTTTTGGTGGGGATCTGTGCAATTGTGAGTTTTAAAAAATTTCTGGAAAACCCTCATTTTTACGTCAAGTATCTTTCAGATTCCATCGAGTATTTGCCTCAACTTCCACTTGCGATAAAGGCCGCCGTTTAACTCGAACTCAATGCTCTGAAAAAGAAGGAGTCTGGACACCAGGATATGACATCTCTGGACACTGTTTCCTTATGGTTTATTCGATTTTAATCATGGCTGAGGAAGTAAGCGTATAATTATCTTGCTCAAAAACATCCTCAAATATTCCAGGCCATTTCATTCCGCCACTACCAACAAGTAACCGATTCGGTCAATGAAATGGATGGAGATCGAGCTGAACATGATTATTTGACCCGAATTATTCAGTATTTTTTCGTCGCCATGCTATTTTTACACGCATTCTGGTTCAAACAAATTATCATTTCTGTTTTGTATTATCATATCTTCATTGAAGAGGTGAGCATTTTCGGGTCAATTCGGAAACAAGGGAAAAATTAAATTGCTAGAATTTTCAAAAGATGATTTTTGAAGTCCATCCAGAGTTCATCAAATCTCACGAATGAACCTTTCAAATCTAATAGATGTTCACAGTTCAGTTAAAATTTATCCACCATTCACAAGTACGTATTATTATTATCAATTAATTTCCTGGACTCTCAATTCGATACAACGATCATTATATTTTAAATGAATTGTCTGATATTCCGAAAATACATCCATCTCCGTTTCAAAAATTCAGTGTTTTAATTTTTTCAAAATCATCTTTTTCTTCCCAAGTTCTGTGCGGGGCCAATGTTTCCGTGTTGATATCGAATCCAAGTCTTTCGGAGAATCTTAAACATATTCATTCATTCCTTCTTTTTTTTTAAATTGAATCAACGACTAGGGACTTCACCCCTAGTTGAGCGTGTCTCCCAGGCAAAAAAAGATTTTTTTCAATTCCTGATTATCTGGGTCACGTGAAATTCTGATAAATATATATTTATCAAAAGTGCCTCATTTCTTGAATTGCAATCATTTTACGCCTAAAAACTTGAAATTTAGTTCGATAATGATGGATTTGTAAAACTGGAAGGTCTTCCAGATTACAAATTTTTGAACGAAAAAAATGTTGATCAAAAAATAGCATTTTCTTTAGAAAGTTCTCAATAAATGCTCACTTAATGAATTGCAATCAATTTAAGATTTAAAGCGTCCAGAGAAAATTTTTTTCTGAAAAAAGGTAAATAGGCTATTTTTCTCACGTCAAATTTTTTCATCAAGCATTTTCTAAGCAAATTGATGGTCACTTCTTGTGTCAGAAATGATCAAGTGGTTAGATCGCGTGTTTTTGTTCAGAAGGTCCAGGATCGGATCCTCTAAGTTTCATTCCATGTTTAGTGTTATTTTAAAAATTGTGCTGCAATTTCATTAGCTGAGTATTCAATTTTCTCTATTTTTCTAGATCCTTGGTGTCCTCACCGCTGTTCTTTGCTGGTTCGTTACCTACCGCATCATCTACCCCTCCGGCTTTCTTCAAGCTCCGATTCGTCGTGTATCTTCCAGAAAATGAAAATTATCCACCTAGTCTCTATATCTTGCTCAAAAACTATGCCTCTATATGCCTTTAAATAATAAAAGATTTCATATTTTATGTTACAATTAGACCTGTAATTAACTTACATGAATAGTTGAAAAAATGCTGGAAAAAGATCAAAATTCTCGATCAGGATGAGATTCGAACTCACGCGGGGAAACCCCAATGGATTAGCAGTCCATCGCCTTAACCACTCGGCCACCTGATCATTGGATGCTGTTCCATAAAAATATAAATTTATTTTGGAATATGTTGCCAGCAGCAAATTCAATGACCTTGGAAGAACAAGAGGATTATCAAACTTTTAATGAAATTATTAATTAATAAAAAGGTATATAATTATCTAAACAGCTCCCTTGTTTTACCTTATTTTTGTTTTCTTCCCTTTTCTCCTTATTCTTTTCGTCTCGAAAAGAGTATGGCTGGCCACGCCTTCTGCGAAGCTCCGCCCCTTTTTTTTCGCCTCAAATTCCATTTTTATTTTCCCGCCACCTTATATTATTCATAATAATAATATTATCATATGACCAAAAGTTTCTAAACTTTTTCCGCATCAAAAAACTATGGATCAAAACTGTGAGTTTATCTAAAAATTCAAACGAAAGTTTTTAGCGCCAAAAATGTGCTCTATGTGAAATTAAAAAATTGGATAATTCGATTTGGAGAGCAGAGTAATTTCCAATATAAAATCGCGTCCTCTCGAAAATATTTATTTTTTGTTATTCGTAGTTTTTGTGAGGCAAAAAATCCCATTATTTTGTCGATTATCATAATTTTATGAGATGCTTCTTTTTATTGGTTACTGTAGTTTATCACTTTGAAGTTTTGAAGAAGAAAAAGAAAGAAACTTGGAAAATTTTGAGGGACAAAATTCCACGTTCTTTTTGAAGAATTTTCAAAAAAAAAGTATCAGAATATTCCAAATTTTTTTGCAAACCTCTAATTTTTCAGTTTCTCCCACATTCGGATCAATTGTTCTTTCACCCTATACAACATCACAAAACAACACAAATTCTCTGTCGCAAAGCTACACCCATCATCATCACCATCAAAATCTCGATAATTTGAATATTCATCAAAATGAAGTAGAAGAAGATTGTTTGGAGCAAAAAGGAGGAGAACAACTAAAGGTTCGCGTGATTTATTGGGGATTTTTTGAAACTTTTTTGTGTCAGGAAATTAATTAGCGCTATTCATGAGAAAGTCTTTGAACTTCTTTTGAAAAAATAGTTTGACACGTCATATTTTATGATTACTGTACTTATATTCCGGTAAATCAAAATTTTTGAAAAAGAAAATTCCTTCGAATTATATTTTTTCTGTTCCTTGGCTACTGTAAATACTATTTTTTCAAAATAGTCTCACAATAATTTCCGTGAGAAAAACTATACGAAAAAACAGGAGCCACAGTAACCCAGACTACTGTACGTGTACAAAGTACTTTTGTCCAACCTACAGTACCTTTAATTACTGTAAATCATTGCATAATTGTAATTTTCCAAAACCAACTCAGTATTTGTAAAACTCTGCAGTAATTGAAATTTTAGCAGTCGGCCGAATCAAAAAAACAACGCAGAAATCGGACAACTTTCACCACTTATCAACTTCATGAATTGGAACAAGCTTTTGACAGATGCCATTATCCGGATGTTTTTGCAAGAGAAACTTTGGCAACAAAAGTGAGCTTGCCTGAAGTTCGAGTTCAGGTTCGTGATTATTTTTTAGAGTTCTGTGAGCTTAAAAAAGGGACAAGGAAGAGAAAAGGGAATATTCCTCTAATAATGGAGGAGTCCCGAATTTTTCTCTGATTGTAAATAGTTTAACATTGATTTCCAGGGTTTGAGAGAGAGAGAGAGAAGTACTGTAGATTCGGTATATATTCTTTGTAGGAAAGTGAGAGAATTTCGGAATTGGTTTTTTTTTGGATTGTTTTATTTAATTTTGACCTGAGCAAGATTAGTGAGATTAAAAAGTATAGTTTAAAATTATAGTATCTCTGAAACCAACACTGTCTAAAGATTATATGAATCTTCTTTAACAATACAGTAACCCTTGCTCTTTGGTTTTTCCTGGGAACCTACAGTATCCCAAAAATATTTGAAAATTTTCTGTGAAGCCACAGTACCACTTTATCCCAACCGATATACATAAATTTTATTTTCGTACTTTTGAAAAGTACACGAAAAAATTCCAAGAACTCTTTTTTTTCCCCAATCATCTTGCACTTTCTAAACTTTTTCGCCTATTTTTCATCATTGCCAAAATTAGTCACACACTCACAAAAATCATGTCATTCTCAATTAGCCAGCTACGCTTTTTTGTCACCCATTTTCCCCCAACTTTTCCCTTTTTGCTCACAACAAAAAATTTTGGAGAAGAAAAGGAAAAGGGAGCACGAAAAATAATCCAGTTTTAAGAGAGGTACAGTCGGATGTGGATGAAAAATTTCAAGATACATTGAGTTTTTTTTCGCGAGTTAAGTTAAATATTTTCTTTTCTTCTCAAAACATTTTCCGAACACAGCCAAAAATAATAAATAAGGAAAAAAAGCAAAGTCAAGTCACAAGAAATTTGAGCCGGGAACAATTAGATATAGAAATAGAAAAAAAACACAGAAGACAACTCGATAATTGCCACGTTGCATTTTGTGTGTTTGGAGGTTGAAATTTGAGGAGAAAACGTGGAAATTGTTGGGTCATACGGTGTCAAGAAAAAGAAAATCAGGGTTTTGTTTTTAATATTTGGCGCTAGGGGGGGGATTTTTTCGCGGAAAAAACACGTGGCTACAGTATATTCAGTTGAATGTATCTCGAAATTTCTAAATTCTATTTTTTTGCGCAAAAAACCTGACTACAGTACCTCTCCCTCTCAAAACTTTTTTCACACGTCAATAAAAAATATGAAAAATTCTCGAAAATACTAACTATTCAACCAGCAGAAAACAACAACTTCCAAAAAAAACATTTTTTTTGGGGGACGCCGAATTTTTTTTTCAAACGCCACAAAATGTTTTCAGGTCTGGTTTCAAAATCGTCGCGCCAAATTCAGACGACAAGAAAAACAGGATAGTCGAATTGAAGAGCATTCGTTGAGAAATGTGCAAATTCCAATTTGGTCGTGGCAAAACAGTAGCAATAACAACAACAATAATAACCATGAGACGACTTCTCATTCGCCTCAAGACCCACCAAAAGAATCGATAAAATCTACAGTACCACAAGATGCCACGTATCTTGGTGGATTTCCACCATTGCAGGATACCGGATTACCGGAGAATTATCAAAATTTTTTGCCATATTTTAGTCAATCCTATTTTCCGTCAAATTATTCATTTCAATATCCAACTCAACCTGATTGCCAAAATTAATTAATTAATAAAACTTTAATTGGGATCTTTGGGAAAATTAATAAAGTCTTGCTTCTTTTCAACTGGCCTCAGCGTCCAAAATCAAAATCACTTTGTTTCATACGGCACTTCCTAGACAATTTCATCACTGGCCTGCAATACCTTTCTCTCTATCTCTCGTTCTAGTCTATTTTTGTGTGTGCCGACGCTTGCCGGGTGCGACACTTTCATATGTTTTCTGTGCGCCAGGCTCCGCCCACTTTTCTATTTCTTTCTGTTTTTCGGTGTTGAAGTTTTTTGAAGCTGATTTTCAGTGTGAACATTTGGATTTGAAATCGTGGTTTGTTTTTTGAATTTGTGGAAGTTTTCAAGGGCTACAAAAAGATTAGTTTAGTTGAGGAAAATTTGGAACTCATACTTCGTTTCATAGAGGAAAAAGAAATTGAGGATTTGAGAACTGGAATTTCAGAAAACTCAATAGAATAGAATAAGTCCTGTTTGTTTTTCGGAAAAAACAGATTTTTTCTAGCCCGAAAAACTTGCAACACTCTTATCAATTTGGCTGAAATCCGTGGAGAAAGATAACAAAACTTGCTAGCATAATATAAAAAGGCATCAGTTATGCCATTATAACAAAACATTTCGAAATGTCCAGCCAATTAGCAATTGGAACAGCTGTGGGTTTAACGGGAATTGCTGTGGTTCCAGGTGAGTTAGAATAAGGTGTTTGGGATTTCTTTCGGCGCTCCAAAGAATCTAAGGAAGATGATTTTCTTCCATAGAAAATTAAAAATATTTTCCAGCAATCTTCGCTGCTCTTTATGTGCTCAATGATATCAACACTTTCCAAAATGAAGTTCTTGAAGATTTATCAGAATTCAAGCATTTTGCAAATGACGCTTGGTCTCAAATGATTCCAGTTGTACCATTCGAAAGCCTTATCCGTAAAGCAAGAGGTCTTCCAGCAAATTGTAACTGTGGCCCTCAACCAAAGAATTGTCCAAGTGGTCCAAGAGGGCCACCTGGATTCCCAGGATTGGTCGGAGAAAATGGTCCACCTGGAAAACCTGGAAATCCAGGTCGTGATGCTTTCGAGAAAAATGTTATGGCTAACTTCAACAAAAATGTTAAATGTCCAGCTGGACCTCCAGGACCTCAAGGCCCTAACGGACTTCCAGGACATCCAGGACCTGATGGAGAATATGGTTTGGATGGGCGACCTGGAAATAATGGGGCTCCAGGAGCTCCAGGATTGCCAGGAGATCAAGGAACTGTTGGATTACCAGGAACTCCAGGAGAACGTGGACCATCTGGAAATAATGGACAACGTGGACGAGGACTTCCAGGTCCACCTGGACCAAGTGGGCCATCGGGAGTTTCTGGAAACCCTGGATCACCAGGACCAAACGGGCCAAGCGGACAGAACGGACCACCAGGGCTATCAGGACCTAACGGACTTAATGGTACTCCAGGATCTCCAGGTCAGCCTGGACCATCTGGAGCAATCGGACAACCTGGACCTGACGCTGCTTATTGCTCATGTCCTCCAAGAAGTGTTGGTGTTGTTGGGGAGAACAATGATGGTGCAAATAACGGACCACCAGCCTCAACTCCTACACCATATTAAATAGCTAAATGTGCTCTAATGATAAATGGTGCAATAAAGATTTTTGAATACCTTTTTGAAAATTTTTAAGTCCTTATTTTATTTTGTAATTTTTTTCTGGTTCAAAAATTTTTATTAGCAAAAAAATAATCAACCCTAAAAATAAATTCTCCCGCGTGACCTATTATAAAAACGTGTTCTACATTTTCCAAGCCGTTAGATTTGCCATTTCTTGTGTTATTTCATGTCTAAACCAAATGTATCGATATCAACTGAACAGCTACTTCCAGTGTAAGTTTTCTAGCGCTAAATTTTCGCGTAATTTTTTCCACGTGTAATTTTTCAGAATAGCCAACAGTATAAATGGTCAATTCTCTTCTCTGCCAATCGCAATCAATTCACAATCAATAGTCTACAAAATCTATTCTCAATTATATCGACGATATGTCGCCATTAAAATCATTAATAAAAAAGCGATACATCAGGCGATTGCCGAGAAATTTCTACCACGGGAACTTGAGATAACTTTAAAAGTAAGACATCCGCATATTTCTCGATGTTTAGCGATCACTCAACCGATTCCGTCCAAAATTGTGATTATTTCGGATTTTTATGAGCGAGGAACTTTGTTGGATTTGATTTTGAAGGAAAAAAGGATAAGAGGTGAGAATATGAACAAAATTCTTGAAAACACATGGAATTGTCCACGTGGAACTTTTTGTAGAAAAACAAACTGGGATTACGTGGCACAGAAATTTCTACGTGTTTCCGAATGCTCATGCAATTTTCCAACCAAACTTCCAAAAAAAAGTCCAAAAAATGTTTTCAGAACTCCCAACAGCCATAACATATTTTCGACAAATAATCGAAGCCGTCAACTATCTTCATCAACGTGGAATTGCACATCGTGATCTAAAACTCGAAAATATTCTACTCGACGGAAATGGTGATATAAAACTAATTGATTTCGGTTTTGCGCGAAGTGTTCAGCAACGCGAAAGAACTCGAAGTTTTTGTGGAACTCAACCATATTCATCACCACAAATCAGTCTTTCGAAACCTTATTTGCCTTTTTGTGCCGATTTTTATGCTTGTGGCATTATTTTGTATACAATGATTATTGGAAAATGGCCAGAGAAAAGTGGATTTTCGGATTTTGCTGATGGTTTGCCAAGTGCACAATGTAGAAGACTGATTATTGCACTTTTAGATGAGGTGATTCTCAAATTTATCATTGGAGCGCATTTTCCACACCGAACTCAAATTTAATTTCAGGACGAAATGAGCCGCGCAGACTATGATTATTGTGTTAATTCCGAATGGATGGGAAATTATCAGAAAAATTGGATTTTCGCCAACCACGCCTATTTTTATGAGAAAATTCCGTTTCCTGATGAAAATCGAATGGAATTTTTGCCGTGAACTACAAAATGTCTCAAATTTTTCATTTATTTTTAAATTCAATATCCAATTCTTTTCGATATTTATTGATGGATTTTTATTCGTGTTTTGTTTTTTCGAAACAAATAAAATTTTCAGTGTTTTTTTTTGAACGTGAAAAAATGTGGATTTTTTAAAAAATTGTCCGTTTTCATTTCGAATTCTAAAAAATGTTGAAAGTAGATTTTCAAAAATATCGTCAAGAATTGGAACTTTGGTGGCCATATCAAATTTTTGCATTTTTAATTCGTCACTGGATTGCCATTCTGATTACAATAGTTGTTTTAATCATACTTAAAGCCACTTTTAACAATTTGATTTTTCCAACTTATTATGAATCTTTCAGTGAGTTTTTCCCTAGTTTTGCCACTAAATTGTCATCTCATTTTTAGAAAAAGCTTTCGGATTCGAAAAAACTCTAGCGAATACGAAGAAAATTCTCGAAGCAGACTATGAGGATTTATGGCATGAATCGGAGTTTTGTTTGGCGTTTTTGGCGGTAACTTAATATCCTCTGGTGTCAAAGATAATCTTTTTTTTTCTAGCTACAAGACGAACATCAAAAAATGGTTAGATTTTGCAAGACCGACTTGAATCAACAAAATCCGCGACGTTTTCATTGGGCGAATAAATATGCAAAAATTCATTTGAAATGAAGTGTTGTTGTGTAGGTTTTTGGGGTGTTTCTTGAGTTGGAAGAGGATTGAGAATAGTATCTGTGAAAAATAATTCAAATATTGAATTTGAATTGGAAGTTTAAGATTCTCACCGATTGAGCACATAAAGTTGCATGCAAAAAATCGGAATATAAATCACTGTGAAAATAATCAAATAGAATTTACGATTCGAAATCCAACGATATGGATCTTCCTCATTCGATTTCACAACTTCATCTTCTGAACTTCCTTGATAATCTGACATCCAAGCGATTACAATTATAATGGCGCTTAAGAACCTGGCTACAGTAACTGCTACAGTAGTCAGAATGGCCGGAATTTTCCGGGTTTTCAAAGCGACTCCCAAGGATATGAGGAAAATTAGGAAAAGTATGAAAAACGTGGCAAATCCGATTATATAATGAGTAGAGAAATATTTTCCATTGTGAAAATAGAAAATCAGTGAAACTAGAAGCGCGGAGCATAGAAGAATATCAATCAGGACCGAGAAAATAAGCAATCCCTGGAAAATTGTTCGACTGCGTTTTGGAAAATTGGCTCAACTCACCTTATACGCGTTATCATGCGACCGCATTTTTATTGTTCAAAGTTGTGTGTTTTTTTTTAGAAAAAACAAAAAATCAAAGTGTTTACCTTTTCTTTTTCTCTTCAAAAAAGATAGATTACACTAAAAATAAGTAACATGTGAGGAACAGGTTTTTTCTTGCTGAACAGGAAAGTTTTGAAGAAAAATTCAGTTTTTTAATTTATGGCGAGAAAAAACTCCACGAGTTCTACTGAAGGTCAGCAAATTTATGTCCAAAAACGTTATATGGTACAAAGTCCCAAATTTAAAAAAAAATCACCAATCAAAATCGGCCATCAATTCATCCTCCTCTTGTTCTCGCTGATCTTCCTCATCTGGATAGTCATTTTCAGCAGCTTTTTCAGATTTCTCAGAGTTTTTATCCTCAGAAGCTTCTGGTGCCGCGGCTGGCGCAATTTCTTCTTCGCCGTCACTTGCACCATCATCAATAATATCACAATCTTCATTTTTCGATTTTTTCTTCTTCGATTCGCCATCTTTTCCTCCAGCACTTTGCTCAAAATCCTCGTCTGTCAACGGCATTCCAAGGCGCATCTTATTTAGGATAACCTTTGTCCATCGTCGTGTTCCAAGAGTCTCACACCGACTAATAATATCCTCGAATTTCATATTTGGATACATTAAATGCGCCCAATGATTGTATTTTTTGAACATAAGATTGAGATTTTGATATGGATCTGGACCGGGTTGGAAATTTTCGAATTCTTTTTTCAGCGCGCTGATTCCTTTTGGACCGGCTAGCAATTTTTCATTAAGAAGAAATCGATTGCTCTAAAATAAAGGATTATTTTTTTAATTTGTATTAAGAAAAAAATTATACCTGTTTTCTAGGAGGTTTCACAACTTTTCCAGCCGGAATATCCGCTCCAGGAACTGGAACTTCGATAGCTTCATCACCTTCCGGACTTTGATCTCTGTCAAAATCATCGCCTCCAAAGAAATCCGCATATTCATCTTCCATTTTGTGCGCCAAACAAAAAAAAAGAGAATAAAAATAAACCTTTTTTGAACGTCGCGGGCACGCCGCGCTGTAAGACCCAACACACAATTAAATCGCTGTTGCTTTTCAAAATGCTGATTTTAAATTTTTTTCTCGTCCGACCTTGATTTTTACAATTTTCAGCGAGAATGTCGGTTGCTGAGCAGTTGGTTGAGATGGGATTTGATCCAGAGAAGGCGAAACTAGCTGCGGAGGCTGCTGGAACTTTGGAAGGGGTATGAAAATTAGATTTTTGTGGAAATTGTCGAAACAAAGAAATACATTTTCAGGCAATCGATTGGATTTCGAACAATGATGGGGCAACTGTAGCAGCACCTGCACCAGCAGCTACAGAACCTGTGGCAGAAGTTGCAGCAAGTTTCAAGTGTAATGACTGTGGAAAACTTCTTCGAGACGAGGATGCAATCATGTTCCACGCCTCGAAAACCAAACACGACAACTTCAGCGAATCTTCTGAGGAAATTAAACCACTAACCGCTGAAGAAAAAGCCAAACAAGTTGAAGAAATTCGCGTCAAAATTAAAGAAAATCAAGCGAAGAAGGCAAAAATTGAGGCTGAAGAGCAACGAGAACGCGAACGAAAACGACGTGAAGACGGAAAAGCAATGATTGCGATGAAAGAAGATATGAGAGATCGTGAATATCGAGAGGCAGCAGAGAAAAGAAGACGTGAAAAGGCGGAAGATGAAGCGGTTAAAAGGAAGATTTTGGAGCAAATTAAGGTAGGGAATACAGAGAGATTTTGTATCAGAAAATAATCTGAAATTTTTAGGCTGACCGCGAAGCTAAGAAAAATGGTGGAAAACCAGTTGAAGTGGCGCCAACAAGTTCTGCTCCAACTGTTGCACCAACACCAGCAAAACCACGCGATTATAATTCAACCACTATTCAAATTCGACTTTTGAACGGACAAGCTGTGAAACAAGAATTCAATTCCAAAGAGACGGTGAGATTTTTCAGAATTTTCAGAAGAATTTCCACAAGCAAGAAATCTGATAATTTTATATCTAAATGTTTCGATTTTGTGTTGTTCAAAACATTTGAAAACGTAGAATAAATTTTGAATTTTTCGGCTTAAAATTCAAAAAATAAAATGTATTTTTTGTAGCTCGCCATGGTTCGTGCTTGGATCGAAACAAATCATTCGGATGGTACTCCTTTCACTATGATGACACCATTTCCAAGAAAAGTATTTGACGAGGAAAATATGGAACAACCACTTCAATCACTTGGTAAGTCTTTAAAATCTGAAAATTTTGACTGAACTATCGAGATTTTCAGGGTTTTTTACCCCAGAAAATTTAATTTTTTAGATTTGGTACCTTCTGCAAATATTGTATTGACAAGAAAATAATTGAAATTTCAAAAATATTTCTACTTGCCCCCTTACTTGTAAAAATTCAACCACTTTCCTTCTAAAATGTTCATTCTGCTATTTTTGTGTGATTTTTTGACCAATGAACTCTTTTTCTCAACTTTTTTTTCGCATTTTCGAGCAAAAATCACCTTTTTCTTAGGTAATTTGATACAAAAAATGAGTGACAAGAAGGCGCCTAGAAAAAGGTGGGTGTGAAAAAAAGATATAAAGAAAAAATTTGTCTTTTTGGAGATGATGGATGGATTTTTGGGACGAAGATAAGGTTTTTTGTGTTTGATTTATTGAGAATTTTTGAAAAATCTATTTTCTTGGCTCGAAAATTCCACTCGCCATAAATTTTTTTCTAAACTTCTCTCTTTTTTGAAAAAAATCCCGAAAAATAATTTGCGGAAAAGTTTATTGCTCATTTTATTCACTAACTCGAACCATATGTTCCGCCAAAAAAATTTAGAAAAAGTTTTTTTGGAAAAAAGATTTTTGCAGAAGATATGAAATTTTTATATAAACATTTTGCAAAAGCTTTAAAATTTCGAAATTTTCGGGTTTTCGGTCTAGAAAACCAAACTTTCTCCTAAGTTCTAGAATCTCGAACAATTTATAATAACTTTGATATTTTGAAACTATTCCATTGAATTTTCAAAAAATAATCACAAAAAAATTCCACGGAAAACGTGATATTTTTTGTAATCCCCTTTTTATTTCAATAAAATTATTATACAAATTTCTACACCAAAAATGGCCAGAAATATGCGAGTTTCATCATTTATATGGGAGATACGCTAGTTTGGGATTTTGGATAATGGTTTTTGAGATGTGTAATTCTAGAAGTTCAGATCATTTTTTTTCCCGGGTGCCAAACTTCAAGACAAAATTGACCCCAAAAAATTGATTTTCCTCTCAAAAAAGCATGACCGTTTTGCCATTGTAAATTGTAAAGAAACTTTTTTTATTTCATAAATGCCTAGTAGTACAAATGTTCTCCTTTAGTTTCTTTTGTTTGTATTATTTAATGTGAGATGCGCGCGCGATGCAAAAAAATAGAAAAAAGAAATCAAGTTTCTCCCCTCTTTTTCTCTCATTCTTCAATAAAACATATGTATTACACACAACTTTTTGTGGTTTCTCAATGGTAGATCATTTTTTTCTGTCCCGTACACGCTCTTTTTCTCTCTTCATTAGAGCGCACTTTAATCAGTCAATCATCATTTTAAAAACTGTCTTTTCATCGAGTAAAAGTAAGGTAACCCTCAAGGTAGGTGGTACTTGAAAAACGTTTTTTTCATTGCTCAGCTACAATATTTGCGAGACACTTGAAGAAAAAGAAGATTTCTCTCATCTTTTTGCAATGTCTCGAACTCTCTCTGATCTCTTTGCTATTTTTTGCCTTGCTTTTTCGATTCTCAATTTTCTTTTCACCTCAAAGCAACATTCATAAAGCACACGGCTGTAATGTACGTTTCATAAATACATATATTTTTCATTTTTATTATTAGTTTTCTTGAAATTTTTTGTTATCATGAACACGTGCTCTATCGCCTTTTTTCTGGAGAAAAAAATGAAAAACACCAATTTTAAATATGGAAAAAACTCTGACCATCTCGTCCTCCCATGTGGTCTAGTGGTTAGGATTCGTGGTTTTCACCCACGCGGCCCGGGTTCGATTCCCGGCATGGGAAGCTAACTTTTTTATTATTTTTTTCTGAAAACCACAGTATCCCTCATTTTGCTTTGCGTTTATTTATGAACATTGTGTTTCTCTGCGTCTCTTCTTTATTCATTTTTACCATTCGACCACACCCATTTTGATTGGAAAAATCATCAGAAAACAAATTTTTCGGTTTCCTCCCACTTTTTTTGCGCAACTTCTTAATCTCCACCCAAATTTACACCAATAATATTTTCAGTCAAAAATGGGTAATTGCTCACAAAAACAGTCATCGGGCTCATCATCACGTGGATTTTTAGCCAACCTATTTCACAAAGCTAACATTGATCCACATGCTTTGGCACAATCTTGTCCCCCGCCGGTATGTTTTTGAGACACATTGAAATTTTGAGTTCTAGGCTGTGGACTAGAAATCTAACAAAAATCTAGGCCAAAGGAATAATGACTGAAAAAGTGTCAAAACAACACCTGTTTCGTTTGTTTTGCTAAACTTTTTAGAGCAAAACAAGTTTTTTAGTTTATTGACGTAAAGAAAAAGCGGGGGTGTTCAAGGGGAATATTTGGATGTTTTTTGGGTAGACGAAATTTAATGTTGATTTTTGAGAAATTTCACGCTTATACGATTTTCATTGGGATCTTTAGCGTGTCAAATTAAAATACATCCACGTAGATCACGAATTTCCAAAAAAAAAATGTCACTAACATAAAAATTCAATTTTCAAAGGTTGGCGGTGAGATGCCATTAGGTGAATGTACAGTACTCCGCGATCGCGCTGCAATGCGTTTTGACAGTCGACTTGTTTGTAAATACGAAGTTTTGCAAGTACTCGGAAAAGGAAGTTTTTCACAAGTTCTTCGTGTAAAACACCGTGCAACTCGAAAATGTTTTGCTGTCAAAGTTGTGTTGGCCGATTGTGGATCAGTGGATAATGAATTGAATATTTTGAGCAGGTTATCACATCCTTATGTTATTCAACTTGAAGAGGTGCGATTTTTGAATTATGTGTTTTGAGTATATTTTGAATATTTTGAACCTTCGGAATCAGCGTCGGATTTAGAATTTTCGTGATTCGAAAAGTTCCATTTTAAAAATACATAAGATCCACATTTCAGGTCTTTAAAACCGCCTCAAAATATTTTATCGTAATGCAAATGGCGTATGGTGGAGAAATGTATGATCGTGTGGTGGCAAAAGGAAGATATTCTGAAGATGAAGCTCGGGCGGCACTGAAAATGTTGTTAACTGGTTTAGCATATTTACATTCGATTCGGGTTACTCATCGAGGTGAGTTAGAGAATCAGGGTAAAACTATTTTAAGCTAAAAATTTGTGCGAGAACTGATCTCCAGTTTTCGAAATATGATCTAGAAACCCATTTTCCAATTCTATCTCATCGCTCAAATTCCAATCTAAAATTGTTAAGATTTGAGGCTAAATTCAAAAATTATAGATTTGAAACCTGAAAATCTTCTCTACGCCGATGCCCGACCCGATGCTCGTCTTCTAATTACCGATTTTGGCCTAGCTTATCAAGCCACCAAACCAAATGAAACAATGACTGAAACTTGTGGTACACCCGAATATATTGCTCCAGAACTCTTGCTACGAGTACCATATACACAAAAGGTTTGTTTATTCAAGCGAGTTGGATTCCTGGGTGAAGATGATTTCTATTTTTACGATTTTCAGGTTGATATGTGGGCTGTTGGAGTTATCGCATATATCCTGATGTCCGGAATAATGCCCTTTGATGATGATTGCCGCAGTCGATTATATACACATATTATAACCGCTAATTATGTGTATTATCCACAGGTTTGTCGAGGAAAATTTTGGATTAAATTACTTGGAAAAATTGGGAATTTCCAGAGATTTTTGTTTTGAAAAAAAAACTCAAAATTAAAACTCGTTTTTGAGTTGGTATTTTTAATAAATTTTTACAGTTTTGGTCGGGTTCTGAACTCGCCAAACAATTTGTCGATTCATTATTGGAAACGAATTCTGTGGAGAGAATGAGTGCGACGGTGGCGTTGAAACATGAATGGATGACTGGAGAAAGACAAGGACAAAGACCACCACCAACAAGACCACAATCTGAATATAATAGTATGCAGAGAGTGAGTTTTTTTTTAAATATTTCTTGTTTAAATTGAGTTTTGACGCGAAAATTCCACATGGATTTTGGGGGTAGTATCGATGTGGGCATACTTAGTTTTTTTTTGAGTCACAAAAAGTTGGCACTTCTTTTTTTGGAAAACCGATTTTGAAATATTTTCTAGAAATTGGAAAAAAACTTATCCTAGATTCACGTGGATTTTTTGTTTAAGTTTTGTATTGAAAGATGAAATCTGATATGATACAATAAAATTTTGCCCTGAAACTGTCTAAAAACAAAGAAAATGTTGTCTTTTTTAAAAATATCGGCCTGAAAATCAGCTTGTGGAAAATATACTGTAATTTCAAACGGTTAAAATCCACGTGGAAAAAAAAAGAAATTTCAGCTCGAACATTGAATCACGAAATCCACGTATATTTTGACTTTAATTTCTCAAGCTTTAGAAGTGAAATCCACAGAAATGAAAATTCCCCGTTTTTACCCTAAAATTCCAAATACGTTCCAGACCAAATCAACTCGCTCAATTCGTTCGGTAACCCGATCTGATCACGGTCATCGAGTCGATCCGAGAGAAGTTGACGAACTCGCCAATGATTTGAAACGAGTCGCTCAAACTACCAAAAACTATGGAGTTTTCTAAACAAAAACCTCTCAAGTTTCCATCCAAAAACTATCTAAATATACTTTTACGTGTAAATTTCAACCCAAAACTAACCAACCCACATTTGAAACGTGTATTTTCCTTCTGTGAGCTTAGCTGAAACAATTATTATTATTATGCAGATTATCAGGAAATCTCGAAGAAACAGCTCAAAACGAAACTTTTCTAGTCTTTTTCAATGTTTTTTATATTGTTGAATAAATTTTTTTGAAAAAAATACGGTATTTCAAGGCGCATAAAAATTTTTGTTCGGTGGAGCGTGCTTGCTCGCTTGTTAAAAATATATTTATTTTTCTTGTTTTGCACACACCCGCTCAAACAATGAAAAAATTAGCAAAATGCTGTTCTCATTGGCGTACCAATTTTCGATAACTTAGAGGTCGTTGTATGAAAAACTGAAAATACCATTAGAATCAGCGTCTCAAGATCTACATTAAACTATGTAACTCATATTTTTAGGGGTCCTGCGAAGAAAGTTACGATTTGCGTCGAGACCACGCGGTTAAATAAATACGTGTCCCTTTAATCTGCAACGTAAATCAATGAAATAGTTGGCGTACCAATTTTTGTTAGAAAAACAGGCGTTAGAGAAAAAATGAAAAATATCACGAGATTCGGCGTGTCGAGAACTACATTAAACCGTAAGATTCATAATTCCTAGGAGCCCAGGAAGGCCAGCTTTTCGAGACCCAATAAATTAATAAATGTATGTTCCTTTGAACGAACAAAACATTGTGAATTTTCGAGAGACGCAGAGACGCGGTGTTTGCACACTTTTCGATTGCGTTCTACAGTAGAAAAACAGTCATTTCTCGTTTCAGCGGGGTGTGTGCACCCGAAGCGAAAACAATTAAAGTCTTCGTTATTTCGCTAAAAAAATACTTAAACAAAGAATTGTCGTCAAATAAAATGCATTGTGTGTCTACACCACGTCATGAGTCACATTTGTTTTCTTGCGAAATTTCTCTTTTCCTTCGTCTTTTGCTTATTTCGTTGTGATATAAAATCAATCACAGTTTATTAATTTTTCAGAAGAGTAAAAATGGGTGCCGGTGAAAGCAGCATGGCTTTGGACAGTGAGTTTGTTTTTATTCAACTAAAAAATCTCTGGAGTTATTTCTAACTACATTTTCAGAACACTTGTTTGAATTGAAATTCGCCGCAAAACAATTGGAGAAAAGTGCGCAAAGATGTGAAAAAGAGGAGAAAATTGAGAAGGATAAATTGACCACAGCGATCAAAAAAGGAAATCGTGAAGTCGCGCAAGTTCACGCGGAAAATGCAATTCGCAAGAAGAACGAAGCTGTTAACTACATTCGAATGTCTGCGAGAATTGACGCAGTTGCCGCACGCGTTCAAACCGCCGCAACTCAAAAAAGAGTTACTGCAAGTATGGGCGGTGTTGTGAAGGCAATGGAAAGTGCAATGAAGAGTATGAATTTGGAGAAGGTTCAAGAATTAATGGATCGATTTGAAAGAGATTTCGAAGATTTGGATGTCCATACAAAGACTATGGAAAGAACAATGGATGGAACAACTGTCTTGAATGCACCAAAATCGCAAGTTGACGCATTGATTTCGGAAGCCGCTGATAAGGCTGGGTAAGTGATTTTGGGAAGGCATTTGGATTTTTTTAGGAAAATTACTCAGTAAATATCAGAAAAATTCATAAAAATCTTCATTTTTATCAAAACTGGTGATTCAATAAAATTGTATCAAGAAATAATGAAAATTCATCAAAAATGTAGATTCTCGTTGAACACTTTAGCTAGAAATCCGTAGAGTAGCTTAGAATCGCAAAGTCCTTCTTCCACGGCTAAGAAACCCAAAAACCGCACATTTTTTCTAGAATCGAACTCAATCAAGAACTCCCCGCAAACGTGCCAACTTCATTGCCTGCCACGTCACAAAACGTCAGCGAAGACGCGGATTTGACTCAACGGCTCGCCGCTTTGCGAAATCAATAAGTTTTGGCCAATTTTGGTGATTTTCCACCAAAGAAATGTGATTTTCTGACATGTTTTCTTGTAAATAAATAAAAATAAAGTTTTGCACAATATTTTTTTTTCTGAAAAAATTTTGGAGTTTAAAAGATCTCCACGTATTTCACTATTTGTTTTGATCTACCCAGGCGAGAACAAAAAACAACAATTTCTCGTCGTTATCTTCATTTCTCTGACTGCTCTCTCGATAATGTATACTCTCTCGCCCATTCTCGATTGATAACCCGGTTCTCTTTTTCTTTTTCCCCATTTTTTCTATAGTAAAAACAATGTTTTGTATTAGTTTTTCCTGCTAATTTTTCCGTGAGGCCTCAGGCAAACGGGCCGACTAATCGGCGACCAACTGGCGATAAATCGCCTGTCAACTAGTAGTTGGTCGCACATTAGTCGGCGATTAATCGGCCTACATATAAATTAGCAGAAAAGTTGGTCGGCCGACAAAAAAAGTTGGTCGTCGATTAGTCGCTCCACGTAAAGTTAGTCACCGATTAGTCGGCTCGTTTGCCTGAGAGGTGTACACGAATTTTGACACACGAGCAGTGCAAAATTTTTTTTGAGTGTTTCAGAAAGATTTTTCGCACCGCCTATTGTCTGGGTCCTAAAACGGTGAAAAATATGTATTTACATAGTTTTTTTTGGATTAAAAACACGAGTTTTTCTGGGAAATACATTAATTTTTCACGTTCCACGTGACCTAGTTGTGTTTTCACATTTTTAATTTTGTTTGTTTTCTTATCACCCTCTCTATCTCTATTTTCTTCATTTTTTCTCTGGTAAGAAAATAATACACTAGGGTCAAAGTCACAATGTTCACTTTTTGATGTTGGATGTGTGGATTTTTTTATTTAAGGAATTTTTGGACCCATCGAGTTTACAATTGTTATCCTCTGTAAAGAAAATAATTAATTTATGTGCTAAGCTTCACGGGGAATTTCAATTTTACTGTCCACAATTTTTTATCATATCAGAATTGAGTAGTTATTTGGCGCTACACAATTTGAAAAAAATCAAGCCTGGAATTTTTCAATTTAGAAACTAATTTTTTTAATCAAGAAATAAGCGAAAATGTCGACGTGGCTAACTAATTTCCTAAATTGTCGTTTTTTTTTGTCTTGAAATCCCCTTTTCAATATAATTTCTAATAATTATTTATTTTTCAGCCTCATCAATATAAAAATGAGAATCTTAGTCGGTGTGAAACGTGTTGTTGACTATGCTGTCAAAATTCGCGTCAAACCAGACAAAACTGGCGTAATTACCGAAGGTGTTCAACATTCAATGAATCCATTCGATGAAATTGCATTGGAAGAAGCTGTCAAACTAAAGGAAAAGAAATTGGCCACCGAAGTTGTTGCATTCTCTTTCGGAGGACCAAAATCCGCTGAAGTTTTGAGAACTGCTTTGGCTAAGGGAGCCGATAAAGCAATTCATGTAACTGTTAGCGATGCGGAAGCGGCTAAGGCTGAACCATTGCATGTTGCGCAAGCTTTGCAAAAAATTGTTGAGCAGGAGAAGTTTGATGCAGTTTTTGTTGGAAAACAAGCTATTGATGACGATGCTTCACAGGTTGGTTTTTAAAATTTTTACTTGAATAATAAATGAAATTTTGTGCAAGAACCTAGCAAAAACCAGCCAAAAATTGTTTGAATTGCCTGAAAATTCGAATTTCCTCCTAATTTTTTTGAACATTGAGGAAAATGGTCTGAAAGGTTAAATTCAAATTCTATAGCAGAAAATTCTTCGAAAAATCCCAACATATTTCCAGACAGCCCCACTTTTGGCGGGACTTTTGGATTGGCCTCAAGCTTTGTATGCATCGAAAGTTGAAGACGGAGGAGCTGGAAGTTTGAAAGTTACCAGAGAAATTGACGGAGGATTGGATACTATTAAGGTAATTTTTTGAAGGGAAAATTGAGAAATTATGGATTTTGATAAGGATAATTGAAAAAAAACACGAGAGTTTGGTCTAAAAACCACCATAGATTTCTGTAATATCTAATAATAACAGAAATAAAATTTTGGCAATAGGTGAGGTGTGCCACGTGGAATTTTTTAATTGAAAATTCGGAATTTTTCTAAAAGACACCGAACAATTAAAATTTGTTGTAATGGAATGCCATATATGGGGGTACGCATCTCAAAAAATCTCGATTTTTGTCAGAATCAAAATTTTTCGACCATTTGAAAAAATATTGAATAGTGGTCTGAATCGTCCGATTTTTTCCGAAAATTTGCATATTGTTTATAAGTGAAAAATTCTCAAATAACCAAAAAAATTATCTCAAATATTTTGAAAAAAATCTGTTTTCGAAAAAAAATTTATTGACAATAATGTACAAAAAAGATCGAATTTTCTGGGGTTTTGTGACTTTTTCTTGCATCCGAGTGTAAAATCCTTCGTTCATCTTTTGCGGAGTTGGGAGCATATTCCAAAATATTCAACTTGGCTGTAAAAACATTTTGTTCATGTTTTATTTTTTATATTTTTCATTGTTTTTAAACTATTTGTTGCAACTATCTTGTGAGGGACTTTTGACAAAGAAACTCAAGAGCTAAAAAGAATTCACGTATTTTCTACTATTTAATAAAAATTCCGCGTGAGAGATACATGATGTAAAATTTTGATGATCTGTTCAAAGGCAAAAAAAAAAGAATTTACGTTTTTTTTTCTTTAAAAAAATAGTTTCGCGTGTAAGATACATGATGTACAATTTTGTGAGCAATTTTTGGCTTTCGAAATTTTTTTCGAAAAATTACTTGATTTTTGCCAGAAAGAGCTTCCAAAACCAAGAAAGAAAACGAATTATTTTTCAAACACTTGTAAATTTATTAGTTACTTGCAAATGAATGAGATTCTATATTCTGTGATAGGGAATTAAACCACGTCCTATTTTCTAAAGAAAATGTAGCCTAGGACCTGAAAAAAGCAGATCACTTTGTTTCATTGGATCCGATTCAAAATCACTTAATTATTATTTGTTTCACACCTTTCATAATTCCGTGACTATTTCTTCGATGGCTTTGAAGTTGAGAGACTGATTGTAAGTTTTGCATTCACTGAAAACAGATTGAACTTTTTCGTTCACACTTTTAGTATTAAAAAACCAACCATGAAATCATCTTATTTTTCTGGCGCAATTCATTGAAAAACAAAAAATGAATATTCCAAGCTGGTTTCACGTCACGTAATGAAATTAATAAAACCATTTTCTTTTTTTAATGAAGAAAACAAAAAGAAATAAAATTTTGATGAGTAAAAATAATTTAAAACGTGACCACTCTCATGACACGTATTCTTTTATCATTTCGTGTTTCTAAATTGAGCGATCGTCGTTTTAGAAGAATGCAGTTATTTTTCATCATTCTACCTCTAATTATTATCAATTGTCTTGAATCAAAAATTTCAGAGGTGAGGATTTTGAATGTTCTAGCGATCCAGAAATAATAATGTTTTTCGTCAGAATATACCAGTTTTGACTTTCAAATATAACAAAAGTGCTCCGTGATCTCTAGAAAAAATAGAAAAAACTCGTAAAAGATGGACAGACCATCTTACATAACCAGCATATAAATTCCCCATACCGGCAAAACGAAATTTATATACTTTCATACTGATCAATTAGTTATAATGGTTAATAGAATCTCATTCATTTGCAAGTAACTAATAAATTTACAAGTGTTTGAAAAATAATTCGTTTTCTTTCTTGGTTTTGGAAGCTCTTTCTGGCAAAAATCAAGTAATTTTTCGAAAAAATTTCGAAAGCCAAAAATTGCTCACAAAATTGTACATCATGTATCTTACACGCGAAACTATTTTTTTAAAGAAAAAAAAACGTAAATTCTTTTTTTTTTTGCCTTTGAACAGATCATCAAAATTTTACATCATGTATCTCTCACGCGGAATTTTTATTAAATAGTAGAAAATACGTGAATTCTTTTTAGCTCTTGAGTTTCTTTGTCAAAAGTCCCTCACAAGATAGTTGCAACAAATAGTTTAAAAACAATGAAAAATATAAAAAATAAAACATGAACAAAATGTTTTTACAGCCAAGTTGAATATTTTGGAATATGCTCCCAACTCCGCAAAAGATGAACGAAGGATTTTACACTCGGATGCAAGAAAAAGTCACAAAACCCCAGAAAATTCGATCTTTTTTGTACATTATTGTCAATAAATTTTTTTTCGAAAACAGATTTTTTTCAAAATATTTGAGATAATTTTTTTGGTTATTTGAGAATTTTTCACTTATAAACAATATGCAAATTTTCGGAAAAAATCGGACGATTCAGACAAAATTTTTCTTCTTGCACAATAATCGTACATTTTTTTCCATTTTTAAAATGACTCTGAAAACCATCAGAAAATTATTGTTTCTGACAAAAATCGACATTTTTTGAGATGCGCACCCCCATATATGGAGTTTTTGACGCTAATGTTTTTTCTCAATTATTTTTTCCAGTCGCGAAATGTTATCAGAAATGACCAAAAGGCAATGAAATTTCAACCAAATAACTCAAAAAGTCTAATTTTTCACTCGAAAACTTTGAAATTTTGCAGGTCAAACTCCCAGCTGTTTTATCAGCCGATTTGCGGTTAAACGAACCACGCTACGCAACATTGCCAAATATCATGAAGGCCAAAAAGAAACCACTCAAAGCAATTGCAGCAAAAGAACTCGGAATCGATTTGACACCACAAACAAGCGTTTTGGAAGTTGCTGAACCGGCGCAAAGAAAAGCTGGTGGATTTGTCGCTGATGTTTCGGAATTGATTGCTAAATTGAAGGAAAAGGGATTGGTCAAGGCTTAAATTGTGTGTTTCGAATCAATTTTAGACGGTTTTATCATTTATCGAGTACTTATTTTTTGAGAGAGAAATTAAATGTATTTTTTTGTGAGTTTTTTTCATACAAATTCTATCTAGGAAATTTACAGTTTTCTCTCCCAACATTCGTCCAAAAGAACTACACAGGTTTTCCGAACGGTTTTTTTAAATTAAATGTTTCAAGCAGAACAGTTCCACGTGTAATTTTTTTTATTTTGAAATTTCGCCAAACACTCCTTCCCCAATTTTTCTATTTGTCCGAGTGAACTACAAAGATACACACAAAAACCATATTTGTTCTCTATTCTTTCTCTCCCTCTCCAGTGCGCGCCAAAATTTTTATTTGACATTTCACAGGTGATTTCCAAAAGTGTGAAAAAATGTGCATGTGTACGTTATATGCATGTTTTTTCATCCTCAACATACACATTTTTCATCCTTCACAGACACATTTTAGACATTTTTGAGGATCTAAAAAGGATGAAAAAAGGATGAAAAATCAAAATTTCAGTGGAAGCCTCAAACTTACAGACAAGGTGTGTGGACTTAAGTTAAGTATCTGAAAGTGTGATTTTAAGCTTCTGGGGTCACTTTCAGCTAGGAAAAGCTGAAAATAGGCTGAAAATCGAACAATTTGAAGTTGGGCCAATATTTTTGGATTTTGTTGGGGGACCTCTGAAAAGTGTGTGACGAGATGAATTTCAGCATTTTCAGCCAGGAAAAGCTGAAAATAAGCTGAAAATCGAAAAATTTGAAGTTGGGCCAATATTTTTGGATTTTGTTGGGGGACCTCTGAAAAGTGTGTGACGAGATGAATTTCAGCATTTTCAGCCAGGAAAAGCTGAAAATAAGCTGAAAATCGAAAAATTTGAAGTTGGGCCAATATTTTTGGATTTTGTTGGGGGACCCCTGAAAAGTGTGTGACGAGATGAATTTCAGCATTTTCAGCCAGGAAAAGCTGAAAATAAGCTGAAAATCGAAAAATTTGAAGTTGGGCCAATATTTTTGGATTTGGTTGGGGGACCCCTGAAAAGTGTGTGACGAGATGAATTTCAGCATTTTCAGCCAGGAAAAGCTGAAAATAAGCTGAAAATCGAAAAATTTGAAGTTGGGCCAATATTTTTGGATTTTGTTGGGGGACCTCTGAAAAGTGTGTGACGAGATGAATTTCAGCATTTTCAGCCAGGAAAAGCTGAAAATAAGCTGAAAATCGAAAAATTTGAAGTTGGGCCAATATTTTTGGATTTTGTTGGGGGACCCCTGAAAAGTGTGTGACGAGATGAATTTCAGCATTTTCAGCCAGGAAAAGCTGAAAATAAGCTGAAAATCGAAAAATTTGAAGTTGGGCCAATATTTTTGGATTTTGTTGGGGGACCTCTGAAAAGTGTGTGACGAGATGAATTTCAGCATTTTCAGCCAGGAAAAGCTGAAAATAAGCTGAAAATCGAAAAATTTGAAGTTGGGCCAATATTTTTGGATTTTGTTGGGGGACCTCTGAAAAGTGTGTGACGAGATGAATTTCAGCATTTTCAGCCAGGAAAAGCTGAAAATAAGCTGAAAATCGAAAAATTTGAAGTTGGGCCAATATTTTTGGATTTTGTTGGGGGACCTCTGAAAAGTGTGTGACGAGATGAATTTCAGCATTTTCAGCCAGGAAAAGCTGAAAATAAGCTGAAAATCGAAAAATTTGAAGTTGGGCCAATATTTTTGGATTTTGTTGGGGGACCCCTGAAAAGTGTGTGACGAGATGAATTTCAGCATTTTCAGCCAGGAAAAGCTGAAAATAAGCTGAAAATCGAAAAATTTGAAGTTAGGCCAATATTTTTGGATTTTGTTGGGGGACCCCTGAAAAGTGTGTGACGAGATGAATTTCAGCATTTTCAGCCAGGAAAAGCTGAAAATAGGCTAAAAATCGAAAAAATTTGAAGTTGGGCTCAAAAGCTCAGAATTTATTTGGAGTGTTGGAAGAAGCATCAGTATATTGAAGTTTCAGCATTTTCAGCCAGAAAAAGCTGAAAAATGAAATTTTTGATGTTGGATTCAAACATATTATTGGTTGCGCGAGTTCTGAAAAATATTGGACAACATCAGACTAAATAATTGTTTTTCAATTCCCGGTGCTCGCTACCTTCAATTCACCAAGTCAATAAAATACGAAACCTTTGATCTTTTTTCTCGCCAGACATTTTTTGCAAAATTTTTTCCCGCGCTAATTTACTATCTGAGCGAATCTTCTTGTCACTTTTCAAAAAAAAAAACGCTCAAAATTTTTTTTGAACATCAATATCCTTTTTGTCTATTCTTCTTTGTCTATTCTTTTAGCTTTAATAAATTTTTTTTTTTTCAAAACTTGTGAAAAACTTAACAAAAATTTATAGAGCCACTAGAAAGCCACAATAGAGCCACCCACCAGCCACCGAAAAAATCAGAGCGCACATTATGGGCCCGCCGCGGCTCAATCGCTTTGTGGGCCCGCAGCGGACCCGCTGCGGAGCCATTTCATTTTGTCCGTGTCTAGCCTCGTTTGGCCAGATAAGTTCTTTTCGGGTATCAGCCAGATCTGCCAAAAATTTTCACCTTTCATCTCTTATACAGATTTTTCTGGCTCAAAATCAAAATAATCATCTCTTCATTCACTTTTCAGAACTCGCGCAACCAATAATGAATTTTTGAATCCAACATCAAAAATTTAATTTTTCAGCTTTTTCTGGCTGAAAATGCTCTAACTTCAATATACAGATGCTTCTCCCAACACTCCAAATAAATTCTGAGCTTTTGAGCCCAACTTCAAATTTTTAGATTTTTAGCCTATTTTCAGCTTTTCCTGGCTGAAAATGCTGAAATTCATCTCGTCATCCTAAAGTACTAACATCGAAAATGCTCATACGAAAATGCTCATTCGAAAATGCTCATACGAAAATGCTCATTCGAAAATGCTCATACGAAAATGCTCATTCGAAAATGCTCATAAGAAAATGCTCATACGAAAATGCTCATTCGAAAATGCTCATAAGAAAATGCTCATAAGAAAATGCTCATAAGAAAATGCTCATAAGAAAATGCTCATAAGAAAATGCTCTAACAAAAAAATGTTTTTGGTGGATGGTGGACACCAATGTATGTCAAAACTCATACGAAAATGCTCATACGAAAATGCTCATAAGAAAATGCTCTAACAAAAAAATCATTCGAAAATCTAAAATGCTCATACGAAAATGCTCATACGAAAATGCTCATAAGAAAATGCTCATAAGAAAATGCTCATAAGAAAATGCTCATAAGAAAATGCTCATAAGAAAATGCTCATAAGAAAATGCTCATAAGAAAATGCTCATAAGAAAATGCTCATAAGAAAATGCTCTAACAAAAAAATGTTTTTGGTGGATGGTGGACACCAATGTATGTCAAAACTCATACGAAAATGCTCATACGAAAATGCTCATAAGAAAATGCTCTAACAAAAAAATCATTCGAAAATCTAAAATGCTCATACGAAAATGCTCATACGAAAATGCTCATAAGAAAATGCTCATAAGAAAATGCTCATAAGAAAATGCTCATAAGAAAATGCTCATAAGAAAATGCTCATAAGAAAATGCTCATAAGAAAATGCTCATAAGAAAATGCTCATAAGAAAATGCTCATAAGAAAATGCTCATAAGAAAATGCTCATAAGAAAATGCTCATAAGAAAATGCTCTAACAAAAAAATGTTTTTGGTGGATGGTGGACACCAATGTATGTCAAAACTCATACGAAAATGCTCATACGAAAATGCTCATACGAAAATGCTCATTCGAAAATGCTCATAAGAAAATGCTCTAACAAAAAAATCATTCGAAAATCTAAAATGCTCAAACGAAAATGCTCATACGAAAATGCTCATTCGAAAATGCTCATAAGAAAATGCTCTAACAAAAAAATCATTCGAAAATCTAAAATGCTCATACGAAAATGCTCATAAGAAAATGCTCATAAGAAAATGCTCATTCGAAAATGCTCATACGAAAATGCTCATAAGAAAATGCTCATACGAAAAGGCTCATAAGAAAATGCTCATAAGAAAATGCTCATAAGAAAATGCTCATAAGAAAATGCTCATACGAAAATGCTCATAAGAAAATGCTCATAAGAAAATGCTCTAACAAAAAAATGTTTTTGGTGGATGGTGGACACCAATGTATGTCAAAACTCATACGAAAATGCTCATTCGAAAATCGAAAATGCTCATACGAAAATGCTCAAACGAAAATGCTCATACGAAAATGCTCATTCGAAAATGCTCATAAGAAAATGCTCTAACAAAAAAATCATTCGAAAATCTAAAATGCTCATACGAAAATGCTCAAACGAAAATGCTCATACGAAAATGCTCATTCGAAAATGCTCATACGAAAATGCTCATAAGAAAATGCTCATACGAAAAGGCTCATAAGAAAATGCTCATAAGAAAATGCTCATAAGAAAATGCTCATAGGAAAATGCTCATACGAAAATGCTCATAAGAAAATGCTCATAAGAAAATGCTCTAACAAAAAAATGTTTTTGGTGGATGGTGGACACCAATGTATGTCAAAACTCATACGAAAATGCTCATTCGAAAATCGAAAATGCTCATACGAAAATGCTCAAACGAAAATGCTCATACGAAAATGCTCATTCGAAAATGCTCATACGAAAATGCTCATAAGAAAATGCTCATAAGAAAATGCTCATAAGAAAATGCTCATAAGAAAATGCTCATAAGAAAATGCTCTAACAAAAAAATGTTTTTGGTGGATGGTGGACACCAATGTATGTCAAAACTCATACGAAAATGCTCAAACGAAAATGCTCATTCGAAAATGCTCATAAGAAAATGCTCTAACAAAAAAATCATTCGAAAATCTAAAATGCTCATACGAAAATGCTCATAAGAAAATGCTCATAAGAAAATGCTCATAAGAAAATGCTCATAAGAAAATGCTCATAAGAAAATGCTCATAA